GGGTTGTACTGTCGCGGAAGGGGTGTTTGTAGAAGTCGAAGCTTGTCCCGACATTTCGGCGAGTGGTTCGTTTCGGGTGTTGATCGGTGTTTGGTCTGGTGAGTCGGAGTCTGATTCCGAGGTTGTTTCCTCTTGCTCCGAGTCTTCGGGGATTACCGGCGCCGGTTCCCTGTATTGTGGGGCTAGTTCCCACTGAGCTTCTATTTCGTTCCAAATATCCTCTTCTTCTGTTCCGTCTTCAAGGGTGAAGTAATAACGCCCGTTTCGGTATGAGCAGTTATCGTAATTCGGAGGGGCAGTTCCGTTATTGTCTTCGTAGACCCAGAAGTCCCCTTCGCGCCGGATAGGGCGATTGTTGTGACGGAGTTGATTATTGATACGTCTAGTGCCGGGTGGGTATTCCTGGCCTAGGTCTTGCTCCAGAGTGTGTGCAGTAACGCTTTCTCAATGGGGGTCTATATCCCCACTGAGCAAGGTTATGAGAGAGAGTGTGGCAGCAAGCTAGTGCGAGCAAGGTAGGGGCAGAAGAGTCTATTCTAGTGTTACGACTGCTCGTCGGTAACCCCAAGAGTAGGAGGTTCTTCCCTAGGTCACTCGTGGAGGATGTGTGGAACGGTGGTCTCGACTGTACGTGTAGCACAGGAGCCAGAAGTGTATTGCGATGTAGCAATGATAGTAGACAGTATGAAGACTGCCCAAGGATGAAGGAGTACTGTAGGAAGACAGTACTGAACGAAGAGAATAGACTGAAGATCGTCAGCCTATTCTATGGGCCTTTTATACTACTTTGGGAAGTAGGGCGTGAGAATACCGAATATGTATCTGTAGGTATTCTCTAAGTCGTCTCTCTCAATAACGACTACTCTTGTGCTTCTCCGTTGGTCTCCTTCCGGCCAGGAGAGACTAGGAGGTTCATGCCCTGCGTGTGAGTAATTTATAAGGCGGCGTTCCATGCCCGCTAATACAATGGGCCCGTGATACTCGACCAACGATAAGGTGATCCGTTGGGAGTGGATGACCAAGGTTAATATCTGTACCTTGGTGTACGCCTCAGCTTGTGAGGCCGCGTGATATTTGTGATGATCGTATCGGTATAGACCGCCGTGTAGGCCCGATAGAACGTGATCATAACAGTGGCCGGCAAATTCCGAGGGATTGTACCCCGCGTGGAGAAGAGCGGCCCGGATCGATTTGAGGAAGAAGCCGCGAGAGAGCGGCATGCCGGGACGTTCTTCAAATAACGCGGCGGTCTCCGGCCGGGGTTCCGCTTCGAAGAGGGCTTTGAGTGCGACCACCGGACAGGTTGCGGAGCCAGGAGGAGCGGCGGCGACCGTGATGGTAGTTCCTTTGCGGAAGGGGTCGGTTTTGGAGCCGGGGAGAAAGATTGTTGCGTGAGTCGGGTTAGTGGCATCGGGGAGTAATCTGATGGAACCGACTGTGAGGCCGGTTTCGGTGCCGAAGCCCCGGCAGGTGCCTTCGCGTGTCGTGAATTCTCCGCAGCGGAGCAGGGCGGAGTAGGCGAGGCAGCAGGCGGCGCGGAGGTGGAGTTGCTGAGGGGAATCTGGCATGTGGTTGAGGATGTCGCGAAGGATGGGGAGGGTGATTGGTTGCTTGGGTTTGCGGCCGGCCTCACCGTGGTATCTCTTGATGCCCCGAATAAGGCGTTGGACGACCGGCGCTTCGATTGCCGAGAAAGGAAGGTCCGTGTCGACATGGAGGGATCGGAGATGCGTGAGGTAAGCTTTGATGGTTTTGGGTTGGACTCGGCCGCCGAGCCAGGCCACCCATGCCATGACAGCATTTTGATTGGCCGGGAGGAGGGCTCCATCTGGGTTGAAGTGCCCGCTAATAGTGGCGAAATTGATGAAGGATTTCTGGCCGACGCTGTAAGTGGCGCGCGTGCTAGACGCGATCCCGTGCCATAGGTAAAAAGCGACTTGGGGTGCGACGTGTCGGAAGCGTTGATACCACCAAAACGGAGGCGCCGGTAGGAGGGCTGTCGATCGAGATTAGGGGCGAGATCAAATAGTTGAGTATAATTAAAACGAGAAGCAGCGTCAGCGAGCGCGTTCTGATTGGAAGAGAGCCAAACCGCGGAAAAGGTTAGGTCGAGGCGGCATGTTAAATTAAGGAAGCGGCGCAGAAGCTCCGCGACTGGAGTGGAGCGATTTGACAGCGTGAGAAGCGCTTGGACGACAGCTTGGTTGTCAACATGAAAGATGACATGCCGGCCGGTGAGGTCTGGGCCCCAGCAAAGGAGGGCATGAAGGACAGCGTATAGTTCTTTGTACTGAATGTCCCGGCCCCGGAGCCGGCGGGGAAGACGAGAAGAGAACCATTGTGAGCCTGTGGTTCCGCCGATTCCTTTTGCACCGCTGGCATCTGTGTAGATGTGGACCTCGGCGCGGCTTGGCGTCAGAAGCCGGATCCCGTTCCATGTGGTAGCGACATCCTGCCACCAATCGAGATCACGACGGAGTGCGCGAGGTACGCGCCGATGCGAGCGATCGGTGCGGAATGATGCCATGAATCGGAAAACATGGTGTAAGAATGCCCGTGAAAGGGGGACTACCTGTGATACAAATTGTAGGTAGCCTGCAAGTTCCTGTAGTTGCAGGAGTGTACAGGAGGACCGCGCAGACCATTCTGCGAGGAGATCGCGCAGGATGTCAAGCTTCGGAGCAGGGAGCCTAGCTTCCATTGCGACAGAGTCAAGTTCTAGACCCAGGTACTCCAGGCACGTCACTGGACCTAGAGTTTTTTCAGGCTGAAAGCGGAGACCGAGGGTATGGCCAAGTTCCATAATCCAGTCCTTCGCAGCAAGGACGTCTGGAGGCGCCATGTTGGGGGAAAAGATTGCAAGGAAGTCGTCGAGATAGTGTCGAAGTCGGCTGGGGATGTGATGTGAGATGATCCAGTGAAGTGCTTCGGCAAATAGGTTAAAAATATATGGGGCAGAGCGCAGGCCGAATCCGAAGACGATGTCATAATAAAATTGATCCATCCAGGTGAAACCGAGCAGGTGCCAATCTGCCGGTCGGACGGGGATTTGCCGGAAGGCTTGTTCGAGATCGAGTTTGATCATGTGCGATCCGGCGCCGGAAGCGATCAGATCTTCAACGGCTCGATGGAATGTGTCATATGTGATGGCGGCTTCGTCATCAGGGATGCCGTCATTTACCGAGGTCCCATCAGGCCATGAGAGGTGATGGATGCGACGGACTTTTGTAGCCCGTTTACGCGTGACAGCTCCGAGCGGAGAGCTTCGAAAGTGTACGAGGGGTGGCGCGTCGAAAGGGCCGCGCGTACAGCCTTTTGCAACTTGGGCTGCGATGTCGGCGGTAATGGCATCGGGGTGCAGTAGTGCGGATTTTAAGTTTTCGCTGGACTGCGCGCGCGCGTGATCGTGATGGTAGCCTACGTTGGCACCGTGTTTAATAATATCCATGACTGTATCTACGAACAAGGGGTCTGGGTACTCGGAAAGAAATTGGGCCCAAGCGGGGGCGTGAAGACGCGAGGCAACGAGCGGACGGTGCGGGGGTTGGAGGGCGGGATGATTGGCGCGCGGAGCTGAGTTGGGGCGAGGCGGGGGGATGTGGATGGGAGGGAACGAGTTGAGGAGCGAGGGGCCGGTGGACTTGGAGGCGAGAAAACGAGCAGGGCCTGGGCGGAGCGCGTGAGCGTCTGCCGGCCCGAGTCCCTACTTGTGCTCGGTTACCGGGTGCCCTTGGCCGCATGTGGAGCATGTGTGTGGGTGACCCCAGGGGCAAGGGCTCGTCGTGCAGTGTCCGGTATTGTACTTGATGCAATAGCCGGTGCCACCTGCCTTTCTCGTCTTTGTGCCACTGGGCGCGGGAGCATTGGGGCGCGCCGCTTTGTTGTGGCCGAACAAGCGGCGGGTCTGGATGTCCAGATCTATGCGGCCCCATTTGCTGTAGTCGCCCGTCTGCATCTCTCGTCGCCGAGCTGTAAAGAAGTCGGCGTGGTAGGCGTGCACCGCGGCCCAGTTGTATTCCGAGGCGAATTGCATCAGCGATGCTGTGTAAGCCCAGAAGCCCGAGATGACCAATCCTATGGATGGGGTCATGGGGGCAATTGCCGATCCGAGGATGGAAAAATAAGTGGAAAGGGGGATGATAACTGAGTTTAGGGACCGGTACTCCTTGGCGGAGGAGTCACCGGTCTGGAGCTCCAGCGTGTCGCCGTTGAGGGCTAGGATGCGCCGGTCGGCCTTGTCTCGGTACTGGGGGTCCAGCTTGTAGAGATCCGAGGACCGAAATTCATGGGTCACGATGGCCGTGATGACTGCCGCCTCGACCAAGGGGAATTGGGAGAGAAGGGAAGGGGACGCACCAGCGGCAGGATTGGTGGATGCGGGTGGCACGAAGCCGGGGACGTGCGATGAAAGCACGTCAGCAGCTGTGGGCGCCACGGCGGATGGTGCCGGTGCCGGAGCCGGGGCGGCTGCCGCTTCGGGAGGAAGGTTGGCGGCCGCCTGGAGGGCTGTTTGTAGCAGGAGCTGCAGGTTGGCCATCCCTGTTGTCAGGCTCGAGACCTCGGTTGCGAGACCATGGAATTGAGCTTGGGTGACGGTGTCGGACACTGGAGTCTCGGGGTTTGGGTTGGTTGAGGTGGACATGTCGAGAGGTGGGGAAGCGGGGCGGTTACGTGGCAGGAATCGTCCGTTAGCGTCTCGGCGCGGGGGCATGCAATGCCTGGCGAAAAACTAGATGTACGTAGCGCATGCTGCGAGTGCGCGGCAGTGAGTTCAGAATGAGGAACTGCCTTCGCGCTCGCGAGGTATATATATTGAGAGAGGATAAAGCGAACACAGGCGGCGGACAAGGCAAGGTGGCGGACAACGCTAGCGCTAGCGAGGGACCCTGATCGAGGCGTGGCGCTTTGTGAGAAAAGGTCCCATTGACCCCGAGCAACTCACCCCTTCCATCTGCTCGATCCATCTCAGCGTCGCTTCGATGCTAGCAGACAACCCCGGCATGCAAGCGCCTACTGACTCACCGTTCTACCTAGTCGCCGTCCATGGCGGTGCAGGCGCACACCCCCCAAGTGCTGATGCTGCGACCAAAGACGCCTTGCGCCGCGCCGCGCGTGCCGCCCTCCTCTCGCTCGCCACGAACCCGATGGATGCGCTCTCCGCGCTCACGCACGCGGTCATGACGCTCGAAGACGCCGAGCCGCTCAACGCCGGGTTCGGCTCGAACCTCACGCTCGCGGGCCGCGTCGAGTGCGACGCGTCGCTCATGGACGGCCGCAGCGGCGTCTTCGGGGGCGTCGGCGCCGTCAGCGGCGTACGGCACCCGATCGCCGCGGCCAGGGCCGTGCTCGAGGGCCGCAGGACCAAGGACGCCGTGCTCGGGCGGGTGCCGCCGCTGCTGGTGGTCGGCGACGGCGCGGCGCTGCTGGCGGGGGTGCGGCGCGTGGACCCGGAGAGCATGGTTTCGCCGAGGGCGCGGCGGGAATGGCAGGTGTGGAAGGCGCGCATGGCGCAGGGAGGCGCTCAGGGCCCGTGGGGAGACGTCGAAGGCCTGCATTCCCGGCAGGATACAGTGGGCGCCGTCGTTTGGGACAGCTCCGGAGGCCTCGCGGCTGGTGTGTCCAGGTACGTATGTGCGCCTCCGCACGACTAGCCTTTCGCGACCCTCCCTTGCGTCTCGTGTCGAACATGCATCTGTTAGTGGCGGCCTGCTTCTCAAGTCCCCTGGCCGTGTCGGAGAGGCACGTACATCGCTCCTTACCAGCCCGACCGCTGAGCGTTCGTCGCGCTAAGACTGATCGTCGGCACGGCGTGACGCGTCTACCCTCCGCTGCTCACTGTCTTCACATCGTGCGCGCTCTAGGCTGCGATCTTCGGCGCGGGCTGCTGGGCAGACGACGTGCTCGCGTGCAGCGTCTCGGGAACGGGCGAGCTGATCGTGCAGTCTGCGCTCGCACGCGCCTTGGCGGACGCCCTCGCGGCGTCCCCGGCGCCCGACGCGCACGAGACGCTGCGGACCGTGCTCGTGGACCGCTTCTACGGTCAGCCGCAACGCTCCCTGCCTCCGCCCGCCCGCGCCGCTCACGCTCCTCCCCCCTCCCGCACCGTGACCCACCACCGCACGCGCAGACTTCTGGACCGCGCGTGGGGAGGACGAGCCCAACGCGGGTGTGCTGCTGTTGACGAAGGAGCGCGACGGCGCGCGGTGCACCCGTGCGTGTTTCCCTCGCCCGCGCTTCCGCGCTTCTCGCGGCGCCCGCTCACGTCCTGCTTGCGAACGATGCGTGCAGCGCGGCTCTGGTGCGCGTTCACGACGCCCAGCATGGCGATCGCCTACGCGTCCTCCCTGAACCCTAAACCCCAGGTGCGTAGCCCTGGCTGGCCCTCTCGCGGCCGCCCCCGGCCGCAGCGCGTCCATAGCGGCCCTGCGCTGCGCCCGCTAACACACGCGTACTATATGCGCTTGCTTATTTCCAGGCGAGGGTCCTGCGCAACCCCATCCACGCGCGTGCAGCGGGCCAAGCGCCGATTTTCATCACGTCACTCCCGCTGTCATAGCCGATCCCCGAGGGCAGGAGCATCGGTCTCCGTGTGGCGCACCGGTGGTCTATGGCGTGGTGCGAGCACGAACAGCGGATGCACGATGCGCCGCCAGCCAGTCAGCCTTATGAGGCCAAATCTCAGACATCAAAAGCAGCCTGCACCGACCAAGGCTCCATACAGTGATACACTTGATTAATAATACAAAAACGTCCCAACGTCCACACAGTACCCGAACGCACGCTCTGCAAATCCAGGGCTTACCAGAGGCTTACCGCAAGCTCGCTGATAATGGCGTGTTCTGGCGCCCCGCGGCCGACTGTAATGGCCTCGGGGGCGTCCCGTTCGCCGCGCCCGCCCCACCGGTACCGCTGCCTGCAGCTCTGTTGATGGGCCCTGGCGGTCGGGACGCGTTCAGACGCTGGAGCGTCTTGATGGGGAACTTTGTCCTGCGTTAGCAAGACAGACATTCAGCATCACATCAGTCAGAGTAACGTAAGACGTGACGGTGAGCTGTGTCCTGACGGGGAGCGTGGGATGAGATGTGAAAACGTACCGGCAGGTCGAGCACACTGGGACCGGTGAGCAGAATACTGTATGGGAAAGGTCAGCTCGATCAGGGCGGGCGAGCGGGCCGAGGATGAGTGGGAACGCACTGGAGAGGCAGACGGAGCAGACGAAGCCGATGTCTACGATGTTTTTGTGGCAGAAGCACGCCGCGCGGAAATCGATCTTGTCCTGCGTCGGCACGGCGAGCACGGCGCGGACCGCTGGAGGTGGGAGGAACGACATCTGCGAATGTGGCGCGGTGTGAAGTGTTCGGGTCGTTCATTCAGTCAGCTGGGCAAACATGACAGCAGAGGGCAGGACGCACGATGAGGTACTGTAGCAGCGCGTCACGCCGCTCGAGGTAGATGTACGACCCGCCCGTGAGATGGGCGGCTTGCTGCAGAAAGACTGTCTCGGGCCCGAACAGCTTGCACACGTCGATCGTGATTTTCTACGCCCGCGTGGGTGCCAAAAATGCATTGTCAGTGTATGCGGTGTCTGTTCAGAGTGAGGACCGCACGCACCAGCTTCTGCGCGGAGAAGATGGAGTTCATGATGGGGATGTACGAGGAGGAGAGGTCGGGGGAAACGGAGAGGATGAGGATGCGGGGGGAAGCTTGGGTGGCGGGGTCTTCAGGTGTGGTCGCCCCGGCGGGGACGTGCGTGATGCGGTTGATATCTGAGGGTCGGTCAGACCAGGCAGAACAAGGAAAGATTGTGCTCACAGCATAACGCTTTGGTGAGTGCACCGACTAGGGCGACGGGTGCTAAGAAGTACGGAGATTTAGGGCAGAGTTAGACGAGCAAGATGACACCGCGCACCTTCTTCATCCTGCTCGCCGAGTAGGTCTAGCTCGCGTGCGATGGCGCGTGCGATGGCAGCGTCGACGAGCTTGAACGGCCGATATGAGTTGGCGTCTGCTACTGCATTCGCGAGAGAGGGGGAGCCTTCATCAGGCTCCGTGTGCGGGTCAGTCGAGGAATAGAGCTGCACGCTGCGGACACGCCAAGCGGGGTCAGAGCGGTGCTGAGCAGATGGGCGGGCGGGTGCGCACCTCTTCCCGGGGAAGGCGCCGAAGACGGCGAGGGAGTTATCGTGTTGTGCGGCGGCGTGGGCGTTGAGGAAGGTGAGGAGGTGTGCGAGGAAGGTGTGGAAAGGAAGCGGAAAGGGGTTCGTGTGCTGAGCGGAGAGGAGCCATTGGGAAGGGGAGAGGTCGAGGACGAGCGACAGATGGGACGGTTTATCCATCTCCACCCCGAGCGTCCGTCGCAGCGGTGGCCACTTGACATTGATCAGCCACTTTGGCGCACACTTTGCAACTTTCCGGGCCTCGCACGCGGACCAACTTCCATTTATGGGTCATTACGACTACACATTTAACTTAATACAGCCAAGCACTGCGCACGGGCTGCGCAACCCCGCAGGACTTTGTGAATCGAAGAGAACGCAGCGTGCACGAGGCGTCGTCAGAAATATGACTTGGTCCCAGGATCGTTGATCCTCGACTAAGTAGCAAGCAGTGCAGGAGGCAGGGAATGGGCCTGGCGCTGGCGATCGAGGACCCGAGAGACACAGGAAAACGTGCAAACCTTGTAGAGGCTCGATGACGGCCGCAGGGCCTCGACGTGGTTGGGGCGGCCTCGGTGCTTTTGCTGAGCCGCTGGAGAAATTCTGATGCGGTTCTGATGCGAAGGGCGCAAAGGGGCGGGTGACAAGATCGCGAGACCGGGCCCAGGACGCTGGAAGAAGGAGGTGCACGCCGCGAGGCAGAATGTTCGTTCGGGGAGAAGGAGGGAGAGGAGGGAGGGGGGGGCAGAGAAGGAGAAGGGTGTGTGTGTGTGTGTGTGTGTGTGAGCGAAGCGATAGGGGGGGATGCAGACGTCCGGGGGAGGGCGTGGGGCGCAGTCGCGTGTTGCGGCGAGGCAGACATGATTGATGGCTGGCTGAGAAGGACGGGCGTGACGGGAAGGTGCGTGACGGTGGGGGTGGTGGACGGTCTCGGGAGTCAGCGCAGGGCGTGCGTCGCCGCGGCGGAGGGCCGAGAATGGAAGGGACGGTGTGGACGAGGGTGAGCGAGACGGCGGCGCCCGAGTCGAGCCGGTGGCCGAGTGGCTTGATAAGGCCGGGGCGTGACGGGGACAGAGGTGGCGGACGACATCTAGCGCACAGGGTTCCTGGCCATGAGCCCTGGAGGGGGCTTGGTCAATGCGAGTGCGCATGCGCAGACGCGGACGGCGTCCTTGAACAGAGCACACTCAGCCCGAAACAGGCCACAGATAGAGGCACAATGGTCCACGAACAGCCCCAATGAGCCAATTTGTCGAGAACAACGCTTATATCGGAGTTCGTCACCGCCCGTGACGAACGAGCGTCGCCCGGCGTTGCCCGTAGCGATGGCCACGCGTGTGAATCAGTCCCCTCCACATCTGCCGACGTGACGAGAGCAACGCCCACTGTCCCCCCTTTCCCTCCCTCCCCCATCACCCCCACCCTCAACGTCCTCCTCCCCCCCTCCCATCGTCCCCTCTCTCCGCTGCCACAATCATGCTCGCCCTCAACCAGCTAGATAACCCTTCGGTCCACTCACCTATCTCCGTCGCCAACAGCTACAACCAAAACGGCGACGATTCCGACGACAACATGCAGGTCGACTCTGACTCCGACAACGACAACCTCAAGGACGACCTCGACGCCGATGCCGACGGCGACTACGTCGACGATCAGGAGCCCGCTCCCGTCAGCTATGTCCCTACCGCATCCTCATCCAATATTCCTAAACGTCCGGTTGGTGGTTCAATGTCAAGTGGGGTAGTTCCATTTTAATTCTAACCTCCGCACAATTTCATTTAGGTCATCCAAGACGAGGACTCCGTATGTTTCCTATCTCCCTTTATTCCCCGTTTTTACGCTCAACGCTGGTTTACAGGGCTACGAGGACTCTCCGGACGAAGACGCCCCTGGCGACGACGAAGATGACGCCTCTTACGGCGACGAGGATTATGGGAGCACGAAGAAAAAGACTACCACAAAGAGGAAGAAGGTTCCGTCCAAGCCAAAAGGTGCGCTTTTCGTCGGCCCATACCGCTCCCTTCGCCTCTCAGCCCATGCCACAGCCGTAGTCTCGCGACAAGCCTCGTCCGACTCTGACTCAGAGTACGGCGCTCGTTCGAAGAAAAAGAAGAGGCCGCGTGTTTCGGGAGATGAGATTCGGACTTCGTCTCGCGGGGTCAAGGTCCCGAACTACGCAGACGATATCGAAGATTTCGCGCAGTACGACGAACCAGACCCTGGCTATTATATCGATACCACGGCGCAGCTCAAGGAAGAGGATGAGATCGAGTCGGTTCTGAGCCACTCACGAGATGAGACTCGCTTGGACGATCCGGAAGATCTTTTTACTGAAAATATGGTGCGTTCGCATTGTTCCTTGTGTTTTGGTCATCTCATTGGGGAATTGCCATTGCGCAGCGTTTCCACATCAAGTGGAAGAACTTTTCTCACCTGCACAACACCGACGAAACTTACGAGTTCCTCAAGCGTTTCAAAGGCCTGAAGCGCGTCGACAACTATATCAGGGCCTACAAGCAATACGAGGTGCGACTCACGGCTCCAGGGCTCACTTCGGAGGAGCGCGAGACACTATTGCTAGACAAGGAGCGCGAAAAGGAGGAGCTTGAGACGTATAAGACGGTCGAGCGCATCGTCGCGCAGCGTGAGGCTACGGATGGCTCGGTCGAGTACTTCTGCAAGTGGACCGGGCTCAACTATGAGCACTGCACCTGGGAGGCGCAAGACGAGGTGCGCACGATTGCGAAGAATGAGCTTGATGCATACCGCGTGCGCGAAGCGGAGGCCAAGTACCCCTACAAGAGTGCAGTCTACCCAAAACATCAGCGCCCTGCATTCGAGAAGATCACAGAGGATCCGCCTTACATCACAGCAACAGGTGGCGAACTGAAGGACTTCCAGCTTACGGGCCTCAACTGGTTGGCGTACCTGTGGGCAAAGGGCGAGAACGGTATCCTCGCAGACGAGATGGGCCTCGGCAAGGTCAGAACGGCACTGGCCTCGCTTTTGATTCCATATGCTGACGGTCTTCTATAGACTGTCCAAACGGTCGCGTTCCTCTCGTATCTGTTCAATCAGATGCGACAATATGGTCCTTTCCTCGTTATCGTCCCGTTGTCCACAATCACCGCATGGCAGTCCCAATTCGCGACATGGGCGCCAGAGCTGAACGTGATCACGTACATTGGCACCGCGCCTGCGCGCGAGGTGATCCGCAAGTACGAATTTGGCCCGTCCAACAAAAAGCTCAAGTTGAACGTGCTGTTAACGACGTACGAGCTCACCTTGCGAGACTCGAAGGAGCTCGGTGATATCAAGTGGCAGGTGCTGGCGGTTGACGAGGCGCATCGGCTGAAGAACTCGGAGAGCCAGCTTTACGAGGCTCTGCGGGCATTTGCGGCAGCGTCAAAGCTTCTCATCACCGGCACGCCGCTCCAGAACAGCGTGAAAGGTGCGTTTAGAAAAGAGCGGCTTCACACCTTTCACTCATGCAATCCAACTTCCAGAGCTGCTCTCGTTGATGCATTTCTTGATGCCGGAGAAATGTAAGTTTGTGTCAACTGGGTTTGGTGTCAACGCCTGACCGGATGGACGATAGTCGCTTTGACGAATGAGTTTGACCTCAACGATGCCGAACATGAGACGAAGATCAAGTCTCTGCACAAGCAACTCGAGGCGCTCATGCTGCGCAGGGTGAAGCGCGACGTTCTCAAATCTCTTCCCACGAAGAGCGAGCGCATCTTGCGAGTTGAGATGTCCGCCATGCAGACATCTTTCTACAAGAACATCTTGACGAAGGTACGGCCTTCCGTTCGTCTAATTCAACACAATGACGTTGATTTTCTCTTAACAGAATTTTGCAGGGCTTGTGAAGAGTGCCAATGGCAGTAGTAACATCAGCCTGCTCAACATTGGTGCGCATACAGTGATGATTCCGAGACACTGAGAAGCATCTGACATGTTGTATGCAGCCATGGAGCTGAAGAAAGCGGCGAATCACCCTTATCTCTTTGATGGTGCAGAGCTCAAGACTGATAACCTTGAGGAGACACTCAAGGGCCTAGTGATGAACAGCGGGAAGATGGTCCTCCTGGACAAGCTGCTCGCACGCTTACGCACTGATGGGCACCGCGTGCTCATTTTCAGCCAGATGGTGCGTATGCTGGACATCCTGAGTGACTACCTGGCCTTGCGGGGATACGCGCATCAGAGACTAGATGGCATGGTTGCGTCGGACGCGCGGAAGAAGTCCATCGCGCATTTTAATGCGCCCGGTTCGCCGGACTTCGTCTTCCTGCTCTCGACGCGTGCAGGTGGCCTCGGCATCAACCTGGAGACCGCGGACACGGTGATCATCTTCGATGTAAGTGCGATATTACGCTGCGGATGCCGACGCGATCAATGGGCCCTGACCGAGTTCATTGTTAATTTACTTCACTATCGGGCCTTGTAGAGCGACTGGAACCCACAGAACGATCTACAGGCGATGGCACGTGCACACCGGATCGGACAGAAGTCGCACGTGAGCGTGTACAGGTTCGTGAGCAAGGACACGATGGAGGAGGATGTCCTTGAGCGCGCGAAGAAGAAGATGGTGTTGGAGTATGCCAGTACGTCGTCGTGTCTGGACCAATCGAGGCGACTGCGCCGCTCACGCTATGGTTGTGCACTCTTCCAGTCATCAACCAGATGGACACCTCCCAAGCTCACCTCAGCAACAAGGGCAACGTCAAGGAGTTGGCCAAGCCCGACAACCTGAGCAAGGACGAGCTGACGGCCGTGCTCAAGTACGGCGCACAGAAAATGTCGGTGGTTGCTTTACTCTTCGACCACGTTGTGCTTCTTTGCTGACCCGTTCGGATGGTTCTAGGTTTGACAAGGACGACTCGCAACAGAACAAGAAGCTCGACGAGATGGATCTTGACGACATTCTCAACCGCGCTGAGGACCACGAGACCATGGCCGACGGCGGGGATGGCGGCGCCTCGCTCGGTGGCGAAGGCTTCCTTGCAACGTTCGCAGCCGTCAGCGACGTCAAGAACGACATGAGCTGGGAGGACATCATCCCTCTTGATGAACGTCAAAAGGTCGAGCGCGAGGAGGACCAACGCAAGGCCGAGGAGCTTGCGTCGCAGGACGTCCGGGACCGTAAGCGCTCACACGCGCCCGTATCATACGAGGGCATGGACGGCGACCAGCCAGCGTCGGCGCCAGCTGCGAAGAAAGCCAAGACGCAGGCGCCCACGAGGAAGTCGGCGAGCCAGAAGGCTATGGAGCTCAAGGAGAGGGATGTTCGCGTCTTGATTCGAAGTATGCAGCGGTGGGGTGACATTCGTCAGCGCTATGATGTCATCGTGAGTTGTCTTTGTGTCGGGTTTTGGCTTGTATCTTATGGTCTTCCGTAGGTCGAAGAGGCAAGGCTCAAAGACAAGAACAAGGGCATGATCATCGACGTCGCAGATGATATTGTCGAGCTCTGTGCTACCGCGGTGGATGAGAACGAAACGACCAAGCGAACGCGCCTCGCTGCTGGGGAGACTCTGACCACGGCGCAAAAGAGCAAGGCTGTCCTGGTTACTTACCGCAACGTAGGAAACATCAACGCCGAAACCGTCGTCTCTCGAACGCGCGACCTCCGTGTCCTCTTTGACCACCTCAACAACCTCACGACTGCCGAGCTTTACAATTGGGTGATCCCGATCGAGAACATACGTCCCACTCTCAATTGGTCGGGACGATGGGGCCCGCAGGACGACGCGATGCTCCTCGTCGGTGCGTTTTTGTACGGCTTCGGGAACTGGGAGGCCATGGCCAAGGATCCCAAGTTGCACCTCGACGGAAAGTTCTTCCTCGAGGAAGGGAAGAAGGGCGAGGACGCCGCGAGTAAGCCCATCCCGAATGCGATCCACCTGGTTCGGCGAGGCGACTACTTGCTTGGTATCCTACGCGATCACGATGAAAAGCTGCGGTCTTACGAGAGCTCGCTTCGTACGAAGGGACACCTCAAGTCTGTGTCACCCGCGCCGGTCGCTTCCTCTTCGCACAGCGGCAGCCTGAAGCGAAGAGCAGAGAGCGAGGCGGTCGCATCGGTGGAAGACAACAGCTCCCGGAAACGCAAGCGACGGCCAACGCCCACGTTCACAGATTCCGAGTCGTCGGACGAATGGTGGGTGATCTTTACCCTGCCTACATGACTCCGCCGCTTACATGTATTTAGCCCTTCCATGGATGAGGCGTCAACCAAGGAGGAATTGCGACCAGTCAAGAAGCAGTTGGTGCGTCGTGTGGCGCCGAAGTCGCCTGATTGATTCTGACGCCGGGTCTTTTGTCCCCTAGAAACAACTGAAGCTCTCCGGGGGCGAGATGCCTAGAGACGACAAGGTCGCGATCCTCAAGGAGTCTCTGGCCGCCATCGGACGGCGCATCGAGGTCGTTCTCGACACAAAGCAAGCCGCTGGTGAGAATCGAGACCGATGGCGACGACATTTGTGGACGTAAGTCGTTTGTTGCTGTTCTGCGACCTTCTATGGATTCTCATGTTGCTTGCATAGATTTGTTACCCTGTTTTGGCCCAAGAAGGTCAAGGCGGCCAAACTCGAGGAGATCCATGCGAAGATGGTGATGAAGGAGGCCACAGACGCTGGTACGTCAAAGAAACCACGGACAACCATGAGTAGCAAGGCCAACGGGGCTTTACCAGCGTCTGCATCATCGTCTGCGAAGACCAACGGCAAGTCGTATCGGTGACGGACATTCCAAGCGGCTTCTTCTCTTTTTCTTTTGTATTTTGTCGTGCTATCTCACTCTATCCAATCCCCTCTTCTTTCTCTGCTCCTCTGTCTCTCTTCATTCACTTCTACTGCGTATCTGCTTGCTTATTGGAGTGGTGCTTTTCTGCATATTCACGTTTATAATCTTGGCCGCGCTGGATTTTGGCACACTTTACCGTCTCGATCCGCTATTCCTTTTTTTTTGTCATTTTCCTGCATACTGTCCTGTAATTCTTTCTTCACGCCCCTGTGTACACGCATACAACAAATCTCTCTGGTATCAAACATGACGGGTATTCTGCGGAATCAATGAAATCTGGTGTGCTTGTAGTCGACAACTTCCGCAATTGGATGCTTAGTCACTCGGATTTGATAGCGCTCCAGGGACCAGCAGACTGCCACTGCGAAGTCTCTGCTCCTTGTATCCTCCCAATATGGCGTCTTCCAGCGGTAAGCATAGGCCTTGTGGACACGAACAAGAACTGAAGCATTGTAATAGCCATTGGAAAGCTGTCACGCGAGGAGTTCCGTAGGCAAAAGGACCTCGATGCTGCTCGAAAAGCTGGTACCGCACCTGCCGCAATAGACGAGGAGGGAAGGGCTATCAACCCTCATATCCCGCGTATGTGAGCTTTTTCGGAACAACGTTGATGGTCCACTGATTCCATGCACAGAATACATCTCTCAGGCTCCTTGGTATTTGGACACCGGAGCGCCGTCACTCAACCATCAGCGCCGGCCCGCGGAGGAGCGTGTTCCTCCCAAACTTGACGCTTGGTACGATAGGAACATACAGACTGGCCCGGCTGCGAAGAAGTACCGCAAGGGCGCGTGCGAGAACTGCGGTGCCATGGGACACAAGAAGCAGGAGTGCACTGAGCGACCACGAAAGAAAGGGGCGAAGTACTCCAACAAGAACATCCGAGCTGACGAGGTGCTGCAGGAGGTGCCGACGGGTTATGATGCGAAGCGGGATCGTTGGAACGGGTATGACACCGCAGAGCACAAGAACATCTATGAGGAGTACGAGGCGGTCGAGGCGGAGCGACAGAGGTTGAGGGAGGAGAAGATTGACAACCAGACGACAACGGATCTTGCAGCGGTCAGGAAGGTGGCGAAGGCAGGCAAGGGGGAGAAGAAGGAAGGGGATGCTGACTTCGGGTCTAGCGATGAGGAAGACGCAGATGAGGACAAATATGCTGATGCTGCGGACGCCGTCGGGCAGAAGATGGACACGAAGACGCGGATAACGGTCCGTAATCTGCGTATCCGTGAGGACACGGCAAAATACCTCGTCAACTTGGACCCTTCGAGTGCGTACTATGATCCGAAGACGCGTTCGATGCGCGACAATCCGGTCCAAAATATGCCTCCGGAGGATGTAAGTGTTCTTCTTCGTTCAACCTTGCCTCTGCATCCGCTTCTGAACCTGTGCAGGCTGTGTTTGCAGGTGACAACTTTTTGCGGCACTCTGGTGAGGCGCCAGATGTCCAAGAGTTGCAACTGTTTGCGTGGCAAGCAGCCGCGAGGGGCAATGATGTCCATTTGAACGCCAACCCCACGCAGGGCCAGCTTCTTCACAAGCAATTTAGGCAGAAAAAAGAAGAGTTGAAGGACGCAACGAAGATTAGTATCTTGGACAAGTATGGCGGCGAGAAATATTTGGAGAAGGCGCCAAAAGAGCTATTGCAGGGACAAACCGAAGAATATGTGGAGTATTCGCAGACAGGTCAAATCATTCACGGTAAGGAACGAGCGAAAGTTCGTTCAAAGTATCCTGAAGATGGTACGTCAGCCGTCGTCTTGCAACCACACTTGCATCTTAACACTGCATATATAGTGCTCGTCAACAATCATGTCGCGGTGTGGGGCTCTTGGTACGACCTCGCCTCTGGAACATGGGGTTATGCTTGCTGTCACTCCGTCATCCATCTTTCGTACTGTACTGGAGAATCTGGCAAGGAAGCCGCGCAAGCGTCCAGTGCTCAGAGTCTCCTTGCTTCGTCTGCTCCCGCTGCCCCTCAAGCTGATGCTGCATCTAAGCCACACTTGGAGGAATCCGGACATACTGACAAGGGTAAGGCGCCCGGAAAGAAGAGGTACGAAGATGGGGAGAAAATTGACCAGGATAAAATGACGGGGGTCCTCAACGAGGAGAGGAAGAGGAAATCGAGGGCAGACGAAGGGGACGATCGATTCACGAAGAAGTCAAAAAGTGACGAGCGAGAGACCGAGAAGTTCGACGTGACTGAAGGCGAGCTGGGTGCGTCCATGTCATCTTTATCCCTCATAGATCAATGCTGATCTTTCCACAGAGGTATATCGGCGAGGCCGACGAATGACAGAGGACCCTATGGCTAATTACGTGGATACGGACGTATAGTTTGTTTTGACTTGTCTTTTTTATCCGTGTACTGTTATCAAGTCTTGCTTTTCTGTGTTCCCTCTAGGCTACCGTTCAGCATTGGATCACGCGACTAGTTTCCGCAGAAGGAAACACTCTAAATCATGTCACATATCCAAATGAACGGCTATGCTTACAGACACCCTGTTGGAGGATGACGGTCGTTGGCATCCACGAAGACACAAGCAACGACATTTTGCAAAAATGAACCGGAAACGTCTCGTTAAGCACCACAACGCTGGCCCATCGTCATATCATGATGCTGCGCAGCCGGGATGGTGACCATCCGCTTATACGGCGAAGACAGTAAGTTTCAGCGCAGCGTGGCATCCCATTCTCAAGATTTCCATATCTACGACCAGGTGAAGTACGGAGAAGCTCGATCTCATGAGATATCGGGTACCTGTCTTACCGAGATCTAGATCGCTCTGCTCCTCCACAAAAATGCTACCGCTGTATGATCGACCTTTAAACAAAAGAAAGCGTCGAGAAGTTACCATCTATCATCCTATCAGAGCATCAACCAAGCGTCGTTCGAATGCTTCCATTGGCACAAACCGGTACTGTTCATCCTCCGTCCACTGCTTACTGGTGGATCAATTTTTTTTCCAACAGCCGAAATGACCCACGGATCTCGTTCATCCCGTTGATTACCTCGAAACCAATATAAGTATGTAAACATTAAGTACTCGTTGTCTTGACTTCTGATTTCAATTTCACCACGAGATCCTTTACCAGCTGACTGTCCTTTACCCACTGCCGATAGGTCTTTGCGTGAGGGTAAATAGAGAAGGTCTGGTTCTGGTCCTAATGCGCCAAAATCAGACCTGTGCCATCCTGAGGGAAAAAAACCAACGTACGCGAACGCCACTATCGGGGCCTGCTCGTCTGACGTAGTCCCAGCTCAGATACATCAACTCCGCAGCGGGGTGGTCGACGAAACGAGAGGCCTCAAATTGCTCAGGCGTCATTTCGAGAGCGAGGCTCGCTTTCTCACCTACAACCTCGCTAAACTGGCTTGCCAATTCGCGCAGGGTCAGAAACTCGGTAACGGTCTTGATCTTTGCACCTGAACGAACCGGTTTCACATTAATACAACAGAGGTCGAACGCAAAGGATCTAGCGAAAAAAACTATAATCCGTACCATTATATTGCTCCGGCTGGCTAAAAGCGGGAACGACCAATCCTCCAAGGTCTGCAACGCTGAACGCAAAGATCGGGACGTCGGGGAGGAAGGCGATGCTCCAATTGAAACCCTTTTGCTCGTCATAGCTCGGCGCGAAAAAGCTCGTCCAGAAGTTTTCGTAGTACATCGGGATATAGACGAGCGTGTAGGGGATGCCAGATGCGATAACGCGGTCTTCGATGAGAGCCTTAGATTTCCAGCTGATTGCGCCGCATTCGCCATCGCGCCCTTCAACTGTGGACCAGACGATGTGCTTCACATTTGCAGCCTTGGCCGCTTCAACGATGTGCTTTCCATGTAGCTGCTCGGCATCGAACCCGTGCTCGTAAAATTGGGTAACGCCAAAGACGCCCCAGGCTCCTTCGAAGGCTTTGGTAGCTTGTTCTAAGGAGGCTAGGTCCGCCTGGACGACCTCGATACCTCTCGCAGCCAACGCTTGTGCAGCTGGCGAAGAAGGGTTACGAGTGATGGCACGAATACTGAAAGTGTCGGTCGGTGCCTTCAGAAGAAACTCGACTACTGACGAGCCCTGTCTGTGAGTGCGAACGTACTCTGGTGATCGTTCGTTGAATAGGAATTGGCAGAACTCACTGCCCAGTAGCTCCTGTCACGGCAATCAACTTAGACATCGAGACAGCGTTGGAGGGTAAGGTATTTGTTTCGATTTGTGAAAGGCGGACTGGAGCTGATTCTTATCGGATCGGAATCGACCTTGGGAGAAGTGGGGGCTTTTAAATGCCTTGATGCTGGTACGTATGAGGGCAAAACATATTCCACTAGTGGTCTCCATGGAGGCTGACCCACATTAGATCTATGTGTACGTTTGCGATTATAGGTTGCCGGGCTGCCTGCCTGGGTGCATGAGGGTGTCGCCAAAAAACATCAAGACCGGGTCTGCTCCGGTGTGTTCATTTCATTGCCATAATAGGCATTATAGCATAGAAGGAGTTTGAGTCATGACATTGACGGCCAGGAACATCATCTCGTTGCAGCGACGATGCTCATTCTGCCGTACCGGCGAGTAGTTCGTGTCACGCGTTCGAGGAAGACGTCTGCCAATCTCTGCCAATGCAAAGCATGCTGGACATTTAAGACGCCGTCGCAAAGTCTGGGCATCGTTGCTATATCGCCCAGGACCCGGACCGGTACTTTGCGGCAAGCGCCGCATCAGAGCCTTGACAGGCCTTGACCGTGAGACTTCCAGGCAGCTTCACTCAGGGTCGCCAGATAATCAGGCGCACGTCAATCGTAGCCTTCTCTGCTGACATCCTTTGTTACAATCTGATAATGCTTGACTTCAGCACACGACAGCATACGAAATACACAAGGTCAGGTAACCTTCCCTAGCGTTCTGATGGACATCTCTTCATCTATGCTGACAAACGAAACAGCGGCACTTATTTCTGTTTTGTGCATGTTTAACCGGAGCCAAACTCCCACCCTAATTTCTTACTTCTATTGCGTCCGGGAGCAGATCGTTCGAGTAACCGCGAGATCTTATGGACCGATGACATGAATCTCAACAAAAAGGGATCTTTTCTCTGCTTCATATAAGGGACGCCTGCGAACTCACGAACCCCACGAGCGAATTCCCCCCATTTTCGCTAAAGCGCCGGAGCTACAGACTTCTCATAAACCATCTATTTGTACTATTGTGCTTGAGACCTTGCTGTCAGCAGAATAGCCGTCATGTCCGGAATGACAGAGGTCAACAAAATTGCTGCGGAGGCAGTAAGCGGAGGCGACGAAGCTATCGCAGAGCTGATCGCTACGGGACTCGGCCTCATTCATGTTCTGCAAGTCTACACGTCGTCCATGGTATGCTTCTATCTCTATCTATATGTTCGTGTGCCTTTACCTATTCATCTTTCAATAGATGGCCGTCGCAGTATGGGACTGGCTTGTATGCCTGAAAAGTACGCTGCTCCGTTACTTTTCATATGTGCATGCGTATGTATTGATACGTTGGGTCACGAAGTGGAATACGACCGAATATGGAAACGAAAGTGGTCATTGGTCAAATTCCTGTACTTGTGGACACGATATTACGGTCTCCTCTGCTTCGCCCTGAATCTTTGGCTTTTCAACGACAACTTCACGGTTCAGGCGTGCAAAAAATTGTGGGTTCAAATTCTCTTCTATCTGTATACATCCTCATCGCAATCGAACAGGCATTACCTTATTGCAGCTACTTGCATGTGGACAACCCTCGGATCTGGTATGTCTAGTCTTCATTTCATGATGACCTTGCTCATTCTTCCACGTAGAGGCTATTCTCGCAGTCCGAACGTATGCATTCCTCGCCAAGAATAAATACGTCGCAATCGGGCTTTCCCTTGGATTGATTGGCGAGACTGCGTTCCTTCTTTACGTCTCCATCGCTGGTGTGCATCAAACAGGCCTCGCCCTTGGCACGAAAGGTCCATGCACAGCCAGTGATTTCCCTGGCAAGCATGTCGTCAGTGGTTTCTGGCTTGCGCCGGTCGCATTCGACCTTATCTGTACATTCTTAACGCTGGCAAAGGTTTGTCACCAACCTCAATATGTAAAGCTCTCTGATAATTGGATTTCGGTATACAGGCTTTCCAAACCCGGCACATTCATATGTCGCCTTTGTTGGTCACATTTATTCGAGAGGGGCTGTTTTATTTCTTAGTGAGATCACCTTCTATTCTAGCTTTGGCAGTTTTGTTCAAACACGGATTTCTCTATAGGCCGTGGCTGCTGTTAATGTCCTCAACGTATGTGCGCGCGCGGCTTTCTTTTGATTTTATTAACGTCTGGTCATCTTGAGTTAGGCTGCCTTCATGTTCCAAAGGTCTTAGGTTTTACTGTCCGATGATTCTTGGGTACTAATACGAAATCATTTGATAGCAACGCGAATATTCAGAACATTAATAGTGAGCATCACGAACATTTTTTTGCTTTCCCGTGCCTCTAACGCATGCTTTTGACGTTCAGGCTTCCTCGCTCTGATTCTTTCTCAATGCCTCTGCTGTAGGCTGGTTTTGAATCTGAGGGCCCCAAACCACACCCAGGAGTCAGCCACTTACAGTGCACGTTCAGCTCCATCGCGGCCGAACCCCTCCGCGCCAAGTTATCAGCGTTCTAATGGCTTCCCGGTCGGCTCACCCGCCCAAATGAAGTCCGGAGCGGTCAATATTCCTCTCCACAGCTTCAGTCAGGACGACTCGGAGGACTACGGAGGTGTTAAGGTTCATGTAGATGTTGAGACTGATTCGGACCGCAATCGCAAGCAGTGAAATGCGATCTGTTCGGATGGTGGTGGTTGAGGGATTTATTAATGTAGATAAACTCCAGTCGTATATGTCACTCGTTTTGCAAGCTCGTCGATGCGATCACGTGTAGGAAAGGAAATGCAACGCGCCTTGCGCAGAACACGCGGAACTATTACGGCCATCGAGGGAAGGCCCTGTTTTCATGAACACCCTATGCTTACCTCTGACACGCACAGTCCATGCGTTTTACAACAGCCATTTCCCTTATCTTAGGCCTCGGGGCTCGTATCTCCTTTAATAAGTTCGTCACCGTCCGCGATCCCCCCACCGTCGAAGACCATGTCCTCAGTGGCCTCTGGCAGGGCGTCGCCCTCTACTATTTCATCATGGAGTTCCATTACCTTGCCTTGGGTGTCGCCTTCGCCATGGTCGGCCGTCTGGTGATGAATTTTATGGCCACACATAACACGACCGAATGCGCCTGTACCATCCTCGGTGTGGCCCTGGGCATTTTGTTCACGGATTTATTATCACAAGTTCTGGAGGACAACACTACCGCACAACATAGAGTCTCACGATACGAAGGATCCGCTGTTGATTACCCTTCCCCTCGCCAACGGCTGGTCCAATTTCGGCGAGCCTCGAGCGTCGAACGCGAGCAGCATCACGTCCGCCGTCGGCGCGAATTCTTGGAGTCGACGCCCTCGACCACGACAGCTAGTACCAACACGTGGGAGTCTATATCGGACTGGGTGGATCCTGGTCATACGATGACGCCCCTGGAGCGCGAGATCGCAGCACTGAGGAAGAAGGCGTCGTTGGCGGATAGCGAGCGTCGCCGGTTCAGGGAAGAAAAGAAGTGGGCGCTGTCTCAGGGGAACAGAGCTCGAGCGAATCAGATGGGATGGCAGGTCAAACGCTACTCTGCGTTGATGCAGAGCTTTCATAGAGAAGCAGATCTCAGACTACTCGAAGGTGTGCAGCACGTTCTTCTTGGGGTTTCCTTCATTACATTTCGTGTTATTTTCCGCATAGTATCTAGCGAACGCCATCGTCAAGAGATAGCTTCCGTACAAAATGCATACAGCCAAGCCCAGACGCCGGCTTCCACGAGCACTCATCATCTACCTCCACTGCAATCTACAGCACCCCCATTGATTGAACCAATCCCAATACCTCCCCGAGTGGAACCTACGCCTCCAATACCACAAACTCCTGTTTCAATCCTCCAACGCAATCTCCCCGCAGGCTCTGGTCATACCCAACATAGGAAGACAAAGTCAATTCTTAGTAGGCCCAGTGTTCGAATCGAGTTACACGAGTACGTTTGCTCTTTCTTCCATTGTCGTGCCTCCCGGATCTCAGTCGCCGCTACAATTCTCAGTGTCTCTCGATCTCGATCACATAGACCATAATATGGTTTCACGAGCTGCTTCGCAGCGAAGCATTGAGTTGATACCAATCAAATCCCCTGGTATAAGGAGCATCAAATCATTGTGTTTAAATAATAGGAGCTCTCCGCCTGGCGCTTCCTGCTTCCTGGAATTCTCATCACAGCATTTATGACGCGACGAACTAGTAATGACTGTGCCTATTGTATTTCTACGCCATCCGGACAATCCGTGCGCCGTATAGGAACGCGAGATCGAGCGATCATACAGACGACATGAGCATAACACTGGACAAGTTTAGTTTTGTCCCAAAAACTCGTGTTGAGCTGACAATCATTTTGGACTCTGCCACTGGATACATGGTCGTTTACATTCAATCCCGACGGACGACACCTCAAGTGATCGCTTCATAATACTAGAACAGTCAAACCCAAAGCGATCCACGAAGTATATCAGAAAAAAAACACGATATCTATCTAAACATCTACAGTGCGTTATGTATAAGGTGTATTGACTTCCGCTCTCTATAGCACTCTACGCTTTGCGATCTTCTCGCGGCTCCAACCGACCAAAGCAACTGCAGCAGCCCCAGCATAGCACATTCCGACGTACACGATCAGCTTGTGGAACCGACCGCCTTCTAATGTAAATCCACTTCTCCCCTCTCGAGGGTATGCGAAGTCTGTAGAGATGTTCGCTAGCGCTGTCGATATTGGAGTGCATAAGACATTCCCGAGTCCTCGGGTGAGCATCAAAAAGCCATAAAGGGTGATAGAAAGTGAGTGATCGTCTTCTATGTACGGATAGTTCTTAGCATTTCAAAGCCCACTCGAGGTGAATGACTCACCAGTGATTCCCCGAACAAACCCAGTATACAACGTGCTCCACCCACCTGCAAAAAGCCCGTACGTGGCGCCAAATGCCATTAGCGCAGAGATGTTCCCCAATGCACCCCATAGAACTAGGGTACTAATACAGGACAGCGTAGCAGTGATGACTGCAAGTAGCCAGGGGGAGACATAATCAGAAAGAGTTCCCAATACAAGGGGTCCGACAGCCGCAAAACCTGTAGTTTCAGTCTTAGATTTCGATGGCATGTCCTTGTGTACACGTTTTGTTCCTTACCATTGAGCAGCGACAGTGCGAGTGAAGCTGTAGAGGGCCTGACATTCAGAGCGGAGGTGTACACTGATGCATCCGATCAGTCAAACTACCTGGAAGAGATGATACCACATACCCGGTAGCCAGATGATAGGAACGAAGTAACCAAATCCTTGAATGGTATTAGCCACTACTAAAATCCACCATGGAGAGCTTGAAAGCCAGATTCCGGAGCCTGCGGATCGACGACGAGGACCATGGACCCGTTTCTCGGGTAAACGAGGTTTGATGAAGAACAGCGCAGGGAACACAGCAATGATGATCGCCACAGAAAGGATTCGCAATGTTGCGAAAGGACCGTGAGCACGAATCAAGGGCGGGATGATGAAGGGCAGAAAAAGACCACCAGCAGCGGAGCCTGTGAAACACAGTCTGCATTCGTCATGTCGCACAATACAACACAACGCACCTGAGAAAAGGATGCCGTTCGCGAGCCCGCGACGCCTCACGAACCACTCAGACATGTATGATATGCATGGTGAATATAGTAATGCTGTGAATGAGTTGATTGGGTGGGCGTTCTTCGAATGTGGCATAATGACATACCCCCTCCCAATGCGAATAAGACTCCTTGCAACAAAATGAGGATTTGAATCTGAAAGTGGTCGTTTCGATAAGCGTCCTTTGGAAGAAGTGGAAAAAGTACCTTCGTTGTGTAGCTCGCACCAAGGAGACTGGTCCAGCACAGGCAAAATCCAACCCACATACATGGCCTTCGATGCTGAGGGTAACGGGAAATATAGGGATATAAGAAAGGTCCTAAGGAGGCGAATGATTCAAATTACCAGCGGCGACGTGATGCACAGTGATCTTACCAGTTAGGTATAAGACACCTGTCGACAATGTCCCGATCAATGGCAATAGGAAGGATGAGTTAGGTTGAGATACCAAGGCCGGCTCGTCCAGGTAGGCCGTAAGGAAGAGACCAAATCCGAGCGGAAAGCACCAAACATGGGCTTCTATGATGACGGCCGCCAATAGCTAGACATATTGTCATATGAATAAACAATTGACTGGGTTTTTTTGTTGGGAAATTTTACAAAAGACCAAGCGCCGAATCCCCTGTCGACGGGAGCTAGCTCGAGCTCGTTTCTGGACCCATCGTCACGATCAACAGAGAGTATAGTAGCTTGCTCCGGCTCTATGATGCCATCTTCAAAAGGATTGGGAAGGGTGGGCCGCAAGGCATCTTGTGAAGAAGGTTTACTATCTCCTTGCTCGATTTGAAGTCGAAGTTCTGAGAGTTCAATGCCAAGGTCCGATGGTCTGTTGTCCGTCACAGTGGTCGCCTGTAAGGCGGGTAGAGGAGGCATGATGGTGAGGATGTGAGCCGCAACGTCCTGCTTTAAATAGTGCTATAGAAAGAACATCGATCATACAAATCCGGTTACTCTTCACGAAAGAGATAGGGTGGAGGACAACATGCAGACATCGTAGTCAAACGGAAGGTTTAGATTGACTCACCGTTACGATATCGGTCCGCTCCGAGAAAATGAGAGGGATGCATTCCAGATCAGGCCAATTGAACGGGATCGGTCGAGGCAAAGACAAGAAACAGTAAGTCACAACGCTACAGACTTGTAGCATGCGACGAGTCAGCTGTTCCGGGAGAACTGAGTTCACCAATGAAATCTCCTTTGGTCCTGCTGATCTAGACCGTTTCTTTTTTGGCGACAGGCGGTTTGAGTAATAATTCGGAAAACAGCAGTGTGTCAACAAGGGGTGGGTACAGATGGGTACAGAAGCACCAGAACACCGATCCTGAAGTTCTACTTACATAAAACTGAGGCTGCGATGTTCAGAAGAAGTCACGAATGTCTTCTTGCTGCAATCGTCTCACCACCCCAACCAATGAGGGCGATGATAGCAGCAGCTGCATAGCAAGTCCCAACATATACAATCAATTTTCCGAATCTACCTCCTTCGAGGTCAAATCCAGTCATTTTATACCCAGTGGCCGTGATGGTTGAAGATAAGCTTGCTAGGCGTGTCGAGACGGGTGTCGACAATACGTTTCCGAGCCCACGCGTGAGCATCAGGAAGCCATACAACGACATCGAGAGGGACGGGTCGTCTTCTACGGCGAATATCAGGATGGGCATGGTTCAGCAAGGCACTCGAAGCAGACAACTCACTTGAGATCTTGCGGACAAATCCTGACCACAGGGTACTCCAGCCGCCTGCGACGAGACCGTACGTGGCACCAAATATCATCAAGCCCGCAACATTTCCTATGGCACCCCAAAAGACGAAGGTACATATGCAAGATAATATCGCCGTGATAAGGGCTATAAGCCAAGGAGTAAAGTGATCGGACAGACTCCCAACGACAAGGGGGCCAAGCGCCGAAGAACCTATTCAAGAGATGAAGACAAGAACGGATATATCTGGCGAAAAAAAGTACCGTTGAGAAGTGCAAGCGCCAACGATGACATTGAAGAACTCAGATGAAGGGCAGATGCGAATGCTACGATGAGACCCAGATATAGTCAGTCGTCTCTTATCATCGTTTATAATTCTGTGTGATACGCACTTGGAACCCACAGCATTGGGACGAAGAATGCGAAGCCCTGTATTGTGTTGGCAAGCATGAGACCCCACCAGGACCAACTTTTCAACCATACAGACGACGGGTCTGTCCTGGGACCAGGCCCTCTGATCCTATTCTCAGGCAACCGAGGCTTGATGAGCATGAGAGATACGATGAGAAGAAGGAGAATGACAATAGATAAGATTCGGAGCGTCTTGTACGGCCCATACGAGTCCAAGAGAGGGGGGATGATGAAAGGTAGGACAAGGCCACCTGCGGCAGAACCTATGGCACCGAAGTCAGTATTAAAATAACGCTAGAAATGAAATGATTTGAGTTTACCAGTAAAGAGGATGCCGTTCGCTAAACCGCGACGTCTTACAAACCATTCCGATAGGAGGGAGATACAAGGATGAAACACTAGTGCTGTGGTACAATCAATCGATAGGGATTTATGAATTGGAGGGAAGATATCACACCTCCTCCGAGACCATATAAGGCACCTTGCAAGATGAGGAGCTGATAAACCTGGGTATGATCAGTTGAGTTTTTGCATGTCGAATAACTGTAATGCTTGACGTACTTTGCGTGCATAACTGGCGCCGAATAGACTTGCCCAACAAAGAAAAGTTCCAATCCACATGCACGGACGTCTATGCTGCGGGTGATTGGCAATGTATGGAAAGACGAGAGGACCTATAAAGGATGCTGAGTATATAGCCGCTCGAGTGCGTGAATAAGAGCTTACCAGAACAATACATGATGCCTGAAGCTAAAGTGCCGATGAGCGGAAGATACGTCTCAGCGTGGGGCTGAGAAATGAGGTCTTCATCCTGTAAATAGGCAGCAAGGAATATACCGAAAGCAAATGGGAAGCTCCAGACAAGAGCCTCAACTAGGGCAGCACCTAAAACCTAGATGTACCGATTTTTTTAAAAAGAAGCTTCGAGGAAATTGAATCAATTGTAGTACATACAAACGACCAAGCGTGGTAGCCACCATCCACCGGGTGTAAGATCAGACCACTCTGCGACGTGTCATGGTTGGAGTAGTGGTCTCGGACAGAAGATGCCTCCGACGGTGTCTCAAGTGATGGCACCAGAGCTATTTCGGCGTCACTGGAAGTGTCAGGGTTAAGCGCCAGGAAAGACGCCCCAGCAGAAGCTTTTGATCCAGATTGCGATGTGTTCGCAAGCTCGAAGGCTTCGAAGGTTTGAATGGTCTGCTCACCGACCGCAGGGTCAGACAGGATCATCGAACTTGCCATTTTGACCTCTGGAGCACAGCGGTTGGACAACAGTCCAGCAAGCAGATCCGTGTCTCCGTTTGAGCCGTCGGCTTCATTTTCTGACTCAATAGGATAATACTAGGCGGCGGACGGCGCGGGCGACGGCGAAAGGCAATTTGAGTCAAATTTCAACGTCACACGCTCACGTGTTGACAGACGCGTTCAATAAGTCGCGTCGCGTCGCGGTGGCAAACTTCCGCTGTCCCCAATCCACAAGTACTTGCCGCACAATGACGACTCACATTGCTGTCCTTCCTACAGGTAAGCACACACCATTCATTGCTATAAAATATGCACCAACCATATCCCAGATGTCCTGGACACGATATCCATGAAACTCAACGAGAGGGTTGTAGGGAACGGAATCAACGGATGCCCAACAAATGCACAATTTCTCCGACTCCCTCACCCCAGAACGGGTAGCTTTCATCGCAAAAACTCTACTATATCGACTCTGACACCTAGCAGGCATCCCCTCTCTATTTCTACCATATCGCTTGTCGAAGACAGACAATACAATACGATGGGGGCTTCTTGAGGTGCAATCTGTAACACCCCCAAATCCACGCTCTTGGTTATTTTCAAGCGATGAAGTAGTAGAAGGTACGATTTACGATTGTCTCTCATGCCACGGCTCAAGCCTTTGCAGATGGGAAATTGCTGGTTATGACACCTATCGATCCGACATTCGTCTTGATACCCATCTTACAAGTCGCTAGACCAGTGCGCTGTTATATCCTCTCGGTGTGCACCCGAAACTGACTTTCCACAATCGGTCCAGCCCGGCGGAACGCTGGGGAAGTTTTGCCCATTACACGATATTTTTGACGAAGTCGCTTTAAAGCTTGCACAACAGTCTGTCGGGTCTTCTTGCATCGACTCGTCCTCCGTCATTTCGTCAAGGGACATACTATCCCTGGCTTCTTTGGACTGTATATCCGATGCCATGAGGCGACTATGCGATGTCAAGGGTACGTATGGCTCTTGTGTCAACTGTGGCTGCCGTCTGACGCGTTTCCAGACATCACAGCTGATATCACCGTATACCGATACTCCGAGGAGAAGCTAGTTGAGTACTTACGTGGAAAAGTGTCTCGCTTGTCAAAGCAGCAAGTGTCCGAGAAGTCCAGAACAGTGACACGGAGATTGGCGAAGGATGGCCTTATGGATGACGGCAAAGAACGCCTATTAGAGCGTAAGCTCTCAAATATGACTACGAGAACATTGCCTGAATATGTAGTAGTTGGCCGCATCAAGGCCGCTTGCGATCTCGTTTCGCAGTATTTGCCCCCGGACACGTACAAGTCCTTGAAGGCGTCCTATGAGTATGTGTTCTCTCTCACCTTTGGACACGGATCTTTTGCTTATGGACCGCTCAGCTTCAGTCCATTGGATGAACATTTGAAGGCTTTAGAAAATGAAATGACCGCGATGACTGTCGTGAATGCTCCTGCATCCAAGGCGAAAAAGGTTAATGGAGATGAGCAAGATGGGAAGAAGCGAAAAATGAAGCCCAAGGGCTCTCAAGGCACAGAGAAGTTGAAAAAGGCGAATTTGAATGGGATGTCGAAGATATCATCTTTTTTCCAAAAGAAGTGATGATCATCGAGCTTACCTCTCCCTTCTATCCTGTAGCAGTGATTTTCTTGACAATTGCCATGACATGGACACTAGCGGCACCAGTCGGAGTCGACTGATCGTTATAAGTCACAATTCAAAGTCATCGAACAAGCATAAACTTCTAAACAAAACATCACATCTAGATCTATGGGTATGTGGTTACATTATATGGCGTGATTAAATCTGCTGTGCCCATCCCCTCTGCTTGAAATCGATAAGAACGTCCCGAATCATATCTTCTTTCGGGATGTATTTCAAGCCCAGGATGCGGGCTGACTTCGAGTTCTTGAAATCACATGGGTATGGTTTACCCTTGGTCGAGCCCGGGTTACCCTTGTGAAGCTTCAAAGTGGGAGCAACAGCGTTGGAGATATCGACTGTATGAGATTCAGAGGAGTCAGCGTCAGCTCAAGAAAGTTCAATCGACGAGAACGACGAACCAAATTCTTGCCAGTAGTAAGGCGCTGAAAGGAATCCAAGGGCATTAGTGATTCATTTGTTGACAGCGAAAGCAAAAACTCACCTGAGCTGATGATGATCCTCTCACCGCCAGCCTCCGCCTTCTGTGCGGCCAATACATGAGCCTTGGCCAGATCCCTGATGTCGACACACGCATTTCCATTGGTAGCCAAGCCGTCGTCGTCCATATTACCCAAGATAACGCGATCGTAGAATTCTTGCATCGAAGTGTTGATGGATGATGTATCAGCGACCTCTTGGATTGTAGCCTGATACAAAACTCATAAGCATGACACCGGGAAAAGTCCTCGTAAAGCACTCACACCATAGACATATGGAGGGTTCAGAACAACCAAATCCCAGCTGATGCTACCCTTGTTCTTCTCCACGAAATCCCATGCAGCTGATATAATAGATAACACGATCAATATCAGATAGAGTCATGCAGAAGGAGACTCACCCTTCTCCGCTAACGTCTTAGAAGCGCAGTACATGTCCATAGGATTGGCATTGTCACCAAGCTCGTTGCAGTTCTTGATAGACGGCTCGTTCCATGAAGACTCATCGAAGACGTTCGGCAAAAGGGGGACCTGCAGGATGCTAGCGACGGAAGCGGTAACAATCACTCGCTTCACAGATGTGCTAGAGATAGACCATAAGGTGAGGACTTCATGATTACAGGCAGATATCGTACCCGTATTTTTTGATAGATTCCAAGACGCTGACTGTCCCCTTCAATGCGGGGACGATGACCTCTTGAAGTAAGAGCAGTGGTTAGACCAGACGTCGAGATAAAATAACAATCACGTACCGTCAGGGGTTTTCGATTTGAGATGGAAAGGAGACGCGGTATGCTCGACGAGGTCAACACCCTTAACAGCTTCGTCGAAAGCACCCTCCTTCATTCATGTCAAAGCGTCAATGTAAGCTCTGTGCATAAAATCGTAGCAACGCACCTTCGTGATATCTGCGACGACGACAAGCTCTAATTTATCGCCATATGACGCAAAGAGCTTCTTGAGATGCTCTCCCTTGCTCGCAGAACGAACAGTTCCACGGACAGAGTAGCCACTTTCAAGGAGAGCCTTCGTAACCCAAACGGCGACATAGCCGTTTGCACCAGTGACGAGAACTTTAGCGGGGGCGGAGACAGGGGCCATTGTGGAAAGAAAGATGTGGTAGGTGGTGATGGAGACTGAGATGTTGTAGTTGCAAGGACTCTTTATATAAAGAAAGAGACACGTAAACCACGCGGGATGTCACAATTATGCGAGATAAGTAAGTCACCGTAGCTCCGCTGCAAAGACCCAATGCTGGCCCTCGTCAGGGACAGTTACTTGGAAATCGGGGGCTAGATTTCCTGGTGGAGACCCTTGGATACCGCTCGTGGCGCTACCATCGGTAAAGCAAATAGGCTGACTTGGACACAAAATGACGAACACATTATTTTGGCTTTGACTCACCGATGCCCATCCGAGGACCCCTATAGCTGCGGGTACATATGATGAATTGTTGTGGCGGGTCATAATTATATCCCGACTCCCTTCGGGTTTTGCATTGTCCAGAAGTCACATAGAAAAACTGCTCAGCGAGATGTCCATGGATTGCAACTGTAGTGCTGCCGAGACCCGGTAATGGGTTCCGGCAATCCGGCAAACGGACTCGCGGTGGATGGATCTGATAAGTGGGTCAATGTGATCGGCATTCTTCGTCACCAACCACTTACCAACCCTCCTTGCTTCGTTCTGCGGCCGTGAGCAGTCCGTGAGCGCACGTTTCAAGAAATTGTGTGGAGGATCGAAACACAAAATAACACGCAACCTAGTCTAGACCTAACCGCCGATGTCACCCGCCCGATCGGTGTGCCCGACGCTGCCCGACGACGCCGGCACAGAAAATGCTGCTTGCTCTGCTGCGTCATCTGAGCGCATGTCGCACCTTTGACAAATGGTCTGGTATAGAAACGCTGAGGCCAGATCAGGATTGCGCATCCTCCTTGATTGGCTTGACTAGTGTCACTTGCAGGCATGTCCGATTGCGATTGTCTTGTAACCTCTTGAAACCTAAATATAACCCGAAAGACTGGAGAGTAATATTGAAAGCTAGCACTGTCTCACTTGGATCGTAATACAATCGTACCTTTCAAAAGCTCATAAACACGTCATGATGTGCCCGGATTTGGCAACGTGCGTAACCTAAATTCTCGGCCGATCTCAGAGATACATCTGCGAGGCATTCTAATTAATTGAGGCGCATCCTCGAAGAGCACCTCAATATCAAGGCGTTGAGCGTTTCACGCTGTGAGGATTACAGAAATGCACGGGACGTCATCATCCTCCATCATAGAGGCGTGTTACCCACGATGGACATTGTCGAGATTGGAAGGGGGATGCTGGAGGACACCGAGTGTGAATGCTTGAGCGTTGCACTACGCAAGAAAGCGAGCTTGTCGAACAAGAATATGCCGTGCTGCAGTGAACTTAGTAATTATTAGTCTGCTTGGAGATTAGCTCAACATCGCTGAACTCTGGTAGATACCTGCAGCTGCATACGTGCTGGAGACCGGCACGGCAGTTCTTCTCGAAATATCAGACATCCACAGGCGCCCACAAATGTCTTCTGTAAAGCGCCCAGGCCTCGATTATAATGTGACGGGTGAGGCATAGAATGACAGTTGCTCACCCTTGAGCCGCGGTTCGGCACTCACGGCTGTGAAGGGGGCAGTCGGCAGCATCCCCTGCCGTTGAGATCCTAGGAATACGAGACTCACTGCGTCGGCGTATACTTGACTGGGCTAAGTTTTTGCAGGAGCGGTAAGCCTTGGGAGAAAACTACCCCACTTTGCACTCTGCCATTGGACTCATATACCACTGATGAGTCGGTATGGTGGCTTGGTGAGATAGATGTTTGCGTTGGAGGTCCCATCAATAATGAATTCGAGTTAGAAATGAATGCCTAGGGTGCATACAGTCTATGAACAGACATGGATCATCGTCAGAGTGTTATACTTGACGTGCTGTGGGCCGCGGGTCTACAGATATCCGGGGCCCCACGTTACGCGAAGCACGTGCCAAATGCGGGGAGGTACATAGACTCGTACTAGTTTGGACGTGAACGACAGCGAGAGTCGCAACTTGGTGTCTCTTGTGTAGCCAGCGTATCCTCCTCGACAAATGCTGCGAGCCTCAACACGCCTGCTTCTGCGAACTCCTTCCAGACCCGGAGCGATTGCTAGCTTACCCCGCGTCCATTCTGCGGCTATCTCCTCATCAGCTGGTTTAATCAACACATCTGCGCCTTCGAGCCGTCCTTCCGCATCTTCCATCCCCTCGACCACATTCTCAGTTTATAGAACGATGTCCACGTCCTTTGGCGAGTCGACTGTTCGCCCGGAGCCGGATCAGGTGGTGCAAGACATTGCGGACTATGTCCACAGCTATAAGATTGACTCTGAACTCGCATTTGAGACCGCGAGACTTTGCTTGATCGACACTATTGGGTGTGGTTTGGAGGGTCTGAGGTTCCCTGAGTGCAGTCGCTTGCTTGGCCCAGTGGTGGAAGGCACTGTTGTTCCGAATGGTGCGTACCTAACCACGCTGCAGAACCTCATGGGCAACATCTTATATTTCTCCCCTAGGTACAAGGGTGCCTGGCACCAACTATCAGCTCGATCCTATCCGTGGAGCATTCAATATTGGAACGATCATCCGCTGGCTCGATTTCAACGACTGTTTCCTCGCGGCAGAATGTCATACGCTTTCGTGACCTTTTTCTTTTTTACTTTTACTGACTTGATTTTGTAGGGGGTCACCCGTCAGACAATCTTGGTGCTATCCTGGCCGTGGCCGATCATTTGGCCCGAACGGGTCAAAAAGTAACAGTCAGAGATGTGTTGGAGGGCATGATCAAGGCCCACGAAATCCAGGGCGGTCTCGCCCTCCTCAACTCCTTCAACCGTGTCGGTCTCGACCATGTTGTCCTGGTCAAGGTCGCTAGCACAGCCGTCGTATCCAAACTTCTGTACGTCTTCACTTTCCTATACCTTCCTACACGTCGTTTCTGACATTCATATATCATTCAGTGGTCTGTCACGCGAACAGACCATTGACGCTATCTCCCAAGCATGGGCTGACGGCCAGTCGCTTCGCACCTACCGTCACGCACCTAACACTGGGTCACGCAAATCCTGGGCTGCAGGAGATGCCTGCTCTCGTGCTGTCAACCTCGCCTACCTTGTTAAGAAAGGTGAAATTGGCATGCCATCCGTTCTCACCGCCAAGACCTGGGGCTTCTATGATGTCCTGTTCAAGGTAAGAGCACTCGAACGTCCCTAAATCGTCCGACGCTGAAGATACTTCATATCTTGCAGGGCAAACCGTTCGAGTTCCAGCGACCATACGGCTCGTACGTGATGGAAAATGTTCTGTTCAAGATTTCGTACCCTGCCGAATTCCATGCCCAGACGGCGGTTGAGGCTGCATACATCGTGCACGACAAACTGAAAGCGCTTGGCAAGACCGCTGAAGATATCAAGTCCGTCCGTATCCGCACCCAGGAAGCCGCCATCCGCATCATCGACAAGCAAGGCCCCCTCGACAACTTCGCTGACCGCGAGTAAGTTCTCTTTACTTTTACTACAAAAAATGCAGACGCTCATATCATTGTCACGTTTAGCCACGCGATCAGCTACATGGTCGCGTACCCGCTCATCCACGGCGAACTTACTTCTCAAAGCTAGTCCGTACATCCCCCCTCCTACTTCCACTTTTTGATAGCTGATCTTCCAATCAATATAGCACCGACGCCTCTGCATCCGACCCCCGCATCGATGTTCTCCGCGCCAAGACCTTCTGCGTCGAAGACAAGCGTTTCAGCGTTGATTATCACGACCCCGAAAAGCGTTCCATCGGCAATGCGCTCCTCGTCGAACTCAACGACGGTACCGTTCTTGACGAAGTTGAGGTGGAATACCCTGTCGGCCACAAGCGTCGTCGTGAAGAGGGCACCCCTCTCCTGCTCGCGAAGTTCCGTCGTCATATCGGCTACCACTTCGACGAGACCCACCAGAAGAAGTACGTCTACTACAATGCCATCCTTTGTTCTCCACCGAAATGTCGATTAACCTGTGCTGTAGGATCATCGATACCATGTCCGACGCAAAGGCCTTGGGAGAGCTTTCGGCGGACAAATTTACTGACCTATTCGTCAAAGCGACTTGATTTGTATTTCGATTGTAATGGAATCACGGAATGAATCCATGGAGTACTCGCAACTGAAGGTGATGCTCTGCACAATACATTGCTCGTACTCCTCTGTGATAAAGCTTGGTCTAATACGAGTAAAAATACAACATTCGGTGCGTTGAAATCCATCTATGCTAATATGCTAAAAGAGTCGGGATGCGGGTGGTGATGATGAGAACAGTGCGAAATTAAAATTTGGAATAATGTAATTGAACTCATCTTACACAGACATGCGAAGAGGTTGAGAGCGGAGCATGAACAACGAAAGTGAATAAGTACCTAAACCATCTACGTCCTCGCTGACGACAGATCGGAGTGCCCGTTGAATCCTCTACGGCCTCTTCCTTTTCCCCTCTTCCTTCCTGCCCCGCCTCTACTACTGTTCTCCTTTTGACTCTCGCTATCCCTCAATCGCTCATCTCCAGCGGGGACAGCCGCGTTGAGTCTTGATCCTCTCATGTCTTGTTCATTCCTGACATTCGTTGTCGGGGGCTTGACTTTGGTATATGCCGCTGCAGGTTCGCCATACTGCTCAAGACTTGAGACTTCTGAAGTCCTGACGTGGGTTGCACCGTACGGTTGACGCCATGATCGAGTTGGACGGATCACAGCATTTTGTCTTTGCGATGTGATGTGCGCCCTTGCTGAAGCTGAGGCTGGAGCACCCGCAACAACAGGCTGATGACGAGTCCTCGACATATCAGTATTAGCCATAGAAGGAGAAGGAGAGCGGCCGCGAACGGTTGAATTGTTATCTTCTTCTGGAACGGCAGACAGGCGGCGTTGGATGAGCCGAGCGAAAGGGACAGAACGAGGTTGGTGATAAGACAGGCTGTGGCCACGCGCTTCAGGGGACGTAGGAGAGAGCGGAGCTGCAACGTATGCATATTGGCGGCGAGCAGGCTGTTCTTGAGATACCGTGCGAGAACGCGGAGTATTAGGGGGCGGGGCTGGACGTTGAGGCGAGTACTGGACATCGCGACTGGTGAGATAATCAACCAGAGCACCAGAAGATACACTCGTAGTGTTCTGAACAGTCGGCAGCAGTCTAGGACTTGGTTTAATCTGAGCAGGAGGAGCAAGTGAAGCAGCCACGTCCGAGCGGAGACCAACATCATTGACTCGTTCGTATAGTCGGCGTAGATCATCAGAAGCATCAGGATAGAGCGCTTGAGTAATCGCGTTAGGGCGTCCGGGTACCTGAGAGGTCGCCCAGTTTGGGGACAGCAAAGCATCATCGTACGGAGAGAAGCCCGAGGACCACAGAGGAGACGAAGAGCTAGGCGGAGTAGGTAACAAGCTCCCATGCTGTCTATAAAGCTGCTGCTGCTGATACTGTTGAGCGATCTCCATGGCAGAGAGGCGACGATGAGCAGCCATAGATGGAGGCGAGCGAGGTTCGATGAGTATCTGAGGAAGCGCAGAGCCAACAGCAGGACGAGATGAGACCTTCATAGGAATGTGCTGGAAGTGGTTGACAGAGTGTTCCATGTGCGGCACAATCGGTTCTGGCAAAGCATAACAGCTGAGGCCGGAATACCTATCCATGGCAGACAATCTTGAGTGGACCTGGGCCTCTTCGTGCAGATGTTGCAAGTTCAGAGCGTTGTCCAGAGCCAATCCCCGCAAGTCCTCCATAGCACGGTCGTATCCCAGATCATAGGCTCCTCTGTTGACCTGCTGCTCTTGAACAAGGTTCTCCAAAACGATAGCATCGTCATAATTGTCACGCAGGTATTGCGAGTCGACGTTGAAGCCTTGAAGGGTCGACTTGTGCGCTTGGTTCGCTGGCACACCTATCGTCATGTTTGGACGAGAGCTAGCAGCGGGAGGAGGATGTGGCTGGAGTTGAGAAATACCCAGACTGTTTGAAGGCTTCTGGAATCTAGGTGGAAGAGAGATGTGTGACGACTGGATCGCTGGTCGGATGTTCGGTTTGTGTTGTGTGGGTGGTGAATCCGGCGGTGACTGCCCGCCTCCGCTAAGTCCCCAGATCATGCGAGGCAAGTTATCTGGCTCTTCGATAATCGTACCCTCAGCACCCCTGTTTTGGCGTGTCAGGAAATCAACCAAGTGACACCGAAATGAAGCTCACGAAGGACAGCGAGCATATGGTAATGATAGAGGTCCATGAAGTGCAGGAATAGGCCTTGGCGGAGACTTTGCCCAGGTGATCCATCCTAGATAGCACTGTCAGAACGTACCTATGGGAATTAACTCACAGTTTCATACCTCCATCTTCACGTTGTGTTTGCTGTACGGACAATTCCGGGTCTTTTTCCTTGACCTTTTGGTTATTGCGCAGAAAAGCTTCGGAGAGCTCACCGTTATTCTCGATGATGAGAACTGAGTCTAGAGAGGGCGATGGGGAAGGTGTGTGAGGTATACCTTGTTCGATTCGAGGAATATAGATACCAGAAAGGTCGCCATCTGTGGACGATGTAAAGGAATCTCCATTGTACAAAACGGAGTTGACTCCATCGGAGGACAAGCTCGTATCTAGAAAATATACACCAGATGGTCGTTGCTCTGGCATAGATACGACTCGAACGGATGTGGACTGGAGCTCTACTTTGGCCGAGAAAAATGGATCCGTCTCCGGGAAAGACGAGATCCTCGCCGTCTCGCCCTGGGACTGCGACGGTCTATTCCTAGGCAGGTAAGGTTTCAAAATACGCTGACTTGACAGCGGGGGACTATATGCGCCAAGATTTTGGGGAGACGGAGAGGAGGAAGACATTCCAGATATTTGTATGGATTCAGAAGTTGGAGTGATACGGAAAGGAGAATTGATACGGAAAGGAGAATTGGAAAGCCCGATGTTGGGTTCTGGCATAGGTGAGAGCATTGGAGGAGTCGATGTTTGGACCGCCCGGTCGATATATTCCTTCATATGGTCCTGAAGGATGGTAGACATGGTAAATTAGAGATGAGTGGAAATTTTGGCACCGGCGGGATGGTATCTTGTAAGAAGAGCTGCTGCGACCTTGTTGTGGTTGACTGGCGGAAGGAAACACACAACGCCCAAATCCATGTAAACAAATAATCGTGCCAGCTCGCGTTGTGGTCATGTGCCTCTTCCTCGAGCTGTCTTCTTTCGCCTAGGATGAACACAGGGTCCAACCACACTTATGAATCTCAGTTCGGACCCCCTTCTGAACTGATACATGTCGGTGCCTTCATAAATACGGTCCTCGAACGGCAAACCGACTCGACAAACTCGGTCGACCTTTGGAACATTGCTCCAGAACATGTCGAAGGCGCAGAAGTCCTATCGGACATCACAGAGGAACAAATAGAATTGGAATGCAAGTGCGTATTTTTTATTTCCTTTGATTCATGACAGCTTAAACATTCATATCAAGTTTGGATGAAATTCATGTTTTACTGGACGACGTTATGAAAGTTCCTCATCCATCTGCATATGCAAGGAGAAATCATGAAGCATCCGTCAGTGCCATCTACGAGAATGCCAAAGCCGGGATGTCGAACAGACGGAAACGGAAGAGGGCAGACTTAGAGTCTGCAACCGACACCCCGGAACTGACCGCGTTGAAGGCCAATCTAGACAACATACAGCTCCAAAGTTGGCTGTGAGTATCACTAGCCTTCATCAATCTCACTTGCACCAATCGAGTGACAAGCTTGACGCAGGATTCAGCCTTATTTATTAGGGGACCTATGCATCACGACCAGAACGCATTGTCACAATTGGTTGGTCCTTTCCCTGCGTGAAATTCGGTGGCTCTGAACATATTTCAGAAAAAATCCGAGGATGGCGTCTCTGCATCCCCTTGCTCGGCTCTACTCACCGTGACTGTGCACAGTCGAATAGCTTGGTCGCATAGCTACATCACGCGTTTCTCACAACATGCCATTCTATCATCCCAGACCCTCGGCGATCTTTTCGAGGTCATACCGTGCTCGTTCAATGAGTTGCCTCAGGAGCTATACGAAAACGGAAGATTCGTAGGATATGTTACAGATCAAGATATGCCCCCGTCGCCGTCGAGCGGCTGTGTTATATGTATCGAAGGAACAGCCTATGGCGACGGTTCGAATGAAGTGGACTACGCTGAGTATGTCGACAATCACCTCTCCAAGAGATTGTGATTTCAACTCGCTCTCACAGTAAACTGATTGAAAAACTCTCATCTGGACAAACGAGCCTTAAGAATGGCCCGAAGATGCACGATACGCCATTGTCCTCACTCTCGTTGCGACTTCACGAGCCTTACTGGTTCGTACATGAGGGTGATTGCGAGCATTTTCTCGAGTTTAATCAGATTCGGTACGTTCAAGTGTATGCTTCCTACCACTGCGCTCACCTGATCATTTTTCAGTCTTCTACACCCTGGCGATCCTCCTATGGGCTATCCGCTTACACTACAAATTACGCCGCCTCTTCTCAATCTTTGCCGCGCATGCACAAAAGTACCTGCTGTTTATTCGATTGTTGGAGATATGCGGCTTGGGGAGAGTCCGTGTGTGCTGTGCGCACCTTGTTGGAGGAACATGGGCCCACCGAATGGTCCGAACAGCGAGCGCGTCATAATCATTCCCCTCCTGAAACATAAAATGGGCTGGTGATGTCCGCGAATGCTTAATTGAATGGTTACGAGTATAATTCTTCACTTGAGAAGTTCCTCAAAGGCTAGAGTGCCATGCTTCGTCCCAAGATCTCAAGACCAAACCCTGATCGATTCGATCTGGTAGGCTCTTCGGTGTGATGAATTTATGCTACCGAATGTATCAGATGTGTGTGCAATACAGCAGCCACAGACCGAGGCATATCTCGACTAGCCAAGACATGCTCGTTGATGTGAATTAGCCGCCGTAGATGAAATCGAGAGCATTCCGGGTCTCTGAAGGTCTTTACAACGGTCAATGTGGCCAAGATCTATGATTTGAAAGTCGTGGCTGGGACGAGCCAGGGCGACCGAACAGAGGCCGAGACTGGCCAAGTGATCGGATTACGTGGGATGTACTGACGGAGACTTTGGAGGCGACGTGGAACCTCAACAGAACGGCTTATAATTGCTGCACAACATCCACGCTCCCTTTGCATAACTTCCGATAGTTACTAGCGGCCACTTCTGGTCTTTACCACCACCCAATCCTTTGCTTAATGCGTCCACATCTCTTGCCGAGCGCTCTGCTCGTCCTCCTGCTTGACTGGACAGGTACTTACGCTCAGTCTAGCCAAGCGCAGACCTCCGGTGCATCATTTCTTTCTGACACGCTGGTGAGAAAGGATCAAGTGCAGAATGTGCTCGAGCATGAGCCTGTACAGCAAACGACCTGCGAGAACACTGTGAGTGCTATAATTTCGAGGTTGAGGCTCGTAGTTTCGTCTCTAACCATTTCATACTGCTATAGCTTACGGGACCCATCGAGACCACAATGTGTGACTACGAGACCGTGGAAAGCGTCGGCGACGTCCTGTTTGAGCGTTTACACGAACTGGTACAGACTCCGTTCTTCAAGTATTTTCGAGTGAGTGATGTCGTCATAAGCATCTTGTTCAGGCCTGCTCATCTGAGGTACCAGGCAGACTTGTATAGAGAGTGTCCTTTCTGGGAGGAAAATGTACTTTGCATGAGTAAGGACTGCAGCATCATCACGGTGGACGAGGTTCGTCTTGTTTATACAGCATTATGTTTATGACCTCATTTCCTTCAACAGGAACAGATACCTGAGAAATGGAGGGTAGCTACTCTTAGCAAGCTGGAAGTACCTCCTGAAGACCAGGTGGGTGCGAATGTATCTAGACATACATTTAAGGAAAGATAGTAACCTCTAATGTCTCATTTTAGCGTGAATCATTACCAGGGTGCTATTACAAAGACACAGATTTCTGTTATTTAGATGACATGACTGGTGAGAGACTTGTTTTCTTGATGTACGGGGGACTTATAGCTTCCCAGAGGGCGATTACGTCGATCTCACTCTGAATCCCGAGCGTTTCACGGGCTATGCTGGATTCTCTGCTCACCGTATTTGGAAGGCTATCTACGAGGAGAACTGCTTTGGACAGTCCGAACTTTCTCTCATGAATAGTCCCTCAACTGCCAATGTTCAGTTACCAGATACGATGTCTGAGATTCTTCGTGTCGATGGCGAAGAAACTAGCGCGCAATGCCTCGAGAAAAGGGTTTATTATAAGATCATTTCTGGTAAGCACAAGTCTTACTTCACTGGTTCGCAAGTTTGATTTTTGTTTATCAGGCCTGCACGCGTCTATTTCTACACATATCTGTCAAGAGCACTTGGACACGACAACGGGAGAATGGGTATGTCTCGTACGACACGTCATTGTCGGTTTACTCAATTTCGTCATCTAGGGCCCTGATCTGCAGTGCTTCGTTACGCGCATAGCTTCACACCCTGAACGCCTGCAGTATATCTACTTCAACACCGTTCTCCTTCTCCGCGCAGTTGCTCGCATTGGACCGTACCTGTCTGCCTACGACTACTGTTCGTCTGGTACCCATGAAGAGGACGCTGCGACATTGGGCATGCTGACTCACGTCATCGACATTGCGCAGACCGTCGGAAAGTTCGACGAGTCTGTCTTGTTCCGAGGCGAGAATGCTAATGTGAGTCGCATTGAAGTTAAATGCAGGCCAAAGCTTTGACATTCGAGTTGAACATGAAGGTCTTGAAAGAGGAGTTCAAGCAGCATTTCCGCAACGTTACTCGCATCATGGACTGTGTTGCTTGTGACAAGTGTCGTCTATGGGGCAAAGTCCAAACCACCGGCGTCGGAACAGCACTGAAGATCCTCTTCGAACTAGACGAGAAGGCCCTTGAGTGTGTAGCAATCTTCACCTTCCATTGAGTATTGTATTCTGACGACAAATTTTTCCAGCCCTCGGTCGAACGCCAATCTACTTTCACGGTCGGAGGTCGTGGCGTTGATCAACACATTGCATCGGTTCACCGAGAGCCTGCACGCTGTGAACGATTTTCGTCGTATGTGGCGTGAAACCAATGCGGCCGATTCCGCGAAACTCATCAAGGAGGCTGAGAAGGTCGCTAACGCATGGGCGAGTTTCTGTGGCGAACTTGTGCGGTATACATTTTCTAACGATCCTAACTTGACCATCTAGCCACGACCATCGCCGTCTGTTGGGGAAGACAAACCTCCCGTAGGGAACCTGATCGAGGAAATCCAAAGACGGCTGGGTCCCTTGATCCAAGCATGTTGGGAGGGAACTTCTGGGTGTGTCGACCTCGTTGTCGGAGCCTTCGAGCGTATTACCGCCACGGTCAACTCTCTGTTCAAGCTGTCTGGGAAAGATCAGGGGCTTAGAGCGGAGTTGTGATGCCTGAGTGGTGTAATTAGGTAGGAGGTGTATTCTCGTGTAGCTGTATTGGTCGTATATGGATGATTGAATGAACATTTGTGCAGACTGTATGCTCCGGACACCTTTCCACGCAGAGCAGTTAATCTTAGGATGGTACATGGAAGCGGAGGGATGATCATCCCAGGCCCACGTTCGATGTAGGCCATGTGAGTGGGTCAACGTTACAGTCCGGGGCATATCGGAAGTCACGCTCGACTTGGCAAAGTTCAAAATGAACTGTGCCTGTCGTCTGACTCCGTGAACGTTCCTTTCATAATGCCGCATAGGTTCGATGGAGAGGGTGTCCTACGTCGCCACTGAGGGAAACTAACTATTTCATTTTCCTGAGGATTCGCTCAAGCTCCGCATAAGATACCTGCCAAGTCATGAGCCCTTCTCACAGAACATGAGAGAGTACACAACTCTCTTCTCCTTCGAGTTCTCGACTGAATCTCCTTGACGGCATCGCATTCCAGGTACATCATCCCACGTCTTGCTCTCAGTTTGTGTAGCAGGACAATTCGTCTTGCACTCGTTCCTTCCTTTCATCCAAGATCGCCAGCTTGTCAACTAAGGCAGTCTCGTCGCTATGAATGTGATAAGCAGTGAGCCATTCCGACACCAAAACACCTACATACCTCGCGGGGTTTTATGTGTCCTGGCACCTGGCTGCTTCTCTACGCGTATTGACTAGGCCCGGTGTGCCCGATCTTTGATCCAAGATAATTGGTCTGTTTACCCCGCATCAGCTGCCATGCTCCTATGATCTCACATCATTTTGCCTCTTTCTAGCTGCCATGAGTTGCATTCCCAAATGAATACGTTGCTCCCAACTAGCCCCTAAAAGGGGTGTTCACAGTTAGCCCCCCGGTGTCCCGTATGTCTATGTCTCACAGGTGACTTCCCGACCAGTCTCGTGAGTATGTTGGTCCCATTCCGTCTATCTTAGTACCCACCTTGTGAAGCGGCCGTCCGTATCACGTCGTACGCGGCATTCGAAATGTGGTGTGGTGTCTTTTCCGAGGGCCGCCTATAACGACATAATGCGAGCCGGAACCGGGCGAACGCGGGCGCTGATATCCTACTTCGGAAACAGAGGTGATAGTTGGAGACCGATCGGGACAGTTCCCCGCCCCTCGCAGGGGAGATCCGGGAGGTGAGCGGGACGAACGGGCACGTGATACGATATCCCGGGCGTAATTGGGGAGCTTGAAGCGGGAACGCGTCTAGTGTTCCCCAGGAATCTTGCATCGCAGCGCAGACTGTGCACCTCTCACGACCAGAACCCACTCGGTCACCCGATGCAGGGTTGATCCTTCTCCCGCCTCTCTCGCATATATAAGCCTGGTCTCGCTCTGCCCCGACCTCCATCGCTCGATCCCTCCACTCCATCTGCACATCCCGACGCAACCATGAAGGTCTGTCCCGTGGCGCTTCTGATATCGGACACGTCATTGACTGACCAATACAGATTCTCGCTATCCTTTACGATGGTGGTGTGGCAGCTCAAGAAGAGTCTCGCCTGCTCGGCACGGTAGAGAACCAGGTATATCCTCACTGTCGACACCGATTATTTCCTATCTAATCGTATCGCACAAGCTCGGTATCCGCGAGTACCTCGAATCCAAAGGCCACGAGTACATTGTATGCGTCCTTGCTTCCGATCTTTCCGATCTCTGATGGTCCGCGGTCCAGGTGTCTAGCTCAAAGGAAGGTGCAGACAGCGATTTCCAAAAGCATATTGTCGATGTGAGAACACAATCTCACTATACGTCCGAAATGTTGTTGATCGGCTGTAGGCGGAGATCCTGATCACAACCCCCTTCCATCCGGGATACCTCACCCGAGAATTGATCGAGAAGGTGCACATTGCTGTCTACCATCGAAGTGTTGCAGTTTTGACTGTTCATCTAGGCCAAGAACCTCAAGCTTTGTGTCACTGCCGGTGTCGGCTCCGACCATATCGACCTCAATGCTGCCGTCGATCATCACATTCAGGTTCTGGAGGTGGGTGCTTGGAGCATATGTTTCATTCTAGTGCTTTTTAAAGTTGAATCCTGTAGGTCTCTGGGTCAAACGTCGTGTCAGTCGCAGAACACGTTGTGATGTCCATCCTCCTGCTTGTCCGCAATTTTGTGCCCGCTCATGAGGTTCGTATACTCAATGGGGAATCGAATTTGTCAAATTATTGATATCTCGTCTCCAAAACAGATGATTGAGCGCGGGGACTGGCAAGTCTCTGACATTGCACGCAACGCCTTCGATCTGGAGGGTAAGGTCGTTGGAACTATTGGTGCTGGTCGCATTGGATACCGTGTCCTCCAGCGTCTCAAACCATTTGATTGCAAGGAGCTCCTTTACTTCGATTACGCTCCCTTGCCGGCCGGTGAGTAACCTTACTAAATGTTATGGTATCTCTACTTAGATATGCCTACAGAGGCTGCCAAGGCCGTAGGCACTCGCCGGGTAGAAGATCTCAAGGCAAGGATTTTCTATGAAAATATCAATTGTAGAAACAACTGACATTCCATCATCAGGAATTTGTGTCGCAATGTGACGTGGTCGCCGTGAACTGCCCACTTCACGAAGGCACTCGTGGACTCGTGAACAAGGAGCTCCTATCACATTTCAAGAAGGTAACGCCTGCTGCCACCTTCTCGATATCGAAGTACTCAAACGATTTTTAGGGCGCTTGGCTCGTGAACACTGCCCGTGGAGCGATCTGCGACAGGGATGCCGTCGCAGAGGCGCTCAAGAGCGGACAGCTGTCTGGATACTCTGGTGACGTCTGGAATGTCCAACCTGCCCCCAAGGATCACCCATGGCGGTACATGAAGAACCCCATCGGTGGTGGCAACGGCATGGTTCCTCACTACTCTGGCACTACTCTCGACGCGCAGGCGCGCTACGCTCAGGGAACGAAGAACATCATCAACAACTACCTTTCTGGTTCTCCTCAGGAACCGCAGAACATCATCGTCGGTGTGCGTGGCTACGAGACGAAGGCTTGTAAGTCACTTCACTTGCGCCGTCACATAATAGCCGATGATTCATTGTTTCGCATATTAGACGGCCAACGTTGAGGGGTGGGGATGTGAAGTTTCAATATGTGTTCACTTATGCAAGGAAGTTGTAGGATAAGGCATGCAGTCATGACGTCTTGTTGCAAATAGACGTAGGATGAGTATCGTAATTTGATGTATTCCAAGGAAAGAATTTCGTCGGCATTTCGTTTCGTTCATTTGCGCCCGGCTCAACTCTCACGCCTCGCTCTGAAATCAGCTTCTCCAACATTCATCACCGACAACTGGTGAGTCTCATTTCCCCAGCAACCTTCGGCAGTATGCAACGGACTCGGGTCACGAAGTATGCTTCTAAACAGTGTAATAAAAATTCCGATCTTAGATTTCACTGGAATTAGCTAAATACGAGCAATGGCATGCAGAGAAGTTACAACGCCCGCATTCATCTATGTTTAGGACAGGTACTCAAGATAGCTGACTACATCTCGAGCCTGTATCACCTGGTTATGACTTTGTCCTGAGGTCAGCATCCAATTTTAAAGGGCTGAATGGACGGAAAAGTAGAGATGTCACCCTTATCTGTCATCCGCTCACTCATCTGACATAGACTTCTTGAACGCCTTGGTGAGCAACTCCCCCTTATTGACGACATTGCTCAATTCAGTTTGACATCACTCTCCCTGGAGATGTGCCTCCGCTAACAACACGATTAGGTTTCGCTGGACAGAGGGTGGCACGCGCACGCTGGGCATAGAGGACAAGCTTCTCGGGGTTGCCAGAGTTTATAAAAGGGGTCTCGGGTAGTATTAAGTGAGCAGGTCAAGGAATCGCTCCTGAAGCTCCAAGATGGCGTCCATTCTCAAACAGCTATCAGACCTCATAGCAGCTTCGGTCCACGACATTGACGCTGCTTGCGATGCACGAGGAATACCTTTTCCCTCTCTGGATGAGCCGTTCTCGGAGGAATCGGAGCGCGCACGCCAGGAGCAAGAAGTTCTCAGCAGTATTGGTATCATAGTTGCTGCCGCGACGCAGCTCATCGCTGTCGCCAGGGTCCCGTCGAACTATCTGCTCTCCATGGTCCTTCAGGTATTGCTTACTTTTCTTGGAATTGATGAAACACGTCTTGAACCCACCGATCCGGCAGCATACCATCCCTGCTTGTCTCGGAGCTGCAAACGATGGCCATGTTGCCGAGATATTGCGCGAGGCCGGTCCACAGGCGAGCACTCATTAACCTCATTCTCCATCCTACATCCAAGGCCTTACAAAGGTGTGGATTGTAGGGAGCGCATGTCAATGATATCGCCGAAAGGAACGGCATGAATGCGGCTCGGATTGGTACAGTGTACTTTCGTAGCGTGTCGCTCAACGCTAAGTCGTGATTGCAGGTCGAGTTCTTCGGCTGCTCGCTACGCACCATATATTCAGGGAAGTTACTCCCGACGTTTTCACTAATAATCGCGTCTCTTCTCTGCTAGACACCGGAAAACCAGTGGAGGAACTCCTTAAATTGTGTGTATTAGCTCAATTCCCACATAACTGTTTGATTCGAGTGCTATTTAATGCAAACCTATAGCCCACTCATCAAACACGACGGCACCTCCGGTTTTTCTGCGGCCGTTGGACATCAGTTCGTGGGATGATTATGCTGTCACTGTTATTAGATGATTATACCTTTTCTATAGATCAGATGAGACGTTCAAACACGTTGCAGCACTTTCTGAGACTCTGCACGACCCTGTATTTGGCCATTCAGATGAGCCCAACCAATGCGCCCGTTCCAAGGCCTTTAACACAGATCTTTCTGCCTTTGAATGGTTGGAACTACCGGAAAATAGCTATCGCAGGAGGCGTTTTGGGGTGTTCATGGATGGCCTGTCCAAGGTGCAGCTTCTTGACACTAGTTGGAGCGGTGGGTTTCATAAGATATTTTATGAATGTCCAGGGGTGATACTGAGATGATCATCTTACCAAGGTTTCGATTTCTCTTCACTTCCAGATGGAGGATTAGTTGTTGACGTTGCTGGAGGCATCGGATCTGTGTCGATGGTGATTGCAAAAGCCTATCCGAAGTTGAACATCGTCGTCGAGGATTTGCCTGAGGTTGTGCGAGATGCAGAGAAGGTATGTCAGCCTGCCTGCTTGATCATAAAAGGGTTTCTTACACGATCTTCGCAGTTCTGGAAGGCCAATCTCGCAGAATCATTCGACAGCGGTCGTGTGCGACTTGTTCGTGAGCCTCCTTGTTCTACATTCGCCTCAGATGACTACGGCTTACTTCCGATAACTGGTCGATAGCCCATGATATGTTTACGCCTCAGCCTGAAGCCTTACGCGCGCCGGATTTATTCGTCCTACGTGGAATTCTTCACGACTGGTCAGATACCTATGCGATGAAAATTCTGAAGCATCTCCGCGCTGCGGCAGGTCCAAGGACTCAGCTCCTCATTATCGATAGCGTCCTTCGATACGCGTGCCCGCCTGACCCTCAGAGGACAGAAACCTTCAAAGTGCCTAAGCTTGTCGAACCGCCTGCACCATTATTGGCCAACATGGGTGGGGCTGCCTCCCTGCATTATGCTTATGATATCGTGGTAAGCTCGAATTATCAGTACCCCACGGCCGTCCTACTGTTGAATCTTGACACGCCGCCGTCGTTCTAGATGTTAGCTCTTCAAAATGGTCAGGAGCGTACCGCTGACCAGTTTAACGAGCTTTTGAGACGCGCAGGATGGGAGTTGAAAGAAATCAAGAAACCAGATAGCACAGGAGCATGGCTCCCGCATGTGGTCGCAGCCCCGTTGTAAAATTTCCCGCTGGAAAGACCCTGCACTTATTTGATGTGCGCTGTATTTGTATCGCGTAAAGCTTCTTGAATTACACTTAGCACAGTTTGAAAACTCGGATGGTCGGTGAAGGCAAGGAAAGTTATTTCTTATATATGAAGACTTGGGAAGATTACAGGCAGGTCGGAAGAAAATCTCGATTGAGTACAAGTACACACTGCCTGATTTGGCCTGATTTGGTAAAGCGGATGACGCGATCTTAGAATCCACCCACTTACCACGCGCGCAGTTGTCCAATTCTTCAAGCGTCGATTAGAGAGTGAGGCAGTCCTGCCGCGGCCAGTTCGCTGCCCTCTCCGAACACATGTCATGTATTAACCCAACTCGATTGTTGGGGCCTTCAGCCAGAACAATCGCTATCCTACTTCTGTCATTTCTCCCAATATCGTCCATCGCGACATCCGAATGGATCCAATACCCCTCTAGTGGTTTCGCGACCATGACGCATTATACACTTCCGGAAAACTTTATCGCGGCCTGTGGGTGCACCGCGGCAAGTACGCATTACCCCACCGCCGCGCTTAACCAGATGGCTTTTGGGAGCAGCACGGCGTATGGCCCATCCTGTGGACGCTGCTTCGCCCTCACCCTCCTTAACACATTCCTTTCGGATCCACCGTTCCATCCAGACACGGTCAAAACAGTTGTCGTCAAGGTCACAGACCTTTGTCCTTTGAGCACGACAGGCTGGTGTAACGCGACAGCTAGCGCCCCGAACTCGTATGTACTGACGGCCTCTCAAACCTATGAGCGAAATGTGTCGAATATGACCTTTCTCTTGCTTTCTCTTATCTAGTGCAGGTAATTATTTGAATTTTGATCTAGCGTACCCCTCGTCTTCCATTCCAGACAATTTCTTCCCGTCAAATGAGTCCTACTATGGTACGGTGCACACCTCGAGTAGAAAGCTTGTCTTTTTGAGCTGACCTCGCTTTGGAATCAGGCTATACAGTGAGCTGTCATCACAGTACGTTCGTCATAATTGACCTGGTCATTATGCCAGGACTTTGGCGTTTGGAATGTCAGCTACCAAAGCGTCTCTTGTAAGCCCAACTGGGCCGGGTCGAAAAGTGCTGCGGCATTGGGCAGTGTCACAGATTCTGGGGATAGCGTCTGCTGCCCCGCCGACCCGACGGTTCGTTGAACACCTTCTTCCTCGGCCATGTGGCCCTTAATACCCCCATGTAGGGCAATGCCAACGATACCTGTCCGTCGTTCTCGGATAAGAACGGTATACCGTACGTCGCACGCTTTGAGGCCCTCTCCATTTTATTGACAGTCTTCGACAGACCAAATACCCAGACGAGCGGCTCGAACCATTCTGTACCTTTCATCGGTTTTGCGATGGCTTCGTGGGCACCCATATACCTTACTATATTCCCTTTCTTTGCGATATCTCGGTTATTGTAGGCATCATGGAGGTCTTTTATATTGTTGTTTGTACGGTGCTTAGGTTTGTACGATACCCACTTGCTTATTTTCACGTCGTAACAGGAAAACGAGTGAAAGTTGTTTGTTGCTGCAATAAGTGGACCCGACCCGCACGCCCCATTATTATGCTTATTCTAGAGAATGATACCCAATAATGAATGCATATCGGTTTGGGCTGAAAAGTATCGATCATCTCTCAGGATCCTCTTCGTCGACCTTGCGGTACTTTCCGTGGCCGCGTCCACCAAGGACACCGCGCGCCCATTTGAGCCCACCGACGGCAAAGAATAGCACACCCAACAGGCCCACCACGAGAATACCAGTGATATAAAGGCGGCCAGAGCTCACGGGGAAAGCGGCCAGCTCGTCAGCTATCGCCTTGTTTGCTCCCAGAGAAGACTCGGCAGATGGCGCAATGGCACTGGCAGACAGCGTTGACGACGTCAATTCAATATCCTGCAGGAAGTGCCTTGCATTGGTATGACAGCTTTACATAGATAGATAGCTGACTAGAGCTCAGCGTGAAGAGGCACCTCTTTTCCATCGGCGTCAACTTCAAGATCGAGAGGGAGCTAAAGAAGGAGCGCGAAGTTGAGACTAGAAGTTGCAAGAATTGTATTTTAGACGTACCTCTCCAGAGTCGACGATGATGACGTCCTCAACAGGCTTGTCGCCTCTGCCCTTGGCCACGTTTTCTGCAGAGCAATTTGAGACTTATGCTAGATTGTGAGAAATTATACATACCGATCTTTCTGACAATGTCCATGCCATCAATAACCTTGCCGAATACGACCTGGGAAAAGAGTCTACAGAGGCTCAAACGACGATGCGTGACGCACTTACATGCTTGCCGTCCAACCAGCTAGTCACGATTGTGGTGATGAACTGCGGGGAAAGAGTCAGAGTAAGACTACAGCATGTTCAGTGAGGTTACACGCTATACTTACGAACTGAGAGCCTGAAACGAAGTTGGAGTCAGTTAAAGCTTGGACGGAAAGATAAATAGAAGTGAATCACCGTTAGTGTCTTTGCCCGCGTTAGCCATGGAGAGATCGCCGGGAGCCGTGTGCTTGAGCTTGCTAGATTGATGGTGAGGTAGTGTAATGAAAATAGATGAAACTCCTCCTACAAATTTTCGTCCGCGAAGCGATCACCGTAGATGGACTATACATTGATGAGCATATGACCAACGCCGACGTCACAGTACTGACCTTTCCACCAGTTCCGTCGCCTCTTGCTACATATCCAAAGCATCAGCCATGTTCCACGCTGCGGTGTGCAGCGTCCAACTTACTGAAATCGCCGCCCTGAATCCTATGAACAAGGCACGTTCAAGCATGCACACGGGTGATGCGGGAATACACGCACATGAAATCCTTGATGATACGGTGGAATTTGGAGCCCTTGTACCCGAAGCCCAGCTCGGTGCCATCTTTCCTTACACCAGTCGCAAGTGCGCGGAAGTTCTCGACTGTTTTAGGAACAGTCTACGAGTGATAAATGAAGGTCAGCACAGACCGGATTCGGGAGTTGGATATACATACTCCACCGTAAAGCCCGATGGTAACTGTCCAATGTGGCGCAAGTCAGCTACACAAGGAGAGGCCAGCGACGTTAGACGAAACGCACTGCGACCCAAGGACTCGTCGCCATGCTTGATGTCGAAATAGACCTTGTTGGTGATCTTGGGCCCTCGCGCAGCTTCCACAGGCTGCGCACAGAAAAGGGCAGCGAAAGAAACGACTGCAAGAACGAGAGAGGCCCGGAACAGCATTGCTCGGGATAGAGATTGAGATGAGAGTTGCACTCGCGATGCGTTGTCAACTGGTGTATACGTGGAATTTGTTATGTAATTGTTGCCGGCGGTTCGGCCTACTCCTGCTTCCCCACGTAACATATCTAGCATTCCTAGAGCGTACGCTCTTATACTACCCCGAGCTTCTTGACATCAATCATGACTATCTGGCGTATAGCGATGCCCTTGAAATTGTCATATGCATATGAGTCTTGACCTCCAGAGCACTTTCGAAGCGCCGCGAAGCGATCAACCAACCTCTTGTAGATTCAGTCTCACTCTATTACTGGGCGCATCCCACTGAGCCACTTTCGCTTGAATCTGTGGGGATGTCGGAAAGATCCTCACGCAGCTCACCCAAACCCAGCATGTTGGATGAAGCTTGGACCACGAGCACTTCACAGCACTCAAGGCAAATCAATGGGTCATTCCGATCCTTTGTGCTATCTGACGTTTTTCAATGAAACATGAAGAGCACATCACTGGATTTACAAGCTGTCTGCGATCAGCTTTCAAGGCTCCCCGCCCTGTGCCATGGAGGCACCCCTCTTGGTGGAACGAATCGCGCGCAGGGCTTTGCACTACATGTGTACTTGACTTTTCGTTCGCCTCTTGGAACACTTCGCCTTTGTAATCAAATGCCATATGTGTCAATGTACAGGCTCAGAGACCAGCACGGTTGACGAAGGGAATCCGCTGACAAGACTTGGTGTCAACGCTCGAGAATGGGGACCGTAAAACCACATCGTATGATGAGAAGTAAGAAACCATAATACACGTTGATCAAAGCAATTCGTCTCTTCGCGATTCTAATACTCTCATGAGCTCCAGTCGTTTCAAAGCGGGCTTACCAGCGCTATTTAGATCGCTTGTCCTTGGTCATTCAGGGCCTGAACAGCAGCGAAGTCCGTGGTGATGCCGAACGCAGCATTGAAAGCTATTGTAGGGCCACAGTGAGAAGATGATGGCGACGATCTGCCGGACCAGCTCACCATCTGCCTGAGCGCCAGTTTTGACGGTCTGCGCTTTTGAAGCAGTAATTGCAGTAGCGCAAGTGCTTTTCGCCGTCTGGTCAGCACCACACGAATTTGTCAAGGTATCGCAGATGAACTGAGTGATGATGTCGATATTCTGCGCCGATCCGTGATTGAAGGACGCTGGAAAGTGTGATCCATGAGTCTACGACGCTCGGACGTGAGGCAAGAAGTCGCTTACTCTGATCGACGGGCTCGAAGCTGGTCTCTTTACGGCCCTCAAGGCCCGCACCAAACTCGATTTGGGGAACCGAGCATGACCCAAAGTCGCCAATCCCGCCAGATGCCGCCGCTGCGCCGGATGAAGATCCATTGTTACTGGAAGAAACGGCGGCAGGGGCGGAAGGCGCTGCGGCGGAACCCGAGGCGCTGGCGGTACCAGCTGCGGCGGCCCCGACAGCGTTGCCCTGATCATCGATAGGTTGGATCGAAGCAAAGTTCGTGGAGATGCCAAACGCAGCGTTGAATGCTGTGTTTTAAGAACCAGTGAGTCCCCTCACAAACAGACTCAGCTGGTGAGGTACATGCCATCAGCCTGGGCGCCCGTCTTCGCAGTCTGAGCCTTCGAAGCAGCGGTTGCGGTAGCACATGTGTCCTTCGCGGTCTGGTCGGCACCGCAAGAGTTCGTTAAGGTGTCACAGATGAATTGAGTGATTATATCAATATTTTGTGCGGAGGTGTGGGCGAAGGAGGCTGTGTAGATTGGTTAGTTCGGACGCGAGACCCAGAAAAACTAAGCATCACTTACTCTCGTCGACTGGCTCGAAGCTGGTTTCTTTACGGTTATCAAAGCCGACGCCGAACTCGATCTGGGGTACGGAGCATGACCCGAAGTCACCAATATTACTGCTCTGGAGTGTCTTCATATGAGCCAAGACAAATAACGTGATGTCATACGCGCTCACCTGGCGACGGACTGACACGAGACGACCCCTGCTCATGATCCACATAGGCCGAGCTACGACGGATTCAGTGAAGAACAGGGCCGTGATGGCCGCAAGGACGATGAAGGACTTGTTCTGCATTGTGGCCTGAAAAAGGGTCGACTGGCGACGAAAGTGCGAGATGAGATGAATGGAGGAAGCTCTGAACGTGAAGAAGACACCAGGTCGAAAAGAAGGTCGAAAGCAGAAATGAAAGCCGTTCAACGACTGAAGATGCGGACGCTCAAGAGATCACGGTCGGAAGAGCGAATGAGGCAGGAGTTGCGTTCTTATAATGGTCACCCACCAAGGCCGGTCGCTGTCGGCGACATTGGTTGCTATACAGGCACTGTAACCAAGGGCAGTGGAAGACTCATTTGTCTTGGCGAAGTCGAAACGCCAGGCTTGTGTACGCACGGTACACGCCGCGCGGTGAGTACTTAAGTACTCAAGCAGTCAAGTCAAGCCTTCAGAAGGACTTCGACGGCGAATCGTCGTCTGCGGCAACTGACTCGTATCAGGGTCGCCGCTCGAGCATCCATGCAAGTTGTGCTCTGTCACCACAGTACCGGGCTCGAAGCTTGCAACCTGAGCGCCTGAGCGCTAACAGCTGTGTGCATGAGTGTTAGCACCCAAGGATATAAACATACTCGCCTCCAGCCAGCCTCACGGGCTATACGCACCGGTCGTCTATTTGCAGACCGTCCCACAGAAAGGGTCCCCGTGCAGGTACTCACGACCCACGGATTAGAAGTGGGATGCTCCACAGCTTGGCACCTGCGCAATACTTGCGAACTTACACGAGAACAAACGCCCACGACACCGGTCAGCCTCAAAACATCGTGCGCATGCACACACGCACGCACGCTCGCGGCCGCAGGCCGGCGCGCTCGCACCGCCGAAAAATATACATTGCGTAGTGGGGAGATAACATCCGTACATGCTTGTATGCGTGCATGCATGCATTCATTCGCGGTCCGGGGGCGGTCAGGATGTCCGGGAACACACACATTCACAGAGCGGCAGCCCACCACCACGACGGGGGTCCCCGACTTCACCATTGTCCGAGCCCCGTCCGAGCCAAGTTCAGTCCAGCCCGGCCCCGTCCGCGTGTGCTGCCGTTCGTTCTTTCTTTCGTTTGTTCGTTTGTTCGTTCGGGGCGGCTGTAGACGAGGGAGGCGGGTATGGGCAAGGAGGAGGGCAGCGTCCGCGTTGGTGGGCGGGATGGGGCGAGACGAAGCAGGAAGCGGGTGCGTGAGCGAGGCGTCATCGAAGCAGGCTGAAGCGTGAAACGAACCGGTGATGAAGAAGAGACGGAGACGAAAAAAAAAATCGTGGCAATGACAGAGGCAGAGAGTAAGGGAGAAGAGGAAGGAAAAGAAGAAGAGGAGACCACGTCGAAAGCACAAAGGAAGAGAAATCTGTAAGTGAAGATGGCAAGGAAGATGATGATATTGGCATTGGACGGGAGGAGGCAGACGAATGCGCGTTGCTGTACTTATGGCCGAATGAGAACGGTTTGTTGGAGTCAGGGAAAAGCATGAAGCATGAAGCATGGCTAGCACACGACGAGGATCACAAGAGCGCACACTGTAAGCGAGGAAGATATGTGGTTAGGGAACAAAGGATAAGAAAAGGAGGCAGGGTGGGCGGCGGTGCACATTCTACACCGAGGACAAAAAGAACACGAAAAAAAAAGTTGGGCTGTAACAACGACGGAGAACACGACACACTCATCTCGGCCAGAACTCCATCCCACTCGACCTCCGCTCCTTGCCCGACTGCGGCGCTCCCGCATCGCCCGAGAACGGGTTCCGCTGGCCCTGGGCGCCCGCCTGCCCACCCGCAGGCACGACGCCCGCGGCATAGAACGACGGCGGGACCGTCTGCGCAGGCGGCCCGACGCCCCTGCTCGCGCTCGCCCCCGCCGCGCCATACGACTGGTACTGCTCTGGCTGCATCGGCACGTACAGCGTCCCGATGTCCGTCCTCCGATCCAACGCGTCAAAGGTCGTCGGCGACTGCTGCTGCTGGGTCGCCCCCACCGAAACCGAGCTATTCGAGGGCTGCTGGCTGTATGACCCGGCATACCGTCCACTCGCCGACGCCGAGCCGGTGTACGCCTGAGGCGGGCTCGAGATCACGCCCGCCTGGGAGGCGCCGTACACCGACCCACCGGGATCCCCGCGAGCCCCAGCGCGCACATTCGACAAGATCTGATCGCGCCGGTCGTCGTCGACCACGATCGTCGCCTGCGGGGGATGATACTGGTGCGCGAGGCCCGAGCTAGGCGGCGGATACCGCCCCTGCTGCTGCTGCTGCGAGTGGCCCCACGCGCCGAGCGCGCCCTGCGCGGCGGCGAGCTCGGCCTGCTGCTGGAGGTACTGCAGCTCGGGGTACGGCTGCGCGGCGGCGGCCTTGCCGCCCTGCTGGCGGCGCTCCCACTCCTTCATCGCGTCGTCGCGGTTCAGGACCGGCGTGAGCGCGTTGCGCCCGGCGATCACGTCCTGGTTCATGTGCTGCAGGCGCGCGAGCGCGGGCGGGACGTTGTCCATGTTGTTGATCGTGTTCGCGCGCATGCGCGTCGACGGGTAGTACGTGTTCGCGGGCGGGTTCGGGTTCAGGTAGCTCGCTCCAGCCCCACCGCCGCCCGCCGCGCCCCCGCCCCCGCCTCCACCTCCACCTCCGCCCCCGCCATTCCCGCTCGGGTACGCCTGCGACGCGCCTGCAGCGGTCCCTGATGAGAGATGTCCGTGTGAGCTTCGATGCACCAGCCCACGACGCGAAGCAATCTGACTCTGACTTTGGCTCTGCGCGTGGCCTTGGCCCTGCGGCTGACTCTGGCCCTGTGGTGCCGGCCCATACGCGCCCTGTTGCTGTTGCTGCTGCTGCTGCGCCTGCGGGTACCCCGGCGCGTCGTACGCGGCCGACGCGGGCGCCTGCGAGGCCATGTACGGATTCCGGAACACGTTGTTCGCAGCCTGCGAGGCCGCCTGCGCTTGGGCCGTATACGCCTGGTGCTGCATGAGATGCTGGTTGTACGTCGCCGCGTCCGTATATGCGCGCGTGCCCTTGGGCTGCGACGGCACGAGCCCGCCATATGGGCGTTTCGGGTCCGCTGGGGCGGAACTGCCGCCGGAGCTGGACGGAGGCTGCTGTTGCTGTTGGAGACTGGGGTGCCCGGATGGCTGTAGGAGAGGCAACAGAGGGTCAGTGTGGGAGCGACGAGGAGAAAGGAGCGAACAACGCACCACGAACGGCTTTGTGTATTTTTCGCCCGTGATGAACGGGTGCATCCTCGCCTGCTGCGGCGACCACCGCTCGATCGGGTTCATGTTCAACAGCCCCGAACAAAAGTCGATGAACGACGCGCGATTATTGAGTTCTGCATCCAGCAACGCACGATAGCAATGAGTATATATACAGCTTTTGCCCCGAAAGGCGCCAGCATGGGACACGAAGCCCACCTTTATCCATCTCGGGGCCCTGGCGCCCAGACTTGAACGTGGGCATCGGCGCGCCGTTGACGATCTCGGGCAGCGAGGTCGCCTTGAAGTACTGCTTCCCCGGCTGCTCGTTCGTGCCGTGCTCCCGCGAGTACTGTTCGAGAGTTTTGAGGCGGTATTTCTTCCTCCCGTACATATCGTGGAAGGTATCGAAGAACTGGCCGGTCTGCTTGCCCATGTCCATCATGTACGACGGGGGCTGTCTGTTCTCGCCACCCCGAGGTGACGCAAGGGGACATGTCAGCATAATGCGCGGCGACAGGAGGCGAGAGAACGCACCCGAGCATCTCGACGATGCGCGTGACCTGGTTATACTCGCTCGTACCAGGGAAGAGCGGGAGCCCGAGGAAGAGCTCGACGGCGATGCACCCGAGCGACCACATGTCGATCGCGGCGGTGTACGGCAGGCCGAGCAGCACCTCCGGCGAGCGGTAGAAGCGCGACTGGATATACGTGTACACCGTCTGCCGCTCGTGGCACGCCGAGCCAAAGTCGATCACCTTGATCTGCGGCGACTGCAGCCTGCGAATAACCGTGTTCGATCAGCCGACGATTGGGGGGTCACGATCGAGCACGTTATGAGCACGACACGCACGATTTGAGCAATATGTTCTCGGGCTTGAGATCGCAGTGAATCAGGCGCGCGTCCTTGAGCACGGAGAGCGCGTCGAGGAGCTGCGCGGTAAAGACCTTGACGAGCTGTGTGCTGAGGCCCTGGAACTGGTTCTGCTTGATGAGCTCGTAAAGATTCGACGAGAGCAACTCGAACACGAGGCACAGGTGGTTCCGGTGGATGAACGAGTCACGCAGGCGCAGGATGTGGTGCTCGTCGTGCGGATCGCACTGGTTGTTCAGCTGTTCGCGCGCATGGGTTGATGTCAGCGTTGAAACCGAGAAGGACGCAAAGAGAAAAGGAAGGGCGGCGCACCAGTTCGAGGATGGTGACCTCCATCATACTCTGGTTGAAGTACGCGGGCTTGTTTTTGACGACTTTGACGGCAACGACGTCGTGCGTTTTGAGGTCCTGACACTTGACGACCTGGCCGAAGGTGCCCTGGCCGAGCACATCCAATATCAAGTACCTGCGACCGCCACGATCAGTACGCGCAGGAAGGAGAAAGGGAAAGGGACGGGAAGGATGACGCACTTATGCGTCTCCTCGGCGCCTAGCCAGTCGTTGACGTAGAGGATATAGTCGTAGTCCTCGTTGTCGTACCCGTCGTTGTGCATCGCCTTGCTCGGCTTGGTGAGCACGCGCCGCGGGTTGTGCGTCGACTCGTACTTGAACGCGGGGTTCGCGATCCGGTACGTGTCCACGATGTTCGTCGTCAGCTGCCTCAGCGGCTGCGTGCGCGGCGTCCGCGACGTGACATCCAACGACCCAACGAACGACAGCACAAGCCCCATGCCCGCCATCGCCATCAGCGCCATCGCCCATCAACGACCGTCCATCGAACCAATGCGGCCGCACCAGCACCAAGATCGAAGCCAGATCGACAGGAGCAAAAGAGAAAAGCGAGATCGTCAGCGAATGCGCAAGCGAGAGAACACGAGCATCGCACGCACCGATAAGAACGCCCCCGAGGCGTCGACACGCCTGCCCGCCGGGCGCTGGTTGACGTGGGGGCGCAGATCGCGCTGGTCGCGGATGCGGCGGAAGCCCGACGCGCGGCGCTTCGCGGGCGGGTCGACGGCCATGGGCATAGGGTCGTGCGGGTAGTACGGTCCGCCCGCGGCGGGGCTGTGCGACGGCTGCGGGAAGGGCAGCGGGGTGTTTGGGGTCGATGCGGATCCCTGGCGGGTAGAGACGCCCGAGGAGAGGAGGGTGGTGGAAGATGGGTGGGGGCTGCTGCTGCTGACGTCCATCGGGTACGAGGGCGAGTAGACGGGCGGGGGCGGGGGTGGCTGGTGGGCGATGGAGGCGGACTGCGGGGTGTAGGGGGAGGGCACGGGGGGCGTGAGGGGTTCGTGTTTGATCTGTGAGTGTGTGCGGGAGTGGGAGTGGGTGGCTGGGGGGTAGGGCGGGGCGTGGTAGGAGTAGGCGGCGGTGGTGGGCGAGTACTGGGACTGGGCGTGCGCGTACGGGTCCAAGAGCCCGCCGGCGGACTGCGAGGGGCCCGAGCGCAGCGGGGAGCGGGCGGCGCGGGCGGAGGCGGCGGCGGACGAGGGCTCGTGGTGGGTGTGAGAGCGCTTCGGGGCGTGCCCGGACGTGGGACTGAAGTAGAGATCGCCGTAGGCAGGGTCGGCCTGGGGCGGCCCCGCCGGCGACTGGCCGGCGGTGCCAGCAGCAGCAGCAGCAGCAGCGTCTGTGGGGGTGGCGGTGGGAAAGGGCGGGGCCTGATAGGCGACGCTGGAGGGGTAGAAGGAGGCGGCGGGGTTGGCTGTGGACGAGTTCTGGCGATGGTGTGTGGGCGGCGAGGTGGGGCTTGGGGCGGAGAAGGCGCCTTCGAGGTCGTCCTGCATGTGGAGGCGCCTGACGCGGGCAGAGGCGGGCTGGTTGCCGAGGGAGGCGCTGCGGGAGAGTTGGCTTTGCGCGGGGGCGAGGTAGGGCAGCGAGGACGAGGGCAGGTGGCCGTCCTGGTCGACGAGCTGGCCGACCCGACCCGCCTGAGCTTGTCTGGCGCCAGATCCGGTATGAGTCTGATGGAGGGGCTGCATCCGGTGCTGCGCGGCCGTCGAGTGGGTCGACGAGCCTGGCGGCGGCAGCGGCGGGGCGCCCGGGTACGTGTACGACGACGATGCGGAGGAGTTGTTCGCTGCGGCCTGTGCGGCCTGGGCGGAGGAGGAGAGGAGGTCGTGGTGGGCCTGCGTCTGCCAACGGGGCAGGTCGAAGTCGTCGTTTGCGCCAGTCATGTACGCCAGCTCGGGCTCCGACATGTCTCTGATCTCCCGTTCTGTTCCTCTCGCGCTGTCTGTACCGCCGCCGTCGTCGTCGTCGGGGGTGGATGCGGGTGGTGGGACGAGGAGAGCGGGACGGGGACGGTTGCGGGTGTTGTGGTGGTTGGCTCAGAGGCGATGTGGCGCGCACGCCGCCTGGTGCGTAATAATCATCGATTATTATCCCCGCGATGTCCTCCGATTACACTACGCTGCAGTATTCGTATCACCACCAGCACCAGCGGCGCCAACGCCATCACCCTCTCCCTCCAGCTCCTTCAGCGTCGACACCAGCGCACGCTCCGCACCCAGCAGCCCCTGCTCTCCCGACATGAACCCTCCAGCCACGTCCACAGACAGGAACATCTGCTTGCCAAACCGCCGCGCTGTCCAGCCGTCGTCACCGTCGTCGTCGTCGTTGTCGTCGTTGTCGTCGTCGTCATCCCGTTTTCCGTTGCATCCCCACAACCGTGCCAGTTCCACGCACGCACCGTCGGCAAGCCAAGCCATGCCCAGACCCCTGTCAGCCCTGCGATAAAAAGGTCCGACGCGCGTCACGCACCCAATCGCTGCGCCATCCCCAGCGCCGCATCCGACCCCGATGTCCTGAACAGCGGCGTCCCCAGCGCCGGCCTCCCCTGCAGCGACCCCGACGTCAATACCAAGGCCGCCCACGGGAGCGAGAACGGCGCACCTGGATCGGGGGCATCGCGCACGCCCAGTCACGCGCGACGCTGCCCTGCGCCACCAGGCGTTTCGCGCTTTCGTCGTCCCCGCGCCCTCCATCCTCTGCCGTGCCGATCCAAAGCATGTACGACCCCGCGAGGCACGTCGCCTGCAGCACGAACGCGGGCTGCGACGGCGACGCGCGCGCGATGTACCGTGTCTCGATGCGAATGGTGTTGGTGCTCATGGTACTGTAGCACGAAAATACGGTCGTGACCTCGCGCGCGACCTCGGGGTCCAAGCGCCCCTGTCCCTGCGAGTCCTCCGTAATTGCACTCTGTAGACTAGCGCTCCCCAATACAGTAAACCATCTGTCCATCCACCCATCTCTCCTCCTGCCATACATCGGCAAAGCCCCCCGTCACAGTCGTAGTCCAGCAATTAAGTCCAACATGGCCAGCCAGCCCCCCGCGATCCCCGACACGTTCATGAGCGGCGTCGACCAGCACGGCACCGTGCGCTGCCATCACGGCACCCCCGCTGCGCGCCGTGTCTGCGGCAGTAATACACATCACCCTGGCAGGTGTGTGTCGGCATTCGCATCACGTCTTCACTGCCCTGCCCCTGTGTCGACGCTCGCCGTCACCTCCGTGCTCCTCGTCCATCATTCTCTCTTAAACCGTCGAGTTCGCCGCTGATCTCCTCGCCTCGCCGCTCTTCGTTCGTCCCCCTCGTCCCATCGATCGATCCCGATCACGTCGCGCCGGCCTGCACGCTGCTGCCGCAGGGTCTTCTGGGTCTGTCTCTGCCGCAAGGACGACGCAGAACACTGTTCGTTCTGGAGTGCGTGCTCGCCTCGCCCCGGCTCTCGTGCAGGACTGACAACGCCGCCCGTCGATGCGGTCCAGAGTGGGACGACGACCTCCCACCGCACCACGGCGCCGCTCCCCCGCCCTCCCCCGCCTCGTCGCAACCCCGATCGCAACCCCAGACCCAGCTCCTATCCCAGCCGCCCTCGACGCCCTCCTCCCAGCCGCGCTATCAACCCGCGACACCCACAGCAGCGCCCCCGACCGCACACCGCACCCCCAACTTCAACTCACTCAAACGCGCAGGCTCCCCCTCTCCCGCCTCGCCCTCCAAACGCACGCTCCCCTCCACCGCCCCACCGCCCTCGATGTCTTCCCACGCGCCCCCGAGAGCCCCACCGCAGCCCCACGCCACCCCGCACACCCCCAGCCGCGCAGAGGCCCGCGCCCGCGCGCTAGCCCGCACGCCCGAACAGCGCCTCCTAGCCAAGGAGCGCCTCCTCGCCGCCATCGAAGAGGGGCTCACGCAAGCCAACGACGCCGTCGCCTCTCCCGCCCGCACGCCCCCGCCCGCAGCGGCCCCCACCTACGCCCACGCCCCCGCCCCCGCCTCTACGTCTGCCCCTGCCCCTAGATCTGCCGCCCCCCACCCTTCCCACGTCCAGCCCACCCACAGCACCCCCTCCCACCCAACCACCACCGGCCCACCCCCGCCCACCCCCATCCACCCACGCGCCGCGCGCACGCGCACCCCACACGATCCCAGAGCGACCTCCCTCGCGGCCCGCGCCGCGCGCCGCGCGTCCATCGCCGACGCGCTGCACGCGCTCCCTAGGGCCCCCTCCCCTCCTGCTGCCGGCCCCGGCCCCGCCTCGGCGTCCGCCGCGGGCGCGCGCGGAGCCCCGCTCTCGATGCGCGAGTACGATGCGCGGCGGCGCGAGGAGGCGTATCTCCCTCGGCCGGATGAGAGCATCCCGGAGGACGACGCAGCAAGCGAGGGCGACGAAGACGAAGACGAAGATGACGACGACGACGTAGACGAAGACGAAGACGGCGACGACGACGAACCGTACGCCGACGCGCAGGGCGACGTGCGGGCGGGCGACACCGACACCGAGCTTGAGACCGAGTCCGAGACCGAGTCCGAGACTGAGCCTGAGTCCCCGACGCGCGCCGTGCAGAGCTTCGAGAACGCGGTGCAAACGGACGAGACGACCGAGTACACAGCGAGCGTCTCGGACGACCTCCACCCCGCCGACGCCGACGCTAACATCGACGCCGAGGCGAAGGAGGCGCAAGTGCGCGCCGCGCTCGCCGCGTCGCAGGCCGTGCGCGCGGGCGGCGCGCCGCTGAGCCGGGACACGAGCCTGCGGTCGGAGATCGATTTCGATCTGGGCGGGCGGGAGGAGCGCGAGCGCGCGCGTGCGGTGCGGCGGGAGCGCGAGCGGCGCGAGAGGGAGCGGGTGGAGAGGGAGCGGGAGGAGGAGGAGCGGTTCTTTTCTGGGGAGGGCGCGCGCGCTGCTGGGGCCAGACCGGGGTCGGCGGGGTCGGCGATGGAGGCTGATGAGCTTGTTTTTGATTTGGGGACGGATGAGGGGGAAGATGGGGATGTGGGCATGGACGGGCGGGGGGTGCATGCTAAGTCAGCGAACGGGAAGCGGGAAGGTAAAGGTAAAGGTAAAGACAAGGGGAAGGCGCGCGCGAGGGACGACGACGCCGGGCCCAGCGTGAGTCCCCACCTTCGTCCTTCCTTCTGCGCGCCCTCGTAACTCACGATTCTCGCAGCAGCCTCAGGTATCCGGATTCATCGCTGACGCGGCCGCAGCAGCCCAACTCACGCCCGCCGACCTCGCGCGCATGGTTGACAGCCTGCACGCGCTCCCGGACTACGTGCGCGAGCTCGAGATACGCGGGGAGGAGCAGGCCGCGCGGATCGTGCAGCTCGAGGCGGTCGTCAAAAGGTCAGTGCTCTTCCGTCTTTCGACCCTTGTTGATGGCGTCGCCCTTCCTCGCTTTGATATCGTGAGCTGACTATGTGACCATGGGCTGCTTGCATGTGGCGTGGTCGGTACAGGCTGGAGAAAGAAAAGTCCCTCATCGAGAAGGCGCTGCCGCGCAACTACAAGCTTTTTGGCGGGTAGCGTTCGTTTGTTGTGGGCTCTATAGCCCTCTGTGGCCTGCGTTTTGCTCCACATTTATCGCCTGCGGTCCTTACTGTCGACGCTTATTTCTCTCATCATCAAAGCAGTTGGTTTTGTTTTACTGTTGGGAGTTGTATATCTTGCCTCCTCATCACGGACGTTCCATCTCTGTGCATATTCTCGATATATATACATCTACTTTCTTTGTGCATATTCTCAATCTATATACATCTACTTTTTCTATCATCTGTTCCATCCGCGTTTGTATCTACTACTCTTATCTCCTTCCACGTGTTGCTCCTACTTCACCCCATGGTCAAACACTTCATGTTATTTTCTGGGGAAGGCGGTAGGAACCTGTATCGTACGCCATCTCTTACTGTTGTTCCCTATGTTCTGACTAACCATGAGCGCGTTTCAGCCTTAGTCACTGACCACACTGCGACGATAGTCGCACACTGAATGCCAGTCTTTCTAATCTGCATACCCCACCGACGTGCGTAATCGCATGTCGCGAAAAAGGCTCACCAAGCGGGATGACGCGAGGTCAGTCAGCATGAGCACCCACGGGCAGGCCTTCTTCTCCACATCCTGCAAGTGCCTGCCTGACTACAGCTCAGCTACTTGACGAGTTCTGCACCGGCTCGCGCTCTTGCCTGGTATCCGGACTTCGCGGCGCAGCCTTCTCCGTAGAGCAGTCTGGCGGCCCCACGCGCACGTAGGCTATTTGATGCCACTTCTGCCTGCCCTGCGCGGCGCAACTCAATGCATGAGATCCGCGTTTGAGGCATTGCTTCCCGCACCACGCGCATCGTTCAGCCGTATCATCTCATTGGTCTCGCCTGCCCATTCAACATTCAAGTTGCGATATTCAATCCCCACCCCGTCTATCTTCAGCGTTCTAGCACGACCCTCTGGAAAGACCTGGCTGCGCAGGAGAGCTATGTCTTGGTTGCTTCTGCTTGCCACACCTTGGGGTCCTCTGTTTCTCTCGTTAGGTTCGACAGAGACTCTTCTCCGCACCGGACGCGTGAGTGAATGCCGAGAACTTTGGTCTTGCGATACTTATCACTCATGTGAGCCTTATTTTTCGGTAGACAAAGTCCGCGAAACGCACCTCCATAGGAGTACAGCCTTCGGAATTGATGTATTGCAGACTATCATCACATTATATGCAACATCAGCGTCAATGTTCAAATAATGCGTCCAGGCCCGCCTTTGCGACAAGGAGAGCGCGTCCAACCCTGACTTCTGAAGTAGGGTTGTCTCGCAACATGTGTTGCCTGATGTACCGCGTCCAGCTGCGTTCACGCCTCAGTCCATCTTCTCCGCCGAACGACTTGTCTTCTGCGTATTGGGTCAGCAACGGAGACTACCGCTTGATAGACTTTGACAGCATCCACCCTCAGTCCATTTGCTGCGCCGGAATCCCTCAGACATATCATTCGGCATTATTCACCTCCCGCCAACTGTATGCGCGGGTAACCCGCCTTGCCTCAACGCGTAGTGCCATCCCAAAACAACGGTCGCGTCTTCGTGTCGCCAAATGTGCAGCTGCAGCCGCTCGTCTCGCACCGAGCTTCGCCTGTGACCACGATCCCGCCAGCCTCGTTCACAGATGTGTAGAAAGAGACATTGTAGTCCTTCGTCGACGGAATCTTCCCTGCGCTTGTGCACATGTGAGCAGGCTTCGCAACTCAAGGAATCGCGCAGTAGCGTGTGCTGTCGACTCCGATCAACCTTCTCTCAACTCGCCAATGTTCCGCCGTGCCACAGTTTCCCCTCCATTCGCCTGCTGGGTATTATCTTTACCCCTAAACTGAATCGATGCGAACATATGGTACAATGCGTGAACCACTATTTCGAGCCTTCGAGCCTTCCTCGCACTCTATTCGCTCGACGTTGGGTTCTGGAGGTCAACGCAAAGCTGGGAAAAGTGCCGACTGTCATCCCTAAGATCACTGAGCCAAACCCTTGAACAGCAAACTCCTCGGATACATCAGTGACATAGCAGTGAAGCAGACTATCTTCCAAGTGCACCATCAACGCGAGCCAGTGCCAGGCGATAGTCACAGTAGCCTCCTAGACTTGATCACTCCGTGGCTTCGATCTTTTTTGTACGTCGTGTCGTAGTACGTGAGCCCCACAAAGCAGCTAGACTCTTTGTGGAAGCTATGTTGCATCAAAGATCCCATATCTCCCCCGGTGCCGTACGCACGCGATGTCACGTTGCCCAAAGGTACACAACCTTGCACTTGCATCGTTCTTCCGCCGGTTGTGCTGACCCCGCATTGAATACTCTTCACCCACGTCGGTGTGCAGTGTGTGTGGGTGTGTGTGCAATTGACGGCTTGGGGCGAATCAGCACCGCGCACGTACCCGGGGCTTGTTCGTGGACCGAAGGGGCTTTGCGGGCCCAGGCCCCCAACTTCTGACTATTTTCCCCCAACCCCCGTCTAGTGTGGCAGGCTGCGGCCACACCGGCCGAGTGGTAGATTTTGAAGCGAGTGGAGTATCGAGGGTCGATGTCATCCTAACCGAACTTCTGAAAGGACGTATTTTTGACTTCCCTTCCTCGTTGGCTGTACTCGCCGACGTCGTCGTCTAGTGTAACGAGGTAGCCAGTGTATGGGCTCCTGGACGCGCGATAGCGGCGTGGGACGAGTCGAGATGCACCTCTACACCTCGAATACCAACCAGGCATCTTGCATCCAGCACGTGGGACGCTGTGAGAGGTTTTGGCCGTATTGCTGAAATCTCGGTAGGATCGTCGTCATAGGTTGTTTTGGTGCTGTTTTACTCTAGGGACGTGGTAAAAGAAGTCACATGAGAGATTGAATATCCAGCCGTCGAAGCCGAGCGTCATCAAAGTCTATCTGGATATTCGAAGGTTCAAGATTCCATTTCTTCATCCACTCGTCAAGACGAAACCTACGGGATGAATCACGTTGGGGTGGTCTCGCTGTCGTCGGGGTCCGATACTGTACCGACGTTATTGACGTCGGTGATTGAAAATTCTCCGCGACCCCTTCAATTTGACCGCAATCTCAACCAAGTCTGTAAATTGACGCTCATGGTCCCATCATCTGCGCAGCTTCTACTACCTCCTAACAGCGCTCGTCGTACGTATAGACAACAAGGAATTTCCTAGCCTCAATACCAAGCTCCTCTGCTGGCCATACTGCTACGGGAACCACGTAATACTCCCACTGGTATACTCTGTCTGAAATTCTTCATTTGGACGGGTGGTGCGGATTCGGTGAGCTGCTTGGCTTCTCTGCAAGCTTTGATCTCCTCTTGTTGCAAGTGCGTTCAAGGACTTCGGGTTCATTTACGGTACTATGCTGACTCAAACCGACGCGTGTAGGATTTTAACGGCAGTCCCCCTTCTCCGGTCTAGCCGTCTATTGTAACGATGTCCGTATTTCGGTATGGTGATGGGCCAAAGTAGGTCACTACATATTAAATGGGCGTATCGTACCCTTTCCCGAAAAAAAATGACGTCTGCTTCGAGAGGAATAAGTCGATTCCCCGTAAAGGCCTTTCGGAGCTCTGGGCAGTAACTTTGTTACTCAGTCTGATCTGTGGACTCCGTCAATTCCGAGTCGAACGCGTTCTCAGCAATTCAGAATGTCGCTGTCTACTCAAGAAGCCCCGCCACTGCAGGTATGTAGATAATCACGGGTTCCATTGGTAGCGCCCCCTTCCTTGATGTCTGCGCACATAGTCCACCAGACACGATGCTGCGAGTTGGGACCGACTTTGCATGACGCCCGTGGCCAAATGTCAAAAGACCGAATTCCCTCTTTATGCTAATGGGTGTCCAGAAATACCTTCGCGGCTGTTTCCGGCGTTCCCTCAACGGCGTTGTTTGTCTCACTTCGACGTCACCGGATCATCAGAATCCCTTCGAATGCATCTATGGATTCAATACGTTGGAATGACTTCGAATTCGCTGTCCCATCGGAATGCCTCGTTCCTGATCGTACAAGTGCCGACCTGAACAGCTTCTATGAACGCTCGGCTTGGCTATTATCCTGGCTCTAAAGAGGCAGTGCAACATCAGATGACCGAACATCTTGGGATGAGGGCGTGCGCCCTGCTGCGTGCGCCGGATGGAATAGCGATTGACTCTGAGCACATGGAAGGGATGTGAGGGCGCATCCACAGGTGAGCAAAGTTTATAATCACGAATGGTCTCGCTAACCTATAGGGGCGATGGGATCACCACTAGCATACCTGCAGGGAAGCCCCGCTTGATACCACTCGGGTCAAGGCTCACAACTCATATGTCATGTAGATTGTACGTGAGTTGACTGCGTGAGCTCATTTACGGCCTATGTTTTGCATTGTGGTGGTGAGTCCTGATGACTGATGGATGGATCATCATGGTTTGCGAACAATCACCCGCCAAGTTCTACTTGCTAGAAGGTGTAGGATGCAGGACGGCGATACCCCTGGCGCTGAAGGAGATCCACCTGGCGCGCTCCGCGGCGCCGTCGTACGCCCCGTATCTCCTCCTGCCAGTAGGTGGTCGACGAACAGTTCGGACGCATTCAATTCAAGGCATGAGGGCTATCCTGACAGGGTGTCAGCCATATCTCCTTGTAAGACTGGCATTGGACATAATCAACGCGTATAGCCGAACCGGTGCGTGCGCACGTCTGTTTCACCCCAGATCATGGAGCCTTTTGACGCTCTGTCACCCTGAGCAAAGTCCTCGGGTGGCCGACAGTCCCTTTCGTGTACCCATTCGCCTGACGAACAGATTAGAAAACAATCGACGGAGAAGGAGTGCCGTGCTTGCACGATTTATCACGTCCGCAGCAGTGATGGGTACGCGGATGCTAACTGAGCACGCATGATGTAGGAACCCGATGTCCAGTGGAGTGGTATGCGACCTGCATACTGTACCTGCATACCGCCCGAGTGGGTCGAGGTCGATAGCAGGGACCGTCTGGCGATCTGTACCACGCACTCTATCTACCTCGGCACTTCCAGAGTGGTGGTACGCGAGGGGCCATGGACCGCTTCTCATCACGGCACGGTATATCACATCAAGTTTCAAGTCCGGGTACCCCTCTCGACCTAGAACGCCCGGCCTGGCACGGGTACAGTGATCCACAATCGCCCACCAGCCGCCCCAAAAGAACCAGAGTGAGGTCCTCACGTGGCCACCGACGCTAGATTTTTCATTATCGTTCAGCCACCAAGTTCTGCGCTCTATCTGCTGAAGACTAAAAATGCATCACAGAGGAAGTGGCGGGCCCCTCGTTCTAGCTCAGAATAGCCAAACTCGGCATGGAAATAAGCAGGCTCGAGAGGGTCAAGGCACGCAAAGCGCAAGCACTCGCCCATGAATAGTCGTTGCTGAGAACACTTCACCCGGTCCGGAAGCAAGCTCTTTGCTGCCGTGAGGGGCAGCATTTAGGAGCGGATGGAGGTTGACGCACAAGTGTTTTTTCTCTCATGACAAGCTTTGAGATACCCTCCAAGGCTGCATCTTTCTTGTGGCAGTTATATGAGGCCATATGCGAATCGCAATGGTCACGCTGTGCCGGAGACGTGAAGGAACCTTATACGCTTTATGATCGTCATACACACTAAGTATCAGTATCCCAGATGACTACACAAAGGCTGGGTATCCAACAAATGACGGATAAGGTGAAGATGCAGAGCAGAAAAGGCTCGTACGTATGTGGACGTCAGAGTACAAGGAGAGGTTAAACCAATAATATTGATTGCACAAGGGTCTGTTTGGACGAAGCGCGACAGTGAACGACACCAGATAGAGAGAGTTCAACCGGAGCAGGTGTCAGAGGTGATGTGCGAGATGTAATGCTGAAAATGTGCGCGGCGTGAATGGATAGTGAATGTGCGGATGGGAGAATCGGTGAAGCACAGCAAAGTGGATGAGACACCAACAAAAAGTTCCTAGCAAAACAAGCGTTTCCACCACAGCTTGAACCGCACCCACCAGCCGCCGTCCCAGCCCTCACTGCGCATTTGCGCGCTGACCCACATCTGGCCTGTGCCGACGCGGATCTCGTTCTTCGGGTCATCGTCCTCTGCGCCTTCCTCGACGTCGGTCAGGCGGCGCGACGGAGGCGGTCGAGGGGGAAAACGGGGCAGCGTGCGCCGTGAAATGAACGTGGGGAACACCTTGAGCAGTTCGAGGACCTCTGGATCGGGCAAGTTGGGCGACGTCCAGGTGCGCATGTATTGCTGCTCGGTCTCTTCGAAACCGTTGTCAACGAACGGTGGGGGAAATATGTCGTAGGCCTCTCCTGGGGGCGTTGTCGGGCTAGGCGGGTCGGTGTCAGAAAGCGAGGCGGAAATCGGCACAGCAGTATTTCCAGACGACGATTTCGTGATCGTGGATGTGAACGAGCGGGAAACGGGCGTGGTGTCCAAAAAAGGGTCACTAGGGGCTCGGGAGCGTTTCGCGAGGATAGGGGTATCTTGATTTGTCCGCCGAGCAGGGACAGGCGATTTGGAATACAAAGGTTGGGATTGCGACCGAGAGTGCATGGGAGAAGGCGGTCGGTATAGCGGTGAATTGTTGACGGACGATGTTGAGGTGCGTTTGGAAGGGAACTCCTCGAACCCTAAAACCTGGATTAAAGTGAGCCATCGACGTGCATTTGATCACATCAGTCATGAAGCGGCGAACGCACTCCTTTGAGAACGTCAATAGCTTCGAGCATAAAATCTTTGCCACTGAGTAGCGCAAATCGCCGAGGTGAGAAATATTAACCTCAGAACTCGTAATCATGTTAAAATAGAGACTCACGCCGCTTCTTTGAAAACAGCGTCGTCGATTTCCCATTCTATTCGATATCCTCCCGCACCGCCGAGCTGCTCAGGAACGACTTGGAGTCTCATTAGAGCCCAGAGACCCTCGAAAAAGGGCTTAGTGCCTGGCATCCCCATAGTGCACCAGCTGCGCACGAACCGGTCGAAACGCTCGAATCTCTCTTTCTTTGCCATTGGGCCGCTAGGATCTGCGCGCGAATGAGGCATTAACGAGCCGCCGGGATGGGTAGCGGACAAGTGAGCCTGGAATTCGGCCGTCCGTCGAGCGTTCACGCTCGCGTGATACGCGGTACGGATGGAGGACTGCAGCCTCGAAAAGGGGGCCCGCTGCGAGGGGGGCAGCGTGGCCAAGGTATTCGTCATTTGTTTGCCGGCCTCATCGTTCTGGTCAAAGTACCTGTCGACGATAGTGAAACGACGACGAAGATCGCCAATCTGCCCGACCCGAAATTCAACGATCGGAACTTACCATTGACGGCAGTAGCCTGCAAACTCCTCGAGATCGCTGAGAACTCTGGATGGGGTGGCCGAGCGCGTGCGAGAAGCGGGCGGGGGACTGGTCCTGCGCCGAGGTTGTCTGATCCTGGAACGGCCGGGATAGTTTGGTGAGGTCGGAGAATTGAGCGGTATCGTTCCTGATGGAGGGGGGGAGAGAGGTGTCGCCGAAGGAAGGTCGTAGAGAAGGGGCTCTGGGGATGCGCCGGAGGATGCGCCTGCGAGCGAGGAGGAGCGTTTTCCCGAGCTGTTTTGCAGGCGCAGGGGTGGAGGCGGTGGGCGACGTTGAGTTTCGAGACGATATGATGGCGCGGACATGATATCCTATGGTATCTCCAGTTTTGCCCTGGAGCGGCGCGTGTATCCGGGACGCTCCCGGAGCACGCAGTGGTCTGAGCAAAGAGAAATGTCGCGCAAAAGAGGAAAAAAACAAAGAGAGGTGCGGGGGGGATGGGCAAGCCGTCTGTCGCGATGGTGGAGACGGGGGAGGAGAGAGAGAGGGTGGCAGGTGGGCGACGACCACCGCAAGGCAACTGTCCAACGCCGCCGCGGCCACTTGTCGTGTCACGCCCTGTCATCCCCGGAGTCACACACGCCCGTGCACACCGTGCACCCGCAACGTCGTTCTCCATCCCGCTCGCTGCTGTCCTCACACCATATATCAATATCGATGCTCGCCTCATCTCGCCTTATGTGCGAACACCCCCACCTCTCCCTCCACCTTGTCTTCTTCGAAGGACAGCAGCCTCAAGATCCATCTGTCCGATTCAAAGTGGTCACATGTTCACCATGAACCGTTGATCTCGGTGAAGCTCGGAACTGCACCTGCCAGTGCCAATTCACGCCGCGAACACTGTGCCCATAAGCGTTTTGCCTGCTTATGCCATCCTATGCGTATGTGATCCATCCTGCTTGTCGTCCAACAAATGCGACGCTATGTCGAAACCTGGGCGTCAGGCGGCCGCGGTCTGCATCTTGCGCCTCGACGGCCACTTCTGTTTTCCTAATCAGAACTTCGGATCCTTGTTGATAATAGGCTAGTCTAGTCGCCTCGCAAGTCTCGCTCTCGACTTTGCGCGTATCTCACTTCCACCCCTCGGACGCTCGGGCCTCGTTATTCTCGACCGAGGCGTCTTATCGCGCGTCGCGCATTGGCACATCTACGAGGTCGCACGAGGACGGTCAAGTGATTTCGCGTACGCTCTGCCCATCGGTCCTTCATTCAATAAGTAGCACTCATGATTTCGGACGCGACGGCCGATGCGCAAAACTGGCGAGACGAACGCACCAGAGCTGCAAGCTCTTTAGCCTTCTTTCTTGCCGGATCATCGCTTGCGAGACAGCTGTCGCGCGCCGTCGGACGAAGCTGCACCACAGCCCTTCGATCGAACGATGTCCTCAGGCCAAAGGTCCTCGACTCGCGTCTCCTTCGCTCTGGGATTGACCGACGGCGCTGCCATGACCCGTCTCGCATCTCTCCGTCATAAATCTGCTTCGACTGGTGCCTCGCATCTGATACTCGTTAATGCGAAGCAGTGCGACGCGTACGGTATTCATGTATAGGCCCCTGTAAATACTTACGACACTGCGCCCTAGCAACCAACTCTCGGGCTCGACGTCATGCACAACAGAGATGATGCTCTGTGCAGTGCTCGAAGTCCATGCCGCATCGCCAGCAATTCATTAATTGCTGATACTGTAGAGACGAAGAAGCGACGTCTGTCTTGTGCGCGAGGACCATCGTCTGCATCAGCCGCCCCGTGATCGGTAACGCCGATCCATCTGCATCTGCGATCAACGTCGCCATGCAATTTCCTATCCCGGACGAGTCGACTGCTTTGCTAGCGCGCGGCACGGTACCAAGGCTGCATCAAGGGCGCGCTGCTCAGGCACCAAGCGCTGACTTCACGCGCTACTGGCGCCACGAGCGGAGATTGCACAACAAGGAGACAGACATACCAGGACGGGCGCGGAAGCAAACAAGTCAAATGGCTGCATCGTTTTCGGGTCCGCGCGCTTGCCGCCGTTCCAACCCTCCCTCGATCGGCGTCGACGCGGCGGACGACGCAATATCAGCAAATTGTTTCGAACAACACGAGCTGAGTTTCGCAGCCGGCGGACGGCGATTCGCAACTCAGAGGCCCCGCGCGGGCGGGCCATTGCCCGCCGCGGCACGACGACGCACTGATAGGCAAGTCGGTTCACCGTGCGCGAGCGAAGCTCCGACCCGGCATCCTATCCAACCCCACTTTTTGCCTATGAAGAGCGACGGATGTTCCTGAGTCCGAGCAGGTCTGCGCGGGGGTGCGCGTACGTCACGCCTCCCCGACCTCCCCTGGAATGAAGTACCCGCGAGGTCTGTCGGACGGACCGCGGTCTCGTCCATTCCTCATCTCATCTGTCATTCGATCGGTCTCTAAAGGGTGTAGGCTGGTGCGGGCTCGGGCATCGACCGCCACCCGCTTACCGACACGACTTATCTACAGGCGCGAGGCGCGTGTATGGCAGCCCACTCGACCATGCACGGGCACGGATGCCTCGCGTCATGATCGTGAGTCGCGTACCGAGCACAGCCGGCTTACTGATAAGTAGGTGCAAGATACGGCAGACGATACAGGTTCGGGACGGACGGGGAGACGCGGCAAGCGGTGACCGGACTGCATCCACACGGGGGTGCATATGGCTGTGATGCATCGCGCAGTCAACGCAACGCGTATATCGGTCGGCGGATAAGTAACATGGGGACGCTGACAACGACACGACGGCGTGCCATATCACACCGCCCGCTCGCGCTCGCACTCGAGCTCGACGGCAGCGGCCCGGCGGCATACCGATCCTCCCGAGCCCCCACTCCACTCCTTCTCAAACGACGCGGCGCGCGCATGCCTGTGCATACGACGCCCCCGCATCCGAACACAAAATGCACTCAGCTCGACGCGTGCATTCCGGCATGGCAGCCCGGAGCCCACCCGCTGGGCCAGACACCGCACCTTGCGTGACAGGCCCCGGCCGCCCATACGCGCTCGGACGCTCGACGGTGTCGCCATCGCGGGTGCCGCAGACACCCAAGGTGCGCGCCCACGCGCCCGCGCCACGCAGAACGCTCGTCCAGTCGAGGCGCCGCGCCGCGACGCACACAATGAAATGATACGCGGGGCCGACGGTATGCCCTCATATGTAAATACGAACATCGCATCGCATCGCATCGCATCGTATCGCTCGCGTCCAAAGTTTTACTTACGGCAGCCGCCAACCCATTCAAGGGCCCATTCTCAAGTAGGAAGGCGCAACCAGCGGCGAACCGGGTCGAACCGGGCCCACGAGCGAACCACCCAGATGCCTACGAATGCGGGATGCCCATGTCCGTGCCTGTATCCACTATCCATGTCCATACCCATACCCGCAATATCCAAGTGCAGAAACAAGCAGACAGCCTGACCTTGCGCTTTATGGCGTGAAATGCGGGCGGCGGGCAGGTGACCCGCTAGCGCGTGCCGCAACCCGTGCCGCGCGGCGCTGGCCCAGAGTCGCCGGCGGGGGCGTGCCCCGCTGAGGATCAAACCGCCGGAGTGGCGGCGGCGTTCCCGTTCATTTCGAGCGGGCTTGAAGCTCGACGAAACGGTGTTTGCGTTTGAGTTTGCGTTTTTGCGTTTTTGCAGGTCCGCCCTGCGCCGCTCGACCCCCACCCCCTCTCCCCATCTCGCTTCCCCAGTTCCCCCCTGCCTGCGCGTCAGGATGACAGATGCAGAGCTGACTGATGGGCGGGGCATGTCAGCGATGCTGTGCGGTGTTAATGAAGCACGCAGGCACCGGTGGCCTGTGCTGTGCCCAATATGTACGGCCGCCAGGCCTTAATTGCAGTCGGATCTGATCTGTGGCATCCTCACCATCATCCTCACCCATCATCATCATCATCATCATCATCATCAAAAGAAGGGCCTGCGCGTCACGAGGAAGGGATGATGGGCGTCAGTCAGCCCGCGAAGCGAGGCGCGACTCTGCGCGAATGCCCAACTTGCGAACATAGACATAGACATAGACGCGACACTGCCTGCGACTGTGACTGCCAGCGGGGCCAGAGCGCGCGCGCCACCGCGCAAACGCGGCAACCAGTGCCCAGATCATGGAGATTATGTCTCGTCTGTCCGAAGCCCATCCGCATCTGTCACGTCGCGCGCGCCAGCGAGGCAGATAGGGACTGGGAGCCACTGGGAGCCGGCCAGCCGACCGGTCCCCCGCGACGCGAGCCAAAGAGAGAAAGCGGAATAGAGATCGAGGGGAGTGAGGGGAGAGGGGGGCCCAGCAAGCGCGAAGGGACCCATCACGGGTCCCAGATCTCGTCTCGCGCCTGGAGGGGATCAAATCAAATAAAGCCTCTCTCGTGCGAGCAGGTGGGCCCTGTGCGCGACGTCTCGAGCGTCCGACCGCCCGACCGCCCGACCGAGGTCGTTCTGCGTTCTGCGTCATGATGAGGGGGACTGGACTGCAGCGCGCAGGGGGAGATCGAACCGGAGCTGGGGCGGACCGAACCGGCATGAACTGATGCTCGCGCTATGCACATGCGCACGATGCCAATACGATGGAATGACTCGACTTGATAGGGTGGGATCTGGCGCGTACGCGCCTGCCCTCGCCGGCGGGTATGTTGCATGCGCGCCGATACCAGCAGCATCAGCAGCAGCCACCGTGAGTCGCCCAAGTGCGGCTCGAGAGGCTTCTCGCGGCCTCGAGGTGCGCGTGCCTGCATCGGCATCCTGAGACCACATCCGAGCCCGGAGGGTACCCCGGGTCTGCGCGCGCACGGCGTCGGCACCCGCGACTATCCGCGTGCGCCAAGCCCGCTGGGTCGGGCAGCCCGAGCGGCCACTCACGTGGTCGAGGGAGCACAGTCGTTCTGCATTGACGAACGACTGGCGACGAACGGCGGACGAACGACGGACGAACGACGACTGGGCGACGAGCGGCGACGAAGAAGGACGCGTGTGGACGCGTGGGCGCGCACGCGTCGTGATCCAATCACGACGCCACGCCGGGCGAACCTTGATGGACGAACCTGTGGACTGTGAACCTTGAGGTAAGGCCTTGCCCACCAACTCGCGCGCAACAGACACCGGCCGGAAGCAAAAAAACAGAGTGCGCATGGCCTATCGCGTGCGCGGGACGGTCGCCCGCCCGCCAATGACGTGCGCCGAGCGACGAACCGCGAACCGCGAACCTCGCACGGGCGAAAGAAACCGCGCGCAATAGATACCGGGGGGCGGAGGGCACGTAGCCTATCAGCGCGAGCGGCGCATCGCGAAGCGCGAGAAAAAAATGAGGGGGGAGGTGGTGGTGGTCAGAGGGGGAGGAGCTGGGAACCGAGCCCCCGAAGCGGACCCACGGTCACGGCCGGGCTCTAGCCCGAGCTCCAGCCCCGCTCCATCCATCCATCCATCCAGCCACGCATCCAGCCGTCCAATGAGGAACGGAAACGCACGCGAGGAAGGTGAGAAGCGCAGAAGAGGGAAGGGCAGATGGAAGCGGGAAGGATGGAAGCCGGGGGCGAGCGATAGCCTATCGAGACGCCCGACGCGCGCGCAGAGGGCCGTCGGGCTGGCCGGCACAACATGGCGCGAACGCGCAGCGGGGCGGAAATAGGAAAGAGAAAGTGTCAACGAGTCAACGAGGGGGAGGGGAGGGGGAAAGGGGCGTCTGAGCCGCTCGAGAATGGCAAAGGCAGAGGCAAAAGCGGAGCATAAACAACAAAGAGGAGACGTCGATGCGCAAGGCACCGCACAAAACGATTATCCACATCCCCCGAGCGCGAACGCATAGCCCGAACGAGCACAGCCGACGCCCCATCCGCAACGAAGGGGGAACGAGAAGGGCGAAAGCGAAGGCGAAGGAAGAGAAGACGAAGACGAACGCGCGGGAGCAGGAGCGGGAAGCCGGCGCGCGCATCGGGTGCAGGTGTCGCGATCGACACGCGCTGGCAGCCCGGACGACCCGCTCATCGGGTGCCGGTCGTGTCCTCAATGCCTGAACAGTGGCGTCTGCATGTACGCTGTGCATCACAATTGACGCAATGTCTGTCTGCGTATCCCACACCACATCCAAGCATGACGGCTGAATGTATGCATACTGCCGGGTGGCGGCGGCGCTGGGATCTTATGGGACAACTTGATGTGCAGTGGCGATGAGACCGGGACGTTTGACGAGTCGAGCGTTGCAGCACGGTCAGAAGCTAAACGGACGCCGCAGCACGGCACAGCACGATCACCGGCCGAGCGACGCACGATGCCACCAGCATGCGCGTCGGATCGTCCGACGCGATCACGCTTGTGCGCGCAGACCCGCACCACGCCAGCGCGCACGACTTGCCCGCCGGGTTCGCCCAGAACGCGATCTTTGGAAATTTCGAATGATAGCGCTTGCACGGATGTTATGTGCCACGCATAAATGAACGCCGGTGCGCTGCATGTCTGCGTGGCCCGCGTACAGCGCACGTCTGCGTGGTCCATACCCCGGCTAAGCGCGAGCGCTGAAACATACATGCTGCCCAGCGGCGTCGGCGTCAGCGCCAGTTATGAGGCAGGAGCCGGCGGGACAGCGAGACCGAGACGTTCGACGTCGGAGGCTGCAGCACGGTCAAAAGCCAAATTCAGCGTCGCAGCACAGCACAGCAGCACAGCGGGATCGCCGTCCGCGCCACGCGCGATGCCACCAGCATGCGCGACGGATCGTTCGACGGGATCGCGCGCGTGCGACGGGTGGGCGGGCGCGTGAAAGGCGAGAGGAAGAAAGTAGCGCTCCATGTGGGCGCAGGGTCGCGGCGTGGCGGGGGACTGGAGACCTGGGGAGGGTCCGTGGCCAGGTCTGTGAGGGCGCGGGTGCGGGGCAGTGGGATCGCAAGGCGGAGGCAGTTGGGGAGGGCCCCGCTGGCTGGCGAGGGCAGGGGCCAATGGGCAGGGTGCCGCGATCGAGCAGGGGCGGGGTCGGGAAGTGCCGCGGCTGGGCTGGATGTGTCAGCGTGTGTCAGCGGTGATGAAATTCGAATGGAAGGGAGGTGCGTCGGCCGCGGGGAGAGGACCGTCGGCAGGGGTGCGGCGGTGGGACGGGTCGGTCGAGGAGAGCGATCGGGAGGCGGGTCGACTGCTGGATCGAAGCGGAGGGGTGGCGCGATCGAACGGGTTCGTTCGAGGGGATCGCGACGCTTGATTGGCGCGTACCTATCAGGACTGCGGGTACGTAAAGCGAAACGGGCAGACCGCGGAAATAAACGTTACGCAAGGCGAGCTGAGCTGAGGCCACCGTACTGACACGGGAGGGTGAGTGGGAGGGTGGGTGGGAGGGGTGTGGGGGGACGGAACGGGTCGGCGGCGCGAGAGACGGCGGGGGGGCTGCGGGGGGGTTCGTCGAGATGAAATGGGGGGGGAGAGAGAACTGGGGCCGAGGGGGGCCACAAGGGCAGGGGGATCGGGGGACGGGAGAGGAGGACGGTGCGGGGAGTCGTGTCGGAAAGAAGGCTGGGGAGGATGTTGCGATTGCAATAAGGTTCAGCGTGGCCGGATGATCTCCTCAGCACGCTCTCTTATAAGTCCGTGCTCGCGTCTGCACACAGCCTCCAATGGCTCAGACCGCGGCCTGGCTCCCCCTCTCCCCGTCCCCTGACTCCCCCATGAGCACGGACCCCCGCCCAAGCCAGGACCTCACGCGCTGGGAGCTCGCAGAGATCCTCAAGTCCAACACCGTCGCCCGCGACCGCAACATGGCCCTCGACGCCCAGCACGCCCAGCACCCCCACCACGGCTACAACACCCACTTCGACCCCTCGTTCGACCCCGACAAGCTCAGCCTCCACGATGACCCCTCCTACGACCTCTTCGCGAACCAGCCCCACCCCTCCTCCTTCCTGGGCCACCGCCTCCGCTCGAACACGTCCCCCGCCGCACCCTCCTACTCCATGCCCTCCGACCAGCTCTACGCCCACCCCCCCTTCGGCGACTCTGTCCCCTCCTTCCATTCCCAAAGCAACCCCAACCCCGGTCCCTACGACATGATCAACTCCCTCTCCTCCTCCTCCTCCCCCTCCTACCCCAGTGGCAAGCTCACCCCCCTCGCCCCCAACGACTCCCTCGCCGGCCTCCACCCCGGCCCCTTCAACAACAACAACAACAACAACGGCATCAAGCACCAGGACTACTCGTCCCCCCACCCCTTCTCCGACCTCCTCCCCGACCGCCGTCTCTCCTCCGTCAGCTCCAACGGCTACCAGTCCGACATGCACGACGACCTCGCCCTCGCAGCCTACAGCTCCTCCTACCACGACCGCCTCGCCCCGCGCGCCTATCCCTCCGACTCCCTCTTCGCCCCATCCTCCCAGATGCACTCCCATTCCGCCGTCCACCCCCACGGCCACCCCCAGAGCCCAGACCTCCTCCGCGGCGTCGCCCCCCAGGCGACCCACTTCCGCCCCGACAACGCCGCCCCCTCCCCCTACGACGACCTCCCCGGCTACATCATCCCCAACCCCCAGACAGACCTCGCCCTCCGCATGCCCGCCGTCGACGACATCATGCGCATGCGCCTTCACAACTCGGCCGGCATCCCCGCCGCGACAGACCTCCACACCTTCATTCGGTGCGCGCCTCTTTGCCTCCCTCGCTTCTCGCTTCTCGCTTCTCCTCCTTCGTCTTCCAATTCTCCCGTCCCATTCTGATCTTTCCCTTTTGACCCCTCGCGTCCCGTCCCGTCGCTTGCAGCCCGTACCTGGACCAGTACGTCCGCACCCAGAACCGCCTCGCCTTTGGCGAGCGCACCGTCATCGTCATGTCCAGCAAAGTCGCGCAAAAATCCTACGGCACGGAAAAGCGGTGCGTCCCTTTACGTGTCCCGACGTGGCGTCCGCGCGTTGGCTCGGATGCTCAACTCACTTTTTTTTTTTTTTGTTTGCTCTTTTTTTGGTTCCGTTTTCCCCGTTATTTTGATCGCCCGGTCAGATTCTTGTGCCCGCCTCCGACCGCGATCATGATCGGCAACTCATGGTGGTCCGACGTCGTCCGCCGAGGGGAGGAGCCGAAACTCTCGCCTCCGCGCGTCGTCGTATCCATCTCGGGCGAACCCGCGCCCCAGGAGGGCTCCGTCGAGTGGTCCGCCGCGCTCGGCAAGCCGTTCGACCCCAGCGATCCGCCCACGGGCACGACGTACATCGGGCGCTGCGTCGGCAAGCAGCTCTTCATCTCGGACGTCGACGAGAAGAAGAAAAAGGTCGAGGCGCTCGTGAAGATCATGGCGCCCGCGGCCGACGACGAGCCCGAGCGCGTCATCGGCACCTTCCCCAGCCGCCCGATCAAGGTCATCAGCAAGCCCAGCAAAAAGCGGCAGAGCGCGAAGAACCTCGAGCGTGAGTCGATCGCCCTCCCCATCTCGCGTCTTGAAACGGCTTGGCTGATGCCCGTCGCGCGCACGCAGTCTGCATCAACCACGGGTCGACCATCTCCTTGTTCCATCGCCTGCGATCGCAGACGGTGTCGACAAAGTATCTCTGCGTCTCTGGATCAGGATCCTCATTCAAGGGCTCCGATGGCGCTCCGCTGATGGGGGTGGATCAGCGCAATCGAACGAGCACGCCCTCGTTCATCGCGCGGACGTCCAGCTGGGGTAAGTCCCCTGCCGCGCTGCGTATCAGAAGCGCGACCCCCGCACCGCGGCTCACTCCAATTTTTACCCCCGTCGCAGACCCGTTCGTGATGTACATCGTTGATGTGGAGAAGCCCGCAGGGGGTATCGATGCACCGCCACCGCCACCACCGCAACCTGACTACCCCTCGCCCCCGCCCAACGCGATCCCGTTCATGAACAACGGCTCCCCCATCCCCATCTACTACAATCAGACCGTGGTCCTCCAGTGCCTCACCTCCGGCGTCGTCTCCCCCGTGCTCATCATCCGCAAGGTCGACCACCAGACGATCGTCGTCGGTGGGGGCGCCCACGAAGGTGCCAAGGGCGTCGGCGACACGTACTGCGCGCCGGGCGAGGTGTGCGGCGACCCCGTCAGCCAGCTGCACAAGGTCGCGTTCGAGGTGTACGAGCAGGGCAAGGGCATGCCCGATCTCGGCTCGCCCGGCCAATCCGGCGCCTTTCTCTCCTGCATGGGCGAAAAGGTGAACACGTACCGCCCCACCGACGGCCGCCTCTGGGCAGGCGGTGCTGACGTCAACGGCACCGGCGGCCCGCGCGGGTCGCATTCGCCCGTGCTGCCGGGCTCGCCGCTCGTCTCGACGCCCGCGTCGAGCAACGGCTCGGGCGCGGGGTCGGCCTCGACCGACTATTTCCCGCACAACGGGCACGGGCACGCGACGAGCGCGCCCGCGTCGCCGGTGCCGAACCCGCTCGACTTCCCGTCGAACGACGGCGGGCGGGTGAAGAAGGGCAAGCGGAGCACGTCGAGCGCGGGCGGGATCGCGGCCAAGGGCAGCGCGTCGGGCAAGACGCGCCGGCGGCCCGTGTCGGCGGGCTCGTCGGGCAGTCGGCACGCGGGCGGGGACGGGAGCGCGATGTCGGGGGCGCTGTGGCAGGTGGATATCGGGGAGACGAGCGTGTGGACGATCGTCGGCACCGGTAAGTCGCGCGAACGTTCTGGGCGCGCTCCCCTTCTCCTTCTTCGTCTCCTCCTTGGGCCCGCGCGCGTTGTGTTCTTCTCCACGGAAATGCTGACGCGCCGCCACGGTGCGTGCGATCACAGATCAGGTGCGGTACAACTTTTACGTGCCGCCGGTGCTGTTCGACAACCAGAACGCGCCGCAGACGGGGTCGTTCCCGAGCCCGTCCAAGCCGGTGACGCCGTTCCCGGGCGTCGTGAAGTACCTACCGCCCGACCGCGCCGCGGAGGCCCCCAAGGGCCACGGCACTCGGCACATGCTCGCCAAGCCCAACACGCAGACGTCGAAGATGCTCACGCTCTACGGCGAGAACTTCTCCAAGACGGACCCGGTCGCGGTCTTCTTTGGGTCCGAGCCGTCGCCGTACGTCGAGATTCGGTGCTCGGAGGTGCTCGGGTGTCTCCCGCCAGAGACGCAGTCGACGAAGCGGCGGCCGATCGTCCTCGTGAGGCACGACGGCGTCGTGTTCCCCACATCCACGGTGTATCCGTAGTCGTCTCTCTCTGTCTCTCTGCCTCTCTGCCTGTGTCTGTCTCTCTCCCCTTCTCTCTCGGTCGTCGTCGTCTCCTTGTGATTCCCCGACCGCTCTTTTCCTGGCCCTCCTGACCCCGTCCTTTGTGCTGTCCCGTATATATGTGCTCTCCTCGCTGACCGTCTCGGACACTCTCGCGTGCTCGCTGATACAGACTATAGTTCCCATTTACCTCGCTGTCGTTTTGCATCATACCTCTGTGTGTTTTACCCGCCCCTATCTGTCTCCGTCCGCATCTCGTGTCTCTCTCTCTCTCTTTCTTTCTATCTGCATGTGTGTTCGTTCCTTCTGGGGACAGCGGGACGGGATTTTTTGTTTTGTTTTTTAACTTTCCCGCGTCGGATGCCAGCCGGGGCTTGGATCTGAATACTATGTATCTCGTACTGTGCGTAGGATATCGTGCTTGAATGACATTCGCAATATTGGACCGGTCTGCGAACGGCGAGTGCCGCGGAAGCGGAAGGGGCGGCTGCCATGCGTGCCCAGGCGGTTCGCGGAGGGCGCGTCCGACGGGCGCCACCACAGCCTGAACACCCACTCCGTCGAAAGCGCCACCACTGGCACTGCGCGCGATGTCGCCCGCCTCCATCCCCGCGCTGCTCTGGCGGTGGTACGTCGACGCGCTGTGGAACTACAGCCCTGACTCGTGGGTCGCCAGCGCCGCGTACACCTTTCGCCTCCTCGCGCTCATCGTCATCCTCCCCGGCGTCCTCCTCACCCTCCTGGTCCGTGCCCCCCTCCGCTGCCCACGATCTACCTGACCTGACCCGATCTGACCTTGCAGGACGTCACCTCCTACGTGATCGCACGCACGCTCGGCGACACGAGCGCATACACGTCCGACAAGACCCCCGCCCCCGCCTCAGCCCCAGCCCCAGCCCCAACCCCAACAACCCCAGCAACCTCATCAGCCTCTCCAGCCACCCCGCACCCCGCGCGTTCAACCGCCGCCGCCGAGGCCGAGTCCCCGCCCGCGATCGTCGTGCAGCCGGGCTCGCCGCACGCAGCGCGCTTCCCCGCGTTCGCGGGCGCGGAGGAGCGCCTCGCGGGCGTCGGCGTGTTCTCGCCCGCGGCGAGCCAGCCGGGCTCGCCAGTGCTCGGGCGGCGCCAGCTCGTGCGCGGGGAGGAGAATCGGGAGCGCGCGGAGGACGGGGACGGGGACACGAGCGGGGATGCGAACGAGAACGGAGATGGGGACGGTGACGGAGACGCGGACGGGGCTGCGGACGGGGGTGCGAGCGGGCTGCGGAGGGAGGGGGCCGGCTCCGAGTCGTGGCAGAATATGTGGGGCGAGGCGAGCACGAATGGGAGCACGAGCGGATCCGAGTCGTTTGCGATTCTCGAGCGGGACGAGAGCTTCGAGGACGCGGGCGCGGTGCAGATGCGGCGTCGTGTGCCGCGCGGGGGCGCGGGCAATACGGCGGACGGCTCGTAGCATCTGCGCGCGCCGTGCGTTGACGTTTTTTTCTGTTTTTCTTACTCTTACGGGGACGGATGTACTTTATAGAACCCTTGCAGCGAGGTGCTTTTCTGCGCAGGGGGGCGCGACGATACATACACGTATTATACTCTGATACAGCTCCGGCACGATCATGATACATAGGGACAACAAAGCGGGCAGCGACAGCGATATGGGAGGGGCACAAAAAAAGAGACCATCACCAGCCAAATCTCAGCTGGTCTCTCGTGAACGTCGGAGGCCGCCACTTCAGATACTCCTTGTGTATCGTCCGTTTCCGCTTCGCCTTAGACTTTTGGTACCGCTCGAGTACCGCGTCCGAGATGCAGATGATGTGCTGGCCTTTGTAGTGTTTGAACAGCTGCAGCGTCGTGCACCTGGCGTGTGCGCGAGGTCAGCCGTCTCCTAGAAAAATCAATCGACGGGATCAACGCACGTATTCATGACATCTGCATGGGTGATCGACGTCGCCTGCGCGATCTCGTCCACGCTGACTTCGTCTCCCGCGGCCAGGACCGCCTCGACGATCTTCTCCGCCCAATATGCGCGATACCCCAATAGCCCTAGGTCGCTGAGCGGCTTTTCGGGGCTCCCGAGCTTGCTCTCGTGCTGGCTGAGCAAGTACGAGAACTCGATCAGCAAAACGCCGTAGCCGTGCCGCTGGTGCTGCGGCAGCGTCAGAATGCACGCCACGTTGTAGTTCTCCGCCGACTCCTTTTCTTTCGAAAAGTAGCCGATGAGATGGCAGCCCGAGGAATCCCGTTGACACTGATGACGCAGGCGAGGAACGGTCAGTCCATCTCCATACACTTGCGAGCAGATATCGGAGTTGCAGGTGGGGCGCTCACCATCACGTAGTACATGAACGGCGTCACATCGTAATAGAGGGTCTTGCTGCGTGGAGTAACGGGGGACCCTGTCAGATCACGAAAATAGACTATAGACGACGAACAGGCCCTTACTGATCGAGAAAGCATTTGCTCAACAAGCTTAAATTTCGACAATACCCGAGCTGCTTGCGCCCGTCGATCTCGAAAACCGAAATGTCCTCATCTCGATAAATCTCATTTCCAGGGGGATAGAGGAGGGTGCAGCGCTTGCAGTGCCGCTTGAGCATGAAATGGCTCGGGAAGTAGCTGAGGCAGAACTCGCAGATGTACAGCATCGGCAAATGCGCGTACTCTTGCGGGTATGGGCTGAAGTACCACGCATCTACCTCATGTCGCCCGATGGACAGGCGGTTGAGGTTCTTGACGCGCGCAATCTCCGACACAGACTGCGTCATCGACCCGCTCGTGCGCAGCTTCTCGATTTCCGCTTCCTTGGAAAAAGACGACAGCGGCGCCGGGGACTCCACCGGGGGTGCGACCGCCAGTTCGAACGTCTCGCCCTCGCCCTCGGGCTCGCCATCGGCATCTGCGTCTGCGTCCGCGTCGGCATCGACATCCATATCGTCCGGCTCGCCGTCCGCGTCCGCGTCTTCGTCCTCCTCCTCTTCCTCTTTCTTGCGCCTCAAGGAAGGACTGGACGCGCGGGATGGCGATGGCGCAGGACTGGGCGACGCGCTCACCGAAGGACCCTGCATGCCCTTGGCCTGCCCCGCGATCGCGTTATTCAGCGTCGCGCGTCTCAGAAGCGCGTTCTCCTTCCCTCGCGGCATTTTTCCGATGCGCTTGTTCGTCGGCGTCGATGCCCCGCCGTGCTTCTTTCCTGCTTTCTCCTTCTCCCTCTTCTGACGTGGCCACTCGAGCTCGCGGGTCAGGACGAGCCGCGAGCCGGGGATCCATTCGTCGAGACGTTTATTGAATGTATCCCAATGGATGAAGAACTCGTACTTGTCGAGTTCGGGGTCGGGCGCGAAGAGGTCCGCTGGGGCTGCGTTGGAGGAAGAGGGTGTGGCGGCCGCGGATGCCTGATGGCGGAGATAAGGATTATTGGGTTTGTCGCGTATAGACAGAATTTCTGCCAGTCGCTCCTCGAGCGCCGAGGTATCTGGATTCCATCGCCTGGCATAGATCTTGCAGCCTACAGAGACGGTCTGGGTGGCGGAAGGCTCAACGCACGTTTATGACTAAGCAAGGAAAAGTTTGCGCACCTGAATGGTGTACGTCCCGCCGGGGGTGATAAGTGCAGCCTCTTGCGAGCTATCCTCGCGAGGTGTCGACGGTGCCATTATGGACGGCCGGTATGGGTTCCCTCAGGATTGTGCGAGAAAATAGGGTGTGGAGAGGTCAATCTTTGTCGTGTGGCACGCCAGCAGCAGTCGTGGCTTCGATGACGACGGGGCTATGTCAACTCGATGTTTTGGCTTCAGATGCAACTTAGCAGACCAACTTCAAGCCGAATCTTCTATGAGAAGTAAGACGATGGCTAGAATAATGCTGGAACAACAACAGCAATACCAGCCTTTGTTCGACACGAGTCATTTTGAACTTGTCACAAAACGTGTGATGATATGTCACAATACATCACGGTGTGACCAAACGTGGCAATCGAACCCTCAATCAAGTTGACCCGTCTGTCACCCGCACCATCTGACACTTCTTGGGCGTTCAAACAATCGCCGGTGGTTCGAAATGGGCGTTGTGTACAGTACATGTCGTTCCACACGCAACCACAGGTCTTCTCAGATCCATGGTTCGTTGGATACACATGCAGGCCCAGGGCTGCAAGAAGCCCCATTGACCTAACCACGAACTCGAAGACAATAGAGACAGGGGCACTTTGTCTTTCCAATCTGTCTCCGACATTGTTAGAAGAAGGCGGAAAGTGACCGATGAAGCTCATGCAAAGTTCGTTTGATGTTGCCTTAGGGATGCAAGTGGGTGCAAGCACCGAGCGATGTCGAAGAGCACACACAGACTGGTTCAGATATTTGAAGTGAGACGACAGCGCAGGAGACAACATAATTGGACAGGCACAGACCTCATTCTGTGGGTGATCAAGTGGCCACGTCCGAACTAGAAAGATTCTGTTTGTCTAGCTCAGTTACGTATGGTGTTGAACCTGTGAAGGAGATTGATCAGTCTTGACGTGTAAGCGCGGAAAGGTTATATTCTAGTCCAACCTTCAAAATCGCGTGTGCATCGTCGCAGAAGCACAGATAGTGACATTACGATCTCCATCGCTGAGGAAAGACACTGTAGGATTGTGCATATGCTCATACCAGAAATTTGTTCCCGACAACCTGGAAGAAGATTTCGCAGTCCGGGCTACAAAGCAGTCATCGGTCGAATCGCAAGACCTCGCAGGCGAGGCTATTTTGAGCCCGTCGATAACATCCCTGAGGTGACGACAATGTGGGCGAAGACCAGATGAAGGAAATGTGAAGAGCTGTGATTCCATAGAATGACACCTGGATAAGACATCGGAGAGCCGTAGGAACAACAAACATAGAACACAACGATGTTGCTATACTTTCATCGAGGTCGATCTTCTCATGCAAGTCGTAAAACATAAATGTGGGTGAGATGAAAAGAGGAGGACCTAACCCCAATCTAATGAGTCCGGCGTCACGGCGATCGTTTCCTACCTTCTCCCATCATTTCCTGCTGAGATCATCGTCTGCATTCGAGCAGCTCTATGTACAGACGACAGTTTGTCTACCTTCTACTATGACTCTGTCCGTGCTCAAGGTTGAGCTTTACAAATGCAGCGTCTTGTAATGTTGGGGTTCAGCGCATGTTGAGGTCACAGCTATCTTCAAGTATGATCGAGAACACGGGCCCATGATCACCATCTACAAAATCATCCGCAGTCGACTGCGAACTAGCTGGCGAGTGTCTCAATCGCACCGAGCACGATGTCATGATCGAGAATTGTTAGTTTACGAAATGCGATGAGCATCATTCTAACAGACACCGCCCGCTGAATTTTCTATGTTTTTATCGCCTCGGGAGGATGACTAGATGGGTGGATAGTCTATTACCCGCAGTTGTTTATACATAGAGCACGAGTCCGCCTATTCGTGTTTTATGTTGCGCGCGCCGCGCATCACATCGATGAGAGTGAAGGACCTCCATGCAGTCTTTTCAAGGGAGCAGGGTTCCTTTCGACTTCCGGTGAACGCAAAGAACATACGTGATCTGAGCCAATTGAGGGGACTAAGCGTTGAGGTCGCAATCTAAATTCATATCCACAGTTGTCGCGACCATCTCGTCATCGACCCTAGTCATCCGGTGACTCCCTTTTGAACCGGTATGAACCTCAATTCGGTCGATCGTGTTGACCAGGGTCCTATATGGGTTTCTTCCTTTGGGTGCAGATTTGATGACATCTCCATTCGCTATTCAATTGTTTTTTGTGGCCCTGGCAACATCTCTCAGCGCTTCAGCCGCCATACATATCCATCGCGCTCTTCTTCAACACACATCCAGCAACGTCCAGGTCTTTTTGTCTCCGACGGCTTGTCACACGATCCCGCATATCACAGCCGCTTGTGGGGACATTGCATGACATTGCGCCAAACGATGCCCACTGTCGGGCCATTGTGATGGTACGAGCCGATTACTTCCGTACAAAAGCACTGTGCAGTGTCCTTGATGAGGCGGCATAATGTCACACGTCGTCAGCTTCTTTGATTATTCATACAACAATCGACCACGGTACTTCGTTCACAACATTTTCAACTCGTTTTCCCCAGTCACAATCCTCAGTCGAGGACGGTTAATCAGGGCCCCAATCCAATTTTGCCATCATATCATTTTAAATATTACATGCCACCAAAAAAAGAACTGAAGCTACATATAGAAGAAATCGTAACGGTCGTCATATCAGACATTAAAATTGTACTGCTTGAGTCGAATTCAGTCATGAATGCTCTCCTCGCACCAATCGATCAAGTCGATCAAGTCCGACTTGGGCTCCGTCGCGTCCGGAGGGAAGAACGCCAGGAGCCTCTCGAACACCTCCGTCCGCTGTTCAAAGATTTCTTGCGATAGCCTATCATCCCCACTCACACCGCTGCTTTCGCCTTGACTGTCTTTCGTCAAGTCAGTATGAGGTGAAGAGGCGATCACCATCGTAGCAGTGGCATCGCCTGTGCTGCGTGAGGGCACGTTAATTTGACCAGAAAGGAGGTGTGTGAGGAGCTCGCGGAAGGTGTTACTCTCTGTGGGACAGGCGTGGTCCACGACCTCAGCGACCTCGGTCTGCAGGAACCGGAGGGCTTTTACGGGCGGAGAGTCCCTGCACATCTCGCGAAATCTGTACATAGGTGAAGAGTGTTGCTTGATAGTCAGTAGGAGCATGGCTAGAACTCCGATGCAGGGTGTATTTTACTCACTGCTGGCAGCGGACTTCCAGTATCGCACGTCGCGCGATTTCTTCAGGGCGTGGGCTGGTTGAAATCGATTAATTGAATTGCCCGCTCAGGGAAAGCGGAACGAAGCTTACCGCTTCAGCTGCATGCTCCAAAAGTCGTCCAGTCTGTGCTCAGACAGCCCGTCTCTACCTCCGTCCGGACTCCCAGGGTCGAGCATCCGGCCAGCGTTACCACCGTGCAGATAGACAGTCTTCGTACGGGAATCGTACACCATTTGATGGGCATACCGCGCGCGCGGTTGCTGGATCGTATGCTCAGCGTTCTCACGTGCCTCTTCAGGGAGAATCTTAGACCAAACTCGCTGATTGTCACCGTAGCGAAACAGCCAGTTCATAGAATCCGAATCCAGACGGGGCAGGAAGCTCTGTTGGCTCCGGGTGAGGCCACAGTTCCTGCCAAGGCCGAAGAGTAAGGTAAACGTGCATTGGACGGACGAGGTGTCGGACTCACAAATATATTTCTTGTAGGGAGGGATCGATGACAGCGCGCTGTGCAAAAGCAGCGTCCGGCCCTCCCGAGGCAGTGAAATTTGAGAATAGTTCTGTGACGATATTGGTATCCAAGTGATAAGCGTACATGTCCGACAGATATTTTTCTTCTTCCATTCCCGCAAATACGTAGAGTACGCGACCTTTCGGATCGAAGACCATGATATGCCCTGTCAGTAGCTAAAATTAGAGATGATTCCATAAAGTATGTTTGAAATATGCTACAGACCTAGACGCCGCGATATAGCAGGCTGAGGTGCGCCCAAGTTCGTCGTCGGTCTAGTGTTAAACATCGGGTTAGCTGTGAAGGCCAATGATAGGATAATTCCTTCATACTGGAGTAGCCGCCACTTGTTTGTCGCGACGTCATAGCTATATAGTCCGGAATATCTAGACTCGCCAGCACGGCTATCATTCACTCGGCCTCCACACACATAAAGGACTTGAGCGGCAGAATCCATGGCCATTTGATGGTCAAAGATGAGCGGCGGACCACCAGACGACTGAAAATACTGGTATTCAAAGATTGCGATGATCGAGTCGACTGAATTTGCTTACTGCTGTATCGCCTGACAATAACACCCAACTTCCTGCATTAGGGCCTTTGACGTGATATCGATAAAACTCGGCATGTTGGACGACAGAATTGAGTGCGTCGGGAACTGTGTGGCCTTCATCTGTATTTTGATCTCGAGGAACATCCATATTGTCCTCGGTTATGCTGTCGCTCTCCGATAACCTGCCCAACAGATAAATCACCCCCAATTTCGAGTCGAATACCAGTTTATGGCACGAGCGCGGGCCGGGTCCCCCCTTGTCCTTGGAAGCACTACGACTGAGCACTCTCCATCTGTCTTCAGGAATCGAGTATGACCAGAAGTCGTCAAGGCTTTTTTGACCATCCCAACCGCCAAACATATATATCAGACCGCTGGCCTCGTCGATGCACATGGCATGCCCGCCTCGCCTACTGGGAACATCACCGTCTGGATCTAATCCGTATATACGTCTCCATACCGAATGTGGCTGAGTTGAATGCAGATATGCATCGAATAGTCCTTGCGAGGATGCGCGGGTGAGAACGCTCTCTGCTTCTAGCCAGTCGCCCTTCGACACCAGACCATCGTACAGTTGGGTGACCAGCGGGTGCTCTACTTCGACGCCTGAATTCGCTATAATGGACTTGAATGGTGCGAGAAAACGACGTTTTCGAAGGTGTTTCAGAATGTGCCTCAAAGCGGCTGTCTCGCGATGCTGGGGAAGAATCAGCACGGTGATGCGAAGTCATAAAGCGTAGAACTGTACATCATCATATTTGGCCTTCACTTCTCGGATAAAGGTTTCATCTGATATTCCGGCAAGGGCCACATACCATATTGACACATGAAAGCTGGGACTGTGAGCACTAGAATGCGGTATCAGTGTGAAGAAAATTCGGTATGTCACTTATACCCACGAAAGTGGTACGATCTTCAGAAACAGGCTGGGGAAACAAACGCCAGCACTGTTGATATGCCGGAGTGGAAACGTTTCTGGAATGGCATCATTCTTGAGGCCCGCATGGAGAATTTCGGTCATATGCGCTTCTGTCATGCCGACGTAGATCTTGAATTCTTTTACATTGCAAGGGTGATCTATGATTGGATATTTAACGGACCCAGGCAAGATCCACAATAGGTCCGCAAACGTACTCTTGTTGAACTAAAATTTTCTGTTAATCTCGAGCTCAGGAGTATGAAATAGGATTACTCACCTTCCCAAATGTGATACTCTCTGTGAGAAGTAGGAAAATGTGAGTAGCGACTCACTAGCGCGAAATAGTCAGCGATTAGGTACAAACCAACGACGCTAGGTAGATCAAGACGCAGAAGTAGCCATTGCTTCACGTTCGAACCCTCGTGTACACCACTCCATCGACTCGAATGATCATCTGGCGCATTGATCAAAATATTCTCGGGGACATATCTGTGACTATGCTCAGAGGAAGCTGTGATAGTATAAGTCAGGCGAGTTGTAGGCGGTCGCCTGGTGGGGATGAATGCAGGGTTCATTGGGGCTGATCAGATGTACAGAAGACCGAACACAGGAGGGTAGAGAGCGCCTAAGCGTTAATTGAGCGTTAAGAAGTTGGTCGCTGGTGGCGGTGGGGCTGGGAAGGTGTTGTGGCGGTCGTGGCGGCCAACTCGGACGCGTAGCGATCACGAGACTCCCTTGATCACGCCTAGCGGCCGGCATCGGCACCTATCGGCACCTATCGGCACTCGGCAGACTCAGATCTGAGCAGTTGCATACAACATGCAATCATGCAGCCGAGGTTGCAGCTCTGTCTGTTCACTCGGAAGGGCAGCGTACCCTTGATCCCTTGTGATGCGATAAGGCGCCAAATATTCCGGATGCCCTGCACTGGCCTCTACTGGCCAACACCGCCAAACTTTGAACAAACACTTCTCCTAGGGTTTGGATATCAATGAGGGACGCGCTGGGACACGAGGATATCTGTATTTGTCCTTCGCCGTACCAGACCGTACCCCGCCATGAGTTCCTTGAGACCGCTGGGAATGCCCTGAAATGCCCAGACGGCTCTGCTCAGTGCCGTCAGGGCAAACTGTCCGATCGCTGTGCATTCGGGTGACGTTTGCAGCTTGCAACCATACTGCGACCATGCAGCACAAGGTGGTAGCACTTGGAAGCACGTCGAATTTTTCGACGTTCCTTGATGGTCCTGCCAGGTCCTGCCGACCCAAAGCCTTGGCCCTCGCGTTATCGTGTCCACACGGAATGGGTTGGTATGGCGTTAGCTGCCATGATGAAGATTTTTCTCATACGCCCTAGGTACATAAACCCGCTGGTCGGTATCAGGATCCCAGTCTCTACCAGTTCTCTACCCATCACATTCCTTTCGGAGTTCGACTTCATCTGCTTGTGGTGAGCTATGAAGGGTTATTCCTGGTCTCTCCTGCAGCTCGCCTTCACAGGCGCAGCTCTTGCTACAGTGCCGTTATCCGACGTGAAGCGCATTTCTTCCGCTTCCGTCGTCCCTAACAAGTTTGTCGTGGAGGTTGAAAGTGCTAGCGAAATCCCTGGCAAGAGGTCTCTCTACACGGTGTGTTGAATAGTGTGTCGCCTTGCCTCCGTGACTCATGACCTTGTTTAGCCCCATGAACTGTTCTATCGTTCGCTTTCGGCTCGTGGAGTCTCCTACGAGGTCAACAAAGAATACAATTCGGAAGGTCTATTTGTTGGGGCTGTTGTCACCGTCTCTGTGAGTATCACTCTTGTGCGTTCAAGATGTTCTACTCAAAAAGTCTTACATATTCGTTAGGATGCGAATGCAAGTCGCAATTTGTGCAAATTAATTCCGACTATCTCTGATCTTTCTCTAGGATGTCAAAGCATTGGCTGAAACCCCTGGTGTCAAGGCCATCAGGCCTGTGAGAACAATCAAAAGCCCAAAGTGAGTGTTTGTATCCTTTCTTGGCAGAGCCCTGGAGCTCAATATTTCTGAAGACCGGTCAAGGTCCATGTCGTCACTGGTAAAGACGATCCCGAGATACCCGCCGACACAGAGTCCACACATATCATGACTGTGGGTCCCCTTCTGTTCACCGTCTCCGTATTTTGTTGCTCATCGGAGCATCTCAGGGGGTGAACAAACTTCACGCACAAGGCATATTTGGCGCTGGAATCAAAATTGGAATGTAAGTGACCATTTATACCTGACGGGACTGCTTATCTGACATCCAACAGCATCGACACAGGTCTGATATATCCTTCAGCCTCAATTTAATACAGCGCCTCAAATTCTCCATCTAGGAATTGATTATACACACCCAGCTCTTGGAGGAGCTTTGGGCGCCGGCCATAAGGTCATTGGTGGATATGACTTTGTCGGTGATGCTTACGATGGTGAGATCGAATTTGCAAGCGATTAACTTTTGCACATATCTAACCTATGGCAGGCACCAATACCCCCGTGCCTGATAACGACCCGCTTGACCAGTGTAACGGTACGCACAAGGCTGTTTCCATTATACCATGATTTGCTGAAGCCATTCTAGGGCATGGCACTCATGTTGCGGTAGATATCCGATCTTCTAGGTCTGGTCGTATTCTTTACTGACTCCTATGAAGGGTATCATTGGCGCGAATCCGGATAATCAATTCAATATCAGCGGTGTCTCTTACGGCGCATCCTTGTCGTCATACAGGGTTTTTGGCTGCAGTGGATCAGTCTCAGACGACAGTAAATCTAAGTCTCATATCACCACGATTGACATGCTCACTTCGGTTCACAGTCATCATAGAAGCTTTGTTGCGTGGGGTCCAAGACGGTCAGGACATCCTCACCTTGTCCTTGGGTGGTACGGACGGCTGGACCGAAAGCTCTAGCTCTGTAGTCGCTAGTCGCATTGCTGCCTCGGGCAAGATCGTCACGATTGCTGCTGGCAATGAGGGCGCTTATGGCTCGTGGTACTCTTCCAGCCCTGGGAATGGAATCGACGTCATCTCTGTTGCTAGCATTGACAAGTAAGGCTCGCGCTTGTCGTGCCCTGAAATTCATGTACTGATTGTCACACATCCAGTACCGTCGATAATATCCAGAATGCCACAGTCAACGGTGTCGAGCATGGCCCCATCCCCTACTTCAAGACTCTTCCCTTGCCCTTCACTAACGCATTACCCCTCTACGTGATATCCAATGACACCACCATTGCCAACGATGCCTGCAATGCTTTGCCAGACAACACTCCAGACTTGTCTGGATTCTTGGTCCTCGTTCGTCGTGGATCCTGCACTTTTGTAAGTGGATATTCGTGAGGAAGCATGCTGAGCTAAGGGATTCAATAGGTTCAAAAACTGACGAATATCGCCGCCAAAGGTGGAAATGCAGTCTTCATCTACGAGTGAGTTGTCTTCTGGCTTTCTTTGACTTCTACTTTGAAACATGTTTGATTTCGTTCTGTCAGTAATGGAAACGGGTTTGCTGGTATTGACACAGGCAAATTCACAAACGCGACCTTGATCCAGGCAGCGGATGGAGTGTTTGTATGTACCGCTCACAGTCGCCCATGATTGAAGGTTCTGATATCGTATACCCGATAGTTGGCCCAACAAGTCGCAGCGGGAAAGAGCGTCACAATAACTTTCCCGCAAACAGGTGGATCTGCCCAGATTACCAATCCCTCAGGCGGTCTGGTCTCTAGTTTCACCACATATGGACCTACGAATGACTTCTACTTCAAGCCTGCGTTTGGTGCTCCAGGTGGGAACATCCTGTCTACGCTGCCCGTTCCTCTAGGCAGCTATGGTGTGGAGTCCGGAACATCTATGGCAACACCCTATGTCGCTGGCAGCGCTGCTTTACTCTTATCTGTAAAGGGAAAGTCTGCCGCCGTAGCTTTAGGTGCTCGGACATTGTTCCAGAGCACAGCCCAGCGTGTGCCTTCGAGCCACACAGACGGTGATCCTTTGCAGACCCTCTCGCAACAGGGTGCTGGCTTGATTGATGTTTTCAAGGCGCTCTACACTGAGACCATCGTATGGCCAACTGAGCTGATTTTGAACGATACGGCTCATTATAAGGAAGTGTAAGTGGTACCATCTTGTTTTCGGACGGGTTCCTAAGTATCCTTGTAGTCACACCTTCACCGTCGTGAACACCGGGAAAACCAGCAAGCAGTACAAGCTCACTCATGTTCCCGCTGGGACTGCTCAAACCATCACCTCTGTGAGTATATCAAGCAATGCTATCTGCTATGTGCCCTCGTGCTGACTTCGTCTATCTAGGGTACTATTTTCGCTGCCGATGGGCCTGTGCCTCTTTCTACGGATTACGCGACCGTGAAATTGAGCTCGAGTTCGTTCACGCTTCGCCCAGGACAGAGCAAGCAAGTAACGACGCACATTAATGCGCCATCCGGTGTCGACGCCTCCACATACCCTGTATTCTCTGGCTTCATCGAAATCGCCACCGCGACCGAGAGCGTGCATGTCACATACTTGGGCCTCGCCGCATCGCTGAAAGACAAGCAGATCGTGGACAACACGAACGAGTTCTTCGGTATCACGATTCCTGCCGTACTCAACAACACCGGCGACGCGCAACTTAGTCCCACAAATTACACGTTCAGCGGCTCAGACTTCCCCACGCTACTCCTTCGGTCAGTAGTGTCTTTACTTTCCTTCATCCTACCGGGCCTTATACTCGTTGATGGACAGTTTGGCCTTCGGCACGCCCCTTCTACGTGTGGACCTCGTCGATGCAACGATTGATTTGAAGCCAACCCTTAACAGTCGCGAAATCGATGACAAAAGACACGTCTTCGAGCGGGAATCGTTCTCTTTCCCTCACCCTGGACCCAAGGGAAGCACATTCGCCCAGGTCAAAATCGTCGGCACGCTTTCCGAGCAAAGCCATATCCCACGCAACTCGGACGCATCTGTCAGTTCCTCAGCACATTTCTTGCCTTGATCTGTACACTGAATGCGTGTCGTTTCAGACTGTTGATGATGGCGGATACTCTACGTTTGCGTTCAACAAGCCCAGCTTCGCCAACGGCACTACGATTCCCAACGGAACGTACCGGTGGCTGCTCCGTGCGCTAAAGGTGACAGGAGATCCTACGAAGGAGGCAGACTTTGAGACTTGGCTCAGTCCTATCGTAGGCATCACCGTCGCTTAAGCACTCTCACCGCTATTTGCGTCCCCACACAAAAACCACGCTCTTTAGTATGTATCGCGTTCTTCACAACACGCCGACCTCTGTACCGTTCTGCACCACACCGCTCTCTGTATCATGGACATCTTTTATGTATCTAGACGGTCCGTGGATACAATGGTATGGCTACGACATTCTTTTCAACATACTGGAATTCCACGAGAATACAAGCACGGGGTATGGGGGAAACCCCAAAATGCGGCGAATCGCCTTTTCCCCCTCCTGATGCCCCGCAAGAATTCTGGGGTATTTTACGGCAAGGCGAGGCGTATACTGTCGGCGCAATGGTACATCCTTGAGTCGTGAATCGCCCAATGCTCATGTGAGTACCGTGTTGCTCCTACAGGCCCCTACCTTGTGGTCTTCGTCGCGATCATACGCGATTGCGCTTCTGATAAAAACGGGTTTCGTTCACGCATATAGAACAGTGCCCGCACATTCCGTCGGTTCCATCCTGAAATGGTTAGCTTCACGCTGAAAATAGGGTTTCTACCTGGCGCAGCAGCCAGGTTGTACGGCGCGTCACGCGTGTCGAATCGACGGATTCAAAACCAACCGCGGTCGACTCAATGGCCAGAAGCGATGTCGACGTCGAACTCCTCAGACGCCCGCGCCCATCCTACTCCACTGGCTGACTCAGCCCACGACTTCGTCCTTGATCGCATTCGCGAAAATCGGTTCGACGTCGAGTTAACGCTTGAGGTGGGGATTTATATCACGAGGATGGGGGATGTCGAGAAGGGCAGCCGATGGGTGGATAAAGGGAAATTCGTGCAGAGTAAAACGCGCCATCGCATCCTCCGTCGCGATCGCATCGCTGATATCGCGTTTCGCCCGGACGCAGAGCTCAACAAGCACACTGACCATGCCGATAACACTGTCAGGGTGTTTGTAGGATCGGCCTGCCAAGGCGATAATGGTAAGCAAGCACTTGCCTGTGAGCCGGGCGCGCACACAAGTCAAACCCACCGTGACAGACAACCTCGTCAAAGTCGTTTGGTTCTTCAACTCGCCAGATAGAGTCGACAGATACCGCGTCGTGGGGTACTATCCGCTGGAGGGATACGGCCAACACCAAATAGATGACCTCGCCACGCTGGGGTCCTCAGAATTCAGAAGACGCTTGGAGGGCATATACAGTCGCCAGAGGGAGTTCACGGGTCCTGGGCGCAGGGCTATACTTACACCGCCAGAACTTTGAACAGCGACCCAGTGCACATCTGTATTACCAACACACTTGCGCTGAGGATATTGAGCAGCGGCGGTCTGATTTGATACTCGGCCTTCGTGCCACGTGCGGTTGCAGCATACCACAGAGCACAAAGCAGCAAAGCTCCTGCATCAGCACAGAATCAATGATATTTGGCAACATGCAGCTTCACACGACCCTGTCCAGAACAAAATAGAATGGAGCTAGATAGTACGAAGCGCCGACAGCTGCGTGCGTAAAAGGCTTGTCACTGGTCAAACCAAATTCATGGAAAGAAGCACTACTTAGCATCCATAGTTCTCATCGATATTCGGGTGTATGGCTCGTGGGAAATTGGCGTACGAGCGAGGACAGACAGAGACCAAGGCGCAATAATGAGCGCCGCGTTGCTGAGAGAGGTTGAGAGATTGTGTGGCGGGCCGCCAGCCCGCCGAGCTCTTGCCAAGGTCCGGGGAGGTCCGGGGGCCACCATCTTCCATCTATACTGCCAGTCAGGCCTCAGGCCTTCATCTTCAATACACATCAGTTCTCACAAATAATTCTACAGATTCAAGGCAGGCCCAATCACAGAAGAGGCCACCCAAATTGGACAAGAAACCATCCAAGACGAAATCGCTCCCGCCAGACAAAGACACCACAAGCTAGGACCCCTTGGTTTTTAAGGTTAATAACCAATTTCCTAAAATAGCAATATATTCCGAATTTGTTGTTATCCAGTGCAATCTCTGTTTCTGAATGATTGTCAAACTCACCCCCTTGCCCAGAGGAGGCCTGCAAGGCAGTGGGGGGAGAAAAGAGGGCATCCAGTGCCGTTGTTGTTGTCCTAGCACTGTTTTTGTAGCTGACACGTGACACATGAGTAAAAGTATTGTTAGTTGGTTGAATTCTGGAGGCATATGAATGACTTTTTAGATTTTATGGGTAGTGCCTGAACCTGGTCCAGTTGTGGTGTATTAATTACAGAATATAGGAGCTTGAATGATGTCCAACTTGCATCATGGTGGCTTCTCTGGTTCCGCTGCAAGGGGAGGTCAGGGTAAGACACCCAACTCCACAACTGCTTTCTCAAATCACCCTGTTTATGCTCCAGCCATCTGAGCCTCTCCAATACATTTAGGCTCAGTTTATAGAATGTATAAAACTGAGTGAGCTATGGGCCATCATTTTGTTGGCCCATTTTCTCGATTTTACTTTCATTTTCCCACGCTCACAATATGTAGTTATCAACACCTCCTGGTTAATAACCGGTGAAAAAGTCCTGCGAAGTTCTACACAACGCCCTACCACAAGCGCCGGGTCAGCAGCTGCACACACACGAGAGTGAGTTTCAAAGAAGAGATCTTTCATGAAAACCGAGCGAGAGGCATACACCCACACAAAACACACACACGTGACATGCTACAGGACCGACGAACGAACGAGAAGCGACTCATAAAAAAGAAGGGGAGGTGAGCGGACCAGGGCGCCAGTAGACAACAGCAGCAGTCGAACGCACGAACGGGCGACCGACCAATCAACCAATCAGACGGGCGGGCGGACGGACGGACACCACGAACGGGAGGGGAGCGAAGATGTTTAAATGTACGACGTATAGACAAGACAAGAGAGGAGAAGGGGGAAGAAGGGGAGCGAGCTGTGGTGATAAGAAGAAGAAAAGTATGTGTCAGAGAAGTATAGGCGTAAGGTGTATGGACGCTTATATAAACATATTAAACATGTACAAGAGGGGGAGCAGAGACAGGGATAGGGCAGGAGGCGTGCACTCAATCAGTGGGAGTTGGGAAACACGGGCGGTGGTGGGCGCGGCTGCGGCTCCCGTGGCGGCTTGACGCGGAACTCGCTCATGATGCAGACGTGACTGACGTAGAAAAGAAAACACGAAAGACGTGAGCAAACCAGTAGAACAAGCAAGACGAAGCCAGGAAGACGTACTCGGACGGGAAGTGGGCGTTTGGGAACCCGACCACCTTCTCGAGGTACTTCTTGTCCACACCGCTCAGCACAGCGTTCACCGCCAAATTCCCAGCCGAGTACCATATGTAGTCGATCTGACCCTGGAAGCTCGGCGTGAAGTTCGTCAGCGGCAGCGCGTCCGTGCCCGCGTACGCGCTCTTCAGCCCCAGCCGGTGCCGCAGACCGTCCGACGTGTACTTGCCGTACGAGTGCGACATGAAGTCTGGGTGGTCCGAGGGCACGCTACCGTTCGACAGATACTCGTACACACCGCTCTCCGGGACCGAGTTGTAGTCCCCGCAGACGACTAGCGGGATCTTCGTCCCGTCCGTGTAGATTGGCGCGGGGCGCGCAGCGGGGTCGTCCTGCGCGGAGGAAGACCCGGCGCTCGTCGCACTCGTGGGCGAGGGCGTTGGCAAGCGCGGGGGATACTTAGCGAAGTGGTTCCCGATCTTCTCGATCTCATCAAGGAGCAGCGCGATCTGGACGAGCTTGACGTCACGGTAGGCGGGGTCCCAGTGGATATGCGCATTGGCGATGATAAATCGTGTGCCCGTCTTACGGTTCTCGAACAGGCAGACGACGGCAATGTGGTCCTTGGTCAATACCCTGTTGAACATGTCGTCCGTCTTCTTGAAGTCTTGCCGCTGCATAGCTACAGCGCTGAACTCGATGAGGTGCTTCTCCACGAGCTGATACCTGAAAGCATGAGTACAACGGACGAATCAGTATCCCATGCTCTTATGTAAAGGTGCAGCCGTACTTGGACTTCTTGAAGAACGTCGCGCAACCGTCGACCAACCGCCTGTCCGCGTCGTTCATCGTCTTGTACCTGGATTTGGGCCAGTACACCCCCTCGTAGTCGCGCTCATCTAACTTCTTCACGAAATAGTCTTCGTACTGCGCATTATCGACCTCCTGCAAGCATAAAAAGTCTGCGTTGTGGTTCACGATCTCGGACAAAATGAGCTCCTTGCGGTATTCCCACGCGAGCGCCCACGCCGGAGTGTAACCGTACAGCCGCTCCGTCGCGTACTTCTCGCACAAGATGTTGTAGCAGAGCACGCTGAAGGACTCGACGCTCGTGTCAGCTTCCATCGCTTCGCGCTCCGCAGGGGTGATCAGACTGTGCCATTGGCGTTCCGGCGGGGGCGCCGGTGCGGGGCACGAGTCACGGAGGAAGGAGATGAGTGCAGGCGTGCCTTCCTTCTGCACGATGGACTTGATCGAAGGCTCGATCGGATTGCCCTCAATTCCGAGCGTCTGAAGCTGGTGCAGGGTACCCAATTCCGGGGGGATGACTTGCAGGTGGTTGTCGAAGAGGTAAAGTTCCTTGAGCTGTGTGAGCATCCCCATCTCTGGAGGAATGGTGACGAGGTTGTTCCCAGAGAGATCGAGGAGCTCTAGCTGCCGGAGCTTGGAGATCTCAGGAGGGATGACAGTGAGTGCGTTGTGGTTGAGGTATAAATTGATGAGAAAAGAGAACGAGAAGAGCCCTGATGTAGGCGAGAGGTTCTTGATCTGCACACCACCCATGTCCAAGGAACTCCAAGTATTTGGAGGCGGTCGTTGTGTGGTCGGCCGAGGCGCCTCTGCGATGGGTCCAACGGTGGATGAAGGATGATTCTCCAAGGCTTTGGGGGAAGGTTCTGTGCCATTGGTCGTCGAGCTCGTTCCTGCGTCGACCGCGTCGGCCTCCTTAGTAGTGTTGGGATCCGGTGGTGGGGGTTTATTGGGATTAGTAATAGGGATGGCGGACTTGGTGACGGTTCGAGAGGCCATAGCGCTGGCCCGAGCACGGTGGTGTGGGGATCGAGAAGCACGAATCATCTGATCCGATAAAAGAGCGAGCAAACAAGAGAGTAAATGAACGAACGAAAAAAACGAGGTGCAAAGATGAGGAGAACGAGAAGGGGGGCATGGAACGCGGTGTAAGTGCACTCACCTCGCACTTTAACAACTGCTGCTGCCAATGCGGGGTAATAAGCAGGTTGGGGGTGCTGCCAGGAGGGGACTGGCCCATGCCGACGTGCTGACCATGGACGTTGACATTGACGTTGCCGTTGGTGGGTGGAGACGGGTAGTGGGTGAGAGAGTTCTGGTGGTGGTGCTGGAGCGAAGGGAGGTGGTGCTGCATGTGGGGAACATTTCCGTTCGTGTACAGCGGATAACCGGGGGAAGGAGGGGGAGGGCCGAAGTTGTGGGGGCGTGCCCAAGCAGACTGGTCATGATGAGATGGGAGCTTGTGTGCGATGCCTGGGGATTGCTGGGGATAGTACATCGCATTGGTTGAGCGACCGAGTCGAGAACAAGAGGCCGCGGCCCAAGGGCTGTGTGAGACGAAAGACGACGATATGGAAAATGTGTGAGTTCGCTGTGTGAGACGACGAGGAGGCAGAGGAAGGGGAGCAGAAGGCGGAGAGTGGTGAGGGAAGAGAGGAGAGAGGAGGAGTATAGATGGAAAACAAAGAGAGGGGATTTGACCGGAGACCGAGAGTGAGTCGGTGTTGCACCGCTTCTGGGCCGTCCGTCGGGCCAGCGTGACCGAGGCGGTCACACCAGACGCTGACTCAGCTGCCTCTCGCGCTCCGACCGACGCTTCAGCCACCTCGCAATCTCGCCTGCGATCCGGCGTCCAAGGCATCCCTGCATATCCCTGCATTACACTACTCGCGCGTTCCTCGCTCGTTCTCTCCCTATTAAACCCTCTGTGTTCCCCCGTCTCCCCGTCTACCCCCCTCCCATCTCGCCATCATGACAGTCTACCAAGCCACAGTCTCCGCACCCGTCAACATCGCCTGCATCAAGTCAGTCCCCACCTTGTCCCCACCACAGCCGCGGATCCTCATCACACTTCATTCATTCTAGGTACTGGGGCAAGCGGGACACAAAGCTCATTCTCCCGACCAACTCATCTCTTTCCGTCACCTTGGATCAAGATCATCTCAGATCCACCACCACTTCCCGTGCCGACCCTTCCTTTGACAAGGACAGGCTCTGGCTCAATGGAAACGAGGAAGAAATCAAGGACGGTGGTCGCCTCGCAACCTGCATCACTGAGCTCAAGCGCCTCCGCCGTGAGCTCGAGAAGGACCCAAAACAACCCAAGGTCAGTCGACGCCCCCGTCCCCCGAAGCGCTCGCACTTTACACAACCCGCCCGCCCGCTCTTCCGCGTCCCGCGGCCAGCTCTCTACTTTCCCCGTCCACATCTGCTCCCGTAACAATTTCCCCACCGCCGCCGGCCTCGCCTCCTCCGCCTCGGGCTTCGCCGCCCTCGTCTCCTCCCTCGCCGCCCTCTACGAGCTCCCCGCGTCTCCCTCTGAGCTCTCCCTCATCGCGCGCCAAGGCTCCGGCTCGGCCTGCCGCTCCCTCTTTGGCGGCTTCGTCGCCTGGGAGCAGGGCACGTCCCCCGACGGCCTCGACTCTTTCGCGGTCGAGGTCGCCCCGCGCGAGCACTGGCCCGACATCCACGCCCTCATCTGCGTCGTCTCAGACGACAAGAAAGACACCTCATCGACGTCCGGCATGCAGCGCACCGTCGCCACCTCGCCACTCCTCCAGCACCGCATCGCGCACGTCGTCCCCGCGCGCATGGCGGCCATCTCCGAGGCGATCCGCGCGCGCGACTTTGACGCGTTCGCGCGTATCACGATGCAGGACTCGAACCAGTTCCACGCCGTCGCGCTCGACACGGATCCGCCGATCTTCTACATGAACGATGTCAGCCGCGCGATCATCGCGCTCGTGACCGAGTACAACCGCGTCGCCGTCGCGCAGGGCGGGAAGCTCAAGGCGGCGTACACGTACGACGCGGGTCCGAACGCGGTCATCTACGCGCCGAAGGAGAACATCAAGGAGATCGTCGAGCTCATCGTGCGCTACTTCCCACAGGCGGAGCCGTTCAAGGACTCGTTCGGGCTGTTTGGCGTGGCGGGAGTCGGGGAGGGCAAGGTGGTCGACGGGTTCAACGCCGCGGTAGCAAAGAAGCACGCGGTGGGCGCGGTGAAGGGGCTGATTCACACCAGGGTCGGCGATGGGCCGAGGAAGCTGGGGCAGGAGGAGGCGCTGCTGGGCGCTGAGGGTCTGCCTAAATTTGTGGCCTGAATAGGAGGGTGCGCGGGAGAAACAAATGGTGTACCACTAATTATTAGACTAGAATTGCTTTGCTCTGGGTTCACACGTCTACATGAGATGGCTATTCGCCCGTTGTGCGCGCTCTTGTTCGCGGGGACGGTGACGGGTGAAGCACGTGACGATGAACGATGCACTTCTGGGCTAACAATGCGTGGTCGAAGTGTGGTCGAGTCGTTCTGCACGAAATGTTCGCGAGCAAGTTCTTTCTCGTTTCCGCGGCAAGGCTAGCGAGCCATCGCCTCCGTCTTCCAGCCGTCTCGGCTCCCGCTCTCCTTGGACACAGGGTCTCATCAACAAGTGCTTCCGAGACATCCTCTGCCGCTGCAGACGCTTCCGATTCGGCCGCTGGAGTCCGCCGCACTGATAGGCTCCTCGTAGCTGAACACCAGGAGAATGCTGAACACTCCACGCAATCCTCAAGCGCCACCACGCAAAGGCCCTCCAAATATCGTATCTACAATGTCTTTTCGTCCGAGGAACCCAATGCCGAAGAGTATGTCCCCCTCCTCGACGACCAAGGCAGACCCCCTCCCCCACATCTCTCTCCCCGCACCTCCCTCTACGGCAACACACAATCCGTGGGCGACAACAGCAGACATATAGCCGACCCAGATTTCCCGCTTCCTGATCCGCCCAAGCCCTCGGGCTACCCCGCGCCGATGCTCAACAACGCTGACATCAAGACATACCTGGCTCCGCTGTACCACCGCAGCTGGAGCTACCACTTCCACACCCTGGAGGACATGCGGCTCTCCCCCGCACTGCGTAAGCTCTACAGGTTCCCCAACGACCGCGCCGCGCTCGACTTCGTCACCAAGCTGTCGCAGCACGCGAATACTATCCAGGTGCGCCGCTCCTCCCCTCGTCCAGCGCCACCTCACGTTCGAGCGTACGAACCGGTCTGCAACAGCACCACCCCGTCATCCGCTTCTGCGACAAAGACGTCTTCGTGTTCCTCTTCACGCACTCCGCCTACCTCCCCGCCGAGTCCGACCTCGCCGCGCAGTCCGCCGCCATCGGCGAGCAGGTAAGGAAGCCCGGCGTGACCTACCACGACGTCGGGCTCGCGTACCACGCGGAGGGGCTCCACGACACGATGCGCGCGCAGACGGGCTTCCCACCGCATACGATGGTGCGCCCGCTCACAGAGCGCCCGCGCTCGGTGCGCGATCTGCTGATGCAGTTCCGCACGATCGTCGAGAAGCGGTTGGTGCGCAAGGACGTGGAGCTCTCGGCGCACCGCAGCGCGCACGAGCGGCGCTTGCAGAGGGCGGAAGGGCAGCGGGGCGACAAGAGGGCACGATACATGAAACCTGGGGACGAGCGGAGACCGGTGCGCATTTGAACGATTTTTTTGCTCTTGCGAGTTCGCGGGGCAGATGTGCCGGTGCTGATGCTTCGTTCGCACACTTGTAGGGCAGATCAGGCGTCTCGGACAGCCTCACGCTGTTGCGCACGCTCCAGAAGATACGGAACTCGCCATTTAAATATGCTCGAAGATCAGGCGATGAATAGGACTGTGCTCGCGCTGTAAAAATTTGCATTCGCCTGCTGCCTTGATCCTGTAGGCCTCGCACTGTTTTCTGGGCGAATACATGTGACTTGGCCGTGCGTGAAATGCGCTGTATCAACGCTTCTCGTAGCTGTAAATTGTACAGGATCTTGGCAACTGAGATCCTTAATTTTGGACCCACAATTTTCTGCGGATGAGTTGCGAATTTGAAATCACGTCAGCGATCGGCGCGTCTCGCCGCCTCCGGATATCGTCCTTGCTCGCACCTCCACTGTGTGTTTACAGTAAAACCCAGCTGACTCGTTTGAAGCCCTTGGCTTCTCGCCGGCGACACCACAGCAATCTCACAATAGCGGCCTCTATTCGGCGCCGACCGACATCATGACCCGCTACACAAATTTCGGCCGCAAACGGACGTACCTCGACGCAGGGTTCAATTACCGCGACGACCATGCCGACAACGACAACGCCCACGGCGGCGAACAGGCCGCTTCCGCCACCCCTCATGCATCGACGTCGACTCAGCCCCACCCTCCACCACCAGTAAACGAAACAGCCCCAGAGGGATCTGCAGAGACCATCGATGGCTCTGCGCAACCGAAAAAGTCAAAGCGGAAGCGAAGCAAGAAGGGCAAGGGGAAGCAGGCGGTGGAGGACGGTGCAGAGACTGTTGGTGCGGGGGAACGACGCGAAGGTGGCGCGGACGAGGGCGAGGGAGGCGCGGATGGGTCAGAGGCTGTGGCGAGCGAGAAAAGAAAAAAGAAAGCGGCGAAGACCGAGAAAGTGATGAAGGCGAAGGCGAAGCTGAAGGAAAAGGTAAAGGCGAGACGGACGAAGGGTCAGTCTCTATCTCGCGGCCCTGCTCGTTTCTCTTATTTTACCGTCGTCCCATATCTGTGCAGATGCAGCAGAACGTGCTGCGGCATCCGAACGACGGCGCCTGAAGCGGATGGCGGAGCGACATGCGAACACGACGTGTTTTGCTTGTCGAGAGACGGGGCACGCGGCGGCCGACTGTCCGAACGTCAAGTTGGACGATGAAGAAGGGCGCGCGCAGGGAAGGGAGAAGCCCACGGTCGGGATATGCTACCGGTGCGTCTCAAGCATGAAATACATTACTGCTACACACTGTGCGCTCGACGCTGACGCGCACGCGCGCAGATGCGGCTCACAGAAGCATACACTGGCGCGTTGTCGAAAGCACGTTGACGAGCGGAACCCATTGCCGTTCGCGTCGTGCTTCGTTTGCTCGGGCACGGGCCACCTCGCGTCCGCGTGCCCCAAAAACAAAGACAGAGGCGTCTACCCGAACGGCGGGCGCTGCAAGCTCTGCGGCGAGACGACCCATCTCGCAAAGGACTGCGGCCTGCGAAAGCCAGGCGCGTCCATTTTTCGCTTTCTCGTTCTCGTTGCCCTGTCTAATTTCGTGCAATGCGCGCGGTTGTGCGTTGTCGTCTCTGTAATGCAGAGCGAGTCGCGAGCGCCGCATTCTTCGGGACGGGGCAGGAGGCGGGCCCGGACGAGGACGATTTCCACACGTTCCGGCGGAAGAATGCGGAGGTGGACCGAGAGGCGATGGGCGAGGAGCGGGTGCGGAAGATGGCGAAGGTGCGGGCGGGAAAGCACTCGGGCATCGTCAAGGCATTTGGGGATCTGCCTGTGAAGCCCAAAAAAGTGGTCATGTTCTGATGCTTGTGGGTATATGCTGTATGTTAGCGCTGCTGAGCCCTGTACGGTTGCAGCACGCTCTTATATATGTCGTTGGAAGTGACGTCAGCGTAAGGCACTCATTATCCTGGAAAGCCCTACCTCGCTCAAGTCAACTCGGGCCTCCGACTCATGACAGTGTCTTTATGATGAACGCGAAGATTATATACGGGACGGCCTGGTAGACCCCATATGCAGACCTTCTGTGAATGAATTCTGACCTTCAACTGCAGGAAGAAGGAGCGCACGACAGCATTGGTGGTGAGCGCGGTCTTGCACGGCTTCAGAGCAATCGACACAGGTGCGTTCTATAAGTTTTATCATTGCAACCTTCACCGCACCTACAGATACACGCCTAGCTTGTCAGCTCAAGCATTACAGGTATGTGCGAGCAACAGAGAAGTGATCAGAGCAGATCCGGATGCCTTTTTCTTTCTAGAGAGGATCTTGTCGGGGAAGCGTTGCAGACATTATATGACAAGCATGGCTTCAAAAGGGAGGATCTATTTATTCAGACAAAGTCTGTGCCGCTACATATCCTGCATTCTTTTCTCAACCTCATCTATACTGTTAGATTCACCTCAATCAGCGGCCAAGACACGTCACTTGCGTTACCGTACGACCCTTCTGACCCTCCTCGCACCCAACTCCTCGACTCTTTCTCCACTTCAATCCGCCAGCTTCGCACGACCTACCTCGATGCCTACGTCCTCCACTCGCCGCTCCGGACATTCGCTCAGACGCTCGAGGCCTGGCGCGCGCTCGCGGAGCTGCAGGACGCGGGCAAGGTGCGCGCGATCGGTCTGAGCAACGTCTACGACGTGCGACTGATCGAGCGGCTCGGTGCGGAGAGTGGGCGGCCCGTTCAGATAGTCCAAGACCGATGGTACGAAGGCAATCGATGGGACCCGGAGGTCGTGCGTTGGTGTATAAATAACGGAGCCCAGTACCAGTGAGCTCGCCATCTCATCGATATCAGGGCTGATATGTGGATCTGGACGTTGAGATGGTTTGATCCTGCTAGATCGTTCTGGACGCTCACTGGATCGCCGACTCTTCTTGCTCACCCAGCATTGACGGCCCTCGCGCGCACTAAGCACTGCACCCCCGCGCAGGCACTCTATCGCTTCGCCCAGTTGCAAGGCGTCACGCCGCTCTCTGGGACCACGGATGAGACGCACATGCGTGAGGACCTGGAGGTGGAAAATATTGAGCTGGGTGAGGAGGAGGCGGGCAGTCTAGTGCAATTCATTCAGTACTGAGGTGATCCCTTGGTGCGAGGTTCTAAACCTAATGATAGATTGGGAGGTCGAGTTATTGATTGATCAAAATCGAAGGGGATACTACCTCTAACAGGCTGAAAATGACAAAAAATGAATCAGCACCCTATCGTGGATCTTCCACCTTGTGCAGAAAAGCCGAAGGCACATGCGAAATAGAGAGGAAGAATACTGCCCGCCACCCCGGAGAATGCCGAGGCCGCATCGAAAGGCGACGAAATTTCGGAGGCGGTTTCGCCGCGACTACCACAGCACTTGAAGACGATATCCTCCATTCGTTGTTCTTCTTTCACTATGTTTCCTGTCGCTTGAGAGCGTCCTCGATTCTACCCGCCCGCATGCCACGTCTGTGCCATGAACGCCAATATCATATACACAACAGCTTGGTAGACATCCAGCCGCTCTGACTGGACAAGACCCTAACCTTCATTTATGGTTTGTTGGTGTACACAGGAAGCATGAGCGCACGACTGAATTGGTGATCAGTGCTGTTTTGCAAGGGTTCAGAGCAATTGAATCGGGTACGTCGCCTATGCAACGTGATCTCGCGACTCATCATGTTGAACATTTGGTTCTCGTACTAGGCTGTCAGCCCAGGAACTACAGGCAAGTCCGGAGCTGGAGTCCCAGCGGTCGTAAAGTGAAAGTGTCCCCTTTTTCCAGAGAGGATCTTGTTGGGGAAGCATTACAGACCTTATATAACGATCATGGCTTCAAGAGGCGGGATCTTTTTCTCCAATCAAAGTGTGTCACTCTCACCTTGCAACTGTTTTGGCACCTCACATGCTCGCCTGTTAGATACGTACAATTTAACAGTCAAGACTCCACCCTCCCCTTACCATATAATCCCTCCGATCCCCTGCGTGTCCAAGTCACTGCATCTTTCTATGCCTCCCTCAGCTTCTTGCGCACAAGTTACCTCGACGCGTTCATCCTCCACCAGAAGCTTCCGACATACTCTCAGACACTGGAGGCATGGAAAGCACTTGTTAAGCTGCAAGACCTAGGCAAGGTGCGTGCGATTGGAATGAGAAACGTGTATAGGGTGGGCTTGCTCGAGCGACTCGGCAAAGAGAGCGGGCGGCCCGTGCAAATCGTACAGGACCGGTGGCGATCTAGGAACAATTGGGATTCAAATATTTTGGATTGGTGCAGGAAGAACGGGGCACAGTTCCAGTGAGCATCCTCATCTTGAGCTCTCAGCTGCTAAGCCAGTCAAGTCAAAGAAGAGCGATGAAACCTAAAGGGCCTGCTCGTTCATTTCAGGGGGTCGCAGTCTATCGCTGGGTCGCGTCGCCTGCTTTCTAGTCCTGTGCTAAAGAAGATCGCGAGCAATAAGAACCGCAGGCCGACTCAGGTCCTTTACCGCTTCGCACAGTCCCAAGGAGTCACTCCACTTTCGGGATGCACGACAGATCAGCACATGCAGGAGGATTTAGAGGCTGAAGGAATTGAACTCGATGAAGGGGAGATCGACAGCCTTGTGAAGCAGGTCGAGCACCTGACCATCTCCCGGCGCAAAGCAGTGTATAGAAGGGATCATACTAGCCACGGATATCCAGAGACCACGTCGGAGGCTGAAGGAGAATCGTCAACGTTGCTACCTTCGGTAGACTAGATCATACTGCATCTGGTGGTTGTGTGCATTGATATCTGTCAGTATCATAGTACAATCATATTGTTACAGTTATTGTTGACGTGATACACCGTTTCACAAGGTCTTTACAAGGAAATTTAGCTATTCACCCAATGTCCAGGCATTTTCCTTGATCAGCCGCTCCCGTTCGAGAAGATACTTTCCTGCAAATGTCTATGAGCTGTACGAAGACTCATGAGGAATCGTAGATAGTTTACCCTCCTTGTACTTCTGCGAGTGATCAGATGCTTTATGATAGTACCATCCCACCCGCTCGTTGCATCCCACACAGAAAGCGTCGGCAACGGTATGCACACCCGTGCTTGAGAGCCAATATGTGAGCTATTCAGATAATGATACATTAACAGCAGCTCACAGTAAAGGTCTATCCTCCCTTTTCCCAAGTTTGACGTTTACAGCGGAATGGATCAAGCTACCCAGACCCTGAGAGAGATAGAGAATATCGTGTACTCGGGGACTCACTATCCGCGTCCATCCCTTCCAGAGAATGATTTACTGATCAGTTCGTCTTGCAGAGCCTGCTCACCATAAGGGCACGCATTACTATGTTTCTGATTGGCGGAAGAGCCTAAAGAAACTACTGACAATCACGGCGGAGCATGTTGAGCACGAGAACGTGGGGAGGCCCTGATACATGTAGGCGACGTGGGATTTAGATGAGTCTACATGCGTCTCCATGTTTCTGCCCCAATTCCTGGTGGCCGCTTGTATATGCAAGAGCAGGGAGAAGATTTCAAAGGTCAATATGCCAATGGTCGCAGCTGGAGTGCTATAGAGTATGCTGGACGACTACCATGCTTGGGAAGCTGAGACAACCGCAAGTGTCAAATTAGGGTTAAGGTGCTCACACTCCTTCCACCATGGCAGAAGAACAAAGACGAGTCTGACGAGATGCCCGTCTCAAACAGCATCGCGGCGACGCGGGTTACGACAATCTTCAACGTCTCAACTTTCTTCACCAAGCTTCTGCGTATCTATGCACATTCTCAGTGCCTCTAATGTCACTCGCACACTAGCACGAAATTCCCAAAACCGAAGCTGCCGCAACCTCCAACAACCGACTATTCTTTACGCATCTACCCTGAGCTTTATGTCTCAGGTGGCTTTATTTCGCGGTGCTCTACCCAGATGGGCCAGGACGGGCGGCGGAAGCAGAGGAAGGCGACAAAGCGCTTAGCGCAATAAAGATAGGTGCCTGGCGGAACATCGGCGTTGAGGGCATTGTGCGGGGGTATACGGTATATACTAGCCGCCATCCGTGTTCAACGTGAGCTCCTATTGAGATGCCTGTCTTCATCAAATCGAAGTTGAATTATTGGCATCGACATTGCCTCTCACAGCGTCGAGCGCGGGTGGGCACCTTGTCACTGCTATCTGCGATGCAAGACTGGGTGAGACTTCCGCGCCGGATTCCAGCGGCCTCCACCTGTGACCCAGGTATCTCTGAGCCTCCAGGAGGATCCTCATATAGACACAAAGAAAGGACGGCGCCGGTTCCGTCCTTGTTCGAGCGAGGAATGAACGATTGGTAGCCAGCCGAATAGTGTTCGACAGATCCAAGGCAGTTACAAGGCTCCTCTCGACTCATTCGCAAAAACTCTTGTAATCGTACAAATGATCATACAAACAATGCGGCCGCGTTCTCACATCCTAAAATATACTTTTAGAATTCCAACAGCCGAGCAAACTGCCCGGTCATGCGTGACGCCATGTCCTCTACCTGCTTAAACTTCGCCGCGCCGCACGTCCCGCTCTCAACATGCTGTATTAGCCCTGATATAAGCTTGAACGGTTTATTGCACCTCGGGCACTTGAATTGATTCTTGTCGTGTGCCGCAGACCCGAGGTGCGCGTTCAAAGACGCGAGCGTACAAAACGTGCGGTGGCAGAAGTAGCACTCGTACGCAAACCCGTTGAACGCTTGCCGGTTTGCTGAATAGCGAACAATCGTGCCCCCGGGCAATCCCCCCGGACCTGCAATGCGATGGGACAGCGAGATCCTGGGAATTACATTGAGAGCATGGATGGCGGATGTGACTTGGTGCCGAGAAATATTGTTGCACGCGCCCGATTCGATATGGAGAGCGATCGATGACGGGAACTTGAACATACCACCGCATAAGGGACATCTGAATTTGCGATCGATTTTGGGCACGTTCTTCGTCCTCGGATGCGCTTTCGATTTCACTTTCTTCCTCTTACTCATCCCGTGAGCGGGTGAATCCTGCAGATGCTGAAACACGAGGGCGAATCAGTAGCAGATTGGGCAGCGCTGCGTTATGGTCAAGTGGCACCAACCTGGTCCAACGCTCTCTTGTGCATGAAGAAGCGCTTGCATTCGGTGCAGTAGTGGTGATCCGCTTTGGCACGGCAGTGAGCGCGCAAAGCCTGTGTATGCGCGAAGTTTCGATTGCATTTGGTGCACAGGACCATTTCTGATAGGGAAAGGAGCGAACGCCTGCAGGCTCGACTCAGCTGCGGACGAAGGCTAGATATACTGTAAGTATGCTCGGGGTGGTCCCGGCGAAGCTGATGTTATCTCTAGAAACGGACCCAGCACCTCAATCACCGCACTTCTAGAGCCTGTCTGTACGACACCGAAGATTCGGTATTCTCGGAACAGAACACCTTTACAGATCTATACGTACCATTTGTGTACAATTCACTTTCGTAACACAACCTCATGTCAGAACACGCAAAACCAGAGTCTAGAAATATAGGCACCTACAGACGGTCTGACATGTGATTTACGGGTCGTTCTCCGATTGAAGAACACTAACAATCACGGCGGCGGAACGCGTTGAGCGCTGAGCATGAGAACATGGGTAAATGTAGGCGATGTGGGACTTGGATGATTCTGCATAGTTTCTGTATGCGTCTACATGTTGCTAGCCCAATGCCCGATGGCCACTTGCATATGCAACAACAGGGAGAAAATCACAGGGGTCAATAATCGCAGCTGGGTGCTATAAGTGTGCTATATGGCGGCTGGAGTTAAGGACGACTTCGCGTCAGAGTCGGACTCAAAGACAGACGACTGCAAGTGTCAAATTAGGGTTAGGTGTTCTAGTGGTGTTTCCATTCCTCCCTCTACGATGTCAGACTCAGAATAAAGATGAGGTGCCTCATACGGCGTCGCGAAGCATAACATCCTCCCAACATTTCAGCAAGCTTCCGTGTATCTCAGTATCATCCCCAATGCCGTTTACAGCAAATTCCACCGAAGCCGGTGCAATTTTCACTCCCACCCGCGACCAATACATTTTCAAGCCCCTCAGCAAGCAGTTTGGAAGTAATAGAAGTAAATCTTGTTCCTGCTACTCTAGCTGAAGTCGGACATTGAAGAAAGGCAGCACTAGGCGATCTCCGCCAATGTTCGAGCGAGAGGGCCAAGGTTCCTTTTTCGGGAATGAACAATTGGTGACAGCTGGATCTCATTCGACCGCATAGCAAATACAGCAACGCATTTTTGCAGACTCTATTAAACCGCAGAATAGTCTTGATAATGCGCGAAAAAGAAAATCACTAGCAACTGATCTAAAGCCTTCTCGACTCGTCTTCAAAAAAAAAATCATCGTATAAACAATCATCCAAATGCAGCGTCCTCACAGGATACATAAATACATTCTCTCACAATCTCAACATCCGAGCAAACTGCCCCGTCATTTGCGTCGCTATGTCCTCCACCTGCTTGAACCTCGCTGCGCCGCATACCTCGCTTTCGATGTGCTGGACCAGCGCCGAGATCAGGGTGAATGTCTTTTTGCACTTCGGGCACTCAAATTCGTCTTCGTCGTGTGCCGCAGACCCAAGGTGCATGTTCAGAGACGCGAGCGTGCGAAATGTGCGATGGCAGAGGTAGCATTCATATGCGGACCCATTGAACGCTTGCTCGGTCGCCGAATAGTGGACGATCGTGCGCATGGGCGGCCCACCAGGGCCTGTAATGCGATGGGACAGCGAGATCGTGGGCACTATATTGAGACGGTGAACAGCGGCTGTGACTTGGTGCCGAGAAATGTTATTGCACGCGCCGGACTCGACGTGGTGGGCGATCGACGATGGAAATTTAAACATGCTGCCGCAGAGGGGACATCTGAAGTTGCGATCCTTGTGGACGCGCGAGGACGAGTGCTGCGGGGATCTCAATGTCTGGACTAGGTAGCTTTGACCATGGCTTACTTGATCTAGCGCGGCCTCACTTCCAAAGTCACGGGAGCACACGAAACACCAGTTGTGTCTGGAGCTGCTGGCGAGGTGTTGATACAGGCTCTCCCTCGAGACGAACCATCTTGTGCAGCCATGGCAGTAACGTTCTTCGCTCTCGGATTCCGAGTCGGTCTCGACTTCGCTTTCTTCCTCGTACTCATCACTGGAATCTTGATGGGCAGCCGAACTCTGTAGATGCTGAAACGTGAACAAACATAAGCAGCAGAACGGTCAGCACTGTATTGGAAGTAAATCATATCAACCTGTTCCAGCGCTCTGTCATGCACGAACAAGCGCTCGCATGCGGTGCAGTAGGGGTGGTCCGCTTTGTCACGGCAGTGAGCATGCAAAGCCTGCTCATGCGCAAAGTCTCGATAGCATTGGGTGCACAGGACCATATTTGGTAGGGGAGGGAGAGTAAGCTTGCAAGCTCGAGCTGCGGGTCGAAGGCTGGATATAAGTACACGCGGGGTGGTCCCGGAGAAGCTGATGTATCTCTGGAATCCGCCCCAACACCACAATCATCACGCTTCTTGAGCCTGTACGACACCGAAGGACGTGCTGCGGAGGAGATTCAAGGGTCTGCGTGCTCTGACCAGAACAACTTCCACAATGAACTACATCAACATACGTGTCCGTACGTACGACTTGTCTGATCTGGGTGATGAAGTAACTGCAGTCATCTATCTTCCATAACGAAAGTTCAATTTCCTAAGTAGTGTGACAATGACTCGCATTTCAGAAGCAAGTCAAACAGTCACAGAGTCCAGAAAAAATCGACAGACTTTCTGACATGTGATTCGCCAGTCCTTTTTCGGGGTCCACGGCTAGAAGTGCGCGAGTTCAGAGCATCATGCGCAGCACAACACACCCTCATAGTGCGTGCCCACTGAATATAGAACGGTGCTTCCCCGAGCAGCAGCGTCGGCCTGCTCTCGATGGCTTCCTCACGTATCAAATTGTCCTCGAGGTGCAGGGCGACGATCGGATATGCATTGGGTCAACAATACATGAGCGGAATAGCAGAGGAGGTGGGAGGAGTGTGCGAGGGGGATATAAATGGTGCTGCGACTGCTCATGCGACGTACCGCGTGCCCGCGTTTGGCTTGATGTTGCCATCCATCATCGCTTTGCATTTACAGATGTCGTCTATAGTGACAATTTCATCCAAGCACGGCGTGATGAGATGGGCAGTCTCATAGGACTAGTGACGAGGGCTTCTTGAGGGAACGAGTAGAGTTGTCAAGGCTATGCGAGAGACGGTGGCGAGGGGGAAGCCGCACGGTGTAGATGCGTAGCTGCAGCTCTCGGGTGCTACAGCAGCATAAGCACATATACGAAGGCGGAAGGGGACCAGCGGGGTCTGTTTCGGATGAACGACACCGTCATATGACTCCTGTCAACATTCAGGGCGTCGTCAGAGAGGGCAGAGTCAGATGAGTCCGGGAGTTTCAAAGTCCGTGCAATGCGACACGAAGCGGAGATGAAATGTTGCACCCTAGATGTGACTCCGGCGTGGGTCCAAAGTGTCGTCCAGCCCTTATACACAGAACGTTTGACTCCTATGTAATGAAAGCTGAAAACAATCACCATCAGTCCTGATCTACTTAGTAGCACGGTAGATCTCGCTAGATCAGCATGCTTAGTGGTCGACCATTGGAATCACCATAGAAGCGAACCTCACTTTCAATCATTCTCAAATGCCTGTGTTACTTCTGACAATATCTTGCCAGCGACATGAACGCGACATGAAGAACGCAGCGCCAGGCAGCGCCCCAGGATACTCCCAGGATGCCCCAGGATGGAAAATTTGTGACGCGTCGTGTCGCACCAGCACCGGGGCGGAGGTCTGCTCATCTCCCCATATTCATAATCCCCATGTGCATCGCCTGCCACAACTCCCTTCACATTCCGCAACAGACTGGTCTCATAACTGCGACACACCACTGGCATCATCTGATCCAAGCCCTTCCCGATTAAAGGACCTATAACTATACAAATCATCATCCAAATGCGACCGCGTCATTACATCCTAAAATACACAAGACAAACATCTTCTCAGTATCTCAATAGCCGAGTAAACTGCCCTGTCAACTGCGTCGCTATGTCCTCCACCTGCTTGAACCTCGCCGCGCCGCATACCTCGCTTTCGATGTGCTGGATCAGTCCAGAGATCAGGGTAAACGTATTTTTGCACTTCGGACACTGGAACTCGTCATCGTCGTGTGCCGCAGACTCAAGATGTGTGTTCAGAGACGCGAGTGTGCGGAATATGCGATGACAGAGGTAACATTCGTATCCGGAGCCGTTGAATGCTTGCTCGGTCGCCGAATATTGGATCATCGTGCGCCTGGGCGGCCCACCAGGGCCTGCAATGCGGTGGGACAGCGAGATGGTGGGGGCTATGTTGAGGGCATGGACGGCGGATGTGACTTGGTGCCGAGATATATTGTTGCACGCGCCGGATTCGATGTGAAGAGCGATCGATGACGGAAATTTGAACATGCTGCCGCAGAGGGGACATCTGAGGTCGCGTTCTTTGTGGGTGCGCGAAGACGAGTGCTGCAGACAGTTCAACGATTGGATAAGATGGTCATAACAGACTGATGCTCTACTTGATTCAACGCCAGTTCGCTCCCAAAATCACGAGAGCATATAAAGCACCAGTTGTGTCTAGGGCTGCTTGCGAGGTGCTGATAGAGATGCTCCCTTGAGATGAACCACTTTCTGCAGCCTTGACAGCAGAAGGCTGCGGTTTCACTTGCGTGGTAGTAGCCGTCATGGTGCGCGGGAGAATATTGCAGGTGCTGACATGCGAGGGAGTATGAGACAGTGTCAACGTTAATCGTCCGAAGCGACCTATAATACGACACACTGTACCGACCTGCCATAACAATCCCACGTGCAAAAATAGTTGCCTGCATTCGATGCAATAGTTGTGATCCGCTTTGTCGCGACAATGGGCATGCCATGCCTGCTCATGCGGAAAGTATCGAAAGCATTGGATGCACGTTGACATTCCTAGTAAGGGAGGGAGAGAAAGCCTGGGGGCTCGAGCTGCGGATCGAAGGCTGACTATAAGTATACACGGCATTGTCCCAGCGAAGCTGATGTCATCTCTTGAAACCGCATCAACGCCGCATTCAGGATGCTTCTGGAGCCTGTGCGACACCGAAGGACATGCTGCGGAGGAGGCTTGAGGTTCGGCGTCCTCTGATCAGAACAGCTTCCACAAATGACCACATCGACACATGTGTCTATACGTACGACTTGCCCGATCCAAGTAGCGGAATGCCTGTCGACGTGAAGAGCAGTCATCCATCTTCTATAACAGAAAATCCATCTTCCTGATTAGTGTGACAATGGTGTGCGTGTCAGAAGCAAGTCAAACAAACACAGAGTCCAGAAAAAATCGACACCTACAGACATTCCGACGTAATTCACCAGCAACCTTTAGGGTCTACGGCCAAAAGTGCGCGGCTTAGAGCATCATGCGTCGCGCAACACACCCTCAAGGCGCGCATCCACCGAACAAAAACAGTGCTTCCCCAAGCAGCAGCTTCGGCCATTGTCCTCGAAGTACGATACAAACTTCTCTATGACCAGCCCCGTCTCGAAGGTGATCGCTATCCTGTGGACGATCACGAACTGCCGTTTCAGGCACTGCAGCTCCGAGGGCGTGATGCTGCGCACGGACAGGTATCTGCGCAGACACAGCGAAAGTCGCAGGAATCTGCTCCAGCGTGTGCAGGGCGCCAATCGGACCTGCGTCGGGTCGACAATATATGAGCGAGATAACAAAGAAGGTAGGAGGAGATAGATGACGCTGCGACTACTCGTGCAACGTACCGCGTGCCCACATTTTGGGTTCTGACGTTATCTTCCATCATAGCTTTGCATATGCAGATGCCATCCATTGGGCCAGATTACTCCAACGCGAGAGACGGCGGCACCGCCGGATGTACATCAGGGTCAAGTTTGGGCAATGTTGAGGCCTTTCCATCTTCTCGATTTCGGTCTCATTGTACACAGAGCTCTGCGGTGCTGACGGTGTACACCCACTTCGTTTTTGATCGGTTCGGTTCAGTTCAGTCCCGGCAAGGCAGAAGAATAATTAGTGTGTGAGAGGGCCAGGTCAGCGGACTGACCGGTGGGTGCATGGGGTCATCGCACAGTGCAGATGCACAGCTTGAGTTCTCTGGCAGCACAATACATCTGGTAGCGGAAGGCCATGATGAAGTTCATCACGTCGATCATGAGGTTCGTGTCCAAGCCCATCTAGCGCTACATCGTATTGAACAGCGCGTCGTGGGTGGACTTTTCTAATCGACGGTTACAGTCCGGCGGGCAGCAAACGGATGAGCACAGCACGAGCACATATACGAAGGCGGAAAGGGAGCGGCGTGAGCAGCAAGGGTCCTTTTCGGCTGAACGAGCACGACAGGAGATACCGTCATTACGTTGCCGCCTTGGAGAGGAGGACGGAGGATGCCCCGTGACGAGAAGTTCGTGACGCGTCGCGTCGCACGGCACCGGGGCGAAGGTCCGCACATCGAGTCTCCATATCCATAATCGCCATGTGTTCCGCCGGCCACAACTCTTTTCACAATCCACGACAGACTCGTCTCATAGCTGCGATACGTCCTTCGAGACTTCTTCTATTCTGAACTAGATATCTTATAACTAACTATGGTCGAAGCTCGCAAGATACCCGTTATCAGTCAGAAACCTTTCCGCTGAATTTGATGCCGGACGACGAGGTCTGACCCGTGAATTCTAGTTGATACTGATCCTGGTGTCGACGATGCTATTGCTATGTGAGCTTTCCTTGTTAATTCGTTTTGTTGGTCAATGCTGAATCTATCAAAGACTTCTCGCACTGGCGTCGCCTGAAATAGAGATTGTAGGATACGTTGTGTCTTTCGGTACGTTCAGTCACGATCGTCTCAATACAAGACTTTATCCTCCGTCCTATTCCAGGGAATACCGATCTACCTGCCGCACAGTAAGTGCCGCTACCGGACAGCACGGTTTTTTGGAACATCCTTGTCGACATTAAACAACTTTGCAGTGCCAATATCTTCAAAATGTACCAAGCTGTTGCCCGGCATAGAGAGAAGCACCCAGGGACCTTCCCTAACCTAGAACAGGCAATAAAGCCTTTCGTCGCCAAAGGGGCTCTTGGCCCACTGAGTGGAGAGTTGCACAGTGCACAATACTTCCATGGCCAGTCAGTCACATATTCCCCACTTTCTAACTTCGTCCTCCTTCATTTAAATGTATTACCTTCTAACTCAGCGATGGTCTCGGCGGCCTTTCGGAGAAGCACCCTGAGTTGAACGTCGCACCTTCGGTTCTCGAGTCCTCATCTCATCCCTTCTTACAACCCACGGATCGCCCAGGCCACGAAATAGCGCTGGAATCACTACGGAAATACGAACCCCGAGAGATCACGTATATTGTCCTCGGACCCATGACAAACCTCGCGCGGATGATGCGCACTGACGCCGAGTGCGTGCGCAAGCGCATTGGACGTGTTGTGATCATGGGCGGCGCACTTGACGTCCCCGGGAACACGAGCCCGTCTGCTGAATGTGCATTTTCATGATTCCTGATAGTCGTCCATATGACTGATTAACTTTCACTCATGGTCCTGAAGTCAACTGGTTCGCGGATCCCTACGCCGTCGCCGAGCTCCTCACTCCCAAACCCACCGGCCCCCATTCTGGCCTCCCGCTTTCTCGAATCCTAATACTCCCATTGGACATCACAACCTTACACGAGCTCCCTTTCCCTCTCTACATCTCGCGCGTAGATCCCGCCTTCGACCCTGTCAAGCTCTCGGTTGCGGCAGACAAAGACCCCATGCAGCACTTCACGTCCGCGTTCCTCCAGCGCACCCGTGAGATCATGCGCGGCTTTGGTAAAGACGCCATGGAGCTTCATGACGTCGCTGCGATGTGGGCGGCAGTGCTGAATCCGCCTGTGAAGGATCCTGCAGACGAAACAGAGGATCTGGGCTTGACTCCTGGATGGACCATCGCATGGAGAAAATTCGAAATGGAATGGTGATAAAGCTCTCACATTATTACCGTCTAGATGGGCTCTGACGACGATTGAATTCACGTATTCAGCACAGGAGAACTGACGCGCGGGATGTGCGTTGTAGACCGTCGCGACGACAAGGGTGCATACGCGCCAGGAGCGAACCGTGCTGCGGTACAGGCGGCGCTTGAGCGCCAGAATCTGAAGCATGGACCATTCGAGTCTACGGCTCTACCTGCACAGGTTGCAGTGGAAGAGAACGCGCAAGTGAAATCGAAGACCGGTGGCGTGCCGACCGTCGTGGGCACGCCGGGGTCTGAAGCGTTGGTAAATATCATCATGAAGAGGGTTTGGGGCGTTTGAAAGTCACCTGAGTAGATCATGGATGGTGGTGAGCAGGGCCTTGTCGGTTGCTTAGAAGTCGAATATCCTCTGCAATTAGATGACATCTGCAAAACAGATTGTTGGGAATCCCTTCGCTTTCTAAACGACCACAATGAGCGAAACGGTATATCGACGTTCCTACCTCTTTTGGGTCTAACGCTGTCTCTTGATCGGAGCTTGCCTGTGCAGGAGCCGATGACAGGACACAGGGGAATCCTTCTCGAATCGCCGCTCCTGAGTACGTGGGGATCAATGACGATACGAAGTGACATCATCTATGAGCACCAAGTGTTGAGCTCCGTCCGTCACTACTTAACCCCTCAGTCCAACATCTTCCTCCTGCTTCAACACATCCACGCGCGCATCACTCCATTGAAAACATCTTCACTGCAATCATGCCTGACCCGAACCTCGACCCGTACACGTCCAAAGCTGAGAACAACAATGTCACGCCCCAACAAAAGATTACAGGTCCAGACCTCGGTTTCAGGGGTTTTGGTTTGGTCGATTAATTTTCTTGACAGACCTCCACAAAATCTTACAGGCTGCAAAGACGGGGATGCTCACCACGCGGGCGTCAGACGGGCATTTGCACGCTCGTGCCATGGCACCAGCCGGCCGTACGTCTATGGGCCTTACAACAATTTGTGTACTCACGTTCAAGGTCGACAGCGGTATCCCCTACTCAGCTCAGCCTAGTCTTCATCGCCAACAACACGTCTCCGAAGTGTCACGAGGTTCAAAATGATTCACACGTCAACGTCAGTTTTTTCGATAATTCAACGACGAACTGGGCCAGCTACTCTGGAAAAGCTAGGCTCATCGAAGATAGGAGCGTCATCAAGCAGCATTGGAGCTCCATGTACGCGTCGAGGTACTTGACTGAATATCATCCGCGATGACTGAGTGTGTTCTGTTTGTAGGATGGCCGCCTATTTCGGTGACCTGGGCGATGGCGTTCACAAAGGCGACGAGAACGATCCGCGCGTGATTGCCATCGAGGTTATCCCAGACGAGATCCGGTATTGGATCGCCACGAGTGGAGCGATGAGTCGCACTGTGCAGACAGCGTTTGCCGCAGTGACGGGGAAGGGTACTGCTCCAGGCGAGCTCCGTGAGATCACAGCCCCCGAGGTCAGCCTTTGGCTTGTTCTGTACCTTCGACTGACTTCAATTTCGTCTATAGATCCAGCTTACACAAGGTCTACAATCCAAGAAGGGGATTTAATATTCTTTACGTCAGGTTACCTCAATGTACAATGTACAACAACTGTATACTAGTCAAGTGTTGCACTGTCATTCGCGTTGAAGCAACGTTGGTCCCCACGCCCAGTTGTAAGGTAAAAACGTTGAACAAAGTTGAACATCAGTCAATTTGACGAAATCAAGACTGCTGCCGTATCATGCGATGCGATGGACACGTTCCAACTGCCAGAGAAAGTTCCTAGATCCTTACTCGCCCACATGTCATGCACTCGGTAGCTTCCAGAGCCGAGCCCTGGGACGTCTGCAAAATTCACCGTGAATGTTGTGAGGCTGGCTCCTGTATTCACGATGAATACATGTGTGCCCTTCGATGATGTACCGGAGTAGAACTGTGGAGGACTTGTGGTCGCGGACGTGGACGAAGTGAATGGTGAGGCAGGCGTGCCGACGGTCGCATCTTGATGAAAGGCGAGTAACTCCGAGTTTGTTATAATGGATATTTGATCCACGGATAGTGCAGAGAGCTAGGTTACAAATAAGCAAATAAAAAAAATGCATAAGCAATCGTCAGAGACAGACGGCGTACATTCGTTCCAAGGAGGATAGGGCTCTTCATGAACGCCCAAACAGCGAAATGAGAACGCTGTTCTTCCATGGTAAGGTCTCCATTACCGATCTCCATCATATCCATATCGTTATGCGCATAGAAGTCGATTGACGAGAGGTATTGGACGTTGGTGGTCATGATGGAGGTGATATATGACCAGGTTGCACTGAGAGTAGGTTCAGCATCTAAACATATATACCAACGATTCGGTTGGCTGACCTTGAGTCTCCAGACATGCGCCATGAGTGTCCCTAAGCATATTGGAACAGATAGCGTAATTAATCAAACGTGACCAGATGCATTCATGAGGGAGTACGTACGACGCGTGCACCCCACTCCCACACGTTAGCGGTACCCCAGATACACAGGTCAAATTGAACAGGGTTCGTATTCTCTGCAACAAGAGCAGCGCTGCAACCCTACTGTCAAAATCGGTTCGCTAACGCAGCTAATAACGTACGTCATCTGACGGTATCTGATCGCTGAGTTCGAGTTGCTGAGAATGTGCACACTAAGCAAAGGATTAGATCTAAAAGAATGGAAATTGAACTCACTACCAGTCATTGCCTGGAGGAGTCTATGTGATCGTGAGCATTCGATATGAGCAACCTTAACACTGATATATGGAACGACTTACACTGCTATCACTCCAGTTTCCCGGCACATTGCAGTTGTCTGTCATGCATGGGCCGTTAGAGCTGTCGATTAAGACATTGACATCTAAAAAAGATACCCACCATACTTTAGATCTAATCGTGGATGCTAATCTCAGCTTATTTCTCCAAAAGTGCATATTGATGATGAACTCACAATCAATACCCCAAGAGGCCCATGTAGCAGCGTCGGTGCTCTCATGGCCCAGAGAGCCAGGGAAACCTGCGCACGTGTTCGTCCCCGCATCGCTATGTGGATGTTTTTGATTTTAATTAATCATGTTACAATAGATGATTGGGTGATCTTATGGAGCTGACCTATAGATACCAATCTTAAGGCCGAGGGCATGGACCTGATCGGCGACATCCTTTAATCCATTCGGGAATTTCGTCGGGTCGGGAACTAGTTTGTTGTTAGAGTCGCGCGATGTCTCTGCCCAGCAATCCTAAATGAATAAGGGCGAGTGATATAAATTGTCAGAAACAGAGAGGAATAGAGCACGCGGGGAAAGGCGCGACGTACATCGATGTTCACGTATTCGTAGCCTGCAGCTTTGAGGCCGAGGCTGACGAAACTGTTGGCAGCCGCGATGACTTTATCCGCAGAGATCTCTAGATGTGTGCCGTTTTTGAATCAGCGTTTCCGAAGAAAAAGCGAGAAAAGATCTTATACATACCACAGCCGTAAGCATTCCATCCATTCCAGCTGATGATGGGAAATATATATTTATGCTCGATTGTCGATTGTCATGGAGCTGCGTACCCTAGTGCAGGGAGTTTCCCGACATCTTTCGAGGGACCGACTGTTGGCGCGGTAGCGGCTATGCCCGTGAGACTAGCAGTCGAAGATGAGGTAGTGCTCGATGCCGAGCCCGTGGCTGGAGGCGTGGTCAGGCTTCCTACGACGGTTGTGCTAGATGCTGCCACCGTGGTCCCCGAAGTTGTCGACTGGAGACACTGAGAGTAGTAATCGTTGCTATAGACGCAAGTCCATCTTGTGTGACCAACTCAAGTTAGATCTATCGATCATTCGAAAGCGAAAAGCACTGTACCCTGAGACACATGTTGTCGCGCCGGACCATCCTATTCCGCCGCATTGACCATACGCTCCCGACTGTGTCAAAGCTGGAACAGCGAGGCCTGAGATTGATAGAAGAGCGACTAGAGACGATTCTAGGCGATGCATGATGGTACAGCGAGGAAGAAACTTCGTGAAGTGTTTGAAGATCTTTATACCCAAGCATGACAGTGCATCAAGTGCTTCGTAGGGAGGAATATCGGGTGAAAGAAGTTCATAACGCATGATGAACGGGGTCGGACGAGCGTGTGAGAGCGTGTAGATTTACTGTATTTAATAGTGGATGAATGACTTCCAGCTAACGCAATCGACGACTGTAGGATGACGGAGTAAACCCACCTGGTCAAGACGCACAACAAGATAGTCTCAGTGAGTGAAGGCAAGCCGCACCTCGACTGTGTTCGACAAAAGCGAATATCGGGAATAGTGATCAGGTGTCCTGTCAGTCAACCGCGAATATATTCCGAGAATGGCGCCTCTGATGCATGGGCTGGTTTGAGCTTCTTCTTCGGCATTGGAGGGAATGAGCGGGTAGCGAACCACCTAAGGATGCGACACAAGCTGACATAAGTAACTACAGAAGAAGGCGGATTTGGGGATAACCGCTGATGAAAAGACACGGGTTACAATACCCCCCTCTCGCACTGGTTGAACCGCCCCCGTAAAACACGGGCGATGTGTTTAGTCATATACCCCGGTGCTCGCCGGTCTGAGTTCTAATCCACTCTTTCTCTTCAACCACCACCTCCCTTCACTTCTTGCGACCGCCGCCGCCATCGTCAGCGTCGACGGGAGCGTCGGGCGCCACGGCTTGTGTCACCGCCTTGGGGGCGGACTCTCGCTGTCTCGATTCTCCGGCATTGGTTGCGCGCGGAGCGCGCGAATTTCGCTTTTCATCTCACTTTGACCGCTTTCCCTCCTACTTTCTGTCGTCCTTGCTCTCCTTGCATCATACCATCATTGTCTATCCGACCATCACCACATATGGTGCCTGCATAATGCATTGCTCATCTATTGGCTATTGTACAGCCCAAGCGCCACCTATCATCCATTGCGCCATCATAGCATCGACTGCTGAGATATCAACCGATCTTGTAGCATGCCTGGAGGAACAACATAAATATAGTTATGTCCTCCCTCTGCATAATTCTGCATTTACTGATCTTTGTGGTCCACATGGTCAATTCGAATACTTTCCGTCGCGATTACACTGCAATGAGGTTTTGCAGACCTTATGCTTCGTGCATCTCCGCGCGCTCGAAATCAAGTGTGTCGCTTACAGCCGTTATTGGGATAACCGCTGATGAAGGCACGCAGGTTACAATACCCCCCTCTCGCGCTGGTTGAACCACCCGTGTCTAACACGGGTTGCGTTATTAGTAATATAGCCCGGAAAGCCGGTCGGAGTTTGGAGTTCATCTCTTAATCTTCAACCACAACCTCTTGTCGTCGTTGTCGCCTACGACCGCTGCCGCCGCCGTTGTCGTCAGCGTTGACGGAAGCGTTGGGCACTCAGCTCGTGTCATCACTCTCCTCCTTTGGCAGCTTCAAGGCTTCGCTGTCCGTACTCCTTCTCGATGCGCGCGGAGTGCACCTCCTTTCGGGCGGCTTCCTATCTCGTTCTCTATAATCGCTTCTCCATCCTGCACTACATAGGCAGTGCTCTCTTTTTCCATGGCCTCAGCATTTCTGCCATACGTTGTACTGTAGCATCGACTCTCCCCTAGGACCTGATCTGGTAGTACAACGATAGGCATGTTAGTGACAGTATGTTCATATTGCTCTTTGCGATATCATATCCACTGATCGCCATTCATCCACATGGTTGATCTGAATACTTTTCGTTGCGATTAGATATAATATAGGCAGATGACACAAGCACTTGATGTGTATCACATATAGGGCCCGAAATGCTTCATGCGTGCCACGATCAGGTGTGTCGCTTGTAGCCGTTATCGATACATGACCTGACAACGTTTTGCTCCAGTATATATTGCTGTGCATTCAGCTCCTTGTCCCCCCTCCCTTTCGCTTTTCCACGCTGCCAGTCCACTCCGATGACCTCTCAATCGAAGCACCATCAGCGAAAGGCGAGCACTGTGAAAATCAGGACATTGGAGCTATCAGAAGTAGATGTGCCCCAACCTACTCAGAGTCGTCTTACTCGATACCCTGCAGCGCCGGATCATCTAGAACTAACTGCCTCACAACCTCGTCGCACTAGCAGTCGTGTTATCCAATATGGTGCTGACAGTACTCCTGTTCCTCCTGTAAAGCGACCAAGGGTTGACGATGGTCCTGGTCAGATGCCATTGGCCTTGACAATGACACAAGCTGATGTTGTTCCACGTGTACCGACACAGACATCTTCTAACCCTATGGTCACAGACCTCGGACATGATGATTTGTTACTTGCTGAGAGCTATGGTGTAGATGCTGTGGCATTCGATGCCATGTCTGTGGATGCCGACAGTGTCGTAGCTGATGATGTGGCTGCCTACTGGCATGCGCTTACCAAGGTTGGGGGCATCTTTCGCCTCGACACATATGCTTTCGTGTTACAAGATTGGGATAGCGAGGATGAGTCTCTGAAGGCACGTAGTGTCTTCATGGCTTGCTACCGTGTTGGCTACTAACCACGAGCATTTGCAGATTGGCTCATACTATCATCTTCTCCGCTTGCCTCGAGGCCCTGCACAGTATGGCATAGCATGCAACTGTCCACGATGGAAGGCGCATCACAGTTGTATCCATCACCGTGTTGTGAACACATTCTCACGGGAGCTCGTTATGTTTTGTTCCATTGCATCCTCTCCCCTTCCATTGGCCGTGTTGGTTGATTGCACGCCTTTCAACGACATGTACATTTTCTCATGCTCTTCGTCTCTGGGTCGTTATGAGTCAGGCAAGCGAGTCCTCGTCACAATGCATCGTGATGGCAGATGGCACTGTCAGTCTTGCCGATATTCTGACAACTGTAAGCATAAGCCGCATGCCATTGAGTTTGCTATCGAGGCCAAAATGATATCTGGGTCAGACCAGTCCCTGCCTCGCGATAAACATCTTGGAAGTGAAGCTTCTGATAAAGAAAACATGTTGCTCATGAAAGCTGGTGGTCAAGACGATGGCTTGGGTCTACAAGGGTGCATTTCGCATACATCTATCCCTCCGCCACGCTGGTGCTCGTTGCCTCATGAAGCTTCACTCTACGCTCCTCGTCTCAGTACCGATAGCATGCATTTTGTTCTAGGAGTTGCACCTCGGTGCTGCTGTGGCTTTGAACCACAGACCAGTGGAGGATTTATCTCGCAGTCTGCTACAGTTTTCGGCTTTACAAACAAATATGAAGCGACCATTGATGTACTGCCATGCCCAGTCTGCTGTCATCGGCGACGCCTTGTCGGTCCAGACTTAGGAAATATTGGTATATTCAACTGGAATAACTTGCACTTGTTCACACATGAATTGCTCAATGCATTCACTAGTGCCTTCACAACCTCCGAGACTCCATTCTCAGCTTTCTGTGCAACAGTTCGGCATAGCTATGAAGAGCACTCTCTCGGAAACAAATTTTGCTCTGATGAAACCTTCGTTCGGGCCTGGTTTGCATTTGTACGGCTTCAAAAACTAGACAGCGGAATGACTTGTCCAACCTGTGGACCAAATCCAAGCGTCGTGATTGCAGATGGAGTCAGTCTTGGCACGCACAGCTCAAAATTGACCGCTGTGGTGAAACCACCAACATACACTGACCAGTCAAGTGAAGTGATTGATTCAATCTCTACATACAAGGCTCGTCAATTGCCGGCCATCATCGAGGCTGATATTCGAGGAGGTGTCAATAAATTTCTTGATGCTACTGCTACTACTCTGCCTGGTACCGAGGTCAATTATCCGGACTGGGCCAAGCTTTGTGCGAAGTATTCAGACCTTGCAAACTTCATCATTCTCTTGCATAATAGAGCATTGAGTGCTCAAGTTCAGAAGGCATACCGAAGTCTTCTTCGTCAGATTGCTGCACCAGATATTGTTCTACAGCTGGTACCATATGCAGCCATTGAACCTCTCGAAAACTTTGCTTTAACAGGTATAGCTGCAAGTTGGCTACAATCACTTTGTCCGGCTTTTGGTGTTGTTATAAATGCTCATGCCGAGGAGACAACCCAGATGCCATTACAAGTATTATATGTTGCCAAATGGCTGGCCTCTCGGGCATCCGAGGTCTATAACCGCTTAGCACAACATGACCCCAGTCCCCCGGTTTTACTTCAAGAAGATAACTGGAATGAGACAGGAACATGCTACGGGCTTTCTCCAATCCGAACACGCAGAGTCTACAGCAAACTTCAGTATGACCATAAACCACATGATCTTGATGTCGACGAGATGGGTGACTGCAAGAAGTTCTACAAGACCTATTCACGGAATAACCTTACTGGTGGAATACTGGTGCTTTGGTGCACACACTCTATTTGTCTTGGCTTTCATTCAATCCCTACTGCGGAGGGTCGGAATGATGTATTCTCCGCCATATATACTCATTTCCCACAAGCTCCAAAAATTATTGTATATGATTTTGCTTGTCAACTCGCACCCTACTGCCTTGTGCGAGAAGCACGATATTTTCGTGACACTCGATTTCTCATCGATGAGATGCACGCGCATGATCATACACGCTGTGGTCAAGCCTGCTTTGCAAGTAACCTAATGCAGTTCGACGAGAGGATACGGTCAATAAATACAAGTGCTGCAGAGTGTGGAAACAAGGGTGTCAACCGTATTCGAAAGACTGTGAGCTTTATGACTTACGAGCATGCAGTTGTGTTTACCAAGGCTTACATGGATGTATGGAATCGAGCTGTTATTAGACGGATTATGGACAAGATATAACTATACTGATCTTGATTGATTATCGTACTGATAGTAGGTGTAAGTACATTATGTGCCTCATTACAAGCATTAAGCTAGGTACTGTGATTATGAATGATCGAAATATCAACAACCTATTATTAAAGCATAGTAGCCTGCACTGATACCATATTCTCTAGATGTGCAGCCTGAGCATTAACTTGTGCTGCTCGAGCATTAACGTCGGCTTCACGAGCCTTTAACTTAGCTTCTCGTACTTCAATCTCTCGCCTCAACTCAAGTGCATTATTGACCTCCACATTTACCTGTCTCATCTGCTCCTGTGTTATCCGTTGCTCTCTCGCGAATGTACAAATCATCGCATGCAGATCATTAACAAAATCATCCCGGCCCAAATTATCGAGCACCTTGCGCAGATTCCCTGAAATGTAACTTTTCGAAGCCCCTTTTGGATGCAGAACTGTTTCGGGCCTGTTGCCTTAGATGTATAAGTAACAGCATGGTTATCTTGCACAAGGACTCACCGAGAAACATAAAGAAAAATATATGGCCTTGTCGTAAGGTCAAGTTTGTATGCCTAGAAGAATATCTCAGTAATTTCAAAAAAAACTCGCAAGATAGCTTACATAGTCTAGCAACACTTTGATTCGATCAGAATGAGCATCCATTCGCCGTTTTGCATCAATAGCAAATGTTGGGAGTTCTGTCAAGGTTCGAATAATTAATTGCCATTATAAGCACATAATGATTTTATGTACTCCGTTTCTTGCTTGTCGAGTCATTAGCACACTTCCGCTTTGGTCCTTGTCCCAAAGGATTTGAGCTGTTGTTGATAGTAGGCTCTCTATTTGACGACACATCAGTATCAGTAGCTTCAGGCCGCTGCCCTAAAAGGGTAGCATCTAGCAGAGAATCCGAGATGGATGATAGTGCCTGGGCATGATGAGATAAATTAAGTGAGGGTACTATAGACGGAACCGCGAGCCTAGGCCCTTCAGTTGCGGCCACCTCAAATGGATGGTCCACAAGCATGTCCGATCCGAACTCGAGTTGATCATCGGATGTTGACACTGCAAATGGATCTAATAGATAGAGTATGTCATTGACTACGAAAAAAGGCCTTCATCGAGACTTACCATTTGCGGGGGCGGGAAGACTGTTGACGAGGGCATTCCAGAATTCCATGGGCATCGATCCACTCTCGCTGCCATCTCCTATCGACAATGGGGGGTGTGCAGGTAAGGCCATGGTCTCATCAAAATATGGGAAACTCGCAGTTGTTGAGATAAACGGTGCTGGCACCACAGAAGCAGGCACAGCTGGTGTTAGCAATGAGGGGGAATTAGACGATGGATTGGTTATTGTGTTCGATAAGGGCAGTGGCAAGTTTTCGATTGGCTGGACCGGTGATTCTGTCGACTCCGCATGCGCGATCTGTTATACCTACGTCAAGATCAGTTATCAATATAAGCCTGTAGGAAGACTTACCGATGCATGTTTCCGGAAGGGACATTTGTGCCCCCGAAGTGGGGCTGGTTGCCCATCAGTGCCAATACAACCACGCCGACAAGTGGGTGCTAAAGTTCACAGTGAGTCATAGAATGAAAGGGGGGTAAGTAACCCACCTTTGCGTGACATAAAGAAGTAAGAGAGCGCGTCGCACGAGAAGTGACCGGACAACGATGGCTGATGTACTGCCACACAGGAATAGCAAGTGATAGGATAAATTGGGATGGGGGATATCAGTAGCAATGCAAGAGAGAGCAACAACAGCGATGATGCAACAGAACGCGGAAGGGAAAGTAGCGGAGAATGAGAGAAAGTCGAAAAGGGAGGCGCGCTCCGCGCGCACAGGGAACGAGTACTGACAGCGAAGCCTTGAGGCTGCCCAAGGAGAGGAGTGATGATGTGAGCTGGGTGCCCAACGCTTCCGTCGACGCTGACGACAACGACGGCGGCAGCGGTCGTAGGCGACAACGACGACGAGAGGTTGCGGTTGATGATGAAGAGACAAACTCAAACTCCGACTGGGTTTCCGGGCTATATTACTAATAACATAACCCGTATCAGACGCGGGTGGTTCAACCAGCGCGAGAGGGGGGTATTGTAACCCGCGTGCTTTCATCAGCGGTTATCCCCGGATTTGAGGCCAGATGCTGCGGAGAACGGAGAGCTTGGACCGACTTGGGTTCACACTTTTTTCCCTTCCACCAGTTCACAGCTTCAAGTTCCTCTGCTATGACGTATGCATTTGAAATGGCTTTCCTCACCTCTTTCTCCTGTTCGGTCAACATGGGTTTGGTTGTCTGAGACCTTCCAAGACTCGGGCAACAGCTCACTCAACGCATGAGATTCTGCGTCCGTCATCGAAATATAAATGACTTGAGGTATACACTTTCTATAGAGCCATTCATATCTTCGTGGTCGAGAGTTGGTGCCTACACAGGTCTTGCACGTTCTACCACTTCAACGGAGTCACGGCGATGTCAATGTGGGTTTCGATGTAGCCTTGCGGTCTCAAACATCGCCCTGATCAATATCGGCATGGTGTAGAGGTGATGCTACTCAGAAGTCTAGACTGTGGGCAAGTCCCATGAAATCATCTGCATACTCACCAATGGACGAATCCTCAGAGATATATTCTCTGTATTCTCATCCTGCCATGACTCGAACGAACACCGCAGCATACTCCGAGAACCCCCCAACACCAGCAAATGATATCGCGCGCCGTGTCTCCATCAAGCCAAGTGTTTCGGGGCCAAGGACTATGCATCGCAGGGGAGAGGGTGATATGGCCAGGATTGCCTCAGGATCTCCCAACACGATGAATTTTCAAGCTCCCAGTCGCTCGCTCGCTATGGTTCTCGAGACTCAGGAGATAGAACACGACTCGTACTTCTCTTTTCCGCCAGCCTTTCCACCTCTCGGCTCGGATACGAGCGCTATACGACGGCGTCGTTCTACGAAGGAACTGATACATCAGTTTGAGGCGTTGGACTCGTATCAAACCTCGGCCGTTGTATCTAGGACATCGATGTCGCGTGGGGCGAAGCGGTCAAGGGAACTTTCCCCTCCGCGCGTAGAGAAAGTGGAGAAGAAGAGATCGCCGCTGCGTCAGTCGTTGAAGAATTTTCTCTCTGTCTTCAGTAAGAGGGGAAAGGCGTCAAGCAAGGACAGTGTCGACATTTCTTCAAGGTCACCTCGTGTTGTACTGTTCCCTCACTCGGAGAGCAAGTCACCCTCAGAAGACCCTTTTATCGACCGGCGTCCTTCCACTCAATCTCAGGAAGACGGCGACTGTGGCTCTTCGATTTGTAGATCTCCGACTTATGCCCTTCATTCTGGCCAGCTTCTTCACCTGTTCGAATCATCTCCCTTCTCATCGCCGATCTTGCCTGTATGGACGTCATGTCAGGCGATTTTGCACAACACCCATCTTCTTCTGACAAGTCAAACTTCGCAAGGAATCGCGTCGACCGACGTGGTATCTCTGTCTAATTGTACGGATGTACGATCTGTATCTACCAAGGACTTAGATCCTGACGAACGTGATCTACTGCCTGCCTTCGGACAAGAGACCGCCAGAGTATTCGAGCTGATTTTTGAGGGGAAGAAAAGGGAAAGGTTTGCTGCTGCTTCGATCCAGGCAAGGGCAGGATGGGTGAGTGCGATCTGGTGAGTCGTCGGAAGATCGAGAAAAACATCTGAACCACCGTGATAACGACTCGTAAATGTTCTCCTGCAGGGACGCTATTCTTTGTACCCAAGACAAGAGCATCCATGAACATTACCAAGACGAGATGAAACGAGACTTTCGTGTCGACATCTCAGAGACACCGACCGTCGACTCGGATATTGCATCTCCTTCCGTCTCTGAAGGGTCCTCTGCGGCTCTCCGCTCACGACTGGGCTGTGATATAGACCGCGATCTTCCTCCACTACCACCACTGAAGATGTTTACGCCGACGCGTCAGATACATCCACATGACTCAGCGTCACGCTCTGAAGAGATGCCGATCACCACTACGCCTACCAGCAGAATGTCTCCCGGCCCTTCGTCACCCTCTCGCAGGCAGAGCCCATCCATCCTCAATTTAGGTCAGAGGTCTGTAGTTAAGCAACGCCTCGCAGAAATCCAGACAAACTTCGAGACACCGGTCTCGTCGCCAACTAGCACCTCCGAACTGAGTTCACCTTCGAGAATATCATCACCGTCTAGGCGCAGCACTGGAAAGAGGAGAGCCCTTCGAACGCCTACTGTGACTGAGCTCATGAATAGCGTCAGTTCGGAGAACGGGAACTCTGCCGGAGATTCTGCTAATAGACTCACCTCACCTGTATCGGCCATCTCGGATTACTCTGGCTTGACGACGCCAAGGCCTAAATCTGCGTTCCGTATGCGAGACGAGATGCGAGCGATGGAGAGGTCCGGACACCGCAGGTGGGCAGCGGAATCCGAAGCAACAGAGTTCTGGAGCATGAAACGCACTACAACTGATCAGTCGTCCGTGGCAGAGAGGACACTCATACAACCTTCGGGGAGGGACGGGGCAAGTGTGGTATTGGATGCTCTGGACCTGCATGAAGAAAGGTACCATGAGCATGCCTCCGTTTTAGGAGGTCAGATCTCTGCCCTTCACGGAGACGTTCAAGGCATCTCCGAAGGCATCCAGTTGGCCCTCTCGCAGCGTGGAGAAGACTCCGTGCAGATTGCAGAGATGAAGACTATCCTGCAGACAGTCGGTAATGCGGTAACGCATATGCATCCCACAGATCTCACCGCAAACGTCGGGAGTGGCACAGGGTCTGAAGGGACACAGGTAATGGAGGCATTGGACGATATCAGGTCCCGGATGCAGGACCATTTTCCCGCTCTTTTGAGAGCGCTTGAAGAGATTAGGCCAGGAGCCCGGCCTAGCTCAACTATTCTTCGTAATGTGTCTCCTTCACTTTCAGAAACGCAATCCTCGACGGATACATCAGCGACGAGCGAGAAGCTGGATGCTCTGCTCAATTCATTCAAGGAGCTCGAGGCGACACGTTTCACGCAAGGCGAGGTACGTCATTGTACAGCTACATTTCCCAAAAACAGATCACAGACATCTAACCAAGAATTATCAGGGCTCTGGGCACAAAACAGTTGAAGTCCGTATCGGCACTTGTTGTTCCTATCGGCGCTGATCTGCCTAATTATAGGAAATCATATCCTTACTCAAAGATGCTCAGAACCAGCGCAATGTTCAAATGGAGCAACAAACAGACAGCGTCCGCTATCTGAACGAATTGAATACGGCACGCAAAGTCCTAAATCAAATAGAGTGATGTTTTTGATCTTTGATTTTTCAGTGGCTTGAGGCATTTGTCAGCACCGGGGCAGCACAGATTCAGGCTGTCGGTGTTGGTGTCAACAAACTTTGTCAAGAACTGGGCATCTCAAATGGGTTGATTGATACGACAACCTTAGAGGGGTCGGAAGCCCAGCATGACGAGTCACGGGCCACAATCATCGGAAGTATACGGGAGCTTCTTGCGGATACCAAGACGAGGGACCAGGATAGCATGAACCTGCAGACCGCGATCAACGGATTGATTGCTGCCCTGAACGAAGACATGCGCAAGAACGCGGAGATGCGCAATGCGTACAGTGAGTGACTCGGGATTCATTCATCTCCGACTTAATGGCAATAATCATCCGGAATTAGCCACAGAATCTGTCATCGGGTTAATAGATCGGCAGAGGCAGGATCAAGAGAGGATGTTGAAGGCCTTGGCTGCAGGTAGTAGCTTTCACTGGACCCCATTGTTAGAAATTGAATGATATCGTTCACCAGAGTTGTCAAATGACATTCGAGGTGAAAGGCTACGATTCGTCGAAGCCATGAAGGAAGCCACTGCGATCAACGTTCAGAGTGCGTCCGCTATCCGCATGGAACGCGTTTACAAATTAACCGTCTAGATTAGTCCATGTAGAAGAGTTCAAAAAGGAACTCACACGCGAAGTTTTACTCATGACTCAGGAGGTTGGCCGTCTTCAGCGAGAGAGACAATCACTGGAGTCGCAAATTTCGGATTTGTTTGCTTTCTACGCAAAACAGAAGCAAGCTATGGGGGTAGGTGTCTAGTTCTTACACTGAGTAATCGCGTCGCTTAGCTCAAATTAGCAGAGCGGTGGGTCAGCGGCCCCGAGGCAATCATCGCAACCCTCGCCTAATGCACGATATAGAGAGGCTTCGACGGCCTCTCGTGGACGAGCTCTTCCCAATCCACCACCTGAGTGATAAGGCCAATATCGCCGCGGCGCGGCTCAAGCCTAGGAGCATATGTGAATCTTTTTCTCCTTTTCCTTTGGAGTCAATAGTTTGTGCACTTCCTAGTTCGGACCCGAGTATTGAGCGTACGCTGCCTGCTTTGTGTCTCTGCTCACTCACGCTTTGTACGCCATATCTTTTCGGTCCCTGTATGTTCCTGTGACGCTATCATCAGCTTGCACTCAGTTGCAATTAATCCATTCTAGTTAAAGCATCCGTTGGTTCAGAAGACAAGGGCCAGATGATACAGCTTGACCACACACCACGGCTGCGACCTTTCTAAGGTATACCATACCTACGGTGCCGATGTCCACTGTGCCGAACATCATATGCTCTCCCTTTGCTTATCCGTGGGACTCAGTTGAACAACTGAGTTAGTTGATTTGCTAGATGGGGCGACTGACATGGCGCCTCTCCGGCTGCGACGCCGGCACCGAAACTTCTCGTCCAACTCGTCTAGACAAAGTTCCAACCGCTAAACAGGAGATTCCGAGCCGGTGTGAACCTTGCATGTCATGGGCATCTTAAGTTCGCCGTATGCCCTTTCTCCCCCTCATTACGCGTTCCGTGTTCCGCACTCGAGCATCTGCTGATAGCGAATGGTCAAACTTACCAGCTTGAGCTCCACATCCATCCGAGAACTTGGCTGCACGACCGTTGTTGGCTATACTTATCAAGCTCAAGCTTCGGTCTGGAGGGGAATGGATATAGCCGTAGCCAGGATTCAAGGCGAAGCACGCGCCGAGTGAACTTTTGGGGCGGTGAACAATGCGATATGTCACGAGAGAGCGCTTGTCCAGCCCTGCATCAGAAGCAGGAATGGGAATGCCCCGTCCGAGTCTGTGACGACGCCTGTAAGGCATATGCCCTTCTTTCTCCATGTCCGCTTGAAAGGTACGTAGGCCAGACAGATCTGGACGTTGACCTGGGGGGAAGGGCTTCGTTAGCAAGAACAGTGACATGGAAAGCTCAACGGTTGTGGTCGTGATCTCGCCGACTCCCACGCGTCTCGTCTCTTCCGGCATGATGCCCTTTTGAGATCCAACGGAGACCTGCGGAAAAAGCGATCTCAGGTACATTCATTGTATCTGTTTATTATCGAAGCAGCTCATGAGTATCGCGAAGCATCGCGTCAAAGGAGATGTGATTTCCAGGATCGGAAATAAGTTCCGTAGGCAATGCAGGAAACTCACCGCATCATGAGGGAAATGTCTTCAGCACCTGCTCCGACAGGTCAGCATACCCAGCAAACAGTGTGTACTGGAGAAAACGGACGCACGATCAGGGTAAAAATAGCGTACACATACGTAAATACCAGCGTGCTTACGGAGTTGCAGTAGAAGGTTGCAGAATAATACGCCCTAGTGCTTTGATTGCAGGCTCTAGCGTTATAGTCTCCCAAGAGAGCGCGATATGCAGCTCCGTCCAGTCGAGAACGTTCGAAACGTACTATCAGTCTTAGTTGCCCCATTGTGGGCATATCGGCTTCAAAGAACCACTTAGCGTAGCAATTATCGCTCGAAGCACTCCAATTGCTCACCAAAAGTCATGATGGACCATCGTGAGGCAAGCAACGCCCAATATACGCGCAGCACGTCGCGGTTTCCGATAAGAATACGCACCAATGCAATACTAGAGGAGGCCCCGGAATATGGCAATGCTCGCACGGGAGGCAGCTGGAGGACAAAGGGATGAGGGGAGCGGCACTCCGTACTAAGAATCGAATCAGCCTCGTACCCACAGTTAAGTGCGGTTAGCCTCTTCTGCACCCACACAGTGCATGCATCCCCGAACATTCCTTTGATGCATTTTGCAAGTATCGTCGAGCCTGGATTCGAAGACGTATTAATATTATTACGGAGGCGGCCCGGATCTTGCTGTTAACCAAATCGGTGATCCACGCAGAAGAATGTTCCTCCGCGAGCACACGACTGTCATCTCCAACGTGTTGCATGACTGCTGCATGCCGAACATAAGAATATGGAAACCGTCGGCGAAATGCCAAGAACATGCAAGCAGCCCGATCTTGTTTTAGAGTAACATGGACCAATAGCATGCGGGCTCCCACCGAACACCATATGCTCTCAAGTGATCGAGCGCTCACACAGTAGCACACTTACCACTTGCATATAAAAAAGCGCTGTCGGCCACGTAATCGCTGCCCACACGGAAGCACGCAACGGGGGTGCGCTGGAGAAAGGGAGACTGGAAGCGGCTGATGGGGATTTTGCTGCCCGAAGCGAGAGACAGAAACTCTCTTTTTGTATTACCGTCCGCCGCGATGTCCCCGTCCGCGTGGTAAAGTGCAGCGCATCGATCCTGAACGTGCACAAGTAGAATTGATCCAAGCCCCGACTCTGAGAAAGAAATAATAAACTGGGGTTGTCGGCCGTCGAGAGACATTGCATCTGCTCACGCCTATACTTCGATGGACGTGCCTCGCTGCGACAGATGCACACGGGCTCACTCGAGGTGCTGTGCGTCGACGCATGCAATCCGACATCTATTACAATCAGGTTTGGCAACCCTACAGGTCAAGCGGGGGCACGACGCATGGACGCTTGTAGACACCCTCTTGGTGGTGACAACGTTGGTAAAGTTAGACGGAATCAAATGGCAGATGAGATCAGCTCGAGGTCGGAATTGATAAAGAAGATGAAAAAAACCACGTCCAAGCCACGGCACGCTGTTCTCCATGTGCATATGCGTTAATTGAGTTTCACATTGCGCTCTCGTGGCGTCGCACTGGCGTCGCTTGACTCTTGCTTTCGAGCATGCGAGAAGTCGGCTACAAGCCAGGTACAGTATGACAACGAATGAAATTGTGAAGAGTCCGATGAAGGCAACAATAGAAAATCAGAAAGACTTGGAACATACAAACAATTATAGACACTGCCGTTGTTAGGGTAAGGCATCCCTCCTTGAGTAAGGATGAATGTGCGTGAAAGTGGCGCGGATGCATGTGCTGTGAAGCCGGCGAGAAAGTGCTGCGCCGCGAACATGTGAACAAAACATATCAGGTATTGGGGATACAAGACGTACAATCGAGTTACCATGAGTATGTGAATGTGACAACCGCCTTTAGCTGCCCCTCTTGCGCAGTTTGGCTCGTACAACGTTATCGTATGACTCGCGGATGGGATTTCGGTACCTGAGAAGAGTGAGGTGCGTTGGAATGTACGGCAAGGGGAGAAGCTGGTGGAAGCTTTCAAGGTCTGCGCTGGATTTGGGTGGAGGGAAGCGAACAACCAGATGGGGCGGAGCCACACGCGTACTGGTGGGAAGATGTGCCAAAGATGAGAATGCCGCTGATGACGAGGAAGATGCAGTCGACAATGTGCGGGTGCGGTCGTGGTTTGAGATGGGAGACATTTGACCTATCGGATGTGCGGGTAATGTGGCAACAGAGCGCACGGACGATGTGGACGGACGACGATGATTGTTGCGAGATGAGTCGCGCGTTGGGGAGGTCTGCACAGACGAAGTAAGTGATGCTGAGACGGTCTTGATGCTGGTGGGGGAAGAGGAAGGTCGAAGGCGCGGTGGCGATGGAGACGAGGATAGCTGCGCCTGAGCTGCATCTTCCGTTATTGTGAGTGGTGCGAGATGGCCATGCCCAAACGACTGTCCGCGAATGAGCGGGTGAGGGCGCAGAGGGTGACCGTACTCGTTGCGAGCCGAAGATATCGAGTGGATGGAATGTGCTGAAGAGGGGCGCGCGTGTGTTACGCGCTTATGAGAATCTGACGACCGTCGCGCGCCCTTCGGTGACGTGGGCGTATCTGGAGTGATAGGAGTTGTCATCGTAGATGGAATGATCGGCGCGGCCGGAAGTAGCACGGGTGGGTTCGTTTGGATGCGGGGTTGGGGATCAGCGGGTCGGGTGTTTGTCAAGGAAGGTGCAGCGATACGTTGGTAGTGAGCTGCACCACCGCCGTTCGTGATCGCTGTGGGAGGTAAAGGTGAGTCTGCTGCACGCGGAGTACTGGGGCCTTTGGCAGCCTCGTCCGCAAGGACAGCCGCTGCCTGTGTCAGCTCCTGTGGTGTAGTCACTGACTCCTCTTCGGCATCCGAATCAGTCTGATGGTCCGGCGTCGCGGCACCGCTCTCGCTGGAAACCCACTCGTCGTCATCCTCGTCGCTGCCCGCGGTCGTGCTCGCTAAAGTGAAGCCAGGTTTATGCTTTGACTGTGCAGAAGTGGCTTGTGATAGGGGTGCCCGTTTCGGCGCTGCGGTCGATGAGTGCTCTCGCGGCTGAACCCGCTGGGCACTGTTGGGTCTGGGGAAAGGAGAGGTTGTGCGCCCGTTAGACTGTTATCGTGAGCAACAGTAGAACAGAACGCTTGTCAGTTCCGGCGAACAAGAAGATTGATCAGGTTTGATATCACCTCGTGGACATGGCCGTTGCGTTTCGCTTTCTCGGTCTTTGGCTGAATGGGCTCCTTCTGAGTGAAGTGGAGGTTGAGCGCAAGCCTGGATGCGCCGCCCGAGGATGTGCGGGAGTGATTGCGAGTGGGGCCGGGACGGTGAGCTTTGGCTGGCATGGTGGCGGACGAGCAAAGTTGAGAAGAGACACGATTTCGTACTCCGCTCCTCTGTTCTCTCCTTCATCGTCGCGGACGAGCGCGGAGTCCACAGCCACATCCTCCTGACCACTCGCAGTTCTCCCGCCCGGTGGACTACTGCTACAGCTACTCTCTGTCTGCGTTTTCCTGATACCAACAGCCCATCATGGAGAAAGTTCAATTCCAGCAAGAGCAGGTGGGTAGCCAACCGTGCGGTGCCCCGAAGCGAGCAGAACATTGAGGTCATGTCCTTCTATAGATGCTCGCAGAGCTGAAAGATTTTGCTCAAAAAGGTCTTTTCACTCAAGTACGCATTGTTTCGCTCTCGTTCGCAGATTACTCAACGGACGATCTCGTGCGCAGAAAGAAATAAAACATATCATGAAAAAGCGCACCGCGTTCGAGACCGCGCTCGTTCGACGAGTAGCTAAAAAAGGCGACTTCCTGCGCTACGCAGCGTACGAAATGAGCCTTGATTCGCTTCGCAAAAAGCGACTAGAGCGGCTGAGTGAGTGACTTTTGCTCTGGTCGGGTCTCTGCTGAACGTCGCTCAGCGTGATCATTTTTACAGAGCTGCCTCCCTCTCCGCCCTCCGTATCAGACTATGCCCTTGTCCGGAGGCAGTTTTACATCTTCGAGAGGGCCCTCAAAAAGTTCAAGGCCGACGTGGGGCTTTGGGTCCAGTATATCAACGTTGCGAAGCACGAGGGCGCGCGGGCTCTGGTTGGACGGATTACCGCTCGGTACGTCTCTCTGATTTCGCATGTTCGCAATGCGCACAACATGTTGCTTTCTGGCGGACGATCAAACCCGACTGACGCATCTGTGATATCAATTTTGATGCGAAATGCAGGGCGTTGCAGTTGCACCCAAACACGCCAGCTCTCTACATTCTCGCCGCTTCACACGAGCTAGAACATCTCTCACCATCAGCCGCCCGCACGCTTCTGCAGCGAGGCATCCGTCTCAACCCCGACAGCGTAGAGATGTGGCGGGAGTACGTCAAAATGGAGTTAGGGTTCGTCGAAGGCCTGCGCAGGCGGTGGGAATTGTTGGGAATCCAGCTCGACTCGAAAGGGAAGGGAAAAGACGTTCGGCCGACTATGGACCTCGACGGAGCGCATGACGCCGGCGATGAGGAGGACCAAGACCGCTCAGAGGGGATGGACGTCGACGAAGACACCAATGGGGATGCGGCGAAACATGAGATCATGGAGGGCATCATTGTCAAATCCGTCATCTCAAGTGCCGTGAAAGGTAACTCGTTTCAATCTTCTATGCGCTTCACGCCGATCGCTGAGTGATTCGCCTTTCATAGCGCTGCCGACAATCGGCCTGTTCAAGTCACTCAAGGATCTCATATCGGCCTATCCGTCACCCGCGCCGTTGCGGGACGCGATTTTAGATCATCTCTTCGCATTGCTCAGATTGACGCTGCCTACAGATCCCGAGGCTGTGAAGCTGCACGCAACGCGATCGCTCACGCCCGATCTGGCAGGCGAAAAACTAATTGGCAGACTGAAAGATGCCAACGAGGAGCTGACGCAAGCGATCACGGACTGCGGCAGCGATCGTCAAGGCATTTGCGAGAGATATGCAGACTTTGTGCAGGAATGGTGTCAACGAGACATCGACGGTCCCCTGGTACGACGACAATGTTTTGCAAACATATTGTGTCACATGCTGACGCGTCCGCTCGCGCGCATCTAGAAACTTTACCTCGTCGCGAGCTTGCAGTCCCTCGCGAACAAGACTTTTGAACCTGCATTGCTTGCTGCGCATCTGGAGCTTCTGATAACGGTTTCCGATACGTCTTTGCCAACCCCCGGGAAGATCGTGCACCTAGCGCGAAAATACACCACGAAGCAGCCCACGTCTGCCGTGGTGTGGCTCGCACGTCTGGCGGTGGAAGCGAAGCTTGGGAGCGGAGAGGACGCGCGGACGGCGTGGGCAGAGGCTCGGGGAGCCACCAAGGGCCAACGGATGGAAGATGTATGGATCTGGGGCCTCGAGCAGACGTTTGGCGAATCGCCGGAGGAGCGGACGCGTCTTTTGGAGGTGAGGGACCGTTTCGCGCGTTTACGTGGTTGATCCTATCGTTTGCCGAGCTGACATGCCGGATGCTGCAGGGAATGCTCGCGGACAGCATGAGGGATTCGTGTCTGCGGACCGTACACGAGACGCTACTGGTGCGGTACGCCCAACTGGCCCTGGATGGCCTCTCGGTGGGATCCGATAGTGATCGGGATGATGCTGCGACGCGCGGGGCGGGAGTCGTGCGTCGTATCGCGCACATGTATCTGCCGACTGGCAGGGTGTGGGCAGCTGTGTTTGAGGCGGCGGACGCGGGGGGCATGTGCGTGCTGCGGGGGGTTTACGACATGTGGATGCTGACGGACGTGCGGGCGGCGACGCTGGCGTGGGGGACGTGGCTGCTGGGGCAGGGCCGGGGTGCAGAAGCGAAGGACGCGGTGGTCAGGGCGCGAAGCATGCTTGGGAGCGAGGAGAGGGCCCTGCTGGAGAAGGCGTGGACGGAGGCGGTGGCTGGGGAGGACCGCAGGGCTGGGACAGAAGAAGCGGAGGAGAGATGATCTGGCTTCGCACGCAGATGGCGGGGGCGGATAGAGTTTTTGCCGTTGTGTGGGTGTGTCACCGCGTATGTGCTCAACTGGAAAGGACGATTCCCGGCCGGTGTCGCTGTTCGGTGGCGTGGTGGCCGCGGGGGCGTGCCTCGACGGGTCGCGAGCGAGTATCTACGGGTATCTACTTAATACTAGGACTGGCAGCGAGCGATAATGATCATAGGGCGACTCGCAACGAGCGAGGCACGTGCCGTGCGACCGCATCGATGCTGTGGTGCTGTGGGCGCGGCGTGCATCGCCTCTGGGCGATAGATGTTTGTGCGTTGCAACGCATTAGAGATGAGATCGAGGTGTGCGGGACTCTGGATCACGGGCAGGGGCTAATTCTGGGATGGGGGACGGACACGCATGGCGGCGCATGGTGCATGCCCAGAAGCGCGCGTCCACATGGTCCCTGCTGCCCGCGCAGTCTTATACATCAGCCCGTCCCATTTCTCTCTTCCTTCCCCCTTCTCTCCATCGTTCGCGTCGTCCGTGGTCTCTGTTCGTCGTCGGTCTCTGGTCCTGTCTGCACACCGTCGTGGTCGTGAGTCTGTCCGCTGCTCTGCCCAACCCCCAAGCCCTCGCGGCCACAGCATAATTACAGCCCCTGATCTCTCCCCTTCAATTTTCAAGCCCCGCACAAGGCTTCTCTTCCTTCACGGGCAACCACCGCAGGCTCTCGGTCCTCCCCCACCGCAAGCTCGTCGTCGTCTTCGACGGGGCCATCGTTCCTCCCGTCCTTGGAGAACACCATCCCCCCGCTGCTGCATGCTATCGCCCCCATCTCCCTCAGACTTTTAGCCGGTCTCGTCTGAACAGATACGTCGCTGTCTCTTCACTGAGAACGGGCCGCTATCAAGTCCTCTTCCCCCCTCCCCCCTCGGCCCATGTTGCAGTACACGGTACAACCCCCTCCCCTTTCCTTCTCACATGGCCCTAAGAAATTATCACAGAAGACCGGCTCAGCCACTCAACCTCCCCGCCGTAATGACCCCTCCCCAAATTCCACTCACCGCCCTTTGACTTCGCCCTCTGCTCTCACACAGCAGCGGCCTGTGGACGCCCCCCTTGTAAACCGCCTCTCTGGTGTATTATCTTCCCCACTTTCAATCTCTACCTCCTTCTCTTCTTCTTCCAGTCTCCCCTCCCCTTCTTTCCCCCCTTCTTCCCTTCACAAGGCTCCTCGTCCGCCCTATATGCCCGCTACCCGTCAGCAGTCCATTCCGGTACCCTCTCCGGCCTTGGAATCTCGCAAACCGTCTGCATCTTCCTCCGTGATTGCCGACGTTCTCTGTCCCGGCGATCTTGTAGGACAAGGCATCCCCTTGTTGGGCGAGACCCTCCGCCTTGCCCCCGTCCAACGCCCGGTATCCCATGCCGAGGCACCCGAGCAGCCTGCACAGGAATTCGAAGTCGTCAGAAAACTCGGCACCGGCAGCTACGCCGTTGTCTATCTTGTGCGGGAGGTGCTTGCCCGTGCGCCCTCCTCTGATGACGATCATATGTACCCTGGCGGTCGTCTTGATCTGGACGACGCGAGCGTGCGCCGGCCCTCCGTGGAGTACGGTCGCCACTTCGCTGTCAAGCTGCTGTCGAAGGCAAATTTGGACAAGGAAGCTTTGGCCGAGCAAATGTTTGAGGTGGGTATATGCTCATCGTCATGTGTGCTATGACCTGATCTGACTCCCCTGACGCGCCACCTAGGCTACTATCCACCAGTCACTCCCTTCCCATTCTAACATTGTCACCCTCCATCGAACGCTCGAGACCTCCTCATTTTTACTTCTCTTGCTCGAGTTTGTACCTGGCGAGGACCTGTTCTACTTTTTGGAACAGGCTCGCGACCATTTTGATACCGACCCCGCCGCTGAGGACCCTCTGTCCTCTTCTCGTACCCCTCCGACGCCCAGCCTTCTATCTTCCATGCATTCCGCCCAGCTCTTGTCTCCTGCCCGTCTGCGTCTGATCGCGTCTATGTTCTCGCAGATGTGTGAAGCCGTGGCGGTCTGCCACGATACCTCTGTTTTTCATCGCGACATCAAGCCTGAAAATTTCATTGTCACAGATGGTTGGCAGACTGGCGTTGATGGTAAGAGGGAGCGCAAGGTCATCGTGAAGTTGACCGATTTTGGGCTGTCCACTACGGATGTCGAGTCTTCTGACGTGGATTGCGGCAGTGCACCATACATGAGCTATGGTAGGATTTCCGCCCATTCGACGTATCTTGGCGCTGATCAAACGTCGCGTTTCAGAATGCAGGAACTATGTGGCTCCCACGTATCGACCTCGTGCTGCAGACGTATGGTCGTTGGGCATCGTTTTGATCAACATGTACGTTCCAAGTCGTTCGTCACTCTCGTTCATCTAGTCATCAATATTCCATCTAGGCTCTACCACTACAACCCATGGCCAGACACAGTCGAGGGCGGCGGCTCGCTGTTCGAGATTTACCGCCAACATCCTGTCGACTTTTTCATGTCACGTTTCCAAGGCATGACGCTTCCTGTGGCGCAGTTTTTTGCAGACAAAGTGTTCTGCATCCTCGCCGACGCTCAAGGTGATTCGCAGCGCATTGGCGCCCGGGAGTTCGGGGTCTGGGCCAAGGATCTACCCTCCCTACTTGGGCATCGGCATTCCCACAACCGTGCTCTCTCGGCCGTTTCGATCTCCGGCCTCCCGCTCTCTTCGGCTCCGCCATCCCGCCGTCCGTCCTCAAGGCAAGCGTCATTCGCGAATTCGCCTTTCCGCACCTCGGTTCCCCTCTCGCGCGCGATGTCCCGTGCGCCTTCTCTCGGTCCTGCTTACGAAGTCGAGGGCACCGAATTGCCACCCGTCCTCAGCGAGGTAGGTGAGGAGCAGGTTGATGAGGCTTCGACCTCGCGGTGCACCTCCACGACCAGACAACGCACGCGCGGCAACAGGGGCAAGGGCGCGCCTGCCCCTCTCGTCCACGATGCCACGTCAGAGATCCTCGCGTCCGCATCGCAGACTTTAGCGAGAGAGCTCAGCGAAATGACGAAGCCAAAGAGCATCAATTCACCCAATACGCCATCGTCGGCTGGTCTCTCCATTCCACCGACACCTGTTTCTGACGTTTCGCCGGTTGTCGTCAAGAAGCCTTCAAAGTGGAAGCTTGGGTTTGGAAAGGGCAACTCGGAGCGAGCTATGAGCGGTGGTCGTGCTTCTCCCAGTGTTGCGATCGTGGAGTCCGTTGCTTCGCGGTTGGACTTGGACTCGAAGCACACCCTTGGAACCGCCTCGAATGTCACAAACATACTCATGGGCCTCAGTGCCCCTGTGCCGTCAGCTGGTACCGATGACGGCGCATCCGTTCGCAGTCGTGGTCGGCAGCCAAAGCCAACGCCTTCGCTCGCACCGAGCAACGCGAGCTGGAGCCGCCCAAGCCGATCGCCGCTGGCCAACAGCCAAAGTCCCAATGCGATCTCCATTCATAGTGTCGACCGCCGCGGCGCATCGCCCACCAGCACGCGTAGTGGCCGCCCTCTCGCATCGAGCGCGAGCTCGATGGCGTCAAATAACTGGCGGAGCTCGATGTCAAGCACCAACACCTCTACATCGGCCTTCACGCGATACAGCAATACGAGTACGCGCAGTGTGTCGACGTTTGCGACGAGCGTGTCATCGACGTCGAGCAACTGGCGTGACGGGCAGGGTAAGCAGCCCGGGCGGGGGAAGTCGCCATTCAACGCGGCCCAACACCCGCCCTCCAACGTCAAGAGTGAGTGTTGTTTTGGTCGTTCTCTGGCCGTGTTCCACATTCTCATAACGTTCACAGTCATGGCTGGTATACCCTGGGAGTTGGGCGAGCTCCCGCGCGACATGCATCCGAACCCCACCGGCGACGTCTTCAGCCAACCGCCCGTGCGCAAGCAGCGTGTGCGAAAGCCGAAGAGCCAGCCGCTAGATACGATCACCGAGCGGCCGGCCATGTCGCCCCAGAAGCGGGTCGAGTACGGGCAGGACGCGGCGACGAGTACCACAGACCTCAGCGGCTTGGCCCACGACGGCGGCAGGGACGTTGGCGAAGAGGCCTCGCCGAAGAAGGTCCAGAAAGGGCAGGTCCATGCTCTCGCGAAGCTGCTCACTTCGCTGCGCCGGTGAACATCGAAGCGCATTGCGGCATGGTCTTAGTACTAGCATTGGCACTAGTACAAGGAGTTGTTCGAATCGAGCAAGGGTTGACATGGGACGCGTTCATGGTCCACACATCATCACGCGGTACGGGTCTGGCATACTGGTGTCGCATTGTATTGTTAAAAGCTTACAATACTGAAGTCAACTGGTCGAAGTCTTTCGTTGACGCAAGTCTCTAATTGTCCTTTCCATAGACGTTCATTGCCCCACCCACCCCACGCACGCCGTGGGGTTGTTTCTTCAAGGACTATTTAATCACATTCTGCCGGGTTTTTATATATCGTAGCGTAGCGTGATGCTTGTCGACCACTGTCCGTGTTCCCACTCCGTGTCAAAGTGCACCATGTTGCTTTAGTTATGAATACGATTAGTGTTCGTCTACGAACTTCCAGCAGGGACACTGCTCCCGGCCTCCAAATAAAACCTTCCGATCACGAGTCCCATTGCCTGCCATCCGAAAATATGGTTCGGTACGAGTGTCAAATTTGGGCCCCACCTAAGATCTGCCAAGTGAACGCTGAAACTGCTCAAATGCCATGTTCTGCTCGACTGTAGGACCGCGGGGAGCCTCCGGCACCAGCGTCGCCGTGTCGATGAGGATTGTTGACGGTTCGTGAGGGCGAGTGGAAGGACCGGGCACCAGACCAGGTGAGTCTTCCTCAATGGGGGACATGGAACGGGACGGAGGTGAGTCGGCTTCGACGTCACTGTCAGACGAGACGCTGCCGCCGGATTGGGCGCCGATAATTATGAAGCGGCCTCCGCTGTGCGAGACGAGGTTCTCGTAGTAAAGCTGGAGGACTTCGCGGGTGCACTGGCACGAGGAGAACAGCGCGGAGACGAGGCATGGGTGTTCAGTTCAGGCATGATCACGAATGAAAGGGACTGCGAGACCGGACTGCGGATTGGATGTGGTGAAGAGGAGGAAATGGCTAACCGTGAGACGCCAGTCGATCGCAAAGAGGAATTCGCGCTCGAGCCGGCCGAGCTCGTGCGTTGTGATGCCGCCGATGCGAGCGTAGTGTGCATTGGTGCAGAATGTGTCGCAGAGGGTTTTACTGGCGAGGGCGACGGCGGTGATGAGGAAACGATGGCAGGTGAGGGAGGAGATGGTGAAGACGGGCATGCGCGCGCAGATCTGGTCTATGTAGTGCATTACGATAAGTAGACAGGTTTTCTGGCGGTCAATGTGAACAGCATTAGCGTCTGAGAGGAGGGCCGACGAGCGTGAGACGATCCTGACTTCAATATTTGTGAAGCGAACTACGCGCCGTAGATAGTCCAATACATTTATGTTGGGGACGGAGGCAGAGTGAAATCGGGTGATGCTCTCTCTAATCGCGAGTCAATGCTCATCGAATACATGCTATTCGGGCTAAATACACATACGGAGACAAGGGGATTCTGTCGTTAATTGACATAAGGCGTTCTAACATGAGCGCTTTGAAGTGTTAGGCATAGGTGAGTTTTTGCAGCAATCGCGACCAAAAAAAGGAGGAAAATAGACGGACCCATAAGCTGAGCGAGAGAATCTACATCTGCGTCTTCGTAGGCGGGTGGTAAACCGACCCTGCCTTCTGATTCCATACACCCATTGCACTCGTTGTCCCGCTATGGCTGCGGCACTCGATACGTTACCTTCAACGAGCGGGGACGGCCATGGACGTTCCGCTGGACATCTGGCCAAGCATGCACAAACAGTGGACCAGACTCTGACTGCTGAGGCTGGATCTAGTCAGCTGTACAGTTCTACATCGGTCGCTGAACTCTATTTTTCCTAGCTACCGCCAGGTGTACTATACGCTCCCTGCCACCGCTAACAGCGACCCTTCAAGACCATGGCCCCAAAATTCGTGCGTTGCAGACACATTTCCCCCTCATACCCTCCTCACATGCCGCTCCTGTCTGCTAGGACCCGTCCGAAGTCAAAATCATCTACCTCCGTGCAACGGGTGGTGAGGTCGGTGCATCTTCCGCATTGGCCCCCAAAATCGGTCCTCTGGGTTTGGTGCGTACGGCCCCGAAGTTCCGCATCTCTACGGCCTCTCACACCACGTATTAGTCGCCCAAGAAGGTCGGAGAAGATATTGCGAAGGCCACCACAGCATGGAAGGGTCTGCGCGTAACGGTCCAACTCACAATCCAGAACCGTCAAGCCGCGGTTTCGGTTGTCCCTTCAGCCTCCTCCCTGGTCATCCGTGCGCTCAAGGGTGAGTTCGTATCTCTATCAGCTCATTGTGTTGCTTCATTGTGCGTGTCCGGCGACAGAGCCCCCACGGGACCGCAAAAAGGAGAAGAACATCAAGCACACCGGCAACATCTCTCTCGATGAGATCATCGAGATCGCGCGGACAATGAAGTCAAAGTCTTTGGCGAAGGACCTTGCCGGTGGTGCGAAGGAGATTCTTGGCACGGCTCAGAGCGTTGGGTGCACCGTTGATGGCCAGCCCCCACATGATATCATTGATGGGATCAACTCGGGGGAGGTTGAGATTCCAGACGAGTAATTGTTTCTCGCTGATTGTCGCATGTTGTTCCATTACCTCTCACGATTTCACTTTTTTGACATCATCACACGCGTCCCATCTAACCCGAAATTGAAAAAGTTATAGGCTGTCAGCCCACAGACGCTTTCTTGTCAGACTTTTGTCAGATATGCGATCCCTTTGCCGCTGGACTTTTTGTGTGAGACATCACTGATCAAGGTCCTAGACATGCCGTCTATTCTGCGCAGCTTTGCATGCCAGCTGATTCCTGCTGGCTTGACGTCACCCATTCGGCTGTGTATAACACAGACATCGTTTTCGGTCACATAGTCAATATACATATCAGGCCTTTCCCTCGTCGGCTTGATATCTGCGGCTAAATGTTGCATACAAAGCTCCATCGTCCTTTGTCGCATCTCGAACGGCCAAATTCCTCTTCAAACAAGCTTCTACGCCTTCTACGACCCGTCCTTCACCTTCCTGACGGGCGCCTTTGACGAGAGCGGCACAACGAGGGATGCGCGCGCTTTCGAAGGCCCGGAAGACCGTGTCAAGAGTGGGGGTGGTTGGCGACGTTCGCTCGGTATTGTGTTGGTCCAGGAGGCTGATAAGCTTCTGAACATCTTCGAATGCTTGGTTTGCGCCTTGGCCGAGATGCTGAGGAGCAGTTTATCATTGAGCCTTGCGAAACATCAAGGGGACTCACTGGGCTTGTCGGGTGCGCTGCGTCCCCGAGGAGCACAACTCGTCCCTTGAACCATGATCTCAGCTCTGGACGGTCGTATAGGCCGTACTGAAAACGGGGCATCAGAGTCGGTTGCCGGTACCTGCACATCAATCTGACCTTGATGACTCTTTCTGTTGTCTTCACTAGTTCCCCAGCACCTTGTCCCCAGTTAGAGACGGGAGACCTCATGAAGTCTTGGGCGGTTTGAATGTTCACCGTGCCCCATGTTTCTTTCGACTCCGCTTCACGCGTCGTAACACTGAAGAGCCTGTGAAAATCGAAGAAGGCGCATAAAAAGTGATGACATACGCCCATGATGTGTGCGTGTCTGAGATAGGGTAGGCGACCATGTGTGCGGCATTGCCGAACCAATTTGTATGGGATGCGTGCGCCTTGAGAACCTCAGGAGTGGGCGAGAGACCACCAGTCTGACAGATCGTAGTGTCAGGTCAGCAGCCACGCACGGATCGCCCAACCACCCACCTGACAAAGACCAGTGAAGTCAGCTTTCTCCTTCCCAAACAAGGCGATCCGGGTACCGCTATGCAGTCCATCACAGCCCACGACGAAGCTCCCAGTGTCATCACTCCCATTCTCGAATACCACCTTCACATGATCTTCGCTCTGCTCAAGAGATACAAGCGTGTGTCCCCAGTGGATCTGAATGCCGTGCGCGACAGCGGCATCGACGATCGCGCGGTGGAAGGCAATTCGCTGAACACCAAACATTCCATGTCCATAGGCGCTTGGAAGGCGAGAGGGAATATAGCTTTCTCCGAGTACCCCTAGGTCCTCTTCAACGGTCGAGCAGAAGACCATGCGCTCGATGGCCTTGCCAGGGATAGTTTGAACGAAGCCAGGGATCTGCGAAAGTACCCGAAGGCCATTCGGCTGCAACCTGTCGAATATCCCATAAGCTGTGCCTCCGAAAACTCGAAATGACAAAATAATTTATACATCAAGCTCAGTCCAGCCTGCTGTACCCCTTCTAGTCTCTCATACAGAACGGGTTCATAGCCTCGGAGCTTCAAGAAAATCGCGAGAATGGGGCCTGCTATTCCAGCTCCTACGACAATCACTTTGGCAGGTGCCATTATGATTTCTGTCAATTCTCAGCTGAGTGAGTGCAGGGGGTTTGGGTTGGCGATGTAGGGCTAACCAATCCCTTTATACAGGCCGAATGGGTCCTGAATAGAAGCATGCCAATCAGGGGCAGGCCAACTTCGTCTACTCTTGCAGGGCCAAAAACTCAATCGGCGCTTACTTCTGAGCCATTGGGCGAGAACTCCATGATGTGGGTCAAGAAGTGTGACTTGGAAAGGAATGCCGTCAGGTAGACGGTAATGCGTGCGCGTCAGCCCTGACTGGTTGACCCTGTGTAAGTTTTCGTCAAAGTGAATACGGTAAGCAAGAAGTTTTGCTAGAAGGCCAACTGATGCAACTCAGTTAAGATCCGTATCAGCTGAATTTCAGACAGAACCAAACGGCACAAAATGAGCCTTGAACAACTTACTAAAAATATCTGTATGCAGCATAAGTACATAATACACCTCGGTTTCGAACAGGTGATGTTATTTTTTAAGAGGTGTATATACTGCCTTTTCAAGGCGTGGGTCCCAGCCCGGAAAATGTGATTCTAGGACAAAAGTCGTGTTCGCCAAATACGGGTATTCCGCCCGATTCAATACCAGTTTGAAAACAAGTTTACCCACAACATTATAGCCGAGTTGAATGTAATGCTTGAGAGGTAGACGATGTCGTCCACCGATTTTTGGTGCCGACTGTAAGGACATCCTCTTCATTTAAGAGATGCCCTTTCTCTGCAAGGGACGCTGTGGACAATTTAATCGACCTGCGCTCGTGTGATTAGATAATCAATACACTGACTTTTCCTTAGAGGTCTGGAAAGACCTGGGTGTGTTCCAACTCCAGACTTGGCTGATCCACTGGGCCATGTCAACTTTTGCTTTCACGACTTTAACGATCATTGGATGCATCAGCATGTCCCGTGGTACCGGGCGTGAGGCAGGATCAAGCGTCAAACTGCCGCATGTTCAGTATGTCAGGCCTTTTCCATTTGAACATTGGCACTTACGAGATCCTGATAAAATCTTTCATAGCATCACTCCAACGTGTACTGGTTTCGTCTTCCAGACGGGGAGGCTTTCAAAGGAGGTTAGAGGATGCGATAAGGAGAGGTAAGGAGATGACTCACCTCGCTCTCACTGATGTGGACCATGAGGTCGATTGGCGGTAAATCCTTGGGGAAGGGGAATCGATTTTGCAGGAGCTCCAGGATGGATAGGCCTGCTGACCACACATCAGCACGGATGGAATATTCGTGACCTAAGATGCGCTCAGGCTATGATCGCAAAAGCATCAAGATCAACACGGTGCTGCGATGCACATCACATGTAAGCAACTCACAGCCATGTAGCATGAAGTACCCGTGAACGTGTCCGCCTGGGACTTGACGAGCTCACCGGACACGCCAAAGTCACATAATTTGACAGACCCCTCCTTGGATAGCAAGATGTTTGAAGGTTTGATATCGCGATGGATGATTTTAATTGAGTGAAGGTATGCGAGGCCTTGCAGGATCTAGGCTCGAATCATATGAGGAAGGGCGAATCAGCTGGGAAAGAATATCCCCTACCCCCTCAGCCAGGCGTGCAGCAACCTTCTCGCTAACTCGGCCTTTGCGCCTTTTGATGCGCTCTCCGACACTTTCCAGCGATCTTCCTTCGCACACCTCCATGACGACCTTCACTTCACTCGACGAAGGCGACATGTATGCCCCATAGAAGTGGACAATGTTCGGGTGTGAGATGTTGGTGATCATGGAGAGTTCTCGGAAAAGCTGTTTCATCGGCGCCTCGTGTGTCGGGATGGTCTTTCTAGCCATTACTATCCCAGTTCGAGTGTCTTTCACTTCATGAACAGCTCCTCCGACGCCTTCTCCCAACCGCCGAAGCCCTTCAAAGACGTCGTCCGACCAAGTCTTGTACGGATACTGTCCAGGCGATTCTCGATTAGGATAAGAAGATGCTCCTGCGGTAGATTCGGGCCGAGATTCGATGTTGCTTATGGCCCGACGGAGGTCTTGCATGGAAACTTGTTTGACTTTTGAGTGAATGTTCATAGGGCGGATGGTAGTGGCCCCGTCATTGATAGATGCGGGGGATGCTGCACAGTGGAACGAAGGCGCTTTGATGTCAGAATCGGACAGATCGCTGCGCGAGTGATTGTGAGATGTGGTGTTGTGAAGGCTGATCTTCAAAGATGGCTTCGAGGGACTGGTCCTGAGATTTGGTGAATGAGATGATGAAAATGAGTTTGAATGAGCGGAGGGTTTATATGAAGCGTCGAGTTGGCTATCTGGTAGAGCGGGGGCGGGAGCGAATGGAAGTAGAGGCCGGGATGTCGAGCGATGAACCATGCGAGAGCCGGAAGAATGAGCGGGTAACGACAACATGGAGGGATGCACAAATGCGTAGAGTGTGAAGGTATTTATGAGGATGCGTTCAGGTCACCGCCATCATCGTGACCATGAGTCCAACAGTCTCATGATACCATGGACCGTCCTAGACGCATTAGCGCCGTCGGGGTAAGACTTGTGCACTGTTGCTATGCTCTGGGTTTTCCCGTATATCGCGCCTTGTAAGCACCCTCATCGCGAAAGGTCTTGGACCAAGTGAATGTGGTCGACTGAAGGAGCAGGATGTATCGGAAGAGCCACGAAAATGGATATGAGGAAACAACAATTGAAAGCGCTTGATGGACTGTCGTTCTAACTCGGACAAGACATCAATCTTGTCTTCTTGAAACAACATCAACCACATTACCTTCCGCATATAGCCATGGGTGTATACCACCTACGTAGCACCAATTCCCAGCAAAACACACGCCCTTCGAGAGATCTGATCTTGATACAGATCTTGCACTGCTCGAAGCACGAGTATTCCCGTTATAGAGATGCCGGTCAGCGCTTGCCAAAGGTAGACGAGCTTGAGATACATTAGTGCCGCCCATTGGTAGTAGGGCAACCGAGCGGCATGAGTCTGCCGGTAGTTTGATGTCAGACACATCGAGGAGCAAGGCACTGAGAAGGCCATTAATTCTACGTAACTACAACCTGGATTTCTCATGATCAGGACTTCGACAGGGTGTGATGTTGATGCTTTTGCAGCCCGGGATCTTTCGGAGCTTCTGGTTCCTAGAAGATGAATGGATCAATGTAATTTTGGGACTGTATTTTTTCGAACACAACATACAAGAGTGAGTTTCAAGGAGATCCAAACTCAGTGCAAGCCAAAGGTTCAACGTCTTGGCTACAAACGGAAATTCAAGTGAAGGTAAGATGCATTGAGCGCGAAGCTGTTAGAAGTAAATAAAGTGAGACAATGTCGATCATCAAATCAGCACCTTAGCAGAGTTTCTATACTGACCACCTACGTGTTCAACTACACGGATTTCAAATATTGATAACGGTTTCGTGATCTCTAAGTTGACCAGCCCTTGAAGGTCTTCAGGCTGAGGCGGATACGCCCTTCGCACTGGTTGTACGGATGTGAACGCTCAATGAGCAAGCGCAACTTCTATGGTCCTTAGTGTGTGAAAATTTGATGAGTGAACAAAGGCCAAGTTAAACATGAATAGACGACGATTCTTTGATTATTCGATATCAACTCCCAAAGAGCAGTTTGAGCTTTTTGAGCATCCGTTGATCGGCCAGGAATAGATCGTTTGAACGGACTTCAAGTCCTGGGAAAGAATAGAACACTTGCTTAGCTACTACTACGCTGAGACGGAATAGAGCGAAACACACTATATCAGTGGACAGCCAATGGAATCCATCGCATCACCATATAGATACCTGTGACAGGGCATTCAAGAAATGGACGGTTGACAATGAAGTGCCCGACGGTGTTTGACGGCAGAGAAGATGGACGCTCCAAATCAGGTCTTTAAAAATAGCGATCGTCGCATGATGGATCCGAGTCTGCCGTGGCAGATGGTGAAGGTTGATGGCATAGGCTACACCGAACCTTTTGGTAACGTCGATGAGACAAGCGAGGGTGTTTGCGAGACTTGGTATCGTAGGCCACAGTCGTCGCGTTTTGAATAGAAGGGTAAGCAGTCAAGGTAGAGATAAGCGTCATCTCATGAGCGACAGTATAATCAACCATTCATACGTGGAGAACTCACTGTGCAATACATCTTTAGCTCTTGATATCATTAGTTGCCCGATACGCAGACTCATTCGACGGCAGAGTTGCAGTACTATTTCAAGCAGACACCACCGTGGGACCGGAACCAAGCTATGAGAAACAAGTATGATGGCACGTATGCTTTGGCACAGGCCGAAGATCATAGCATCGATCCCCGATGACCCCGGAACGACTTGAATGCTAGCCAGGTTGTCCTTCAGTTGCGTCTCCTCGCCGAGTAGTTACATTGCAATAAGCATGGAGCCTCAAGATATGAAAATAGCGAACGATCTCCGCTCACCATCGTGATTGCACATTATCTTCTAGGTGGATAGCCCCGGCCGCACAACATGGTGAACTCCTTGCATGCGTTCCGAACAGTGCCAGGGGCACAGTGATCGTCGTCGTCAGAGGATTTCCTCGAATTAAGATTATCAAGGAATGAAGAAGGCGGTGTTCAAGCCTGGAGCCGTCGACCTAGGACCGCATCAGCTTTTGAATTACAATGTAGGAGTTAACTGAACAATCGTGCCTATGTGGATGGCATGTGGGCGTCAGAACTGGTGGTCTAGTCAAGTGACATTAGTTAGCTAGTTAAATACGTCGCATGCGATTGTACAGTTATCTGAAAAGAACGATGAAAATGTCAGGAAGCCGCCCATCTACAAGGCCCGGTTCTACACAGCTAACACATCCTTGAACCACTTATCATTTGATAGCTTCGAGGCAGTGAGTCACTCAATAGGACTGAGCGTGAAAGGACCTTGGCATCGAGGGAGCCGCCACTGGGAGTTCTTCCTTGTCTGTGACCTTGTAGTATTGGAAACATTTGTTGACGTAAGAAGCGAAGTTAGCCAGTCTCGTGAGATACTTAGTGTGCTTGGAAAGGAAACCGTCTTTCGGACTTGATGCATTGATGATTCGGGTTTGTTGGACCAGTATTATCAGAACAGCCGATATGCCACTGCATCATTCAGACACGGACGTTGTCGAGGCTAACAGAGTTTGCCCCTTAGGCACTCGAACACCTAGGAGGCCACGTGAGAACTAAGAGCTATATGCAGTGATGTGTAGCTTACCAGTCATCTCGGAGACCATGTATCGATGGGTGTAGACTAAAAACCCCAAGATCAAACCTCTGAGCTAGAAGGAGAACGAGCGCACCTAACAATGGTCTATTGGCAGATATCGCTACAGGGTGATACAAAGAGCTTTGAAACGGTAATCGTTCGCAACCCACAGAATGCTCGCTGCTACCGAGGTCTACAAGGCGAGTCTCAAGGTTGCGGAGCCCCAAAGTTCGCCAATATTATCCAGAGATGATTCGGGTTCAATGAGAGGTGCCTGATTGAACGAAGGGGATCCTTTGGAAAAGTCCTGGTCCTATCAAGTGACGATGTGTATACGGGAACCATGGTCATCTACAACGGTGATATCCCTATCTCCATCCCTGCATTCGAAGTCGATGGCCTGAGAGGGGCGAAGCCGCCACGTGTCCAGACCACACATATTAGACGCCTGCAAACACGAAAACGAGGACAACCCGATGCACGCACAGCCCACAGGTATCTGATCTTCAAGCGACCACAGGCCGTCCGGAGATGCCCTTGCAGTGATAACAGGGTGAGACCAGAGTGTGATGGAGCCATTGTTACGCCGCCCGTGAGATGGCGGTGAGCTCAGTGGACCATGATGGGCCGTTGACCGCTGTGGTTGCATACATAGAAACAGGCCAGGCGATGAAAGTTTGGGCCAGCACCCGTGTGAGGCGGAGCTTCAAGGGTACGTCACCATCGTGGTCTGCGACATGGAGCACAGAATAGGACCTCGCGCATTGTGGTGGTCGATGGCAGTCAATGGACCGACCACCAGGTACCTGCGAGGAAGGGAATCAGCATTGGTTCCGTAGCAGCTGTACGAGGACCCGAAAAGGTGGCGACAGAGCTCTTTTGTTCTCCAAAATATGAAGCGAGGAAGGGGATTGTTCGTCGGCAACGAGATTCGGCAGCCTCCACTCCTTGAAATTTGGCCCTTGAGTTCGCCCACAATCTGTCCTTGCAGACACTCGTTCATCGACGCGTTCACCGACACTGTTCCAGACGGCCAAGTCAACAAGTACAGGCATCGCGAACAGGCACGCAGCACGTGGTTCGTCGGCGACGTGACGGCAAACATGGACCCACACCACTCACCACCGTACTACGCGCTACAACCCGACCCGCCCTTATACACCTTCTTGCCACCGTCTCCTCTCTCCTCATATCCTCCATCACCTCTACTTTACTTACCTCTCACTGTCACTCTCACGTCCTCTGAACCCATGTCTGGCCCTACCCGCACGGCGCGTCCCACGGGCGCCAACCCCCCTAGGCCACCCAATGCCTGGATCCTATACCGCTCCGACAGACTTCGTGCGCTGCCACCCGTTGCACCGGGAGCCCCACGTCGCCCACAATCCGAAATCTCCAAGGAAATCGCTCGTATGTGGAAAAATGAGGCAGAAGAGACGAAGTCCGAGTACGAGAGGAGGGCTGAGTTGGCCAAGGCAGAACACGCGCGACAGTATCCCAACTACCGCTTCTGCCCAATGAAGAAAGCCGACAAAGACAAGCTTCGTGAAGAGGCGAAAGCTGAAAAGGAGAGAGTCAAGGCCGAGACTCGCAAGGCGCGTCAGCGTAGCGTCTATCCGTATCCAACGGGCGCGTCGATCGCGTCGTCTTCCACCCCGTACTTCGAGTACATGCCTGCACCATTATGGGGGCCCGAGGGATCTCGTGGCATCCCAGGCCTCTCTCCTCCCTGGTCCCAATCATCTTCTCCTGAAGCGTCGACACTATCCGCCGACTCTCCAGGTGCCACCGCCGCTCAAGCCTCCCCGCTCGTAGATTCTTCCCTACAACTCCCAGACACGCATGTCAGTGGAACTCCTCTCATCCCGAGCGCCGTTCACTCGCGCCCATCTTCGACCCGTGTCCCTCCGGTTTCCAATGAGGCCACACCGGCTCGTTCAAACACGCAGTCGATCCCTCAACCCAGTTTGCCACAAGTCGAGTCGGTTTCTGTGACTCGTCAATGGGTGCCTGTTTTGGATACTCCAATATCCAATGCTGGTAATACAGAACCAGTAAGCTCTTGGCCGAATCAGACCAGCCTGTTTGAGCAGCGATTTGATCAAGTGCGTAGGCTTTTTTTTTGTTTGCAAATATGAACAGTATCTGACCTTCCGTGAAGGACGTTCTCTCTTTCCAAATACCGCAGATGGATACCGCTCAAGGTTTCGCGTCTGATGCTCTAGAGTCTAACGAGATGCAAGCGTTGCTTGCCTCGACTGGCGATCCCTCAGTGTTTCAAGTCGATGTCCTGGGCTCTGCTCTTCCTAATGACCCTCCCGAGAACATCGAATTCAGCATCGGCCAGTCTACAGATTTGGCGTACGTGTCTCCCGAGGCACTGGCACAATTTCTTAGCCAGTTCCCGTTCGACACCTTAGAAGGGTTCGCGCCCCCTGCCGCTGAGCCAACGGCCGCATCAATGGATGGCATGTGGTATCAGGATGCATCCGGGCATGAGGAGCCTTCTAACGAATACAACGACTCCATATTTCAGTATGTCGATTTCGATTCCACCTCGGCCTCAACAAGCACCAGCACCAGCGCTAGTGGCCCACCGAATGCGGAGCCTGTCCAGCATTTTCCAGGTTACACAGAGCCATCGATGCTCGTCACTCCTCCAGCAACCGTGCATACATCTCCGCAGGAAGTGCAGCCTCAGCCTCCTGCCCAACAGAACTACGTTCCGCCATCTGGGGCAATGAATGCCGGTATCCGCCGCGTTGGAGGCAGCTGGCGGCCCCCTTCGAACTTGCGTAGGTCCTCGGTGGATTCTTCACGGGCATCATCGTGGACGGTACCCGCTTGAATATCAGCGGCCTCATCGCGCCAAACCTTGTGGCCTTGATACCAAGATGGACAGACTGTACTCTTTCTATCTTATTATTATCACGACCTGTTACGCATCGCATATCTAAATTTCGGCATCTACGTCATCTCATGCATCTCCCATCCACATCGCCACATCTCTTGCTTTCTCGCCTCTGTCTTCGTTCTATTTTCCAGCAACTACCCTATCGACAAGTTATCCTGCAGCTAGATCCCCAGTCGCGTTCGTCTTTTTTGCACATGTTTTCTTACCGTCCGCTGTGATCCACCTCTCTCCACGTCCATCCGCTCTCACGTCCTCCCTCCTCTGTTCCGCCTTTTCTTTCAAAGTCTTTGATTCTCACTCGTCGCTTTTCTTGCTTTCTGGAGGTTGTTCCCCGCTGTGTGCTTTGGGCTCGCATTTGTTGACTCCATATTTTAATCACCACATCCCAGTCACATTGTATATTCCCGTTGAGATCCTAACAGAACCATTTTCTGATCTTATCGCTGCTTCATCCACTTTCCTTTGCCTTTCCGTTCCGTTCCGTCCCATTGTGCAATCGTCCTTGTTATACCTGTTGATGTTGCCGTGCGTTGTATATTGTGCTCGAAGCGCATAAAAGAATAAACACCAAAATTTCGGCGCCCAAGCCGTTCTGAAAGAAAATTTCGGTCCAAGGGATGTTTCGATAAGCGTTGTGCGGTCGTTGCCGGGTGTGCGCCAGCATAGTGCCGGCATCGGACTCAGACTATGGGCTTTGTTCTGGAAGCTCTACAGACTCCCCTCCTGGTGTCAGTCGCCCTATCGCTCAGCAGAAGGGGTTATTTGTGACACAATGGGAAGTTGCACCACCTATCATGTCAACGCCAACTTCCATATGACGGTGCTCTGTCGGCTTCGAGAGGGTTTGAAGCTCTCATCAATTGGCTGCCGTTTTATTCGGATGGACTTATTGTTTTCTTTCACTCGGTCTTCCGTTCATGCAGTGCAGATTTAAAGCAACAACCTCTTCTCACGATGCGTAGCCTCAGAACAACCTGGCTCACAAGCATATACATAGGCCTCGATTGGAATCAGCGGTCTGAACAGTACGTTAGGCTAGACGCATGAATTCGCACACCGCAGTAACTGTCAGATTCTGACATTTTCTCTGATTTCTAGAGGCTGTAATTTCTATGTATCATCTTGCCCTTGAGGACGTAGAGAGTGTCATATCTTGATACATCTCGCTTCAAGTGCTGTCAATGCGCGCTGTGTCTCAAAAACGCTATTTCGTGACAACATACTATCCATCATGGGGGGTGACAGTTCATTTCAGGTTGCATGATTCGCTTTTGCAATCCAGGGTTATACAGCATTTCTTACTGCATACGCACTTGGCTGATTCGCAGTCTACATGCGGTATGCTCACCGTCTCCTTTCCCCCTGACCTCAACTGACCATCCTTTGATCAATAGAGTTAGACACGGTCAACGAGTTATAGCACAATGGTTTTGTTATGGAGACACCGTCTAGTATCGCTGTGCTTGCCTTTTTCGCTTACTTTGTGTAACAGTTCCTACAACGCTCTCACCTAAGGTTACAACCCATGCAACTGTTCTGGGAGGAGGATTGGCCATTGCGGCACAATTTCCACTTTCCCGCCACACTGTACACATGTGCCAAAGCGACGGGAATGCCACAAACTGGGGTCATCGCCACGACCAAGCGCGGTTTGTTTGGATATGGTTCATGTATTCGCAAACGGCGCATTGACGTGACTCCCGCAGATAGCCTCCTCTTTCACTTCACTCCCACTTCAACCGCCACTTGACTCATAAGAGGTCACCGACGATGCCTAAGGTTCAATCCTCTGAAGACCACATTCCCAGACCATTGAACTGTTTTATGCTTTATCGAGCTGAAAAACTGGCCGAGTGGCGAAACACCCAACCTGATCACGATCGCAAACCGGCAAGAGTTGCGAATGAGTGGAGAAACGAGCCGGACCACGTCAAAGAGAAGTTTCACCGTATGGCACAAGAAGTGGCAGCGCGTCATGCTCTCGAGCATCCCAACTATCGCTATCGACCCACGAAGAGGAGCGAGAGAAAACCTAGGACATGGAAGGGGGGATTCGCTCACGGAACAGGATTTCATGGACATGCCACCCTCCAACATATGTCTCCTTCGACTTCATCCGACCACCTCCCTCTGCTGCCTTCGACTCCACAGAGCGGCTCCTCTGTTACATCTTCGCCCTTGATGCAAGGTGCCTCATGCCACCAAGTAAGTTGCCAGTCACCCTAAAGAATCTGCGCTCAATGTTTCTCGCACCACATCAATGTTTCTAGGTTCACAGAACTCCGGATGTCGTCGGTGTTTCCCCATTTCAAGGCTATCAAACCACCTCCCGCTCTCCTGAAATCTGTCAGCCTCAGTCGGCTCCCTCCGTGATATGCCCCGTAGACCTTCCCTTCCACCATCACGACTGTCAGCGGACTCGTGTAGATGGTCCTACATTTACATCTCGCACTATCCAGGACGAACAGCCTCGATCAGCTGCCCTAGGCTGCATCTCCCATTCTTATCCTGCCGGACCATCCCAGTCCAGCTACTACATGGCCACCACACTGAATTTTCCCGAAGAATCTTTCTATGAGTCTCTTGATTATACAGACTCAAATTTCCCGACCATCCCTCCCCAATCACCTCAAGCCTATATAAATCTCAACCAGCGTATCGAGCAACGCACCGAGCAACGTTGGGACCCTATCGGCCACATTGACAACACTCTCGCGTCCTTCGATCCCAGTCAATCAGACAATTTTCATTGCGATGACCTCCCATTTCAAGTGCCCAAGTTACTTGAAAAATCATACGACCTCTTCGATCCAGGGACTACATCGGCGATTGACCCCTGGCTTTTAGAAATCTTAAGGCCACTCAAGGTGCCACTCTTCGCATGAAATGCTCTCATGGCGTCGTTATTCCGACTCTTCACTGTGTACCACCCATCTATCTTTCCACTCTGTGCTTATGTGCGAATAGTCTCTCCTTTCCCTAGCGTTTCCTTGCTCGATGGGTGTACATATGTATATTTGATCATGACTTGTGCTTTACTCGATAATAGATATCTAATGGAACGAACTTGCCGTCCTCCTGGCCTGAGATGGCATTGCGTCGTCACTAGTCCCAGGATGGAGTGAGTTCTTCAAGCAGCTGAACTTCCACGTACGATCATTTTTGTTGTACCACCTCATAAACCATGTCCATCACACTGCGGAAAGTCTCTGTGTCCTCTGCTCTCACCCCTGGGCCTCCAGACCTCTTTTTCAGCGCGATCCCAACGATGACACCTCGATGAGATACGCCTAGCAAGCCTTCAGACTCTGTGAGCCATACAATGGTCGCTATCTGAGACGCATAGAGGGAATACAGGGACTGCATCTCAGGTGAGGGTGCTTGTCCGAGAATCGGTGTAAGTTCGATAGATGGCGGAGGAAGGGGAAGGGGGTGGTGGTCAAAGTTCGGACCCGATGTGTCTGGGGGTGGCGCAGGTTGGAGAGGGGTAGTTGAAGGGATTGTCGCTTGTATCTTTGAGCACCTTCAGTTCGTGTGTCGTTGCAGAGTGCGAGATTCGTAGATCGTAAATGCGCACCAGGTTTCCGACCTTTCCGAGTTGGGTGACGAGGATTATGATACGATCCGCAAAGACTTGCAAGACGACATCTGTCTGATTTTCGCTTACAATCCTGCTAATGTGTGCCGTCTGTAACATATCGGAACCCAACGATGGTTGAACTGGAGAGCCCTGTATCAGAAATCGAATGTCGTTTGTGGTTGCCGTGGGAAAGTCTGCTGGACGCGTCCCGACGCGGAGGTGTAGGTTTGGAGCCCGTTCATCTTGTCTTCAACATTCCAACGTCTTTGTTGATAGTCCGGATCGAAGGATTGGACATAATCAGCATGTCGAGCATACACGGCTCTCCATCTAAGAGTAAGAGTAAAGAGGATGACTATTGGCAACCTGGTTGGTGGGAGTTGCAGTCATTCGCAGAATACGATGAGAGGTCAGTGTGTTAGATTGTCTCGACAATGAATCCTCGCTTATGATATTCTTTGATCTATCAAAATGCGTGCAGACCTCTTTCATGGAGCGCATCGTCCATTATATTCACTGCCCATCCTACGAAGCCATTCGTACTTGGCCGCCTATTCACGACGTCCAAAGAATTCATCATCCCATCGCCGACCCCAGTCACTGCTCCATCCGCTATGTTCGAACCCCCCTCTGTCATCACAGCGTCCCCTGATGACAGATCATTATTTGCCTACTTCCCATGTCGAGATGGGACAGGCTTGGGATGTTTCTGGAGTAGAGGCCTTGAGGTAGATAATTGGGGCGTGAAAGAATACTTTACATTTCCCAGAGGATCTGATGTCATAACCTCTGCGTGGCTTGGTGGCCCTCGGACAGTGAGTCTACATCATTATCATACTCGTTCATATGGCTCTTGAACTCGCGGGCCGTTGCTTCCTCATAGTGGGTGACGGATCCTAGTGGACGCGGTATTCGTCTGCCTTTGCAAGGTCCTCCGACACCATGCACCCTTCCAACGTTTATGGTCGTCACGCGCAATCTTGAAGTTAGCCTATACTACATACGCAATGGCTCACATAAGTTTATGGTTCTCAGCTGCTCCCTCACGCAACCAGACCAGTTGTATGAGAAGGAAGCCCATGGACCCTCTGAGACGCCTACAACTCCAGGGGGCGCGAAGATATGTGTAAGAGCAGCTATCGGGCTTAGCTACAACGGTGAGCGTCTCCTATGCATCTACTTATACTTTGATCGAACTGCTCCCGCAGAGCCATCAATCTTGATTGCCACGCATTCAAGGACCATCGCACCACCTCTCGATTCATCGTCTTTCAACGTGGATATGCCTTTCGCCCTTGAGGTAGCGCACCAGAACCAGCCAACCGAATCTTTCAGAGCGGACGATTGGAATAACTGGGCCGAAGAACCAATGATAGAGCTCTGTGAAGTTCGCGTCGGATTTGACGAGGCCGTAATAAGTGAGTGTTTCTGTGGCATATCAACACCGAACATGTGACCGAATAGGCTTGGTGTCAGGTCTCTCTACAAATCCACTTCCTGCAATATATTGTCCTACAGAGCATCTGAACAAGATGATTCTAGTACCGCAACGCCCTTCCTCTGAGAGTAAGGGGGCTTTATATCTCGCGATGTCATTTCTAGATTTTGGCTCATGTAAGACGCAACATCTTGTCAGAATACGTTGGCTGATATAGGTCCAGACACGTCCCCTCCAAAATCGGAATTGAAGTTATATTCGCTCTTCAAGAATCCTACACCCTTGAACAATAGCCAACCTAATTGGGTGAGCGGCCTCGCCTGCGAATATGATTATTCACAACTCAAATTTCTCAAAGCTGTCTCGTCTGAAGACTGCTCGATCATTCACTTCAGAAATATTGACATTCATATCGCGCCATGTCACCGGATTCCCAACAGATACCCTATTAGTTGGAACACTCAATACCTCCGCCAACGTATCTAGGAATCATCGCAAGTTTAAAGAGACCTCCATTGGAAGTATTCATGTTCTGCAGATGTAGGTGCATATGTGCCTTTCCGTTCATCTTCGTCTCGACTCAATTTTGGATCCCAATGCCAAGGCCTTCACTTGAGAATGATAATTATTGGAGGACTGTGCCTGTGTTGTCGATCAGCTCAGAAAATATTTTACCAGATCGTACGTGCTTTCGCCAGTACGCGTTCTACAGGGCCGATGAGCAACATTGATGGCACACTCTCATCGATCACTTTACAAACATAGTATTGTTGAGCGTAGCTCTATCCCCTAATGGGGCCCTTCTTTGTGCTGCTTCGCCTCCCTTGTATTCTCCCTCGAAGATATCGGTACATCCTCTTCCAAGACGATACTCTGGTGAGCCCATGGGTCCACCGTCTAGTGCGTTTGTTGACTCTCCGTGTATATCATGCAACACTAACCGTTTTTTGGTGGGCAGCGGGCAGCAAAGGTCACACGCCAATACCCCCGGATACATACATCCTAGTATCTGCCATCAAAACGCCAAAGTCTGTGGCTGACATTGTGCACCAACTGTCGCTTTCTTCGAGCCCTCTCAGTCAAGTTGAAGATGTCCTCTGCTGCACACTGAGCTTACTGGAACAACACGCGGGAAAGATCTGGTCATACTGGTTGAATGACCTTGTCGGCCTAGTGCTCGAGGTTTATCGGTATGGGAGACATCATTCAAAGAACTCAAAGACAGCCCTAATATAGTTCATGACTAGGTCAAGAGCTCGTCGAACAGACAATCCTGTACTCAAGGAGCAGATCACTGTTCGTTACCAGACAGCCCAGGATCTATGTTCCATCATTGCTTGTCACAGCGCCTTTGAGGATTGCAAGGATGGCGACCTCTATGATTTCGGTGCGCCGTCATCAACTGGTAGCAAATTATATAGCCACTGATTTGAGGCTGCTTACAGAGGCAGTGTGGCCATTGATTGGTCTAAGCACCTGGTTTCTGGACTTCTCGGAGAAGCTTCTGCGGGAGTGTGTTCTTTTACACAACGCGGGGGAAGACGGAGTGCCTGCGCAACCTTCTATGAGCGTTGACGAAGATGACCTATTTGGATCCTCTACATGTGAGCACAAATTTTCTCCGATGCCTGAAACATGATTGTGCTCACGGACTGGCAGCTCTCTCCTCGAAGGCGGTGCACGCCGTCTCTTCCATACTATTACACGTGGTACACCCATACGCCCTGGAGTCGTTCCGCGCCACTTTAGGAGATGTTAGGCGTTTCCGCGATCAACTGAACGCGTCGAGTTCTGGCTCTGAGAGGATCCAAATTGCGAAGAGTGTCTTTCTTGACACTGTCGCTTGCTCCGGTATCAAGCTAAAGGAGCTGGATGCAGTGTTGGTGGCCGTTGCGGAAGGAGTCAAAAACATCGATCGTAAGTCTGTTCATCCGTTCAACTTACCGACGTAGACGCGGTTAATGTTTTTTCTAACTCTAAATTTCGTCTTGTATTGACGTGACAGGTATGGACTTGAAGCGTAGTCTGATTCTCTGCCAACCCTTGCCCTCCCTTCTCCCCCTTCTCCGCAAAATCGCACAGACAATTTCCACTTCTCACGCGATCGACAAGCCACTGCTCTTCATCAAACCCGATGAGATTGTCACCGGCGTTCCTGGACCACACTTTTTCGACCGAGACTCGGATGTGCAGCGAATGAAAGACAGCGAACGCGATATCGTGTCAAAGACATCGATGCTGCACCACGAGCACGCGCGCATATGCCTACGTTGCGGGGGTCGTTCGGAAAATTTACAGTCGGCGATGATGCACACAAAGGTAGCGTCTTTGAGGTGGAACGCGTGGTATAGGAACTGGGCTGTCAAATGCGTCTGCGGCGGCCAATGGGCAAGCGATAGGAATCAAACTTATGTATGATCAGGGGAGTTTTGCACTTCAGCCTATTGACGTGATCATGGCAGTTTTGAAAGGACAGGCCGGCAAGGTCATTGAAAAACCCTACGGTAAAGTTACACAGTAGAGGGAGTATCCCTACACAGGACCTTCCTTCCCAAAAAAATCTCCAAATTCATGATGCAGTATACGACATATTAAAATCTATGCAACAAACATCTCAACGGATATAATGGGACAAGTTGGATTAAGATGAAGGGTTATTGAGGTCCTGCTGCGCCTCGCCCTTGTCACGGCGAATGTTGCCTGGGAGAGCACTTTAACAAGGCCGAAAGGTGTGACGACTAGGAGAAAACCCACCGGAAGCTTGCTGCTGCTTGTCGCCGGTGACAGCACCAACAACGGCATCCTTCTTGCCGATGAGGCGATCGGTGGTGCCTTCAACGTATCCCTGAGCTTGAGCAGCCTTATACTCGCCCTCGCCGGTGGCATGCTCTTCCTTGCCAGACTGTTGCCACGATGTAGCGCCGGTCAAGTTACCGATCTACATCATGATCATAGGAAGCATGAGATCAAGAATGAGTACAGAGTAGGAAGGATTTACGGTCTCGACGACGGAACCCTTCATGGAGTGATATTGACCAGTGGTCTTGTTAGGCTCGTTGGAGGTGTTAGACGACATTGTGATAATGAAGATCAGATGAGGATGGTTAAGTATGCGGGTGATTGTGGATGGGGGAGAAACTTGATAAATGTCGAATGCCAACCTCATATTTATATTCGACTGACCCTTGCTTTTGAGGATCGGGAAGAGGCAGTTCACGCATCATCCAACGGGGTGCGGGGCGCTTCGATGACGACGATGACGATGACTTTGATCGTCAGTTCTTGGCATGCCAGAGTGTGGGGTAGCGCTCACAGCATTGGGGCATGTGATTTCAAGGGTCATTCCAAAGTTGTGGAGCTACGCGCTCAACGACAAGATGTCTTGCGTTGCTCATTGTCGGTGACGGTGTGGATGGCATATTGCTACCTCACCTGTTACGCAGCATGACATACCTTTGCCTGAAGCGGACACGAGAAGAGGGAGCTCAGTGTCATAGAGGCTGCAATGACTCGGGCGCTAGATATGGGTTCAGTGTCTACAAATCTCATTGGAGATTGAGCACATTCAGCTCACAGTTGCCGCCATCCTGTCCAACGAACGAGCCTAACAAGGCTCTGGAAGTGTAGTTTTGACTGATGTGACATATATCGTCGATCGTCGAAGCCTCCTTTTGCGTCAGATTGTTCATTCTCGCAGCAGTCGGGGAGGGTGGAACACAGGCATGCATCAGCACTGGCCACAATCAGTCACCTGAAGCAACAAGCCGTAGTCATCCCGTTCTTTTATGACAGAATTGGCTCGCACCGGTATAATGACGTTGGAGACCCTCTGCAATCATCAACAGCTTTTCGTATAGAAGGGGCCACACCCAATCCATCGGTTTCCTGACCGCCAGTCTTCGTGAATATAGTTCTCAAAGGGGAATACCATCTCATCGTCATATCCTCAGACTTGCGTCTATCGCTTATCACTCGAAATAAAGGGTGCCTGGTATCTCTCATTGCAACTCAAAGCATACATGCCACACCAAGAAAAGGATTGAGTGAAGGCACGAACGAACGACCCAACATCCAACATCTCGGAATCATGCGACGCCTTTGGAAGCCTGACCGGCGTTCTTCTTGTCCGTCGCGATGTTGTTGTTCAATTTCTTCCTGCAGAACATGAATAGGGTCAAGTGTCAGTCACGAGATTGCAGGCAATAAAGGGAGTAATAAATGATCAACGACGTACGTCTCAGCAGCCAAATCACTAGCCAAAGAAGTTGTGCTTTTACCCGCGGCCTTAGCCTGAGCGATCTTGATGTTCAAAACCTGGACTTCGCCCGTCAGTTTCAAGACCTTGTTCTTGATCTTGCCATTCTGAAGTGCAGTGGCTAGAAGATACAGTACGGCATGTCAGATGCATGTCGACAATAGAGGAGTGGCTTGCGCACCCGCAGCACCAGACGCAGCGGCAATTTGAGAGTTAAACTGATCGGTCTCGGCAGACTCAGCAGCTTCACGCATCGTGTTCAAATTGTCGATCGTGGTGGAGTCGACGGTGGTCAGGTCAACGTTCTTGAAAGGGTCTATGTATAACATGAGACGCCGTAGGCAGTGTGTCCATGATTATGGATTTCAGAAGGTTCTCACCAACGAAGACAGCGTTGGCCTGTGCAGCAGCATTGCCTGCAGTGCCGTCAGAGATCTGAAACTGCGCATAGCTGCAGAGAAGGGTCCGATGAGTCATTGATGCGTCCGAGAGGATAAGGCGCACCTCTGTAGCGCAAATGCGGCCCTGCGAACAGGCGCGGCACTGACAGCACCCAAGAGAGCAGATGCGAAAACTGCGAAAACTGCGAGGCGGACCATTGCGACTTAAAGGTTTATTTAAGACGGACAGGAAATCAAGCTGGGGCTCAAACACGGTCTGGAGTGAAAATGAACGAGGAAGAAGCGCAGACTGGCTGCAGCTTGCTGAGAGACTAAAAAGAAGGAAAGGGTCGAGAGCAACAAAAACGAAAGACGAGCAGGCGGAAGAAAGCTGGCACCCGGCACAGACAAAGTCAAGTGATGAGGAAACCCAACAGCGAACGGGGCTTGTCTTTTATACGGCCTGTCGCCGCTTCTGTCATATTGGTCCTTGACGACGGATAGCGTCTTTCTCAATCTCAGCGGCGCGATGGAAGGAAACGAATAACAAAGAAGCATCCCGGCTTTGCACGCTCTTGCAATCCGCTTAAGTACGGCTCAGGTACCTCCGGAACGAGGCGATCGAAAAACAAATCCAGCGCTATAGAGCAGTTATGGAGCGCTATCCAGCGCCATTTATATCCCGGCTTGCCAAGGTTTGAAGACGAGATTTGGCCATTTAGAAATCCTGTCAAGCTCGAGGCAAGTGATGCTTGGCCGAGCCGCTGAGCAGCGCTGAGGTATAGAAGCAGTCGCGACAAACACCAGGAGCGCTGGCTCGGGGGAAAGGCACCATGCTGTTGGCGGGCCGTATTTACCCGAGTGTCTCGTATGATTCCGTTTGCGTGAATCGACTGGATCACAGCAGATCACAGCGTGGTGGCTTTTGAGACGGCGTGGACTGCCCGTCAATACGATCTATCTGATGTATAATATGGAGTCATAAGCCGCTCCCCAGGCGCCTTGAGCACTCTCAGGCTACTCACCTCAGCTTGCCCTCGGCCCAAATTTCATTCGCGAAGGCAGGCGATGGTCCTCTCGTGAAAGAGTCCAAGGGTACGAACGGGCACCACCACTGCTTGAACGTCCCAATCGAAACCCCTCGACACCATAAATGCGGTCAACCCCGGCTTTCAGTCCCGATGAAATTGATAAGTAAGGTAGTACAACAGGGAACGACCAGCAATGTCAGAAAACATACACAAGAACGTTGCCAATCAAAAAGAGTCAGTAGAAGGAGGTTTGTATCTGGCATCAAACGACCATGTCGCCCTTTAGAGAGAAAAAGAAAAAGCTAGGGAGCTAATAAACCAAAGTTTCAAAGAGTATATCGCATGTTGCGTGGAAAGATGTTAAAAGGATTTCATGGGACCAAAGGGGTGTAGCGCGGGTGCTTGCATCTTGAGCATAGCGAGAGTTGTAGGCCGTAGATTTCATGGGCAAGAGACAGCTATGTCGGGGGCCACGACCTCAAGTCGCCGTAATTGACTTCATCGGGTATGACCTCCATGATGGTGCGCAGCCACCTGGCACCGGCTTCCGTCAGACCTGTCCAAAGAGTGACTAGGAATCCGGCACCAAATTGCTCGAGCCATTCAGCGATGGCAGTGCGGTTTGGTGAAGAGGGCGAGAACGTGTAGATGGTTGGGTCATAAACAGCGTCAGGTTTCGTAGGATAGAGGTAAAGATCGGCGTAGAATGGGTCAAAGTATGTGGTAAGGAACTGATGTTTCGCATAGCGGATTGAGAGGCTATATGATGCAACTCCCTGAGCGATCGAGATAATGGACTATCGTTCACGAAAACGCACCGGTACATGATCATAATAAGTATAAATTGAAGGAGAAAGGCGCCGATGAACGTCCTAGGGTTCCAGGATAACCGTCGCACCGGGGAGATATCGGGCTGCATAGGGAAGTAGTCAGCCCACACATCTCACACATTCTCCGATGTGATTGAATGAGACGTACTATGAATCTGGCCCTCCGCATACCTTCTCTCAAGGGGCCATAATTACTCCTAAGCTTCGACTGAGCATCCTGAGCCTGCTTCAGCGAGGAAGAAATTCTAGACCTTGCTTCGCGAGCGGCTTTCGATACACCGTGAAGCTCGCTCAATCGTACATCATCGACAGCTAAGTCGATCGAGCTATTGGTGTTGATCGTGATTAGAGCGTGATTGAAACATCCGGACGCAGAACGCCGGTTGACGTACGTGTCTACTTCGCTCAAGCCGACGTGAAGATCCTTTACAGCTTTCTTGACGCGAGCCAGTGCCTCCGCTCGACCAATGGGACCTTCCGTCACGGTGTCCTCACTGTCATTCTGCTCGGGAGGCTCTTCGACCTCCCGGCCCATCGCATCGAGCATCCTGACCTTACTCTTATTCGTGCTCTTATTTCGCGGCGTCTGTAGAGCACCGCCAGGCATACGCATGGACACCGAAACCTCCTTCCGGGCCGGAGTCTCCGGCACGACGTCCTCACGCTGCTCCTGCCCAAACGCATCAACAAACCGTATTCTAGGAGACTTGCGCACCTTGCGGCGAGATGAATGGGAACGCACTGGCGTCTTCTGTGATTCGAACTCGGCGGTTTCGTCCGCGTGACCGAGGCCATGGCCATTGCCGTTGGCCTGCGCGAACGGAACCGGCGAAGACTCTCTGACCCCGTTAAAGGAAGGCTCAGAAACTGAGGCGTCCGAATCCACAGGCATCGCAGCGGCGACCGAAGCATCTGAGTCGTCGAACTCGAATTTAACACTTGGCAGCGGCCCATTCTCTGCGGCATCCCCCGAATCTGAGGGGGCACTATCCGAGACCTCGAAGCGGACCTTCATCAGGCTCTTTCTGCGTGAAGTGCCAGGAGTGGCTAGCCATGCACCTGGAGGTGCAGGCGTCCGAGTTGGGAGAGAATTTGATTTAGACATCGCAGAGGGTGGGGTCTTCGACCTGGCAGGGACAAGTTGGGATGGCGTAAATTCCCCCGAGCTTTCTTGAGGAAGGGAATTGGATCGAGCTCGAGCCGGCTTCTTCGCCATCGGAGCAGGAGTCTCCACATCCCATGTACGCACAGGCGCAGGCGCAGGAGCGGGCGTAGCTGCCCAAGCTCCAGGGGGCCTCGGGGTTTTCATCGAAGAGAAATCCAGGAAACCGTGTCCATTCTGTCGCCTCGGTGTCTGGTCTACATCTTCGTGCATGGCCTCATCCTCAGATGGAGGCCCTGGAAGATCTGGCAGCCCTTTGGGAGGAGAAGGCGTCTGAAACTCGATTCTCGATGCGCTGAATGAAGAGGGACGAGGAGGTGTTGATAAAGCTGAAACAGAACCTCCTCGAGACACCAGGGGGGGAGACGATGGTGGTGTAGTAGAAATAGTTTGATTCAAAGGAGTGGAATTCACGGCTTTCTGCAGACGTGCAAAGTCGCTAGCCATTGTGGTAGGCAACGCTTGAGATGGGGGCGGTGAAGGTGACTTGGGTGGGATGGGCTCCTCCGGTAGTGGAATTGGTATGGTCCGGATGACTGGCGTTGTCACCATCTGTACATCTTCGTCGCTCTCTGCAAGATTCATCAGCTCATGTACAACCTGGACACATCCAAACCCACCTAAAACAGAGTCCGCGTGTCTGTTCTGATGCTGGCTAAGACCCATTTCTTGCGTAGAATCCTCTACGACGTTGATACGTGGCGGGAGCAATCCGTTCCCGTCACTGAGCTCCGTGGTCGTCCTTTTATGACCCTTCTTGAAAGCAGGGTTGGCACCATCAGGGGATTGGGCGGGAAGGCTCTCTGTCCTCGTTCTTGATTTCGGCTTTGGCGATGATCGCACAGGAATATGGCTCAATCGCGTTGGGTTACTTTGACTGGACGGCCTGTACACAGGGGAAGTCGAGCGTTCCGGGGTGGTGTCGTCGAAGTCTAATGGCGGGAGTTGCATCCTATTGCGTAGAAACGGCCAACCAAACTTGGATGTCGCTGGCGGCGTAGTAGAAGCCTGACCATTACCAGTGCTATTTGCTTCCGGAGAGGGAGGAGGTAAAGGCGAATTTGGTCGCGGCCCAGGTGACGCGGATACGTCGTTCCGACGTGGAGACGATGACGAGTTCAAGTGAGCGGGAGAGCCACTTCGGGAAGAAGGTTCGCGCAATACCGACAGCGACGACGCGCTGACCTTCCGCGGTCGAATAGTACTAGGAGACTCACGAGGTGTTGTTGAGGTTTTGGGTATGGCGCCGACCGAGCTTGTCTTTCTGATACGGGAAGTAGCGGGCGTAGACCTGGGCGAAGGCGATGCCGGCGGAATTGGTGACAGCGAACGGCGATGTTTCCATTTCGGCTGTGGAGAGTTCCAATTACGCTCTCGCGCGACTTCCTCTACCTCGTCCGCCTTCGAACCGAAGCTCTGAATGGACCCGTTGGGCGAACTGGCTCGAGAAGATTGTTGGGATAAAGATGGCTTCTCGGGCGTGAGCTTTGGCTGTGCGGAATCCGAATGACTTGGGCGACTGTGCTTCCGGGTCCTTTCTGGAGTGTAGTTATTACCTACACTAGAGGGGGACCGATCGGATGAGAGTCTAGGACGAGGAGAATTCCAAGCTCGCTCCCGTTCAAAGTTTCGATCACGCTCAGTTTCCCCCACACGATCGCGATCTATTAAGAACATTTCAATGTACAGATACAGGTATGATGATGATGATGATGCTTACAGTCGGCATTTGATAGGTTGGAGCCAGCTCGCGACGACAAGTCACTGTCCATGCTTCGTAGAGACACCAAACTATCTCGTCTCGCCCGAGCCTCGGGCATTGGAGAACCCGTCTGCGAGTGCGAGGCCCGGTGATGATGCAGATGATCTCTGCCATGCGATGAAGACTGTCCAGGGGATTGGCGAATTGTTTGATTCCAACTTCGCTCCTGGGCGAGTTCTCGCTGCTGGTCCTGATCTGTTCAATGTCGATGTTCAATAAACGTATGAGCTGCCCTAGAGAAGACTTACAATCGGCTGAGGATATGTTGGAACTCGGGCGAGACACTTTATGTGCGGGACTTAATTGGGAATCTGAAGGTATTTATCACATTATAACTTACCTGCACTGTCTGCACTGACCCGTCTAGACATATTTTTGGTTATACTTCTGGATGGCTTGCCATTTGGTCGCTCTTCGGTCAACGATTGTGCGCGGCCCAATATTGCGGCATGCGAATGCAGAGCTGAGGCCTTGGACTTTCGAGGAGGCGGAAAAGACACTATGGAGATTGCTTTGAGTGGGTGGACGTCATAAAAGCGCCGAAGAACCTACAAGGACGCCCGTTTGGCAACGATACACTGTCGCTATCAGTAGCGCCCATTTCCTGCTGCATGCCAGAATCTATATCGAGCAAATCTAAAATGTTGTTCATCTACGATTGATCTGTTTAGAAAGCCGAGTTACTCACTCGACTGCATGTGAATTTGGGACGGAAATTGAACAGTTCGCACGGATGTGCTGGTAGCGTCCGGTGGAGATACTATGGCAGAATTGACACGGCGCAGCATGGCAGCTACGTCGGTACTGTTGTCCAAGATGTCATCCGTCAAGTCCATATCTGATAGCGAGCCTGAAAGAAATTCATGAGCTGAAAAGATGACAACAGAGGCCACTTACGATCCGACTCATGCGCGGAAAAGTCGCGTGGATCAGCGCGTATGTTTGTGAGGCGACTCCTGAGAGCGTCCATATCGGCAGCATGCTTAGAGCGTCTTGATACGGTAGGCGTTTTACCTGTTCATGTAGAGACGGAGGTTTATGAGGGGAGAGCTCAGGGCATTGCAGGGTAACGCACTTGAGGATTTATCCAGCTCCTCATCGCTCAAAGTTCTGCGCTTTCCCTTATTCTTTGCTCTTTCCTCTGCCACCTTCTCAACTCTGGGGCTATCGTCCAATTCGCTAGCACCGATGCTATTCCTCCGTCGCCCGTTGCCTGTTTGGGGCGAGTCGCCAGAGTCGCGCAGGGCATTCGAGAACAGATCCTTCAAACTTTCTCGAGCGACGCTCGCAGCCGTCGTGTTCCATCTGGGCGTATCGAAATCAGAATCCAATTCGGATGGTGGGTGAGGGGCAGGCTCATGGAGGAGCTGTGTTTGGGAGGAGTAGGACGAAGAGTTGGGGACGCGGGCGAGCAAAGCCCTTAAACGGGCAGCCGGAGTGTCCTCGACAGGAGCCTGCTGGGAGGTAGGAGGACCATTTTTAGATGAAGATAAGGAAGATCGGAGGGACATCCTGGGAGTAGACTGTGTGTCCTCTGCATCGTCGTGGTCACCGTGGTCACCGTTGGCAAAGAAGTTGGGGAAAGGGTTCGCAAGACGAGACGGCCCGGCCGTTGGGGTGAAGTCGAGGGCGTCGTCGTCGAGGGGTGGCACTTGAGCATGTCGCGTGAGGCGAAGGCGGGGGATGACTAGCGACGGGGCTCCAGTGCCGTCCATGACGCGCTCAAGTGCGGGACAACAACGAGCGCGCCCCATCATCGACAACTCACAATCATTTATTATGTAATCGCTCCCGTAACCTCGTGGCATCCCGCTATTGTCTTGCCACTCTACATCACCTCCTTCCCACAACGACCGGCGGTGGCCAATCTGTGAATAAACACAAATATACTGAATCCCTGCGTGCACTCTACGCGCAGCAGCTGCAGACGGTATTCTCAGACTTCAGACAGGCTGCGAGATCCTGCGAAATGCCCTCGCGAGCAGGTGAACAAAGAGATCAACTCTGCGATAGAGGCGCAGCTTCACCTTCTCCTCCTTACCCTACATGCCTATCGCTGACGTCGCAATCAATGTCAAGGAACCTCCACAAGGCGGTAATACCAAGTGAGTCCTGGCTCTCAAGCGTTGGGCATTCTTGTAACGTGTTCACCGTAGGCCTCCTGGCGAGTCTGCTCTTCTAACATATGATGAACGGCTCGACAAGTGGAGGCCCTCGCAGGCGAAGGTACTTGCTTTCATCGGAAAACCAGGCGCAGTGGACATAATTTTGCCAAATAAGAAACATCGCATCGTCAACCGGCTGAGCAAAGCATATAATATCTTCTGGAGCTCGTTCGTTCGACGGGTCGGACAGAGCTGGAAACACGGTAGATACCGTACCATCTTTGCGCAAGAAGGCCGGTATAGCGTCGGTTCTACAAATCAGAAGAAGCACACTCTCCGACTGCCTCCAAGTTCTCCTAGCATTTTAACCCTCGTCCTCTCGTCTAACAATCTAGTGTTTTCGCTTTCGCCAAACATCTCAGAACGAGGATCGATATACACGCAATTAGCCGATTATACCTTCATTCATAAGGAGTTGATCGTGCCATTCCTTCTGTCAGCTCCAACAGATGACCATCTCCCTCGACCCCTAGGATTTCTGAGAGCAGATGTAATCCACAGATTAGTGGCTGATTTCCCTCTACTCCATCACTGTTCGGGGGGCTCTCCATGGGTACTAGGTCGTGATTCTAGAGGCATCCGATTTGTCTCGTTTTCTTCTGCTGTCAACAGGGAGGGGAAATGGTCCAGGACCTTCCACATCAATCAACTTATCGGAAGGTGGCGACAAGAAGGAAGATTTGAGGACATCTTGCGAGGTATTCATTGATCCCATCACCATTCACAAGCTCACTCAATCTCGAACAGGTTGGAGTGACGAACAGTTTCCCATCTATAACCATGCGCCCACACCCAATCGTTCTTCGAAAGCCATCGACGACCCGGTCGCTTTTTCGATCGAGCGCGCTGCTCTGCCTCTTTTTGGATTTGCTAACTTTGGATGTTTACTCATCGGTTAGCCTGATATTGACCACATCGATAACGCTCACATACTCATCGAGCTCGCAGCATACTACCATTGTCATGACACTGCAAAAACGATGCTTTGGATCCCTCGCAGATCGAAGTCGAAGAGAACGTACGTTACCATCGATATTACTAAAAGGTTTACGTCTGATTTTTGTTGATTTCAGCTGGCCTGGTCGCTTGGATGTCACTGTCGGTGGAGGAATAATTGCAGGGGAGACTGCTTTGTCAACTATCATTCGCGAGTGCACTGAAGAAGCGTCACTCGATGCCAACTTTGTACAAGAAAACATCCACTCTGTTGGCTTCATATCATTTCCCAACAGATCTGCCACTGGTTGGATGCTTCCTGGCTTTTATTACCTCTTCGACCTCCTTCTGCCATCAGATGGGTCTGTGCAGCCTCAAATCAACGCAGCGGATGGTGAGGTTGAGGGGTTCGAACTTATGGATACACAGACAGTCTTAGAGAACCTACTTGCTGGTGCCTTCAAACCGAGCTCTGCTCTCGCCTTGGTCGATTTCTTGATCAGACACAGTTTTTTGACTGAGGACACAGACGCGCAGTTCGCCGAGGTCTGTCTTGCCTTGAGACAGTATATGCCTTTGCCCATCCCATGGCGTCTCTAAAGCGCACTTCACTTAGGTTGGTCACTCAAATTGCTTGATCGCACCTTCTCTTCCTACTGATTTCAGCGTCTTGCAGTTGTTATACCTAGAAATGCGAATGTTGTATTCATCTATGTCTGCATCAAAAATCACAGTGTCTTGTCTACATGTGCCAGTCGCCCATCGACAGAACCTGTGTGAAAGGGCCAGTCGCCGGTCGTGCGCTCCGAAAGCATGACTGAGGTCGTCTTCCAAGTCACAATCTTGGTCAATCCGAAGCTTGCCTTCTCTGTGCACACTGACCATTGACCACATCGTCCTGGCATCCTCCGTACGATAAAGAGATGCCGGAAGATGCCCTACCCCACAGCTACGTTGTGGGGTGGCTATTGTGATAAGTTTGCCGATCTAACTCCATTCATGCGTGCTGAACACACGTTTGCGTCTCCAGACCTGGGAAGGCAATGTGTTAGGAGATTGCATTGCAGCGTTTGCAGCCCGAAGGAATCCTTGACGTCAAAGCTCCGAAGACCCTGTGTGCAAGGCGGATGAACGGTGATGTCTGTAAGTTTTTATCGATTTTAACCGATCCAGGCCTCATCTATTGGACGTATATCACAACGTGCACCTCTGAACCCTTGCCTTGCCCTTTGTCCATCGAATGCCTAAGCCCGATTAAGTGAACAGCAGAAATGATGCACGATCTAGATGCCTTGCTCATGACCGATGTTACCCCTGTGAGTATCATTGCCACCCATCATCAATTATCCCATCTAGCATGATCAGCGAACAGCTTCTACTGGCGGAAAACACTTCCAAGCCAGCGGTCATAGTAAGTGACGAAGAGATCCCTGTACAACACCGCATCTTTGCCTTTCTGCCCTGTCACACAGAATCTGATGACCCCAAAAGTTGCCTCATCGCTCCGGCGCGCGCACACGTCCGGACTATACGCTCCTTGCTTGCTCTCGGCACCTCTCACGCCCAGCAGAGCTGGGCTCAGTTCGATCTAGAGTAATTAGGGGTATACGAACGAGCGCAGGGGTCGCTCGTCCCTCGTCCCTCGATTTGCTATGCCCGCTGTTACAAGCAATCCAGCGTTGTGGGCCAACACACTGCTAACACTGGGCTAACGCGGCAGGTCTCCTCCGCTTTCCAATTCTCATTACTCTTCATCTCATGACGCCATCGGCATCTAGCCTGCTGTGCTCTAGGCGATCGATATCTGCAGTCACTATGCTAATTATATGCTATGCTAACTACACAGGCTGTCACTGCCACTGGCCGGGTACCCGATGGATCATGATGCATGATGCAGATGAGGCATCGCGGGATGCGTATAAAAAGGCTCGAGATGACCCTACGTTGAACCCCCCACAACAGTCCCAGGCCGCCCACCTGCCTCTCATCAGCCCAGCCACAACCAAATCTCCAACCCAAACGAACAGACACTATGGTTGACTCCTGGAGCCCTGGCACAGCCTACAGCTACGGCGCCATCGTCGAATTCGAAGGCACGTCGCACCGACGCTTACTCCGCTCCTCTCGATTCTAATCTTCGAATTAACCCGGTAGGTGCCAAGTACAAGATTATCCAACCCCACACTTCGCAATCCGACTGGCTGCCGCCCAACACGCCTGCGCTCTGGGGACGTGTCCCCGACGGCGAACATCATGAACAGCAGCAGCAGCCGACCCCGCCGCAGTACTCCTACGGCGGACAGCAAGGTATGCCTATACCAATCCCCGCTCTCGCACGAGATGTATCGTCCTCATGGGACTATGCACAGGCGGCTACTCCGATCAAAAGCCGTACGAGTCGCACCCCGACCAGAAAGTCGATATCCCGCACGAGGAGCACAAGAAGAAATGGTGGGATCTCAGCGATGAGCGCAAGAAGCAACTTGAGGTGCGTCTGCAGAGCCTGCGCGTCTGATGATCACACCCCGCCACCGACTGCGGCTGACGCGTCTTGCGCAGCTTGGCGGTGGGCTCTTGGCAGGCGCCGCCATCCTCGGCGGAGGCTACCTCGCGTACCACGAGCACGAGAAGAACGAAGAAGAGGTGATACTCGGCTCTCCTAATCTTTCCCAACGTGCTGCTAACCGCTTGAGCTTTCCATCCTCACAGAAAAAGGCGCTCACATGGGAGCTCCAAAACTGGCTGCGCGACGCGCAGACGCGCACGGACGACTTCCGGGCGCACGGCCCGCGCGGCCCGACGACGTGGGTGCTCACTGAGGGCCACAACATTCCCGATGGCGCGATCGTCGGTGGGACCGACAACGGGAGCCCATTGTACATCGCGCGGGCGTTCGTCGAGGGCGGGCTCCAGGTCGGGAAGGCGGGCCGCGGGCTCTCGAAGGGCGCGTCGGTCGGCTACAAGCATAAAGAGTACGAGGTACGTCAAGAGATTGTCTCCTGGAGCCATCGAATCTGTGCTGATGCCTACTGGCACACCGCTACGTCAGGTCAACAAATACGAGATTCTCCTCGGCGATCCCCGCGCCGTGCGCTGGGTCGACGCCAAAGGCGCGCTGCACCTTGACCGATTGAATGCGCGCCCCGTCGAGGGTGGGCGCGAGCCGGACGGCACACCGCAATACATCGCGCAAGCGGAGCACGGCGGAGGAACTCACCCGGGCAAGGCCGCGACGATATTCGAGGGCGCGTTCGTCCCGTATGGCGGTAAAGAGAAGAAAGAGGAGCATTATCGCGTTTTGTGTTATAACTGAAGAAGAGTCCGTCTGCGAGATTTGTGTTGGACGTGGCGCATTGTAACAATCTGTTCTGATGTACGATCAATCAATGTACTGTGACCTGTCTCATTACTGAATAAACGACCGCTCTGGTCGTGTCTGTAGAATACAATCCCAATAAGCAAGATGCCGAAAAGAAAATACAACGTACAAAATCATAATGACAACCCCACAGTATAACACCCTACGCCCCAACCAGCGGCGCCCCAACATACGCCCTGACGATCGGCTCCCAGCATGCTCTGTCAACCTGCATATGCTCCCCCGCACAAGTCGCAAACACGACTTTACCCTGCTCGTCGAGCGTCCTAAGACCGATCCAGTCTTCTGTGTACAGTGGCTGCTCGCGCATCGAGACCACCTTCTTCTCCTCCCGCTCCGCGTTCATCCCCCCCACGATCGACTCCTCGTCGGGCTCCGGGACAGCGTACGATCCGAACCATGCACTCTCCTTCGGCACCACCGTCCGGTCCTTCTCGAATAGCACCATCACGAACGTGTCGAGTTCGGCGAGGCGGCGTGCGTAGTCGGGCTCGCGCGTGGCCGGGAGCTCGTTGTTGAGCGAGGTGAGGAAGCGGTTACTGGAGAGGTAGCGGGGGAGCTGTGTGGGATCGCGGAAGTATTGGGCCTAGTATTCGTGGAGGTACAGAGAGTATTCAGATAGGAGGGTAAAGGTAGGTTAAAATCGCAGTCGCGCACGACAGGACACGAGAAGCCGAGGACAGGGGAGAAATGAGCGAACAGGACGTACCTGAACGAGGTGCTCTTGAGCCCATTCTCCATACACGCCTCTGCGCGCCGCGGCGCGAGCCGCCAGGCAGAGCAAGTCAAGCGGGCGGCAGAGCGGGATATCCGAGATCCCCATGTGTTGAGAGCCGAATGTGATGAGGTTGCGCACGGGGGGCGCGTTGTGCCTCTCGACATAAGCACGAAGGAATTGTCCACCTGCGCATAGCGGAAGAAGAGAGAAGACGCGAGACGCGTAACGGTAAACGCGAGCACAAGGAACCGAAGAAGACGCGACTCGCCTTGGGAGAAGCCAAGGGCGTCGAAGCCGTTCTCAAGCTCGGTGACGTTGGCGAGCTGGTCCGCCACGAGCTCGACTTGCTCGTCGACGTTCCCGTACTAAGTGACATATCACCGCCGCGCGGCGCGGTGACGTCAGCCTCTCCCAATGCGACGCGAATGGGGAGCATGGGCGGAGGCGGGGAGGAGACTGCGAACGAGACGCACAAAGCTGGCACGTTGGTCCTCCTTGAGGTCGGGGTCAATGTAGACGGAGTGGATGAAGATCCCAGGGTGGACTGATTTGATGAGGTTCTGGAACTCGACCATGCCTGGGGAGGAGTGCGAGTCGCCTGAATACAAGTGCGCAGGATGTTCAATGACATTCGATATTGTAGGGGTACATAGAGGTGATTTATGTTAGCCTTCAATGTAGGGGAAGAGGAGGTGACGGCGACGCAGGGACTGACCGAGGCCATGCCAGAGGACGAGGGGGCGCGGACTCGTTGGCGCATTGTAGGCTTGCTGCTCCTGCTCCTGCCATGAGGACCGATGTTGCGGGTTTACCGGCGATCCAAGCACAGCAGTCAGTCCAGCGAGCACGTAGAGGAGAGGAAAGTGCATTTGGACGGCGGATAATCGAGGAAATATGGCTTCAACAAACCTCGGCCACGGAGATGCAATTCACATCTTTCCCACGCCTGTTCCCCAGACCTCCTTGCTTCGAACGTCAGCTCGCTTTTTGGAGGTTGCCTGATATTAACCAAGTACTTGTCGCTATGAGTTAAATCCCAAACAACACTTTTCATTCCCTCTCAGCTCAGACACAGGCAGAAGTTGGCCCATCTATATTTATTCCCAACCGCTTTGCTCTTGTCATTTTCGACTATGCCTTCCACATACGCCTTCGAATCGCTCCTCTCACCCGCAAGGCCGCCCTTCTACTAGGTGAGAACAAGCATAACCAGCATCACAGGCAGACCGCACGCCCAAGCGAACACCATTGGACTTTGAACCGTTGCGATCAACGCCCTTCCAAGCTGTTTGGAAATCTGTCCATCCATCTTGAGTACCGCTCCTGGCGCGAGGTGTCATCGTTCGTACTCTTTTGACCGTTGACGAGGAGTGATTCACGGTCGATCCTCGGGCATGTCGAGCAAGTTTCTCACGGTGAGAGCTTCGGTCTAGGGGGGTGGATATGTCTTCTTGGTTGATCGCCGACACAGTAGAATTAGCACAGAACCCTAGCGCGAGAGGAGTGCGTCAAGGTCATACTTCATAACGCATGCGTAGGCGCATCCTCCATTCGATGACGAGAGTGCCAAGGGCACGTGGAGAGCACTCAAGCCAGGGCCCAGGATACGGAAAGGTGACAAGATACTTACTTACGGAACTTGGATATTGCCACCCCGGCGGCCGCATCAAGAAATCGTGCGCGCTTGCAGCGGTCGACATGGGTGGCGCCGGCGACGAGAAGAAGCTTAAACCTGATGACCGGTCCACAAGACGTATCAAAACCTCCTTTCAAAGCACTAATGTGAGAGTCTTGATCCGCGGGGGGCATTTCAGCCCCGCCTTCTTCTATTCCGGGTATCGATGTATACGACGGCCATGATACATTGTACCAGTCTGTGCAATAATCAATGTTCAGCATGCGCGAAATTGACGAGAGCGTGCACTACTCACGGGACCAAGAATCAATCACGGTGCCGGTGATGGTCATATCACTAATTAAAAGAGACGGGCGGCGCTCGCTCGGCCACCATGCGCCGCAGATTTTCTTCAAGGCGAACGCGCGCCGAGGGTTCACGACACCGTATGTGAAATATTGACGGGCGTGCGCGAGACGACCATATCGCGGATCCGAACGCTCTGGATCGTGCTCAAACGCCGAGCGTCATCAACACGGTGGTTCTCGCTCGATATCGCGTTCGACGGTCGACTCCGGCTTCGGGGGAGTCCTGTGACCGCCTCGTGCGCGGACGAAGCACCCTCTTCTCACCACGATATATCTGTCAAACGCAGCAACGTCGTGATAGACGCACAGAACGTAAGCACGTACCTGAGGATCGCAGCCCGCACATACAGTACAGTACGTGTGGGCCCAGACGCGCCCTGTGAGTAATCGGGGACGCTGCGAGCCCTGTGGGCGCTTGTGTGTACAGGAATAGTAGACGGCGTGCGTGTTTCTCGGTCGTTTGCGCCGGTGACTGGTGGCCGCTTCTGCATCCGTCGAATTTACCTCGCCAGAGGGCGTTCTAGTATTGTCAAAGGAAGGCGAGGCGGATGACCGAGGGACGAAACGGGCGTCCGATGGTTGAGATTGGGAGTGCTATAATTGATAGAGTCTCGACTTGGTCGTCGGAGGGCTGGTACTGAGAAGGGAGGGGAGAGCTTTTCCGGTCGAATCTCACGGAAGTGCTTCACACTCGATGGAGCGAGGATGGGGGAAAGACGGACGCGTCTGCTTTGAGGATGGGTCGATATAAACGGAAGCGAGTGCAGAGGCCTGGAGAGTGCGTGGTGTGTAATGGGCACAGCGCAACAATCAAGGGCACCCGTATTGCGGGCAGGGACGACCGCGTCTCGGCGGACGCGTGGTGGTGGTGGTGGTGGCGTAGAGCAGGGACGCGGGAGAGGGGGGAGATCAACGATTACGGCGAGGAGCGAGAACGAGAGAAAGCGGATGGAGTGGGGAGGCTTGGCGCGCGTTGATGGGATGATACATAGACCCTCTCCTCCTCGTTCTGTCCTGTCCTGTTCCACGCACACGCACGCCCTCGTCCCTCCCTCGCCCGCCCACCATGCGTCCCGCCAGGATGCGCGCCGTGTCCCCCCGCGACGCCGTCCTCGTCCTCCTCGGCGCGACCTGCATGCACATCCTCTCTCTCTTCCTCTCCGACGCGTCCCCCGCACCCGCCTTTTTCGACCACTCTGCAAAAATATCCGTCAGCACGAACAATGTCGCCCCCTCCGCCAACCTCAACCTCGATCTCGACCACCTGCCCGACGCCCCGCCCACCGCGAACAACAACAACCTGCTCCACCCCCAGCACCCCGCGGCCCTCTCCCCGCCCTCGTCCCCGCTCTCCTCTCTGCCCCCCTCCGACGACCCCACCATCGACATCACCACCACCATCCCCGAGACCGTCCTCATCTCCCATGCCCCCGGCTGGTCCCTCTTCCGCAACCTCTACATGTCCGGCGGCACCCTCTTCATCGTCACCTCCGACCCCGCCGCCTTCCCCGACATCTCCCTCCTCACCTCCACCGGCCTTCCTGCCGAGAACACCCCCGAGAGCATCCAGGCCCGCATGCCCACCGCGAAGGACATGGCCGTCATCACCCCACGCGAAGCCCACAGGCGCTGGGGCGGCGAACCGCTGCTCGGCCACAAAAACCGCATCTTCCCCATCGAGGGCTCCACGGTGCGTCCACTCACGCGTCCCACACACGCGTCCTCATCTCCGCGGCTCACCTCGCCTTCTCTCTCTCTCTCTCTCTCGAACGTGACAGTTCCTTTTCAACGACCCCGGCCAATGTACGTATACGCCCCCGTATCGCGCCTTCCGCCCTTCTAACCCCGCCCCAGTCCTGAACCACTACTACCACTTCTGCGCCGAGCTCCTCTTCGGTGCCTGGGCCTTCTGGTCCGGCACCTTCGCGTCCGCGCCCCCCGCCGTCGCCGCCGCGTCCGCGCTGGCCCAGGCCCAAGCCCAGGCCCAGGACGTCCCCACCACCCCGCACCCCGCCCGCATCATCTTCCCCCACGCAACCGCCCCCGAATGGCGCGACAGCCCCGGCTTCAACGCCTACTTCCTCCGCGCCGCCTTCCCCTCCGTCGCCGTCGAGACCCAGCACGACTGGGCCGACCGCGTCCTCGCCACCTCGCCCCCCGCCTCCTCCGCCCCCGCGCCCCCGCCCGCATCCGACGCCTTCGCAGGCTCTCTCAAGACCCGCGCGGGCGGCACAGGCGGCGCGAAGCCCCGCGCGTGGTGGTTCGACACCGTCCTCCTCGCCGACCGCAGCGCCGCCTTCCGCGGCCCCGAATGCGGCTCGCGCACCCAACGCACCGCTGCCGAGGCCCTCCGCGCCGTCTCTAGCGCCGCGCCGCGCACCGACGGCAGCCTCGCGTCGCCCGTGCCCGCCAGCCGCGCGCGCGACCTCCACACGAACTGGTGGGAGCCCGTCCGCCGCGCGGTCCTGCGCTTCGCGGGCGTCGACCCCGCCGTGCTCGACCTCGGCCTGCGCGCGTCCTCGCGCGAGGCGGGCGGGCTCGCCCCCGCGGAGGTCGTCGTGACGTACATCAGCCGCCAGAGCGTACGCCGGCGGCTGGTCGCAGAGGACCACGAGGGACTCGTCCGCGCGCTCAGGGAGGTGTGCGGGCGACGCGGGTGGGAGCTGAACGTCGTCAAGGCGGAGAAGATGACGCGTGAGGAGCAGGTGGCCGTCGTGGCCAGGACGACGGTGAGTGTCGCAGGGCGCCGGTTTTTTCTTTTCGTGATGCTTTTGGCTGACGCGCCGTCCGCCCGTCCGCCCGCCCGTCGAAACGCAGATCCTGCTCGGCGTGCACGGCAACGGGCTCACGCACCTCGTCATGATGCCCGTCACGCCCGTGTCGACCGTGATCGAGATCTTCTACCCGAGCGGGTTCGCGCACGACTACGAGTGGACCGCGCGCGCGCGGGGCATGCGGCACTTTGCGATCTGGAACGACACGTGCGTGCTCTCGCTCCCCCCCCCTCCCCCTCGCTCCCTCCCCCCTCCTGCCTCTTTGATCCGCGCCCGCAGCCGTGCTGACGCCCCGCCAGCGCGCTCGCGTACCCCGATATCCAGTACCCGAACTACCCGGAGGGCTTCCAGGGGACGCAGATCCCAGTGCACGGCCCGCACGTCGCGAAGCTCATCGAGGACCGCGTCGACGGCCGCCTCCCGTAGCCCCCTAGTAGACACCATGCTGCGCTGTGCCTTGTACATCACCGGCTTCCGCTCGCCCTCGCACCGCCGTGCACCGAGCCGAGCCTCCGCGCGCGCGGAGCGCGGGCCTGTATCCACCCTCCGTCCGTGCGTCGAGCGCACGGACTGTACGAAAATATACACGCAGCATACGCAGCACGACCGACCGACCGACCCGCGACGCCCCCGCGCACGCGCGGGGGACCCACACTCGTTTCGACCCTTTCGCTCCCCTTCTACTCGCCACGCGCCCGCCTCCGCCTGCTCTGCAATATCCCAGTGTCATTACCGCTCGAGCTCCACATAGTCCGTCCGTCTGTCCATCCCGTTTTCTTTTTCCATTTCTCTTTTCTTTTTCTTTTTCTGGGTATATCATATCTCTTGTTTGCCTCGGTTCGATCGGGGAGGTATTTATTGGCGTGCGCACGTCTCGTCTTTTTCCTTTCTTGCGATCTCTATGCTCAGCCTTCGCGCCTGTGTCCGTGTCTGGAACGTTCGAACTTTGACACTTGACCGTTACCCGGTCTTTGACTCTGACTCCTGACATTTGAGCATCGGCTCTTGACTTTTGATTTTGCTTTTACTGTTATTTTTACCGGTCCTTGGCTTTCCGTGACTTTGACCTTGACGCTTTGACCCTGACGCTTTGACTTTGACTTTGACCTCGCCCTCGCCTTGCCCGGCTCGCGGCGTTGGCTATTCGTTGTTCATATTTTTCTGGTCCGCTTCTGGCCGTGGGCGGGGACGGGTGGACGCCGCCTTGGGCGGCGTCTACAGTATGGTCCTTGCTTTTTGTTTACGACTACTTATTATATATACCAGCATCGTCGAACCTCGGCCTTGCGCGGTGGCGTACGTGCGCAACGGTGCGCAGGCTGGCACTCCGTGTGGCTCGATGATCCTCGTGCAGCTTACACCCGTCAGCGAGCTGTGCAGTGTGTGGAATCTCTCCCCCCTTCTTGAACGCGGTCGGGAGGGGGAGGGTCCGCACTATGGATCGGGAATCAGGGGGCCCGTGCAGGGCTTGCCGCCCGTACGAGGATCAGCGCCGCTCGCGGATACCGTGCACCCCGCGGCTGGCTGCATACAGTTCGTGTCAATGAGACGCGTGCTTGGACGTCGAATCGTGCAATCTCGAAGACGGCGTTTCCGTGATGCCCGATTCCTATCGACGCACACGACTCGCCAACATCATTCATAGCCTATCAGCAAACCCATCGGCTAGCAGCATGCGGGCCTTCTTTGAAGACGAGAGCGTTCACGTCTCCGGGTCACGTCTGCACAAAAGATGCATGCAAGGATACACGATTATCGTCTGAGTTGTTGTAAGAAAGTGTACAAGCCTCTACTCTAGGCAGGATTTATGTAACGCGACTATGCTTTTATGTACGCAGCAAAACGTCCAACGCACGGCGCTGTCGAGGACTAGTAAGTGAAATGCGAAAATTTAACCATACAGACCTCACAGAAATTACCAGCTGACGCCCATGCACCACGCATAACTTAAATAATAACTTCAAGATATAGAGAAAGTGCCTAATGAGCCAAATTCGGCGCGGCTCACGCATCCTTGACCCAGGGGTCACTCAAAAGCTCCAAGGCGGTGGGTCGCTCGCGAGGATCGAGCGTCAAGCATCTCCGTATGAACGCAGCCGCAGCCGAGATGTCCTTCTCTCCCAGTACTTTGTAATTGCGTAGACACGCCTCCATCGTGCGCGGAACGAACTTGTCCATGCGGAGAAGATTGCCTTCGAACCGACGTTCAAGCGTAAGTCACAGTCGTCGGACTCACAGGATGATGCACCGATGACTCGCCTTGTTCGTCGTAGAACCTGGTTCTGAGCGAGCAATCCTGCAGGAAGCTCGGCGGGAAGGGGCCGATGAACTCCGCGATCCGCCGGAGATAAACGTCGTCGAAGCTCACGGAGTCGGTTTCGTATAGTTGGAACAGGGCCGTGCCAGTCAGGTACTCGAACACCTACGATGCGATATTTTGTAAGATTTTAACGACTGTGAGAAGGGCTTGCAACTTACCAGGCACCCCACGGACCATACATCGACGGGTGCCGACCACGCATGACCAAGGAGGACTTCTGGGGCGCGGAGGAGATCAGGCTGGGCCTGCGTCGACGATTGTTCCTTCGTGGATCTCGCTGCAGAGCAAAGAGACAGTCAAGACCAAACGGCTCTCATGCGCAATCCGCAAGGTACTCACCTTCACCGTAGTCTACCAAGCAAATGTCAGGGTTTCTCAGCGCATCCTGTTCCGCGCAAAGTTCGCCGAGAGGCTCGGATTTGACCGTGATGATAGGGTCCGGAGACAAATCGGGCTCGAATCGGGTCTCGTAAGTGGACGAAGGCGACTCTTTGAGGAGGCGTGTTATCGCCTCGCTTGGGTCTTTCAAGGATATGAGGACGTTGTCCGGCTTGACGTCTGAAGATAAAACCGGTCAAAGAAAGTTTTAGGCTTTGCGCGTGGAAGATGAAATTGCCTGTGTGCACGAGCTTGCACTCGCGATGGAGGTAATCAAGAGCGAGGAGCGTCTGCTTGATGATGCGTTGCGTGAGAGCAAGCGGGAAAAAACGCCGTTGGGCCGGTAAAAAGCTTCGAATGTAAGTGAGATCCGGCCCAAAAACATCGGTCACGATGCATATGTGGGGGCCGTGGTGGCTTTTGGCGATGAAGGTGTCGTAGATGACCATGCAGTGCTTGTAGCCCGGATGGTGCGGGTTCGCCTTTTTGATCGTGAGGAGGGCGTCGACCTCGCCGAGGAGGCCGCGCACGACGCCAGCGGTAGCGTTCACGGTGAGGACCTTGACAGCGACATATTGGACGGGATACGAATTTCTAGAACCGGCGTCTTCGTGAGGACACGCACTATAAGGGGAGCGCCGAGAACTTGAGGGACTTACTTGAGCGTGCGGGCGAGCCAGACGCTAGAATACCCAGCCCAGCCGAGCTTCCTCACGATTTCGAGCTGGCCGTCCTTGAGCTGCTGTCCCAGAGTCAGCGGGTAGTAGCCATGGCCCTGCTCGGGCGTGAGCATGTGCGGCTCCTCGTCGCAGTCAAACGCTTCGCCGTCGTCGACGTCCTTGATTTGAACGGTTTCAAACGCTCGGCCGTAAGGTCTCGGAACAGAGGACATTTGGGAGCTGTGACGAGTGCGGGAGATCAAGGGACGGGGAAGAAAAGACGATAAAACGAAGCGTTGGGGAGGCTTTTGCAGGCTGCGACGAAGGACGGTAGACATGAGCATCGGGGGATCGTATTACAGCCCCTATATCGTCGTCGTTAATTCACCTCGCCCAGCCGCGGCTGTTCCGTCATACGCCCGCCACACTCATGGTAGTAGCCTTCTGTCCTTTGCCATGACGCAGCCTTAACGTAGCCTGACGCGGACATCCTCAATCGAGGAAGTGTGACGGCACTTACAGTCTTATCCATGCAAATCCTGTCCCGCTCCTCCCCAAGAAAAAGTTATCTCTAGGATTCAATATTCAGGCGCCCCAGGATGCACTCCTTCGTCTGGAACTTTCTTACATCTGTACAAGAATATTTTCATACCGAGGAAGCGCGAATTCCTACTGCAAGTGGCATGAGTGTCTCAGTCAGGAAGCGATAATCATCGATCATCCATACATGTACCCTTCACACTTCCTGCTCGAATCCAAACAGTTTCTAGGTTTCGGCTCCCGAAGAAGAGCCTTGAAGCTTAAAGCTTGACTTTTCGTCAAGAAGGTTCCTACCGCCCGCATGTCTCTGTCGGGAAAGTGGTATCTAGTAAGTACAGTGTCGCACTCTTCAAAAGTCGCATCGCTTTCCGCTTTCAATCAGACACGGTATCAGGTTTTGGGATATGGAGAAGTGTCCTGCTTCCTCGTCTGGAGGTTTCTTACTATATGACATCTCCAATATCAAACAACTCGGTCAGGGAGGTGATCGACTCCCTCCTTCACTGTCAAATATCGTCGGACAACGATTGATTCCCTTTCCTTCCAGTCTTGAGCTTTCGTTGTACGTTGCATGCGCAAAACCTACTCATCGTGTCAAAGTATGCTGCACCGACGTGACATCCAATGTCCTTCGTTTTTGTGATGTGCCTCTCTCGGCGATGCGTAACTGGTTATGGAAGGACCTACTCGCGTTCCGCCAGGATCTCTTCTCTATAAAGGTATTGCAGCTCCCGAAGGCTTGAAGACACCTAGAAATCCTCGTCTATGCACGCCCTCAGCTGGTTCCAAAGACGCACCATCAGCACTGTACGTTATCCAGGAAACCTGTATTCCTCCCCGAGATCTATCATTACCAAGAAATATATCACCTACGCCCTCACAGAGTTTTGTAGAGAGTCAGGTCTCGACGAGCAAGGTGCGGAGATCGCTGAACTCAGATGAGCGTTCCCCCGTACGACTGTGTCGTTCGTTTACTCATCTCTAGCTCGAAGGGGAGGATGTCATGACGGGGTACGATCCCCATGGAGCCGTTTCATACCACTTTCACGGCCAAGAGGCGAGATGGGTCGTATATTACGACGATAAACCCGCACACTAAGGCGGAGACCAACCACCACCACCTCTATATCGCTCCGAGCCAGGCGGCTCTAGAAATGACAGCCCGTCATTAATGGCATAGTCTACTGTATGTCAATTTTGTTTACATCTTTTGCATTACAACGTGCTCATTTTTTTTCCAGTCCGGCGCCAAGAGAGGGTGCGGTGGAGGAAACGTCAAAAGAAGCCCCAGGAGAAACGCTGGAAGAGTTAGGGTAAAGCACAGATAGGCGAAGCGAAGTGTCATTGTAGCAGCCATACTGTATTGTACATATGTTCTGAACACTACATGCGCAAAAAACTGCTGCTGAGTGCTGAGCATTGGCTACAGCTGCTTGAATAGCTAATACCGATAGACGAACGCTCTCAAAAGGAAGGATAAATACATCGTCGGGCAGCAAGTTCGAAGCTCAGATTAATTCGTGAAGTCTCAGGCCAGGTGTAGCAATATCAATCGACTTCAAGAACTGTCGCGGTGCTGAACAAAAAGAAACCCCACCGCACATGCACGGAACCTCGTATCTCCGCCCTCAGTTAACTCAAATTGGCCTCCTACTAGCTCGAATGAGAAGCAGTCGAAAGTCGTGTGCACCGCACGCACGCCGCCACAGCACAAATCCCAGCCTCACTCACCCACCCGCTTGCTCGCCCTCCGACCGACCGACCGCAAGTGCACACTACCCACCCACCTGCGCCGCCCACACCCGCCCCGGCAGCCCAAACACGCCTCCGCGCCTGACCGCCTCCTCCATCCTCTCCCCATCGATCTCCGCGCCCATCGCCCCGCGCACGTCCACCGCGACGCCCCGCGCGCGCGCGGCGTCGTGCGCGACCGACACCTCGACGATGCCCGACATCGGCGGGCGCTCGGGCAGCGTCATCACGATGCGCGGCGGCGCGGGGCCGGGGCCGGGGCCGAGCGCGGACGCGTCCGGGCCGAGGGGCGGGCCGAAGAGGTCGTCGTCGGCTGAGGGCGGGTGCGTCGAGGGGAGGTAGACGGTGACCGGGATCTTGAGCGGGGTGAACGTGCCTGCGGAAGCAGTGGGCGCGGTGGGCGCGGTGGAGATGTCAGTAGAGGCTGCGTGGGGTTAGAGAGAGAGGGGAGGGGGGCGGACCGTCGAGGATGGCTTGCAGGTCGCTGTCGGTGACCTGGTCGTCGCGCGCGTCTTCTTCTTCGGGCACGGTCAAGAGGCCTTCCGTGCTCCACTGGCACCCGGTCAGCGCCTCGTTGAGCCAGCACTGCTCTCGTACGATCTGAGGCGGCCACCGATAGGCGTTAGCTTTACCCTACGGAGCGCGGACGCGACAGATGGGACGGGGCGCGCGTGCGCACCTCGAGGATGCTCCAGACTTCCTTCATGTTGTAGACTTGCACGTGCTCCAGTATGAATCCCGGTTCGTCGGGGGCTGCGAGGCTTAGGTGCAGCGGCGGGTGCAGGCCCGTCGGGGACGTCTGTATGCGCGACGAGGGTGAGATGCCAACTGCGGAAGCGCGGGGGAACTCACGTAGACGGCCGTGTACCGCTCTGGCGATATCGGGTTCGCGGGGTTGAGCTGGGCAAACCGTGCGTAAGTCACGAACGATCGGGCGAACGTGGAGGGTAGGGTAGGTCCTGTGCGTGAACGAACGGACGCACCAGCATGTCCACCCAGCTCCCGTTCGTGAAGGACAGCATCCCGCCGCCGCCCTGCAGGTTTCGGATCGTGCTGAACGGGTTCACGACCGCTTCGATCTCGCGCATGCGCGCCTGGCTCATCACGATTCCCGGCATGCGCCCGCCGAGAGTGAAATCGAGCACCCACGCGCACTGCCCCTCGTCGGGGCCCACAGCACTCGAGGCGCCGGCGCCGGCGGCGGAATCCACTTCCATGTTCATGGCGACGGGGAACATGTGGTCGAACGCGGCTGTGTTGGGGAGGAGCGGGAATTTTGGGCGCGAGGAGAGGATGGGGAGGTCGGATGTGGGCGGAGGCCGCACGTATGTTTTGAGTGGGCGGAGAGAGAGGGTGACGAGGGCGGTCCCTGGCGGAGGGGTGTGCGAGGCCAAGATGGATCGGAGGTAGGCGTAGGGGATGTTGATAGCGGGGAGAGACGCGGATGGTGGAGGCGCAGATGTGCGGAGGGGCGAAGAGGCACGTTGGAGAGAGAGGTACGTGCGCGGGGAGAGGTGGACGAGGAAGGTGAGCGATGGGGATGTCAGGTATGGAAGCGGCAGTGCATGGGCGCGCAGGAGGAAGATGTCGAGGGGTGTTTCAGAGAGGGACAGCGAGCTGGAAGGCCGTCAGTGGGCAGCGAGAAGAAAAAGAAACAGTGCGCACCTCGCGACGGCGCGCGCCTCGGCCTGCGCGAGGCGCTCCAACGTCCCGCCCAAGGTATCGATGTCATTGAACCACCGGATCCCCGAGTCACCCTCCCTGCTCGCAAAGCGATCCAACCGCATCAGATACCTCAAACTCTCCGAGACCTCCTTTCCAAACCTCGCGGTGGTGATCCCGCTTCCTCCGTTGATCTCGAGCTCGCCCGCAGGGTCCTCGTGGTCGGAGCGCTGGACCTCAGTCACCCAGGCCTTCAAGGCGTCGACCAAAAAGCCGTCCAGCGATGCGGACCCGGCGGCATTGCCGCCTGCGACGCCGTTCGGGACTGCGTAGGACGTGCGCACGCCGACGACGTCTGCACAGGGGCGGAGGGCAAACTCGATGTCGAGAACGAGGACCTTGCCGCCGAGGACGAGGGTGCGGCGGCCGGCGCTCTCGGCTTCGGGGAAGGCTTCCATGCCGACGGTGGCGCCCCACTGGCCGATGTGGGCGACGCACCAGTCTGCGATCTGTGTGCGGTCGAGGGGGACGTCTTCGCCGTAGGCAGCGCGGGTGCGGGAGGCAGCGAGGGTCTGGCGGACGTATTGGCTAGTCTAGCTGCGGGGACGTGGGTAAGCGAACCTGGGGAAAACTAGCTGGCGGGGGAGAGAAGGGGAGAGAGAAGAAAGGATGGACGGACAAGGTGGAGACCGTGTTGAGCTGCGGTGTGTTGGCGCAGGAGCGATACTGTTTTTGAATTGATGGCGGGGGCGTTGAGGAGGACATTTGTTGTGTGGGCGATGGTGTCGGTGGTTTGGAGGAGGTCGCGGAGGTCGGCGATGGCGCTTTCTGCGGTGGAGGAGAAGGGGTGGAGAGATGTTGCGGAGAGGAGGTCTGGGGAGGTGAAGGGATGGATGGCGGAGAGCAGTGTCTGCGGGGGCTCTGTGTGGGACTGCATGGTCGAGGAGGAGGAACCGTCGCGTCCCGACGCGTGCCACTCGCATGGCACATGGTCCTCCCAAAGGCAGCAACAGGTTGGCCTCCGACTGGGTCTCCGGACATGCTATCATCCACTCATGCATCCATTCATTTGCATGGGAGAAGCACTGGTCGAGTCAGGTACCCGCTGCGACCATTCGAGCGACCGTCCAGCACTCAATCCGGACGGCCCATGTCCACCTCGATCCAGAGCCTACGCGCAGACGACCCCTGTTCGCGTCTTTTCCTAAGAGAGACCCGCCCCACGTCAGGCCCTCGTCGCACAAGTGCGGGTGATGTCATCCTGCTGCCATCGGGACCTGGCACAGTATCGCGTATCATGGGCGAGCGAGACGGAATGCTGACACGGAGGGGTTGCCGTCATGCGCGCGCACTGCACATACACCCATCAGGCTGAATTTCCACATCGCTGGCTACATGCTTGTGTACTAGTGATACTGGGAACGCAGCACAGTGCCGAGCGCCATGAGTCAGAACACGGGGCAGGAGGTGGGGTCAAAGCTGGGGGAAAAGGGAATAGGGGCGCCAGCGAAGGCCCCAAGCTTGAAGGAAAGGCTGTACGGTACGATGACGGAAGGCAGGCGGTGGGGTGTGGGGTAGCCGCGAATGGGAGAGAGCAAAGCGGAGGACAGCCCAATTCCAAGTTGAAGCGCCGACTTTGCATGTCCCACCATAGCCACGCTCCGGTCTCCCTTGCTCTCCTCCTCCTCCTCCCACCCCACACCCGCTGCCTGCTCATTTCCTCCTCTTCCACCCCTTCCCATCTCTCTTCTTGCCGCTCGAGCTTGGCTGGATGATCACAGTCGAGACGTCCACACCGTCTCCAGAGCCCCCTCAAGACCCGTCCCTCGCAGATCTCTCCAGAAATGCTTCCGTCATCTCCTCCTCCAGCTCAGGCTCGGCCTCCTCCCTCCTTCTGAAAACTCCACGCCCTCGCCCCATCCGCACCTTCTCCTCTCCTCGCTCAAGGAGCCCTGGCGGCCCCACCACCCCCCGCGCATCCCGGCCCCCGGCATACCTCACCAGAGAGCTCGGTTTCGCAGAGGAACCCCCAGAATTCTTACCCCATCGACAGTCTGCGCGGGCGCAGTCAAAGTCAAAGTCTCGCAGCAGCTCCGCCAACGGTCGCCTCAGCGCGGAAGACTTTGAATTCGGCGAGGTCTTGGGCGAAGGATCCTACTCGACCGTCCGTCTCCCGCTTCTTTCCACCCCGCTTTTTTTTTCAAACCTCACAAACGCAACCAATAGGTTCTGCATGTCACCCATCGCGCCACTCGACAAGAGTACGCTATCAAAGTCATCGACAAGGGCCACCTCAAGCGCAACAACAAGCTCCAGACCGCCCATGCGGAGAAAAACACCCTCGTCCGATTGGGCTCGGGTCATCCAGGGATAGTTCGTCTGCACTGGACCTTTCAGGACGACTGGAGCTTATGTGCGTCTTCCCTCCGAGCGGAACCCCGCCCCGCCTGCCCCGTCTCATCCGTCGCCCAGATTTTGTCATCGACCTCGCGAAGAACGGCGAACTCCAGTCTCAGATATCTCGCCTGGGGTCTCTCTCGACCTCGTGCGCTCGCTACTACGCCGCGCAGATGGTGGACGCTCTCGACTACATGCACGCAAAGGGCGTGATTCATCGGTTCGTCCTCGCCCTCCGTCTTTCCCGGGCTGTACCGTCTGATGGGATCCCTCAGAGATCTCAAGCCCGAAAATCTATTATTGGACGATGCGTTCCGGATTAAGGTGACGGACTTCGGCACTGGGAAGCTCATGGACGCAGGCGGTGAGTAATTGCTTTTCTCGTCTGGGCCCGTCCACGCGCACGTGATCTCAATTCCCCCGTCCAGACGAGCCTGCGAAGACCTTCGTCGGTACCGCACAGTATCTCTCCCCGGAATTGCTCGAGGCCAACGAGACCAGCAAGAGGTTCGCCCGCATCCTCTCCTCTGTGTCTCTCACTAGACAGACTCATGCCCTCAAAGCTCCGACCTATGGGCGCTGGGCTGCGTCCTGTACCAAATGATCGCGGGTCGGTTCGCGTTCCAAGGTCTCTCCGAGTATCTTACCTGGCAGAAGATCAAGCGGCTCGACTACTCGTTCCCGGACGGGTTCGACGAAAAGGCCAAGGACCTCGTGCGGAAGCTCCTCGTGCGTACTTTCGCGATTCGCGTGCCGTGCTTCTGGACCCACGTTCCCCCGTCTCGTATTAGGTCCGAGACCCGCTAGAGCGGCTGGGGGCCGGACCGCCTGGCGGCGATCACGACATGGCAGCGCTTCGTGCGCACCCGTTTTTCGCATCGATCCATTGGCAGACATTGTGGACGGGTCCCGCCCCGCCCCTCGAGGCGGGGCTTGTGCGGCGGGAACCCCCAAAACACGGCGCGGATCAGAAGTGGGAGGACGTCGGCGCGGCGTGGGATGATCTGGTCAACGGGCAGACCATACAAGACGGCGCCGATGGGGACGAGGGCGACTTTTTGGTTCCGGCGGGGAAAGTGGGCTGGGACGGCATCGGTTGGGCGGCGGACGCGGAGGGCCCGGAGTATGAGCTGTTCGGGAAGCGCGAGTACGAGGCGGTAAACGTCCCGCCGGAGGATGTCGGTCCGCTTGGGGAGCTGCCGAGTTATGCGCACGAGCCAGTGGAGCTAGGGGCTCGAGACCTTCCTTCGCCCGACGGCGCGAGCGAGCGCACGATGCTCGGCGTACTCGCACCGATGTCGAACGGACACGCCAACGGGAATGGCTTCGGTAGCATCAACGGGAATGGCTTCGGTAGCATCAACGGGAATGGCTTCGGTAGCATCAACGGGAATGGCTTCGGCAGTGTTAACGGGAATAGCTTCGGCAGTATCAACGGCACGGCGCTTTACGAGCTGCCAGAGCCAGAGCCATCAGAAGAGAGCACGCACCAAAAGGGGGGCAGCGAGGAGAGCGACGCAGGCGAGACAGTGCACGGGCCAGTCAAGTCGGATGCGCCGGAGGTGAACGGGAAAGCGCACAACCCACCCGCAAAGGCGGGGAGCAAGCCGGTGGACATGCCCGCGCCGGTGCGCGACGCGTACGCAACGAGCTCGTCGGACGGAAGTCCGGTCGAGAAGCTCGGCGCGGCGCTGGAGGCCATGGGGCTGAACCGGGGCCGCAACCGGACGCGGAGCCCGATCCGCAACGAGTTGCCGGCAGAGCCAGACTGGTGAGTCGCTCGACGCGGCGATAGGCCGATATCGCGAGCCTGTGCTGACGCGGGACGGCTAGGGCGTCGGTGCTCGCGCCAGGCGAGACCATGCTGTTGCACTCGGCGGTGGAGGAGACGGTGCTGAAGCGGCGGACGAGCCGCCTGCTGCTCCCGCTGCCGGTGACGCCGCGCAAGCCAAAGGTGCGCCAATTAGCGCTGACGTCGCACCGGCTGGTGTGTCTGAAGGTGCAGAAGGGGGGGCGCGGGATCGGGATCAAGTGCGAGTACATGTTGCGGCCATCGGAGAAGGAAAAGGAGAAAGAGCGGGAGAAAGAGTCGCGGAGCGTGATCACCGGCGTGTCAATGAAGGGCGCCCGCGAGTTTGCCGTGCTCACCGTGAGTCGCCTTTGTTTTGTTCGTTTGGTCGAGATTGTTTGAACTGACGTGCGCGACCAGACGAGCAAGTCGGCGTTCTACGCCGCGGAGACCGAGGTGCTCGCGTCGACGTGGGTGAAGCGGATCACGGAGGCCTTGGACATCCACGGCCAGAGCCATCGCGAGCGCAAGCTCTCTGCCGCAAACAACGCACGGACATAACTTATCGTCATTTTATCGTTCCTTCTGCCTCGTCTCCGCCTCCCGGTGTTCCATGTGCGAACGAGGTCCGATGCGCGCACCGCGATGAATCGCCATTCGCCACTCAGCGCGCAACGCTCCGCCGAGCAAATCCGTGTTCACGAGGAAGGGTTTTTGAAATCCGGACTGCGTATATACGATCAGGGTAACAAACGTCAACGGGGGTACATACGTGTATTTTTTTTTCACGCTCTGCATAGCTTCCTTTCGTTCTGTCTCAATGTCTCTCTCCGTCTCTCGACGCTATGGGAACTTCAGGCGTGTAGTGTTCTTTTGGTGGATTCTCTCTTTACTCTCTTTATATGTCTTTCGCTGTCGAGTCAACTGCCACGTAGCGTACGATAGGGTCCCTACATACGTTGTTTTCTTGCGCACACTCTGGACAATTTCTTTTTAGCTTAGTTACGCTCTTGCTGCATCTTTGGCCTAATACATATCATCCACGCAACGATCGTAGACCATTGGGTCTTACGCATGATGACTGCAGGCGAAGCATTCACGCGAAGAAGGGCGTTCAAAAACCAAGCATCCCAAGGGTAGAGCATTCGACGAACGGAACCGGATAGATACAAGAGTAAGGTAATTTTGCTCGTGTGGGGGCCGGCGCACTGCTCAGCCAGGGGGAAGGAGGCTGGCATCGATGGGACCGGAGGCCTCCGTCGCCTCGTCGTCCTCCAGGGACCGTGTGATGGGTGTGCGGGGCATCGCCATCACGCCTGAGACAGAAATTAAAAGAAAGGACGGGTCAGAGCGCGAGAGTGAGCGAAAGCTGAGAGAAGGTCGCACCGGTGCGCGCGGACTCGATGATCCCGAACGGCTTGACAAGGCTGAGGAAGGCCTCGACCCTGCTCGTCTTGCCGCTCATCTCGACGATCACGCTGTTCTCGCTCACGTCGACGATGCGCGCGCCGAACTGGCTCGCGAGCGTCGATATGGACTGCAGGTGCTGGTGGCGCATGCGCAGGGCCTCGCTCGGCGTGAGCGGCTGCGGCGTCGGCGTCGGCGCCGGCGCGGATTGTTGGTCCGCGTGCCCGCTGTGCTCGAAGTTGCGCGCGAGGAGCATCTCGCGCTCGAGCTTGGTGTGCTCGTCGTGCGCCGCGGAGGACGCGCCGCGTCGGGGCTCGTGCGAGGGCCCGCCAAGGAGCTGGTCCTCGAGGTATTCGGGCCCGAGGATGGAGACTTTCACGAGCATGAGCTCGCGCGTGATCGTGCGCGTCTCGGTGTAGTCGAGCACGGCCCACACGGGGACCTGCGCCGCGGAGAGTAAAGGGAGGGTTTCAGCGCGTTTTTTCTTTGAATTAGGGAGAGAGAGAAATAGGAAAAGGGGAGCGGGCGTACCAGGTCCTCGAGCTGCCTGCGCGCCTGCTCTACGACGCCGTCCTGGCCGCTGATAACGATGGACATCCTGCTGAGGTCGCGGATCTCGGTGCGGCAGACGACGAGCGAGTCGATGTTGAACCCGCGGCCGGCGAGGATCCCGGACACGCGCGAGAGGACACCGGGCTCATTCTGCACGAGGCAGTTGAGCACATGCCTGGGACGGACGCGGGGGGCCGTGAGCGGGGGCATTCTCTCGTTTTTTTTTTCATTGGTGCGCGCGGGGTGACTTACTTCTTGAACGGCTGGAGGCTGGGGGGCGGGGTGTTGTACAGGATGTTGGTGACCGCCTCCTCAGCGGTGCGCGAGCGGGGGAGGTCCATGGCGGGTAATGGCGGGGGGCGTATTCTATGCGAGGTCTTGTAGTCGAGCGCGGAGGTCGAGTCGTCGATGGGAGGGGGAGGGCGGGGCGGCTCGCCTGAGAAAACGCGGGCGGTCGAGGAGAGGGCGCGCGCTTTCCATAGCGACTTTGTGGAGGCGGCTGCTGCTCTAGCACGGACGGCGAAGATGGAGGCCATTGTGGTCGATGATGAGCTCGTAGGACGTGCTGCCAGCAAACGGTCGAGTCAATGCAGACAGCAATTTCTGGCTGCTAATGGGTCTTTCGGCCTTCTTCGGCCTTCCCCACATGCTTCGGCTTTCGCCGAATTCCGTCTCACTTCCATCTCCGGCTCTGGGATGTCTTGGTGGAACTGCATCGTGACCTTGTTTCTCGCAACTCTGGCGGTTGGGACCACTTAAGTACTCAAGCTCTCAGTCATGTACATTCCCATGACCTCACCGCCAAGTGACTCCAACCTTTCTCGTCCCAGCTCGTGCGCTTCGTAACATGCATCTGCGGGGATCCACGGTCCCGCCATGAGCTTTCTGTGAAACTTCTAGGAACCCAAGCTAAGACTCACTCACGCTGTGTAGTGACGTCACCCGGTGTGGATCCAGTCCATTCAAACTCGACGGCCTGAACGCTCCAGGACGCTCCGGGCGACATGGTAAGCGCTCTATGAAATACCCGCTACAAGAGCCCCGTGAACGCACTCCACTCCTCTTCCAAACGACCCTCCCCCAATCACTATCACCCTCATGGCTTACTCGTACTACCAGAGAAACCTCCCTGGATGGGGCACGCAGCAGGTGTGTCCGTTTCAATGCTTCCAGCATTAAACTTCGATTGACGGGCTGGCTTATAACCCCAGTTCCGCTTCGGACGTCCGCCTGAGCCCCTCTTTCGTCCTCTCGAAGGCTGTAAGTTGTTGTTCCTCTCACATGTAGATCTGACGAATGGACCGTGCTTGTAGGGACTGGAATGGACTATTATCGAGCTCATGCTGGAGAGGCTGATCCGTGAGTACCCCGATTTGGTTCTTCGTACAGCATTCATTGTGATACCCTTAGTTCCTATTTCACAAATGCTATGACGCGACTCTCAGCGGGTGTGGCGATGGGCGTAGAAATGCACGAAGCGAGGTACTGGCACCGTCTTGCGTACGGAGGCATCGTACGTCTATTGTTACTTCCAATCAATTCGATCTTGAGCTTGAGTCTCTCTTGATTATCAGGGCCAAGTTGTTCAGATGACGCCTACCGAGATCGGGCATGCCGCCGGATACGAAGCGTATCGACAATTTATTCATCATGCCCCGATATACGAGTCTGTAAACAGAGGCTATACGAGGCAAAGAGAGGCTTTGACTGGACTAGCCGTCGCGGAAGGTACGTCCTTTTTCATCTGCCATACTCGCGCATGTGCTTATGAACCTCCCTTTGCATCGGGTAGTCCAGCGTCTCTGGCGAGAGACCGGCCGAGGGCCAGACCCATATGGGCTTCAGGCAGCGTCGGAAGCAGCAGCAGGGACTGCATGCCGGATCTTCGACAGTCATGTGGACTCCGGTTCCGTTGGCTCGGATTATTCTCGCGGGCGCCGCAACTCGTTTGGCGCACCCTATGCCGACCCCCTCGATACCGCTTACGCGGACGATGATTCTATGTTTGCTCGACGCCGACCTTTGCAGGGCTCGAGCGCAGTGATGCCGATGCCGATGCCGATACCGATGCCCATCGCCGCCAGCGGTGCCTCGCCATATGCTGGACAATCGACGCTGGGCGGAGGATATTCTTCATCATTGCCATCGTCAGTCTATGGTGGTGCATCCCCTTACAATCGAGCGTCCTCAGTGATACCCAGCTCGCCGTATGCAGGAGGCGCATCCACGGGGTATCCTGGCGGAGGCTCCATGGCGCCTAATACGACCAACATTTACCTTGGCACCCCTTACAGAGGTCGTTCACCGGGTCCAGGTTATAATTCTGCGCCACGATATAACGTCGCGGGAGGACCTTACTACCCTGGTGATAACGGGACCCCCGCGTATGGGATGGGTTATGGCGGAGGGATCGGTACGAGCAATATGGGTTATGCGCCTGGCGGTGGGCCTATGAGTTATGGGGCGGGATGGAGCGGGATGGGCTATGGTACAGGAGCTGCTGGAATCGGATATGGGAATGGAGTCGGCGGAATCGGATATGGTGCTGGAACAGGCTATGGTTACGGGGCTGCTCAGCAGCCTACGACAGTGATCGTTTCCGGACGTAGTCATCGACACGGACATGGGCACCACCACCATGGACTGCTGCATCGAAGGCATCACAGCCTAGGCAGATATGGATATTCGTGAATTTCCCCTGGCGAGTATCTCCCCAAGCCTCCATAATACTCACGACGCATCGTGGTAATTCGTCAAGGACGACCATACGTGTATGATTATCGTTTGAATGTATAATAGCTGATATGTTGCTTATGCTCTGCGTACCCTCCTCGAGTGTAATATCGCTCCCCCATACTTTACGTGTCGCAGTCGTACACATAGGAAATCTGACTTACCTGATGTACGTTATGACGTAGACCAAGAAAGGCAGTCGTCCGCGAGCGTCCGCGCCAAACCGGGCTCCGACAGATCAAGCTGACTTGACGTCCGCTGTTGGGGATACCATTTCTCACATCAAACCGACTTCAAAACCCCACCTCCCCTCGTCCCAGTCTCTTCGAACAACACAATGTCTGGAGCAGCATCGACCGCGGCCACTTCCAAGTTCTCGTCATTCATGAACCACCCAGCAGGTAAGTTTTCGACCTCCGAGACAGGACGGTGAATTGATTCGACCCCACCGGAATCCGCCCACCTAGGCCCTAGGACGGTCTTCTTCTGGGCTCCCCTCATGAAATGGTGTCTCGTCATTGCTGGTGTCAAGGACCTGGGAAGACCAGCGGAAAAGTTGAGCGTATCTCAGAATTTAGGTGCGTCTCATCACTACCTGGCGAAATTTGAATTATGCTTACGGGTTCATTCCTTCTTCGTCGACCCTCGTTCATACCCATAGCGCTGACGGCGACGGGTTTCATCTGGGTCCGTTACTCCCTTGTCATCACGCCCGTGAACTACTCTCTGGCAGCCGTGAGTCGCTCAGACACCCAGTCATCTTGCTCACGCTGAAACCCCCAACCTCGTATTTTAGGTAAATTTCTTCGTCGGATCAACAGGTCTTGGTCAACTGGCGCGCATTGCGAAGTACCCCGCTTTCTCTGACATATTAACATACGACACTAAAGCAGCGGTCTTGTACATACAGCTACCGATTCAGCCAGGAGAAGGCCACCAAGGAGAAAGCGGTCTAGGTATGATCAGCCGGCATTGGGTAGCTACGGCTCTCTTCTTCTTTGCTATCTATCTTCCTGTGAACTCCGATCTCAGAATAGACATCTGCCGTCATTAGATGGAGATCGAGGTATGAAAGAAGTACAATGATGTCAAGGGATACACGACTGTGAAAGATTACAGACCCGACTATGTCACTCATCTAGATTCCCGTCCTGCGTTTTGGTCTCCCCACCTGCTCGTTTCCGCTTGCTGCCCTTGCCTTCCCCAGCCTGGCCCTTGTCTGACTGTGACTGTCCCAAATTGTCCTTCACTCCCTTCGCAATCTCCCACCATCCACTGCTACTGACGATGCCCGCAACGCTTCCCACGAACTTCTGCACCTCCTCCGCGACATTCACTTGTTCTACGTGTGCGTTTTCCTGATATTGCCACTCCTGATGACGATCGAAAGACTCCCATGGCTTTGGGCGAGCTTCGCGAGGTTGTGAGTCTGTCCGCGAGCGCGAGCGCCTCGATGACGAACTTCCGTCATCGTCATTGCCTCGCCCATTCGTGAACTCGAGTAACATTCCGGATATTGCGGGAATCAACCCTCCCGCTCTGATTCTCTGTCCTATACCATCTCCCCCTCCTCCTCGTTGGTTGCCCAACATAAATCCTGCGCCTGCCGCTAGTACACTGAGAATTGTGCCCCATTTGAGCATCCATACACTTGTCCGCACCATCCAGCTTGCTGTTCGATATAAGCTGAGCAGCGCGAGGTATGCCGCGAGTACACTGAGTAATGGCGGAATTAGTGTTTGAGCGTCCCACTCCCATGGTCTGGAACGTATGATGACCGATAGTAGATTCAGCAAGGCTGTGAACATGGCCAATGAGTGGGAGAAGATGGTGAGTAGAAATGAGTATAGCGGGGGAGGGAGGGCAGAAGACAGATAGTCAAGCAAGGGATCCAGGAAAGCCGGCAGGGGTACGTCTGCAGGGTCGACGTAGTCCATGATAGAGTGGTCTTTGGTGGCCGTGCGTCAAGTTGTTGGTGGCGGAGTCAACTCCCCAGCCTGCCACCAACAGTTGCCAGGGTTGAAGGCAGTGTCACGGGCCACATCGGTATACGCTTGGTTGTCTCACGCTCCTTGTAAATCGAGTTTGATTCGGAGTATCCAGAATCTAGGTCTGTGACAAATGTCACACGAAGCATGTAACACCATTGAAGAAAACCGCGGATTTGTACTGCCAGATTAGGCATCATGACCCTGAGCACCTCGGAGGAAAAGCGCATATATCTTGTGTCTGCCAATCGGAATCTGAGCATTCATGCCGAAGCGGACTTTCTGATTTGATTTAATTTCGTGAGAATCTTCAAATACGTCCAAACAATGTTTTCTATAAGATCAAGTGTCATTGGCCTTCGAAGGTTCTTCAATCTTGCCAGAGCCCCCCTCTGAGCCCCCCTCAGCCACAGTCAGCCCCTCCCCTGCATATTATCTTGTTCATATACGATGGCTATTAAAAGAAAGTTTGACTCTGACTCTGTCGAAGTTGGCCGTCAAGTAGGTTTACTTTCAGGCTAAGCGCGATGCGCTCCAGCTCACGGATTTCCCACATTAGACCAAGCAAATTAGATGCATCCCATTTCCTGCATACGAGCCAGATTTCGACGTCGAAATGTCAGACGCGTCGAGTTCAGATAACGAGCTCATGCCTGCTCAGCAATTCCATAGCCGGCACGACTCCACGGCCAGCACGAACTCTGACGCGTCTCTAACTCACCCCAGTATGTCGTCCTCCCTATTCCGATACTCACGGTCAGTTTACAGTTACATTCAACCCCTAACAGATCGCTACCCGTCATTCAATATCTATCCTACTCCTTTCTTTGGTGGCCCTGGTGGTACTGTTGATACTGATTCTCACAATTATTCGAGGTACGCAACTCCCCCGCCGCAGGCACCCGCAAAGCCCGTTGGCCTCTTTGAGCCCAGAAACTCTTTCGCGCATCACGGGTAAGCGATCTTTCTCCCATGGTCGTGACGGCAGCATACACGCTATATTCTTCAAGAGCTGTGCTAACCGACTCCGTTCTGCCTCTTTCGCAACGTTGCCTATAATCAGAAACTGCACTCAGATTCCAAAACTTCGTATCGCTTGCTCGGCCGGTTCTCATGACCAGAGGACCATGTGGAGTCACTGCGAAGAATGCGGCGCCATCGAAATGATCGACCCCGACTATTGAAGACCCTCTCCTCTTCGACTAGGCCGACTTGTACTCCCGCCCATCCAATCCTCTATATCGCTGTCACTGCGTCCCGTTTTCCCGACCGATGGACATTTTATTTTTTTATGGTTCTCTATTGTGCTGAATGTTTGTGTGTCTCATGCTCCGTTGCTCTGGGCCCATCGTCGTTGCTTGGCCCTTCCTCATCGACATCCAACCTCCTCCGGTTCATCATCTCGCCCTTTCCCACCACATGACGTCGACTACTTGCGGCACCAAAGTCGCATCGATGATGAAACTTCTTCATCACCGCCAAAATTGTCTTGGTCGACTGTGTTCTCTTGCCGATTAATTCTTTATATTCCATCCACTCCTCGCGCATTTCTTGCCCCGCCTACCACATATCCTACTCGAGCCTCGTCTGCATCAATGTCTCTGTACATATCAGTTCGCTTTCTGTAACACGCTGTTGTGCCTGTGTTTCGCGTCATTGTCGAAGCGTCCTGTTCGGCACGTTCAGGATCATATGAGCACTTGTTGCGGAGATAACGGCTTGCGCCATTCGTGAGTAATTTTTGGTCGATGGACGGCGTGAAGTCTTGAACGCCTCGATTGAGCCTCGGGTAAAACTTTTGGCCCCAAGGCTCCAGAGATGCAGAAAAGTGTGGCAAAGGTTCCTCAGTGTTCTCGAATACTCGGTGATATACCCTCATATGATTGGTGTCCTTGTATGACACCTCTTCAGAATGACCGGCTCGATTGCGCTTCTCTTTTCCCACTCACGGCACTGTCTTACGAATACGCGGATGGGAGGTGCTACGCGCGTCAGAGAGGTGTTTGGCGATTAGCGACGCTTGTACCCCAAATCTTATTTCTGTAAACTGGGCGCTTTGTGAAAGATCTACCCAGAAAGTGCACCCCTGTCTATCGCTCCGATGCTTTGACCGAGTTGGTATCTCAATGGTGGAATTTAGGTGGTGATTGGGACAGGATCTTTCCGTGAGGTGTTGTTGTACGCTTCTTGACTTCTCAACGCGGAACGCCACGGTAAGGTATTTCACATGCTAGGACAGCCATGCAAGTTGCACCACTTGGCTTGTGAGGAAGAAAAAATAGAGAGGGGAAAGGCACGACGAAGAGCAGTCTATCTGGGGAAATAAGGAGACAGGACCGCCGAATCGATGTAACTTTGAAGCTTAACGACAGATGCAGGTCGGCATCATTGCCAAAGCAGGTTGGGGCAGGAGCTCAATACTATGTCCATGCGTATTGGGATGAGGTGTAGGTAAGCGCGGGGTTTGGACCGAGGCGCCTGACTCGCTGATCGCTTCATCTGGACAAGATCAGAATTTTGTAAGAGCGGAATGGGAGGATGAATGGTTTCAGTCTTGTTACGAATTGGTGAGACTTGCCGGCGAAACCAGTATTAGACGCTTTTTTGAGACGAACTTTCATACGAAGATTCGGGAACATGTAGGTTGTCTCAAGGAGGAGTGGACTGTAGATCGTCGTGGGGCCAATGATTCTTGGGACACTGGAACAGCTGAGCCAAAGAGCAGTTCCCTCACGCTGAGGCCGAAATTGCCGCAGTTTCGTTATGCAATGATGACATCAGCTTGGAGTCGAACCACAGCCAGTGGCAAATAACGACGACAACCTACGAAGGGCGACGAACGAGTGTCCCCTTTTCATGGTATTTCGGACGCCCGTTTGGTTGCAGAGGATGGTTATAACACGCAGACAACGCAACACGGCTGCCCGCACTATCCGAAAGCTGCAACGGATGCTGTATGGAACAGCAGTGACCTCGAAGTGCATTGGACGAACCGTTGCTTGTACGTATGCATCGAAATGACGTTCTGACTGAAATCGGGGGTGGGGCCCCACCTGGGCCGGTGTTCCGCACTCTCCCCCGCCCGTTCTCCACACTTACTGACACAGATCTCTGATAGCTCCGATGTGGCAGAAACGATAAAAGGCAGAACCGGCGCCCGAGATTTCTCGCCCTACGCGCGCCCTTTCCTCCACTGCTATCATGTCTCACTCACCAGCAGTCAGCAGACGCGCTTCAAGTGAGAAGAAGGCTCGCACGTCGCTCGAGGAGACAAAACAGGAGGAACGGATCGACGATGTCACTGCCTTGAACGTCAAGCTTGCCAACCCTCTTGCAGGCCTCTCGCACGAGCAACTCATCAGTGACGCGGCGGAGTTCGCCAGGACACATGGCCTCGAACACCTCACAGAAGAGTTCAAGAAAGGAGCTCTGATCGCTCAGGATCCTGCCGCCTTCGAAAGCCTTCCTCTTCTCACGGAGGAAGATAGAGTCCATCTTCGAAGAGAGCTTACGAACAAATGGGACCAGCCTGCCACTCTCTACTACCTCGTCATTCTCTGTTCTGTGGCTGCTTGCGTTCAAGGGGTGCGCCCATCGTCTGTGGCAAACGGGTTCCAGATTGACGAGAAAGTTGGCTTGTTCTGTAGATGGATGAGGCTGTTATCAATGGCGCCAACCTTTTCTTCGCTCTGCAATTCGGCATCGATCCCAAAGCCCAAGATGGCAATGCGAGTCGAAATCAGTGGATATTAGGCCTCGTCAATTCCGCTCCATACGTGCGTCAGAGCCTTTCCTAGAAATATGTCCTAGACTCACAGATTGTTTGCAATAGCTGTGCTGCGCCGTGATTGGTTGCTGGCTCACTGAGCCTCTCAACCGCTACTTGGGTCGGCGTGGCACAATCTTCGTTACCGCGACCGTGTCTTTCCTGGCGTGTATTTGGCAAGGTGTGACCAATTCGTGGCCCCATTTGTTCATCGCTCGGTTTGTCCTTGGATTGGGCATTGGCCCCAAATCTGCCACTGTCCCTGTCTATGCTGCAGAGTGTGCTCCCTCTCCCATTCGTGGTGGTCTGGTCATGATGTGGCAAATGTGGACCGCCTTTGGTATCATGATTGGATATGTCGCAGACCTTGCTTTCTATCGTGTTCCCGACAAACCTCATATCACTGGTCTCAATTGGCGTCTTATGTTGGCTTCGGTAAGCGATCCGTTATATCTGAAAGGCTCCCAGATCTGATGTTGACCTGTTCATCAGGCTGGGATTCCCGCGCTCGCCCTCATGGCTCAAGTTTTTCTCTGTCCTGAGTCGCCTCGTTGGCTGATGGGCAAAGGTCGGTATGATAAAGCTTACCGATCGCTTGCACGGTTGCGCCGTCACCCTATCCAAGCTGCTCGGGATCTGTACTGTCAGTCTATTATTTGACCATGTCAAAGTGGACGCTCATCATTTTACGTAGACATCCACGTTCTTTTGGAGGCTGAAAATGAGATCACCGAAAGCAAGAACAGGTTCAAGGAGCTCTTCACCGTTCCACGTAATCGTAGGGCTACCTTAGCCTCATTCATTGTCATGTTCATGTAAGTTTCTGCTCATACCTGTATCCTAGCCTGTCGCACTCATATCGAGATGTCCATTATCAGGCAACAGTTCTGTGGCGTCAACGTCATCGCGTACTACTCTTCGTCTATCTTCACTGAGGCGAACTTCAGCGAAATTCAGGCTTTACTGTCGTCGTTTGGTTTTGGTGCCATCAATTTCACTTTCGCGTTCCCTGCCGTGTGGACCATTGATACCTTCGGGCGCCGCAATCTCCTGCTTACAACATTCCCTCTGATGGCCATCTTCCTTCTCATGACCGGATTTGCATTGTGGGTTATCTGGTACTCCCCATGAGTGACATCTGATCATGAAGGTTTCGACAGCTGGATCCCTGAAGATAACAAAGCTCGCATCGGAATCGTAGCATTAGGCATTTATCTTTTCGGTTGCGCCTACTCGCCTGGTGAGGGCCCTGTGCCTTTTACCTACTCTGCAGAGGCCTATCCTCTCTACGTTCGAGACGTTGGTATGTCGTTCTCTACCGCGGTGCTGTGGTTCTTGTAAGTCTGCCATGTACCTCTCTTGTGCGGCATGAATGTCTCACTTTGTCCTCTCACCCTTCTCTTCAGCAACTTCATCATCGCAATCACATTCCCGCGTCTTCTCGGAGCCTTCAAACCCCAGGGCGCTTTCGGCTGGTATGCTGGATGGAATATCATCGGTTTCTTCCTGGTGCTGCTTTATGTTCCCGAAACAAAAGCACTCTCGCTAGAGGAACTCGACCAAGGTCAGTTTGGCATGCTCTCCGTCTCCTCTCGCATTGGGACTCATGTGTCCAACGCTGTACTTCACAGTGTTCTCTGTTCCTACGCACACCCACGCTGCATATCAGCTCAAGGCCCTTCCACGAAACATCAAGAGACACATCTTCCGCATGAATGTCGAAGATGTTCCCCCGCTGTACGAGCACGAAGGTGCCATCGGCGAAAAACACTACGCGCCGGGTGGTGTGGGCGCTGCCTAGTCTTCATCCGCTTTCCAGCCCATGGCCCAACTCATCCCACCCGTTCTGTTATTCTTTTAACGGTCTCATAAGGCGCTGTGCTGTATTCCCTTGCATCTAAATGACGATCGCTACGACCGGCAGATGCAATGTGCTTGTATCCTAATGTGTATGTATGTGTGTATGTATATGTATACCTGCTAATGGGGCTCGCTGCCGCATCTGTTCTCGTTTCTTAGTTGCTTTACCGTATTCTGAGACGAGACTCTGTATTTCTCTTAGCGCTCAAAGATATCTATTCAGAAGTCAGGTCGTATTCCCTTGTATGGAGGGTTGCTATCACGAATCATAGTATCTGGGGATGTGCACATTGGTGGGTAGTGCACTCGATGGTGTAGCGCAAGGTGATGAGGGCGAGAAAGGACCGGCCCACGCACAAGTAGATCGAGTCCATACGGGTGCACTACGAGTGGCCATCCAAACTTATACCAAGCGAGCGCCAACGCTTGCACTTATGCGCACACTTGCACGCATCGTGCAAGCCCGTAACGATAATATATGGATGCTGCGCACACTCTCGGGGCCGTACACGAGGCAGCTCCTCTCAGGGTCTGGGCAGGAACACACACGCATGAGTGATACCTTTCTCGTGTCGGTGGTGGATAGGCACACAAGACCGATACACGGCGGCCGCCTTGCCAGGGCTCGAGTGTATATAAGTATATGTACGGGCAGACCGATAAGGTCCAGCGAGGTAGGGCGCGAGGTGGAGATACGGAGCACTGAGGTCGAAGATGTTTTGGCTGGACGCACTGGGGTTTTTCAAACAAACCTCTCGAACACGTGGATGAATGCGAGGGTGTCCGAACAGAGAAGTGGTGTAAGAGGGTAAAACAACGCAGTAAACAGGCTGCTTTGTTACATGGGATGGCCTTCGATGGCCAGAATTGACTGACCTGCAAGCCAAAGGTAGCAAGGAGCAAGACGGCTAGTGGCGAGACGACTGCGGGGAGAGGAGGAGTCCTGATCGGCGGCAAGGCGCGCAGCGCCACTTTTATGTACTCGACCCAGACGCGTCTCACAGCAAGACCCTCAATGACACAGACAACCTTGCTTCAATACGAAGCCCCATGTAAGCAGCAGCGCCTTGCAAACATCGCCCTCCTGATCCCAACCGACCGATCTCGACGCATACAGGGCCCGTGCACGCGATCGACTGGTGCAAGTCGCCTGCGCCTGGCCAACTCCGTCCACGCTCCGCCTTCCGCCTGGGGGTGGCCTCGTTCACCGAAGACTACAGAAACCGCATCGCCGTCGTCGGGCTGCAAGACGAGCGCGTGCTCGTGGAGGACGACTATGGCGACTACCCGGACTTCGTGACGCTCGTGGAGGCGAACCACGGATACCCTGCGACCAGCCTGCAGTGGCAGCCCAGCGCGGCGTCCAGTTTCCAGTGGACACAGAAATCTCCGTCGACGGAACTGCTGGCGACAACGGGGGACTCTTTGAGGGTGTGGGAGTACACGAACGACGCATCGCCGTCGCTGTCGAGCTTTGTGGGGAGGCAGCCGACCTCAGGAGGGCACAGATTAACGCTTAGATCTACGCTGTCTGGGGTATGTCGCCCGCCCTCTCTCGCGCTCGCCGTCGTCTGTTGAAGCTCACGATGCCGTGGCTTCACGGGCGCCCAGCAATCAAAAGTCAACAACCAGTCGGGGGGCGCCCCGCTCACCAACTTCTCGTGGAACGAGAAGATGCCCAACCTCGTCGTGACATCATCGATAGACACGACGTGCACCGTCTGGAACATCGACACCTCTACCGCTGTCACGCAGCTGATCGCGCACGACCGCGAGGTGTACGACGTCGCGTGGCTGCCAGGATCGACCGACATCTTCGTCTCCGTCGGCGCGGACGGCTCGCTGCGCGCGTTCGACCTGCGCAGCCTCGAGCACTCCACCATCCTGTACGAGACCCCGCCGCCGAAGAACCCGCCGCCGCCGACGTCGCCGTCCGCGGGGTCCCGCCCTCCCACGTCGCCGCTGCTTCGCATCGCGTTCAATCCATCAGACGCGAACTACATGTCAACGTTCCACATGGACGGATCGGACGTGCAGATCCTGGACATGCGGAGCCCAGGTGCTCCCGTGATGGAGCTTCGGGCTCATCGAGCGCCTGTCAACGCCGCAGCTTGGAGTTTCACAGACACCCCGTTACTCGCCACCGCAGGTAACGTAGACCAGCAGCCCGTCTATCTCGCTGCGCGCAAACTGAAAAATGGTAAAATATGTACAGCCGATGACTGCCAGCTGCTCCTGTGGGACATCGCGCCACATTCGCTGCCTCCCAGCTCCTCGCCCCGCAACGCGAGCTCGCGCCTGAGCTCGCCGCGACCTTCCGACGGGAAGAAGCGGATTCTGTCGGATCCCGTCATGGCGTATTCCGCGTCGAGCGAGATCACAAACATCGCGTGGTCGCCGCGGATCCCGCAGATGGTACTGAACAGCGGGCACATGACGCCTGCGGGAGAGTGGCTCGCGGTCGTGACAGGGAAGTCGATCAAGGCGTTGAAGGTGTAGACGACGGGGTGCTTGTGGGGCCGGACATTTTTACATGCTGTGTTGTGTTATCATAGTTGTGTTGCTCGAGACGGTTCAATGTTTTCCTTTGGATGTATCGGGTGTGAACGTTGATGCGTTGGTGGTGCATCGACGGCCTGAAGCGCTGGCGCGCACTGTCCAATATCCAACGCGCTGAGCGCATTCGTCTGTTCATTACAGGTTCGAGACAGGTATGTAAATTGATATACTGGTCAGAGAGATGCCGTTCTGACATTTCGTGTGGCACACGTCGCGTGCGTAGACCGAGACGATTGGAAGCTGCTGCTTTGAGAGAGTGGGTGACCGTCTTGGCAACTTTATAAGGGTGCTCTCTGCCCCTGATTGTGGATGTCCAATTTAATAGTCTCGCAGAAGACTCTGTCCGCGGGGCACCAGCTCACGAGATCCATGCACTCGTACGAATGGCGCGCGTATTAGGGTGGCACCTGCCCTGTGCAGCAGCATGGAGTGCCTGCCGTGGACCGGGGCCCCTTATCGCCGACTGTTGTGGTCTGGCTGAGCAACGCTGGATAGACTTATCTGCACGGCAGCGCCGGGTTTCGTGTCTGTCAAAGAGATATTAGGCGAGTTGATACGTGGGCGGGGTGTCTTGTATTGCGTGGCTTGCTATCGGAATGCAGGGGGCGTGCGCCTGCGGGTGCATTCCCCATACGCAATCCAATTAAAGTGCCAAGTCCCCTGAATTCCCGACCTGATAAGACCCGGTCGTGTGCAGGTGGGGGTGGCAGAGAAGCTGTGTTTTGCTGGTGAAGGGGACCCAAAAGAGTCATTGGCTCCGGATTTAGGCGCACTGGCGGGGAAGTGGGTCGCAGAGAAGGGAGGGATCGGGGAGAAAAGGGATCCGTGCAGGGAAAAAGACCAAAAGTGGGAGCAGGCAGATAGGAGGGGAGAATTGGATATTTGGGGCAAGGCACCGACAAGGGGTTATCTGGGGGATGGGCGGGACGAAAACTGATGAACCGCATGGTGTCGCGGTGGAGAGCGTATTTATTAGCCCGGCCTCGCAGCCATGTTTTTTTTCTGCAGCGACCAGCGCTCCCTCGAGTCTTTAGCAGCCCGTCGCCGTGCCCCGCCGCACTCCTGCACACATGTCGAACGAGCTCTCCGCCGTCCAGCAGGCCGCCCCCGCTCTCGATAAGAGGCGCTCCCGCTCCACAGACTCCTTCCCCGACAAGGAGGGCGCGGCACACGTACACGACTCAGAGGCACAGCCAGACAGGGACGAGGAGAGCACATCCTGGTTCTCCCGCCATCACCTCCTCGTCCACCGCGTCGTCCTCATCTCCCTCGCGGCCTTGATTCTTGGCTGGTGGGTGTCCGCGACCATCCTCACCGCGACCCGCCATCGATGGATCGTCCAGACGCTCTTCGCCTGGTTCTTCCTCGCTATCATCGCCTTCCGCTTCATCCCCAACTCTGCTGTCACCCGCCCAGTAGAGGCCTTCTGGGTCCCCGTCGTCCAAAAGCCCTTCTTCGCCCTGCCCCGCTTGGTCCGCCTAGCTATGGGCTGGGGCGCCCTGCTCGCCATCGTCTTCGGCTCTGCCTTTGGCTTCAAGGTGACCGGTGTACGCCCGTCTTGCTCGCCTTTTTTTTTTACTGCGTTTGAAATCGTTGAGCCTGTCTTTTCCTAGAACACCAACTACGGTGATCGCGCCATCTCCGTCCTTGGGCTTTTCCTCTTCCAGCTCGGATTCTACGCGTCCTCGAAACATCGGTCCCACATCGAGTGGTATGTTTTGTGCCGCTCCCGCAGTCTATCGGCGGGTTTGATAATCTTATCTATTCTAGGCCCACCGTGATCGTGGGACTCTTCATGCAACAGGCCGTCGCACTCTTCGTATTGAAGACCTCTGCTGGTTTCTCCATCTTCAAGTGGTTGGCCACCCTCGCTTCCGACTTCCTGTCTCAGGCCTATGTCGGCGCCGCCTTCTTCTTTGATGCTGAGACCGTCGCCAAGCACTGGTTCTTCGTCAACACGGTATGTACACCAGTCGCGCGATTAAAACTCGGACTAATGTGCCCCGTTTCTGTTAGCTTTCCGCAGTGATCTTCTTCATTGCCTTCGTGCAGATGATGTTCTACGTATGTCCCCGTGAAGATTTCGCTCATATCTCGCCGCTGACTTGTTCCTAAAGCTCGGAGTCATGCAATGGATCGTGAAGAACTTGTGAGCTCCGCTCGGCCTTTTCTCTTGGGTGAGACGCTGACTTGGCCGCCTCAAGTGCCTGGTTCTTCTTCAAAACGATGAATGTCTCTGGCGCAGAGGCCGTCGTCGCCGCCGCATCACCCTTTATCGGCCAGGGCGAGTCTGCGTGTCTCGTCAAGCCCTACGTCGATCTCATGACCGAGTCCGAGCTCCACCTCACCATGACCTCCGGGTTCTCAACCATTGCCGGTTCCGTGTTCACGGCGTACGTCGCGCTCGGCGTGCCCGCGCAGAACTTGATCACATCCTCTGTCATGAGTATCCCCGCGTCTATTTCGATCAGCAAGGTCCGCATGCCGGAGCTTGAGGAGCCTGTCACGCGCGGCCGTGTCGTCGTTGATCGCGGTGTCGAGAAGGATGCTCCTGCGAGCGCGTTGCATGCGTTCTCCAAGGGCTCCGTCTTCGGTCTTATTGTTGCGGGTCAGATCTTGTGCGTCACATCTCCCATGTTGCTACGTTTCAGGCTATGGGAAGCTGAATGCGCTCGTGCTGCAGGTGTAACGTGTTGACCATCCTGGCGCTCATCGCTACCCTCAACGGCCTTCTCACCTGGATTGGCCGTGGTTTTGGTATCCACCATCTCACGCTCCAGCTCATCCTCGGATACATCGGATACCCCGTCACTTTCCTCCTCGGTACGTTCGCTGCGCATATATGCTATCTAGCCGTGCCCCTCTGACATATACGATGTATCCAGGTGTTCCCCGTCCAGAGATCCTCCGTGTCTCCCAGCTCCTCGCCACGAAGCTCATCGAGAACGAGTTCGCCGCTTACCTCGGTACGCCTGCCCCCATGCCTTGCTCTCCTTTGAATACCGGCACTCATCCTTGTCACGAACAGAGCTCCAGGCGATCCAGGCGAGCAGCAATCCACTGACCGACCGCGCGTTCACGATCACGTCGTACGCGCTCTGCGGCTTCGCGAACCTGTCCTCGCTCGGCATCCAGATCGGCGTGCTCACCGCGCTCGCGCCGACCCGCAGCAAGATCATCGCGCGCAGCGCCATGTCTGCCATGATCTGCGGCTTCTTCTCCACGCTCCAGACCGCCGGTATCGCGTGAGTGCTCTTTTCACGTCCCCCTTGCCTCTCCCTCGTCTCGAATCGCACTGCGGGCGCTGACTTTGTGGACTATCTCTTCGTTTGCCTTGTCCTGGCGATAGTGGTATGCTGGTATGATCGATCCCCTTACGCGGCGTCGTCCTTGCTCGGATCTATGTTTCCCCCGGCGTTTCTTTTCTCTTCTTGGGTAGATTATGGCTATTTGTGCGCTAGGGGGTGTGTACTAGCTTATTGTTGTAGGCGCGCGCGCGCGCCGGCGTGTCCCGTCGGATGTCTTGCAGGGATGTGGTGCGGCGCGGCGCGGTGGTGTTGCAATACGGTATGTACGTAGCGTGGGTCGCTACTAATGCCCAGGGCTGTGCTTCGGTGTAGGATAAGTGGCCCCGACGCGGGTTTATGATCGGCCTCCTTTCTCCCTGTCGACGCGAAAGTCGGCCGACCGACGCAGCGTGTCACGGCGGCGGATTTGATTTCGGAGTGAGGCCGGAAGGCGAAAAACAATTACGACGGCCGTAGATATCTGGCGTCGAAGCGTTTGTGCAGGTTTATTCGTGGCTTGCTGTTGACTGAGTACTGGGCTCGGAGCTCCTTCAATCCAATTCTCCGAGTGCTCTATCGACAGACAGCCGGTCAAATTTGCACTCGACCTCAACAGGTCGAGATGCCTTGCTATATCTAGAGGCTGCAGCATATCTACGAAGCTCTAAGTGGTCAGACTGGTCAGCTCTGCCAGGTTTACCATCCTCCGCCGCAGCCTGCAGAAGTCTCTCCAACGCTTCACTTGCCGTATTTTCTTCCCTATTACGTGACCTCCCGCACTCGCCACAGCGTCCATGTGTCCTCTGCTAAGTGCTCCGAGGCGATACGGCCAATTGTTTATAACCGTTTGAATCAAGAACGGCGATGACGGCGAAGCGTTCGACTGCGACGAGGACTCGAGGGGCCACACATGCTCACGCTCAAGCAGGTCCACGGTACCCGCTTGCTCTGGGACAGCAGCTCGAGGACGGCGAGCTCAAAATCGTGAGGAAGCTCGGCTGGACTGGGAATTCCAGCGTCCGCTCGAGTAAGTCTTTCAAGTTCTCGGCGCTCCCCTGACACCGTGATCGCGGCTTTGCGAAGGTGCCGGTTTTTACATAGGAATTTGGAATCGTATCCCGTCGAGCACGTCGCTGTCAACGTGGTATACGAGGAGTCCTCGGCGAGATCGAATCCTCGTCATCCGGGCTACAAGCACTGCATGGTCACCGGTCATCTGCGACGCCTTCATTGCCAAAAGCCACCACGGTTCCTACACTTGCATCGTGGCCGATGCTCTTGGATCGGACCTCACCTAGGTTCGAAGCCTTCTACCGGCCAAGCAGCGTTCTTTCAAGTTCCCCTTCCCAGCCCCTCCTTCTCAAGCAACGCATCATCGAGCAAACGCTCGTCGCTCTTCACTGCCATCGCGAATGCTGGGTCATGCACACTGGCGATTGCATTGGTTTTCGAGTACCTCACCGGCACGGCCCTGTTCCAGCTGTACGAATCTGGCTCTGTGAGCTTCGACGACGTCCATCTCCAGCGGCTCGACGAGTTCATCGGCCCTTTCCTGCCGAGCTCCCTGCAGAATTTCTTGAATAAAAGGAAGTTCTATGACGGTCAAGGCGCGACATCGATGTGTCCTCCTGTGAGGTCCGGCAACTGTGCCTTACGCTGCTCCGCAGGGTCGAAGGCAAGCTCATCGCTTCTTGCACGATGGAGGCATGTCTCCGCAATTACAAAGTACTAGGAAAAAGGAAGTACTGGCTGCGGTTGCGTTCATACAGAGATGCTTGATGCTTGATCCCCGCGAACGATCCACTGCCGCGTGCATAGCTTAGAGGTATGTTTGTGATATGTTACACGTAGCTAACCCCGCCTAGGGCAGAGGCCCGAGGCTTGTACACCACACTGCCTTGTCCTGTGAACGAGATTCACTCAGTCGATCACTGCATCCTTCCACACTGCCTTGTCCTGTGAACGAGATTCACTCAGTCGATCACTGCATCCTTGTCTCTGTCAAGGATGATGCATGACGCGAGGGACGTTCGCAATGTTTATGTCCAATGCCTCACGCTGAGAATTTCTGGCAGGGAAACCTGCCGAAGGATAGCCCCGCCACCTCCACAGTTTTTCGTTCCCAGTATGGAGCGGCACGCATTCCCATTATCTGTTTACAGCTGCTCTCAAAACTGTAGACACGGTTCTGATGTTCTTCTGCTCAGGAACTTTGCTCACCTTTGGAGGGGACAAACAGGTGCAAATGACTGCATGGGCACTTGAGCGCAATGCGAGCGCGCAGTTGCCTTATTTGAGGACTGGATTCTGTGCATTGGAGCATATATTTCAGATGTGACCACCAGTGATGACGACTGACGATGAACCATCTACTTCTTGAATAGGCCCACAGGCTGCAAAGGTATTTTCTCAACTTTTCTCGACACGATACTTACTTCCCAATCATTGATTGATTATGTCCAACAATGGAAACTTCAACTTCAATGCAGTCTCCCCCGAGCAGCAAGCAGAGTATAAATGCTGATTTCCCCGGGCTAGTTCCTGGATTGGTGTTCTGCCCACACATCCAGAGTTTCTTGGTCACGAGGGACAAAAGACAACAGGCGAGCAGCCGCTCAGGTGTTCAGTGCCCGCATTGCGCTTAAGTGCCCATGCAGTCATTTGTACCTGTTTGTCCCGCTCCAAGAGTAAGCAAAGTTCCTGAGCAGAAAAAACCAGAAAAGTGTCTACAGTTTTGAGAGGAGCTGTATGCTACGGTTCTTGTAGTCGTATGCACGCGCAATTTTACTGAATCTCTGCTTGGGATATCACTGTAGCTCTGATTTTGAACATCACTCATGACATAGGAGTGGATGCGTGGATACACAACTCTGAAATGGAGGCGTGAAAGCTGCAAGCTTTACAATGTGACATGTTCAATGTCCATCCACGGTCATACTCAGTAAAAACAGAAATTCAAGTGAACATCACGTCTGGTCACAAAACTGGGCTTTTGTCATGTATCCGTCAAGAAAGCGGTGCAAAGGTCGTGTGAAAGTCATGTGCAATTTTAGAAGTTTATGACTTTTGCATGACTTTCTGCGCCACGTTCTTGACAGATACATGACAAAAGCCCAGTTTCGTGACTGGACATGACGTTCACTTGACTTCCGTTTTTACTGAGGGTCATACCCGAGACAGGTCATACACCCAGACACTGTTGTCCACCATCGATGCCTTCTCCTCTACCAGTAGACATTCTTTCTACCACATCTCTCTACTTCCTTTTCTCACAGAACACACATCCCCTAAACCCTTCATGTGAGTACAGTTAAGGCATCCGTTCTCTGAAGCCGAGAGTTTGTCCTCGATGGCAAAGTATGCTCAATGTTGCGACCAAACTGAGACAGATTATTCAGACTCAACCACAACGATATGATCAGATGCAAGACATCGCAGACTGGATTTTTCTAAATACACATAGTAAAATGACACACCCATCCACGATGGGATAAACACGAGGGAAGATGGATGAGATCGTACTAGTACAAGCCGTGTTGTGGTAATAACCGAGACTAACGACGCGAGCCAAGGACGAAAACGACGAGTGCTGATAGAAACGACAGGACTGAGAAAGGATTTCGTGTGGATGAGGGTCATACAAGAAAAGCAATGAAAAATAACGCAGGGGAAAGAACAGACAGGGCCGCATTCAGAGGAAGGGGAGGAGCGGAAGGGGATCGCGGCACTGAATGGAGGTTAGAACAACGAAAGATGAATATATGCTGAAGAAACTAACGAGGAAAGAAAATTTAGTAGCCAGGGCCTCCGTAACCGCCCCTGCCAAAGCCGCCCTGCTGGTAGTCATTTTGTTGACCGTAGCCGCTCTGAGGGGGGTACGAGCCTTGCTGGTATTGCTGGCCGTATCCTGATGTAATTTAAATCAATATATGCAGTGGAAGAGTTTGTAACAAACCTCTACCAACCCTGCTGGCCGCCACCGCCGTAGCCGCCCTGGTTGTAACCCCCCTGACCTCCACCAGCGCTGTAACCACGGCCTCCACCTGAAAGACGATCAGTTACTGATGGAGAATAAGTCAACGATATCATACCGTAGCCACCACCGGCGCCTCCACCACCGTAGCCACCACCGGAGGCACCTCCTCCGTAGCCTGGACGAACATCAGAACAAATTGCAAACAAAAAAGACAATGGTCCTAACCACCACCTCCTCCACCGCCACCACTGCCTTTGGCATTGGCGAGGTTCACCCGGATCCTCCTGCCATCGAGCTCCTGCTCGTTGAGGTTGTTGATGGCGGCATCAGCCTCTTCGCTGGTGCTGAAAGTGACAAAGCCAAATCCACGCGAGCGACCAGTCTCACGATCCCGCATCACAATGGACTACGACACATAATAAACGTGTCAGCTCTCAAGCTCATGCGAGACTCGATGCAATCATCCTCAAGAGGACCATCAAGGTAGCAAAGCAGAATAGCGCACATCGAGGATTTGACCGAACTCGGAGAAAGCCTGAAAGCAACAACGACAACGCGCGACGGAATCAGGATAAGAGAACAAAACACCAAAGCATCAAACTGACTTGGCGCAACGTATCATCGGTCGTATTCCAACTCAAATTGCTATCAATAGTGTACAAGGGTTACTATCAGTCTCACACTTCCCCTACCCCGTCGAGCAGGAGAAGCGCGCATGAGCAAGGACACAAACACGCAAGACTGACCCAACGTAAACTTTTGCAGACATGACTGGAGAGGATTAATACAATAGGAACCAGGATCCTGTACACGAGAACGAAACCGAGACCGAAAAACTCAGAATGGACGGGCCGATTGTGGGGGTACCTGGAGCGGACCTTGGGACAAAAGCGACGCGACGCTCAAAACTTTATACCCCAAGAGAATTTTTAAACTCAGATTCAGATTCAGTCAATCTAAATTCGGCGATTCGTTCTAGAATCTAGAACAGGTCACAGGTTTTAGGGGCCGTCCTCGTTCGGTACGTGACAAGATAACACATGGGCGCTGGAGCACGTAGATGAGTGTGTGAAACGAAGACCGACAGCGGAAAAAAACACAAATGGAGAGCCAGACTATACAAATGCACCTACCAAAGCTATATGCACGAAGGAAGAAGACAATGTAAGGTCATTACTAGTATAACAGAGAGAGTTCATAGGGAATCATGGGAAAGGTCGTGATTAAGTCGTAAGCGGGAATCGAGGGACAGGCAGAGAGTAGTGTGGGATGGGGTGTGAAAATAGGGAAGCCAGGAAAAGAAACGCCAGAGCGCCGTCAGGTTCACATTAAGCTCTTCCTCTTCTTCTTATCCTTCTTCTCCTTTTTCTTGTTCTTGTCGTTCTCGCTCTGGATGCTCGGTGCCGGACTATCTGTGGTTTTCCCTGCTTCGCCTTTAGGTGCACTCTTCCCTGCGTCGCCTTTCGAAGCGCTATCATCGTGCGTGTTCGAGCGGTTAAACGACGCATCTCGAATGAACCCTGGGATTGGAATGGAAGATGCTGATCCCTGGCGTCTAGTCGTAATCGAAATGCGGCGCGCGAGCCGCTGGAAGTTCTGTGAGGAAATCCGTTTCCGTTTGGGCTCCGATTCAGGGTCAGGTGTGCCGCTTCGAGGGGGAGTGCTGATTCCCTGAACGAATGTGACGCCTGGGCTTTGAATGGGCGTGTCACTGATGACTGAAGAGCGATGCGTGTCATCATTGGAGATCGGGAAGGCGATAGGGCTGGAAACAGGAATGGGCTCGGAATCCTCGGCATCTGACATCGGGAAAGCAATGGGTGCATCGACATGCTCTGTCACAGCTGGTCCCTCGACAATTGGCGGGTCTTCGATAATAGCGATTTCTGTCGGCTGGGCGTCCACTTGGACAACATCCGAAATCTCTGCGGTCGCATCCTCAGTCACATCGCCAATTGCCGTGCTGTCTTCCGCCCTGGCCACGGAACCATCATTCTCAATTGAGTAACCCGATACCACATCTTTACGAAGACTAGGTTCTGGATCCTCCGAGGCAGAGATTTGATCAGCCCACATGGAAGCGAATATTCCGTTTTGCTCCAGAAGTTCTTTGTGGCTTCCCTGTTCGACGATCTGGCCATCTTTGAGGACGAGAATCCTGTACGAAATGAGAATAGCACAAAGATAAGAGATAAAGTAATCTCACAAGTCAGCAGAAGCGATGGTCTAGAGACATTGGATACGTAAGCGTGGCTGTCAATAGACCTAAGAATTGAGACACTTACAGAGAGCCGATGAGCAATGGACAGCGAAGAGCGTCCTTGAACCAAGTTCTGCAGCGCCTTCTGAATATCTCTCTCTGTGGAGGTATCAAGTGCGCTAGTGACAGTTGATCTCAATCAGCACGGGTCAAGGACATAACGGTCATCGGAACGCACCTGGTGGCTTCATCAAGCAATAAGATGGGTGGGTTCTTCAAGAGTGTGCGGGCGATGGCAACACGCTGCTTCTCTCCACCGCTGAGCCTGATGCCACGTTCACCGACCTTCGTCTCATATCCGTCTGGGAAACTCAGGATCCTGTCGTGCATTTGTGCAGCTTTGGCAGCTTCCTCGAGCTCCTCCTGGGATGCGCCAAACTTGCCATAGCTGCGTCGTGCGTTGAGACATATATATCAGTCAAAACATGGGGGGAAGACATACCCAATATTGTATGCGATGGTCGCGTTGAAAAGCACTGAGTCCTGTGGAACAACTCCAATCGCCTTCCTCAAGCTCGCCTGAGTGATGTCACGGATATCCTGCCCATCGATCGCAATGCGTCCTTCGCCCTCCTGCAGATCATAGAAGCGGTAGAGCAATCTCAGAATAGTCGACTTCCCAGACCCTGACTCGCCAACGAGAGCAACAGAGCTACCCTTCGGCACCTTGAACGACACCCCTTTCAAAGCGGTCGTGCGACCATCGTAGGAGAAGTTGACATTCTCTGGAGACGAAGATGAGCGAGCGAAAATGAACAGCTATAGGTTAGCATACCAAACTCGATCTCGCCATCACCGACCAGGAGATCGGGCGCGTTTGGCTTGTCGTTGATTTCAGTAGGCTCGTTCAGAAGTTTCAAGAGCTTCTCGGTGTCAACCAAAGACTGATTGATGGAGCGGTAGATATACCCTAAGCTGTTGAGCGGGCCGTATAACTGTTTGGGAAAAGTAGGTTAGAAACAACTTGCCAGTCGAATCGCAGAGGTCTCACCTGTGCAAGGTAAGTGATGAAAAACACGAAATCGCTAGCTTTCAAGGTTCCGACGGTCACACGCTGAGCGACAATGAGAGTTCCCACAAGCAATCCAACAGTCTGCCGATGAGATAAAACTGTGAGAGATAGATCAAAAATAACGAGACCAATCACTGACGATGATGAAATTTTGGACAAGGTTGAGCAGATTCAAGGAGACTAGAAAAAAAACATGAGAAATGATCCTCCAGGCAACATCAATGGACTACATACGCATGACACGATACTCCAAAGCCTGATATTGAAGGAGAGCATCTCGGTAGCGTTCCCCTTCGTGTTCCTCGCCATTGAAGTACTTTACAGTTTCATAGTTCAACAAGCAATCAGTATGGATTCCCCGAGTGATCTGTTCCAAACAAGAGTGAGAGAATGCTTTTGGGAACGCGACAATCGAAACGTACGATGTCGCGATCATTCATCTGCCTCCGCAGCTGAGTGCGCCATCTGGTGAGCCCCACACTGGCTGCGACTGGAGACACAGTATGAGTACATATTCTGTTGAGGCTAAGAGCCCGCATGACTCACCGTAAGTAAACATCACGAAGAAAATTACGATGGACACTGTCCAATCCAATTTGATCGTGAAAACAACAAGAGCAACGATGATATCGACAAAAGTTGGAAGCACACTGAATAGAATGAGCTGTTCGGTGGAGGTCGATCAGCCATCATGATCAGAGATAATATTAGCGAAACGCGCGGACCTCTAACGTATGGTTGATGGCAGCCCCACGATCCAAGATACGGAGGACCTCACCAGTCTTACGCCGGGTGTGGAACGCAAAAGACAGGTTGAGTAAGTGGTTGAATGATAACTGGGACATTTCTGGAAATATCGCGCGTACAAGTGAGTGCAAGGCAACATGGACATATGGAGGGACATACCGCGATCAGAGTACTGCATCACAGGAGCCCAGAGAGCCTAGTGAAGCCTCGGTTAGGATGATCTGTTAGACCGACACATGATGGGACGCACATCGCGCAACGCGGCCAATCCACCACTGCTCTGCAAGAAACGAAGCCCAACGTATCCAAAGACCCATGGCCACGGCGAACGCGTACTATCCTTCTCAAAGATCGAAACGAGCTTGGCGAGAACGACTGGAACCGCAAAGTTGATGAAGCGCCCGATAACAAGGGTGAGAATACACAGAAGCTGTAAACAACTTCAACGGTTTGGTAATACACATGCACTTGCAACTGTACGTACAGCAATCATTTGCAATCCACGACTCTTCGAGGGCCACAAGTAGGGCGTGATGCGACGCAAACGGGTCCAAAGCTCACCCCACGAAGGATCGAGGTTGATTTCTTTCTCCTTAGTGCTGGGCTGAAATCAAAAAGCAATGAGCATATGTCCCAAATTGTATGCTTGCTGCCTACCTTCAACGGCAGGATACGAGACGCAGGGTCAGGTGTATGCGCGCGTGTAGTAGGGCCCGAGGCCGTGAGGTTAGTAGAACCCGTGCTGCGGAAAGTCCCGTACTTGCTGCCGTCGACGGGAGACGCATTCAGGCCTGTCGAAAGAGATGCCCCAGCTTCTGGAGGCAAAAGAAGAGATGTCGACGTCGGCCCGGGTTCTGCTCCATTGACCGAAACTGCGGAATAGGTAACGCGAGGGCTGATGAAGGCAAAGAACAGTGGCACGAGGAGCAACACGCGGAAGGCCGGGAAGACAAGGTGCAGGAGAGTAAACAAGAAGACTAAAGTTTTGGCTGCAGGGTATACGTGAGCTGGATTCAAGACGACCGTTGGCAGGTAGATATGACTCACAAACATCGGGAATAGACGCTCCATAGAGGACAACCTGCGCGATGTCTAAGATCAAGGACAACGCGATCGCGGCCTTCAACCTCTTCAGAGACCAAACATCGACGCCCTTGACGTCTTTCCAGGCACCCAATGCGGCGAGGCCGGCGAATGCAACAAGGCCGAGGACCGCGTTGACCTCGATGCCGGAGTTGTAGGGCCACTTTTTGTAGATGACGGCGAAGATAACAAAAGCCAGCCCATCGAGAAGATAGGTAAGAGAAGAAAGAGAGAGGAGGGATAAAATGAGGGCACGACGAGGCGTGCGAGTTGCGACGACGACTGGAGTGATAGGGGACGGTGACGCTGGTGAGGCGGGTCTGGTCGGCACGATGGAGAGGGTTGACAGGAGTACAAGAGCGGGAGAGACGATGCGCAGCGCAAAGAGCGCAACGTCCTGCGCTATTGCGGGGTGGGGAAGCATCGTGTGCTAAGTCGTCGTCGGTGTGCTCGCTGTCGACGTTGGTGTTCGTGAAGAAAAAGAGAGAAAAAAAAGAAAAAGAAGAGGGATGTGTGCGGCGAACGCGCGCGTGGGAAGGAGCGCCCGAGTGTGCCGTCCTTATGAAGCAGGGCTATCGCGCTTGCGGCTAATTTCCATGTCTTCTCTTCACCGGTCACAGTCTTATCACACTCTTTAGCCTCCCCGACAGCGAATGGCAGCGCTCGCGGCATCTGTGTTATCGATGCGCTCGTTGACGTGCCTGTGCGCACCATCGTCCCGCCAGCTGCCGACACTGGCACAGGCAATGGCACCCACACGTCCACACTCCGGTCCCCGCGGTCTCACGTACGGCCTCTTCTCCCTCTTGGAAAACTTCCTTCGTCCGGACTTGGCCCGTACGCGTATACACCTTTCCATCTTGTTCCATATTCCGTCACTCCATCGCACGGCACAGCGTCGCGGAGTCACCCTCACGTCCATATTCTGTACTTCCGTGCACAAGGCAATCACTAATAACGAGTCCCAATACTCCTGCTCTTCCCTATTTGAGACCCACGAGGCATCCTCGAGGCAGCTCGAGTACACCCGAAGTGGATAGCGTTGATGTGAAATTTGCTCAAAATCAACATTGTCAATCAGTATTTCTATCAGCAAAGACATCCTCCGGTGTTCGCTGAGTCGCTCGATGTCCTATCACAGTCGTAGTACAGCATTTCAAGCATCAAAGAAATGGGAGCGTTTCACAACGTGGTCTGTTTCACCGGGTCCGGTGATGGTGAATCGGTGATGTTGCCACGAGGTGGGACCCACAGAAAGTTGCATATCGTGCCATTATCTGGACAGGGACCAACACACGGATAGACTTGCGGAGATATGCTCGCGATCAGCTGAACTGTGAGACAAATATGAACCAGAGCACCAGAACCTTTTGAATTGTGTTTATACATCCTCGAGCCCGTGAAGCACACCCTCTAACTTGCTCCTGGCCTCCTCGACACGTTCCCCCTGCACATCAACACCTTCCCTGTTTTGGATCTGGATGGCCTTGCGTGCCTCCCGTGCGAACTCGTACGAGAGTTCTACGGAGATGTCGACTTCTGATTGCCCTTCTGGTTGCACAGGCGTTTTCGGCGAGGTCGTGGCCGTCAGGAGAGAAGAAAGGTCGAGGTCAGATACTCGCAGAAGAGCAAGGTCTCGTAAGGTGTCCTCCAACGCAAAAGGATTAGATTTAGATTTGGAGCTCATGGTGAAGAGGATGAGGCGCCAAAGGGAACACAAGGCCTCCACGCCTTTAGTAAGGGTCACATGATGTCATGGAAAGATGTAGGCCGAGAGCTGCCGAGAGGAACTGAATGAGATTGATGCATGATTACACACTACTGTAAGTCCAGGACGGGAGGTCGTCAGACGTGTTTGGACAGCAACCTGACTTCATTCTGCGCCGCCTCGTCCATCGAGACCCAGAGATCGGGGCACTGCACCCACTCTGTCACCACAACATTGCCGCGAGTGAGGTCCAAGTTGGTTCCGAACCGTCAATGATAGTCGTGAAATATAAAGGCGTACCCCCTGGCCCAGTTGTCCCTCCCAGCTCTTCTCCCACATCCTCCTGTTCAGCGACCTCGTTGAAGTCGTGTGCTCATCCACCCACCATCTTCTGCTTCGTCTTACCTTCAGCCCATTGCGTGGCAATATATTCTTGTCAATCAGAGGTAAGTATATATTCCTCTCAAGGCTTGACAAAAACCGCAAGAATTACGAGGATTGCATTTTTTGCTCGTGCCTCACATACTCATATATTACCCCCCCTCCCGATTGGAGGCCTTGGCGGGTTTTAAGGGTATATCAAGGTATTCATAGCTATATATCAGTTTTGCACTTTTGTTGATGGAGGGGGGGGGGGGAAAACGACGGCATAGAGAGACTGCTGGATTTGGGGATCTGGAGAGAGCACAGCGTTCAGAGATTGGCTGGCAAGGGGAAGATGTTGGCCTTGATACCGAACGCCTGCAGGCGCTTGACGAGGAGATTGATGGACGTGACGAAGGTACAGTCCGAGACGTCGGTGGCTCCGTCTCCGCCAGTGAGTATGCCGCAGATGCGACCCACGGCGTCATTGATGACAGATCCTGAGGCTCCAGGCTCGGAGAACGGGCCAGACTTCGAGTTGGGAGGCAGTACGGTTATCTCCCTCGACATCTCACCGGGCTGTCCCTCGAAGTAGTGTCGGACGAAGGAACGAATAGTGTTAAGGCAGCCAACCGTGAGGTTGGAGGTGTTTCCGTTCTTGAGGACCATAATGACGGGGTCATTGTCGTGGTCTTTGGTCCCTGGAGGAGGCTTGAACATCTCCTAGTCCGAAACGATACCGAAGCACCTGAGGAGACGATCGCCAGGGTAATCAAACAATTTTGGGTTGGCGGGGTGGGGATACATCCAAGCGGTGAGCTCGTCAACCTCGACGGAGCCAAGGTCGACAGCTTTACCGACAAAGTTGAGCTTCGAGATCTTGGTGGGGTGGATCTGGACAACCGCCCAATCGTCGGTGTAGCCATCCTCGTCGAAGTTGCAGCTGATGGGAGGGGACAAGACGACGTGGCCGATGACCCGATTGTCCTCGTCCTCTCAATCTCTGTCGACATCGGCAAGCAACTTCTCGAAGGCCGTGATCGCCTTTCTCGCCTCGTCTATCTTGGACTGGACCGCATCCCGCCCCATGGCAGCGTCGTTCTCGTCCTCCATCTCGCTCCAACGCTTGTTGAGCTGCCTGATGATGATGTTCTTGGCACCGATCGCGGCCTCAACAGCCACGACACAAGCCCCGAAGGCGGCCTCTCCCAACAGCATGACGTCCCTACGAGGCGCACCGGAGTCTTCCTTGAACTTGTAAAGCGTATTCGCTTCCTTGTCGGGGTGAAACAAGACGTGTCTGGCAGTGAGCATGAACAGGATGCCTGGCTTGGCACTGTCGATGAAGAAGAAGCCCCCTGTCCCCTCGAAGTTGGTCGTCTTGGGGTGGCAGATGGGGAGACTGAGGGCAGTGGAGAAGAGCTCGCGGAGGAGGGCGGCAGGGTTAGCGCTGATGGCGAGTTTGTACATTGATGCTGAGAGGGTAGATTTGGATTCGCAGATCTCGACGTGAACGTCGTCAATACCGTTATCGACAAGGATGGAGTGGCAACGGATAGCGACCTCGATGCCGAGCTCGTGAGGGAGAGAGTCAGGGTCGACTCCTACGAGGATGACGGCGGGAGGGGAAGCTTTGCCAGCTGTGCCGATGCGAAGGGGTGTCATACTAGTGCACCGGACCTACTTCTCCTGCAGATAACAATCCATGGCGGGACCGACAGTCCCCTCCCAGACCTCGTTGAGACGATGCGTGCCGAGAGGCGTCAACAGATAACAATCCATGGCGGGACCGACAGTCCCCTCCCAGACCTCGTTGAGACGATGCGTGCCGAGAGGCGTCAACCCCTTGGGGACCAGATGAGCCTCAGCACCCGTGGGCCTCATCCAGACGTCGCAGCTGGAGCGAGCGATCAAGCGGGGCTTGGACAGCAGCCCATAGTGGTAGTATGTCGCTTCGACATCGGAGGGAGCGTAGGCAGTACTGGGAGGCGGATTGGGGACGACGTGGTTGAACATAGATATGAGGATAGGGGCAATGGAGTCTTTCTGAGATATGGCGAGGCGAGTACGAACGTAGGTGTGTTAGACACTAGAGGAAGAAAACACGAAAGAAAAAGGTTAGAACGGGGAGAGACTCAAGGAGAAACGAGACGCACTCTACTACACGGTAAACACAGCAATGAGCAAAGCGACAAGTTGGGTACTTGAGCGGGGAGGCCGGGTCCCGCCACCGATCCCAACATGGCAACTGGTTGAAGTTCGACAAGCTGGCGTCGACGCGTCGACGCGTCGACGATTACATTGCCTGTAGACCTCAACATCGACAGTCGACAGGACTGAGCCACCTCGTCAGGGCTCAGAATGGTCTCCACTCTTGGGAAGAACATATCGGTCTCTAGGATAAATCGCTTGCTTCGTCCTCTGCGCAACAAATGTGCGAACCTGGCGTCTCTGGCGTCGTCCTCTTCTTCAAATGCGTCTCTCGTAACATATGGCTCCCGTTCTGCCACCGGCACTCCTGATGAACATCCTCCGCTCGCCTTACTCTTATCACCCAAAGCCCTCGCATCCCGCGCGCACTTGGATCACCACAGCCTGGAGAACCTCGAACTCTCGCGGAGGGTCTACGCCGTCTTGGACACGTTCAAGAACGTGCTCCAAGCCCATTTTGGATCAGAGTCTGTTGGAAAAGAGGTGAAAATCATGAGCTTGACGGACATATGCGCTGCGGTCGTAGGGGAATCTATTCAAGACGATATCGAGCTCAGTTTGTACGAGGACAGGGACGAGAGCTACGATGTGGACGAGGACGCGGAGATGGCGATCATGAACGAATGTTACGAGGCAGTCTCTGAACAATATCGCGGGTATGATGTCATACTCTTTTTCTAAGTGTAAGTTCCCGCACTGAGTCCTGCTCTTCCGCGTCTGCACAGATGGACATTGGTTTCCCATGCTCTTTCCATAGTCATGAAGAATTGTCCTCACCAGCCAACACTCGTATCGTGTCTTCTTGACATGTCGCTCTCATACAATTTGCCTCGAGAGTCCAAAATTATTCTTCGTGCTCTTCTTGCGACCGCAATTTGTGCTGGTCGCCCTTCCGCCTCGCGCCCTATCTGCCATCCAGCCCACTCGTCCTACTTGAGGGAACTCTGCATAAAGTGGACATCATCCAATCTGAGCAAGGACCAAGGCTCTCACCAACCTTCTCATTACACCGAAACCGGCTTTGTTACGATCCTGGTTGATGTTCTCGTGGAAATGGGATCTGCGGATGTGTGGAATAGCAGGGCAGTATCCAGACTGGGCCGACACATGCAGGCCACCGATTTTCCCGCCTTCGTACAGCTTCTTTGCGGATTGGCGGAGGTTATCAGTCGACAAAGTCGTCGGAAGAGGATGAAGCGGAAGCGTGGAAAGGTTCCGGATGGAGAGTTCGAAGCCGAAAATATTCAGCTATGTGATAGGTTGTCCCGATGGACTACGGGGCTCCACAGCCGTGTTGTTCTTCTCGACTTGGATGATGACCTGCTCCTGCCGGCACAGCACGACGAGTTTGCGTCTATCGTCGACTATCTTGTTACCTCCCGTGCGCTTGGTATCCATCTTTGTGACGATGATGCTCACTCCGAATCGCCATTCCGGGAGGTTCAAGATGTCCTAGCTTGTTTGGCGACGCAGTGTCTCGCATCTCCACACTTAGGTTCGCGCAGCGCTCATGATGTCGAAGAGCTCGTGAGCTTGCTCAAGGATGCTCACCCTGTCACAAGCACCTACGACGACCTTGTCATTGCAACCTTTGCCCCCGAAGAGCCTGCTGGTTCTCCTGCCAGGCCAGTTGACCGATCTCTGCTCGGTGCGATGCGATCTCTACGAAGGTATGCATCGGCTCTTCATGAGCACGACCTTCGTGCTTTGGAAGCTTCTTTCTGGGCGTGCGCACTGCGCCACTTTGAGCGCGATGTGTCCGTCTCGTCTGCTGCTGGCGGTCGTGAAAACGAACGTATCCGGTACGAGCTTATGGACGAGGTCAACACGGCGGAGCGAAGATTCTACGGATCTAGGTCTTCGAGACATGGTTCGTCTTCAAATGAGAGCGAGGATACTGGAGAAGAATTAGAAGGAAGCGAGTGGGAGTGGGAGGATCTATTCGGGTGCTGGGTGCGCAAGTCACCGCCAGCGAAACAGCGGGAGATGGCTCCGAACGTCCGCCCGCAGACAAGGTTATCTATGGGATCGCAACCGCTGAGAGCGCCGGCTCTAATCCGGACTACTTCCGCTTCAGCACCCCCTCGAACTGCTGTTGCACGCAGGAGCGTCCCTGTGAAGTCGACATCCTCCCTAAAACCTGTTTCAAGGACATCAACTTCCACATCTACATCGGCTACTATCTCTATCTCTAGCGACTCGTCCACCCACTCGAGGTCTCTATCTCCCGACACTGAAGTCTCTTTAGACGAGGACGAAGACGAGGAGGACGAGGATGATAGCTACGAGGACTTTGACGAGATCCTCGCACCTAAGAAGCCGCGGCGAGAGTGGAATTTTAGGACGCTGGTGGCGGACGCGCAGAAAAATGTAATCAACCTCAGAGAGGAAAAGGCGGCGGAGAGGGCCGCTGCCGCGCGACGAGCGGCTTCGCAGACTTGGAATCTTGGAAGGGGTGTGGGTCGCGACAAGATGCGCCGCCAGAGCGCACAAAATATGCCTGAAGAGCCTTCTTCGGATGATGTGTTGGACCTTTTGGCGTAGATGGGATACCGGTATGCGCTCGTGTGCACGACATTTTTTTAATAGATTCATTCAGTGTTCGCTCTCTACGTTACTCACATACTATCGGTTATTTTCGAGTCTTGGTTGGTCGCAGTGTTTTGGATTTCGTTGTATCGCATTGTACAGTATGACTGCAATTTTTCTCGCAGGAGTTGTTTGTAGTAGCCAAACAGTCACGACTAGTAGGTGCATGAAGTTCCGATGAAGTTCCGACTGATTTTGTCCACTCGATTGTTGCCAACCAGTTGTACCACTCAGTATGGCCCTCATCTTGTCCACCGAACAAAGAGAGCTCATTGTCGGCTGGCGCCACAACCAAGATAAGGCTATTGATGAGTGTGCACAGCTAGCTGCATGCTCACAGCAAACAGTCTATGGCATCCTCAGCCTCTTCCATGATCATGGTATCATTCACTTTGGCACGAGGGCGACCAAGGGCGCTGTCGTCAGTGTTGGTGGTGTTTAGAGAGCGCGAGCGGCACAAGGTGGAAGCACATGTGAGAGCGGAGAGGTTTGAAAGAAGCATGGGCAGTCTGGGGTGACAGCCAAATGGGCGCCAAATGTCACGTATTTGGCTAAGACATGCGACAACTGCGAGAAAAAACTGCAAGTGCAAGGTACTGTGATGGGAAATTCCCGAATGCCGACAAAAAATCCAGGAAAACTAAGGTCAAGATAGATTACACACATAGGATACATCGAGTACAGCAAATCAAGGATAACTAGACAAGAAAAATCATAGAGGATCGCATAGTCCAACGGTCTAGCCATTCAAGTCCGAAATCGCGTATCGCTCCCAGAGCTACTTACATCGCCGTCTGCGGTGCCATAGGCATCGGTGGGTCCGTCGGGTCAGGGTGGTCATGGCGGTGACGCCGCTGTGCAAACCGTAGGTAACGTGAGAAGCGAGAGCCTGGCGTAGGCGAAGATGGCGAATGACCACGGTCAATGGGCGCATGGCCATCCTCGGTCGACCCAGACAGCATTGTTTCCAGTGCGTGGAAGTCTGTCCAGTTTCGTGATTAGTATCGATGATTCAAATGCTCACGTGCAAGGACGTACCATGTCGACAAAGTGGACAGGAACTGGAGAGCTCGAGCAGCCACGGATCAACGCAGCGCTGGTGAAATTTGTGCTGGCCCTCGCATGGAAGCACGCGTAGATCATCTCCCTCTTCGAAATCGAGGATACATATAGGGCACGTCTCTCGCCCTATAGCATCCGGCATGGGATGGTCGGGGGCTGGTGTCTCTTGCGAGGGTCCTGCAGAGCTCCCAACAGCTGTCCCTGGACGCGGTCTGTCCACCAGGGTTGTATTCAATTTTGGAAGGCTCTCCCGTCTCTGTGGAGAACTAGGCTCTCCTTGGACGTCAGCAGGTTCAGATGTCCGAACAAACGATTTGCCAGTTTGAGCCTCCTCCGTAGCGTCCGCAATATCTTGCTCGTGCAGATCTTTCATCTCCAATGACTGCGACTGCTGAGTGCGCTCTCCTTCAGGGTACGCCTCAATATCTTTCGCGTCAAAGCCACCATGTGAATCGGCATTGTCTGTACCGGACCGTCCGAACTTGATTATGGGGAATGTGTCGAGAATGGCGCGGGTGAGAACCGCGGTGCGCCCTTCGTTCCCATAACCGGCTCCCCCTCCAGATCCGCCGATGACGACTCTGTAGCGTTCCGGATGGCGAATTGCACGCACCGCCTGTCAAAAGATGGATACGATGATGAGATATCGGAGAGCAGATGCACTTACACCAGTAATAATGACCACACAGAACATAGCAGAGACGCATCCAGTGATGGCATACAGGACGATCCTGAAGAGATGCCAAATACAACGAGACACGAATGAATATTTCACGCCCGTACAAGGCAAGAAAACCTACATGGCCAGGGTGGTTTTGGCAGATTTCTGAGGGTTAGCGTTTGCGGAGTTGTTGTTGGCGTTCCTGATGTCTGGATCACCTGTCGCATTATACGCCTGTAAGGTGGCCCAAAGATAACCAGGTGCGGTAGGGTACCCTGCTTGGAGAGTGTCGTTGATCACACTTTGAGAGGAGTTGAGGCTGGCTGCGTCGAACGACCCGTACGTTGAAACATTGATTGCCTCGAACTGACCCTCGATGACCCTTTTTCGAAAGATTTCGGGTCAGACTCGGAAAGAGGAGGGTGTGAGAAGAAGCGTACCTGGCCGACGCAAGGTTCTGTGTTGAAAAAATATCCATCACTTGATCGAAGTTTTCTGGATTTGCATACTCAGGATTGATGATGCATGCATCGGACCACTCGGAAAAGAGCACCTGCGAGACCTGTTCACCGGCGAGTAAATGGAGACGGAGGCGATGGACTCACAGCTCCTACGGCACCTCGATCGCGGGCAAGTGTGAAGATATCGTCCTCGAGCGAATCGTGTGTCGCGTTGCCGTCGCAGGACACCAGCGCAATCCATGGCGTTGTCGCTGAAGGCCAGAAAAGAAAAGTTCACCATTGCTCGCGCCGGCGTCGTTACAATTACTCACTCGTCCCGTTCCCGGCCTCTTCTTCCGAGAAATGGACCAGGGCGCCCTGTCGGCAAAAGAGAAGGATATATTCTCCAGACGATACCAGGACAAAACGTACTTTACTAATACCATTACTTCCAGACCCTACCAGTTGGTACGATACCGATTGCGAGTCAATGCTGGAACAGCGCGGAAGAGTCAGCCGCACTGCCATCAATGCCACGACGGGTACACGCACCCGCCAAACCACTGCACATAGAGTTTTGAGACGTCAGTAACGTTCAAACCACCATTGATAGCATCCTGCGTGTTGTTCGTGGGGACCGCAGGGATATAAGCCAATGCACCAGTCAGATGAAGGAGCAGCAGGAGGATGGACGGGAGCATCGCCAGTGGAGAGGTCACGAAGAGGGCACAAGGCTGGGATTGTGGGATGGACGTGCCTCGGGCGGTGGGCCCAAGATAGCACAGGCTCCGAGGGAACAAAGCACCCTGACGAGCAAGCTGAGCAATGTCTTGATGCCACTCGAGACAGATTCACAGAAAGCGTGCCAAACTTGGAACACGCGGAGCAAAGTCGGATCGGTGTCCTCCGTGTTTGGCACTGCGTCATCCAGACCGCACCTCCATTCCGTTCTGCGTTCGTTGGACACACAAGGGCAGTCATTACTACTTTCGATGCCTGTCATTCATTTTGTCTGCTACTCTCCACATCTCATCACCCCTCCCGGACCACTTCCTCGACAGCTTCGTTGAAGATTGTGCACCCGGTTGCCAAATCCTCCTGCGAGATGTTGAGTGGCGGGATGAACCTCACCGCCTCGTACACGGACGTCGTGAGCAGGAACATGCCCTTCTCGAGGCACTTCTTCGACACCCTGCTCGCAAAGCCCTTTGGCGCGTTGCTTCGAACAGCCGGGTCGTAGGCGGAATGCGAGGGAGACGCGAACTCGACCGCGACCATCAGGCCCTTGCCGCGCACGTCGAGGATGTGCTCGCCAGCAGCCGATTGGCGGAGAGCGTTCAGGGAATCGAAGAGCTCCTTTGACCTAAGCACATTGCCTGTCGGCAAACATGCGACGGGGGATGAGCGAGAAGCACACGCACCTGGCCTGCACGTTGGCAAGGATGTTCTCCTCTTTGAACGCATCTGCGACGGCAATGGCCGCCGCGCACGACACGGCATTGCCAGCATACGTCCCGCCCTGCAAGAAATGAGACATGCGAGTCGGGCGTGTACGGGAGATCGAGCCTACCATGGACCCGGGCTTCAACTTATCCGTCAACTCCTTCCTGCTCACGATACCACTCAGCGGGAATCCATTGGCTAGACCCTTTAAATCGTAAAGATAAGCACTGCCCCACCAGGACAGGACTTCCACAGACTTACTTTCGCCATGGTCAGGATATCCGGCTTCACCCCACTCGCTTCGATGTAAAAGTTATGGCCCGTCCTTCCGAATCCACTCTGCACTTCATCGATGATCAACAGGATCCCATGCTTGTCACATATGTCCCTTAAGCCCTGCAGCCACGCAGTGGGCGCGGGGACGTATCCGCCCTCGCCGAGAACAGGTTCGAGCAGGATGGCAGCAGTGTCCTTTGGTGCGCTCTGCTGCGAGAGCACGAGCTCAACCTGGTACAGACAAGCGCGGACAAGCTCCTCCTCGCTCGTGGAGGGCGAGCCAGAGTAGTGGTGCCAGTAAGGATAAGGCGCAGTAAACACACCAGGCTAGTCATTCCATTCATCCCGTCGATCAGTCTGCCGCGACGCCAGTCAAATACAAGCACGCACCATGAGGGGAGCAACGCCTTCGCTGTAAATAGTCTTGCTCTTCGTCACCGCCATTGCGCCAAACGTCCTCCCGTGGTACCCGCCCTGCATCGCGATAATGTTGGGCCGCCCGGTAATGGTGCGCGCCATCTTGATTGCGCCCTCGACAGCCTCGGATCCGGAGTTCCAGAAGAAGAACGAATCGAGAGACTTGTCGGGCATCATCGGGAGGAGCTTCTCGATGAGACGGAGGTAAGGCTCGTGGAAAGCAATACTGCACTATGTCGCGCGCGATATCAGCATGATCCGGGGAGTCATGAGAGTCAGAGGGTAGGTACCTGGCCGTGCACGAGATTCATGCATTGGTCCGCTGCCGCCTTGCTGACCTTTGGGTGGCAATGACCTGCTCATTCCCAGTTCAGATTGCCACTCGCCAAAGATCAGAAGGAGACAGAGCGACGCACCAAGATTAGTGACACCGATCCCGCAAGTGAAGTCAAGGATTCGGCGGCCGCTCTTCATCGTCACCCAGGAGCCCGTTCCCTTTTCGAACACATCTTCTGTCAGGCGACCTAATCCGTTGGTGACATGTTGCTTTCCAAAGTCGACGAGAGAGGCAGAAGGTGTAGCCATTGCGCGAGTTTTGATAGTGAAGGGTGTGCGTCTGATCCTAGTAAGTCTAAATGTCAGCATGAGCGATGCCCTACCCACCTCGGAGCAAGCAAATGGGTACGGCTCCTTGCAGAGATGAAAGAGGGTGGAGAGTGAGGAAGACGGAGAATGCCAGGCATGACCGTCGCGACTCTCTAAGATGTATCGTGACTCGAGCCGGAATCGAGGCAAAGCGGGAAGACAATGAAAAAATAATGACGCGGGGTTTGCAGATCGGCAATACAGATCTCGTTGATTTCGCAGAGATAAGATAAACGACGGCCGATGGGTCTCAACGTTCCTGTCGGCCGTAGAACCCTGAAAAATGAAAATGCTGACCGGAGATAAGTGGGACTGCTAAGTTCGTGCAGTGAGGATATGACTCTAGGAAGACGTTCGTGTCGTGAAAAAAACTCGTACTCTTTCATCGCGGTCATAAGAGAGGGGCTGGGAATTCTTAACGACGTCATTGGTGTGGCCATGGTGGTGCCTGACTGCTTTCGATACGTCTTGGGCATACTCGCCGCTTTCCTATCTCCGACAAACATGTTAATAGGCGAACGATGTCATTGCAGACATAGCAGATGGTTCAAAGCAACAACGATAACAACAACTCTATAGAAAACACCGATGCACGGCAAGCGGCGATCAATAAAGAAACACGAAGACAACCCTGAGAAAGCAGGAGACAGGCTCTAGGCACTGCCAGACACCAAAAGAATAGACAGTATAATCCCAAGAATACGACAGGAATCGGAGTGTGTGAATCTGTTATAACTCGTGACTCCGCTCCCACAACGTGTAAGACCTTCTAGGTTCGTGAATGAGTGCAGTGAGCTGATCATGCAGCACGGCGCGCGGCGCGAGGGTAATTGATAGCAACCTGAGGAATAAACATAGAACAGAAGAAATAAAAACCGAAGCGCAAGCATGGGAAGGCGGAGGTCAGGCGTGAACCCGTGCAGCGTTCATCTGGACATGCGCAACTCTCGCTTTGCTACGACGCGAATGCTTCCCACGGCTGCACGTCTTGGGGGAATCGGTGGTGAAATAAGTGCCAGAAGGGGCAGCAGGGCTCGGAACCGTAGAGGAGCCATCGGAGGGGCCTGTCGTTACAAGAGAAACCGCGGCGGTAGAGCTGCTTTCAGCAATGGAAGTGTGAAAGACGCTGCACGTCTTGGGTGAAACAGTAGAGGAAGAAGTGCCAGAAGTTTCAGAAAGGGCAGTAGGGCTCGGAACCGTAGAGGGGCCGTTGGAGGGGCCTGTCGTTACAAGAGAAACTGCAGCAGTTGAGCTGCTTTCAACAATAGAAGTGTGAACGATGCTGCTTGAAGTTGGCTCAGGGGACTCGTGAGGGCTAGCGGGGCTTGATGTCGGGAAAGATGAAGGAGTTGGTGCGTTGGCTGGCTCACTAGTAGCGGAGGATGTAGCGCCGTTTCCACAGAACGTGATCAGAAGGTCCACCTAGAGAGCGATGATTAGCACGAGATGCAGAGTGCTTGTGGTGGCAACTTACATTATCTTCTTGGCAAGCAACCTGTACTTGGTTGTCGTCCGAAACAAAGAAGGCAGTGTTGCAATTGGCAGAATTGCCTACAGCACGGATCGAAGATGAAAAAAAACAGTCAGTACTCATGACGATATCTATTCGGCGAAGACGTACAGGCGGCGCCTTGGCCGTCACACCCATTGAAATAACTGTGCGATATCAGTACGAAACGTACTTAGAGTTTCATGGTAACACTTGCCTGAAGGATACAGGGACGTTGAGGGCATGCCTTTGAGAAAAAGTATGTAGCTTCTGCGTCAGACCCAAGGTTGCGATATTGAAATAGAGAGCTTACGGAGGGATTAATGAGATGTCCGTGCTTGAGCCGCAACCAGGACAGGTCGGGTTTCCCAGGGTCATCTCCAGGAGGGCGCAGTGTTCTCCGTTGAACAGACATTCGCCTACGCAAGCACGCGTCATTCCGGATGTAAGAATAAGCTCAAGCGGAACTAGATACCAGTTTGTAGATAGCTGCCGTCCGATGAAATCCTGGATGTAAGTCTGCTATAAATCAGAGTAGAGAGAAACACTCACGCAATGCCCGAGGACGCAGGGCCAGAACTTGTCCAGTCCGACCCGTTCGAGACGACGTGTCCACCGAAAATCAATTGCGGCTTTAGATAGGGAATTCGGTTCATCGCGTGGATCGGGGACGTGTCTGGTAAAGAGGTAAGAAAATTTGACTTACAGTTCCCCTGCCACACCTTTGCGTACAAAAAAATCGTCCCGACCCGAAAAAAAGGAACAATGTCAACGCCCCGCAGCGAGATGGCTGTGCGGGATGGTACGCACTGATTATCAAAACGAATGGTATGTGATTCAGCATTCACGGCAGCCGCAGAAGCTGCGATAGCCACAATCACGATGTAAACGAAAGTCGGTGCCATGGAGAGGCGCTTGTGAATCAGAAGGAAAGAAAGTGGAGCGACGAAGGGAGTGAGTGGGGTGAAGAGCGAGTTGCTATCCAACCTTGGGTACCCTGTTTGGCGCCGACTTTTTGAAGAAATCACCACGAGTAACCGGCGCATATAGACAGGCTCCGGTCTTGACAGTTTGGCGGTGATCGTTCCTTCTACCTTACCTGGAAGGTGCACTTACCAGGCTCCTGCAGGCCGTTATTTTGCATACACTGCAGATTAAGGAAGAGTCAGACTGTCCTGTCAATCGAGGCATACATGGCACCCATGTCGTGCAGACGACTATAGCCCGCACATGCTCTAAATGCTCCTGCCGAACCACAGTACATGAAGTCGGCGCACGGAATGCTAATTGAAGATGAAGCATGACAAGCATCGTGTACATGAGAACATCGCATAGGTTTGACCACCCTGGCAGCACACTCTAGCACTCGCCCCTGCCTAAGACATGATGAAGTCTCAAACACGCGTACCGCTCTTAGATGCAATAGATAAAAAAAATGAAACGTACGATACACCATGGACAATTTAGCTCGCAGCATGTTGTCACTATCACAACGATAACTACTGAATCCGATCGTGTAACGACCCCGGAAGGCGAGTCGCGAAAGACCTTCTCTCTTGAGGTGTCACTTGACTGCCTAAAAGACGGCCCCTTGCGACCTTTCCACCCCTACCTCGGCTGGTAGGAAGCCGACGTCCTTGAGTTCCCCTGCTGGGATTCCGAGAATGGGGATAATCGTAGGAGGCAGACTGTGCGTCCAATGGCTCGGGCGTGTCACCGATGCGGTCAAGCAACGATCCAGATAACTCATTGGAGGCTGGCATGGTATTGGAGTGTTCATGGCCAGGCTCCGCTAGTATGGAGGAAAGTGGGACTGTTCCAAGTCTAGAGTCCAAGCGCAGACCCCTTTGTCCACGGTACTCAGGCGAACGATGAGCATCATGCGCTTGAGTATAGGCTTCGTGGCGGGTGGGCTCATGGTTCTCAGGAAAACGCCTTTCTTCCCATCCGTCCCGGGCAGGCCGGTAATTATTTTCCATGACCTGTCTTGGCGATGGCGGCGAAGCCCGTTGATAGCGTCTGGGGTCAGACCTAGTCACGAATCTTGAGTCTCTATCATCATACATGGGTCGACGATCATATTGTGAAGGCATCCATGAGCGATTGCGAGATTGGGGCTCGAAATCATCGTCCTCGGGATGAGGCGGGCGCGATCGTTTGCGCGGATTGGACGGAGGAGGCGGAGAGCTGGGCGGAGAATAATGGTTCGCGCGCCAACGAGCTTGGTTTCTCGCCTCTTGCACTGGGGAGTGCCGAGCAGGTAGAGGACGAGCCATCGGAGGGGACCGAGAATCAGAAGTACGCCGACCTGTGTTGCGATCGTCCGGCCGTGAACGATTTCGGGATGCTGACGATAGATGTGCGTCGTCAGACGAAGGGGACAATGGTGCAACCGGAGGGAGATATGTCTGTCCAGCGGTTGAATCATTGTTGGTTTGGAATCCACCCCATCCACCATCGCCGACAACGCGATCGTCACGAGCCACAAGGGTCTTTGGCATAGAGGGAGCATTTTGATGAACACGACGCTCAATAGGACTCGGGCTTGCATCTGTAGGAGGAACAACGGGCCGCGCAGGTAACGTGGATGTCGCATTGACCGATAACCCCTGACAATTCTCTCTGTTATAAGTCACAGCTTGCCTTGGAAACGAATCGCTGGGCTCTTCCGTGCGGGGCAGAGCGTTGGAAGTAGCCGGCCACGGAGCGGAAGAGAGATCCTGCTGAACAACAGACGAGTGTGAAACCTGAGTGGACGGCGACGGCCTCCGATGGGTAAGAACCGGGTCGGACGACGGCTCTTGTTTGATGATGGGAATCGTCTTCGTCTTAATCTGTTGTAAGGATTGATGTGCCGGATCACTCTGTCCCTGCGAAGATACGGAAGTAACGGATTGCGTCTGTTCTGCAGGCGGAACAGATGGGTCCCCGCTAGACTTGATTGTAACGCTATGAGGATCGCCCGAACCGCGAGGAGCTTTCTGGCTCTTGAGAACTTGTTGTTCAGATCTGAGCGTAGTAGACCCATATGGTCCGTGAACATCGACCAGACGTCCAGCTTCGGTTTGTGCCGGTACAAAGCCGTTCCCAAGAGTCGTCCTGGAAGATGTCTGTGTTGATGCTTGACCGAGCACAGATATGTGAGGCAAGGGAGCCGCCACGAGTGTAGGCAACGTCGCAAGCGTTGTGGCAAGGGGCTGAGGCGGTGCGCGGGAAAGAGATGACATGACAAGAGGCCGCGATGCTGAATGGTCGCTCGGAAATGCATTTGATATGAACTGTCCCGATGACGGTCGGGCGCTAGACTCCTCTGTATGCTGACTGCCATGCTCTTCTGATGTCAGTTTTGTGGCGGGAACCTTCTTGCTCTCCAATTTGGATTTGGGATCCTGCTCTCGGCCATCCCTGCCGCCTTGCCGCTCTGCCCGAAGTCGAGTCGCGTCGTCGTCGCGAATCTGACGTTGCTTGGCCTGGACAGCCTCCAAACGGGCTCGATAGTCTTTTTGACGTTGCCGTTCTTCCTGTTCTTTCCTTTCTCGGTCCAACTGCGCTTCGGCCTCGCGCCTCTCCATCTCTGCCCGCTCCAACGACGCTTGCCTTGCCCGCCGTTTCTCCTCAGCTATCCTCCGTTCCTCAGCGACTCTTTGATCTTCCGCAGCAGCAGCTTTGGCCTCTGCCCGCAGCTTTTCCTCGGCTATAGCGATTCTTTGTCTCTCCTCAGCTTCAGCCGCCGCCTCGTCCTCTATTCTCTGACGAAGTGCTTCCTGCTGACTTTGTTCGAGCTCGGTAAGTCGAGTGCTGATTTCTTCATGTCGGTCGAATTGCGCCCGCAGGTCCTCGATCAAAGGACCCTCGTTATTACTCAGACCGGCCGACCAGTCGATAATCTTTTGCACGTAGCGTGAAATGTGCGTGGATTTCTCCATCGCTGAGGTGAATTCTGCCTTCGCCCTACGCACGTCGTCGGCCATTTTCGTCGCAGAGATCATAACGGCGTCAACCTGGTTCTGTATCGTAAGCGCTTCTTGGAATAGTTGTTCTGCCTGTGAGATGACCAGCTGCGCGCGCCGGGGCATCTCGAAGCTGCGCGCTTTGATGGCAGCGACCTCTCCCTGGACGACACTGATCTGGTCATCGGCAGTCTGGAAAGACTCGAGCGTCTGAGCAATCGAAGCATTGAGCGCTGCGGCGCGCTCATCATAACGACCTTGAATGATGGGAAGTCTATCCTGTCTTCGCCTAAGACTTTGGTGGAGGAGATCGAATGCATTGGTCGAAGATATTGGATTGTCGGCAGGCACGGAAAATGCGGAGGATGAGGAAATTGAAACGCCACGAATAGCAGAGGGGTGGGAAGTGGTGGGAGCGTGTTGCATGTCAAAGTCAATCTGACCAGGCGTGACCAGAGGTGGGATCTGTGGCATGCTTCCGTCTAAGATGTGGGAGCGATCCGCGATACGAACGTCGGATACGGAAGCGTCGGATGCAGTATGCTCTGACTTGATCGCTGTCAACTCCTGTCCATGCATTCGTGGATGATCTTCGTAAGAAACCCGAGAAGTGGGCTCGGATATAGCGGTATTTTGATGATGCGATGGTACGAATTGAGAGGCAGAGTGGGTTTGTGAAGTGGTATGGGCCAGAAGTGCGTTATCCAGAATCGGCTCTGCGATCTCGGTCAGAGCAACGCTAATTGTCTGGTCGAGAGGTGCCAAGCGCTGAAATAAAGTGGGACGAGCCAGATGGGTTATATCGGCTCTAGCTTGCTCGAAAGGCTCCGGCGAAGGATAGCGAGAGTCGACGTCAGGAGCAGAAGCTGTCTTCATACGAGTTAGGAGTTCAGGATCTTTGCCGATCACGTCAAATTTGAAGCTATCCAGAGGGGATGACGATGGACGGCTCGCATTACGAGCAGATACGGAAGACATTTACGTCGTGAAATGTATAAACTAGGAGCACTGTAAGGTTCAAGAATGGTCGAAAAATAAACTGTAGCTTGCAATCTGTGTCAGTTTGATGCAAATGCGCAGGAAAAAAAACCCGACTGAACCAGATGATAAAAGGAGTCGATAACAGACTGAAGTGTCGGCAGTGGGTTTTGTCGGTATGTCTGCGAATATTGAGATCTTGAGGGCCTGGAGGTCTTGAAGCTTGATGTTAGATCGCCTTGACGGATGGCAGATAGGTGATTAGCGATGGGTAGACACCGCTTAGCGCTGAGGGGGTGGTGGATGATGGAGGACCAGATGAGACCAAAGGTGACCTCGAGTCAGCTTGAGCGTCCTCATGGGAACTGGAGCCAGAGTCCCCGGACACTGCTTACTTCAAGATCGTATTTCTAAGAAGTAGATTCTTGCGAGATCGGCGAAAGCTAATCCTCGAGCTTGACTCTCACCTTGGGCGATGAGTGTGATCTATCCGTTCGAGCTCCCAACGACGGGATCCTTCTCATTCGCAGAATACTTCACCGACAACACAAAGGAGTACAATGCGAGCATCGCAGAGAGCACGCAAGTTCGCGCGAATCTTCGCGCCGTGCTCAAAGAGAGTAAACGGACAGATGGGGAAAAGGATCACTTGAGGCTCGTCAAGGTGGGATTCACCCTGCCCAATGTTTATACTTGATCATGACATGCGAAAGATTCTCGACGAATATTTGCCCCATTTATATGGCATTGTGAACTGTGTCGCAAGCAGTGATATCGTCTCTCCGAAAGAGCCTGGTATGTGTGGTCCTGTCCGCTCTATCCCCACTACCCTTCGACATGTCCTCAGTTTTCAGCTGGCGGACCACTCTTTCTGCCCAGTTATTCAACAACTCTCCGCGCATCAACCTGCCTTCATTGTCCACTGAACTTGCATTTACGTTGCTCACCTATGGTTTCGCCCTCTCAAACTTGGCCCGGTCGACCGTGGTTTCACTTGGCTCATACGAGCATGAGCGTGGCCTCTCTGACATAGAGCGCAAAGCCAAAGATGAGAAACTCGGATTTTCCGTAAACTTGCTGTGCCGCGCCAGTGGCGTGTTTGCGTATGTGGGCGATGAGGTTCTCATCGACGCGGAGCAGGAGGAAGGGCGGATGAGTAGAGTCGAAAGGCCTCCAGAACTCAGTAAAGAAGTCTGTTCTGCTTTATCCAAGTGAGACTATACATTTCTCTCTCGTTACGCGAACTTAAAAATCTCATTTTTTCGGTTCAATAGGATGTGCACTGCCTCGGCACAGTCCCTTGCCATCCGTAAACTTCTCACAAAGTCTGCATATGACAGCACAATTGCCCCAGGTCCTCCTCTCCCAAAGTCTCATCCATCACCCGCTCTTATCGCCAAACTTCACCTCGAAGCCGCACACCTCTGCTCTTCCGCCCTCTCCCTCGCACGCATACCGGGTTCATCCAAAGCACGCCTTGCATCTGCGTCAGGAAAACTAGGAAACCCGTTCAAGAAAGACAAGGACAGCCAGGACGTGCAAAAAGGTGAGATGGATGTGTCTGCAGATCTCCTTCGATTTCTTGCGGATAGCTCAGCCTACCACTCTGCATTGGCACACAAATGGCTGGGTGTCGATGCGGGCGAGACACCTGGATCGACGCGATTAGGAGAAGCCGTTGCCTTCTTAGCATGGTCTAAAAAGGAACTGGATGAGCTGAAAGACGCTGGCAAGGGTGGCGGAAAGGAAGATGGGAAGGAAGGTAAGCGCGAACGAAAGGAAAGGGTGGTAGAGGAGATCGAGTCTGTCTCAGTGTTCCTGAAACATTACAAGAAGCTCAACGATTCGGTATCGTTTTTTCTAGCTCTTTTCTCAATTTGCGTGCTTATGCATGTTCCTCTCACCTCTGTTAAGCTATCATTTCAACCGGTTCCCTCGCAATCGTCTTTACAGTCTTCTATACCCGCTGGCCGCTTAGCTGTTGCCATGAAGCCATTTGCGAAGCCTGCGCCAGCATTTGGTCCTGGTTCCATCGAATATACTCGCAAGAGGGCGGAGGAGCTGGAGTTGGTGGGTGAGTTGGCACTGAGGGACATTGCAGAATCGGTGCCCGCTGTGCAGGCCTCCCAATCTTATGCTGGCGCTGGTTCATATTTCTAAGAAAGACCGGCTGAGGTTCACAAGGAAAGACAAGACATGTCTATGTACAATGTAATCTAGATCTTCTGTACTGTTGTAACACTCGCTATATTCTTTTGTACAATCATCTCGACTGAATCAATTCTTCAGATCGGTGACATTCATGTATTTATGTTTTACATGACGCAGCTGTTCTTCTACACGATAGCGACCGTTCGGCACTGAGCCTGACGTCCGTTCGCGTATTGCTTGTAATACACATAAGAAAAAAACCACATGCTAGTCCATCGACAATGACTCTGCTTATGACTGGCCCTCTACTTTGATGTCCGCTCGAACCTTCATCCCAGCCTTCTCAAGGAGAGCTCGGAGCTGACCACTGCGATGCAAGCTCTGAAGATCGTCGGAGCCTCCGATGGAGTTGCCCTTGAGTATCGCGTTGGGGAAAGTGCTGCGCGACGTGAGACGCGTGAGAATGACTTTGATCAGATCACCGTCGTCTGGACATGAGTAGCATATATGAGAACACGTATGGCACAGTTCTCTGAGCGGCGTTCGAGCTCACCGCGGAGGTCTACTTCAATGACTTTCGGAGGCGGGAAGAGGTCATACGAGGCAAGGAGCTCTTTAGCCCTCTTTGAGTATCTAGATGCAAATCATCTCTGAATACCAACGCGGATTTGACGGCATTTGTCATGTTTTATCACTTACGGGCAATATGTCTACAAAGATGTGAGACGATGATCCTCCACGTAGACTTCCACCATAGTCAAGCTTACCTTACTGAACACAACCAACGGGGTCTGAGCATCCAATTCCTTGACTCTCTTGGCCCAATTGGGCTTGGTCAGATCCCCACTCTCGTACACCTTCAAGTCGATCGGCTTCGCAGGGTCCAGCCCCAGAAGCTCGGGCGACTCGAGGCTCAGCATCTTGTCGGGCTTGTTCACGACGAAATACAGCAGCCCGTGGATCTCGTCCGCTCTGTTGTGGACGAGTTGCGAGATGCTAGCGGGCGAGAGCGAGCCGCTCAGGTCCTTCACCCCCGACGGGAGGGAGAACAGGTCGTGCGGAGAGAATATGAACACGAAGAAAAGAGTGAGTGCGATGAGGGGGTATAGAACGCGTCGCCGGCGCAGGAAGCCGCGGTTGGAGTCCATGGTGTCTACTGTAGGCTTTTGGTATGTATAAGAGACGCTGGCTGGTGTGGTCGGAACCCTGATGCGAATGGCTGCGGGTTGTGATATGTCAACTTTGTCTATAGACCGAGCTGAAGGAGAAGTACGATGCATGTTGGAGGAGGGGGAAGAATGTGGGGAATGTACTTGAAATTGCCAACGAAAGGCTGGGTACCGTGGGGCAACGATGTCGATACAAAAGTAGAGAAAAAAGCAAAAATCTCACGCGCACATTAGTAGCCGAGCTTTTATCTACAGGCGCTATATGGACTTGAATGATGGGATTGATGTGGGGCCAGTCTTGAGGTTGAGGTTGAGCGCTGGAGCGACAGAAGGAGACCGTCACTGACAGGAACGTCGCACAGCAACTGGATTGGGGGAGATTGGGGGCCTCCGACGATCGACTTGTTTATATTTCCCCGCTGCATCTGATAAGATTCCTCGCTTCTGTTCCTGGGAGCAGAAAACTTGTGCCACGGCTTGGTACCTTCTCGCATCCGACGAGCCGCCATTGATTCAAGCGGACGGCAGCATCCATTTGACGCCGACCTGACCAAGTCCTGACCATCATGGCCGCACGAAGGCAGATCCAATATGTGCTCTTTGACATGGATGGTACCTTTTCGCGTTCAACTCAATTCACCGATACTCACACAGCATGTTGCAGGACTAATGATCGACTCGGAGCGGGTGTACACCGACGTAACGAGTACTGCATTCAACACCGATTGTAAGATTATGGATGAATGCTAATGCCAGATGCACTCGTGCTCACAGACGAGATCCTTGCCGAATATGGCGCCGAGATGACCTGGGACATCAAAGCAGGGCTCATGGGCAAACGTACGTCTCCTCGTTATCCCCACCGTCGATACATCCCTGATTGACGCGCACCGTCCGTCCGCGCCCACAGCCGAGCACGACGCAGCCGCGCACCTCCTTTCCTTCTTCCCCTCCATTCCCATCTCCCTCGAAGACTATCTCACCCGGCGCAACCTCCTCCAGGATCAAAGCTGGCCGCACGTCCAGCTCTTGCCAGGGATCCGCAAGATCGTGCAGCACCTGCACCGTCACCGGATCCCCATTGCCATCGCCACGGGATCGCGTCGGCGGAACTTCGAGATGAAGACCGAGCACCTGCAAGACGTGTTCGGCCTGTTCGGCCACAACGTCGTGTGCGGGGACGACGAGTGGATCAAAACTGGGCATGGAAAGCCGTTTCCTGACGTCTTTCTCGTAGCAGCGAGGGACTGCCTCGGGCGGAACGTCGGAGACAAGGGCGACACTGGCGAGAAGGAAGGCGATATGTGCAGCGCAGACGAACAAGCAGAGAGGGCGAAAGGGTTAGTGTTTGAGGACGCGATACCAGGCGTGCAGGCTGGCAAGAGAGCTGGCATGAGTGGTATGTCCCCACTCTCTTATATTCCACGCATGAGGCTCTGACCAGCGTTTTGGCGGTGTTAACGGTCTAGTTGTGTGGGTTCCTGATCCCAATCTCCTCAAATTAGAGACACAAGGTCCAGCAGCGCCGGATCAAGTGCTTGGTTCGCTCGAAGATTTCGTACCAGAAGAGTGGGGTTTACCGCCATACGACTCGGACTAATTGTTGAAAGTGCGTAGACAATGGCAGACGAGAAGGTATTTATACATGTCCATGATATCACAATAGGTTACTGTTCGCGCGACTCAGCTGATCATCAGTGCGTACCGCTTCTTTCCACCTCGCTACGATCTTACGTTTGATGGGAGGCAGTGAAGCGAGTGGGATCTGTACAGCCTGTTGTGTTGCACACCCAAACTTTCTCATGAGGGTCCTGCGCAGAACATGCAGCAAGAACTTTGGCCAGCCCCACCTTCACGCTGCCACACAGTATGGCAAGGCGACGGTTCTCCGCGGTGCCTTGCGGCAGAAATCATGAAGAGGTAAGTACGCTGGGCGAACGCGCACAATGGCGTGCGTCGTGCCTGCCGTTTGCAAAATCGATGTCAAGAGTATTCTGGGAGTATTCTGGTGTAGTCGGCCATCCGAACCACAGCACCTTCTAAATTGGGATATTCGGAGAGACGCGGCATCGCCGGGCGCCGTCCGCCAAGTCCTTTGACCGTCCTGGACACCATCACCTCGTCGTGTCACACCATGAGCCGCTTATGTTTTATTATAAGAGACACGCCGAACGGTGACAAACGTATGTTCGAGATGAAAGTCGGTGAGTTCCAGAAGAGCATTGATATACTCTGATATGAGGCCAAAAGGAGTTTAAACTCGCTCCGAGGTGGGGCTAGAAGTGTGAAGTGACCTACAGACATTGGCAGCTTCCATGGACAGGCGCTGTCCTGCGTGCGATGTGCTGGAGCCAACGCGCCCCTTCCATCGATATCAGAGTGCGTGTATGTGCGACCCTCCAACAGGAGATTTAGTTGATAGGCCTGACGTGTTCGGGCGTAAACTCGGAGTTCTGCGTACTCCACGCACATCGCAGTCGCTTCCGATGCCACTCGGACAGAGCGAAAGTTCCCTTCAAGGATCTCCTCGCGGTTCAGAAGGGTTCAGAAGAGAACGCGGCCTGTCAGATTCGGGAGTTGAACCCTTCCCGTTCGCTCCGGTCGGAGGGGAGGGAGAGTTACTTGCGTGTGGTAGGAGATTGTGGACGTCATGGATCGTTCGTTATCTGGAGATGTCCGCACTTGTGGCTCTGTGGCATCGTATCACCGACTCTAGATGGAGGACGCGGGTCCTGAGAGATAAAGAGGTGTCAGAGGCGTGGCCCAAATAAGTGTTTGACAAGTGGATATCGGCGAATCCAGACAGAGCGCCGGAGCGCTGAAGCGTGACCATCAGCGTGCAAAGGACGCGCCGACGGCCGAGGCCAGCGCACCGCAGCGAGAATGGAGCGCAGAGGGCAGAGAGACAAGAACAAGGGCTGGCGTTGGACCAGGCGGAGGGGAGGCCGAGAGCCGGACCGGTGCCGGGGATGGTGATTTATTGGAATTTTTGCGAGGGCAGGCTGGACGTTCATTTTTTTTCGCTGCCAGCCTATCGTCCTATCGCTCTCTTATAAGCCCAGTCCTTTCTCGATGGCCCATCGCCGCACCGACTCTGCACGCCACCTGTCCCCGGCCATGTCCCCCTCCTCTTCCCTCCCGCTCCCCGTTATATACTCCTCCGATCCCTCCCCACGCTTCTCTCCCAGCCCTTCCTTCGCGTCACTCGTCGACATCATTCACCCGCGCAAAAGCCGTCAGCGCACGACGTTCCTGGCCCTTTTCGCACTCATCATCCTCTCCCTCTACATCTTTCTCGTCGCACAACCGTCCCTGATCGCCCCCATCGCCCTCAAGCAATCAGACGAGAACAATGCCCCGTGGAGGCACGTCGCGAACAGCTATGTCATGAAGCATCGAAAGGCCGCGGCGCAGGTCGTCAGCCAGCGTCCCCAAGTCTCCTTAGACACTCCCCAGGAGCTTGCAGCCGTCACCAGCTTCATGGCAGCCTTGCCACAAAACGTCATTCCCATCACCGTTGATCCCTCCCTTCCCATCGACCCACAGCTCGTCCTGGACTTTGACACCCGTAGTCCCAGAGCACCTGCCGAGGTCGCAGAGGTGGTGAACGATGTCTGGACGCGAAACCCCGTTGTTCTATTTTCAAAGGTGCGTCGTGGCGTGGCACCGCCGATCAGCGACAGCCCAGCCGCAGCTATGCTTAACTCTCGGGTGTACCTAGCTTCACTCCCCAGTTTCACGCGAGATTAAGCATCTCATTTACGACATGAAGTTACGCCCCTCACCCACGGTTTTCGAGGTCGATCAGCGAGGTACGCTCGCGCGTTCCCATGCTGACTTGTGTCTCAGCTCACGCCCTTTGCCCTCGCGAAGCCGACGCGGATGTCGTCGTTCCCCTGCTCTACCGTCTGACATCCTCGAGCGCTCTGCCGATCCTCCTCGTCGGTGGCAAGCCAGTAGGCTCCATCGAGGATATTCGCGCTCTCAGTGAAAACGGCGAACTGCGACGCATGGTCGCCGAATCAGGCGCTGTGATTGACGGCGCTCAGAAGAAGAAGAAGGGCCGCCGGTAAATTCCTGCTCCTTCGGAACACTCCATCTTCTTTCCGTGTCTCCGCGTCTGGTCAGAGAGAGCTGACCCGTAACGAACATTAATTCATATCCGCGCAGCATATAGAGTCTCTTTTCATCTTTACTTTATCCGGGTGTCGGTCTACTTACGCCGCAGGTGCTCCATACATTTCCATCAGGCTGATTTGGTTTGGTCAGTGTGTTACTCGGGTCTGCTTCAGCTCATCATCGTATTTTATAACTTTATTCACCATCCCCTGCTCGGTCACCGGCCACCGCGGTCGCTTTCCCCCTTGCTTTCGTGCTGGCCAATATTTACCGCCCCCTCCCTCCCCTTCCTCCTCGCTTTGCCCGTCGTCGTCGTGTCCGCACACCGCAGAGTATGCGGCGCGCGTGCACATCCGTAACCTAGCCGCGGACTACGTTATCCGTAATGCCTACGGCTACCTTGATACTACACATATCCTACGCCTCTGCCTGTGGACTCGCCCGCGACAGCCTACGCACATGTCATTCCAGTCGTCACGTCCATGCCCCGCTCCGCCTTGCCCAATCATATACCTCGTACGGCAATTGTCTTTTACTAGCGAGCACTATTTATTGCGTCGGGTCGTTGCACAGACTTTTTGAAGTTTACGTGCGCATCGATCGGTGGACTGGATTCCACTCGTGCTGTTTACGTTCGCAAAAAATCCATGGGGGGAACAGACATGATGGACACGAATCGTGCATGGCATAAACATGTGAAAGTGCCACGTACATAGAAGGGGGTGTGGTGTCCCAATGCGGACTGAGCATGGTGCTTCTCGTGGCGGGGTTTCCCTGTCACACGCAGGGACAGTCTTTTGGCACGGCGGATCCAGCCGCAGCAGTCCGACCCTCCATCTGTGTGTTTGTAGCTGTGCGCATGCCTTTCTGTCCAGGGCCACTCTCCCGAATCACGATCAGAGGGCGTGTGAGAACCGAGTCGCGCGGCAGTCCGCCTTCGCAGCGTACGTGTATGTACAGGCAGGCACCGCCCAACTCGCCCCCGACCTCGAGTCCTCGAGTCCTACAGCTTTGCTCGCGCGCCGACCAGGCCCTCGAGGTCGCGGTACTTGTAGTACAGCTTCAGCGAGCCCGGATTGGCGACCGTCCCGCTCGGCTGGATGTCCGCACCCGAGATGATCTGCTTCACGGCGATCTCGATCTTCTTGTTGTTCACGGTATACTGCACAGGAAACAAAGAAATAAAAAAGCGATTCAGCGTCGTCGTCGGTGTCGTCGGCGCCACCGCCGCCGCATTGCGGTGTGTCGAGGACGGCGCGGACGAACCGGGATTTCCTCGACCTCGAAGATGTATTTCGGGACGTGCCGCGCGCTCAGTGCCTTCCGGATCGCCTCGCGGATCGCCTGCTCGACGTCACCGGTGAGCCTGTGCCCCGCCCGCATCTTGATGAACAGGAGCACGCGCTCGTCCGTGTCCGTGGGGCGGCGCTGTCCCACGCATATCGAGTCGTCGATCAGCGCCGAAAACCGCTCGAGCACGGTGTAGATCTCGCCCGAGCCGAAGCGCACGCCCGAGGGATTCAGCACGCCGTCGCTGTAGAGCCAGAGCGCGCGCGTCAGCCGTGGAGAGAGCATAGGGGCATGGTAATCGGGTGCTGGTTACCTGCGACCGTAGATGACGAGACCGCGCGTGCGCGGGTTTACCGCGATGAAGTCGCCCTGGCGCCAGACCCCTGGCAGCACAAACGATTGGGCGAGAGCTGTGGCCTGCGCAGGACGCTACGTACCGGGATACACGTCGTAGTAAGCCTTCAGGAACTTGGTTCCCTTATCGTCGTCGCCCCAGAATCGCACGGGTATGGAGGGGTGCGGGCGAGTGCAGACCAGCTCGCCCGGTTGTCCGGTATGCTCGATGTTGTCGCCAAGCGGGCCGAACACCTCGACTTTCATGCCCAGAGCCTTGGCCTGTATTTCTGAGAGAGAAACTGGCGTGAGCGACGAGCGACGCTGGAACTGAGGCAGACATCTACCGCCCGCATATACCGGCAGCGTCGGCACGCTGGTGACGACTGCGGTAATGGATGGAGTCCACCGTATTAGCGAGATTAAGGAGCACGCGCAAATAACTCATTCTCACACGCAGCGCATATGTCGGTGCCCCCTGAGGAAGACACGATATGCTTCTTGGGTCCGAAAGAGGACTGCACCCATTCAAACATTGGAGACGTAAGAACTGCACCGGTGGACGCAATTGTGCGAAGGGCCTCGAATCGACCCAGGTCGACTACACAAACACCAGATGTGAGCACGTCATCAGCAATGCCCTATACAAGCCGGGAATCATTCACGAGGGTGGATACCCTGGCCTTGGACCTCGGCGAGGAAGCGCGGACTGGTGCCCAGCAGTGTTATTCTGGGCTGGGACGTCAGATGCGCTCTTTTAGAACCTTTGACACACAGTGGACTTGCCCCTCAGAATCGACGAACTTGAGGTACGCCTTGACGTCAGGGTAAAAAGGAGAACCGTCGTACAGAATAAGGCGCGCGCCGCACGAGAGGGCAGAGAGCATGTATGGCCACATCATCCAAGCCGTCTAAATGGGCATCAGGGACGTCTGAGTATGTGAATCTGGGAAAGAAGTTGTGTACCGTCGTGTATTGAAAATACGTGTCGTCGAGATCTAGACTGAAATGGATCGTCATGTCCTTCTTGCTTTGGACGAGCACACCCTGTAAACAAGGCAGATGGGGGCGAGATCTGGCGTCGGTCATATCTGAGATTGAAAAGTACGTACGCCGGCGGAATGAACGATGCATTTGGGAGGGCCGCTAGTGCCAGAAGAGTAAAGGATATACAACGGATGATTAAACGGAAGCTGTTCAAAGGTCAGGAGGTCGCCATCGCGCGCCGCCAAAAACGCAGAAAGCGAGATGCTGACCGAGATTGTTGACAGTCAATCTAGCTTTTCTGGATGAGGAAAAAAATAGGAGATCATACCCCTTCGGAATGTCGCTCAGAGCAGCACCATGCGTTTCGTTACCCGTCTTGACACTAGGCAGAAGGATGGCATGCTCAAGGCCGTGAGTGGTTAGATCTTTGGCTACGGCAGAGATCTTGGGTAGAAGATCGATTGTCTTTCCCGCATAGACCACCTCTGTTTCTGAGAAAAGCAACTTCGGGTTTATTTGGCGATAGCGATCTAATATCCCCTGTGATACGAAGCACGAGGTGAGAACATGAGAATGCGAAGGTCTCGAGCATGGTCTTACCTGAGTTCCCATGTCTGTTGCGGTCGAAGAGAATATCCCTCCGATGCTGGCCGTGGCTAGAGCAATGACAACCGCGGTCACATTGTTTGCGACAATCGCTATCAAAAGACGACGCGTGAGCTCATAGAACCAGAGAACAGGTCTTCAATATGGCTTGTCGCGGCCGGATACCGAGGAAGATTCAAGGCCCACGGGTGCTGCTCACCTGCGACTCGGTCGCCCACTTGCAAGCCTTTCGCCTTCATGGCGCCCGCCATCCCTTGGACCAGAGAGCGAAGCTGTCGAAAGCTGCAGGATGTGACCTTGCCGAGCTCACCCGTCGCCGTCAGGGCGATGGCATCGTCATTCCTCCACAAGAGATTCTCGGAATAATTCAACCTGGCACCAGGAAACCATACGGGAACCTCCTTGATATGACCCGTGATCATGATCTGAGGCACGAAGAGGTGAGCGTCTGCGGGCACAACAGTGACAGGAACGCAAACCTTTGTAGGAGGGGCGGAGTAGATGATGGCCAGAAACTGCCAGAGATCTTCCCAGAACGCGTAGTCTGAGACGGAGTACTCGTGCAAGTCGTGATAGTCCTCTGTACATCATATGGTGGATTCAAGGCAGGCATGCAGTCTGTGTGAACGTACTGAGGTTGAGGTTGCGATTCCTGTTGATCATGCGACGCAGGGCCTCCACCCTCGAGAGAGATGGTTGGATGGGGTTCCATATGAGGCGTGACTGGGAGAAGTGAGTGTCCATGGTGGGCTGAAGACGACGGACGTCAGCCAGCCCGGGGTTTATAAGGGCGAAGGTCTCAGCAAGGGATATTGGCTAGCCGGGGACTCCAGTCGGAGACGTAAACGAGGGCATCAGGTGACAGACAGCTGGTGACAGGAGAAAGCGAAGGAGGGATTCCCATGCTGGTGTCGACCGGGAGCCCTTGCGCCTTGCGCGACCGCGTCCCGAAACCACGTGTTGCACGTGCTCCGACGTGGTGGTCGTCCCGCACGAGTCTGGCGTGCACAGCGGAAACCCCACCTTCATCGCCATCTCTTGCGTCCGAAATACTTCGCGCACCTGCGCCTTTCATCTCTACAAAGACTTAGTCAAATAGCCTTCATGTCAGCGCCGGCCGCGCCCTCTTCAACAGCAACTCTCACTCTCCCATCGCCGACACCTCACGTCGCGCTCACCATGCAGAACGGGCACTCCGCCAACAGTCACCTCCCCGGGAGCTCTGACAGGGCACAGATCATAAACGACGAGAAGCAGTTTACGTTCGTACCCTTGCTCCGTCTCCGTCTTTCTGCGCTTGGCTGAGCGGCCGCACCTCTAGGACTGAACTCAACGCTCAGATTGAGCAGTGGGGCCTCCGGGACGTGGGCTTCGGCTACAACATTGTTTCGGTGTTCGGGTCACAGTCGACGGGGAAAAGTGCGTAGCTGCTACGGGCTCTCTACCTCTCCGACTCTCCGAGAGAGCTGGACCAGACCGCTAACGAATGATGGACGCGCGTACAGGTACGCTACTCAATCGACTATTCGGCACAAACTTCGACGTCATGGACGAAACAAAGCGACAGCAGACTACGAAGGGTACGTCTCCAGCTTGCACTGCTGTCACGTTGAGAATGCGCCTGCCCCTCTATTGATTCAAGCACACACACTCGGTGCTGGGACAGGGCAGCTTGACGCAGAGGCTTGCGCGATTCGATGTGATGCGCTATCCCCACTCTTTTCTTGACTGCATCGGTGTGTAGTGTGGGGCAAGCTGTCTATCACGTCTCCTTCACGTGAAGCGCATGCTTCTTTCGGAATTCACGGCGTGCGTAGTACGATGAGTCCAATGACGTTGTGCCATTGCAGGTATCTGGATGTGTAAAGGCCAAGACATGAACGTCATGGTCATGGATGTGGAGGGCACAGACGGGCGGGAGCGAGGCGAAGACCAGGTTTGTCGTAATTTCGGCTCCTCTCAGACGACGCTGAATATTTCGTAATGGCCTTTCTAGGATTTCGAGCGAAAATCTGCTCTCTTCTCTTTGGCATCTTCCGAAGTCCTTCTGGTTAACCTGTGGGAGCACCAGATCGGTCTGTACCAGGGTGCCAACATGGGCTTGCTGAAGACCGTCTTCGAAGTGAATCTCGGCCTCTTCGGGAAGAAGACTCAGGACAGGTATGTGTCCGCGGCCACACCGACCTGCTTCACGAAGAACTGAGCTTGTAACACACCTTAGCTCCAACCAACGTACCCTCTTACTATTTGTCATCCGCGACCACATCGGCACGACGCCGTTGGCCAATCTGCAAGCTACGCTGACCGCCGACCTGCAGCGCATCTGGGAAAGCCTGTCGAAACCTCCGGAGCTGCAGGATGTCAAGCTCTCTGACTACTTTGACCTCTCGTTCTCCGCGTTGCCGCATAAAATTCTGGCGGCGGATAAATTCGAGGAGGAGGTCAAGGCGATGAGACGGAGGTTTGTTGACAAGACGAAAGAAGACTACGTCTTCAAGTCCGCGTACCACAAGCGCATCCCGGCAGACGGCGTCGCCTTCTACATGGAGGGCATCTGGGTGCGTGGACTGCGAGCACTCAAGACGTAATTTGACACCGCATTTGTGCTGCAGGAACAAGTACAAACGAACAAGGATCTGGATCTGCCGACCCAGCAGGAGCTGCTGGCTCAATTCCGCTGCGACGAAATCTCCACCGGCGCGCTGGCCGAGTTCAACGAGCAGGCCAAGTCGCAGAAGCGGCCCGTCGAGGCGGGCAAAGTCATTCAAGGCCTGGGCGAAATGATGCGCACCTGGCGCACCCAAGCCTTATGTAAGTCCGCGCGCCGCGCCCAGACGAGCGAACGCTGAACGTGTTTTTTTTCTTGCACAGCGAGGTACGACCGTGACGCGTCGCGGTACCACCAAGGCGTCTACAAGCGCAAGCGCGCGGACCTCATCGCGGCGCTCGACTCGACGCTCTCGCCGCTCTTCGTCGGGCAGCTGAAGAACCTGCACAAGGCGAGCCTCGTCGCGTTCAAGAAGGAGATCCTGGACGGCATGCGCGTCGAGGGGTACAGCTTCGCGGACGTCGTGGGCAAGGCGCGCGGGCGGTGCGAGGCGCGGTTCGTCGAGGGCGCGAAGGAGGCGGTCGTCTCGGAGGAGGATGCGGCGTGGAACTGGGAGGAAGAGCTCGGGCTGCTGAGGGAGGAGGTCAGGAGCGTCGCGGACCAGCTCAGGAAGGACGAGACGAAGAAGATGGTGAACACCATCGAGGTGGGTGACGGTGTTGCGAGACGATGGGGCCTGTGCTGATGATCTGAATCGACAGCGCTCGTTCAAGAAGCAAATCTCGGAGCCCGTCGACCTCATCCTCAACAAGGCCGCCCCAGACATGTGGGACAGCGTCCTGCGGACGTTCAGAGACACGCTCGACAAGGCCGAGGCCAGCTACCTCGCCAAGGCAAAGAGTACGTTTTACAAACCGTCCCTCGATGCCCGACATCGCCTTGACGCGCTTTTCACGACAGGCTTCGACTGCACGGACGAGGAGAACGCGCTCGCGCTCGCGAGCCTCCGCAAGCGCGCGTGGCTCGCCCTGCGCGCCAAGGTCGACGAGCAGACGGCCGACAGCGTCATCCTCGGGAAGCTGCGCGCGTACTTCGAAGAGCGCTTCCGGTACGACGAGGCCGGCGTCCCGCGCGTGTGGAAGCCGGAAGACGACATCGACGGCGCGTTCAAGAAGGCGAAAGACCAGGTACGCCCTCCGACGGACTTCCTGCGGACGCTGTTTCGTTCGTCTCACGTGACCTCCGCCCGTGCAGACCCTGGAGCTCGTCCCCCTCTATTCCAAAATCGCGCCGACGGACCCCGCGCTCGCGTACGAGCCGCCCGCGGAGGGCGAGAGCGGCGCGCCGGAAGAGGAGTTCGACTACGCGGCGTCGCTCGTCGTGTTCACGGAGAGCAAGGCGCTCGAGCTCGGCGCGCGCTTCCGGCGCGACGCGGACGCGTACTACGTCGAGGCGAAGCGCAGCACGGTGTCGAGCGTCGCGCAGATCCCGTACTGGATGTACGGCGTGCTCGTCGTGCTCGGCTGGAACGAGGCGATGCTCGTGCTCTTCAACCCGTTCTACTTTGCGCTGACGCTCGTCATGCTCGCCAGCGCGTGCGTACCCGCCCTCTTCTCTCTCTCTCTCTCGCTCGCTCGCTTGCCGTCGTCCGCACGCTGACTGCCCTCGTTCCCGCCGTGCCCGCTCTAGATGGATCGCCATCCAGCTCCGGCTCGTCGGGCCGCTGCTCCAGCTCACAGGAACGATCGTGCACGAGGTCCGCACCCGCTCTCGCTCTCGCCTCGCCTCTCAATTTAATTTAATTTCATTCTATCTGTACCCCCGCGCAGGTCCGCCGCCAAGCAGAGACCCGCCTCCGCGAGCACTTCTCGGAGCCGATACAGGCGCAGGCCCGCGCGGCGCTGATCGCGCGCGACGGTGGCGACGACGGCGGCGACGGCGACGCCCGCGCGCCCGCGCCTCTCTGAGCCTGTGGAGTTCTTACGGAAGGAGGGTGCGCGAGTAGATAGCGGGGGTCGGGTCGGGTCGGGTCGCGTTACGCCTTGCGCGTGCTTCCGTTCGTTGGTCCGTTCGTTGGTTGGTTGGTTCGTTCGTTCGTTTAGACGCGCTGGGCGGCTGGCGCCCAGCCGCCGTGTATTTATCTTGCCTGCGCGGCGCCCCCACACACTCACACACACACTCACACACTCGCACACTCGCACTCACGCATACGCTCGTGCACACGGGGGCGCCTCGCGTGTAATTATCATGGATCGGACCGGACATGGACCGACGTGGGCGCGCGGCTGCGCGGCCGCGTCGCGCACCCCGTTGGGCTGAGGTGCGATGCGGCAGTGCGGTGGCCACAACTGAGTGAAACGGATGCAATTGAACGGGGCCCCGGAAACGCCCCTCCCCCCCCCCCAAAATCTGCCCGATCCACGTACGAAGGTAGCATGAACGCACGCGTACATGCACGCACGCACGCGTATGAATGATGGTAGATAGTAATACACTGGTCCTTCCGCTCCGTCGCCTTCGGCGGGCGCGGCACGACCCCCCAATCGCGCCGCGCGCGGCCACGGGCACGCACGCACGCACGCACGCTCAGCTGGCGCCGCAGATGGACAGCTCGCGCATCTCCTGCAGGACGCCCTCGACCTGCGCGTCGAGCTGGCCCGCGGCGTAGTCGTCGCGCACGCTATCGTCAAAGTACCTGTCGCGCGGGCGCGGGCGCGGGCGCAGGGAAGGGGCGGCGTCAGCCTGGGCTCGGGGCGCCCACGTCGAGGGAGACGGGGTTGGAGACGGGGTTGGAGACGGGGAGACGGTGCGCACCGCTGGACGCTGCTGAGCTTCTCGTAGCCCTCCTCCGCAAACTTGCACTGCATGCGGATCATGGCCTCGAAGCTCGGGTCGAAGTAGGGCACGCGCTGGTCGAGCAGCTGCGGGATCTCGGCGACGAGCTGCCCGTTGAGCATCTCGAACACCTCGCGTGCGTCGTCGAGCTCTTGCTGGGCCTGCGGTGGGGACGCGTGCGGATACGGACAGAAGGCGGTGAGAGCGTGCATGTGAGGGCAGAGCGTGGGGGGGGGGACGCACCTTTGGCAGCTTCGTCGGGTCGTCGCTCGGCTTCTCCGTGAGCTTGCGCGCCTTGCTGCGCGCCGAGTCAAAGTCGAGGAGCTGCGAGCCCACGAATGTCACGCGCGCCGCGCGGCGCGGGAGAGAAAGGGAGACGCGAGGGGGCGAAAGGGACGGACCTTCTTGTTGCGCTTCGCGATGTGCTCGTTGACGATGGGGAAGTAGGCGTTCATCTTTCCGAGGGGCTCCATGATGGTCGCGCGGTATGGGACGTCCTAGCGGCGGCGACGAGGGCGGCGATCAGCGCGGGCGCTCGACGCGACGCGACGCGGGGCGGGGAGAGAAAGCGGGGGAGCGCACCATCTCGCGGCCGATGCCGTTGTCGAGCTCCTCGACGTTGCGCTTGTAGGCGTGGGCGGCCATGGAGCCCTCGGAGGTGCGGTCTGCGGCGCCATAGAAGGTCTCGATGGTCTCGGCGAGGCGGAGCTGCGCCGCGGTCATCGCTGGGCACGCGCGCGCATACACGCGAGACACACACGGACACACGGACCCACGCAGACGGACATGGAGACGTGAGACAGCGTGCGTGCGTGCGTGCGAGCGAGCGAGCGAGCGAGGGAGGGCTGGGCGTCAGATTCGGCCGGCGGCAGGGACGGAGGGCAGGGGGTGATGGGGGTGATGGGGAGCGAGGACTGACCGCGCATGGCATCGAGGTAGCCCTTGCCGTCTTTCTGCAGGGCCTGGCACTCCTTCTCGAATCTAGGCACGGAGCGAGGCGGGGGAGCGAGAGCGGCGGCAGGGGTAACGTAAGGGGAGCGTGCGTCTGGAGTGGGAGAGAGCGCGGGACGCGGGACGCACTGTTTGTACTTCGCCTCCTCGGTGGCGAAGTCTTGGTCGACCGTGCGCTCGACCTGGCCTGCCTTTTGCAGGATCTGGGGGTGGGAGGAGGGTGGTGGTCAGGCGGGGGGTCGGAGTCGGGGACGGGGACGGGGGCGGGAAGCGTACGGTTGTGCCCGCCCTGTTCATGGACTTCTTGAATCTGGGGGGACGTCAGCGGCGGGAGCGGAGGACGGGTGGTGTGCGCGCACCCTGACCAGCTCATGTCGACGGTGGATGTGGGGAAAGGGAACGGGGAGAGGAGGGAGGGGGAGAGGCTGTCTGGCGGCCGAGTGCGGGTGGGAGTACGTCAGCAGTCTGTGCACGCGACGGGTCCGCTTTGGGACAGACACTGCAGATCCTCTCCCCGCGCAGGCCACAGCAGACCCGCCTTGCACTCGATGCACCTTCTGTTCTATGTCCACCGCCCGTCCACCGCCCTGATATCCCCTACCGTCGTCATTGCGCGCCCCCATCTGTCCACGTCATGGCCTCCACACTGCCATGGCTACCGGGCGCCCAGCGCGCCACCAGCGAGACTGTTCATGTAGAGGCGGCGGAATGCGAGGCCGGGGCATGCACGTTGGGGCACGCCCGAGCACGCATCGGGGCGCGGACACTTGGCATGGAATAGGCAGCCCTCTTCCCTTTCTCGTCGCCCAGCCCTCGCTATAAGTCCTCCGTGCCCTCCCCTGCCCTGCCCTGCCCCCTGTCCGTTCACTCGCCCATGCTCTGAGTCTCCGCCCGTCCCCATGTCCGTCCCCCACCCCGTGCCCCCCGCCCTCCTCCTCGCCATCCCCACTCTCTCCCTCGTCCTGCTCTCCATCCAGCTCTCCACCTTCCTTCGCTCCCGCTCTCTGCACCACTCACGACCCCCCCGCTCTCTCTTCGCCCATCGCCGCTCTGCCGCCTTCATACTCGCGTCCCTCGCTCTCCTCGCTCTCCTCTCCGCCGCCCTCGGTCTCTCCGCCTTCGCGATCCGCGCCCAAAACCCTTCCCGCTCGGCCGACCACGCCCTCGCCAGCCAGATCGCCCTCGCGTGTCTTAAATTTGAGCGTGCGTAGCCCCCGCTCTCGCTCTCTCGCAGAGCCTCACCTCGAGCGCAGTCGGTGCCGTTGTAATATACCTCCTCAACCACCGTGCCCTGGTCGAGCCCATCTCGCCCTCCACCTTCCTTGACTTTAATCGCATCCGCCTCTCCTCCATCGTCCTCGCCCTCCTTCTCACGTCCTGTAAGTCGCGCTCCTCACTCCTTCCCCTTCTCCCCCTCACCGCCCGCCAAGGTACCATCGCTTCCGTCGTGATACCCGCTCTCCACTCCCCCTACCCCGCAGCCGCCCTCCCCGCCCTCCTCTGGTTCCTCTTCCTCTGCCCCGCCCTCACCTTCTCCGATCTCCTTTACTTTCGCTCTCGCGCCCGCGCGTTCCGCACCCACGTCGACCCGCCCGGCTCGGGGCGCCTCTCGGCCGTCTGGCTCGCCCTCGGCGTCGCACAGGTCGCCGCCGTCCTCTCCGCCGCGTTCTCCGCCGCCCCGCCGGGCGACGACGCCCTCCGCGTCCCCGCAGCGCTCTTCACAGTCTTGTGGGCCGTGTTCACCTCGCTCGCGTCCCACGGTGCGTGTCCTTCTCCCCCCCGCTCGCTGTTGACGAGCTCACCGTGCTCTCGATCCAGCCCTCTTCTTCCTCCCCACCCACTCGCCCACCGCGCTCCCCCTCCACTCCTCCCCACCGCTCCCGCGCCCAGCCCCTGCCTGGCGCCCGCACTCGTCTCGCCCGCACTCGGCCCGCCCGCCCTCGTCGTCGCGCCCGCTCTCGCCCGCGTCCGTGCAGACAATGACGTCGGAGGACTTTACGCACCTGCACGACCCGTTCGCGTCGCCCCCGCCGCTCTCGCCCGCGCTGCACCCGCACCCGCAGTCCCCGCGGCAGTCGTACCGCTACAGCACGCCGCTCCCGTTCGCGTTTCCGCCGACGCCGCCGCCCGACGGAACTTCGTCGTCGCCGCGCCCGCAGGGGCGCGCGGGGCGGAGGGCGCAGAGCATGCGCGCGGGGTTCCGCGGGGGACGGCCGGGGGGCACGCGCCCGCGCGTGCAGAAGAAGGGGTCGGCGCGGCCGCTCGTGCCGCTTGCGTCGGTGTCGTCGTCGTCGCAGGACAGCACGTACGGGTCGGGCGACGGCGAGGGCGAGGGCGAGGAGGACGCGTTTGGGGACGGGGGGTACGCTGGGCACGTGGCCCACGCGGGACTCGGGGGCGGGGTCGGGCTGGGGCTCGAGCTGGGGCCAAGGGTGGGGGAGATGGGGGAGGCGAGGCGCGCGGGGGCGGGCGGAGGTGGGGACGAGGAGGATGCGGACGGGTTTGCGTTTGTGCATGGGAGCGCGCGGGAGGAGGCGCGGCTGACGCAGGTGCTGTTGCGCACGCTGGAGGAGGCGGGCGCGGGCGCGGCGGGCGGAGGGGGCGAGAGGCGGCGGTGAGGGACCGTACGTACTCTACCGCGCATCTTCGCACCACGCGTCTCGCCCGGAGCCGTCCGTCGACAGTCTCGTGTATGTACTTTTAGGGAAAATTATCATTATTGTTGTGGTTGGTACGTTGATCGCCGGGGTGTCCATTAGGAGTGCTCGCAGGGCCGGCGGTGCTCGATGGCGGGCGAGCGCTCAATCAGGACTTATCTGGGCCTGTACTGGAGCTTGGGAGGCAGCTCGATGGGTGGCCCGCCGTGCCAGGTCGGGTGGGGGCTCGGACGATCGTGTCCCCCCTGGGGCTCTGGGCCGTGGGGTGTCGAGAACGGAGCGCCAGGGGTCGCTGCTTCGGGACGCGCGAGTGGCGCTCGGTGGCGTCAGTGCGATTGCGATCCCTCGAGCAGGGTTGGGCGGGGACAGTCGAGTTCACGGGCCGAGCAAGACGCCAGACGCGCCCACAAATTAGTCTATACCGTATCCACACACACTCCACACACGCGCGCGCGCGCGCCGTCTATCCGACAACGCCACAAAAGTGGGAAAAGAAAAAAAAAGGACGGAGGGGAGGGACGGAGGGACGGAGGGCCCGCCGCGCGGCCCGCCTCTCAAAACGCGGCCCAGCTCCACATCGCGAGCGCAACGAGCACGACGCTCGAACACAACAACCGCGCCTCCTCCCCCGCCGCGCTGCGCTCCACCAGCAGCCCCGCGATCCCCGCGATCCCCGCGCGCCCCGCGCCGCCCCGCCCGGGGTGCCCCGTCGGCCGCATCTCGACCGCGTAGCGCGCGACCGCCCACGCGCCGCGCCCCGCCGCTCGCCCCGCCCACGCCCACGCGCCGCGCCGCCGCCGCCGCTCGGAGACGCGCAGCGCGATCGGCAGCCCGTGGTGGTCCGTCGCGAGCTCAAAGTCGGCCGCCTCGCGCACGCCCGGGCCCAGCGCCGCCTCCGTGCCCGCCTCCGTGCCCACCCCCGCGCTCGCCTCCGCGCCGTACATGCCCAACATGGAGGAGCGCGCGGGGGTGGGCGCGGCGAGGGCGTGCGCGCCCGAGGCGGCGGTGAACTGCACGGAGAAGGCGCGCAGGCGCGGGTTCGTGCGCGCGAGCGTCGCGCCGCACTGCGCGAGGGGCTCTTCGGCGGGGGACTTGATGATGCGCAGCGTGAGCGAGGTCAGCTTGCACAGCGGGCGGATCGTGCGCGAGAATGCGTCCTTTGCCGGCGGCGGCGCGCGGGCGCGTCAGTCGAGACGGGAGACGGGAGACGGGAGACGGGAGAAGATGCGCGGGGGGGCGGGGCGGGGCGGGACTCACGATGGTGAAGGAGGGCTTGCGCGCGCAGGTGAGGTCGAGGTGCTGCAGGTGCGGGCACGCGGCGACGAGCGTGCGCAGCATCCCGCCGTTGTCGTACCCGTGCTCGAGCACGAACGCGATCGTGAGCGACGCGAGCGCGGGCAGCGTCTGCAGCACGCCCGCGACCGCGAGCGGCGTGCTCTCGCGCAGCAATATCGGGTCCGTCACGCACAGCGCGCGCAGCGCAGCGCGATGCGGGAGCGCCTGCACCTGGTCGAGCGTCCCGCTGAACGCGGCGACGCCCGCGAGCGCGCCGCGGTGCACGGCCGCGAGCAGGTCCGGCGCGGACACGCTCGGCTGGTACCCGAGCAGGTGCAGCTGCTCGAGCGCGCGGTGCTCCTCCAAAAAGGTGATGAACGGGCGCTTCGCGGCCGGGTTCACCGCGCTGTGCCAGTCGAGCACGATGTCGCCCAGCACGAGCTTGCGCAGCAGCGGCCAGCGCCCGCGCGTCAGCCGGTGCGCGTCCACTGGGTTTTCGGGCGAGATCCCGTCGAGCACGAGCTCGCGCAGGCGCGGGCAGCGCTTGATCAGCATCTCCCATAGGCGGTGGTAGCCTGGGATCGGGTCCTCTGCGGGGGACGGTGAGCGACACACACAAGACAAACGGACGGACGGACGGCACGCGCCTCGCGACATGGCGAAATGCTGCAGGTAGAACCCGCTCTTGAACGTGAGGGAGAACCCCTCGAGGTCGCTAAAGTCGTAAAGCTGTGCAAGGAGACGGGATGGGCGCGCGGACAGCGCGCAGGGAGGCAAGCACGTACATGGCTCGTCGCGGAGGGCATCACCGAGCCTAGCGTCGTCCCAACATAGGCAAGTCGCGTGCAGCTGTCGCGGCACCCGCACCGATGAGGCGCCCGGCGGCACGGAAAGCGGGGACGAGACACTCACAAGACGCGCAGCGCGAACCACATGTCGTCGTTCGGCGGCAGCTCCTCGCCGTCCCACCAGAACGAGTGCAGCACCTCAAGCGCGACCGCTGCCTTGCGCACGGCCGCCGAGGCGCGGTAGCCGTCGCCGAGCGCCCTGCGCCCGCGCAGCGCGCGCGCGGGGTCGTGCGCGGTGCCGGGCGGGTCGGGGCTCACGCGCAGCCGGCGGACGTGCCGCGCGCGGTGCGGGTGGCGGAAGAGCATGTCGAGCGTCGTCGTGCACTGCTCGACGCCGCGCACGGAGACGGACGCGTAGAGCGCGGGCGTGAGGTGCTCGTAGATCCGCGCGGACTGCGGTCCCCGCGCCAAGGCCGTTGGCGAGGCGGACGGACAGGTTCGTGGGTGCGAGCGCGGGGGTGTTGGCGGCGGCGGCGGCGAGGCAGGCGAGATGGGAAGGGGAAAGACGTCATTGTCGATCTCTGGGTTAGTAGACGATGGGGGCTGCTTGCCGTCAGACACAGATGCAGGATCTCGGCGGGGCAGGGCAGGTAAGAGGCGATCTCGAGGAGGACGTCGCCGGGGACGGATTCCATGGTGGTGATGGGGGTGGTAGAGGTGTTGGGGGTAGAGGCGGAGGTGGAGAAGCGGAGCGGTAACCACCGTGCGCCAGTAGGCCTTAGGGCCGAAGGCGCCCGGGCTTTCGAGGCGGCGCTCTCCTGCATGACGCGACCACCCCTGTCTCACGGAAATGGCAGAGCACCCGTGGGTGTCGAGTTCAGCGCGACCCTCTCAGCCTAAATACCATCCACTGAGCTTCTACAGCTCCTTCCGCCCGTCTTGACGCCCCCTGATCACCCATCGGCAGTGCAGCTGATCCCGCCGCTTCAGGCTTCAGCTGATCATCATAGCAGGCGGTTCACCGCTCAGCGGCAGCCCGACGGTCTTCTTCTAGGCTTCTATTCAAATCACGGAGAGCTACCACGACAAGTACCCGCAAAGTACACACGTATTAGAAACAATAACAGAGCCTGTCAACGGTCCCGCATCAGCCCTGTTCGTACGTCCCCTCGACAGCGCTCAACGCTCAGTACCTGTTCCCGCAGGACGAGGTATCACAGGGGGGTCAATAAAGGGAGTAGGTGCGTATTCGGCATGACAAGGTGATGCCGCGCGTTTTGAATGATGGTGATGGCGATGGCGATGGAGATGGAGATGATGGAGGGATGCCGTCGAGAACACGGGTCGACGTTTTGGGGATCAAGATGGACGGACGGAGAGCATCAATGGAAGATGACAAAGACGCGCGCGAAAAGGGTAATGGCGGGGGTGCAAATGGATCACGACCTGAGACCGGTCAGCTTTTGTTCCATTCCGACGAGACGCGAGCCGATGCACGGGAGACGAGAGAAACGAAGACGCACATCTTATACTCCACGACCGTCTCTGGCTCGTCGCCGCATTGGTATCCGATCGTGATATCGAGGTCTCGGTTGTTCCGCGCGTTCGGCGAGCACTTCAACGTGCCCTTGATCGACTGGCCTTCCGAGATCGTGAGCGTCGAGGGCGTGTAGAAGACAGTTTGCCTACGGTGCGAAACGCAAGGTCAGAATTTCGTGCCAGCGAAGAAAAAAAACAGGAGGACATACTTCCAATGGGTATACTTCGCGTGGGGCCCGGTCGAGAACTGTACCTTTTTGTGTGTGCAGTCGAACGAAACGTCAAACCACGCGAGGAAGGCATGTACATCTGGCATATACGTGAGCAACGAAAGGTGAGTGGGATTCCGAATCAGACGTACAGTCGTTACGCGTTGCCTTCAATTCAAAGGCCGCGGAGAAATCCAGATCCTCTTTCTTTGCGGTCGTAAGGTCTATATGCTGAGGACAGTAAAAAATCAGTCAACGGAGCTTGTGACGTTTGGGGTAAAATCGCACCTTGATGAGGTATGGGTTCGACACGACTGACTTCAGTTCGACGGTGTCCACCAAAGGCTCCCTCAATGCAATGTCCTTGATGCACGAGTAGTCGAACCCGTAGACGTCGTCCCAGACTGGGCCATCCGCAAACGGATTAACATCTTCAAAGAACCGAACGAGGAGATACGCGACACACAGTTGATCTTCTCCTCCTTGTATTCCTGGTCCTCGATGGCAGCAAGATAGAGCATCGCGTGATCGGGGAAGATAAGGCCTCCGGGCTTAAGATACTTGTCGCGGGCGAGCAGAACGGTGTCGAGCATGGACTCGTACAGCAGGAAGTAGCCCATCCACTCCGAGATGATGATGTCGAACTCTTGGATGGGGAGCACAGCTTCTTCGAGTTTGCCCTTGACGAGGGTGATGACTGAGGATTGTGCGAAATCGATTAACATCAACGCAAACGGACAGCGTTCCTCCCACGGTGCGAGGATGCTCACCGTCCGAGAGCCCATTCGCCGCGACGATTTTGACAGCTTGATCGATGATGTTCGACATGTCGATCTACACAACACAAACGCACCCGAACGAGGAAATTTGACAAAGCGGTCCTGGAAGGGAACAAGGCACTGCTACGTACCCCGACGACCTGCTTTGCGCCCGCTTTGGCAGCGAACATACTGAGAATACCAGTTCCGCATCCGACGTCGAGGACGGTTTTGTCTTTGAACAGGTGCGCGTTGTTCACGATCGCGGAGCGGTAGGAGAGCGTGCGGACTTTGTCCTTGAGCATCTCTTCGTGAATACCTGCGGAAGCACGATGTGAATATGAGGGGAACCATCCAAGCAGTGACTTGATATGTCATGATCTTAATCGTGCGAAACGCAGACGTACCAAAGTGCGCGTACGAGTCGGCATAGCTGTCGAAGAAAGATGCGATGAGTCTCTTTTTTAAATGACGGATGTTTCGGAAGAGTGAACGCGGAATAGACAGAGCCTGTGCGGAACAAAGGGCAAAGAGCGACGGCACATACTAATCCCTGGATGTCATGCTCTCTTGATGACCAGAAGAAGAAGCGCCGTCCATATTGTTTTATTGATCGTGAGGAGCGGCTGAGTTCAAGTTGAGTCGATAGAATCCGACGTCGAGCAGAGGGAAGGGGAAGATGGGAGAGGGAGGATAAGGGTAGAAGGCAGCCACTTCCAAAAAACGACTGCAAGAGAAAAGAAAAAAACCGATCGCATCTCGGTCTCGCACGTGATGCTGATTTGACCTCAGATGACTAAGCCTATCTTCCAACTCGAGCCCAGCTCAGGTGTGGAGTGGAGTGCTGCGGATCCGCCTAACAGGGATGTTCACTGCCTCTTGCTTGCTACTGCTTGCGTGGACGGCCAGTCCAGTCATCCTGACACACCCATCCATTTGATTTCACCCGTCCCTTATATACCGGCAAAGGAGAGCGCAGTCATGATCAACAAAGACGCAGACGACATGGTGCGTAGTCCAGCGACCGCCAGTTCTTGTGCCCTTACTTACCCCACGTTCCTAGACGAATACCTACAATAACGTTGCTCCCTTGACTGCGATAGAGAGCCCACCAACCTACGAGCATGCGACTGGCAGCTCTAATACGGATGGCGGAGGTAAGCAGTCGCCTTTTTTCCGCCTCTTCCGTTGCTCCAGCCTTACATTGTTCGAATTCAGTAGTATACACCGCCCCAAAGCCTAATACGCCTCTACCGCAGAGCGCCGTCGATGTAAAGCTACCTCTTCCTGTGGGACTCCCAGGTCCCCATCCGCCGATGGCCTACGAAGCAGTCTTGGGCGCCGGGCCCTCGATGGGCCCAACTTCGGTCTATCACTATATCCACCCCATCACCGGCGACCGTGTCATTTCACTACTTCCGCCCAACGACCCCAAGATGGTCTGTCTTCAGGAAGGGGTGCATGTGAGGGAGACACGGTACGGGATCTTAGGTGCGTCGCTTCCCAATTCTCCATATATCCTCACGTCGATGATTAAATTAACGCTTTAATACAGGCGTTCTGGCCGCGGTATTCTGGTTCCCGCTTGGCATTGGCCTCTGCCTTTTGGACAGAAAGATCACGTGTAAACGGTGCGGGGCAGTAATTGAGGACGGTTTGTGCAGCTGAATTTTTCGGCTCGGAGTGTATGGACATCTGTGTATTTCTGCGTGTAAGCATCTTCTTGGCTTGGCTTATTGTATAACATTCTTCCTCCACCTTTCTACCATCGCGCGCGCCGATATGCACAGTTCGCACGGTTTCATCGCCTTTGATCACCGCAGTAACTCAGTTGAGCCCCCAAACATCATCCTCAGGGATGCGATCCAAAGTGCCGGCATCAGTGACTCCTTCTCTCACCGTGACTTACAAAGAACATTTATTTGGGATCTGGAACTTGCTCTCCAAGCTCTCCACCGGCGGTGCCAAATATGTATGTGTTTTGGGATCGTGCGATTCGCTTGGGAGGCTGATTGAATGCTTCCCAATCTGCCTATCCCCGCTACACATTCAGGCCATGGTCATGGGCGCTCGATGACATGATCTGTCGAAAATTCGCCTGTATACCCGCCTTTACTCAAAGCGGACTGAGCCCATTCATGACGATGCCCGCAAGTCAAAAACTTGGGTTCGCGAAATGGCGCAGAGAGCAAAGCTTCCCCACGGAAGGGTTGGCCGGAGAAAATAGTTTTACACTCTTTGGCAGGAACTTGACAGCTCTCGACTTCTCCAAAGCTTCATCTGGCGATGTGCCCCCAGTCATGGGCATTTTTTCCGGAAGGCATGGAAACAGCCGACATGCCAGGCTCTGAAACATTGTGGAAGGAAGGCCGTAAAAAATGACCGGTGGGAGTCGCAAGTGAATTGCCGTGCACGAGGCTTCTGCGTGGCCCTGCGACTAGGCGAGATCCACAAGAGGACCCCCATATATCTAGCCAAACGTATGATTTTCCCACGGTAGTACGAGGGCGCGCAGCGCCCAAGCTCTGATTTTTCCCAGTAGTTTGAGGACCCAGATTTTGTCCGAGGACTCGACCCTTTTTTGGGGGTATGATACGGTCAGAATCTGGGAACCTACACGGAGCTAGGTCGGAACTTGAATGACACTTATTTATGTAAAGCCCACCAGGGCCGCCAAGAGGCGGTGAAAATTGTGTTCGATGATCTGTAGAGATTTAGAGGAAATGCGACGATCTGTATTTTTTATTGAGTATGCAAACTGCATGCTACGACCCGGGTGCGTTTGGCGCATCGTGTATCAACGAAAATGCATGTTATGGGATGACGTGTATCATGAAGCTCGAACGCTCAATCGCTCCACGTAAGTCGAGACAAAAACGTGTTGCGGTACTAGAACCAGATGGAAGCCAAGAAAAATTGATTCTGAAGAATAAAAAGAGACCTTTTTTTTGGATGAGGGGCTAAGCAAGTTTTTTTTTTCCAAAAATGGCAACCGTTTTGCGGATGTCTGCTGAGGCCATGAGGTGCCAAGGGGTGACAATATGTAAGATAAATACTGTCGCATCACTTCGTCGAGTATCAAGCCCACAGCATCGGGCCACAGATAAGGGAGGATGCCCGAGGGAGCCAAAACGTGTATTACAAACAGAAAACCATATGAGATTGCTGGAGATCTGGTTGCCAGACGAATTTACGTTTGCATTCTGAGCTTTGTAACGGCGTTGCGGGAGCGGGTCTATGTAGGTCGATATATAGTAAAGGGTTCTGAGTACTGAGATCTGAGAAGCGAAAGGAAGCCGGAACAGAGTGCGAAGGAACAGAAAACGTGCGCGAGGAGCGTTAGTTCATTCCGGAGCGGAAAGGCTGTCGGGATGCCGGAATCGGGAGATTAACATTTGGCGATATGACATGCAGCTGTCAGCGCACGTGGGAGAGATGGAAGGACAGATTTAAGCACTTCCTTGCCGAACGCGCATGACGGAGACCTCCGAGATTCAGGGAAGCTGAGGCCACAGAGAAATACTCACTTACGAACGGACAAGTCGAGGATCGTTGTGATGGTTTGGGAGCTTTCCCTCAAGAGGAACAAAGTCCACAGCCCACGTGGGGAAAAGAAGAGATCGTGACACCAGCTGTGTGACGTGACGATCATTGTGAAGGAGCCCTGGCTAGGGACAACCGTGATACTCTCCGAACTCTCCAGCCCTCCCTCCACTATTCCTCTCTCGCACTCAACCTTTCGCCTTGGATCCCCCACGCCATCTGCTCTGTCCTATGAGCTACTCCGACCGCAACCATCTCTTTCTCGATCCCTTCGCTCCAAACAATTCGAAGAGATCTTTCCATCCCCAAGGCCAGCTTAACACCGACCAGCCTAGCACCCCCGAATTCTCCCCAACCGTCCGTGCTCCTCTTGCAACAATCGACCAGAAAATTCTGCCCCATATTATAGATCACATGGCCTCACCATCTCACCCCCAATCTTCCTCAAGCCCTGCCCAGGATCTTACCTCTAACGCAGCCAATTTAATCGGCAAGCCCATCATGATTAGACGCCCCTCTTCTACCGTAGAGGATACTGCCTACTCGAGCAGCAGCTCTCAGCGCTCCGTTCAGCGCAAGCGCTCCCAGTAAGTCCAGTGCCCAAATTGCTTTGGACAGCCCTTTTATCTTGGAAGCTACCGTATCCTTTTCCGGCTCTTCTATTTCTTCCGCCTTCTTATACGTTCGTCTTGTGTGATCAAATCTTTTAGCGGTATCAGACGGTATCATGATCAGATGCTCCTGCCGTCTGATGCCAGTGCCATGACATTTTCCGGTCCACGGTTGCGGTATTTTTTACCTTCCTGGACCTATGTCATTTATTTCGATAATGTCTTTTCGCCACGTACTGCCAGTACCATCCCTCTGAGGTAGCAAGCATCTCCCCGCAGGTGCTTGTCTTCCCCTTTGCTTCACGAGGCTTTTACGACAAATGCACCCTTCGTGCGGGCCAGTGGACAGCATTTCGTCAGAGTATACCTCAATTCCCTTCGTAATCGCAGAAAATGCCGTTGGCCTATTACTTACATGGATGGTGGAATCACCTCCTTTGTCGGGACCGAGATTCTCGGCAAGCTGTTCTTAGAATTGTTTCAAAGCACGGGCAAATAAACCCGACTAGATGGCCAAAACGCCTCGTTCATCTCTTATTTCTCTGCTATTATTCCGTTTCGCCTTTTCTTTTTTGCATAAAGTCCCCTTCTGAACTCTCTTTTCGCATTACTCAACACTCATGACACGCTTGCTTCCTTGTATACCTTCAGATCGCACATGGCGAGCCCAACACGTCCACTGCCCTATCCCCCAAGCAAGCCTGCACGCCGCCCCTTACACACGCACACTCAATCTGTATCCCCTTCCGTGTCCTCCCGGCGCACCTCTCTGCCAGCCCTCCACCTTCACCCACCCACGACTCGTGCTACCACCCTCGCTTCAGCAACCTCCACAAAAGCCATGGCGGACGATGCAGAAAACATGAACATCAATGATTATTATACTTACTCCGCCCTTTCGACGTATACGTTCGGCGCAGCAAGCACGCCGCCTCGTGCACCACACGGCACAGATACTCTGAGCCCCCTCACCGTCGCGCCCGGCGCCGAGGGTAGCGGTATAGGTAGCCGAGATCGCACACCTCGACATTCGATTGTTCACATGAGTGACGGCGACGAAGATGACGAAGAGGTCGTGCGCCGAAACAGAGCAAAGATGCGCGCCATCGATGATGGCCAGCGGAGGCCTTCTCTACCCACCAACGTTTATTCCACTTCAAGACCTCTGAACGACTCCGTTATCGATCTATCGGAATCTGTGCGCGAGCGGCCGACAGGCACCGCTGCCAGAGAAGATGCTGAACATAAATCTCGTCGAGGTGTAACCGATTCTGATGCCGGCCATGATTCAGGAGCGTTGGATACGGACGTTGAGCTCGAACAACTTGCACCTGATACCGCTTCTCAACACACCTTTGGCCGCCGTGACCGACGCCCTCAGGGGTCTCGAGCATCTGCGTCGCGGGTGCCGTGGGATCTCAGCTCAGACTCTGAGTCGGACGCGGAACGCCAGTATGAGTCGTACGTGGTCGATCCCGCAAAACGCAGCAAGTATGGTGCGTCACCGGTCACGTTCGCTCACACGCTTATGAGCGACGAGGACGAAACACTGTCTGCCACTTCTGAAAATAATACCTCACTCTCCATCATTGCCGGCGGCCGACGTCCCAGCCTTCCTGTCGCGATACCTGGGCGCACGCCACCTGCCAGCGCGTTGGGCTTCGACCTCGGTGACGACGGTATGCGCGAACGCGAGGGGAGCATCGCAACACTTCGACGTCCGAGCCGCAGTCTTGACGATGATCTCCGGGCGTTCAACGCGGGTGCGACGGTCGCCGGTGCTCTTGCGACTAGCGAGCCTGTGTCGCAGTTGGACTGGCGTGCGTTTGAGCAGGAAGTCGAGATGAACCGCCAGCAGCCGCCACAAGAAGCTGGGAACGTATACGAAGGATTGAATTTGGACTACATCTTGTCTGCGGGCATCCCGGGCTCACGGCGATCCTCCAACTCATTTATGATGCCACTCCCACTTCCTGTGCCGCCAGGCAAAGGCAAAGGGAAAGAGAAGCGCAAAGACAAAGGAAAAGACAAGGAGAAACGTAAACTGAAGGACGACGCTGCTGGTGAGCCCAGTTTTGGTCCTCGCTTAACATGTCCAAATCAGGTTTAATTGAACTTTTCTTCTTAGCACTGGCCCTCGGAGAGTGGGCGAGCGCCGCTGGCCCGGCTTCTGCATCTGCTTTCGCGGAGATTGCACCATGGGCAATGTCAGGAGAAGGACGCAGGCCAAGTACGGTGACGCTGGGCGATGATACGTTCACGGGCCACGTCAAAAAATTCGATGCAGGTTACGATCAGAGGAGGGCCGAGTGGACTTTCAAGCGGGAGCTTTCGACAGGTCCATCGTTGGATGCAGCGTTGAAGAAACGAGACGACAATAGCGGCTCTGGCAGCCCAAACGTTCAAGAAGTCTGGAGGTGCGCGCAAATTGGTAGGATTCGGCTGGATCGATTATCGGTGGGGACATGTAAGTCATATCACCTTGTGCCTTGAGGCTTGTACATATCTTCGCCTTCGCGTTTGTTTCAGCTGACCCAACCAAGCCACCTCAACAACGCCTGAACGTACAATTCACCACTGACAGCTCTTCCCGAAACACGCTCGGCGGCCCCAGCAGCATAGTCCACAAGCATTCGAAAGCAGCAGCATTTTCAATCTTCCGGAGTTACGGCATCCTGGGACATCGCAGCGCAGAAGGACTCCAATCACAGGCTGCCGGCCCTCATGGAAGCCTACCCACCTCGAGCAGTGTCCTTCTGGCGTTAAAGCGCGTTCAGGAGCAATATACCAGCACCAAGTCGACGAAGCTTCTCAGTACCCATGGCCTGCTTGAAGAAAAGAAGGGCGACGAAAATAAGACCAAGGAACGAGCTTTGGATTCCAGGAGGCATGCGCAGACACTTCCCATCACACCATCGGGCCCTATTGTGCCTCGCATCGGACAACAAATTATCCCTCGAGGCGCGGCCGCATCTAAGCTTACTCGACCTTCCACCTCATCGTCTGTAGCGGACAGTCAGGCTGCATCTACTTCTGGGCATTCGTCCTTTGACGTCACGCGCACAACCGAATCGGCCACCTCCCATGCGAGCACTGAGGCCATTTCTCGCACGACACCCGAAGCACAGCTATCTCTTACCCACATGGCATCGTCCACCACGCATGCGGACTCGAACGACAGTGATTCTGATGACTTGAACGCTCAGGTCGCAACACGAACTTCTCATGCCGAAGCATTTGCCACCCTTGATCGTGAATCTTTGGAACAGTACCGCACACGACACTTGCACTTGGCTGAGACACCACCGTCTGTGACCGGCTGGCTGAAACGCCTGCGTGGCCCGTTGTCTGCCACCCGCTCTGCACAACCGAACTTCAATCCTCCGTGGATGACGCTAGCGCCGCGCACTACTCAGGAGCAGCAAGAGCTGGTGATCCAGAACCTCAACGAATCGTTCAAGGATGTTGGATTGCTTCCTTCCTACAGGAAGAAGGGCGGCACAGGGTCCGGAAGAAAGGGTCGTAGCAAGGCGGGCGACGTATTGGCTCAGGTCCCCGAAGACTCACTATACATGCTTTTGCCCCTCTGGCCCCGTGAAACAGACCCAGTCAGCACAAACGTGGAGCCGGTTGGCGATCGCTATTACCTGTCTCCAATAGAAGAACGGCTGTATCTACTGGTCTATTACGTTCCCTTCGCGGATCGCAGCGGAGGCACCGGTGGTGGTGGAGGGTCTTCCGGCAAGAAACGCTCGCGCTCTGTGACTCGTCGCGGCGAGCCTGGTCATTCTCCTCATCTTAGCAGCCGGTCGGTTGTCCTCACCGCCTTCCGTGCCATCGCTCGGCTCGTCACGTACGTAGACCTTCGGGGATCAGGCGTACGTTTGCCCAGTCGTGGAATGGCGGTCTCTGGTCCGTTGGCAGCAGCGGTGCGCGGAATCCCGTCTGCGAGCCTGCGGGACGTCCACCATGGCGAATACGTCATTGCAGTCTGCCAGAAGCGAGATCACGGCGTGGAGATCGTGCCAGAAGGTTTGGAAAAGTTGGGCTTATGTGAGCCGAGGACGCAGGCAACGGTGTTTGCTGGCGCGGGAGGGGTAGCGCACCCGGCGATGCAGGTGCGGGATCCGGACATGGATGCGATGAATGCGGACCCGCAGCCGTTGACGGCAATTGGGAGGGCGGCGGTCGAGATGGTGTGGTTGGGGTGCATGGCTGTCACGAGCTTTCAAGGATATTAGGCTCTGAAGCGCCTGGTCCTACGTTGAGAGAGAAATGGACAGGTATGGACATAGATGACGGCACGAAAATTCACTGACTCAGGGTCAGCAATGAGAGATTACGACCACCATCACCTTCCTTCTGTTTTCACCAGGCTCTGTATACCCGAATCTGTACACATTATGGAAAGCGGGGAGAAATCCCGGCTGGATATGTCTTCGACTACTTACACACTGAGTATTTTCAGCTACGTTAACCACTGGTATCGATAAATGTACAGTGTAGGGAGCGTGGTAGGATAGAACGTCCTTTGTATTTTTTTCGCTTGCGAATATTCCCGTATGATTCATTTGGCTGTGTCTTGCGCAGCAGGAGGCAGTGTTTTGGAGTGTTTGGTTCTGCCCTGGGTGATACGTGGCGGGCTACGTGGCAAGCTTTCCTCACGACTACCACGTACGTCCTGCGCCAGTCGCAGTCTTCCCTCTCCCCTACAAGTTTCGCCCCTCCTTTGTCCGTTCTCCTCCACGTAGCACCCACGTAAATCTCCCCGCCATGACACGCAAGAACATTTCTTTCATCGATCCTACCACCATCTCACTCCCGTCTCCTCCTTCGGAGACACCAGAGTCCTCGACCTCGGCCTTACCCTCGATCGATTCACCCTCCCCTTCCTCCTCATCGTCTGCCAAGTCTCGTCCTCATCCCACTTCAGATGGACCCCCACGCAAACGTTCCCGCACTGAACTCACCTCGGAGGAGCGCAAGGAAGCGCGCGCACACCGTAACCGGATAGCAGCGCAGAACAGCCGTGACCGACGCAAGGCGCAGTTCGTCGCTCTCGAAGACCGCATCGCCGAGCTCGAGACCGAGAACCGCACGCTCCGCTCCAGCATGGGAATCGCTGCTCTCCGAGAGAACGAGGACCAGAAGGCCGCTGAGCGTGCCCGTGAGCGCGAGAACCAGGAACTCCGCGAGCGTATCCGGGTGCTTGAGTCGGGGTGGGACGCCATTGTAAAGGCCCTGCAAACGCACGGACTTCCCCCGGGCATACCCTCGGCTGTCGGACTCCCTCAGCTCCAAACCCCAACATCCCATTCCAATGAGCTTCACTCACCATCTATGGCCCCTTCTTCAGCATCCTCATCGACATCAACAACGACCTCATTCCCCGTTCTCATCCCACCATCACCCGTCTTTCCCCTGTCTCCCTCGCCTTCTCAATCTTCCGTCACGAGCATGTTCGAAGAGTACGAGCCCACTCGCCACCTAGCACGGGTGGCGACCACCGAGGTTAATCCCTCGGTGTCCCAGCAGCGGGTGAACTCGCCACTCATACACATGACTCGTTTGACGCCTCTGGCCTTGACTTCAGTCTCGACCCCTTCGGCGAGTTGGCGGCCCCGTCGTCTCCCGTCGACGAAGCCGCGATGGACGATCTCTTCCGCGAGATTCTCGCGCCTTCCCCGACGCTGTCTTCCTCAGCGCTTCCGAGTGCTGAGCTCGCAGTCGCGCCCGCGGCGGCGGTAGGTGTGCCGATGTGGACAGGGGAGACTGTAGAGGACCGTGAACGCGAGAGGAATGCCGAGGCGGAGGCGGAGAGGGAGATGCAGAGGCTGCTCGATATGCTGCCTACCGTGAACGGTGACGGGATGTCGATGAACGTGGATGGTTTGGGCATCCCGTCGACGCTGGACTTGGATATCGGCGCGTGGGATTTCGGAGTCAACGCGCCGGTGTCTGTGAGTTCACAAGTTTTCTGAAGGACACGGTATGGTATGGCAGGGACACTAGAGCGGTTTCGCGTTTTTTCTTTTTACTCTCACCTCATCTAGGTCTCTCTTCTCTTGTTATTTATCGTCTCATCTCCGGTCTCAGCTCAGCTCATATGGTTTCCCCTTCACTTATTTTTCTTTTCTCTCTGATATTGGCTTGATCCCTCTGCCTTTTGTCTGTCTCCTTTCTGTCAGATCTATCTTCCGTCGATTCTTCGTACGGTACATTCTTAGCTACGGGTCCTTTTGCCTTGGGTGGGCCTCTGCTTGCTCCCTTGCGTTGCTCATTCGTTTCTCCTCTTCGGGGTTGACGAAATGTGTGGGTGCGTTGGGTGAGCGCGGGGTTTGTCTGGGACAAGGAGGCCTGTGTCTTGATGTCTTGTCGTAGAGAGATGCGTATGGTAGACTAGCAGTAGGCGCTGAATAAATGGTTATGGGTTTGTGTCAACCTTGTGTTCATTTTGAGGCAAGACGTGTGCACATGACCCGCTTCGTGGTATGTTGCTCGTCCGGCCTTAATTGATCACTCAATAGTAGTCTGTGAGTCTGTGAAGGTCTGCGATCGCCACGTATTATCTTCCCGCCACGATCGAACTGGGAGACTCCACTAATGCACACAAAAAGTCATACGGGTCACGTTGCCCGGAGAAGACAACGGTACAACACCATTCTTGTACACGTTTTTACTGACGTATGTATAACATAAAGGTTCGCAAGATGAGCAGGTGGCTGGCAACGAGGGGGTTGGGGTGACAGCGCTCAGATATAGGTGCCGTCGCGTCAAGCGAGACGAGACTAGCGCGACGCAGTCTAGTCGGCGTGCATGTCGTCGTCGTGCACGACGAAGGAGTCCTCATTCTCGTCGTCCTCCGCCTCCGGCTTGAGGCCGGCCTTGCGGAGGGCCTCCTCGGACGAGTAGTCGACCTTGACGCCGCGCGTGCGACGCGTGCCGGGCGCGAGGATCGCGGAGGGATCGATCTCGTGCAAGTCGTCATCCTGCAGGTTCGGACGTGGCCATAGTGGGGGGAAGGGACAGAGTGGCAGAGGGCAGCGCGTGAGTGCGTCAAAGGTGATGGCAAGAGGGGGACGCGTACCTCTTCAATGTCGTCCTCCTCTTCCTCTTCTTCCTCCTCCTCTTCTTCGTCTTCGTCTTCCTCCATGGACTCGTCAGCGGGGGCGACTTTTCCCTTGCCTTTGTTCGCACTGCCGTTCGCGGGCGACGCGTCCGTCGCGGGTGCAGTAGTAGATCTATACGCGTTCCAGAAGCGTCACTGATGTGAGCACGACGGTCAGTCCGTAGAGACGTATACTGACGCGGTGTGAGAAGGCGTAGTAGCGTTGGTCGACATTGTCGATGCTTTTTGGCGTGTGGATGATGGTTTGGGTGTGAAGGATGTGCAAGCGCCGAACGCCGAGTTGAGCAGAAATGAATTGATTACATTATTCTCACGGCAAAGTGACGTTACGTCGAATCATGTGCCTCATGTCACGCGTATGAATTTGTGTGTCATCGTCACAGATGACGAACGCATCACTGGGACATCTTCACGGTCAAGGGGCATCGCACGCACCGCGCACAGTTGCAAGGCACAGACATGCAGAGATGGCCCCCCTTTTTTGCGCGCTCGCATCGCCTGCAGGCTTTGCTGTGACATTTCTTATCTGAGGACCGTGGTGGCCTGCCGCTCGCCGTCGACAGCGTCGATTTTGTCAGACGAATATGAACTCGGCGGAATGGCGGATTGCACGGTCTCCGGATGTCCCCACCGCGCAGTAGCGCTGCAGGGGTAGGTAAAAGTAAGCAACTATAAGCAAGGTGCCTGCGTCCGTGTCAGTGTCTGCAGACATGAGTCCAAAGTGACACGGCCAAGGGCGCGGCCTGACTTGAGGGCAGAGTGCGGCGATAGCGAGATGAACGGGCCGTCGGGAGAGGCGAGGCGGTGAGGAGAAGCGGAATCAGACTTTGGGAGCGTGAATACGAGGATATGCGATGATGCAGTGATATGATCGTCTCCCGGATTGCGTGAGGCGCTGCAAGCGGGTTGCGCGAAGGAACCAAGTGGGATCGTGCGTGGGCGCTTGGGGGAGCCGGCAGGCTGGTGCTGCATTTAAGTTGGATGGAGAACGGACACCATGGATATTTGTCTGCGCGGCGCATGCACGCACTAGAAGAAGCGGACGGGCGCTCCTAGCCTGCGACATGCGCGTTCTCCGTGTCTGTCGATTGGCAAGTGTGCAATAATGAGCGGCGGGCGCGGGCACGGGGAGACGGGGGCTGAGGCTGGAAAACATGGACAACGTCGTGTGGAATGGGAACGAGAGCGGGCGGATGGGAGAGGAAAGGCTCGGTCGAAGAGGCGAGAGGAATAGAAAAGGAGCAGGGGAGAGCAGGGGGGGCGAAGGATCGAAACACCGGGCGGGAAAGCCAGGAACGCGCCGAATGGCTCCGCGGGAACTGTATCCAAGGCTGCCGCATTGGGACACGCTGCTAATTCTCAGACGCGACTCCAAAGCCATTTGTTCTCTCTCTCTTCTCTCTTTCTCCTCCTCCTCCCTCCCTCGTTATTCCCGCAGGCTCAAGCCAGCTTCGAGCGCTTCCTCTCTCTATGGTCAAGCTCTCGCTCTGGGACAAGGAAAAATCCCCTGCCGAAGGCACTTCTTTCACACCCACTTTCTCCTCCTCTAGTAAACGCCCTAGGACCGCGCCTGCCGCCCCATCCTCGTCCTCTCTCCCGTCCCTCCTTCGTCTAGGATCAGATGCTCCTCCACAGCCAGAACTCCCTCCGATCATAACCCTCAAGCTGTCCTCACCGTCCTTTCTCGATTCGGTCGTGCACGATGGCCTTTCCGACAACCCTTTGTATGTCATGGAGACCCAGGACAACACAACAAAGGTCCGACGCTCTGACCCAAAAGGCTTTATTAACGTCGCCCGCGTCCGATGGCGGCAGGACGCAAAATCATCCAGAAAGAGCAGGGAATTGGTTGGTATACAGGTCGCCTTTGGAAAAGGTCAATGGAAGCCTGCAGAAGAGTTCCTCGGCTACTCGTATGGTTCCCTACTAAAGTGCGTCGTATCCACGCCCATGCTCCTCATCTATATTCAATCATGCTTCTGCCCCCAGCTATCGCAAGTTCTATCTCCCCCACCACCCCCACAGCATGCGATGGAGACGAATCCGGTCCATATATTACGTGAGAGCTTTATCGTACCCTCACCTGGTCCTTCACCTCATTCGGCCCTTCCAGTGCACGACTGCGAACGTAAAAGGTCCAGTAGCGATCCTCGAGCCAGCTATTCTCACGGCCCCTCCTCAGCTGAAGGTCTTCGACCCCCTCCACCAGCCCGATGCTACGCGTCCTCAAAGGACCCACGGCGGGGTACCCCTCAGCCTCCTTGACTTTCTCCTAGTAACAGCCATGCTTCTCACCACAGACTCGGACGAGTGGACAAACGTCACACGCGCGCCGCCCAACACCAGTAGAGACCCCCCCGAGGAGCAAGCCGGCCCGAGCCGCCCGTCACGATACTCGCAAGGCTCCAGCCTCTCGCTCTCCTCCGCCGGCGCGCCCTCGACGCTGATCGTCCCCAACACGTCCCCCGAGTCTGCAAAAGCGCCCGCGATCGAGCGTTGGCGGCATACCGTCCCCCCACTCCGTACAGAGTCGCCGGACATCCTGCGCCCGGGCAGCCCAAATAGCCCTGTCCGCACGTCGCGTGCGAGCCAGTCGTCCGAGTCTACAGACCAGCTCTCGACGCCCGCCTCTCCTGGCCCCATGCGCCCATTCTCGCTCCACTCGCCTTCATCCTCGATGTCCCAACGCCAGCGATACTCGTCCCAGCCTTCGAGTTCAGGTCCGCTTTCCACGCGCGAGCTCCCCGTTCCACCGATCCCTGTAGGCACGCAACCGCGGCCGGACCAACCCTGGCTCGCGGGCAGCGAGTCGCCAGGACCCACGTCGGCGCCGACGTCATATCCCTACGCGTCGATGCACGGGCAGTCAATACGCGTCTCTTCCTCTTCATCCTCACTGCACATGGTCGGGCGCTCGCTCCCAATAGTCCCGATGCCGACGCCGCCCTCTGCAGCAGAGCCCCCCGCGCAACGTCCGCGACCAACGAAGGCGCCCCCCAACTATCTTGCGAGCGCACACGACAGTGCCGTGGAGGGCGCCGTGGTTTCCATGCACGGTCTCACGGTACAGGGCGCGGGAGAGATCGCGCGAGATCCACCACCCGCATACAGCGCGATTGATACTCGCACAGCGCCGGCGCCGGCGGTGACAGTGACAACGACAGCGGCACCTCTCACACTCACGGCGCATCCGCCTCTGAGAGCCGTCAACGGCGATCCCGATACCGAGTGATGCGCGCCGAGACGACTCAGTGCCGCATGGATCTCACCTGTCGATCTACCCAACCTTAATCGCTTTTCTTTTGTCCTGCATATGTTGTGTCTGCGTTCATTCCTTACCCTTTCACCCGCGGCTAGCGGCCCTGGTTGTGTTTGGAGAACAATGCGAATCCCACCCCACCCTATTACGTCTTCCTCTCTTCGCACCTCTCGTTTTTTTGACTCTACCGAATATCGTATCGCCTCTGTTGGATCGACTCATTCTGCCTGGCCCTCGTTGTCCCCTTCTCCCTTAGCGCCATATATCCCACCTCTGCGTATGCCCCTCGTTCTCGACCAAATGCTACAGTTCTGTGTAATCCCTGTCACCCTCATTTCCGCACATGTGTTCCGTCGTTCCTGTCTCTCCTCCTCCTTGCTGCTTCTCTCTCTCAGTGTTCCCACTTTACTTAGCTGCTCTGCATCGTAAATAATCCACCTGCACAGATATGCTGCTTTACAGCTTACTCGTTCGCCTATTTCCATCGTGTCTGCTCGTCGAATGTCCCGCGCTTTATTCCCGCTCGCTCTGATTCGCCTCTCGGTCCCCCCTTACGCGACCTCCACTTCTCCCTTTGATCCCCTTACGCACTGATTCAGAAACCAACACGATACTGTACTCCTCGTCGCGCGGGCGACTGTAGATATAGCCCCACTTTTTTTTTCCTTTTTCCATCCTTCTTTTTCTTTGTTACCTTGTCACACGAAAAGAGGAATGTACACCTTCGCTGGATTTCGAAAATAACGAACGGATTTGATGCCACGACGACGTCGTGTGTGCGACGCAATACACGACCTGTTTCGGGAGCTCATGAAGATCCAGGGGCTGAGCGCGCGTTTGGACACGACGAGTCGCCTCTGTTCGCCTGTGCCCGTCCTGCGCAGCCGCAGCTGGCAAGCTGGCCGAGATGCCGACACGTCGTGGTGCGGGCATCTGCCAAATGGGGCTGCCAGCGGTCCCAACGATCTTGGTCTGCAGGCAGGCCCCGATAGGCCCCGATTCGCCGCCGACTGGACTGGAGCGGTTTTGAATTCCCCGTTTGTCTGCTTCGGTCGTAGTCTCTTGTACGCTATTCGGGTGCCGCGTGAGTGCGCTGAGTCTTTGGAGGTGCGTGCGGATCGGCGCGCTCATGCTGAGGGGTTCAATCTGTAATCTGGATATCCTCGTCAGCAGCTACTCATCTGGTAAGTAGGTAGATCGTCGTGGGCACTGATATATACTCTCTTTGGGTAGGTCTATCAGCTTCTTCGGGCACTGTAATCATTTTAATGCAAGTACTCGCCAATGCCATGAACATGCTGCTGACGGCACAGCGATCTGCGGGTGTACAAACGGAATTAGCAGCAGCAGCAACAGCGGATATGCATTGCACCGAGGAACTTGCGGTTGTTTGCTGGCTGCCAGGCGTTTGACTATCGAAGACTTGAACACATCCCAAGTCCCTAATGTTCGGATAATTGTAGGTGAGCTCGTTTCTGCTGTAGCTTCTTCTTCAAGGTTGCTTGCTGGCCGGGGTATGCCTATATACGCGCTGATAAAGGTGTCTAAATTTCGACCTTCACTACCACGGTGGTCGTAGAGTGTCATTGACAGTCGCCGAGCTTTTTTTGACAGTGTTCTACGCGAAATAAGGAATCCGCAATAGAGCACAATTGTCCTTGTGTAAATACCGCTAGCATAGAGAGTCGACGCAACTCCGAAAAAGCCCCCGCCGTCATGCGAGGATTCTCCTTCGTCTCACCGAAATTCGAACGCCTAGTTCATAAGGCCGTGGTCGAAAGACCACTTCCATTCTGACTCTTCCCTAACAAGACACTACGATGCGGCCTGCTGCGTTTGTCGCCGGACTCTTGACCTCTGTCGGCCTCGTCAGCGCCCAGTCCTCCGCATGGGGACAGTGCGGAGGAATTGGTTGGTGAGCACCTCCGGAGCTTAGCGGGCATGCTTTCAAGCTGCGCAGTCTTAACGAAAATATGGGGTCCATCATCCAGGACAGGTGCCACGACATGCGTTACGGGGTACACATGTGTTGAGAGCAATGAATGTCAGTGGCAGCCTCTCAAACTTTGACACAGGCGCGGGCAGCATGCTAACCACTCAACAGATTACTCGCAGTGCATCCCCAGTACCGCGAGCAGCTCGTCAGCGTCCATTTCGACTGCGCCTACATCTACTAGCCCCGTCGCCTCGTCATCATCTGCGCAGCCGCCCACCACCACGTCTTCGGGAGCAGCCCCAACCGGCTCGCAGATCCGCTCTGACCAAGACCCGACGTTCCACTTTTACCTGCAGAACGACGGTGAGTAATCCAGCGCTCGCGCGTCGCCCCAGGCATATAGTCAGATGCATAAGCACAGAGGGCGTTCCGGTCCTCGGCCCAGAGGCCTCGTCAGGATATTTCACCATCGACGGCACGATCGCGCTCAACGGCGCCGACGGCACATCGTTGTACCTCAACGTGGACGAGTCGGCGGCGACATCCTACAAGGCGCTGACGTTCGACTCGGCTGCGGTGACGACGGACTGGGGCCTCGAGGGCGACACCATCATCACGACGTCCCCGCGGCAGCTTAACTTCCTTGCGTGTGCGACGAACGACGCGACGGTCTATGACGTCTACCTGCAGGAAGGGAACGATACGCCATCCGGGCAGACCTGCTCGCTGACATCGTTGCACCTGCCATGCTTGTGCTGATGTGGACATGCATAGAGGCGTCCCGTGTGAAGAGCGGTGGGAATGGCGTCCAATTTGACAACCACAGCGTCTGTATTTCAACTCGACCATGCTATTAAAATAACTTCGCTGTGAAGAGCGCAGAATTAAGTACGAGGTAGACTAAGCCCGACGTGGATTGAATGCCGCCCGCCATGATCAAGCGCTCGTTCCATTTCTCAGTGACGGAGGAAACCTTCCGTCCAGAATGGTATCAGGTGATGGCACGGTGTAATTCCCCAGGCAGTCGAAGTCGAAGTCGACCTCGGCGATACGCGCGTTGACCCCGCGGAGGAACGCGCCAAGCTCGCACAACCCGTTTTTGTCCTCTGCGCAGCCTTGGAGGCCGATCAGTGGCGCGACGCCGTCGTTGAGGATGAAACGGATGTGCGTGGGCGTGGAAGACGCCGGGCAGGAAAGCACTTGGGCCACGAGATTGGACGCAAATGGAGCGATCTTGCTTGTGAAGTAAGTCTGTCACGTCCAGGATCCACGTTATGTTCGAGTGGTCGACTTATGAGACGTGAAAGCGACTTACCCTACCCTCGGGGATGTGATCCGTTGGGAGAGGACCGCCCGATGCTAAGCTAGTCAAGTTCAACGCCGTGACGACTGTATATATGCTGTGAGACGCCATACTGTTGAGGAATGTGCGATTAATCTACGTACTGTTGGCCATGACATTGTCATGGGTAGCATCCACATAGATTGGCTGATCGAGAGGGAACCAGATATCGCTCGTCACGATTGTCTTGTTGACAGACGAGTTGAACTCGCTGATACGGGTCTGCGTCAACCGGGAGACGAGCTCCTGCAACCACCCTATACCTCTCGCCGCGGCGGACGGACTTCCAGGTCCATTGCTGTACCAGAAGCCAAGATCTTCAACGAAAGATTAACGATCACCTCACAGACCATGGAAATGGAGCCTAGAATCACCATTGTAATATTCATACTGCTTCCACTCCTCCTCCGTGAATGCGTCACAGAAGCTCGAGAAGCCAAGAGCTACGGTCTGCCAATTGCACGCCACGATCGATTCCAAATATTCAAGCCATGCCAAAGAAAAAGTCGCATACCTCGTAGGCACAGAGCTGCTGCATGCCAATGATATCCGAAGCCGTCAGATTGACACCGTTGAGGTACTTGGAGAGCCTTTTGATGATAGGTGGCGTGTACACCGCTGACCATTTTCCGGACTGGCCTCCGCTGAGAGAAGCGTCTGGACAGACGTTGGTCGGCTGGAGCGTGCTGTTGAATCCAGGCTCCTCGACTTCAATGAGCTGATGATAGCTCGTTTGATAGCTCTGGACACCGAAGAAACCGGCGGCGAAGTTTAACCTATATCAGGATCGTGAACGCTTGTATGGAGATACCATGTGAAAGCGTCAAATTTACGAGGAATCTAGCATACGCGCTGCAGTGTTTGAAATGATTTATAGTGTCAATTATAAGCTCGTTAACCCAAGGAATGTTGCATACCTTCAGACGTTGTACGGAAAACGGGAAGGTCATCGAAGCCCTTCAAGAGCTCTCCATAGTTGACTCTGAACGAAACACCAAGGTCATACCTTCCATATATACGTTGAATCGTGCGTTCTCTGTAATGTTACTTGGAACTCACAACTGCTCGCGACCGAAGGGCGTCAAGATCTCAGCACCAAGCTTATACGTCCAATCGTTGAGAAATTCGAGGGGCCCAGAGGCGGTGAACCCCGTGCTGTTAGCGAGACCGTGCAGCTTCGTAGCGAATGCAGACGGCAACGATCCAGCAGTAGGATACCTCGCGCCATGCCGATGGAGAAGGAAGACCTGGTTTATCCCACACCCCTCTGGCACCAAAGGAGACGCGTGCGGGAGCCCAAACTCGCTGGACGGGATGGAGAACCAAGGAGCGAGGTTTCCCCAGCTATGGAAGACATTGAATTGGCTGCTTTTGTGGTCCGAGGTGTCGGGCTGGACGAGGGGGTAGGTGTTGTCGAACGGGGTGAACGTTGCAGCAGTCGCGATGGCTGCGGCTTCATCACCCGCTGCGTGTAACGAAAAAGGTTAGAAAGCGTGTGGGTGAAGGCGTACAGCGTATCACGTACTAGGCGTTGGGCCCGCGAACCCAACTTCAGAGCCGTCTGGGAAGTTGGGATCAGGTACGGTCGCCGTTACGTTGGGTGGTGGGAACGCGAACGTCGCGGTGGAGCCCACGAACGAAGACGCGCGAACTGGTGTGCTGCCCCAGGCTGCGGCAGACGCAAAAGGTATAGCACCGAGAAGACAGAGCCCAGTTCTGAGAGACATGGTCAGTCGTGTGCACTGCAGTACCACAGGGGTTGAAGGGAGCGTCAGCTGTCATCACATAGTAGTCCCTCTCTGATATTTATGTAAATTATATAGAAGAACTGTGGCATGAACGTGCGTGAGCTTGGCCTTGGACGAACCAGCATTTATGGACGACCTCGAAATATGGATCAACCGACGGTGCAGTCGGCTCTCATGTCTCCTCTTCCGTAGAGAGGACTTGGAAATATCTGATCTCATTACCGCCGCGGAAAATCGCCTGCAGAAAACAACAGAAATGAGCCTATTGAGAGCCAATAGTGTTTCGAAGCATACGCACATGCTCCATTCGTGGTGCCTGATTCTTGGATTGGCAAGAGCTTTCTCGTGAAAACAACTGCCTGCGAATGCGCATCTGTTCTAGATTGCAGATGATACTGCGAGAGTTTGCCTTCGCCACCCATACATGCACCATAAAGAAAATCGGGGCTCGTATTGGGCACAAAGGCAGAACATGTTGAGTAGATACCGAGTCTAAGTTCAGCAAAAGATCGTCATCACTTCGAAAGGGCTTTTCGGCGGAAAATATGGTGCCCCGGACGAGTAGCTACGGGAGATTTCGAAGGAACGTGGCGCATGGTGGTTTCATCAGACTTCGCTCAGAACGTGCATAGTGCTGAAAAATGGCGGCTAGCAGCGGCCCGGCCCGCCTCTGCCAGTATTCGAACCCGACCGCCTGCGACTGTCCCGCATTCTGTTTCCGCTGCAATGGTCAGTAAAAGACCAAATGCATAAGTGCCCATATCACGACCATGTATGACTTTCCCTGAAGGGTGAACAGGTACCTATACATGCATGCAAGAAAACCCGTAAGGTCAAGCATCAATGATGAAGAAATGCAGACATGGTGACAGCTATAATGGATGTGCACTATAATAAGGATGCAATGAAACAATATTATCTTGCTACGATCCTATGCAACGCATGTGAGACGAATTCTACGTATTGCCGGTCACCTTCCGCCAATACTCTTCCCTCCTGCGCGAGCACCACACGGATAGTTTCAACCCCTCCACCCAGCACTTTACCACTTCCCTGAACTGCTCCGGCATCGCTCTCTCGAGGATATGGAGATCGAAGTGCACGAGCATCAGAGCCTCGAGCCGCGAGGCGTTGGCATTGGGCGGGAGCGCCCAGCGCGACGTGACCATGCGCGCGAAAGCTGCAGAGAAAATGGGAGAGCCGAAGTTCGCAAACCACTTGTGCATCTGCGCGGCGCTTATGCCATTTTCTTTCGGGACTGGCGGGCCAGTGAAGGTGATGCGGTCTGAGGTTCCGTGACCGTCATCGCCCGCGTTCCTGTCCACCCGGCGCAGCGAGAAAGGCGGAACAGGGATGATTTTCAGGATGTCGATGTTCTCATTGAAGCTCTCGTACGTGGGTAGCATCGTGACCGTTCTAAGGCGTGGGGTCATTCCGGAGCGCAGCCGGCCATTCTGGTCAAAGTTGAGCGTGAGTGCGGCGAACACGCGTGCATCGACGGGCTCCTCCTGCCAGACGTCGAGGTAGTTTAGGGATGGGAGCAGTGCGAGGCAGCGGACGAGGTCAGCGGGGAGAATGCGCACGCCGCAGAGGTGCAAATCCTCGAGCACGGCGCCGCTGCTTGCGAGAAATATGCGGATGCTCTCGCCTACGACCGCGCGTGGGAATTCGGGGTCAAAGACGCTCCGGCTGAGCGAGAGCGCGTCGAGGCGCGGCGCGACGAGGGTGTGCATCAGGGATACAATAGTACGCACGTGGCTGTTTGGTACCTTGAAGGAATCGAGCCTGGGGAGCACAACGCGCGAGGTCGGTGGCAGAAGGAGGCCGCTAGTGCTGGTTGAGACTCCGAATGAGAGGCTCTCGAGGCTTGGGCACGCGCCCAGCATTTCGCAGAAGTGCGCGAGACACTCGGTCTTGAAGTCGCTAGTATAATCAAAGATGTTCAATGTTGTCAGGCTCGCCCACGGCAGCGCCCAATGGTATGTCTTGTTGTGATGGAGCTCAAGTTCGTACAGGCGCGGCGCCGAGGCAAGGGCCGTCATCACCGTCGGGACCCCCTCACCGTCGGTGTCGACGATGCCGTTGAGACAAAACTCCTCAAGGAGAGGTGTCGAACCAGGCTCGAATACGGGAAAACTGCGTATTGAATTGCGAGAGACCTCGAATCGGGCCACCTTCCAGCGGTGTATTTCTGTCTGCAGTAGGGAGACATACCGGTGGAGCGCGACCGCGTCCTCATCATCCATGCGTAGCGTGAAGGACAGTGGCAAGGACCGAGACAGCGAGAGCCAAACCTGAACCTGTGCATATAGGCATTCACATTGCTCGGATGTAATGGGAACATCGGGGAGGGACAAGGTGGACCAGAGGCGCGGAGTCGACATGGCCACTGTGCGCCAGGAGCGGCAGACCTGAGTGAGCAGGTGAGGCGCATCGTCGGGGGAGCAGAGCATAGGTTCATCGCGATCACTCCAAGATGTGAAGTCGAGACACTGCAAGAAGATCTCAGAGAGGATCTCGGGGGGAATGTGTCTTGAGTGCATGGCTGAGTAGCGCGGTCAGCGATCCTGGGGACTTCAAGATGCGTCGAGTCCTTAAAGCCTCAAGTTTGTAGTCTAGTATGGGACTAATCAAATCAACTTTCAAACCAAAAGCAGATGAAAAAAGGACCTTGTTCTGATAGCCACTGGACGATGGTTGTGGGATACGGACGGGAAATGTCTCTTTGGACGTCGAGACATTATAAGAGACGCCTTGAGAAGCTGCGAATTGCGCGGAATTGAACTAGTACAAGAGAACAAAGGGAATATGACGCGTGTTGTGGGCGTGTCCATTGCTAGAAGAAAAACACGTGAGTATCGACAGAGCTGGGAAAGCGTGACCGACGATAGAGCGTATTGCCGAGGGTGGTGGGGGAGATGGAGCATATTGACAAGATGGATCGGACGGAGTAATAGACAACACATGGCCTGTAAACTCAGTGGTCTACGTCGCTCACAGCGACGCCGTTACTGCCGCAGCAGTGGACGTGTGCAAATTCACTCTTGACTTGTGGGTTTGCGACATGGAACCCAAACGTCATTTTATCGGCCCTGGAGTATAATGATCTTCTAGCTGAAGGTTTGTTGCCGGAAATGGGAAGAACAGGGGAACAAAGAGCGCCAACGGCCCGCATCTCCTCGCCTTCAACCAAAGTTCGTAAAAACGTACCTCTTCCAAAAGCACGTATCATGACCGGCAGGCGAAAACTCGCAACGCACGCACGCTCGCACTTCACAAAGTCCAACTGATTATAGCCCAAGATGAACGCCGACATACATCGTCCTTTTATCCAGCGAGCACACGATCACGCAGTGCCATTCCTCAGCGCCGGCGGGTACCGCCCGTCCACGATCGTGTCCGGCACCGGCACCGTGTAGTTCGCAAAGCAGTCAAACTGGTAGTCGATCTCCGCGACGCGCGCCTTCAGCCCGCTGACGAACTTGTCCAGCGCGCAGAGGCCGTCCTTGTTCTTCGTGCAGCCCTTGATGCCCGTGAGCGGGACGACGCCGTCGTTGAGGATGAAGCGGATGTGCGTGGGCGTATCCGAGGCGGGGCAGGAGAGCACCTGTCCGACGAGGCGCGATGCAAAGGGCGAGATCTGGCTGGTGACCCAGCTCTGCAATGGCACAAGAACGCGCGTGAGATACCCCGAAAAAGGGCGATCAGCGAAGGAAGAAGACGCACCAGGTCCTTCGGAATGTGATCCGTCGGTAGAGGACCAGACCTGGAGAGGCTCGTGAAGTTCATGGCCGTGGCGACTGCATTCCAGGATCAGCGATCAACAATCTACAAAGAAATCGAATCCGAAACCGACCGGCAGAGATGATGGTGTCGTGTGTGGCATCGACGAAGATAGGCTGGTTGAGCGGGAAAGTGAGGTTGCTCGAGACGATGCTCCCGTTCACGGACGTGTCGAAAGATGTGATGCGCGTCTGTGTCAGGCGAGAGAGAAGCTCCTGAGCCCAGCCGACACCCTGAGCGGCAACCGCGGGGTTTCCGGGCCCCCAAGTATACCAGAAGACCAGATCTGTCGAGAGATAAGTCATCCATCAATGATGTAACGACACGATGGAAGGCGAAGGAGGCCGCACCGTTGTAATACTCATAGCCCTTCCATTCATCCTCTGTGAAGAGATTGCAGAAGGCGGAGTACCCGAGTGCGACCGTCTGTTGCGCGAGGACTAATTCGTCAAGATAGTCAAAGCACACAAAGAACTCGTTTTACGAACCTCGTAGGCGCAGAGAGACTGCATCGCAAGGATGTCCGTGGAGGTCAAATTGACGCCCTTCAGGTATTTTGAGAGCCGCTTGGTGGCGGGCACAGTGTAGATCGCACCCCACTTGCCCGCCTGGACGAATCCAAACTCCTCGACCGCGTTGTTTGAGTTTTCACAGTTGTCGTACGGCGCGAGCGTGCTGTTGAATCCAGGTTCCTCGATCTCGATGACCTGGTGGTAGCTGGTCTGGTAGGACTGGACGCCGAAGAAACCGGCAGCGAATTGCAAGCTGTCCAAAATCATCAGCATACTTCCGGGAAATGATCACTGCACTGATTTGACGTACGCAGAATCGACCATCCGCGCTGAATAGAAGAAAAATTGAGAGGGATCAGCGCGACGATCGTAAGGAATACTCACCTTCCGAGGTCGTACGGAACACAGGCAAGTCGCTGAAGCCCTTGAGGAGCTCGCCGTACTTGACCCGGGAACCAACACCAAGAGCATACCTTGTAGCCATTGTTCAGCATATTATTTCTTGACGGGGGAGCTCACTCACAGTTGCTCCCGGCCGAAAGGTGTCAAGATCTCAGCACCCAACTTGAACTCCCACGTTGCCAAGAACTCCAAGGGGCCCGTCGCGTCAAATCCGGCGCCCGCTGACGCGTTGTGCAGCTTCGCGGCGAAATTGGCAGGCGAGGAGCCAGAAGTGGGATATCTAGCTCCGTGGCGGTGGAGCAGGTGAACCTGAGTCAGGCTGCACCCTTCGGGAACGAGTTCCGAGGCGCCAGGGAGACCGAACTCGGCAGAGTCGACAGAGTACATGGGGGAGAGGTTGCCCCAGTACTTGAGGACGTTGAAAGTGCTGCCCTTGTGGTCAGACGTGTCGGGCCTGACGAGGGGATATGCATCATCGATTTTGGCGAGCGAGGGTGCGGTTGCAACTGCAGCGGCCTCGTCCCCGGCTGCATGGTGCACGACAGGATCAGTGCGCGCATCAAGGCGCGTCGTGAGGGGGTGCACGTACTGGGAGTGGGTCCTGCGAACCCGACTTGGGAGGCGTCAGGGTAGTGGAGATCCGGGACAGTCGCGGTCACGTTCGCAGGGGGGAACTGGAAGGTGGCGGTCGAGCCCGCGTAGGACGACGCCTTTTCGCGCGGCCAGACGGAGGCGGAGACGAAAGGGATCGCGCCCAGGAGGACGAGTTTGTGGAACATGTCGTGTCGCGCGCGCTCTAACTAGCGAGTCAGGGAGGGGAGAGGGTTGACTCGAGGAGGCCGCAGCGCGAAGCCTGGCAGTACTAGACTTATATATATATAGTGACGGCGGCTGTTCAGGACCCGCATCAAATACTCGATGGAAAACGTTCGGCCTATCGTGCGCTGACCATCACATGGTGTATTGTAAATATTTGAGCATGCATCGGGAGGCGAAGGGGTCGAGGTCGATAACGAGAGGGTCAGGGGCGCGTTTGAGCGCGGCCATACCGCTCCATACCGATAGCACGTTTGTCGTTCGTCGTCGCCAGCTGCGACGCGGAACTTCAGGGTGCTCCATATCCGGCGTCAATGCGCCCACGTGGGCGAGACACCTGCCCTAAACCCTCCCTCTTATAAAATCTTCCCTCGAACATCTGTTGTTCCCTTAGAACATACTCAGCTAGGATCTATTCTATAGAAACTAACTCGAGTCTCGCATGTTTACACATGCCACATCCTTCAAATCCAGTCGATGATCATCGCGCTCACTCGTTTTACTGAGAACATGGCCCTCTTCGGAGGGTCTCGAGGACGTTTGGTTCGTGTTTCGGAGGCGCCTTGTGCTGCCTCTGGGGCTGAACCAGCGAGTGCGCGTTTGTCTGATGGATTACTTTGAAGGATGATGTTCTCAATGTAGACAAATGTATTGTTTTAATGAAAACTTGTTATCCTCATCAATATATATCCTTTTGGTTTAATGCCTCCACTGAAATATTTGTATGGTTGCAATAAAAAAAAATTTAATGCAGAGCAAATCTCCTATTGCAACATGCAAGTTGTAGTGAGTGGAAAAGCAAAACCTGAGATTGGTGGAAAGACTGCAGCCAATAGTGCACAACTCAAATTCAATACACATAGGTTGCAGATGCCATGAAGACACAAAGCAAGTTGATATTGTGCCCCAAAAGTTCATGTTGTTGCCGCCGGAGGGAAAGTGGACCGCCACTGGCCTCCGCTGCGTATCCATGTAGGAGAGCGGGTTGAGATCGGTTTCGGAGGTGTGGCGCAGTACGGTGGCGTGTAAGATCGGACAGAGGCGGGGAGGACACGGTTGGATATGGTTTCATTATGGAGCTGGACTACTAGCGTCCAGTGTCGTCAGTTCTAGTTAGCTTAACGAGTAATTCAGGGCAATTCACTTGGACAGCACGCACACCTGGTGTAGTGCTATGTGCACAGGAACCACTTGCGCAAGGACATTGTGGACTGGCGCTGGTGCAACAGCACCCTTCCGGCCACAGGCGCTTAAAGTCATGCAGGGCCACAAATGGAGAGTCGTTAGCGGGGATGTATCGGGCTTGATGGGATCGTGGATTGGTGGTCCTGTCGTGTCAGGAAGATGGGGCCAAGGTGACGATATTAATTTTTGGCGCGTTGTCGGGATATATATTGTGCGCAATCGATGGTGGCGTCGCCGAGTTGACTATGCCCATCTTGGTGGGAGATGAAGTCATGTGGAGACTGGACAGTGGGAGAGGGGAGGGGCGAGGGGGTGAGAGGAAGAGGGCGGAGTGAGTGTGCGATGGGATCTTGGGGAGGACGATTAGATTAGATCGGGTGGGGGACGAGTCGGGTCGGGGTGCGCAGTGTGTCTGAGATCTGCCAGCTGCACGGACCGTCTTCGTTCTGTTTTCTTCTCGCGCAGGCCGCGACGCTGGTGAGAATTCACGACCGGGAGAATTGGTTGATGGTGGTGTAGTTCTCGAGCGCTTCCCAGAGTCTTCATGTGCTGGCCCTTCCGTCCTTCTTTACCTCTTGGGACACCTTTCCGCCTCGTTGTCGCCTCTGTCGCGTGCCCCGCTACAGCGAGCGCCATTACTGTATCCCTCATTATCAAAACCTTGGCCGTCCCCGATTCCGACCCTTAGCCCCTCTTCCTTTTCTTCCTCCTCCCATCCCCCTTCCCGCCTTTTCTTCCCGTCTGTCCTCTGCGCACTCCGTAGCATGCATGGCTGACTCCTACCAGCTTGTAATTGACGATACATCCCCCACCATTTCTTTTTTCCCTTTCCCCGACACCCTCGGCATCCCGGACCTCTTCTCCGGCTGGAATCCATATTACACAGGCTCTGGCTTTGCGTCCACTCTCGGCCAGCAAGGCGTAGGCGACAGTCTGCACATCACGTCCCTCGATGGTGCCGCTCTTTCTATTCAATGGTTCGGTATGTGCGCCTCTCTCTCCTTGTCTAGGTATCGCGACAAACGTCTCCGTAGGTACTGGCATTCAACTATTCGGTAATGTCACCTCGGTCACGTATGACCTCTCCCTCGACGGACAGACAAATTCCTCCATCTCCTCCTTTTCCTCCGACCCCACCCTCCTGGCATCCTACAGCCAGCTCTCCGATGCCCAGCACACGCTTTCACTTAGAGTCCACAATCCTAACAATTCGACATCCTCACTGATGGTCATTGACAAAGCTGTCATCACGATCCCCACTGAATTGCAAAAGTGCGTATGCCCCGCGCTCCGCCCATGTCGGACTACTGATGTCCATCAACCATGCTTTCAGCGCTACCGTGAAGTCCAATGTTCTCGACGACACGAGCCTTGCCTTTACGGGTGAGTGGTCATTCCAGGAAAACAGCGCCGTGTCGCCGCTGGACAGCACTTTCCACACATCCACAAACAGCGGGGATCGCTTCGAACTCCAATTCAACGGTACGCGTCCCGTCCTATTCTCAACCCTGTGTGAACACGCCCCACACGCTTTGCTGCTTTCGGCTCATACAGTCTCACGATCGCATCAGGCTCTGCAGTGTCCGTTTCCGGTTATCGAAATTTCGATTCCGGGCACTACACGGTCAACTTGGATGGCGCGGACGTCGTCGAGTACAACGGCCAGTCATCCTGGACGGAACCTACCATGCTCTTTTTTCAGACAGGACTCGACCCGGACGTCACGCATGATTTGAGGGTTACGAACAATGAAGATCGCTTACTTGCCATTGGCGCTGTCAACATCACAACCGTTTCAGGTATACGTCAGTGAGTTTCACGTTCGCGCATCCTGCTCGCGTACAAAGCCCGCTGACGCCCGGTCCTCTTGCCTCTTGCCCCCACAGCATGACTTCGCTCTCGTCGCGTTCTGGTCTGCCTCGGGGCACGATTGCGGCCATCGTCGTTGCAGCCTTCCTCGGCCTGGTCATCGGATGCCTGGCCATTTTCTTCTTCCTCCGCTACCGCCGACGCGTGATATCGCACCGTCAGCGATCTTTTTCTCCTTCTGGAAGAGGTGGCGAGGATCATACGGGGGGTGTGCTCGACATCGGGCCCGGGGGTGGAGACGGACACAGTCACCATGATGACAAAGGGAAGGAGCCTGCGCACGAAGGCAGCCTCAGCTTCACGCTCGACCTTCCAATCCAGTCGAATCCGAACAACACTTCTTCGCAGCGCGGATACTCAGAAGACGGTGTGCAGGGAATCCCGCGCAGCCCCACGGTTTCTCTCGTGCGTCCGCAGGTCGCGCACGCACGCGACTCGAGTCGTGGGGCGCTCCTCATCGAGTCCCCGGTTGAGAGCCCACGCCTCGAGATGCCACAGCACAGCCCTTTCCACATCGAGTTTGCCACGAGGAGCAGGGAAGGGAGTGCCGATGGCCAGCTTTCCGCGCGGCGCTCACATGGAGGAGGACTGCCATCGACGCCGACCTTGCCGCAGGCTTCCCTCCCACACGTGAACATCATCGGGAGCAGTCCCGGCGCCTCGCCTCGTGAAGGGTCGAGCGACGACAACCGTAACACCGTTTATTCCTTCCTCGATATCTCGCCCGAGTCGTCGCTCCGCGGGCCCCCGTCTGTCGCACAGTCTTCGTCATCCTCGTCCGACGCGCGCAACCGGGTGAGCCAAATGAGCGAGCAGAGCTATGCGCCTGATCGCCCAATATCCTTGGGCTTCGCGTTTGACTACCATCGCAGTATGCCGGCATTGATGCCTGCGAGAGGAGTATCGCCGATTCCTGCATCACCACCTCCAGGGTCTTTGGCTACCATCCGGCCGCTTCCCAGGCTGCCACTGTCTCCTCTGCGAGCAGAGACAAATGTATCAACTGGGTCGTCCATGACACCACAACCACAGTCACAGTCGCAGTTCTCCCTCCAGTCAGAGCACCCGCCCGCTCTCCGCGTTCAAACCGTTCTATCACCGCCCACTCGACGTCCCCGCTCCCTCTCCGCCTCCGCCGCAGCCGCAACGCCCGGCGCACTTTCTTCCGGTAACACCGCGAACATCGTGCTCCACTCGCCTCTGCAGATGCAAGTCCGCCGCTCCGTCAACCTCGACGCTGTCTCTCCCACCGATAGCATCCCCGTGACGGTCTCGGACATCCACTTCCGCCACTCGTCGGACGAGAACACAGACGACATGGAGCAGTCTCCCAGCCGCCGCACGAGCGCCTCGCGCCCCGGCCACCCGCCGCTCCCACAGCGCGAGTACGCCTCGCCGTTCATCGTGCAGAAGCTGCTCGGTCCGCAGGCGATCCAGGGGCGCTCGGGGCAGGGGTACGAGCTGGGGTCGACCCCCGCGCCAGGGTCGGGGCGACCGCTTCTGGGCTCGGGATCTGGGCACACGTCGAGGCCGAGCCAGTCGACGCTGCGGCCGCACCAGCGGCAGGCCTCTGGGCAGGTCAGGGCGGCGCGCGAGAGCGAGGAGTCGCTGTCGAGCCCGCGCTTTGCGCCCGGGCTGGGCAGACCGGATTGGTAGCGGGCGAGGGAGGACGGGCGGGGTGTGTGCGATGTTTGAGTTTTCTTTGGATTTGTGATGGGCATGGCGTCGCTGGCCGGACGGACGGGCGGGTGTGCATGCGTGTAATGGATAATGTTGTTTTGTATGTTTTCGCGTTCAATGCTGTCGCTGACCCTGCTGGAGCTCAGTCTCTGTAAGTTACGAGCTTTGTGGGATCCTTGACCCTGTTGTGTGTACTAACCACGTCCTCCGCTCATTCATGGCTGTCCCCATATCGCGCTCTCTAACTTCCTTTGGCATTTTCATCGCGCATCCCCTTTCTTCTCTGGCACTTATACCCATAGTAGCTGCCGCCGACAGGCATTGTATACTTAGGCCATTTATCTTCCCATCTATACTTGTACTTCCGGCCTTTGCCACCAGCTTTTTTTTTCTTTTTTGCAACATTTTCTTCGACAGCACAAGGTTATAGCTTATTTTTTCCGGCCATTGGCCGTTCTTTCACATGGGTCCGATCTGGACTGCTTGGGATTCTCTTTCATGATCAGCATTTGTCGCCTTGCGCTCTGCATCCGTTGGCGACGGCGAGCACCGTCATCTGGGCCTCGAGGCATGAATCGCATCTCATCGAGTTCGAAAACCCAATCTGCATCCGGCAATATCCAGAGGCTTCTCTCTGAATGCGACTAGGACTAAGTACTGAGCGCTTGAGCGCCCAGAGAAGACGGGGTCGATCAAGACAATAAATTACCACTCGACAGGTTCTTGATGTTCTACGCGCCTCGCTGCAGCCACTCGACACACCCCGTCGACGAGCGCGCCGAGACGCCCGCGCGGGATCATCACGAGGGCGGCGCCGTGTCCCTCCGTAGCCCAAAGCTCACGAACCTCCGAAAGTCCGAGAATACCTCCCGCTTCCCCGCCGGAGCATGCCCGTCCGCGCGCGGTGGCGTCTCCGCGCCCGACGGCGTCCCGCTCAGCGGCGGCGAGCTGAGCGCGGCGAGGATCCCCTCCGCAGGGCCGGGGCCCGCGAGCAGCCCGGGCAGCGAGACGCGGCTGCCGCCGGGGGAGGTTGACGTCTGCAGCTGCAGCACCGTGCCGCTTGCGGGCGGGTCCATGTCCAGCGAGGAAAGGAAGGACGTCTGCTCGAGTTCTGGCTTCGTGCTTGTGCTCGTGACGAAAGAGTCGAGGAGATCGTTCTGCTCGTTGCGCGACGTTCCCTTGAGGTCAAGGATCTGCGATGATGTTCGCGTGAGAAATTGTGGATATCTCGGGGTAAGGCGCGGGGACAGAGAGGCCAGCGACCTCGAGACGCGCTCGGAGCAAACGTATGGATTGGGAATAGAAATTTAATCACCTTTTGGAAGTTGGAAAATGAAGCATCGCCGATAAGCAGGGTATAGTTCAGTATGAAGCCCTCCGCAGGATCCTATCAAAGTCCCGAAGAAGAGGCGGATCGATAATCATAGGGGTTAGCAACAAATGCATCAGAGAGACAGGGAAGACGTAAGCCAGGAACGGGAGGCAAAGCTGCACGAACCTGAGGCGTCACAATGACTTTAAGCAACGATTCAAGCCGCTGCGTGCTCTTCGTGATACTTCGTGTGTACCTTGTGATTTCAGGTCCCGTCAACTGATAGTCCATACTTAGAGAAGAACTAATCTGAAACGCCGACATACCCAGACGTCGTTAACTGCTCTCCAGGCAGTTTCAACAAGCATCCTTTCAGTGTCGATAGGTCGATCAACAGCTGGCCGTAGGCAACGTCGAGAACGGCATTAGCGAGGTAGATCAATATCAAACACTCCAACTGAGAATCCACGAACCTGCTCGGCCCCGTTCTCTCTCAGCGGTCGACTCCTCACAAGCGCATTGGTAAATCTCGCGATGACCAAGCTGGAGATTTGAGTATTTGTCGGCGACGATCGGGCGCGTCAGCATTGCTGTCTCCATTTCCCTAGGGTGCGGCCAACATCTAAAAGACTCCACGCACCTGGCGGCCTTATCGAAGAAGTTCCGAACGTACTTCTTACCCTCCACAAGTGGGCGCACGGCCTCCGCGACGGCTTCGAGCCCGCGAACCAGCTCGTCGACGAATGTCGACTGGCCAGTGACGTGTTCGTTCTGCGCGCCCCAGTTCATGCGCGCGAGCGTCTGCAGTGCAGGCTCGCATGCTGCTTCGAGCTCGCGCAAGAGGAGCAAGATCGCGCTTGACGCGACACTGGAAACGCCACATGATATATTAACGATCGCGCTCATCATTCGACTCGGTCCTTGATCCGCAAGATAGGAGGGGCACGAAAACACGGACCTCATGAAGAGCTCACATTCAGCCTGTAGCGATATCCTCTCCTTGTATTGTCCGGAAACTTTCTCACGCACTTTCTCCTCGAGCTACACAGTCGAACAGGCTCATGGATTGACGGGTGCTTTTAGGCGGAGAACAACATCGGCACACTTACCTCCTGGGCGGTTGTCTGGCAATAGTCCGCGGTGTTGATGATCAAACACGCGTTCTTCACCTCGTTGATATCCCACCGTGCATCGGTAGATCGACGGCCCTGAAGTGAAAACCTAGGCATACCCTGAATATTACCAAACATCTGCGAATTGGTGAGCCGCGCACTTTTTCTTGTTGGCCATCAATATCTCCTCTAACGCATTGATGGAAATGTCATTAGTCTATCGCATTTGGCCAGGTTATCAGACATCTTTCGCAGATGACGCACCTGCATATACCCGTAACCACTTCCGGAACACCTCACACAAGTCGAACAGAGGTTTCCCGGTCGACAGCTTGGCACAGCCTTCTAGCGTCTGCCCATAGAAGTAGAACAGCTCGGTGGAAGAGGGGAGCACGCTCGCCGTAGGTGCGTCGCCATCCTCGGATGCTGTTGTGCTCTGCGCCGTATCTAACGAAACCCGAGAGCGAGAGGCGCGATGGGCAGCGAGCATGTCGGCGATAGATCTAAATGTATGGCGTAAGTCGCCATAGGAAAGTAGACGTGAGCCAACATACTTGTCTTGTGCGTCGACGTATACCCCCATATGGGGATCAAAGGCAGAGCTGATGGACTGTAATGGACGCGTCGGCGTGGTTGAGGTGGCTTGGAGAATTTCCTGAAACTGTGAAGTAAAGAGGACAAGTATGTCAGATCGCTTTGAAGACCTTACACGCCAGAGGAACCTTACCGGCGTGGCGAATTTCCTCGCCATCGACAATTCGAAGTCTTTCGTCTGCTGCAACGCGTCGAGGAGCACACTAACGGTAAGATCTTTACCCGCCTTAGACAATAACGCTGTCATATCGCCTCTACCGTATCCGATCACGTTAATCCAGATTTCCCGGGCAGCAGAATTCGCACCCACCGAGTGATATCGACGAACCCGCCAACTAGCCACCAGCCAACTCGCCACTCTTCCAAAAATGCGCGTCCAAGACCGCCCTCGTGCATACTCAGCAGTCGTCTGAACCACGCGAAGCGCCGCGCGATGTTGTCCAACTGGCCCGCCTCGTCTGTCAACCGGAAGACGCGTCTGTACTCGGCCAGAAGCAGCGCGGTGTATCGTTCTGTGAGTGCTATACGAACATCGGCGCCCAGAATATCTGCAGCAGCGCTGGCATTGGTGATCGTGTGCGCTTTGGGGGCGGAGGAACTTTGGAGATAGCTTTTCCAAAGGATTTGTTAGAGGAACGGGATGGAGATGAGGAGAAGTGCAGAAGAGGAGGGAAACGTACTAAGCATCAAAGTCAGCTTCGATCATGGTCCTGATCTGACCTTGAATTGCTTGTATATGCCTCCACAACTGCGCGATGCGTGGGACGGAGGTATAAGGCTTGAACGACGTGGAGATCTGCTTGACGGCCTAGCAAGTACATGAGCATGGTTCTTCATTCGTGCGCAGCTCAAACGCACTGCAAGGCTCTGAGTGATTTCCGCGTATTTCCTGTCTTTGACATAGTCCTCGAGTTGAGAAAGCGCGTTCACTGCGGGACGTGACGGGTGGTCAGAATCCCAATGGTATTAGGGCAGCTAGAATAAGGTACCGAGCATCTGCAAGCGCTTGAGCGTGGTCATGCTCAGGATCAAATTCTTCTTCGCGAGATCGAGGACCTGTATGTCTTGCGTGATGTTGCGGACGATGGCTTCTGACTCCGTCGCCTTCTCCCTGATGCGTGACATCTGCCCAAGAAGGTCCTTTGATGTGATAGATGAATTGAGGATATAGCAGTGCCAGAAAAATGACGCGCACAGAGATCATTTCCTGGATGAGCTGCATCTTATTCGGGTCCTGTTGTAGCCTCAGCTCCTCTTGTAGTGCAGTGATCTCGTCCCGAACGTCCTGCTCGTCCTGCGCGAGACGCGCTTGGACAGCATCTATCTGACCCAGAGATGCCTCTGCACACAGTCGTGAGCCTCTACCCCAAACACAAACAGACTGAACGCGGTACCATCGGGAAAGTATCTGTTGAGAACGTCGACTGAGTTGAAATCATCCGTAAGCGCGTCGAGAGGGTCAGAGTCCGGACCTGGATGGATATTAAGAACGCGTTGTATGGAGAGGATGAGTTCGTGGGGAAGCTCCTCGTTGGCCTGTCTGTACATGGAGGCCGAGTCGACACGGTGCAGCTCTTAGTGAAGGGGGCGGTCGACCATTACATAATCGTAGTAAATCCCGTTCACAGCGTTGACCTCTTCGTCCATGGCTCAAGGCCCCCCGCCGTCCGCTGCAGGCCCCTCCAGCTCTCCCCACCCAGAACACCTTCAAAACACCCCTCAAGAATTATTACAATACTCGCCTCAACATCCGCAGGCTCAAAGCCATCCATATTACAGTTATCCTCAGAACTGGCCGAATCAACCCTGGCCCGTAGCCTCTTTCCCATATGCACCGGCTTACCAGCAGCAGTATGCCTACCAACCGACGCATTTCCACCAGTATCAACCACCTCCACCTCAACGAACTCCATCAGCGCCTTCGCACCCACCGATACCTTTAAGAAAACCGCGCACGCCTTCCCCGTCTCCTCCGCCTCCAGAGCTCCCTCAATACTGGGATGCTGCTCTGAGATCTTTCTTCGAGCGTGTCGGACTCACTCAAGCTGCGGCAGGCTTTGAGTGCGACATGCTTATAATGAACGCCGAGTGGGAGCTCAAAGAAGTACCGCCCGCGCTTGCAGAACTCCGGGATACATTGACAGTCCGTGGGTTTCATATAACAATCAAACGAGAGATGCGAGCTGGTTTCCCTCCAGAGACTCTTAGAACCGAAAACAGGCGCGAGCTTGGACTCAGCCCCTTCTGAGCGAACCCTTGAAGAACGCAAGTTGGATTATGTCCACCTCGAGCAGGGCGCAGAGCCGCGCTCGCAGACGTCCGTGCGTTTCCTTGGCTCTCGTACATGACCCCCATGTCACATCATGTTATACACCAGACCAACAAATCCATTTCCCTCTTTCTCGCTCGCAATCGCGCGCGCAACGACGCGTCGAACCGCAACGAATTCCTCTACACGCGCGCCAAACGCCGTCGCGTGTCCCCATCTTCTCCCAACTCTTCTGATGATAACGCCTTGTATACGCCCTCATGTGCTCGTGCAGACGCCAAGCCGGTCGACCGTGACGTGATGATGAAGTTTGATGTCGCGAGGAACGAGGAGGGCCCGCTACGACGGACAGTAGCCAAGTCGGAGATGAGTGCCATCACAAGCACAGTTGGGGGCACTCAGGAAAGAAGGAGTGGGGTCGAGGAGAACGCGGCCGTATCGGCAGAGAAGTATCCCGCGCTCGATGTGCGACTCAAAGACATAGAGGCACACCTCGCTGTGCGGTACGGTGCGTATGGCCCCACGCAAAACCCGTTTTGACTCATGATTGACTTATTCATTTTACAGTTCCTTCGCCGCCGGTTTCGCTTCTCCATCGGCTCCAGTTTCTCGAGGACCATATCGTCCGACTTGAACGCGAGTATCCTCCTTGGGCTGCGCTGCACTTCAGTCAACCGCGTCGCGGCGTAAGTCTCACTATTCACGCACCGCTTTCCACATGACATAACTTCTCCACCATCTTCCTGCATATCATAGTGGCCACCCCCGCCTCGTGCGACCCCGCTCATTGTCCCATCGCACCTCACCTCGACCTCGACTTTGACTTCTTCTGCAGCAACGCCTAACGCGGCAGTCGGTAATGGCTCATCTGCAGCCGCCATCGAAACGAGCAAAGCTGGTGTTGAACACGAAGCAAAAGGGAAGGCAAAAAGCCGCACCGCCAAGTCGAGCTTGCACCGCGCGGTCATGGAGAGACTGGAGGTGCAGAAAGCTATAGGAGATCTGAAGGGCGACGGTGCAAGTTACTGAGCGCTAGCTTCAGTGACTAGAATGGAGTGAACTTGCAGACAATATGTCATCACATCATTGTATCTGAGGGTGCTCTTCTAAGAAACGCCTCATACTTTTGATGCTTCGTTGCTGATGGACGCGCGGGGCACAGACCACATCGCTATCGGTCCACGAAGCTAGTATAGATGTAATTCCTCCATGTACTGCACGCAAAGACAAAATGACAACATACGTTGTATGCTATAGAAGGCTTTCATACCAGAACATCACATCAAAAAATCCTAGATCAGTCACACTGCTAGTCGACAGAACTTTCATCGCTGAAATTTTCATCGCTACTCTCATCTTCCACATCGTCATCAAAGTCATAGTCTGCTTCATCCTCGTCCCCCAATCTTCCATAATGCCCATCGGTGTTTTCTGCCTCACGTACTACTTTGACGCCGCATTCCTTCCCATCCCAGAGCAGGTCGATCCCCGCGGCAAACGAGAGCTGTTCGAGCTCACTGAATACCTCTCGGCAGATCGTACATCCCACGATACGGACGGAGACGCCGTGCCCTGCATAGGCCTCCAAAAATGCGCGACGTGCCTCGACCAGAGATTCGTCGTCAGCACCCGCGTCAGAAGAGAATTCGACTCCCTCCAACGTGAGCGACGTCAGACACGGCAGTACATCGTGTGATGTGCCAAGGGCCCAAAGCACCCCCTGAGCGGTGGACGTGCCGCGGACGATCACGTCTTGAATCAGTGGCGCGAGTCCAAAGATGACGGCCCATTGATCGGGCTCGAGCGCCGGCTTCTCTGGAATCTCCAACTCGAGAAAGCGCACTTCCTTGAGGGGAATGCTCGAGCAGAGGGTGTCGATGTAGATCGCGGGCCGGGGATCCGAGCAGAAAAGGTTGATGTCCAACGGAGGCCGCGCAGCACTTGTCCCGCACGGATCTGCCCTTAGAGAATCCATCGGAAAATACCGCAGGCGCAGACACGAGGTGCGATCGCTTGTGATCACGAGCCGGGGTAACGTTCGTGCGTGCGATTGTACATGTGAGAGGAGAGAAGGACAGAATTGCGCGGATGGCCCGAGGGACGTGCATGACAACTCGAGAGAGGCCCCGGGTGGGATGGAGATGTTCTGGAGAAAGTGCGCGCAGCTGAGAGCCTTATCAGAAAGGACGAGCCGCTGGAGGCGGGGGAGGTGCAGCTGCTCTCGGGTGGGTCCTGATTCGGGCAACGTCTCTACAAGTACGAGCTCCTGCAACTCTGGACAGTGTCCGAGGACGGTGAATATTTGATTAGATGTGGGCAGGGCCTCTACAGGGACCGTGAGAGATTGCAGGCGGATCTCGATGTGTGTCAGACCTGTGAGAATCCCGCTCGTCCACGGTATCGTGCAGTTCACTAGCGATACGCGGCGAAGGCGTGGAGCCTCGCCTGCGAAGATATTGGGCGGGAGCGACGCTAGGCGATGAAGGAATGAGAGGCGCACGTCTGCTGAAAGTGAGATCTCGAGTGATGTGAGAAGGGGCGCAGGCGTCGCAAGTAGCGTCTTCATCAAGGCGTCGAGACTATCTTCATCTATGCACAGCTGAAGCACCTTGACGCGAAAAATTTGGGTCAAGGCAAGCTTGATCGCTTTGAGTGGCCCATACTTGACGCGGTACCGTCCCAAGTCATGGGACACGACGATAGGTACGTTCCGAGAACGCACGAGGAGGTCGCGCACCGCAACAGGGAGAGCGCAAACGCAGTTCGCCCACAGCCATGGGCTGTTCATTGCGACTGCCCTCCATTGCCGACAGACGTGCGTTACGACGATCCATCCGAGCGAGCCCGATGTTCCCGTATGTGAAGCGTGCAATGTCGTGTAGGGTCGAGGGACGGACTCGCTTGCAGCTAAAGTAAATACGTGTGCTAAAATTTCGAATGGAAGCCGCGAGATGGGCACGAGGACGTTCCGGCGGGTGCGCAAGGCGCATGTCATATTGTGCAGCTCGGAGAGCTCCCTGTCGAGTTTGAGGAGGGCATGGGCGTACATATGCTCGTTGGAAGCTCTGAGGGTGCGGTTTTCTATCTGAGCAAGGGTCCATGGGCCATTTCTGTTCTGGCTGATTTAACGGTCAGAAACCGTCCAGATGTCACGGGATAAAAACATACGCTGATATGGGCATTATCCGCGATATCGAGCTCATCAACATATTGGCTTCTGTAGATTAGAGGAGGTGAGAAGTCGTTCGATTTCTATCGGTACAGCGAACTGCGCAAGTCGGCACGGTTTTTGGTGCAGCTGCGAATAGACTTCGCATCTGTTGGCAGCGGTCTGGCACGACACAGCCGAGCAGATTCATCTCGACAGATGCCTTGACCGTATTCGGCACGATGGTGTTCACATTCGAGGATCCATTGCTCGGAGTGTACTCACGACCCCGGCCACCCACGATTTCAGAACCTGGTGAGAGCGCTCGATCACGATCGTGCATGCGCTAGAACCAAAGGAATCTCATTTCGATTGAAAATGGCTCTTCGAGCACACGTAGACCCACCTGGACTGGCCTAAATTTATCTTGTACGGGGTTCGACTGGTCGGTCTGATCATCTTGCTGTTGGACAAGGGTAGTAATGGCCTCGGGGTCCTTGTGCCATGGTGGGCACGGGAATGGGTACTGGGTGCCTTTTTTTTTCCAACGTGATCCTGGCCCGTCATCGTGTCAGATCGAGGGTGACTTTGAAAAAAAAAAACATACAGCATGACAGCCATCCACCGAATTTGGCCTTCGAATTGCTCGAGCCCCTCGGTGCCAGCTTGTAACCACCATAGTGCGGCATAGTGCACGCGTGTCAGAGGTTCTTGATGCTAGGCACGACGTGACCATATGCTTGGTTCAATTGGGTTGATTTTGGTGATGCGATTGCAGGAGATTGCTCCCGGCGTGCACAGCTCAGTGCACGCGCCCTTGTACCTTGACATCCGTTGCGAATATTAACCCTCGACCATTGAGGGACATGGGCGTGCCTATATTGTGCCTATGTGCTGATATCTGCGCCAATAATGGTCTGACAGAAACCCTATTCTAAAGAAATCAATGGGACGTCTTCTCATGCCGATATCAATATGCGTATAACGTAGCATGAATGTAATAATATGAAGAAGAGCACATACCGAAGACGGTATAAATTGATAGTAGCTGGCGGCCCGGCACACTCACCTTGAAATACCCATTCTTGATCCCAAATAGCATCGATGACCTCATATGAGAGAGCCTCCGTTATCCGAGTGCCTTAACATTTCGAGAAGAACTCGAAACAATCTAGAGAATCACAAAATGCCGCAAGGGGTCTCTGGGTTGCGACAGAAAGCCCATTGTATCTTGTAAATTCTGAAGAAATAAACCCTGTCACGTAGGCAAAGTGCCTTGTGATGGAATGAGGGTGTATCTGTGGGCTGCAGGACGGCTCCCGAATGTTGTCGAGCCTGCTACAGATTTTGAAGCCAAAAAGTTCAAGACAGGACGCGTCGCGACTATGCTGCTCGTCACGGAGGCAGAGCGGCCTCCAGAACACGTGGAGATAAGATAAGATGGTTGCCGAACCGGGCACGCTCAGGCTGCGGCGCATCCAGGCGCATCAATCCACCTTCTGACAACGATACCCACAGCGCCGCACCCACCCCAATCCCAGAACCAAAACCACATACACAAATCATGGACCACGGGGACCACGGCGGACACGGAGGCCACGGGGACATGGACATGGGCCCGAAATGCACCATGAACATGCTATGGTCAGTCTCTCGCCCAACCCGTTCCCCCAGCCTCGCACACGTATCACTTACTCACACGCGGCCCCGCGCGACACAGGAACACCCAAATCGTCGACACCTGCGTCGTCTTCCGCTCGTGGCACATCTCGTCGCGATTCACCTTCGCGCTCTCCTTCGTCGCCATCATCCTCATCTCCGTCGGCTACGAGTGGCTGCGCACCTACCAGCGCGCCGTCGACCAGCGCATCGCGCTCGCACTTGCGCGCGGCAAGGGCCGCGACAAGGGGTCGGTGAGTGGGAGAAGCAGTCCCGAGGTACCAGGTCAGGACGTTGAAGAGGCCGGCTTGCTGACTGGGCGCGCGCGCAAGGCCGCAGGCAGCGGGTGAGCATGCATCGGGTATCCCCACGTTCACACAATTCTCATCGGCCTGCATATCGCACAGCACGCCCGTCCCACCGTTTCCGCGCGTGCTCCGTGCCGGTCTTTACGGCGCCTCAGTCTTTGTCTCGTTCTTCTTGATGTTGGTCTTCATGACCTACAATGTACGCCGCCCCTTCCTACCTTCGCAAACGCAATCTACTCATTTGAGCTCCCGAAGGCATACTTGATCCTGGCCGTCGTGCTCGGCGCCAGCATCGGGCACTTCGTCTTTGGCGCCCAAATGGACGTCGATAGCGTGCTCGCGGGCGCTGCAGCTAACAAGGGCATGGCGTGTCACTGAGCCGCTGTACACAATAGCTTCTCCTGCCCCCGATCTCTCTTGGGCTGTCTCGTTGCGTTCTGTTCTCGTTCGATAGTAGCTGACCATGTACCCCCGTGTGCTCGTAGCCACCTGTTCACCACTCACAGTCCGTTTAGTCCGAAAGCGAGTTCGTCATCGTCATCGTATACATGTGTACAGTCTGCAGTCTTCTACTTCATCTCCGTGTCCCCGTCCTTCTTCGCGAGGCCGTGCTTCTGCAGCACAGCGTCGATCTCTGAAGGCTTGTAGATTTTCGCCTTCGGCTCCTTGGTGACCGGATCCAGCGTCAACGTCGCAAACTCCACTGCAAAATTCAACGCGCGATCAGCACAGCACCGCACCGCACCGCACGGCGCGCGGGAAGGCAGCAGCGGGACACGTACGCTTCTCGCTGCCCAGCGTCGTGCTGTCCATCGTCTTGCTCATCGTGCGCATCACGAGCCCGATCGCCTCCTCGACCGTAATATCGTCCTTGTACTCCTGCTTAAGCAAGCTCTGCGCCGTGCCGTTGTTCGCGCCGATGCACGTCGCCTTCCAGCCCGAGTAGTTCCCGGACGGGTCCGAGTGGTACAGCTGGAAGCGGTAGTGCTTGTCGTAGCCCGCGTACAGGAGCGACACGCCGAACGGGCGCAGGCCGCCGAACTGCGTGTAGCCCTGCTTCAGGTCGCACAGCCGCTGCGCGAGGAGCTCGACGGGGATGTCCTCGTTGTACGAGAAGAGGTGCTGCTGCGCGGCCGTGCGCGCGTAGTTCACGAGCGAGTTCGCGTCCGCCGTGATCCCCGCCACCCCGCTGATGACGTTCCTGCGCATCCGCGTGAGCGCGAACACGAATGCCGCACGCGTGCGGTGGAGAGAGAGCGGGACGCACGAGTTGAGCAGGAAGATTTTCTCCCCGCTGCCGCCGTACCCGCCGACTTTCTCAGCCGACAGGTCCAGGAGCTTCCCGGTGACCTTCTTTTCCGCGGCGAGCACGACGCCGTCCGTGGCGAGGACCGCAAGAACGGTCCCCGCGTGCGAGATGGCCTCCATCGCATACTCGACTAGCGCGCGGGTCAGCAGGGCACGCACACGAGCCACGGATCCAGATCCTAATCCGGATCCGAAACCGAAGCCGAAGAGAAGAGAGGAGGCGAGAGGAGGGAGGGGGCTCACTCTGGTACAGCCGGCCTAGACGAACGCTCCGTAAGACCGTTGCGCGATCGATGCATAAGCGGCACACACGCACCTTCCGGCGAGAAAATCGTCGTGCGGCCTATACAAATGCGACCCGTCCTCGATCAGGACGGCCCCAGCACGAAATCAGCCTCGTACGCACTGTCGTATCTTCTTGCCTGCGGGGCGGGGCGGCGGCGGATCAGCTCACGCACCAATGAGGCGGGGTGCGCACATGCGTACCATCGCTTCAAGCCTTCGAGTACAGATACAGATTTAGACGACGATGAGAGGGTGTGGAGAGGTGGGAGGGGAGAGATGAATGAGCCTGAAGTGACGCGTCCCCGGGAGAGCTGCACACGCGCGTCTCGTAGGCATTCGGCTGTTGCCGAGCTCGCGTTCCTTCTCACCTTCCTCTTTCGTCCCTGGCCTCCAGCGCCTCGTCTACGAAACGTTACACAGATCAAGGAGTCTAGCAAGTTGAGTGCAAGATTCCATACTCATAACATACGTAGACACAATGCTACAAGCCACGAAGCTATCTTACTTCTCTCGCTATGGCTTTGATTCCCGCAATGCAGCTCAACAATGGCGACGACATCGATAATCCACGGCAGACTACTTGTCCCAAGAGCAAACGAGCGACAACGAAAGCGAACAAAACACACGCCCCACACAATCAAGCAAAACCCACACAATGCAATACAGTGCATACCTACCGCCAAACGACCGGCCGCAAGCGACAACGACAACGACAACGACAACGACAACAGAAAGGGGAAAGAGGAAGCGAGAAAGCGAGAAAGATTATGGTATACACGAGCATGAGCGGGCGTGGGGGTATGACGGATCCGGTATATGTGCGACTTGGCTGCGTGGCCAAGAGTGTACGAGCGAGGCGCGCGCGCCTGAAAACCGAGTCTGGAGAAAGGACAGAACGCAGAACGCGGCGCCGCGGCGATGTCGTAACAAACGAGTGAATGGACGGAGCGGGCCTATGCGTGTAATGACAGCCAAAAGAGCAAGAGCAAAAGGGAAGGGTTTCGAGTATCGAACTGCACGTAAAAAGAAAGAAGGTGCGGCGCAGCGCGGTGCACGACACGCTACGCCCGACCCCGCCTCACGTCGCGCGCTCCGCGATGCCCGCCAACGACGGTATAGACGGCAAGATCGGCGCGCTGCTCAGAGCCCCGTCCTTCCCAGAGGGCGCCGGCGGCGCGCCATTCGGCTTGTCCGGAACCGGCGCACTGGGCTTCTCGTCCGCGCCAGGCGCAGGTGCAGGTGCAGGTGCGGGTGCGGGAGCGGGCGTCGTCGAGGGCCCGTCCGGGTCCGTCGTGCCGTTGTTGCCTCTGTCGCTGCTGGGCGTCGTGCCGGCTGGCGGAGCAGCAAAGTCCCAGGGGCGCGGAACCTGTTAAGGGAGTGGATATATGCGCATTGAGCACGCATATTGCGAGGATCGGGACAACGTGTGAAGCGCGGAGATACGCACCATAGCTGCGGGCATGATCCTGCTCGGCGATAGTAATAATAAAAACCCCGTCAGGAATGGAAGGAGGTCTTGGAGAGAGCAGAATGCACGCACCACGTCGCGGCGCACACGACGCCCTGGCCCTGATCCTGGCCCTTGATCGCGTCGAACTCGAAATCGAGGTACTGCCCAATGTAGCGCACGAACGGCAGGATCTCGCGCACGCCGTTGAACACAGCGCCGACGGCCGTGAGGAAGTTGATGACCGTGTTGGAAACGGAGTCGGCCTGCTGTGAGGGGGGCGTAGGGAAGGAAGCCAAGGGCGGTCAGCGAGAAGGAGTGGGGTTTAGGGGTGGGTGGTGAGGGACAGGCGAAGACGCACGTCGAGGTATGTGAGAGTCGGCGGCGGGAGGACGAGCTCGAGGCCCCACCAATCTGGAGGCACACAGCATGTCAGTCACATTTTCTGTCAGGCTAGATGGGATCGGCTCACAGGTCAAGACAGACATCCTATCGGTAGGCGGGTAAACCCCTGTGATCGAACCAGCCATTCAACGACACACCGGAGAGTGAGGCGCGCAGAGACCCACCCGTGTGATCAGGCAACAGCGACTTGCCCGTCGCGTATCCCAGCGCCATCAGCTGCGGGGTGATCTGCACGATGCCGTCCATCACCGTCTTTGCCGTGGGCACAGCGCCCGCGAGGAGGCCCGCACCGTCCGCGGGCTGGCCGAGGCCGAGATCAGGGGCGGTGAGGAGGTTCACGAGGTGGAGGTCCTTGAGGGCATCCGTGACGGAGTCGATGCTCGCGGTGGCGACGCTCGGAAGGCTGAGGGCCTCGGTGCCGAACGCGCGTGTGCGGACGACAGAAGCGGTGGGCTCGTCCTGGAGCCGCTTGAAGTGCTTCTCGTCGGCCTCGGGCTCGGTGTACGGGAGGCATACGGCGTGGATGGGCTTCGCGGGTGCTCTGTCCGATCCGGCGGCGGACGTCGCGGCGGGGCTTATTCCCGGAGCGCCAGGCAGGGTGCGGAGGTGGGCGATGACCCTGTTCGCCTTTGCGGGCTCGAGGAGCTGGGCCTTGACCTTGCCGATCTGTGCGCGCGACACGGGCTTTGCCTTGGAGGAAGGGAGGGCGATGCCGCCGGGGCCGACGATAAGGGCGCGGACGACGAGGGCGGATTCGTGGGCGCGGCGGTCGGCGGCGGCGGTGCGGCGGGTGCGGACGTCGAGGGCGCGGGCTGCGGAGAGGCGTTTGCCGTGGTCCTGTGTGCGCGAGAGGGCGGGCTTGTGCGGGTCGTGGGCGGTGGTGAAGATGCGGGGGAGGGGGTTGGGGAGTGTGAAGCGGCGGTTGAGGGAGGGTTTGGGGTCTTGTGGAATCGTGGGAGCGGTGGTGGAACGTGCGGCGGGGGAGGGAGGCGTTGAAGGAGGGTCGTTGTGGGCTGTTGCTGGCGAGGCGTCGCTGGCGGACGAGGCCGAGGGCGCCGTTCGCGCAGCTTCGGCGCCATTCCCGCTGATAGAATTCTCTGGAGCCTTTCCGTTGCGCGAGGCAGCAGCGGGGGCCTGCTTGGAGGCAGAGAAGAAAGCGAGCATGCCCATGGTGGTTGGGACGAGGGAGAGGAGGAGAAGGATAGAGATGGGAGGGCACGGACCCGGGAGTGTTTATAGCGGGCAGTGGGGGCACATGGGCCCAGTCTGTCGCCGCTTCTTCTGACCGCAGAGGGTGCTCGAGTGCTGGCGGGCCACGGTGCTCGCGCTCGAGTGCGAAAGCAGAACCGCGTCTGCGCTGCCCCGTTTCGGCTCAACGACGTCATCGCGATGCCCTCCACCCCCTCCTTTCCTCTCTTCCCGTTCTCCGCCCCGCCCAGAGACGCTCCACCCTCGCTGGCCTGACCGTGCACACAGCGAAATACATTCTCCTCGCTGCCGAGAGAATGTCGGGTTTTTCTCACTCCCAGTTGCACGAGATACTCGTTCCGTGCATAGGTCGGCCATGCCTTCGGCGTATGACTACTGGTGCTAAACTTACCATGTCACAAAACTGAGGCGCTCCGTCTCCTTTGTGAACTACTCCGACCCTTGCATCGCTGGCCACTGTGCGTAACATGGAGAAGAAAAGCGTCAAGTACTACATTCGGCACGTCTGTCCTGGTCTTCGCGTCGTCGCGGGTCAGTTGCTCATCGCGCGCGCTCACAGCCATTTCACACCAGCATGGTTTACCGTGGTTATGGGTGAGTGCCTGGACGCTTCGAATCCATCGCCGTTCCAGACCGTCCCAGCTCTTGTCCCAAGCGCCCTCCATCCAGGTCGTAGCGAGCTTACAGCGACCCTCACGAACGCCCTACCCTTTGCACGCGCTGTTATCAGCGACGCAATCCCATACGCGGCTCCTCTACTCTCTGCAGTCCTCTGAACATCCAATGTAGCGCGCCCACAACACTGACTCCTCCCATCCTTCCTTCAGGTACGGGCATTATCTCCACCCTCTTTGCGAACTTCCCCTATGGCAACACCACTGCGCCCATGAAGGCCCTCAGCGCCGTCTTCTTCTTCCTCAACCTCGCCGTCTTCGTCCTCTTCACGTCCATCTCCGCCCTTCGCTATCTGCTTTTCCGCGACGTCTGGCCTTCGATGCTCCGCCACCCGGAGAGCTTGTTTCTCGGCGCGTTCCCCATGGGCGGCGTCACCCTCGTCAACACCGCGATATCCCTCGTCCATGGGGCGTACGGGTTTGGAGGCGCGTCGTTCGTGTATGTCGTCTGGGCGTTCTGGTGGCTCGACGTCGCCGTGTCCGCCCTCTGCTGCTGGGGCTTGGTGCACGTCATGTAAGTCCACCTCTTGCGTCTCCGAGCGTCCACGCGCTCACCTCGAGCCGTCTCCCCAAGGGCAACGCGCCAAGAACACACCCTCAAATCCATGTCCGTCAGCTGGCTCTTCCCCGTCGCCACCCTCGTCGTGTCCTCCTCCGCCGGCGGCCTCCTCGCGCAAGCCCTCCAGCCCTTCTCGCCCGCGCACGCCCTCCTCACCGCCGCCTTCGCCGTCTTCCTGCTCTCCATCGGGCTCACGCTCTCGCTCACCGTGCTCGCCGTGTACTTCTACCGGCTCGTCGTGCTCGGGCATCCGCAGGGCGGCGCGATCGTCGCCGCCTTCGTGCCGCTCGGGCCCGCGGGCCAGGCCGGGTTCTCGGTGCTCCTCATCGGGGAGAGCTTTAGGGCGCTGCTGCCCGTGGCGGGCAGCGCGGGGCTGTTTTTGGGCGACGCGGCGGTGGGAAGGACGGTGTATGCGGTGTGCGTGTGCGCGGGGTTCGTGCTGTGGAGCTTGGCGACGATGTGGCTCGCGTACGCGCTGCTGGGGTTCTATCACGTCCTGCGGAGGACGCGGGTCGCGTTCGGGCTGCCGTTTTGGGGGATGATCTTTCCGAACGTGAGTGTGTGCGCGCCCGCGACGCGCTGTTTCCCCTTCTTTTCCTTCTTCTCCTCTTCTCCTCTTCTCTGCGTGTGCTCGGACGGACGCTCACGCATCGTGCGCGGACGCAGGGCGTGTACGCGAACCTGACGATCGCGCTCGGGCGCGCGTTTGACGGCGCGCGGTTCTTCCGCGTGTGGGGCGCTGTGTACGCGTGCTTCACGCTTGCGCTGTGGGCGTGCGTGTTTGCGCGCACGCTCGTGGCGCTACGGGCTGGGACGCTGTTCGATGCGCCGGCGTCTGTGTCGGCGCGGGGGCAAGGGCGGGGGCAGGGGAGGTCGAGGGCAGAGGCGGGGTCGGGGTCGGGGTCGGGGGCGGGGACTTTGGTGGAGAAGGCGGAGGAGCGGGGGGCGGGTGGGGCGTGAGCGTGAGCGGGTGGGTGGAGGAGAACCGAGGGTGAGGTGGCGAGCTGCCTGTATACCGTTGATCGTGTTGTCGGTACTAATCCACTTAAACACCGACCTAATGCCAGATACCAGACTGTGTGTTATGCGGCCCGGGCGCAGTGCTCGACGAGGGAGATTGGTCGCGGTCGATCGGCTGTGCGAATTGAGTGGCGGATATTGGAGACCTTGATCACAACGACGTCAGTGGGAAGGCTGCAGCATGTACGCTGCTCTCTTCTGGGCTCTCTTCAGTCGAGACCCTCTGGGACTTGGACTGGTTTATCCCACACCTAGTAGCTTGATGATACCGTGTGTTTAACTAGCTGTGTTCGAGTGGGAGTGTGTTTCTGCTGTCGCTTGTCTCGGCACATTATATGAAGCAAATGGACGTTGTTCTCGCATATCTTGGGCGGATGTATTACAGTTTGTATCGTACGCCCACGTGTGATGCAAGGAGATGCTGGGTGTGGGCGATGACACGTTGCTGCTAATTATAGAAACAGGCGCGTCCAGCATCCTTCCATCCATCACTCCTCCGACCGAGCATCGACAAACAACCCGCACCCACACACCCAACACCCACACCCACAACTTCCGCCGAGCAGCACCATGCCCAGCCGCTCCGACTACCAACCGCTGCGGCAGTCCTTCGACGACGAGGACGAAGACGAGGGGGCGGAGGTCGACGTCGGCGTCGAGGGGCGCCCCGCGCCTGCGCCCGCGGCGGAACCGACGCGGTCGGCGCGCGGGATACGCCGCGCGCACCACCCCGGGAACATCGACCTCCGGAAGCTCGACACTGCGTTCAAAAGGTGCGCCGCTCGTTCTTCGGCCGCGGGGCTGCGCGCCGTCGATGGCTCACGGTCTCGTGTGTATGTGTGTGTGTTTGTGTGTGTGGGCGCTGGTCGCGCGGTGGGGCAGGTGGACGGAGAGCATCGCGCAGAAGATGAAGCGGAAGAAGAAGGCGGAGGACGTGCATGCGAGGAAGGAGATCTGGCGGAGCGTGTTCGACCCGCCCGTCCTCCCCGCCCTCGCTCCCACCGGAACCGTGAGTCCTCGTGCCCGTCGCAGCCCGGACGTCCTCCCACCTCTCCACCCTGTGGATCTTTCCGTTACTCACGACATGTCGCCGCGCAGGCGAAGACGCTGGACCACAAGCCCCCCATGACGGAGGCAGAATTCACCGCGTACGTCCCAGCCCCCTTTCTCCGGCGAGAACCGCGGCCTGAGAGGCGTGCCATGCAAGCAATCTGGTGCTGGGCGTCAAGCACGCCATCGCCGAGGGCGTACACCCGAAGATGATCACCAAGGGCTCGTCGGGCTCGTACTTCTCCCGCGCCAAAGTCGACGGGCGGGTGCAGATCGTAGCGTGAGTGCCGGTGCTCCTGCGCGTTGGCCCGCGCCCCGCGCCCGAGCTCACCCTGCGCATTTCGCAGCGTGTTCAAGCCCAAGGACGAGGAGCCGTATGGCCGGTTGAACCCGAAGGTGTCTCCTGCCTGGGCCGCTCGGAGGCGCGTCGTGCTGATGTTTTTCCATTTTTAATTTGACAGACGACGAAATGGGTGCATCGACAATTGCGATGGATCATTCCCTTTGGCCGTGCATGTCTCATCCCCAATCTCAGGTGCGCGACGAAAGCCCGAGGTGCTCTCGGTTCCGCTGAATACGTTCTCCTCAAGCTATATCTCGGAGGCTGCGGCATCGCTCTTAGATTCCCGACTGAACCTGAACATCGTTCCGCGAACACAGCTCGTGTCGCTCTCCAGCCCAGTGCGTCCACACATCCTGTCCTCGTGTTATTCTTCCTTTTTTATACTCCCACGGTATACCCCTGCAGGCTTTCTTCTATGACTGGATAGACCGCACTGCGTTCAAGAAGGGCAAGCCGTTACCCGAAAAGATCGGGAGCATGCAGTACTTCCTGCACGGCTACCAGGGTGTGACCTCCCCACCTCCCTCCCGTTGCGCCGTTCCCCGAGCCCGGTACTGACCCGACGCTTGTTCGACAGACGCGTCCGAGTTCCTGCGGAGGCATCCCTGGCCGGGACGCTCGATCGCAGACACGTTCGACGACTCGACGCATAGGACGGGGAACGTGTCGAAGCGGCTCCTCGGCGCGCTCAAGATCGTCTGTGGCAAGACCGGCGCAGAGGAGGATATGTACGAGGACGACGTCGAGGACGAGCGCGTGCTGTACGACGCGTCGGAGAGCCGCAGCCCCGACAGGCCGTTCTACTGGTCCGTCGCGCTCCAGCGGAGCTTCCGCGAGGAGCTCGAAAAGTGCGACACTCTACTACATCGCGCCCTTCGCCCTTGTTCGTGTTCGTGGCTGACGATCAGAATTCCCGCCGTCTAGACTCGTCATCCTAGGCAGGTCTGTTTCTCTCTCCAGGACTGACACACGCCTTTACATGCTGCTTCTTCCTCCTTCTCCGCCACGCTCTTATCAGATTATCTCATGCTGAACACCGATCGCGGCGCGGACAACTACATGATCAAGTACTGCCACGGCGACCACCAGCCGTCGCTCATCGACGTCGCGCCCACCCGCTCTGCGCAGATCGGGATCCCACAGATGAACGAGATCCGGCGCAGCGAGGGGTCACCGAGCCCACACCTCGCGCCGTCCCCGCCGCCGCCGCCGCCGCCGCCATCGCAGCTGCAGCCCCAGCCGCATCCGCCGCCTAGCATCTCCTTCCTGAGCCCGCCGCGCATCTCGCGCACGGGCTCGGGGTCCGGCATCAGCGGCCCACAGCAGCAGCAGCAGCAGGCGTACACGCGGCAGCCGCACATCCACATCGCCGCGATCGACAACTCGCTCTCGTTCCCGCACGAGCACCCGCACGGCTGGCGCGCGTATACGTACGGCTGGCTGTACCTGCCCGTGAGCCTCATCGGGCGGCCGTTCAGCGAGCGCACGCGCGCGCACTTCTTGCCGCTGCTCACGAGCCGCGTGTGGTGGGAGGAGACGACGTTCCAGCTAAGGAAGCTGTTTGCGGTCGATCCGGATTTCCATCCGAAGATGTTCGATGTGAGTGTTGGCGATTGAGGGGTTTTCTTGTTTTTTTTTTGTCTTTGCGATGAGTAGGATGCTGAGCGGCGGCGGTGGTTGTGTAGCGACAGCTGGCGGTGATGAAGGGCCAGGCGTGGAATATCGTCCAGTCTTTGAAACACGACGTGAGTGCTCTCATCATTTCTCGTACGATGTGAAAAATGCAACTCTGTGTTCGTCATTTTAGGACGAAGGTAACCGATCTCCATTCCTCTTCTGTCCACATTCATTTGTACTAACGACATCCTAGGCCCCCTGGAGCTCACACGGCGCGCCAAGGCGCTCGTCTGGGACGACGCAATGGAGCTCGACGAAGACACCATCACGGAGCTCGTCCACGGGCCGCTCACGGCCTCGCCGCAAGCCTCGATCAGCACGCTGCCGCCGCTCCCACTCTTCAGCCCGCAGCTGCACAAGCGCGCGCGCAGCAGCTCGAGCGAGTTCCCGCCGCCCATGCGCCGCACGAGCACGGACGTGCGCCCCGTGCCGTTCTCCGCCAAGTTCCAGCGCGTGCACCCCGGCACGACGGGCGTGACCGTGCTCGAGCACATGGAACGCCTCGACGCGGTCGAGGCGAGCCTCGAGCGCCTCGCGAGGGACGGCGCGCCGGACGAGGACGCGGATGCGGATGCGGATGCGGATGCGGTCGAGGAGGACGTCGCGGAGGGCGCGTCCGTGGCGTCGACATCTGCGCCCGCGTCGACGTCGGCCCCGCGCTCCGTCCCGCGCACGCCAGGCGGCAGCCCGAAGATCCCGACGGACGCCGCCGCCATAGCGGCGGGGGGCTCGAGCGTGCCCCTGCGCGCGGGCGTGCCCGAGCTGCCGCCCGTGCCGGAGGTCGCGTCGTCGTCGTCGTCGTTCGTGGAGGAGGAGGACCTGGTCGCGCTCTCCAAGTCGACGTCGCAGCTCGAGGTGTCGCATTCGGGCGGCGGGGGCCACGGCCGGTGGAAGAGCCACGGCTCGGGGCGCGCGCAGGTGCGGACGAACTTGGACTGGATGCAGGAGGAGCCCGCGAAGAAGCGGACTGTGATCTGCGAGGTGCGTCGGGTCGCTGCTCTTTCCGTCGTGGGATGCTGACGGCTCTGTCGGTCTGTTCGTCCTGTAGCGCCTCGAGATGGTCCATAAGAAAGCGCTGTTTTCCTGCTGAGCATGGGACCCTGATCGTTTCTGCATACCCATTTCATACACACAGACGGCGTACGCCGTACCCGTCACCTGATGACCTTTCCACGCACCTTGTTTCGATATCCTCGCCTGTATTTAGAACCGACTATCTGCCGAACCGAACCGGGAGGAGCACTAATATTGAAGCTATCATTTAGAGGGCTACTGTAAAACCAGACAATTGAGATCTGCGAGGGTACATCTTGATCTCTTTTCGAAAACGAAAACGAAAACGAAACGAAACGACGCGCAACGGGGGCCAGCTCAAGGTGGCCGTGAGATCAGTCGCCCTCCGTCATCAACCAGTTCGCAAAGTCGTCCAGGCGCTTCTTCTCTTCGCCCTCGCCGCCCTCCTCGTCCTCGACGGCGCCGCTGCGCTTGAAGCGTGTCTTGCCCGCCCAGAGCGACGCCTCGATCTTGCGCCCCGCGAAGAAGCGGCCGTGCATTTTCTGCAGACAGAGCGCGGGGCGAAGAGTCAGGGAAGGTAAAGGACCGTGCGGGAGGAGAGGGAAGCTTACGATGACGCATGCTTGCGCACTGAGAGGGTCGCGGAATTTTATCGTCATGACGCCCTCTGGCTCTTTCTGCACATGCGTGCCGTGCATCATACAAGTGAGCAGGACGGCGTAAAAGCCGTCGAGGACGCGAAAGGCGAGAAGTGAGAACGCACGTCGAACAGGACGACATTCGTGACCTCGCCCAGGGTCTCGCACTCCTCGCGCACGTCCTCCTTCAGGTCGAGCAGCAGCGAGGCGTCCTCCTCGAGCTCCTTGAGCGTGAACATGTGCTTGAGGACGACGACGCGGCTCGCGGGGTTCGCGGCCGCATGGCGCTCTTCTTCCGTGAGCGACGGCCCAAAGGTGTCTGCGTCGTCCCACTCTTCGAGTTTTCTGTGTGAATGCGGCGCGGGTGTACGCACGCGCGACGAGGGGGCGGAAAGGTGAGGAATGAAGGCGGGCGAGGCTGTCAAGGAGAGTCAAGAAAGGACGACGGCAGCGGGACGCACCTCTGCATCTTGCCCAGCCGGCGCGTCGCCTTCCGCTTGTCTACCGTCTTTCTCGGGGCCCCGCTGCCCCCCGCCACACCACCGCCGGGCTTCCCGTCCCCGCCCTTATGCCCAAACTCAGCGCGCAGCACGCGCATGCGCGTGCTCGGCTCCCCAAGGCGCAGCTCCGCGTCGTCGAGAATGTTGAGCGCGAGCGTGACCGAGTCCTCCTTGAAGTACACGACGAGCGCCTCGCCGCTGAAGGCGCCGTCCGCGTCATCGCGCGCATAGAGCTTGACCTTGGGCTCGCCCGCGTCGTCCTCCTCGAGCAGCCCGCACTTGGAGAAGCGCGCGACGAGCTCGTCGTGCGTCGTGTCCGGGGGCAGGTTCGAGACGAACACGGCGGTGTTTTTGGAGCGTCGGGGCTCGCTGCCGGCGGCGGCGGCGTCGTTCGATTTGGAGCCTTTGCCGCGCTTGATGGAGGGCCCCGGCTGGCCGAGGGTGCTGGAGGTGTAGTCTTCGGGCTCTTTCCGTTTTTTGTTTATGCGCGCGATGACAGGCGCGGCGGGTGTCTTCACGAACAACGAGAGGGGGCGGGAAGGAGAGAAGGCGGCCGGATGAGGGGTATGCGAGCGGACAGGAGTCGAAGGGGAAACTTACCTCCTCGTCGACGCCCGCGACGGAATAGGCCGCCTGCTGGCTCTTGAGCAGCTCCTCATCCACCTGAAACGCACACACAAGACCGATCGCGTTCGCCGGCCCATTCACTCACACAGACAAGAGCGAGGCGGCACTGACCACAGGTTTCCACGCGCCCTTGGCGGGGTCGTACTCGAGCTCGTCGCCGGCGTCGTCCTCGAAGCGCCAGGTGGCGGACTGCGTGTCGAAGTGCACGCGCGGGTCGGAGGCGAAGGCGGCGGCTTGGGAGGCGGCAGAGGAGCCTGCGGCGGCGTGTGGGGGAGGCGCGCTCGTCGTGGTAGAAGACATGTTTGGCCTTGTTGCCTACACGGCGCCCGCACTCAGTCTGTTCGGGCGCTGGGCGCGCTCTTCGACACAACAGTGTTTTCACACCCGTCTCATTGATCAAGATCATGCATGTAGCCTGTCTATCTACTTCACGAGCAACATGGGAAAGTACGCGTTCGGGTCGTGCGGCGCATCCGCCGCCATCTCCGGCGCCCACTTCTTAAACGCGGTAGGGAGTGCAGGGGGCAGCTTCGACTCTGAATACGCCTTGCGCGCAGACGAAATGGTGGCGATGGCCTCCGTAAGATCGATAGAAGGCGTAGACGCGGCTGGAACGGACGAATCTGTCACTGCAGCCTGGCCCCGTTCTGACGGCGCAGCGACACTGCATCAGGGATCATAGAGATGGAGGGGCAGGAGAAGGTCACGCAATACGCACGGAAGGCAAGACGAGAGGATGAGCATAATGGAGATCATGGTGACGAGGGCAGAGGTGGAGACGTACGAGGGCAGAGAAGCGTGCTGGATCAGCAACGTTGACAGCTCGGACTGGGTGACGACGGAGAGCTGGGGGTATGCACGACGGACATCGCGCTTCCAGTACGGGTTCTGCGCGGGGTCGGAAGCTGTGGGGAGACATGGGCACCGTCGGTCAACGTGAATGTTCCGACAGATTGTGAACATGAGAACAGACCTTTGGTTGCGGGGGTTGCATAGGGCTCTTTTCTGGAGCCAGGGGGAGGCTGCCTGTTCAGCGCAGCGAGAGGCAGGCCGCTGGAGATGTTTGGGTCGACGGCCGTCGCGTCACCTGGCGGTGAGTGAGCACTCACAGGTCGTGGCTGGTAGAGCTGAGATGAAAGCCGTACGGAATTTCTTCCAAAAGCCCTTTGGGCTGAGATGATAGAGGGTGTGGTCCGCGGCCTTCCTGACTGCGGCCATGCTGTGAGAGACTGTGTGCGACTGGGGTTCAACGCCGCGCGCGACGACTCGCTCGCCGGGCGCTAATCGTGATTATGTAACGGAGTTCACTCCGAATTGCAGCATCGAGCGCTCAGGACTGCACGAATCATTGCACGTCTGGTACTCCGATGTCCCCTTCAGGTGTGAAACATTCCTTTCTGCTCGAAGCGCGTTCTGCTCTTGTCGGAGATGAGACTGCAATGGCTCGAAAATTTCACCACCGGCAGTGGTCCTCATGATCGCGTCATCCGCGCGCCGCTCACAAACCACGTCTCGCTGACGCCATATTGTACAACCGCGGCATCCTCTGCTGTGCTCTCCTCCAATTCAGTCGTTGGGCCTTGCATCTGCTTGGTGGCCCTCGGTGTCAGCCATGTCATGGAGCGCGAGCGAACGATATAAAGTTGTCTGCGTGTGTGTGACCCTCCCCGCAATTCCGAATTCCGTACCTAGTTTCACTCGCTCCTGCAAGGTCTCCAGTCTTCTTCTGTGGTTGAGACATGCATCCCTCGCTTAGTGCTTTCAGAGCTTCTGGCTCCAGCTCTCTCCGCGACCCGTCTGGCGCCACCAGCCTTGCCGACCCTGCCTTCGACGCCGTCGAGCCCGCCTCCGGGACACACTCCCCCGCCTCCATTCTCTCGGACCTCTCGGACACAGACGCCCCGCACGATCCCCACGCCCTACCCAGCTTCTCCTCCACGACCCTCACGCGCCCCTCCGAGCCCATCCTCTACCTCCCCCCGCTCATCTCCTCCCTCCCATACACGTACCCGAAGCACCTCCCTGCCGCGACGCCCTCGGCCGGGAAATCCCCCCTCGCCACAGAGACGCGGCTGCCCAACATCGACCCCGCGTCGCTCTCCCTGCACAAGGCTCTCCATAACTTCGGCCCGATAACGGATAAATACGCGGAGGTGTCCTACGCGGACGCGTTCAATTGGGACGAGCTCGAACTGCCCGAGGATGAGGAGCGCGAATGGTATTGCGTCGCTTTTCGGAGCATCAGGAAGCCAGGAAGCGAGGCCGGTCGTACGTCCCCCCCCCCGCTCTCCTTCTCTTCCCCACACGTCCCCTCACGCGCACTCGCCCTTCTCCAGCCCTCTATGAAGCCGACAAGCTCGCACACGAAGAGGCCATCCGAAACGGCGGCGTAAGTCTCTCTCCGCTTTCACCACGCTCACAGTACACGCCCGCTCACCTTCCTCGCTTACCTCCATCCCTCCTCCAGTTAATCATGTACTGGTACGGCATCCCCGACCCCGCCACCGGCCGCAACCTCGCGACCTGCATCTGGCAGTCGCGCGCGCACGCGCTCGCCGCGAACGGCCGCCCTCACCACATCCGCGCCATGCGCCTCGCCGCCGCGAGCTACGACACGTACGACCTCGAGCGCCACACCCTCCGCAAGGCGCGCGGGTCGCGCCGCGTCTCCGTCGAGCCATTCACCGGGGGAGCGGTCGGGTGGTAACCCGCTCTTGCTTCTTCCTCCCTCTACCCCCTGACTGAGTTGGTTAGCGACGCGCTGCGGGTTGGCGGGCTTGCGTCTTGTGTCGTTTTGGTTCTGGTTTTGTCGTTATTGCTATTGCTTTCGTGTACCACATATACCTATACAGCATCTCCTTTGGACAAGTCTGATGCTGAACTAGATACGTAGGATGTAAAACCAAAAGAAAACACTAATCATTTAAACGGAACAAACTCGAGAAACGCGATAATACTGGTGACTATTTACAGATTGCCATAACAAGAGCCCTTTTGAACGTACAAGAATCCCTACTACAAGCTCGAAATCGAAGATCCTTCCCGAAAAAAAACAATAACAATAATGATAGAATCAGCAGCTGTTGAGGTTCTTCACAAGGTTGAACGCGTCCGTGTGCGTCGTGCCCCCGAGGTCGACAGAGAGGTCGAACGACGAGCTGGCGGCGATCCCAACGACGAACTGCGAGGAGTACAGGTCGTACAGGCTCGACGCGGAGCTCGTGGTCCGCGTCAGGCTCGCCGTCGACGGCACCATCAGACGGCCGACCGAGCCCACCTGCGTCTCGGCGGAGGTGAAGCTGACTGACGCGGACGAGACCGTCTGGTCGTTGCGCACCTGTCGCCCGGACGATAAGCACTAGTTCGCAGGGGGGAAGGATGAGAAATGCTTACCGCAGCGACGATATTGACGGTGCCGTCAGACATGACACAGCTGGTCGCGGGCTGCACCATGACGCCATCGCTGATCGCGAAGCCCGCGCCGTTGTTGTCTGCTGTGGTCACCACGCCCCCGGCGGTGGTCGAGAACTGGACCGTGAAGGCGGAGAAGCCGACGGCGGGGTCGATCGTGGTGTTGAAGTGGAAGAACCGGACCGCGCCGTCCCAGATCGTGCCGCTAGAAGTCCCTTGGAACGTCGCGGGTGCGGTGCAGCCGTCGCACGACGCGCCGTTGCGGTCTGTCCAGGCGATGCTGATCGAGAGAAGAAGAGGAAAGAAGTCAGACATTCCGCTCGTAAAGACACTGCGGTCCTGGAAGAACTTACTTGACCGTGTAGCCATCGAAGGTCTCCGCAGGGTCCGAAGAGAAGATCTAGAATGCGCAGTACGCGTGAGCGCCGGAGTCGCGCTTCCGAAAGAATAATAAAGCCCTACGCACCCGGACGTTACCTTCCAACTGGATATTCCCGTTGCTGTCGATGCTCAACTGCGCGTTCCACGGCTTGACGGGGACGGGGGCGATGGGGTCGGTCAGCGTCACGCCCTTGGGGACGGTGTCGAGCATGCGCCCGAGGAGTTCTCCGCAGCGGTTGTTGAAGACGTCGTTGCTGGAGGCGAGGTCGCGCATGGTCGCGTTGTTGTCGGCGGCGAAGATGCGTGCGTCAGAATCCATCGTGGTGTTGAAACCGGTGGCGAGTGCGTCGTCGGAAGTGCTGCTGTTGACCCACTGCACCGCGCTGTGGTCATACGTACAAAGGTTAAGTCAGAATCGTTGCGTGGGGAGACGAGCGGTCACAAGCGTACATGTGGTTATCAAACTTCGAGAACGAGTCATCGAAATGCTGCATCCCGCTCGTGTTGTTGTCAGAGTTGATCAATCCGGTGACGACGGTCGGGAATTCTGTCTCGTGGACACCGCCAATCGTGTGCCCGCACGCTACGAGACCGATCATCTCGCTGACGTTGAAACCTTGCTTCGCGAACGACGCCGTGTGCGACGAGAGATCCTGCTGGGGCTCGGGGACACCAAAGGGACCGGCGCTAGTGGCATCGACGCGACCAACGCGCATGGGAACAGAGGGGCCGGAGCAGATACGGACAGAGAGAACCGTGCCGAGAGCAATGAGATCGGCCACTAAGAAATTGCTCGAGCATGAGTAAACGGGCAGCAGATGACGGAACAGAAAAATGAAACCAACACGATGCGTGGCTATTCTGGAACGTAGCGAGGAAGCCCATGGTGGTGTTGAAGGCGGGGCCGACGTTTTCTCCACGATCCGTCTCGAAACCGAGAGAGGCGTCGATTCCACCAGTGCCCGCAGCTGCGTCTGCCGTAGCCATGTCGTGATATGCGCTACGGGCGGTTGTCAGTCGGCGAAGATGCCTGTCGGACGATGTGGAGACCACGATGCTCACGTTCGAATCCATTCAGCAGCGGCCTGCCTGCCACTGGTGCTGAGTGGGGAGAAGCCGCACGGCGTGATCGGGAACACGACATTGCTGGCTCCAAGACCGTCAGTGACAGAGTACAGCTCTTCGATAGCATCAATCGGGTCAGGCCATTGATACCCTTCTGAGAGGAGGGGAAGCGACAAAAGGCTCGCGGCAAGGTATGCTATGTGACTCTGCACCCTCATGGAAGATACTATGAAAGCAGGAAGTGAGAAGATGAAGACGTCTGGAGAGGGTCTGGTTTCCTCACATTATTGTCCATGGTATTTATACCAGATGAGTTGGGTGTCCATAGCCTGCCAAAGAACTGGGAGTTGAGCTCCCCATGCGGAGCCATTGCGGAAACGGTCGGGTAGAAGCTTTACGCGATAACTCACCTTGAAAATACGGCTTCGTGTGTTTCTTCTCGTGGAAAATACCAGATCACTGCGACTATTACTTTTCGTTTGATTTCACTGAATTTCTTTCGCCCAGGCATTCAGGAACTTCATACGACCGAAGCTGGAAACTTTTCTAAACAGTGAACCGATAAGATAGATATTACCTGCAAGTATGGTCAGCCATTGAATGTGTTCATAGATTGAACGTATGGTGATCAAAATGGTTTACTTTCGATAAAACTATAGCTGCCATCAGGATACACTGGGCGGCTGTTCAAGGTGGGTCTCGGGTCAGGCGACCTTGTCGAGTATGTGAGATAGTGATGCAATCGACTCAAGAGTATCTCAGTCTGAAAGTCGTATGTGCTTCCGTGCCACCTTCCATCTCCTGGCGGCCCTTTGACCTCACCGCTCCCGTCGATTCTCTTCTTCGTCCCTGCCCCTTTGCCCTGCACTCGACGTCTTCTTTTCCACACGGCGATCTCAAAAATTACGTTGATCGTTTAAGGGCAAAACCTCCTTGAGCCTGCTGCAATTCCGCGTTAGTCACGCAGTGCCATCCCCAACCAGGAGTCTCTGGAATCTCGTCTAACTGTGTGTTGGTCCGCGAGGGAAACCACCGTCCAGATCTGAAAGTATTGATCTCCGCGATCTTTGTCCCAAAATGTATGCCGTCCAAATACCGCAATTTGTCTCGGGCGGTCGATTGCTGCTGGTGTTCATGCACGTCAGCAATCATTGCATTTGGGTAGTTTCATTTCAAAGGAAATAGCTTCTTTTCTCTGGAAGAGTAACGGAAGACTCTGGTAACTGGACGAGTTGTGCTGTAAGAAAACGGCCTCACAAAAGTCCTGAGTGTCAGGAAACCCTCGTTCTTGATACGGATAGCTGCCCTGATGCTCGCGAGACGCAATTCTCGAAGCTTGAAGGCTGAGAGAGTTTCTCGGCCGCCTTTGCTTCCTGTGGGAGAATAAGATGTTGTACTCACTCAAGGTTTTGAGACGTGATGGTCAAGTTCTGCTGCGCCTTGTTCGTAGCCGGAATTTGTATGATGGAACTGCTTTCTCGAGGCCGTCACCTATGACCCAAGTCTAGCAGATTGCCACAGATCAGTATAGAATCCTTTCGATGTAAGCTTCACGGAATGTTGTTCCAGTGATCGCTTCAGCACAGAGTCTGTGTAATATCAAGAAGTCAGGAGGCTGCCTGTTACTAAACAAAGTGCTCACCTTGACTCAGGTCGATTTGTGTCTGACCAAGGTTCGGAGTTCTGGCGTGAGATACATTTCGAATGTCAACTTGGCTGACCAGTGCTGGTGACTCAGCCGCGAACGCGTTCTCACAGACTTCTCGCAGACGAAGCAGCTGCGCACACACTTTTTACAACATCCTCGGTACGATCAACGAGGAAAAACGATGATGAACAAATCTCGGAACCGAAGGTGCGGGTCGTACCATAAGAAATACTATATTTTCTTACAGAGTATATGCAGCAACTCCTATCACAGAAATCACCTTTTGAGAAAAACGAGCATTATAGGTGGGTCGACCCCCGTACTTCAAGAATGATATAGTTGCTAGCGCATAGTGGCGGTCACAAACTAGTAGTGCCTGGATCATCGGTCCATGAGTGAATAGAATCCCGCACCGAAGCCGGAGACTTTGCTGGCGGCTCATCAATGTGTTGTCCGTTGGGCTGCGTCGTCTCCAACGCTGAGTTCAACAAAGGGCTATCGTTCTGTCGGGATAGATCCTGTAATGCCCATGACAAAAAAGCGGTTTCGGCATCATATACTTATTACCGGGATCAGAGGAAGCACTCGCCTGTGTGTGTCGTCTCAGAGGCTGGATACCCCTGTCCTCGCTCGGTTTTCTTGATCCCGTACAGCCCGGGGCTCTCAAAGGTGATACGAATATGCCTGGGGCGGGCGCGAACGCGCCCAACGGCGGTCGAGGATCCGGCAAATGTGTCCCGCAGGTCTCCGAAATCGGAAGGAGCGTCGACGCCCTCTCCACCGGCTGACGGCTGGAGGGTGGGAGAACCTCCCAGTCAAACTCTTCAATATTTGATGTCGAGGGCGAGGGCGGAAGTTGTCCTTCTGCAGGTACCCTGTCCGAGTGTCGTTCGTCAATATGAGTATTTGGTTCAAGCGAGTACACTTCTGGCCCTGCCCCATCGCTTCTATTCCATTGATGATGGTAAAAAGGGTGCTGCTGCTCGGGATCAGGATATTGCGTCGGCTGCGACCTTACCGGGAGGTGACTGTCGCTGCCTGAGTGCCGATGAGAGTGTTCATTATTAACGGGCGAGTAGATATCTGAACTTTCTTGGTTTCCTCCAAATCTGGGTCTCAACTGGAATCCAGAGTGAGCACTAGCTGAATAGTTGCCGTCTCCTTCTGAAACGCCATCCTGAATATCAACTAAACGATCGCGGATGAATGGTGCCCAGTGGAAGTCGAGTGAGTCAGGATCCACGTCTACCTGATCAACAAAATCATATTGAATGGCGGAAGACGGCGAGCTGCTAGTATGCGATGACTTGCGGTATGTAGGACCGGGCGTAGAGAAGGGATTGGATATATGCAAGGCAGTCGAGATAGAAATGTCCTGTTTCAAATGAGGATTCCGGTGTGTGCTTGAGGGCGGTGGAGAGGAAGATGGAGAAATTACATATGCGGGTAAGTGTTTGAACAGGGAGGGAGGTGTATCAAGATGTGCATTTAATGGGGACGATGCCATTACAGGAGACCGAGCGAGCAAAGTCGGGTATTGCACACCGGATTCCTCAAGATGAGAAGCATTGCGGATAAGTTGAGGCGAAACGGAAGATAGCGTGCTTCCAGGACCAGGGTGAGAAAAAGCCCTAGAGATGTCGTCTGAGAAAACTTGAGCCGGCTGAGCATCAAAGTGTCGAGCAACGGAAACATAGCTTGCGGGACCGGGAGTGGAGAAAGGCAAAGCATCAGGCACTCGGACGGCGTAGTCATAGTCAGCATTCGAAGCAGGTACAAGCAGAAGATCAGCAGTATGAACGGAGAATTCGGGAAGATTATCAGAAGCAAATTCAGCAGCTACATCATTGTTAGGGTCAGCATAAATCCGAGCAGTCGTAGGGTCAGAGCCAACTAGCGGCAGCGAATCAAGACAAGGGGGTTGGAAAGCAAAGACAGAAGCATCCTCATCTCCAATTTCATTCTGGTTGGGGTTAGGTCCTTGATATTCTTTCACTGGAAACGGCGGTTCTGCCGGAAGTGGGTCGTTAGTTGTGGGTATTAGACGTCTAAGAGGGTGAGAAGCTTGAAGGCCTAGAAGTGTGTCGTTAAGCCAGTCTGGCATCGGAGGTAGAGATATCAAAGTGGTATCAGCCTGTATGCGAGAAAAGCCAGTCTATGCGCAGGGATTGAATTGAGGGTTCGTGTCAATCAGAGGAGAATAAAACGATCACACCTTGAGATAGTCTCCAGTTTGAGACGGTGATGAACTCTGTGCCGCAGGCCTCTTCATCTTAATGAGAGTGAGGTTCTTTCCTAGGCTACCTTCCTGAATGCCACTGTATGCTGATAATGGTGTCTTCGGGACGTCACTGAGCGATGATGAGCCAGAAGAGTATACCCGACGGCGTGAGGACGTGGAGGAGGCACGAGGGCCGGAAAGCATTCGAACTTGATCAATCATGTTGTCGTAGCGTGAATTGATGCCCACAGCGCGTCGACGCTTGAGTGGTCGAAAAGATGCATCCTCTGGCACTCGTGCTATGGTTGCCCTCAGTTGTGAAACAAGTTTTCATGAATGAGTCTCCAACCTGAGGATTTCAACGTGTGCACAGTGGACGACACTCTGTTTACGTGTAATCTAAATTAATGAAAGAGTGCAATGATCGATGTGCATACCGGCTGTTGGGAAACCCTTCCAGGACGGAAACAGAACTATCCATGTCTTCATCGCGATTTGATGTAGTGAGACGGTTAGTCATCGGGTTTGGTTTGTTATTCAGATTGTGCACGCTGTAGAGTCAGAAATAGAAACACGTATTGATACGCTTATTCGATAGATACAGAGGCTGAAAGAGTATGGGGCTGTAATGGTGGAATTAACAGTCGAAAGGTGCGTGACGCGTTTCAGGCTCACTCTGTCTCACCCGAAAGGGCTCTCGTCACGTGTACCCATTCGCAATGCCCAGAGTTATTGACGCAATGCCAGCTAGCGAGGCTCTTTGTAGTGAGCTGTAATGTCTTCAGGACGGTGCACAGTCCTTGGATCCAAGCCCCGCACGTTTATTCTACGAACTCTTCGGTTGTTTCCAGCGGTTTGGGCTCTCATGAAACGCGTGGTATCCCCTGCCGAACTGCCGACCAATAATGCTGACTCTTGCTGAGTGTGCCTTATCGGTCAATTCAGAGAGATATTAGGCAGTCTTAGAGAAACAAGGACATCTCTCGCATCCTACGCTGTCCTCCGTATTTGTCCACATTGGTTCAGATTTTACTCGTCCTGTGGTCATGAAGGGATCAAGCGGGACACTCTACAATCCAGAGCTGCGACATGTCGCCAGTGATCCTGAAACCCCACTCGAATCCGGTCATCCTCCCACTCAGTCTCGTGCCTTGAAGCGCTTCATAACAGTTGTCGTTGTGGCCTCTGCACTCCTTTATTATGCTGCATCGAACGTTGCCCTGCGTCACTGCTTGCCGCAAAGTCGACATCTTGACCCGGCCAAAACATCGAGTCCTGGCCATAGCAACCCAGCTTATCTCATTGAAGCCAGCCATGGAGCAGTTGCGAGTGAGAACGTGGTATGCTCGAACATTGGGGTAGACATTTTGAAAGACGGTGGAAATGCCGTCGATGCGATTATCGGTGCAGTATTCTGCATCGGTGTCGTAAACATGTTCTCGTGAGTGGTCTATATTCACTCTAATCTTTGGACGAGCATAGACATGTTTCCAGGTCTGGCATAGGCGGAGGTGGATTTATGACTATTCGGGTACCTCCATCTGCGAAGAACGGATCTTCCGAAGTCTGGAACATCGATTTCCGCGAAACAGCCCCCGCCCTCGCAAATACTACGATGTATGTTGGCAATCCAGCTAAAGCCATGTTCGGCGGCCTCTCAGTCGCTGTTCCAGGCGAGGTTAAAGGACTGGAGGAAGCGCACAAGCGATGGGGAAAGCTCGAATGGTCGAGGCTTGTTCAGCCCAGTGTCGAGCTCGCAGCTGGCTGGAAAGTGGGCGTAGAACTCGGGCGCCGAATGAACGTGAGTCTGTATCCAGCGTGCTTATGGCACATGTGAGAGCTTTGCTTGCTAACATCGGAATCTAAACTTGGATGGATCAGCTGGATATGTTCCGCCCTGTAATGCTCGGAAAAGACGACTGGAGGTCTATTTTCGCGCCTAACGGAGTCATCCTCACCGAAGGGGAAATAATACACCGCGCAAACTACTCGAAGACTCTCGCAGCCATTGCGGCAGATGGCTCAAACGCGTTGTACCATGGCGAGATCGCCGAAGCTATTGTCCGCAAAGTTCAGTCCGAAGGAGGGGTGTTGAGCTTGGAAGATATGGCCAATTACAAGGTCACAGTCCGAAAGGCGCTCCAGGGGACTTACCGCGGTCGAAAGGTGTATACGACTCACGCACCGACTTCGGGACCGGTGCTGCTGCATATGCTGAACCTGTTAGAGACCTATGATATACCTACTGAAGGACGGACCGGTCTGAATGTGCACCGATATGTTGAGGCTATGAAATGTGAGTGACCTTTATCCGCATTGATTAGTTGGCTGACTTGCCGTAGTCGGATTTGCTGCCAGGTCAGTCAGACTTTCGTATGTGTACGCATATAGTAACCCCGAGAGCCTATCAGGACAAGAATTTGTGACCCTGCTTTCAATAACGACCCACAACGAATTGAACAAATTCCCCGCAAATCGTTTAGCGCTCTAATATCCAAGAACTTGACCGACGTCTGTTCAATTTTCACATCGTTTGTTACGTGTGCGCTCAACTCACATCTTTAGGACCGCACTCACTCTCCTGATTATTATCAGCCAATATTCGATGCTCCAGAGGACCACGGCACTGTCAGTAGCTCGTGCTCTTGATACCCATCGCCGACTCGCCTGATTTTTTCCAATTCGTGACTTCAAGAGTCACACCTCTGTCGTAGACAAAGATGGTATGGCAGTCGCTCTCACTACTACGGTCAATCTCGTCTTTGGATCGCTAGTCATGGATCCTGTGACAGGAATTATCATGAACGACGAGGTCAGTGAATATGTCACATCTATAGAGCACAAAGTTTTATCTTTGAACATCAGATGGACGACTTTTCGACCCCTGGTACGCCTAATGCGTTCGGGCTCTGGCCATCGCCTTGTGAGTATCTTACGATCTTCAGATACTTTTACTTTAATTATTAATGCGTCTTGCATCACAGTCAATTATCCTGAACCCGGGAAGCGCCCCCTTTCGTCGACAGTTCCGACGATCATTGAGCATACAGATGGCTCTTTCTATCTTGCTATTGGCGGATCAGGCGGATCGAAAATTTTCCCTGCGGTGTTCCAAGTAATTTTGAATCTCGATTGGGGATACGATGCTAGTCAGGCTATCGAATATGGGAGATTACATGATCAGCTATTCCCATCGTACGTCGAAGCTGACGACATCTACCCGGGAGAACTATTGGCAGATCTCGAGAGGCGGGGACATAACATCACAAGTGCGTCCTTATACTATGTGACAGTCATTCTAAGACTCAAAGTGATCGTATTGTGGAATAGTTCTCAACGTTAACAGAGTGTCGGCAGTCGTTCAGGCAGTCATGAAAAAGGACGGAAAGATATTTGGTCAGTAATATTTTTCAGCTCACGAGTGAATGCATACTAAATACACTGCAGCTGCGAGCGACTCCAGAAAAAATGGAATTGCCGCGGGATATTGATGGATGCTGTTCCAAGACGGATTGATACAACCTGACTCGGATACGACAATCAGACTGCTGACTTCCATTGCTTGGATGAAACCTGCAAAAGTTGAGTGGAAACCCCCTCGCCCACGCATGGGCACTCGCACTAGACGGCCGAAAATATCGGATGCCCGTCAGGATTATTTCTCAGTAGGCGTTTTTCGACCCGATGCATGTGGACCGAGAGAATAGTTTTTCATTCTGGAGCTCCGTTACTGCTCCGTCTCCATCCTAAGTTACCTTCGTGTGAACGTGGTGCTTTTGGTGCCTCTGCTAATTTGCTATGCGGGCAACCGGAGATCGGCACCTGACTTTCCCGTGTGCACTTGGTCTCCAATATCACGACAGTCGCGCTCGGTTGCACCGGGTTACACTGCTACTAGCACAGTCGCATAATCTGTGTAACTCTAAACCATGAGGTTTCCCCGAGACGTCTAGCAGGAGCTAGCAGGATGGTTCAAAGCCCGATCCCAGTTGGTCGGGATGAGAATGATGCATTATGCATTTAAGTTGGTAGGTCGATGGGATGTCAACTGGACGTCCTTTCGGTCAGCATGAGATACTTCTCTGCGAACTTCGTCACTGCCGTTGTACTTGCCCTGACGCCTCTGGCCAAGGCCGTGGTTGCTCCACAAGATGCAGGTAGCGGATATACTTTCTCTTGAAGGTTCAATAGCTAACCGCGCAGACCTTGATCACCGCGACTCTTCGCCCCCGATGTCTATAGCTATCTCAACTCGAGCTGCTACCAGTTTTGTCAAGACATCTGGTCAGAGGTTTACAGTTGATGGGTCGACTTTCACCGTTGCCGGGTAAGTTCGCACGTTCGTCGTGAAATGTTTTCTCTGATATCTAAGTTTCCCATAGCGCAAATGCTTACTGGATCGGATTAACTGGTTTGAGCACTACAAATATGGAAACAGCGTTTGCTGATATCGCGAAGACTGGCGCTACTGTTGTTCGTACTTGGCGAGTTTTTCCTTTGACTCCGGTTAGCAGAATTTGACTTGCTAGCACGTCGCAGGGGTTTTAATGAGGTCACCAGCGCCAGCGGAGACTATTACCATCTCTGGTCGGGGTCAACGTCTTCTGTCAATACAGGATCAACTGGTCTCGGCAACTTCGGTCAGTCTTGAGACAATTTGTCAAATCTGCCGGATTCACACGTATTGTAGATAATGTTATTGCTGCTGCCAAGGCCAGCGGCCTTCGTCTCATTGTTACTCTGTAAGTGCAATCATATCAGCTTGTCGCACTCTCTTAACTGCACGCAGGACTAACAACTGGTCAGACTTTGGAGGTATGGATGTCTATGTCAACCAGATCGTTGGCGCAGGGAAGCCCCATGACCTTTTCTACACCAATACAAAAGTTATTGTGAGATACTTATGTCGTCCTTCGGGCTTACGGTGAATGTCTGACTCGTCGAAATCAAGGCTGCCTACAAGGACTACATCAAAACTTTTGTCAGCCGATATGTTAACGAGCCTACAATTTTAGGCTGGGAGCTCGGTATGTTGATCCGAATTAGGAACTCAATTCGCATGATTATATTTTCTTTCTCGAAGCCAACGAACCGAGATGCTCAGGAAGTACCGGGTATGTAATTTGCAGCTGAATGGTTGTAGCTCGATTATGAACAATTTATTCAGGGCGACTTCTGGCTCCTGCACGACTGCGACGATCACAAGCTGGGCCAAGGACGTCTCTACATACATCAAGTCGATTGACTCTAACCATCTTGTCGGACTTGGAGACGAGGGATTCTTCAATGAACCCAATGGCCCTAACTTCCCTTACCAGTACATATTCCTTTTTTTATGCGGAAGACTATGTCGCTCACGACCGTCCTCAAGAGGCGGCGAGGGCATTGATTTTGATGCCAATTTGGCTATCAGCTCCATCGACTTTGGCACATACCATGTATGTCATTCTGGATATTGAGACCGAGAAATAACGCCTGACGAGCTTGTAACCTAGTGTTACCCGGTACGTCCCATACTCTGGGGCTCATAGACACCCTGCTTTGACTTTTGTTGGCATTAGATATCATGGGGGCAAACAAGTGATCCCACTGCTTGGGGTGTTCAATGGATCAAGGACCACGCCGCATCTCAAAAGGCCCGAAATAAGCCCGTCATCATGGAGGAATTCGGTGTCCCAGATAATCAATCATCAACGTACAAGACCTGGTATACAACAGTCATTAGTTCGAGCTTAACAGGGGATTTGATCTGGTAAGCCCTAGTGTATATCTCATTCTGTCGTTGAGTTTTGATGAGAAGATTGAACACAGGCAAGCCGGCTCTCATCTTCCCAGCGGTGATACCTCCGATGATGGATTCACTGTAAACACCATAGCTATAGACAAGAGAAGTGAACTAATGCATCTTCGCAGATCTATCCCGACGACCCGGTCTACGCCTTGGAGACTTCCCATAACGCGGCGTTGAAGGCGAGAGGGTAGGAGTTATGAAGTCGTAACTCTAAGAACCTCTTGCCATGCCCTGAATTTTGCCCATCATGTTTCCTTTGGTATATCGAAGCATTTGAGACGTACCATTTTATGAACTCAGTAACCTTCCTCCGATTCTCCGTAAAGAATTTACACGAGAGTGACGTGGTCTTGGATTATCGGCTCAGGGATTGGGCAGGAACGAAAGATTTATTCGCATTCTCATTCGGACGCACCGAAATCGAGAAGCGGCGTACGACTATACTCCGATATTTTTTGCGCGTTGACAATCTATTTTTACTAACATGGACTGACACGACGCTCCCCTCTTCCGTCTCTTTTCATAGGTATCGGCTAGCTCGGTCAATTACGCAGGTCATAATATCTCCCGCGACGATTCCGTCATCGACATGTCCAATCGTCTGTGCGTCACGCATCCAGCACGATCATCTCGCGTGTCCGAGGCACTGTGCCGCCTGACCAAGAGGTACACATGTTTTTAGCGCATCACGAGGGTATTTGTTCGAAGTTCTACCAGTGGCGGCATGCTGCATGACTTGGCACAACGAACATCTCTGCGAAGTTACGCCGACGCGGCCAGCAGAGCCTGGTTTTTCCAGTTTACATCCGTAATTTCAGAACGAGACTCCTACATAAAGGTGCCGTTAGATTATAGGAGGAATCACCTGCCCCCGCTGGTCGAACAACATGGTTTCGATTTCTGTTCCTCTCATCGGTGCGGCTCTTGTTCTCGTACCATTCGTGAATGCCGTTGCTATCTGGCAACAATGCGGCGGTATTGGGTATTCAGGCTCAACTGGTTCGTGTCCAACGTAATATACTGAGGGCGGGGGATGTACTGAATGATAGCCGTCGCGCGTTCTTGGCAGTTTGTGATGCTGGTTTGAGTTGCGTGTACCTCAACGATTACTACTCTCAGTGCCAAACAGCCACCACTACCACTGCTCCTGCATCTACTCCTGTGTCGTCCACAATATCGTCGACTCCGACACCCACCAGTAGTTCGTCCGCACCTGCTCCCTCTGGATTTGTCAAAACCTCTGGCCAGAAGTTCACGCTGAATGGGTCGACCTTCACCGTTGTTGGGTGCGTGAGCTTCATCGTTGACTGAGATAAACAAAAATTAGTTTACTGAATTGAATCGTAGAGCCAACTCCTACTGGGTCGGCCTCACTGGCCTCAGTACTGCCAACATGAACGCAGCGTTCTCTGACATTGCCAAAACTGGTGCCACTGTTGTCCGTACATGGTAATTTTAATCTTCGACTCTGTGCTACGATGTGGATTCACTTTGAGTCTTTTTAGGGGATTCAATGATGTCACCAGCGCCAGCGGAACATATTACCAGCTCTGGTCTGGTGGAAAGGGTACAGTCAACACTGGTTCTACCGGCCTCGGAAATTTCGGTGAGTGTCTTGAGAATGATCGCATGTATTTTCGACTGACGAGCTGTTTTCAGATAATGTAGTGGCTGCTGCTAAGGCCAACGGGCTTCGTCTCATCGTGGCTCTGTGAGAACAAGCACTTTGATTGTCCTGTGACATCTCTATAACACTTGCACAGGACCAACAACTGGTCAGACTACGGTGGCATGGACGTCTATGTCAATCAGATCGTCGGCTCCGGTCAGCCACACGACCTTTTCTACACTAACGCGAATGTCATTGTAAGTCATAATCTTATGATCTCTTCGTATAATGGGTACTAAATGTTTTATTTATCCTCAGGCTGCTTATAAGGCGTACATCAACACCTTCGTCAGCCGTTATGTGAGCGAGCCTACGATCTTAGGCTGGGAGCTCGGTAAGTAATTTAAGTCTGCAAATGGGCTCGAATACTGACGTATCTACTGTTCAGCAAACGAGCCGAGATGCTCTGGCAGCACAGGGTGCGTTCGTCCCCCTGTTCCCCCCGGACGACGATATTGATTCATATATAGAACGACGTCTGGCACTTGCACCACCACAACGATTACCAACTGGGCCTCGACGATCTCTGCGTACATCAAATCCATTGATCATAACCATCTTGTAGGTATCGGTGATGAGGGTTTCTATAATGAAGCCAACGGACCCAACTATCCCTACCAGTGAGTATCAGGCTCATGCTGTACGGACACCTGCTGAATTTGAATGGCAGAGGAGGCGAGGGTATCGATTTTGATGCAAACCTTGCCATCAGCACTCTTGATTTTGGCACAGCTCATGTAAGCCTCTGGCATTTTCATGGTTGGACGCGTCTGCTAACGTACTTCTTCATAGTCCTACCCAGTACGTTTTCAGTGACTATTTCCGAAAGAAGTTTGAATTTGACGATGGAACCATCCAGATCTCTTGGGGCCAAACAAGCGATCCGTCGGCATGGGGCGTTCAGTGGATTCAGGATCATGCTACCTCCCAGAAAACAGCCAACAAACCGGTTATACTAGAAGAATTTGGTGTGACCAGCGACCAGCAAGCAACTTACACAGCCTGGTACAATGCGATTATCAGCTCGGGCTTGACGGGTGATCTCATCTGGTAAGCCGTTCTTCGATCCATAATGAATGAGGCTTAGCAAACGCTGCATCCAGGCAAGCTGGCTCGCACCTATCAAGCGGAGATACCCCCAACGACGGATATGCGGTAATGATAATTGCACCTGAACGTTGATCAACGCTGAAGACCCTTTGTGCAGATTTACCCAGATAATTCGGTCTATGCTCTGGACACTTCGCATGCTGCTGCCTTGAAGGCCAGGGGATAAGAAGTTGATTCAGGTTGGAATTCAACTGTCTATGGGGAATCTTTGCGCGGTGTTGATTGTAATTCTTTGAGAGCATGGGCCCTTTGGGTGGTGTCATGCGAAATGTATTTCCTGTCGACTGTTTGGAGTGTTTGCTAAATGTATGATTTGGCCAAAGTGGTCCACGACGGTGCGAGTTTTTGGGCCTACCTCCGACTGCCGGAAATCTCATCAGACATCAAGTAAGATCGTGAAATAAAAAACGTAGAAAACGTAGAAATAAAAATAGCCTCGGCATGTCTAAACGGCATTCGGGTAACGATTGTCGACCCCCCATAACAATGCCCACTCCACTGGGACCAAACATCGCTGGTCTCCAAGCAAGACCATGAGTATATTACGCGACATTGATATCAATAAGACAAGATAAGCAGCATCGATTTACGAGCTGTTTTTGGATGGTCAGAATCAATCTAGTGAGGGGGCGGTAGTGGGAGTAATTGTAGACGAGCAGAAAGGATGATTTCGGTGGGCGCAATTAAAAGACGAAATGAGGCAACATAATTACTGCAAACACAGGCGAAAAGAAAGAAAACTACCTACTAGAAAGAGATATTTTGACCCAAACTGGGCTCAGAAACAACCGAAATTTTCCAGAGCTCGGCGCTGCAGCTGCTACAGGGCGCTACGCATCGGCGATTGCCGGGGTCCTGAAGCATGCCAGGCGATGACGATGAGACTCAGAGCCGCCGGCTGGATCTCGGTTGAAGCCGAGACCCGGCAAAATGTCATTCTCTATTGCGGTCTAGTCTCGGTTCGCATTTGTTCGATTGTCGCTCCGCTTCCCCCATCCACGAGTCCAAGCGTTCACGTTTTCCATCAAAGGCGTCAAACGTCTTGCTCATATTGCATGCCATGCGCCATGCCGCACATATGTTCAGTCTCAAAGCCGGCTACACCACCCTGATGATGAGGGACAATCTCAGGGCGGTGCCTGAAGGTAAGGTGGCGAATGACACTAGTCGTCACGGCCACCAGCCGTCGAGCCGCTTTGTGGCTCTTGAGACCATTTAAAGCCCTCTACACCCCTACCAAGCAGCTCTCAAACCATACCACTTTGTTCAAATTTCTCGTTTCCTTCGCTACCAGCCCAAGTGGCCTCCATTCATCTCGATCACCATCATCTTCTATCCTCCCCGTGCATGCGCTACGGTACGAAATGCCGCCGTTTCGCAAAGTTTATTTGAAAGGATTCCTCAACAAGTATGCGCCATTTGTCCTTTTTGTGTGTTTTCCATCTTGACATCGCTTTCCAGACCCTCTACTTCCTCTAATCCTCCCGAGCATTCCCTCGATAAGTCACCGCAGACGGACGATCATGATCATTATCACTCTGTCAATAAGTCAGCTATCTATGTTTTCCCCCTTCAGGCAGAAGAGCTACAAGCCAGAATGGACCTTCTCCATAAAAAATACTCACCCGACCGCATTACAACGGTGGCACGCACACCAGTCGCGAGGAAGGTTCCGAAGGATGTCACTGTAGACGGTGGCGACGAGACGGATACCACAAGCTACCTCAGCCTTGACGAGGATGGACGCAACCGGCTTCGATCAGCTCCCAAGGGATCCTCCAATCCATCCAAACTTCCTTTGGGCTCCAGGTCTCGCTACAGGCCTACGAGGTTCGCACAGCTTTCGAGCTTTTCGTCTCTTCAGGGGGGCGCCTTAAAGGTGGTCCCGAAGTCTGCTCCCCTACCGACTAAACATGACTCTCAACATCCACCCTCGCGGAGCTCGTCGGAGGACAAGCGTTCACCGACGGGTACGTTCATGTTACCTTTGTCGAAGATATCTAAGTCATCTTCGTCTAACCACCAACCTGCTGTTGCTCCGCGCTCGACTCCGCCTCCGAGTCAACTGTCTGCTCGCTCTGTCAAGTCAAGGATATCCAAGCCATCTCTTGATACAAATGCTTCGGCCTCCGAAGAATTTATGAGTCCACAGGCTCCGCCTCTGGTTTCCCCGAAACCTCCCGCGTTCCCCTCACCGGCCAACAAAGCCCACTCAAATCCAAAGCCTCGGCAGCTTGCTCAATCGGGGTTAGCACAAAGCTCGGGCCTACTGAAGGGCGTCTCTAAGTCGGCCGGCCAACAACGGCATATCGCTCCTTTGCATGCCAGGGAAGGGCATCCTTCGTTGCCACAGGTAGTGGCATCACCATCTCGCTTTGCTGCTGCCAAGGAGCATAACGCAATGCTACCGCCGGTGAAGACCTCTTCCCGCCCCGCCGCTACCAAGGAGCGCAGCGCAATGCCACCGCCAGAGAAGACCTTTCCCCGCCCTGCCGCTGACAAGGGGCGCTACCCAGTGGCATCGCCAGTGAATAATTCTTCTCACTCGAGTGCTAAGAATGAACGTCTTCCAATGGGGTCGTCAATGCAGACCTCTTCTCACTTGAATGCCAGGAATGAGCGCCTCCAGGGGGGAAAGTCTGCAATAACTTCTCCTCGGGCAGGTATTATGAATGAGCGTCTTCACTTGACACCGTTGACGACAGCCTTCTCCCAGCCGTACGATGCCTCTAGCTCTTCTTCTCCTAATAGTGACAGTCCGGTGTCTTTCGCGCCAGCTTTTAATGTACGTGAGTTCATTAAGAACACCCGACCCAACCCGTCGCCCTCCTCGCCTGTTACTACGGATAAATTTCGTCGGGAAATCGCTTTTTTCCGCAATGACTCCCAAGCTGTGGAGAAGAGAAAGTATCGTAATGCATCCGTGCTCCATGTAACATCCGTGACCAACGAGGCGTACCGTCACAGCGCCTGCGCTGAAGTTGAGGCGCCAAAGCTAATGGGATCGCGTGGACAGCAGAAAGCCGTTGCCGTCACGACAGCTTGTGGAAATGACAAGCAGGCCAGGAATACCTCCCGCGAGATTGATGCTCGTAGGGTCGGCCTCAAGAGATCGCATGCCGTGTATGCGTCGATTCGCCCTTGAATATGTACACCAAATCCCTCTCTCATGACTCAATTATCTATTTATTAGCAGAGCCTTCATAGATCCTGCTCGTCTTCCGTCCTGCTTGGTTCAGGTATAGATGTATCACCTCTCATCATGCTCTTTACGAATATTTGTGTGAGATGCAATCCTTACGAAGTCCTTCCTTTCTCTATCTTGTATCCGTATATGCCGAATGGTATTGTCTCTCCTTGTATTTGCCTGTAATATATATATGTTGGTCCCCATACAACCACTACTATCACCAATCGAAATACATCTGACATGTATACTTTGCGGGCTTAGTGACTGGCCTTGTCAATAACCAGTATGGACTTCCTCTAAATATCATACATCCCAGTCAACTGCAAATTCTACCATATCCGCTTGACCATCGTAAAGCGCGTCAGATCCTCTAATTTGGGTCTCCTCTTTTTGCCCTCCACATCGTCGTTCGCATTCCCGAGGCGCTCGCCGATTTCCGCCGTGGGCCTCGTATCGTGACGAGCGTTATCAAGGAGCGTCTTCAATTCCCGGTTGTAGATCTGTGTAGAAAAGTAGCTTGTAAACAGGTAGAAAAGGAGAGAGAGAAATGAAATCACCTGCTCTTCTCGCCCCTCCCCGATAGGGTCACGACCAAAATCGTTCACTTTGTCCGCCACTTCCCGTGCCTCCATCCCTGCCTTCCGTTTCGTTGCATAGCTGACAAGGTTGACACCCATAATGATCTTGATCACTACAAAGCTGCGTCATCACAGTCGCACAGCACATAAACTCGGCGAGTGTTCTTCAAAAACAAGGAAAAAGACGCACCAAATCCAAATCGTCAAACCCAGCGTGCCCCATTTTGCCCACCGCACGACAGCTTCCCAATCCACAACCCTCCCACGCTGTAACAGCTCCTCCCACGCTGACTCTCTAGCCCACTTCCACCACTCGACGTCACTCAGGCGCCAGATCAAGTTGGTTAAATTGGACAGTCTGGGCATCGAAGTACCGTGCGCAAACGAAGAAGACAACACGAGACTGACCGCCTGCGAGCCGATGAGGATCGTGAGGACTGCGAGCGGGAGTGCTGAAAATCCGAGACGACGAGCAACGAGAGGCGATTGGTCAACATATGTGTGCTATATGTCGGAGGATATCATCAACAAATTGTGGGAAAACTAGAAAAGCACTGTACACACCTTGCGTGCGCCGAGCCGGCCGAACGCGCTCCCGCTTGCAAGGTCCCGACAGAGCACGTCGGTGTAGCGTTCATACACAGATGGCCGGATGTGGTTGAATTTGGTAATGAAAGCGTGTTTGAGCCAGTCGACTAGCGTTTCGGAAAGCATGACGGTCATGACCGGCTATGCACAGGAGTCCCACGAGCAAGTGACATCAGCTTGGCCCACCAGCTGATATTTGACGGTGGAAGCGCACATAAGAGATCGTCCAGAGGACGTTGCTGCCGCCACGGAACCATCCAAAGCTCTTCGGTAGAAAAACGCCTTCTGAGAAGTCAAACTCAGAGCCAGACAATTCGATCAGGTTACGAAAGGCGACGAAGAAGAGCATGAGGCAGAGCGTAAAGCGCTCCACGATGTCTGAGCACGGAAAGAAAACGGCAACTGCATCAATGTCCATAAGCTATGTTAAAAACGAAGTACAGCGCACCGGCACATGTGATCTGGAAGAGATTGTCTTTCTCAAATTTCTTAAAGACGCTGCCTTTGATCTCTACGAATTGATTTGACATGAGCAAAGAGAGAAGTGCATTGTCGTAAGAATTGATGGCCACGTTGAGGCAGAGCAGTTGATAGACCATTACCAACGCATGGACGACTGCAAGATATCGGCAGACATTGGTGTTCGATGCTCATTCGATGATCAGTGTAATAAATTCACGCACCAATATACAGCGTTGCAAGGCCAAAGAACAGGATAGGGCGTAGGGTATGCGTGCTGAGCGGAACGCGTCGTGACAAAAGTAGCAGTGTAGAGCGAGAAAAAAGACAGTCGATGATATCCTGACCGATCGAAGCACACAAGCGATCGGCAATCTTCAAGCGGTCAATCAAGCCAAAGAAAGATGCTTCGGTCAGCACTGTAGTTTTCGACTAAACATGAGAAGAAACAAAGCAAGGAAACGCCTACTTCTAATGCGTTGAATATGACATACAGTTTGATGGTGTCCTGTCCACGTATCGAGTGATATATTTTGCTCGCATCGGTCAGCGGAACGAGGATCATGATGGACAGAGCAAGAAGCAATGTTCGCAGGATGTCAGCCTTTTGTGAAGGCGGGAGTGGTGCCTTTGAGCGTGAAGCGAGGTTGGTGAGTACGCGCCATAAGGCAAACACAAAGCGAATAGGATGTATGGTGAACGTGTAAAGGAAGGAGTCGAGGCAGAGAACAAAGCCAAAGCCCATGATCTGTGATGAACATATATGAGCATTGTACTTGAGGAGGCCCAAGCGAGTTCACAATCACCTTTTCCATAGCTACTGGTATTGCAAGAAAGTTGCTGACTCTTTCCCATTTTAACTCTTGATGTGAATCAAAGTCCGTAGCCAAAAGTTCTTCCCTAAGGTAGTCCCAAAGCGAAAATGGGGGAAGCGACGGCGCTGAATGTAACACTTCTTGGAGAGAAGAATGAGGAGGCGGGGGTGAAGATGATATGGGCGTTGGTGGAAGCGAAGCATATGCCAGAGGCATCTCTCTCTGTGGGCTCGGTGCTCGAAATGCACGGGAATTCGACAGTGAATTCATCTGTGGGTCGCTGGCTCTAGCGGACAGTATTGGATACGGGTCCCGTTCAACTTCGGATGCATCAAGATCGAGGTCGTCGTCGCTGATGTGACTGGAAGAGAAAGAGAAATGGTCGCGGTCCACGCCCGGACTGGAAGATGTCCGGCGCTGACGCGGACGCGACCGTCTGATATTGGTGGGTTGAGGGTATTTCGCGCTCGTTTGTTTCCTGAGATTTTGGCTCGACGATTTGTGAGACATACGGCGCCGAGATGGGGTCGGACGGTGTGGAGAGCGCGAGGGCGGGGCCATGACGGTCTGGCGAGTGCAGCGGGAGAGTGGCTGGCTGACTGCACAAGCCGGCTCGCGACGCGCTAAGACTAGGTCTAGGGTTAGGGTCTATATGAGAGGTAGTGCTGCTGACGAATGGGAAGCAAACTCGGTATGTCTTTTCGGACGGTGTTCACAAGGCTCGCCCGTCGTCCCCCCTCCCTCGTCCCCGCATCCTCACGCTTCATAGGTACATCGAATCCACTGGGAGATGTCTCGCTGGGTACTCAACCAAAACCAAAACCTCGCCGCACTCGCAAGGCCTCTGCTACTCCTACAGCTACTCCTACAGTAAAAGCAGTAAGTCTCGAAGGGGGTGCCCTGGACCCGCTCGCACAACCAGAGGTTTCTGAGCCAGCGGAGACGCCCAAGGTGTCTGCCGCGCTCATACAACCCTCAGGTGCCTTCGCAAAACTTCCGCTCTTACCTCCAATAAACGAATGGTCGGCTACGTTTCCCCCTATGCTCCCTACGCGGGAACGCGTGTCTCTCAGGAACCCTGATACGTCGGAAAAGATTGCGAAAAGCTTTTTGTATGGAAAATTGACAAGAACAGATCAGCCCAAGATTGTCATCGAGGCATTCCCTGGTGCGTGTATTGCGAACACCTACACACATCTTCTTACCAACGTTCATTCCTCCCTCATAGGCCCCGGTTCACTATCTAGAGGGTTACTGGTTCTCCCTCCGTCGAAACTAGCCAAATTAATTATTCTAGAGGATCACGAGCCTTACTTGAATTATTTGCGTGTAAGTCTTCGCTTCCGATATACCTCTCACCGTACGTTGACAGCCTACATAGCCGCTTGAAGAAGCAGACCCCCGCGTTAAGGTCATTCCTATGAGTGGATTTCTGTGGACCACTTACTCTGCCCTCGATGAAATGGGTATTCTCAATGATGTCGATACTGTGCCTTGGGATTCGGGCAGTTCGTTCGCTTCTATTGACGTAGCCCTTTGCTGTACTGAATTCTTTTATTTTAGTTCATCCCAATCTACATTTTATCAGTCATCTTCCGCAAAGCATCCATGGCGAGCAATTCGTTGCGCAGCTTCTCAGGTGTATCCCTGAGAGATCTTGGCTCTTCAAATATGGGCGCGTCCCAATGAGTCTCGTTCTTGGAGACTGGGTCTGGCGGGTATGTTTTCCTTTTTCCAGATGTGGTTCACCTTCTGACGTTGGACTTTTGTTTTATCAATCAGCGTATGTCTTCGGGGATCAATGGGGCCGAACGCTGCAAACTTAGTGTTATCACGGAGGCCGTCTCAGACTCCAGTCTCTCAGTCCCACCTAGCACGCTTCTCCCATATGAGGACCACCTCCACCCGATAAAGCACTATGCGACGATCGATCCCAAACGCAAGCCTGACCCAAGGCGCTACGGACATCCGCTTGTGGCAACTAATTTGGTGCCGCTTCAGGACCAGGTAGGACTTGGTGGACCCCATAATTGAACATAAAGATATTGACCGTCGCACTTGTGCGCTCGCTATTTCCTTCTGGTATTCAGTGTATCGATAAAGGAAAGCTTGACCAGTGGGATTTCATCCTCCGCCGCCTCTTTGTGCTCAAGTCGACACCCCTGAAAACTGCCATAAGGTGTCTTTCGGTTTCCACTTTGTCCACCAGTTCATTGACTGACATCTCCCAGCTCTCTCGCACCCGGTGCACAAGTGCTACTCAAAGCCCTTACAAGCCCGGACCTTCCAGAGTCTCAGCGCGTAGACACCGGGAAGACGGTCAGGAACCTCTCAGTGTCTGATTGGACGCTCTTCGCGCGCGCGTTCGACGAGTGGCCGTTTGCACCGGAGGTATGTCCCATTCCTCGTCTGCCATGTTTAGCTCTGTATCGTTGACCGACTCCGGGTTACATAGAATTTGAACATCGAGTTCACGAACAACGACGATCGGCGTACCTTATGAGTGACGACGGTTACGATCGTGCTGTGTCATAAATGCTTCTGCACTCGGCATTCAGGCCTTCATGCGCACCTGAAGTAGACGGGACTCGCCTCGCTTTTCACATCTAGATTTGGATGCTTGTAGATGATTGCAAAATATAATCATAGTACTTCTAATGATACACCACCCAACATATATGCGACGCTATCACTATCAGACAGAAAAGGTTGTCCACGGTAGTTTCATGTCTCCGCTGTTGCTACTAATGAGGGAGACGTGGGTATCTCGAGATCGAATGGTTCAGGGCTTCCTGCTGTCTTGGTCACAAGCGATGTCAGCTATCTGCTTGTTGAGAGAGATTGACCAAAATGAACCTACCTCGACCTGGGTCTGGGCCAAAGTCTGTGATGATTCCGCAGCCATGGTTTGGGTTTCTATCGGCTGTGACTCTCCTTCCTGGGTAGTATCGATCTCCGTCGCCTGCGGGTCTATATTGACATCTTCCCATACAGGCGCCTGCACATCGGGGGTGCCCGCTTTTGACTTTGACCCTTCATCGTCTTCGCCCAACGCTTTCTTCTTGCGTCCCCGTTTTTCAGACTTCTCTACGGGTGCGGGAGGTGGCAAACCGAAAAGTGTTGTCTGTCTTGTTGTATTTTTCTTTGTGACTATCGCTTTACCGTCGTTTAGTAACTCTACCATATAGGTAAGCATCAATAGGCAGAACCAGTGTTAGCTGAAGAGAGAAAACCCTTACTCTTGTTCTTGGATATGCCTGTCTCTGCTGCATTGACCTTGTCGAAGAAGCTATCGCTCTTATGCAGAGATTTATTGCCGTCAGCGTTGCGGGCGAAAGGGTTGCGGCTCATGTCAGCTGCTGGTTTCTTAGCGAAAGGGTTGGTTCCTGCACATCCAGTATGAACGGTGAGTGACCGAAGCGGCGGTGTCGAAATCGCACTGACTTTGTTTTGGAGGCGGTGCTGGTAGCTCTGCCGCTGGGTCAGCAAATGCCCTCCTCTTTGCTCCTTCAGGGGATGTGAGATCCTCTTCCTGGTCGTCTCGCTTTCTCTTGCCATCCACCACTGCCATCGGAACATGGTCATCTGCCCAACCGTCGTGAGTCTCAACCTGGCTCGGCGGAGGTGCGACAGTCGGTGTCGCCTTCGCCAGGTTTGGCCTATGGATGGCTGGGGGAGGGCCGAAGTCTTGAAAGGGCTTTACTTTCGAGGGTCCGGCGTCCGTTCTGGGGGGAGGTAATCTCGGCGGCAGTACGGGGTCATAGTCCCTTGACATCTTTTTCCGCCTATCCCTCGCGTCCGTTAATCTATCATTATCTTCCCTGTCGTCTTTGAGGATCTGCATCTTCTCTTGCAATCCAGGCAAGTGGTAAAAGACTGCGACCTTGATCGCTATGTCAAATGAAGCGGTATGATGCAGCATCCGTACAAGGTCGAGCGCGCGCGGGAGCTTGTTCGTTTTGCATGCGTTTTGGATTAGTTGGATAAGCTCCTTGTCGATTCCCAGCTCGCGACGCGAGATGTCGTCTGTGGTGAGCTCATCCCCTAGGGCATCACGGGTGATCTGGATATACATGCTTTCGCGAGCAACACTAGAAATTGAGCATTAGACGGGCCCAAGAAGCTTATTTGCAGCGGAGCTCACTGTTCTTCTAGAGGCCCTTCCTTGGGATCTTTCCGGCGGAAGGGGAAGCGGAGGGGAAGCTCTTGGATCAGCGGTCTAGGAAAGCCAGGATATTCTTGTCGTCCCTGCACAAGAAGGAAATTCTTACAATCCTAGCGCGAAAATAGGAAAAAGGAAAGAAAGGACCTTGAGAATCAGACACATGAATGTATCCCCACTAAGCCCAATAGGCCAATACGACTCATCCTTTCCCTGTTTCCGCTCCAACTTGTTCGTGTCCAGCACGCGCACCCAAGTACCCCTCAAAGGTACACGGAATCGCGGCATGACATACATGACACCGGCGGAATCGTACACTGCAGGGGCCTATAGTGGCCATAGCAAACATAAGTAGACAGTCAGCTCCGCGAATGATGGAATATAAACGCTGTTGCTCACCCCTTCCTCTGACAGTCCGATCCATTTCAAAGTACGGCCTTTCGAAATGGGTAACTTGCGATCTTGCAGTGTACACAAGTCCTCAAAATCATACAACGTGCCTGTCAGATTCTGAGAACCTAGTGCAAGGTCTTAGATACGTGATGCACGATTAGATCTTCTCCAACGCTTACCGTCCATGGTGGTAGCACCATCACGTTGGACCACAAATGCCCATTCGGGCCCCGCAACCATAGATACGAAATCGCCATCGAGCGCAATCGAGCATCGTTCAATGCCTGTGCCCGTCAAAAACGTCAGATCGTTGTCACTAGTTGCAATGACCACATTTCCGTTGCCCTGCATATCGCCATCCGAGAGTTGGCGCAAAGAATGTGTCGGTGGTGGTCCACCAGCCGCGACTCCGAGCACGCGAACGCCTTCACCGAGCTCATACGTCCATTCGCCTTGATCAGCCCAGTTCCCGTATGGTTTATATATGACATGGGCGGGATGACCATTCTCAGGCTGACACGCGTAAATTGCTCCGCGCTCTCCTGTTGAGGGTTATCGTGAATGATATCGCTTGGTGATTCGCATATTAGACTTACCGAGTGTTGCAAGGTCATATTTGAAGTTATCAGTGAAGTGATACGCTTTGCGTGCTGAACTATCATGGAACTTCACATCCACAATATTGTGCGAGTCTTGGTCGGTGACTTCAATCACTCCGACCATGTTATACGCTATCGAGATGATGAGTCCTAGCCGGGCTCGAAGATGGCAATGCTGACCTAAATATCTCTTCTTATTGTCGAAAGGGGTTGATCCCGGTTGAAAAGCAGGCTGTGCTTTCGTGACGCTCACTGGGAGGATGAGATGTCATGGGCAGAATGAAGCTCATCGATGCCTCTTACCCATTTCCTTGACAAAGCCATTCGAGGCCTTGGTACCCACGACGGGCTCGTCGTCTTCCATACCATTGCCAATGTCGTCTAGAATCCAATTGTCGTCATCAAAGACGTCCATAGCGGCTGCATCTTCATCATCATCTGGAGCCTGTGGATCTACACCGCCCGTGATGTCATCTCCAAAGAGTGTGGGGGTGGCCTGCCTGTGAATCTTACGAGCGTCGAATGTCGTCGAGGTAGACTTTACAGGATCCGGAGAAGTTGAAGGGATGGGTTCCGACCAACGGTAAAGAGAGCCGTCATAGTTGGTCCATGCCAGCAAATTCGTTGTGGGCGAGAAGGCTATCTGTGTGACGAAGTCAGCAAATGTATCCGGAAATCTGCAAAAGCTCGTCAATCCGCCGCAAGGAGATTCGTATATTGAAAAGAGCACACGTGAAAAGCATTCGTCTGGTTTGTGTTGACCAAATGAATATTTGCTTGTTGCAAGAGGAGGCAAGATAAACACCATTCGGTGAAAAAGCGAGTGCGGTTGTCACACCGATGGAGGCTTCATCTGAGAAGGTCGAGGTTTTTGTCCATGTATCCCGTGATATTGCAACTACCTCTGCAAACCAGTTGTGAGTACTCGATTTGACAATTGTTGCGACTAGTCGATGCGTACCGTGAGCTCTGTTAGCGACCACAAAATATTTGCCAGAAGGATGCCACACTGCTGAACAGTCATGGAAAAATTCTGGGGATCTGGCTCTATGGTTAGCCTATTTTTGAATAAAACAAATTCACGTGTGTACTTTGTGTCTTTCACAGCAGGAATGATGCCCTCAAGAACCTTCACTTCCTGCGGTTCTTCCTCTCTCACATCCCAAATAATTATCTTACCATCCATCCCACAAGTGGTCTGAAAGGCAATTCAGATTCTTCCCGCGCACCCGGAGCAAAGGGCTTACCAGAAAAGACCCTGATGGGTGCCAGGTCACTTTCCGTACACCTGCTTCATGTCCATGGAGCATCGAGATTTTCATGACATCCTCTATCTCAATCACCTTGATAAAGAGCTCGCTGGAGGTAGTCAGTCCCTCGCTTCATGAATACCGCATTGAGTAATCACAAAAGATGCTTACTCTGACGATACAGCAACCCTCTTCCCCGCAGGATCCACCGCAACGCAACGAATCGATGCCGCCGGAGAGCCTGTGACTAAAGCTTCAAATTCACTTTTACCATGTTTATACTGCCGCACATCAGAGTCCCCACTTCCAGAAAACCAACAGTCGTTCTAAGGACGGAGTATAAGCAGGACGGGAGGTCAGGATCGACTCCTGCACTGAATGGTGTATGACATACGCCCGATGCGACTGTCATGACAGCCTCGCTTGCCTCCACCGCTGTATCCGGTTCCTGATCAGAGCCTCGGTTTGTGTGCCAGATTCGCACACATGAGTCGTCCCCTCCGGTATAGCAGAAGCTAAGGGTTGTCGAATTAGAATTAGAGGGCGAGGTGAGTGATGAGAATCATGCTCACAATCCATCACGCGAGAACGCAAGACTAGTATACCCAGATGTGTGGGCGAAGTTGACAGCAGTCGTTTTCGCAGACATAGCGAGGGTTGATCGAAGAAATGCCTGACGAACTGAGGTAGACGCGTCTGACGCGTCATGTCACGCGTTAGTCACGCAGTGATGTGTGCGTGACTGAGAACGTAAATTGACTCGTGGTTCTCAGGCCTACCAGTGCTCTATGTCTTGGGACCACTCATTCTTTGTCTAGCAATGTCGTGCTTGCATCGCAATCCAAGGCGCATTATCTTGGGCGTTTTGGGACGGAAACTTAACTGCCTCAAAACCGTGACATGTCTTGACGGTGGACGACTATATTCTACCGCCGCGCATTTCTACCAAAATCGGCAACTGGAGTTGTATGCTGCAAGGAAGACGCAGAGACTAAGTCTCAGACAGTTGGTATAAGCGAAAGATTACCTATGACACTGCAAAAATGACGCATCGTGACAGGTTTTCTATGGACGGTCGATGAACGAGGAACGGCTCATCAAGGTAAGCAATATATTCGTTTCTCCTTAGGGGCGCATTGAAGGAAATGAACATACAGAGCGCCAATTATGTCAGAACAGAGCTTCCCGTTCGGATAGCACACAGAATAAGGGATCTGCAAGCTTTGCCGTATGTTGTAGTGATGCAGGAAGGAGTGGCCAAAGTCTATGAAGTAAGCCTACATGCACCAATACCCGCCTTCCTCATGATCCAATTGACACTTCCTAGCTTTACTGGTCTGCTTTCGAAAAGTATGTCCCATTGCCACTGTATGTATATATGATTACAGGTATAATTCCATGTGGAATGTCCAGGTTTCGTCAGTTTCCAAAAATCGACACCTTGGAAGACAATGAAGTTTTCTGTTCGTTTCTGCGGGAACTTCTGAATGAACAGTAAATTTCGATCACTTTAAAGCCCCTGCATCAGGAGCTCATAGCATTCGTCAGCGCTTCGGTGATCCCAAACCTTTCCCTCGGCCTCTCGCTCTCCTCCCCATACCTTCCACCAGACCAACTCGATGCCGTCATGCGACGCATGCTTGTCTCACGAATCTCAAGACGTGTGTTGGCAGAACACCACATCGCTCTATCTGATGCATATGCTGGACGAGACAAAACTCCCGCTGGAGATAGACATGTTGGGATCATCTTCACTGGTCTCAGCGTGGAAAGAAGCGTTCGCAAATGTGCACGGCTGCTGAGAGAATTGCCGCATGACTTCAACGGGTTGTCTTGCGGAGACATGGAGTGGCCAGAAGTTATCATCGATGGTCATCTGGACGCTAAATTCTCCTACATTCGCGAACATCTGGAGTAAGTGCTCGGTGCTTCAAAATTGATGCAAGATCCTTAGCACTCAACCCTCGCTGGCTAGGTATATCACATTCGAGTTATTAAAAAACGTATGTCTTTCTCTGCTTCTCATTTCCTCGCCTTATACTTGTGGTTCCATCTAGTCGATGCAGGCGACGGTCGCGAGTCATAGCAGGGCATCTTCGCTTCCTCCAATACGTGTCACGATCGTTGCCGGTGCAGACAACATCGGCATGCGAATATCTGACCAAGGTATGTACTTAACTTACGTACATGTAAATTTCTCTCATGCTGCTTTAGGTGGTGGTCTAATGAATGATCAAATCAAATCGCCATCCGATCTGTTCTCCTTCTCTCATACCAGAAATGCGGCACGAATGGAAATCTCACGCTTGGGAGGTCTCCGGACTATCGGTGCAAGTCCGGGTGGGATGAGGGCCACCGTAGACGAGCAGGTCATTCGATGGCAACAAGAGGTGCAGCAACGAGCACAGAAAGGGCCTGAAATTTCACTTGGAGGTGATCCAGAAATGGAAGCTGGTGTCGGTCACCATCCACGACTGGGAATCGGTCTTCCAATGTGCAACATCTTTGCAACGTGAGTGTGACTTTTACTTCCAATCATGTCTGCTTAAAGACTGACATTTTCTGATTCAGATACTTTGGAGGCTCCTTAGAGCCAGTGTCTTTGGACGGATGGGGTAAGTTTCCCTTACGGTCCATTGCGGTCCATCGCTAAGATATGCGTGTTCCTGAATTTCTAAAAACAGGAACGGATGTATACCTGCGGTTGCCAAAATTGGTGAGTTAATCGATCTCGTGTCCTTGTGCGGGGCTGACGAGCTGCAGGGGACCAATTTGGAAGGCATTGAAGTTTGAAGTGAAACGTATGTTGCTTGCGTGAATACCAAGGATCATCGTTTTGATTCGAAGCGAGGAAGAACAGTGGTCTACGAAGAGATAAGAACGATCGGGCGATGCATCGCTATGCATAGATAAGATTAGAAGCAACAATGGGCAGTTTGGCCATGTTTGTGCACCGTTGGAGATGGGAGCATGGCACGTTTTGTCCTCGAGGCAACCTATTTTCCTTTTCTTCCTGGATTTAATAGCTTCCCGGGTCACTCTAAACCCCAATCCACTTCTCAATTTATATATCGCACTTCCAACTCTCCTCCCGGATTTACACCCTTTTCTTGCTCCTCCTCCTTGACGACGTCGCTCTCTAGCTCTTATTCTAACGGGACCATTTCTTTCACGTTGCCCATTTGCCTCCGTAAGCTCTAACTCATATCATGTCTTCCATTGTGCCTCCCCAGGGTGATGTTTTGGGGTCTCTCCTTCTACGATCAAGTACTCCAGGTACGTGCTCACAGCTTCCGTCAATCCGAAGACAACTCTCATTTTGACCTGTTCTAGCCATTGATGAGAAAGGTATATTCCACGTTCGTCCCCGAGAGCTCAGCGACTCATCATAGTCTTCAGTTCTCATGTACCTCGAGGGCCTCAGGCCAGGTATGGACGACAGCGACACAGTACAAACTCCTCGCACGAAGGCTTCCAGCGTAGCTCGTAGCCAAGCAAGCTCTTGGAGGCAGCGTGGTTACGCTAACGGAGAGGACGAAGATGAACTAGCCTCCAACGTGCAGGAAGGAAAACAATCTACGCTTGGGTCTATGGTGCGGCGCAATGGAGTGGTGAGCAGCAACATCCTTGATCATTTTTCCTCGTTGTATTCAAGAGATAGCCTCGTCAGCCTGGGCCCGATGATCAGCCTGGGCCTCACTATGCGTCTTTTGGTTCATCGTTCGGTAATTTTGGACCTCTCCCACCAGACAGTGCGTACGGTGGAGCTGGAGCTGTGAGTGATCTCGACCATCACAGGTCATCCCCCTCGCTTATCGCTCTCGACGCTGTAGAGCACGACAGGTAGGGCTGCTGGTGTCCCCTTGCCTACCTCTGCTGGTGCACCATCCACCAAAGTTCGAAGTTCCCGCGCCGGCTCTCGTGCATCTGCTGTACAGAAACCTCAGTCAGTCGCATCACGCACACATATGTCAGACAGAGATGACGACCCTGCGGTAACTGCGGCGGAGTTCCTAATGGTACATGCCTCCATTTCATCTGCCCATCAAATAACGACTCACATATAAGATATAACATTTCTCAAAAAAGTCGCCAAAGATGGGCAGCCAAGCTACAAGTCAAGCTCCTAATGGCGTCGGTGATGGCCGCGTCCCCTCTCCACGATCACATGCATCTCATGCGCAATCGAAGCGCTCGTCTGCAACGCAGCAAGCACGTGGCTCCGAGAAGGCTTCGACCGTTTATCCTCCTTTGCCCCAGAGTCAGTCAAGCAACTTCGAAGGGTCTCAGGCAAGAGCAATGTCGCACCGCAGGTCTCATTCTCGCGCTACATCCTTATCGCCATCGGATTCTGCAACCAATATCCACGTACGCAAAGCAAAGTCTAAGCAACCTACTTTGCAGCCAGTTGAATCGGTTGAGGGGTCTCAGTTGGGAGAAAGTCCAAAACCTGCGCGTTCTCGAACAAATGGCGATGGTGAGTTGTATTCCATGTGATGATGAACCATCCGCTTTATCATCTGCTTGTAGTGCGTTCACAAACAGGAGTCTCTGCCATGTCTGGAGGTCAGAATGGTGCAAGCCAGAGGCCCTTTTCCCCATACCGCAATGGCCCAACCAACCAAGATCTTCTGCATGCTGCTATACGTGGTCGCTCTGTAGCATCGGAGGCGAACAGGTCACGCACGAATGGCTCCACTACGAAGCGTTCGCAACTTGATCCCCAATCTACGCCCACTCCATCTCGCCCACAATCTCCTGAAAATGAACTCGATGAAGATGAGCAGCAAGTCATAGCAGGAATCTTGACCCGCGCAACGTCGAGAACGCCACGCACGTCTTACGCAGCTACTTCCGTCATCGATCCTGAAAATATCTCTCATTTTCATGATATGGATCTATGCATTTTGCTACACCAGTTGGATGATTCGGCGCAACACGAGATTGTGAAAAAGGCGGTAAGAAAGGCGGTCAAGACACGGGTCAAGAAGCTGGGTATGAAATATGACCCCGATGTGCGTGTTTGCATCGAGGCCATGAATTGTGGCTAATTTTGGCATCAACAGACTCTTAAACAGTACCGCAAGTCTTTCCATGACCACGACCCTAGCGTGCATCTGGACCCCAACTACGGGTCAACACTCGGAGAGGTTAAATTTTCCGCCCTTGCTCCGTATCTTTCTGCCTATACTCATTGTATGGACAAAAGCAGGAGCCTCCGGAATGGGCTAAAGAAATGTTACAAAATATAGCTGTGATGCAGCAGCGCATCGAACGCCTTGGGCCCAAAATTGACAGCCTCCGGTCGTCCCAGGAAGGATCGTCATTGGACGGACACAAATATCGTCCTCAGTATGCGGCATCGGAGATGGATCGTTATGGTCAGACGCCTATGACGCAAACCGTCAACATTCAAACACAGCCAACAGGGACAATAGCCGACGAGTCTATGTTTCAGCCAGATACGGACATGCACATCGTCGAATCCACTCATGGACATACGCTGCCTGGCTCCATGCACCGCCACGATGGATCCACCCATCTCATAGACGATGAGGGATACGAGGATGACGACCAAACACATATGGGGCGGAATGGCTACGGGCTGGGTCCAACGACGGAAGGCGACGATACCCGCCTCCATGCTCTTAGCGAGTATGCTAACGACCGCAACGACTCCCCTGGCCAGCAATATTTAGAAGAGGAGCTTTACAAGTTGAGGGCCAGGCCAAATGGCAGCCAGTCGGCGGTTTCCCACAAAACTTGGGAGCTGATGAGGGACGACGGTGATGAGTATATCGATGATCCTGATGCGCGCGCAGTCACAGAATCTGGCATTCCCGAGATCCCAGACTCCAATCCTGGCGGGTATGGTGATCACCGAGCGCAGTCTCCTATGTCTCGCAATCCTGCCGACCGTGGTAGAGATAGTGGCTGGGCTGGCGATGATCTTCCACTCCCTCCCGCGTGGCAGCGCATCCATCAGCGTCTTCTCAACTGGGCTATAGTTTGGCCCTTGAGCGAATTGGAAAGCGCGCTGAATAGCACTACCCGCGGCAACCAAGTCGACGAAGTGGCGTTGAGTATTTGGTCCACACAGACGTACAAACGTTATGTGCGTAGCAAGATGACAGATAGTCCTCCTGGGCGGGTTGACCGCTTGTTTGTGCCACCTAACATGGCGGACGCCATCAGCAATGCTGTGTTCAATGGCCGACATGGCGACGCATCTGGGATGCTCCGCGAGCTGTGGTACCCATTCGGATTGGATGGCATGCCCAGGCTTCTCATTGTCCTTGCCAGACATCGCTCAGACGCCAATCATTGGGTCGTGCATCGGTACGCATCGTCCTTCAGCTTACCGGACTGTCGTTGACGCTTGCCTCCAGGTTCTCTCTTCCTGACGGCACACTTACAACTTACGATTCTTATCCAGAACGGTGTCTACCTGATGGCCGCGTGAGTGCACCTGAATCTGTACTCCGGCCTCCCAGTGATGACATGTCTAACCCCATATGGTCTCAGCCTCTTGGATGGTGGTTTGCAATCCGTATTGCCTGGCCAAACGCCATATACCCTAGCCCCGACCATCTTATGCAGAAGATGGTTCGCTTGCACCGCCCGATGCAGCTCGGGATCGACAACTCTGTCGCCGCCGCCGGAATTTGGCGCAATTTGCTCATGGGCTCTCGCGCGGAGCGCAGTCTCGACCTGGAGCGTCTGAGGGACCTTATCAACACCGAGGTCAAGAATCTGCGTCAGAGAAAACAGATGGGCAAATTGTCGATCGGTGCGCCAAGGCCGAACTGGGAAGACATGAACTGATGAGCAACGGAAGCTGGATGTATGTACAAGTGTGTACTGACCGTTTCGCATCATTTTGTAATGTGTCTTGTTTGTACTATACTTGCGGGCTTTCGCTTTGAGACTCATTTTTATGCCATAGTACGCGTGTTATTCTTACTGATCTAGACTGTATGGAGAATTCTCAGAGGACTCGGATACGATACCCCTCATGCACTGCGTAATGCGTTTGAAGCTTCGTAAGGTACATGTAACATTCTACTCGATTGGCTGCTGCATGAACTTGCCCGCTGGTCCGGAGGATTCTGGACAGCTTTTTGTCAGAAAGCGCCTCTAGCCTCTGCAGATATTGAGGACTGGAAGCTCTCTGCAGATTGGCAACAGCTGGACGTGGGCTTACTCCACTTTTGGTCAGTCAAACAAGAGCAACTTTTGTCAGTGAGCAACGACGAACGCGGGTCCTTGAATTGACCGGACTGACCTAGGGACGGTACTCCAGCGATTCTGTGGTTACAGCAGCGGTCATAAACCACCCATGGATGCAGCTAAATCATGCACAGACGATTCTGATATTGGAAGTAAGGGATGCTTTGACGGTGCCATTTTCACCTGAGGTAGATTGTCAGTGCTACTATGCTTAGCAGGTCAGAAGACTGAGCTCACTGCATGCAGAACCTGGAATTCCACATCAAGTGCCAGTCTAGCCTCGGTAGCCTGAGCCCGCGACATTGTCTTGGAACCCTTCAAGCCTTTCTTAGCGGCATGTTGGGCACGAATATGTGTTCGGCTTGTCTTAGGTTGGCTCCGAGTTTTTTTAGAGCCAACACGGGGCTTGGACATGCTGGTTGGCTGCGAAGTTTCTTCGGACATGCCTTGCCACGTGGCGGGAAGACCCGTCAGCTGATCGTCTTTGAGCCATTTATGAAGCCATCCTTGTCGCTTTGGGGCCGCCCGCCCCGACTCCCGACGCTCTCTTGACAGATTCTATGATCATACGCTTTCAACGTGATCTGCGCGACAGATCCCCAGCTGCCCTTATGTTTTCATGGATTTTTTACTGTTATTGGCCTGGCATTCTGTCTGCCTCTCACTCCAAAAGACAGCATGCGAGACCTTGTCGTGAAACTTCTATCGCTATTCGCCGCTGTTGCTTCTGCTTTGGCTGCTGCCCCACCGTCTGGATACAACGGCTTCGTTACCGCCGCACCCGCATCGCACTCCAGTTTCGATTGGAACGCTGTCAAGTATGTCTATGCGTTTGGTGATTCGTACTCTTTTGTACAGGGCACTACAGGGTTTCCAAACTTCAGGTGCACTTACGGATCTCATACACGATGTCCATTGTCGACCACAGTGCTCATTTCTGCTTCTTAGCTTCATCGGAGACGCTTTCCACCCTGCATTTACTTCGGAACAACTGCTTTCGAATGAGATCGTACCGAAAAATGTAGGTTCCGGCTGTTTCTTGATTAAATCATGCACCTAAGGCCCGACGATGGGCGTACAACAGACCAGCTCTGATGGGTCTAACTGGGTGAGCTCTCTTCAAATTGCTTCGCATTCATATCAAAGCGAACCTTCACGGGATTTTTAGCTTGAATTATTGACTGGATGCGGTCAAGGACATCCATCTAAATGCAAACAACAGCTCTGGGATTTTGCCTTTGCTGGAGCTGACATTGACAAGGATTTGCATGTCTGGTTTCTTTCATATTCCATGCATGCGTTGATCTTTGTGCCAGGCTCCCATTGCATCATAACTTTACCGTGGACCTCGTAGATCAAGTTAATCAGTGGGCACAGTATGCCTCGGACGTGATCCCCCACAAGCCCAACAAAAGCACTATGACCTTCTGGTGGATCGGGATCAATGACACCAACGATGTCGCAGGCCAGAATGCATGTAGTTTCTATTCATCCATCTTGGAAAATCAAATGATCGTGAACTTACAAAGAAATAGATCACAGACTTCAATGCTTTCTGGAACAGCGAGATGGATTCGTATTTTAGAGCCGTCGTGCGTGTAAACTCTATTCACGCTCAATTTATTTTCGAAACGTTTTCTTTATCGTTTGTTAAGGAGCTTGCTTATACAGTGGGCCTCCGCGGGACTCACTTGTTCGTAAATGTACCTCCGGGCGAGCGTACACCAGCTTCACTTCCAAATCCGACCAAGGCCGCGATCCAGAAGCAACGCATCGCCGAGTACAATGCAGCCCTCGATGCGCGCGTTGATCAATTTGCTGCTGCGCACCCGACCTCGACCGTATTGAAGTTCGACGCCAACGCATGGTTCAACAAGGTACTAAACAACTATAAGATGTTTGGGTTCAGCAATATAACCAGGTAAGCCCCGCTCTGCTTGCCTCTTATACAAGCTTCATGACAACGTATTCGTAGCTACTGCACATGCAAAGATCCGACATTCTTTTGGTACAGTAAGCAAGCGATACGCCTGCGATATTATTATCGCTGATTGAAGGTCTATCCCGTGTGGTTGCATTGGAAGACACCGGCCACCCTACTGAACACGTCCACCGACTTCTTGCTCAGACTCTGGAAATTGACTTGCGGAATATAACAAGGTACTGAGTACGCGACATTTGTCGCCATCTCAATAGGATGAAGACGGTTCATTTGCGCAGAATGAGCAGAGTTCTTTTATACCATGATGTCGACGCACATACTCGCAAGAAAGCAAGAAGGCGTCATGCAGTGTGATACGAAGTCGTTAATAATACAGCGGTACAAGTCTACGGTTCAGCAAATTCTCTACAACTTCAGTCCCTTGGCAGCCCACTCCTTCTCAAGCTTCAGGAGGGCATCAACAGCGTCCAGCACCGTCTTCTTCCATGGCGTGAGCTGCTCCTTTCCAAGCCCGAGCACTTGCTCCGACTGGGTGAGGTCCACGATCCATCCAGTGACTGCCTTGGGGGCGTTCTCGGGGTCAACTATGCGACCCTTTAACTCCGGATGAACCTCGAGGAGGTATTTGACAGCTTCTCCCCAGTTGAACCACTCCCCACTGATCAGGATGCGCTTGCGGCTGCTGGAAGGGCCGGCGGAGAGAGCCTTCACGTGCGCGCGCGCGACGTCCCGCACATCAGCATATCCTGGCAGGCGAGGGTAAGCTCCAGTGGGGCTGAGAAGCCCGTAGATGTAAGCATTAGTGCTGAGCGCGCCGCGGTCGGGTTCTGGGGCACTGAAGCTCGGGGCGAATGGCCCGTACAGAAGGGGTGGGTTCACTGTTCGCGAGATGGGCTAAGTATAAACGCAAGAAGGCGTCGGAATAGTTGGTGGCTCACAGGTCGTGACGTCGACATCAGGGTGCTCATCGGCGAACTTCCAGACTTCGCGCTCGGCGGCGGTCTTTGCCGCAGAATAGATGAATCCGGGATCGCGGGTGCCATCGAGGGCCTGCTCTACAGTCGAGGGGTTCCAGTCCTCGTTGGTAAGCGCGCTGAGGTTGCCGAGATTTTTGGCGTTCAAGGCGGTCAAGATGGTGCTGGTCAGCACGAATTTGCGCACGCCCGCGGTGTATCCCTGTCGAATGACATTGACGGTCCCATCGACTGCTCCCTAATGGCCCGGACAGATGTTCAACATCGATTTCATAGAAGAACAACACCGGCACTCACGCCAATCACATGTTTGGCATCGCCGGCCAAAGCCAAGGGGGCCGCGACGTGAACAATTGCGGTGACGCCTAAAGATACTGGACATCAGTGACGGCATCCGATCACAATAGGATTTGCAGTACCCTTCAAAGCTTCGCTAAAGTCGCCATTAACGATGTCCTCGATGGGCACGACCTCCAGCTTGTCTCCGTAGCTCGCCCAACCCTTCTTCACGTAGTCGACCTTCTTCGGCCGGGCAGATCTAGAAAGCGGGCGCACATCGGGTCATCAAAACGATCAATGATTACCCTTGAATTGCGATCACGCACGCTCGCACTGGGTAACCGGCTTGGAGCAATTCATGGACGACATGGGCACCGACAAACCCAGAAACTCCTGTGACCTGCGGAATCGAGAAGTCAGCCCGGAAAGCAATCCGGCTCAGAGATTATATAGCTCACAAAAACGAGTCCCTTCGAAGACATGTTGATCAGTGTAGCAAGGATGGTGGGTACGTGGAGACGGGAGTGGTAACACCATGTCGAGGGTCTTCGATGTCTTATATGCTCGGATCGGGCGTCTTACCCCATCATGATGTGCCTTCAAGTCGTGCTCGATTCTTTATAGGCAGGTGCCAGATAAGGGACGCTTCTCAAGTTGAGACTGGTTGAGAATGTAAGAAAGGAAAGGGGTCCGCATGAGCAAGGACTGACGAAGCCATTCGTTTTGATCTCTAAAGTGTGCCCGATCACCGAGCCCGGTCGGTCTGAGACAAGAGACAATGATGCACGTTGCCTGTCGCTGTCGACTATTGCTTTCTGTCGGTCCCAATGTCGTCCTAGTTCTAGTTGTGAGGACCACAGCGAGGGCTCCCCGACAGCCAAGGATGATTACAGGAGGCCGGGTTGCATGCTGATCTGTGGCCAGGTGATGCTTTCCGACGAAGGAGTCCGTGACTTTAGCAAGCCGGTGTTGATTGGTCAAATATATAGACTTCCTAGTTTGCAAAGAGCCATGCCTGCCTTCCGACTCTCACCGCCCTTACAGCATATCCGAAGTTTACAATGGAAACTGGTGATGAAGGACAGAAATATCCCAAATGAGTGGGGCGGTCAGCAGGTGAGATGCCTGGAAGACATGAGTCTCGAGCGCTTGATTGGGGAGCATGGACAAATATCGCTCGAGGCTGCTCGAGGTCGAGGGCAACGGCATCATGATGATGAGAACACCAGAGTGATCCTCGGCTTGCCAAAAACCAGCATTTACATGTACACGTCAAGAAGCACACATCGAGGCTGACAGGACAGATATATGGATTTGAGCTGGTGGAGGACCAACATTACAAGATGAAATTGTTGTCATTGCTCAGTGAAACCTCGAGGGGTACGCACCTGTAAGATGATTCACAGCCAATCGACGTGATCTCAGCCCCCACTCCAAGTCCAAACAAGAGAGCGTCCGTGTTGAACGTTGATCTTTGAGAGCAGTCGTTCCGTTGTGAAGAGATGCGATGCGTACTTATAGACGGACGAGCAGGTCCCTACAATACAAGCGAACAGGTGACCGAAGAGGAAGCCTTCTCTCATAACGTGATACAAGTGCGTTCATGCGTGATCGCAACGCGTTCTGGGCAAACGTGTCCCGTCAGATATCAGAGCACCAGAAAAAGAAAATAAATATGATACATGCACGCTGCCATGTCGATCACTAAGTGGTATATAGATCCAGGAGCGACATCCAGATGGAGAATGGGAGGTATAACGACGGTAAGGTGAACTAGGCCCATGCACGCACAGGCCGCTGCAAATAAGCAAAAAAAAAAGCACGCGCACTCGAGATCGCAACATCGTACGTAGGGAGTCCCAGTATACAGCATGTAACCGACGATGGTCCTTTGCACAATACATACACACAACACACAGCGAACAGCTTAGCTTAGCCTAGTCTTCCGCGTCCTCGTACGCCTCGGCGACCTCTCTTCGATGCCGCAGCTGCGTCTGCGTCCGCGACCGCGAGTGCAAGCCGCCGCCGCCGCTTGACGGCGGCTCGTCCCCTTCCATGATGGTCTCCGCATCCGGATGGCCCTTCCACTTTTTGCCTTTGGACCCTTCGTACGCGCCGTCGTCTCCGTGCAGGGCGCGCTCGAGCGCCTTCTCTCCCCGCTTCTTCAGGCGGAGTGCCATCGCGGACTGCAGTGAGTCGATGTACGACTCGTACTTCACGATCTCGGCTAGCACGTGCTGCGACTTGTGCTCCCAGTTACTGAGCGCCTTTGCAGCGTTGGCTGATCGCGCGGGGTACTGCGGACGTGCGTCGGGTCAGGGACCCACGATAATACAAAGGCCAGACCGGGGACTCACCAATGCCATCATCGGAGCACGCAGCTCGTTGTGCCGCTGCAGGTCCGTGGTAAGCGACGTGACGTGCTTCCGCAGCGCGTCGAGCTGCGTCTCCTCGTCGTGCGTGCTAGCCACGGACGGCGGGTTTGGTGGCTTCCAGTCGTTGATGAACGTCCGGTCCGCCCATGGTGAGTTCCCCAGGCGCACCGTCGCGGACCCGTCCTTCCGCCCGAACTTGCTGCGGCTGCTCCGCCCGCTCCGCACACTCATGTTGTCCGCGAGGTCCGCCATGCGCATCGACTCGTCGTCCGATACGGAGCGGCCGTGCGCAAGCGACTCGTTGACGCGGTTCCAGCCGTATTCCATGTTCGACACGCCCCCCGTGAGCGGCTCCTTGCTCTGGCGCGCGGCCCAGTAGTTGCACGTCGACACCCATTCGTTGACGAGCTCCTCCGTGCCGGCTTGGAAGAAGTACACCGCGCCTTGAGACAGGGTCAGCACCATGCAATGCGGGCGTTGGCGGTTGTAGCCGGGGGGAGGCAGCGCGTGCGAGAGCGAGTGAGCGAGGTTGACCGTGCCCACCATCTGCGCGTTTTCCTGTGCGTACGATGGTCAACAACCACGTCCACCACCAGAGGTTCGCACTCACAAGCCAGTTACCTCCGCCCACGACGCCGTTTCCGCCGGCAGCGTGATCGCCAAACGTGAACATGCTCAGCTCGCCCTTCTGTATGACGACGAACACGTCCATCCACGTCTTGGACTTGGCCCGCTTGCCCAGGGACTCGTTGTACTGCTTGCGGCAGAGCATGCCCTCCTTCGCCCACGGCGGGCCCAAGAGCGCCAGCTCCTCGTCCGTGATGCTGATCGTCGTCGACTCGGAATCGTGGCTATCGTGGCTCCGATCGTCGTCTTCCTGCGCCTCGCGGATGATGGTATGCGACAAATTCGAGGCGAACCCCAGCGTCGGCGTGAGGAACGCCAATGTCGACCCATGCATGCCCTGCGATCGCCATCATCAGCACCTTATCATTGAACGGAATTTACACAGACGCACCTCATGCGTGGATGTCGCGAAGCTGGGCGACGGGCTTGCGCGGCCGTCGATGCTGCTGTTGCTGCTGTACGGGCTCGCGCCTTGCTGCTGCGCGCCGAGGATCGATTGCAGCCCGCGAATGCTGCCGCGCTTGAGCGTCGTCAGGCGGTCCGGCTGCGTGCGCAAACTGCGATTGCGCGACACGTGCCCGTTCGCAGGTGAAGACGTTGACGCCCGCGCCAAGCTGCCGAGCGGCTGCAGGACCTGCTGGTTCTTGATGGCGGTGTACATGTCCTGCATAAATGCCCATCCGCTCAGCGACTCTGTCCCCCAGAGCTAGAAACCAGCGCGCACCTTGAGCAAGCTCTCCATGTCGTTCTCCCAGTTGCGGTCGTACACGACCGACGAGACGAGCGTGCTGGGCGTCTTGGACTCCGCGTTCGACGTATTCGACACCGACGCCGTGCTGTCGTTCGTCAGCTGGTTCGTGCTCCCCGCCCTGCTGCTGCTCCCGTTCGCGCTCGCATAATGCGCGCCCGCGGAGCCGACGAGCGACGTGCCGAGGTTCGAGATGACCGCCTCGCGCGTGATGCTGTTCCAGCTCGTGATGCTGTCGCTCCGCTTCGAGCGCGTGCGGAGCGTGCTCGTGCCGACGTCGCTGCCCTCCGACGCCCCGCGCACGCTGCTGCTGTCATCATACGTCAGATCTGACGTCGAACCCTGCTGCGACCGGTCCGGCCGGAGCTGGATCTGGATGGCGGCGAGCGTGTTCCGGGCGAATTGCCCTTTGGACATCCGCGTCGACAGCTCAGCGACGTGCAGATCGGTGTTGAGAAGGAGGAGCGAGTACGACACCGCGTGGACGACGCCTGAGAACGCGAGACACTCCTTGAACATCGGCGACAGTGTGAGAAGAGGCATGGCTCCTCACCGACGGTGCCAAAAAGACTGCCGGGATTGCAGTCCCAGTATCGTCTCGAGAACTCCTCGAGGATGCGATCCACCTGTTGGGTCTCCGCCTTGAGATATAGCTTGGCACACAGGCGTCTGAAACATCCCGTCAAGAAAGATAACATCGAGACAGAAATCAGAACACTCGCCTAAACGCCAAATCGAGTCTCAGCCCCGAGAAATCGAAATAGTCGATGTAGTGGTGCAGAGCGGCTTTATTGACGTGACCCCTGCGAGTGAACAGACGGCCTTCAGTACTCAGTACACACGCGCTATGACACAAAGGGACATGACGCACACGCCGCCCAACCATTCGGCAATCTTCTCCTTCGCCAAAAAGTCCTCGTCCTCTTCCCAGCAGCGAGCAGCGCGCTCCTTGCCCTTGGCCTCGATGTCGCCCATGTCTTCGCTGGTAGCGGCCGACGGAAAGCGGCGGAGGCCCAATGTCCCAGACGTGAGGTCCTGCTGGGATACGGCGGAGAGTGGCGCGGACACTGGCATGAAGGACAAAAGCAAGAGCGCACCATGTCAATGCGAGAAACCTCATGCGCGGGCTAAAAGGCATTGGCTTACCATCTTTGGAGGGAATGAGGGAGGGCTCTGAACTGAAGGCCGTCCCGCGCGGCTGCACCCAAAGGCGGGACGAGTCGCGTGAGGATGTGTGCGCATGAGCGCCCGACGAGCTCAAGTTTGACGAGGAGGAGAGATTGCGGGGGCCCAGCCCTCGGCTGTTGAACGCGGAGGGCAGCGGGCGCGGGCCCAACGGATTGGACCCTGACCGCCCACGGTTGGGCGTGGTGAGGGACGACATGCGCGGGGGGATGACGGCGGACTCGACGGACACCGCATGCGTGTGCGACGAGATCGAGCGCGTATCGTCCGCGCGCGATGCCGGGTCTAGTGTTACAATGGGCGTAAGCGAGTATTGGTGCAAAGGGGTGGACGCAGGCGATGTGTGCTGCTGGGACGTTGCGCGCACGCCGGGGCGCAGGGTGGAAGGAATGTGGTGGTCGTCGGCGGCGCGGGCCCGCGCCTGGGCGGGGCGTTTCGGCGGCGTGGAGGGAACGTGGAGGTCGAGGGGGTTGGCGGAGATGGGGTCCAGTTGGGAGAGCTGGCCCTCGAGGTCGGACAGGATTCCGTGCATGCTCGAGTCCCACAGAGGCAAGTCGTACGCCTTGGCGTCCTTCGCTGGGAGCGGAGTGGTGGACGACGATGCGGACATCGCCTTTTTGAGCTCGATCTCTCCGACGCTCATGCTCCGCCGCTTGTTGTGGCCTTGGAGCTTGACGATGGTGTCCGACCTGTACCTGACCGTCTTGTCCGGGGATCGTGACCGCGTGCGCGCGCGTGGGGAGCGTTCGACGACGACGAGCGACTGGTCATCGAAGTTGACGCCCTTGTCGCTCTTGTCGTCGTCGCGGTTGATGGGCGGGAGGGGTTTGTTAGCGGAGGAAGAGGTAGAATGAGTAGCGACGGGCGATGGTGCGGGATTGGCGAAGACGTCAGCGACGGGTGATATGGCGGATGACCGGACGCTCTTGGGCAGTGGGGGGACGGGCGGGGCAGTCGCGAAGAACTCGGGCGGGGAATAGGCGGCGTCCGTTTTCTGAGCGTGCGACGGAACGGTATCAGCATTCCCAGCGAGCCAAAGGATGTTGGAGCGTCCGAACACACCGAGCGTTCCCTGACACTGCCCTGCCCGAGCATCTTGCCCAAGAAGGCGCTGGTCTTTGCGCGCACGGAAGACTTGGCGCCCTGCGAAGACGTTGTGGGGTGAGAGGCGAGAGAGAAAGAGAGAGGGGGAGGCTCCGACGCACCTTGACGGTGCCAGAGTCGGCACCGCTCTTCGGGCTGGTCAGGACCCACTCGGCGGTCGTGTTGATGGACTCGGCCATGGTCGACGTCGACGGCGTCTTCTGGAGCTTGTTCCTCCCTCTGGCAGGAATGGGGAGCGGTGAGGCGGGGAGGGGGCTGGCCTTGCCCGAAGACGCGGTGGAGTGCTGTCGGATGCGGGGGACGGGAGTGTGTGGACTCGTGGGGAGCGGCGGGGGCGGTTCGTGGCGGATGCGGTCGAGGAAGTGGGACTGGAGGACGCCGCCGCGCTGCTTCGCCTTGCGGACGAGGGTAGCGAGGTCGGGGCTGCTGGCCGTGCCCGGCGAGCGATACATGGACCGCCGCCGGGTCTGATGCTCAGCGTCCTCCGCGTCGAAGAAGAGATCGTTTGACGATGATGATACAGACGGCGACGAGGGCCTGTTCTTCGCGCCGGCGCCTGGGGTGGGGGTCGGCGTCGGGGGCACGATGGTCGGCGTCGAGGGCTGAATGACGGGGGTCGAGCGGAGGGAGGAGTGTGCGGGGTGCAGCGGCGACGGGGTCGAGGCGGGGTCGTGGCCGAGTGCGTTCATGTCCAAGCCCTCGCGGATGAGGACCGTCCCGCCCCCGCGCAGCGCCTGCTCAAAGTCCATCTCCGTCCGCGACCCCCGCCGGTGCACAACCCCCGCCCCCGCGCCCTCGCTCCCCCCGCCCGCGCTGCTGCTCTCTCGCGATGCCGTCGGCTGCAGCGTCGTCGGAAACGCAGACGGCGGCACCGGCGACCGCGGCGACGACCCTCCAGTGCGGATCATCGGCGACGCCAGGCTGGGTTATGTGCTACAGCGTGCTGTACAGTGGTGAAGGAATGTCAGTGGGCGTGGGCGTCGACAGCAGCGTCGACTGGCATGGGCTCGGTATTAGTGCACGCACGCTCGCCTTCGGGCGGCTATCCCGAATCGCCAGCGCCCAGCCTCCCTCCATCATTTCGAACCCGCCAATTTCCAACTCTTCTCATCCATTATCACTTCGTACATTCGCAGAAAATACTCCAAGTATGTAGTCATCATCGTACCGCGCCGTAGCGACGAGCCGTATGGGCACGCCTATCCCCCCACCCCCTCTAATCGTAAGCAGCCTGCAAATCATTACAACACGGCTCGAGACTGGTCGCATACCGTCATCACAAAAACAACAAAAACAACAACAACAACCGCCACAGAAGCAATATCGAGACACTGAGAGGGAAGGAAAAAAAAAAGAAAGAAGAAAGAAAGTGAGCAGACGACGCGAGTAAATTACCCGGACCCTTCGCCGCCGCTCTGCTTGCGCGCTTGACCTTGTACACCGGCAGTGGATGTCCGTCTCTGACGCTTCATCGCCAAAGTCCCCGCCGCAGCCCCCGCCGGGCTAGGCCCTACTCGACTCCCCGGAGACAGCCGCGAGCCAGGCAGCGCCAGCGGCGTGTTGCTCGTCGTCGACGAGCGCGGCCGCGTCGACGACGACGCTATCTTGGGCAGCACGGAGCTCCCCTTGCGTGCGTTCGTGCTCGACGCGCCAGACGCTCGGTTCCTGCACACGGGCGAGAGATACGATAAGCACATCATGTGTTTGCAGCGCGAGAGCCTTGAAATAGAAAAAAAGGCGCGTACCTCTTCTTAATCACGTCGGTCTTGAGAGATAGAGGGCGAACAACGCCGTGCAGTTTCTGGTATCCGTCCGGGCAACAATCAGGGTGGGCCCAGCACGCAGAGATAAGGCGCGGGACTCACATAAAACAAGCCGCATGCGTTGCCTGCACAAGAAAAAAAGGGGCCGTCAGCGCTCGCTCCCACACACGCGCACGCACACGCGAAATGCAGGCCCACGCCGCGAGGTGAGTGCAGACTTACACAGAGGCTGCCCCTCGGGATCTCTCCTCCACAACGGCGTATTCGTCGTCTGGCAGTTCGTGCACACCGTCGACGCCGCATCCCCCTCCTCGTTCCCGCCTTTCCCCTGTCCGCCGCCCGCGGCGGACCCCAAGTCCGGCGTGCTCGTCGACGAGCGCAGCTGCCCGTTCGCCGCCCCGCCGCCCTCCCCGGCCCTCTTCCGCTGCGCCGCGGCGGACCGCGCGGCCGAGTCCTGCTTCACGCGCTTCGTCGACGCGATCTTGCGCGACGGGTTGCGCGACATGTTCCCGTTCCCGTTCCCGTTCGACGAGCCCTCCGCGGACGGCGGCGTCGACGCGTTGGACGCGTTGTGCGGCTCGGGCGACGCCGCGTTGCTCGAGTTGAACCCGTTCCAGCCATCGCTCGACGGGCTCGGGTGCAGGCTCGCAAAGGCGCCGTCGCCGTGCTCGCCCGATAGGATCTGCGTGGGGTCCACGTGTGTGTACGGATGGTGCACCAAGCCCGACGTGCCGTCGAGGCTGGAGTACATGAGGCCCATCAGGTGCTGATGATAGTTGAGTCCCGTCTCGTCCACGCCAGTCAAGTTTGCGGTGCTCAGGCGCACGTAGCCCTCCGCTATGGCGGTCGATGCGGCAGCCGCCGCGGCGGACAGGCGCTCGTGCGGTGCCGGCGGCGAGCCAGAGTTCGGCGAGTAAGTCGCGGTGGAGAGGGAAGAGGGGTGCGAAGGATGGTCTCTGTAAGACCCTGGCTGGTGCGCTTCTTCTGCTGGCAGAACAGTTCCATACTCCTGAGGCAGGGTCGCGGCGCCCTGCAAGTCGAAGAAGCCGTTGTACCCCGAGAACGAGAAGTTGAATGGCGTGGATGGAAAAGGACTCGTCCGCGGAAACCGTTGAGACCCATCTGGAGAATCCATAACAGGGGAGGCCGCAACGCTGGGCGGATCACCGCGCAACATGCTCTCGGCATGGGGGGCGTCTGCCCTGCGCTTGGTACCTATAAGGCTTCCTGCTGCCAACGAGGGCTTGCCATTGACCTGATGACGGCCGGTGACCGCAGCCAGGATGCCCTCTTTGGAAACCGTGTGATCGAAACTAGTCTTACGCACGTGTCTCGGGAAGGACCGTTGTTCCGGCGGCGCAACAGCTGCCGGCAGCCTTGAGAGACCATGCAGGCCGAACGAGGGCAAAGAGGAGGGGTGGGAGGTGGGGCTGGGGTAGACGGAGAGTGATGGAGCATAGTTCACCGAAAAGGGGTTGCGAGAGCCAGGGAGGCCAGGCATCGGGATGGCATGCGATTGCTCGGCGACGTTCTCGTACACGGCGGGCAATGAGAAGTGGTTGGGCATCGATGAAGAAGGGCTGTGGCGACCGCTCGCCGAGGTAGAGATCGGGATTCTGAGAGCGGAGCCGGTCGTGGATGTGGCGAGAGGGTGAGGTCTGCGGGGGCCAGAGATGTCGGATGCGAGGGGGTCAGTCTCGAGAGAAGGGAACGCGAGGCGCTCCCCATCCTGGAAGCTATATTCGAAGGGAGGAGCAGAAGCCGGAGGGCGTGACCTCGAGCGACTGGTCGCTCTCCAATCCATGGGTGCGCGAGATCTTGATCGGCTCATCGCCCTCCAATCCATAGGCACGACCTCGCTATAGCACGACATGAGCATGCGTCCTGTGGTAATGCAATATGACGCCACTCACTCCTCTTCTTCCGTACTGTCTTGATTTTTGCCATCAAAACCAACCACGCTGACCTTGCCCTTTCCTTTATCAATTCGACGTCCTCTCTCTGAAGCACCCTCCTCCGGCGTCGAGTCATCATCAACCGACCCGCCGGGCTGACCAGGGCCGGACTGCTCAGTGCTCGCGCCCTCGCCGGCGTCTGCACCCGCATCGACGCTGCCCCGTTCCCCGCTCTCCTCCTCGGCAGCCGCTTTTAACTCGTCTTCCTTCTTTTTCTTCAGATGCAACGCCATCATCCGCCAGGTAAGGTTCTCCATCCGCTGTGCGTGTGGGAGGTTCGCCTTCTGGCGGGCGTACATTTTCCACACCTGCGTCGCGAGCGGATCCTCTTTCGCCAGCTGATCCGGGTCGACGTGGCCTGCATCGACCGGAGAAAGCGCGGACGACTTGAGGTCTGGAGACCCAGAGGTGATTGGGGATGGAAACTGGCTCGGGCCCTGGTCGACGCTGCGTCGAGGGCTAAATATGTTGTCCGAGAACATTTCACTGAGTATTGACGAACTCGCTCCCTCGCCCCCATTAGCGGACAGAGGAGGCGAACCACTGAAGAAAACGCCTGGAGCACCCGTGGGTGTCCCGGAGACTACAGATACAGCACTACTTCCAGTATGAGACGAACTGTGGGGGATCGTGTGCGGATTGAAAGTGTAGGGTTCGGTTACGGGGGTGGAGGGACCGGTCGAGGTGGGCGACATCCATAACGACGGGGGCAGACCTGTGTTCGATCGCTCCGCCGGATAATTAAAATCGAAGTTATAATCATAGGGAGAAGTCGGAGAGAAGGGGGCGTTGGGGGAGGGATGATATGAGCCGCCAGACGCTGTGGTTTCAGAGAGAGGTGAGAACTCGGGTATACGAACACCGACCGCGATCGCGTAGGTAATTATGAGTAACGAACATGCATACCTGACGAAGTATGCCGCGAATGCGATGCGCCGTTGTTTTCTCTTGTCAGCGACTTTGACTCCATGTGAACGTTGCCGTTCGAAGCAGAAGAGCGATGGTGGGGGGGAGCAAAGCCAGATACACTGACGGAGTGCGACTTGCTCTTGGTGGAGATCGGATATGCATGCGAGGACGGCGGTTTCTGATAGGGGTGGCCGACAGGGGCAGGATACTGGCTCAGGTCCGGTTGGCCTTGCCGAGAGCGACCGGAATCGGGGGCGCGCGGGTGAGATGGATGGAAACGAGGAGGGGGGGCGACGCCCTGGGTGATCCTGGAAGAGGGGCCTGGGGCGGGGATGGGACCAATGACGCCGTTGGCGGTGAGTTGAGCGAACATAGCGGGGTTGAGAGGGGCAGAAAATATATTGTTCCAGTCATTCGAGGAAAGAGAAGACATAGTTGACGGGTGAGCTAGCGGATCAGGAGATGAAGGCGTGCGGGAGGTCTGATTTGAATATAAATAAGGGAGAGAGGCATCAGAGTGGGGAAGGGCGAGAGATTGCATCCAGGGGGACGACTGAGATGAGGCTGATAGAGAGGATGAAGGGATGGGGCTGCGCTCGGAGGGCGTTGATGAGGGGACATGAGCGGAAAGCGAAGTGTTGAGGGTTGGACGGGCTGAGGGTGTCCAGGGCTTGTTGAGGGTATCGTCAGAAGCAGAGTGAAGAGGCGCAGTGGAGAGCTCCATGAGGAGCATGCAGCATCCAAGGCGCGGACGCGGGCAGGAGGAGTGGGCTGCTGCAGCTGAGAAGGCGACTGCACGGGACGTAAGAAGCCTGCTATTTAATCGGCTGGAGCGGCAACGTGCCTAGCAGGACTACGCACCGTGAAGGCGGGGTATGTGTCGAGGGCGGCAGACGACGAGGGCGGGGTGTGGAGCGGTGGCGACGAGGACGACGATGAGCGTCGGGGAGAGAGAGGTGGAGGCAAAGAAAAACTGCGGCGAGGGCGAAGGAGAGCAGCAGGAGCAGCTTGCAGGAACTGGGTGCAGCGGCGGGCCGTGTCCGACAACCGTCCCTGATGCGACCAAACAAATAGGCAAACAAACAATCGCTCCAATCACTTCGTTTTTTAATCTAATTACCCTCCTCCTCTCCCCGACCGACGTCCCAACAGCTCATCCCGCACCCTCGCCCGACCGCGTCCTCGCCCCCGATCGCGTTTCGCCCCATTCTCCTCCACATCGCGCGCGACGTCGTCCACCCGCACCCATGACCTCCGCACGAGCTGCTGGCCCGGTATGCGCACATCCCCTCCCACGTGATATACTCTGATCGGCGGCTGTCCGGGGTCCCCATCTGCCTTTAGATCTCCCGGGAAAAACATCGTCGAACCCGAGCCAGATCCGGAAATCGGTGTGTGCCAGGAACGACCCTCGCAATTGATCGGACCGCGATAGCTCACTGTTGACCGGCTTGACTGCTTGCAATACACCGTTGACTCCTCCTCTCCCTCGTCGCCCATCCGCCGTCCTTCAACGTCGTTTAAGCTCTACCCACGTCTGCCTCTCTGTCACTTCCCTTCCGATCTCCGAGCTTGTCCCCTGTTTACCAGTTCCTCCGTATCCAGGTGCCCTTGCCCACCGCATTGCTTGCACCATGCGCACTCTCGATCTCGCATATACAAGGCCCACATAGAGCGTGCACACGGAGGCTGGCGCGCGCTCTCCCGTTCTTTTGTTCGAGGGCCGCGCATCACGCTGTCCACCCACCGTCTTCCTCGTTTCTCCTCAGCTTCCGGTTTGTTCCTTGTGGCTAGCTTGACAGGGTCCCCGGACGCCCCTTCCTCCGCCGCCCGCGCAATTCTCGCTCACGACACAGTTTCCACCCGCGCGGAATCGAGCCCTCGGCCGGAGCATACTCGCCTGCTGCTAATACAGCGCCCCTCCCCATCAACTCGCGTTCCCCCAGATGCACCCTCCACGCCATGCCGTATTTTGGCCACCTGGTACCCCGGCCCCGTTCTCCGTAGCGGCCTGTGGCAGCCTGTGGCCCACCAGGCGTCCTCCTGATCCCCTCCACCCCCCGGCCGCAGAAGGCGCACGCACGAACCCGCTTCGGCATCGCGTTCAAAGCACGCAATTCCCAACCCCCCCCTTCGCTTCCTAAGCTTCCGCCGCTCAGTGCGTTCAACGCTGTCTGGCGCTTCGAGTTCCTTCAGCCCTTCCCTAGCCTTCTTTCCCTCTGCCCCTCTCTGTCCTTCTCTAGCTCGCCCATGCACCCGAGACATGTCCACGAGCCCCACTACAGCACGCCGGCCCCCTCGTCCTTGCCCATACGGGGATCGCGCGGGGTGCCGCCCTCGCGCTCGCTTGCTCCCGACCCCCTCAGCTACTAGTGCTGACTTACGGCAGTACTAACGGCATGATCAGGTCGCATCGCCCGAGCAGACGGCCACACGCGAGTCACCTGCCCCATCTGTCTCAGTTCGCTGAAGCGAAGCTGCTCCACGGCATGAGCAACCAACGGCGAGTGGGGGAAGACCTCTCCTTTCGAGGGTCAAGTTGAGATCACTCGCGGGGCCTGCGGGGCCTTGTCCGTATGGCGCGTCGCAGCACAGCCGGCGTGCCCGCGATTGATTTCCCCACCCAAAGCCCCCATGTGACGCCGTTTAAACCCAGTGAGTGGAGCCGAGCACGGCGCCGCTCGATTCGCGAGACAGCGCATATGGGACGAGAGGTTCGACGCGCTCGGCCCTTGACGACAGTCATGCGATGGACGTGTTCCATGCACGCTGCCGTTGGACTTCTCGTAAGTGTGTGCGCACACACATACTACATACAGTACGGGCCATCGAAAGATCTGTCAATTTCCTTCGACTCCGTGCTCTCGACGCACCGCGACGTCTCGGCTATTTGCGCTTCTGCAGCATGATGTCTCCTTTTGGAATAGCTGACCCAGGGTATTGGACGCCGGCCGGCCGGGAAGGCCTGTTCAGTGTTCGTTCGGGCAACATTCTCTCACCGGACGCTCAACCGGCCCCTTCGCGCTTAAATTGGGAGAAGTATTAAGGACGGGTGAGGTACGTACGCTCGCGAACGCGTCCAAGGGCGTCCGCAGAGCGACACTCAGCTGACTACAGTCCATTCTTCCCAGATCTACACGCATGAATTCGCGTAGTACTCGCGTTTATTGCGTTCCTCATCATTCTGCGGCTCCGAAAATGCGTCCACAATTCACGTGGGATCGCACTCCTGACCTCGCAGCGCCGCAGCTGCGTCTCGGACCGTAGCGCGCGGCAACCACAGGCTGGACCGGGGTACGAATTTGATGGGGCCCTTGTGAGAACCAAGGCGACAAACCAAGGTCCGGTGATCCCACTCTAGCCCACTCTTCCCTTCCATCCCCATCCCGAACGTCTCGCGGTCACATTGCCGAGCAGCCCCCTCGAGCCGCTTCTCGAGTGAGCAGCCTGCTGCGGCTTAATGGAGCTCGGCACTGCCGCGGCGAGACGCGTCCTGACTGGTCGCGTTCGAGCCGCAGACTGTCCCGCGCTCGCACGTTCGTAACTCGTGTGTGCAGCACAACGACGAGCGCGTCGCCAGTAATGTCCTACTCGCCTGCGTGTCCTCCCTGTACCCTTTTTCGTACGTCTGTACCTACTGACCGCGCGCACCCCTGCGCAACCGCGGTCGAATGCGTCTCGTACCTTGCCGTAATCCCATTTATGTTGCCTGTCCTCTGAGCGTCTCTGAGACGCCCACCCCGCCATCACGGCGTCGCACCGACGCGACGCGGCCCCAGCGCTCTTCCGTCCCATGATCAACCCGGGTCGCCCAGGCCTGCCCGCGCAACCGCCCAGCACAGGTCTCGCCTCGTCTGCCCTTGAAAATCCGATCTGCGTCTGAGGATCGCAGGTTCCAATGGCCAGTGGCACCAGAAACCACTTCTAATGTGGCTCCTTTTCGCGGGCAGCGCGCATGGCGTCGTGTGGCGTGCCGCTCGGCACGCCCAAGGCACAAGATTCCCCCGCATCGCCGGGACACGACTCGACGCTGACTCGACCGCTTCATACCACTTTCATACCTCGGTTCACACGCAGTCTGCTCGGCGACTGGATCGACAGCTCTCGAAGGCTGCCTGCCGCATCTACATATTCGAGGCAGATGAGTCATCGTGCAGCCGTAAATGCGATCGATTGATCGAGGCGCCCTGTGCGCGGGCTCGCTTGAGCATCCCTCCGGATTCGAGTCCGACCTCTAAATCCTCTTTGTTTTTGTTTTTTTTTCCTCTGCGAGCAAAAATCAACGAACACCAAAATGGAGACCGATGAAGTAAGTAAAATGGGGTTCATAGGGCAGCGAGCGGCCTCTGGCGGTCAGGATGCCCGCCTATATGTACGCGCAGCGCAGGCGCGGACGAGAAATCGAAATTTGCGTCGTGTTTCCCGCATAAAACGTACCTTCAAATCGCGACGCGGTACTGCGTCCGATCTTTTCGCCGTCGCCGTCCAGGGCTCCATCGTCGGGTGCGGAAGGAAGGCCGACGGCCGATCCGCAGCGAGGTCCCCCCCGTTCCCCCCGTTCCTCCTGTTCCTCCGCTGGCTAGCCCCGGGGCTTCATATACCTGGTTCTGCCTGGTTCCGTCGCACTGCAGGCTCGACAGCAAGAAAAAAAAAGCGGTTGTCCCGTGCTTTTTGTCAGAGACCGGGTGTGCTGCGCGTTCTTGCCCGGAATGCATATGTGGAAAAGACGGGTTCCACGGCTGTCCCGGCCTGCAGGATTCCTGTAGACTGAAGCGAACCTCCGAAGCGCTGCACAGACGCTCCTGACGCCCTACGAAGAGGCGTCCTAGTAGATGCCCAGTGGTGATACCGCTCGCCTGGTTCAGTGCACGAGTGCGTGCCTAATAGCATACAGCACCCTGCAGATGTCCATGTGGGCACTGTGGGGACAAACAGACATGCAACCCCTTCCATTTCTCAGCAAGGGAGTCTGACACCCAACGTCTAGCACTAGCACGAACATTGACTTCTTGCATCCACACTGCATACATCGGCGAAGCCACGACGCTGCGCGCCCGGGAGATCTCAGTCGAGAAGAAAGCCTGAAATAGCAGCGGTCGCCGATTGACCCCACAAGTCTTGCCAGCTCTGATACAACACAAAGACTAAGGACGAGCCGAGGACAAGGATACGGGAGACTATAGCCCCGTAACGAGCGTGTGATTCATTGAATGTCCATCTTACAAGGCGTGCGAAACGATGGCGGTTAGAAGTCCCCGCCCATAGCATCCTCTTCGTCAATGTCTCCTTCCTGGATTCCCTTCGCGAGCGACTTCTCACGTTCTCGCGCACCCTCTGCATCCGCTAGCTCCTTGCGGTGCGCGTTGAGGGGATACCGCATAGCCTGGAAGTGGTGGTATGCATGAATTAGCCAATCGAACCCTCGGAAGAAGAGAGCGAGACGCCAAATTACCTTCACGCTCTGATTGTGCAACTCAAGGCAGTACCCAATCCGCCTCGAGAAGATCTCGCTGACTTCCGGCCCGTAAGCGCTCTTCTGGCCGCCGCACTCCATCCATCCCTTTTCGTGGACAATGCGGCCCTCGATGACGCCGTCGCGGATCGCCTTTCCAACGATGTATTCTGCGTCTTCCTCAGAATCGAGATGCAGCTTGACGCAGATATCGCGGAGTGAGATGCGCGAGTACGACAGCGACAGCCGGCGGATGCCAGTCTTGATGACGTTCTGCCGAAGCCGTACGATGAGGGTGTAAGTCTTGTCCGCCTCGAACTGCGCAGCGTGTTTGGAGAGCGTGTTCTGGAACTGCGAGAGCGAGCCAGTCCGGACGGCTGTGAATGGTCGTCAAACTGGATGTCACGATGCGTATGAACACCGGGCGCACCTTTCACGATATCGAAATAACCACTCAAAGCTTTCTCAAGCACCGGATGCCTGAACAAACTGCGCTCGGGAATATCACCCATGAGCAGCTCCACAACAGCAAAGAGCTTGTGTACTGCTTGGTAGAAACCAGGAGCGGTCTTGGCTGGAGGTGCACGTCGGATGGCCTGTTGCAAGTTCGTGTGTGCTGCAGTGTAATTCAGCTGCACGGCCCTAATACGGCCGATGTAGTAATGGTATCTGGCGTATTGCGGGTTTCCAGCAGACGCAGGAAAAGTAGTCTTCAAGACGAGCATGTCGGCTTGGTCGTACAGGCTATACTTGAGATAGTTATGAAGCAGACAGTTCAGAAGAGATGCCTGCGTTTCATCGTCGTGGCGTAGAGACGCGATGCGCTGAGCGGCAAGGAATAACCTATGAATGGAGGGTCTTAGCATCAACCGAAATATGTGCGGATCATAACGCACGGCCTGGCTTCTGCGAGCTCTCCAACGAGCTCGTACGTTCGACCAATGGCGAACCAGAGCTTGGCAGAGATTGGATCCATTGTCCGGCGGTTCAACGACTGCAGTCTCTGCACGGTGTCGCTAGTAAGCTCCATAGCTTTTCCGTATGTGCTTGACGACTTCAATAGGTGATACAATATGAGGAGCCGGAGGTACATCTCGAGTTCGGGGACAGGTTCTGATGGGGATGTGGACCTCGACGGTGTTGGGGCGGGGTCAATATCCATTGGCTGCTCTGTGGCAGGAGCATCGGGTATCCAAGAAAGGAGATTCCTTTTGACAACAGATTCTGTATGGTCCTGCGCTTTAGTGCTGTATCGGAACGCAAAAGTTAAAGGCGCACCGATGGGATACAATTCTACGATAGCATCACGAAGAACTTTGTCGTCCAGGCGTTTTCGAAGTGCGGTCAGGTTACGTAGTACGCGATTTGTGAAGCGAGGCTCCATGGTGGAGACCGCACGCTCGATGAGGATTGCATTAGACTTGATCTCTGCGAGTGGGGTGGGAGGAGGGGGTGCATCTTTTGCGTTCTCATCTTTGCTCGTCTCTGTCCCTGTGACCTTCTCTTCGGTTGGTTTCATCTCCACATCAGCCATAGCGGGGCACCAGAAAACGGAATGTAGAGAGAGGCTGTTGTGTGTTGTAGAGAAGAGTACGCGAGTACGTGTTGGTCAAGCGTGAAGGTGACGCGTCGCATTGTCAGCCACACGGCCGACAGGTTGGCTCGTGCAGCGCTGCATCGCGATACAACATAGACAGTTCGAAAGGCAGCGTAATTTTCATTCCAGAGAACTATGCACTCGTCTTAAGAGCCACTCACAGTATTGGTTCCTCATCTGATGACGCTCATGTCATGCAAACCTCATGAACGTCTCAAATTCACATTCAGCCCTCAATGCCTCATCGAGATGAGTTTTTCCATCGTCTCAGCATTGGCGAATCAATAGATTAATATTAGCAAGAGGATCTCAGTGGCAGTACCAAGCAGAGACAATACAAAAGATATCGGATTCCTGAGAGAGGTATAGTGAAGCTTGGATGCAACTCGTAAGCACATGATAGAGCTGTGATCATCCTCACGACATACCTCTCTAGCTAATTACGCTTCTTCTTGTTTTTTCTCTTCTTCGCTTTCGCCTTTTCTCCCTCAGCGCCCTCCTCCCCGTCAGTCTCCGAAGCAAAAGCATCAACCTGGGGTGCAGGGACCTCTAGAAGATTTGTCTCCGCAGGAGGAAGTGCGGAATCTTTGTGTGTAGTTTTTTCATTCTCCAAGATTTCCTTCAGCTTATCAGGCGATTCGGGAGGCACGTCGCTCCATTTCCAGGCGTCCGCCAATTCTCCTCGGATAGAAGCAGTCAGGACAAATGACAGAATGCACGCAGGGCTTTGAAAAAATCACAGTGAGTATCACCGGGCCATCAGATGGACGTCCTAACTACACACCTGAGGTAAAGCAGAGCGGGCTGTGCAGCCTTAAAGACATGCATTACGGACATAGTAGTGGCCAGCCCAGCAATATACGCCGCGAGGGTGGCATAGAAGTAGGGTTTGGTGAACGAGCTGCCTGGTGAGGAGATATGACGGTGGTGGTCATAGCGGAGAGCAAGTGCAACGAAAACACCAGGTATAACGACATCTCCCAGGCCGAGCATCGTAAATCCTCTGTCGGTGGAGAACACGATCGACTTCGGCCACAGTAATTTGATCGGGATATCGAGGTTGGTGGCCACTTTGACCATCTAGATCTTGGTTAGTTTGAATTCTTCGTGAAAGCATCAGCGAGAGATAGTCGTACCACTTCAGTGCCAAATACCCACCATATATCGTAGACAAATAGTCCGGATAAAAGGATGGTGCCAGTCTTGAAGGAGTCGATTTTCAGCAGTGATAGTGCGTTGTGGGAAAATGAAAGTGAGAGTATGTCTGTTAAGAGTGCAGACTTCTTGGAAGACCCGCTGAATGTGTACAGTATAGACGGGAGTGCTCCAAAGGGAAAGAGGACAAGGGATGGTGTCCTCCAAGAGAAAGCCATGATCTCTGGAGAATATTATGACTGGTCAGGAGCGACGTAGTACACGACACATGCGTCACTCACCCCGAGGGCCACGCAGAAATAGAACACGATTCTTTTCGTACTTATTCCATCGCTCACGCCCAAGACTGAACCGTACCAACGAAGTCAAAGACTAAGAACATAACTCAATCAGACTGGCACTTATCGGACGATATCTTTATACGTACCTTCCACACGCTACCGACACCCGCAATTGAGAAATACCATCCAAGCAGCCAATTGATCCATTCTTTTCCCAAATATTTGACGACAAGGTAAAGGCCAAAGAGGGTCACGGAGCCAAGCTGTCGACGAAGACCGAGATATTAGTGCAAGTTTGGCAGAACCAATAGACCACTCACCACAGGGAAGAGCCAAGCATCTTCAGAGGACAGGCGGTCAACGCCGTCGTCCTCGTCCTCGTCCTCATCATCTAGCACGAGGCTTTGAGCCGAGCTGTTCGATCGTTTGGGAGTCTTTAACACGTCATCCCGCGTCAGACAATTGCTACGTCAAGCAGACATGACTCACAGAAAGGGAGCCAAATGCACCGGCATAGATCGAGACGACGGCAAGCCCCAAAAGCCCCGCGTAGGACGATACCAAATCCACGTCCATACCGTTCAATGGATTCCTGTGAAGCGCTGCGAGATTATGATTGGCTGCTGACGCTATTGTTTACATCTATTGAATTCTGAAGCTGTTGCTAAACAGGCGTAAAGTCAGATTTGGATCTCGGAAGGGATTCGAATATTCCTTGACATACGACCAGATAGAGGTCCGACGGGCGTATGAAGGCAGTATGAAGGCGAACTGAACTGCCGCCAGTGCATCTTCCCCGTGTATTTCGCGATACTCGTACCAAGAAATGACTGAGCCCAAGGACTTGGATCGCGCTAGCGATGCCCTTCGACGCGTAATGTTGCTGCTGTTCTTTGTGAGGAAACCCAACATCAGGCAGCGTTATTCATCGTGTATCAAGCAAGTGCTAGGTTGCGGGTATCAGTGCTTTTGGAGTTGAACATATGCTCACGTCTTGGCGCTCGTTGACTGCTCTCTCTGATCTCGACGAAGAAATCGCACGCCTACGGGAGTGCTAGAAGAATTTGGAAACTGTCCTCCTGGATCTATGCTCTGTGAAACACAGGGCTCGTATTATATGCCCGCCTATCTGGCCATGGCTTTTTTCTTCGCTTTTGACAAAATGGAGAACGTGTTTTCAGGAGGCTATCGAGTCAATTGATGCTACGAGTCCCCGCTCTCGGAGCCGCCTAGGGCTGGAGCAGATCATCGGTGCGAAAGAGCTCGTTGGGTTTTTTTACAGTCATTCTGCCGTTCGTTTTGTGTTCAGCGAAGCCCAACGCGATCGCTTCATGAAGTTCTGTGCGTGCATGGTCTACATCCTGCGACCATCCTACCAAGGTCTAGGTAACGCGTCGCGCCTAGACGGTGTTGCCTCTGAAGTGGGATCGAGGATCCTCAGCTGCCCACTGGGAAACGTACACTCACATAGGCATCTAGAGGCTTCCGTCACTGCAGACCTAGATCTGATTCCGAGCGATTGTACATTTCTCTGTACAAGGCGGATGTAAACTTACTTTTACAGAATAAACATCACAAAAACACTAATATACGCCACCGAAAGCCCGCGTCTCCGACACCCCTCAGCCCACGACCTCGCGCTCCAAACCCACGCTCCGGCCCGAAACGGTCACGGCAACGCGCCCTCGGTCTTCATCTCGGCCTGCACGTCCGCGACGCTCGTGAGGCCGGGCAGCACAATCTTCCACGAGCCACGCTGCGCGAGCTGGCGCCGGAGCTGGTGCTCGATGAGCTCGTGCAGCTTTGGCACGTCGGCGAGCTTCGCGCGGCTGCCCATGAGCGACGTCGTCTTGAGCTCGAGGCGGAACGACGGCGGGATGCGGACGGCGAGCGTCGGCGCGGGAGCGGTCGCCGAGGGCGGCGTCACCACGATCTGTGCGACGGGGTTGCGATTTACATGTACGTGCCGAGATTGTGAGCGCGGGTCCCAGGACGGAGACTCTTGAGAGGTGGGAGGACTTACGGAGGATGAGAAAAGAGAGAGCGAGATGGTGACGGAGACCGGGAGGCGCGCGAAGGAGGGAAGAGGGTAGTTGAAGAGATACGCGGTGGAGAGCGACACAGAAATCGTGTCCGTGTACGTCATGTCGAACTCGACCTCCTACATCCCGCGAATCAAGGCGCATGTAAAATACACATATACTGCGATGTCAAAGAACACGGGAGATGAGAACGAGTGCACGCGCACGCACATGTTCGCACACCGCCCCATCCGACGGCCGCGCGCGCACCAGCCGCGCGTTCGCCAGCCGCGGCGCCGACACGCCCACGTCGACGGCGTGTATCCGGATCTCGTCCTACACAGTGCCAGCAACCAGCCGTCAACAAACGACCGGAACCCGCGAAACACGAAACGAAATCAGCCCGTAACGCACCAGAAAGCCCACCGGCCGCACGCGGTTCGCGAACACCTCGACGCGCGCGCGTGCCGCCTCGTCACCTGCCGCGCCCCCGAGGTCCCCGCGCAGCTTTGCCCTATACGCGTCCGCGACCTGTCACGCGAAGCAAAGCAACGCAGCGCAAAATAAACAAACACGATAAAACAAGCACGCGAAGAGAAAATGACGATGAACCTCCTGCCAGTCACCCGCGCCGCGCCGCGTTGAGCACGCACGCGAGCAAGCAGGCGGAGTGCACCCCAGACGCACCTGCTGCAGCACCGCGTTCATCCACTCCGCCGACTCCGGTGCACCCGTGCCAGAACTCGCTCCCACTCCCACAAACCCATTGCCATCCTCGTACCCACCTCCATCCTCCCCACCCTTCGTCCCGGCCCTCCCAGTCGTTCGCGCCACCGGCACGGGCAGTGACAGCGGCTTCTGGGCCCCGAGATGCGACGGCGGCCGCGCGGCGTCGAGGAAGAGGTACTTGAGGATGAGCGAGAGCAGGAAGAGGATGGACAGCTGGCCGAGGACGAGGCCCTGCGTGAACGTCGGCTGCAGCGAGAACAGGTAGTTCCCCCCGCCGCTGGTCTGCATTTCTTTTGGCGCTCTGGTGGCAAGCTCTATCGCGATGTGATTATGTGCTCTGGTGCGAGGCTGTGTGCTGTGGCATGAACGAGTTCGTGAGTCGTCGTGTGCAAGTGTGCAAGTATCGTCGATCGTTCAATCGGCCGTGTCGTCGTCGCGTCGTCGCCGTCGGAGGTAAGATTGGCATTTGCACGTGTTACTCACGAAACGATAGTCCGCGAGCTCCAACTTGTCCGGTCCTCACACGACCACAAAGAAACGCCTCAGCATGCTATTATGTGAGTATCCTATATCATGATACTCAAAGGTCATCAAGACGTATCGGAATGACTATGCCACGCGGATCACACAATGCCTCACTGTTTCCGATACAGACCTTTAGCTTTACGACACCTTTGGGATGAGACAGAACATGTCCCCCATGGGATTTCTCCTTATTCACGAGAGCTTGTAAGTCAGCCAGCGTCCAGATCATACGAGCCTATATTTTCTACACCTTCATCACAGCCCTTAAAGGCCTCCCCATGAGTTCACGTCCGCGGTGGTGGTGTTAGGTATCAGATATTATCTGAAGCGTGAACGTCTGAACCCAACGTATGGGTCTGGCCTGCTCACGTCTCTGTGCTGTATACAAACTCACCATCTCCCCATAGCCTGATACCATCCCCACAGTTGCCTTCTCTGGCCCAATGCTCTCTTGTGTCGCAGCAGTGCAATATACGGTCGGTAGCAAACCGATTCAACGGAGCCATGACAAGGTTAAGTATTTCTCAGCCTATCAGCAACTACAATAATGCGTTCTTTAGTACAATAACTGTTCGAGATCGCGATGCTGGATCGCCTTCAGCCAACAGAGGACGTTCGAAGGACATCCGACGACGTCTCGATTTCGGACGGCACCACGATACGGGCCTGCCAGCATTGCGACCAACGCTTATCGAGGCCTATAGCTACCTACAATCCACGCCGCATAACTCTGCCAGTGCCAGTCCTTCACAGGCATCGCAAGACAGAGCGCTCGCACGCCCGCACGCTCCGCGACCTTCACTTTCTAGTAACCCCGCACGCGCATGGACCCACACCTCGCCTGCATGCGCAAAGCCGTTCCGTTCATCATCTGCTGATGGTCCGTAGTATAATATCACCTTAATCCGGCGTGCCGGCCCACTCTCGAGTCTCCACCAGTCTTCCTGGCTCTCCCAGCCGCGCCACGCGCCAGTGCCAGCGCCAGCTTACCCCTCTCATCGGGGCTCGTCTCATCAAACGCCACCCGCGAGCCAAGCGACAAATGGAGCGGGAGGCCCGCCTGTGCGACCCTCCACGTAGTATACACCCACGGGTGTCCGAAGACAGACACCCCACCCTCTGCAGCGGCGGTCACGGTGTTCACTCGCAAAACGACGGTGCTCGCGCGTTCAAATGCAGATATCGGCAACCGCAGCACAAAGCGCGACGAACACAGCTCTATACATCCTAACCACAAAGTCAGACTTCTTTGCCATGCGTTCAGCGTTCGCACTCCGTTCAGCTATGCACGTATCTACCCGCGCAGCATTCCTGGGGGAGGAGGAAAGGAGGATACCAAAAACAGATCTCGTCCGGCACCGTCCCCGGCACCCCAGGAGCGAGCACATCACATCAACTATACACACTTACACGCACATATGCATATAGCCAACAATCAACAGCCCAAGAAGCCACAACCAAAGCCAAAGCCGAACAAAACACGTCAAGAAAAACGGTCCGCCTCACACGGCAACAAGCAATAAACACAAGCGCATACACAGGCCACCCCACCCTACCCCGCCCCACCCTGCCCGCTACCCTACCCCCGCAAGATGCATTTTACCTGCCCGTGGCCGCGGCTACAGCGTCTGCTCCGACACCGACACCCGGAGGATCGACGACCGCCGCGCCTGCTCCTCCATCCGCTCCCGATCCCGCCTGCGCGACCCGCGCCGCCCCCTTCGATCCGCCTCCTCTTCCTCCGGCACGGCCACAGCCACCCCCGCCACCGCCGCGCCGTCGTCGTCGTCCCCCGCATCCTCCACGCCCAGCATCCCTTCACCTTCACCTTCACCCTCGCCCTCAGTCTCCGTTTCCGTCTCGGTCTCCGGCAGCGCGCCCTCGCGCCGCGTGGCGCCCGCCTCGCCCGCACCCTCCTCGTCGCCCGCGGCGCCGACCGCGATGTCGATGTACGGCCGGATGCCCGCGAGCATCGCGACGACGACGTACAGCAGGATCGCGCTCATGACGAAGATCGCCTTGGGGAACGCGGCGACCGTCGCGCCGTAGATGAACGCGTAGATCGCGGGCTGTGCGGCGCAACGCCGATCCGGATGGTCCCAACACGTACCAGGCACGACATCGGCGAAGATCAAACGCCCAGAGCGTCAGCAGTCAGGCAAAAAGACAGAAAGTATGAAAGGTAGGAGGAAAGCAAGAAAGAAAGGAAATAAGAAAGGGAGGATCAAACACGTCAGCCAAAGACCGAGGCGGAGAGAATGGCACCACGCACGGCGACGATGTGCGCGACCGCGTTGACGATGCCCATCGCGCCGAACACGAGGCCGACCTCGCGCCCCTTGCCCATCGCCTGCAGGCTCACCGCGCCGAGCGAGTGCAGCGCGGGGTTCCCGCCGCTTGTGAGCGAGTTGAGCGACGTGCAGAGCACAAAGAGCGCCTGCGACGACGTCGGCGCGAGCACGACCAGCGCGTTTGCGCTCGCGTCCGTGAAGAACGAGATCACGGCGATCGCGCGGTCAAAGCGCAGCGCCGCGGCGAGCGTGCTCGGCGTCGAGCGCGCGGACGGCTTGGACCGGGTCGGTGCAAAGTACGTCAGGACGGCTGCGCGTGCGCGCGGGGGCAGGGTCAGCCGGCGAGGCGAGAGAGGAGAAGGCACGTGCGAGACTTGCCTGGCAAGATGAGGAGCAGGTTGATCGCGCGGGTGATCCAGAGGAGGGACATGTAGTACCCAAGCTAGATAGATAGACACGGCGCGCTGTGAGGCCTACCCAAGACAATCCTACATACGCGGAGCACGCACCGTCTCGCTCGACCAGTCGTACACGTGTCGGACGTACAGGTACTTGAGATTATACACTTGCTGCAAGACCGCGGCCGTCAAGCGCGCACGCGATGCACGAGGAGGGGCCGCTCACGATGGACAGCACGTATATGAACAGCGCGGCGCCGGTCAGGGTCAGGTTCCAGTTGCGGCCCTTGCGGCCCTCGCGCTTCTGCGGGAGGAAGAGCGCGACGGGGCGCAGGAACTGCGCGACGACGAGCGTGAGGCCGCGCCGGACAGCGGCCTGCACGGACTTGTTCTCTGATCCCGAGGGTGTGCGCGAGCGGATGTAGCCGGGCGAGCGGGAGAGGCGCCGGTCGGGTGGGAGCGACTCGGGGACGACGAAGAGGACGAAGAGAAGGTTGGAGAGCCCGATGGCGACGGCGAGCGCGAAGAGGGACGTGGTGGTGCTTGTGCTGAATAGGTTGAGCACGAGGCCGTCGAGCTGCGAGACGAGTCACGCGTCGGCGAACGTGAGTGTATGTGAACAATGAATGCGTACCCACGGCCCCGAGGCAAGGCCGACGTAGAGCATGCCCTGTAGCATGGAGAAGATGCGGGCGCGAGAGCCGTCAGCTGTACAATCCGTCGCATATCTGACACATCAAGGGGGGATGAGCATATATAAGCGCATATATAAGCATACAGTGACGCATATATGCATACTGACGCATGAGTAAGGCCGTTGTAGGTGGACTGCGCACCGAGGAAGCCCTCGATGAGCGGAGCGGTGATGATGAAGGCCTCGCCGTGCCTTCCGATGATAGACTTGGTATCTGATACGAGGATGTAGACGAGGTCCCTGATCGGCGGGTGAGCGAACAGATAGTGGATGGCTAGGTCGAGAACGCGCGCACATGAACAAGGCTCCGAAGATGGAGAAGCCGAGGATCTTCTTGCGACCATAGAGGTCGCTGAGATGGCTGAGCCATCCGGTCGTTATCGCGCTTAGGATGCTTTCTGTCGTTTTGACGGCTGCTCGGGACCTACGTGAGAGGATGGACGGTGGGAGAGGGCAGAGGGCACGGACATGCCTGTATGCGCGCTGCACGGGCTTGGACCTTGGGGTCGGCAGAGCACTCGTCAAAAGCTGAGGAGCTGGTGTCGGGGAGAGTGACGCGGACGGTGTGGATCGGGTCACTCGGCGGAGCGAGAGCAGCTGTAGGAGCGAAGGGGACGTGGAGGGGAATCTCTGTCTCGGAGTGGTGTACTGCTCTGCAGGCGAGCTTGGTATAGACCTCCACGCGGGGGGCGAGAGTCATTCCACGCTATGTGGGGAATTGTGAGCGGTAGCAGCAGACAAGGGTGCAAAGGATGTGACGAACACATAGAGAGGAGATGAGGACGACGGGGCAGATCCTGGGGGTGCGGGGGGTAGTCGGGGGTGAGGTCGGGTATCTGATAGGGAGGGATAAAGATAGACGGACCAGAGGGAAGATGCGGTTTTCCAAGATCTGCGTGGCCGGGGAGTGCGAGGCGATGGGGAGTGTGGGTCAGGGACGAGGAGAGCGTCGCGCTCGTCGTCGTGGGGCTCGTGGATGGACATCGGTGCGAGCGGGCGGGAGTGTTTATGAGGAGAAGAGGGAGGGGAAGGGGAAAAGGACGGGTCGGCCATGCAACGGAGTCTATATATGCACTGGTTGGTGATCAATCACTAGCTTGGAGGGACATCCGAGGCGTCCACGAACAGTCCTGGCAGCCTGATGGGTCGCTTATCTGATAAAAATATATGCTTCCGAGCTGCGTCACCCGTGCTTGTCTGATAAGATCGATCTCCCACGCTCGTTCCGCAGGTCCGTGCGCAGAATGCCTCAACGCCCCGTCGTTTCGTTTGTGAATTCAGGCGAAAAAACGCTCGCCCTTTGAAGGGCGATTGATTGATGGAGGACCCGAGGACGGCAACGGAGTCTGGCTGACATGAAGGTTTCTTGTGTGGAGTCAGCGTGGCAAAGTCCGAGGTGCCTGGGGCCCGACGTCGACGCGAGCCACCGCGCCATTTTCGAGTCGCTGGACGCGTCTCGTCCTCCGTCACCACCCACGATGGCCCCGCCCGCGAGCCAGTCCGCACGCAAAAAACAGCCCCCACAGACACCGTCGAGGGTCATCACGGACTACTTTTCCCGCTCCAGCATCCCCCCCGACTCGGACAACCCCCAGTCGTCTCCGCCCGCGCCCCAGCACCAAATCCGCGCCCACCCGCGCCCGTCGCGCCGCGCTCGTGAAGCCAGCGCGAACAACATACCCGCTCCCGCGTCCAAGCGGCGCGTGCCACCTGGCCGCGCCGTCACCCCGCCGCGCGCGCAGGCGTCCTCGCATATGCCCAAGGACAACCTGTCGCCCGTCCGCGCCCCTGCGCCCCGCGTCGACGGCGTCGAGCACCGCTCCCCACGCAAAGGCACCCATGTCCGCGTCCTTGCTGCTCAGTCCACCTTCGCTCCGCCCCAGCCCTTCGACGTTCCCGCACGGCTCACGCGCGCGTCGCTTCTCAAGGGCCCCATCGCATCCGCGTCTGCCCCATCGCGTCCAGAGCTGAGTCAGACGCGCGATGGGAGCCCGCGCCGCCCGCAGATGATCACCCTCTCCAAGCGCAAACGCGACGAGGACGAGGACGAGGACGAGGGCGTTCCTGCCGTCCTGCCTGCCTCCTCTCCCTTATCCTCCTCCCCGCCCGCCCTGCCGCCCTCCTCTCCGCGCCTCCCCTCCTCGGCACTCCCTACCCCCACCACCCCCAACGCACCCACCATCCCCATCCTCCCGCCCTCGCCCACCCCCGATCGTCGCTCATCCCGTAAACGCCCGCGCCTCTCCCCGCCCACCCCGTCTCCCCGCAAGCTCTCCCCCCACCTCCACACAGCCGCCGATGCCCCACCGCCGAACCACAACGACGGCGCAGACGACGACGACGAGCTCGTCCCAAGCAGCCAGAGCGACGAGCACGAGCTCTGCCTCCCCAAGGATCTCCGCCGCGACCCGCGCGCTGTCCATGAGACCATCGAGTCCTGGCGCCGCACGAGCGCCGCGCCGTCTGCCTCTTCGCCTGCGCGCCTGCCCGCTCTGGACTTCAGCCCCACCACGATGGACGTCGACGGCCCCGCATCCCCGATGCCCCTCGCCTTTGAGCTCTCTGTGGCCCAGGCTGGCTCAGAGCTCGACCCGCGCTCGTCCTCTCTCTCTCCGCCGTCCTCGCCCGCGCCCTCGCCCTCCCGCGGCGCCTCCCTCCCGCACCCCTCCTCCGCAGAAGTCAGCGCCCTCCTCCGCACCGCGCCCCTCCCCCCCTCCTCCTACACCACCCCCTCCCCGCTCCCCCACACGCTCCTCCTCTCCCCGGCCCCGGCTCCGGTTCCGGCTCCCCCCTCGCCCTCGCCCCCGCCCCCGACCGCCGCACTGCGCCCCACGACCCCCGTCCCGCTCGACTCCAAGGCCAAGACCGCCCAGATCATCGCGCAGCTCCGCGCAGACGCCACCCGCGCCGCGCACACCGCGCCGTCGCCCGACGCCACCCGCACCGCCCTCGCCGCCCTCGACGCCGCCAGCCTCAGCAGCGACTCGAGCGCCTCGGACGACGAGCTCTTCGTCCGCCGCACTAACATCCCAAAAAGGTCCGTCTCACCGTCTTTCTTCCCCCCATCGCGCTCTCGCTTATGGAGCACATATATGCACGCGTTCCTTCCTCCACGCGTCGTCTTACACACACGTATTATTTATGTACATCTAGCCCAAGCAAGCAGGCCGCGTCGCGCGCCACCGCACGCTCCCGAGCCCAGCGTGCGCCGAGCTCCCCGCTCACGACCCCGCGCTCCCCCTCCCTCAGCCCGTCCCCTGACCCGAGCGGTGCCCCCGCACGCAAACAAAACACCCGCCGCGGCCCCGCCCCTGCAGCGTCCTCGCCCTCCAAGCCCGCCCGCCCGACGCGCGCGCGGCGTGCGCCCCCCGCTCCCGCCGACGCCTACGACAATAATAACGCTAAGGGAAAGAGGAAGGGCAAGCAGGGCGCGGACCCGCTCGAGGCGCTGTTGCGCGAGAAGCGGAGCCTGGATAGGGCCGGGCGCGGGATGGACGCGCTGCGGCGCGCGGAGGTGGCCGATCTTGGCGGCGCGCGCGGCGGGCTCGGCAGCGAGGACGAGGACGAGGACAATGAGGGGGTGGTGGGAGGACTGAAGGAGGACGATGACGAGGAGCGGGTGTTGCGGGACGAGGAGGCGGCTGCGCGCGCGGCGCGCCGCGGGGAGGCGATGCGCGTGGGTGGGTGGGCGGAGGGCGCGCGGAGGGACGACGGGGGCGGGGGCGCGGACGGAGAGGAGGAGTTCGACGTGGAGGAGGTGGTCGCGGCGGAGGAGCGGGAGCGGCTGCTTGGAGAGAAGGAGGGCAAGGCCGTCGGGAGCATCTTGGATGCGGACCGGATCGGGGGCGCGAAGCGCGCGCGGGTCGTTGGCGTGCAGGTGTGGGGCGTGGATGGAGAGGAGGAGATGGAGATGGAGATGGAGGGAGAGGAGGGAGAGGGAGTGGCCGAGGAGTGGCCGGAGTGGCTGTTGGAGGAGGCCGGCGAGGGTGAGAGGCCACGCATGGTGGAGATGCTGAGCGCGGCCGTTGCGCGGCGGGGTGAGTGCAGATCCTGCGATCCCACGACGTGGCTCATTCCTTTCTCCCCCGCAGACGCCGCTCGCATCAAGTTCATGTTCGACGCCGGGCTCCTGCACACCCTCGACCTGTCGACGTACCCCTCCATACTGGCCTGGACATGCAAACTCGGTCAGTCCCTTCAACTTTCCGCGTCCCCCGACGCACCCTATCGCTCACGTGCCGCCCGCCAGCCCTATCCACCCGCAGCACGCCGCTCTGCCAGTCCGCGTTCCACTTCCTCCGCCACTCGTCTGCTCCTCGTCCTGAGGCGGCAGCGTCGCTCACGCACCTCATCGTAGACACGCTCAGACGACTTGGCATGCAACCCGCACTACTGCGCTACATCTCCAGCGACACCGCGCCAGACGCGCCAAATGTGTCGCGCAGCCGACGCGTGCGCGATGCCGACCGCGCCGAGGTCCTGTATCGCCTCGTCGTGCTCGTCACGGCCTTTGCACGGTCAGCAGCCTGTTCTCGCCCGCCGCGATATTAGCTGACAGCGCCGCGCCTTTGTGCAGGAACGGATGGCTGCGCGCCGAGGACGTGCCGGCGGCCGCTATGGCGCTGCTCCTCGTCGGCGCGGACCGCGCCGCGTCGCACGCATCCCGGCGCGACGTCATCGTCGCGCTCCAAGCCGTCTGCGCGCGCCTCCCCGCCGAGCTGCCCGACGACGACGACGGCCCCCCCACCACCCTCGTACGTCTGTCCTTCGCCTCGTGTCCTGCCTCGTTGCCCACAAGGCAGCCGACTGACGACCGCGCTCGCGCCGGATTGCAGGAGTCCGCGCTCGCGGCGCGCGTGCTCGAGTATGCGGCGGCGGAGCACGTCGGCACGCAGGCGCTCTTGCTGTCGCTGTTCGCGGGCATGTGTGCGCAGGCGGCGCGTCTCGCGCGCGGGGTCGCGCACCATATTCTTGCGTGCGTGGATTTTAAGTCGGTATGTACCTCTCGTCCGTGTCTGAGCGTCGCACGCAACTCACGCATACTCCCGTCCATCACCATCATCACCACCATCGTCACCACCACCGCCACCACCCCCGCGGACTCCGCCTCACGCACAGGACCCTTACACGGCGCTCCCGTCGCTCGACCCGCTCGTCGACGCGCTCTCGGACACGCGCGGGCCCTTCGAGGCGGGCGAGGCGACGGACTACGACGAGCTCGGCGCGCGCGTTGCGGTGCTCGGTGTTGCACTCACTGGCGTGGACGGGTACGTCGCGCAGGAGCTCGCGCGGCAGCGCGAGACGCGCTTCGCGGCACTCGAGGAGGACGGCGCCGAAGCGGGCGCGGGGACGGGGACGGGGATGGGGATGGGCCGCGAGCCGGCGCCGCTGGAGCTGGTGAAGAACCGGCTGGACGTGCTGCATGCGCGCATCGGTGCGTCGCTCGTTGCGTTTTTGTGCGTCCTTGGGTGCTGACGACTGCGCGTTCGCGCTCGCGCTTGTTTTTGGTTCTGGTTTTGGTCCTGGTTCGGTTCGGCAGTCGACACGCGTGCGGCGCATCTCGATCGGTCGCAGACGAAGGGCGCGCTACAGCGCCTCGCGATGCGCGTACACTACCAGCGGGACGCGATCCTGAAGGGCGGGCCGCGCAAGCTGATGGACTACTGGACGTAGCGCGCGCGAGGAAGGCGTGTTCGTGCTGTTCTCCTTTGCGATCCTCGATCCCTTTTCTTCACTTCCCATTTCTTTCACTCACTCACTCACCCCCTTCCCTTTTGTTTTCTCAAATCCTCCCTTGAGGAGATTATTTTTCTCTTTTGCTTTGCTTTGACTTGTTTTGCTCTGTGGATCGCTGCGTGTGCGCGCGTATCGTTTTTGCACATACGTTATCTCACTGGGACGGCCCGCTCGATGTATACACTCTATTGGTGATTTGCTCACTACACTCCGATATAATACCGGTATCGCGTAGGTACGTATATACTGTTCAGATGCTCCAAATAATGACCAATGTACAGATGTGGCAAAGCTCCGTTCACAATACTTACGGCCCGGTGTCGCGCGTAGAACAGACGCATGCGTGACAGCTGTCTCACAAATAAGCGCCACCGACGTTGTAACTCGACTTGCAGATCTCTAAAGCTACGGGGGATGTCCGTGGTAGATGAGAGGTTCGGCGATCGTCGATCAGACCTGGCGCTTTCTGAAGAGGACGTGTCCTTTCCCGGGGACGCAGGCCGAGCCGACGTAGAGGTTGGGCGGGGGCGCGCCGCCGTCTTCGAACCTCACGTCGTAGGTGATCACGACGTGCGCGAGCATGGCCTTGAGCTCGTTCGCAGCGAAGAACCGACCAGGGCTGGCACGCCGAGCGCGGTCAGTACCGCAAGCGGCAAGCAGCGGCTACGAGATGCGATATGCGAGCACGTACCAGGCGTGCTTGCCGTGTCCGAACGCGAGGAATTCGGGGGTGGTGGAGACCATTTGGTGCTTGGCTGCTTCGCCCTCGCCCTCGCGCATATCGGAAAACCGCCACGGGTCGAATACGTCCGCGTTCGTGTAGTTTTCGGCATCGTGGTGCACCGACATCGACGTGCAGGACAGCAGCGTCCCAGTAGGGACCATCTGGCCATTCGAGAAGGTGAAGGGCTTCAGAGCGTGACGTTGCATGGTCACTGGAGATAGTGTGAGTGTCGGTCGAGAAGATCAGCGCAGAGGCAGACAATGGAAAAAGAAGTAACGGACAAACTCCGAGCCCGTCGAACCGCTGGGATTCTCGGAGGAAGCTGTCGACTTTGTGCATTTTGCCCATCGCGAGCTTCGTCCAGCCGTCCGTAGCCACGACGGACTCGACTTCCTCGCGCAGGATACGGGCGTATTCTGGGTTGGCCGCGAGAGGATACAGAGCGTGGGTAAAGCTCTGACAGTGGCCCGAGCCGTCAGCACTCATACGCACGTACTGGCGTCAAGGGAGTCAGGGGACACACCATGGACGAGGTATGGATGGCGGCGAAGTTCACGGTGAGAATGCGCAGAGCTAGGTTCCGGGTTGATTGCTCGTCGCCCCGCGCTTCTTCCATCAACCACATGAGCATGTCGTTCTGGAAACGAGCATGCAGATGATTAAGTATGTCACCGAACGACACTGAGATGAATGGAAGTGGAGGGCGTACAGGCTTATCGTTCCAGTCGTCACCGAGATCACGTAGTTTTGCACGACGGTCCTCTATAATAGGAGCTAGATGGCGGATGGCACGTCTGATGGAGCCAGGGACGCTGGTAAAAAGTCGGCCTGCGAGTCTGTTTGCGGATGGTCTCCAATATGATTACAATGCGTTCGGCGGGAAGCACGCACGGTTTCAGGACGTCGGGAAACCGATTGATAACCAGGGCGGCTTTGACGACATCGATGGTAAACTTTACATTCAACTGGTTATAGTCTGGATCGCGACCTGCCATGAACGAGTAATATGTGGTGAGAATCGGGATGTGATGAGATACGTTGCTCACATTGAGGAGCTCCGACAAAGATGCGGTTGCTTGTCCGACAGACGATCTTCATGAGAGTCTCCATAGCTGGGTACTTCACCCATTCTATACATGCAAGATCAGTTTCCTATACGCGCGAGAAAAGATCAATACTGAACCATCTTTTGCCGGAATGATGTCGTTGAATGAGGCAACGATTTCCTCGCGAACATCAGGGAAGAGTGCGCCCAAGTTACGGGTGAGCTGAGAGCGAATTATGCTGACGTGATAGGGGTTGTGGTGGATTTCCGGTCCTAGAGTGTATTCCACTTGAAGCGTCTTTCGGAGGAATCAGGCTCAAGTGGGATAGAGTGGATCCAAACTAATGTCATACCCGCGCCACGGCGTCCATGAAACTCAGGACAGAATCAGAGGCTTTTCGGACGTCCTCGATTGTCTGTGAACCGCTAGCGATCACTTCCCAGTGATCCAACATGGCGATCTTGAACAGACCACCCTTGTACTAGAAAACCGTCAATCTTGTGAAGAAACAGAAATCACGAGCTAAAGAAAGTCTGACCTTGTCATATCCTTCTTGAACGAGCTCGTTGCCTTTGAACAAGTACTGTACAGCGGTGATATAGGAGAGGATAGGACCCGAAAAGCCGACTGTGGGGATGGAGTCGAGCTATGCGGAGAGGATGAGCTGGGCGTCATACAGAATGATTTCGTGGAACGGATTACATTAGAACCACGCTTCAAGTACCACCTGACCCCTAACAGTGCCGACGTCAATGCAAAGACACATTCAGTGAGAGTGAGGCCTCCAAGTACCATGATGAGGGGAGAAGAGAGACGGGCGCAGTGGGTATGAATGGAACGATCGTCTTATAACGAAGACCTCCGCGGAAATGATCAAATGTATGACATTTGCACCCGAGAGTTGGTTAATAGTGACGGCAAGTGACTGGCTGACCATATGACATGCCCTACCAGGGCTTCAACTGGACGCGTCGAAAAAGGCTTCCGAGAGATTTTTTTAGACGAAGCGGCAACTCGCCTGTCATTCGGGGAGTCCGTGAGTAACTTGTCGCGCCGGTTCGCCGAGCAAGTGGGATGCAAATGAACGGAATTCACTAGTCTCCAGATGCTAAGTAGTCGAAACAGAAGACAATCGTTCTGTTCTGGTCGAACGTACAATGAATGCATCGAGGACTACATGTCCTGTCCTGTTGCAAGCCTAGAAAGCCGAACGCCTACCTCAGACTCGAAGGTGGGGCGTGTGGTTCCGCATGACCCAATTCCCTGAACTTCTGAGTATACAGTAATGATCGCCGTTCTAGGATACTCACATATCATCATCTCCAACCATCTGTCAAACCGCATGTAGGACACCTTGAGGAAGTGGAGTCTGCGGGATCAGTGCGTCACCAAGCATTGACTAGCAATTTCCAATGGAGCTTGTAGTTGTTTTTAGTTGCTGACCTTGTTTGCGAACGACAGCAGCAGAACATCCAAGCGCTTGAGCATGCAACGCGCAATTCGTGACTACTACAGTTTAGCCAAGGTTGATGAGTGTAATCAAAAATCTACGCCGAAGGGGAGTCGAACCCCTGCCGCTTGCTTGGAAGGCAAGCATGATAACCGCTTCACCATCGGCGTTGAATACAGCAGTCCAAAGAACATTTATATTCCGCTAGACCATAGACAGCGTCGTTTACACAGCACGAACTTCGAAAGTTCTATGTAAATCCGTCAGAACATGGGCTCTCAGTCAACCACAGCACACCGGTCATAGTTTCCGTTCTGGTTAGCCCCCCACCATTGAGGGAATAAATGAGAGGTCCCTGCCGCACCCTGCACCGCAAATGACAGAATAAACACCATGACCTGTGTGCCACCGTCCAGAGCTGTCCAAGTATAATGATCGGCCCATCAGTGTTGTAGCTACTGATAGTCAAAGAAATCGAAACATACCAGCGCCAAGAATGTAGTTATACTTCGCGAACCATTTAGGATACCGCGTGCGCAAGTACCACTGGGAGAACCAGGCGATCGAGAAGTAAGACAAGATGGAGGAATTGATGCCAACGCAGAGCCAGCCTATGTAGTAGCTGTGACGACGGAAAATTGGTCAAAAACTGTGCGTGCGCTTGGTGAGAAGGTAGTGCGCACCATATGACAGGCGTGTACAGATAGTCAAGACGCAATTTGGGTGCGAAGCGGTGGACAATCCAGAATGGCACGGGTACGATGATGCCAACTACATACGCCCACGCAACCCACTGATACCGCTTGCCAGCTGCGAATAGCTGATGGCTCAGACCGCCCCATGCGACTGCTTGAGAATTGTATTGTTGAGGCTGTTGGCCAGACCAAATGTTTGTCCCTTCAACGGAAAGCAGAATTTCGCGCTGGTTGTCAATAATAGAGTTCATGAGTACTAGGCGCGGCGGTTGAGTCGTTTGTCTTCTCTAGAGGCCAATTGAAGACGTACTGAAATTCAGGACTGAGCCCAAAAGCGTTCCCGTAATCTGAGCCATGAACGCCGCTCGCGGAGGTAGCTTTGTATCTAAGCAAGTTGTCAGATGACACGATATGAGGTAACATACGGGTCAGTTACATTGTGCGATTTTGAGATCGCGGAGTAATAGCGTCGCTTGAGATACAGAGTCTAGAGTGGACTTAGTATGTCGTCTCACAGCGTAGTTCACATCGCAAGGGTACTTACTATAACTGAACAAAACAAAGTACATGTTGGCCATAGGCTTTCCCGGATGAATAAAGCCACCTATCATCTGCACGAATGGCTGAATAATGAGGGACAGCCCAGTCATCGCGTACAGGGACCCGAAGAACAGGATGGAAATGACGGCGAGGAGGCCAGACACGGCGAAACCCCACCTAATCGATTTGAGTAAACAAACATCCGATGAGGGTATCCTACCTACCATGGAAGTGTAGAATCCGTCTTATAGATGATGACTAGAGCGGTGATGATCGATGCGGCCAGTGTGACAACATACCAGCTGTTCGGAGCGTCGGGGTACTGCGCGGGATGAAATTCATATATGATGAATGAAATGATACAATGCTGAATCACCTTTAGCATCGCGCGATAGTGGGGATCAATGTCGTCGTCGGCGTTCGGCTGCTCCCTCTGACCATCGTCGTGCCAGAACTTCCAATTAAAGTTGGCCCAAATTCTCTTGATACCGGCCGGAGTTGCCCAGTTCCATGCAGTACGAAGGTCATCACGATTCCACAGAAGAAGATGTGTAAATGTCGCGGCCATGCCCATATTCGACACCAAAAGATTGATGATCCAGGTTCCAGCGTAGAAGGGTAAACCCTGTTGCTCGAGCAGTACAGGATCGACTTCTAGTTTGTCATTAAGAATGAGGAGCTGGTCGTAGACAGTGCCATTCTGGTAGAAGAGTTCTTGGGACAACTATTTGACATTGGTCAGCGCGATTGATGGTCAGATATAGGAATGACTAACGAAAGGGAAGTTTTTTGAATCCCAGATATTGTTATAATAAACGGCGACAAAAACCACCCTACAATGTACTAATCAGCATATGGGGTATCGAGATACGGAGCTCAGCCAACACACATGCACAAGATGTACCCAATCAGGTTCGAAACCTTATAGAGATGGTTAGCACCGAACACCGAGTTCAGGCAGACTTGCACATTACCTGTGCTCGCAAAGGAATGGCCATAGGATTGACCCCTCCCGATATATATTGCCAGTCCAGACAGAGAGACAGTAAACCAAGGCCTTCATTGCCGTTAGACCCACCAAAAATGCGTGTGAAATCGGGTGACTTGGGATTCGCGAGACAGAAGATCGAGAAACCAGTCAGGAGCGGGAACATCCACTCGGGAAAGATCTCCCAGATGAAGATGCTGGCGTCAATGTAAGCATACCTGCCATCGCCATCATCAAAAGCTGACTCACGCGAAGAACGCGATGTAGAACAGCTTGAGCTTCTTCCTTGCATTGGACCCATGCTGATAGAATGCGTCAAACATGGAGATTAGAGGGAGCACGCCTGGATAGAGCATCTTCGATGGGTAGAGAAGGATTGCTGCCGCATAGGATGACTCAGGAACATCAATCACGAGGATGTAGTAGATGGCATACGGCGCATCAATCCCCCAATTCCATACCCAAGGAGTTGGCTGGAGAAGAGCAAAAATATAGATGCTCCGGGATTTGGCGTGATGTTGTAGTATAGCCGCTGAACCGCCAATACCTCTGTTCCTAAAGCTGAATTTGCAGCAGCGCTCGCCATGATAACAATGAAGGCGTTCTCTTTCTTGTTGAACGGGCCCTGAAGTGACCGCGTTAGAGATTATAAGGGAAACCCCGAATGTTTCGTACTGGATTGAGATATCGGAACCATCCTCGGCGTGGGATGACTGTTTCCATGAATATTCCGATGACATAGGCGATAATGGCGAGGAACATTGTCGACACGAGAACGGTTTGCTTTGAGCAATGTGAGCTTTTCGACCGCCAAATAAGAAAGTGAAGGTAACAAACAGGCTTGAAATAATATATCTCCGCTATATGTGCAAACGATTCAGTATAGGCTTGAGGAAAAGTAGCGGGTAAACTTGCCAAGTACACCACCAAAGGCAGAGAGGCCAATGCCAATAAAAAGAGAACGAAACGTCCAAGGGCTCAGACTGGGATCATCGTCAAGACTGATGACATGGGTGACGAGATCGCGCTCATTCTTGAGAACCCCTGTGACGTCCGAACTAGTCGTCGATTCGATGTCAGTCCCACTATACACGCTCTTCTCATCGAGCACAGAAGGCGTCTTCTCCTGCGTGCCAGGTTCGTTCTTGACGATCTGGGGGGTCAAAGCGTCAGCGTCCATGGTGCGAAGGATAGGACAGGAGAGCACGGATGTTCTAGGGAACTCACACCCTAATAAGTATGCCATGTAGAGCTGACAGTTGATCGCACAAGATAAGCAGACTATTAATGGGATGGAATGCCAATGGAATCCGTTGCTTCCGGAGAAATGGGACCATGAGTTCAAGAGTGTCTGTGGCCACACGGGCCTCGACCTGAAGTCAGCGGGCTGAGAATAGTACCTATCTCTCCATGGAGCTTCATTCACCTTTTCAAGCGGGCTGTGTGGAAGTAGAAGCATGTAAGAGGCTTGACATGCCATGCAGCACATGCATCGTCGCTAACAATAGCTGATGAAACACGGATAGTCGGAACATCGACACGAATCTGGATTAGTTGGCGAACGATGTAGCCTGGCCGCTCGGGTGGATAGCTCACAGGACATTCAAGATGGGGTTTTCAAGACGGCGAGAATGTCGGGAGGCGCCTCACCAGTAGTTGACAATGACGTTCTGCGGTGTACGAGTACACAGGCACCATGGCCTGGTCTCAATAAAGTCCAGCATGGGAAAGTGCTCCGTGAGAGATGTCTAGATATGTGGGGCTCCCAGTTCTAATGTAGAAACGGGCCTCCACGGTGGCGATTCAGCCTATCAAGAGGAACAACTGTGTGTGTCGATTTCGAGAGCAAAATGCCAACCAGCTCCAGTGACCGCTCGATTTCAAGCAAGAGATATTCGTATCACGGTGAAGTCACGCATCGAGTCACAGGTGACGCTCGTCACGGTTACAAGCACCGGAAGAGATCGGCGTTTTGAGGTTGTCTGTCCGATTTACTTGTGAGCTGTTCGCCATGTTGCTTTCTTCTGCTCGTTCTGCAGCCGCCTCTGCTGGTTTGGGACGGCGTGCGGCCTCAACCATCGCCGTCAAGTATGCCCATGCCGCCTACTCCGCCGCCCTCGCCAAATCACCACAGAACCTCTCCAAAGTTCAGACAGAACTGAACGCCATCTCCAAATCCATCAAGGAGGTCCCCGAGCTGAAATCATTCGTCTCCGACCCCACTCTCTCCGTCAAGGACCGCTCAGCCGGCCTTCCCGCTCTTTTTGCGCGCGCAGAGGGCACTGGTGCGAAAAAGGAGCAGATCTCGGACACCACGAAGAACCTGTTCGCGCTGTTGTCGGAGAACGGACGGTTGACAGAGACGGAGGGCATCATCGAAGGGTTTAACGAGTTAGTTGCCAAGTACAAGGGGGAGCTGGAAGTCGTTGTCACGTCAGCGACGCCTCTATCGAAGGATATCCTCACCCGCCTTGAGACGACTTTGAAGCAGTCGCAAACCGCGCAGCAGGCGAAGAGCCTTAAACTCACCAACAAGGTGGGTCTCCAATCCATCTAGCCTTTACCTCCCATCGTGATTGAGGATACTTTCTGGCAGATCAACCCTTCCGTGTTGGGTGGTCTCGTCGTCGACTTTGGAGAGAAGACGATCGACCGCAGCGTGTCGTCGCGCGTCAACAAGCTCAATAGCCTTCTTCAGGGTAAGTCCATGTGTACACGTTCTTGTGAATTTCGTCGAATTAATTGCTATCCTATTTGTAGAATCCGTTTGAGCTGCAGTCGCGTTGACTGGGTCTTTGTAGTTGTTGGCATCTATAAAATCGACTCTGTCTTCCTCCGAACTGCGACACGTGTGGACTGTTTCCCGAAACATCAGCAGTGATAACCGCAGACGAGAGATTGTCGCATATTCGTCTGCGAACGGAGTGACAACCTGTGACATCGCTCCCAATTCGTCACTGAGAGCATGATATATACGTTCAATCGGCTTTGATAAATAAGTGAGGTGTGCTATCGCCATTCTTGTAGCTGGAAAATTTTGTCGTCCGTCAGTTGTTCATCGCGCACGGGCAGCACAGGACACGAGTAGGACACGCAAACGGGAGAGGACTACTACGGCCGCTCATGTGATTACGTAAACGAGCGCAAGCCAATACGTTATGACACGGCAGACGGGACCGAATATGAGCTCGTATTCCTATTTTGGTCTTATCTTCTGTGAGTTGTGAAGAATTACGAGCCCTATGATGCAGCACCATAGGTTTCAAGCTGTTAAACGTAATACTTAAGCCATCAGACAAGGACATAGTCTTTCTTATTGTTAAGATTTTTTATCACTGTCCCATCCAAAATAGAATCTGCTGATATAACCCCAGATCTTATTGTTGGAACAATTATCAACAGACCTTAAAATATGGTGTGCTACCACATTGTTTGAACTCTGCCCTTGCCACATAGGGAGAGACTCATTCACATTTGGCTCGCTAAAAATAAAACATATGAGCCAAGTTCAAACAATAAGAGATATGTGGCAGCACAACATATTCCGAGGTCTATTTATAATTGTTTCAACAACAGGACCCAGGGTTGTATTACAGGGTCTTGCATAATTTTCTGGAGTGTCATGCCAGAAAAAACCCGGGTTCCTGAGCCAATACCTGCCTAACTGGGCACCGCAGGTCGGGATGATCGGCAAAGCCCTGTCACGCCCTCAGGCCTGCTGGGGCTAACGCTCCTAGTACATTGTGTGCTCACCTCTTTGTAGTACTTAATCTTACCATGGCTCTACCTATCTTCCTCCTACCATCTCCAGCACTTTTGCTCGGATGGAGATCACAAACAATCAAATCTCGAAGACAGCGGCGGAGCGTGATCGCCAGGCGGGTCACACAGGGAGGTCCGGCGCTTTTCTCCCATATCAGGAGCGAAGCGCTCAGGAACCCGGTTTGTTTCTGGCACGTGTGAGTAGCGTGCCTTTTCTGCTGAACGCGTTCAACCTGGTGTCGTCCGTGGATGTCTTCGCGTCGCGTCCCTTCTGCAAGCCCCATCCGGTATTCTACACGAGGTCAGCTACCACCCTGATAAGAGAAATCTTGCTGATCCATCTCGCTCAGAACCAGGAACCCTGTTCAGTGCACACCACGGCGCGCTCGATGCAGACAACGACCATGCCATGGAGAGCGCGTCGACGCAAGCTATTTTGAAGCGCAAAGCTCCCCCCCTCTCAGCTTCCCCTACCAGAGTATCAAAGATCCCACGGACGTCTCAGCCACGAAATGCAAGGAACATCTCCCGATCGCTTTCCGACTCTCCTCCTCCTCCTTCTTTAAGCGATCTTCTCAATCCAGCCAAGAAGTCTAACTCACCTGCACAAGTAGTCAACACAGGATTTAACACTGGTAAAAAGAAGATGAGAAAAATCAACGTAGGGGGTATTACTGCGAATATTGCCACGCTTCCCAGTACGCCGTTTCTAGCTGTGTCGATGTACGTATCGTTATTGAATGGCCGTTTAGCCCCCTCCAGAAGAGAAAATAATAAGATGATTGAGAAATCAAAAGTGGCAAATCCCAAAGCAACTCCATCCCGCCTCCAAACTAAGCAGAGAGGCGTGTTGTCCCGTATCTTTTCTTCGAATAAGTAATTCATATATGAATCTATAGGCTGGTCGCGCTCTCCATCCCACATATCGATTTCTTCCGGTGACGATCCCTCTGACGGCACCTTCGTCATCACGTCTGACGAGGATCCCATCCGATTTCGTCAAAAGTTGCCTTCGAGGACTCCTGTTGTGGGTGGCAACAATGAGGACGATGCAATTGTGATTTCTGACGATGACGACGACGAGCCTGTTGCCCCAACAATGTCCATATCCGCTCCATTACCTCGTCGCTCCGTGAACACGAGCTTGACTGCAGGGCCTGCGACATCGGCCAGCGCTTCCCACCTTCCACTTCTTCGGGCCACTCCGCGCTCAAACATGATAAGGGGTGTAGCGTCTACTCCTGACTTCTCGGATGCAGGATCTCCTCCAAAGTCGGACAATGTAGAAGCTCCTCACATTCCTGCGCCGAATTTCACAGACGCCGATCCCGCTGAACGAGCTGATAGCCCAGTCGCCAGCCCGCAGGATAATCACTCGTCGCCAACTCTGATCTCGCGGGCTGCAAGTGTTGATGGCATTGACGGAGATTCACCTATGCATTTTGAGGTCGCAACGGAGTTCCCGGATTTCTCGCCCGAACCAGAAGAGCGTTCTACTTCAGACCCTGCCATACCAGCGTCACAACGCGTTCCAGCATTGTCGCCTCGTCCAGATCCCCCGGCTCCAAATATGTCTCCGCCGCCTCTCGTTTTGTCATCAACAGCTCAAGCTGCTCTACCTCGGTCTCCACTAATAACAGACCCTGCAACGACGCTTGGGGAGTCGCCAGACAATCCATCGTCAAATCCCCAATCTGAAGTCTCCTCGCCTGGTAAATCTTCAGTAGCTTCATCTCCAGCATCGCCGCCAGTGTCCTCGTCGTCTCCAGAAGCCCACGACGTTGTCAACGACACAACAAATGTTTACGCGCCCCACTTGGTCTCAGAGGTCTCAAATAGCATCGGACAATCTCAAGATCTTGATTCTGCGCCTGTCGAAATGTTGGTAGACGTTCCACGACCTACGTCTCAGCAGCCTCTGGAATCCCCTTTTGTTTCTCCAATTCCTTCCACTTCCCAGTTACCTGTGCTTCGTTCATCTCCTGCTGTAGATCGCACAGTCTCGCGACCTCTGGCCTCTCGTGTCACGCAACTCGCTTCTTCCCCCTCGCGTCCACCTCTCAGCGCGACGTTGTATGGAGGGGCGAGCGGTTTCTTCAAGCACGTTTATAACGCACGTCGTCATTCCCGTGACACAACGGCTCATGACACGCCGGTTTCTCAGCCAGTACCTCTCGCGTCGCTTGCACCGTATATCTACAAACAGTCTCCCGCACCCCAAAGCCCCCAAGGTGCAGAAGTATTATCCCAAGATGACCGGGATCAGTCATCACCTTCGACTACAGGTACATCACAGGATATACTTCGCGCAATTGTATCAGCCCTTGGGAAGGTGGATCTAACGAAGTTAGTTCCTGGTTCCAGTAAGCCTATCACCCAGTTTCTCTTCTGAATTGATACTCACTTCGCACTCAGACGTATCTCCTGTCGTTGCTCAGGCCACTCTACAAGAAGCGCCGAGATCTACTGCTGTGTCTGTAGAGGCTAATATTGATTCACCGGCGCACAGTCTAATGGCTGTTGATGAGGACGAAGCTGCGCTCGCTCCTGTTGTTTTACCAGACATCGAAGAGCCCATGGCTGCTCAAGATATTGCTTCCGAACATACTGTTGCGACCCCCCAAGCACTAGCCGCAGCATCTGGAATCTATGGTCATGGTCTTGAGATGCCTGACCCTACAAAAGGAGCTGAGGCAGGAGCAGAGGATTCGGACATATCCAAGAAATTGACAGTCAATGAAGCTGCGCAAGAGAGTGAGTCAACTAAGGTCACGGTGGTCGAGGCAAATGCACAGAAACAGCCTGGAGCAGAGAGCTGCCCAATGGGTCCTCCAACATCAGCGGCTCAGTCGCTTTCTCTTGTAAGTCCTTGGTGATCATATATTCGCCGAGGTTGATGTTGAACATTACACCAGTCTTCTCACCCATCACCAGCAACGGGGAAGTTTACCATTCCAGACCACAAAATTGGGAAGGCAAAACTCGTGGAGATTATGATACGGGCACAGCAGATCAAGAGCGCAGCCTCAACGCGACGATCACAGATTGAAGTTTCCTATGCTGTGGATGGTTCAGCCCTCCGCGTTGACCTCGCCGACGATGCTGATACGAAAGACCTGTCTGCCACTCCGACAGGTGAGTCGCCGTGGTTCTCAGTGTGAAACCACGTTGATCTTGGTCTTTGCACTTACATCGATAGCTTCTTCAACGCAAGGTGTGTGATTTTTCGACATGTCCTTGCTGATGGCATTTGACCGGCCGATGATGTAGCCTTAATTCCTTCTGATGCACCTAAGACGCCTTTAGTCAGGGAGAGGACGCCCGCCACACTTGTCGCTTCAACGTCGAGGCGTGATGCATCGCTGACACGATCGAGCCCGTCCATGACGCCCCCTCCATCTGTGCCAGCGTCTCAACCCGCCTCCTATCTTGATCTCATACGCATGACGAAGCTGAGAGCGAAGCGCCGTTCATTGAATGCGGGGACGCCCTCACATCAACGGACCCTTCAGATCCGACGCTTGTCAAGTTTCCCGCTTGCACCACTACCCACCCCTCCGGTCGTTCAAGATGACGATCGGAAATCTCCGGTTGTGTCACACGATTTGAGCCGTTCGTCAGTTGATTCAGTGCCCAGCGATGGTACAGTGTCGGAATCATCTGCAAATTTTCCGTCTACATTAATTGCAGAGCCTACATCAGTGACAGAGCCGTCGAACTCCAAACCCCCCATAGGTCACGCTGCATCTACTCCAGAAATTGCAGAAAATCCTTCTTCGGTAGTAGAACACTCACTTCGAGCAAGCATCGCGTCCTTGGACATAGATGCAGGTGTACAAGAGGTTTTACCTGTCAGCAACATCGTAAGCTTCTCCGCCAATCGAATCACCCAACATCACTAATCTGTTTGGGTAGATGGACGCTGAACGTCCAGTCATCCTAATACAAGAAGAAATGATAGTGGATGGCGAGCAGTCTATGTCCATTTCCGAAGATTCATCGTCCGAATACGATGAACCTGAACTTTCTGACGAACAAGAGTGTCTAGACATGCTTACTTATCCAGACAGCGTAGGAAGCACCTATGACAACGATTCAGAGGTTTGTCTGATGTGTTCTGTTTATGTTATGCATCTAATCGATTTTGCAGGCTCCTCGTGCTCGATCGCCGCGCCCAGATGTCATGTTCCCGTCTCAAGGACCATCGCCCCGTCCACCTATTCTTCGAAGATCAGCTAGACAAAATTCAAATGCATCAAGCTCGAGAACGACTCCTGACGAAATTGATTTTCTACGCGATCCGATCGACGACGACACGGTCTATCCGCATCCCGTCATCGTCGAACCTCTTAGACGTTGGAATCGCAATGCTATGGGAGATTTAGTCATCGACGGCTTGACGATAGTTTCCTATGATGGTGCTCGCATCATGGAGGAATACCCACCACCGGTCTATCTTGCCAAGGACCTCCCGCACAACCTGCAGGACCGGATGAACAACCTCGATGAAGCTCTCCGGAGGACTCGCATGGCACGTATCGTTCTCGAAGCTGTCATCAACGAGAACACTGCGGAGGATGAGCCGAACGCCCCGCGGATCCGCGTGCAAAATGACTTTGACGATGAAACCACGCCACCATGGGAATTTCATTACAGCAATCATATATGGCTGGGTGAAGATGTGCCACCTCCGGATATAGCTAACCTGCAGGGCTGCGGATGTGAGGGACACTGTGATCCTCGTTCAAGAACATGCTCGTGCTTGCAACAACAGCAAAAGTTCATGTCTGATCATGGAGGCCCATCGGGGTTTATCTACAATGATAAGGGCAAATTAAAAGTCAACAATTTCCCTATCTTTGAATGCAATGATCTCTGTGGGTGTTTGGAAGACTGCAAAAACAGGGTCAGTTTTGTTCTTACAAGTTATGTGCTGGGTCTGATATTGTTGCAGGTTGTTCAACATGGTCGGAAGTATGGTATCGATATCCGCAAGACTGAGCACAAAGGATGGGGTATGTGTGGACTTGGATAACAAAAAAAACATTACCTGATCATGATTACAAGGTGTCTTTGCCTCTGAGAAGATCCCTAAAGGCGCATTCGTCGGGATTTATGCTGGAGAGCTGCTCATGGATTACATTGCCGAGGAAAGAGGAAAGTAAGTGTGTTGACATCATCAGGCGCCCTTTCCAGATTCATGTTGGTGCAGGAAATACAATAAATTCGGCCGGACTTACCTGTTCGATGTCGACTTCTGGCATCTCAAGCAAGACGACGACGACTGGCAGAACAAATACTGTGTTGATGCGTATCATGCCGGCAATGTGAGCGGTCCTCTTGCTCATCCATCCAAATTGCATCATTGACACCTTCATAGTTCACTCGGTTCCTGGTAAGCAAAACCTTGATATGCAGATCATCGATCCCGTATATTCACCTTGGCACTCAAGAATCATAGCTGCAGTCCTAACTGTGTCATTAACGCATGCTACATAAATGAAGCCGACCTCGATAAGCCCCTGCTCACAGTCTTCACCTCCCGCAACGTGGAGCAGGGTGAAGAACTGTGCTTCTCATATCATGGTGATCCTGATGACTCGGACGACAATGTACGTGCTTTCGTTCCTTGACGTTTATCTGCTCAAGATTTGAGACCATAACACCAGGAGGAACCTCAAGGCACCGGTGCTATTATTAAGAACCCGAGGAACGACGCTATCTATACCGCGTGTCATTGCGGTGCCCCGAATTGCAGGAAGACGTTGTTTTGAGCGAAACATTTTGGGCTATCTGCATGTTTTTGTACCCAGTATTCTCTTTAACATACTATCATTGTCGCTTTTAGTTACTTGTCTGTAGCATCATTTTGGACAATTGTATCGCTGGACTTTGCCTCTCGAAGACATGGCTTATACTAGCTTGTACTTCGAGAGCTCGGTATCACCCTCGCTTGCGCGTGGCGCCATGGACAGTCCGTAGACACGATGACCGACTCTCAAATCCGCGAGACTTCAGACCACCACAGACTCACCACTATCTTCATTGTTACAGCACCTCTTCTGTCTCAACATCGAATTTAACCGACACCGACATTTTTTGTGCAACTCGTGACTTCTCATCGAGAGGCATGACATCAGCGCTGGTCCAGCGCTTCCAATCTGCGCAGGTTCAACCGGCCGTTTCGTTTCGTATCACTCCCACTAAAGCCCTTGTTCTAGGGTAGAAACACGGGTAAGCCACAGGCTATGCGTGGTACCACAGTTTCAATAACAGGCTCCTATGCACTGCCATCAGCTCCGTGTGCCCACCGCCCGATGGTACGCTGAATCATTCGTCTACCCTCTGCCCACAGATCTCCCCTGTTATTAAAGGGTGAGGGACATTTCAAGCGTAAAACCATCATCTAAAGTCTCAAATCGGTCGTAATTCGCGCTCTGTGTACCGCGAGTTCAGCATAGCCCATCCCAACCTAGTGGTAGCATGGCTTCCCCCGTCTCTAAACCTCGTCCCGTTAGCCATGAGAGCAGTGCTCCCAGTCAGATATCTTCTACCGATATGGGGTATGGCTCTAGATATGGACCATGGAAGTATACGATTTTACCCGAACCTCGTCTTGCTTCGGAACTCGCTCGTCTTTCGAGCGCGACAAGGGTCGGAAACGCTGATTGCGTGTCCTTTCAGCCATGTCCGAATCCAGAAGAGGCGAGCCAGGATCGATACGTCGTGCAAGACTGGCAGCTCGCTGGGGGGGTCTGGAGGTTCGCCGCCATCTTCGATGGTAAGCCGACTTTCTCTTTCTCTGAGCACACTGGGAACGACGTGTTCGCGATCTCAGGACATGCAGGCGCAGAAATGGCCGACCATACGGTACAGAACTTGCCGTCACACGTACACGATGCGTTGGAGGCGTTCGCCAAGGCCGACGTCCATAAAGAGAATGCGTCTTATAGTTCGGACATATCCACCGTGCTCTCCAGCGCCATCTCTGAATTTGACGACGCATCGTTGGCCGAGCTGCAGTCCCTCTTTCCTGGCGGTCTCGAGGAGATCGCTACGCTCTCAGACAAGGAGATCTCCAACATCGTCAACTCTCCAGAGAACCTTCCCAAGGTCGTACGAGGCATGAGAGGCACCACCGCTCTGCTGTCCCTCGTCGACCCTTCCGGCGAGAATCTGTGGGTCGCGAGTCTTGGCGACTGCCAAGCTGGCAAGTCCTTGGTTTAAATCCGGTTCCAGGCTCAGGATTGACCTGACCGATCACCCATAGCCCTCGGGACAAAGACCTCTGCGGGAATGTGGAACGCCTCTCTGCTCAGCTCGAACCACAACGGCGACAACCCTGCCGAAGCCGAGCGTGTCAGGAAGGAGCACCCGGGAGAGCCCGAGTGCATTCTGCGCAATAGGGTATTTGGGGCAATGGCCTTGACGAGAGGTAGGCGCTCGAAACGTCAATTTTTACGCATTGTCTCCTTACATGAAGTCGCAGCCATTGGGGACTACGTCTTCCGCCTACCTCGAGTCTGGGCCGACCGCATATTTATGAAATCGAAGATTCCCTTCCGGTTCCACAGCGTCGTTCAGGAGTTCATTGTTCGCAACCTTACGCCTCCGTATATGAACAACGAAGCGGATATCAGGCACGTTCGGTTGAAGAGCTCCGGTGACGACGCCAACTCGGAGCATCTCCTTGTTATGTGTTCCGATGGCCTTATCGACCTGTATTCCGATCGCGACACTCTTCAGGAGTCAGCGACCCATTGGGTCAAAGTCGTGGGTCGAGATGGGGGAGAAGGGAATCTGGCGCTCCGTCTTTTGAGGGATGCGTTGGGCGGAGGAGATCTGGAAAAAGTGTCGAGGATGCTCACGGTCGAGATGTTCGAGAGATGGATGGACGATACCACGATTATTGTGCAGAGGTTGTAGGCTTCCACCGCGCCCGATGTTGACTGAGAATGAGCATGACTCGCGATGCCAAGTCAGCTCACGAGTCCTTACCAGTCGCTCCCGCCGAACGATGACAAATGACGGTGACTCATTGTGGCACCGAGGGATCGACCTGCTGAAAAACCATCTCGGAGCCTTCCTCTCAGTCCAACAACATCTCCCTATCCTTCAACGCAAGCCCGTTCAGCACGCTCTCAACTGGCATGGAGAGTCAACAGCTTTTTACCTGCCTGTCATGTTCGATCGCTTTCCTCACCGCAGAAGATCAGAGTATGTCTCTCGAGAACTTATCCTCGTACGGACACCGATTTTGTCTCTACAGGGGATCATTACCGCTCCGATCACCACAGGTACAACATGAAGCGTCGTGTTGCGTCTCTTCCTCCAGTCAGCGTAGAGATTTTCAATCAAAAAGTGCTGGAGAGGAGGCAGGAGACCGCCGTGATGCTCTCGCCCAAGGGTTCTACTTGTGAGGTTTGCAAGTACGTAGTCATCCATTTCCCTTGACGCTCTGAAAAAAGTTCTCATTTGATCTCATCCTTTCAGCAAGGCGTACACGACAGACAATGCATACCGATCACACATGAACTCGAAGAAGCACAAAGAAAACGAGCTCAAGGCCGTTACTCGTGCAAGGACACAATTGGCAGTCGAAGAAGAGTCTACACCCGCTGAGGCATCCACGTCTTCAACTGTTGCATCTGCGCAGCCTGAAGAAGATCCTATTCCCCAGCAGCCATCTAATGGGGTCAGCCTCAATGTCGATGCAGATGCAGATGAGGACGACGTCAACCAGACACTAGATCAAAAAATCGCCGCCGCGCGCTCCCGCCTCTCGCCATCCCACTGCCTCTTCTGCCCCACGACTTCCTCCTCCCTCGAAGACAACCTGACGCACATGTCCGTCGAGCACTCATTCTTCATCCCGGATGCCGAGTACCTCGTCGATCTCACAGGGCTCGTTGTCTACCTCGGGGAAAAGGTTGCGGTCGGGAACGTCTGCATATACTGCAACGACAAGGGGCGGGAGTTCAGGACGCTAGATGCGGTGCGGAAGCACATGCTCGACAAGAGCCACTGCAAGATCGCATATGAATCGGACAAGGAGCAGCTGGAGTTCTCCGACTTCTACGACTTCACCGCGTCGTACCCCGATGCGGAGGAGCGCCAGAAGCGGAGAGAGGAGAGGAAGGCGAAGAAGCTGGCTGCCGAGGCGGAGGAGGGGTGGGAAGACGACGAGGACGTTGATGGCGAGGTGGACGAGGTCATCCAGGAAGAGGTCTCTGGGCCCGAGGCGTCCGATTCCGACACCGACAGCTCAGACGAGGACTCGCTCCCAGATAACCAGATCACGTACGGCGACTCCCCCCTCGAGCTCGTCCTCCCCTCCGGCGCACGCATCGGCCACCGCAGTATGCGACGGTACTACGCCCAGTCCTTCCCCGGCGCGCCCCGCGGCGGCAAGGCAGAGGACCCCAACTCCGGTGCTGCGCTGGTCCGACGGCTGCTCGCCGACAAGAACTCGGCGCTCGTCCCCCGGAAGGGCGGGTTCGGCGCCTTCGGGAGCGGGACAGAGGTGGTGAAGGCGAGGAACCGCGGAGAGGCGCGGGAGGCTGGCCGGCACGTGCGGGAGTTCCGCGACCAAAAGCGGAGGGAGGACTTCAAGACGAAGATCGGGTTCATCGGCAACAGCCAGAAACACTACAGAGATCCTCTGCTCCAGGTATGCTCCTCACTGTTTTTTTCCCTTCGAACCTTCGAACCTGACGCCTGGTTTCGCAGTGATTTACCTTGTAGACTTACTAGACCGGATAGACTGAGTTGTACGCTGCTGTATTTCCCGTCGCACGATCTGTATCATGTCCAGCTGCAGTTCACGACTCATGTTGTTGTGGCTGTTCAATCCATATGCATGATTGTCATTCATCATCCCGATCGACAAGAAGCGCTACACATTGGATATACTAGGGTACCAAAAGAATGTCATACGCACGGACTAGGTAATGTAACGATGCGGAGTGGGAGGGTGACGACAAAAAAAGCATAACGAACACATTACGTTTGACACCGAATTCAAGTAGACCAAGTAAGGTAGCGAACGACCGAGAGGTCGATCTTTGCTCATCCGAGGGGGGGTATCGTTACGCGAGATCAAAACAATGCGACGACCAAGAAAGACTCAGGGGAAAAACGTCGAGGAGGGAAGCGGAAGTTCAACTGGAAGCGTTCACGGAGAGTAGGAGAGGGGACATGGTAGATTCTAATACAAATAAGCTGCTGGAACAACCCCCTCCGCCCCCGATCGCGGGTCCCTTGCGTACCACCATCTGCGGACGTCAAAATCGCTTCAGCATGGAGACTCCCGACTTGGCATGAATACAGAAAGCACTCACGAGTGGTCGCGATCGTCCAAGATCTCGAGGTCCTGGCCTTCCGACAAAGGAAGTTCGCCCTCGCCCGCGCCATCAAACGAGTACCGGGCGTGCGCAGGCCTCCCCGCGTCTTCCTCGCCCCCCATGCCAGCGATGGCGTCCGAGGGCGTCTCCGCACGGATGTAGTTGCTCGCGTCGGGGCCTGAGAATGGATCGTGGCCGACGGTGGACGTGGCTGCGCCCGCCGTGGCCATCTCTTCCTCCTTTTCTGAGTTGAAGTTGTCGAAGGGGTTTTGCAAGCCGGTGATCGTCGTGCGAGTGGCAGCGGTGATGTGCGCGAGTAGGGACGAGGGACGATGCTGCGCCGAGTCATCGTCCTCTTCGACCGCGTTGACGTCGAATTTGTTCAGCGCATCGTCGCGACGCGAGAAGAGTGTCCAAAGAATACCAATCAAGACCAAGAGGAAAACGACGCCTGCAGCAATCGCGATAGAAATGAGAATGACCACACCGGTCGCCAAAAAATCTAGAAAACCGTTACAAGTCAATGAGATAAACTATGAGACAACACGAAGACGGGCGAGCACTCACGATGTTGAGCGAAACTGAAGCTTGCGAGCGACGTGAAAAGTGAAGAGATCGCTCCAGGCGTTCCAGAAGATGAAGATGAAATAATATAAGGTATGAAAGTCTGTCCGTCGAACAGCGCCGACGACGCGTTTCCAAAGGACGAGTCCGACAGCGAGCCGGAAACGAGCAGCATCCGATCGGACTCGATGATCCCGTTCGCACTGTGGGTATCTTGCAAGGGCACCATAGCCAACTGCGACACGTTCGTCGCGCCTTGGAGAGTTGATCCCAGCGAGGCCCACGAAGCGCCGTTCCAGAAGTATAAGAACGATGAAGTCCCGTCGAAGGACCTGAAGGACATGTTAGAATTCACAACTCACAAAAAAGTCGGACAGCATACCGTCCTGCAGCGAAGATGCTGCTGGCGTTCAAGTTATTGACCTCTACGGCCGTGACAGGCCCAGGGAGGTCAGAACTACCACCAAGCGCAGCCCAAGTCGAATTGGCGAAAACGAACTCGACCACATTGTTCGGTGTGTTTCCAGACAAAGAAATCGAACCGGCAGCAACAAGGACATCCTGATTGCTCTGCGAAACAAGAACGCAAAACGGCAATCAGTGCCAATCCTGCACCAGAGCACGAATCGAAGACAAAAGGACTCAATACTCACTCCCGCGTAAGACACAGACGTTACCTCGCCTTGGATGCCGTTCCCGAGCACGTTCCACTGCTTCGAAGACGTGTCCAGCGAACAGACCGCCCGACATGTCAAAGACCCCGCCTGCGTGAACGAGCCCGCAACGATGACCGTATTCGCCTTCGCCATCGACGTAGTAAGCGACCGAACCACAACCGAGGACCCCGAGCTCGCCTGTAGCGCCTGCACATTGGACGTGTCCCACTGCTGCTGCGTCAAATCGTACACGGCCAGCCCGTTCGCGCTCGTCCCGGGCAGCGTAAACTCCCCTCCGACGAACAGCATTCCGTTAGCCACGAGCAGCGCGCGCACCGTTCCGTTGATTTGCGCGCCCTGGAGTGGCGCGAGCGTGCCAGAGGTCGGGTTATACAACGCGACGCCGGACGCCTGCGTCGTGCCCGACGTGAACGAGAAATTCCCGCCGATGATGACCACTTCCTCGGAGGTGCTAGAGTTCGTCCAGAATGTGCCGGCTAGGACTGCTGGAGCAAGGGCTGCGGGCGTCGAGGGGAGCGGGGCTAATGAGGAGCTGCTCTGTCTCGAAAACAGCGCAGGCAGCTTGACGTGCGAGATCCACGCGGTCGCGCCCGAGCGGGCATGCACCGCACCACGCCGCCGGCGGGTGGCCGTCGCCGAAGTCGAGCTGGGGAGGCCGTCGAGCTCGACACCCAAGGGCGTTACCTGTGGCACGCCATCGCTGCCCCCGTTCTGCAGCATCACGAACCCGCTCGCACCGATCTTGAGGGAGGAGACGACGTTGCCTGCGACAAACTGCGACTGCAGCTGGCCCTTGGATGGCGCCGTTCCGTTCCCAACAAACGTCATACTTCCGATCAAGAACCCGCCGCTGTTGGCCCACGCGTTACTGCTGACATTCCACACCGCGATACCAGCCGACTCCGAGCCGACGTCGCTGCCCGAGGCGGAGAGCAGTGTCGTGAAATTGCCCGCGGCCTGAATCTGGCCGTCACTAAAGCTGAGACTCGTGACAGCCCCGTTCACGCCGGCTTGCAGGGCCGACCACTGATCTTGTTGAACGTCATACATGGCGATCCCCCTCAAAGTCCCCTGACTCGTCGATGCCGCGGTGTTTGTGAACGAACCGCCCACGAAGAGCTTGTCACCGTCAAGAACAAGAGATGTCACCGGGCCGTTCAGCCCGCCTCCGGAAAGCGCCGTAAGCGCGCCATTCTTGAAGAGAACGATGTTGCTCGCGCTAGGTGATGAGAGGGAGAACGTGCCGCCGAGAATGACGGTCCCAGAAGCATGATGAGCAACAGCGGCAATCTCGTCCTTTGTCGTCGATGTCAAGCCGGTGCTGCCACCGAGGACGTTGAACAAGTCGAACCCGATATTGTCTAAACTTGTCTCTGTCGAGTTGTCGAGCGTTCCGGTGGCGTTGGCGGTCGACGATGAGCTCAAGGGCCACTCGAAGAAGCCGAACCCATTCCGGCCATTAACGCCGTTCGTGCCGTTCGAGTTTGCGGTGGCATTGGCAGAAGTCAATACTAGTTGCACGCGGTCCGCAACTAGCTCGTATTTCCCATCTTGTCCACTTCCGACTGGATTGTCGGCCAACGTCATCGACACTGTGGCGACAAAGTCAGGGGAGCTCGGTACGACAGAGCCGCGGTAAACGAGCTGTGTCGTATCGTCCGTGTTCGTTTGCGGGACGGTGGTCACCCAAGGTTGTTGACCGCCTCCTGGGAAGACAACGACCTTCACGGACGTGCGTAGAGCACAATCTTGGAAATTCGTGCAGCCTGGAATGAACAAGTTGATGTCGTACTGGCCAGACGCGGAAACATAGGGCTGCCATGTGAAACTGGGGGCATTTGCAGGGGCAGTACCGACATCCACCTCGGAGACGAGGATGGACTGGGTTGTGCCCGGGATGTTAGTGTTTACGTCCTTCTCCGTCCAATCACCCGTATGCGAGGCGTTCGATGCGGCCGGAGCGAAGCAAGACACCACATTCTGGCTCTCGATCGATGATGCGAACGCTCCAGATGACAAAAGCTGGAATATATGCAATCCGGGACCCGCGCCTTGCCATTCCGACAAAGTGACCTGGACACCCGTCAAGGTGAGGGTGTTATCGAATGTAAAATCTTGATAGGGTACGGCCGGATTCGTGGAAAGAGGGCATGTTCCGGTGCATGTCTTGTTTTCGCCCGTTGTGGGATCCACGTAGTGAAGTTGCTGGACGGTGTTATCGGGGATAGAAGTCACACTTTAGGGAAAAGAAAATTTTCAATGACTTGCAAGACGGAGGCGATGATTGATGATCTGACCTGAAACCCGTAGTACCCTGTCCGTTCAGGAACGTGTTTCCGAGGCGGATTCCGCTGGCACTGGTCGACTGAAATGTGCGGACTGTGATCTGTGCGCTGTTCCCGTCAGCGGCTAACCATGTGTTCCCAGGACCGTCGCTTCCCGAAGGGCACAGGATGCTCTTGATATCACTGAATTGAGGGTTGGTCGAGGAAGGGGCACCTTCGACCTCCGCATTCTGGAGAGGCACAGGGACGAGGGACGATGAAAAAGGCGTAGCACCGGAGGAAAAGGGGACATTAGGATTGTTCGTGGTGTTCAAGGAGGAGCCCTGGAAGGAAGTAAGGAAGGAACCAGAGAAGAAAAGGCTCGAGGCGGATGAATTTGCGGTGATCGATCGGACTTCCGCCGCAGCACCGGAAAGCCCACCGAACGGAGGAGCGGACCAAGATGATGCCTTGGTGTCCCAGACGGCGACCGAGGGACTCGGCGAGGTGAATTGACCTCCTGCCCATACTTTGCTGTTAGCTTCATCACAGAACAAGGAATGCACGTCTCCATTTGGACCGTTACTCCCGAGGGCGGAGAACGAGGCTGATGAGGGATCATAAGATGCAAGATTGGACGCGGAAACGTCACCGATGGAGGAGAATGAACCCGCGAAATAGAATGTGCTTCCGAGGGCGCACCCGGCCTCGATCTTTCCGCCCGAGTTGGTCGAGCCCAGACGGGACAGGGCGCCGTCGGCCGAGCGTGAAAGAAGGGTAGAGGTCGAAGAATCAAATGCTACAGGCGTGGAGGAGTTGTCGAAGAGATCGAGGCCGGCAAAGGCGCCGGCGAGGCCTACCTTGCCCATGCGGTCAAAGTCCACAAGAGGGAGTGCTGCGCGGGCGACATTGGAGGACGCGAGAAGGAAGAGGAAGGATAATAACCATGGAGGGGATTGGGCCGAAAAGATGTTCATGGCGCCGAGCTCGTGATGAGCATGCGCCGCCGATGACGAGGCGGGACGGGTATCAAGGAAAGGAGAGGGAGGGACTCTTGAGCGGGACGCTAGAGGAGGATGAGGAGAAGAATAATGGCAGGGCCCGCGTCGACTCCAACGTCCTCCATCCAGCCTCGCGACAACCGACGTGCTCGTTCTATTCGCTCCCACGCCCTCACGTGACATCGCACGCGTCCCACCATCTCGCTTTCCCCGTCGTCGACCACGTTTATTTAATGTCGCGGCGCCATATCCATCTAATATTTTGCCGAGGCGATCGTTGTCTCCTCTACACAACAATGCAGCTCAAATTCCCGCCAACTATTTGCTTCCCTTCACGTCGCCGCTCATCGACTCGCCGCGTCTCTTGACCACTGATCGTGATCATGCCGCCACTCGTCTTCAGGCTCTTCACCACAATCTCTGGCCAGTCGGCCACTCCAGCGTCGGATCGTATAAATGGACCCCGTATCTCCTGCTCCTCTGACCAAACCGAGTCCCCTCTCGGCTTCTCTTGCTCTCTGTCTCTCGTGCTCGCGATCTCTCAGACTTGCTGCGTTGAACGCGTCAATATCTCTCGTCACTGGCCAAACGCTCCTCAAATGTCCTCCAAACCCTTTCCTGTCGTCCTCTTCCAGTACAAGCGCGACGACTACGGCGTCGACTGCGAAGAGTGCCTCCACTGGGCCCTCTTCATCCTCACCGACTTGACACTTCTGAAGGGGCACGCTTTTCACGCCGTTGACTATAAATACGCTGCTCCTCGCGCTAATCAATGGAATCACTGGTACAAAGAGGATGTCTCTCTCTTCAGCTCCAATAAAGGCCTCGGCGGTGTCCAGGTCGGCGACGTTCCTGCCCAATTACTCGACAAGGTTGTCGAGCACATCAAGATTTTCCCGATCCCGAAACACGAAGAATGGAACTGCCGTAGCAACTACGCGGCTTTCACTGCATGTCTAAGGATCTAGGCTCGGACCTCAAGCGATCGCTCAACGAGGATGATTTCTTGGCCGATCTTAGGCAGGCCAGCGTCAAAACAGTCGAGGTAACCGAACAGATGGGCCAGCTGGTGCCACACATCGTCTGGGAGCAGGAGCGAGACGTGCGCCGAGACCTTTGCTTTCTAGCTCTGGACGAGCGCCTGACGTCCGCCTTTTTCTTCTTGATAGGTGCACAAGCCAGCGTCTGAGCGCATGAGCAAGCGGTGCGTCGACACTTTTACTTTCGAGCTCTAGACGAGCGGCTGATTTCCGCATTTTTTTGCTCGATAGACCCCCAGTCCCGCGTCCAATTAAGCAAGAAACTCAAGAGATAAACCAGCTGATGCCAAGCGCTCACGATCGGTAGGCCGAGAGTTTTCTTTCTCGCTGTCGACGAGTGCCTGATGTTTACGCCTTCTTCACAGACTTTATTATAGCCGCAGGCATGCTTGCCTGCCTGCATCTTATGGCCCTTGTACCGGTTATTCTTCGCGGAGCTGTACGCTATATAATGGCCTAGTACTTGATACTTTGATAGCCTCCACATGTTTAGCCATAATTATTCAATCTTACTATCTATTCGAAATGTTCGTAGCCGTTAAAGCTGCCCCGCCTGCGGTGATATCACTGCCACAAAAAGGATTTAGGACGTATATCCGCCTCACTCGAGCCTAGACAACGAGCGCAGATGCCCGCGACACCGCCGCATAGAATACAGGCATGGCTGATGATTGACAGATTGCAAGGAGTGGCGTGGAGATGTCTGCACACATTTCCCTCGGAGTGGATCATCCCATCATGGCGGTCTAGACTCCAGACAGGAGCGACTCGATTCGAAGAACCAAATTGATGAGTTGTTCATCAGAGGGTGATTGATGAATGTGGACCCGTTACATCTCAACCACGACCTCCAACTGAGAAGGTCCGACCTGGTCCGACTCAATCGCAGCAACTCATCAGATTTAACTCCGACAAACACACAGGCTCAGACGCCTGCAGAGTCATGACAGGCACCCAGTCATCAACCAGGAAAAGCGCGGAGGCCATGCTCACGCGCCTGACTTTCACAATCGCCGAAACCATTTTGGAAGGATGTCAACACTGTGTCTTAACGCTATCTGGACAGATGTTAGTCGAGACATGTCGAGATAGGTTGAGATTCAGATTCGTTCAACTTCAATCCTACTTCTGTTCGCAGTCACGTGAAGACAATGGCCCGGGGCTGCGAAGTCGCGATCCATTTGCATTGTCCTCGCCTAACTGGGTTAACCACACTGTCGTTCACCCGTCAACCGAGGCAAAAAAATATAAAGCGGCGCACAAGCACCCACAACCAGCCACTTCTTGCTCCTCAACTTCAACCATCCCCCCCTCAAACCGGCCCCGATCACAAGATTAAGAGATGGCGTCCTTCATAGACTCCCTCACGAACGCCAAACACCCCATCGTGCTCGTCCAGTACAAGCGCGACGACCTCGGCCAGGGCGACGAGCCACAGCTCCACTGGGCGCTGCACGTCATCACCAGCAGTAGACGCCTCTCCGGGCCCAGCTTCCAGGTGATCGACCGCGTCCACCAGGACGAGCGCGGGAAGCAGTGGTCGCTCTTCTACAACCCCACCGACGCGCTCATCGGGAACGGGAAGTGTCTGGGTGGCTTACAGGTCGGCACCGTGCCCCACCGGGAGGTCAGCGCGCTCGTCGATGCGGTGCGCGCGCACGAGGTCAAGCCCAAGTTCGAAGAGTGGACCTGCAGGGACTTTGTGCTCGAGCTCTTCGAGCTGTTCAAGGAGAGGGGCTGGATGAGGAAGGAGCTCGCGGATGTGGCGTTCAACCAAAAGGATCTCATACCAGATCTGAAAGTGTCCAGCAGTGCCACGATCAGTCAAGCGAGAGAGAGGAGGTCGTTCGTCCCATACGTCATGTACTACCCTTAGGTGTACAAGCAAGGTGAGCTGAGTTTCTCATGGTGTCCTGCCTGGTGCTAACCATCACCTTCAGCAAGAATCAAATGAGACTGAGGTGTGCAAAAAGGCGGTTCGCCGTGTTTGCAGAATCAAGTAGAGCACTAGACTAGAGGTTGCCAGTGGGCGCAATAATTGTAATCCGTTGGCGTTAATGCATTTCACGTACCTGACGCTGAAACACTATCATAGCCCGATGTATGAGACGCAAGCCTTTGCGTGTCGCGAGATGCTGTGTTGGTTGGTTGTGGAAAGTAATGAGGCTGTATTCCAGGTTCAAGACTTCTATGTCTACAGGTCCTTATCCCCTTTCACCTTGAGGTCGGAAAGATCTACCTGCCCACCGACGGGAATAAGGAAAGGTGAGGCCGTATCAAAAGATCTGTCACAGTGATAGTTCATGAGCTGTCCCCTCTAACTCCAAGGACTTGAGGATGTGAACTCACTGTGGATAGCGGTATCGATGAACCGGGGGCCGCTTCGCATCATCTATGAGGAGCTTGGCCTCAGAGGCATCGTGAGATATCGCGAGGTGGTGGTTGTTTATCCTCTCCCAAAGTTCCCTCGGAGTCTGGTAGTATTCGATGTACCGCGTGATGTAGTTCTCTTCTCCAGGAGCCGGTGCGTATTTGTAGAAGGCTACCGTAGCAAGCCCAGCAGCGACGGTGTACGCCCAACCTTTCGAGGTGAACCCTTGAAAAGAGCCCATCAGCCTGGAGATACTTTGTAACAACCCAATTGGACGAGACGGACCTTCCTTCGGGTATTGCGCTGAATCCTGATGATGGTCATCGTGATGGTGCTCGTTGTGAGCGCTCGAGGACGCTAGCCCACGCTGCAGATATGGAGATGCAGGTTTGGCACGGGTGACCGCGAAGGCCGCTCTTGAGAGGGACATGGTGGTGGTTCGTGTAGACGACGGTGTTGTTGACACCGACCTACTCTCATATTGGCCAGCTGTTTATCCAGCCCTAGACTTGGGTTTACTGCTACAAACAGGTCACGTCACTGCAAGTGATTATCCGTGACTGGTTCATCGAGGTTGATCGTCTTGATTTCACGGGGACTCTGCTTTCATCGCTCCACGCAGCCCAACCTAACTCTATCATCGTTTAATCACTTGTACAGATCCTAATATTGTCTTTCTTTGAGGACATCGACATTCTATCGCTGGCGACAGACCTATAAAGCCTGGGCATCAAGTCAGTTTTTACAACATCTAGAACTATCAGCGGACGAAGTATCATGACCGGCCCACTTCTCCGCTTTGACTTTCCTTCGTCCCCTCTCCTCTCGTCCTCTTCTTCGGAGACAGTCTTCAGCTCAGCCGTACTGAACCGCATGCCCACATTACCCCTCCCGCACTCGGCCGCACTCGGGTCGACGACGTCTCTCTCTACCGCGTTGACTGAATTTTCCCTTCGTACGCCTATACACCTAGTTCGTGCGGTCCCTCACATCACCATCACCAGACCTGCATCCGACCGATGGGAGGATAAGCCACTACCTCCGTTGCCTTCGCCCTCGCCCGCGCCAAAAGGCATCCCATTCAACCTTGTCATGTCTGTCCTCGAATTTCTAGAGCGGAACGACCGCGACATGGCTAGTGAACTGCAGCGCGTGCGAAGGAACATCCAGGAGGCGGAGCGGGAAATCTCGGAGTGGAAGCAAGAGCGCCGCCTGCGCGACGCCGAATTTGCTGATCGGCAGCGAGGGTGTGGTGGCCGCAGCGCAAGCTCGGCGGGTCATTGATACCGAGCGTGTATGGAGCTATGTGGGGCTGTCATTGTATTTCTTTAGTTCGGTTCAAGCCAGTGTACCCTAGGCGTTGAAGGGCTAAAGCTGAAGCCCTGTAACCTGCAGAACAAAATTATCATATACTTATTCTCCAAACATTGGACGCATCCTTCCAGCTTCCAATGCACCAAGCTCGCCCGTATAGGGCTGTAAACATGCAAGGCATAGATCCCTACATCACGTTGCTGTTGATCAATTCTGTGCAGATGCATTGATCTCTTCGAACCATCGATAGTTGTGATACTTTCTTTGTTTGATCGAATCTCTAAGATATCAACGTTCTTCAATGCAGAAGCCCATTGTGAGTTTAGCTACATCTCAGACCCTTGATTGACCATTGCTGATGATGATGCTTCACAGGACCATTGCTGCCATCATGCATGTGCATCGCAAACAGACTGGGCCTCCGGATTCTGCGTGACTTGTGTTTTCTGTGTATTGCTTAGTTTATTCATCACGTTCAATCCAGATTCATTAAGGAGGTCGGTCACTCAGTGTAAAACTTGAAACCTGATCATGAGGGCATTCGTCCTTGATCAATCAGTGTCACGACACTGTTGACGGGATCATTGCGTACGTGCAGTGGTCTGGACATGAATCACGGTCTTTTTGTTGTATGATAAGCTGAAGGAAACGCAGTACTATTGTCCTATGCCTCAGTCGTCGGGGAAAATTGCAAATTTTCAACTTTGTGCCTGCCATGATTGAAGGCGTTCTCTATGAGCATTCAGATTAATCATAGATACTGATATTTTGTCTAGGAGTAGCTCTATCGGCCCTATAGGTCTTCTTCAATAATCACCCCACAATCACCGCAACGAACGTCGATCTTCCTTTCGTAGGATTTATGCAATGTCATCTGTAAAGATTCGCTTATATCACTTTCGTATGATTGTTCCATCCTCCTCCACCGACGCACATTTGGTCACGGCTCATTAAGGACGACCCTGACGACTAGAGACTTGTTCGATCTGGTTCCTCGTGAGCACTTCTTCGTTGTACGCCGGCAGTGTCCTTCTTCGACCCTACTCTGAGTTGCTCCTTTGTCCAGGGCAGTTTCATGGCGCTTTCAAAATCTGATCGTTAACCCACCTCCGCGTGGTTCATGGCTGCTGGGTATAAACCTTGTACCGTAAATGGCAGCGAAATCGATCCGCTAAACCATGGCATTTCACCTAGCTCTGGCAAATCTCAGGACAAACGCGGGGGTCCGAGGGATGTTCACGAACGCTGACCCCCCACATTTCACTGATCCAGTTCATCGTCTTCATATGTAAGCCATGTTCCTGCATAGACTCGACTGGAACCGACTCCCTATTTATAGCCCTGTAATCAAAGCATAACCGCCGTCTCAGAAAAGTCGACTACATTACCTTCGATATCAATCAAGTGCTCTCGGTCACTATGGTCCTGACCTTCGCCTGCCTCTTCCGAACGGCTCCTGGCGTGTACATCTTTTGGGACGCCCGATATTACCGCGCGCCTCGTTTTGTATGGCTACTCAATTGTCTCTTCACCGGGGCACTCCGCTTCTAGTTGTCAAATTCTACGAAGCCATCGTCTTTGGCAGCGCTCCGTCTACTGAGGTAGTATGATGTGCTTTCCGCCCCAGGAATATCGATGACCGTAATTAGGCCAACCACAAATCCCTCGAGTGATTGTAAAACTGGGGTGACATCGCTCTCTGAGAAGAGCGCACTTACGTTTGGAGAAATACCAATACCGCCACAGACGTTGTGAGCAGCGCCTTGCCGTATTTTGTTGACTTTTTTTGGTAAGGCTGCAGCGAATAGGTGTGTCTAGCTTCAAAATTCCATCCCGAGGTCCGTGAAGCCACTTGGCACCCGCATGTCTCATTTCCGAACCAGCTTCGAACGGAGATCCGAGTTTCAATTGGTTGAGTTGTGTATTCGTCCTTGATCTTTGACTCTTCGTTCGAGTGGAAAGGCACACCGTACACTCTGGAGCCTCTCAGAGCCCGCAGATCCTATGAACCGGCGTCGACTACAACACCTGCCAAATCCGGACTCTGCTACAAATTCGCCGTCAACATGGCCGAATAATCGAGATAAATCGGGATCCCTACTATTCGCTACTTTTAGTCGCCGCTAACAAGTGTTCGAGATCTCTTCTAGAACGAATCGCTCTCCTAGACCAAACCGTCTGCGCCCATGAGTTTCTGGTATGGCAGACTCCAGATCAGTTGGACAGGATGACGTCAGACTATATCCCGCGTCTCTGAGCCAGTCCTCAGATCGCCCATCCTGCTCCTCCCCCAACGACGCCCATCTGTTCCGAGAAACAACGACCACTGTCCACCATGTGTGCGTGATTCGGTGTCCTTTCCAATTCACTTTGCTGATTTGGGATCACAGCTACCACCGTGAAAGGGACTGCAACGAATGAAAGAGTCCGTTCCAGACGCCAGAGCTCCCTCGACGAGAGCACCATTCAATATCTCGAGAAGCGTCTGGAACAGCGCCCCGATAAGCAAGAGCTTCAGGGTCGTAACATCCTCAAAGGTCCGCTTCTTCGAAACCTAGTTCCGTGTCACTTCGAGATGACCGATGTATGATGTCGTAACAGAAGACAACGTCGCGCCGGCGTTGCAAGCTGCGAAGGAGCGGCTGCAGCGGTCGCAGCTCGAGGTAGGTCCATGGACGCACACTTGTATGCACGGGAGCGAGCGACTGATCCATGTGACTCAGGATAAACTAGACCACGCGCTCCAGCAGAGACCCAAGCCGGAGGAGCTGGTGAAGGAAGGCATTCTGAAAGGTGCGAACATTCCGATATCCAGCGTCTCGCACTCAAATGTAGATTTGACATCTGTTAGAGGATGAAGCACCCGGAGTATGAATCTACTCCACTGCAGGGTGAATTCGACAATCTCGATCCGGCGTCTCCATTAAGGCTTGTTCGCTGTACGAGTACGTACTTCTACTGGTATGTATTTAGACAATCTGCTTGTACAATGTGAGATGGGATGATGAAATAAGTGAATGCTCAACGGTCGAGAACGTACGCGTCATAAGTGGGGTGAGATAACTACGGACATCGTCCACAGCAGATACCAAAATCAATCCAAGTCCTTCCGTATCCGGTTCCTCATCTCTTGTGCTGCCCTTCTCGCACCAGCACCGCCCGCCCAACCTCTGGCCCGTAGCCAGCCGACCAATCTAGGAGTCAAGGCCGCGGTCAAGCCCACTCGGACCGGCAGGAAGAGGGTCTTGTGCACGGTGTAAGCCAGGACGAGCATTGCATACAGCCCCTCGTTCCCGCCGGCACCGGTCTGTGCTGCGACTGCATCCAGCTCCTCCCTGCCCGGCTCTGGAGGGCGTGAGGACGCAAAACCAAGCACCCACTCCTTGGCGGAAGCCGCGACCGCGGAAACGTAGTCTGCACCAAGCAGGTTGACGCCGGCAAAGGCGACACCGAAGTCGGCGACCGAGATTACGATGTACATTCCGAGGGCATACCACCCGTACGATTTGATGAGCACTCGGAGACGCTGTGAGAGGGAGGTGCTGGCATTTGCTTGGGACTCGTCGGATGATGGAGAAGGCGGTAGCGATGAGGAGAGTCGTGCTGGTGTATGGTGAAACAGACGGCTTGAGGATGAGCGAGGTACGCGGGTGAGTATACGAGAGTCCGCCAAGGCGAAGCGCGAGGTGGGGAGAAGGGGCTGGGAGACGCGGGGCAAAAGAGTGCGCAAGATTGGAACGCGAGGAAATATTCGACCGAGCATGTTCAAGAGCGTGGGCTGGAACACTGCGGCGGATGATTTTGATGGGTTTTTTCGAGCTGAGGTGTCTTTCCGGCACGAACGTCGGCGCTGGTCGGCGTGACTTTCCCACGTGATGACGCGCTGTTTCCCAAGATGGAGAGCAGCTTCAAAATTTTGAGCTGGATCGATCATTCGAGCTGCCTGGAGGAATTCATCCTCTCTCCCCTCCCCTCCCTCTCTCCCTACCTACGTTACATGCATCCAGCAGTTGCCCTCTGCGGCGTATCTGGTCCTCCTCCTCGTCGATAGCATCCCTTTCGACTCCAAAATCAGTTCACAGACGATCAAAAATCTCACTCGCCGTTTCGAACACGTTCCCACCACCCGTTTACGTGACATATGGCAGACAATGTTGACGTCTCCGCCACTTCTCCTTTCGAAGGACCCGAAAAGCTTCTAGAGATCTGGTTCGCTCCCAGCCCGGCTGATGTGCCGGATGCATCTATCGCCACGAACGGCAAGTCCGGCCTGAGGAAGGTCCCCAGGCATGTCTGGGAGGACATGCTTGCCATCGTTAAATGTCAAGTGCTGAGCGTTATAGAAGGATCGGAAATGGATGCGTATCTGCTGAGGTGAGTATCGAATGATCATCCAATGTTCGATGAATGTTGCGGCCAGGACCCCGTGTCAATGCGCACATGGCCTCTTTCACCAGAGTCCAGTCTCTGGTAATGGGTCGTGACGGCGTCGCCTGACATGCTTCCGTCAATCTCACGAGGGGGGAAGCAGCCAAAGGCATCTCGCCCCTCACTCGCACTCAACGCGCTTTCCCTCAGCCTTGCTCTTCTTTCCGAACACATACATATGACTTGTCAGACTCAGGGCAGAGTTCACAACGACCCCTTTGATTCATGACAAAACACTTCTTCATGATCCGTTATCATATCGAGTTCCCCTCGCTGACATCTCCCATGCAGTGAATCCTCCTTTTTCGTCTCACCACACCGTCTCATCTTGAAGACGTGTGGAACTACCCTGAATTTGCTCGGATTGCCGCGTATTCTAGATATCGCGCGCGAACACGCCTCTCTTCCATCCGTCTATCGTTGCTTCTACTCCCGCAAATCATACTTCTTTCCTGAGCGCCAGAAGGGCCCTCACCGAGAGTGGAAAAACGAGGTCCAGTACCTGGATGGAATATTCGAAAATGGAGCCGCTTATACGGTCGGCAAAGTGAACGGCGATCACTGGCTCCTCTACATCACAAATCCTTCTAGTGATGCTTCAAACTCTCCCGTTGCATGTGCAACCTCTCTTCCTGGCGCCTACGACGCCTCGGGGAGTCCTGAAAAAATACTACCCGCACCTGCCGACCCACCAAAAGTTTCCCAGCGCACTGATTATACCATCGAAATCCTCATGACCCGACTGTCTCCAAATGCTACTCAATCATTCATCTTTGGGCCTGACGCGGACGAGTCCGAAGAGTCACCGTCCTCGCGTGCACAAACACTTTCGTCCACAATCGGAATTTCTGATCTGTTCCCTCCTCATCTGACTACTCTGGATGCTTTCGCGTTTTCTCCCTGTGGCTACTCCTCCAACGCTTTATTAAAATGGGGCAATGCAGCGGAGGGTAGAGAAGCTCCCGGAGCGGGCACGGATGATGAGGGCGGGGAAGGATACTACACCATTCACGTCACGCCCGAAGAAGGTTGGTCCTACGCCAGCTTCGAATGTAATGTGCCCCTCGCAAGCCATCAGGCACCACAACCACAAAGCATTCCCGACATCAGGACGCTCGTTCGGCGCGTCGTGGACATATTCCAGCCAGGGCGCCTCTCGCTCACGCTTTTCATTTCGAGCGAGGGGAACAGCGAGGCCGAGGAAGAGAGAGGGGAGTCCGCCGTCGAGGCCGCTCAGCGCGCGTTCAGAGCCGCGCTGACGTCGTCCGCTGCCGCGGGGGGCGCGTACAAGAGGACAGACAAGATCAATTATGAGTTCGGAGGGTACGACCTCGCGTTCGCGAGCTTCGAGTTGTGCGCGTAATCTAGGGGAGACGCCTCCAGCAATGCGGCGCGTTGACCGGTTGGCCGGTTGCGTTACGTAGAAGGGTTCCAAGCATGCGTCTGTATACTGTGGTGCCACTATGGTGCGGTGCGGAGCGTCAAATCCCGCCCGTCGCTTCTTCTGATAATGGACTGTTCTCGCGTCGCGTGGCTAGAAGGTGTGGGAGAATAGAGATCTCAAAAATGTACGGTAGTATTTACGAGCTTGTGTCTATTTTGTATTGCTTCCCTGTCGTGGACCGTCGCTGATATGATGCGTTCAAACGGCAAGTCAATGGTCTTGCGCCCGACTTTCCAGAGTATGTGTGGAGCTTCAAAGGTGTGCACACTTGTACATTATGGGTGGTCTAGCGACCTTGTGTCCTAGCTGTAGCTTGAAATGGGACTCATATCAACATACCGAACACCCCCGAAGAGGAAACAGGGCCGTCAATCACGACGTTAATGGTAAGTGTGGAGGCATGCAAGCAGTGGCGAGACGATTCGAAGGAATCGTGTGCTGCTTCCGCCGGCATGAACATCGCCTGAACGCCGCTGTACGTCGTACGTGGTTCCGCACTGGATAAGTAACAAGCAGGCTCGGGCTGATGCATGTGTGTACGTACAAAGCGCGCTGCACCGACCCAATTCAGCTGCAGGCACCATGGCGGCAATCCGCGGTGAATGATATCGGTGATTAAGCTACTGCAATGACGCAGTCCGCGGGGAATAGCGGGCGCGTCCCAGTTCATTGACGGCACTAGTTACCTAAATTACTCTTTGAGACTGAAGGTCTTCAGGTGCGAGTGGATGGTTCCTGTCACCGGCAAGACCCGTAAATGAGAAAGTCAAAACATCCAAGAGAGTTGAGATTTGTCGAGATATCGCGAAACTGCCATCACAGACCCATCCTAAGGGATTCAGGGCGGTTTGAAACCATAGGGGTTTGACCGAGCGGAAAGCCGCTGGTTTGCATTCAGGGCAGCTCGGGTACCATTGATCGAGGACTGTCTTTCCGGAACGAGATCAGGAGGCATATGAAGAACGACGGAATCGTGTGGCGGCATGCCGTTGATCTTCTTGTGTTTGTCTCTAGAAAATTGACGGTAAGAAGCTACTGGCTTGGGGAAGGGTGTTCTAACCTGACCAGTCTAGCCGCAGAAGACTCGAGAAGCCCCAGTAGCTCCGAAGACATGCGGAACGGGTTGAAATCCGCCGACGCCCTGACCCATCAAGATGCAGCGTAAATGTGGTGTTAGAGTGAGGTGGATATTTACACACTATCCCCCCTTACAATCGGCGAGGCTCGTGAAAGTGGGTGAAAGTAGATCGGAGGACAGGACACCGCCACCAATTAACGGACCACGGACAATATCGCAGAGACTTTGTTCCTGATTCGTCCATCAAACAACAGTGGACAATTTCGTTGGAGGGCATGCATACACACGGAAATGAGTGTTGTTGAAATTAGTGGGATATGACGATCTAACCGATTTTGTTGGAGCGATGCTAACTTTTGTTCTCTCGGGTTGAAACGTTTTGTTATGCTGTTGCTGACGCTTACTGTATGGAGAAACCCTGCTTATGGTGCCAGGCATCGGTAGGGGATGGGTGGTGCCGTTGCCTGAACACATGAACCGCGGTGAACATACAAAATAGAATTGGCTGACACCTTCTCTGCCAGCGGAAGTTACCATCCACGTTGCCGGGCAAGACTTGGTGTGCATATGTCCGGACAATGGAGTCGAGTGTCCCTATGACATGATGGCCATGGTATGCGGCAAACATAAGGAGATCGTCGATAAACGTAGAGTTCGGGTTGGGCCTCGAGACTCTAGATTGCTGAGACGTCTTGGTCAATCCGAACACCCACGCCACAAGCGCCGCAACCGCTGACCGCGCTCAATATAGAAATTTACACACGTTCGCGCGCTCTCCGCGAAATGGAAATGCTGCACGCCCCATCGCATTTAATGTAGACTCGTGCATCTGGGCTATGCTCTGATATGCTTCTGGACAACTCTCAGGATTGAGCGAGCCGCCCGCAATCCTCGGAACGTCTCAGTGCAACGCAAGCATCACCACATCATCAGTCTTGGTCATTGAGTCACACCCATGTCCGTCCTTTTCAGAGACTGCTTCCCCAGGCCTTCGACTTCCCCTCCTACTGCGACCTTACTTCTCTCCTTCGATTTCCCTTCTGGGTGCGAGCAGGGACTCGTTCCTGATGATTTGCCCGCCATCTCACTCTTGCGGAATCTTCCGACTCGCGGTTCCAAAGGGTTCCAATCAATTACTGCAGACACATTTGTATCGTAAAGGAGAAAACGCTACCACCATCATGTTGCAGTTCCTCGTTACGGATCGGGCTATGATGCCCACTCACCTGCGACGCATTATCGGCGTCTCACATATATAAAAAGTGAGTCCAGATAGCGCTCCACACTCCACCAACAAAGTCTCGCCATGCAGCACCGAGTGGTGTCCCTGTCTTCAGCTACCGCTGCAGATAACCGTCGCGCTCTCGATGAAGTTCGAGACTTCTCTACCACAGACATGGGTCGTGGGGGTCCCGAGAGATGGACATACCGTATGCTATCGGAGACACACTTATCTAACGAGCTTCGAAGGCTAGCCAATCCATGCTCCAGAGAAGGCGTCGACGGCATCACATTCCAGCCATGCCCTATTTTTGAATTTAGAAGCCAGGACCGCTCGCGCATTGAACACTGGCCGATGCCAGGGGGCACATGGGTGTTCACTGCCATATTCGACGGTAAATACGCATACAAATGTCTGGTGACATGCTGACGTCCCAATAGGTCATGCTGGTCATTCAACAGTAGACCATACCGCACAGACGATCCCGGTCATGGTCAAAAACTCCCTAGACGCGTATCTACGCGCGTCCCCCAGGACCCCTCCTTCTCCTGATCGAATCTCCAGCATTCTGTCTGACGCCATCGTTCGGTTCGACCATTCGATCACTACGGAATTTTTGAGCTTGTTTCCGGGTGGTCCGGCGGCTTTAGCGCGTATGAGCGACGGGCAGATCCGACACATAATTGACGATCGGGCTACTGGCGGACGAAACACCACTTCTGCCATTCGCTGTCTTCAAGGAAGTACGGCATTGATCACCTTGACCGATCCGGCCAAAATCAATTTATGGGTAGCAAATTTAGGAGACTGCCAAGCGGGTACTTCGCCCCGTTCTTTGTTTGATCACGGCCTTGAACTAACATTCTGCAGTTCTCGGTTCCCGAAACGCGCAAGGGCAGTGGCATGCTAGCTTTGCCACTACGCTTCATGATGGAGAAAATCTTCATGAAATCCATCGCATTCGAAGCGAGCACCCTGGAGAACGAGAGTCCACCCTAGATAACAGAGTCATAGGATTTTTGGGCCCTACTCGTTGTAAGACTATTTTATAGAATGCACAGGACAGTGACTGAACACACCTCAGCTGTCGGTGATACGTGGCTCAAGATACCCGCTATCTACTCTCAACGGGTTCTTCTTGGTTTCCGCCAAGAGTGGACCGTGGAGAGACCAGAGCCCTTCATCTCTCGCATCACGACACCACCGTATGTTTCCAGTACGCCTGACGTCTATCACTTACCTCTACCGAGAGGTGCTCCTGGCCGACCGAGGGACCTCTTTCTCTTGATGTGTTCCGACGGCCTAGGAGATCTGTACGATGATCGCTCGCGAGCGGACATAATCAATCGATGGGTCAGGACTGTCGGACGGTCTCTTGATTCACGAGATCAGAGCAACTTGTCCTTAATCTTGCTGAGAGACGCTTTAGGTGGAGCGGATACCCGTCTGGTCTCGCAATATCTAACTGTGGAAATGGACGAGAAATGGATGGATGATGTCACGGTGATTGTGCAACGATTCTAGCAGTCTGTCGCTCTAGGATCTCGATCGTTGATTGAATGTAGTGGGATTGTTCAATAGATGCTCTGCTGTTCATGTCGATTATACACGCATTCTGACTAGGTAGCCAGCCCTCGGCGCCGATGACTGGCCACAGCACTGACGACTATCGAAAGTCAAAAGCAGAAAACACGTGGTCAGAAGCGTACACAACGACTGGTGATTACACTTTAACACAAGCTGTCAACAATTTATTCTTGGTAAAATCAACGTTCCACCCTTCCAATACCCTTGCCAAATTGCATAAAAGAGGCTACCATGCGTATAAAAGAAACTAACATGCATATAACCTATCTGGAATCCATTGGACAGAAAAATCCTCACAGGGTTATCGGTTTCGCCCGCGCACTGCACAAGGGACACAAGCGAACAAATGTCTCCACCATGGGCCAAGTGACGGAAGCCTAACCCACATATTCAGACACTGCATACGCGGAAAGAATGGCTAGACACGTACGATTCCAGCCTGTCTGACTTGCGCAAGCGTCTGAGTTGTTGAAGCGTGGTTCTTGTGTGCATAAACCAATATATCGTAGATCTGGGTCGAAACAGGGACTCTGAGGAACGCTGAGACGCCCTCGTGGCTATTGATGACATGTTGGCCGGGGCCATGCCCGAGGGAGGTGGCCGAACTCTTGTTCGTTGGTATTTCTCCATCTACCTCCGCGATGAATTCGTTCCGCAATTTCTCTTCTTTCTCCCCACGGATGCTGAAGTATGCTTCACGAGGGAGTAGAAGTAGATGGTACTTCCGGGATCCGGGACGCACATGATGGTATTGAACCCACGAGGTCACTCGAGGAGTCAAGGTCGAGAAATCACCCTTCACGACGGCACGCGTAAGATCCGCATATGTCTCCGGTGTAAACGCAGCGATCTCGCGTAGCTCGGCGGGCAACTCTGCAAGGAATTTGTTCAAAGCCTCATCGTAGTTCGGTCGGGTGGGCATCTCGATAGGATTCACGGTACGGATGCCTTGCAGAATAGATCTCGGAAGGGGTGCGAATGTAGAATGGTACCAGGGATCAAGATGACGGCCGGGGAGAAGTTTGTTGTCAAAGGTACACGACTTTGATGCAGACGAACCCATAGAGCGGGCGCGAGAATGCCAGGTACTGCTATCATAAGGAGGACGATGCTTGGGAGTATTGACACCATCGGCAGAATCATCATCAGATCCTGGCGAGCCATCCGAGTAGATCTCGTACATGCCCGAGGGTAGTTTGCCCTTTACGCCCTCCGGATGTTCCGCAATCCAATTTCCAGTGGTATAACTCTCCTCGTTTGGCATATCTGAGATGAGAAAAGAGGCTGTTTTAGCAGTGTAAGGTGCTGGTCTTTCCTTTGGAACAGCAGAAGAAGAAGCAGTGGCAGAAGCGGGCGCAGCAGGAGCAATGGTGGCAATGGTGGCAGCGGCGGCAGCAGCAACGGTGGCAGCATGGTCTGACGGGACTTTGTGTCGCTTCTTTGGAGTGTAATTGCATTCTACTCCTTCATCTCCTGCGCAGTGGTTGCAAACGGGAAGATTTCGGTCACACTGAGCCACTGAAGCATAAGATTTGGGCTACCAATAATGAAGAAACGAGCTGACCTTCAGATTGTGAAAACGACACCTATCGCAACGAGGTATGCCTCGGTGGGCTGGTGTCGGTAAAGGCGTGTACTTGCACTCCCGATTCGCCCATGAGCAGTGATTGCATGTTGGAAGAATCCTGTCGCACTACTCCAAATCTAGTCACACAACACGAACTTGAGAAAATCCGGGACCGACCTTCAAATTATTTAATCGACAATGATCACACCTCGGCTTCCCTCTACGTCCTTTCCACTGAGACTGACGAGCCATAAAAACTTTGGGGTTTGGAATTCTGATGGTAAGTTGGCTATCATCCACGGCTTCTCCCAGCGAAGGGATTCCCATTCTTAAATCGGACATCTCGAGGGCACAGCAGAACGGCAGAGATACTACTATAAAACAAAAAAGGTCAGATAAAATCACGAATCGGACTCAATTGACTCACGAAAGAATGGATTAGAAGGATGGGAAGAAACGAAAACACGAGTTTGCAGGCGCCAAGGGCGGCAAGAGCTGCCACGAATGCTAATGAGGCCACGCGAAGCGATAGAGCTGACAAAATAGGGCGATATTTTGTCACTTTCCGAGGACGCAAGGAGATGGTGTGGAGAAAACGATATGAACGGGACTTACATGTGGTCGTGCGGCTGAATGTCGTGGAGGGGTAACCGTGATCCTAGAGAGATCAACTTTCCTGGACTAGGAACTTAGTTCGTTCTAAGTGTGACTGTGACGCTGTGACAGCTCCTGTCTTCGTGCCTCTTGAAACAAAGCACAAAAATTATTTCAACTTCCTCTCCTCCATGTAGTGGTCTCTAGATGGATTTTAATCTCAAAGACAAAGCTGCGTCGTCAGGATTCTTGTCTCTTTCTTCCTTGACACAAGACATCCCTTCAAGTCGTTACGTACTTAGTTACCTAGATGGGCAAGAAGAATGACAAAGTTTAATCACGCGGGCCGACAGATACCGGGCACACTGCCGTCAGAAACGCTGTCCATGTATTTTGCGGCGCTTGGACCTTGCAAGATACATACACCATCATGATTGTGTCGCCCATCCCGGGTACCATGTCGCCAACAGAGCTGTATCAGGAGGCGAGCTTCGTTCCTCCTCATTCCTCGCGATCGAGTTGACTGAGGTGTCTGGTGGGTATTAATCAGTTGTTGTTCTGACCTCGCTGCAGTCCTCTGTTTGGGAAAGATTTTCACCAAACCTTGATGGGCGGAAGTTTTAGTCTCAGGTACAGTTGAACTCGAAATAGACGGCGCATTCAGTTCAAGAATACGCTTGAGTTTCCTCCTACACGTTACAGAGCGTGCTTTATGCTTGGTGGGTCCAGTGAGGCCGTTCTGGCACCCGGACTCTCGGCCTTTGGTGGCGTTGATAGGCCCTCCTTACGACCCACATCTCCATCTAAGCCGCGGAACGTGTCTGATATCGAACGTGCAGGAGTCACAGCACTCAGCATGCGCACTTAGCCAAACTTGAAGGAAGCGGCGACACAAGCACGCCGAAGGCAAGTCACCAAGATAGATGCGGAATTAGTCAGCGCTGATGACGCCATGCAAGTGTGCGACATCTTCCAATGCGGCTCCCACTGAGATACACGCTCTCATCAGAGCAGCTGTACAGATGCCCGCACTTGCGCTGGATTCACCAGCATGTGACAGCTCATCGTGGCACGTTGCTTCCTTCAGCTGAGCTCTTGCTACTCCGGGGTGCTGTCTAAACTTCTTAGTGCGCTAGAGTTCTATCCAGCAGTGCCATGGAAGCCGTCATCACATGGTTGTCCTTCATTCATGCATCATGTATTGCACAAGCTTCTTATCAGCTCTTCAATTACATTTTCTCAAAATAGCGAGTTCGGTAGCAGCGGCAGCATATGCCACGTTCGTTGCCGCTGCGTTACGGATATAAAAGATCCTTTCCGGCCTCTTCCATCGCATTATTCTCCGCCTTTTGTCCCTTCCCTCACTAGCCTAAACTCATGGCTCGTATCGCTATCTGGTGCTTCCTGGCCGCTCAAGCTACCGCCACCCTTGCCAGCTCAGGGTTGAATATTAAACGCGCTGTCTCGTTTTTCGACCCCAATGCAGGGGGTGGATCTATGCTTGACTCAGTGGGCGGCGATCTCGGCGAGCCTCTGAACGTGAGTCTTAACTCTCAAAGCATACGTCTAGCATGACGTACCGGAGGTGCATCGTATAGGTCATCATCTCCGGACTTAGCTCCGCCGCCGTGCTCACAGACGATGGCTTCCTCAATTATGCCCGCTCCATTGGATTGTAGGTCGAGACATCATAATCGTGCAGATCATATACCTGACAACAGCGCCCCAGCTCCATCGAATGCTTCGGCATCCATCTCGGAGCCCCACAGACAGCGAATCTTGGAGATGGCAATGGCTCCCTGAACCAGACGATCGAGCTGCGCCAAGACTATGGCAATTCGGATGTCGGCACCTGCTTGGAGAGCTTGATTGGCGGAAACCACTTCAGGTAAGTCCGATGATCAGGCTTCAATGCTACTGATCTGCCAAACTGACGACGAAGAACAGAATGTGGCGGCAGAATGGGCCGAGCGCAAACAGCGGCGCACTCTTCCTTGCGTGAGTTGTGTCGTGTGTATGTTGAACATATCGCTCATATCACTGCGGCCTCGTTTTTTAGCGTATCGAAGGAAGAGGTAAGCGGCAATAAAAATGTCGGAAATGTTCACACTGAACCATGCATATATCAGAACGTCACTGAAGGCCATACCATTGTTCCAGATGGATATAATATCGGGCGGTGAGTACTATCTAACCATTACAGCTGCTGAGTTTATATATATGCCAAACCTCCACATCAGCGATGACCTCGTCTCAGCCGCTGCAGGCACTACCTCATTTGACGGCGTGTCATATACGACTGTCGCTGAGAACCTCACGGGCCTTCTTGCTCCCGGAAGTACTGGTGTCAATCACGGTCTGCTTTCCAGCGCTTCCATCACATGTTCACGACATCTGATCTATGTATCTCGTAGGCATCGCGACAGATGGTACGACCAAGCTCCTCACGGTCACTATTGTTTGAACCCTCCTTTGGATCCTGGGATTCTTGGGCCGACTCGGAATTTATTCCGTCTTACTGTATCCGTTACGATTGTCATGATTATTCACGCCGCTTTATACCTGTATTTATTCTGCAATTGATATGTAATGGACCCAACTGTATAGAGTGGTACCTGAACAAATGTCGCTCGCCAATTCAACTCTGTATCTTCTTAACGTGTCCATTCCATGAAGAAACGAGACCATAAATCCAGTAACGATAACAGGGATGAATATATTATACAATTGCACTGGGAAAAATACAGAAGTATCCGGTGTATGAGACCCGTCCTTTGAATCGTTCTTCAAGCATAAGATGGTGACGGACAACAAAATCCGATGGACGGAGGCTGCGCCAAAATACTCACAGCTCGTCGTCATCTTCTCCCTCCGCATCAGCCTCTGAATCATATTCCTCGTTCTCCTGAACTTGGGGCGGAGGCAACAGGTCGCCTTCGCTCGAAGATACGGTCCGTACGTTCCGATCAACCTCGACCTCCTCCGATTCCGAACGAGAGGGACTGTATTCATGATCGCCAACATCTCCGCGCATTGCTGCCTCACGGTCCTTCGCGGCTTCGGTCTCCTGACACGTCTGTCGGCGCACGCGTGCAAGTACATCGTCAAGTTGGAGAAAATTGTTGTCGTTCGCGGCAAAATTGCGATGTTTGACGCTTTTTATATGCTAGCCAAAGACCTCGCAGTTAGCCGCAGCCATGATGAAGAGGAGACATGCACTGACCTCTGAGAAACTGAGAAACTTGGTGCGACAACATTCACAGTAACCAGGCTTGGACCCCTCCTCGCGTTCGGGTAGCTTCATTGTATTGGTGCTCTTGCTTTTCCTCAGGGGTTTCCTTTCGGGAATACCAACAGGTGGGCCCATATCTCCAATCTTGCGGTTCTGCGCGGCGGGACCCAGCGTCACTCTCCGTGAGGTAACCACCTGTTGCTGCAGCCTCTCACGCAACCCTGCCGGGAGCTGCACGCTGCGAAGTTGATGCCCAGCCGTCGACGTCGTGCCAGTAGTAGAAGTGATCGAGACACTATTTCCTGATGCGGCCATGTAGGTCCCAGACTGCAGATACCCAGAGGCGTTCGCGGAGTCCATAGTATCGCAGAGCTCAGCGTCGAGATCGATCAGGCCATTCGCGGCATCTTCCTCTTGAACACGTCGATATAGGTTGACCATCGAGACAGTACGCCTTAGATCGCCACTGCGCTTGGCCTGCATCTGTGCCTGCGCTTCTTCATGAGCGCGCCGCCGACGTTCTCGTTCACGAAGCTTGGCCTTCCGTCGTCGCCGCTCTTCCTCTCTCTCCTTGTCCTGCTTCTCAAGCTTCGCGGCCCGCCGTGCCTCTCTCTCGTCATACTCAATGAAGGGCCCGCGAGCTTTGGGGTGGCAGTGCAGCACCGGCCAGGAGACTTGTTCGCTGCCATCAGGTTTCTTGGTAATTCGATATTCCATTGAGTGAATGGTGGCTAACTCTTGCTTCAAGTCCTCGACGAGAACGAAGTAGCTGTTTTTGGAGAAGTATCGGAATTTATACTGCTTCTGTTGAGGATCACGTTCGGTCGTCCCATTCAACTGCTCCAATCTGAGGGCCCGGGACAGGGAACGTTGGTTGGAAAGAGCCGCAGAAGAGGCAGCAGCGGCAGCAGGCGCCCCAGGTGCCTGGCATCGGTCGAGGACACTCTCGAGCTTCGTGATGCTCCAAACCTTCATACCAAAAGATATGGCCTTCCGAACGAGGTTGTCGTAAGGGACATCGTCTGTCACCCTGGTGCGAGTATGTGTTCGATATATGGATTTGAAAGCTCGGTGAACGATACTCACCGGCCCTTGAGCCTGATAGGACTCTTGAGGAGTGACGGTGTTCTTGAAGTCCTAAGCCGAGATCTCGACATGTTCTCCTTGTTGGCGCCTAGGTCGTCTGAAGGTATCGGTTTGTTCGTGATGAAGTGTGTGATTGCGTTGGAGAAGAAATCGTCGATTTGCTGGCCACGTTAGGGGTCGCAGTCAATTGACACTGTCAATCAGCATCTGTTTGCAGTCCGTGAAATATGTACGCACCGCACCCATGTGCAAGACTCTAGCACAGAGTCGTTCCTTGACGGCCTGACCTTCCGCATCGGCATCCCAGTCAACATAGAATACAAAAGTCGGGAAAGCGCGCGTGTATTTGGTTTTGAATTCTTCATTCTGAGCTTCTCGTTCTGCCCGGCGGCGATCTTTGTTTTTTGGATCATCGTCACGACTCGCGGTTTGTGGAGGCGTGGCCCTTAGGCGCTTGACGCTGTTCGACTGATTATCGAACATTGGATCTGGAGAGCGTGGTCGCTTGCTAGAGGTCGAAGTCGATGCCTTTGACCGCGCTTGTAAAGGCGAAACAACTGTGGGGAGCTGGGGAAGGGTGCGCGGAGTGAGAGCAGGCCGACGAAGAAGAGTAGTCATCGTAAAGTATCGCGATTAGCCAGCGTGGGGACGGTGTAACAACGTTGTTGAGTATCAAGATTGAAGCCGATGAGCACACGAGGCAGAGGAGAGTGAAGACAAGAAAGAGACGACCAAGAAATACGGCGGTGGTCAGAGGTGGCTGAGGTCCAATTCGTCCGTCTTTGTTCATCACCGGCCAAACAAACAAACGCGTCGCGACCCACGCGACGCGAGAGCCTCAGACGCGTTTCAACACGATAGCGACAAATTTATCATACAACGGGGGTCTTGGTGGGATAAGTTCTCCACGCGCTCGAAAGTGCTAACATAGGCGGCACATATTGACCATTTGAAGGAGAGATAGCGCATAGTTAAGATGGTTTTGATAACATATATCTCGTAAAGTTCGAGATTACAAGATACCAGCCCATGCTAGGACAGCCTTAAGGATAGCTGCAGACTATGTCTAACATCCAGACCTATACAAACTGCCCGTCAGTGTAAGTCAGTGCGGGTCGGTGCGTGGCAACTTGAAGCAATATTAGAAACGTGATCTCATGTCACATCACATGACCAATCCAGTCGCGTAGCCACGATCGTGTCTAGCGCTCGTTGAACCAGTTCGATCGTTCCCAGAAGGGCAAAGACGCTCTCTCTCCTACTCCTTTGCTCTCGATACGTGAAAGAGATGGCCGACGTTCTCATGGATTTCAGTCATGATCTTGGCCATTGTGATCATGGCTTGTGGGCATCTCTACAATCTCTCGATGAGGACAATTTCTCGGACTGTGCAATAACTGAGCAAACCTATACGGAAACGGGTGATGCCGCCTTGGACTTTTCTGATGATGAGCCTTGCTCCTCGACCACGGCTTTGACTCCCTCGAAGCTCATCGCACATTCAGAGGAAATTATAACTGACGAGCCGCAAGGACAAATACGAGGGGAGTACAGAACACCTGCATGGTTCGTAGTACGGACAGTATTGGCCTTCCATCATTCATCCGTCTCCTTCAGTACTGATGCATCGGATGGTCTCGAGGATATGGTCCTATCACTTTTGACTCAGATTTCTGCCGCTTGTGCCGTGCCGAAGATCACAGATATTGGCACACGTCCCAAAAAGCCTGCAACTACCCAAAGAGTCACAGTGCACTTGGCCAATCGAAGGAAGCGGTCGAGGGACAAGTGAGTAATATATGTACTTAGATAGACATGAAAATAACGTATATTGTAGGACTTTACCGTTACGCTCTCTTCGCTTTCCTCTAAATGGCAAAGGGTCAAGTGCAAGGCCTTTTGGTTGTTTACCTTCATATATGCGCTTCTTTATCAGATCTAATCCTCACGATTCCTAGCTCAATTATTTAGAATTGTGGATCTGGCTCATCAGGCCGTGGTCGATGGAATTCCGACCACCAAACGGTAAGAATGGTTTTCCTAGATGGCTAGCAAAATTTACAAGTATTTCGCTCTCCGTGCAGCGACATGTACTACAAGGATGTCCCACTTTTCAAATCCCAAAGTGTTGTCGACCGCGTATGCATATGATTCTTCACTTGATTGAATGCACCCAGCAATAGAGGCAATTTTAGTTCATCGACGACATCGCTGCCACCATAGGAGTCGGAAGGGCTGACTTAAACGTCGTCAGTATTAATTTGTTCACAACTCGGTTTCAATGCGACTGACAACAATGTCAGCGGGCATCATCTAAGGGCCTTGTTTGCGGCTCTGGTCTTTGCATACAGCTTGTTGGGGATGAGATTCTCCGCGCGACTGATTCTGAGGTCCTCCTGCGTTTACAGTAATTTCTTTCTCTCTCTCTGACGTAGTTTTTCTAGGGCACACTTATTCCTACCGCCGAGGATATTGTCCGCTTTGAGCTTGAACAAGATGTTTCATGGGTCCTCATTGTCGAAAAAGAGGTGACAACGGATATTCTTCCTCGTGGCCTAGATACTGACATCAAGTAAGGCTGTGTTCCAAACGCTTTGCAGACTACGCTTTACTAAGCACCAATCTCTTCCCGGACCCGGTCTCATCATAACAGTGATCAATCAATACTTCATGTTCGAAGAGATTGACTCATAGGTGTGTCAGGGTAAAGGCTACCCGGACTTGGCCACCCGGCAGCTTGTCAAGACCCTATCGGACAATCTTCCTCCAAGGTGCGCATTATTTTCTATGTCTTGGTTTGTCTACTGAGAAAGCTTGATATTGGGATCTGCTCAGCATACCGATTTTGGCTTTGGTTGATGGTGATGCTTATGGGTTGGATATCGTATCCACATACAAGTTCGGAAGCCATGCCATGCAACATGAGCGCGAAGGCCTAGCAGCCAGCAGGGTGGTGTGCATCGGGATATGGGCGAGCGAATTATCAAAGCGAGAACCTTCATTATTTTTGGGAGCTCCTAACTCACTGAACTACATTAGATTGGGTATCGATAAGGACATGCTAATCCCGATATCAAACCATGACGAGAAGAAGGTGAGTCTCCTTTTCTTTCCGAAATTCTTCAACGCAGGATCTCGTTTGTTAGGCCATCAAAATGCTTCAGAGACCTCCTGACATGCTGCCAGTTAAGTGGAAGAAGGAGTTGATGGCTATGTTGCACACCCGACGTAAGGCTGAGACGGAAATCCTGTCCTCAGTCAACATGGACGGCTTCGAGGGTGCAAAGCATGACAAGCATCCAATTCTTCAGTACTTGGCGACCAAGATCAACGAACACATCGCTTCCTTGGTCTCTTGACTATTTCGCGCTATGGCTTCTTTTTGCTAGGACTGCATGTTTCCTTTTACCTTGCCAACGCGGAACTGCATCTACTTGTCACTCCTCCTGGCATGTCAGTGAAATCTCCGTCAGGATGTAGTCATCCTGTTGATACCATCCAAGCTATGCTGTTTCATAGTTTCCCGATCGAGAACTTGTTGCGATCATCGCGAGGAATTTGGAATACAGACATCAGACTCTGTCAGACTTGACACAAGATCATGGTATTGACAGACTTGTAGGGACAGCGGACAGTCCAAGAATCAATATCCATCATGTATGGGCCCTGCATACTTATGTTATGGCACCATGAAAATCGCATCCGTCAAGGGTATGTGTACGGCTAGTGACATCGACGGCATGCACACAGATCCGCGCTGCACGATACATGTATACATCAAGAGACCGTGTGTCTTGTCAATCCTCATTCAACATCTATCGCTTCGTAGCTTGGCGGAGGATCGACCGCGGCGGAAGTCCCTTTGCGACGTTCGTCCTGTAAGACCTTCTGATATCCTACCATCTCGGAATGAAGCTCCGACGAGCGTCTCGTAGAGAACTGCGCCGGCGTGTTGCTGTAAGATGATGGCGCAGTCGTGGCCATTTCCCTGTCCGCTCGGATTTCCCTCGCGCTCGTGGACGGTTGCGAGAACGATAGATTCCTCGACGGTAAACCTGAAGACGTGACCGAACTATGAGACGTGAGGAGCGAAGGATGGGACAGGGGATGGGACGAAGGATGGGACGACAGGTCCCTCTGATGGTGTAACAGCAGAGGTTGATCATAATGCGTCGAGGAATCCACATTATGCATGGGCGTGACAGTGTCAATCGCAGCCCGTGTCTGCGGCTTGCTCGGAACTGGGGGTGGAATATCGCCACGGGCCGCTGAAGAGGCTCTCATCGCCCTTCTTCTCCGGCAAAATAGAACGAGGATGATGAGGGAGAGTAGAGCCACTACATCACAGTTCAGCCATCAAGATAGTCTAACAATAGGGTACTACAAACAGATTCCAATGACAATCCCGGCGATGGCGCCTCCGCCGAGACCACGGCGCCCCCTTTGATTGTTGAGGCTCCCATTGCATTCTGCTAGGACGATCGTATTCTCATCGCTATATTATACGAAAATATTAATCAGGAGGTTTGTAGTTATAAGTTATGAGAGGCATACTCGGAATCTGAATCGCCGTCCGAGGAATTGTCACATCCACTAGCCGCAAAAACCTCTCCCACGCATGAAAGGGTCAGCAGGGCGAGCATATACAACTTCATTATAGCGGTAGAGGGCAGAGGCTGCGGCGATGGACATGTAAGTGAAATCGTGCGAACGGATCCCAGGCCAAGACAACTGTGGTCAGGATTATTTTGGACTGAAGGAGTTCGCTTGACGGCTGCTGCACGCTGCGGGAGTCTTCCATGGTGATTTATAATACCTCTAGAGAGGCTCCCTGGTCTTGGACAGCTGCTTGAGGACGAAGCTCAACACAACGTCGCGGAATAGCGCCGCTCTACCTCCGACGGTGTCACGCACGTGACGCGAGCGCGTCGCGCTAATGAGACACGTGATGGGTGCGACGCGGTACGCGCCCGGACGCGTTGACGATCGGGCGGAGCTGGAAATATATGGTAATTGGTATAACCACCACGGCACTTTCCTTGCGTCGCTCTTGTTTCCTCTCATCAGCTCACTGGCCGTCGTCAGCAGCCGTCTTCGCCCGTTCTTTCGTCGATGTCGACAATGCAGACGCCTCCTCGTACGACCAGAAGCTCAGTACTCGGGAAGCGAGGCCAGCTTCATGTAGATTCGTCGTCATCGTCGTCGTCGTCGACGGCGGACACCGACGATGTGTCGACTGAGGCAAAATTTTTAACGCCCGATAGCACCCCTTGTGCCAAACGTGCGAGGACCTCTTTAACCCTCCTCGATGGTGAAGGGAACAAAGAAAATGTCCCACCTTTTCGTTGTGATGCTGTCGTCGAATCTCCGGGAGGTGGCAGGGTTACCAGAGCCTTACGGCGCACTAGTACAGAACTCACGACTCCAACACGATCCCGGCAGAGTATGTGCGCCTCGCCCTGTATATGTTCGAGTACTAATCTTCGCTGAAAGCTCCTCGCCGACGTGCGTCGACGTCGAGTTTGCAAATACCCAACACTCCGTCCACCGCAATGTCGCACCTGGCCCTGCAGACCCCACCACGAACTCCCTCTCTTCAACTCCCTCTCCATGCTCGTGCTCGTGCTCTGTTGCGTGCCACATGCAATAGCAATGCCAACATCGCTGGCCGTAGCGCCGAACGTGAAATGATCCGAAACTTCGCGACGGCTTTCTTCGCGGCAACTCCGAAGCCGGAGGATCTCGTAAATCCCGTGCTGTATATTTCTGGCTCCCCTGGCTGTGGTAAGACTGCTCTTGTCACTGCCGTCCTCAACGATCTCGAGGTCGAGATGTTTGAGCATGGTGTCAACGTCATCTTCATCAACTGCATGGCCTTCAATAGCCTGGAGTCCGTGTGGGAACGATTATTGCAAGAGCTTGGGGGCTCCCTCCCTCGCGGCAAGAAATCTCGCCATTGCGTTGAAAACATTCTTGCGCGCCGCAATTCCAAATGGTACTTACTAGTCTGATACCGTCGTCGCATACACTAATCTCCCCTGCGTAGCATTCTCGTCTTGGATGAAATGGACCACGTTGCCACGTCTTCACATGCTCTGATCTCCCTCTTTTCTCTTGCCGAAGATCATCCATCCACCCTACGTATCATCGGCATTGCGAACACTCATACCCTTACTTCGTCAGCCTCTCAGCTCTCGATGCATGGCATCACCGGTGTCAAGACCGTTCACTTTGCGGCCTATCAGCCCGCGCAACTGCTGCAGATCATACAAGCTCGCTTGCAACCCTTGGCAGAACAGGACTTGGCTATCTCAGAGGATATCGTCCGAAAATTCCTTCCCCTTCCTTCATTGACTCTCCTGTCGAAAAAGATCGCCTCACAGACAGGTGATGTCCGTGCTATATTCGAGGTTCTTCGAGGCGCGATCGACCAAGCCGTGGTCGAGGCCTCCGTTTCCGCTCGTGTAGCGGATTACGTTGCACCGACCGTTACTCCTTCGCATATCCTCTCCGCCCTCAAAGCCTATGCTCCTTCATCTAAGGTTGGTTCCGTGCCTGCTATGTCGGGTTCTTCCACCAAGACGTCGAGCAACAGCGAAGTCGTTATGAAGGTCCGAAATCTCGGCCTCCAGGCTCGCCTTGCTCTTCTCGCCCTCCTTCTGGCATGTAAACGTGTAGAGGCAGCCCTCACTCTGTCTGGTCCCAATACGTCACCTTACCGTACCCCTCCCCGATCCCCAACCAAGCGCTCGAATTCTTCCAACAAACTCTCCTCATCCCCGTCGCCTACACCTCGTTCAGGGAGCTCATTCATCGACACAACCCATCTCCACTCTTTCTATTCGGCCATTCTCACTCGTGGAGAGGCTGATGTGTTTAAGCCCGTCTCTCGTAGCGAGTTCTGTGACCTGGCGGGGATGCTGGAGACAGTAGGCCTTGTCTCGCTTTCGTCGTCGTCTGGTCCTTCATCACCGACCAAGGGGAGAAAGCTTGCTCGCAGTTCGTCTTTTGGTGGTGGCAGCAAGGGCTTGAAGGCCCAAGACATCAAGTTCGTGGAAGGAGTTAGGGCCGATGAAGTCCTTCGCGGCCTAGGCATCGAATTCGGGCCCCAATCGACGTCTATGCCAGTCGACGTAAAGGAGGAAGAGATCTCCGCCCTCTGGCATCGCGAGATGTCGAAAATCAAAAAGGAGTCTAGTGTTCAGCAGAGCAAAATCACTATTGTCTCGGTAAGTCCGGCATTTGACGGTTCTATGGAAGATTAGAACCTGTCCTGCTTGCTCTATCCAATGGAAAGGGACCAATGCTTGTATTTTACTTTTGGTCGTTCTCGCCATCTTCATCTCTGTTGTGCGCTTCATTCTAGCTGTTTATTAAATAGTTGTATCCTGTGCGGGCGGTCATACTCACGCCGACGTCACGACACCATGCGCATCTGTTTCTCCTTGCTCGTCCATTGCTATTCATCTCGTCGCGTTCAGAACTATGCATTCATTCTCTCGCTTTGTCCTTTCTTTTTCATTACAACGGCACGGTATACCAACTGCAATACATACAGATTCGATCATCATGGCTCCGGTGTTATAGGGCGCTCCTAGCCACCTTTCCATCCTCCGACGTCCAGCTTGGCAAGCAAGTAGTGCAAACTGCCTGTGCCGCCGGATGCCATGGGAGAACCAGACGTCACTCCTTGCAAGTAAGCGAATTCGATGGGTAGATGAGACGACGAAGATCCTTTGTCGATCATCATTTTCAGTACTTTCACCTGCAGATCTATCTTAGAAGGGTCCACACGATCGAGATCCAGAAAATGCTTACTAGGGTCGTCATTTTCTCCGTATACGAAGAGAAAAGATCCTCCAAGACTGGCTGAGCCTTGTACTCTTCGATCCTGCCCCTCCGTAATTCCCCTGCCAGGATGCAGAGGTCGAGCACCAACTCTAGACATCCTCTCAGCAAGTCTCCGGCGGCGCGCTGCCCGGAACGTAACAGGCAGGCGCTCAGTATATCGTCAAGCACAGAAGAGTGTAAATCGGCCAAGACGAAGACATCTGAGAATCGCCCAGAAGCGGAGGTTGTGGGCGAAACATCGAGTTGTGCTAGGAAGGCATCAAAGTTACCACGGATGGCCGTGTCAAAAACGTAGGATGATAGGGCTTCGACGAAAGCTTGAGCCATGAAGCGGAAGCGCAGGAGGAGTTTGTTCGCAGATGAGAGTGTCGAGAAGAGCGGATTGGATATTTTTCTGGTCATGCGGAAAAGAGTGCTGGATGCACTTTGAACTTCAAATGATACAGTTTCATGAAAAACATCGTCTGGGACAAGGAAACATGCACTTACCGCGCATGAGGCGCAGAATGAATGAGAAGACACGTTGATACTTCGACAATACATCTGGCGTTAGCAAGACGTCGAGGGGGTGCGGTGGCTTGTAATCCATGTAAAGGAAGTCTAGAGACTCGATTGCTACAAAAGGCTCCTTTAGTCTCTTGAATTGAAAAATCAAAAGAAACTCACAGCAAGGATTAAGCCATCTCTCGCGACCTGTACCAACAGGAAGGTCGCGAATTGCGAATCCAAGCCTATATTCTGCCTCTACGAAGATCCTCTTGTTTTCGTCGCTATCCTCCGTGTGTTCATTGTTGTCAAAGCGCTCCAGACCGTGAAGCGACTCCAACGAATCCATGATCACTGTCCTCAGATAGAAGCCTAGATCAGCACCCCCAGGGGGCCACGAGTCTCTCTCCGCCAGTCCCAGTCCCAGTCCAACTGCCCACGGCCCAGTGCCTTCCTCAGGCTGCCAACCACTTTCGGGGCCGTCTCCCGAAGGGGTTTTGGCTCTCCTCAGCCTATGCATCGAAGATTTTTTAGCAAGTGCTCGCGTCTCACTCCCTTCGAACCGCCAATTGTCCTCATCCGAAAATAACGCGCCTTGTAGACGCGCCTTGAATATGGGAGATGTGAGAAGAAGATATGAGCGGAGGAGCGAGAGATGAGCATGTAAGTTCAGATATGATGAGCGTGAAAGGAAAAGGCTGAGCAAGGCACCAGAAAGAGCGTAACAGTGCTCGAGAAGAGGGGAGATGACCAAGGAAGTCAGGTGAGGGAGGGTTGGCGTTATCGTCGGCAAACCCTTGGGAAATGTAGAAATAAATTGCTCCAGATGACGGTTCGGATGCTGTGATGAAGGCGAAGGTGCAACGAGATGGGCGCCAGGCTCAAGGTCGAATACTTGAAACTGTGAAAGCACGTCTTGGTCAGAAGCCACTGGCTCGTGTTGGTTCACAACGCCGTCTTCTTCCTGATGTTGGTGATCAGTGGAAAGTTCGCACCGCTCTCGGTGGGTCCAGGCGGCCTGGACGTCCTTGTCGGTCCAGAACCAAGTTATTTCTTGGTACGAAGAAACACCTTGGAGCAACGGGTGTTCAGGCTGAGCTGCACGAAGCAATTTCAGAGAATCCCTAGCTCGTATCAGGGCTTCTGTTACGTCAGAGCCCATAAAGCAAGGAAATTCTATGTCGATTTCATCTGTCTCTGTCTGCTCATCATCTTGCTCATCGTCATTTATGACCCCGAAGTCTAAATTGAGGTCTTGCGAGGTAGCCGATTTGTGAGCGTTCAAGACCACAAAATCGCGACTGTAACCAACGGACCGGCTAAGATACCGGTAATAGTCCTGGCATGTCATTGTCAGGATGTAGGCGAACATCGCGACGACACGTCGGGGGGAGCCGCGCTCAATGTGGGATTCGAGGGCGATGTAGATATCGGATAGTATCGTTTCGGCGGAAGTTGGAAGATCCCTGTAGTTCGGAGGGTATATGTCCATGTCCTGCAGATGTATTTCATTTATATATTCCACCAGTGAAACAATGCACTTACCCGTCGACACAAAGACGCAAGCGCAGCCAAGATCTGTTCATACTCATCGTGATGCATCCATGTGGCTGCTGGCGTGTCCAAGTCGTGCATTGAATCGCCGGTATTGTCGGGAAAGTCGGCTAGACCTAGTCGTGTATACTCGACACAAGAGGACAACGCGTGTATGAACGCGTGGACTGTGGGAGCGATTGTAGTGGACCTAGGCTGAGTTGAGACAAATATCAATAAGATGACATTAAAACTCACTGCCGTCGAATTGTATCTGTGAATAGCTCTAGGCGCCGTAGAAGAGTCCCAATAGACAGAAATCGACGCATAAAACTAAATTGTAGCATGAGAATGTTAGCATAAACGATTAAAGTAATCCAACCTTTCACTGATAATATCATCCTTGCCATCAATGACCAGGACACCCTGCTTCCCGGGCTCGCCACTGGTCAGGATAAACATCTCAGATGGGGAGTCCCACGCATACAAGGGAGAGGAAGTCCCAATCAAAATCATTTTGATAGACTTCAATACCTCCGACACAGTTGCGTGAATTATGTACGTCTGTGTATCATGAATGCGAGGGTTGACGCTTGGTCGTGTCAAAGTTAATAAAGTCCAATCAAGAGGGTGTACTGACTGATAACGTGCGGATGAGAATACGCGGTTGCTCTGATCTGACAAGAAAGGTCCCGGGGATGCTAATTGAACAAATGAAGCGCGAAGAGAATCCCATGATTTGATGTAGCTCTATGATCAAATCGTATACAACCGTCTACAAATGGACACCAGATACCTTGAGTTGGCTTACCTGGTTTGTTGAGCTTGCCGCTGCCGCGTGGGCCCAGATGTTATGAGATTTATCAGAGTCAGAAAGCCATAGATCTGTCAAAGCTATGACCTCAGGGGGCAGAAGCTGAGGATCTGCCAAATGCCTCTGAGCGCTCTGAGTGAATCTCAAGGTGTCCATGATAGGATCTTGAGGCTTGTCTGCCAGTCTAGGAACAGAAAATGCGGGGAATATAGGTGGTAGCTCATAGCTTTCTGAATCAGGTGGATAATCTAGAGGAGGAAGTAGGGGAAAAGGGTCGGACATGTTCTCGTCGATGATAGTTTGAGGTCAAGTGGCAGACCTAACCCTACACCATGGTTTGACGCGTCGCGTCAACCATGAGCGCGTCGTAGTCTCCTCAGCAGACTGACAAATAGCCATGACGAATCAAAGGGGTAGGTCCCGACGAGTAAAGGTACGAAGGAGTACCGTGATTTGGTCTCAGACAGAAATTATAGTGAGTGACGACTGAAATTTCATGTCATGCCGAACGATATATCATTGCACAGAACTTCTCCATGCTGGAATCTCTACATCGAACCACTCTGGAAGCCTATTCCAAAAGTCCTGCCTCGCGGCATCAACGGCGGCCGCAAACTCGATCCTACATGCGTCGCATGCACGAAACTTATTTGATAGTCGTGGACCAATAGTAGCTGCATCGTTGCTTTGAAGGTTGAAGCCTTCGCCCATCGCAAACAGCGGATCCGAGGTGCGGTTGCACACCACGCCGTTGACGTCGCGAAGTAATTCGATGGTGATGTTCTCGAATGCGATCTGGCATTTTTTCTTCCTCTCGAGATCATCGGCATTGCTATTATAGCACCAGCGTGAGGGGGGACGGCCTTCGAGCTCGTTGACGATGAAGGTGGAGAAGAAGCGGGAGGCAAGCTCACGGCCCTGTAGGAGTCGAACTAGATCTTCATGCGAGAGCTGGTGGTGAGATGACGACGAATCCAAAAATCCCGCCGCTACAGAGCTAGGTAGCTGACGAGAAAGGTCGTAAAAGGCCGAGGGAAGGAGTTGTAGCACATCAACCTCGCGCGCAAGGTTGATGATCATTCTTCACAGAGACAAGTCAGAAAATGAGGCAAGTCGTAGTATCTGTGAGCCATACATAGGATTAAGTGAACTATCACTGAGCGAGAAAAGTCTGCTCGTTGAAGACGTTCCGAACTCCTTGTGATCCCATTGGTCCAAAGTAAGAGGCCAGCTCTTGAGTAGCAGAGTAACCGTTTCTAGGCGCAAGCGTGTAGTTTGATACTTTGTGGAAAGCCGAAGGAGAACTGTTAAGGTCTGAAAATCATTTACTTCCTCGTGGATAGTCGACCTACGGTCCCGCGTCATCAGCATCATCACGCCCAGTCCTACGGCATACACCTACAGGCCATCATACAAGGCGGATAGTAATATGAACATGTCCTTCGGCGATTCTTGGACGGAGAACACGGGCCTGCCTTCCAAACGGTCGTTGGTATTCAGGCGATTTCCGGCGTCGAAATTTGAGGGATTGAGGAGCTGGTCAAGATATGAAGAATGATGACTGAGGACGCCCCAGTGCACTAGAAAATATGACTGTTCGGCGAGAATTGCCAGATTTCCATCCTCAAAGCAAAGAGAGGGGTAACGGCTGATGGGTGGTAGCTTCGCCTGCGAGTCTACCTTCAGTGACACGTTATAGCCATTGGAGCTGAGGCCATTCAGTTTGTCCGTGGTGAAGGGAGCGACCATATGAGACGAAGATCAAAAAAGCGAGCAGGAAGCGGGGGAAGGAGAGATCTGAGACGGTCCCGCGAGTGATATATAGAGCATAGCGTCTCAGCTACTGGTCTAAGACATCATTCGCCCCAATGCTTAGACAGTCGGAATTTGAAGGCCTTTATGCCTTGATGAATGAATAATTCCACGTTCGATATTCAAAAGGACGCCCATTCCGTACCGATCGCCAGTTCGTCTGTTATGGCCTGACGCTATCAAGGTCGTGGGGTAGAAGACATCTTTGACACAACCAGCATAGATCCACGAGATACGATGGCGAATCTTCTGGATAAGCGATGCCTCATGTCCACCTCGAAAGAAGCCCCTGGATGCGACTCAAGTACAGATACCTTCTGACCCATTCCATTGCACAGGCCGGGGCAGTGGAATTAAGACTGATTAAGCCAAAGATGCCTGCATCAACCTGTGAGAAGGGCGTAAATAGCTAGAGACGACACCGCGCTCACTTTGATTCTAGCTGCTATTATGTGAATCCAGAAAGCTCGCTGCACCTACCCTTTATACTACTGAAAGTCTTTGAAGGAGACGTTCTATCAAGTTCAATCACAGTGCGATGTCTGACGAGCTGCCGCATCAAGTACCCTTTCGATCGCAGAAACCACTGGCATTGCCCTGAAATAATCCCACCTTTCTTTACATCATGATAGGCATCTCTATGGGATCGCGCGAATACGTGAGGCGTCGAACAATTTGTATGAGAGGTTTATTGACGTAGATTCATGTCGGGAGCGTGAGAACAAGTGGTGTGCGGGGGTTCCGAGGCTCTTTGAACGCTGTCACTTCGGCGCGTCCTTCTCCTGTTGAACACCTCAAGACCAATCTCTCCAGCTCATCTCTATCTTACCCTCTTGGTCTTTCCGTCAAACAGAAAAATGGCCGATTCTACTCAACGCATCGTCCCAGGCGCACCGCCTCTTCCTCCTATTTCGAAGTCACAAAAGAAGAAGCGCAAGTCTGTTAAGGTGAAGGATGGGGAGTCCCCCATCGTGGAATCCATCGCTATCCCAGATTCTACCTCTGCGGCTCTTGAAGACAAGGCTCCTCAGGAGTCTGACACCAAAGAAGGGTCTATCGCGGAGGAGCCTCCTGTACAACCTCCGACAGCGAATGGAGTGCATCCCCCAATTGAAACGGCTCTCCTCAGCCCAGTGGTCGATATCATATCAAAGCGTTTGAAGGTCACCACCAAGAAGATTGTGAGTGATTTCCACTGTCGAGGCCCTCTCCTCGTAAAATAGGATAAATATCAAAATTTGCTCCCTCTAGTCGCGCATTCAGAGTTATGCGTCGACGGATCCCGCAAAACTCAACGACGACCAAAGGCGGACGCTGAAAACCCTTCCTTCGCTTGAATCCGTTGCCAAAGAGCTCGAGGAGCTGAAAAAGGCAGTGGAGGTAAGCTTGCTTACATTGTGGACAGCCTCGCGCTTCATAAGTCCCTCTCTCTAGGTACATGAGGCTGAGCTGGCCGGCGAGCTTGCTGCAAAGCTCGCTGCAACAGAACAGGCGGCTGCTCTGCGTATCGCAGAGGCTGTTGCAGAGGCACAGGTGCGTTTTTCATTTTCCTGTCATTGGCATAGCAGAGCTAACGAGGACGACAGAGCGCACACTCCGCAAAAACCTCATCAATTCTTAGCTTCCTCCGCCTTCGCTCGCTGCTTGCCGATCGCCATCCTTCAGTTTCATCGCTGGCAGTCGACGATTCCGAGGCCGCAGCGATTTTTGCCGCCGCTGACCATTTACTCGCCGACGAGAGCGAGCTCAAGCAAGAGTTAATCAGTGGTCTTTTGTCTGGAGAGGGCGACTTCCAGACTATTCCCTGTGAGTTCATGACACATTTTCAAAGTAAGGACAAATTCATCATCTTCGTGTTTATCCCCACTAGATGTTCGATTCTTGGATCTCACACAATCTTCCCTCAACCCACCTGAGGAAGCAGCTCCCATCGATGAACCAGTTCCAGAACAGCCTGAGGTGCCTACAGAAAGCGCACCAGAGGTCGCCGTCGCTGGCGCAAATGGTGTTCCGTCTACCTCTGCAAGCTTCCACTTCATGCAAGAAAGCGAGTTGGAGAATGCTACAACTGAAGGCAATCAAGATTGGGTTGAAGTCCCTCGTACTGAGGATGGTCCTGCTCTTGCGGAAGTGACTGCCACGATCACCGAAGTATATGTCGCTAACGATACGATTGTGGAGCAAACCGTGACAATCACAACTGAGCCAGTTGCAGAGGTTCGTCGGTGCTCGCGGCTGACCTTTTTCAACCGTCTCAAATGATATCCTTTTGTGTGCGACGTAGGTCCCGCCCTCTGGTACAGGCAACATCGACTGGGCAGACGACGAAGGCGACCTTCCCCCTATTGCGGGCTTGCACGCCAAGTTTGGTACATCGGAGTCACCGTCGCCGGTTGAAGCGCCTGCTCCTCAGGCGCCTGCCAATCATGCTCCGGCCGCTGTGAACGGGGATCGCGTCGTCGATGACGATGGTTTCACTCAGGCGAGAGGTGGCAGGGGGCGTGGGTTCCGCGGAGAACGTGGAGAACGTGGGCACAGAGGAGGACGTGGAGGCGAGCGTGGGGGATTCCGTGGTGGGGACCGTGGTGGCAGGGGAGGCTTCCGGGGTGGTGACCGTGGTGGTAAGCGACTGCTTGGAATGACTCTGTAATCTCTCACTAATCTGATCTACTCGCTATAGGTTTCCGTGGTCGGCACAATGGCGAGTGGAGAGGTGGTGATGGTGAACACCGTGGCGGGCGAGGAAGGGGTGGTGGACGCGGACGTGGACGAGGTAAGTCGCCACCTGGATCCAACCTGCCTCGAGAATCGATTATTGACAAAAGCACATTCTTTTTTAGGCTTCCCAGATAACCGAGATGGTGCTCGAGCTCCAATCCCTGCCTGAGGCGATTTGTAATTCTTTTCCAGGCGGGGAGTGCAGTATCATCTAAAAGGCGCCGCGCCACTGCCAGCTGCTTCTTTTCAACTTCTTGCAGAGATATGGATTTTCGATTGCTTTCATTATTCGTCCATTTGTTTGCTATATGTCGCTTTTTCGCGTTCTGCGGCTAGTACTACTCATCGGTTTACTCATCTTGGCGTCGGTGTACATTATTGGTCGCTGTCTGCGGGGTGTATGTATGTGCGGCGAAAAAAGTTACATCCCTTTCCATTCGCTTTCCTCGCCCTTGCGGCGCATTGAATGAAGACCGAAGTGCTTGATTCAGAAGTCCGGAGCGCGCTCTGGTTTCGAACCGTTCTCATGTGCGCGGTCCAGACCATGCCGTGTTTCCCACATAAAAGAAGCGATTCTTTGCCGGTGACCATGCCGTGGGTCGACAAATGGTAGATAGCAATTGCGATGGCGCATCCCTAGCCAATGAACACCTCGTCTGCGGGAAAGGGTCGGCCTGAAGCTGGGCGATACGGGACGAGTTTTTGAGGAAATTTCCGATGGCCCCGCACGCGCAACATCTGTCGGATCCAGCTCAGCCACCGCACCGATAAATAGAAAGGTACCTGCAGCGCGCCGCACCGAGGCCATCGCACAGCACCACGTCGACGCTCCACGCATCGGTCTTGCCCCTCGCTTCCTCCTCGCTCCCTACTTTCTCCCCCCGTCCCCAGGATCAGTCAGGCTCGCCTGCTCGAAGCAGCTGTTTAGAGCGTCCTCTCGCACACGTTTGGTTATAATCGGACTCGGATAGCTTTGGACCTCGCGTTTAGCCCATGCACCACCCCTCCATTGCCATCGGAGTAATTTCATCATGACATCCGAGCAGCAGCAGTCGTCGAAGGTCAGCACAGGCGACTCCGTGTCGACCGCGCCTGCATCAGAGCCGGCGAAGGCCCCCGCACCGTTTTTGAGCCCGCAGATTTCGTCGTATTTCATCGCGGGCGGCGTCGCTGGCGCTGCCTCGCGGACGGTCGTCAGTCCTCTGGAGAGGCTGAAGATTATCCAGTGAGTCGTTATCCCCGCTTGTTGTGCGCGCCTGCAGGACGTGCTCTTCGGTCTTGTCGGCGCTTTTCTCAACTGGCTCGAATAGGCAGGTGCAGCCGCGGACGGGGGACGCGAAGCAGTATAAGGGCGTGTGGAGCAGCTTGGTGCGGATGTTCAAGGAGGAAGGGTTCAGGGGATTCATGCGGGGCAATGGGATTAATTGCGTGCGGATCATCCCGTACAGCGCTGTTCAGTTTACGACGTACGAGCAGCTGAAAAAGGTACGTTAGAGAGCCCAATAGGCCCTCTCGGTCGTTGACGCGTTTTTGTTTTTGGACAGTGGTTCACGCAGAATGGAGCAAGGGAATTGGACACCCCAACACGGCTGGTTAGTGGTGCGCTAGCCGGGATCACCTCTGTCTGTGAGCGCTTTCCGTCTACACCAGTACAGGCTGCGATACAACTGAACCCGTTGAAGGCACAACATACCCATTAGACTTGATTCGCTCACGATTATCCATCGCGACGGCGTCCATCGTCTCTTCATCTCCATCTCCTACCCCATCCTCCGCCGCCGCACCTGCCCAGCCTGCGCTGGCCTCCGCATACCACACGTCCTCAGCAGCATCGTCCGCCGCCCTCCGTTCACGATCAGAATTGACGATGTGGGGCATGACTCTGAAAGTCATCCGCGAAGAGGGCGGCGTGCGGGCGCTCTACCGCGGTATGGTCGCGACCGCGACGGGCGTCGCGCCGTACGTCGGGATCAATTTTGCTTCTTACGAGCTGCTGAGGGGCATCGTCACGCCGCCCGGCAAGAGCAGCGTGGTGCGGAAGTTGAGCTGCGGTGCTCTGGCAGGTCCGTCTTTGTTCTCTATATATGTCGCTGTCGCTGACGGCGCACGAATGATGCCCGTCTGGTTGATCACAGGTGCGGTGTCGCAGACGATCACATACCCCTTCGACGTTGTCCGGCGCAAGATGCAGGTTTCAGGGATGAGCTCGAGTGCTTTGGGATACAAGTACAGCAGCGCGATCGATGCGACGCGGAGCATCATCCGGAACGAGGGCGTGCGAGGGATGTACCGCGGGCTGTGGCCGAACCTCCGTGAGTGGCTCTCTCTGTTCTGCGGGGGAATCGAGCTGATCGTGTTCTTCCCACAGTCAAGGTCGCGCCGAGTATCGCCACGTCTTTCTTCACGTATGAGCTGGTGAAGGAGTTCCTGCTCGGGCCGTGAGAGGGTTGTTGGTGGTCACACTTATTTTGTACCGTTGGCGTCGCTGTTGTATAGAGGGCCTGTTGATCTAGGATCACTTAATTATGAACGAGTGCCGGAAATTACATGTCCAGGGAGGGTGGCAGGGGAGTGTCACGGTCGCTGACGGGAAGGTGGAGCCCAGGGGCACGGCGGGCCGAAATGAAAGAGTGTGGCCGCACGGCTTCTTCCGGCGGACACGACGACGGGCGGAGGACGGCGACGGTTCCCTGCACACACAACGCCTCTGTTCTCCCCACACAACAGAGCAGAAAGAAGTATATTGATGCACTCGCTAGGGGCTCGGCGGTAGGGGCTCGAGCATTACTCCTTTTTGATACGATCAAAAGGGCGTGACCTCCCCTTGCACCGTCACCCACCGTCTCGTTGTTGCCTCGCTACACCCGCATTGCCTCGCGCTGCCCCCTCGCCCGTTTCCAGCACCGCAGCACCCCAGACTCTCTGCCAGGCTTAGCGCCCCGCCCAATATCATTCGGATTCACTGTCTATCAAGATTGCAGGTCACATCCTCACGACACATTCCTATATCTATCAATTCTCTTTCTATTCCCCCTCCTGACCGCTTGCCATGCCACATTGTCCCATCGAGGCAGCCCAGACCGGCATCATGCTCTCTTCTGTATCCTCGACATCCCTTTCCAGCTCGCTCTCGTCATCCGCAGGCGACTCTGTCCTCCTGCCCGCTGCCCCTGCATCAAACTCGAGCCAATCCGATATCATTACCCCCGATCACTCTGTCTCCTCTTCATCCACAAAGCATCTCTTCCCCTCGGGCGCTGCCCCAGCCCCTCGTTCCTCCTCCCTCCCATCTTCCATGGGCCAGATACTCTCTCGCCCCATCCCTTTCAACTCACCATCACAGAGTCCCCCACCTTCACCATCGAGAGGCACATCGTCCACCAACAGCACGGGCTCGAGGCTCAAGCGAGTCTTCGCAGGACGCAGGAAAAAATCAGAAGATGCATCGCTAATATTTAGCACAGCGCAGCCTGCGAAATCCAAGACTCAAGACTGGCCGCGGACTGAGCCTTTTGATCCAGTTCAGAAAGGTTCGGGCTTGACACCTACTTCTAACGGCAAGCCCGGACCAAGTCATGTTCCCCAAGTACAATCACCTTCCGCGCAGGCCGATAGCCGCCCGATGTCGTCGCCCTCTTCCCCAGATTTTTCTGGCGTTCCACCCACACCGCCACCCAAACCTCTGCATAGGCAGATGCCACTCAAGCCGCAGCTCTCACCGTCTCCCTCCCCGCGTGCCGATCAGCGAGGTACCTTCATGATTTCAAGCACAAGCATCGCTCCGGCTCTGGAGTACATCACCGAGAACGAGAAGGCAAGCGACATACCTGTTGCCATGAGTAGATCTCCGCGCGAGAAGAAGGATCAGGAAATGGAGAAGTCCAAACAAGAGTGGAGGAAAAGTGACGCTACGACGACGAGCTATCATACGGTACGCCCCAGATCCGCCACCGCAAGTGGGACTCGCACCCCTCGCCCCGTGTCCATGGCCGAATCTTTGCATTCTACGCACACCGTCGTCCCTACCAACAAGAGGTTGAGTGCGATCATCACCGAGGCGGAATTTACGATGCCAGAGGAATCCGTGGAGTCCGGATATTCGACTAGCCCGCCCGCAGACCCATTGGGTAGAAAGACTTCACCTTCAGGCTCGTTGAGCGCGCGCAAGAGGCACTCGATCTCCATTCATTTCACTTCGCCCTTTTCGCCTGGTGTTCCCGTATCACCTCCCCATGATGTCCCCGTTAGCCACCGTAGTGTGAGTCCTCCTCCCCGACCCATGCCGATGCGAAGGACGTCCAAGTCGGACACGCCAACGTTGACCCGTGCCGCTGCGAATGGAATCATCGCGCCATCACGCAGTACTGATACCTCGCAGTCGACTGGAAGTCACATCAAAGGCCGCTTAGCCGCCTGGACAGCTGCTTCTGCTTCTGCCTCTGCGCCGACATCACCTCGTCCCATGCCTCAGCCCTCCTTACCCGTACCGCACCATCAACACGAGATCGTTCCTCCCCATTCCGTTCGCCAGACGACAACAAGCATGACAAACGGCCTGGCTCCTGCTGCTGGGTTCGCCATGGGTTTCGGAAAGCGCGCGGTGGAGAAAATGGGGCGTGCGTGGGGCAATCTGAGCTCCCATCATGGCGGCAACCCACACGCCTCATCGGCCGGAAAGCTGGGGCCCGGCTCGTTTCCGGACAACAAGCTTGGGCGCACGTCTTCCAACCAGTCTTCGTCGTCACATCTGCCGAGCACGCATGCACACCTTGGGAAAGGCAAGCAGCGGCGCACGCCCAACGCGCCTTCGGGGTCGTGGAGCATATCGTCCTCAGTTACGTCTTCGTCTGTGTCGGACTCGGACGCCTTTGGCTCGTCGCAGGGCCCCAGGCTGGGAAGACGATTACGCGGGCCTATGCGTCCAACTGGCTCTGGCGCTCCGGTTGCGGGAGGGTTGGTGTTTGGCAGAGACTTGCAGACGTGCGTGCGGAACACAGCCATTGATCCTGTGCGCCTCGCCATGACGGAGCGCAATGGACCGGAGACGTCGATAGGTGAGTGCAGTGTGTGGACGGAAGGCGCGATTGCTTATGAGTTTATATATCACCGCAGACTCTGATCTGGAGGAGCGCCTGTTGCCGGCGCTGATCGTACGCTGTGTCCAGCATCTGTCCAAATGGGGAGTCGAGGAGGAGGGTCTATTTCGGTAAGTGTCACGCCGTATCGGGGGTGACAGCCTGGCTGACAGTTCCCTCCATTCATCAGCATCAGTGGCCGCGCGTCACACATCGCAAAGCTGCGCGCAGAGTTCGACACAGGTGCGGTCACGTGACTTCCGCCTCTCTGTGTCTCTTCAATTCACTTCTGTTCCGTTACAGGGGCCGACTACTACATCGCGGAGAGCACGCCCGGAGACTTGGACCCACACGCCGTCTCTTCCATATTCAAGGCCTTCCTGCGCGAACGTACGTAGCCGCAGGAACCCTCTTATGAAGGGGCAAGGCCACTGATCTCCCCAACTCACAGTGCCTGAGCCGATCTTGACCCACGCCCTGAATCCTTACTTCGAAGCCGCCATGATTGCAGAGAACACCACGCGCAGGTCGGAAGAGAGTCCATTGAATCGGGTCAGCGTTGGCTCGAGAGGCCCAGGGCTGCCTTCTGGGCCTCGTGATGGCCCAGCTCTGCGGAAGCCGCCTTCTCTGTCCACCCTCGCGATGCCCAACTTCGCTGGCCTGCGCGCGCCCTCTGCATCTCTCCTCGCTGCCTTTACCAACCTCATCGCGCGCCTGCCCCCCGTCAACAGAGACTTGTTGCGAACTGTAACGGAGCTGATCAATGCTACCGCCCGGCGCAAAGAGACGAGGATGCCGCTGAGCAATCTGACTTTGATATTCTGTCCGAGCTTGAATATGAGTCCTCAGATTCTGAGGGTCCTGTGCGAGTCTGCCAGTATATGGAAGCCTCCTCCGCCCCCCGAGGCCGCGGAGCCGGTCACTCGCGACTCGAAAGAAAACGATGAGCTGGAGATCGCGCCGCAAGATGCAGATCACGTCGAGGAGGCTGTCCAGGACGATGATGGTAGCGAGGGCCCATCCGAGGTTCAGACGCAGACGTCTTCTTTGTCGGATGCTCCTATTGTGGCTGATCCGGGCCATGATCTGGACGGGGACGCCTATGCCCACAGCGACATCTCTTCGATTCAAGGAAGTGCCAGGATGTCGTCCACTGACGACAGCGGGTCGTACATGTCTGTATCGGAAGCGCGTCGATTCACTCTCCGGGGCGGCGTCGGTCCACTGTACAACCCCCATTCTCCTCCCCCGCTCTCGTCATCGGCGGAATCGTTGATCACTCCATCGACATCTTCCGAAGGCGCCCCGTTCCCTCAGCCAGTGCTCCTCGCCCCTGATGACGACGATCCATCGACGTCGAAGCGCATCTCATCATCTCACCCCGCGATCGTAGACCTCGAGAACCCGTCTATGATACCCTCAATACACCGCATCAGCCCACCCATCACCTTCCCCACCTCTGAAAGCACGCCCGCGTCGCCCGTCTCCGTGCGGCACTCCAGTCATCTCGTGTCTCTGTCCCCCTCGACGGCGGACGCGCATGGGCCGCCGCTCGCGCGCACGAATTCGAAATTGGCGCGGGGCAAGCGTCCGTCGCTGACCGCCCTCTTCTCGAAGCGCTCCATGTCGTCCCTGCGCTCCTCGAAGGCGCTGCCCGCGACGCCGTGCGACGTCCCCATCCCGACCCCGTCGTCCCGGTACAGCGGCATCCCCGTGTCCCCGACCTCGTCCGGGACGCCGTCGACCCCCCTGTCCGCGACCGCGTCGATGGTCACCGCGCCGTCGGGCAGCACGTTCGACCTGCCGCCCGTGCTGAACATGAGCCTCGAGACGTCGCCGCTGAACGTGGTCTTCGGAGGCGGAGGGGAACGCAAGGCAGACGCCGCGTCGCCCAGGGAGAAGGCCAAGGCGCTGAGTGCCCCGGCGTCACGCGACAGATCGGCGAGCCCCCACCCCGCCGTCACCTCCATCCCGCCCTCGCCCCACACGGGCCCTGCGTCCCACGCGTCCCCGCCGTCCGCGACCCCCACCGCCACGCGCGATCCGCCCAAGGCACCGCCGCCGGCAGCGCTCCGCGCCCAGCTCTCCACCGCGTCGCTCGCGTCGATGTCGTCCTCGTCCTCGTCGTACAATAGGCTCAGCCTCTGGGACGACGCGCAGGACACGGCGCCCGAGGAGGACTGGGCGAGCAGCGTGCTGAGCGCGGCGGACGCGGGCTGGGCGGCGGCCGCGTCGGGTAGTCGTGGGCATCGCGGGCGGATCTGAGTGGCTGCCGTGCGCCGCGAGCGTGGGGGGCGGTTTTGGTTGGTGTTGGTGTTGTTGTTGGTGTTGGTGTTGTTGGAGTATCTTTATTCGCGCCGCGGGGCGCTGCGTCGGTCCCTGCGGCCGCAGTGCGATACATCTTCGTCTCGTCCCATCTTGCTTGCTTGCTTACCCTTTCTTTTCCACTTCATTTTTCTTGTCGCCATATGCCGCCGCCGCCGCCGCCGCCGCTGCGGCGCTTCTCGGTCGCGTGTGATTGCTCGCGCCCTCGACTCCCATCCCGCTCGTTTAGAATTCCTCCGCTCGTTCAAAACTCTCGCTCTCCCCACCCCGTCGGCGCCGCAGCATCTCACCCGACGCGACCGACTGACCAGTCCGCGCGCCGGCTCCCATGCTTTCTCGCATCCGCACGCCACCCACTCCCATCGACCCCTCCGCCGAATACATATACACATACCGGCCTCGCAGGCACCCCCGCGGGCCAAACCATCGAAACGCTCCCCGCACACATACCTTAACTTGCTCGGCTTCCTTCTCTAACGCCTATTTTCCAACCCCGAGTCCGCTCGCTTCGCGCTTGTGCATATTATACCCCCAACAACACGACCCCTTTTCCCCCATACTCGCAATGGTTCGATGTTCCGCGTTCGACGACCGACGTTCGTGCGTACGGTCTGCTTTGTGGCTGGAGATTTGCTTTTGCTTTTACACACAGGCTCGAGAGCACCCTTGTTTTACTTATATCGCGATGCGTCATGATGCTGCTGTTTACGCTTCACTCTATTGTCCGGACATGCCGTTCTTGTATTTTTTTTCTCTATACCTTTTTTTTGATTGATTTGATTTTTTTTTACTTTCTCTTTATATCGCTGCGACGTGGATGAATAAATCGAGTTGATCTCAGGTCGTTTGTGTATAAGTGCGTGCGTGTGTGTGAATGGGGCTCGAAGATCATGACCATTGGGGAGGTTGGGTGTGTGGGGGGGGAGTTCCGGTACGGCTGCCTATGGCCTACGCACAGTGTGTGGTGTGATGTGTAGTGTAGCGTCTTCTTGGTATAATACGTACTATGATCGCGATCGCGCGCGGGGTCCACCGGATAGGAGTGTGAGCAACGAAGTACTGGGCCCCTGGAGATAGCGAGCAGACACACGACCGCACAGGAGATGCGTCGAGACTAGACCTCCTGTGACCAGGTCTCCTCGCATGCCCGACCGGCGGGCACGATCCTGTGACCAGGTCTCCTCGGGTGCGCGCCGGTCGGGCAGGCGGTCGAGTCAAGCCGCGCTGCGCTGCACCTCGAAGAGGGACGCGGCGAGGTCGGCGACTTCGCCGCCGAGGGCGTGGAGGGCGCGGACGATGGCGGCGTGGAGGTCCGCGGGGAGGCCCTCCGGGGCGCGCGCGTAGATGTCGAGGCCGGCCGGGGTGAAGAGGGTCTTCTCGAAGAAGGTGACTGCCCAGGAGGGCGGGGCGTCGGCAGCGACGGTGGGATCGGGGCCGGTGCCGGGACTGGGACTGGGACTGGGGACGGGGCTGTGGTAGCCGAGGAGGTGCCAGCGGGAGGAGGCGATGATCAGGAGGCCCTTTCCGCGCCACTTGAAGCGGGTGGGGGAGGCGGGGTCGAGGGTGTCGACGCCGAGTACGCGGGAGGGCCTGGAGGAGGCGGAGGCGGCGATGGAGCGGTATTCGACGAGGTCGTTTATTCGCGTCGGACGCGGTGCGGAGGAGGAGGGCGAGGAGGGCGAGGGGCCCGGTGTGGTTGTTATGGGAGCGTAGGAGATCGTCACGTCTTTCTTGTCCTGCCGGGGGCGGCTGAGCGCGCTGATGGGGACACGGGGCTGGGTGGACGGGAGACTGACCTTCCATAGCGGGAGCGTCGAGTGCGTGACGTGCCTGCGAAGGGGTCAGGCTGGGGTTCTGCGCAGATCGTCGACGCGTCGCGGGAGGGGAAGACGGACCAGGTGCCCATGAGGCCCTCCAGCTCGAAGGCGGGCGAGAACGTGGGTGCGTTCGGCGCGTTGAGGTGCACGGCCATGCTGGCGCAGATGAAGTTCGGGAGGTCTGCGGGTACCCGAACAGGTGCGCGTCGCCAGAACAGGCAACTGACGTCACCGTTTCGAGCGCGAGATGCGCGCAAAAACATAAGAGTTCGACGGTGAGCCCCCTTCTTGACCTGGCCGTGGGCTGTGCTCGCTGGGGCGCGGCGTCGCTTCCAGGTGAAGTCTCCCAAAATAAAAAAATACAAGCATGATGCTCCCGCTGCAGAGGCTGGAGGGACGCGATTTGAGCGGGGAGATAGCGACGTCATCGCGATATGGCTGCCGGTTCCGTTATAAACCCACTCGAACACGGGAGCCACTTGCGGCGCTGCAGGTCTTCGCCTCTCCCCCCCCCCTTGTCCACCGACCACCATGTCCGTCAGAAACCTCCAGCAAAAGCTCTTCAGGGCACAGCCATCCGCAGACTCCCCGCCGCGCTCCGACCCTTCGCTCTTCATCCAGATTCCAAAGCCAACCCCACCCACCCCCGTTCGCCAGCCGCCCAAGTCGTCCAAGCACCCCTCGGACACCGACGCGTCCCCCAAGGTCAAGCAGGAGCAGGCCCCGCAGACGTACCGCGAGAAAATACGCGCCCAGCTCGGCGCGAACTACCACAGCGTCGAGCGCCATCGGCTCGATCAGGACGAGAAGAAAGAGCGGCACTGGAAGAGGTGGGGCCCCTACCTCTCCGACAGACAGTGGGTGCGTCGTGTTTTCTCCATTCGCGCTGTCGTACCTCTCACTCGGGTTCTGCGCCAAGGCCACCGTTAGGGAGGATTATTCGGACAACGGCGACGTGTGGGCGCACTTCCCGCACGAACAGGCCCGCTCCCGCGCGTACCGCTGGGGCGAGGACGGCATCGCAGGCTTCAGCGACAACCACCAGCGGCTGTGCTTCGGGCTCTCCTTGTGGAACGAGAACGACCGCATGCTCAAAGAGCGTCTTTTCGGCGTGTCGGGCCCCCAGGGAAATCATGGCGAGGACGTCAAGGAGCTGTACTACTATCTGGACTCCACCCCGACGCACTCGTACATGAAGTTTTTGTACAAGTACCCCCAACGCGCCTATCCCTACGACGAGCTGGTTCGCGAGAACCAATATCGTGGGCGCGAGGTCGCGGAATACGAGCTTCTTGATACTGACGCCTTGGACGAGGACAGGTACTGGGATGTGTTTGTCGAGGTAGGCCATCGGTGTCCGTGCATTTGGCGATCGCTCACGGTCGTTGCGATAACAGTACGCAAAAGACGAGGACGATCCTAACAATGTATACATACGGATCACGGCATACAACCGGGGCCCCGATCCAGCGACGCTGCACATCATCCCTCAGCTGTGGTTCCCGAACACCTGGTCGTGGCCTCTTCCCACCCCTCCCAAACCCTCTCTCTCCGCCACGACGAACAACAGGATCACCGCGGTCCACAAGAAACTGGGCAAGACGCATCTATACTGCTTCCCGTCCCCACCTCCCGTCGGACCCGACGGTGAACCGGCCAGCAACGGCAGCGAAGGTGGGGACGATGCGGACGTCGCGGTAGAACCCGAGTTGCTCTTCACGGAGAACGACACGAACTTCAAGCGTCTCTGGGGCGTACCCAACAAATCGCCGTATGTGAAGGACGGATTCCACGACCACATCGTCCCTGCGCACCGTCCCCCGTCTGTCAACAGTCATATGAAAACCAATGGAAATAGCCACAACGGCAACGGCAACGGCAACGGCCATGGCAATGGCAATGGCACTTCCTCAGGTTCCTCGTCCGACGAAGAGCGGGGCCCGCCGACCCCTCGTTCGGAACCTATTTTCGTCAACCCAGCCAAGACGGGCACGAAGTCCGCCGCGCACTACACCTTCACCAACGTGCCCGGCAAAGGTGGGTGCGCCGTCGTGCGCATGAAGCTCACGCCGCAGACGCCGCAGAAGGACCCGACGCTAGAAGATGAGGGGCTGTTCGACGACGCGATTGAAGAACGCCGGTTGGAGTCGGACGAGTTCTATGGGACGCTCGTGCAGGCACCCATGAGCGACGACTTGCGCGCGATCATGCGGCAGGCGCTGAGCGGGATGATGTGGACGAAGCAGTACTATCAGTTCATTCCTAAGGACTGGTTGGAGGGCGACGCCGCACAGCCGCCTCCTCCGCCGGAGAGGAAATGGAGGACGAGCAACAGGGTAAGCGCTATACTGAGAAGGCTTTACTTCGCCGCTCACACGCATACATGGACGCAGGAGTGGAAGCACTTCCATGCCGCCGACATTCTGTCGATGCCAGATAAGTAAGCCGCCCGCTCTTCGCGTCGTGGTTTTCTGCCCTTGCTGACGGGCAGCACCCATCGCCAGGTGGGAGTATCCTTACTTCGCGGCCTGGGACAGCGCGTTCCACTGCATCCCCCTGGCGGCGATCGACCCCGCGTTCGCGAAGAAGCAGCTGGACCTGCTCACACGCGAGTGGTACATGAAGCCCGACGGGCAGATCCCCGCGTACGAGTGGAACTTCTCGGACGTGAACCCGCCCGTCCACGCGTGGGCGACGTTCCGGGTGTTCAAGATCGAGCGCAAGATGTATGGAAGGGAGGACCTGCCGTTTTTGGAGCGCGTGTTCCAGAAGCTGCTGCTCAACTTTACGTGGTGCGTGCGGTTCTGTTTTCGTTGATATTCGTGTTGTCATTTTTTTTTTCTACCGTGTCGCTGTGCTCGGTGATGCGGTCGGTGATGCTGACGGGCTGTTGTTTTAGGTGGGTCAACCGCAAGGACGAGGCGGGTTCGAATGTGTTTGAGGGCGGATTCCTTGGGCTAGACAATATCGGTGTCTTCAACCGGTCGGAATCGCTTCCGACGGGTGGAAAGCTTCGACAAGCCGATGGAACGGCCTGGATGGCGTTCTACTGTCTCAACATGTGAGTCCTTCCTTGTCACACGGCGGCAGTGAGACGATGTTGATGCCATGTATGCAGGTTGAGCATGGCCTTGGAGCTGGCGAAACATAACTCCGTATACGAAGACATTGCTTCCAAGTTCTTCGAGGTGAATTCTCATCATCAGTCCTCTGAGATCGTTGAATTTGACGATCGTGGCGCTCGTAGCACTTTATCTTCATAGCCGATGCCATGACCTATAGCCAGGGCGAGAGCACCCAGAGCCTGTGGAACGAGAAGGACGGCATGTATTACGACGCGATCCAGTGGGGCCCGAACAACGCGATGCAGCTTCCCGTTCGAAGCCTCGTTGGCTTGATCCCGCTGTATGCTACGTTGACTTTGGAGCCGTCGGTCGTCGACAAGCTGCCTGGGTTCAAGAAGCGGATGGAATGGTTCATCGACAACCGGCCCGAGGTTTCGGGGAGGAACATGGCGAACATGAAAGGTGCGGAATGTCCGCGCTGCGATGTTCGCGTCCTGACGGGGATTTTGATGATTCTTAGCGCGCGGCCGCGGTGAACGATTCCTCCTGGCTCTCGCGAGCAAGGAGCGTCTCGTCAAGATTTTGGAGAAGATGTTGGACGAGGACGAGTTCCTCAGCGAGCACGGCATCCGATCGTACGTCACCGCTGAGGGGAGCTATTTCTGGAGGAGGCCGGTTGCTGACACGTCTTTGATCGCTTCGCAGCTTGTCTAAAAAGCACAAGGACCACCCGTGGGGTATGGATGTCAACGGAGAGCGCCACGAAGTCAATTACTGGCCCGGGGAATCGAAGTCCGGGATGTTTGGTGGAAATTCCAATTGGAGAGGCCCGATATGTAAGCTCTCGTTGCACCCACCGTTCGTTCGCTGGATCGTCTGACCGCTGCCGTTGCGTCGGGAACAGGGCTCGCGGTCAACTTCCTGCTCATCGAGAGTCTGCAGCGGTTCCACCAGTATTACGGGGACGACCTGCAGGTCGAGTGTCCGACCGGCAGCGGCGAGTACATGAACCTCGTGGGCGTCGCGGAGGAGATCCAGCATCGGATCATCCACATCTTCGGGCGCGACGTCGCCGGCCGCAGGGCGCTCAACGGCGGCAACGAAAAGCTGGACTTTGATCCTAACTTTAGGGACTACGTCTGGTTCTTCGAGGTACGTTTTGAATTTTGATTTGGACGTCGCTTTGTAGTCTCTTTGTGGGATTTCCTTATGGGAGTGGGAGATGGGATCAATGCGAGCGTGGGTCTGATGGTGTGTTTTGTCGCAGTACTTCCATGGCGATGACGGTCGCGGCCTCGGCGCATCACATCAGACTGGGTGGTGAGTGTCGTCCTCTGGCTTGTTGGAGGTTTTTCGTTGTCTGATGGAAGCCTTGTTTCGTCAAGGTCCGGTTTGGTCGCGTACCACATCCTGCAGAGCGGTGCTAGCTGTCGCCTCCCCAAGACCCCGCGAAGTAAGCGATCTATCTGTCTTGGACCCTGTCGGATTTGGGTGTACGAGGTGCTGATCACGTTTTGCGCGGCGCCCTTTTCCTTTTTTTTCTCTCTCTCTAGCTCCTCGCAGTCTTGCGCAGCATTACTTTGACGTGGGTTTTTTTTTGTTTCTGATGCGATGTCGTGCGTCGTCTGATCGTCGGCATTTTTTTTTATTTACAGGAAACTATCGATTACGGGGACGAGACGCAGGATTTGCTCAGCGCGTACAGCGCCGCGGACATTAACACTCTGGGCGACCTCTCGCCCGACGCGCTGTAAATCTAGATGCAGCAAGTAATTTCTCGGCTCCCTGTGATCATACGCAGACGCAGATAGACATATACGACGACGTCGACACGTTAGGTGGGAGGATGATGCATGATGCATGGTGTAGCACATTTTCATAGATTTTGATGGCCCGTGTTTTTTTCTTACTCTTTCTCTTTTTTTTTTTCTTCTTCTCTTGAGCCGTTCTTGATTCAGTGGCCCCATGTCCATTTGCTAGACCGTTTGCGGCTCGTCACTCGTGGTGTATCCCTCCTTCCGTGTAGTAGTTACCAGTGTAGACCGGCCAATCAGCCTTGACACGTTGACAGCTTCGCAGCTTGACCCGTTGCCTCTTCGTTGAGGGTGACTCGTCCCATCTTGTCGATCGATCGACGGCCGCAAAGGGCCCCTTTGCAGCAGCGAGCCAGCTTCGACTAACTTTGAGCTGGCGTGGGATCGCGAGTTTCAGGCTTCGGGGGTGGGGGGTACAGTCTGGTACTGTACTGTACAGTCAGTGCGTGTCGGCATGTAGTACGTACGTGCGAGGACACGCTGGGGGCACGAGGCGGAGTCTATCTATCTTGGGAGATTTTGGGTATATCTTGGGAATCTTGGGAATCTTGGGTATCTTGGGTATCTTGGGTATCTTGGGAATCTTGGGTTCTCCGAGTACTGTACGAGTCGTCTGTGGTCTATTTCGGACGCGGAGGGTCATTCGCCGGCAGCTGGGCGTTTATCTGTGCATAATGCATAGTAGGGTAATCGAATGGCGCGCTGCGTAGTGTAGAGTTTAGAGTCTAGACTGCGGCGCGGTGGCTATTTGGGTCTCGCTGTGCGCGGTCTATTTCGATTGAAAGGCGGGCGTGTGCGTGTGCGCGTGTGTCTGTAAGTAGGTCGGTAGGGAGGGAGGTTGATCTTCCAGTGCTCGAGTGCGTGAGTGCTTGGTACGACTTGCCACTTGGAGCTGCGCCCCACGGCGGCACGGCGGCCCTTCGCGTAAGTTACAAGTATGCATGCTGACGGACCCTGGTTCTGCAGTTCGGACACGTTTTGTGGCGAATGTGGGTTGCAGAATCCCAGGCTCGCGTCACGCGCTTCGGTTCGAGCGGTCTTTTAGAGTTTAGGATGCCCTGCCCGTCCAGAGCGCAGCGCCCGCCGTGCATCGGCCGCGCTGCCTGCCTGCGAGTGCGCCGGAGGGAAGGGCGGAAGGAAGGACGGAAGGAAAGAAGAGAGGGAGGGAAGCCGATGTGTGCGATGGCGGCGCGGGGGATTCCCAGGCTATCCCAGGCCGTCGCGTTTTCGCGGCCAGTGCGTCGATATTACGTGCGCCGTGCATTGAGATGCATAGATGGGCGTGTGTAGAGGGTGCCGTGGGGATAGTCGCCGAGGCGTCAGTAGCTTACTATGTGCGCACTGGCCGCGTTCTCCGACGCGTGGACGGGTCTAGGTCTCGGCGCGCGCGGGCAGCCAGAATCGCTGGAGGCGCGTAACACCACTTACCGGTAGTCAGTGCTTAAGTCGGCGCGACGCCTCTCGGCCGCGGGAATATCAGAACTTGGAAGAAGACGCGAGGGCGTCGTGCGGTCGTGCGATCGTGAGACGTGGTTTAAGGGTCTCTATCTCTATCGCCCGTCACACGAGGCCGATCTCGACGCGGGCGTTGGTTCAGTGGTGCATGATGCATGATGGTTTGCACGACCGTGGCCGAGAGACCCTGCGACGCCACTCGAGTAGCAGTCGTCTCCCTCTCCTGATCAAGGAACGGGCCGCTTTTGACCTGGGCGCAGAGGGTCGTGTGAGCCCGAACGTCCACCCCGGACCAGATAGGCTCACTATCTTGGACATGCGCGTCGCCCCCGAGTCAATAGGCAGCTCACACAGGAAGAGGGAAGCGGGAAGCAGGAAACAGGAAACAGGAAACAGGAGTCGTAGACAGGAAAGCAGGAAGCGCACGTGCGTGAAAGCCGCTCGACGGCGATCGAGACGGGAGGCTACCCGATTCGCGAGGCAAGGCGAGGCAAGCCTGATTCAAGACTCCCGAGCGAGGACAAATGTCTGAAGCCAAGGACAACTTTGAGAACCAGTTTGAAAGGATGGGCGGAGACGAAAGCGAGTGCCAGACAGCCCGACAGTCTCGAACCCCGAGCTTCAAGATGCCGAAATGAACAGGGACAGGCTGATGCGATTGGCGCGGGCGGCAACTCTGTTTTCACGGGGCGGCGATGACGAAACGGCGGTCCTTTATCCGCCTCTTTCGAGCGCCGTGATCGTCTGCAGAATAAACAGCACCGGGAAAGCCATTCAGGGAGTTGGACAGCCACCAAGACAGACCCAAATGACGCACCAAAAGAACTCATCGCGTCACATTGCGCCGTCTCGAACGCAAAATGAACGTACCGTCAGACAGATGATCAAAGCATACGGACGATCCCCCACTACAATCTCATGCAGTGCGGCGAAACGTGTGAGGTGAACAGTCGAGCGAAAGCAAAAAACTTACGAGCATATTGTACGACTCAAAGCTTCCAGCTCCCACGAGCATCAGCTTCGGCACGAGTTAGCACATAATGAAATTCGAAAGCCTATTGCATATGCTACCTACCAGCACTCCACGACTTTGTGGGAGGGGGGGAACGGGGGAGGTGGAAAACTCTAGTAGAAACGATACTGTACATAGCTGCTGGCCGCCCCTCCTAATTTCACATACCGACACGCCGTCAGGCAAGAAGAAATAGAAATCCGGGCAAACACGAATAAGATAAAAGAAAAAGAAAGAAAAGAAAAAAGAAAGGGGCAGACAGACAGGAAGGGAGAGGAGAGGAGGGAGGAAAGGGAGAAGAAACAATAGCGACGGGCTGAGACCAAGATACTTAGATGGACGAGATAGATACGTAATGAGCGTGAGGGTAAGGTAGAAGGAACAGGGACTGGACCTCGCCAGTCTGATGCTGGCGGCCAGAGAAAGTCAGAAATACTCGCAATCTTGACGCGGTGGGCTAGGAGCAATAGCGATTGTTTGTGTGGGGGTAGTCGGTAATACAGAGAGGCAAGAAGAAGAGGAAGGGAGGCTCGGGAAGGAGTGGTGCCCTGTCGGATGAGAAAAAGAAAGAAAAAGTTCCCAGAACAGTCAACGCGGACGGACGATGGATGCTATATGCCAAGTGGAGGGAAGGATGCCTTTTGGTGAATAAGATGAGATTGTGAAGCCAAAAAGGATGTGAGATGCGTGCAATGCGAAGGATGAATGCGGTGTGTAAAAGTCGGATCGACGGGCGGAGAGCGAGCGTGAAAGACGAGCGGATGTGGGCGGGGCGGAGGATCACGTGTACGCGACATGCAGCGTCACCATCGACTTGCCTGCGAACGCCATCTCGACATCCTCCGTCGAGCGCATCGAGATGTGGTCGCCCTCCTCGTCCTCATACTTCACCCTGAGCGGCCCGTCCTCCCGCCTCGGCCCACACAGACGTATCTTCTTCCCGATCTTCTCGACCAGCTCGTGGAACTGCGTCGCCCGCGCGACCTGTATCACAAAAATGTCCGTTCCAAAGTGCACCTTCACCTTCACCGCCGCACGTCCGCTCCCGTTCTCATACCCCGCGGCGCGCCCCGAGATCGCGAGCGACGAGTCGCTCGACGCGAACGGCGTGATCGGCGACGAAGTGTTCGGCGAGTACTCCGAGTTCTCGTTCGTCGAGTGGCTCGACCCGCTCGACCGCTTAGTCTCCGTCGACGTCTTCGTCCTGTCCCATGGATGGCTTGGCAGCGGCGGCGGCACCGCCTTGGGCACGTACGCGGTCGGCTGGCTCGCGCTACGCGAGCGCAGCGGCGGCCCGTTGGACAGGAGCTGAGGCGACGCCGCGCCGCTGCGCGATTCCCCGTTCTCGTACGTCGACCGGAGCCGCGTCGAGCTGAACTGGCTGCGCAGCTGCGGCCGGCCTGCCGACTGGCGCGCCGCTGGGCCAGGTCCAAAACTCGCCTCGGAGGGCGCATAGCTGCCCGAGCTCAGATTCGAGTTCAGCCGCGCTGCTGGCGGCCGAGGGCTGGGTCCAGATGGGAGACCGTTGATGGGTGGTGGGGGTGGCATCATCGGTGGATTGTTCCTCCACTGCGACATGACCGCGCCGTTTGCATCCTCCGTGAATGCGCGCGGCCGGTCGTACATCGAGTCGCGGTCGAGGCCCGGCGTCATATTCCCGCGTCGGTTATCTAGCGGTGTCGCACGGCCAGAGACGAGGTTGACCGAATATTCGTCAAAGTCCTCGTCCATCTCAAAGCCGTCGTGTGGGGGGTATCCTTGGGGCCCGCTGCTGTAGCTGGCGCTCGGCCCGCTCATCAGTGCCTGCTCCTCGCTCGTGTACGGGCTGGACTGTCGATATGAGCGACTCCCGTTGCCATACGGATGTGATGGGAGGCCGGGCACTGCTCCTGACGCCGGCATCGATGCATGGCTCTTCTCATGATTGTAGGCAGAGAGTGGCATGCGCGCAAGTGCCGGGTTCGTGCTGTTCTGCTGATACGCCAGCCTTGACGCGCTGCGATCTGAGGCTCGGCGTGCGGCGACCTGCTGGATGAGGCGTTTCACGGCGGTTTCCCACTGGCGGACTTGCTCTTCGTTGCGACACCGCAACGTGAAGTACTCGAGGTCATCATCCCCTTTCCAGTAGACGCTCAGCGAGTACGTTCCTGTTTACGATAGTATGGGCGTCACGCGTGGAGAGCAGGACGATGTCAGTTGTGTGCTTACCAGAGCTGATGTGTGCTTTCGCCTCCGTCACATTGTTCAAGTAAATGCGACCCTTGAGCAGCAAGGGCGTCGTCTTCTTGGCAGGTCCGGGTGGGGGCGGGGTTGCCGGCACTGTGGGCGTCTGGGGCTTCTTCAGAATGGAGTTACTCTTCCCCATCTTCTTGCCGTTGATACCCTGATGAAGATCCTCCTTGCAACACAAAATTATGCGCTCAAAGAGGAAGACGTGATACTCGCGGTCCACCTCGGACTTGGTGACCATGAATATCTGATCGAGCAGGAGCTCGCCGAACTGAGACACATGATGTCCTTTCCAATCATCGACGCGCGTCGCCAAGTTCTGCACCGTCTGTTGGTTCTCGGCCCGCCGCTGGGCCTCGTTGATCTTGTCGGTAATACGTTTAGCAGCGGCCGAGCCTGCCTTCAATTCATCGAAGTAGGGGTACTCGGCAGGGGATGATGCCTTGAGGAGCGACTGATTCGAGCGTGGCAAACGTGAGTGAGATAGCTGCTATCTGCGGTGCGGTCGCGACTCACGTCCAATAGCAGAGGGTATTTGCAGATTCGCTGCACCGGCTTGATTAGGAAAGCAGGCAATTCCGACTTTGTGTTGATCATTTGGTTGTATTTCTGTTGACGCGTATTTGGTCAGCACCAGGCCGCGTATTGCCGACAGCAACGACTCGTCTCCAACTCTCTGTGGCCTGGGAAGAGCGCAGCGTCCGGGAGGCCGAAGAAGACGCACCTGGAGATTCTGCTCCTCTATGATCATCAGTTCGGCCGCATTGGTATAGTTAGCGCAGTACGGCTCGTAGACAGCGAACTCTTCTTCCTTTTGTTTCCGAATCCGGCAACAGGCGCGCGTGAGACCACCAGAGGGAACAGGATGGCATGGGAAACAAGGAGGCGAGCGAGAATGGGAAAGCCAAAATCAGCGCTACTTTTCACCAGGAAGGAGAACAAGGTGGCAGCGAGGTACCCACGTTGTCTGTGAAGAGCAGGCCCCAGCGCTGGTCTCTCCAGGCCAGCTCTGCAGTGCCCTCTAGCCGGATGAGGAACCTGCGCTGGAAATTAAGAAGCTGATTGAGGTTCGGGAACAGAAGGTGGATCGTATCCTGATCGATGGTGCTGCTCTGGGACAGAGCGTTGGAGTATTTCTGTTGCCATGGGGCAATGAGAGGGTGGCGTTGGAAGAGAAGAGGGAAGGGAAGACGGACCTGCATGACCTCGAGGTCCTGTACATACTTGCGTTCTGTCTCGACCAACTCCCTGACAATATTATTGCGGGCAGCCTCCTGGGCGTTCGCGGGTACGGGTACGATTGGAGTGTCTGGTGCTAAGGAATCGGAAGAATCGTGGGATGGGGCGGTGGAAGGAGGGGACAGAGGCGGTGCCTCTTCGAATACATCTTCTGGGAGTCGATCGACCAGATGGGTGACGGTGTTGATGACCTGAGCAAGCGAGTGAGAAACGAATCGAACGAGGAGAGGAGGGGAGAGAGAGAGAGAGAGCGGCACCTTGACGAAGCCGTCGGTGGAATGGCGCTGGGAGAGGTCTGTGACGGTGAAGGGCTCGGAGTGCGCGAGCTGTTTGACCTGCATGGCGAAGAGGGCGATGGCGCGCTTCTTGTTGCGGTCGTTTGTGACATCGACGGAGCTGGGGTCGGTCTCAATCGCGATTGGGGTGACGGGGGGAGGGAGGAGGTTGAAGAGGTAGCACAGCGGGATTCCAAGGGCGAAACAGTCCCAGAGCTGGGTGACGGGGTCTGTGGACTGTCGCGAGGAGTCTGGGGGGGCAGACAGCGCGAAGAAGAGAGAGAAGCCGTTTATGCGGAGGAGGCGAGCTCTGAGGGAGGAGCATTGCTGATAGAGAGAGGTGGACTGGGAGGCGGCCTTGTTGAGGAGGGTGTTGTTTGCGACGGGGATGTCGATGTGAGAGGAGATGATTGACTTTTTGCGACCTGCGACAGATGTCATGGCGAGCTCGAGGACGGGGTCGAGGACGAGGGACCGCCGGGGGTCAGTGCGACGGAAGGACTGGGCAACTGACTGACTACAACTGCCGTACTATCATATTATCATTCCTCCTCGACGCCCGCCACAGCCCGTTTCACACTCCGCACCTCCATCACCCACGTGCTCCCTCTCGACCTCCTCCTCTGCCGCACCGCACAGCTCCCTCTCCGCGCCAGCCCACCCATCTCCAACCCTCCGTCCATCCGTCCGTCCGTCCGTCCGTCCGTCTCTCCATCCCGTCCATTTCCGGTCTCATGCATCCGGCCCTCGCCCTCCGCAATTCTACCCATTGCGCCCTAACCACAACACCGCTCCGCACTCCATACCGCCACATGCTTCCCTTTGCATAATGCCGGATCCCTCGCGGACAACACACGCACCCAGCTCCGTCCTCCGAGAGGGAGGGAGAGAAACAGCGCGAGCGGCGTCTGCCCCACGCGACGCGTTGGCCATCACGTGCCTGTGATGGTCAGTGCGCGCGGCATCGGCACTCAGGCGCACCACTACTACCACTATTACTGCCACTACTACTACAGCCCTACATATGTTGTCCAGAGAATACAAGTACTGTACATACTCCTAGTGGCGCACGAGCGGGCGACGAGAGCGGGTGTGGCGAGAAAACGCAAATGCAAATGAAGCTCCGCCCGAAAGCGAGGTGTTTCCTGCTGGACGCCCCCTTCAGTGACAGGGGACTCCAGACCCACCGTTCACGGCCTCGTCAAGACCCATGGCACCAGCTCTCCCTCGTCCTCAGAACCCTCCCGCCGACCCTCGCGAGCCCCCCTCCACCCATGGCCTCTTTCTGGAGCCCATGATGGGCACGCCCCTCGCCATCTACGTTCAGAAGGACGTCGACGACAGGGACACCATCGTCGACCTCATTGTGGTGCGTCTCTCTCTTTCAAGCCTTTTGCTGTGGCCCTACAGCGCGTGCGAGACGGGCTCGAGCTCAGTCGCGCGGCGTGGGCGGAGACAATGCCTCCGAAGTGTGCGGTTGGCCTTGCGCACCCCGTTCGTTTGTTTTCGCGCGCGTAGCTGAGGCCCAAATGACTCGGAATGCTGCAATGTAACTGCTACCGATGTATCCTGACCGCATGAATTAACAGCAAAACGGAGGCACCGTTTCGCAGGGATACAGCGGCGTTCCGTACATCCTAGGTACGCCCCTTGTCTCACAACATCCTGTACTCGTGCTTCGGCGATGTCGGTGCCCCTATTGACATACAACGCGTCCGCACTCCGCAGTCGATCCGCACAAGGAGTCCGGTCAGAACCTGTATCGCCAGTACGCCGGGAAAAAAACGAAAATCGTCCTCGACGCCCGCTGGGTGCACGAATGCATCCGCTCAGGGGCCCTGCAGACTTTCCAGACCAACTGGGCAGGCTGCAAGGTCACCGGCGCAGAAGAGTCAGTCGCCTTCTTCATGGTGACCTCGTGGCGTAGTTGACGTCGTGTGTAGAGTTTTGCGCATGGCGCCACCCCTACCGCCAACTACCGAATCGCAGCCGCCACCACAGCCTCAACCGCAACCGCAACCCACGCACACGCGTGCCCCGGTGTCGACACAGCCGCAACAACCTCCCCCGCCACCCCCACCGGCCCCCGCCCCGATCCTCTCCCAAACCATCCCCGGCACAGATGTCTTCCAAGCGCAGATCCCTCCAGGCATGGCCCCGGTCGCACCGCCGGACAGCATCCAGCCGGGCGAGCAGCCCTATCCCTACCAACCGTACCCGGGCCACATCCACGCCGCCCCGCGCACACTGCACACGCCCGCCACGGCGCCGCCGCAGTCGTGGCAAGCCGCGAACGGCATCGCGCCGGAGCAGACCCAGGCGCACCCGCACATCCCGCCGCAGGGCCCGCCGCAGATGCTCCCACGCAATGCGTATCGCGAGCAGCAGCCGTGGGAGGGCGCATATCCTGCCGCGCCGCCGCCTCCGCCGCCGCCCCCGCAGTACGACTATCGCGGTTTCCGGGAGGAGCAGGCGCAGTGGGTCGGCCCTTCGAGCGAGTATTATGAGACTTCGGTGAGCTGTTCTGTTCATAGGCATTCTTTTTTTGTCTGCGTTGCCCTGCGGAGCTGGACACGCCGTTGATGCTGATAAGATGCTGATTGTGATTTGCCTAGTACGACCAGGGTTATGACCACACGTACATCAACGAAGCGGGGCCATCGAATCAGGATCCTCCTACCGATCCGGGAGAAGGTTCAGACGCGCCACGAGGGCGCAAGCGGACGAGAGCTCAGGTGAGGGGATTCGCCCTCCGTTTTGTTCCTTCTGTAATCAGCGTTCTCATGCTGCCTGATATCACAGCCTGCGCCCGCACCGCCCGCATCTACGCTGGTGATGAACCGCCATAATCCGCAGGCGCGTTCGCCGACGCCCCCGAGCCGCGTCATCAAGAGCACGTACGGAGGTAACCTGTTCACCGCGGATGACGTGCTGTATCTCAAGAAGTACATCGACTACTGCCAGGAACAAGGTTTGGTGCTCAGGTGAGTCGCGCGCGGGATCAGCAACAAAGATGTTTGTGCTCGTGGCTGATCGTCCGTGCATCAGTCTGCGCGAGATATGCGAGCGAGTCGCTGTCAAGGTGGGTTTTGAAATTTGCGACACTGCCTCGTCTATCTAATCTATCCTTCCTCAGGCTCCTCATCACACGTACGAATTTCCAAGCTTGTAGGCTCGATCGCCTTTTGACGTCTGCATTAGCTTCTACTCGTGGCGCCGGTATTGCAACAAGCATCAGATCAAGCTCGGCGGGTACGCCATGAGCATGACCAGGATGAGCGACGACGCAGACGACGCGCTCGACAACGAGCAGCGCATCATGGCGGGCCCCGGCCCCGGCGCCATCTCAGCGGCGAAAGCACGCGTGATGGCGGAAGGCCCGGTGCAGCGCACGCGCTCGCCCACGCCGCCGCGCGCCTTGTATCGAAGCACGACCGGAAAAGGCGTCGCGTTTACGGACGAGGACGTGACGTTCCTGATTCGTCTGCTCGAGTTCCGAAAGTAAGACGCAGCGCGGAAATGAGAAATCGGACACGCTGACTGATTATTGATCTCATTTGTTTGCGTGCCGTTCGTTCGTGTTGTTCGCTCGCGCGCGTGTGCTTCTTTCGATCTAGGTCCCAAGGAAAGTTGGATATGGTCGCGTTCTGGAAGGAGATGGCAACGAAGGTGACGAGCCTGCTCCAGTTACTATGCTATGCCGCTTTTGGCACGCGCCTTTGCTGACGACATATCCGCCGCTGCTGTATGCTGCTGCTGTCGCACCGCAGGCTCCTCACCACTCGCGGGCATCTTGGATGAAGTTTTACCGAAGGCACAAGCACGAGCTGAACCACACGGAGGAAGACGAGCCGCTGCCGCAGCCGCCCGAGAAGAAAATGCGCTATAGCCGGGCGGACGACATTTTGCTCGCCAAGTTTTTCTACACCAAGCCCGAGGGGACCTCGGACAAGATCTTCCAGGCGTTCGGGCGCGTCGTGAGTGTTCGCTTCGCTTTAGTTCACGTTTCCCCGTTCTTTGCGCGGTTGCGGCCTTTGCGTGGTTGCGTGCTTTGGGTTGGGTTGGGGGCTACTGGCCCCGCTGGGCGAGAGGACCGCGTCGCTGATCGTTCGTTCGTTTTCCGCTTCTGTGTCTGTATGTGCGCGACTCGGCGCTGCGCTCCGCCCCGCCCCGCTCTGCCCGCCAGCATCCGCATCATCCGTGGAAGGGGTGGCAAGAACACCACCGGATCCACAAGGCGAAGATCGACCACCTCATCCAGCGCCTCTCGAACGGTGAGGTCATCGAAGACACGGAGACCGCGGGCGAGCAATCGTAGAGTTAAGTTGGGTAGTGGTTGGGTGGGTTCGATGAAGGCGCGACGTGCGGGCGGCCCTGGTGTGATAGGGCCCTCCCATCCCGGAATATTTGACATCATCGATATCGCGCGTCCAGGCGTCCATTCCCTCATTATGTTCTTTTTGGTGCTGTGTATTCTACTTTTACATTTTCGTTGCCTGATTGGCTAGTGGGGCGGAATCCAGTCACCGACTTCTTGGACTTTGTTGGCGAGCGGAAGGCAAAGCTCGAAGCGCAAAGCTCAATGGGCGGACAGGGCATGCATGGCTATGCATGGGTGGGTGATCCGTGGCCCTGTGTGATGAGTAACGTGCGGTAACGAGCTGGGACGATGTCTAGCTGGACCCGCCCTGCGTTTGGGTCGCCTTGCGTGAATGCAGTTAAAGACTAGACCAGCTATTGAGATCCTCTTCTTCTAGGCGCGATGCCCTTGACGGCCGCTCACGTTCACAGCGTGGCAGAATTAGAATGGGCTGGGGACTGCGCCCTCGGTGGGGCTTGGTTTGGAAGCCTCCCTGGACCCTCGAGGCGTGATGGTGGTAGATGAATCCAGACTGGAAGGCGGCATGGGAGACCGAAGGGGCTATTCGCTCGTCGCTGCTATTCGAGTCTCTGGCTGGGACGTGCTCGGTGTTCGGTGCTCGGTGCTTACCGGCGATTTTGTAGCTGCGGCCTCGGTGGGAGCGCTGCTCTATTTACTCCGTGTGCATCTTTGTCTCTGTCTCCGTCGTGTACCCGATCTGTCATCATCTCAGAATAAGTCTAGGTGCGGCAGGAGGCTCGGAACGAGATGCGAGATGCGTGATGTACGATGTATGATGTATGATGTATGAGGTATGATTAGTCTCCGTGGTTGACCTTGCACGGAAGAGTCGAAGACAGTCGTTCCGTATGCACGGTGCCGCGTATCCGTGCTGTGTATCATACATCGGCTGAGAGTAAGGCGCTGGGCATCCTATCGCCGGCGCGGCGTGGGCCAGCTGGGCCACGACGTCGATAAACATTTCCAGACTTACAGTACGGAGCCGCAGATGAACGACTGTAAAATTCACTAGGGCACAGTGCACGCATATGTAGATTACCCCCATTTTCCGTCGAGGGCGGTGCGCACTGGCGCGCAGCGAACACGGGGACAGGAATGGAGGTTGTGTACTGAAATGCTCTCGAACTTCTCCCGGCTCGGACGCACTGCAGCCTGCTGCTGCGAGGCTAAGTTATCCGCAGCGTCTGCAATGAATCCATGATACCCCTCCATGACGGAGAATCGGCGGAATTTCTGGCATCGAGAACGCGCACCGTCCTCGGCTTCGAAGAGATGGCGTGGTGGATCTAGCTGTCAGGAGTTTTGGTGGAGAAGATGTGGTACAATACTGGATGGAACGGTCCTCCAGGCCGGCTGAAAGTCCCAGAGGGTCCCGCGACAAACTGGAGTGCCTGCGATGCGTGGGCTCGCGAGTTCAATGGCCGCGGCGGTTGTGAGGATCTCCGGATCTAATCGCCGCTCTCGAGTCTAACCGCGGTAACTCCCGCCGAGTCTCACCGAGTGGACTGCGACGGTCGACCACTGCCATCATTATCGCACAGACAGAAGTTCGAGGGACTTTGGGGCCGCATAGCGAACGAAGATGTCGGCGCAGAAGCTGCTAGAATACCTAACCCGAGAACAAATCGACAAGGTGTGTCTTGGCTCCTTCGAACTTCGTTATGATCGCAGCCTGATAGCACAGCCAGTTTCACAGGGACGGGTGCGCTTTGCTACCTCCCGTACTGCGCGCTGCGCGCTTGGGAACAACGCTGAACTGAGGCGTATTCGCTAGATATCTCTGTCTGCCTGGGTTCTTATCTCACGAGGAAACCGATGCGCTCCTGGTGCGATCCAAGGAGCTCCTGGATTCTTTCAGTCTCGATGACCACCCGCTCGTACGTCTTGGAGTCCTCTGGCCTCACCCGTCTGATAAGATCTTTGTCTGAGCGAATCCCTATCAGACGAAGTTTAGCACGGGAGACGATAATCACGTTGGCGACGACTATTTCCTGACCTCGGGAGACAAGATTCGGTACTTTCTCGAGGAAGACGCGGTCGATAAGGACGGGAAGTTGACAAGGGACAAGAGCAAGGCTGTGAACAAGATTGGGCACGGTCTGCGTTTCCTTCATATCCGGTATCAGGGTGATGTTCTGACGGCGACGTTGCTAGGCCTCCATGAACTCGACCCGGTATTCCGCAGGGTAACGCTCCAGAACGACAAGATGAAGGCGCTCGTGCGGGATCTACAGTTCCATCGCGATCCCGTGGGTAGGTACAATCTCTGTTGGACGTGTCTTCTCCCGTGTTGCTCATCATGAATCAATATGGACAGCACTGCAGTCGATGGTGATAACCAAGCAGCCGCAAATCGGCGGTGAAGGTAAGTCCTCGTGTACGACACTGTGATGCATATCGAAATATCTGAGCCTCCTGTCTCTCCAAGTTCCTGAGCACAACGACTCGTGAGTACCGAATTCTGATGCTCACTCATCCGTGCCTTTGATGCACATCCAATCCTTCAGCACGTTCCTCGTGTGTATCATTCACGCGACACTCCCCAGTATCGATCGACTGATATCACACGCAGTACACTTCCCCGCCTACCGCCCTCGGCTTCTGGTTGGCACTGGAGAAATGCACGTCCAAGAATGGCGCGCTTTCATTCTTGCCAGGCTCTCACCTAACCGCACCCATCACGAAACGCTTCGTCCGGCTCCGCACTGGCGGGACTGGGTTTGAACAGCTCGTCTCCCCAGAAGTCGCAGCCACACAGACACCCACGGGCGAGTATATCCTCGAGGAGTGCATGCCAGGTCCGTACCCTTTCTTCATCGTATGCACGCGCGGACCTGGCCGCCTCACACCCTTGCTCATCCGCGATGCCAACCTTTCCTTTACACCAATGCTGTTGTTCTTCAGGCGATCTGGTCATCATCCACGGCGCCGTCTTGCACAAGTCGGAGCGCAACACCAGTCCGGATACACGCTTTGCGTATACGTTCCACATGATCGACTCGCCGCCATACGCGCAGTACGATGAGAAGAATTGGCTGCAGCCCACCCCGTCTCTGCCGTTTTCGCATATCCTGGACGTCCCGAACGCAACGGTCTCGACGGTAGGGGCTTGACGAGTATCAGTGGTGAAAGAGAGGAATACACGACGGAGTGTATGCTCATAGCAATGTGTACTCGTACATCCTTGAGATCATTCTTCTAAATGCGTAAGTTACATTCACAATTCGTGTACATCTTGGTCTTCGGAGCCGTGGGTCAGTTCTCTGCAACGATTTTGGCTGGGCACTCAAATTCACGCCAACGTGTCTACCTCGACCCTGGCACTCTGGGAGATGATCTCCGGCGTCAGGAGCGCTAGCTCGTCAATCAGTGCAGGCAAAAATGTCCCTGGACCCCGCACATCTTCCCTTCCGGCTGCTCGCTCTGCAGCGATCGTGAGCGCAAGGACGCTGTTTCCGCAACAGTATCTCAGCTTTTATATCTCTTGAACTACCAAATCGAGCTCACCCAGCAGCGGACGCGAGCAACATGTCACCGTTCACTAAGACTCCGAGGCTCTCATCGTCTGAGCACTCTCTTTCCGCAAGCATGCTGGCCGCACCACAGAACGTGGCAATAGCAGTCCCGAGGATACAACCTGCGCCCGTAATCTGTCCAAGAAGTGCGTGCCCATTAGACAAACGGAATACAGTAGAACCGTCTGATATATAGTCAGTCGGGCCACTGAGGATGGCGACGCAGCCTGCGTAGATCATTAGGATCGCGAAGAGAAAAGAGTAGGAGTATGCTGGTCATACGTTCTTGGCGCGCAAGCAAGCGAACAACGGCTGCCGGGTCTTTGAATCCTGTTCCCAGACTGTCGACACCTTGTGCCTTGACCTAGACAGACGTCCATTCAGCAAGTGTTCTGAAGAAGCAACAGCGCCCCAGTGCGTGCGTACCTCGTCTGAGTTAACGAGAGCACCAATTTCGGCAGCATTGCCCTTTATGACCATCACTTGCCACTTGTCCAGCAGCTCTATGAGTACCAGCGTCTTGAGAAATGTTGACATCGTTATCGCTAGGTTCGCACAGCACTTACTAGCGGCACAAGCCCTCCGGTGTTTCGTCGCACCCACACCGACAGGATCGAACACAACGGGTTTGCGATTTTGATTCGCGTGGAATCCGGCCGCGAGCATACCATCTAGATCCTCGACCGTGCCAAAGTTGATGAGCAGTCCGCCGGGCACGCGGGCGAGGTCCTCTTGTTCCTCAACCGCTGCTGCCATTATTGGCGAGCCGCCCAAAGCCAAAGTGACGTTGGCTGATTGGTTTTTGACGACATTGTTCGTGATCTGAAATGCGTGGTCTCAGTCATGTTTATCGCGATAGTGTCCAAAGGTGCGGAATCGCAAACCTGATGTACAAGCGGTTTGATCTGCCTCACACTTTCCAGTAAGGATGCAGCTTCTTTCACTACAGACTCTGATGTATAGGAACCTTGCGGAGACAACAGCGAGAAACTCGTTGGGCCGCGAGACGCTTTGGCCCAGGAAGAGAATAGCTGGAGGAGACGTTGGGCGGCAGCTCGTGGATCTTGCGACGCTACAACATCGGAGACCACTGCTACGCCATCCAAAGCATACCCTGACGCTGTAGCAGATCCGTGTAGTGTGCGTATGATATTTGTCGATTTGATTCCTCCTACAGATATAAGTAAATTTTACTTAGTTTTACAAATAAATCGAGAGACGAGAAGACGACTTACCGATTGCAACGGACTTTGTTTTCGACTCTTCCAGAATCGTCAGCATCTCTCCGACACCCTTGATTCCACACACTCGGCCAGGCGCGGTCACATCTTTCGTGCTTGTCGCATATACCGCGCCCAATCCGACGTAATCAGCACCATCCTTCACGGCCTGACGGGCATGCTCAGGAGTGGTGCATGATATACCGATAATCGAGTTTTTGGGAAGGAGCGCGCGGGCAATAGATATGGGCATATCAGTCTGACCAAGGTGGACACCCGCGGCGTTGGATGCAAGAGCAATGTCAATGCGGTCATTGATCAGAACAGGGACACCATATTTGGCGCAGAGAGAGACCGTCTGCTGGGCAATCTCAAGGAACTATAAGATAGCCGGTTCAATAAATTTAGTGATTTGGACGCGATGCAGTGGGATGTACACACCTCCCCAGTCTCTGCCTCTTTTTCGCGAACTTGCACGACGGTGACCCCTCCATCTAGAGCCTAGTATCCATAGTCCCTTAGCACGCCATCCGTTTGCGTTCACCTTCGCGCATCGCAATGCAGTAGACGCACCTCCTCAAGGGATTCGTGATATGACTTGTAGTCAAAAACGCGAATCAATTCGAATACGAAGAGAAAGACAAGGATTGATTGAAAACATACCTTTCCTTTTGGAAGGAGGTCTCTGCCAGTAACGAGATAGAGGGAGTAGTCTATCTCTGATTTGTTTGTGAATGAGTGTGCCATTATCGAGTCGGATTCGGCGGCGCGCCTACAGATGTCCACAAACGTCATGAAACGTTGAGATTACGTATTATCTCTTATTATGAAATGCCACGTGCCGAGAGGCTCTAGGCACGGTGTCTTTCGCCTCCAGCACTCTCTCCCTCTCGAGTTACTACATCCTCTCGAATATCACCTGTTGGCCTTGTTGTCCACATACGACACAAAATAGATCAATGCATCTGCTCCATTTCTAGGCTAATTGCAGCCGTCTTTGGACAACTGCATATCCAAAAGATCTTATGCAGATGCACAGACGCGCTGACCACCTGCGTGATCCTCCAGTGTTCGCTGAGGCTTCCGTTTCTCCTGTATTGCAACGCTGGAGCCAAGCCATAGATATCATTGGAATTCAGTATGACATTCTTTCTACAATATACGATCAATTCACCCCCTACCTCTGACCTCTTTCAACCCGCTTCCATTCAGTATGGTCCCTATCACCCTTCGTCGAAAAATTGGCTCTGTCTCCCTCTAATCAGTATCGACATCGCTTTAATAAAGCACTGCAATAAAGACCATAGATGGTGGTATGAGATGGCGGTATGATTGGTTCAGAATACCTGATGATGACTGACACCCCTTCGAGCATTCTTAGGATCTGGTTATTAGATGCTCAGTGGTGTTGCGGGTCAATAGCACTTCGAAGCCCTTACATCACTCGCTCATCATAATGTCACGGGTGTTGGTTTACACTCTGTGGAGCCCCAACCCCTGACACTCTATAGTTTGATCTCCCTTCGCTCGTGTCCCTCACGTTGAAGAAAACATTGTATAATAGAAGGGTATATGTCAAGCAGTTCATCGTACGACTCACACACGTACCCAAGTTGTTGCATCTCGCGGAGCATCGAATTTACAACAGAAATCTAGCATAAGCGCCGTCGCCCCCATGACTGTTCATACGAATTCACCTTGCAGCGGACTTATTACATTCCGTCGGACTCAAAGCTGAATATGAACAGGTCTATCGATGTCTAAGCGGTGCGAGATGAGCATCTTTTCTTGAGAATTTTTTTGATCATGACAGTATCACGCTCAGATTTCTTGCACCGTTCCTCTACCCCTGCTAAGTTCGACCTCGAATTTGCTAGGGAACTATCTGGCACTATGAGCCAGATGCCTCAAAGTCCCATCACTTGCTTATGCTGTTGGTTCTCATGGCATGGAACGCCGTCGACAGTCCTTTTGAGTTGCGTCCTTCCTCAAGGCTTCCAACGTTGAGAAGAATGATCGAGAATGGCCTTTTCATTCTACGGAGCGCCTTTTTGTCAAGAAATCGAAGCAATACATGAAGAGCAGAATTGTGAAAAGGGTAGGATGGATCGAATTACGGGTATAAGAATCCTTCGTCAAAAAGGTTAAGATATAATACAGTAAATTATAGACACAGAGGAAGAGATAAATGAAGTCCATCGTAGATCATAGCAACGGTTCAAACTGTATTGTCCAATATGAGATCGGTATAACCGCTGTGCTGGGAGAACACTACCATCCACTCTCCAGTATCATGATATATGGTTTAGCTTGTTCACTTCCTTGCCTAGTAGGCAGTCCTGTGACGCCTGTAGTGGCCAAAGACGCCACATGCTGACGTGCAGAACCCAATCAGCAGCGCAACAGCAGCAGCAAGCGTCATCCAGGTAGCGTTGCCATACTGGGCTGCCCATCCCTGATCACGGAACTGAGTGCGCGCGATACCGAAGAGGACCATGTCGACGACCCATGCGAGGATCGTAGCGATTGTCGCGAGAGTCGAGACGAGAGCCATGAAGACTGTGCCGGCGCGATGATAGCCTGCACCACAGAGCCCGAATATGACTGCGAGCCCAGAAAGGCCTGCAGCGATCGGATGCAGTATGAGAATCTTGGTCAAGTTATGGATGGTCGCATCGTTCAGGCGGGTATTGCTGATCCAAAAGCTATCAGATCAGACAACTTTTGGAGTAGGAAGAAAATACATACTTAAAACCGAGGATGGTGGGATCAAAGTTGTAGCCTATCGAGCGACCTGTTCCTGTGTATCCAAAGACACCAAAGCGCAAAGTCTGTGCGCCTCGGGACGCCTGGAGGAAATATATAGGGCTCCATGTTGGTACTGAGACGGATACCTGAGATTATAGCAGAGATAAGGATGCCGAGCTTAGAACAAATAACTTTCAATCTACGTACGAAGATGAGCAACACCATCGCTGCGAAGCAGAAGAAGAGCCCAGGGAAAGCAGCTCCAGCGGCCATTGTGAAGGGTGCAGGTCGTTGCTAGAAAAGAGTTGAGCGACTGCACAGATTCTATAGGGAGGGGACTCACAGGGAGAAAAAACGTGGGTCGTGGAGGAGTCGTAAGGAAGTGTGGGAGAGACAGGTGCTCGGGGTGTATTGGTTCAAACGGAAACGAAGATTTATATGTGTGGAGCCAAGACGATGTCCCACCTCGTGAGAAAGTCAATGACGCAATGAAACGATGACCAGTCCTAGCCAGGAACCGCGCAACCTAAGCGGTGAGCTGTAGGCGGCATGTATTTCCGTTACTTCCTTTTCCTCTTCCGCTCAAACACTACAAGTTGCCCGGTGTCGTTGATTCTCCTCAACGTGTTTGCTTTTGACTGGATGTAGTCCGTTACAGCTTGTCCGCGACCAGCTTCAGTGCTGTTTTTTATACAGCGTCTTGGTCTCAAAAATGGCGGAATTAGGTTCCGTTCATCGGTATCGGTGCCACGGGGTAGGCAATTGGTGGAAGACAAGGCTGTTCTGCTGCGGAGATGCTGTGCGTATGAGTTTCCTCGATCTGCGGCATATTTACCGCAGTCGGCTCGCGTTCTCTGCACTGCATTTCAGTTCGAGCTTGTGATGACATAGATCAATCGCAGCAAGGCGATCGCATGTATACAAACTCGATTTTCCAGCACTGAGCCGGTTGGTTTGGGACTCGACGATTGTCTTGCACACAAGCCTCCGAAATATCTATCCAATGTCTCAAGCTGACAGGTAAGTATTTCAGTCTACGAATGTCTTCCACCGAATACACATCACTTAAAATCACTGAACTGCTTTCCGCAGTGATATATGATATCTTGGCATTCTGCACGTTTTGCGTAATTGTCTTATCATCTTCATTCCAACTGCTGAAATGAGGCAAAACCTCCCGCGGTATGTTCGGCGCATCTCAGTTTTTGAGGCTTGACACCAAAGGCCTAAAGGTGCCAGGATCGTCAGGGTATAGCTATATTCTCCGCACTGGGGCTGCCTCTCATTCTAATCTTGTCCTGAGTGCTGAGCCCCAGTGAAAACCCAGTGTAGTCAGATCTAACGAGAGCTGCTTGAGTCTCAGGAAGTCTCACGATAGAGCGTGGTCTATCCATATCGAACCGGTCGCAAATGTCTACCGAAAGCCGGTCTATTACTTAATACAATGTTTGAAATTTGTGCTCACTGCGAGGCTGGCTCTGGCTCGCTTCGCGCTACTTCAACTTTCTAAGTCGTAGGTAGGCCTACTATAGCAGTCTTGTAAGGTTTTGACCTATATATGCATGTCATGTAGGGCACTGAATACATAGATTGAATTATATTTGATCAATGCAAGCAATCCCGGAAGACAATCAGATCCCTAGTACAGCGGGAGCGAGCGCGAAGACGCAGCGCACCTATTCATGCCAATGTCCGAAATTCTGCAAGGGTGTACCTACAGAACGGCCAAAGGCGACATTTTACAGACATCTCAAGATCTGGAAGGGCGGCGCAGCGTTTGCACGACTATCCTCCTCAACGATTCCTTCAAAGCGTCGTTTTGGGATCGATGAGGGCCCTGGTGATCTCAATGACAGCGCGATTGATGGTGAGTTCGTGATTAACTCGAAGCAAAAATACCCCTCATAGAGCCAATAAAGTTATTGACGAGGCACACGCGGTAAGTCGTTTGGCTCTCTAAGTTGATCGACTCTGACATCGAAGGTTTCTCATTATAATGTATTACAGCGCGACGAGCTACAGGTTCCATCCACATCAACCCATACCATTCAGGCAGAACCCTTCACAGATCATCCACATCAAGAACCATTTCATGTGATGACAGATGCTACCGTTCCTTCCCTCATTGACGAGGCCCCTCACGATGTCCCTCACGATGCTCCCTGGACGCTTTCAGGCAATACTGCTCCACCATCTGAGCTTGGGTGGCCAGAGAATCTAGCCGATGTCCCACAACTACAACACACCTTCGCGACACTGGCTCTAGGCGATATAGACCAGGCTTTGCCCCCGGAAGACACCCCCTCGAAGATCGAAGACATCAAGATTGCGCAGGAGTTCGTTCGGGCCCTCCAAAACGCATCTCTGGATGACGGAAGCCATAGCCCAGAGGATCTCGACAATCTGCGTCACCCACCGGAAGAGGTGTTCAATATCGACGCAGATCCTGATCTTTGCTTCTCCATCGAAATCTTTCTTGCCATCGGCAATGCCTCACAGAAAACTTATCATGCATTCCGGGAAGCTACTCTACGCCGATTTCCCAACTGCGGTCTCTTGTCGTATGAACAGGTGAAGCGCCGTGTGGCGCAGATTAGTGGAATTCATCCCATCATTCACGATATGTGCGTCAACTCATGCATTGCGTACACCGGTCCTTTTCATCTCCTCGACAAGTGTCCCATGTGCTCCGAACCGCGATACAATCAGATCACACTCCAAGCCAGTGCGGGGCAGGAAAAAGTTCCTCGACAGGAGTTCTACACACTTCCCGTCGGTCCCCAACTGCAAGCGCTATGGCGCTCCGTCGAAATCGCCGACCTGATGCGATACCGCACACGATGCTTTGAGAGTATCGTGGAGGAGCTTAACAAACATCCAGGTTCGCCAATGGAGGCCTACGACGACGTCTTCCATGGTGCTGGGTTGCTCGATGCATGGAGCGACAATTTGATGGGAGATCATGACGTCTGCCTTCTGTTCTCAATTGACGGTGCCCAGTTGTATGAAATGAAGGCCTCGGACTGTTGGATTTATATCTGGATTGTTCTCGACCTCCCTCCCGAGCTACGCTACAAGAAGACTCACGTTTTACCAGGTGGTTTCATTCCGGGGCCTCACAAGCCAAAGAACTTGGATTCTTTTCTCTTTCCAGGGTTTCACCATTTAGCAGGTGTCCAAAAGGAGGGCTTGATAGTCTGGGATGCTCAGATCAAGGCAAAGTTCACGACATCTCCTCTTTTTGCCTTCGGTACAGCAGATACACCTGGTATGGCAATGTTTGATGGCATGGTAGGCCATACGGGAGGCCAAGGCTGTCGTCGATATTGTCCAATGAAGGGACGCCACAAGGCGGGTCAAGGCCAGTATTATCCTGTGTGTTTGAAACCGGACGTCTACAGCGTGGCTGGTTGCGATCACCCCGATGTTGATCTACCTTTAGAAGATTTAATGTCATCTCCTGCGACAACGACAAGGTATGTATGCTACCAAACTCTCTTTCGGCTGAAATCCTAAAACCACATCTTACAGGTACAACGACAATCTAAACGTTGTGTGTGCCTCACCAAACCAGACGCAATATGAGAAGCGCCGTTTGAAGACCGGCATATGTAGGCCGACCCTTCTTTCTGGTTTGCCACACAACCGCGTTCCGCTCGGGATTCCAGGAAGTTTTCCGGGAGATTTGATGCATCTTGCGGCATTGAATCTCACCGAAGTTCTCCTTGGCCTTTGGCGCGGGACTTTGCTGTGCGATGCGAGTGACGACAAACGTCTATGGGATTGGGCCGTCTTGAAGGGAGAAACATGGATAGCGCATGGACGGACTGTTGCAGATGCGACGCCGTATCTACCTGGCTCCTTCGATCGTCCTCCACGCAATCCAGCTGAGAAAATCAACAGTGGTTACAAAGCATGGGAATTCCTGATGTATGTATTCGGGCTTGGGCCAGCACTTTTCCACAATATTCTTCCTGATCAATATTGGCGAAACTTTTGCAAGCTTGCCTTCGGAATCCGGGTCATGCACCAGCATAGTATTTCATCCACCCTTCTTCGTGCGGCTCATGCGGCCCTCACGGAGTTTGCAGACGAGTACGAGCTGCTCTATTACCAACGGATCCCGGGACGACTTCACTTTGTGCGACAGAGCATCCATCAGTGTCGTCATCTTGTGCCTGATGCCATCCAACTTGGGCCTCCTGCATATACGGCACAATGGACAATGGAGCGTACGATTGGGAACTTGGGTCAAGAAATTAAGCAGCCCTCAAACCCATATGCCAACCTCTCGCAGCGTGGCCTTATCCGCGCACAAGTCAATGCTTTGAAAGCAATCATCCCAGCTCTCGACACAACGTCTGCCTCCCGACTACCATATGCTGCAATCGACTTGGGGAATGGATTTGTTCTCCTTCACGCTAAGGACTCCACCTCACGTGCTGTCCGTGTCTCCGAGGAGAATGCTATCAAACTCTACATGGATGAAAATGCGGCTGAAATCTCAGCAGATTGGGATTATAAAGTCACTAGGTGGGCTCGGCTAAGGCTTCCCAATGGGCAAATAGTACGCTGTCTCTGGAAGGAGTCACTGAAGCCTCCGAAGGAGGTTAGAAGGGCACGGTGTGTCAAGGTAGCTTGATTTTTATCACCTATTTCTTTCTACTCACAACACCTTTGGCAGCTCCATCTTGGAACGCAGTATCGTTTTGGTGAAGTACACTACTTCTTCCGTATGGTTGTGAATGAGACAAGGCATGCCCTGGCTATGGTTTCAATCTATGGGCTACCCGACCCAGAACTTCTTCAAGCTTCGACATCCACCTTCATTTCATGTGAGTATCTTGGGGATGCTGGCCTCAAGGTCATTGATGTGCAGGCTATCTGTTCTGTGGTTGCAATGGTCCCACATTTCTATGGTACACAAGGTAGTATCCGTTTTTTTGCAACTGAGAAGTTTGGCCTCGAGGTTGCAACCCTCTCACATAACAATGATGAATATATGTATGATGATGCTAATGATGCTGATGATTTAAATACTGAGTAGATAGACATTTGTCTCTTGTTTTTTTTGGCAAATAAAAATACATGTGACATTGATTTTCTGCCTATTGATGAGCATGCATTTGCTCTGGGGTCTGGGGAAGGTATTCGGGAAGCTTTGGGAAGAAGCTGACCAGCTCTAGATGCATACTGAAGACACTGACTATTACCAAACATGGTTGGTCCCTACCCCACTTGCTCAACGAGGAGGCCTGCCAAGCATCTGGAACCTGTCCCATGTCCTGTCCAGTGCTGTAGAAGGAGGAACTCAACAAAGCAATGGCTGTCATGCCCACTTCCCACAGCCGTGCACGTCCCAACCTGACTTGCTATTTTTACAATAGCAAGGGCCATTTCAAATTAGAGTGCCGAAAGCAGCAGAAGTGGGAGAAGGCATGCGCTAAGGAAGCAAATGCAGTTATTGAAGATTTAGACGAGGATTGGCCTTAGTCTTGCGGGGGAGCTTTCCATATGTTTTATTTCATTTTTGTTTTGTTGATTTTCCCTTCCAATTCTTGTGTACATGGCTTGCAGGGGAGTGATGGAATTCTAAGCAGCACGTGGCATGGGAATTCATGCTGGCACACTTGCAGCATTCCTCAGTGGCTTACAGGTACTATACAGTTGTTTACTTATGGTATTTAGTTGTATTACTGAATAGATGGGACCCTCACGCATTTGTGAGAGTCCACTGCAAACTCAAGTAGCCCATGCGACAGGCTATTTTAACATGTACTTAGAGCATCTGTAAGGGCATGAGGACAATACAAGTGCAAGTCACAGCAAGTTGGACCTGCAAAGTCATAACATTGTGTATGTTTTTATTTGTATATATTGAAGCCTATGTTATATTTTCAAACAGTTGCAAGGCCTTGTTGTGAGATTATTGTGAAGGAGAAAGTGAAGTCCGAACCGCGACGTGTCGTGTGTCGCTTAGGTAATCATCATTACTTTTTGTGGGCGTGTGTGCCGCTTCTGCTTCGTCAGTCTTGTCTACAATGCACCTGTGAAAATGGACAACCACCTGTATTCCGGAAGTCCCCAACCTTTGCAGTCTCAAGACTCTTCTTCTTTAAGCTCTGTTTATCTCCGTTTGCATTCTTTTGACGACATTTCTACTGAACAAGCAAGTCTTTCCATACCTGCTAGCTTCCAGCAGCAAAGTACAGCGCACCAGACTTCTCCAGCATTTTCTCCATCCGCTTCCCAGCTCCCTTTCTTTGCTCTGCCTGCCCCATCTCTCCACTCTGCAAGTCCGGCATCGGGAGTCTTTGGGCTTCCAAGTCGAAGCTCGTCAGTGGATTCAGCGCATTACGACGCTGCCAGGTTCCGTGAAGTAAGTCTTGTTGTCATGTGTTCTGCTGCATACTGACGGAGGCTGCTCCATGTAGCCAAGTCCTTCATCATCTACAAGTTCTCAGATAGATAGGTTAGCATCACGTATACTCCATGACGCAAGTCATCTTTCCCTACTTCAGAGTGGGAATGTGCAGTACAGCCACCTCCACCATGAGTGTCAGAGCCTCAGGCAGCAAGTAGAAAATTTGACGATAGAAAACCGAACACTCAAGTGAGTTCATGTGTCTTGCTTAATTGATTCTTGTATCGGATACTGGTTCTTTTAATAGATTCGCATACACTAAACTTGCACGGAGCGTAACCTCGACATCGACCACCCCCGCTCTCTTGAATGACGGCGATATTGAAATTATCGAGCCTGTACTAGATAGCAACGAGGCAATCAACTTCGCATCCTTCTCTCGACCTCCCCTGAAGCCACTCGCACGCGCAGACTACCCTAAGGTCACGTACTGGCACAAGCATGAGTGGATGTCCGCTTCTAAGGCCATGAAAGCAGATGCTGACGATCCGAACAAGAAGAAAGGGCCGCAAACTAACAGAAACACGACAATGATGTATGTCGAAGACAAGGACGGCAATTGCATCGACGGGCACAGAGCAAGGGAGATACGCGCCGTGGTAACACAGTTCTGGCTTTGGCTGAAGAAGGTGAATCAATCGCCGAGGACGTGGACACAACTGGACCTCAAGCTATCGGACTTGTATCGACTCGAAATGGCCTACCGATTTCCTGAGCTGCAGCTCTGCGAAGGTGGATGGAAGGCCGACATGATCGCGATCCACTCATACTCCCAATGGTATGGAAGATCTGTTGTACAAGGCCCCCGTCGAGTCAAGAAAGAGGCCCCCAACCAGGATATGCTTGTCGCTCAACTCACTTCGGCCAAACGACAAAATGAAGATCCCGATAGGCTTTCGAGCGAGCCCCCCAAAAAACCGAGGCTTGATCCACCCCAGCACAGCACAGTTGCCGCCAAGGATGGCAGAATTCTCGCTCCGGACAACGAGGTCGCCCATGCTCCAGATGGCAAGGCTATTGCTACGGATGGCGACAGCATCGGTCTGGATGTTGGTGCTACCGCTATGGATGGCGGGGGCATCACTTTGGGTGCCGAGACAGCCATAACGAGTGTTGGGGGCATCGTTGAGGATGCTGAGAACACCGCCCAGGGTGACGAGGGTTCCGCTCAGCGCGACACGATCGCTAACGTATTATCAGCTGACAGCATCTTGCCAGCGTCCCCCACATCACAGCCGCATGGATCCCAACCGGTTCCTCCAAGACCAAGAATTGTAACAAAGGTCCGTGTCATGTATCGTGGAATCCCCATTCGCAAGAATTCACTCATATCAATTATCTAGCCAATGAACCCGCTGTACGTATTCCTGATGTTCCATTGTCTTGTCATTCTAATCATATCTCCGTTCGTGCTTTTGTAGATCAAAGCTTTTCCGAGGCGCTCCTACCAGGCCCCTGCCAACACTCGACATCAACAGCCTCGGCCCTTCCGATGCTGCCCCTGCTGCCAACACATCTAGCGTGCTATCTACGACACGTGACGCCACAACTAGCGGGTCGGCGCCCGTGTTTGCAGGTCCCGGTGTTACCACTGGCAGTGCTGACACCGCTACAGATGCAGCAGCGGCAACGACAACAATAACAACAACAACAACAACAACAACAGCGGCAGCAGCAGCCGCCACACTAGCAGCAGCAACACTAGCAGCCGTCGCACCAGCAGCCGTCGCACCAGCAGCCATCGCACCAGCAGCCGTCGCACTAGCAGCCGTCGCACCAGCCGCACCAGCCATCACCACCGCGGCAGCAACAACAGCAACAGCACCAACAGCACCAGCAGCAGCACCGGCAGCACCAGCAGCACCAGCACCAGCACCAGCAGTGCCAGCTGCCTCAGGTGACGTCATTGAATTCGATTCCTTTCATCACACAGTACTAAGTTCTTACTATGCTCAGCTTCAAGCGCTTCTTCATCGAAGGCTCCTAGCCGGAAAAAGGGCGTTGGTAATGGTGTGTTGCGCATAGGGAAGCAACTTGTCGCAAGGTACGAAGTTCTCCAACTATGAGAGATTATACTGAACAGTGCTGCCACCTACGAACTAATGTATCACACAGGAATATATGTGCACGGCAATGGAAAGAACAATTTCCGAAAGGAACGACTAACGAATTCAAAGTTTACTGGTCCAGTCTCTCTCCAGACGAACTCGCGGTATGTTCAAATTGACTTCAAAAGACATCAAACTCAATAGAATTCTAAATCTACAGGTATATGACCGTCTCGAGCAAGAACAGGTATGTAGTACAACTACCACGGACATCACATACTAACACTGTCCACTCTTCCCAGAAAATGAATATTGTACAGTCGTGACATGGAAATTGGAGTACCTGGGTCGAGGTGGCTAGATGGGATTCGATGCAGTGAGATTACTGAGGCAGGTAGTTAGATGGGATTCGAGGAGGTTAGATGGCAGGGATGTGATAAATCGATGTAGCTCGATATCGATAGATATGTTCGTGATCTCAATAGACATCGATCTAATGCACAAGATGTGGAGAGATGTCAGTAGATCGTGAACGCACCGAAGCCTATCCAAGATCGACTGGAGTCGATGTGGAGAGATTTCGTGACATGAACTTGGTTGAATCACTCGTTGGCATGCAATCAACGGTCTAATTTATGCGCGGCTAAGTGAGATGAAAGTCGTTCACATTCGATCAAAATGAGACTTTTCTAAGCAGATCTAGCTATATCTACTTGTCCGTTCTCATTAGCTCTCGTTAGATCTGACTACACCGGATTTTCACTGGGGCTGAGCCCTCCGACTAACTCTTATCGACATTGAGGAAGTGCATAAGCTATTGGCTTCGGTTCTTGGTTGTATATCCCTTCATTCAGCTGATCGTGAGAGCGAGATCGTTTTGAAAATTTCGGCAAGGTGGATAGTGTGGCGTTGGATCCTCAGCAAAGTTTTGAAAAAATCTAAACGATTTCGAATGGATGATGAGGCAATGATGGACGGCAGCCTGTGAGCTTCAGCACACGAAAACCCCCATATAACTCGTCTAGATGGTGTTATGTTGTATCGAGGGAAAAAGGCGTAGACCATGGCATCGTTTTTGGTGTAGTTCATACCATACAAGAATAAGTCTTGTGGGATGTCTGGTCGGAGGTGGCTCATCTCCATAGGCACTTCGAAGGGCTGTGAAAACGCTCGTGAAATGTAAAGGAGTAATATGGCATACAACGCACATCGAACTCTGGCCGCCACTCGCGATCGTTGATTTGAAACTTGTTCGTTATGTACGTCACTAGCAGCTGCAAGGCTGGCTCGAATATCTTTGCAAGCTTCACGATTCCCTGGGATCTATCGGGAAATGTTTCCTGATTGGCCGCTGGTTCGTCACTGTAAGCCCGCTGGAGTTCGTCGTCAGTGAGCACGCTTATAAGGTCGACATAATCGGCAGCAAAGATAATGGGTGAGAAACGATCGGGGAGACCATTTGGAAGACGGTGTAAGGAAGGTTTGCAAGCAAAATCGATGCAGACAGACGCTCCGAAAGCGGCCGAATAGACGGGGAAGTCAATCGGAACGGATCTTCGTCACAAAAGTTATTCAATAGTTCGTGATGTCATTGATGAGAGAATGATACAAACCTGAGGATATCACACTGTGGAATCTGATAGAAAACGGACGGAAGAACGAAAGAATACAACGAGATTGGCACAAGCTCGTTGTATCTTGTGTACATGCTCGGATCACACTTTGACAGGATCTTGAATAACGTCCATTTCACATCGTATATCGACAGTGTTGGGTCATTGATTTCATGAAAGGTTACGTTGGAAGAAGGGTAGTCGATATTGGAGAAGTACGGCCTAGGCTTGAAGGAAACGTATGATTCATCAAACTGGTCCAGGTACTGATTTAACGCCCCTTTGAGTGTTGCTTCCAGGGAAAAGTCGTCTGTGCTCTTTGGTGAAGTGCTGTCAATTATATGCATGCGAATAGGATATAAGTTCCTACCTTCCAATCATCAGGCAGCTCCAGTGGGTCTTGAATCCACTCATACCGAGACTCTAGAAACACTAAAATTCCCTCGATACCCGTATCTCCCGGTCCACAACGCGTCAATATGTGAAACTCCCACCGATGCGATCCATTTGAGAGATCCCTGCATCATTCAATCAGAAAACCATCTGGAAATGGGAGTGTTCATACGTACTGCAGAGTCGATCTAGATGTATCTAGTGTGTCGCCTGTGCCAGCCATTCCATACTTCTGGAGCCATGCAGACAGCGTGGTATAGGGAGATTCAATGACAAGGTTTGGTTGATGCATAGGGATGTAGCATGGGATTGAGTTGACTCCTAGTAAGCGGCCTTGTCAGGTCAATCGGAAGAAGAGGTTCGTTGATGTCGAGTTTATATGGCAACCGGACCGTGGTTTCACGGACACACTGGCAAGTATCCCTTTAGCAATCCGATTCAAGATGGCATCTCGTCTGTCTACACCAAACGACTCCGATAATCAACCAACGCTCGTGGATTTATTGATTGAAAGCGGTATCGCATCGCCACACTCGTTTCATGAAACCACACTCAACACGTATCTCACTTCACTATCAGTGAAGTTCGCGATGCTGACATGTCTCCATTTTCAGGGACTGGATTTTCTGTGAAGATATCTCGAGACTAGATCCAGTTATTTCCGTGGCGTGCGCGAAACAGCTTGAATTTGTTCGCACCTTCAAGTTAGGCTGGGCCTCGAGCGAGCCGCACGCCCTGGGCATACCAGAGAAATGGGAGGTGAGTACACTATATTCTATCGAAGAACATATCGCAAACATGACTTTAGCTTGATGCCAATTCAAAAACGTGGATCTTGAGCGACCACATGCATGCAGCCGCCTTGCTGCGCTGGCTCCGTCCCATTAAAGGCAATCTTACATTCATCTCGACCGACGATATCGTCAAACGGCACGATGATTCGAAGTCCTTCTTGCCTGATTTTCTGCTCCACGCGCCTCATATCCTCGATCATCCTATCGAAACGGAAAGCTACGATTGGACCAGTTCGACATACTCTCTACCGTTTTTCATGGAGATCATCTCGTATCCTGGGGATGAAGCCAGTGCCGATATGGCTATCCCTGGATTCTTCCAACCCACTCCAAATTGCACTCTGGTCAGGTAGGTTGTGCACACACTGGTTATAATCAAGAATACTGTCTGAAGCCAGCTATCTCCAGCGACGTAGTGTACGATTTCCCGCCGCCACTTTCAGTGCGCAATCACCATTACAACAAGACGTTTGCAGTTGTGGAAAACTCTTTCAGGCCATTGACCCCTTCCCACTTTCAAATCATAGCCAGCTTGTTGCGGCCCACGCTTTTGGTCGGCATGAAGGGTCCTGCTCGCTGGCCAGCTCCCTTAGCCAATTTGATTCGCATGTCCCAGTCTGCGTCGGTTTCCGCATCTTTGAATCAGACGCTGCTCGATTTAGCTCAAAGTATAGAACCGAATCTATTCGCTTTGCTGATGAACTGGCACTATAGATGTGAGAGAAATATAGATGGGATTGGCGAGCCTTCGCTCCCATCATATCGTTGCATACCCACGTGGTTGATTCAGTTTGGCTTGATATACGATGCCGAAGGCTTGATCATTGTCGCTCATATTCCATATCTCGCCGCACCTTCATCTCCCACCTCTGCACCACTCTCCTTTCTTTCATGCATAGTTGACCGTATATCTATGCCTGGCCTTATTGGCATCCGTCCATCATCCACATCACACGGTGCTTCCATTCTCAGCAACCTCAAGGCTGCGCTAGCGCTGTCCTGTCTACAGCGGCACGCATTCGTCGTATCTGCCTTATTGGAAGGGGTCTCCTGGCCTTCATCAATCGTTCAGGAAGATGCTGAGGACGAAGGCGACCAAGAGGATGGTTCAACATCATCTGATGCGGATGAGTATGGAGTGTATTGAATTTGCATCTAGAACACCACCAAGAGTGCAGTGTCTGAATTAAATATTGGTCATAAAACCCACGAAGCAAGTAAGGTTGTGCACGCCGGATGGCAGAAAGAGGTTCTAAATTTAAGGTGAGGATGTGTGGTATGTTCGTGGCCGGTCGCTCCTTGCCTTGTGTTGCTCTGCATTTCCCTGCGTTGCTCCCATTGCCATTCGAAAGCGCAAGCACGCCGTCCTGTGCATGAACACGCGTCGCTGCATAGTATGTGGTGTGGGGAACCGCGTGGGGCTAGTCTTGACATTCCATTCCGTTCGTTGCCAAGCTCGTGTAGTTTGACAGAACGATCTCCAATCATACGGGTAAGCTGGCGGATGGCAGAGCTGAGGGCCAGGGAGACCGGCCAGCCTGTAGTATACCATCCGCAAATGATGAACATCTTTCAAGCAGGGAAAGTGAGGATCAAATTACAGTCTCAGAAAATCAGGAACCGTACTCCCAGCCTCGCGAGCGCGGACGCGCAGGACGAGACGAAGGCTGAGTGCGCGTCGGCGTAACCGTTGCGGGTTGGGTCATGGAGCTGGAGCGCAGGGTCATGGGCTGAGGGGTGTCGGAGACAGGCAAGCCTTTGGTGGCGTGTTGTAGTATTTCTGTGGTGTTTATTCTGTGAAAGTAAGTTTACGTCCGTCTTATACGAAGAATGTACAATCGCTCGTAATCACATCAAGTCTACAATGATGGAAGCCTCTAAATGCCTATGTGGATGTACGTTGCCCAGTGGGCAGCTGGAGAGCCTCGATCCCGAAGCTCCCTCACGGCTTCATCCAATGCATAGGGTATATCATCCGGATCAGGGTTGAACTTCCCGTCCTTGAATAATGCCGAATACACTGCCTTCGCTATATGAGGCCCGTCCGCATCTTTCATGGACCTAAGGTGTCAAATTTTCGGAATGCATGTATGTGAATGGGAAAGAGAGCCGCACTCACCACAGCGTCCCCACGACGCTCTTGAAACCCATGAACATCATGGCTGCCGCTAGATGAACCGTCTCGTCCGGCTGTACACGGTCCCCCGCGGCGGATTCGCAGGCGCTGAGAAATGCGAAATACGCGCTAGGTGCCTTCAGCTGCATCATCTGCGATATCGTTAGCTTCCCATCCGTGAGGAAGAACCCGCTAGACAGCGGCGAGTCGGGATCCTGGCGGCCATGGCAAGCTAGATGCACGATCGTCGCACGCGCGAGCAGGTCCGTCACATCCCGTACGGTCGACGAACCGATGGTGGATCCTGTCTGCAAAAGGGAGTCGCCTGGGAGCGTGCGAGCGATTGCAGTCACCTCGTCCAGAGCATATGGGAGGCGTGCTTGTCCAGGAGCCGCCGGTGCCGCGGCGAGTAGCACTTGTGCAGTCGAAGACAAGGAAGGGGTCGTGGACCAGGTCTTTCTCGCTTGGACCAGGATATCAATGGTGGGCGTATACGAGGAAACCGCGTAGTCTGACAAAGACTCTGCCGTTGGACAGGAAAATATGCCCGCCGCGTGTAATGGTAAGAATGAGAATTTGCCCGTAGGACACCACCAGATGCGAGGCCTGTCTCTCCCTTGGGCTTTCTGTGAGTGCGGTTGTGTCAATTTAATGTAAGTATCTAGCTCAATGTTCATGGAACTGACTTCGAGCCCAAGCTCCCTCATCACAGGCTCAACAATGCCGAGCCAGATCTCGGCCAGAGATTGTCTCTGCTTCGCTTGTCGTCGGAGCCTCCGAGCGATATGCCTCGCGTCGCTTGCAGCTGCTCGCACGTTACCCATGACGATTTCCGTGACCCACTCTTCTAGGACCGCATCTGTGATGTCGGGAAATACCACTTGGCGTGGTTCTGTGCTCGCACCGGTGATGAGAGCCGCATGACAAGGTCTTCCTGGGATGAGTATTACAATAGGACTCTTGCAAGCTATGTTGTGACGATAGGGCTGCGAAGACAGTGTGGGATTTAGGAAGTCGCCGAAGCCTTCAAGGCGGCGAGCAGCATCCACAAACATGTTGAATCTGGCTGACAACAGACGCTGCAGAGGCAGTTCCTTGTCCACACTGTCCGCATGCATGTCCGAGGTAGTCACCGAGGTTACCAGTTTCGCAGAAGTGCGCTGCAGTCGAGATGATAGATAACGAGGGAGATGGTCGAAAGGTCCTCGTAAACGGAGAGTCTGCTGCCAGAACAATGCTCGTCCCCACTCAAGGCTTTGCAAGCAGATCATCGGCATCTTAAAAGCGAGAGCAAGCTGCGCAACGGAGTTTGACAGCTCCTTGACCTGCTTCAACACCTCCAGACGCGATGCGTTACCTAGACCTTGGTAGGATGACCGCAGTATATAGATCATATGAAGGCAAAACTTCATGAGGCGATCACGCTGGGCCTCGCTAAACGCAGAACGAACAGCGGAATGATTGTGAAGAAGTTCAACGAGCTCTTTCGCACTGATGATCTGCTCCAGCCCTAAACGGCTCCAAGAGCTAGGAGTAATAGCATCGATTGACTCGATAGCCTCCTGAAGACATGTTCCTTCTCCAGTTTGTTGAAAGCGGAGAGACAAGGTCATGGCCAGATAGACGTGGCATAAGAAACGAGCCCTGTGTTTCACAGACCATAGGTCCAAGAGGACGGGATCCAAAATTCTCTGGCACTCTCGTAGATGCGCAATTCCTCCGTCAAGGTCAGCAAGAGCAGTCGTCGAGCGCCAACGGAGACGTGAACAGATGTTCAGCTCCAAAAGCGCCGATACCCGCAACCTAACACTTGCATGATATACGGTAGAGTAGCGCTGTCTGATGTTAGGATTCTGTACAGGTGATGGCAACAACAGTACGCGTTGGAGGGCATCACGAGCACGATCCAAATCCTTTAGCGCAGCCGTTTCTTGGTACGAGTATCGAAAAATGCAAGCGACACGGGGAAGATGCATCGGCGGCAGTTCGCCTGCCTGCGCATCGAAATTGCCAACGACCTCCTTTCGCAGATCGTGGAACAACTGCAGGTCGTTTGGGTTCTTGGTACGACAGAATCTGTTGTAAACAGCATGTGCGAGCAGGTATTCCAGCATGAACCTGGATGGACCTAAATCGTCTCATGAACATCGCATCGCGTGTAATAACTAGTTAAGTCTTCGATCGCACCTTTATGTTTAGGTGAGAGATAGATGCCGAACAGACGCACATCCAAGAAACTCACGTCAAAAAAAACTCCATTCCGCGTGGACATACGCAATTCTTGATATATCTGCACTGCCTGGTCCACGTCTTGGACAAATCCGAATTCCAAGAAGCGCTGCACGAGCGCACTAGCAATTCCGTAAAGAAAGAGCAATCTTCCTGGATGGCTTTCTGGCAACCATCTGAGCCCCTCTCTAAACCAAAAGAGTGCCTCTTCTATATCCCGAGTTCTGTATAACCACTGAAATGTGGCCAGGCTATGAGCGCCCATTGTGTAGACCACGCGATGGTACGCCGGAAAGAACCGGAAAGTCTTGTGAAGATTGCCTCCTGGGCCCTTATAGTAGATAGACCTTGCGATGCTCTGGATTCTAGAACGAGACTCTTTGGAGAACAACTGCAAGTGCTGTAGCCAAGAAGATCGTAACGCGGGCGCACCGCACGACGCTGTCTCATCTCCCATGACCTGCGATATGATGCTTGCCTGACCAGGCATCGTCTCTACCGACTCCGCATGGAATATGTGGAGTTTGCGCACATGGGCACGAGCTGCAGAGAGCCTCAGGAGACTCTGCAGAGCTGTAGTGCGCGCATACATTGGGGTATCCTCAATGACTTCTCGGAACTGGAGCACTGACGCGAGTTTTGATGAGCGAAGTCCGTAACGTTGAAATGCAGGCAGCTTGACTTGGACGATGAATAGACTAATTGAGAGAAAGATTGGTCGGCACACTCACAGCTCATCTCAATGTCCCTTGAACTCCTCCGCCGGTACGCATTGGGTCTACATTTCGTACTCTCGTGACACCTGTTGATTGTGGTTCGCATTACGAGTGGATACCTGAACCTCGTAGTTATAACGTTCCAAGGTGGATGCTTGGTGCGAAAACCGTCACGGTCGAAATTTATTGATGATGCGGAGGTGTGATTCAGGGTCTCGTATACGTAGCTTTGTGTCGTTTATGAGGACCAGTTTTGAAGATTAACTGTGGGAGAGCAGTGTTGATCGCGTCGATGCCGAACCCGGCAGGACGCGTCTTCCGCCCTGCGCTTCATCATGAACGAGGTTTCACACGAGTCATTCAAACTTGAGACAGTTCATGACCTGCATCATTCCTTATCGTCATATTAGAGTCCACCCTGACATTGAATCAGATGCAGACGTCGATACAACACAGGCCAGCACCCCTTCTGTGCCCTTACCATGTCCATGATCATTGGATGAATCGTGCACACGAGCATTGACCAACCTACTATGGTGCGCTTAGCTTGAGTCATATTTCCTATCTTTGTTTTTGTTCCTTTGGTACGTGTGCTATCGGTTCATTGATCAGCTACTCGCCGTAGTCCACCGTATTGAAGTAGAGACCAAGTTGTTTTGACCATCTCATGCCTAAGTCTGTCGCATACAAGTTTTAGAATGATAGCTACGGTGCGTCTACATTACATATGTATATGTACTGATGCGCACGGAACGATTCAAGGAGCCTTGATACGTATGTGTTATGCATGCGCTGTCGGCAAAAATCCATCTTAGAGCCTCAGAATCCCACCTACGCACCGCCTATCGCTCAACCTGCTATCAATGAAGCTGTCAGTGCCTTATTCCTAACTCTCGAAGAAGGAAGTAGATTGACCTTAGTAGAGATAAAGTCCGGCATGTCAATCGTCAACCAAATGGCCGGGTAAGCCTGCGCCGCTCCTAAACCCGTACAGGCCTTGACGCTCCCTTTATTATCTGTGTCTACGTCCACACATACGAACTTGCGGGTCACGAACTCTCTCTGTAAGTGATGCCACATGACGAGCTTGGCTATTTGTCGATTCCTGTATTCCTCCTTCACAAACAGCGTGGTCAAGGTACCATCCCGTGCAGTCCAACACCATCCCAAAGCGGTGTCTTTGCTCTCTTCTGCGTCAAGATATGCAGCCGTACTGTTATACTTCTGTAGCGTTTCAGGGCTCCGGTACACTTCGGATGAGGCCGCAACCAATTTGATGAGCTCATTGTCTTTAACATCTCCAAGGTGGCAACCTTGGAAATCCTCTCCCAATGTGGGCTCATTTAGGTGGCCGCGCGTGAAGGTGTATTTCATATAGGTCTTGGTCTTGGTCTCGATCGAAGATTCGGGAATGAACGGAATGAATGCAGCGTGCAGACATCCCAATGATAAAAGCTTCTTGTCCTTGTGGTTCTCGACTATCAGGGTGACCATGGATTTGAGAAGGTTACATGATTCCTCGAGGAGCCCCTTGTCCCTGATATCAACCTCGCTAGCCTCGATGGAAGACCAAAACCAAAATTCAGCCTCGCCTGGTCTCGTGAAATCGGTAGTCGCGACCGCCCATGGTTTGTCCTTTGGGGGGCATTTGAAAGGCTCGAAGGACGCTATAACTAGTGAGTCCTTGGCCGGTGAGTCCTCAGCCGGTGAGTCCTTAGCCGGTGAGTCCTTAGCCGGTGAGTCCTCAGTCGGTGAGTCCTCGACCTTGACCGGTGGTACCACGATCATGTAATGTGGGTTGTTGGCGAACGGGAGGTACTCTTCCAGGTGGGGCAGGACTGTTTGCATCGGGTTCTCGTGAATGTACACGACGGAAGTCATTGTGGCAGTCTGCAATAGATGATCAGGTGAGTAAGGTTATCCTGCGGGACCATCACATATAGAGCATTGATTAAGGTGACTAACTTCGTTTTTAATATATATGCCTTATTGAGGATGCTCTGGTTATGGCAGATTTGCTTTTGAAGGGGGGGATGAGAGAGAGCGTCAGTCCGCTCGCGTGCGGTTTATATATTGTAGCCGTCCTGCATGGCGGGCGCCTAATTTGCGTGTGCCACCTTGTGCCTCCATGTTGTCTGAGCCCCACGTAAGGAGGGACAATAGCCTGGAGGCTTGTGGTCTTGTCGAAGCGCCTGCACATGGTGGGGCGCCAGCGCCGCAGGAATCTGGATGTCAAACAAGCGCCCATCTCATTCAACCTGCTTCCGTTTCGCCTTATTCTCGCCTGCCCCAGAATGCCTACAGTCAGGTCCAAATGCTCACGAGGCTGTTCTTGTACTGTCTATTGCGATGACGTTACTCAGCTCTTGCTGGTTCTAGACCAGCCATCTTGAAGACAGGCGTTCAACGGTGGCAAAATGCAGTGCAGGCCCGCACCAAGTACAAACCTTATTTGATCTTCAACTTGCCCACCAATCGGGGACTTGGAGACATGATGGCCAGTAGACAGATGTTCGCGAAACGTAGTCGGATAGCCATCGCAAAGGGCGATTGGCTGATGATGACGGAAGAGAAGGACAAGGACAACGTTCCTTCCCTTGACCCTTCTACAGTGCCCCTGACGAAGGACTCAACGATAGATAGAAGACAACACAAACCCCAAATGATCCAGTACAACAAGTGTAAAGCCTCTAAACCCAAGTATGGCGCATCACCCAAACAGGTGCACGTCGTAAGATTTAATCCCTGTCCCGTCCTCGCGCAGCTGCCGACAAGACAAGCAGATCAGCAAGCCAAAAAAATCGAGAAGATCGAGAAGACGCACATACAGCCCGACGATGCGCTCCTCGTCGATCATCACCCCGTCGTACTCATACTCTTTCCGAGTCACCGTCTCGCAGTACGGGAGCTCGCTCTCCACGTCCGCCTCAAATAAGTCCCCGCGCTGCAGCACGGTCTTCTGCGTCACCAGCCGGACGACGTTCCCGTTCGGCAGCACCATCTTCTCCTCGGCGTCGCGGCCCCCGTCCGCCGCGCGCATCTGATGGCGGCGCACGTGGTACGGGTTGAAGTCGCGCAGCGTGAGCGGGCCCCTCTGCTCGTCCGTCGTCGTCACGTACCGCTGCCCGTTCGTCATCGTGATCCACCGCATCGGCTCCTCGTCGCACGCAAACCAACGCGTCACGCGCGGCCCCCACTTTTCCCACTCCAGTGGAAGGACGGTGATACCGTCGGCCTGCGGCCATGCAGCATGGAATCTTGGAGCCTCGCGGGCCTCGAGCGGGAGAAGCGCGATGAGTGAACGCCGGTGGACGACGAACGAAAAGTGGTGCATCTCGCCGAAGTGGGGCGCTCCGGGGCCCTGCTGAAAGACAAGGTAAAATATGGCGATCGCGTTTTCTGGGTCCTCGCGCACCGCGCAGCGTGTGCGCGGCTCGGACTGGGGTTGAAATGGAGGCGTGCTGCTGCTCATGGGATTTGGCTCGGCACGACAGTCGAAGCGGAGCACGTGTGCGTTCTGGAGAGAGGGGAATTGGAGAATTCGGACAGTCTGGAGGCTGGGTGGGTTACCGGCCACGATTTTGCAGATCTCAAGGTGATTTAACGACATGTGCGTGAACACCAGGAGGTCTTCTTGTAGAAAAACGAAATGCGCGTATGCGCCAGACTGGGAGGTACGTATCTACGAGGGCCGGAGAATGTCATAAATTGAGAGGACCATTGCACGGGAATGGGCCCATGAAAAGAGGTGGACGAACTCACAAGATGCGAGCGTCCTGTTTTCCATTCAACGAGAAAGAACTTGTCTTTCCCGTTTAACCGGATCCATGGAAAGGTGAGCAGCAAGGCCAGATAGTCTCCTACAATTTCAATAAGAACGCTACAATGCCCCAGCCATGCGTCCCTTCTCGTCAAAAACATGACGGGAGACGCGGCCAGAGGGTGAGGGTGACCAGTCGAGAAACTTAGGAGCCTGAGCTCGAGAACCGTCGTATCTTCTTCCGGATCGTCCCCGGGAACTTCTCGTCTTAATAATTGGTGATATCAATTGATTGTGGACGACTAAATAATATAGGCTGTACTGACGAGGTCAAAACGGCGATGAGATCGTGCTCCTCTACGGCCAACCCGACGTCGACAACTGTCATACCAAAATTGACAGATTTCCATGTGATCGATGTCGCACCTCCATCCAGCAATTCTGGTATGTCATAAATTGAGGGAAGGCGGAGGTAAGAATATCCGTGGGTGAGGCGTCTATTGTCTGCATTGTAGCGATTACCGAGCAGAAATGCACCCCCGGTGAAGTCATAGATGCCGCTTGATTGAAAATGGACAGGAATAGTTGTGAATGCGCGGGGATCGAGTTGCGTCCAAGCGCGCTCCCTTCGGCGTAGGAGTTCGAGGCGCTCAGCGTACGGCCGATTGGACAGAGGGTCATATTGGATTGACGTGGCTTCGGTCAGCATGGTGTATTGCAAGCGGCTCGAAGCTTGAATAATCCGGCGCAAAAGTCGGCAGCATAGCTGGCATGTGATGAGTTCGTGGAGGGAGAGGAAATGGAGGATTTGAACGATGAGTTCAGTGGGGAAGTCAAAGAGACTCGAGCCTGAATACGCTAGTGTCACGTTAACTCCGTCCATCCCGTGTTATATCAAGGTGGAGTATGTTGCGCAATGTTCAGGACGCTGAAGGGCTGTTGCGAACAATGGAGTGAATCGCCACTCGGCGACTGATGCTGCAGAGATCGGTTTGTCGGTCTGAGAGACTTTGTTGGGCTATGACGTAACTTCAATCTCGCCGGATTTCGCCGGACCGATGCTAGCGCTCATGGCAGCTCGCCGAGGCTCATCGGCGTCTCCGCCAGCGACGACTACAACACCTCGCACGACGTTGAATGTCATTCGGCCTCGTCTTCCCTGCGCTCGTCGCAGCCAGACTCATCCTCCAACTGTCCCCTTTGTCGTCTCTTCTTAAACATGATAGCCAGCTTTCTTCGCCGCTGACCTCCTACTCCCGACGTAAGCCGCTCAAGTTAATTTGTGCTACAGTTTAACCTATGTTCATCGTCGTAGTGCAGGAAGGGATCTACCTTTTCCGCAACGGAATTGATCCATACTCTGGGGGTACATTTAGACACGTATGGAATCTCTTTGTGCTTTTCTACTGTCGTTTTCTGCATTTCATGAACTTTCGTTTGATCCTCCAGTCCCCGCTCTACCTCTCATTGTTCTCGATCGTGCTGCTTGAATCAAATGCTTTATCGGCAGTGCTGTGGACCCTCGCCGATGCCATCGGCGCATGGGCGCTAGTGCAGATCTGGCGGGCCAGAAGTCGCACGAGTAAAGGTCGAAAAGACTCGGTAATTGCTGCTGTGTGCGTACGTGGTTTCCTTCTATCCTCCGTATCATTATTTTTTCCCAATTCAAGCATCTGTGAAGCTGGTTGGAAAAGGCTAAATGAGCATGAACAGATATCTTCTCAATCCATACATATTTTTACCCTCCCTAGCGTTCTCCACGTCTACATTCGACAACGCGTTTCAGCTCCTCTCCCTGATGTTCGCTTCGCAAGGTACGATGCTCACCCTCTCGCCTTGAATCCAACTCTCTGGCATCCATCGTCCTGATTTTGCACCCCACAACTAAAGGCCGGATATCCGAATCCCTACTCACGCTCGCCCTTCTCTCCCACCTCTCTCTACCGTCCATTCTCCTACTTCCACCTACTGTCCTCCTTCTGCTGAGTGACCCCACGTCACACCTTGCGTCCCCAAAACCATTCGCGCAAAAGCTCCGCAAAGCCATCCCCCTCACGACAGAGTTCTTAGCATACTTCTCCGTCTTGATCTTCGCCTCTACCCTACCATCAGCTGGATGGGGATGGGTGAGAAACACATGGGGAGCAGGGTGCGTAGAATGTCTTCCAATACCTTGAGGACACTATCAGCTAGACGCGTCCGTGGTGGCTGTCCCGTTGTGGCGTGACGCGATCTGATCCAGTTTGGGCCGTCACTATTAGATTTCTGCTTCCGGATCTGACACCCAACCCCGGTCTCTGGTGGTACTTCTTCACCGAGATGTTCGACCATTTTCGGCCGTTCTTCCTCATGGTCTTCAACGTAGGCGCCTCGACTTGTCCCCATGCAAGTAGCGACTGATCTACGCTTTGTAGGTCCACCTCCTCATATACGTCGCGCCCATATGCATAAAATTCCAGTACGTTGGCCGGAGATGCGAAAATACCCTGTGTTCGTTTGCATAGTGATGGCCGATCTAGACACGACCCTCTCTACGCGACGTTTCTTCTTATCGGGGTCCTTGCCCTCTTCAAGCCATACCCGACGCTTTCAGACCCAGGCCTGTTCATCAGCCTGATCTCGCTCTTCCCAGAAACATACGCATGTACGTCGCCGCCCCTCTTATACATCATCCTTGATGCATTCACACGCTGACTGACCCAAGACTTCCGCCACCCGATCGTGACGACGCTGCTGCATCTGCACGCGTCGCTGCTCCTCCCGCTCTTTCACCACCTCTGGGTGGCGGCGGGCACCGGAAACGCGAACTTCTTCTACGCGAGCACGCTCGTGTTCGGCATCGCGAACGGCGCGGCGCTCATCGACTGCGTGTGGGCCGGGCTCAGGATTGCGCTGGGCGAGGAGAAGGAGGGGTGGGTCGTGATACAGGAATGACCTGGAATTTGAGACTTGTTATGTTTTCTTGTATTCAACAACCATTCGAACTGCCCGCCCCGATTTGTTGGACGGGTACCGTCGAAGGCTTGGGTTGGAGACATGGTTTTTTGCGGTACAGTAGTGTACAGTGTCACTGAATTCCAAGAGAATTCCCGGCAACTCACTCACTCCAACCCCTGCCTGCGCACGAACTCGACTAAAGCCCTGTAAGCAAAAAAAGACAGGCTGTCAATACAGTCATCGTAGAATTTTCTCCGCACGAGCGTACGCACCGAACAGGTCGTCCAGTCATGCCTGTCTCGAGGTATGGCGTTGCCCGTGTTGCCTGCAACAGAAAAAAATACGATCAGAGCCCAGCCGTTAGCGAGAATAGAATGTAAGGAGAAGGCATGGGCTTCTACGCACTTCCATCGTTCCCGCAATATCAATGTGCGCCCACCGAAGCGGCGCCTCCGTCTCGCCTTCCTGCGGCTCAATCCCGTCGACGAATGACTTGAGGAAGAGCGCAGCGGTGCAGCTCCCGCCAGGCTTGCCCCCAACCTGCGATTGTACCGACTCGCGGTCAGCACTGTTGCTCTACACAGGAAGCGAAGAGACAAGGTCAAGGGATAAATGGGTGTGGGAAAACGCACGTTGCAGAGGTCGGCGTTGGAAGAGTATATTTGCGGGCCAAAGTCCTCGTCGAGTGGCATACGCCAGAAACGATCATACTCGGTTTCGCCGGCGGCGTGGAGCTCTTCCCAAAGGGAGTCTGAGGTCTGAGAGAACGTTGGCAAAGACAGTCAGCTGTCAATGAATTGGTTATGGAAGTTGGTGGACTGACTGAGAAGACCCCAGAGAAGATTTCGCCCAGGGCAATGTCCATGGCACTTTACATGCTATTCAGTGAGAATCGGATGCCTGAAGGAAATCAGATACGAACCCAGTGAGCGTGGCAACATCGATGAGTGTGTGAGGTTTGTATGTCGTTGATGTGTAATATAGCGCATCTGTCCCATCGCGGCTGCATGGGAGAAATGTTCTTGTGTAGCAGGAGTCACGCACCAGACAAAATCAAGCGGCCCTCGGCGTCAGTGTTGTCGACTTCGACAGACTTGCCGTTCATGGCATAGATGCTGAAGAATCGTCAGCAAGAAAGTACGGTATGAGAGACAGGTGATACAGCGCACGTACACGTCTCCTGGCTTGGTGGCACTAGGGCCTGGCATGTTCTCACATAGCGGAACCGTGACTACCAAATTGATCCTACACGCATATTTCAGAAGATTCTGGCCTGGAGGCATGTTTCAAAAAGGACATACGGAAGTCGGAGCTGCGCGATGGCCAGAGCAGCCGCTGAGACGGTAGCTGCTCCACCTGCGAAGCTGCTGCGTCAAGATATGCTTTCAGTGGAGGGCGGAGAACGTACCCATATCGCCGCGCATCAATTTCATGTCCTGCGAGACGTTCAACGAACACTCAGTAAGGCGACGTCATATTGTAATTAGAAAAACTTGCCGCCGAAGGCTTGAGGCTGATTCCTCCCGTGTCGAATGTGATACCTTTTCCGACGAAAGCAAGAGGTTGGGCACCCTTTGCAGCGCCGTTGTAATGACTGTAGTCGTGAGTGTGAGATGATGATTTGAAACAAACGCGTGAGGACTGCAACGCACATCTCCAAAAATTTGGCGGGCTCCGTTGTACCTTGTGTCACTGAAAGGAATGTGTTCTACGAATTCAAGAGTTCAGAATCAAGATTGTTAATGCCGTCTGCCAAGCTTCTGCACGCACCATGCCTTTCTCTGCGGCCCATTCTATAGAGTACAAAGCGGGAGATTATTAGCAACGATAAAAATATGTACAAACAGGGCAGATCGAATCTGCAAGAGGAGCGAAGTGAAATATCGACAATGAGACAACGCACCCTCATCATGAACAACGATTTCCGTGTCTGCAACGTTGGCAAACTCCGACTTAATGCGCTCAACGAAAGCCTGTCGCCAGCGGAAAGTATCAGGGGCATCAATGGTATTGTCCTGGTTTTCATCGTTCAAGAATAAAACTGACCGTGGGAGTAAGTAAATTTGCTGGCAACTCCATAAGCTAGACGTTGCGTATCAGACGCATTGAGTGCATTGAAATAGTTCACGGGACGATGACACCTTACCGTCCTGGCGAGATTTTGAGCTTGAGCATAGACAACGCCCGTGTTCCAATCTTTCGAACTTTGCAACGGCTCAAAAGACACGTTCTCAGGTTCCTTGCTACCCGGTCGGAAAGGGGAAGGTGGTGACGTTTTCAAAGTGAACTTGTATTTCGCCAAGTGAGCAGCAACGGCTGTGGTACGCAGTGAATATATGTTATCGCATTGTATTCAGTCATAGAAGCATACCAGCAGCATGAGGGTCGGTTGAGGCATCTACAGAGACCTTTTTTGTACCGTCTCCCAGATCCTTGACCTGCTTCACTCCACTGCCAACAGCCTTTCTCACCAACTCCCTTCTCGCGTTACCCTGCTTCTTGTCAAAGCCTTCACCGAGAGAAACTACGGCCGTGACATTGATGCCTTCCTTTGCAGGCGTGTTATAGAATACTCGAGTTGAGCCAACCTTCGGTGCCTTCGAGCCAACGGGGGTGGTTGACCAAAGTTTCACAGGATCGATATCGGGGACAGCTCGCGTGCTGACTTGACTTTTGGGGTCAATCGGGAGGATGAACACAGACGTGGACGACATGGATCTGATGAGGACAGGAAAGCGGCGGAGGAAGGACGATGCACCTCTATGGAGGAGCATTGAAGAGCTTACGGGAATTGAAACGTGACCAACTGGTTTGAGGACTCCCACAACAGACGCACTTTTCACCTCGCCTCCCTCATGCATCCTTGCCAGCTCACAGCTTGCCATTCAAATTGGCCTGATCAATGCATTCATTTGTGGATCTCAATCCTTGTGGTAGCATGCTATGGTAACAGGTGTCCATTCATTGTATTTTAGAATGCTCAGCAACACAAGACGCAAAGAGCCCTCAATGACTTTTCTTGTTGGATAGATCAAACTCAGGTCCTCCCACTTACATGGAGGAATCTGTGTCCCATCTCAGGTGTGTTCTTGTTGTAGGAAATGTGAAGATGATAGCGATGTCTCCACCTCACGCACCAATACTTCATCGCTTCATCCACAACATTTCAAGCTATGATTCGAGCTCTGAATGACATCTCCAGCTGTAGATATGTTCCGAGTGCCCCTCCTATGATTCAGCGATCAGCGTTTTCGTATCAACACAAGGCCTTAGAAAACAGCTTGTTTGCGTCACAAAAAGCTTGCCAAGTCAATGTCTACCCAGATAGCCTTGCACAGCCGCCACGCTCCTAACGACTGACAAACCCTAACGCTACTTACGTTAGTCTCTTCTACGTCCGCACACACGAACCCGCGGACCTCGAATGCCTTCTCCAGCTCCTTTCGCACTACTAGCTTCGCTAGGCCTTTTCCCCTCAGCTCTCTCCTCACAAAGAGTGAACTAATTGTACCCTCTCGCGCAGTGAAACACCAAGCGTGTGCACCGGTGTCCAGGGTTTCGAGGTTTCGAAGGTAGGCACCCGTGCTGGAGGATTGACGTAGCGTGTCGACCGTACGGCTGATTGTGGATGTAGTTACAACCTGTTCAAGGTCTACATCGCTAACATTTCGAAGATCGTAGATTTCCGACTCTACTTTCTTCGGCAGCCCATTAGGAGTGAACACGAACTTCGTATAGGCATGACTTGTGCGTCGTAGCGAATGCTTGGGTATCAATCGGTGAAATGAAGGGTGCAAAGAGCCAATCGCCAGAGTCTTCTTGTCCTTGACTTTCTCTGCAATCAGTCTGATCATGGATCTGAGAAGAGCATAGGCCTCCTCAAGGCGTTCCGGGTTGTCAATGTCATCTCTCGCCTCGATGGAAGACCAGAACCAAAATTCGGCCTCTCCCTTCCTTGTGAAATCGGTGACGCCTACTGCCCATGGCTTGTCCACAGGTGGATCATCGGAAGGCGCAAATGATGCAATGACGAGTGAACTGTCGGCCGGTGGTTTGATGATCGTGAACTGTTGATTGAGGGCTGTTGGGAGGTAATCACCATTCAGGTAAGGCAGGACTGTGCTCTTTGGTTCCGAATGTACATGTGCGTCGATCGTCATTTAGACAGTAGAGTACCTGGTCGGGCTTGGTCAACGGAGGTTGATGGACTGGCGTGTCAAAAGTGACAACTTACTCGATACTTGGTTCTGTGCACGTTGTGGAAATTGTGCGCTAGTTTACTGCACGTGGGAGATGAACGTAGCATTCCCTGTTCCGTCTGCGGGTGTTGGAGTGTTCGTTGTACAGGGTCAATCGCCAAATTGCTCATTGGTGTGCACCCGGACACTGAGTCATCTCAGAGCTCGAAGCATCGCGGAGTGTCTTAAAAAGTTCAAGCTCCTCCCTAATATCCAGGGAAATGTTGGTCTCAGTCTGCTCAGAACTTTACCAGCTCCTTCGACGTGAATGGGGTGACGTTGCCCTCACACGGTGCTTTAGAAAGCGCTCAGCCTTCATTGGAACGATAGTGGGAAAATGTGCAGGATAGGCAATCTCTCAGAAACCATGTCTGTATGGCAACTGTGAGTGATCTGCTATATATCATCATCTAGTATCCGATACTCGAGGGCAGACTTGACGAGAGACAATCCAGGAGCAGCAAGCATCAAATTATAGATTAGATGTTTGTTTATTGATCCTCAATTTCAAATCAATAAGCTAATACATTGGTTGAGGGTGAGCTCAAAGATATGATCAACACCCAGTAGACATGTAGACTCGTACACAAGCTTGGCGATGTCCAGCCGGAACCGCCCCTGCATGCTCTCTCCCCTCAATCCTCCGCAACATGTGCAAAATGTTCCCCATCCCGCTCAGCCTCGTCTACATGCACATCACCCCGCATGACCTCTCCGCCCTCATCCATGTCAGGCACCGCTGCCGCACCACTGCCCATAGCGTGCTCTACCTCTCTGCATGCCCGGACCATATGGTCGACCAGTGCATCACTGTGCTCGCATCTGCGCATGACATCACCGAGCTCGTGTACGAGTCTACATGTCTACTGGGTGTTGATTATATCTTTGAGCTCACCCTTGACCAATGTATTAGCTTATTGTTTTGAAATTGAGGATCAATAAACAAACATCTAATCTATAATTTGATGCTTGCTGCTCCTGGATTGTCTCTCGTCAAGTCTGCCCTTGAGTATCGGATACTAGATGATGATATATATAATTGAGTATCTGAGAACTGTTCCAGGGGTCCTGTATGCAAAATGTGATCTTCTGCTTACATTTTCATAGCAGATCACTCATGGTTGCCATATGTCTGAAGGCTTGTGGTAAGGTAGGTGCTCATCTAAGTACTATCCCTGGACCACAGTTGAATAGTTGACCAGTAGTGAACAACCATTATATCTTGTTTCACACTAGAGTGGCTGTCTTATAAATATTTGGGGAGGTTTATATGTGTGTTTGAAATGATTGTGTATTCTTTGAGACTTGTACAAAAGGTGTGTTGGGTGGGAGGGAGAAAATAAAGGGAAGTATGGGTCTCTGCCGTATCTAAGAGTCCAGATCCCAAAGATCCCCTACTCTGAACCTCATATTAAAAATAAATCAGGAGATATACGTAAGTACACATCTTGTGAAAAAAAATCTGGGGGTGGTCAGTAGAGAGCTCACACTCAAAATGAAACCTTGTCGAAAGAGACTCGAAAGAGACTCGAAAGAGGGTGGGCAGAGTGACTTCGGAGAGGTGACTTTTTGAAGCTCCGACATATGCAGGTGGCGGACCTTGCGACCTGCAAGCCGTCGGACCTCTAATCGGCACGCATGACTCAGTGTGACTGAGTGCTCGGATTAATAGTTCAACTCTGGGGTCTAAGCCGTTTTTCGAGTCTCCCTCCTCGGTCACTGCCCGACAATCTTTCCTCTTCCTTAATAATTACAATAAAATCAACATAGTGAAATTCAGACACTTTTTCAGGTATGTACATAAATTTAATAGTGGTTGGAGAGGTTGTGGGAGCTAGGCGGCTAAAATGCCTAAACCCTATTCAACTGTGGCCCAGGGATAGATAGTACGGGTCTCGAGCCGTCGAGGTCCTCGTCTCGATTCTTTTTCTCCCACCCTTTCGCACTCCATTCCCACAACATTACTCATAAAACGTAGACGCGTCCTTGGGGGAGAACAGGCCTTCCCCTCTTCAAGGATCGAGAGTCTTCTGCCACACTCGTCAGTGCGTGGATCATGTCTTTCCTTGCTACCTACTAATAAAGCATAATCACATCGAACGGTAGGGAACGCTCGTTGACCTCGCATAAAATGGTTGAAACATGTCCTCACATACGCTCATCTGGGAATTGCACAGACGAAGCATGCGCATACAATCATGACGTCTTATTCTGCGAACCATGCCGGTCCGTTTTCATCAGTGTTGCAGCCTATGAAACCCATATCCACCAGAAGAAGCACCATGAAGTCGTATCCGGAGCTTGCAAAATCTTCTACTGTCCGACTTGTGCAGTAAACGTGACTGGCACACGCTGCTGGGAAGGCCATATCAGCGGTAAGCGTCACCGCTCGCGAAGTAAGCATATAGGCGTTCCGATCAATGTGCAGCCTGAGGACGCCCATGTCCTTCCTGGGAAAGCCTACTGCGAGATATGCGATATTGTCATCTACAGCAGCCTCTGGCCAGCACACCTTACTGGTCCTGCTCATAAACGACGAGAAAAGTTTGTTGCTTACAAGTCCGCATTTGACGAGGCGTCTAAAGATAGACACGGAGTCGCAATGTCTCATGGAGAACTTGGTGTGGACTTCGGCATTGTTGAACTGCAGGATGCAAAAGCAGGTGTGCAGGCTGAGCTCAAGATTCAAATCACCAGTCTTTCATCTCAAATCAAAATTGTGGACCTCAAACTGGCTTCGGCCATATCTTCATCCAGTAAATCCAGATCTTCGTATGTGCTTTCACATTATGTATTTCTCGGCTTACAAAATGTCATCGTAGCTTTACAATTTCTTCCCCCACTCCCTCTGTTCTGCAGAGCGGACACGAATCTCGTCTATGCATCATGCTCAAGCAGACTTTGCGAGGGCGCTACGAGGATTGGATTGAGATTACCTTTGAAGACATCACTCTCGGGCATCGTTTCATCTTCGTCCGTTCCCTCAAAGCCATCGTAGGTAGCAAGGCAGACCATGAATCTCTCAAGCCTATCGCTCCCTACGTGCCGCAGGAGGCAAGGAAGCGTGCGCCGGAGACTGACGTTTTGCCGGGCGATCCACCACCCGCCACCAACGCTATCAAGTGGGTAGCCTCGCTCCCAAAGGCGCCGATCCCAGCATCCATATCTTCGATCTTGTCTACCGGCTCTGTCTCGGACATGATCATGAAGCTCAAGAGGATAGTCTTGCCAGAAAGTCTCAATCTGGATTCCTACTCCGTCCACTTTAAGTCTTTGATCTGGGTTGAAGAAAACAGAATGGAGTAAGTCTCGTCTCCAAGTGATTAACGGTACACTCATGCTTTTCACTTGAGACATGACCTCCACATCTATGATATGTACAACTCTCTACTCGTTTTCAAGGGCGCGTCCTACCGGTCAGTAATTTTGAGGTAACATATTAAAATTTACACTTACCTGATTGTGAAGTTTGGAGGTTCCTGGGCTCGCAGAAAAGCGTCCAAGCGTTCTGATAGGTTCGTTGATTATCATTACCTTACATCTATACAGTCTTGATGGGTCTGACGTGGACTCAGGCGATTCCATCCTTGTACAACGCCATGGTGCTAACAGCGGAAAATGGTTCGAAGGCCGCGTTCACTATGTCCACAAGGAAATAGTCGGGCTCATGTTCCACAAATCATTTTCAAATCCTGACAAGAACCAGCGGTTTGACGTGCGCTTCAAATTGAATAGACATCCCCTACGACGGCAGCATCAAGCCTTGAGCAGCACATTCACTCCGGAACATCTATTGTTCCCACTTCAACTGCACGTTCACACCAGGGCGGAGGATGCAACTGTTATCACACCGCATAATCGGATGTTGGCGAACAACTCTCGTCAGTTGGATGCTGTGAGTGCCATTGTGAACAACCCACCTGGCTCTGTACCGTTTGTTGTTTTTGGCCCGTAAGGACTTTCTTCTACTTTCTTCAACATCCTGTGATCTGATCGTTGTCTATAGACCAGGAACAGGAAAAACCGTCACGATTGTTGAATCAATCCTTCAAGTATTAGATGCTAATCCTCAAGCCCGGATCCTCGCATGTGCTCCAAGCAACTCTGCTGCTGATCTTATAGCGAGCAGGCTGATGTCTCTTGGAACCGCAAAGCTCTTCCGGCTCTATGCTCCTAGTCGAGTTAAGGAAAAAGTTCCAGATGAGTTGCTGCCATTCACACGCACCAATCCTGGTGGCTATTTCACTCTGCCGGAGAAGTCGGTCCTGCCTCAATACAGCGTCATCGTTACAACTTGCGTCTCTGCAGCCTTCGCACATGGCATAGGCATGAAACGAGGCCACTTTTCCCACATATTTGTAGACGAGGCGGGGCATGCAACTGAACCGGAGGTTATGATCGCGGTCAAGACCATGGCTGATATGAGCACAAACATTGTGTTGTCTGGCGACCCGAAGCAGCTGGGACCCATCATTCGGTCTGCAGTCGCCCGACACTTCCAACTTGATATAAGCTACCTGGAGAGGCTTATGGATCGAGAGATCTATGATACGAGAAGGGGTCATGGTGTCACGTACGTTCCATTCGCTGCTATTCTCCTAGAACGTTGATCGTCATACCTCTTGTCCAGAATTGTCAAACTTACCAAGAATTACCGTTCGCACAACGCCATCTTGAAGTATCCCAACGAACGGTTCTACGCCAATGAATTGGAACCTTGCGCGGATAAAAAACGAACAGACTTCTTTCTCGGCAGCCCTCTCCTGGTGTCTAGCAAGTTCCCAATCATCTTCCATGCTATGGCGGGGAAAGATGATCGAGAAGCCTCCTCGCCGTCGTTCTTCAATATCGAGGAGATTTCGCAGGTGAAAGCCTACGTTGAGGCATTGCGCGCCGATAGACGTTTCGGAGTCTGTAAGTACACGTCGTCGTAGCCTCTGCGTCCATTGGTATTGAAGATCATTTGTGTTGCAGCGGATCAGGACATAGGTATCATAGCACCTTATCACGCCCAATGTGTCAAAATCCGCACATCGCTCAAAAAGATCGCTGAGGACATCAAGGTCGGTAGCGTTGAAGAGTTTCAAGGTCAAGTACGTCGCATTTGAGCTGTCTACTTGACTCTCCTGTTACTTATTGCTTTGCCTGGTTTCTTCAGGAGCGCCGCGTAATCATCATTTCCACTGTACGCAGCAGTAGGGATTTTGTCGAGTACGATCTCAGGCACACACTTGGGTTTGTTGCGAACCCTCGTCGATTCAATGGTACGCCTAGCTATGCATTCAGTATCCTCTTTTCAGGGTCTCATGGATGTTCCAGTTGCGGTTACCCGCGCGCAAGCGCTTCTCATCGTTGTCGGAGATCCTCTAGTTCTGTCACTTGACCCCTTGTGGCGTTCGTTTTTGAACTACGTTCACATCAACAAGGGATGGAAAGGTGTCTCGATCACTTGGGATCCGCTCGAGCCCGTTCGGGAAGACGGCGGATATGATGCTGAGTTACGGGAGCAGGGCCTCGCCGACATGAATGAGTTCACTCGCAGGATGGAATCTTTGGCTCTAGGGAACGTCGATGATATTGATGGGGCTGAAGACGTTGATCGACCATGGAGAGAGGCGGAGTGATGTGAACATCTGCTATGATCTGCCATTCAATGGCCCACAAGTATGTCCTGACTTCTATATGCACCATGACCATATTTACTGTATTTGACCTTGACGATCTTCGTATGAATCTGATGTATGACACCTTGGCGGTAGAACTTATTGATACTGTTCTACAGAGTCCAGACATACATGTCGGAAAAATGAGTTCAAACGCGTATTGCGTCCAAGTCGATCGCCTGTAGCTTGTGCAACATACAACATGGAAATATTCTCCTTATAACATATCACCACTCAGCAATACATGAAACATACATAACGAACACTTCTCGCTGACCATTACATACATACATCGCCCTTGGTCATTGGTATCAGAAAGAAGCTATCACTGGGTGGTGACGATGCCATCGGGCTCTGCGAGTACATTGGATACAAGAGGAGATGCGTGGTTATTAGCATATGATTCATTGAGAGAAATATGAAAGGATCCACACCAATGTAGTCAATGATGTCACCTTGAAGCGCCGTGAGGGATTGCAAGTATGCATCGGGGATCGTCGCAGAGAATCCCTAAAATAGATTAGAAACGTCAGGAAGATGCAATTGTTTGATTCAAATAAGATCAAGAGAGAAAGGTGTATATGGATGAAGCACGCTGACCTTCAAGACAGAGTCATAGCGGCTATGGACCGTGCCACCTAGAGAGAAATCATGTGAAGCTGAGCCACGTAGTAGTGAATGGATGCATATTTACGTACCGTTGGCGGCGAGGTCGTCTGCTTGCCTGTTGATCACGTCTTCCGAGGTGCTCGGCTTGAACACGACGATATACTCTGCGACGGGTACAATGAAACCATGATCACAATGATCAGTCAGAACATGCGCTGAAAGACGATGCGCACTTACTTCCAGACATATTGGAGGATATGGGGTGTTTTGTGGTAAAGGTTCTACGGATAGGTGTCCTGGCGATAACAGGGCCTTGAATTCTGGTTCCGATGAGGCGAGTAGACGGTGAGAGTCTGAGTGCGATGGCGTCTGATAATGTGGGTGAGAGGGGTTTATAAGGAGGATGCGCAGTCTGTCCGGACGGGACTTACCTTTGGATCAATTGAGATGGCTGTGTTTGTTTCGAAAGAGCTGTGGACGGCGCTGGCGGGGACCTGAGCAGATATCTGGACGATGGCCGGATGTGGCCAGGGGTCGATGACGCAATATTATGTCATGTTTTGGTTTCGCGACACCTCTTCAGCCAGTTGCACCATCCTGCGTTCAACTTCTCGAGTATGGTTTTTCTGCTTTTCGCATGGCGCATTGCAATCAGCATCCCTTGATATGTCCCTGCATTCCTGCATTCCTGCAAGAAACCCTGAAAACCAGATAGCATGAGGTAATATTAACGAGGCACTGGCTGAGTCAGGCAACTGAGTCAAGACAAACAAGCGCCTGTGCGTGTCTCCGGGTCCGTCGCGTCTTCTTGACTTCGATACCGAGCTTACCCGCAAACTAAAGCTGCGAGAGGGAAGTCTAAACCTACATCTTCTTCAAACAACAGCTGTATATGCTGCGTGCTGCGTTCTTGCTCTGGAAAAACAACGCGTCCAAGCTCAAGCTCAAGCTCAAAACAGAATTCGGTGTCTTCAAGAGATCAACATTTGTCGTACTGCCAATGCCCGTCACTCGTTCTGCAACACGCGCAGCTAGTAGCGCCACTGCAACCGCTGCTGTCGTGGCTAGGACTCCCGCAACCCCGACCGCGCCATTGACGAAAGCGACACGTGTGACCAAGCGCAAGGCGTCGTCTGAGGTAACCAACGCGTCAAGCAAGAAGAAGAAAGAGGCCAGCAAGGCCGCTGTCAGTTTAGCCAGTTCTGCCGTCGCAGAAGGCGATTCAGAGCCACCGTCGGCGGAGCCCGTGCAAGGAATACCAACTCCAACCTCGTCAAATGCCGTCGCACTGCTCCCGGCGAAGCTGACGTTCTCATTTGAAGAGGCGAAGAAGCATCTCATTGAGGCAGACAATCGGTTTGCAGACATATTTCTCAGATTACCTTGCAGGCCCTTTGAAAAGTTAGAGAGGGTCGAGCCGTTCAGGTCGGTGTCATTTCTAGATCCTGTGTGGAAACAATGCTGATAATCGTCTGTTTGGATCAACAGAACACTCACGAGCTCTATACTGTAAGTATACGCCCTCGAATGCGGTTTAGGACTCTAGACTAGCAAACACTGAAACTTCCTAACAGGGGACAGCAAATATCGTGGCTCGCGGCACGGTCCATCACGCACCGTTTCCTCCGGCTCTACTTTCCCCACCTGCCTGAGAAGGCAGATCACCCGTATGTAATTCCATTCTACTTCTGTATTCTGCCGACTGAATGTAATTACCTGACAACAGAGGGAATCAGGTCGAGTTGCCCTTCCCAACGCCTCAACAGGTCGCGCAAACCGAAATTGCGACCCTGAGGTCCGCCGGTCTCAGTGGGCGGAAAGCTGAATATGGTACGCACACCTTGCACAGGGTCGCCTAGACTGTGAGCACGAAATCAATATCTCACGACGGCGAGGCGTGCAGTGCAAGACCTAGCAGCTCGGTTCGCCGATGGCCGTTTGTCGGCACAGAAGGTGTTCGAAGCCGATGATGAGCAGTTATATGATATGCTCATTGCAGTGCGGGGCATCGGGAAGGTATATTGCTCTTATGATTTTGTATTCTTATTTCACTGAGCGGGTGTGGATATTTATGGACGCATCCAGTGGACCGGTAAATCGCACTCGCTTTTGGGGACATCTTTATATCACTTATCGTCTTCCAGTTGACATGTTTGCTATATTTTCACTCCGCCGCCCTGACATCATGCCCGCCGGTATGAACCATCCTTCCTACACCACTCTACACCTTCTCATCATGTTGTTTCTCCCATTCACAGGTGACCTCGGAGTTCAGCGCGGCGTCCTCCGCTGGTTCCTCTCCCTCCACAATCCATCCTTCCGCATAGACATCTCGCCCGAGAAGCTCCCCAAAGATCCCGATGCAGATGACAAGCAAGCGAAGGTCAAGACCAACGGCAGAAATACCAAGGCGGTACTGCTTCAACAACCCACGCAGGATGACGATGGAGACGAGGATGTTCTACCCGTGTTAGGGCAGAGCGCACAGAGCAAGGGAAAAGGGAAAGGGAAGACCAAATCGACGCCTTCGCTCGACGAATCCTCTCTTCTGGCCATCCCTGTGCCTGGTCATCCCAGCTCTACGCCTCTCAAAGGTAGCACCGGCTCGTCTAAGGCACCCACCATCGTCGGCGACACACCATTGGCGCTCGGTCTCCCGTCCATGCCTGCGCCCTTCACCCCCTCTATAAACAAGGCATTGCAAGGCCCGCAAAATAGTACTGATTCTGTACCTAGGCCTTTACCAGATGGTCTGACGGCCGCCGCGTTGAAGACGCGATTGGAGGGGAAGAAGAAGATCAAGTACGTGATTACCATGTCCCGCTAAGCATGTTCTTATGTGCGAGGCCGCGTTAGGGGCGCGTTATTGACTCCTCAGGAAATGGAGAGTCTTACAGAGCATTGGAAGCCGTACAGAAGCATAGGTCAGTCGCTCCCTCCGCTCTGTCGCGAGGGATCGGGTTTGACTCGTGGCGTATCTGTTCTGGCAGCTGTCTATTATATGTGGGCCCTAGCGGAGGAAAAATGATTGCTTGCTGCGTCAATATCTGGAATCGATCTAACGGTGGACCTGGAACGCGGTGAAAGAGTTAATTGGGTTGTAGTCTTCCTTCGAGGCATGCTTGTCGCTTTTAGACTATCAGCAGCTAATTGTGCAAGCATGCTGCATCAATGATACCCATTATTGTCTTCGTTATACAGCTTGGTTGATGACCTTCAGCTACCCTCGAGCGCCTCCGCAATGAACTGATAGGGGCGCAGGGCAATTAGGTACGACGCGTCCTCATGAGCTAGATTAGGTTTGTTTTGGCACGCCCAGGTCAGTGATATTGAGCTTGGCAACATGCAGGCTCTGCATTGTTCCCACTCATGTAGGCCATGATGATCATGTTCGCCGATTCTGTTGACAACAGTCGAGGAACATGATAGAAGACGTGGAAAAAATAGCTCTTACGCTCAATGCCTTGATTGCACCGATTGATATTTTCAAATGAGGCAAGCATGCCAACACCATGACCATGGATCGAGAAACCCTTGTAACAGCGATACTGTATAAACCAGCCTTAGCGTCAGTCAGTGTTACTATGGCCGTAACAGTTGGTTGAAAAGCATGAACCGTCAGCCCTTACAAAGCCCTACAAATTCCAACAAAATATTGAGCGGTGTCACAGTTCATGATAAATACAACACCAATAACTTTAAATATGTCACTGCAATGCTGCAGATAGGTCCATTCTTCGACGCAGCCTGAGTCCGACAACTCCAGCCCAGATTACTTACCAGCTGCCTCACCCTGTTCAGCCTGGTCCTCCATTTCCCGTTTTCGTGTTCCCCCTTCGGGGCGCCCTAACAGCTTCACCAGCGTGGGCGCAAACACAGACGTCCACATCTGGAGCGTGTGCACAAACACAAATAGCCACAGCATGAGGGTGAAGCATGCGCATATCGCTCCCCAGATGCGGAAGAAATTCGCATTGTCCAATATGCGGGAGAGTGCGATCGTCAGGTTCCCGTAGGCGCCCTGCAACAAGCACGAGATGTAAGTGAACTGTCAAATAAAGAAAACAGTATGAGAAACATGAAACCCTACTCACAATCGGGTAGATCATTCCCCAAAACTTCGGCTGAAAATTGAGTCGCGACCTTCTCAACACCAGATAAAACGCCAACAGTGCGTACGCGAACCACATCGTAGTCAAACTCCATAGCATGAATCCCGTGCACACGCATGCTACACGTATAATCTTCCCCACTGCTACGTCGCCCAAGAACATTGACGCGCTCCCGCTCCCAACTGCAGGCAACAGCACTGTAAAGTTATCCCCAATCAGAATGAACGAGAATCCTGCCTGCCCCATAGCCCCGAGCGGCATGAAAGACGTGATGACCGCCTCGTCTTTCGGATGTCCAAACACTATGAGCTTGTAGAAGTACACGCCGAGTAAAGTCAGAGAGAGCGTGAGTCCAATGAAGAGGATGACAGCGGCCAAGGTGACAGTGAGGAGGGCATGAGTGGGCGAGATGAGCCGAAGGGCCTGGGCCAGGAGTCCGCCGGAAGAGGAGGTGGCGACGAGGGTAACGGCGGGGAAGAGCCAGCTGAGTGACATTGACGCTAGAGAGTAATCCTGCTTCACCGCTCTACATGATCGAAAAAGAGCATATATTGTCAATCAAGAACAGACAATGATGGAATAGAAGAACTGACATTATGCGAACCAGACTCCAACAGCATACAGTCGACGCCGCGACGTCCAACCACCATAATCCCCAGACAACATACACGAAGGGCACTCCCCCGAATTTGTACGCTCCATGCAAGAGCAATATCGTATCATTGATAAGCGTGTCGCCGCTAACGAGGAGCGCGCCGAGATATATGCTATCCCCAGGATCATCAAGCCATTTGCCGCTGAGGAGCCGTCCGGTGGAGCCAACAATGAGGAGGACGAAGAACACGAGATTAAGAAAGAAGAAAACAGCACTGAAGTCTTTGCTGGGTGCAGTGGAATCTCCATAAGGAAAGTTTAGGATGAGGATGGATACAATGCCTGTGCCTGCGGGAGAAATGAGTTTAAGCTATAGAAGTATTCAGAGCACTCACCCATGACCATCGTAAACCACACCAACTTGAAACCACTGTGGGTATAGGTTAATAGTTACTTTGGGGGATCCAAGTTCCGCGACGAGGACAGCACAGACTTACCGAATAAGATATTCAGGACTATCTGCCATGTGCAAAGAAATTCTATACCACTACGGGAATGAGAGAAGATGGAGGTACTTCGCACATGTGCCAGAACTTATACCGTAGTGCCACGCCGGATTGTTTGCCCATCATGTCAGACTGAGTCGTGCCCAATACATTTCATCTGCTTAAAATAACCTGTGTCTCCTTTCGAGACTTTGCTTTTGGCATCAAATCGGCAGTCAAGACGCAGACAGGGTGTGCATAGCGTTCTGTGGTTTTGGGAGCGTTGTAGGGACTGCGCCCATACATTGCTCTCATTAAACCGGGGGGTTGTCATCGCGGAATGTGCACCTTTCGCCTCGTTGGATGCTTGCACGCACAAGAAAACTGTCTTTCCCTTGTTGGCGCTGTATCGATCGGGGAACAACCCGTCGGAAATGACACGGATCGATCTCACTGCTTGTATGCATGCATGTGTGCGCTCGTGGACATGTATGCGTGAGTCTCGTACGGAGGTTATACATGAGAGAAGAAAACTCACAAGTTCAGTGATGAGGAGCTGATATATTGCAATGAGCATTTGGCAGTACCTCGAACTAGAGAGTTCCAGACTGAACCAAAGAACGGGTTCTTTTTGGAGGAAGGGGAGAAAAGCATTGAATTGGATAATTATGAAAGGATAGATGCTGACGATAGCTGCTGTAAAGAGGGGACAACGGTAACACATTGCTGGAGCATCGATCAACAACATGCTCGACACACCATACGAATCGGACCCGAATAAGGACGAGAAGATGTAGGAGCTAGAGACGCAGACACGGAGGGATGCCCGAAGATGAGCAGCAAGAAGAACACGAGGGCAGCCGTCACAGCCTGCAGCCTGCAGTTGCTGAAAAACGTTGATGTCATGAGGCCGCGATAGAACTTGACGGAACCCATCTTCACCGTTCCGTGTCGTCAACGCATCAGAGAAATCTTATTCTGAGAAAAGCCCAAGCTTGCGGCGGAGGCCAACGATCGGATACAATCCCGACGCCAAGCTGCGTCACGAATTCGGAGATGCACGTGCGCTACGCAATGAGAGGATTTTACGTAACCGGCGCCCTCCCGTCGATCCCCTCAAATCGGGAAACGTCCTCCGACTCCTCTCTCATCCGATACTACATTGCCCTTTTCCTATCGAAAATTTACCATGGGAATCCTCGATATCGTCCCGGTAGGTTTTGTTCTCTATTTTTCATGTCGGAGAAAATCTGGCCGATGACTCAACGTACACAACCTCCATAGGCTGGTGTTTTGACTGGCGAGAATGTCCGCAAGTTGTTCGATTATGCTAAGGAGCACAAGGTATGTCAGATGGAAAGATAGAGCCGTTCACAGAGTTGATCAAAATCATCTGTATCATGGTAGTTTGCTATCCCAGTACGTAGATGGATCTTTCTTTCAACGATCTCACCACTGAATCATCTTCATATCTCTAGGCGATCGTAAGTGTCCCGTATCGGCACACACAGCTCATCTCAAACATGATAAATCATAGAATGTGACATCCTCGTCCACTGCGAACGCCGTTCTCGAGGCTGCCCGGTACTTATCAGTTTCCAAACGCAGCCCACATTCACTCTGATCAGGCTACAGCGACATCAAGTCGCCCATCATCCTCCAGGTCTCACAAGGCGGCAGTGCCTACTTCTCCGGCAAGGGCCTGGCCAACGATAAGCAACAGGCATCTATCATCGGTGCCGTCGCCGCTGCCCACCACATTCGTACCGTCGCCAAGGCGTACGGCGTGTAAGCTTTTCTCTAGTCCTTCGTCAAGGATTCCTTGAACTCACCATATCTGCACTCCCTTTCTCGACAGCCCGGTCGTTCTTCACTCGGATCACTGTGCCGAGAAGCTTCTTCCTTGGTTCGATGGAATGCTCGCTGCCGATGAAGAGTACTTCAAGCAACACCAAGAGCCGCTCTTCTCCTCCCACATGCTTGACCTCTCCGAGGAACCGAAGGAGCAGAACATCGCGACCTGCGTGAAGTACTTCAAGCGCATGGCTCCCATCGGCCTTTGGCTCGAGATGGAGATCGGTATCACTGGCGGTGAGGAAGACGGTGTGGACAACACCGGCGTGGACAACAACAGCCTGTATACGCAACCCGAAGACGTATACGAGGTCTATGAGGCGCTCAGCAAGATCAGTCCCAACTTCAGTATCGCGGCGGCTTTCGGAAACGTGCACGGTGTGTACAAGCCCGGAAATGTCAAGCTGCACCCGGAGCTCCTTGCGAAGCACCAGGCGTACACGAAGGAGAAAACCGGTGGGAAGATTGAGCAGCCTTTGTATGTCGCATGTTTTGAGCATTTTCAGATGGTGATTGGCTCATTCACGTGAATCCCCAGGTTCCTTGTCTTCCACGGCGGATCCGGTTCTACTAAAGAGGAAATCAAGACTGCTGTCGGCAATGGCGTGGTGAAGATGAATGTTGACACCGGTGCGCCTTGTTTAGTAGTCGATTCATCAACACTCTCATGCTGATTCAATGACGGATAGACACTCAGTTCGCATACCTCGCTGGTATTAGGGTATGGCGTTTGTTGAAGATAAATGGCCATCAATCGTCTTACCACCATCTCTTCTACCCAGGACTTCGTTCTCAACAAGAAGGACTATCTGCTATCCCAGGTCGGTAACCCCGACGGTGCTGACAAGCCCAACAAGAAGGTTCGCAACATGCAATCATTGCCTCATGCACTAGTCACTAATTTCAGGCATAGTTCTACGACCCGCGCGTCTGGGTTCGTGAGGGCGAAAAGACTTTGTCTGTCCGCGTCAAGGAGGCCTGCTCCGATCTTGGCAACACCAGTAAGCCATCGAATTTTTACTGTCTACGATGCTAAATATATCGATCGTTTCAGACCGTTTGTAAACACACGATACATACGTGCAAATTAAAGGGGACGGAGAAGAAGTCAATGCAATAGATGTGTTTCCCATGATGTTGTATTCGTGTAGCCTGGGTCTGTATGGTGTTGGTTAAACACGTGTCTACGTACGGAATCATAGTATTATCCCAATATTGCTGAGGGGCGTGATTGCATTCGAAAAATGAGCATGAAGGTGAGTAGTATGAATCGTTAGGTACAGTAATTGCCATTCCTGGTGGGGTATCGTGCGGATATCGTAGTGCAATCGTAAATGGAGATCCTATCTTGAGCTCGGGTCAAATATTTCACGCATCTCCATGCCTTCCTAATCCCTTCGCTCCTTTACTGATACTCTTTGCCTGTTCCTGCTTCGCCTTTGCGCGGCGAGCACTGTGCGAAACATCAGTACGTGTTGAAGTATACAATGGTCATCAAAAAGGACATACTCGTCCTTCGCCTCTGCCTCCAGGATTTTCACATGGTTCCTTGCCTCTCTGACTGCCATCCTTGCAGCATGCAAGGCCCGGTCTGCCTCTGCCTCTGCTGCTTCGGCATCCTGGACCTTCTTCTTCGCACTCATGATGCTCGGGTCGCGTCCGAGGATAGAGTCGTCTGAAGATGAGTGCCGCAGGCCAAACAAGCCTCCAAAGGAGCTGGAGCTCGTCGTGGTAGGAGATCGTCCGATGTCGGACGAATCGCGGTCGACGGAACGACGACGTCCGAATAGCCCACTACTGTGCGTAGAGGGCGACGTCGGGGAGCGTCTGGTGTCGCGTGCGGCTTCCGCGCGTTCGGCAGAATGTGAGCGGCGAGCGAAGAAGCTACTCCGGCTATGCGGAGGTGTTGTGGAGGGCTGTCGCTCGGCGACTGCAGCGTTTGTGTTCTCACCGGAGCCGAAGAGAGGCATGGTCTATATTCACATGGCGAGGGTGTGGGTCATTAGTTTGACTTTGGGCTGATAGTGAATGAAAGAGCGCACCTGGGGTATTTGGGTGAAGGGTGCTGTTAGTATAGGATTGGAGAGGTTCGAAGACTGGGATGAGAGGCCTCTATGGTCAGTCTGAAGTGGTCCAAGTGTGTGTAGGTGCACTAGACATGCTATACTGGGTCCTGATATACAATCCGTGGAGATCTACGTCAGTGGAGTCTGCAGTGCCGTGCAACTCCATGCCGTGCGAATTGGTGATGAACTCATCAAACTCATGGCCAAGCTCCACATTCCTAGGCCCAGATCTCAATCGATCTACTCAAACAGCATCACAGAGGAGGTGCTTGGATTGGTGTAGTAGGAATCGTCATCGAGCCCAGAAAGGAAGCCAGGTAACCATTTCGAGCCGTGGTGACGGCAGACCTTCCATATTTAGTAAGTGTTTGCCAATCCAGTACTGTACAACCTAACCGCAACAACTCTCCGGATGGCTCATCTCACTAAGCCAGTCACGTATGACATCGAATCTTCAAACATAGCATTGCTGGGATCAGAGGCAAGTCATATGTTCCAGCGAAAAACAGTGCACTGACCGCTCAGTTAGATCGAGAAACGCGTCCGCAGACATGCGGGCGATAGTGAATCCTCTTGGGAGGATGTTGGGACCAGGCCTGGGCTGCGCATCTGGCGGATTGAAAACTTCAACGTTGTTGATTGGCCGAAGGATCGCTATGGCTCCTTCTATGACGGCGATTCATATATCGTCTTGCATGTGAGCGGCTTGTACACGTTGTACAGCAATGAGCTTTGCTGAATTGGACTTTCTATAGACATATAAGAAAGATCCGAAATCTGAGGCCCTGTCTTATGATCTTCACTTCTGGTTAGGTGCCGAAACTAGTCAAGATGAGGCAGGTACAGCTGCTTATAAGACCGTGGAGCTCGATGATCGTGAGTACTGAAGCATGCAACTTAATTTGAGTATGGGCTTGACAAACTGATTATTAGACCTCAAGGGGAGCCCCGTCCAACATAGAGAAGTACAAGGTTTCGAGTCCTCACGGTTTCTGTCATACTTCCCGCGATGCATCATACTTCGTGGCGGCGTTTCCACTGGATTTCATCACGTCTCTGCTCCTCCGCCTTTGAACGTGAAGCGTCTCTACCAGATCAGCGCTACACAGAGCACTCTTGCGACTGGGAAGTCGACCTTGGTCGTGCGTGAAGTCCGGCCAAAAGCTGCGAGCCTCGTCGAGGGCGACGTTTTTGTCCTGGACAAAGGCGTAGAAGTATGGCAACTCAATACGAAAGCCAGCATTGGAAAGGAGAAATTCAAAGCGGCTGAGTTCGTTCAGTTAGTGATCAGTGACAGGGAGGGGCAGTGCCGAGTCGTGGTATATGGTGAGTTCAGATATTGACTGACGACGAACTATTGACGCTGAGAATGATACTATTAGATGAAGGCAGCTCAGGGGCAGGAATTTTCCTGTCTGAATTTGGAGTCGAGGCTCTGACATCAAGAGGGATGACCGATCGATCGGTCAAGGTGCCAGTTACCCTGTACCGTGTTACGGACTCGACCGGCACAGTCAAATTTGAACGAGTCTCACCGCCGACACATTCATCATTCGACTCTGGAGATGCATTCCTTTTAGATAATTCGGCTGATGTGGCTCATCCAGCCATATTCATTTGGATTGGCAAAGATGCTTCTCTCAAGGAGCGTCGACTTGCTATGCAGTATGCGCAGCAACACTTGTACAATAAACGCGGAGCAGGAGAGCTCGTACACATGGGGGTCTCTATCATCAGGATGAATGAAGGATCAGAGAGTGAGGAATTTATCAACATCATCAATGCACAATGAATGGAGGAAGCTCCTGTACGTCACTGCTATCTTCAACGAGAGTGGACAGCCGCTTAGGTTCTTCTAGGTTTACATTATGTATAAGTATAAAGAATGAGCACGGCTGAAACATCGATAGCAGCATCATATGGAAACCAGTCGTCCGCAGGATCGGGCCACCTGCTGGAATAGAAAAGACTGCTAAATCCAGGAATAATATACTATGAGCCACGCTCCTCCCGTTCCTCGACCACGCATCGTTGAGACCGCTCATGCTGCAAACCCTCGATACTATGACATGCACCTCTTTCACTTCTCCCGCCGTCACGCTACAATCGGCGCCGAGGCCGGCTCATCGGATTGTAGAGCGCAGCTCAACTCACCAGACAATTCATGAGGCCATCAAAAATTGCTCGCGAATCATCGATCTGCTTTCTCCAAAAAGAATACCTGAATGCAAGGAAGAAACAAGACGGAACAAGTGTCGATCAACGGGGAACCAGAACAAGGTCGGATTCTGGGATTATGGTTTCCAGTACGTCCGCAAGACCGTCAACAGAATCGGGCACGAGGTGAACTCGTTTCGATGCCTGCGATGAGGAAAAATCCGGTTGCCATGCTTTGGCGGAAAGGCCTTGCTGGATATCCACAAAGGTGGACTGGACTTGGGATATGTCCAACACCCCACATACGGCCTGAATTATGGCATTCTGGTCCAAGCCCCTTTCCCATGAGAATGTGATAACGGTGTTCGCAGAAGTTTCATCGTTATCGTATGGTGAGTGGTCTGTTGTCCAGGCTAACAGGCAAAGCCTTGACGGGCATGTGGATTGGAAGTGGACGGCATGGAAGGGAATAGGCGCATCAGTCCGTCGAATGCGGAAAAGGGCGGGACTGCTCGCTATGGCACGATTAGAGAAGTAATGGCACGAGATGCGTATGACAGTGTCGCTTGGAATTTGGAGGCGCTGTATGAATTGAGCAACAAATAACACATTTCCCTTGAGTTGAAGGAGGGTCAGGTGGCGAAGAACAATATGCGGGAGTTCGATACGAGGAGAGGTGGCACATCGGACTAAGGCCGGAAACGCGTCCTCCAGGATTAGCGTCTGCAATCGTGGCATCGCAGTGAGCATCACAAATGGATCGGCCATGAAAGTGACATCGTGTGCGTGTAGGTCTTGCAAATGGAAGTGAGTCACAGACGATAAGAAGGACGCCGTAGGATCCACAACGCATCCTCGTAGGTTGAGTTCACGTAGTCGTGAAGCGTGTCCATCGAATGCGGCAGCTGGAAGCACGTACGTGTCCCGGAACCATCTGTCAGAATGAGTGACAACAAGCGACAAAGTCTCCAGGAACGGCGCTGGTTGAGTGAGCCTATGCTCAAGCAAGGTGAGAATGTCTGCATTGCATGCGAGAGAAAGTTCTCGTATACGAGGGAGCTCCTTCAACACCATGTCCGCGAGGTCGATAGACGCTTGTTCGTCTCTGATGTCTCCTTTGACAGTCAGAAACGTAGCCTTGGATCGCGCGAGAAATTCGGTTGTCCAGGTCTGAGATTGAAAGTCGATATGTGTCCAGAGGGTAGGAGTGCCGAGGGCTACATTCCGCCACATGCGGCTCACGTACGTGACAGTCTGCCATGCCCAGAAGGCAGGGTGTCGCCCAGACGTAGGAGAACTTGGGCCACTCAAGAAAGAGAATATCAGAGACAAGAGCTCTGGTGGAAGGCGAGCAATGGGAGAGGAGGTGCTGCGATGCGTCCTCAGAGCATACAGAGCTCTCTCTCGCTCTTTATTATCTCCATCCGCCTCTTTCGTTATGGAAGGCAGTGACTGAGAATTCATGTCCAGTTCCTTGAGACTATTGCGGTAGATTGAGTCATGCAAGATATGCCGTACGAGACTAAAGTCACTCTACCTGTCAATGAGTTCAAGTGTGGGTAGTTGAGGGTTTTGAATGGTTTGGGTTGGAACTTGCATTGTTGTGGGTTTTAACGATCAATGGGATAAGAGAGGGCCAGGCGGGAACTGGGGGTGAAGCTGTGAAGATCCAGGGATCGCCCATGACAAGCATATATATAAGGAAGTCATTGAGCGCCAATGCCGTTTGGAAACAAGGGAAGTCCATAAGCAGGTGCAACGTACTGAGCTTCGAGATGCGGTGAACGAAGCTTATGTACTTATCAGGCACGACTCGACTTCAGCAAATTGAGCATTGTGAAGTCCCACAACATATTCACTGACGCGGATCACGATGTGATCATCAATGCCTTGGAGACTTCGTTAGTTCGATATTAACAGATGGAGCAGGGGTGCGACTGGGCACATTCACTGCTGATCAGCGTCTGTCACCGGTCTTTTGATTGTTCAGCGTCTGTTGATCGAAGGACTCCGGTCGTATTCTTACCTCAAGTATAGTCGTCATGTTGAAAACCTTTACGTTCTGTTCCCACCAAATATCAAACTAGCTCTCTACGTCTCAATCAGAGTCCAATCACGAGAGACATACGAAGATTTCCATGGTTTCTTCCCACAAAATGACCCTGGATGCGATTGGAGTTGCGGTGTAGGTTATTGTTGTTGACGATTCGTGACTGCGCGGATATGGAGATTCGCTTGTCAAACAAGAACAGCATGGGTCTGATGATCAGTGAGATGCTGTAGGCGCCATCCTGCTGGCACTGTGCACCACACGGCTTTTAAACGCATTTGGTCTCAGAGAGTTTGAAGAGTGGCAGGTGGTGATTTTTAGAGCCCTAAAACATGCATACTGACAAGTCAACACATAGGCACGAGGTATCATCAGTCCCCGTCTACAGTATCGACGAACTCACAAAGTCCAAATGCGACTGCACACAAGATATACCATGCTCAGCATGGAACCGCAGCGCTCAACCTCTATCTCGACTGCATTACTGCCCTCCTCCAGCGAACCACGCCTTTTGCTGCCCGCATACAGCATTAGTACAGCCTGGACAGCGTAAGCCCATCTGTACGGACGTATGGCCGATGGCGCCGGTGGAGTAGTCTTTTAAGTGCTTCGCGGCGATATCAGCAAGCGCACGAATGAAAACAGGCGAGTCATTCAAAGAGGCTGCACGCTGTGCGTCGATGCCATGCTGTAATGAAATATGTTTGTTAACATCTGAGTAGGACTGCCGTCGGAAGCAAATGACAGCCCATACCTCCTTTGCTTCCTTGACATACTCCAAGTCCAGCTCGTATAATGTCTCGATGTGGTCGCTGGTAAAAGCGATCGGGACCAAGACGACCTGTTTCTTCCCCAGGCGCGCAAGCCCCTTAACTGCATCATTTGTCTGCATGCCCATCCAGGCCGAGGGACCGACTTGTGACTGCCATACAAGGCGGTAGGGGTTGGAATGGTTCAGACGGTCCATGACACGAGAGACAGTCGCCGACACCTCGAGGACATACGGGTCGCCACGGTTGACGACGGACATGGGGAGCGAATGCGCGGAGAACAGAAGAACAGTTTCCGAGCGAGTGGATTCGGGAAATTTCTGCAGAGCTGCTTCTATATTTTGTGAGACTGCCTAGATAGATAGTGGAAATCCCATTATTTTTATGAAGAATTCAAAGAGCCGAAGTATATTTACCTCGATGAAACCCGGGTGTGTCCCCCATCTGTCAATAACACTCCACTCAATGTCTCCAATATCTCCCGCTTTTCCTTTCCTGAATATCTCATTTAGGCTGCTCCCAGTAGTGCTGCAGCTGTACTGGGGATACTGGGTAAACGCGACGGCTCGTTTAACGCCATCCTCCTTCATCCTCTTTATCGCATCGTCTGTCAATGGGTTAGTGTACCGAAACGCGACATAACTTTTATGTGGGGCAGTCTCAGGATGCAACTCGTCGAGAAGAGTGGCCATGCTCTTCCCCTGCAGTTCGGTGTAACGGAGAATTGGGGAACCACCGCCAATAGCCGTGTATTGCGCTTCAATTTGCGGTGTGCGCCGTTTGGCAATCCAAGGCGCAATCATGGACTGGAATGGGAGAGGAATGAGGTCGCTGTCCATGAAGAGGTTCTTGAGAAAGTCGTGGGTCTCGGGCACCTTGAATATTTGTCAGATCCTCCGTCCAGTGTTTTGGAGGTGCATCACAGCTTACGGTCGCTGGTCCACCCATGTTGAGCATGACAATGGCTATAAGCGTTCTCTACTTTAGTATCCATTGAAATTTTGAAATCCAATGTGCCAGCACACCTGTTGGGCTACATGACATCAGAGATGGTGGGATGGTGTCGAGGCGAAGACGAACCTCTTGCTAGCAGATGATGCATTATGCAAAGTCGCGTATGAGCGTGCTATTGAGCGAGTTGCCGTACTCGACCTTCGCAAGAAAGACATGTTGCGTGGCGAAATGCTGAGTGAGAGGGGAATTGTTGAAGAGTGGGGGCCTTTGCTCCGAATTTGACTGACACGAAGGATATAGCGCGCGTTCCAGGGCGCGACCAATCAGAATAATCGCTTCCGTCATACCGTGGGAATGTCAACATGATCGTGTGCCCAACATCGGTTCGCTGTTACTCAGCACTATGATGCTTTAGTATGCACTGAAGTGCATTTCGGCATCAGATCAGCCTCCAGCACATGCTGATGAGCATGCCACCTCTCTAAGTGCCAAGGCCCCCCATTTTTGCAGTTCTATGAGTACTATCTATGAGGGACTGTCCCAGACAAAAATAAACAATTTTACATCAGATTCATAAGTTTTTACACCAATATCCAGGATCTCTTATGATTTCTGTCTATTATTAGCAATTTTTGACTCATTGCAACAATTCCTAGCTTTTCCCGGCATCCCTCAACACTGCATCAGCACTATCTTGCTGCAATTTCCAACAATGTATCACATACTAACCATGTGGTTTTATGCTCCAAGATCACTCCAAGATAGTTATTACAAACTGCTCATTTAGTAACCCCAAGAGTAGGAGGTTCTTCCCTAGGTTGCACAATGAGGAAGAGTGGAATGATGATCTTAACTATACAAGTATATAGGAGTAGATAATATTCAGAGTGTGTAGCAGGAAGACGATAGTAAATAGAGGGATGCTATTGAAAGACAGTATTGAATGAAGAGAATAGACTGAAGATCCTCAGCCTATCCTATGGGCCTTTTATGCTACTTTGGAAAGATGTGAGAATGCCATATATATCCTCCAGGCATTCTCTAAGTTACTGTTCTTTCTTAGTGACTACTTTTGTGCTTTTTCTATTGTCTCCTTTCTACCTAGGGATACAATGGCTCAGGTTCCCTTGTGAAAAAATATTTGTAAGCCCACCATTGGTTACCCTTATATTACCTATTGTAATATTTGACTAGCAATAATGATATCTGCTAGGAGTCGATGACTAAGGGATTGTACCTTAAACCATGGTGTCTGTGTCATAGTAGGTACCACTTAGTATTTGTGATAATCATTGCTGGTAATAAACTTGACCATAGAGGTCTAGCAGATTATGGTCATAATAATAGTAAGCCATTACCTATATTTTTTTATAATACACATAACCTGGCTAATCTTAACAAAGGCCACATTAGGAAAAAGCTCCATATCAAAATAACTATGATTAAGCATAAATATAGCTAGATTTCTGCCAATTACCATTAATAATTTTTAGCTTATCCTCCCTCTAATCCTAAAATTATAAGGTCTAATTAGAGCTAATTAGAGCTAACTTATTATATGGATTTTTGGAAAAATATCAATTAGCTCACTCCTATAGTTTCTCTACTATTACTACATCTTCAATTATAAAGTATATATAGAGCTCACTAATTAAACTCAAGTCAACTCTTATAGTAAACTTGCCCATTACTAGAGTTAAACCAACAATATCATGCCTATATACTCTAGACTACTACTCTAAACCACTAAGCTGCAAGATTTAAGTTATTTAACTGGTAACCTAACTATAATAATATAAATAAGGCAATCTTAATATTTCTAATTTTCTTACACATTCATCTTTTATCTATTCTATAGATTAAGGGGTCAATAAATGCCCTAAAAATTAGGGCTTTTGATATTTGAATTTGGGCACTAGACAATAATATAGTAAACTAATAGAAAATAAAGAATATAGTAAAAATAAGATTGTAGCACTTACACAATTTAGATTTGGAATATGTAAAATTGTAATTCGGTTGTAGATTCCAATGGAACTATAATAGTATAGGCAATGTTACCTTTACTTGCAGATTTGATTATAAAGTTGATTATGGATAATATATTGTAATTAGCTCAGATTAACATTTTGAGTAATTAGATCTAATTAAGAGAGAAATTTTTTCCAAATGCCATTATTAAGAATTATTTTTTCTATCTGTTTAAAGACAAAATTAATAGTAACTTGGATTTCCTTGCACAAGCCCAAATATGAGCAATAGTCTTTATTTGCTAGGCTATTATTCTCCAAATAGCCTAGGCTACCCTTTTTAGTGCTTATAGCATATAATAAGCCTAGCAGCTTAATAATTATCAATCTAGAAACTGATCATAATTGATATAAGTAAGCTTGTCAATAAGTCATATACTATAAGTGTTCATACTTAAGCATGTCAATAGTAATCAAACCAAGACTATAGTCTTTATTTGAATTATATGCTTATCTCCTAACTATCCTCCCAAGCCACATGTAAAACATATATTGGAATATAGTCCTAATAATATATTATAGGGCTTATGATTCTTCATAACTTATAGAAGATAAGACCAAAATACAGTGCTTGTTAGGACCTTTTGCAAATGCTCCAGAGGGTGTAATTTTGCTTGGATTTGCTTCAAACTTTTTTTCCAATAATAAACCCAATAAAAAGAAATTGATTGATATTAAGATCTCAAGATTTGACTGTTTAGGAAATATTTTCCTATATATCTTGGTGGCTATTTGGACTATACCTGCTAACTACTTGCCCTAACATATTGCTCTTGATTCTCTCACCATGCCTAAAGGTTCTCAGGCATCTCAGGCTACCTCATACTACCAATCACATTGCTTCTAAGTTGGCTTTTTTGAACCAGGCAAGATCATGGACCCTAGCTATATGCCTCTGGTATTCTTCTTGGAGCTCCCAATGCCCTTGGATATTGATATGGACTTATCCTTGTTAGTGCTAGGAAAAGCCTCTGTTATGCCTGCACATCATTTGACATAGTGGATATATTCAACATGTCTGCTATGTCTGCTTACATGTGTTACTTTGAGTTTGTAGGAAGTGCTATTTCTGATGCCAATATTTGGCAATATTTCCAATACTGTCATCACTACATGGATGCTTATACTAAGTATGTCTACTACAACTCTTGCCATAGTCTACCACACTAACTTGTCATTAGTCAAGCATCATTTCTGTCTTTGGTCTTGCACTTTTTATCTATCAGGCTAGGCTTAAACCTCTAACAGGCTACATATGCTGTTGAAAAGTACAACTCTCACCAGCATGTAGATAAGTGCACACTAATGGGCATGAACATAATTTGTCATGGAAATACATAGAACTATCCTAATTTGGAATTCATTACCATATTAGACACCCGTTTCACTTTCCTGTGACCGACCTAATTTGGAACCTTCATCTATACCTTAGCAGAGCAATTTCTAACCTCTTTTGATGTATTTGAATACAATGGTAGCATTTTCTAAGCCATCAGAAAAATAATGAAAATGTAGTTACAGATCCAAATTTTCGAATATTTTGCGGTAAGCCGCGTATAGGAAGTGCCGACAGGCACTATAGGAATACGAGCTCATATTCGGTCCTGCCGTGGGAGTTCACGATATTCACGAGCTCAACCCAAAAGCGTGCCATTACACGTCTACAATTCAACAGCGTAACATCCTCTGAAAGCCGACTAAGAACAAATCTAACGATCTGATCTGTTTCGGGTAATAGGCCGCCAAGATGTCGTCTTCACGCAGCATCACTTCAAGAGCGTTTCGAGGCCAGCTCACGCTTGACAACGCGAAGAATCTGTTGCTTTTGTATATCGTTCTTACGCGTTCTCTGCAGGCTTGGAGACATATTCGTGCACGGGGTGTCACTCAAACGGCGAAGGAGCTCTACCGATGGGCTGCTCAAGTAAGCCTTCACCCTTTTTTGCAACGATTTGCGCTAAATGGAACCACAGCAAGTCATTATGCTAATTATGCGCACGCCGGAAATGAAGAAGAAAGTGGCGAAGGAGATGGGACAAGCGAGAACTGACATTGACGCCCGCCTCGTGCCGCAGGGCCCTAATGTCACTCGCCATCTGGCTTTACCCCAGCAGAGCAAGTCTTTGGAATGGATACTGGACGAAATGGCGACGATGGACAACGAGTCCAAGTCGCATACCAATTATCGCGAGGGCAAACTATCTGGTGCCGTCTACCGTACGTGTCGAATGCTATTGCAAGGAATTCGCTCGCAAATAGTGTTCGGATTTGTTCTGCTCAAAAGATGGTGGTGAAGATATGGAAAAAGTCATCATCGCCGCTTTCCAGCGCTATTGCGTATCCAACCCACTCCATCCGGACGTGTTTCCGGCTGTCCGGAAGATGGATGCGGAGGTCGTGGCCATGTGCCTGCGAATGTATAACAACCCGGACGGTGCTGGGGTGTCCACGTCAGGAGGCACGGAATCCATCATCATGTCTGTCAAAACGCACAGAGATTGGGCTCGGGCTGTCAAGGGCATCACAGAGCCGGAGATGTCAGTATCCTCACAATTAGACTTTGTGTTAGTACCTTCTAGCTGATCGATCTTCACTGTAGGGTTGTACCTGCATCTGCGCATGCTGCATTTGACAAGGCCTCTGCATACCTCAAAATCAAACTCCACAGTATTCCCGTCGACCGAATCACACGTCAGGTCGATTTGAAGCGGATGTTGAGAGCAATGTGAGAGCTACATGTTATTTATTCGCCTGCTTGGTTCGAATGAGTTACTTCTTCGCTTTCAGTAATACAAACACCATCATGGTCAGACTCACCCATCTCTATGACAGCTTCGAGTCCGCTAATCAGATGCGCGCGTGTGTAGATCGTCGGTTCCGCGATAAACTTTCCCGACGGCTGCCAGGATGATATAGTCAAGCTCGGAAAACTGGCTAAGAAGTATAACATTGGACTTCACGTCGATTGCTGCCTAGGAGGTTTCATCATGCCATTCCTCGAAAAGGCCGGATTTCCTGTGCAGCCGTTTGACTTTAGGGTGGAGGGTGTTACTAGCATCAGTTGCGACACGCACAAGGCAAGATACTTCAATTCTCTCCTTGGTTGGCATTTGTCTCACATCTGTCTCCTTGTTTTCAGTATGGGTTCGCACCCAAGGTACGCTGTAGTGGCGATGCTTGCGACTGTCAATCTCATCATTTCGGAATCAAAGGGTTCCTCGGTTATCATGTACCGCACTCCAGAACTTCGTCAGTACATGTACTACGTGAACCCTGAGTGGTCAGGTGAGTACATATCAGATTGATACTTATCAATTGACGAACGCATTTCTAGGTGGCGTCTACGCCAGCCCTGGCTTCTCCGGATCAAGGTTCGCCTCTAATGAAACTCGTCCAGCTTGAAACCCTGAACCATGTTCTCCTTTAGACCAGGTGCCTTGATTGCTGGTGCTTGGGCCGCGATGCAATACATGGGCGAAGAGTACGTATAGAGCTCAACTTTGCAGCCAGCCCCCTCATCTTAAGCTATCGACAGAGGCTACGTCGCATCATGCCGCGACATTGTGGGCGCCGCCAAAAGCATCGAGCACACGATCAAATCCGACATTCCAGAGCTTTATATCCTCGGCAACCCACCGGCATCGGTTGTCGCGTTCGGCTCGCGAAGGCCTGACGTGAACGTGCTCGATGTCGGAGACGCAATGGCAAAGAAGGGGTGGCATCTGAACGCGCTACAGAACCCTCCGGCGGTACACATCGCGTGTACGGTATGTACTCTCCAGCATAGTGGCGAAAGAACGATTGATTGCTGATTGTCCGTATCCAGCGTTTGACTGTGCCGGTTGTGGACACGTTCATCCAGGACTTGAAAGAGTCCGTACGTGAGGTGAAAGGCAAGCCTGCAGGCAAGGGAACGATGGTAGCCCTCTACGGTGCGTTTAGTCACGTTCGCGACTTCCGTGTTCTGTCTTTTGCTCGTCATCTTGACAGTTCTTGCCACGAATGTGCAATCCCGAGCTTCCTCACGACTGCGCATTCTTGTTCCTTGCCATCCTGTCTCTCTTCCACCATGGAACCACATTATATTCTTCTCACTTCATTAAGTATGAGTCTTCGGTGGACAGTTCCACCACTGCCTTCTAGCCCGCTTTTGAATTGGGACTTTGTCCGTCGGGGAATCGTGGAGTGCGGGCCCCTCCCACGAAGCATTTCTTGACTTCGTGGCGCTCATAAGAAGCACCGCTCCACTTTACGCTTCTGACGCTTATTACTGCCGTACCCTCATATCATAAGCTTTCGAGTGTTCTTCCCTCATCCGTCGTCTTGCTGCATTGCTGTACTAACGATGTTCCCGGCGGGTTGATTAGGTTTGGGGCAGTCCAGTGCGATCGGCCCGAAGATGGTGGGGTCGCTGGCTAGCGCATTCTTGGACGCTTTGTATAAGGCATGAGTGTCCGTGGAGCGAGTACTTCGTGTGAGTACGACTGGCGATGGACTTGGTTAGGTGTGCGTATCGACGTTGTTTGCGGTTTGGCGCAGCTCGATGCTCACACTTATCTCCACGCAGTTTGCTATTACTTATCTATGGTGTATCTCTTTGAACGTGGGTTCTCAATTGGACTTATGGATCCAATAGAACGTTGCCATACTTGGGTTGGCGCATGGTTCAGGATTCAGATCTAGAAGTTGGAGACCCACGAACTGTCCCTGCTGTAAAATGGTAGCCGCGGGGTAGCAGAACTAATGGTTACTTTGACAGGCTCCACAGGTACCTCGCCAGTCAACTCCCTGCAGACCTGCAGCACCGCTGCTTCAATCGGCCGCTTGCAAGGGCCTGTGCTTGGTGCATTTCCCTTTTCGCGTACCTCGTATCGGCATTTGCCTCCAGTCACATTACGTCGGGTTCCGGACCTCGTCGATTGCCCTGTGGAGGGCGTTGATCAGGGCCGCCGCGAGCGTTTACCTTTTTTTGCCGTTCCCTGTTTCCATTGAGAAGCCAACTGCCTGCTTCGCCGCCGGCCCTGAAGACAAGCGTAGGCCAGACTCCGTTCCCCGCGCGCGTTGCTCCCTTTGATACCACCCTCTTACGTGTCCGTTTCGATAGACTCCACCCGCCATCAGCAGTGCCTTGCAAGGATCGCTCGTAGGCGAGTCCTGGTCCTCCACCATGACGGCGCTTGCAGGTTTTGCAAGGCACCTGTGGATCGGTTTATTCCATGTACATGTTGCATGACTTCTTCCCCGCCGCCGCCATCGCCACGTCTAGTCAAGTCTCGCGCCCTCATCTAGAGGGTACTCCGCGGAATCTGGGCTTTGGACGCGCGGTGGTCTGCCAGTGTCCTCTCATATATTTGACAGGGGGGGACTCCCCGGTCCCACGCACCGCCGCCATGTTCCACTCCTTCACCGGCTCGGCATCGCGGACGCCATCGGACCCGTGTACTGCAGATCAGCGAAGCGATTCGATGCCCGTGTCCAAAACCACGCCGTCAGCCAGACACACGCGCGTCTACACTCAAACAATTCCAGAACTTAAGATTCAAAACGAGCTAGGTACGTGTCGTGTTCACCACTCAAACAACGCCCCATTTCGGTGTCTGTATCCACCTTGCTAGAAACTGAAGGGGAATCTCGGGAAATCTTCCCAAACAAGAGTCATGTGACTAGTTTGAGCAGTCTCCAAAGGTATTGTCAAGACACAAGTGGACAACAGCAGATGGGTGGGACAGATGCACTGCAGGTATGTGTAGATTAAAGCAACAACGAGTTGCAGTCGCCCGAGTGGAAAACGAGACTTTTATGTGGGTGTCTCTGATCATACCGCCTCCGCCTCCTTCGTCCTCTTCTTCTTTTTCTTCTTCTCCCCGTCTGCGGCCGGCGGTTCGGAATTTATGACAGCCTCAGCAGACTTTGTCTTGCTTTTCTTCTTCTCCTTCACCTCCAGTGCGGTAGCCTCACCACCTCCCTCGACCTCCCGTTTCCGCTTCTTTGAGCTCTCTCCAGATGGGGTCGCATCATCCTTCTTTTCGTCCTCTCCCCTTTTACTCTTTTTGTGCTTCTCCTTCTTCGCCTCCTTCACCTCGTGCTCTACTCCGTTCTGCTGAACTGCGCTTGTACTCACAACGACCTCCACACTCCCGTTCTTCTTCCCCTCCTTAGATTTCTTCTTCTCCTTCTTCTCCTTTTTGCTCTTGTCGAGCACGGTCTCCGATGATTCTTGAACCGAAGGTTTTTGTGGTGATGAGGGCACGGCAGTTGACGAAGATGCTACTGCAGCGGTGATTTTGTGCGCCTTGTTCTTTTTGCTCGGCACGTCACCATTCTGCACGCCAGCGTCATTCAATGTATAACAGAGATATTGAGAATTGACTCACCGTCTGCGTGTTGTCCGCTTTCCGCTTTTCTCCCACCCTCTTCCCGTTCACCGGTAAAGCGGAGGTATCCGCCTTAGCAGCGGGCTCTGGAACTGGAATTGGATCGACAGATGACATCCGCGCAGGGGTGCCCATGGGCGTCTCGTTAGCGCCCGTCGCATAGGAGCGCGTCCATTGTTGTTGATAGCCTTGCTGGTACTTACCAGCTTGACCATTTGTTCCCCTTCCATTACCATTAGCGAGATTATTCCGTCCGCCGGTATTGTTTTGCTAGTACGTTCGCCATCGATATGTCAACAAAGATTTGGATGATGACCATGACCGTGAGAGTCAAGAAAAACAAATAAAGAAAGCGCGATATCGAAGGACTCACAGCTTTGGGCCCCTTGTACAAGGATTTTTGGTATTTCTCCGCCTCGCTGATGCAGGTGGTATGTCCTTTATATTGCGCCGGGCCGGCAAAGGTCGTGCTGCAGTCAATGCAGGTAAATGAAGAAAAGCACCGTGAGTGGTGTTGGTCGAGTTTGGGCTTTTTGACGACGTCGGAGCAGGCTTAGTAAAAGATCAGGATATGCGAGAGCCGCGGGTGAGAAAGGGTCAATACCGTCGCATCTGCATTCATGAGTTGATCAGGGGGTTCTTCTCCGATTAAGTGCTGACACTTACTGAAAAGAAACCATCTTGATGATTTGAAGGTATGCAAGGGTGACGGAGGGCGACGCACGAAAAGAGAGATGGTAAACGAGAGAAGTGCACAGGGAGAGCCAATCGGAGGAATCCCTTGGCTAGGACGGCGAAAATGCGCGCGTTGAGGTCACGTGACTCAGTCGTTAGCGACATAACGTCAGCCAATTGTCTTCCTCATCCTCGCCGAACACTAAACAGACTTCGGATTAATTATCGCTATATTCATGGCTGTGTCATAGATGTCTATAAATCTGACGTGCTCAACCAGCTACACACGGAGTCACTGCATAAGGTAGAAGATGGTAAACGGCGGTCCAATTTCTGGCACTGGACGGGTTGACGGAAGTTGACGGCTTTTGACGGTGCATTACTCTCAGATCGAGATGTGGAACTGATGGGGGTATTGAGGTCATATGAGGTTGCCGCGGAGATGACGCTGTCGGCTCCCTGCAAAAAGCTACAGAAAATGCAAGGCGAGTATCGGGCAGTCGAGTAGCTTGAGACAGAAAACAAGCCAACGGACCGCGAAGTTCAAAGAAGTGGTTGAACTAGCGTCACTCTCTAAGGTGAGTAACGTACCTTAGAAAGGGTCCGTCGTGAAAGAGTGGAACACTCTGTGTCACTGTATGAAAATTAATAAGACATCCTGGTCGAATCGAAAGAAGAACGGTTAATGCACATATCGGACTGGTGTCTCCTCAGAGCCACGATGGGCAAGCAGGAGCTGCTGTTGACGCCATTCAAAGTAGGATGTCGTTTCCAGCAACATTTAAATCAGGAAGCTTGTGAGACCTGTGGTAGGCATAAGCATTCCCAATGGATCAAAAATAGGATCAAGGCAGTCAGGTGGTGAGACGGGAATACGCCTAAGCACTAGAAAGGCAGTCGGCTCCCGGGCAACGCCAAAAGGTCAATCAGGGCGCAAGGCTGCTTCGCGGAGCTTGCACGCGACGTCGACGAGCACTCCAGGCAGCTCTGAGCGTCGAGAGACGTCGAGCGAGGAGTTGTGCGTGGAGGCCAGACAGATAGATAATCATGGAAACACCATTGGCCGATTAGGACCGAGTCGGCTGATTACACATGCACAACACAGCGCAACCCCGCTCCGATTTTTATATCGGACCATTCGTCACTCTCCTCCTGTCTTCCTTCTTCTTCCGACTCCACCATGCAATCCTCTTTCGCTTCGTCTTTCAGAGCCTCAGCCCGCAGAGCGGCCTTCTCCTCTGCCCGTGTCCCTAAGGGCCCCCTGCGCTCCGCGTACCGCAAGTACTCGACCGAGCCAGAGGCACCCAAATCTAAGACTGGACTTTACGCTGGTATCGGAGCCCTCGCCGTCGGAGGAGGTCTTGCTCTCTACTTCTACTCGTCCTCGCCGGACACCTTGGCCACGAGCGCAAAGTCGGGTGCACAGGCAGTCAAGGTCGCCGCCAACTTCGTCCCGACGAAGGAGGACTACCAAAAGGTGCGTGCCGTGCTCTCCCGAATGTCGTAAGGCGCCTACAATGCTCACTCTTGCGTGATTGTTAGGTCTACAACAAAATTGCAGAGGCCATTGACGAGGCCGGCGACTATGATGGTTCGCACCATCAGTCGGAGTTTGGATTCTCACGTTCTGGATCTGACTATCATTCTAGATGGTTCTTTCGGTCCTGTTTTCCTCCGTCTCGCGTGGCACTCGTCGGGTACTTATGACAAGAACACGTCAACCGGCGGCAGGTGTGTACAATGCACGGAATGTCTTCTGTATGATTGACTTACACATATTTCCAGCAACTATGCTACCATGCGTTTCGAGCCTGAGGCTCTCCACGGCGCTAACAATGGCTTGAACATTGCTCGCGGCCTCATGGAGAAGGTTAAGCAGGAGTTCCCGTGGATAAGCTACGGTGACCTGTGGACTCTTGGTGGCGTGGCTGCTATTCAGGTATGTGAACTTCTGTCAACGTTTCATCATTTGTTGACGGTTATCTATCCCGTCAGGAAATGTCCGGTCCCAAAATCCCTTGGAGAGCCGGTCGCATCGATGGCTTCCCTAAGGATGTTACTCCCGACGGTCGTCTTCCCGACGCCTCCCAGGGCCAGAACCATCTTCGGGATGTACGTTACTTGCTCATCATTTGACCTGCCATGCCTGAGGCTCACTATGGCTCGGTTCTAGATCTTCTACCGCATGGGGTATGCGATATCCCTATCCTATTCTTAGAGGCTATCTTTGATTATTATTATTTCACTTAGCTTCAATGACCAGGAAATTGTTGCTCTCTCCGGTGCCCATGCACTTGGACGTGCTCACACTGACCGGTACGGGTCTTTGCTTTGTATGCAGCTCGATCTCCGCTCATATATCGCAGTTCTGGATTTGAGGGTCCCTGGACTTTCTCCCCAACCACTCTGACCAACGAATTCTACAAGCTTCTGTTGGACGAGAAGTGGATCTGGAGAAAGTGGGCTGGTCCTAAGCAGCTCACAGACAAGACCACGGGCACGTTGATGATGCTCCCGTTCGTATTACACCTGTCTCCCGTGATATGTCGCTTACCTGGTCTATTTGTTAGCACCGACTATGCCCTCGTCCAGGATAAGACTTTCAAGAAGTACGTCAAGGCCTACGCCGCTGACCAGGATCTCTTTTTCAAGGAGTATGAATTCCCTAATTGTCTTATCGGCAGCATTGTTAACGGATACGTCCAACAGCTTTTCCGCCGTCGTCTCGCGGCTCTTCGAGCTCGGTATTCCCGATTCGCAGTTCACTTCCACCGAGAAGTGGACGCTGAAGTCGCTTGACGAGCAAAAGGAGGCGTCGAAGTGATATCGAATTGTCTTTCGCTGAGATGGTCATGCTCTATACTTACTTAAATCGACTATACCTGGTGGATCGTTCAAGCGCAGAGTAGAACTAGAATGCCTTGGCTTTCGCATCTGCCATGTTTTTGTAGCTCCTCTGTCATAGACATCTGTTCACTCTGGCAGTCTGCAATCGGGGGGGACCGGGTGATCTCTTTATCATGCTCTATCTCACCCGGCCTTCAGCTGTTTCTTCCGGCTTTTTCCGGTTCATTGAATGCGGCTTGTCCTGGCTTGTCGTAGGACCTGCCAGCAGCTGCCAGCATCCTGCTGCGTATTATACGGTGCATAGATGAGTTCATGTTCCTGAAGTCAACGAGTGAGACCGTGAATCCAAGCAATTCTTCGGACTGAAAATCTCTTTCGTCTAGCGAGTCTTGTTCACATGCCCGTACCGTCGAGTTGTGAGTTCCTTGGAGTTTTTCCTCATGTCACAACGGTCATTAAATATTCCCTTCAAGGTTTCTGCACCCCTTCGTGCGCACGAATAATTCTAGGGCTATGTGAAAGGTACGATGACGGAGATAAACCTGCGTACCCTGACGTCGCAGCGCTTGAGCCCTCTCAGCCCCGAGGTCAGCTCAGTCAGATAATAAGGAACAGGAAGGAGATAGCAGCGAGAAGGTTGGACACGCATCTTGCGTGCACACAGATATGTAGAGCGTCGGCGAAGATGACCCCTGATTATCGCGATCGAGGACAGCATTTGATCCGCCATCCCGATCGCACAGGTCTGACATCCTTCCGCTCCCCGCCTCCTCCTACCCCTCTCGCCCCCTAGCTGCACCTCCTAGACCGCCTTTAAAAATGAAGCCTCCCCCGCGCGCGAAGGCCAAATATCTACCCTTCTGCCATCGCATCTTCACTCGCATCCGAGGAGACTGCGCAAGTTGCCTGAGGCCACCCAACACGTCGGGATCTTTCGATTCTTGACTCTGCTAGACTATGTTAGACTATCTGAGGGGTATCTTTTGCGCTGGTGACATGCCCGAGGAGGACGAGTACAGCGAGGAAGAAGACGAGGCGGACGAGGCGTCGACAGACAACCCGTTGATCGTAAGTTTCCCCGAATCTGCGTGGGTTGTACATCGCCGACGTAACGTCGATTTCCAAACACAAAGAGCGCACGCCCGAAGCCCGACTGTGCGGATTCCATCCATCCACCCCCGCCGTACACTCCCATCGCACCGGGCTTACCAGACGCGCACGACTTCGTGCCTCGGTGCCCCATCATCCGCCCACCCGTGCGGCGGACGGTGCCCTCTGAGCGGAGCATCATCCACATTCTGTACCCTTTCGAAGCCCGCTTTCATCCGCACGGAGGCGACGCTCTCCCGACCCCCGACCCCTCCACCAACGCGCACGCGAGCGCGTCGCATCCGACGCATGCTTCTTGCCCGTTCACGACCCCTATTCTCGTAGACGTGCCACGCAGCGCCGCCCGCCCCTCGTCCAGTCCCACCTCCGACTCATCCTGCGACTCAGACACGGAGAATTCGACCCAGGATTATGCGGGCCAGGAGTCAGCCACGGCCGACCCGCCACCCTACACCCGGTTCGACCTCACCCTCGCCCCACCAATGCGCCCGCAGATCCATAGCTCCGTCGACGCATCTGCGCAGCGTGCTGTATGTCAACTGCGTAACGCACGGGAGGAATTCCAGATTTTCGGGCGGACGGGGAGATGGTGGTGAAGGCTCCATACTGCATGTCGGTTCCGTCTCTGTCCATCTTGTCGTCCGTTTCCGCGCCGTTGACCTTCTATGCGTGTACACTATTCCTATCGCCTGCCGTTGATGTAAGATGTAACATGATTCCCTGCGGCCTCTGTCGACACACAAAGGCCCTTCGCTCGCGTTCTGGAAATGGCGTTGCCGAATATCACATTCCACAGCTACCGTCCATCCACACGTGAATAACCCTGCAAGGCGATCCCGTTGGCTCATCAAAGCCTGATAACTCTAATCGAAATCGAAGCGCAAAAGCTCGCTCCCTGGCGATCTAGTGACATCAGAACGAACGCCGTAAGACTGCCGTAAGGCCGCAGGCGTGGATATGCTCGAAGACACACAAGCCTAGTCCCCTGTTCCGAGCGACACAGCCGCTGAAGCGAGCGCGTAGAGCACGAGGACCAGATAAGCCAAATACCAGCATCGTATCACCAAACCAGGCACAAGACCGCGCCGCCAGAAACGAAGGACAATAGGCAAGGCGGCACCGCCGCCACGACGCACAAGAACGAGAGGAATGGACGTCCGAGCGCCCTGCGCAAAGAGAGCGATACGTGTTCCCTAAGAGCTTAGCGTTCAGAGCTGCAGTAGGCCGCGCGGGGAAACTTTGGAGGTCCAGCAGGCAGGTCCGAGGGTCGATACCCAGTTGGGACACAAGTCGCCGGCGGAGTCTTTCGAGTCCGCGTACCAGCGCTATAATTCAATAGACGTCCACACGCCCACGCCCACGCCCACGCCCACGCCCACGTCCGCACCGCACCGCGATCTTCCGCGCCACGAAGCCGCGTTCCCTCAGACAACTCCATACAAGGGCAGGGCGATCCGATGGCGAGACAGAAGCACCCGCAGAACCCAATATACAACACGTCACTTTGTCGCGCGTGGCACCCCCCATCAAAGTTCCGTCACCGACCGACCGACGTACATCTGGACAATGGAATCCGCTGCGCGAGTGCCGGCGATTTCCGACCGACGACGAGCATCAGCATCAATGCATCGTGGTTAGGATGGCGGACGGCGCCGTGTCCGCCCTGCGATGGTGTCGTTGTGGTCCGTCGTCGTCGTGGGCAGAAAACCCTGGACCGGCGAGGCAGGCCAGATCCGACAATGCGCCGCGAGCAAAGAGGCACGGCTATAAATAACGCGCACGCGTGCTAGCTCAACTCGCGCAGGTGTAGGTAGGTGGGAAGGGCAGGAGAAGAAGAAGGCCGGAAGACGATCGTGCGCGCGGAGGAACTTTGCGCAACTCAACTCTGGGCAGGGACAGGGGAGCGAAGGCGTCACGGGGACGGCACGGACGCGGCTCGGCGAGCTTGGGGAAGCCACGACGCGCGAGAGAATCGAGCAGAGCGGCGCGGAACGCCAACAAGGCGAGCGAGCGAGCGACAGAAAAGTCTCAGTCGGCCATGAGACGAGACACGACGCAGCGTGGCCCGCGGGGGGTGCCCGGACGCGCGCGCACTTCGACGCCGCTCGGCTATAATTATCGTCTACGTTTCGTATTCGGTGCGCAGAACCAGACGGCAGCTGTCGGATGTCGGGGCTCGGAGGCTCTTCGCGATTTCCAAGGCGCGAATACGTTTAGCAAAGTATGTATTCGCGGGGCATCTGCCGTGCGCGCGAAGGGTCGAAGGATCGCGAGCTGCTGGTGCTGGACAGATATAGAACGGAAGGTGAGAACGCGTTCACGATGGAGCAGAGCTTGCCCGAGTGTGGCCTAGACGAAGGTTTGCGATCTGTGGCATCAATGAACGGGGGTGGGCGGATTCAATGTCATAGCACGAGGCGATGGGCGTTCATGCGCATACCCACCGAACAGCCGGCGCAGCGTTCTGCGGCCAACAAATTGTGTAAAAAAAACACACACGATGGAATCAAGGAAGGCGCAGTGAGAAAGCAAGCGAGTACTGCGTCCCTGTACAACATGAACGCGCGCGCTTGAGCCATCGCACCGCATTCGACCGCCCATGTCGGCGCTCGGCGCTCGGAAGTTCCTCGCAGTTCGCAGGCCAAGCACCCAAAGGTCGATCACCGAAGCCTGCGGCAAGTGTTCCGGCCGCGGGGCCGTCCTAAAGTCGCTCAGGGCTCCGTGTATGTAGAATCGAGCGAAATGGTGGTGATGATGATGATGATGATGATGATTGGTGGTGATGTCGGTGGGAACTATGGCCTTCCAGATGGTCTCCGGGTGTAAGATGGCAGGCACCCTGGGGTGATGCGCGCCGACACGGGTGGGGTCCCGAAGACGATGAAGCCTGCGGAAAAGCGCGGGGCGCGTCCCGACTCTCGCATCCAGGGCAAGCGCGCCAGAAGACGCGGAGGCACAGGCAAAGATCGGCAGATGAGATGCAGATGCAGACAAAGACGTCCGCTCAGACAAAGAAGCAACGACGCATGCCGTAGAGCACGTCGCATCGTCGAGAATCGCAGATGGCCTACCCGATATACCCATGCACCTCCATCCATCGCGCATACACGCCCGTGCAGGCCCGAGCCGAGTCAGACGCGGACACAGTCCTGACTCGTAGACGCGCGCACCCGGCGAGCCATCGACGTCCCGAAGACGCAGAGCGATCTGAACCCAGACCAAGCGAGCACGCCGAGGCCCGCTGGACTCCAACGACGTCAGATCTCGCGCCAGAAGCGACAGGATGAAAACTATCTCCGTGGGGCATCGAGAACGAGAGTGTGCTCGAAAGAAAGAAAGAAAGAAAGAAGAAACGGCCGAGGCTGGACGCGACTCGGCGAGTCGCCGCGAGCGAAAAGACACCGGCACGGCTACAAGCGCACCACACCACGTCGAAGGCCGCGACACCGCCACCAACCCTGCCCGCCCGACAACGCGACAGCGCGACAACACGACAACTCTACGAGACGCCCGTCACGCGCGCAGCCAGCCTCGCCCTGGGTCGACCCGACCCGATCTGCGCACGCGCGCGCGCTCATTGGCCATTAGAGCGGGGGCGCGCTGGGCCGCCCGAGCCGAACGCGCACACGCATCGCGATGCTGGCCAACGCCCGCACCGCCCGCGCGAAATCGACCATTCAGTCTATTCTCGTCTCGGGGCTCGGGGCTCGGGGCTCGGGACTCGGGGCTCGGGGCTCGGATCTCGAATCTCGGGGGATCCTCGCAATTCGCGGTTCGCGCGCAGCAGGCGCCAGCGCCAGCGCGAGCGCGAGAAGCGGCGGCGGCACCCAGAAGGCCAGACCTCGGAGAGCGTGTGCTCGCGCGGAATGAAGCACGGGGACGCGGACGCTGGCGCGTGCGCGCGGAGAGCCGGCAGGGCGCGGGCGGCGGGTCGGAATAGCGGGATGGGGCTGGTCAGGGCACGGCGGTGGTGGTGGTAGAGGTGTGTAGGGCGCACAGGCCCAATTTGACGGGCGACGATTGGTGCTCGAGCGCTCGGCGGCTTCGCGGTACGAGTACGACAGGTACTTGGGTTCGAAGCCGTCCAGAGAGACGCTAGACGCCAAGGGCCGATGCGCAGGAAGCCAGCAGGACAGATCAAAAGATGGTAGATAGAAAAATGACAGATAGATAGAAAGGTGCGGAAAGGGTCGACGACGGGGGTGGGGGCCGATGTGTGCTGTTCGTGGATCGTGCAGCGGCGTGCGCCTCGGGCGCAGTATCGTCACGGAACGTGCGAGGATCGTGGTGCGGGCGGGCGCGCGGGTGGGCCTGGGATTGATAGAGCAGGGCTCGTGGGATCCAGGATCGCATCATGGCACCGCACATCGAGCATCAAGCACCGAACATCAAGCGTCAGTGCGTCAGTGCATCAAGTATCAGGAGATCCGGAGTGGCCATCAGGAGTCCCACCGACGCACCGCAAGATCAAGGGAACATCAAGAACCGCTGCATGCCGTACGCACACAACTTACCGCACCCACCACGAAAAGAAAAGAACCAGAATAGAAAGAACAGGATGGAACAGAACGGAGCAGGGCAGAGCAGACAGAGCCGCGCCGCTTCGGTGCTCGAAGCGGCGCAGGCGCCAGAGCCCAGCCGGAAATCTAGAATGCCGCACGCACGCACGTACGTACATACACGAGCTGGTCCGGGCAGATAGAGTTGAGAGGGACTGGGGGCCGTGCGTGCGATGGAAGGGTGTTGTGAGGAAGACAGAAGCGGGTGCGAGAGCTGCGATGGAAGGCTCTGGGCCCGCGCGTGCATGGAGTGCGTGCATGCGTGCACGACGACAGCGGTACGCGGCGGGTGGGCAGTCGCGGTCGCGGCCGCAACAGGGCGCCCGAGGGCACCGAAAGGGTGCGCGTCGCGTCCTGGAACGTAACCTTAAAAAACGCAGAAGAAGAAACGACGAGAAGAAACGGCTGTTTATCTGGTGGACCGCGGTGACGTTGTTCGCGCCGATGTGCGCCGGGCTGGGCCCGCTACCGACGGCAGTGGGACATACACTGACACACGGGCGCGGCGGGCGATAAGTAAGTTGCGAGGCCAGTCAGAGATAAGATCGAGCACAGCATCATCGACGGTTGATCTGCGACACCGATCCGATGCGCGTCCTCGGCCCGGACGGGCGACACTTGGAAAAAAAGCGAATCGAAGATGGATGACGGACGGTCCATAGGACGACGGCGGAGCGGGAGGGGGCGAGGGGGATGTCGTGGCGCTGGGCGGCCTGGTGACCATGGGGTTATATACGGAGGGAGCGGACGGAGGAGGGAGGGAGGGAGGGAGGGGCCGAGGGGGGTCGGGGATAGCCGAGGGGAGCGGGACCGCGGGGACGCGGGTGGTGGCGGAGAGTGGCGGAGGTGGGCGAGGTGGGCGCGGTGGAGGGATCGATCTGGATCTGCGGGTGAACCACGAGGGCGGCGGATAAAATTGCGGCGAGGAGGGAAGATAAAGGGCGGGCTGGGCCGGTCGTTGGGACGGGCGTGCCAGCGCCAGTGTCGCTCACGGCCTGCTGTCTGCGCTCCTCTCCTCCCTGCGTTCCATTTCCGTCTCCCTCGCCTTCTTGCCTTCCTTGATGTCCTTCCCTTTGACGAGGCCCCCCTCGCCCCCTCACAACCAGCACCCCGCCCACCGCAATGGCGCGAACTCTGATGTCGACCTCCTCGCCTCTGCACTACATAACGCCCTCCAGAGCATCTCCGCTCGCGCCCCGTCCCACGACTCCCATGACATGGCCCGCGAGAAAGACAGATCCCCCTCCCTCGACATACAGGTCAACTCCGACCTCCTCGTCCTCAAGGGCACCGGCGTCGATGTTGCCCCCACCCTCCTCTCCGGCAACCTCGTCCTCCACCTCGCAGAGGCCACCTCCATCAAGGAGATCACCCTCTCCTTCAGGGGCAAGGCCCGCCTTCCCCCCTCCGCCAGTGAACCGTGAGTCCCCCCTGCCCGACTCGTCCCCGATCGCCACCGCTCACCCCCCCTTCCCCCCAGCCTCATGCTCAACAGCTCCGCCATGACCTACCTCGTCTGCAACCACGAGTGGTCCTTCCTCGAGGGCGAGAAAAAACACAGCCACACTCTCAAGCCCGGCCGCCATCTCTTCCCCTTCCAGCTCCAGATCGGCGGCTCCCTCCCCTCGTCCCTCGCCACCCCCGTCCTCGGCGGCGCGTCCGTCGCCTACAAGCTCCGCGCACTCGCCACCCGCCCCGGCCTCGCACCCAACCTCCAGGCCCAGATCCCCATCGCCCTCACCCGCTCCTTTGCCCCCGAGGCCCTCGAGTACCAGCAGACCCTCGAGATCGAGAACACCTGGCCCGACAAGCTCATGTACTCCATCATGATCCCCCACAAGGCCTGGGCCGCCGGCGACACCCTCACCGCCGTCGTCAAGTTCGCCCCCCTCGCAAAGGGCGCCCGCGTCCTCTCCGTCATCACCACCCTCAACGAGACCGTCAAGCTCTACGCCCGCGCGGGCTGGCAGGAGACCACCCGCCCCGCCCTCTCCGCCAAGCACGAGATCGTCGCCGGCAGGGCCGTCTGCGTCGACCACCACCAGCACCGCTACCGCACCTCTCTCATGCACCACACCGCCTATCCCTCCCCGCGCGCGACCCAGTCCGTCCCCACCACACCGGGCGCCATGACCCCCTTTGTCGCCTCGGGCAACAACAGCCCCGGCCACATGAGCCCCCTCCCACCGGGCCCCCACAGCTACTTCCCCGCCCTCACCGCCACCACCACGAGCACGAGCACCACGAGCAGCAGCTCCGACCTCCACCCCCTCCCCTCCGCCACCCCCGACTCCGCCGTTGCCGGCCCGTCCTCCGCCCCCGACGCGCCCCCCCGCCCGAGCCTCTCCGACGCCTTCGAGCCCTCCGACACCGACGTCGTCACCCGCATCGACGTCGCCGTCCCGCTCACCTGCACCCCGACCCACGCGCTCGAGCCCATCGTCGTCTCGCACCGCATCCGCTGGAGCATCCTCATCGCCAACCTCGACGGCCACACCTCCGAGCTCCGCTGCTCCCTCCCGCTGCACGTCCTCGACCCGCGCCTCCTCGACGACGCCCGCCTCGCCACCGCCGTCACCCGCCGCCTCATGCTCGCCGAGGTCGGCGGCGTCAACGGCGACGGCAGCGACGCGGACGCGGGCGCCGCGGGCACCGTGGGCACGGACGGCTTTGGCCGCGAGGAGGACATGGAGCTCCCGAGCTACGCCGCGCACGTGCGCGACCGCGTCGCGAACATGTACCTCCCCGACGCGGGCGTCATGCGCGTCACGAACCCGTGGATCCACAACGGCATCAGCCCCGTCCAGCCCCCCGCCGGGCCCTCCTCGCACCCGCACCCGCACCCGCACTCGCACTCGCACTCGCACTCGCCCCCGGGCACCCGCTCGCCCCCCTCCGCCCCGCGCTCCGGCGCACACACCCCCGCGCACGCGCACTCGCTCGCCCAGTTCTTCGCCCCGCACCACCCCCCGCCGCCCCCCGCGCACGCACACTCCCTCGACGCGCACCCGCTCCTCCCCTTCGCAGCCGCGCACGCCGCCTCGTCCGCCGCGGCGTCCGCGCGCGCCCACCTCCCACCGAGCGGCGGCCGCTCGGGCACCGCGAACCTCGAATACGTCAACTCGGAGCTCCTCCTCTCGCTCTCGCAGGACGCGCCCCCCGCGCTCGCCCGCGCGCGCGCGCACACGCGCTCGCCGCCGCCCATGCTCACCGCGCTCCCGCTCACCGCCACGCCGCCCGACACCACCGCACCGCCGAGCCGCACCGCCTCGCGGCCCAGCTCGCGGCGCTCGAGCCGGCGCAACTCGCGCGCGTCGAGCCCCGAGCCGCACGCGCACTCGCACCACGCGCACGCGCACCAGCACCCGCTGCAGCAGACGGCGCACGCGAGCGGGGGCGCGCACCCGCCGGGGAGCGCGGGGGACACGTACGTGCACGCGCACGGGTCCGCGAGCCGCGGCGCGCACGGGCTGTTCCACATCTCGATGAAGCCGTTCACGAGCCTCGCGAGCATGTCGCCGTTCCCGCGCGCGCACTCGCATTCGAGCCTGACGGCGCTGCCGGCGCTGCAGCGCGAGCGCGAGCGCGAGGAGGCGGAGCTGCGGGAGCGGGACGCGGAGCAGGAGAGGGAGCGGGAGCGGGAGGAGGCGGAGAGGGAGCGGGAGAGGGAGGCGGAGAGGGAGAGGGAAGAGGGGAGCACGGCGCCGGCGCTGTTGCATCGCGCGTTTACGGAGGTGCCGGATTATGGGATCGCGGCGCGCGGGTTTTTGGGCGGGGTGCCGCCGCTGACGAGCATGCGGGGGTTGCCGAGCTACGAGGAGGCGGAGATGCAGCGCGAGCGCGCGGCGAGCGTCGGTGCGGCTGGTGCGGGCGGTGCGGGCGCCGCGCCAGAGGCGGGGGCGGGGGCGGGGGCTGAGGAGGTGTAGGAATGCCTGGGTCCTGCTATCTGTCTGACTGGCTGTCCGTCTGTTTGTTTATTCGTTTGTTTGTTTCGCCTCTCCCTCATTGTCCATCACAAAATGTATCCCGCACCCACGCCCGCCCGCGCCTCCGCCCTATGTTTTTTTTCTCTTCCTCCTCTCCCTTTCCTATATCCTCTCATCTTCGTCCTGACCCGCACCCAGTATATATATCAATATCCCGCCCGAGCTCGCTCGCTCGCTCGCTCGCTCTTCCGTTCGTTCATAATGTCTGTCTGTCCGTCTATCTGTGCGCCGCCCCGCCTCGTCCCCATACGTACATACGAGTACATATATATCGCCACCTATCCCAATCTGTCTCCGGTGCTCCACGCGCCCCATCCCCACTCTCTGTTTCACTTACCGTTGCGCTACATACCCCGCCCGCCAGCCCGCCAGCCAGCCTCACGCCCCTCGATCATGACCACGACATAGAATTTCCCGCGGCTCCAGTTGCCTATTTTCTTCCTTTTCTTTCCACCTCGTTTCTTTTCTTGCTCGATCTTGTTTGATCCTGCTTGATTGTCTTTGACCTTCGTTCCTGCTCCGGCGGCCGCTCAGAGACGTTCACGATATATATAGATCTCGCTTTTTCTCTCTCTCTCTCTCTCGCACGTATTGCATATACAGACACTCTTGGTTTTTGAGAGCACGTTTGTCAGCGGGTTCGTGCGTTGAAGCGGTCCGCCCAAGCGTGAGCGCTCTGATGGACAGCTGTCTCGCCTTCTTCTCTCTCTTTCTCGCTGCTACAGTAAGTAACGGTGTTCTCTGCGAAATGAGTCGTCCACTCCTTTGGCTCACACGATCGAAAGTTGGCTCCGCGCGGTGCCGACTACAGCCAGATTCATAACGACAGGCCGATCCTTCGATGATAAAAAATACTGGGTCGGGGCATCGAGACCGATGAGCGGACAACAAGGGAGACATCGGCATCTACTGGCACACGGCCAAAATCCACCAGCGCCTACGCGTTTCGCATGGCATGTTTGTTTTTGTCGGGGCCCGTCGTTATGATGCTGGCTGTAATGAAAATCTCTGGACGGACACACGCGGCGCTCGCGCTAGGGTTCCGTGAGTAATCCCTGAATTGCTAACATGTTAATAACTTATGTTGTTAACATTGTTATTAACACTGTTATTAACAGGCCCCCTCCAGGGGGGCACAATGTCGATGTTAATAATGTTCATAATGTTTGAAATTGTATATAATGATCAGCAATTGTATTTACATTGAAATGTACATATTTGGGCAAGGGCCAGGTGGAAATATTGAAGGTTGTGGCTGTACAATTATGTCTTCCCTGCAAAATAATAATTTTGTCTCGGACTGCATCGGTTCCCGCTCTGGACATTCCGTTACCCATTCCCCCCGCTCGCGCCATGTCCACCGAGTCAAACGACGTCAGCTTTGAGACTGTTCTCGCGGAACTGCATCACCTGCTATTGGGCATACCCCCGGAATCAAATCTGCCTTTCGTGGAAAATTCTCAGGACTCACATTATGCATGCTTCCTCAACTTCTCTCTGGACCCTGATCTGATGGAGAAGATCGAAGATGAGGTCGGGGTATTCAGTGAACAATTCAAGTCAGTTTTCGGCTGGCAAACACGGTCGACCGGAGATGGAATCATACCGGAGCTGGTGACTTCTTGTTATTAACACCACTTTCTTTATTAACATGTAGATAAATCGGTTTTTAACATGTTAATAACGCTTTATATACAATTGTTATTAATCTGTTATTAACTCATGTTAGAAATTCCTTGGAGAGGCAAATGTTATTAACATTTGTTAACAACCGTCCGTGAATTACTCACGGAACCCTAGCTCGCGCTCGTCCGGATGTGTCCCATGTCTGGTCGGCACAGTTCGTGCGAGATAGAGAGGTGGTTTTGTTACCTTTTTGTTCCTCGAAGGCCATCGTACGTCTTTGGCGTTGACGACGACGGCGACGACGACGTGTTATATTTGAAGGGCCTGCGCGGGTGCTGCGCCGTCCGTGCGTCGTATGTTGGGGATCGGCGACGATCGACGGCGCACGTGCGTGCGTGCGTGCGACTCTGGCGGTAAGATGGGTCGAGCGCGGTCAGCGCGCGCGCTCTGACGGAAGGAGAGAAAGTGGACGGCGTGGCGAGCGCACGGCGGTGTGAGGTGCGAGGTGCGAGGCCCTCGCGAGAGCGCTCGTTTCGAAGAGGGCGACTGCGGCCGGGTGTGGCTTCGCTGGCCCACTTATGGCTACCTGCAGCGCATTCGCCTCGTGTGGGCTCTGGCAAAGCGGTGGCCTATGCTGGACACCGGGGAAGAACGGTACCGTTTGGCCTCTGGTAAAGCGGTGGCCTAGTACTCCGGACACTGGAAAAGGAAGCATAGGTGATGGCCCAGCGCGACACACCCCTCGTGAGGATTCCTAATCTCAGAACCAGTGGCGACATTGAGGGGATCGTGCGAAAGCATCGATGTACGATCGCTCGCGCTACAACTCTACTGCTCAGCCTCAAAACGGCTTGTTGACGCTTATGTCTGCTGAGGGCGACCGCCTGTGAAATGGTGGCACATGAAGTGAACAATGCAGGCCGTTGCGAGTTATCGACACGTGCCTTGGCCGCGGGGTTTGATTCTGGTTGGTTCCTTTCTTTGCAACTTGCAACAGTCCACTCGGTCTACAACACGCGCACTCGTTCAAACTGCAGAGTGTGGCACTAACCTCTCGTATTTATACGATTACCGGTAAGTGCTCAGTGCCCATTGCACTTGTTCGTATTTCCTGACTTTTTGACATGCCTTCGTACAAAATAGCTAGCTCACAACGTTTCGCAACGGAACCAGGCCCCAACGCGTCAGCGGAATACAGGTTACTTGCCGACGAGATGAAAAATGAGTTTCTCGGACCCATGCCCGTCGATAAGTTCTTCTCCGCCTTCATGCACAAGCCTCGCAGGAACCCTCCCGAGGACTACATCAAGATACTGAAAGCTGTGCCCAAGGATGGCAACTTCGAAGACAATTTCGTACGCGGCTGCTCTTCATCGCTGCTCAACTGCTTGTTGATTCCCTTGCTATTACAGATTTTGGCTATCGAGAAAGCCAAGCTCTGCCCTGAATTTGTGTTTGTGAACACGACCGCTCATCCGGATAAAGATTACGAACGCAAGCCGGACATATCTGCCTATCGGAAAGTTCCCAATTTTAAGGAGAAGAAGACTAACTTCCGGATTATGGAGCTTTGTATTGAGCGCAAACCAGAAGATGAGGACCCTTTCACAGACCCCGGTCCCGATACATCTCGCAGCGCACACTCATTTTTGACCGATACGCTGAAGGCGACTAGATACCGTGGACAGATCAGTTCATATACGAGCTGCCAATTCTCCGCGCAAAACCGATGGTATATGTTCTCTATGCTCTTGCTTGGCAGTTGTGTTCGCTTCATCCGATGGGACCGCGCGGGAGCGATAGTGACCGAACGGATCAACTGGAGGGATCACCCAGAAACGCTAGCTACTTTTCTGTGGCGCTTCGGTCGCCTCTCTCCTGATCAAAGTGGACGCGATCTTTCAGTTTCAAAGCCCACAGCCAAACAAATCCGCCTTGCGAAGCAGAAACTGGACGAACGCGCCATCAAGCTGGCCCGGCTCCTGGGCCAAGATGAGCAGAAAGCGAGAGGACAGTACTCGTCGGACGAGACATTTCGGAAATTTCGTATGGAGGATAACAATGACCCTAAAGGCAAGCGCGGGCGGTTTTTTATCGCGTCTAGCCCCCAGTGGCAGAGTGGCAGCCCAACCGGCAGAGCCACCGACGGGTACATCGCGTATGATACCGGCACAAAGGAACTTGTTTATCTCAAAAACAGCTGGCGGTACATCGAGGAAGGACTCGAGAGGGAGGGAGACACGTATGCGCACCTTGAAAAGTCGAACGTGACCGGTATTCCTAGACTGGTATGTGCTGAAGATGTTAAGGACTACGAGACCCGCACACACGAGTTTTTTGGTGCAAAATGGTGCTGTAAGGTATCTGATCCTCCGAGGCGCCACAGGCTTCACCGACTTGTACTAGGCGATATTGGACGGCCCTTGAGTCAGTTCCTGTCATCAAAAGAGCTTTGCAGTGTCGTCCTTGACGCAATCGTCGGTAAGCCGATAGTGTTTCTGGCTCTCCATACAGCGCTTATTCATGTTCAATTCTGCAGCGCATGCGCAGGCAACTGCAGCTAAGGTGCGGCATCAAGATATCAGCGCCGGTAACATCCTGATTTCGGACGAAGGGAAAGGTCTCCTGATAGACTGGGATCTGTCATGCAGACTGCCTGACGATCATCCCACTTCTGACCATCTGACCTCGTCTGACAATTCAGACACCCTTGATGATTCAGACATCCTTGTTGGCCCTTGCAGCTCTGACAACTCAAACAGCTCTGAAGACCAGAACAGCTCTGACGACGACCGAAACAACTCTGATGACGACCGAAACAGCTCTGATGATGACCGAAACAGTTCTGACGATCTGATATCTGATCATTCAAGTACTCATAACGATCACAAAGCGCAAAAAAAGTGGAAGACGGTACGTTCAAGCCAATTGAGTCATCGATATTGACGCTGATATGTATGCTTCTAGGGAACTTGGCAGTTCATCTCGGCTGCCCGTCTGCTCGAATCTGACACAATGCGGCATGATCACCGTGACGAATTGGAATCCTTTCTCCACGTCTTACTGTACCACACCATCCGCTATCATGCCAGCCATGTCTCTCGAAAGCAACTCGGACGCCTGCGTCGCACATTCGCCTCGCATTTCCATGACAAGTTTATGGATGATGATGGCCAAATATGCGGAGGAGAGGGGAAGCAGAGCTTCTTCCAGCCTTTTTCTCCCCTTGCCTTCTCTGAACCGAACCTTGAAATCTTCCTCAGTGTCCCGCACGTCTCTCTTATCGAGACACTTCGAATGTTGTTCATTCCCATCTACAGTGATGCAAGGCTCTTAAAACGTGCCCCCATTCCAAATGTGGCAGAAACTCAGGAAGAGGCCTTGGCAGTTCTCGAGACTTCGGACCAATTCATAAAGAAGTTCAAGGATCACCTCAAGATGAATGGTTGGAAGGAGAATGATGCTAGCGATGAGCTCAGCGACTCTGATATGTTTCTCACAGATGCGACTGGTCTGGTGAAGATGACTCGGCATAGTACCTTGTCGAAACGGAAGGCTGATGGGGCTAATCTTGACAATGTCTCAGGAGCGAGTAAGCGATCTCGAACGGATTCCACACCAGCATCGCTTCCTGCCGTTGAATCCGAATCGGAAGAGTAGATGATCGAAACTGTCCCTTGTAAATTCTATCACTCTCACTTTGTTTCCTTCGATATCTTACTTTTATCATTGTCGCTGAACTATGTTACCCTCTTCTTCCTTTGTGTGCTTCAAGTTATTCATGCTCGGTAATCCCAATAGCGGCGCTCACTTGTATAGGCTTCGGTCGACACTCTGACTCACTACACTTTATGGCTGTTATCAACTCATATACCATGCAATGTGATGTATCCATGCCATTTAAATATACCATGCTTTTATGCTCGTATATTTAGGCACGCCAGTGTCTCCACAACGACATTGGGGCCTTGAAGAGGAGTTCAGATGGCCGATGTCAGAACGCGACCAGACAATTAAAAACACGTGTTGCTCACGTGTGAGGTAATAGAAATCGATTGCCTGAAACAGCCACTAGCGGTCGCTCATCTGCCCATTATATCTCTAGCGTCCACCTCGATCATCCTCAATCATGCATGCCATACAGGTACATATTTCTTCTCGTTGACGTTCTCGCTTATCTAAATTATGGCGGAATATAGCAACAATACTGGGCCGTTCGTGATTATCTTAGTCCAGTATGCTTCATGCGATCGTTGGTCTATCTGTTGCTTTAACGCCGGACGATCAAACAGGTTCTGAAAGAGAGCAAGTTCAAAGAGCATGGGCGGATAACTCCCGGTGCGTGCTTCTCTCCATGCCCTTACCAACCTGGTTCTTACCTGAAGCTACAAATTCGCAGAAGAGTTCGTCGCCGCCGGTGACTTCCTGACATATAAATTCCCCGTTTGGACATGGTGAGCACTGCTCCATCGCCTTTCTTGCCGATTGCTACTGAATGTTCACATCTAAAGGGAGAAGGGTGACGCTTCCAAGGCGCGCGAATTCCTCCCTACCGACAAGCAATACCTGGTCACGCGCGGCGTTCCTTGCCTTCGCCGTGCGACTTCGTTAGCCTACACAGACGCCGACGAGGATGCTGAACGTCTCCTTTCATTCGGAGACAGCTCCACCACTGGAGATGAGGCTGATGAATGGGTCGAAACACATGCAGGCCGTCAAGCCGACCACGACAATGCCAACAACCCAGGCTCTATCGATGATATCCCTGACTTGGATGGCCCTGGTCATGACGGTGCCGATGGAATTTCCAGCGCTGTAGGCGCGATGTCATTGTCCGGGTCTGCTGCAGGGACTCCAGATATGGACGATATTCCAGATATGGAGGAGGAGCTCGAGGAGGGCGACGATGAGGCGACTGCGGCACCAACAACTACGGATAAGGTGATCCAATCTAGGTCGGTATCGATGGTATATTTTTTTATATTACAGTCATCTCGGTGTTGACCTCTAATCATTGGGATTTAGTGAGGTCGAGGTTGCAAAGGGGAATCTCTTGCAAGTGCGCACATACGACGTCATGATCACCTACGACAAGTACTATCAGACTCCTCGAGTCTGGCTTTTAGGTTACGACGAGGTGAGTGTGCTACTTGATGTCCCGAGTTCTATAGATATGGTTATCGATGCTGATAATCTGCAGAACCGCACACCTCTGACACCACCTCAAATATTCCAAGATATATCAGCAGATCACGCCTTCAAGACTGTCACTATCGAGGCTTTCCCACATTCCTCCTCTCTCCAAGCCGCTTCCGTACACCCTTGTAAACACGCCAGTGTTATGAAGAAGGTGATCGAGCGGATGAATGCAGGAGTTGTTGAAGAACAGAAGGCACAGCGCAAAGGGGGTGGATCGAAGGACGCTAAGAAAAAGTGGCCGTTCCGCAAGAGCAGCGGAATTGGAAAGGATGATAAGGCGCCCTCTACGCCGGAGGAAGACGACGTCGAAGGAATGCGAGTCGACTTTTATCTTGTCGTCTTCCTCAAGTTTATCGCGTCTATTGTGCCGACAATTGAGGTCGACTCTACCACAGCGTTCTGAATCTCAGGGTGATTCTTATAGATCACGGAGGACAAGAATAAACGAAGAGGAAGAAATGGAATTGGTATACCCGAATACTATCTGTGCTCGTTTTGTGGCTGCTCGTACTGTACTATGTTCTTCTCACAGAAACTGTATGTTATAGAATCCGACTGATCTACTATTGAACGTTTCTGTGCGCTCGATGACTTCAAAGCTTCACGATGCGAGGTAAAACAAATGAAAGCCCATAGGTAGGCTAACCTCAACACGTGATCGAAATATGGCCTTCGAGCGTCAGGCGACTCGCGGAGACAACCTTGGGTCCACAATGCCAGTCGATACAACCGGGCTCACGGACGATGAGCTGACTCAAATAAGGTGAGTCTCCAAGAAATTCCTGGCGCATACGGCGTGTCTTAAAGTGCACAAGGCGATATGAGGACTTCACTACGATCGGTACGTGCCAAACAGCTCTGATGTGTTCTGTATTGTTTGATCATCTGGATCGTAGATTGGATAGAGGACTCTATCATAGAGAGGAATAGGAGACTTAGACAGGTCAAAACTTTACAGACGTCGACCAGGGGACCTAATGGCGAAGTTACGCTCCGTTGGCTATGGTTTCAAGTGCGGAAGGTCTTGACGGCCTCACAGTCGTGGATCGTGGTGAGCCTCGTTGGTAAGTACACCCAAATGATCAGTATCAAGCCTTGTTCACCACGTGCTACGTGTCCCAGGCGCAGGAATCGGATTCAATGCGGCAGTCATATCCATAATTACGGAGTGGTTGTCCGATATGAAGATGGGGTACTGTTCGGATGGCTGGTGGTTGAATAAGCAATTCTGTTGCTGGGAGATGGAGGGAAATGATGACAGTCCGTGCGACTCATGGCACAACTGGAGTAATGTGACTCTTGCGAGGTGGTTGATATATGTTACGTTCGCGGTACGCCCAATACTTGGAATGATCCTGCTGCCGAGCCTAGCTAAAAGCATTGGCAGGCTATTTTTGCGTTCGTTGCAGCCCATCTCGTCAAGTCTCTAGCCAAATATGCTGCAGGTTCTGGGATATCTGAGATCAAATGTATTCTAGCCGGCTTTATCATGCAAGGATTTCTAGGGTTCTCAACATTCGTCATCAAGAGTTTGACTTTGGTAAGGTTACACCGACTTTGTTACTAACTCATCCTTACCTTTTCACACACAGCCTCTCGTCATAGCGTCAGGGTTATCTGTAGGTAAAGAGGGCCCGTCAGTACATTTAGCATGTACCATTGCGTACATAGTAGCTGGTCTGTTCAGTAATTTCTCTCGTAGCCAAGGTACGCATTCATACTCCCTGCAGGCTTTATCGAGTCTATAGGCCGCGCTACTCTCGATATCTAGGTAAGATGAGGGACATTTTGACAGCCGCGAGCGCTGCTGGTGTTGCAGTTGCCTTCGGTTCTCCCATCGGAGGCGTACTTTTCTCTATTGAGGTAAATTCACACCTTCTGAAAACTAAATTGCGAACCGTATTAACGCGTCGAAGGAAATGAGTCCGACATTCTCTATCAAAACGATGTGGAGGAGTTTTTTGTGTGCCTTGGTCGCTACGATCACACTGTCGGTTTGTCAACTCTTCATTCTTCATGGATATCGTTAGCGAGACATTTGCAACAACAGGCGATGAATCCATTCAGGACCGGAAAGCTAGTCTTATTCCAGGTCACATATGATCGAGATTGGCATTTCTTCGAAATCATTTTCTTTGTCGTCCTTGGAATTTTTGGTGTAAGTCCACATTGTTGCGAACACACTGTTGATGTACATGAGCTCTTTTCAGGGGTTATATGGCGCATTTGTGATCAAATTCAATATGCAAGTCCAATCATTCCGCCGGAAACATCTTGCAAATCATGCTGTGGCCGAAGCTGTAACGCTGGCCGCGATCACTGCTATGATCGGATACTTCAACCGCTTTCTACGAATCGATATGACTGAAAGCCTGGAAATTCTGTTCCGAGAATGCGATAACGGCGGTGACTATGAGAGTCTATGCCAGTGAGTTGATGTCTTCTGAATTGAAATTTTCATCTTCATTCCCGTCTGTAGAACCTCCGCGCAATGGCGCATGGTAAACTCCTTATTTCTGGCCACCGTGATTCGCATAGGTCTTGTCATCATCTCATATGGATGCAAGGTGCCAGCTGGGATTTTCGTACCCTCTATGGCCATTGGGGCCAGTTTTGGTCGCATGATTGGAATCATGGTGAAGGCTCTCTCCTTGTAAGTTTACGCCATGATCTGTCACCGCGTAGCCGCCAATGACGAGAAATGGTAATAACATAGTGCATATCCAAACTCCGGGATATTCTCGGTCTGCCACGCAGATATCCCATGCATTACACCTGGGACGTACGCTTTCCTGGGTGCTGCAGCTGCTCTGAGGCAAGTCTTTTAGAAATTCAATCTCTTCATGCCCCTTATAGGACGCGCGCGTAGTGGAATCATGAGAATAACAGTAACTGTTGTTGTCATTATGTTCGAATTGACAGGGGCTCTAACGTACATTCTACCGACGATGGTAATGGCATCTACGGATCTTTCTGCGGCCTTGGCTGATCGTCCATTTTAGATCGTCCTTTTGGTCACAAAAGCAGTCGGCGACTTGCTAGGAGTGACTGGCATTGCAGATGAAGCCATTCGCTTCAATGGTTATCCATTTTTAGAGAAAGATGACCATGTATATGATGTTCCAGGTATGAAGCGCTCTATTTTTTGGACCATGCTCACATATCTTGTTTAGTTTCCACTGTGATGCGACGGGATCTGCAGACGTTTCGTGTATCTGGTATGACGCTCCGCGATGTCGGTAAGTACATTATACCTCTTGAGCACGTTCTTCAATGTATCTTTGAAGAGGCGCAATTGGCGTCGACAAGCGTCAAGGGATTCCCCGTCATTTCGGACGATGAAAACCGGACCCTTATGGGATATGTGGGACGAACTGAGCTACGATATGTCATAGGCATGTAATGCAACATAAATCCGCGAACTTTCGTCTGAGTACTTCAATTTCAGATAAAGCAAGACGAATACAAGAGTTATCGGAAGAGATACTTTGCTTTTTTGCCCCTGATATCTCAACGCAGGATGATAGCAGCTGGTCCGCTATCGGAACCGATGATGACGTTTCGATGGATGTTCTGCATGCTCAGGCATCACCAGATGGTTTGAAGCTCTGGCCTTGGGTCAACAGGGTAAGATGTCCCCGGCAGTAAGGGAACCTTGGGTCTTTGCTGATATCCGATGCCTTGAAAGACGCCGGTGACAGTCGCATCACCCCTACCTCTGGAGATCGTGATGCAACTGTTCAAGCGTATGGGGTAGGAGATTGCTTAACATTCACCCCCGCGCGTGCTGACCTTTCTCATAGGCCTCGCGTAATTCTTGTGGAAGACTACGGCTCACTCGTTGGATTGGTAACGGTCAAGGATGTATTACAACTGAAGCCCAGTGAGTGGCTTCATAGTCCTAGCATGTCATGGAGTGCCCGCGACGGGTTTGGTGGGGTGTTGGAAGAGGTGTGGGCATATTTTTTGAACGTGCGAGATTTTATTACCTCTCGGTATCGCTTATTCCGCCGGTAAAACTCTGCTCAGGCTAGAATCACTATTTATAACACAGATCGTCATTACCTATATTGTGCTGCGATTAATGAGCTAAAGTATATGAAACCGGATTTCACTTCGTGGTCCTAGCAGATGCATGGCTGCTCGGATCACGATGGAATACAAGCATGATCTACAAATTTGTGTAGGATGAAGCAACAATCACCTAGAAGAAATCACATTTCCCAGCTCTCATCGTCCAGCAGACAGGTTTCACTGCTATACCCATCTTGCCCTTCATCAGCTACGAGGTAAGCAGAATACTCATGAAACAGTAGCGAGGTGGAAAAACGAACCTATATGATGACTGTCACTAAGACTTGTGATAGAATTATCTCTTGAAGATCCATAAGGCATAGCAGTCGTAGAATCATTTGAACCCGACCCGTGGATAATCCCTGGGATTTTAGATGAGCGTGTTTTAGCAGGACGCAAGAGATGATGTCGTCGTACCATGCGAATACATTTGACTACACCCCTCGAAGTATTCAAAATTGCCAGTATCGTTTTCATCAAGACTGACATCTTCACCAAACGAACATAAGCATGTCGTAGATTGATGAACTGAACGGATAGCTATCGTGCCTTTGTGGGAGGTCAACCTTTCATTGCGTTCTGCTTCGGCGTCTTCGAAAGGATTTGTTCTTTGTTTGGGTTGTTCACGCGCCGAAAGGATTGCTCCATCGGAAACATCTGAGCGTAGATATCTACACTCTCCTTGGAGGTACTGAGGTGACGCACGTAATGGTGTCGAGGCTCAAGCTATCAAGGCTTACCATGGTCTGTGTGTGTCTTGCGGAATGTGAATGAGACGAGAGTGACTTTGAGGGAGAAGATCTTCATGATTTATTTGAGCATCTGTACGGAGAGGAGCGAGCATCTTTATAGCGCTCTCCCGAGGAAACAAGTTGATAGGTTGGGCGGAACTCCCATAAGGTATGGAATGGGCATCGAGAGTCTATTTTTTCAAAGTCGTTTTGATTGCCAAATATCATGGAGGAGCTTGAATGCTTTGTCCAAAAACATCCGGAAGCCGCGCACCTGGACGAGGTATCGACCATCCTTTGATTCCAGTAAAAAACTAACCGGCCAGGGGATTGACTTGTGGAATCAGTTTGATGCACTCTGCTCCTGACTCCACTTTCGGCGCTCAGCTTACGAGACAAGACAGCTTTGCGCCGAATTGCAACAAATGTTGCCGACATAGCGACAGTTATCGTTCTGCGAGTCGAAGCATTCTTGTGCGAGGGGACTGGAAATCGAATCCGTTACTGGGTTACCACGGACTTCCTTTCTAGGCAACCACCACCAGCACCCTAAGCGACAACTGGACGTGGCGACCTCTTTGCTTCCTTACTAAAAAAATACTACTCTGAGCTTCACTTAATTACACTTAAGGTCATTAAGAGCACGACCCGACTATGTCTAAACAGTCTGCCCTGCCTTCCAAGGCCGGGGGGACGAGAAGCTCCCTAAGGAGATCCGACGTGTCGCCGTTAGATGACATAGACGAGCTCAGACGACAGTCAGGATTTGCGAACGCAACAGCGGCAGGAGATTTTCTACATAAGAGGGGCTATATTCCGAGCAGAGATCCGAAAGAATTGGACGGGATAGCGGTGAGCAACGCTCTCTTCGGTATAGCGGCGTACGCGCAGGGCAAGGAGCTGTTAGAGGGAATAAACGCGCTGGCTATGGTCTTGGCAGCAATACACTTGGAACAGACGACACGGGCGCTAGCTACACGCTTAGCTGAGACAGCAGAAGAGAAACTCAACGAGGAAATAGAGTCCCAGATGATCAACCTAGAGAAACAACTGGACGAGAAGACCTCAGTAATCCTCAGCATGGTCGACCAGGCCTACAGCAAGATACAGCAGGCTACAGCTACCCTAGAGAGCTCGATCAAGAACGTCACTGCCCACGCATCCCACACATCTCCTATATCGCCGCCCTTCCATACGCCTGACATACCACTCAGCAATCCGTCATACGCCTCAGTAGTACATAGCCACCTACCCACATCTCACCTATCGAACCTCGCCAGGCAGAAAACTCAGCGCAAGCGCATCTTGATGGACAGCACCGCCGATTCGACACGCAGCATCAGCGACCTCTCAGAGGCACAGATTGTCGCTAAGGCAAACATCGCACTCGAGCAGATGGGAGATGAAACTACGCCGGCTGGTCAATTTACGGGCGCCAGGATCTTACGCAACGGAGGAGTACTCATTGAAGCGAACGAAGAGGCTCTCATAGCTTGGATCCAAGATGACCTGAGACGGGAAGAATTTCAAAACGCGTTCGACGGTGGCCAAGCACAAATCAAAGACAAGACTTACAGTGTCATAATAGAATTCGTCCCCATCGCCCACAAGACTGGCAACCACACCGAGTACAGACACATCGAGGGCATATCCCACATCGACCCGGGACATCTGGTTAGCACGAAGTGGATGAAACCGGTAGAAAGAAGGATGGAAGGTCAAAGAACGGCGCACCTCCTCGCGAAATTCAAATCCGCAAACGCAGCCAACAAGGCAATACGCGAAGGACTCACAATAGCCGGGAAGCTGGTGTATGGAAGGAAATCGCAGCAAGAACCGAGGAGATGTCTGAAGTGCCAGCAGATAGGGCAGCATTTCGCGGCGCAGTGCCACCAGGAGGGAGAATCATGCGGGACATGCGGGAAGAATCACGCAACGAAGGACTGTCGAGAGCAGAATCCCGATCACTTTTGGTGTGTAAATTGCAAAGTTGGAGGCCATGCCTCCTGGGACAGAATGTGCCCACGCTTCCGTGAAGAGGCAGAACGCTTAAAGCGACGCGACCCAGAATCCACTTACCGCTTCTTCCCAATAGATACCGCACAATGGACATGGGAACAGAATCCCACGATGCCGAGGAAACCACCCCAGCAACACAACGCGGGAGAATGGACGACAGTACCAAGACGCCGATACGGAACCACGACACAGGATCCAAACCCGCCCATAGGATCGCAAGGCAGAGGATGGTCCACAGCACCGTCTAGACAGAATACACCAATGCCACACACGCAAGAGATAGAGACTAGAAGGGGCGCGAGCACAGAGCCCAACGACGGTAACAGATTCCTCACCCCCTCCCAATGAACGACACACCTTCACCCGCACCCATACTACTGAAAATTTGGCAACAGAATACGAATAAATCAATGTATGCGCAACAAGATCTACTAGAAACCCTGCAAGAACAAGACGTAGACATAGCGTGCATCCAAGAACCATACCTCGACCACTGGGGTAACACGAGAGCAAACACACACTGGCGAACGGTATACCCCCCGTCACACCGTAAGGACCACACAAAGACGCGCTCCGTCATTATGATCAGGACCCGCATCAGTACCGACCAATGGACGATAGTACCAATAGACTCCCAAGACGCGACAGCAATCCGCTTGACGAGCGCTGCAGGCACGTTGGAGATAGTCAACATCTACAATGACTGCACCCACTCGGAGACGATACGCACAGTAGACACATATGTGCGAACCAGGCGACGCGATGCACCAAACGAAAGAGTCGCTTCCCTATGGGTAGGAGATTTCAATCGGCATCACCCTATGTGGGATGAGCCACGCAACCAACACCTGTTTACGTCGTCAAACCTGGAAAGTGCGGAGGAACTGATCGAGATCACAGCAAACCATGGCTTAGTGATGGCTTTAGAGAAGTATATCCCCACCTTACGGGCCATGAACTCTGGAAATTACACGAGAACGGATAATGTATTCATTACTGACAACTTTCGCGACAGGATACTTCAATGTAAAACCTTTCCCGAACTTAGGCCACCGAAAACCGACCACATCCCAATCCTCACGAGCCTGGACATCGAGCGGCACCTCGAGATCAACACCCCGAAATTCAACTTTCGCAAGGTGGACTGGAAGGACTTCAAGGACACGCTACGCGCCCATCTCCCAGACACACGGGACAGCGTACCACCAGAGCTACAAACCCCACAAGAATTTCATGCTGCACTCAGATGCGTCACGGAAGCTATCGAAAAAGCTGTCGAGCGCAACGTTCCCAAGTCCAGGCCATCCCCGTACTCAAAAAGGTGGTGGACGACAGAACTCACCGAAATGAAGAAAACAAACAAAACACTCGCAAGACGAGCCTACAGGCACAGAGCCGACCCGGAACACACAGCGCATGAGGAGCATGAGCAGGCACGGAGGAACTACGCAGACGCAATTGAAAAGGCAAAGAAGACACATTGGGAGGAATGGTTAGAGAACCTGCAAGGCGAGGAAATATGGATAGCAAATAAGTACGTGGATAAAACTTCATCAGATGGGGCTCAGGCGCGCGTTCCGACGCTCAAGCGCAAAGAAGAGAATGGCGTAGTAGTAGAAGTGGAGACTAACGAGGCCAAGAGCCATTTTTTATTCGAAAGCTTCTTTTCACAGGACGAGACTCAGGCACCTAGCCCGATGGACCACAGCTACCCTGAACCAGCATTTCCCTTCCGTCCTGTAACCAACGCTCAAATCTACAGAGCCATAGAGAGACTCTATGGCCTCAAAGCCCCTGGCGACGACGGCATCCCAAATATTGTCTACAAAAACTGCGCAAGCATCCTAGTCCCATTTCTTGGACCCATCTTCCGCGCCACATTCTCGCTTGGCATCTACCCTCAGGACTGGAAAGACTCGCGGACGCTCGTACTACGAAAACTCGGCAAACCAGACTACTCCAATCCTAATGCATACAGGCCAATTGCCCTACTCCGCACTATCGCCAAAATTCTTTCAGCCTGCATCGCGTCTGAACTAATGCAACTAGCCGAACTCCATCACCTCCTTCCCGACACACATTTTGGCTGCAGAGCCGGCCGGAAGACGACAGACTCACTTCACTATGTCACGCGCAAACTACACGACGCCATGGACAACAAAGAAGCGGCATGTGTCCTTTTCTTGGACATAAAGGGAGCGTTTCCAAGCATTAATTTAAACCGTCTCGTCCACAATATGCGAAAACGAGGCGTCCCAAAGGAGTACACGGAGTGGATTCGCATCAAGACAGGACACAGACGCACAAAACTCATCTTCGATGGATACACATCAGACTGGCTTACATTCCCTTGCGGCGCAGACCAGGGGTGCCCGCTGTCCGGAATTTTATTTCAGTTTTACAATGCTGACCTGCTAGATGTCCCAAACAGGGCCAATCGAGAAGACGGAGTGGCCTTCGTAGATGATACCGCATACATCGCAACAGCGGAGACGATGGCAGAGGCGGCTGACAAGCTGCAGGATATGATGGTACGAGCAGGCGGAGCCTTCGACTGGGCTGACACACACAACTGCACTTTCGCTGTCGATAAGTTTGCATTGGTGGGGTTCACAAGGAAAAAAGAGAAGGTGAAAGCGAGACATCGTGTTCGCACGAGAGAGGAGGCACGCAACAGGGGAAAGAAAGACAAGAAGTTCGAGTACAGAGCGCTGGAAAGACCAAGCATCACTCTGAGAGGTACGCACATCCACCCGTCAAAATCTCACAAATTCCTCGGCATTATAATCGATCAGGAGCTAAATTTCAAGGAGCACGCCGCGTCTGCACTAGCCAAAGGCACAAAGTGGGTGACACACTACAGACGGCTGGCGCGCCCTTCTAAAGGCGTCTCTACGAGATACATGAGACAATTTTACACCAGCGTTGCGCTGCCGAGAATGCTGTATGGGGTGGACATTTTCTTGTCCCCACCATCGCGTGAGGGCAAAGGCTCCAAAGGCATGATAGAGAAGCTAGCCAGAGTCCAGAGACAGGCAGCCATACACATAACCGGTGCCATGCGCACCACCGCCACTGATATTCTTGACGCACACGCAGATCTTTTACCATTCAGCCTACTGGTCGACAAAAAGTGCCATGACGAAGCCACCAGACTGGCAACACTAGCCGACGAGCATCCCCTCTACAGACACACCATAGCGGCCGCAGACGCGACAACCCATACACCAGACCGCTCCCCTCTCCATAGGCTCCTAAACGAAGCCTACGCCATCTTTCCGAGCCAATTTGAAGACATCAAAGCCGTGCGACTCGATCCAAAGTGGCAGTCAGCCATCCAAACGAGCATTGCACCCAACAAAGATGGAGCCATCGAAGCCGAGAAACAAAACAGAGACGAAATACAGGTATATTCAGATGGATCTCTAATAGAAGGGGGAGTAGGGGCAGCGGCGGTCCTGTTCAGACACGGTAACGAAAAAGCGAGGCTGCACAAGCACCTCGGCAGAGCAGAACATCACACCGTATACGAAGCAGAACTTACCGGCATCCTTCTTGCTCTACAGCTCATACAAAACGAACCACCGCATCGCTCGGCATCGATAGCACTGGACAACGTCGCTGCGATACAGGCCACAAAGATAGCCAGGAGCACCCCAGGATCATATCTTGTCGACGCAATTCACGACAAGGTAGAGAAGGAGTTCGGAGGCAGAGGCAGAGGACGACCAACCTTACGATGGGTACCAGGGCACGTCGATATTGTAGGAAACGAGAGAAGCGACGAGGAAGCGAAGGCGGCAGCGAGAGGACTCACGAGCATGGACATAGTACTACCAAAGGCGATCAGGGGACAGCTTCCCTTCAGCCGGTCGGCGGCAAGGCAAAGGTTCAACGATGGACTCAAGAAGCGCTGGAAAAAACTCATGGAACAGTCACCGAGATGGCAAAAGCTGCAGAGGATAGATCCCACAGCACCTTCGAACAGGTTTCGGAAAATCACTTCTTCTCTCCCGCGTCGACATGCCGCTACCCTTATGCAACTACGCACTGGCCACGCACCATTACAACGTCACCTACACCGTATACGTCCAGACGAGTTCGAGAACCCCACCTGTCCCGCGTGTGGGCAGCGCGATGAGACGGTGGCCCACTTCCTTCTCGAATGCCGAAGCTTTACCGACAGTCGACACCGCCTTGAGCAAGCGGTAGGGCGAGCGAGCCGTAACCTTTCCGAACTATTATCCAACCCATCGATGTTCAAACACCTATTCGAGTTCATACACGAAACCCAGCGCTTCAAGAAGACATTCGGAGACCTGAACCTGCCAAAGACCATGGAGACGGAGCTGGACGGACCTAGGAGCCGAAACGAGCGACGAACACAACCAACCACACCCCGAGCGCGAGGAGGAGGCGGTCACAGAGGAGCGACGAGACTCGTGCAGATTCGAACCGCGGAACAGAGACAGATGGCGACCACGTTACGCAGCTGGTTAAACACAGCACCTGCTACCGGACCAAACAACAGTTAAGTACGATACCTTACTATACCACCATAATTCTCGCCATGCGACCCAACCTCCCTGAGGTAAACACATGCCCCTTGAGGGCCAATGCAGAGCATAGAGTTGGATCATGCTTACATACATTCACACTACCGCAGAGTACATACAGCTACACGTCTAGACATGCGGCGCGCCGCCACTAGACGTTAATACATGACTTCACACACACACACACTGGGTTACCACATACCCACATACCCACATACCCGGACCTTGAAGTACGGGGGATAACTCGATCACATTCGCATTAGTACTGAACAACACTGAGTCACGACAGTACTGTACTGACAGTATAGAAATATGGATACAAAGGGTGTAGATCATTCCTCCATAGCATCCGAAGGAGGAGGCAGAGAGCCTCTCTTTTCTTTGTACAGCTCCGCCCATCTCGGATAGACGCGTTTGTATAGAGACATGCACACCGTGTCCATTTGGTTGATAGGGCCATCGAAGTGGGCCTTGAAGTACCCGTGAGTACCCAACGATTCTTGGATATGACCAGCTCGCCCGTGCTTCGTGTGTAATTGGATAGGTTTGAAATACAAAACGTCATCTGTTCCACCATGTCAGAACGACAGACGAGGTCTTGCACAGACAACATACCATTGTTGAAGAACATATATCTGACGGTTGCTGTCTTCTTATGAACTTTGAATGGATGGCCTGACAGAACAAGACGCTTCGTAATGACTCGTGTCGTATCAGAATGCTGGAATGACCCCATTGCAACTAGCTGGGGTGCTGAGAGGACCTGATATCAATAACCACCTCTTTTGTGGACAAATGCATTACTCACCTTGAGGATCAGGCGTTTCCTTAAGTAAGACGCAAGGCTGGTTTCCGAACACTACAGGGCCATAGATGGTGGCGACGTAGGTACTCCCATGCCGCAGATAGCGCTCAAACTTGTGTACATTGTTCGCTCCCTTGCCGCCGCCACGTGTGTGTTGGCTGTACACTGGATTGACGCTCAGTCGGCGAGGTCCCACACATAGAATGAGGGGATCCTTGGAAGATAATCAGTAATGATCGGACAGTAGAAAGAGTCTCGCTCACTTTCGATCGCACGGAGCCTTCAAACTCCGTATTTCGCTGGACAGTGAAGTTGAGAACAGTTTTTTTATGCTCATGTTGAAGAAGCCCGAATAGGACTAATGGATACCGAGGGTCTCGTTGAGCAGCGTCTTGAGGCACATCCTTCAGGAACACCGTTACCCTGGTGCCTGGCTTTGAACGCGGAGGATGTCACATGAGAGCGTGCAAAGTAGAAAACCAAACCAAAACATACCCCGACTCCGGTACCCTGCTCTGCACGCCTCCGAACAGCCCGCTCCGTTCGCTTGAAGTCCTCAAATTGGAAGATACGTGCGTAATCCCGAGGCAGATTTTCGTACGGGTCCCAGGGACTCGTGCGGAATGAGCGCATGCCTCGGTAACGCTGGAAACGTGTCCTAGCGGGCACATCTTTTGGGGTGTCGATTTCGTCTGGAAATTCAAGGTCGTCCTGCTCTTCATGTTGACGTGCGCGCCATGTATCCAGCCTTGTGCAACGATAAGAATAAATTGTGGTGTTGGGATTAGAGGGAGATTACTCACTGTCGTTCGTCCTCCTCGACATCAAGATCCTGGAAAACTACGCTCTTCCGACTAACAGCCTCCTCGTTATTTTGATCAAAGACGGGCATATCTACCATCTCTTCTTGCTCCATGGGATCCATCTCCTCGTCCTCACCTAGCTTGCCCTCCGCGTCCTCATCCTCGTTTTCATCGTCGCTACCGTCGACAATCCACGCAGCCTGATACTCGCTCATCCCCTTTGGTATCCGCTTCACTGCTTTCGGCGTCGTCCCGTTTTCTGCCTCTGGTAACTGAGAAGTTTCATCAACGCCATCTAGACCATGCATCTCCTCTTCTGTGGGCCATGTCTGCTCATTAGCCATGTCATCGGGATCATTACTCGAAACCAATGAATCAGCATCCTCAACACTGGGTTCCGCTAGAAGGACCGGCTCCACATCCATAGCATTTAGATGTCCAGATTTTGAGGAACGTGGTAGTGGTGCTGAAACAACCTGTAGATAACATAAGTATCGCGGACAGCTCCCGAAATCAACATGAGATGACTCGCCTTGGATACTTGGAAGTCGCCAAAATTAGGCAAGTGAACAAGCCTGTCCGCGGAAAGTTGAGCACCCCTGATAACACCGGTAACAGCCAATTCCCCGTTTATCCACTCCACATCCTCTCCTAGGATCCATGCTCTACCATCCCTCCACCGTACATCTCTCGGCTTACCCTCCGCCAATACCCTTAACGCATTCAGTCGCTCAGGTCCGGCATTGAGGTCGAAAACTCTCATCTGTTCAGGAGAAAAATACTGCACAAAGGATAAGAGCGATCTGACGATACCAGGTCGTGTCTTTGAATCTATTGGGAAACCAGGGGCGACGACCGATACAACTTCAGGTAGACCCTGGGCTTGAAGGGCTCGTAGAAGCATGTCACCCCATCCATCAACTTCAACGGCCGGTGATAAGGCAAAGACGACATAGTCGGCCACTTTGCACGCATCGAGGGCAGCGTAAAGGTCACGATAGGGAAGATGAATGAATTGAATCGATGTTTTGAATCGTTCTGCTCTACATACCGGCAGACGTCGGCTCACTATATTGTATAGCGCACGGTCGTGTCTGGATGGACGCACCTCAGCTTCCAGACCCCAAGCTCTGGTATGTAGACCGTCGGGGTATCAATAGCCTCTGCAAGTACAGCGGCCACGGCGCGCGCACTGACATCTTCGCTGAGTGGTATGATCGCAACGATCCGTGGTGCACCTCCTACACCATTGAAAACCCGAGTCGCGGAGACCAAGGCCTCTCGCTTTTTCAGTTGCGACTGCTTAGCATTGTTACGCCTGTTCAGTTTGGATTGGGCTGCAGCGTTTGAGGAGGGAGCTGCTTTTGGTGATTGACGAGAGATACGACCTAGATCATGGCAATTCGATCAATATACCGGGCAGTATTTCGTTGGATCCGCGCTCAAAGTTAAACCGATGCCTCGACAATAACAGAGATCGGAAAAGCCCAAACATCGTGTATAGAAAGGCCGCTCACCCTTCGAAAGTTCCTTCAACGATGACTTCGTTGCATGTTTGGATTTGAAGGATTTGTTGGTCTACATTGCAAAACGTTTTGCATGATGAATGCGCATGAGAGTCACGCACGGCTATACCTGTTTTAGTGTTGGTCGATGGTGAAAAGCTTCTGGCATGATGCAAATCCACAATTTGTTGCCGTGCCTTCTGGCAGTTCGAGGATAGTAGAGAACGAGTCTGAGAGATATGTCAAACGAATGCAAATGAGCCGAAGTCAAAGTCCTCCAAAATTGCTGTCACGTGATCTCTTGAGCAATTGCAGATGTGTCGATCCAGATAGCTAAGGACTTATGCCATTTATGCCATCAAACTTGGGAGCATAGGAGCTTGGTATCAAATTGTCCAAGAATTTTCAAGACTTGAAACCCTCATACTACGCATGTAAACAATTCGTCATGTAAATGCTGACACTCAGCAGCAGCGCACAAAGTCCAAGAAATCAGCAGAAAGTAAAAAATCTACACAATAAATTATGGCACACTCTATATACGGTACCGCCGGACGTCCTAACACATCACATGTTGTCACCAGGAATTGAGTAAACGATTTGCCATCTCGAATCCAAGGAACGTAGCACCATTGGCGAACGGAGACCTGCAAAAAGCTCACAGTCAATAAGACTTCTTCAACGTGGCGGGTATCTTTTTTACGCACCGGATCAGCGTGGGGCCTAGCCCTCTAGTAAATGCACTGATGCCCTCTGATCGCCAGATCGTGCGCACGCAATGCAATGAGGATTTATACTTTTGACCATCTGCAGCGGAAAACCCGTCCGTCTGCATCCGAGATTTAATCATGTCTATGGGGTATATCACCGCCCAAAGCTGAGCTGGAGTTAGTATGACACAGAGAACGCCTATGTGGAATGGAACGCGTACTGCGTAACCCGCCGCTGCGCCATAGAGCACGGCCTTTGCTGGGCTGATCTCGTCTCGCCGGATACCCTTTTGCGCTATCTCACGCTGGACCAATTTCTCGTATGCCCAGAAGTAGATGCCATATCCGGATGCCTCTCGAAGCAAGGTCACATTTTGACCCTTATAGATCCCTGCGATCCCATGGGAAGAGTAGATTTTCTTCATGGCATCCCAAGGACCACGGTATACAGGATTCGAGTTCGACTGGGTTTGTAGCCCTGAGAGGCAGCGTTAGAATGACCCTAGGAGTACAGAACAGGGTACGCACGAATACGTATATGTTCCACCGGTCCTGACACGACACCATTTCCTAGACCTGCCAGCACACCGGCCGCAAACAATTGCGAACTAGTCAACGTCTTACCATCAGGACCACCTGAACCAGCTCGGATGTTGCGTTCGGCAAAGAATCGCTTCACGTATTCCAAAACGCCAAACTGAATGGAAACGCAGACACCAATTCCCAGGAGAGGCGTTAGGGTGCCCTGTATACAGATGATCAATTATGAGCGGCGAGCATACACAGACAACCTCTTGATATACCTTGTAGAATGCGAGAGGGCCCTCATTCTTCAGGATTCCGCCTGCGCAGTCAAGCATGCCATTGTACGTCCCCTTCGCTGACGTTTGCATACGCTATAGAGCATTGAGAGGCGAGTTAGGTAGATAGCCCGCATAGAACGAAGTAAACAAGGGCGCTTACCACTTTGACTATGTCAAATGGCTGGCCAACCAGTACCTTGTGGTGTCATGACAGATAAGTACGAAGAACACATACACATGTGGAGCGAGGCGAATACCTGGGCAATACCTCCGGCTGTGCCTGCTGTGAGGTCCTTGGCTGTTTTTGACATCTTATGGCCGTCTGTTCGTCGTACAGTGAGTCGAGTCAACAAGGAGTGAAGGGAACAATCAAACCAGCCGACAGCCAATCAGGACAGCTGTCGTCCAAATTTCATTGGAAGAATTTATAGGTGCGATAAGATTAGATGTGATTAGATAAGATTATGCCAAATTAGATTAGATTAAGTAAATGTCTGCCATCCAGACTGTTCCGTTCGCCGAGGCGACACTGCAAAGCGAAACACCATCTGTTGCCCATAGCTACTACAATTTCGCTTTTTCCTTCGTTCTTGGTCGGCCCTTCCGGAAACGATCCAACAATACAACATCCGCAGCCCACCATCGGTCCTGCGCCTCCTTTGATTCCCTCTTCCACGCTTCTGCAATAGCCTGTGCGATTGATAATGTTGGCGAGGCAGGAGCAGGTGGGTGTGAGCGTTTATTAGGTTTAGGGGACGGAGAGGGGGGTTTGGAATCGTGCGCCATCTGTGAATTAGGTGATTAGCACGGCGCCGAGAGCGCTAAAGTCAAAGGATGTCGCACATTGTCATATGGGGTCATTAATGACCTCCAGCGGCCATGGGCACGACCTTTTATAAGACAAGCATTTGTGGCACGCGGGTGAACATGGCCAAGTCCTGCTGTGGCTGGGACACACGGCTCCATCTGTTGGAAGGTAATTCCGCTGGTATGTCTCAGCCTAAATAGGAAGGTTGAAAGGAGGAACAGATTGAAGGGGAAGCATTGAGGCGATGACAGTCGCTTATAGAGACCAAAAGGCGTGGAGAAGATCAAAGCGTGTTCGCAACCATTGTGAGCCCAAAACTACTACAACGAGGTGCGTTCTTTGTGAGGATGCAGCACGACCGAAGAGAGGCAACGCGTTCAGGGAGGATATGCCTGCACTACCCCTGCAGGCAAGAACCAGATGGCTGGGCCACGCGCACATCTGCGCCCACAGGCCGTCAGATGGGATGGAATGAGGTAACCAGAATACACGCACCATGGAGGGAATTAGGATGGAAGTAGTGCCGACTGGCCTTTCACACGTACTTATTCGCGACTGACCTTAGACGGTCCTTTTTGCGACAACCGCATCGAGCAACTTGAAAGGATGTTCCACGATGTCCATTTTTTCCTGCATCTCGATATGTCGCATGACAGATACCAAATTGATCGGTGATATTTGGAGCAAGCAGCACTTTAACCGCACGCGACCAGATAGTATGGCCTATATTTGCACGAACAATGGAGGGGAGCCACCTCAAAGCACAGAACAAGAGGATCTGTTCCCAACGTATGATGCTCGCGCGATAATTGAGACGAGTCAATGAGACAAGCCGCACGTAGAAGCAAAAGCCCTGCAGATAAAGTGTCAGGTGAAACCGACAGTTGATTGATTTATCATGCTCCTCCTAACGTGCTCACTAATCGCCGACCGCCTCCGACCCCAGACATGTCCCTCAGCACTAAAAGCTCCGACGACCATCCTTTTCTGTCGAACCAAAGCAGATCTACAAGATTCAAGGACTCGCTTCCATCGTGAAAGCGCGCTTGAGGATGGCAGAAACGTGAGTAACCTGGGTCCTGTACGCATCGAAAGCATTTTGATAAGATCTGATACGCACGTCCACGGACAGGTACGTCAACTTCCTCGGTGGATCCCCTCTGAACCGCCTTTCCTGGCTACGGACTTCTCAATCGTTTCTGAACTCCATCGCTGCCTCGCCTGCAACACGCTGGATTGTTTTTAAACGCGGAGAGCCGCTGATCGTGTCCCGTGTAGACTCTGGCGTCAGCCTAGCACGGTTGACCACGGCTGATGTGCGGCCCCTTCTAGGCTCAGAGCCTTTTTTTGGACAGGGGCAGAACGACGGAGAGATTGCCGCTCCTGATGTGCATGTTCTGGAGGCAGCTAGATTCCGAGGTGCTCCCATTGTCTTTCTCGGATTGGACGAACCACTGGGAGATAGCGCACTCGCACTTCCGCCACCGACAAGTGATGTGAATTCCGGTTCGCAAGATCCGCAAGTCACGGCGCATAATTTTAAGGGGACACCATATTTCTCATTGGATGTCTCGGGTGTTACAGACGCGGAGATTGAAGCCGTACTCCAGGGATCAGAGGCGGGGAATGGGGCACAGATTCAGTTTTCTGAGCCGCGAGCTGCTACGCGGGGATTCAGTATGTTCGATGCGGCATTGTTTGCGTCAGCGAGGAGTATGGTAGATTGGAATGATAGAAACAAGGTCAGTGATGATACATTGTCACGCCTCAATCAGTCTTAAACAAGCAGATAATCAGTTCTGCGCGGGTTGCGGCTCTCCCGTCTACTCCCTTTGGGCAGGCTGGAAACTGACATGTTCATCTTTGGTGCCCTGGGCAGACAACCGTAACAGAAAGCCTTGTCCAACAGTGTTCGTTTCATATTAATCGTCGCTTGTTTGCCTTGTATAGACTGATGTTGTTTTAGAAAAGGTCTTCATAATTTTCAGCACCCTAGAACCGATGCCGTAGTCATCATGGCTGTTGTCAACGAGGCCGACGACAAGATACTACTAGGGCGAAACGTGCGTAGAACGATGTCTGTAGTTTTACAGAACATCTCATCCCAGGCACGATAGAAAAAATTCCCCGCAAAGTTCTATTCTACTCTTGCAGGCTTCATGGAGCCAGGAGAGTCGTTCGAGGACGCTGTCAAACGAGAAATATGGGAAGAAGCAGGCGTCAAAGTGTGGAATGTTACATATCACTCAACGCAACCTTGGGTCCGCATAAAGTTCTGCCACTGGGGTACGATGATCATGCTGATCTACCCTGTTAGCCATACCCTGCAAGCTTGATGATTGGCTTTTACGCGACTGGCGATCCTGCGCAACCCATTCGTACCGACCTCGATAACGAGCTTGACGGTATGCTGACATCGTTGATACATCAATGCACTCAAATCCTGATGATCACTATAGATGCACAGTGGTTCACCCGAGAACAAGTTTTAGCTGTGCTTGCTCACGAAGAGGGTACGACTTTTACTAGAAAGGATTACAAGCAGATGAACGACATTGTCGACGGTAAGAACAGTGCCCAGGACGTTGATGCGTTGGCCGGAGATGCCGCAGCCAACGTCGCAGCGCAGCTAAAGCCTGCCCGCCCCACCGTAGAGGAGTTGGCTTTCAGGGTTCCCCCCATTTCAGCCATCGCAGGTGTCTTGATTTACGAGTGGGCTCACGGAAAGCCTCCACCAGTGCCCGCCGCTGTGCCGAAGGGTAGAATGTGATCTCAGATCTGTGATCGACAATTTTGACCGAGGTCGGGGTTGGTCGGGTATATGGCCTATTTTTGCTTTTGTTTTTTGTTTTACACCTGGCGAGTACCTGGCCGGTTGTACTCGGCTTTTTTTTCGAATTCACTTAGTGATTATAATTACTTCTTCCGATGTGCAGACTGAGTGCAGACTGGCGAATAATGCTGGCCTTGTTCTCACCGCAAACTCTATTGGAGACACCTTGGTATGGACTCCACGAAGCCTGGCCGCAGCTGGTGGCGCCTGGACCGATCCGGAAAGGTTTATTTATTTGAATTTTATTCGAACGTGATCGCGAGAAAACAAATTGTGAGAAAAAAATGCTCTTGGCCTTGGTCGTGCTTGGTCTCAACCTGTCCCCATCCTCATCGTAATACGGAGCTATGGCCCCTCGATCCTGGACGAATGGCGCCGATTTTCACTTCAAATTTCCTCGTACCTTGAGCGGAGAGCGTATAAATATCGCAGACGGTGAGTTAGAAGGACTTCCAGCCCCCTCACGATCCTCCGAAGCTCGAAGGGTCACTTCCTTGTCTCCAAACACGCATCCCTCGCTTCCTATACATTCCTTTACGGTATCACTTGGGTGTTTCTGTTGAGGTTGTCTGACGACTCTCTTGTCACCGAAACATTTAAGGGCCCTTCTGCTCTCGCTGCTCTACACATTCATTACCCCACCTCCTCTCATCGACATGATCTTCCCTTTGAGCTTCTTGCTTGTCGGTGCTGCCTTCGCCAGCGCACTTCCTGACCCCACATCGGTTCTCAACGATCTGGATTGCGAGTCGGGTAGCGACCTGGTCGCCGCCAGCTGGTACGCAGGATGGCACTCGGCCGACGTTCCGCTCTCTGGTGTCAGTTGGGAGAAGTATACGCACATGACGTATGCCTTCGCGTGAGTACAGATCACTCATCCCTTCGTTGAGACTTCGACTGACCCATTTCTTCAGCGAGACGACTCCCGATCCACACAAGCTGTCTCTCGCTAATTCTGACGAGCAACTCTTGCCAGAGTTCGTTAAATCGGCTCATGAACATGTACGTCGTTGCTTCCGGCGTCCGTTGCTTGCTCATCCTAAGACATAATGCGTAGGGAGTCAAAGCTTTGGTATCCATCGGCGGGTGGACCGGAGGTTTATACTTTTCTTCCAACGTCGGGGACGCCACCAATCGCACGATTTTCGTCAACACTGTGATCGACATGGTGACGACATACGGCCTCGATGGTATCGACATCGAGTACGTGTTCAGCGTTCATCCTATGAAGAGTTTCTCTAACATCTTTATTTAGCTGGGAATACCCCAACAAGCTCGGCGTAGGCTGTAATGTCGTCAGCCCAAGCGACACAGCCAACTTGCTTTTCTTCCTGCAAGAGCTTCGTGCCCACCCTCTCGGCTCCACCTTGATTGTCACCGCTGCATCTTCGATCTCGCCGTGGGTCGACGAGAATGGCAATGCCTCGACCGACCTGAGCGGCTTTGCCTCCGTCCTCACCTACGTTGCCGTCATGAACTACGACATCTGGGGCTCCTGGTCAAATGCCGTCGGCCCTAACGCTCCTCTTGACGATGCTTGCGCCTCTCCCGCAAACCAAGCTGGCTCGGCTACGTCGGCCGTGCAGGCGTGGAATGCAGCAGGCATCCCGCACGACCAAATCGTTCTCGGTGTACCTGGCTACGGACACTCGTTCCGTGTCAGCACAGCCGCTGCCCTCCCAAACGGAGCTGACGGAGCCTTGGCGAGCTACCCTGCCTTTAACAAAGCGGACCAGCCCCTGGGTGACCGCTGGGACGATGCGAACCCCGGACCAGACGTCTGCGGGAATGCACAGGGCGCAGGAGGAGTGTTCAACTTCTTCGGCTTGGTAGAGGGTGGGTTCTTGAACGACAACGGGACTGTCGCTGCAGGGATCGCATATGCATTCGACGAGTGCAGTCAGACTGTAAGCAGATCCGCACAGGTTTTCATTGAGAATCACGCTAATCATGATCGTCGTGCAGCCGTTTGTCTACAACTCGACCTCTCAAGTTATGGTCTCCTACGATAATGCCGATTCATTCGCTGCCAAGGGCAAGTTCATCAACACCCTTGGTCTGCGCGGATTCGCCATGTGGGAGGCCGGAGGTGATTTCAAGGACATCCTCGTCGATTCTATTCGCTCGGCTTCCGGTTTTGCTTGAAGCCCTTGACGGTCAAGCGCTCATCACTACACATCATGAGATTATCTTACAACCAGTGTCCTTATAATAACTATTGCTATTGTTTAATCGATGCTGCGTTCATTGTAATATTTTTCATCTCTACTACGACCCAGGTGTCTCAAAGTTGAAGCTTTGAAGCCTCGCGTCTTTGTGAAACCCATCGACTGTCCGTCGGTGATCGTGATCAAACAAGAAGAGGTTGGAGTGGGATTGGGTACTAGCTGAAAGTACCTGTGATGCATCATCTTCACCACTCCCTGCCATCCTCACGTTATACTTCCTTGTATATTTTTTTTTCGCCAGTCCTTTCCGCATCGAGGGCGGCATTGTGACCAATTCGAGGCCACCGTTGATTATATTTTCAACTTTATATGCTGTCGGATAATCGGCTGGCAATCGACTGGCAAAAGAGGATTTGGCACTCGTCTTGAAGGTGCACACATGCACACACACAGATGTACCCGTGCATTGCCACTGATTTCTTGGATCCACATTCATTCACCATTCCGCTATTCGCAGATCGTTTTCCTAATAGCGTCGTTCTTGACTCGATTCTATCCCAATCTCACAGTATCAGTTCTCCACGCGCACATAGCCTTTCCGCTCATGGTTTCAACAGATTGCAGGAGATAGTACATACGTATATTACAGCTTCTGATATCTGATGCACGACTATTATACTCATTCTCTCAAAGCAGACTTTTGATGACATTGTCGCCCTCGACGAGAATGCAAGGTCCGCCGTAGATGACCTTGTCAGAAAGGCCGTTGTCCTTTATGTATGAGATGACAGCTTCGTCTTCCGCACCAGGTTGAAGCCAGAGCGCCGGTACTGACAAAGCTTTGGCCTGCTCAAGGAGGCCAAGAGTGACCTGAAGAAAACGGATAAGACAATGAGCACTGGGGGACGAGGAGGGGGAGGGGGAGGGCAACCATATCAAAGAAAACGTGCGTACCTTGGGGTTCGTTATGATGCTGACAGAGGTTTCGGAAGGAGTCGCAAGATCTCCTAGAGTCCGCACGGCTGTGATCCCCTCCAACTCAGATTCTTTCTGCAGCCTATGAGCGCCATGGTTCAAAGGGTATCGAATAAACATACGGGGTGCACGGGTGTGACTAGCTTGTCTCTAGCCTGATACCATTTCAAAACCTGTAAACGGTATGTGCGTATGAGTCTAGTATACGATGATCGACTTCGACGATCGACTGACCTTGGTACCATACTTGGATGTGTCCTTCGATGCGCCTACAACCGCGAATTTGGGTGAAGAAAGGAACAGTTTCTGAATCTCGCTGGTCAAAACCATGGTTAAGAGAGAGAAGATGAGAGATGCTGATGGGGCGTGGACGAAAAAGGACAGTGTGGGTTGTGAGCTTATAAAGTCTGTCAGTTCGGTGATGGCACAAGGCTCACCAAGCTTCTCTATCTTCACTGCGTATCGGAGCAGTCAAATGTTACCGGTATGAGGCGATAGTGTCGTTTTATCACCACTCAAGGCCATCAGATCAGGCCTGACCGGCCTGACCATGTGATACGAACTGAAGGTGTATGCAAGAGAAGCCTGAGCACCATGAGATGACAGAGCACTTTGGTAACCATCGGCTCATCGTCAAATGCCGTCGAGTATACCGTGGGTTCAAACAGATTGTTCACTTACAACACGAGAAAGAGAATAAATCCTCGAAATTTAGGCCCGCCCCACGTGATCGCTACGCGAGGCCTCAGAAGCGCGCCTCGCGGCGGATGTGCGCACATTTTATCTCGACTCACCTCTTTGGTGTCCTGAACATCTTTCCTTCACCTCTTTCCTTCTGCTAGCATACTGCTGCTTGGCCATTTCGTACTATATAAGTTATCTCCCGCACTACTGCTGTAATGTCTTGGATACCTTCACCCTCGACCGCTCGAACCATCCTCTACGGCATACTGATTGGTTTCTCGCTCTCAATCACGTCCACTTCTCTTGCTCTGCTGTACAGAGATCGCAGAAAAGACAAGGAGGAAGCCCAACCTGGCTCGCGTCCGATTGAATTAAGGAGTGATGAGGTATTGGACGGTGTGACGGGGCTCATTGGTACGTTTTGTTATGTTCTGTACTGAGTCATTGAGAGCCTTTAGAAACAAGCGTGAAAATCAGGGAATACCCCGCTGGTGCGGATTAACTCATTGAGCGACGCGTTGGGGGTCGAAATTCTGGGTAAAGCAGAGGTGAGACGTGTCGAGGTATAGACAGCTGCAAGAATTCATTTCTTTGCAAGTAGTACTTGAACCCAGGAGGGAGTGTCAAGGATCGCGTCGCATTGAGAAGTAAACATATTCAGTTCAATATCATATACATAGCTCATTTTTGTTTTAGTGATCGAAGACGCAGAACGTCAAGGCTATCTACATCCGTACACAGGCTCACGCATCTTCGAAGGCACGGTTGGCTCTACCGGTATCTCATTGGCAACTATTGCTCGTGCAAGGCAAATTGTCCATCCGTGTTTTCGCTGTGTAAGAAATACTGAATAAATCGGCCTTCGTCACAGGGGGTACGATACAAGTAGGCAGATGTTACATCTCTAAGAGATATGCTAACAGTTTGATCTTTTGCGACAGCAATCATTATGCCCGATGATGTCTCGGTCGAAAAGGTCCATGCTCTCCAAGCTCTAGGTGCTGATGTGGAGAGGGTGAGGCCCGCGAGCATCGTCGACAAGAAACAGGTTAGTATTCCATTCGTGAGGCTCTAATTCTGAAAAAACGAAAACATTCACGCGTGTTCGGTATCAGTATGTTGTGAGTCACCATCATAATCAGCGCCTCTGCAATTTTCATCATTTCCTGCCGGGTAGAACTTGGCCCGCGAATATGCTCTCCACTTCACCGAGACAAATGCCCATGGGTCGACCCATTCATCTCTACCTTCTAATCATTCGCACCCTCGCACCCTCAAACGCTCAGAATCTTCTGTTGTCGTAACTACCGCTGAGTCGCACACGAATGGCGAGGCCAACGGTTACGCTGTGACAGAAGAAGAGGAACTCCGAACGAAGCCCAGAGGGTTCTTTGCAGACCAATTTGAGGTAGCGCCTGTGCTCTGGTCATAGATTCTCACCTTTGGATACGATTTCACTCATAATTACAAAGAACAGGAGCAATTTTGAAGCGCACTTCGAAGGCACCGGCCCCGAAATCTGGAGACAGACCAATGGTGATCTCGTAGCCTTCGTCGCTGGCGCTGGTCTGTCTCATCAGTATATTCTTACGATTCATACACCCTTGACCAGTCTCATAACTTCATCAGGCACCGGTGGGACCGTAGCGGGCACTGGGCATTTCCTCAAGACTATGAATGACGATGTCACAGTCGCAATTGCAGATCCGGAGGGTAGTGGCTTGTATAACAAAGTCAAGCACGGCGTCTTGTACGACCGTAAGGAAAGCGAGGGTACAAAGCGGCGCCATCAGGTGGATACTGTCGTCGAGGGCATGTCAGTCTTGATTTTGCACTCAGTCCGAATTAGAAAGAATGACCTGATATTTTTCTCGATGAGTAGCGGGATCAACAGGCTTACGAAGAATATCGAGTTAGCCCTTCCCATTATCGATGACGCTTTCCGGTGAGCTAGCCAGTGCAAAATTTGAGCATCCACCTGTTCAATAATATCCTCGAACTCAGAATAACCGATGAGGAGGCTGTAAGTATGTCACGCTTCCTGGTCCAGCGCGATGGCCTTTTCCTTGGGTCAAGCAGTGCGTGCAACCTAGTCGCATGCGTGAAACTCGTGCGCAAGATGGGTTGGCGAGATGGGGAGAAGGTCGTCACAATTATGTATGCCTTTATCACTCGTATAACACTGCAGATGCGCTGACTGAGTGAACAGGTGCGACTCGGGCAACCGACATTATTCTAAGGTCAGTCTTCCTTATTCGGGACAAAAAAAAATGCTGATACTTGACATTGCCTTTGAACAGTTTTGGTGAGTTGCTAGAATTCGTAATACTGATTGCATAGACTGAAGTCATACTTCAGGAATGATGAGTACCTTCATAAGGCTGGCATTCGGAACGACATTGGAATCGTTCAGGATTTACTTCGACAGCCGTTTCCTCCGATGTCTTCCATCACGAAAATCTAGTGAAACATTCCACGCAGTGGTACATACTAATATGTCAAGATGATAAGATGCTTGGTTGCGGTAAGATTACATGTTGCGAGTGGTAAGTGGTGAACGGGAGCATATGTATACGGGTGGGTAGGGTAAGGGGGTACATATACAGTCTCGAGGGCAAGCACGTTAAATACGAAGTCGGGTATAGTCGAGAGTCATTGCGGCCAGAAAGAACTTTGCGGCGGAGCGGCCGGAAACGTCATCGATGAGAAAGAGAATGTGGAGTTTGATGGTGGCAAGCTATTTTGGCTGTGGATTGTCGGTGCAGAGTTCGCCACCGCTGGTGGCGCGACCTTGTTCGTCGCTACATTCTGTGGCGGAAGGGGCGCAGACGTGGATGACGCTGTAGAGGGGCTGCGATATTAGTCAGTATAAACAATCAGGAATTCGAGATTTTATTTTACGAACCCTGCGGCGTTGTTCGTGTCTTGTGATACAGCAGCGGTCGCGTTGATGTCACTGATCCTGAGATAGCCAGCTTGAACAAGAAAGTCCCAAACTCTGCTTGTCTTGTTGACGTCGATCTTGACAAGATCACGTGCTTCGCGCCGTCGGAGTTTGCCACCACGACGAGCATATTCCCGGACGAGCGTCTCCTTGATGACAAGGTATGGCTTCGGGAGGATGCGAAGTTGCGAGCAAAGTGTTTGCTCAGCCGGTGTGAGGAGATGCAGAGAGGGACTATTTGCGAGATTGAGTGGTGCAGCTATGCGACAAGGGTGTCAAGAAAAACATCACGGAATGTTTCGAGAAAGTACGCTTACGAGCTTTGCGACCGGGTGGACCGGTACCGTTTCCAGCTCTCAACGCCCCTTCACCCTCGTAGGCCTTTCTGCCATCGGAGTCGGCAACACTGGCGTGACGGGAATCGGGGCCTTGAGATTGTCGTCGGTGCTGCAGCCGCTCCGATGAGAAAAAGTCTCGAGACATGTTCGCCTTGGCCTGGCTCTAGATATCCGGGACATGGTTAAGAGGATATACAGTGACTGAAGAGATATACGCACCCGTTTGTACGTGTCATCTTCCCACTTTTTGATGTCTGTAGCCGTCATAAGGCCCAGACGTCGATATTGTTGCAGCTCAGTTATTCGTTTTCGAAGCATAGCTTCGTCTGGTTGATAAGATCAGTATGATATTCAAAGATTAAGAAGACACGCGCACATAGAATATCAGCGCAGAAGACTTCATAATCTTCTGCTGTCTGAAGCTTCGCGAACGGTCGTAATCGATGGACAATGTCCTTTTCCTCTTTTGGCCTCTTTTTATCTGCGGCCTGGGTCTAGGAAATAATGTTCTGTACCATGCCACATGACGATGTATAACACGCTCACCTTCTTGTACTCCAACAATCCTCTATCGAACATGATGGCCTTCGCCTCGTGCCGCTTCTCAACCCTCTGGGAGTACATTTCGAGCAGCGTCAGCTTGAAGGCAAGTGATTCCTCTGTCTCAAGGGGAACGGGCGGCATGTTCTCCTCCGCCTCATCTTCGGCTGCCCCATCCGTACTCTGGTCTTCTGATCTTGTTGGTGGCTCCTTCTTGATCGTGCCATTCGACCCGTGGTGACCGTTGGTTTTGATGCCATTCAATGCCACGTTGAATGTGGACTTCGTCGGCACGAAAGACCCTTCCCGTTCTCGTCCCCGCTCCTTCTTCTCTTCTTCCCATCTGGCACGAACCTTGACGTCTGGATCATGTTCGTCTTCCATGATTGAATCACCTCCCCATTCTAGACAGATACCAAACTCGAGGTCCTTGACAAGATCCTCAGCATCGTTGTCGGTTTCGTGTTCGAACTCAAGGCGACCTGGGAGGAATGTGGCAATTTCGTGAATACTAGGCGCCGAGGTGGGAGCGACTCTATGTGGTGGTGGGGCAGTGGCCATGGAAGATATTCGTCGGCGTTTACGCTCTTGAAATTCGGAAGGATCGACATTGAATTCAATATCCATTCTCTAGGATATCAGTTCGGTTTGAGATAGAAGGCAAAGACAGAAAACAGAAGGCGGAGGCTTACAGGTAATGGCCAGTCACGAGAATTTATATAAACCACGTTGTAATGCTCTTCCACCTCCTCTTGAGTTCGCGTGCCAACGTGCTCGGCGATGGCCTTCCAGTTTCCAAGCCCTTTTAGCGAGATACCCTCGATGAGCAATAGCTCTCTTTGATACGCCATTTGTCAAGCTTGGGGCGGACTTCAAACGGCAATATCACTCACTCATCCGCGCCCCAATCCTCCGAAAATATTGGATATGAATGCAATTCCTTGATAATATTGAAACATCATCACGACCAAGGGGAATCAAGACGACTCACAACTACTCGATACGCATGCCCTCGCTTATGCTTCTTAAACTCTTTGCCACCACAAAAGCATGTTGGGCAGATGTCCACTCCGTCGCCAGGCTCGCATATGGGGTCTGCGCACTTGATTCGTATGGAATGGGTGAGATCGGTATAGCATCCATCGCACTCTATCTGGAAACCAGGTTCGTTCACAGCTGAAGGGGCAGATAATTGATTTACGTAAGTAACGAGGCGTGAGAAATTGCAGGGAATAGGAGGAGGAGGAGAACGTGTGGTAGACTTGTCTAACGCACCCGCGATCTCATCTGGTTGATGCTGCCGCTTCCTATGGGTTACTGTCATCTCGGAAAACTGGAAACCAGGAGAGCCAAATCGCCAGAGCTTAAGCCCGAAGATCAGTTGCTACCGGCTTCCAGTCGTCCAGATTCACCGATATCGCTGTCGGTGTAGATGTTGGTCCCTTTTAGAGTGGAGGGAGCACAGGTTATCTAGTTGGCCAAGGACGTGTGACTTGAAATTTGTTCACGGATACGCGGAGGGTTCAGTGCTTCGAGGATGGCGGCAGGACGATGTCGGCGACAGCGGTTTCAAAAGGTAGGTGGCGCAAGGTCTAGCCCAGAGTGATCACCGCCGTATAATGCGTCGTAGAAGAGATGAGCGATTGTCGCGAAGTCGAGAGGAATATCGCCCGACGCGCTCGACGTCGGCAGCGATGACGAGGAAAGTGTTTGGTCTTGTTTGTGTCTTCGTAATTTCCATGAATAGGCGACCGAAAGGGACGGTCCGAGTTCAACACTGCTCGACTCTTCTGCACTGTTTCTTCTCTCCTGTTGACATAGGAATAGTAGAGAAATACCCTTTGTTACACGTCGATTTTTTTACAGCTGCTGAGCGTTCTGGAACCATTTCTGCTTTGAACCGTGACGCGTGAGCCGATTGACGCTCTAGGACCTCCGCAGACCTCCGCCACCCTCCGACATCCTTACTTCCACCATGGCCTCCCAACTTCCCTGGAATTCTGCGCCCGGCCGTTCCATCGACATAGAGCTCGGTGGACAAGAAGTTATCAACATTGAACTTGATGCACTAGACTCGTCGGCGGACGATGTCATCGAAGTGCTCAAAGATGGACAGCCCAAGGTTGGCTACTGGACACGGTTGGCGGGAGAATACTTGCGACGAGAGCACCTAGATGCAGCAGAGAAAATTGCTGTAGCTGCCGTTGAAAGTGCGTACTCACCTTGCTGTTCATCGGAAACTGACTGATCGTGGCACCAGGCTTTCAATCCAGCGGCTCGATAGCCTCCCTCCCACCCGTGCATTCACTACTGGCAAACATTCAGCTGGCACGGGCACGAAAAGCCCCAAAACTTAAGCTTCCCAACGCTCGTAGGTCCTTGGTCATCTGTCAGTCATGATCTTCCCCTCAACCTTATGTCAGGCCAAGATGACATGACGCACGAGAGGTCGCAGGCGGAATATATGACAGAGGCAACATTGCACCTCAATAGCTGCGAGAAGGCTATTGCGGAGGAATCCAGCCAGCCATCTTTACTCTTGATGCTTACACGTGGTTCGTTAAGAACAGCTTGTGCATGTCAAATTTGATTTCACTAGTCCCTTGCAGCTATTCATCAACTCGCTAACCGCTCCATGGAGGAGTCATTGAGGACATTCGAAGGTATTTTGGAGGCATACCCCACGAATTTGATTGCGCTCATGGGGAAGGTACGCGATTTGTACTTCTCATAGGGACGTGGAGTTGAACCATGCCAGGCCAGGATTCTCTACGCACGACGCCAATTCTCCCAAGCACTCAAGCTGTTTCAACAAGTCCTAGCGTTGAACCCTCATTGCTTGCCAGACCCCCGTATCGGAATTGGACTCTGTTTCTGGGCTATGAATCACAAGGAAATGGCGAAGGCGGCATGGCAAAGAAGTGTTGAAGTCGTAAGTCGCAAGACCTTCATGCTGTCTTGAATGTTGATTTTATACTTGCTAGAATCCATCTGAAGGATCCGGTCAATTACTACTTGGATTGGAAGCCCTTAACTCGAGCAAGAACCCTGCTTTGGCTGATGAAGAACGAACACTGGAGATCAGAAATGGTTCCAAATTGATTGAGCGGGCGTTCAACGCGAATCAAAGAAATGCCGCCGCGGCGAATGCACTTTGTGATATATTCCTACGAAAAGGTCAACATAAAAGAGTGGGTTGCTACTTGGATTCTCTGGTTTCCCAGTAGCATACAATAATTGCTTTCATCAGGCTCTCAAGCTTGCAGAGCGCACGATCCAATTTGCCGACACTGTGACGGTACTCACAGATGGTTATATTCGCGCTGGCCGTGTCTGCCATGCAGAAGGCTCCATAGCTGATGCGACTAGGCATTACACAGCTGCAACAAATGGTCAGCCAAAAAATGTGATCGCTGCTGTGGGCTTGGCTCAAATGCAAATGCGCAACGGTCCGTATTACCCAGATCCTTATTTGCCTCTTTATTCATTCCTCCGGAAACAGATGAGACTGCTGCTGCAATCCACACCCTCGACACCTTGCTCCAGCCACCAAATCCACAACGATCGCTTGCCGCCACAGTCATGCTTGCTTCACTGCGTGCTCATCCAAGGCCAGGTGTCTCCAGCGCTGATGTCACTCAAGAAAAGTTGCGAGCACGCGAACTTTTCGATCGCGCATGCAAGTCGATTGAACAGCACGAGGACACCGCTGCCCGACTCAACGGTCAGGCGAGCAGTCTTACATCGCCCTCTCGGATTATCGTGGACGATGTGGAAATGCACGTGGAGATTGCACGTCTATGGCAGAGTGAATCGTTGGATCGCACTTCAAAATCGTTCCGCGAAGCCCTGCGGATCGGTGAGCTCAATGGACAGGCTGACCCACGAATATTGAACAACTTGGGCGCACTGGCACATTTCGAGGGTCAATTCGAACAGGCTCGTGTCATGTACGAAAGTGCGCTCACTTATGCTGGCAGTTTGAGCTCGGATGCTGCAGAGGCGATGTCGACGTCTGTTCTATATAATCTTGCGCGCGCCTATGAAGATCTTGGTAAGGATATTTTGGCGACCGAGGCGTATGAGAAACTTTTGTCTCGTCACCCAGAATATGTAGATGGTGAATCAATTTTCGTCTTCTCTCTTTCAACCGTTGTACCATTCCCTACTGACCAATGTTGTCATTACTAGCCAAGATCCGTCAGGCCCAAATGCTTTCTGATCTCAACCGGTTCGGAGAAGCCCATGAATTACTCAAGCACGCCCTCGCTTCCCAGACTAACAACCTTAATATCCGCGCCTTCTACACATATTTCCTCATCCAGGCAAACCTTCCGAAGCCGGCGAGAGATTTCGTGTTCGCGACCCTGAAGGATCATGACAAGCACGATGTCTATTCACTTTGCGCCGCCGGATGGATTCAGTACCATCAAGCTCGGGAGAACCGAGATTCAAAGGCTATCGAGGAACGCAAGCGTGGCTTCCAGCGGAGCGCCGAGTTCTACGAAAAGGCTCTCCAGCTCGATCCACTTTGCGCCGTCGCGGCACAAGGACTGGCGATCGTCACTGCCGAGGACGCGCTAGGCACCTTGAATGGTACCTTACCAGGTGTTCCAGATGACCCACAGAGACGACTCCTGAACGCCCGCGAGGCACTCGACGTCTTCGCGAAGGTGCGGGAGTCGACTAATGATGGGAGCGTCTACGTCAACATGGGACATTGTTATTACGGTCGGGATGAGTACGACCGCGCAATTGAATGCGTAAGTACAGCCTCACCAGCCTGTCGGTTTTATTTGGGTTGGCTGACTGAAGACTTGCATGCGACTTCTTTTTCCAGTATGAGACAGCATCAAGGCGGTACTACGACGGACACGATCCCTCCGTTCTTCTCTACTTGTGCCGATCGTGGTATGCGAAAGCTAATAAGGATCAGGCATTTGCCGCCATGAACACCGCTCTGTCATATGCTCAGAAGGTATCGTATTTATGTGCCTCACAACCTTCCTCCAAGCTGACTCGATTCAGGCACTACACATACAACCGAGTGACAAAGCCATTCTGTACAACATCGCGATGATCGAGCAGAAGGCTGCGGAGATGCTCTTTGCCCTTCCTAGCGCCAAGCGGACGCTCAAGGACATGCAAAGAGCCATCGAGCACGCAGGTCATGCGCAGAAGCTGTTTGCGTCACTGGCTGCAGATAGTTCAACTGTGTTGCCGTACAACCGGGAGATTGCCGATCAACGTCGTAAGTATGGGGACAGCATGTTACGGAGAGCGGAGGAACATCTGGCGACACAACGGCAGTACGAGTCCGAACAGCATGCAAAGCTAGAGGCAGCTCTCCAACGACGACTGGAGGAGAAGGAAAGGCTTGAGGCGGAAAAGGTTCGTTTTGCTCTAGCTACCAAAGAATGGTCATCATAACCACGTTGTTTGTAGCGCCAAAAGGAGGAGGAGGAGCGAAAGGCAGCTGAGGAGCTAGCTCGTCAGCGCCGCATTGCTATCTCACAGGCGCAAGAGTGGACACGAGAGGTGAAGATGGAGAGTGACGATGAACGTGAGCGTAAGGCGGCAAAGAAGGCGAACAAAAAAGTCAAGTCAGAAGCGACAAGTGGAGACGAGGGCGTAGAGCCCAAGCGGAAGCGGGTGAGAAAGGGCAGGAAGAACAATGGAGCGACAGAAGGTTCAGACGCAGACGAGGACGCGCTCTTCACAGGAGATGAGGCTGACAAGCCAACGAAGAAGGTAGGTCATCCCGTCGATATCAGACAAGACTATGCTCAACACGACATCCCTAGCGACCGAAGAAACGCGTCATTCGAGACGATGACGAGGAGGAGAAGATCAACGCAGCACCTCGTAAAAAACAATAGTAAGTGTCTACATGACATGCATCAACTCCCATATCAACGTGATAATTTCATTTTTACAGCAAGAGTAAAGAGATGATATCAGACTCGGACGAAGACATGTCGTGACCAGATTTCTACACTCCCGCCTACATATTCTGCCCTTTTAGATCTGTATCATTAGTGTTTCTCTATCCATGTGCTTTGCCGGACTGTTTCATCATATGATTAGCTGTACCTCGGATGCCGACGAGATAGCATGAGAGAATGATGCATCCTTTACAATGTACTCCAGGTTTTTGCGTGCCCTCGCTCACCGGCATTTTTCGCCAGATTCGGACCGCCTCCGCCGGCAACGGCACCTGCTGCGAGTCATCGAAAAAAAACATGAGTACCAGCCTTCACGTGCCTTGATGAATACCAGGTAGGGTCTCCTCTAACAAAGTACGTCAGACAGGGGCCAAGCTACATTTTTACAGGCTGACGATGAGTAGAAGTTCCAATTTCCCCACTTCCCGAGGTAGCGAAAAAAAAGCAACAGTGGTGATTGTACAGTTCAACCCCCATGCCTCCTCGCTCTCGTGCAAAGTGCCAGATCTGCGACAATATCGAATCGAAGTACAGCTGCGCAAAGTGCTTGATTTTGTAGTACGAGCGATCCCCTTTTTGCAACACAGATTAGACTGATACTTCTACTGTCAGTTGTTCAGTGCCATGCTACAAGAAACATAAAGGTGCGTGCATAAACGGCTAAGGGGCGGTAAGGGTGCTGAATTCGCTGCAGAGTCGTCCTGCAGCGGAGCAGCAGGGTCCCTTTTGTCGTCACACACCCAAAATAGCATACCGACTGCGCTGAACGATGCGCCTGCAAAACCTATGGATACGAATGGTACGCGCATCGTTATAGAGAGCCTATTTTTAACGCGTCTGATAATAGAACAGCAGCGACGTCTCTAGAGGAACCATTCCTGCAGGATGGTCCCCAACTCCGCCCGTTAGCGTCTCTGAATTGGCCGTATGTCCCAGATGAATCAGCCTATCCGGACCCACTGAAGCGAGACGATCCAAAACCACTGCAGCTTCACCAGTATGAAGCAATAGGTACAGTATTTTCTCCGGCTTATCTCGATTTCCCGGCGCAGCAGGCACCAAGGGGCTCTTATTTCCCCGCATTCTATTGATTGCTACCCCACAGCGACTTCGCCTGACATCCGCAAAACGATGGCCATGTACCCGCGATTGAAGGAGCTCCTGCGGTCTATTAATTCCTTGCACGGACATCAGAGAGAGCACGCATTGCAGCGAGCTCTTGGCGTGTCGGATGCCGATGCGCTCAGCAGATCAGGGACGGCATCAGATGAGAGATATGCGGATGAGGATCGGAAGGCCCTGAGAGCGTTAGCTGAGGCCGTTGAGGCTGCTGTGCGTGGTGGTCAAAAGCAAGTCTTGGGTTTGGACTGGGGAGATTGAAGCAGGCAAATATATTGATCGCCGAGATATGCGTTCCCGACGGAACATCGCTTCATGTCTTGTGATGTCTCCGGGAAAGACAAGAGCACACGTTCCCACATGGAAGTCAGCGTGCGGAAATTTTCCCATCGCAAAATTGACAGGCATAAGTAGGACCTGAATGTAAGACCAAAACGAGCGTCTCTGCGACGAAGGTGAAAGACCAGCTTTTGCTGCTGGTTTCTGAAGATATGCGTATGATGCGTTTTGAGCACCCGAAGTTGGATGACAAGGAGATTGTTTCATGGAGGAGGAGATAGATGTGTGATTGAGGTGGGCAGCAAGGGCAAATCAGAAAGAGGTCAAGATTGGCTTGGCTATTCTTGTCTTTGATTTACAATAAGGCTTGCAGGCGCTAATAAGCCACAGCCTGACGACTTGTGCCGTCCTCGGGCATTTCGTTCACTGCCTCCTCCTTTCTCCACGACCATCATGCTGCCACACATACTCCTCGCTCTCTTGTTTCTCGCTAGCTCTTCGTCGGCTGCGCCTTCGACGAGTGGTGCCATCCACATCCCTATTACTAGACGCTCACATAATCCTGCGAAACGATCTGCCGAAGACAACATCGACCGTTTATCCCGCGCAGCAGACTTCATTCGTAATAGATATGGCTACTCGAGTCCGAGTACGACTGTTCAACGCCGACAAAGTAGTGCGGCGATCCCAATCACCAACCAGGTAAACCCATTTTTGTCGTTTAAGCCCCAAATCTGGACTGACGTCGCGCCAAGGGTTCTGACACCAGCTACTTCGGCGTAGTCAACATTGGTACACCGTGCGTAGGACTATTCTTCAATGCACACAGTCTCGTTGAATTTCGTTTCTATGATGCAGATCACAAAGCTTCGATGTCGTCCTCGACACTGGCTCGTCAGACCTTTGGGTAGCAGCAAACAATTGTCAATCATGCCCTTCAGGCACGCCTGAATTCGACCCGTCGAAGTCAACCTCGTTGCAGTCGTCAACCACGAACTTAGAGCTTCATTACGGCTCCGGTGCAGTGGCAGGAACTTTGGCAGCAGATACTGTCTCAATGGGTCCGTACACAATCCAACAACAGACTTTTGGTGTGTTAATCGTCTACTACTCTTTCTTGCAAGGATTAATTTGTGCTCGTAGTGGTTGTGGATCAGATTACTAGTGGTCTTATCGATGGCTCCCTGGCTGGCATTATGGGCCTCGCGTTCGAGTCGATCTCCAACACCCAGGCCACTCCATTTTGGCAAGCTCTGCTTAACAACAATCAATTCCAGAGCCCAGAGATGTCGTTCTGGATCACCCGATTCCTCAACGACGCCAGTGCGACTGACGAGGAGCCTGGAGGCGTTCTCACTCTTGGTGGCACCAACTCAACTCTCTTCACAGGCGATATCGATTTCCAGAACTTCCCCAGTGGAACTCAAGCTTCATTCTGGTTGCAAACTGTTACAGGTATGTCCTATTTTGGCTTTGGCTTTTTGATATCATTCAGGCAGTGACAAGGGCATCGACTTAATGCTGAATTCATCATACTTGTGCAGCTGTCACTGTGAACGGCAAATCTGTGACCATCCCTACTGGTAACTCGGCTCTTGCTGCCATCGACACGGGGACAACCCTCATCGGTGGACCCAGCGCGGCTGTCGCAAGTATCTGGGCCGCGGTCCCTGGTTCTAGGGCGCTCACCGGTCAAATGGCAGGGTTCTTCGGATTCCGTCAGTTTTGATTCTACGTCTCAATCATCAGGAGCTCTGATATATCTTCTATCGTGAAATCAGCTTGCACTACTAATGTAGAAATTTCTATGTCTTTCGGAGGAAAGTCGTGGCCAATCAGCATCAACGATATGAACCTTGGCACGGTTGGTAGCGGCCTGTGCGCTGGTGGCATCTTCGACATCTCACAAGGAACCGACATCACCACTGGGAGCGGAACCCCCAACTGGATCGTTGGTGACACCTTCCTGGTATGCTTGCTACGCACTCGACAAAGTAAAGAAGTGAGACTAATCTCAATATAGAAAAACGTCTACTCCGTTTTCCGCGCGAACCCACCCTCAGTTGGATTCGCAGAGCTCTCAAATGCCGCCGGAGGCTCATCAGGTGCGTGCTTTCACACCTTTGTTGTCTCGTCATTGTTCGTCGCCGTTAGATGGCCTTTCCTTTCCATGGCTCGGGACTTTTTGTCTCTTGAACAGCCTTTAACACAACCTTCTCCTCTCTCGGAGCAGCTTCTCCTACATCCTCCACAGTCACTGCGTCGCGATCATTCACAGGAACGGCGGTAACCTCATCCATTACAGGCACTCCCGGTTCTGCCACTGGCTCAGCTACAATCACTGGTACATCAAACCCCTTGCCTTCGGTCAGCAGTTGTGCGTTTCATTCCTCTTTGCTCGTCACACACATGTCTAATCCACTCACGCTCATATGTCCATAGCTGCGGCATCAGCTGCACATGCTGGCTCCGGAACCGCTATCATGGCCATCGGTCTCTCGCTACTCGTCAGTCTCTTCACAGGCCGTTTCCTCCTAGGCTCTTCATAGGGGCAGCAGTGACTCGGTGGCAAAGGGTTAGATTACGGGATTTACCTTTTCTCGATGTTGCATGAACGGATTGCTTATCCCACAAATGCAGCATCTGTTTCAATTGTTAATTGACATACATGCAGCGTTTGTTGTATTATTTCTGCGTGGATTTACTTGCTGACGATCACTTTACACATGTACCGAAGGACTGACGGACGTACTATGGTCTGCATATGTTCTTGAACATTGTCAGCATACCTGCAGATTCCCTTGTCTTCGTATTGTAATTATTGCATCACACTCTTTGTCTTGTGCTTGATTTTTCTCGAATTCCTCCAATGGCTTCCGTCTTTTGTGCAACACATCCAACGAGTCTTGTAATCCCCGTTGACTTGATGCCCGGTCTGCATATCAGTCGACCTCATCAAATCAGGTTTTATAACTTTTATCCAGTTCAGACCTCCCAACACGAGCGTTTTAGTGCTTAGATTCTGCTTCAGCCGCCCAGCCGCGGCTGCGCAGCGGAAACAAAGCTCACAGGTTCATTGTTCCGATCTTCTGGCAGAACTGCGCGGTTGTGGGGGATGTAATTATGGGGTAGAGATTGGCGCGATGCTTCCGCTCCGGGTCGAGGTGGGCAAGGTGCGACTTATCGGCTTTTGAAATCGTCTGCTTTATTAGAGTTGAGATCGCCACGACGCATGATTGCAGAACCCCCGAAAATAGAGGGGTAGGCCACCCCCCCTATCCGGACAAAAATTGGGAAAAAAAGGTCGAAAAACTTCAGCCAGGCCTGACCACGGAAGGAGGCCTGAGTCGCAGTCCGGACATTGGGAGCCATTGTTGCGTCAAACCTCAGGCTGAGTCCGAACGCTTCCATGGTTTAGAGGCCAGATCCAAGCTGTTCAGGCAGAAAATTGTTTTTTTGAGCAATCCGACCGATTTTGGGCATCGGGTGCCGGGATGCCTGATGCTGCCGTCCGGCCAAATCTTGCCCATTTGGCCCAAAAACAGAGGCAGATCTGAGCTTTTAGCGCAAAATTTCGCCCTTTTTGTCCAGACTTTTTTGGGGATTTGGTAAAATGCTGACTGAGGCCTGCTCCCCCTATTTTTGGGAGTCCTATGATCGCGCATTAGAGGCCGTGGGTGTCCCCGAATCTACAGTCTGCTTTTCAAGCAGAGATCTACACGTCTGCATGTGTTCCGACCCGCACATCTCGGTATTATTGACCATTTGGGCGGTCGTCCTGCAGGAAGATTACTCATGAAGACTGCAAGGCTCCATGGTGGACATTCCTTACGTCTCAAATTTGTCTCGGCCACAGCGGATACAGTATGACATTCTCAATTTTTCGGATCAATAATATGCATCTCGAGCCGAGGTGGAGCGCCAGAAGGCCAACAAGAAATCGTGGCCAAGTTTGAACTTTGAGTACTGGTTTCAAGCTCTGCCAAAACCATGGGACGAAACCCGAAACATCTATCAGTTGAGCACGAACGCAAATGGGTGTGTTAGGGTAATACCTGATGTCGATAATATGCCCAGATTCAAACATGACTACGTCCTGGGAAGAACCGTGTTATGCAGATGGGGACCCGACTCGGTGGTTTGTAATACCCAACAAAATTACCTCCAAGGAAGGATCTGAGTGTGGTAAACGGTAGGGCAGGACAATGACGATGCTATTTTGGAGAAGGAGCGAGTGGCTTCAAAGGTCTGCTGCTAGATCTCGGCGGCTCGAGAAGGGGTGTTAGCACGGGGCCTGAAGGCGATGACTGCGATACACGCGCTCGGGAATCGGGCAGCAAGTCTGGCGAAGTCAGAGGAAATCGCGTAAGCGCCAGTGCCGAAAGTCGCCAGCCTGGCGACTGACTCGATAGACGCGTCTGCAGAACGCGTGCGTGGCCTTTTTGCTTCGTCCAAGATCCGTTAGGTCTCACGTACGAAACGCTCTCGCGCTCGGTGCTTTCTCTGCCCAAATCGGAAGCGTGAGCGACCGTGAGCTGAAAGAACAGCGAGTCGAGTCACAGGCGTGTACTTCTATTGAACAATGATGGTCGCCACTGTTTACCAGTACCGCGTGGCTGACTTCAGGGATTTCATCCTGCTGTACTAGGTTATCAGTCCGTGGGAATGATTCTCGTCAGGGAGCAATCCGGATCCACATGCATGTCAATCTCCACGGACCTACCGGGCACCATTCAGTAGACCTGCAGTGAGCCTGCATGTCACATACTTGGTATAATTGCAGTCTAACATAGGCGTCAACTTGCAGGGCTGAACATGCACGGCGTTACCACCCTCGCAGACTGAACACCCGGTGAGGCGCTAGTTCTTGAGGCAAGCATCGCAATCCTATACTGAGCAACACATCGAATTGCTATATGACGTCCCTGATGAGCATCCGTCAAAGAAAACATTGTCCCGAAGCACTACAGAAGCGCGGCTTGCCGCCCGGTACGTCGAAGGTACGATCAAGGAACGGGTGGTGCGGGCAGGAATGGAAGTTGAGGAGAGTCTCGAGAAACATTCGGGCTCGCAGAAAGCCTGTCGGCTGCGAGAGGCTCAGGGATTTTCGAAAACAACGCCGTATCAGCATCAACGTGTGCTAAGAATAGAGCACGTGAGAACGTCATCCACTGGGCGGTGATCTTCCTAAACGCTGTGTCATTGCCTGTCACTCTGGATGAAAAAACAATGTGGGGTTGTCCGATCTCTACTCGGCGCATCAAGCACTGGCAAGTCGACCTGACACTCACCGGAGGATCCCGATCCACATTCAAGACGCCAGGGTGAGGATATGAAGAGGGTGATCGCATCGAGGGTGTCTATGAACGGCAAAGAATATGGGTCCCAAAGTACATATGTTTCATGGTTGATGCAATGAACGGGCATGCCCGCGCGAAGAGAACATGTGGGCCAGACAACGGACGAGCGGCGATGCGAGGCCGCGAGGTATGATGAAGAAGCAGGCTGCCTATATTTTAGTGTCCGGAGAGTTGTGATTGCGGTGGACGAGAGGGCATGAGAAACTTTACCCGTCTTTTGGGAGGGGGACGTTTTGAGTTTGGGGCCATTCAAACACCTAGCCACCGCGGTGAAGGGATGTTCACAGTTCGCAGAAGCAACAACCTGTTGGAAAATTTGTTGACCCGTTAAGAAAGTAATCGGCTGAGCGGCGGGGACACCGTCATGGGGTAGTGTCGGTAGTGCTAGGGCCCGCAGGATCTTCCTCTTGGTGTTGAAATGGCCAGCAGAAACGCGTTGGGAACCTATCAAGAGGGCAGCGCGATGAAGTCATTTAGTGTCATTCGCATACCGTAGCGAGCGACTATCTCCTCCTCAATGTTGAAATATCCTTGTTTGACACGCGTGGCACGATCTTCCTGACCGCTAGTAGGTGTCATTGTTCCATCGGTAGCAAGGTCTGATTTGTCAAAGAGGAGGTATGTCAGATTCTCCAGAACCCGAGAGTAGCAGCCTGCTAGCCGTTGGGGGACATGAGCGGATCGTTGGTGCGGGGGTGACTTCAAAGACCAGGTTCACGACGGACTGCGAATTTCAGCCAAGCGTTCCTGTAGGGTATGCTTCGACTAGAGCAGAAATAAGAGAGAGAACGTCGACGCACCTGTGCTGAGTATGAGTAGCGAGTCGCCTACTGTACATGCCACGCATATCGTGGCAACAAGCTGCATAAGCAGCGCTCGGACCTCGAGTTCGTCAGCCAAGCGATTATTATCCTTACACGATTTGCAGAACTACACAACGCGAGGCTTGGAGCAGGTCCTTCTTCTATATATACAATGTCCCATTTTGTCCAAAACTGCCGGAGCGGCTCTGATTCTGTGAAGACAAAAAGAAGACCAGACCAGACCGGATCGAATCGGTAGGTTCCCTTCTTACTTCATTGAGGGGGCATCTCCCGCGGAAAATAGAGTACCCCTTATCCTCCGGAGGGTCACAGCATGATTGCTGGATATGCGGCAGCCAGGCGCGCTGGTCGAGGACCGGAGAGATCAGATGGATCGTTCATGCGGACATGTTGCGTCTTCCACCTCACGTAAAATACGAGAGCGGGGTGTAGGGAACGCGGCGCACCTTCTGCTCGTTTGGAAGGCAATTTTGCATCCGTGCAGGCCAGATCGCAGTCGGTTGTTATCGTGCATGATGGCACAAGCGTGCTACCCACGGAACAAGAAGATGAGCCAATGTACGGCCCGGAGTTAAATGCAATACGCACGTACGAGTCCCTTACTGCTTTATGCCTTGACATTACGGGAGCGGCATCGAGCTGTCCATCGATAGCGCCGTATGGCACCGCTCTGTCCATGCTGAGACTAAGTTCGAGCTGCTAAGATAGAGCGAATGACATCACAGGCTGATGCGCACGCTCGCACTTGGGATATAGAAGTAGCCATCCGACGGACGCAGCCTAAAGGCATCCTAGCAAGACCATCATCGACTGCAACAAGTATGTCTAGGCATGCAGTGCATGGACAGCAGCGGGGCCACCTCCATCGAGGTGACGTTTTTGTCCAACTGCAGTGCACCTCAGCAGCGATCCGTTGGGGCAAATCTTTGCTGTGGGTTCCAGCACAGGCGACACTGATCCGAACGGCCGGCGGGAAACTCCGAGCTTCCAAGACCTAACCTGACTGCAATAGAAACGACGCGAAACGAGGATCAGATCCACTCACCTGGCCATGGGCAAGTGTGCGAGGACCCTGGATCGAGTGTGTTGTTCTCGATGGCCGCGCGGCGGCAGCGGGTTGGTTGTGACTGCGGGAGATGAAGCATGGCACGGTGAACCGAAGGAGAGGTTACGAGATACGATGGTGACTGGAGTCGCATGCTTCATCGCGGAGTAGAAGGGAGTAGACAAACTCCCAAGAATTGGTAGGTGAAGCCAAGTATTCCCCCGAAACGAAGCTGTCGAGGATCTGAGCCGATGCGCTTGCTGCTCGTCGAACGCGGAACCGTGCGGGCCCTGTGTGGGTCCATAAGAGAAGTAACAGCCATAAATTGCTTCTGGCCCAGGAATATAGCAGTGGAGGTTTTGAGTTTGCTACCACGAGGGAAGTGCGGTCATAGATTGCCGCACGAGTAAAAGGACTCGTCGCTTGAAAGGGATCAGGCAGGTCAAAGGTGGTTGTACGGCGAAGTTCTTCTTTTCACGTACACTCGTCGTCATCGTAGGATCAACAATGCGCGGTGTACCCACGAAAAAGGCACCCGCAATAAACGCGAGGACCAGCGAGGACCCAAGAGAATAAACCGAGCGTCGAAAGCCCCGAATCCAAGTACACCTCTCCGAGTCAGTGGAATATTGCTATAACGACTCGGGAAGGGTACATATGTTCGCAGCCGAGAATAATGCCGCAAGGAGATGTCCACCATTCGGAATACAAGGCTGCTCGAGATCGACGCGAGATGGGTGCGCTGCTCGAGGAAGCACTGGGAAGACCCGATAATCGGCGCTGTCGAGCACTAAGATGCGCGTAGGTGGGGACGCACTCTCGAGGAGTGTCCCATCTGGATTTGGGATGGGCTGGCAGGTTCCCGAGGGTCGATCCGAAGGTGCGGGGGGGAGGATGGCGGTCGGTGATCACATGGCGACGGAGGACCAATTTCGAGAGGCAGAACCGTTCTTGGGAGACCGCGGCGGGCCGGAGCGGCGGCAGACGCACGCGAGCTCGCGGGAGTCAAGCCGGGGCAGCGTGCCAAGCAGGAGCCCGCCACAGACGCGGCGTGAGTTGGCCAGCGTGGGACTGCAGCGGTTCGCAGACGCGTTGGTCGACGTCGTCCCCATGCATCGCGGGCGGGGGTGGTCCCGAACGTCTGTCGACGCGACGAGACGGAGCGAGGGCCCACAGCCCCCGGCTACGGGTCGACGCTACACATACAGTGTCCGAGTGCGACGCGACGGCGGTGGGGGGGGTGGAACAAGTCGGAACGCGCACCGAGGGGCTGGCTGGGCGGTGGTAATGCAGGTGTGTCAGGGCTGGACCGCCAACGCGATCTGGCTTCAGCTGGGGATGGGCCGTGATTTTTGCCCTGATGCACACTAGACGCGCACGGATGGGTCGCATCAGATAGATCTATTACCACAGAGCCTGCTTACATAGTCCGCCTCTTCACGGTCCAATGTCAGTTCCTCCCTTGTCCTCGTCTGCTATTTATCGTCCCTCATGTCTCTCTGACTTCCTCACCTCCTCGCCCCGGTCCCGCATCCGGCTTTCTTGCATTTTCCTTCGACTGGGGGGCCTTTCTCTTCATTCATTCGCAAGCCCCTCGTCTCTCTCTTTACCTCTTCCCTATACGTTTATTTTTAACTACCCCGTTTTCTAATGGCCGAAAAATCCACTCCGGGACCGAGTCGCAGCACAGGCCCGACGCTGCAGAGGGGAAAGGCGTGCCTCCGGTGCAGGTATGTGGTCATACTCCCCCAGCTCCATCTTCACCTGATCCTCACACACCCTCCATATAGAAAGCGGAAGATGGTCACGGTCTTCTCTCCCCTTCAGTCTCCCCTCGTCGCTCATATTTTTCTCCCACAGCGGTGTGACGGCACCAAACCAGCATGTCAACAGTGCCAGCGTGCCAAAAAGGGCGATCTCTGCGAGTATGACGATGGCAAGGGCAAGACCAGGACGCAGGTCCTTCGCGAAAACATCGCTAAACTGGAGGCGCGGATCCGCGAGCTCGAGGATCCCGACCGGAATGATTCCTCGATCACTCTGTTCGACCCTCACGCATTGCTCTTCTCCGAAGAATCTTCGTCCTCGAGTGCCGGCTCTCCATCGAGCCTTCCGTTCTCGACATCACACTCGCCATATCCATTCGGTGCGTCGGTCGCTGACTCACCCCTACCTCTTGCTCACAGCAGCCCCCCCGCGCAGAGGCATCCCCCACACCACCACTTCCGACCCCATCCATTCCATGGGATCAAGTCACCGTACGTCCTTTACTTTCTCACCGCCGCCGTTCCGAAGCTGAAGGTGGGCCACCGACAGTCGGGTTCACCCATTCCCTTCGGCCGAGGAGGTCTCGCAGAGCCGGTACCAATCGAGTTAGCGCAAACCTTGTACGTGTCTCTACGTTGGAGGCTGTCCACGACGTGGCCTCATCTCCCTTCCACAGCCTGGATATTTTCTTACCTCACAGACATCAAGTCGGCTTGGAGCTGCACACTGAACGCCTCAGAACTTCTCTCCTCCTACCCCCCGAGGAGCAGCGCCATCCCGTCCTAATGAACGCCATCTACCTTTGGGCATGCTACCTTTCACGACCACAATCACTTGGTCAACACGAACCCCTGTACCTCGCACGATCTCTTGACTTCCTCAACGAAGCACTCCAGAACTCGAACAAAGTCATCGACATCATCCAAGGCTGCTGTTTGCTTTCCCTCTACCTGCTTACAAATGGCCGGCTCCTCGAAGGGAGTTATCACGCAAGCATCGCCGCATCCCTCGCGATGCAGTGGGGTCTCCACCGGCAAGTATCTGAGGAGCCCGATACGGGAGTCTGTCTCGATTCTAGCTTCAAATTGCCGCCGCCGGGTGATGCCATTGAGCGGGGCGAGCGAATCCTAGCATTTTGGCAGGTGTTCGTCTTGGACCGTTGTTGGTCTGTCGTCCTCCAACGACCGTCGACGATTCAAGATGGCAGGGACATGCTGACATCCATCACGTTGCCCTGGCCACAGGATATGCAGGATTATGAAGCGGTACGTATGCACCGCGCGCGCCATTGACGCCGCTTCGTCTCGTCTCGTCTGACTGTTGTTATTTCACTTAGGGCAATTTCAGCAATCTTCTCGACTTCGCGACGGTGCAGGCGTTCTTGATGCATCATAGTCAAGTCCCTACTTTTGACGGTGGCTTTTCTGATTTTGCACTCCGTGCGAAGGCGTCCGCACTATTCGAAGAGGCTGTCAAGCTGTCCTGCACTTGGAGTTCACGTGTGTTTCATTCCTGCTGACTGATCTCCGGTGAATTGGTCGCTGATGATGACCATCCAGATCTTGCGTTGACCGAGTCCGTCGACGACGAGAGTCAGGCACTTGAGAACACCATCCAGCGCTTCACTGCCAGTCTCCTGCCCCTCCATCAGCTCAACGGTACCCTTGCCGAGAGTAAGCACTCGTTGATTGTCGTCCACACCCTCGCACAGGCGGCGCTTGTTCGTTTGCATTACCGATTCAGCGAGAACAACCACCTCCGCCACGAGAAGTGTCTTCAAGCAGCACGTGCTTGTCTGCTGATTATCCGACACATCGGTGACGCGGACTACGACTACCTCGACCCGATCATCGGCGTAAGTGCTACCTATATCTATTATTTTCTTGTCTTGAACTACCGAACTTACGTTTGCTCATCAGTCATGCTGGGGGTCGGCGGCTAATGTTTTGGTTCGCGAAATCGCTAGAATAGAAGCGTGGTCAGCAGTGAGCACTGCAGAGCTGCATGCGCATGTTGGGACTTTCGTTAGCGCAATGTCGAAACTCAGTTTGAGGTTCCCGTTGCTAGGTGATTTCCTCCGTCGCATCTGTATCATTAAGACAGAATCTTGACGCAAGGAATCCTTTTTCCGCTCTTTTTTTATCCCCATTTTTTTTTTTTGAAAATGCAGGCTTCCAGGCGTCGAAGATCCAAAGAGAGTTTGGTACGATCTGACTCCGTCGTCGGATGACACGGATCAGATATGGGATCACGAAAAATTGCAAAAGAAAAGAGAAGAACCACGACGATTTGAACGTTTTGGAACGGACTCGCAACCGGACTCTCGGACTCTCATTCCAACCACTATGGACTACAAAGACAGTCTCGCATGCATCATCACGCTCTTTTACGATTCTCCTTCACGATGGACACCGCCTTTTTGGACTTTTATCTACCGTTACGCGTTATGTGGACTTGCACCCACGTTCTCGGACACTTCGTTCGCATCATTCAGGACACTTCGCACTTCACATGGACACATTATTCATTCCTTTCTACCTGGACACTTTCTCCTTGAACGCTCTCGTACTGACTTTCGTACTAATGACTTTATCCTCTGCTTCACACGTACTCTTATTGCTACCGTACACACTTGCATACTAACTTCCCCTTCACCGTTATCATACCCCTGCCATCACTGATCGGACAGAACCATCCACCCCACTCCCATCTCCATCCACTTCATTATTCCTGCCTCGTGCGCCGCCCGGGCGCGCTTGGACATTGACCTCGCATTTGCTGTCGCTGCCTTCGCTTCCTTGCTATATCTTTATTGGATTGTAGGATGACCTTCGGACCTCTGTACTTCTACTTATTTCGGACGTCGTTCTACCACACACGCACTACATAATTCACACATTGCATTCCAAACGTTTGGCCAGATCTGCATTTATGTGGGTGCCCTCGAAGGCACGGTACCTCCTGGAGCGCATGGCATTGACAGGCCCGTCGGACCAGGATCTGAACGCTTTGAGCATGTGCCAACATGTGCCACTGTCATATTCGTTCATTTCTTGCTGCTTCCGCTCTCCCCTTGTCATCGAGTGCCTGCGCTTGTCGTCTTATAGGTTTTTAGCGTTGCGTCGCGCGCCCTGAATGTTTCGATGCCATGTTCGTTCATTTGTGCTACGTCTGACAGGCGGCTCAGGGGATGGGTAAGCCCTGGGTAAGCGCGAATAGCAGCTGGTGCCGAGATGGTGCCGAGGCGCCCTTTTGCGTGCCAGAGCGTGCCAGCTCGCCGTTCTTGCCCTGTGCCCACTGTTGGGCACACCGGGCCACTACCGGGCCTTATTTCTCATGGCCGACTTGTCCCGACAGTGTCCCGACTCGGTGGGGCTGGCGTCCAACGAGGTCTCGACCAGGTGGATCAGTCACAGCATGCCAGCCGCTGCCAGCCGCGGCGAATGCATTTTCGATGTATTTACACCCAGATTCCACATGGATCACCGATCGAGTTGATCCTAGCGTGTCCCAGTCAGAGTGGTCGGTCCAAACAAACGCTGGAGTTACTCTGGGTTACTTCACCATCTCCTGAGCTCGCTGTCATTTCTATCCACTAAGACTGCGCCGCCGCGAGCAAGGTCGTCAGTCAAAACACTGAACTGGCCGCTGTTGACTGCTGTCGATGCTCGTTTCTGTGATGGCCTTGCCGGTCTCTCCAGCGCGACAACGGAGACATATGGACCACGTCATGTCGCACCAGCTCCATGGTTGTCGCCGGAGAAATTACCTCCGTGCTCCGTTTCCGACTGAATTTCAGCTGCTGTGTAATGTTTGCCGTGATATCATGTCATATTCGGGTCCTCGAAGAAATATTAACTTTTTAGCCGTGAGTGTGTTCGAGGCCTTACTTGGAGCTTGGAAGAGCAGTACTTACACTTTCAAGCATCATCTTCGAAGGCTCGCTGGACACTTTCACAGACATGATGGGATGAGCTTAGCACCTCTCTCAAGTCTTCATGCTATATTCACATATGGACACGCCGGGATTTTGCAGGACACTAGAGTCTGTCCTTCGCCGGCGTTGTTTTTGGCATAAATCATTCATGTCTTTGTGAGCCTTTTCATTTTGTCCACATTACCATCTATTACTATACGAGATTGACTTCAAGCTTCCAAGCTTGAATTCGTCATATCGAGTGCGCTCACTCGGATCACCCACTTATCCTCAGCAGGAAGGCCGAGCTATTTTTTTTGCTGGTCGTCCATTCGATCAACGGTCCGTCTTGCATATCATGTTCGCCCCAGGATATGCCGGTGCAGCGGGAAAGCTGTGGGGGGTTCAGGCCGGTTTCAGGTATGGACAGACATTGTTGTGGACTGCTGTATGTCTCGATACCCCAATTTCTACACTGTTTTCTTACGTGTCTCGTCGACATTGAAGGCGCGTAGTTAAAACAGTTTTCACCGTCACACAAGGCTACGCGACGACAAGCGGTTGCGTCTTGAAGGTTGAAATAAGGCGCAGCCACGACAATGAAGTTCAAATGGATCGTATGGACTATCTTCGGCGCTTGATCTCACCGGGGAAGCTTAGATCTCCAAGAAGGCCGGTGCGACTCTGTGCGACTTGAAACCTCTAGGAAGCCCGGCGACGTCTGTTATCGCCCTCGTCGATGTGGATCTCTACCTCATGGAAGCTGTCCCGGACTTCCGCAAGAAAGGCTCCTTGATGATGCTTCGTCCGAGACTACGCATTCACTGCATGTGACTTGGTGGGAAAGGTTGGCTATTGACGAAGCTAGCGGGTGTTTCGAGTCTTTCTAAGTCTTTCTTGTACTTAGCGTCAAGGAGGCGATGAAATGGCCATGGATATAGGCTGGCATAGGCGGGGCTATTCTTGCATCGGTAGGCTCAGGTAGGCTCTCGAGATTATATAACCCCCCAATCTGTCTAATGCAATCCCACGTTTTGTCACTTTTGCCACAGTCGAGTCTGCCCTACCTCCAAGCTATTTTTTGTTTAGAAGCGCGTTCCTTGGCATTTTTCTATCTCCTCCATAGGTACTCACCTTTCGTTTTTGCTCTCAATCTAGTAGCATCCAACCCCAATCTCACCACCTCCTTCGTCTCAAGTATAGCAATCGCTGCTCAGGCAGTCAGTCGCCCGTTTCTCCCACTACCACTGTCACTCTCATCACTCCCATCTTCACGTCTAACAAGCTCGACCTGACCAGAGCGACCAGGACATCGCCACCCCTCAACCCCGTCTCTCCGACCCTTACCCCGGGGCTTTCACCGACTTCTATGGCCTGCCCAGCAACCCTCGCTGCGTCTTCAAAACCGGAAAAGCCTGGTTTGTTCGCACGGGCCCCGAAGCCCAGCGCATTCTGCGAGAAGCTCGCCCCGTCTGCGACCAGGCAATGCAAGACCGCTGGCTCGAGATTGGCCAGCTCATCTACAAGCACCTCGACTCCCGCGACGTGGAATGGTCGTCGATTGACCCCGTCCGTTTTGCCGAGGCAGGGAAAGAGGAAGTCAGCGTGCTCCATCTCTGGATAGGAGTGATCCCCAGGACTCTCGCCTTCGGGGCAGCCAAGGAGGTAGCTAAGGGCTGCGAGGATATTCTGATTCGAGAGGGGTTTCCCGACGTCGAGGTTGCATTCCGCGATTCTGTTGTCACCCAGTCTGTCGGCCCAAAGCTTCTCTCCTTCATCCCCTTCTCCTTCGTCCCCGAGCTTCGTAGCCCCTTCACTCCCACGCTTGGCATCCAGGTTCCTCCGTTCAAAACACCTTACTTCGAGGACACGGGTGCCGTCTACCTCCGAGAGGGCAGTCAGAGCGACCGCGTCTTCCTTCTCACCACCAACCACGTCGCCCGCCCGCCTCCCGTACACCGTAACCACCCCCTATCTCATGAGGAGATTGTCGTTCTTGGTACCAATGCCTACACCAATGCCATCAATCGTATGATGAACACTATCGAAGACAAGTTTGTCTCCATCAAGTTATGGAACAAGGCGATTGAGAGGTTGGATCCGCTCGTCGAGGGCGAAGCGCCCGACAGGACTGACATGCGCAAGCACTATGAGGACTTGGTGAAGACGGCGAACAAGAGGATCGAGCACGTAAACAAGATCCATGACAAGGTCACCAAGCATTGGACGACTCCGAACCAGCGCGTGATCGGTTACGTTGTCTACGCCCCTGCCATTGCCGTCGACGACGGCCCCAAGCACTTCACACGGGACTGGGCCCTGATCGATCTCTACCGCGACAAGATCGACTGGGACACTTTCCAGGGCAACAAAGTTTATATCGGTACGTTTTTATTTTATATTGGCAACACCGTCTCCGGTCTAAGTTTTTTTATATCTAGGCGGCAAGATTTCGCCGGCCGATTTATCCGCAAGATGCACCCTCACCCTGAGAGCCGGTCCAACTTCAAGTATCCCCCCGACGGGCTCCTTCAGGTCAGAGGAGCCGCAAAGAACGACGAGATCCGCAAGCCGGAGCAGCTCGATGCCAACGGCGAGAAATGGTTGATTGTCATCAAGAACGGACAGACCACAAGCCCCACTCTCGGTCGCCTCTCCGGCATGGAGTCGTTCGTTCGCACCTACTCCGAGTACGATATCAAGAATACGTCCATCGAGATTGCCGTACACTCTTACAGCAACGAGGACGGCGCCTTTTCTGCTCCCGGCGACTCTGGCTCCATAGTGGTCGACTCGAAGGGCAGGGCTGTCGGAATGCTCGTCGCCGGTACCGGCGCGATTGAACGGACTGACGTCACCTACCTCACCCCCTACTGGTGGATCGAAGAGCAGATGAAGAAGGTGTTTCCCTGACATCTCCTTCTACGAAATCATTGACTAGGTTCGGCGTTTGGATTTTTTTCGACTTTACTCTATCCTCTCTGTCCACATTACATAGGTATAGGCATAGGGATAGGTAGACCTCAAACGCGTTGACTCGTCGTATGAGTTCGTTTTGTTTCGTTTCTTCTTTCCGTTCGTACTACTGTATGCCTGCAGATGCCTGCACACACCGATATTGTACTATTACCCTCCGCGCTCCTCCTACCCCATTCGATCGCTATTGTGTGTGTACTTTGTATCTTGCAATAACAGTGTTTATGTCATGTTCCAACTTTTGTACGATAAACCGAAGTTGGATACCAAGGTAAAGTAAAGTCGACGTGGGCACTTGTGAATTGTTGCTCTGATCGATCGAAAATGGTAGGCGGTAAGTGACTGTTCTATTTTAGGTGGGTGGTCAAGAATTCGATGCCTGAGGAACGGGTGGGCCGTCCGCCAATCCGGCGCCTAATGGCTGTTCGAAGAGGCAGTCTTTTCATGCGGAAACACGTAGTAGTAGTAATTACTTGAGAGCCTGCTGGCGGAGAGATTTTGGGATTACAAATAATTGCGTTACGGCCCGTGACTTTCTGTGGCAGATCATAGATTTGATTTACTGACGCGGTTGGCAGGTCCGTGGTCAGGTGAAGAAAGTGTCCAGTTGGCAAAAGGCGGCGACGCAAGCTATAAATTTGTCCTCCTGAGACCTTAAACGTTTGTATCTTTGCCTGGCGACCTAAAATCTCTGGACGATGCTTATCTGGCTTGCGAAGCGGCAATTGGGTCGCTAGCTGAGGAGCCATTAAAGCCTAATAAAGCAATCAAATGACATCACAGTTCCGAGTGCGCCTTGGCCAATGTCAGACGGTCATCACGGTGTGCTTGACCTCGAACATAACTAGTAAGTGAGTTGCTCGACTTCCTAGTTGCTGTATCTGTGACTGGACCCGTGTCTAGGGCAGCCAGTCATGTTCTCGTCTCAGCCAATCCCAGTGGCTGGCAGCAACAGCTGGCACATCGGCTCATCAACCCAATCTTCTCCACATCCGTCGCCCTTGGTAGGTTCCCCGCAACCTATCCAAGATGGGGTACAGCAAAGTACGACGTACCATCAGTCGCTTGACTCTTCTCCCTCTCCTGTTCTCCCATCCACTTCCAATCCAACCTCTTTGTCACAGTCTGCCCTTGGCTCTGGTTTGCACGCCCGTGCAACGCTTCCCCGTAGAGAACCTCAGAGGACACCGCGCACTGCTTCCGCATTCCAACGCTTGACACGTCGCCTGTCGAGACTTCCACAAACGCCCGAGGACTCGCACGAGTGGACTGTGTTTGGGAATGTCATGGAGGGCGAGACGGCCTCAAACGCCTCACAACCATCCGGGAGGCCCGATCAACGTGGTCGGAGCCGCATAAACCTTTCTCGCTCAGATATCGAGGGAGGCCTCGAGGGAGGTGGTCTGCAATCTCCTGAGTTCGATCCCTACTTGGGCAACCATTTTCCGTTTCCGTCTGGAGCTTCGGCAGGCGCTTCGGCAGACGCTACGGAGACGTCGGAGACGTCGGACTCAGACCTTGAATACGTGTCCGACAGTGACAGCTCGCATTCCTCGACGTCTACGATCCGGAGGACACGACCACGGCCTCCTTGGTATGCTTGGTCGCGTATGCCGGCGCTCCCAACACTTTACCGCAATATCCTGAAATGCAGCGTGGCGTACTTCATCGGCTCGTTGTTCACCTATTCTCCGTATCTGTCTGGCTTGATATCTGCGATAACAACCAGAGAGTCAAGTGAGCGGTTTCCTGCGCCATCTGGACACATGGTAGCCACAGTGTGCGTCGCGTTTCTACATCACTCATTTGGTTGTTTCTTTTGCGAACAAGTGTGAATGAGATTTATTTTTTTGCTTTTGCTCAGAGCGGTGTACTTCAACCCCGCAAAAACGATTGGCGGTATGATGGAAGCTGACAGGTACTGCCTGATGGGCCTTGCATTTGCGGCATTCGTCTCTCTAGGTAGTATGAACATGTACTGGTGGTTCGAAGTGCGCCATGGCTGGGAATGGCTTGCTGATGTCCTGGTGATATTATGGATCGGACTTGGAATGTCCTTCGTTGCGTGGATGAAATTATGGATGGCCAAGCCGACGTTCAACACAGGTTAGCAATCATACTCTCAGCAGATGGCTTATTCCACTGTCATATCTGATCATCTGGACTATGAAAAATAGCTTGTAGCATGACAGCCATCATCCTCTTTGTCGTGTAAGCAGCCCTTCACGAAATACCATAGTCTCAAAGCTAAAAACAATGCACTTGCTCAGCGTTGTTAAAGAAGGCGGTGTCGCTCAACTCCTCCAGGTCTCATTCATCGTCTTTGTTGGCTCCATAATCTCCAACCTCATCTGCTGCTGTCTCTGGCCGCAGTCTGCGACGCGCAATCTGCAAAACAACATGATTCACACCCTCAATTCGTACTCCATGCTCTTAAAGCTACTCACGCGTACATTCCTGCTGGATGCCCCGTTACATCATCCACGGGAAGCAAAAATTCAGAAAGCTGTCGCGGACCATCAAGCATCGTTCACATCACTGAAGAGGAACTTGGCAGAGGCCAAGAGTGAAGGAATTTTCGGGCCAGGAAATGGCGCGATGGGTAAGGGAAAGGACGCCGGCGCTGCTTATGAAGACGCGGTGGATAGTCTGAATAGGCTGGCGCAGCACTTGAACGGATTGAGGAGTGGCACCAGTCTGCAGTACGACCTTGCGAAGGCGCATCTGGACGGCCGTGTTGACCTGCGGAATTTGACACTCAGTAAAAAGGGAGGAAGGGAACGGGTCAGGGAGTCCATTTTTGAGGTGCCTACTTCTGTCGAAGAGGCTGGTGCTGGGAAGGGAAGGCAGATCGACGGGAGCGTGAATGACTTGGAGGTAGATGATGCAGAGTTGACTCTGAAGTCCGCAGCTTCGATGTTCGGAGAATTGGTCGAGGAAGTTGGACCCCCTCTCAAAGCGCTGTCGGTGAGTCTTGGAAACTCGAATTCTTCCGCTGTCATGCTGAGCATGTTCAACGTGGTGGCATTTGTGCGTGTATCGTGTTCAAGTCTAAATGCACGGGCGCAATACACAGACTAAGGGAGGCGTTTGAACATCGCCACAAGACGACCGATGCCGCGATGAGCCCAGCAATTTTCTTGGACCTGGCCGATAAAATTGAGCGTGCATTGTTCACGTTCGAGAGTACATCGAACCATGCTTTGCTCAGGCTGTACAGAAGGAGTGACATCGTGTCAGGCTTGAGCTCACGCGAGTCTGGCTCTATCTATTCACTGAATGAATACAGTGAGAATGCACTCACTTCTGGGAGCGACAACGAGAATGTCTTTCTCGTGTATTTGTGCGTACCATTCTCACATTTTGCTTTGTAAGAGGCTATAACGCATGCTGTCCTTTCCTCTAGCTTCATTTTTACATTGCAGGAATTTGCGCGGGAGTTGGTGTCGCTCGTGGATGCGATGGGCAGGATATATGCGGCTGAACGGGCTAATGCAGCCAGAGGATGGTGGTTTCAGCGTATTCCTAAGGCTTTGTTTGACCGCATTCGCGCACTGTGGGCCAAGCCTGCTCCTATCCTTAGAAAGAACGGTCATCAGCGATCCAAAGCGCGAAACGCCGAGCAAATGAGCATTCAGCGCCGTCTTTGTACGTATCATGCATATGCCCACATTTCAAACATTCTCACTCTTCCCACCGGCAGCATCATATGTCTCATCTGATAAGCGCCCCGCCGTCGCCTCGTACTTTCCGAAGGTCCGCCCACACGCGCCCAATACGGTACAGACGCCCGCTCGCGAGGAGCTGTCATTCATCGGGCGCTTGAAGCAGACCCTGTGGGCTATTGGGGATGGCATGCGGGACCGCAAGATCAAATACGCGATCAAGGCAGGGATGGCTACTGCTATTCTCGCTGCACCTGCATTCTTTGAGGTGACACGACCAATATTTGTGGAGTATCGGGGCGAATGGGCGTTAATCTCGGTGTGTGGTTCTTACTGTGTATCTGCCTCTTATACTGCGGGCTTGCTGCTGTGATCTTTCCTTAGCTTGGCTAGATTTATGTTTGACATGAGCTGACATATCGGTCCATAGTTCTTTGTTGTGATGTCACCAACTATAGGAGCGGTAAGTGAGCCTTTTGGTCAGTCAATCCGACTATGGCTTATCACGGAACTTGCGTGGCTGTATCTGGACATGCGCTGTAGACGAACTCCCTGAGCATTCACCGCGTCCTCGGTACATTGTGCGTGTTCCAGCTACCCTACAAGTGAGCCATTGATTGATTCGAATGTAGGTTCGGGGCCGCGACGGCCGCGACCGTGTACTCTTTCTTCCCCGAAAATGCAGTCGTGCTCTCCATTTTTGGGTTTTTCTATTCGATTCCGTGTTTCTACTACATTGTGGCTATGCCGCAGTATGCAACCACCGGTCGATTCGTGCTGTTGACATATAATCTTACTTGTTTGTATTGGTGCGTAGAGGCGTCCCTGTTTCGCCCTGCGAATCATTATATGACGATGTTGTGGACTGACCTCCCTGTTTAGTTATAATACAAGATTAAAGGACGTGTCCGTCATTGATGTAGCGTTTCACCGGTCTGTAGCGGTGACTGTCGGTGTCGCTTGGGCGTTTGTAGTGTCCAGGTTTTGGTGGCCCTCCGAGGCGAGACGAGAGCTTAGCAAGGCGCTTGGCGAGTAAGTGAATTTACTTTCCTACCTCGTAAATCCCTTGCCTTACCAGAATTGGGATCTGCGCCAGCTTTTGCTTGAACATCGGTTGGCTGTATACACGCTTGGTCATTTCCAATTCATTCTCTCCCGAACCGGAGCGCCACGAAGAGACAGATACTAATGTCACAGAAGAGACATCGTTGATACCAAAACGACGGAGAACGGCGCTTGATAATTCCATCGAGGAATTCATGGCTATGTGAGTGATTCTTGATGAGATGCGGACTACACTTACCGTCGAGACAGGGAGTTTCATCTGCAGATCAAGCTGATTGAGCTGCAAGATCTCCTCAAACAGACCCAGCATGAACCTCGATTGAAGGGACCATTCCCCATCAAATTATATCGCTCCATTCTAACTAGCCTGCAAAAGATTTTGGATAATCTACACAGCATGAGATGTGTGACAACGCGGGAAGAGTGGTCAGTGCCCTTCATTCTAACCAACAAGACTTACACTGATCATTTTTGCGATTCATCTAAGGTACACGGTTAGTGATTGAGCCGTTTCGATATCTTGGAACCGATTTTGATAGCGTGAGACCAGAATGTACGCCGAGACTTCATTATACCCGTCAATCGAGAGCGCCGAGAGATGGTCGGCAACATCATTCTGTATTTCTCCACGTTGGCGTCTGCTTTCAGGCTGAAAGCACCGTTGCCACCTTACCTTCCGCCAGCGGAGAAGGCACGGCAAGAGCTCGTACGTCGTTATTCTTACTTCCTTGATACCATTGATGGTCTAAGACTTCCGCCTTGGCCGGTATTCAGGTCGGCGCTATCAGGAAACTTGATGTGGTGAAAAACCGGGATGTCAAAGGATCGCGCCAGCTCCTGTTCTTCGCATACGCATTGACGATGAAGGGTATCACAAAAGAGCTGGATTACCTGGGCAGCACTCTCCAAGATGCATTTGGCGTAATCGGGCAGGGAACTGACGCCTTTGAAGCACTGTTTCGGGATGATATGCGAGGCGCTGAGCAGTCAGTATGAGGTCTTTGTATAAAATACAGGGTTGCCGGATCTAAGATTTAGGATGCCAACAAGTGCTGGGAGAATTGGCAAATGCTTACATTCTACGAAATAATAATAAGAACTGATTGTATTTTTCAAGCTGTTAGCTATCCTTGAGTGCAATTTCTGTGAGTGAAACCAAATCAATGATGAATCCTCTATGGTGCGGTTCACTGAGTCACCACTCTAAAAAAAAGGAGATGTGTGTCTTGAAAAGTCGACCGTTTTCTTGTCGCTCTTAGGAAAATGCATCTTTTCGCAATGAGTCGACCCCCAAGACAGAATTTTGATATCTTCAAAATTGAGGGAGAGGTTAGATTGGCAGAATGATTACATAATATACCAGAGGGTCGTCAAATATCAATACATTCAGTCAAGAGCAGCTGCAACATGCTCTAGAATCCATCTGTGTGACTTGTACTTCCATGAGCTAAACTTGCAAACATGAACATTTGCCTCCTAAGTCTCAATCCCTCCCTGATAAGCCTCCATCTAATGCTGTATACAACACTTCCACCACTAAATTATTGCCACCTATACTGAGGCAAGAGCAAGTAGCATGTTTCTCTTGAGGGTTTTGAAAGTATAATCCAAGTTTTTGTGAAGGTATTTCTTGACCATACCCCAGAAGAACTCAATGAAGTTCAACTCACAGTGATATCTTGGGAGAAAGATATAGGGGTGGCCAGTATCTTCAATAACCTCCTAAACCATTTCCCATTTTGAGGACAGTAGTGATAAGTGTATTTAGAACATGTTCAAGGATATGGTCATTGCATACTCATTTCTCTTACATGGCTCAAGATGTACATATATAATGAATTTTTGAGCCATGCTGTGCACTATGTGCTATACCCCATATACTTGTGCCTGCAAAAAGTGTTTGAACAAGTAACTATAACATAACATGTCTCCTGATTTCTGACTGTCTTCTAAGAGCAATTATAAATGGATCAACAATTTGATAGTCTTTATGAAGAGCTAGGAATGTCTTTTATATAATGCAGTAGTTAAAATCTTGTATGCTAGTCTTTTGCTGCCTGAACTTGTGCAACTCTCTCTGGCATCTTCCTAGTATATCTCTAAATCTCCTTCTCTGTAATTTCTTCCCATGCATACTATTCTGCTAACTATAGGTTATTGAGAGAATTACTAGCACCTAGGGTGTTAGCAACACAGTTTTTGAGCAGCAGCCATAATGGCTTGATAGGGTTAAGATCAGGTGAAGATGAAGGATGTGTTAGGGGTGTGATGCCCAGTTTCAACTAAGTAGATTTTATAAAACAGCTTGTGTGGGCTGGTGCTTTATCTTCAACAACAAGCATGAGACATATCCACTGCTGCTCCATTCTGTCAAAAAAATCCTTCAGAGGCCCTTCAAGAACTTGTATAACATACTCTTTTGCATCCAAGCCTCCATCTGATCTTTGGCCCTTCTCACCAGGTGGGAATTCTAGCTTGATTAGCAGACCTTTCACACCATGTGCAATATATCCCTATCCCATAATGGATTTACAACCACTCTTAAAGGTTGGCTGTATGTTCTTGGGAAGAAATTCTTTACCTGGTAATCTCATCACTCTCCTATGTCCTGGCCTCTCTTCTAACTCCAACTTTGCCTCATCAGTCCAGATAATCTCATTGCAATTCCCTGTCATATTCTCCTTTTCCCAAATGAGATGTTTCTAGACAGCCACTAGTGATAGGAAGGGCTTGCAATATGCAGCTCAATAGTAATAGCTAGCAGAAGTTGCTATGGTGCAGACTTGTCAGGATATTACATGTTTAACATGCTTAGAAATGATGGGATAAGGGTCCAGATGGTGTGTATGGATCTCATAAAGGACCTTGCACTGTGTGCAGTCATCAACAATATGTGGCTGGCCAGATTGAGGGAGACTATGTCAGGTATGGAATTGGTTCTCATAAGTGATAGTATAATGGCATGCTCTGACAGAAGCACCAGTCAATAGGAAGCAATTTTTTGATATGAGTATCCAAGATCATGCAGAGCAAGGATTCAACTTCTTTTTGAGGGTGTAAACTCAGTGATGCCAGCAGGAGGCATGAATTTTTTAAGACTACTAAGGCTTGGCAACTCATATAGAAGCTTCACATGACAGTGTTCAAATACTTTTTGTGAGCATGAGTACATACCGCCCTCTGCACCGCTCAAACATTATTTATTGTATTTATGCCCTTCTTTTCGGCCTCTGGCCGATTTTGCAGTAGTATTTTTTTAGTGGTGACTAAGTGAACTGTAACATAGGAGCAGCTTGTTTACACGAGTGACGACTTCGAATATAATTACGTCATCTTTCACGTGAGTATGGTCCTTGTGAGGCTAAACGGCGAAGTGATTGTTATTTTCCCTGTGGCCACCTTTACTCTTCCAAAGACAACCGAACATCCACCGGATGATATGGATCAACACACTACTGAGCAAGAACGGGAAATTCGCGAATTGATTCGTCGTGCAGAGCAAACGCCGGTGAAGACGAGTCCACAGGTGCATCCCGTGTCCTCCTTCTGAAGTGTGCGATAAACGTTGACTTTCCACATTTGTTAGAGGAAAGAGGCACTCCAGCGCCTGATAGAACTTACTCGCTCACCCCATTCCGGCCTGAAGACTTTGGCTGCGTCCAACATCGCGAAGTTCTTCAAGCCTTTCGTTGACCTTGACGAGGATGCTATCAACGCCATTTACGACCTATGCGAGGATCAGGATCCCCAAGTTGCCGCAGTACTTTGTTCGGAGGAGAATCATACTGACGCTCTGTATGAAGGTCCGAATAGATGGATATAAGGCCATAGTCCAAATGTCGAAGGAACAACCTAAGTGGGTGAAGAGAAATGCGGATGTTCTAGCACAGTTGCTTCAGAGTGGTACGTTTTTTCAATATGTTTCAGCCAGGTGGATTTGGTAGAGTGGATTCATGTCATTGTTGTCTACAATGGTTTGCGCACGAAAATTTGCGACTGATATCACGTTGCTTTCGTTTCGTCTAGATGAACCAGAAGAGGTAACCGTTGTCAAGAAGGCGCTATTGGAACATCTGGATATGGACTCAAAGGTCACTTTGGGTGTATTGTGTGATCAGCTCGTGCCAATAGATGAGCCTATGGACGAAGAGGAGAAAGCCATCCGTGATAGACTGGGATCGCTCGTGCTTGCTTTTATTGCAGGTGAAGCAAAACGAGCTATCATTGAGCGGCATGCGAGCAGAGCTGGGAACGAGCAGGAGCAGGTGCTCATCGATGGTCTCGTCAAGGTTATGAGGTTTGTGCCGTCGGTTTCTTCCAAACACTCATGCTCCGTCTTGTAGGCCCTCTCCAGACCATCAATAGCAGATGCTTCAAGAATAGTCAGGGACATCCTCCTCTCCCTTCCCTCATTCAAGGGACGATTCACCCCTAGAGGTGATGAACTATTACAAACACTACTTAGCCAAGCCCGAGTGGCCCAAAAGGACGACCTTGGTAGTTTGAAACAGTCAGCATCAGTCAAGCTGAGCAGTCCTTATCTGAAATTGGCGGATTTTGTGGTGAAAAAGGGCGTCGCTGACCCAATTCACCTCCTTCGTTTTTATTTCGTCAACTTCATCCCTAAAATGATATGGCAGCGATTCTCGGAAGCTGCTCAGTTGTTTGTCATCATTCATCTAGCAGAATCACTTTCAGAGTGTACAAAATACATCTCAGACTTGCAGCCAGCCCAACTGGAGTCGGTAAAGGCTCTGCAACGACAAGTCGCTGATGCATCGTCGATTCTTCTGCCGGTAGGCTTGGCCATGTGTAGCCTGCGAACATTACTCTCACATATCTTTTCAGGCTCTTGTTCAGTCAAAACCGTCTGATGTACGAGCATGGAATGCATGTGCGGTCATACTTCGCGCATGCTTGGAGGTACGTGCCGTTCGGATTGAATCTTACATTTCATACCTTATGTTGCATATTCACTTAGCGACAAACAACAACGGGGTGGCACGTGCCGTCTAATTTGGCACGAATACTGGAAGATCTCAGCCGTCTGGCCCAAACACAAGGCAGCGACGCGAATGTGGGCGGATTGGAGGGCGTCATCAGGGTTCGCAGCGAGTTTTTGATTTTTTCTGGACCCGACAAACCTTTCAACCATCCCCAAACAGTCTCTTCTGCAGCCTCCGACTTCTGCTTCGATACCTCCGAAGCTGGATACTGACGTCGCCTCAGCCGAGCCTTCGAGCAGGGTTGCATCCATTCCTAACAAGCGAAAGGCTGACGACACGCAGGGACCATTACCAATGTCATCTAGTCGAGGGTTGCTGATTCAAGGCCATGCGTCCCGGCAACCCCAAACGTGGTCATTTGGTTCTGTTGAACATCCACGCGCTCAACCGATATCGACTCCTGTCCAAGCCTCAACTCATGTGTCAAATTTTCAACATCCATTGAAGCGATCGAAGACGGAGGATGCCACTGAAACAGCAAGGCCTTCCTTACTCTCTCGTATGAATCCAGCTGCCACCTCAGCGACTGGAAATCTTCCTAGAAAACCTGCTGCTCATCCGCCATCATCGCTACAATATCCGCCGTCGTCGCTACAATATCTGCCATCACCGCTACAATCGGCACCGGCGAGCGCTCCTTTCTTGGGAATCAGTATCAAAGGTGCTGCAAAAGCTGCAGCGAACAGCAGTCGATCATCCACACCTCCTAAGTTGTCATCGCTGCTGGACCGAATGAAGGATAAGGACCTGTCCGAGAGGATAGATGAGGGAGAAGCGGGACGAAAAAGGAAGTGGAAAGGAAAAGTATAGGTAGTGGGTATAGTGGGACCTTGTCTTTTTACATGCTGATTGGACCTGTTGTATCGTATATCTCATGGTGCTCATCTCGTATCGTGTTACTTGCAGGGTCGTATGAGTTCGCCGATCCTTCTGTGGACCGCGGAGTCATGACCGCAGGCGGGATACAAGCTCAAGGTGCTTGAGAGAAGAGAGAGAAGATACATCACACAATATGTATGCTTTCCGCTCTTTGATATCGCAGGTCTCGCCGACTTCACCCTTCGGAGCCGTGACTGTGGCAGGCCGCTGAGTTAAATGATGGCGTCATTGTCGAACCCGTGCCCAATGCAAAGGTTGTCCCCTGTTGTCCTCTGCCCAAACACTTCAACGTTTCGAATACATTATTGAAGAACATGGCTGGGTTCTCTGAGATCTTCGGGTCAAAAAAGTGCTGTATCTTAGATGGCGGCCTGGTGAGCACCTTTCATAAGTCCCGCATCAAGGTGATGCGGGGACGACGCGGTCGGATCCTGAATTTTTGATATTTGCCACGAATAGGGTACAACGCTGGAGGATATCTTTCACAAGAATGTTTCAAACACTTCCCTTTGGTCCGCTAAACCTATTGATGAGGATCCCGAGATCATGATCCAAACACATCTGGCATTTCTGCGTGCCGGAGCCCGAGTGATCTCAACGTCGACGTACGTCACACATCGTGGCAAGGTGGCACTTACACGAACCGCGCATCGTATGTGTCTTTCGTTAGGTATCAATGTGCGTTCGAAACCTTCGAGGATGCCGGATATTCGCGAAACGATGCTGCGCGCCTCATGCGAAAATCCGTCGAACTCGCAGCGGAAGCGCGAAGCAGATATGTCGACGTAGCGAACGGCATACGTCGCAAAGATGTCAAGATCGCGCTATCACTGGGGCCATACGGTGCAACGCTCACGCCTGCTCAGGAGTTCGATGGATTCTATCCGTTACCGTTTGGGCCTCAGGAGTACTCTACCTCGCGACCGAACCGAAACACGTTCACGAAGGAGGAGCGAGCGGCAGGCAAAGCTACTATGGCCATCGACGCGTTGACAGACTTTCACCTTCAGAGACTGCGCGTATTTGCCAACGACATCGATACCTGGGCCACTATCGACTGCATCGCGTTCGAGACCGTACCCCTAGTGCGCGAGATCACGGCGATTAGGGGTGCGATGGCGCTGCTGGAGGAAGAGCTGAAGCCCCGAGCTCAGCGATTTCCTTGGAAGCCATGGTGGATCAGCACTGTGTGGCCGGAGGGTCGGTACCCACAAAGCATCAGGCCAGATGGAGTACCGATGACCGTCAAGGACGTCGTCGCGTTCCTCTTGAGCAGCGGGTCGGGCGAGTTGAAGCATGTCGCAGTTGGCAAGACGAATGTTCCAGATGGATTGGGCATCAATTGCACGCGCATGGAGCATCTATCCACCATCCGGATGGAGATGGAAGCTGCGGTAGTAGACCTCAAGGGTGAGGATGCGAAACCGTGGTTCGTCGTGTATCCGAATGGAGGAGAGACTTACGATCCTGTTTCTCGCACGTGGATTAAGGAGGAAGACCCACAGCACAAAAGTGAAAGTTGGGCAACGGGTTTAGGTGACTTGGTTGACGAGGCTAGAAACAGCGGAGTATGGGACGGCGTCATTGTGGGCGGTTGCTGCAAAACGGGCCCTGCGGAAATCCAGGCGTTATCGAGGCGTTGGGAAATATAGTCAACCGTTGTTGTACGATGAATGCATGTGTAAAGTGGAATGGAAAGATATCTACCCATCTGACCGTGAAAGATTGTTCAGCGCAAGCGATTCATGACAACTTCGGAAAGATGTGATGCAGCTACCAAGGAAAATCGAGGGTATATTCACTGTTCGCATTTCAAAATTCCTCACGGTGCCGTGAAGCATAAGAGCAGGAAAGCGGACGAAGCAGATTACAGAGAACTCAGAATGAACACTGGCAGAAATCCAACAACATGTCGCAATTAAAGTCAACGCGCGTCCACAGGTCAGCGTCGTGAGAAGGCTCTCGGCAAATGCCGGTCGGACTGTGGAGATTGGCTGGTGAGGCGAACTCTGTAATACTAACGCGCGCAGGCCCCCGGAAAAGTCAACGAACGTCGTCAAGGTCGACGTTGAGCTTCAAAACACCCCTACCGGTGCGTTCAATATCTGTACTTTTGTTTCTGGGAGAAAGAACGGGAGGAAACGGATCGTTTTAGGTGGTGGATTGCGACTGGGAGAGTTGGATGCTGACACTCTGCGTGCAGGCCCAGCATGTCTTCAAAACTCCCCCCCGTCCTGAGCGCAACCGATGAAGAGATCCAGATGCTCCTGGCCGCTCAGGCGCATATCGGCACGAAGAACTGCGACAAGCAGATGGAGTCCTACGTTTGGAAGAGAAGGTCCGATGGTCAGTAAGGCTATTTGGGCAGACATGCGTAGCAATCTCATTCTCTGTCCGGAGCTAGGCATCCATATCATCAACATCGGCAAGACCTGGGAGAAGATCGTGCTCGCTGCGCGTATCATTGCCACCATCGAGAACCCGAACGACGTTTGCGTTATCTCCGCCCGCCCATACGGACACCGCGCCGTCCTGAAGTACGCAGCCAACACTGGCGCTCAGGCTATCGCCGGCCGTTTCACCCCTGGTTCTTTCACGAACTACATCACCCGCTCGTTCAAGGAGCCCCGTCTTATCATCGTCACCGACCCCCGCGTTGACCACCAGGCCATCCGTGAGGCGTCCTACGTGAACATCCCCGTTATTGCCCTCTGCGACACCGATGCTCCCCTCAAGTACGTCGACGTTGCTATCCCCACAAACAACAAGTCCCGCCACTCTATTGGTCTCATCTGGTGGCTCTTGGCTCGTGAGGTCCTTCGGTTGAGGGGCACTATCCCCCGCACCTCTGACGGCTGGAATGTCATGGTTGACATGTTCTTCTACCGTGACCCTGAAGAGGTTGAGAAGCAGCAACAGGAGGAGGCTCAGGCGAAGGCTGCTGCTGCTGCTGGCGAGGCCGAGCCTGAGGTCGCTAATGTCTCAGAGTGGGATGTTAGCTCTGCCCCTCAAGCCGGCGGCATCAACCCTGCACTGGTCGCCCAGGAGGGTGGTACGTAGACATATCCATCAGTTCTTTGTCTCGCTCATCTTTCAACCCAGGCGCCCTCGACTGGTCTGCGGAGCCTACCACCGGCCCCACCGACTGGTCAGCAGAGCCAGCTGCCGGTGCTGGTGGATGGGATGCGGCGCAGCCGGCGCCCACTGGCTGGGATTAAAAGTCAGACGTCGAGATATTGGAGTCTGGTCGTTTTCCACCACTTGCCTTCCGAGCATGCACCTACTTATATGTTATGTCCGGTCGTTCTACCAAAAGCATATGCAGTCCATGACCAACATGACCTTTTTCACGCTTTGTATATCAATGTAGGGGGCGTGTGGGAGTTGAGTAGATCGCAGTGACGCTGGGATGACTGAGCTAGCTGAGTTGACCAACTGCCTGTTGATTCACATGCAATCCGGCGAGATGATTCTCTGACCGAAGCCATTAGAAGTATTGAATATTGAACATCGAGGGTCGGAAGGAGACCTTCCATAAAAGGCAATGTCAGGCGTGTGTTCTCCGTGCTTTAGCTCAGGCGTTTGAGGTTGACTTCCGTGCCAAATCAGTCCAGCTCAAAGGCGTGGCGACATGCTTCGGACCAGCATCTGACGGTCTCACCGGCGCTCCCTGACTAACACCAGCGTATCGGGAGCTACATAACGCGACGCATTGCACGCCTTAGACTCACTTTCCCCTATCCCGTCCTTGACTGATGTCTAGTCTGCGAGTCATGCAACTTGCTACCATCTTGGTTCATGTTGCGATTGGGGTGTGTGTCGGATATGCTTTAGAGGCGCAGAAGCCTTTGTCTCGTATGGGCGCTGGAATTCCACAATCGACATACGCAGACCTCACGCGATTTGCCAAGTACTCCTCTGCGGCTTATCAGGCGCTATGCCCGCGACCATTGGGCAATACACTCGTAGAAGAAGTAAGTCATTTCCTTGAGCGTATTTAGTCTGCCTTGATCTATCAACGTGCCACGTCAGTTTAGAAATGTCTTGACGAGCACGGCCGGATACGTCGCGCGTGATGATCAAAGACGGGAGATTGTTGTCGCGTTTCGAGGAAGCCAGCAGCTCGAGGACTTTCTCATCGGTCTGTTCTTAGTTTGTATGGGCAACCCGTGACTCGCTGACGGCTAAGAATATGCAGACGGCGGTCTTGTCCAAGTCCTATATCAGTCGCCCGGCGTGCAGCCGAACACAACTGACGTTGTAATGGCCCATGCAGGCTTTCTTCTGGCATACAACTCTGTTTACAGCACCGTGTTGGACGCGATCGGGACTCAGCTCAAGCAGCACAAGAACTATTCTATCGTTTCTACTGGTATAACAGGACGTTGTGCAATATGAACACGGCCTGACCAAGTGAAACTTCTAGGACATTCATTAGGTGGAGCCCTCGCATCTCTTGGGGGTCTTTCGATCAAGTCGAATTTCCCGATGGCGAATGTTCGGCTGTACACTTTCGGTGCGTCGCCGTCATCCACCTGTGACCGAACGGTTGACTCATGCGCACCTTATCCCTAGGCCAACCGAGGACCGGCAATGCGGCATACGCAGATTTGGTACAGCAAGTTGTAGGGAGCGAGAACATCTACAGAGGTACAGTTCTCATCGCAAGCGTATGCGATGCGTTCACCGCTCACATTGGTTGACGATGACTAGCTGTTCACACTTATGGTAAATGAACTTCATCTTGCGCCTTTTGCCTCGGCTCACAAAGTGCCTCTATGCACAAAGACGGCGTGCCTACGATGGTCCCCGAGGAATTAGATTACCGTCACCAGTGCGTCTTGCCATCCTCGTCGACACGCCTGCCTTCTCACCTTGACATCCCCACCGTGCCGCCCCGCTCTGCACTAGCGAGCGAGAATTCTGGCAGTTCGAAGAACCCCGTGAGTGCTTCCACGATCAACAGAATTACCTTCGTGACCTGTCTGGCATTCTCAGCGGAGCCAGCGACCGTCATCCAGTGCGAAGGACAAGAAGACCCGACGTGCAGCGACTCGATACGTGAGTGGACGATAAGCCTCGGTCGCTTTGGCCCATGCTCTCCTATTGATGCAATGAAACAGCGACAACCGGCATCAACGTTGCGCATCCCTTCTACTTTGGCCAAAGTAGGTCCTTCTCCGCGTACCGCTATAACCATTGCGTCAGAGACTGACGTATATGGTCCGCACTAGTCATGTCGCTGGATGCTACGTTGTGTCTCTAATGTATCTCTTCCTAATTTGTGTTTCTTTAATTTCTCGCCTTGCAGTTTCTCGCATCGATTGCATCGCACACTATCCACTAGCATCTGCCAATCCAAGGGCTGTTATCACAAGGTTGCCATTCGCGTCATCAGTACATCTAAGCTGTTGTACATCGCTCAAGGGAAGGTAAGACAACGCGTACACAATACAGCCGGCGACATAAACACAACGGTTGTTTTACACGTACTATGGTATCAATATATGACTGTTAAGAGTACTCGGTATAGTAGCGGTAGCGAGAGCAGACAACAAAGCGATAATTAAATATATACACAGACACAACAACATCCAAATAAACAGAACAGAAATAAAAAAAAACCCGGAAAACCATCGAGCAATAAAAAATATCACGAGCCCAGGAGTTCCAAGATATGCGACAATGTCTGTGCGTCCAGTGGCCGACCGTTGCGTCTGTGCAACGCCTGTAAGAGCTGTACCTCCTCGTGGGAAGGAGTCATTCGCGCAGCCAGCGTAGCAGCGGCAGTCTCGAGGCGAATAAGCAGGAAATCCAGGATGAAGAGCACCTCGGCCTCCGAGGGCTTCTCGGGGATGGTCGGCAGCAGCGCCGCGGGGTCGCCGTACATGTATGACGATGACACTGCTTGCTCGTCGCGCCCAGCATCAGGGGCGAGGCTGCCCTTGCGCAGCGGCAGCGGCTTGAACACGCGGTAAGACGTGAGCGCCTCGAGGCGGATGCAAATCAAGGAGAGCTCGCGCAGCTGCTCTGCGCTGCACCGCAGCGTGGCGGGGCCCGAGTCGACTTCGGAGGGTGGCGCGATGGGCGGCTCGGCGTCGAGGCCGACCCGGCCGACGAGCTCGTGCGAGAAAACGCGGGATAGCATCTCTGGCACCTCGAGGCCCTTGAGCTTCACCTCGCCAACGGGAATGAGAACGGGATCCAACCGGCGAATGGCGTCGATTGCGTCCGCTGGCTGGGACGACGAGTACTCCGTCTCGGGTGCGCCCTCTTCGAAATGTGCACGGAACTCGCGCACGACGTCGGCACTCAGCATGATCTCCCCGCCCTCGGCGCTCCCGCAGACCCGCGAGGCGCGGTTGACCATCGGACCAAAGTAGTCCATGCGCTTCGTGATCGCGTCTGGTTCGCAGACGGGGGTGCCGCAGTGGACGCCCATGCGCACAGAGAGGCCCCGCGCGACCACCTTCCCCTGCTCGTCGCGGATCGGCCGCCCATCCTCGCAGTCCAAGATCTCTTGTGGCCACGCCTCGTTCAAGAGCTGCACCTGAACATCCAGACACCACATCAGCGCCGCGGACACCGTCTGGAACGCCACCATGAACGCGTCGCCTTCCGTCTTGACCTCGTACCCACCACAGAACCGTAGCTGTCGCCGCAGCAAACTATGGTGCAAGCGCATCGCTGTCGGCATGCCCGCGTTCGTCTCCCACAAGTGCGTCGAGTTCCGAATATCCGTGAACACGAGCGCGAGGTGGCCTACCGGGGGTGGCACCTCGCCGTCGAGCCGCGCAATCGTAAGATCCGCGATATCGTCCTTCCCTCTCTTCCGCCGCGTCGCCTGATACGCCTCCGAGTCGATATCGACGGTGGAGATCACCATGACCATCGTACTGCCCTCAGCGCCGTAGCTGATCGCAAAGTCCCGCAGCTTCTGCGCGGCGATCATCGGATCTGCGCGCTCCGACCGGGCGATGTCGACCGCAGTCTGGTACGACACGTAGTCCCACAGCCCGCTGTTCGCGACGATGATAAACTCATCCAATTCGGAAAGCTGATACGTGTAGATGTCCGGGCGCGCGTTGACGACGGGCAACAGATGATAGAATCCGAACGATCGCGAGATGTCGACCTCGTCGTTGACGAGCCCTTTAGGGGATACCCAGCCCTCGGCCGCCCGGATGCGTGCTATCTCGTTGCGATCGAATGGATCATGTTTCTTCGACACGATCTGAGCTGTGCCGCGACGCGATACGACGGCGAGAGCGTTGCCAGCATTTGCAGCATACAGCGTCTTACCCTGGATGTACAGTACGATGCCGGATGCTCCAAGATTAGATGTGTCCTGGATGTTGAGCAGCGCCGCCGACCGATGACTCGTCTGCGAGTTCTTGCGCGCCGGTATGTTGCCCGAGAACAGATAATCGTGCGTCAGGCGGTTCAGCTTCAGAAACGTGCGCCGAAGCGCGTCGGGCACGCCCAGCTCCGTGTTCGTGCTCATGGACGCCAGGTGCGCGGAGAATATGGGCACGAAATTGTCGTGCAGGTACTTCGAGATGCGATTGTTGTTCGCGCTGGGCTGCGAGCGCCCGAACATTGCAAAGATCGCCTCGTCCTTGCGGTCACGAAACGACGGCTGGACGAGGTCGAACATGCAGACGTGGTCCCTGTTGCCCAAATTGTCCGCAATACCGTATGCCATGCGATTCACTTCTGAAAGCGATGTCCGCACGCGGCGGTCCTCGTTATCATCAGGAATGTTCGGCGCGAATGTCGTCGTGACATCCATGAGGCCCAAGACTCGCAGCTGCGTGAGCGCACTGAACCCGGCCAGATCGATCATCTTTGGCTTGTCGTTATCTCCGCCCTTATGCGTTTGGTCAGGCTTGATCTCGAGCCGCTTGTTGCCCGACAGGTTGAGGTACCGAAGATTCTGATTGAAATTCCTGGAAAAAAAATGCATCTGTAAACGGTGACGCAACGACGAAAAGGGAAAGAAAATAGTCACCAATTCCAATCAAACTCCCAATTGTTGATATTGTACTTCAAAACGTTGCTTCCCACATCCAACACAGCTAGGCTCGGTAGCTTTCCCAGCTCCTGGGGCAGCGTCTGCAGCCGATTTCCATTCAGATAAAGCACCTGCAGCTTGATCAGTCGGTTCAGGTCCTCCGTTGGGAGGCTCGACAGCTTGTTCCCGCTGACGTACAGCTCCTCGAGGCGCGTGAGCTCGCGAAAGAATGCGCTCGGCAGCTCCTGAATCTCGTTGAACGACAGATTAAGCACCCGCAGCTCGCGCAGGAGCGTCAGGAGCGGTAGCGCCTCGTCAGCAAGCTGGTTCTCGCCGAGGTAGAGCCGCTCGAGAGAGTATACAAGCGGGGGCAGATGCCGTGGCGACGCAATGCTAGCACTGTTGTTGCCGTTAATGGTAGTGGCAGTGTTCAGCGAACTTGCAATAGAAATTTTGCGCTCGGGCACGGCGAGGGTTGTCAGACTGCCAAACGAAGGGTCTGGAGATGTAGTACAGGTGAGAAGTTGTGGCTGCGGCTGCGCGTTGGGCGGAGAGGGCGGGTGCCACGTCGTGATAAGGTTGGATGTCATATTGATCCGCGTGAGCGACGCGCAGTTCCAGAGGCTGGCGGGAATCTCTGTCAAGTTATTGTTATGCACGTCCAGGATCTCGAGCTTCTGCAAGCGGCCAATGGATGTGGGGAGCGCGTCAAGCGCATTGTCAGAGCACGAGAGAGAGATAAGGCGTGTGAGCTCGCCAAGCGAGTCGGGGATGAAGCGGAAGTTGTTGCAGTCGAGGATGAGCGACTCAAGCGAAGATAGGCTCGCGAGCGCGAGGTCCGCAAGCGAGGAGAGCTTCGCGTGCGAGATGTTAAGGTACGTTAGATTGTGCGGGACCTGGCCGATGGGACCCGGAACGAGCGAGATCTGCGTGATGTCGTTGTGCGAGACGTCGATCTTCGCAACGCATGGCCCCGAGGAGAGGTCGAGCGCGTGCACGGCGTTGTGATTTACGTATAGGTTCTCGAGCTTGGGCAGCATCTGCACGATCGTGAGGTCGATGATGTTGTTCCGCCGGCAGTCGAGCTCGCGCAGGCCGACGAGCTCTCGACACCCTCTCGGAAAACTTGACACCTGGTTCCCGACGATGATCAGGCGCTCGAGCTGGGTAAGCTGTGCGATCTCCTCCGGAAGCTCAGAGATCATGTTGAATGAGATGTCCAGCTCCTTGAGCCCGGTCATCCTGCAGACAATGTCTGGGAACACGTGGAACTTGTTGTTCGAGATGTTGAGTGTACGCAGGTTTCGCAGGCGAGGAAAGTACCACGGGAGCTTTTCCATACGATTGTTCTGCACCATCAGATTTGTGAGGTCCGGGATGCGGTCTAACCCAACGTCGTCGAGGTCGCCGATCCGGTTGCACGAGAGGTCAAGGCCGTATAGAGACGTGCAATGTCGCACGCTCTGGGGAACCTTTTTGATGGACATGTTGGACAGGCGGAGCTCGCGCAGCGAGACGCACGATTGCACGAAGTCGAGAGGGATCTCAAGCATGGGATTTCGGGACAGGTTGAGGGACAGGATATCTTCGGCGTGCCCATAGAGAACGATGGGGATCGTCCGCAAGCTCTTGTTCGTCAGGTCCACGTACCGATAATCAGTGAAGATAAGGTCTTCTTCCTATCGCAGTGCAAAGAAACCCAGATGAGCCGAATGAGAAGAGGTTGTAGTTGACAACTCACCGCAGGACCCAAGACATTGCTCTTGTACACGAACTTCAGAAGGAAACTGAGATCCTCGCCGAGGAGCAGCTCTAGTCTGTCAGTATCGTCGTAACCTGCCTGTTCCAAACGCCGTCGGGCGATATCTGCGGGTCGTTCGTTGTGTGCCAGCAAACGCTCTAGAATGCAAAGGGGAAAGATCCAGACACGGCGAATAAAAGACCAGGCGAGGGCGCCTCACCTCGACCCCGTTCCTTAATGTACAACCGGTGCACCTCACGCTCTGCCTCAAAAAGCAGCGTCACGTTCAAATATGGCATTAATTCGGAGACTGACACCGCAGGGCCGATGGACACGACGTGGAAATTATTATTCGCCCGGTAGACGCGGAGCTTGTAGGTCTTGCTATCGGTCTGCTGCTCCTTGAGGGGCCTCGTCGTCGTTGTACGCCGACGGCTCTTACGCTTCGCATCGCGGCCACCTGACGTGGAAATATCACTCGCGGGCTTTGCTACTGCCGTGCTCTCTTCGGAACTCGAGTAGTCCGGCTCGCGCAGAGGGCCTCCCTCCTTATCGACAGCCCAACTCTCAGGAGGATCCCACATACTCTGTTCATCATTGTTTGCGTTGTTCGGGGAGACGAGTTGATGGGGCACTACGGCGGGGGCAGCGGGGGCAACGACGGGAGGCACCGTCCTCGGCGAAATCTTGCGCTGGTCGTTCTGGTATGTCTTCCGTGCGGGTGAATTCGAAGAGAGAAAGGGGTCTCTGAACAGAGGCACCGGGGGAGAGGTGGTCTGTGGCTGTATGCTATGATTTGATCCGCGCGAGACGAGAGAAGCAGAGATGCTGCCCTCTGAGCCGGTCGCGGGCGGGCTCGCGCTGGGCCTGACGAGGGCGGAGGGGTGGATGATGCCGTCCATCTGATCGAGGTTGGTGTCGAGCATGATCTCGGGCTCTATCGGGGGTGCAGAGCGGGTAGCGGGTAGGGGCTTTGTCTTTTTCTTCTCGCGGGACTTGTCTTTCTTGAGCGTGTTGCGCGAAGGGGACGGGTCGAGAGAGAGGAAGGACGAGTCCTGGTCCATGAAAGAGGGGAGTGGGGGCATGGACTTTGTGACCGGCTCCTCTCTGTATTCGATATCTAGGCGGGGCTTGCTCAGAGACCGCTTCACCTTTGCGAAGAGGCCAGACTTTGGCTTGCGCAGGTTCTGGCGGGGCTCTGGGGAATAATAGCTACCACCAGCGCTGCTCACATCCTCGTCGAAAGATTCATTTGTGCGCTGGCTGGAGGAAGGGCGCTGGGTGGAGAAGGACGCAAAGGACGGCTTGTGGGGGAAGCCGAAAGCGAGAGGACCCTTGGGCGGCGGCGTAGGCTATTGGTTGAATTGTTGCGCGGTAGATGAGCTGGGGAGGGGGTCAAGGGGTCAATTTACGCACTGGTTCGTCCTCCGAGCCCATCCACTTGGAGGCTTCAGGGCTGTCTTGGAGCGGGCGCGATGGGAGAAGGCCGGAGGGCAAGCCAGCGGAGGTTAAATAACGTGAGTTCTGTGGGTACCCGTTGGTGACCTGCGCGGCCATGCCTGACGAGATGGAGACAGGGGGGACCGGCGTCTTCGTCGACTTCGTCGTCGTCGTCGTCGTCGACCAAGGCAGAACAAGGGCGGGGTGGCGGGAGAGTAGGCTGAGTGCGAGTCTGAGCGAATCCGAAGCCCGAGACCGGCTGTTCCCACGCCTCCGGCCGGCAAGCGGCCGGTGTGGTCCCGGGAGGCCGGAGAGCAGTGCAACGGGATTTGCTCTGGAACCGCGCCATGCACCCTGTCTCACCGCTTCAGCCCTCCTAGGCCTGGGCGTCCCTCTCTCCATACGCCATGTCCTCTGCCTCCTCGACGTCCTCGACGTCCTCGGCGACCGCCTCCGCCTCCTCCTCCGCCGTCTCTAGCACCCTCCAGACATCTAGCAACCTCAAAGCACGTTACCTCTCTGCTTCTCCGCAGTTCGCGTTTTTAACATCTTGACAATGCATCCCTGGTGGCATTCCCTCCTCTTGTCGCGTCCCCCTCCCACAGATCGTCGGTATCGTCCTCGCCGTCGTCAGCGGCGTTCTCATAGGATGCAGTTTTGTCTTCAAGAAGAAAGGTCTTTTGCGCTCGCAGGCCGGGCAGACCGCAGGCGAGGGTGTAGCTTATCTCAAATCCGTGCGTCTCTCTTCGGCTTTATGCATCAGTCGTGGCTCATTGTCCCCATGCCACTCCGCCCTGCAGGTATTATGGTGGACGGGCATGATCAGTGCGTTTCTCCGTCGTTGACCCCCTCCACCGTCTAGGCGCTCAACGCTGCGTATTAGTGATGATCATGGGTGAACTATGTAATTTTGCAGGTTCGTCTGTTCTCCCTCTTTCTCTAGAGCACTGCTTATGCCACCCCAGCATACGCTTTCGTTGAAGCTCTCCTCGTCGTACGCATCACCTCGCCCCGTCTCGCATTCGCTCCCTCATTTATTCTCAGACCCCTCTCGGCGCGCTGTCAGTAGTGATATCAGCCATGTTGTCCCATTGGATTCTCAAGGAAAGACTCACATTTTTTGGCTGGCTCGGATGCGGGCTCTGTCTTGTACGTTTCTTTCAAAGCACGCCACTTGCTATTGTTCACACCTGACCCACGCGCAGCTCGGTTCAACGATCATAGCGCTCAATGGTAAGCAGAAGTAGTGTCTAATTTTCTCGACTTGAAATGTTTCCTCGCGCTCGGTGCAGGTCCCCAGGAGGACTCAGTGGGCCAAATTAGAGAGTTTCAGAAACTCTTTCTCGCTCCTGGCTTCCTCTCCTACGCCTCGGTGTCCATAGTAGGCGCCCTCTCCATCATATTTTACTTCGGTCCAAAGTACGTGTCTTGTTATTCGAAACATTTCATTCGGATCCCGGCCGGCGCGTGCACCGATTTGGTCACCATGCTCAACCAAGACGCTCCCCACGCGTAGATACGGAAGCAAGAACATGATTTGGTATATCCTCGTCTGTAGCATGATCGGTGGCATCAGCGTCAGCGTAACAACTGGGCTTGGAGCCGCCATCGTGACCACCGCGCGAGGTGATAATCAGGTATCTTCCCGTCTCCCATCGACTGGGTTGCGCCGCGGCTCCTAATCAGTCTTACGTCACAGTTCAAATACTGGTTTATCTATTTCCTAATGATTTTCGTCGCGGTCACACTGAGTAAGTTGTGTCCGAGCTTCTGATCCTCCGCGAGATCTTGACACAGGTTCTGGCTCGCAGTAACGGAGGTATTTTACCTGAACAAGGCACTGGCCCTGTTCAACACTGGTGAGTATCCATCATCATCTATGGCTATCCCGCCGCTGACTCCTCCGTCACAGCTATGGGTAAGTCTCCAAGTAACTTGGAAAGCGCTAACGTTATTCACCTCTTGGCTCAGTGACCCCCACATACTATGTCATATGTAAGTCCGGCATGTTTCTGAATACCTGAGGCATACTTACTATCCGTTCAGTCACCTTTTGTTCCATGGTTACGACCGTGGTACGTCCAAACCGCGTTGACTACACCCATGCACCCCATCAATGAAACTTTGTGTCCAGATCCTCTTCCAAGGGCTTAAAGCGGGCGTCAGCCAAATCATCACCATCGTCATGGCTTTCCTCGTCATTTGCGTGGGTATCACGATCCTGCAGATGTCCAAGGTCGACCCGACCGAGCTAAAAACGCTCGACCGCCGCTCGACTATCCTCCTCCAGGCTGCGCGCAAACAGACTGAGTCCGTCGAAGAGAAGTCGCTTGCGGGCGTCGAGGATCCCGGAATGGACGCGCTGCGCGGCTCCTTCGGCGCTGTCGGGAGCATCATCCGCGCGCGGTCCGCCCACCGCATGTCCCAGTCGTCAGCCCGCGCATCGTCCGTGCGCTCATCTCGCTTCGGCGGGCTCCCGACCTCCCGCTTCGACACCGACCGCACGCTCCCGCCGACGCCTAGCTCGCGGGTCGAAGCGCTCCCGAGCGGGCTGAAGCGCCACCAGCTCTTCGACCCGCCCGTGCCGACGCACTCCTTCTCGTTCGACCTCGACCATCGCGACAGCGACGTGTTCTCGCTCACAAGCCAACCCGGACGCAAGCAAACGATCAAGTTCGACGAGCAGGACACCGTGCACCAGTACCACCCGCCGGGCACTGGCGACGACTCCGCGACGCACGAGCACCGGCTCGCGCTGCACGCTCCGCTCTCGCCCGGGCGCTCTGCCTCCATCATGGCGGACAACGGCTCCATCGCGTCCACGCCCTCGACGTCGACGGGCAACTCGACGATTGGGTCTGCGGTCCCACCGCCGGGCTTGCCGAGCGCACAGCGGCAGAGCGAGGCGGACGTGGAGATACACGGGCTTCGCACGGCGCCGCCACGGTTGGGACTCGGTAACCTGAGCGGGGGCCCGCGCTCAGGCGCGGGCTTACCACCGTCGGGGCTCGGCCTGTCGTCGTACGTGGACCCATTTGAGGGCTCACCGTCGACGACGACGCTCGCCTCGTTCCCCTCGGCATCGTCCACGGCGTCCGCAGCGGCGATGTACGACTCAGAGCGTGCGCGGATAGTTGGGCACGGGCGGTTCGGGCGGGCTTCGGGGTCGGTGAGCAGTCGTGACTATCCGCGCGCGGGCCGCGCGGAGGACGCGGAGGAGCGGGAGATGTTGTGGGGGCGGCGGTCGGAGAGCGATGAGGAGCTCGTTGGCGATGTGGAGGGCGAGCGGGAGGGCGAGAGCGACGAGCGGGATCAGCCGTCGCCACCGCCAGGAGCGATTCGGCTGGTATCGAGCGTGTCGCGGCCGCCACGGTTTTAAGTGCGAGCTGGCGAGGTTGAACGCGTTGTGTACGCTGTGTGTTATCTGGACGCTTATGTTTTGCGCACCCCTGACGGATGGTCGACGATGATGGATTGATGATCTATACATATACGGCCCACCTTTGCCTCCCTTTTTCGCTCGTGTTATTTGCTGTGTCGGCTTTTTCTCTCCGGTCTCACCTGCGACTTATCCACTCCCTCAGCGCTCTTATTATGTTTCCCCTCTCGCCCTCGTTCTCGTCACTTTGTCCCTCCTATCTACTTATTGGTGGCCCCGTGCGAGATGTGCACCCGCATCCCGGGTAGATTTATCTGCCTTGTATAGAGTAGGTTAGGGTAATGATCGAACGTGCTCATGATTAGAACGCACAGGCGGTGCAAACGGGAGGGTCTGCAGTTATCGTTCGAAAGCTCTCGAGAGTTCTTTCTAGGGAGGGGCGCATTATAGGCCCCGCGTCTGTTTGAACGTGCGCGTGCGAGGGGACTCTTGAGGAAATGAACGCCCCTCTGTAGCCCTCTGTTCTCCATCCTGATTCTATAGACCAATAAACGAAAAGGCACGGCGTCCACGAGGTAAGTCTATATGATCTGCTTTCATCTGACATTGAGTATCTGTGCCATGGGTTCTAATCTCGTGTCACCCTCCATGAAAATAGTTTAGAGCTGGAGATACCTTCTCCAATCGATTTCCACATCCGCCAGACGATGGAAGCCTCCGGACATTGTGAGGCCCCTTTCGAACGAATGGCCAAAAGTCGAGTATATGAATTGGATCGGAAATGAAACAACGACGGGAGGCAAGTTGACACAGATGGTGGAGCAAGCAATCTGAGTGACCTGAACTCAAGGCCTTTTGACTTTAAGGGGCACAAGGGGAGACATGATGTAGGATTTGGGGTACGATGAATTTGGCGGGCCGCGGCTTCTGAGCGCAGCTGGCATACTGTCCCCAGGAAGTTAGTGACTTGTGCGCCCCTCGTCCACTGTCATCAAGATAATCCAAGAGCCGAGTCTTCGACGTCTATCGAACACAGCCTTCATTTGCGAACGCCACTCATTCGAAGGAGGGCTAGATAGGACAAGGCATGTCAAATTGGGCAAACTATAACTTGGTAGATAACGAGTACTGTATAACAGCGTACCATGTAGAATGAAACGAACAACAAACCTCGCAGGTGCGCGCGAAAAGACAGCTGTCAATAATTAAAGATGTGTACATCAAAACAATACGAGAGCGGATGAAAGGGGCGCAGCCGAAGTGAAACGATCGAAAGACAAGTTAGCGGTAAGCAGGTAATAGAACTGAACAAGCAGAGCGAGATTATGCGCGAGAAGAGACAGAACAATGATGCACAACTTGAACTAGAACAACAGAAGACTGAGAAGAAATGCGAGCGACGTCTGACAGGAGACATCAAGTTCCAAAACGACAATAAAAAAAGTCCAGAGCAAAACGCATATACGACACGTACGAGATTGAGATATATCAGGTCCTTACCACATCACGAGAATATGAAGAGACGATACAGTAGACGACAGACATCGACGCAAGTAGGTGACCTGACTTCTCGGCACAGTGTTGACGCGATTACAGGTATTGGGCGACTGTTGGAAGATGATCGCTGCGCGATGTGACCAGTGTCGAAGGTGACTGGAGTATCTATTCTTTCTTTGGCTCCGCAGCGGTGGTGCGGCGCTTGCCACGGCGCGACTTCAGCGGGTACTCGCATGGGAGGTTGCGTCGCGCGCACTGGCTAAAAAAAGTACAGAAGGTACAAGAGACGGTCAGCATGTGGTCAATAAATAACAGAGAAGAGGTAGAAAGGGAAGGATAAGCCGATGACATTGTGGGAGGGGATAAGCTGAATAGCACTGTGAAAAGGAGACTCAGGGGTAGAGCGGCAGGCACGGATGGAGCAACCTCGAGCCCCCTAGAGCCTGCACATGGATGCATAGATGTTAGGCTTGACCGACGCGCCGAACGTGAAGGTGAGCGGTCTTGGAATGAGACTAACATAGATGTGGATGATGGCGAATACTGGTGCGATCACCGATAAGAGCACCCCCCTTCGCGTCTCAAGACAAGCGCAGAGGCTCGCAACGGGATCAGATGCCCCATGATCCGCTATCTCGAATCCACGATCTGTGCTGTCCCATCGTGGTCTTTTAGGAAAGAAGGCTCGTGAACTCGAGGAGGACGCGGAATATGTACGGACAGATAGCGGAGGCATCTGGAGGCACCCGCATGCATGCATCCGCAACTGGCCCATCTTATAGCATACCATGCGCATGCGCAACGTACACCCATCCACCGGGTCTACACAGTCCCGTCTGGCCACGACACGAGGTCACTTCAGGACGGATGGGTGGGACTCGGGGCTCGAACTGGGACTCGAGACTTCGGAAGAGTCGGGTCAGACTGGCCCGTGGGTGCTTAAAAGCATTCCCGTACCTGTCCCCCTTTCGATTCTCGAACAATCCCCCAGTACTCCCCTCAGCACGTCGCCATCAACGATGCACAACATCCACTCACATCCATGCAAGGTGCGAAATCTTCCTATATATGAAAAAATAACTCACTTGCACGTTCGATCCTCACTATCCGGCGGTGGGGGGCAACACGCGATCTTGCGGCCGCGGCAGAAAAAGCATGCAAGGAAAGGCTGCTTCTTCGAGCCCCTCCGCGCCTGCGCCCGTGCCCCTGACCCCGAACTCAATCCCGACGCATGCGGTCCCTCACCTCTACCCTCGCTCTCACCCTCGCCTCCGCCCTCGCCCTCATCCGTCGGCCCATGCGAATGCGCGCGGGCGTGGAATTGCCTCACAATAGCGGCCTTTGCCGCCTGCTTCTTGCGCTGCCTCTCGCGCAGGCGATGCGAGCCCTCCATCTGTCCCTTGCCTTTGCCTGTGGCTCTGCCCTTGTCCTGACTTGGCACCACATATTCATCTTCCGAGTTGATAGCAGGTCTGATGCCGATGCCCCTATGCGCGCAGGGTGGCGGCAAAGGCCGAATTGTGACGAACCGCCGGGGGGACGTGACAGTTATTCCGTGGGAGTGTGAGCTTGTCGGCATCGATGCCGCGGCTGCGGTCGGGGAAGCGCTTACGGCGGTGGGCAAGACTAGTGTATCTGTAGTGGCGGCGGCGGCGCCCTCTGCCTCACCGTCGTCGTTGACTCCGTTCTTGATGAAGGACTTAGCGGCCTCCCACAAGCCAAATGCGGAAGGAGTGGCTGGTAGATCCCCGTGTGGCCCGAAGGCGCCAGGATGCCGGGCGGATACCTCATTAGTGGCGGTAGCGCTGACAGGAGCACTCTCCTCGATGTCCGGCACTGGTGCGTACGTATACGGGGCGGCGGTATCCTGAGAGGTGGTTTCCGCACCGCCGATGATGTACGGTAGCCCGTACGGGAGGTGGTCGATAGGTAGCAATGCTGCTGAGACTACCTCGCGTACCTGCGCCTGCGTCGCCGCCGGGAGTTCCGCCACTTGGGGTACCTTTGCTTCAAGCGTCAGAGCCAGGAACTGCGGGGCTGCATAGGTCGTGCCAGTGCCAGTGAGAGATGATGAATCCGTTGAGGTCGAGGTCACGCTCGTACCCTCTTCGTAAGTGGTGTAGGAGGTGAATGCGGCATCCTCATCCTCGTCGGCATCGGCATCTGCGTCCAGGTCGTATTGCTCATATCCGAATCCGAATCCGTACCCGTACCCATATTCATACGACCCGTTGTTGTATATGCTGCCCTGCTGCTCACCAATCCTAATTAGCTCCGCCAACACCAGTTAGACTATTGGTCGCAGATTTACCTCGTTCTCATTGACAGCAACAAGGTCTGCGACCTGCTCTAGCTGACGTGTTGTCCCGGAGCCACTATAGGAGGTCGGTGTCAGCGCGGAAGCGAGCGAGGAGGCGGAGACGACGGAGAGCGCCGGTGTGGAAGTGAGCGCGGGACCCTCCGTGATTCCAGGTGAATAGGAGGCAGATGCGGCTGTGGTTGCGATCGAGGTGGAGAGAGGCGTATGCGCAGCACCGATGGGGTACCCGTACGCGTCGACGTATCCGTGCGCGCACCCGTACGCGAGGGTGGTTGGCTGCATGTATAAGTTGGAGTGCGAGTGGGCGTAGGAATACCCAAGCGTGGGAGAACCAGAGGAGGAAGACCCTACAAGGGCGAGCGGGCTACCTTGGTTGTACATCTGAAACCCGTTGTGTGTCGACCAAGAGGACGCGGAGGCCGAGGCAGCCAGGGCAGTGGGGAGGCCTTGATATTGCTCAGCAGACCAGTAGGTGGGCGAGGCGGTGCCGTCGTGCTGAGCGTTGGCAAACTTTTTTGCATTGTCATACTACGGCGGTCGATTGAATGATGAGGGTTAGCGCAATCTGATACATACATAGCACATGGAAGCGACTGAGGACTAACCTGGTAAGCAAACAACTCGGCGGGAGAGAGCGGTGGGCGCATGGTTTCCAGCTGCTCATGTTCATGCCCGCGATCTTGCGTCTGCTCCGTCTTCTGGTGTTCAATTTGTTCAGACTGGGTGAAAAGATACCCCCATTGCTGCGAGTAGTAAGCTGGTGGGAGCTGATGATTCGACATGATTCGATAGACGATCGACCAGAGAGTGTGTAAAAGAGGAAGGCGTAGGGGGTGAGACGTGAGAAATCAGCTGCTGGTTCAAGGAAAGCGTGTCAGTGCGCGAATACGAGCGAGATGAACAACACTCACATAGCGAGACGCGGGTTCAAATACCAGAGGCCTCAAGGAATTCAAGGCTTCCAGGATGGTTCCAGACGCCCGGGGTACCATGAAAATCAAATTGAACGACATGCATCTGAATAGGAATAAAGTCCGAGTGGAAGATCGAATCGTAACCGCTTGCGACCGAGCTTGTTGGGGCCTGAGCTCGCACGAAAACTCAGAAGACGAATACGGGCGTAGCCACTGCATAGCCCTGCGGAGGCATTGGATGCATGCCGATCTCACGTGATGCATCGAAATCTCGACATGTCAAATCAACCGTATCCACCACTGATTGAAAAGCCCTTTCGCGATGCCCAGTAAACAGCAACTAGCTGGCAATAACTGGCGAGCCCGCGAGCAAGCAGAACAAAGCGTCGGCGATCCTAATGAAGGGTCTTTGTTTCGGCCTGACTTACGAGGCGAGCATAGATCTGCATGGACGTACTGAGCTCGGTTCTATTCTCCAATCCCCACCGACGTCAACCTTCAAAACTCCTTGGATTCTCTCCTTGCAATCAATCAGGCAGACATACGGGGCAAGCTGACAAGCGTGCCCGTGATTATCATCCCTTTTTCTGATAGGTTGGCGAGTTTGATGACATATCCCCTCGTTGACGCGCATCGGAGCACAAGCTAGTGCAAGACGTATTGTATTGTCGTCCTCGAAACTGAAGCCCGACGCGAATCACCGGGCTATTAAAGACCCGTACCGCGCTTCCACAGTGTCTCCCTGCTCCGCCGCGCAGTTTGACAAGCACACGAGGACAACACAATTATATGGCACCGATCGTGCAGCGCGTCCCGCAGAGAAGTAACTATGCAAACGATGGTATGTCCCAGTGACATGCTATACAGATTTCATACATTCCATGTTGACCGGGACCTATGTTTACTTTTGGACACGCCTCGAATAGCGGTGATGAAGCGCCACGCTCGTCTCTCCAGCACCCCGGCACCATTATCAGAGGACTCCCGACTGCCAGTGCTCTTACAGATATCTCAGATGTACACCTCTCAGTGAGTACAGAGAGTTTACCGAGCAGCCCGATGTCAGCCCTGAATGTATCAATTATCGAACAGGTGTCTATAAACAAATCGATCGACTGTCGTTTTTGCATAGTACATGCACGCTTAGCTCGGATATATCAAAAATTGATGCTGCATGATGATTCTTCAACGCTACGATCGCATTCAGTCCCAATGACCTTTGCTGGTAGTTGCTGCACAGGCTCGTGTGCGACCTAAAGGCCTAAGTATCCATTGATATCAGGCTCGTACAGGGTACAAGAGGGGACGTTCCAGCTAGGACTTTCCAGTCCCATCTACAGCTCCGGTGAAAAAGCTTGAGCTTTGTAGCCTCGACGCTTCGAAATGAGAATTCCGCTGGGTGCTGGCGTGCTGGACACACTGACGCACGCAATCGTTGGATTTTTAAGACTGCACCCGGACGACATGCGATCTTCGTTTCCTGATCCGTTCCTTTTTTCGTGCTCTCGATCACTGATTTCCTATCCCGACGCACGTTCGTGGTTTCTTGTTAGGTCCTATCAGCTCGCAACATCGTTATCGGTCGTTCGCTCGATTATTTATGATGGGACGTCGCAAACCATTACTTCAATCCAACCCAGTAAATTTACTCTCCACCATGCCTCGCACACACCTTAGCTGGTAAGTACTTATGATATATCTACGTGTGTCCCACTGTCGCACGGGACGCTGCTCATTCACTCGCTAAACACGTCTTCTAACTTACCACTACTACTTAGTAATTCCATCGCTTTCTTTGCCTGATATACACCCACGAAATCAACTTATATATCGCAGTCGGCCGCCGCAAGAGTTATAAACAAACGTCACAACCGGACCGATACTTGGTTTCTGCTGAGCCAGTGCTCTTTCACGTACAGAATCGCAATGTGCATCTCATCGTCTTACCAGTCCCTCATCTATGTTTAGCTTACGATTTCCCCACAGGGCCTAGTGCCATTCCAGCAGTGCACGCACACTTTGCTCCTCCGCCGAGATGTAAGTCCAGTTAGTCGGCTCCGTAGACATACTCACTTAAGTTATTTTCAAAGTGCTTCGCAGTGTCAATAGAACCGCTGTTACGTGCACTGTGTGCATCCGTGCGTGCCTACTTACTACCGAGCCTAAACCTTCCCTGGATCCAGGCGGATCATCGAGCAAGATCCTAGATTGTTACTGCACGTCGAAGGAGTTTGGCCGTTGTAAGTCGGATGTTGTTCCGTTCCGAGTGGTAGGTGCCTGCGAATTCAAGCCATGCCGAAATCGCAGCGCAGGTGTATTTGGACTCTACACAGACTCCATGCTCGAATGAAAATCTATCCTCGAGCCACCATGCTGCGTTCACGTTTCTAGTGGAGCATCGCTTCAGGACGCCTTTCAAGCGACGTCTCATGGCTGAAAGAGCACTATTTTAGTAATGATCGCTGGACAGAACCGTTTCCTTCCATGAATTCGCGAATAACAAGCAACAAGATGACTGCCCCGCGCTTCTAGGTCCTACCCAGCGGCTAGTAGTCATATTGCGACTTGGGCGTGCCGCCACGTCTCTAAGTCACTGGCCTACTCGAAGACTCTCTTTCTGACCCATTCATCGAACTCATGGACACGGACACTCACTAGTCACTGGCCAGGACCTATGCCGCACTCCGCGTTGAATGCTTGAGAACGGCACGCAATAAGAAAATGAATTCTTGCTCACAATGAGGGGAAGCACGACACCAACATTGATGTTTCATGAGTCCGAATCACCCTGACTGTGTGCATTCATGTGCAGTCATTCAACCCATCTCGAGGGTCACACATGATCTACAGCTGACCCGACCCTGGTTTTCAAAAATCTTATAATTCAATACAAAAGCGGAAAGGTCATGACGGGCTCTTTTGCCTCAGGCAAGACGATGTATGCAGTGCGCGTAGCTTTTCCGTTTGCGAGGAGCACGACGTAAGGCATCACGTCGCATTGGAGCACGTATTCTGCAGGCACGAGGTTCCTGTACCGGTATTCGAGGCCACAGAAAATGATCTTTTTTGGGCGGGACGGGTGCTTGTGCCTGCCCTGCACCCGGATGCGGTTGCGGATGGCGACCTCGTTCTCCACCTGCGGAGCAGAAAGTAGGCAGGAATGAGAGCCAAAAGTCAGCGCCGATATTGCAGGATCTACGCCACGAAAATAAAAGAACGAACTGTATGACACGAAAGCGAAGCAGGAGATGAAACTGGACCCGTAGATACGTTTCGACGAGAATAACGATCGAAATAATTCGCCGTGAACTAACCGTAGTTTGTTGCTAGGTCACACCCGATAAAAACGCAACTCGTTGCTTGAACGCAATACCCGACGTCAGATGTCAGTGGCGGAGGCCCAACGCCACACATCTCAATCCTCATTTTGAGTGCTTCAACCTCATAAATCATGATGTCGTGTACGACCACTCCTGCTCGACCAAGCTGGACTAAGGACAAGCGCAGACGATACCTGTGCCACATAAAGTAGTTTCTACTCCGCTAGGCGCTTTCGGTGACTCAGATACGCACCGGGTAGCATGCCGAGTGCGCACGAGCCAACGAGGGCAAAATCTCAAGGCCTCGCTCGCCAAAGCGACAAGGGTGAAGATAGAATGCAAATGCAACACTCACTCAATCTGCATTAGGATAGCCCGCGCGGACTGGGAAGATGGCTTCGTGTCCCAGAAGAAAGGAGGCGCGAGACCTATGTTTGTCCAAATCCAAGCCTGAATTTGCGTTCGGCTGCATTCAAGATTGAGTCGAAGATACGAGCCGCGCTCGGCGAGCGTTGCGAGAGTTCGGATCAGGTACAATAGGTCTATGAGTGTACATGGGTGTATAGGCACGAGGTTATTGAATTGCACAGCAGGCTGAGAAGCGTGGGCGAAGGGCAAAGGATAAAGGGTCAACCGAATCGTGCCGGATCAGGTGAACGAGCAGCATTGCAAAGACGGATAGTACATCATCAGTTGTAGGGTCGTAATCAGAGCCAGTGGAGCAAGTGCGGAGAGTGTGCGGAGGGAGACTTCTCGGCGGATCATGCACGTTGCACAGTAAAGGAAAGAGACCGCCCAGGTTTAAGCTGACGAAAGCGAAGCCCTGCGTGCGGTTCAATGCGGCGCATTTGGCCGGTGAATCTGTGCGAGGATATAAGAGTTGAGCTTAGAACAAATAAATGGAGGGGAAGAGAAAATGTTGAGATATAAACGGTAAGGATTTCACGATGAGGGGATGCGAGACCTGGTATTGCAATCTGATAGAGAAACACGCCATCGTAGCAATGATCGATCTGAGAACGAACGCCAGCACAGCTAGCAGCGGGACGGCTTCTGGGCGCCGGGCGCGCTGGCGTGTGGATCGACTACTGAACTTTATGAAGCGGGGCGGGACAGCGCACAAATGACACATAGTCGGGCGATGTCACGGTCGTGGCCACCATGATGAATACGTAGTGGATATATGCGCGATCGTCGGAGGCCTTGCCAAACGGGGGCCGCTGCGGGAGGTTGAGGAGGTGGGTGTTCGAAAACGTGATATGCCGTCTTCCTACGCATCTTATCCTCAACGGAGATAAAACAGAAGTACATACCTGTTGCTTCTGAGATGTACCCACACAAAGTCCACCTCCAGCGATAGGTGAAACGGACTGCGGCAATGACAGATATGCAAAGACATGGCTTTGGCGCACAAAGCAGTGCGCAGAAATAGAAACCGCCCAGGAGAGGCGACAGAACACAGGGGACGCAGACAGCTGACGATACGTTCAGCGTGCCCCTTGGGTTTTCCATGAATAGAAAAGACAGACGCTTGATATTTGCGAGGCGAATCACCATGTAATAGGTCGAGAAGAGGATTGCTATTATGATATTAATATGTGTGTATAAACTATCCATCGTCTTCACGGTTGAAATCTGGATGCCGGCCGAAGGAGAGTGAGTATGATTGGGCGCACGCAGTGCTGCTGAATGCGAAACTGGGAACAAAACAGCAGTTCTTTGTTGAAGTCAGCACTGGAGACTAAGCGCGCGGTGTCGTTCACTCAGCGCTGTTAGCTCTCACGCTATTTGTATAGAATCCTCTCTTCGGTCAGACTATCTTGTCGTCACCACAGCCCTCCGGGCACCATTTTGCACCCACTGAGGTGACACATGAGTCGTTAGGCAAGGGGTGTTATCAATGGATGTAATACTCAATTCACCGCTGGAGGCCGAGGGCGCTTACAAAACTTGTATGGAACGGTTGACCCCATGAATTGTATGTGTTTCTATCAATTTCTTTTCTTCTTTCCTCTGCATTATTTTCAGCGATGACGCAGCTATCGTCAGTATCACTCTTGCCTCACCGACGCTCCCATACTAGACGAGGTTACGCGATCAATTTGGGCGACCTAGGCATTTCGACGGATTCGAATCTGCGTTGTTGAAAGTCTAAGGTCTTAGACCTGGTCGAAGTATTCGTTTTCCATTGACATTACATCTCTCGATAGTGTGGACTGATATCCCCTTGACCACATTCACCGCTTTCCATAGTTTTCCTGTAGCTTCTGCAGCTTGTCATCGTGCGTCTGTGGCTATCTGTGGCTCTTCAGTTATGGAAGTGACACCCTGCCATCTTGGCCCTTGGGCTCTCCGCAGCGCCCACATGGACTTGCGGTTTCATTGGTTGTATGTGCCGAGAGACATGAGTAGCCACTGTGCTGCGGTTTTTTTTAATGCATCGCATAGGGACAATATACTCACTAGGCTCACATCTCACGATGTATGCAAGTATCGCTACCTATAGATGGTGTTCATTTTATCATCTCACGGTCATTCTGGCTCGAATTCCTTTTGGTTCTTGTCTCTTCGACCGAGCTTGGTTGCGACGCACCCTGATACGATGATAGACCTCTGCTGCCCTCTGTGGGTGGCACGTCGTGCTCTCGTCTATCTGGTTCATTTATCATAGACCGCCTTCAAGCATCCATGTTTACATCCCTTCTAGCCAGCATCCAAAGGCCAAAGGATGTCCTATCATTTCACCCACGTGTCTGTGCTCCTCTTGTTCCAGTGGGCTCTTGATGTCTAGCTTTGACGCAGATCGCGCGCTCCTGCTGACGCCCTGCTCACAACTCTACGTGCTGCGGAGTGAGCGGACTCGTCATCAGCTGGCCTTCCCATTCGTGCCGATGACACACTCCTTCTCACTTGACAGCGACTGGGTCATGCACGCACGGGCGACGACACACCAACGGGCGATGGATATGAGGCTGCGCAGGGCATGTCGCGCTTGGGACTCAGTTAGATAGGGGCCCTTGATCAAGAACGGGCATCCGCCATCCGGGCTTAGGCTCTCCTCATACGCAGACTGGTTTGAAGGCTCGCTTCCTTTACGTTCGCATATTTAACGGCATCCGCAGCAGCGATGTAGTATGAGGAGCGCGCCCGGATTTTCGCGCATAGACAGCTGTATCAGCAGTTCGGGCGCGTGTCGGTGTCGGTGCAGTCGTGATTCTCCCCGCGCGTGCCGCGCAGAAGACGCAGGGAAGTGGGCGAAACTTTCGGGACAGTTGGACAGCAAGGAAAAGCTTGGGGAAAATGGCGATGGCGAACGGTGCTCAGCTCCCTGCTCTTCCTGTCGGTCCTTTCTCGCTCTCGCTCTCATTCTCGCTATTTTGTCCCTCCCTTCTAATTATAGGTGGCATCGTGCGAGCTGTGCACCCGCATCTCGGAAAGATCTGTCCGTCTTGTGTAGAGCTAGTGGTGCAACTGAACGAACACGTTCACAACCGGAATATGCAGGCGGAGACTCAGCTGCGACTCGATCCACGGATTGCAACCCCGAAGAGTCGAAGTACCCTACGGTTGCACATCTCTATGGATGTGAACGGTTGTCGCGCAAGAGCCTTGAAGAGCACCTTCGTGGACAAATAGAGACGCCCCGGCTTCTGCCGGAACATTTCTTGCGCCTGCAAGCCTGTTGCAGTGCGTCCTGTACCGACTTTGTCGACTGACAGGCACGGGGTAAGTCGGTTGTAATCATCCGATGTTGATTCCGCGCCATGAGTTCCAACTTCGTCTCGCTCTTTTAGGTTCAAGTTCAAGGCCCAGAAGCAGCTCAGAGCAGTCGGACCTTCTCCTATTCATGTTCATATCCGACCTGAAGCCTAAGGGCATTCTCAGTCTCCTTTTGAACGAATGTCTGCGAGAATGAACCCATGCTTACACGTCCCGGGGGGCAATGTGCTATGGTCGAAAATTAAGTAGTGACGGAAGGTAACTTCATTCATGTTGGAGTTAGTGGCTCTGGTGACTAGAGCTTAGGAGGCCGGGGAGACAGCTCGTAGGTTCTTGGATGTCGTATTTCCGAGTGTAGACGACGAAATAGGCATTAGGAAGGAGTTAGCACACGAAGGAGGCCGTCCAGCGACCTACTTTATATTCAGCGTCGATCGATCGCCTTCCTCATTTCCGACGAGGATCCGTTTATTTAAACGACTGGGCATGGTAATGCAACTATAATTGGGTTAAATGGAAACAAACAGCACACTAGCATTCGACAAGATGGAACCCATGTAGAGCAAGAAGTGTGATGGGCAAAACGCGGAGACAAACGAACAGATAGGTGTCAAGAAATAGCAATATACATGATAACAATGCGAAAGCGGCAGCGGAATCAGCGAAGAGCAATAATGACTACAAAGACGACTATGATTTGACAGGCAGTAGATGTATACAACAAAATAACGACGAGTAACTCCGATAGACTATACGCAGAGAAGTTTGAAAAACGAGATATAACAGGATAGGAGACATTACAGTCCGATACAATAGCGAACAAACCACCAAAAGAAAACACATGCAACAAATGCGAACCGAAGTGTATCAGGACTTGCTATTTCGCGATAACGAGACATGACAATGCAGGATGATAGACGTGGACGAGACTGGGTAGCCGCACAGCGCACGCTTGGACATCGATAGCAGACCCGATGCACAATGCAGGCGGCATTGAGGCGGATATTGAAAACCGAGTCTACGCATCCTCTTGCACGGCAGTGGTTGTTCGGCGCTGGCCACGGCGCGACGTTAGCGGATAATTGCAGATGAGCTCGCGCCGCGCGCACTGGCTAGAAAGCGGGGGACGGTCAGCGCGCGGTCAATGACAAATCAACCAATACGAAAGAACGGAGGGAAGGGAGCCGACGAAATCTCGAGACTGGCACTGAGGAAGGGGTGTGATGACAGAAGGTAAACAAAACCCGCTTGATCGATGTCCCTGAGGGCCTCACGGTGCCCACTTTGCCTGCAGCAGGGCGCGGACTATGATGGGTGTTGGCTCGATCTCTCCGATAAGAGCTCGGCCTTGTCCTCGCTTCAAGACGAAGACGAGGCAGGACGAGGTGGGACCTCGGAACAGGATCGGATGCCCCACGATCCGCTATCTAGAAACCCACGACCTGTGCTATCCCATCGTGGACCGTGTGGGTAAGAGAGGAGCAAGAGGGCCTGTGGAGGATGCAAGAGGGCGGTGATCACGCCTGCTTATACCACTCGTATACCCACCAGTCGGGCCAACAACCCTTCCGTCTGGGTACGGCACGAGGACAGCCATGGACGGATGGGCGGAACTCGGTAGGATTGGGGCTCAAGGATTCGGAACGGCCGGGTTAGTCGGGCCCGTGGATGCTTTAAAGCCTCCCGGATCTGCCTTCCTTGCCCATCCCCTACCATCCACCCCAGGGCCTCCACCTATAGCACCCCCGTAGTCCACCCGGTAACGGTCCCAGCCACATAATGCGACATCCATCCATGAATCCATCCAGTGTACGACAATCCACGACACAAGATATGTACTCACTTGCATGTCCGATCTGCACTCCCTGGCGGCGGCGGTCCACACGCGATCTTGCGTCCACGGCAAAAGAAACACGCCAGGAAAGGCTGCTTCTTCTTCGTATCTTGCGCCTGTGCTCCCGATCCTGACCCCGACGCCTGCAACTCCTCGTCGTCGTGCATTGCCGCATGAGACCCTGCGCACGCCTGGAACTGCCGCATGACAGCAGCCTTCGCTGCGCTCTTCTTGCGCTGCCTCTCGCGCTCGCTATCGCGGTGCGAGCTCTCTGCCTCACTCGGCTTCGTGTATGCCCTGCCTTTGCCTTTACTGACAGCTTTGCCCTTGCTAGCAGCCCTCGCTCGGCCCTTGCCCTTACCCGGCATCACGTACTCGTCGTCGTCGTCATCGTCCGATGCTTCGTCGATTTTGATGCGGCTGCCGCTGGCGAGCGCGAAGGGCTGGATTGCAGCAGATTTTGAGATAAAATGGGTGCTCGTCGCGAGAGTGTGTGAGCCCGTCGACACCGACGTGGATGTCGACGCAAAGGGTGCACTCATGGCGATGGGGGAAACTGTGGTCAGTGCGGACATCATGGCGGCGGCGGTCTCTGCGTCGTCATCTGCGTCGTCATCTTCGTGCTTGATGTGGAACACGGCAGGGGTGGACTCAATAGTATCCTCGCGCTTCATACCGAATGCGGAAGGGCTCGTCGGTAGGTCGAGCGCGGGCGGCCCGGAGGCGCCGTGCCGGTCCATAGACACCGAGCTTGCAGTGGCACCAGTCGTGCTCGGGTGAGATATCGTGGCCGCTGTGTCCAGGTCCGTGATGTCTTTGGAGCCGGAGTTCATGGTGTACCGTGGCTGGTATGGGAGATGGTCCATCCACGGCGACGCCGCGGTGACCATCTCCGGTACATGCGCCTGGGGATCCACCTCTCTCTCCTTGGGCGCCGGAGCCAGGACCTGCGCGGCTGCATGGACCACATCTGAGCTAGCGGGGGCTTGCAAATACATCGTGTAGGACGATGCGCTACCCTTCCCGAATGTGTGGTGTGTGTCGATATCCCCGCCTACATGTGCAGGCTCGTCGTCGTACTGGTAGCCGTATGCATCATGCCCGTATGTCGATTCGCCATCGTACACAGTGTCATACTGTGCGTCAGATCCGATGAGGTTCGTGCACCACCATTTAGAGAAAAGGGTTTGACTTACCTCGTGTTCGATCACCACGGAGGAGTGATCTGCTTCTTCTACTGGCGCAGCGCTGATATAGGGGAATGCGAGGGCGGCGGCGAGCGAGGAGGACGAGGTGGAGGGGGTCGCGGAGGGGATGACGGACCCTATTGTGTCCACAGTCGAAGTCACAGCCGGATAATCCAGTGAGTACTCATTGGCAGTGGAGGAGGCGCCGAGTGGGTACCCATCTGAGTCGATGTGTTCGTATGTGTAGCCGCACGTCGGCTGCGTATACACGTTCAAGTGGGAGTGGGCATAGGTGTACCCAAGCGTGGGGGAGGTGAATGAGGTGGGTCCTGCGAGGGTGAGTGGGCTAGCCTGATAGTCCACTTGCTGCGCATCGTATACCGGCAAAGGGGAGGGAGCGCCTTGGTACTGTTCAGCAGGCCAGTACGTGGGGGAGGTGGCGCTGTGGGGAGCGTGGTGAGTGTCAGCAGCCTGCATCGTATAGTCGTACTGCAGCAACCGAGCGCAAGGAGAATGACAGTGGTGATCAGTATGAGAGCATCGTGAGATGAAAGTAGAGGCTACCTGGTAGGCGAAGAGTTCGGCAGGAGAAAGCTGCATCTGCTGTGACTCCTGCTCGTAGTTTTCGGCCTGCTCGGCCTGAGGGTAGTTGTAGGTCCATTCTGAAGTCGACATAATAACGTATGAAGTATGTCGGAAACTGTCGAGGTGAAAGCCGAAAGATTACACAGACGAGAAAGCACGGGAGGTTTACTTGCTGGGCAAGGGAGTTGTCAGCGAATGGGTGGGCGAGCGACGCTCGAACTGGAAGAGGTCATCGGTAGAAATACTAAGACTCCGGAGTACCCCCAAGCGCCTACTGGTGAGCCGTGCAAATCGAATCGAACCGGATCTAGATCTGAATAGAAATGATTCTGAGCGTAACTAGCAGGGCCCTGAATTTCTTTGGGAAGATCAACAGGATCAAGCCGACCAGAGCCGACTGTGGGGTATTTCAAAAGCGCGGAACCAAATTGACCTCGCTTGTTGCTAGTAGGACGCTGAGCAGCTCAAAGTGTCCTATATTCAAAGCTATGGGCTCGATAAGCACAGGACTCACGCTGAAGCAGATACGATGTGAGGGCGAGACATGGCGAGAAGTTCGCGTGGGCATGAGCGTGGACGCGGACATGCCAAGTAAGAGGTTCGCTTGTGTAAAGCTATGCCCCATTTGACGAGTTCTCCTTGAATCCATAGACACCGAGCGCACGCGCGTCCTATCCTCAATTCCTTTCGATTCAGTACGACTCAATCAAGCGGTAAGTATCGTCGTCCTCAAAACCGAAAGGACACACCTGAAACCTTGGCATCGCTCCTCCTCGCATCCGCTTTTCCCGTGCCATGGATTATTCGTAGATCGACTTGCAGCAAGTGCATTACGACATTAATCATGCAGCGATCCGATTCGTACGTCGCGATGCCATACCCACAGAATTGAGGAAGATGCTCACAAGAATCTGAGTCTTCTCCCAGCAGGGTCAGAGCTCGTCGCTTCTTCCATTGAGTGCTTCACTGTCCAGTGGCGTCGCGCTGCTCAATTTTCAGGATGCATGATGACTCGGACACCACCTACGCCGATTGAACTACGCTGTCCAATTGATACAGTGCATGTTACTTGAGTACTTGGTACTCAGCATCCAAAATGCATAGATTGGGCTCCTTCCACTCATGGCGACGTCACGCGCTTGATGCCACCAATACGAAGGCCAGATCTGATGCGGCGCGACGGTTCTGAGGGGACGCGATCGCATTCAGCTGACAGTAACTTCGCTGCTGGCAGACGACCTATCAATTCCTATCAGATTGCCAACCCCCGGTTCCATTCGAAGATCCTTGCAATCCGTCTCCACGCAATATATTTACAATTGCGTCCTGTACTGAGTGATGTCCGATTTGCTTGTTGCTCAATCCATTGGGGCCAAACACCCTCAAGTAGGAATCACGGCACGAGCGCATCGCCCACGTGTCTTCGGTTCCTTGACAGCTTGAATATACAGGTCATTCTTTCGATTGACGTTTTGACCCTATGCCCTGCACGCTTCTTTCAGCAGGAAGACACGCGGGAAACCATGCGCAGTGCAGGGATATTTTTGATCCTGATTTTCCTTGTAGCACGGGGCGTTGGCCCAACCAGCAGGCTGTGCATCACCCTGCCGATAATCCCGATGTACGTGAATCACCTCTCTCCATCCGTTTACCAACATCATACTTGTGAGGTGCTTCGGCGCCGATAGGATGCGTCACATCGCAGACCCCCTTTGTAACACCAGGTCGTCTTTCCCGACCACCAGCAAAGTGCGCACCGTGTGGCGGGTCGCCCTGGTGAGGCGGCGGCCGCATCCGAGACAATGCATAAAGCATCCGCGGAACCGTCTACTTCGCTGAGTCCCGAATCCTCATCAGGCAGCCTGTCGTGCCGCAGTGCGCCACATGCGCCATCGCGAGCATCGATCGTCGATTGACCAAACCGACTTGTGGTGGGTGCTGATTGAGCTTGATCGACTGACTCTTTGCTTCCGGTTCCAGAATCGCGACTCCTATCCAGCTGAACAGAGAGCCCTACATGGCCTAGCACGCCCTCGTTACGCTTCGCTTTTTTGTGTGTAAGCCATACACACACAATTGCTTACCGCACTGCCTTGTGAACTACTTAGTCGAGGCGCTTCTTGAAAAATTGTGTACGTACATTCATGTACACCTACCTACCCCCGAGTCTAACCTCTCTTAAAACATATCATCTGCAAGGGACACTTGTCGTGTGAGAATAATGAGCCTGGGCGGTCCGCCCACTCGGAGAGTCCAGAGCAGGGCCTTGAATCAGGTGCTGGCTGACTTACCGCCACGCATGTTCCACATGCATTCCACGCCCTCGTCATGTTCGGTTCCCTTCCGCCATCATCGGCCAGCGCTCCGAGGAGACTTTCGTCCGTTATTACGAGGTTTTGCAGGGGCGTGTGCGTACCTAATAGGCGAATAGCTGATGCGAGCCGTAGTGTACATGCCCCGCGCGCCTCCGCTTCACCCAGCGGCTAGTTACGGTGAAACGGGTTGGGCCCGCGGCACGCCGTTCGCTTATTTGTATACACACCTAGACATTTGGTGCTGCATTTTAATGAGAACCGAAGTTACATTCGCAGCATCACAATACTGCGAAACATGACATGATGATATGGATTTATCTGCACAGACCACCCACCCAATTGTGCTCCACCATAGATTAATAATGGCGCAATTCCAACTCCCCACTCCATTGGCTCCAGGGAAGCGGCAGGGTCATGATAGGCGCTCCTTTGCCTCGGGAAATGGTATGGGTGTTGTGCGTGCAGCCTCACCGTACGTGAGGAGCCCTACGTACGGCATCAGATTATACTTCAGCGTGTACTCTGCAGGCTCTGGGTTCCTGTGTTTATCAGAAGGTCATTAATACTTAATTCGCCGAGTGCAGAGACAAGATAAAGGCTGAAGGGGGATAGAGACGTACCGGAATTTTTCGGACGGGTCACGAAACGGGTATTTATTTTTGCCTTGCACTTGTATGTACGCGTCCTCCTTGCGACGAACAATACGGTCCCATATGACGACCTCGTTCTTCACCTATGGCGAAAGAGATAAGGGAACAAGGCAACACAACAAAGTCAGCACCCATATTCTTTGATCCACACCACGAGATTGAGGCGTAAATCAAAACGAATTGAATGAATCACAACCGAGATGAAACTTCACGAGATATAGTATCGCGCGCGTGAATACAAAGCGACGAAAGCCACGATACCAGGCGTAAAAAAGTAGTGCGTGTCCTGACGTCGGGTTTCCGTTACGTCGTCCAACCTGTGCATCTAGCGCCACACGTATCAGCGTTTTATCAGGACGCAGCCAGGTCGGCTGAAGGACTTGGCCTTGGCATTGGAGGTCAATTGTCCTTGGTAGAGGCTAAGGACAAGGACAAGAGGCGCCAGACCAGGACCTCAATTGCGTTCGGCAATTTAAACACACGCTCGGGGTCGGGCATCACACCGAGCGCGCATCAACCGAGGGCAAAGAAGCCCTGGCTAGGTTGGATACAAGAGAGTTAATATTAAAAAAATGACAAAGGCTCACCCCTTTCGCATTAGTGTATTCGGCGCCAACATACAGGAATAGCTGCTTCGTGTTCCAGTTGAAGAGTGGTGTCAAGTCTGTTATGTGTTCGAATCCGATCCGGTTTTGTGTTCGATTTTGCGTTTGGCGTGCAGTACGCGTGGCGCACGATAAGGATCCAAGATCAGAGGAGATGGGGAGCGGTTGCCAATTTATGGACGGGTGTACACGAGGACAAATGAATGGGATAGCGGAGCCGATTGCATAGCGGGAGGGATCGCCAGATTATGGGTCAAGTGAACGAACGGCGTCGCAAAAGCGGAAAAGGGATAGATTAGCAAGCATACAGGGTGACGATCGCGACAAACGCGGAAGTAAAGTAGGTGACTTGTGTGCTATGATGGAGAGGGAAATGAGACTACCAGACTGACCAGCAGTGAGGTTGAAGTTGACGAAAGCGAAGTCTTGCGTACGTCCAGGTATGCGACGTGTTTGGCCGGGAAACCTGTACGACGGCGGAGGTGAGCAGGCGATGATGTAATTTCAGAACATAGGACATATCAAAACATGCGAGACAGCGATAAAGATGAAGCTAGAAATAGGAGACGAAGATAAAATGATGTGGTTCGAAGCACCTGTCGCCTGGTGAAGCAGGAAGAGAAGCGCGCAGTCGTGGCAGCAATCGATCCAGTGATGCACGCATGCATAAACGACAGCTCGCAGCGCTACAATTTCTAGGAGCGGGGCGCGAAACCGTGTGGATCAACTTCCGAAGCGCGTAGACGGGACCACCAACAGACGAAGACGACTGTAGGCGCGATGGCGGATACGCGCCATTATCGGATGAGCTAAACGTGGGCAGCTGGAGGGTGAAGGTCACGATCCGTTGTCATGGGCTCACATGGGCTCACGGCCTCCATTGCACATCTGTACCTCGGACGGCGTGCCGTCAAACATACTGTAGTGACACCCAGATGCACAAGCTCGACTGCATAGGAGAATTATTATAAACGAGAACAGACAACGCACACTTGGACAGAGGAGATGTTGAGCGTGCCCTTCGGGTCCGCCGTGAACAAGGATGATGAACACGCGATGCCTGCTAGGAGAACCATCATGCATGTCGACAGCGTCGCCGTGATGTTGTTGATACGCGCGTAGAGACTGTGCATCGTATTTGTGCTTTCTCCCTTCTATCTTGTATAGTGGATATCGCCTGGAGGAAAGGAAGATAGAAATGGACGTGGACGTGGAGGTAATGATATTATGCACAACGTTGAGCGCGATGGCATCATGGCAGTGTCGGTGACACGTCTCCTGCAACACGCTGCTCGATCAGGAATCTGGTTCCCACGCTGAAACGTATGCTCGAGAATATTTCCCTTGCTCTCAAATGTGCTCGTCAGTAGGTTCAACTTCCTCTACAATGTCAATCAATTAATCACTCATTAGATGCATATCTCGATAACTTTGGCATGCGTCATAGGAGCAATGGAACGGCCGACTTACAGGTTGGTGAGTGAAAATGATATATTCTGACTATGCTCATCGGTATTCGTGAATCATGTAAGGCCTTCTCAGCTAGCATCACGCTTCTTGTATGCTCAAATACCCTCGACCACTTCTTTCTTGCTGTGTCTCATAGCAGAATGGGCCAATCCATTGTACCTGCAAATGCTTCTCACTATAATCCAGTGCTCGCCTGCTGCAAAGTATATGCAGGCTCAGTCAATGCTCTGTGCAGATCAGAATCTCACGAAGTTTGGCCAACACCTATCGCTTGGTTACGGCCCGATGCAGGTCTACTGCGAGACGACATAAGCCCAGCACTGCTCTTTTTTCAAGCGTGGCGTAATGAGGAACGGGGCTCTGAGTTCGATTTTCGCGGTCGTACACCCTCTCGGCGACTTGCTTCCGGTGGTCTAGCCTTTTGGTCCCAGGGGCAGTATCTCCGATTTTCTCAGAGATGTTTTCGGATCAAGCACATCTTTGCTGAATTGTCTTCCATGTCATTGTCCAGTCTGAAGACGTTTCTGATCATTTGCGTGACTGCTCAATTTTTTAGCCCCGGCTTGTTGTTATGCGCCTAGAAATGCTGTTTGTCTCGTTACTTGAGCGCCCAAGCGTTAACTGATCGCACACCTACCTATACCGACACCTTTCTGAGATATGCAACGCGATTGTTTATTCGTCTCGTGTGGGAACACCTACAGGCACTGGGGCCATAAGCACAACTATAGAGTTTGCTTCAGAGCTCGAGGAATGGGGTGTGTAAGTATCGCACGTTTCTGTTCTAAGTTATCTTCAAGCTTAGGCTCGCGGACAGTAGATAGATAAAATACGAAAATATTGACAGTTTGCGCAGTCCTCCTGGAAGGCCTATCATATGAAACTGCTTAAGCGCTTAAGGCACGTGTTCGGTGGCTGTCTGCAGTGCTCTGTGCTACTCTGACCGCTAAGGCGTGTCCTTGACTTCCACCACATCGGCAGCGATGGACGACAACAAGGTTCTACACAGGGTGCTTCGTCAGATCGCTCGATGGGCTGTCTATTCTTTCTTCACTGAAGTCCACGTTATCAGCGAGGAGAACGTGCCACGAAAGGGTCCGCTTATTGCGTAGGTACTCTTTTCGTTGAGCGTGACGTATGGGATGTTAGAAGGGCTTCGGTAGTGGCATTAGCGATGTGATCGGTGGAACATTGTCAAAAGCATGCTGACTTCCGACACAGGACAGCGACACACCATAATATGATGCTAGACCCTGCCATCCTCTGTGAGTGGCATATACTCTGTGATCCAGAACATCACTTACGATGCAGCTTTCCAGCCTCGGCATTTCCATACCAGCGAATCCTTCACTATTGGAGCAAGGGTACGCCCTTGTCTACTCCCTCACCTATTACAGTCCTTCCTCAAGCCCTTCATCTTGCATCCATATGCCTTTCAGCTAGCCTCTTTGCAAATCCAGTAGTGCGCGGCATCCTCATCAGCACAGGGAACATTCCCGTCGATCGCAAGAGCAAAGATCGTCAGGCACTCTTCCGTGGAACATTTGATGCGCTTTCACAGGGTGCCGCCGTCGCGCTCTTTCCGGAAGGCACCAGTTATACCGAGCCACGGATCATGCAGGTGAAGGATGGCGCAGCGTGGTCCGCGCTCGAGTACGCCAAGTGGGCGAAAGAAAACCCTGACAAGGTGACGGAGGATCCTCTAGTTATTGTGCCTACTGCGATCGTATATACCAATAAATCGAAGTATCGCAGTTATGTGAGTGCAAGACACGTGCTTTGGTGATAATCTATAAATGCTGATTGAAACTCAACAACAGGTCATCATGGAGTGTGTCCCAGTGCGATATTGTTGAGCCAAGTGCTTGAATTTGACATGAATGTTCCTAGGTTCGGCCGTGGCATCACGCTCGACCCGTATATCGACCAATTCTTGTCGGCGGAAGAAGGTGCTCCGCGCGCGGCAGTCAAACGCCTGACACGCACCATCGAGACTCGACTGATCGAACTGACAATCAACGCGCCAGATTGGCAAGTTCCCTTCATTCATGGGTCTGACGTATCTCATCGCTGCTTCTCCCATACAGGGACACATTGTATGCTGCACGCATGGCAAGGGACCTTCTTTGGGAGGACGAGACCACCCTCAGTCGTGACGATTTCGTCCAAGTTTCACAAACGTTTGTCACTCTTGTCATTCCCGAGAACGTTGATGAATCTCTTTCTCAGGCTGGTTGACCTATTCTCTACGCCGGATGCTACGCCCAATTTTAACTCGGTCAAACGACATCTTTTGGAATATTATTCTCTGCTTCAGTCGACGCAGCTTACGAACTCAGTGCTCTCTGCGCTTCCTCTTCCTGATACACTCGACCCCTATCGCCCCGTCCCTCTCCCCAGCCGTCTGTTCACACTCCTGATCCTTCTTCGTGATAGTCTGTCCTGCTTAGTCCGTCTCCCCCTTTTCATCTTCCCCCTGATGATTCATCTGCCCGCATACGTGATGGCTCGGCTTGGTGCACGCCTGGTAGAGGACGAAGAAGAGACGCAAGCACAGAACAAAATCCTTTTTGGCCTACTATTACTCGTGTTGATTTACCCTGCCGCATTTTTCTTCCTTTGGGCTTTCCTTTGGTATACCCCTGTCGGAGCTCTGTTCGCAGGCTTCGTCGTATGGCTCACAGCAATATACCACACAAAACTAGTCAACGGTACGTACATACTCATTTCTACATGCTACACTTTTCTGAACAAACCGGTATCATATCTGCTCCACTTCACACAGATAATTACGAACAGTAAGTCCAGCTTTCTCCGTACTCGTCGGAGGTCTGCACATTTCTTATCAAATTCTAGTGCAAAACGCCTCGTCGCGGCCTGGCGCGTCTTGATTGGCGTCTGGGCTCCGAAGCGATTCGAGTATCCGCTCACGACACTCGCGCAATACACCACGACGCCGATCCCACCTGTAAACCCGTGGATATCAGGCTCTCACTCCGGCACATCGACGCCGAAGCCGGATGAGAAGGCGGGGACGAGCGCCACCGGCGCAGCGGCAGAACCGCCCGTCAAGTCGAGACGTAAGAGGCGACCCCGCTCTGGGCGCGTCATGAGGCACGTCCTGCGTGCCCGAGCAGAGGCTGTTCGTGCCCTGGCGTCGTTCGTTGACCAGCTTGAGAAAGGCCCGGCAGAGAAGTGTGTGAACGCTTCGGCGCATCTCGCGCGGGCTTATGGTGGTGGGGTAGAAGACCCCAGTGCGCTCGAGAGTCAGTCAGTCGAGAGCGCAGTCGTCCCGCCTCGGAATTATGCAGGCTGGAGGAGGGCCAGAGAAGTTATCACTTTCTTGAGGAAGCGAGGGGCGAAGATTACTGCCCTTGAAAGGGGCATCGAAGCAGACTGGGCGGCCCTGAATAGTGATGGTGAGATGTCTCCTTCAGAGGATGCAGAGGATGCGGAGGACAGGGACGAAATTGTTTTTGTATCCCCGGGCCAGTGACGACTGGTCCATGTGGACGAAGATCTACGGCTCTTGAATAACTTCTGTTCGTTCATCTCTTTTTGTGCAGTATGACATAAGTCACTGTCGACATTTTAAACGGCTCGGTACTGAGGTTTCTACAACAAGGATAGGTGCGAGTGCCCAGTGTCTCTCGACGACCACTCGTCGCTTACTTACTCATCTCCGATAGCTGAACGCCTTGTTGCACGAAATTATGTCGACTACGTGTTATTACCGTATCTGCCTTGAAGCAATTGATAGGACCGCGACGTCAGGAACTTGTTCCCGACGTCAGGGACAGAGTGTACCTCATTGACGGTCAGATCGATGACTTCAGGACATGTCGTCCCTTCATATCTGTATCCGCCCACGGTATTTCCCGGGTGGCAGCAAGCTAGGACTTCTGTGGAGATAATCCAAGTAAGTCCTCTATATTAGAATACGGCGGTGCTACCCAGAACCCATAACAGCTGATGTCAGAATGATAATTTAGATGGATTGAAGGCGGGTTTAGATCCTAGCACGCTCGGCAAAGAGTCTCGGACTTGAGCCTAGTGCAGTCGAACCTCGATTTTTCAAGGATCCCTCACTGGGAAATGGAAAGAGGCATACTCAGAAATCATATCCTGCTGAGCTACCCCAAGCGCAGCGCTTCTACTCTAGCTCGACGTCGGCCATGTCGGGGTCCCCCAAATTGTCTCTTCGGCGGCGTGCGTGCTCTTCGGACAACCCCATCAAGACCATCAAGTCGGCTTGAGCTGTTCAAAAAGGAGCCGTTCGCCGAGGCTCTATTGTTCCTAAGCGTTCGGAACGACCCCCAGGATAGTCTTCTGCTGCTTACTCATTTTGAGTTGTGATTTTTTTGTTGCTCAGGTCCGATTGCCGAGGTCAGCTGTGGCCAAGAGTCGACCTCGCCAATGCAACGCTTCTGTGCTTATTTCTCCGACGGTCATAATGCGAAGAGCTCGGCTGGTCGTCAGAGTATTGCAAGCAAATGCTCAATAACTTGCAGTCGTCAAACCAGAAGGTACTACCTCGCATAAGTAACCACTCCTTTATGTGTCATACGAGCATCTTCATCCGCGCTTCCGACTGACATCAGGAGATCCCTCTGTGCCAGAAGCGTTCGCTAATCAACAATTTCATTTACAGCTGACGCCTGTGCCCCAATGGGGAGAATGCGTGTCAGTATTTTTACACCGATCGAATTCATAGAGAATCACGATTAAGTCCCATAATTGACCGTGGGACCACGCAAAGCAGGCTTTGTATCGTCGGCCGGTACCTTGCTTCCGAGCACTGCGCATGGGCTCGAAGCTGCTCAAAATCTATACGCAGTGTCGCACACTGCCTCAGGTACTGACCTGCGCGAATTCTTTCGAACGTTCTACAAGGAAATACTGTAGGTCCTTGTATTTCTCCCTGATCAAATAAGAAATTTGAGTTGGTGAACGCGCGTGGAGGCGCGTGGTCGGAGCCAAGATGATGATCTCTCTAGTGCCATCTTAAACCCTTCTCGATTAAGCGGCGCCGCCGAGTGCCACGACGATCCGGGGTCATTTTTCGTTATATTTATGGCACCTGATACCTAGCTCTTTTTGAGTCGTCTACTTCACCCATCACCCCCTTTGACTTTTTGCGATCCTGCTCTCACACACTCTCGTCATGCAGGCATCACAATCTGACTCAACCCTCGCGTCATGGAATCAGACAGATTTCGGAAGTGAACAGGCCTTCGTCAACTACGGTTCTGAGCCTTATCAATCGTCTAGTAGCGACGGACTGGCATCTTTCCCTTACTCAATCATCTCAAGCCAAAACACAGAAATCCTAAACCTTGTTGGATGCAACCCTTCGAGATACTCTCATTACAGTCCGGACGAGGTACGCAATGACGAATTACTTTCATGATCCGTACATGATAGTAAGATGCTTTGAAGCATGAGTTCTATCAGATGCATGGGGCGTACCATCATCCCGGAGGCGTCGACTTCGCTGCTACTGCGGACATGCATTATGGCAACACTTCTTCCCACACCGACCTCTCTGCTGCTGTGGATGTATGTCAAGACCCTATCCTCGACCCATGGGCAGAGACGACTCATGAACGGTGGAAAGATGCCGCCCATGACGCGTACCCTACCATAGAACCCGTCCAAGTCCGTGAAATCGTTGCACCAACTCCTCGGCATGCCGTACAGATGACGCTAGAGGCCGCTCCGAGCTCAGGTCGCCGACCGTCAGTGTCCGCTCTCAATCCCGCCTTCTTTGGTCAACATGCCTGGGTCAAAGAAAGAAGAAACAGGCATAGCCTTGCTTCTTTCTACGGCGAGAGCGCGTATACAGAAAACAAGGTCAGTGTCCATTTATCTTCCCTCGACCCTGGTTCGCTGACTTCCATTTGGCAGTACGAGCATACTTCTAGCCTCCTAGAGTACGAGGCCTCGGAGAAGCATTATCAAGCACAATATCAAAGGCGGCATGATCACCAGGTGTCGTCCTCTCTCGATAGTAACACGTCATGCCTTCTGCTTACAGTCTGGTCAGAATGCCGTGATGCCATGGCAGGGGGGCGCAGCGAACACAAGCGCCAACCAGTGCTTCTCGCCGTGTGAACACTCACAGTATTACCCCTATTCTTCACCTTCTAGCATTGGTGTCTCTCCCACGAGCGCGCCCACAGCATCGACTTCTCCGCACTCGCAGTCGCCGGTGGCCATATCGATATTGAAGTCAAAGTTCTACATCATTCCATCAGAACAATACGCACCTACAATACACACACATACTGCGTATGCGAACCACGAAGCTGGAATCCTCAGGGGTCCCAACACGGGAAACCAGCAAGGATTGACGGGCCGGACAAGCACTGAATCCCTGGAGACTGTTTGTGAGGAAGGCTCTAGGACTGCCAGTGTCGCGCAACGCCGTGGTCGTACTCGTGTCGTCCGAAACGTTCAGCCCATCGCGTGCTTCTTCTGTCGTGGTCGAAAGATCGCCTGCGGTCCTGCGGATCCCAATAGCTCAGATAAAACGTGCATGTGAGTGTCGCTCCCGTCACGATGTTCGCTGAGGAAAGAGGGGGTCACTTGGGTCATTGTTGCACCATCCCCTCCCGTCTCCCTTATATGCTTTCATCCATGCGATGCACCGGCTGCTGCCGCTGAACCAGATGCAGCTAGATGCTCGTGCTGCGACAGTCCATCTGATAAAGCCATCGCGATATCTGCGCGCGGCTTCTGTCGTTGGGAAACTGATTACATGCGCTACTTCCACCCTGATCACCTCGTGGCGTTCATCTGTCCAACTGAGCTGTGCTAATCTACTTTAATTTTCCCTCGTAGGCAATGTTTGAAACGTCATCGTAAATGCGTGTATCCGCCTGAATCAAGGCGTGGCCGTAGACAAAATGAGGATACAGCCTAGAGGGAAGATAGTGCTAAGCACATTCAATCCGGCTACCTGACCAAAGCATCGCTGATCGACGATAGAATTTCTTCCTGCGACGGCTCCTTATTGTTGCCCAAGTTGCATGCTTTTGCGGCGTGTTTGCCCAGTATTTGTATTGACATAGTTGTGGCAGTTACCCCATGCGTTATAATTTATCCTACGCCTTTTGGCGTCTCAGATTCCGATCAATCCGATAGACCTGACACGCACAGAATATCTTCATCATTGCCTATCACCTGAACGAAAAGATGAGACTATGGTCGCCGTACTGTGTTGAAGTGAGCTCGCAAGATACATTCGTATCCATAGCCTTTCGAAGGTTGTATCCTCTCGTATACTCCCATGTCCTCCGTGCGCCAAGCAATGACACTCATGTAAGTCGACGTACAATGACTCGTGAAAGGTTCGTGTTTTTAATCGCAAATTTTTTCTTCTCCATCGAGAACCGCCCAGACCTTTGATGTCTGCCTCTTTCCGAGTCCAGTCTTGGCTGCTATTCGACACGAGGTGAACTGGATGGACTTGAGGACGAGCTTACACGTTTATTCTAGGCTTTGTACGACACTGACAGCCTCACGATTTCGACAGCCCCACGTCATCTCCCCACGCACGTCTGATCGTTGCTCGATTATGACGGGAAGCGCACGAAAAGTCATCAGGTAGAAGTGATAGCTGGACTGGCCTCCTTCATCTCCGACTTCCCTCATTGCGCCTGTCGGCCAAGTGGATGTTGATGAAATACACCCATTTGTGGAACGGAATCGCTTACTGCTGAGGAACCTTTGAAGCCGATAATTCAGCGTTGAAGACGTCATGATCGACTTGCAAAGCAGGTGACAGGATAGCTGCCCCTGTATGTCCCGGGATGAAAGCTATGATGGTGTGTGGGGCACCTTCTGCATACATATCAACTTCGGCGAAACCTTGGCGGCTAATAGTTCATAGGCTACGGCGGAATTCTTGATGTCCAAGTTGACCATTCCATAACTATGTTCCCTTCGCTCAGTTTTTCGTCAAACCCTGACGCGCATCTGCTTCTATCAACGAAGAACCCCTCTCATGAGGCCCCTCCTGCAAAAATGCGATTCCACTCTGCTATACTATTCAGGCAGCATCCCCCGACGAGGCCTCTAGTGAGCAAGTCTAGCACTTGTTACCACGCTCTTCGGTTAATGGGCATACACCTCGCGACCAGACTAGCCCAAGAAAATTCAAACAAGAAGGACGATGAGGCGTATGGAACGGAGACTGAAGTCATGGGACGCGGATTGAAGGAATGGAAGGCGAAATGGCTTTAGCCCCAGTTTTGTGCGAGAGTGATAGCCCAAGTAGTAGCTATGAAATTGCAGTGGACATTTTCGGACTTCCGTGTACGAGCCGGCTGGTAAGGTATCTGGTATGGTCATGAATGGCTAGTAGGGTCTGCACGTACCGCACAGTCACGAGATATCAGAGCATCGCTAGGAGTTTTGGGTGCAGCGCACATATGTAGCCTCATAGACAAGTCTATAAGAGTGGTACGCTGGTGGTTAGGCCAAAGCTGAACATCGACTCTGTGAAAGTGCGGTAAGGGAAAGCTAACATACCGATTTAGCCATGCGAAAAACTCGAATCAACGGCGTCGAGGTCCGGAATTGATCACGCGGGCTCTAGGTCCCAAACGATAAGGAGGTCTTCAGAGACCTCTTGAGGTATCGAATTGCCAAGGTCATGGCTCGAAAAAAGGTTCAATTGCCATGCGCAGCAGTAACTCAGTTACGCAGTAGGAATCCTGCACTCGATTTGTGACCAGACGACATACCATTGTTTTCAGTTTTCGGGAATGTATGTTTTACGAAGAATATCCCAGAAAATTTTGAGCTGAACGGCTGGAAAAAGAAGGTCGTCAAGCTTCAAGGTCATGATAACGGTCACGGTCCGAAGCTGGAGCTGAAGCGCTGACGAGCGAAATAGCGACGCTGACTGGCCCGGTAAATGCCGCACCTCTTCGTCCTCACACACTTTCATTCGTTGGGGGGCGGCTTCACCTAGCTTCACCAATTTCTTCTCATCATACCTAGCTAGTTATTCAGTGCGCTACTTCTTATAGCAAAATGGTGAGTGCATGCCTTTTTCTACAAACTTCTCAGCTACCTGACAGTACTCTGTCCAATCACTTGGGGATGCCCCAAGGCCGTCTCGTTATATCCCAGCTGCCTCGTGGTCTCGAGTGGGTTCTGGCGCTGGCCCTTCTATCACAGGGCTGCTGCGCAGAAGTATCATCCTTTCGCTATAAGCGTTCATTCTGTCTAGCCAAGGCGTCCCACTACACTGAGCCTCATTAGACCTCATCACTGTCCCGACTTGAATGTCAGCGTCTTCCTTCTCCTCGCCCAGTGAGCCCGATATCACCGATTTCGAGGATCTCGACACACTCTCGCCGCCTTCAGCTCTGAATCTACCAGCGTCCAACATACAATCCTTCATCGTCCAACAACCAGTGATCATGCCGACGGCACAAGAACTCCCTGCGCTGCCCGAGAGATTGATGGACGCGGCGCTTGCGTTAGAGGACGTGCCTATATCTACTCTGTCGACGCAGCCTGATGCGACCTCGTTACCGGATATGTCGAAGCACGAGACCTTTTTCTTCCCTGATGGGAACATAACATTCCTTGTACGCCAGACCTGATCTATACGCTGTTGATATGTGGACTTATAACTGAATGCGCAGGTAGAGGACACGTTGTATTGCTTATATCGCCATATGTTCCTTCGCCACTCCTCAGTCTTTGCAGCTGAATTCATTCCTGACGACTCTGAGAATGAGAGTCCTATCGAATTGGATGGGGTCAAGAAGCACGCTTTCGATAATTTTTTGTCCATTCTGTACCCCTCGTCTGTATACCTTGAATACTCGACCTCGAATGCCTTCGCACGTAAACTGACATAAGTTTGTTCCTAGGAATTTCGTAAAAGGCGATGTGGAAGGAGTGGAAGGATGGGCTACCGTCCTTCATCTGTCCACCTTGTGGGGTTTCAAGTCCATTCGGGAACTAGCCATCCGATCTCTTGCTACGATCAGTCTATGCGTCGACAAAGTGGTGTTTGGGCATAAGTATGACCTCGAAGAATTTCTTTGGTCAGGATACGTTGAGTTATGTCAAAGGGACGAATCGCTCACCCTCGAGGAAGCCCGCCGAATTGGTCTCAAATACGTTATCCCGATCGTTCATGCACGCCAGCAGCTTCAGCTCGAACGCCATTCGCGATCATTGGCGGGGATCACTAGTGGCAAATGCTTGTCTTGTAACTCAAACGACGCCTTCACCCATAATGCGTTTAGTTTCGGACTAAACCCGACGATCGATGCTGATACGTGCCGGTTTTGTCGTGTTAAGCGGGGCAGCATGACATCCGACGAGATCTCACAGCAAGTCAAGAAATTATTCCCACATCTCAGCCCACCTGTCGCGGTACCCACTGGACAAAGCGTTGCAAATCAGATGCCAAAACCAGTGGCCTCGACTGATGTTCTCGATGCGATGGATATGGACGAAGATTTGGACGAGACAACCGACGTCGTTCAAGTCATTCACCCCAAGCCGCGATCGACGAATCGAAAAAGATCGGGAAGGGGAAGAAAAAGCGATCGATGCAATTAAAGGGACTGAGCATACACCCTAGATCGATGAAACATCTTGTGAAACGGTACTGTAGCCTAGGCTTTATGTGAACTCTACGAACTGGGAAGGAATACAGCCTTGTCCAGCGTTCAATGACCTGGAGGCATTCAACGTTCGTTTGCTGATCGGTAAGCCTCATGTTGTCCTGGCTCTGTCCGATTGTTGTCTTCTCACCTGCTGGCAAGATAGGTTTCATGACTCAACCTTTATCTGGTGAACTCACTCCTGCATTCGTATCTCGTTATGATGTGCCGCATTCACAAAGGGATGTAATTCGACCATTTCATGATTCGTATTAAAGATCTTGAAATGTCAGTTTCCTTCTATACCAGCGTGCTCAAGTGACTTGCATTCTCTTCTTGAAGTACTCACCGTCAGATGCCGTGATCGAGGTTTTGGAAACGAGGTCAGCCAAGTTACTCCCACGTCTACTGACTCGGCGGAGAAGCCACAAGACCTCAAGGCCGCATGTCTCGTTACATATCCACTCCTCATGGCGCTCTCAATTTAGATCATAGCGCTGACTCTTCGATCATAAGGATCACTGCTCAAAAGTATCAGCCCTCGCTATCAGTATCCTTTCTACCCGCTGTCTCCAAAGCGTCCCACCACAGTAAACCTCATCACTGTCCCGAATTGAATGCCAGCATCTTCGTTCTCATCCTTCAGTGAGCCTGAGATCACCGAATTCATCGATTCTCGCCCGTCGTCTCCAGCATCGCAGATTACAGTCGCATCTATTGCCATGGAACAAAAAAATGTTTATCTGTCAGAGTTGAAGCCGGTGGCCTCAGGCTCTTCTTCTCTCCCTGCTATATGGAAGGACGTAGAGCTTGCCACACAAAAGACGCCTGTGTCTACCCTGTCAGCTCTGTCTAGGAATGACGTAGTTTCTGAGCCGGATAAGCCCTCAAAGAGCTTCAAGTTTTTCTTCCCAGACGGGAACGTGACTTTTTTGGTGCGCATGATCTACTAGAACTCTCAATGATGTCGGATGTGCGTACTCATGTCGGATCGCGCAGGTCGAGGGCACGTTGTATCGTCTCCATCGTTATCTATTCATTCGCCACTCCTCGACTTTCGCATCTGAATTTCTCCAACACGACTTCGATAACAACAATCCTATCAAATTAGATGCTATCGACAAGTTTGGGTTCGAAGCTTTACTATCGATTCTATATCCTTTGTTAGTGCATTATGACCACTCCCAGGGCACATTTTGATCATATCTCCATTCTAGGGATTTCACGAGGCACAATATAGAAGGGGTAAATCCATGGAGTTCCGTCCTTCATATAGCGACCGAGTGGGGTTTCAAATCCATCCGGAAGTTGGCAATCCAAACTCTTGCACCCATCGTTTCGCCCGTTGATCAAGTTGCGCTCGGAGAGAAATACGCGGTCGAGGCATGGCTCTTTCCCGGCTTCCAATCTTTATGCAGTAGACCAGAATCACTCACTCTTGAGGAAGGGCGGCGACTTGGTCTTGAGAACATCATCGCGATCGACCGTGCCCGACAGGAGATTAGGGACAATATGTCTTCACGTTCCACCGCGGCAATGGCTACAACCGAATGCTTGGCTTGCAAAACACCCATGATATACTCTTTGTCATGGTCGAAGCCTGAGCCACCAATGGTCGAACCCAAATTTCCGAAAGCCGACGTTCCACCACCAAGACCTTCACCAGGCAGCCTTTCGCCGTCCGCTTCTTCACATCCTTCTACATCTAGCCCTCCATTCACCCATCCCAAAAGTTCCCCTCCGTGGACGCAGAACTCTGCCATGTTGTCCTCTCCTGGGCAAAAACAAACTTCTTGTCGTCTATGTGGTGTACAACGTGGAAAGCTATCTAATGCCGAAATCTCTGACCAAGTTGAGCAGTTCATTCCCCAGTTTTCAATCGCCAGGGAGGCCAGATTACGGGCAGAGAAATCTGAAGCCGAGTTGAAGGCAAGGACTGGGGCCGAATCTGTGGCAAGGGCGAAGGCTTAATTGGCGGCAAAGCTGAAAGCTAGATCAGAGGCGAAAGCAAACTAGGAGCTAAGGATGTGGATGGACGGGCTATGAAAGAAGTAAAAGCGAAGGAAGTAGATGCGTGGGCGAAAGTTAAAGCAGAAGCAAGGGCCAAGGCAGAGGCGAAAGCTAAAGCGGGGGCAAGGCTGAACGGAACACCACTACTAGTAGAAAGGAGCGCCATTATTTGGTCCTAGAACTCCTCCAACCGATCCGAGTGCTAGATTCTTACAAATTTGACTAAATTATGAAACCTGCTATACTACACTATATTGAGAGACACAAGCCCAAGCGCTCAAGAGTGCTTCTGTTATCACCCGTTCAACTTGACTTCTTTCCAATCCATTCAAGTTTCCAGTGTGTCGCGCCACGCCGAGTCGAGACCGCCAGCTTCACGGTATGGCAAAAAGGTTCAGTCGACCGACCATGGTTCATATCAAGGATCTTGAAATGTCGATCTCCTTCTACATCGACGCAAGTGATTTGCATTCTATTCTTCAAGACACTCGCCTGCGGATGCCGTAATCATGCAAGGTCTTGTAAACAGTTCGAAACGCTGCCGCGGAGGGCAGTCAAGTAGCTTGTTACTCCACGTCTGCTGCTCAGAAGTATCAGTCTTTCGCTATCAGAATTCATTCTGATTTACTGTCTCCAAGGCGTTCTACCATAGTAAACCTGATTACGATCCCAAATTCAGTGTCAGCATCCCTCCTCCAGTGAGCCTAATATCATCAAATACGCTGACTCTCCCACCGTCCCCAGCATCCCAGCCTACAGTAGCATTTGTCAGGGAAATTCTTCCTGGTCATTCGTCAGAGCTGAAGCTGGAGGCCTCAGGCTTTTCTCCTCTCCCTGCTGTATGGAAGGACATAAAGCTTGCTCCGCAGAAGACACCCGCGCCTACCCCGTCAGCCTTGTCCAAGAATGACGCAGTTTCTGAGCCGGATAAGTCGCCGAAGAGCTTTAAGTTTTCTTTCCCAGACGGAAACGTAATACTTTTGGTGCGCCTGATCTAGAGCTTTCAAGATCGAACGTGCGTGTTCATGTCGGATCGCGCAGATCGAGGGCACATTGTATCATCTCCATCACTACCTATTCATTCGCCACTCCTCGAAATCCGCAGCTGAGTTTCTCCAATACACCTCTGATAATGACACTCTTATCAAATTGGATGCTACCGACAAGCAGGGATTCGAAGCTTTACTATCGATTCTATATCCTTTGTCAGGGCATTATGAACACCCCAAATGCAAATTTTGATCATGTCTTCATTCTAGGGATTTCACGAGACCCAATATAGAAGGGGTGGCTTCGTGGGTTTCCGTCCTCCATATAGCGACTGAGTGGGGTTTCAAAACCATCCGGGAGTTAGCGATCCAGTCTCTCGCTCCCATCATCTCGCCTGTCGACCAAGTTGCGTTTGGAAAAAAAATACGCAGTCGATGCTTGGCTCCTTCCTGGCTTCCGGGCTCCATGCAGCAGAGAAGAATCTCTTACCTTCGAGGAAGGGCGGCGGCTTGGCCTTGAGAACGTCATCGCGATCGACTGTGCCCGACAGGAGATTCGGGATCAAATGGCTGCACGCTCCACCGCAGCACTTACTACGACACACTGCCTGGCCTGTAAAGCATCCGACATCTACACCCCGCCATCCCCGAAGGTCGACCCATCGGCGGCTCAAGATCCGCCATCCCTAGTATCGTTCTGGACAACAAGGACTTCTTCAATGCCGACTTTCACCGCTCTGCCCACTCCTGATAGCCTGAAGTCTTCCGCTGGCCGTGTATGTGGTGTGCAACGAGGTAAACTTTCTCCCACCGAAATCTCCCGCCAAGTCGCGCGGTCGATACCCCAGTTAGTGATCGCGTAAGAGCCCAAAATGCGGGTCGTGAAAGCTAAGGCCAACTCAAAAGTAAGGATGAAAAAGGCAGTGGCTAAGGCAAAAGCAGAAGCTGAGGCGAAAGCCGACACGCAAGCGATGGCCAAAATATGGCAGGAATGGAAACTAAAACAGGACAGAGAAAGGGAGAGGTCAAAGGAAAAAGGAAAAGGAAAGGAAAAGGAGTTATCGAAGGAAAAAGACAAGGGCAAGGGCAAGGAAAGCAAAGTGAAAGTGGAAGTACAGCGCGTGAAGTCGACTGAACCGAACGGGATATCGAAGAAAGTGTCATGGAGGGTTGGCCCGTCATGACAAGCTGAGACAAATGAGAACTCAGGTATGTTATTTTCTGTGAGTTCGGTGTCTGGATACATGGTTCACTCATACAACCACAGGATTGACATATCTCGGGTGATTCTTCATGTTTCACGTCTCTCTCTCCCACCGAAGACTAGACTGACTAATCAGTGTGCTGGAGCTGGATGTCACAAGACAACATAAGACTCCTATATCTCAAAAAATAGATGGTCGAGCGACATACCACCTCAATCCAATAGCTAGCAAGAGTAATTAACATCTGAGTTTCTCATTTTCCAGAAATAACAGCACTTACCCATCGGGATCTAGAATGAACGCGATATTCTTCATCTTTCCGTCCGTGAGCTTCTTTTTAAATGGAACGCCGAGCTTCTCAAAGCGAGCGCAGGCAGCCTCGACGTCGCCCACGGTGATGGCGATGTGCCCGAAGCCCTTTCCAGGTTCGGCGTTACCAGAAACGTATGGCGTTTCGGCGAGCGATTCGGTGCCGTGGTTGTGGGTCAGTTCGAGGATACCTGGGTAGAGCGTCATGAAAGTGGACATGATTAAGGTATGCGGTAGTGGTGATGCACACCCTCGCGGCTGAGGCGGCGGGCTTCCTTCTGGTCGCCGGTAAGCTTGCCGTCAGAGTCGTCGTATGCGAGGAAGTAGAGCGTGAAGTCGCTGAAATCGTGCGCTGGGACAATCGATCAGACATGTTTGTCAGATGGAGGCTCTTCGTTCACACGCACAGGAGACGAGGTCCATCCCTAATATCTATTTCACGACTTTGACATTGTGATATTTCAATGGATAAAGTGGTAGTCACTCACGTCGGTGTAAAAGGGAATGGAGATCTTGGGATCTTTGATACGGATCATGGTGTGATTGAACTGCACGCCGACGAATGTGTGAATGAAGTCCCTACGATACGCCCGCACCCCTTCTCAAGAATCGTATCCTCCAATCAGACATACCTTAAAGCTCGCAGTCTCGGCGGTGCGCGGCATTTTGGGTGATTTGGATATGTGGAACGTGCGAATGCTCTGGGTCGAGTTGAAGACAGTGCGCGACAAGGAGCGGGTGAGGAGAGATCGATGGCGGACGAGCTGCATGAGAATGTAAGGGTCCGCTGGATGACGCGTTTGTGACAAAGCAACATCTTGTCTTCCACGCTTCCAGCCAATGGCGACCATCAGTTTCCGGAAGATTACTCTCGGTATGATTGGCTATCGCTCGAGCGGAAAGCGCAAGTGCTCGAAACGGTGCTGCGTGGTATCTATTTGCAGAGATCGCGGGCCTCAAGGCCTGCGCAAAACCTTCCTTACAAACTAAATGCTCGATTGCTTCAGCGTAGTATATGAGGCCACCATCGAAGAAAATGCGTAGCAGATGTTCAGCCAGAATGTCCGCTCTGTCTGGAATGCGAAGAAGAGTGGCCTGAGCCATCGCAGGCGTATGGAATAGTCGAAATTATATCGTGATATGTCCAAAGGGTGAGACAAACACGAGATTCTGATGGCGTATGGCGGCGGCGACTGCCTACAAAGGATGTGCGAGACCTCTTGAAGCCTTGCACCCCTCAGCGCTCTCCACCATCGCCGACGTCACCGACTGAGAATAACTTGTCGTAGATCTGATCAGAAGTGACGTAGGCGGCAGTTCCGCAGAGTTGAATCGGGTGCTCCGCATGGTCACTGGTCAGTGAAACCTCTTGGAGACGCGTCTCGACGCGGTCTCGTTGATCTGTCCAACACGTGACACGTGACTCGCCCAGCCGTCGCCGATTTCCTTCCACCGCTCTTGCTCTCAGACCATCACCATCCTGCTCACTCATACGCCGCCGCCATCGAACACGGTGTTGCCCGCGATGTCTGCGTCGCCGCTGGCTTTGCCCTTGAAATATCGACGCAAAAGTCTTTCTCACTCGCCTGGGCCCCTTTCGCGCTCGCGCTCCCCATCGTCGATACCGTCTCAATCCCCCTCTTCTTCGAAACCGTCATACTACGCGTACTCTTCCTGCGCTCGCACAGAAAATTGGATGCCCAGCGATGATGATCTTGAACCGCCATTGACTAGCGACGACGCACTTACCGCCCCTTCCTCTGGCTCTCGCGCAGCTTCTCTAGCGCCTGACGAAGACGCTTTTGTCGACATTGTGTCCTCCTCCCCCGTGCGCGATGCGCATTTTTACTCCTACACACAGGGTGCGCTAAAAATGCCCCGCTATTCTGGCCCTGCTCCCGAAGCCAGGTACGAGTCAAAACCTCTACCGACATACAGCGACGATGCACACGACGTGGCTGCGGCCCTCCTTGCATTACATGCCCATCCACGCTTGACATCGCCGAAACTGCTTTCGCAAATCTCATCATACCCACCTGCGCCACATATCTCGTCGAGTATCTTCCCCCCACGGTCCCAGCATCGGCCGGTCCAGTTAACCGCTCCATCGAACCGCAATCCTTCCGAGACATGCCGGGCGCTTATCGATAAAGAACTAGTGGAGGCCGTCGTTGATGGGGGAAGTGTGGAGGGATGCTTCGATGATGGATCCAGTGATGGATCCAGTGACATGGAGGTGGATCAGCAGCCTCGGCGCCGCGCTATTCGCTACGAGCACGAACGTAGGTATCCACCGCTGCCTCCGTCTTCGCCGCCCTCGGAAACCGAAGAAATTCCATGTGAGATAGAAGGATGTTCGCCAGATAATCATGCGCCTTACGAGGGAGTGCACCTGGGGGCCACGAGTACCCTTGCGCACCCCTTGGATGCGCTTGCAAGCGAGGTATGTCTCTATCTGTGACTATTTTCCCATATGTGCCTGAACTAGCATCAAATTCGTATTCATGCAATGTCTTTTTTCGTGCCCATCAATTTGCAGCGCATACAACCATTTTTCCACGAAAACACTTCCTTCGACGCATCCTCATCAAATACTTTCCACAACCTGTCATCGCCCCTTTCTTCCCCGCCTTCGTCTCCTATGTCATCTGTCCGTATGCTACCCAACGTTTCTCATCCATCGCATCCTCCATCGGCGTCTCTGAAACGCAAGGCCACGCCTGTCCACAACGAGAGCCCTATCAAAAAGGCCAGGCTTGATCCAGAGCGTTTGGAGACTTTAAACAGCGCCCGTGATGCTTGTTTGCGCACTGACAAGGTTTCAAAGTCAATGCAAGCGGTGCTCGAAGAGAAAGATACGAAGAGAATAAGCAGAGCTAGTTTGATACCGATTGCGAAGACGGCAGAGGACAAGAGAAAGGTTGAAGACGTAGCTGAAGTTCGGCAAAGATCTATGAAAGTTGACGTCAAACTGAAGAAACCTAGGCTCGGGAGATCAGATGGGTCTTCGAAGTCTTCGACTACTCCAGGTCAACTTCCTCTTTCAGAACGACGGGAGGCCTCTCGCGGATCGAAAGATCGCCAAAACAAATCGAAATCGCGCGACACGCACGATGCAAAGCATCACCCTCCTCGATCGCATCGCGCTGCTGTGCCTAAATCTGCAGATATCCGAAAGGCTCAACCAACCTCATCTGCGAAAGTTTTGGATCAAGCGAGGAAAGTCACACAGCCTAATGATGATGCACCCCACGGGGAACTTTTAGGCCTTCTCATCGAAACCCTTGCGTTTTCGCGTGCCTCCTCACTGCCCGCTACTGCGATATGGCGCGAAGTGCGTGCAGCGCATCCCGCTGCTTTTGCTAAGGTAAGTCTTGTTGATTTCTTTCTCTTCAATTTGGTCCTCATGATTTGCTTTGACAGGGTCCCGAAGATGTATCTACATCGGAAGATGAGGGAGGACGCAAGAGAATTAGCGATGATGAGGACACCGAGGGCATGGGCCCTGTCGAGGAGCTTCTCGAATGGGGCATTCGACATGGCGTGTTTGGTCGCATTGAGAGTAGCGGAGAGGTACATACTCTCGCCATCTCTTCACTTTGCTTCCACTCATGTTCTGACAAACGTCTCCTGCATCCTTTTCAGAGTCTTCCCCCGTCCTTCTTCTACATTCCGTCTGGGGACCCCGATCCTGAACGTGCGGCTCTGCTGGAATCGCTCGCCCCGCGCCCTGCGAAGCGCGCAGAGACGATGAAGTATAAGCAGTATTATTGGCGACCTGTCACCGTCACACGAGAACGTGACGGGCGGAGGATGAGGAGCGCGAGGCATGAGGACACGTCGCAGAACAAGCGCGTGTGGGACGTAGATTGGGAAGAGTAATTGCCCTCCTTTGCCACGCCTTGGCGAATTTTCTTCGTGCTCCCCATGGGCCTCCTGCATGATATGTTCTTTCTTTTATCACTCTTACGGCACTCATCATTTTCTCTGCCTTTTTTTTGTCCCAAATCAACATTCGGCACTCTTCGCCAATCCTACGACACGCGACGTCAGAAGTTTCTCAAGTATTTATTCCTTCTAGTTATGCACACGTCCAATCCACTCGCCACTCCGATTCAGACTGAACTGTCCCCCGCGCTCGGCATGGCCCTTTTTTCTTCTTTTCCTTCTGTCCATGTCGCACTACCTTTTACGCACATGAAGTCTGCCCGCATTCACATAATTACGACACTGCGACGGCACAATAATGACTGCTTCGATAGCACAAGCGCAACCTCGAATTAAATAACATTTCTTGTTCATACTTGGTATGTACTATGTACATTGTCCGAGGATGATGCATATGACGAAGATGTCAAACAACAGAGTGAATCAATGAAGGTCGGATGTGCGAGCTGAATTATTTAGAATGTACACCGATGAGTCGTGTCGGCCTACAATGAATAGGAAGGCATTGTGGACCTGGAGACACACATCGGCTGAGACGGCTGGGAATTGGGATCACTTTGCTTAGAATAAAAAGTGAAGCAAGGCAGATGAGTTAGGACCGGTCAGGTCATGTGCTCCATTGCATCCTCTGTTCCTTCAAACGTAGAAGTCCGCTGGGGTCGGAGAACGTAGGAAATATCGGAGGGACGATGCAGATGTAGTCTTCGTGGCTGATCTAACACATCAGGCAGTCGTTCTGTGTATAGAATGCAGATAGTGTCTTCCGACAGCTAACAAATATCTCTATGATTCAGAGTATTCCGCCCCCAGGTTAGCAGTCAGGTATCTGTGCAGAAATTACCGTAAGAACATGCCGCAAGTTCGAGGGAAACTTCTGCTCACCTTCGCTGTTAAGCGACGACAAACGCAAGGCGCCATTATTCCCAGCACCAAGAAACATCTTGTCGGTTGACGATCCAACGCAATCCTTCATCGCGACATCGCGCAATACGAGCGTATTCTGCTGGGGCGTCCAATTTCATCCTGCAAACATCATGATCGGCCATTTCGAACGAAGTCAGCCGGGCGACAACAGGTGCATCGGGGGTGTTTGCGTGAAAGGAATCGGGAACAACCCTCCGCCTTGACTCCACCAGGGATGCAAGCTGCTCGTACGGAAAATTCGGAGTATGGTCGTCTGTGCGCAGATGTAGATGCTCCAGCTTCGTACAAAGCCCCGACGTGAGCTTCCCCTCGTGTGTCCACCGCGATGTCAAGGCCTCGAGTGTGGCTCTGCTCAGAGGCATGGATTTGAGGGAAAGATAAGAGAGGTTCGGCATGTTCCTGAGCGCCTCTATGAGCAGCCCGTCACTCACCCAGCGCGAAGTGAGTTCGAAAACATGGAGTGTGAGAGAGCAGCGCGACAGCATCTCGCGCAAGCCTATATGCAAATTCCCAGAAGAGAATAGCTCGACCGCATCTCTCGTGCATAGGCGCAGGGTGTGTAGTTGGGGCGCCGCGATGGTGCGCAGGAACGAGCCAAGCACGACGGGATCCTCCAATGCCGCGTCTAGGACCTGCAACTGCGGCAGCTCGGCCGTCAGAGCGGTGCCGACGAAGTCGTCGTAGTCGATTGCTGCCAGCTTGAGCGAGGACAAGACATTGCATTGCGATAGATGCGATGTGAGCTGGGCGAGGTCGAAGATTGGGAGGGACTCGTCTGCATGCATGGCAAGCTGCGTCATTTTTGGCCATGGGAGCGACCAGCCTGGATGCCATTCGACGTCGATGGCGTGCAGGGAAGGTGCGAATCTCAGCGACTCCTTTAATGCTTCGGCGTTCTCGGCGCTCAGCTTCGCTTTCAGCGTGAATCTCTCCAGAAATGGCACCGCTAAGAGCGAAATAGGGGGGAGATAATGACCGGGGGCGAGTTCCATGTGCACATCTTTCCAGCGACGTGAGTGAACAGAGAGAACGTTCAGATAACGTGTGTACCCGCGTGGATCGTGTGTTGCCAGATGAATAGATAGAAGTGATGAGCGTGAGAGGCGAAGCCACGTCCCTAACTCGGCGAATAACGACGCGAGCGCTGCGTCCGACCAGTTCTCTGTATCCGGGAGGCGAATCTGTGCCCATAACTCTGGGATGCAGCGAGCAAGGGCCCGCCATTCTCTAGAGACCTGTGTGAGGACAAGTGGCGCGGAATGTAGTGAGAGGACTTGATCAGGGAAATTAGGAAGAGAGTAGAGGAATATATCAGAGAGGATCTCGAGCGGAAAGATGTGTGTTTCCATTCTGATTGTGATAGGCTATAGATAGACCCCAATATGATAAAATCTGCTGACGGTCAGGCTTGATATGGTTTATTGGAGAACGTACAGGTGTGAGAGTGGGGAAGTGATAACTCTGGGAAGCGAACGACTATTGGAGGGCCTTTCATGGCGTTATAAGTGAGCAGCTCTGTGGCTGTGTGGGACACTGACGCTTTCAGCGCATGTCGAAGGAAGAGATGCTGGACCACGTTCTGTCAATTCCATCATTTGTGTGGAAGATCAGTGAGGTTAAGTCACATACCCGTAAGTCGTGCAGAGGGTGCCTGACACTCATCGGCCTCTCTTCGAGAACTTGCTTGCTCACTCGCTCCACGACAATTCTGTACGCACTGTTTCACCGAAATATCCTGGCATCGGTCTTGTCATCTGCCCGGCCCATTTTCCGGAACATCTATCACGACTTGATCTCTGCATCAGTATCTTTTGTTTGAAGCCTCCAGGTCAATTCACGATGAGTTGACGCTTGAAAGGCCACACCCGTATGTATGCTTCTTCTGATGGAATAGATGCTGAACGCGATTACTATAATAATAGCCAATCAATCAGTCAGTCGTGTTTGTTCTAGGTCGTTGGGCGCGTCGTTGTTGCGGCGATTACCTTACTATCCCAGACATCGAACAGCGCTATGTTTGTATCACTGTTACGAGCTAATTTGGTGTATGTTATAATAGAAGGAACAGAATGACTCATGATAGAGCCTGGGGGCACTGCAAGGACGCTGTAGCACGTCGCTGTGAAACCTGGCTCTACGGCGCTACCTACAGGCGAAATCAGCATGATTCTCCCATGTCATTGGAGCCAGATGATCAGGGATATGCCATTGGCAAGAGCAGTGACTATTTCTTTACCTGCTTTCTCAAGCGCACTACATGTACAGCTTCACAGAGATATGGAGCGTGGTTGAAGTGGGTTTTGAAGTTTGGAGCGGCCAAGACAAGACTGAGTTTGCCTAAAACGGCAACGAACAAAGAGGCTTATGCAAGCTCTACCCTACTCCACTCTAGGCTCAGCGACATCTTGTCGAGTACTAGGAACGAGACCATGTTGCGCTCGCGTCGCCGCGAGCAGTGTGCTCCACAAAATGTATCCGTCAGCGACCCTTTCTGCTTTCACAAGCTCGGCAACGTCGCCACCCCTCTCCTCTTTCACACTCACCACTTTACCCGCGCTGTCCCAAGGTGCAAGCGACAAGTCTACACTTCATCCTATCCATCGTCCACGCCAGCCGTGACGCCAACACGTTCATTGATACCTTACCGCTGACGATCACCTTGTCCTCTGCCTCGACCATGTCAGTCCGACCATCCCGCTCCACGCTTCTCGTTGTCTCCACCTTCTGTCTCTTTGCATTCTGGTTCCTCTACCAAGACCCATCGTTCAATCCCCCATCGAGACCTTTCTTCCGCGCAGCTCGTTTTCCAGGAGAATTGCGCGCATGGATTCAGGAGGAGGACGCCCGGTATTCACTAGCATTGCAGGAGCGTAAGGAGCTCGTGCGCAAATGGGGTCCGGCCGCTAACCAGATTGACCCGTCAGTATACTTGTTCCTATCACCACGGGCCTGTTGCGCTGACGACAGGTGCACCTATGATGATCATAAGTTATCCCTCTCATGGAGAGTTCTATACCCTTTGTACGCGCGCGCTCTTCAGGGATCTAGACTGAGGCGCTCAACAACTGATCGTCGTTGAACGAATAACAGGGGATTTCTTCATTCCCGCGTTTCAGTGTCCGCATCGTGTCCAGCGTATTGGCACATTAGGTGACGGCGGCAAATGGGTGTGCGGAATGGAACGCATTGTCAAGAAAGAAAAATGTGTCATTTACTCCGTTGGTGCGTTTCGTCTCGGTGACATAAACGCACAAAGAATTGCTCACCGATTGGTTAGGCATCAACGGCGAGTCATCGTTCGAAGCGGCGCTGCTGCAGCGAGCGCAGGGTTGCGAGGTTTGGGGTTACGATTTCAGTGTGAACAGTGTATGATCTTTTCTCTTGATCTCCGATCAACGAGTCTCATCCAAGACTTCTATACCTCTAGTTTGGTCCAGAAATAGAAACTGTACCTGACCTCAAGAGACGTTCGCATTTTCATTCGTGGGCTCTCGGCGGTGAAGACCAGCACGCCGAGACAGACAATCCCAAAATGTACACACTTCAAACCCTGATGCAGATGAACGGTATTCGATTTCTGCATATTGTACACCCGCATCTCGTTGATCCTTGTCTGGCACGTTAATAGGCCACGACTTTATTGATATCCTCAAGATTGACATTGAAGGGGCAGAATTTGAGTCGCTCGCGGCACTTATCCAGTCATACGCATCCACTACACCCGACACACCTACTGTGCTTCCTTTCGGCCAACTGCAGATCGAGATCCACGCGCGTCACGGGCAAGAGCATTTCGCCGAGTTTTCAAACTGGTGGGCAACCTTGGAGCGTGCGGGACTCAGGCCGTTTTGGACCGAGCCCAACCTTGTCTATGTGAATTTAGTGAGGGGGGTAGGGCCAGAGCTTGCCGAGGTGCGTTGCATGCCCTGACTTCTGTGAACAGCCTTGTACTCACTGCTGATGCTGCTTGACTCACGCAGTATTCGTTCATCAACATTCGAGGAGACCATGCTTTAATCTCCGATACCTTCTGATGTCATGATCGCACCGCCGCATTCTTCGCACCATCCGTCGCACCATCCATCGCACCATCATTGTACACTATCATTTAACCATTCATCGCATTGGACTATTCGATGAGCTTCTCTAGCAACGCACTCTAGCTTCCTTACCTTACTTACAACTTCTTATATCGATCATATAGATCTCCTTTCAAAGCATACGCAATGCAAGACATACTGCGACCTCATAAAGGACGCGGACTGATATTGCTATGATACTATTCCTTTACATAGAGACCGTCTCGTAGATATTTTTACTGATATCAGTCGGAATGGATGACATTTCCCTTGCTCCACCGAAAGATATTGTAATGCGTCGGGACATTTGAATATGGTGGGTTCTCATGCCCTCCAGTGCTCTCCTCGAAACACACCAGAGGACACCACTCTGCCCGGTTACCCGGTCGCGCACAGCTGAACGTGGAGGCATGAGGCGATGAGAGCTTCAAAGCCCGGCGTCCTTCGGTGAGAACCAGAACACCCGTGGGAATATTGAGATAGCCATTCTTCCTTCATCACTTACGTCTTTGACTTCCGTCTAGCCAAGGCAAGCCATCGTCAAATCTGCAGCCTGCTGACGAGAATCGAAAGACAAATCGTGCACTCACGCTCAAGGGTCTGGGGATATACCGAATTGAGGACGGTTGAGCGGCTTTGCATCACAAGAATACTGATGACTATGGTGATCTAAAGAAGCACAACGAGTAAGTTCTCTGTTCCTTAAATGCCCCCATGTCCAGCTGCTGCTTTCTGCACTAATCATGGATCCTCTCATCTCAGCCTTCAGCGGTCTTGTGCTCGCAGTGACGTTGGCGTTGTTCGTGTACCGAAGGTCGCCTAAGAGCAACCTTCCTTTCCCTCCTGGCCCAAAGCCTAAATTCTTTTCTGGGAACGTGGATGACATACCGAAAACCTATCCATGGCTCGGCTACGCTGCTATGGCCAAGGAGTATGGTGCGTACAACTTCTTCCATGGGTGAAGTTGAGCTGAGTGTGACTGTGATCCTGCAGGTCCTTTGATCCACCTGAAAGTCGGGATGCGACGCAACATGCTCGTTATCAACAGCGCCCAGGTCGCGTCAGATCTTCTCGAATCTCGCTCAGGCATATACTCCGACAGACCAAAGCAGTGGATGTATGGCGTCCTCGCAAACCGCCTCTTGAACGTGTTCAACATCTCCATCCAGCACTCGCGCTTCCGGCGCTACCGCAAGTTGATGAACAGCGGCCTTAACTCGCGGGCCACGCAGGGATATGCACCTTTGATGGAGTCTGAAGTCAAGACGCTGTTGCGTGCGCTGTACACGAAACCGGAAGAGCTCTCCGCACACGTGCGCAGGAATGCGGGAGCAGTAATTTTGAAGGTCGCGTATGGTTGGGAGGTCAAGACGAACGACGACCGCTTCGTGACGATGATGGAGAAGGCAGTCAAGATGAACGTAGAGGCAAACACCCCCGGAAAGTGGCTTGTCGAGGATTTGCCCGCCCGTATGCAGTTCTGCTTTCTTTCGATTTTTCACTTATTGACGGCCAATGCTCCGCAAACTCAACACAGTGCGTTACGTTCCCTCGTGGTTTCCCGGTGCATATTTCCAGAGACGTGCGCGATATTTCAAGGAGCAGCTGAGCCAAATTGATACTGTGCCCTTCGAGTGGGTCAAGAAGCAAATGGTAGGTCGATTAATACCTGTCTATTTCGAGATATTCACCACAATATGGCTTCGCAGGCATCCGGTTCATATATCGACTCCTTTACTTCTCGTATGCTTCAGCCTGACGATGGCAATACCCCGAATGCTGAAGAGCAGGACATCATCAAATGGTGCAGCGGTGCTCTCTATGCCGGTGGTGCCGACACCGTAAGTCTCTCTAGACAATGCTCATACTCAAATTCAATGCTGATGTCGTCTTGAATGGAATACAAATCTAGACTGTCTCCGCGTTGGCGTCGTTTGTTGCGGCCATGGCACTGTATCCTGAAATCCAAGAGCGCGCGCGAGCGGAGGTCGATTCGGTCGTCGGACGCGACCGCCTCCCGACCATCGAGGATGTCCCGCATCTGCACTACGTCAATGCTGTGGTCAAGGAAGTGCTACGATGGGCTCCTGTGGCTCCGATGGGTATGTCACTTTCATTCTCTCTTTGAGGGATGCTGTAATAAGGTCATGTAGGCTTGCCACATCGACTCACGCAGGATGATGTCTACCAAGGTCAATTTATCCCTGCGGACACTACTGTCCACGCAAATATCTGGTATGAGCACTTTCCTCGACCATACGCAACTTGAACTGAATGCATGATGCAGGGCGATTTTGCATGACCCCGCCCTGTATCCGGAACCTGAAAAATTCAACCCTGAACGTCACCTCGGCGAACACCCACAGCCCGACCCGCGCAAATACGCGTTTGGATTCAGTCGCCGTGTGTGCCCAGGTACGAGGCTACTTTTACCACCTGAAGCTTTCTTTACACTCGACATTCGGATTTTCAGGTGCCCATTTCGCGGAAACTTCGTTGACCTTTACCACTTCCTCGGTCTTGTCTTCTTTGATTATTTCGAAGAAGAAGGATGCCAACGGCAAGGTGATTGAGCCGATTGTCGAGTTCACGAGCAGTGTTACCAGGTATGGTCGATTTTGCGCTTGCTTCCGTATGCAAATACCAACCTTGGGTGTTTCATCTAGCCACTTGAAGCCTTCATTCCAGTGCGATATCGTCCCTCGCTCTGCAGGTGCTCGGGCTCTGATCGAGGATGATGACGCGTAGAGACTTTGCGGCTCGTCTGATTTAACACCTATGCATACACTTTCGTTTAGTATATCGAGCCTATCGTTTTCGCTAGCATTTTTTCGAGGCTTTGGATCCTAGCTAGTGGTGCTTCCAAGGATTAATGCTTATAGGCTCCTCGTGAGTTTCTCTGTCTCTATAAACCAGTGGTACAGCCTAGCTTGGACTCCCGGCTGTCCAGACGGAGGCCTTGTCATGTCTGAGTGCGTATCTGCCGAAATGATCGCTGAGTACTAAGTATACTTCTCACGGATTGATGATGGCGCTCACTTCTTAGACAGTTTCCCAGCAGGTTGTAGCCTGTGGTCACGGGTGAGGTTCGATTCGATTCTCTGAATTGCGTGCATTTTACAGCTCCAATATCATCCAAGGGGCTTGATACAACTCTACTTATGCACCCTTCACCCATGGCGTTATTTCCTGCGCTCACATCTAGCTTGGCATCAGAGCCAAGAATGCTGATAAGCAAATGGCTTCGTCCATGCAGCTTAATGGCGCTTGCCCTTCCCTCGAATCCCCGAATAGGCAGGGCACGGTGTCTGCGCGTTGGACCAAGCAGGGTCAGCTCTCAGTTTATCCTTCTCGTGGACGGTCGAGTTGAGGCTGTTGAAGGCACACACCGAGTAGCTGATAGTTTCGTTGAAACTCGTGGGACTCCGTGTGAGGTGATATCGAGCAACGACGAAGCAACGTCTGCAAGCGTCAGTGATCGAAAGGGCTTGGCACAAAACATGCAATACGCGCCGACAGCGCATTTGTTGCCGAGAAGCCGCGCCAGGTACACTTACCCTTTGCATCCTGCAACCTCGGTCCTCCACAAGTTCACCAGACAATCTACATGATCCAGAAGCCTTTTCAAAGTACCACGCAGACAGTATCGAGAGGATGAAATAGGACGAATCGACATACTTGTCGATGCACGACGGAGGGCAGACCGCAAGTCATCCGGTGGTCGCGTGAAGGACATTACAATTCGGAGAGATCGACAGCATAATTTGCGGCATTATCGACCCCGGCGCGGCGTCAATCTTCCTTTAAGCCATAGACTTCTCCATGAGACAAAGAAATGTGCTGTCGCTAATAGGAGGGCTACGTGAGCGCTACGTGTCCACATAGGTGATTTGGGCCCGTCAGTCCCCCTCTTCCAAGTCGACACTCTACAGCCGGGGCAGTGCGGGCTTACACCTTGCTCCTCATTCCACCTTTCACTGATCACCTTTCCTGTTATCCAGAGGCGGCGTCTCTTTCTGCGAAAGACGTTCGGCGTTGCTATCTGGATACAGGACGTGCTGCAGGGTCACATAGTCTGCAGGGTCACATAGTGGCTTCAAGCGCTTGACAAGACATTCACGAACGCGTTAAATACCTTGGCGTTTTGTTCGCACACAAGGATATCCCCACCTCCCATATTCGAATGTTATCACCCCAGCTACGATGGCAGATGAAGGGAATGACTTTTCATCTCCCTCGCGCTATCGTCCTGTTCTGCCTCGTGATCTCTTCAATCTATTTGTTGGTCGTTTGGTGGCATCGACACGCACCCTCCCTCGTGCACACATCGTTCTACCATAGGCCATCCGCTGGCACTCTCCGTGCATGGGTGGAAAGAGAGGAAGAAATGTATTCGAGGACTGTGGCCGCGCGAGCGGCGTTCGTCAGAGAGTGGGGGGGAGATCTCGCCAAGATCGAGTCGTGAGTGCATCTCGTTTCCAGTTTAATACTTGAAGATATCAGAAGTATCTCAACCGAAAATCTAGGTTCCCTGCGCATACCAAACGGTATACATTATGTACGAACTGGTCGACATGATTCTCATCATGGCGAGCTCATCGGATTTTTTTTCTTCTCGTAGGGGACTTTTTCCCTCCAACCTTCAACTGTCCTCATCGCGTTGATCGTATTGGGGTGATTGGAGATGGTGGCAAATGGGTATGTGGAATTGAGGTCGTCGCCATGAAACAAGAATGCGTGATCTACTCAATTGGTGAGGCATAGTCAATCACTGTACTTGACACGCGCGGGCCCTGCATACTCATGGGACTAAATGGTTGTGGGTGTTCAGGGATCAACGGCGAGTCCTCGTTCGAGGCAGATCTTCTCGATCGCGCGCCGGGATGCCAAGTATGGGGATACGATTACAGCGTTGATAGTGTGCGGATGAAAGCTTGTTGGGCAGGTTCTGCTTTGTGCTGACACGACATCCATAGTTTGGTATTGAGATCCAGCGCTTTGAAGACCTCAAGAACCGCTCTCATTTCGAACCGTGGGCTCTCAGCGGAAAGGATGCCCACGGTGTAAACGATAAACCCAAACACTATACTCTCCAGACAATCATGGATCTTAATGGTATGTCCGCATCTGTCGCATCCTCAGAATGCCGCCTCGATGACCCCACCACTAGGCCACAATTTCATCGACATCCTCAAGATCGACATCGAAGGCGGGGAATTCGACTCACTCATTCCGCTTCTCGAGGCTTATGTCCACCCTCCTTCTGGACCCGCTCGCCCACTCCCCTTTGGCCAGCTGCAACTTGAGATACATGCTTGGAACGGGCGCGATCGTTTGGATTCTCTCCTGCCATGGTTCGAGTTGATGGAACGTGCAGGGCTGCGCCCCTTCAGAAACGAGCCAAATTTGGTATATCTAGGTTGGGTAAAGGGATCCCATCCTGACCTTGTGGAGGTGAGCAGTACTTTGATAGATCCAATTTGGCTTCGAGGTTGAACCAAGGCTTCAGTATTCTTTCATTAATATAGGCGGAGATCATGAACTAATCTCAGGCAACACGGTACCATGGTAAGCAGGGCTGGTAGAATGACGACAAGATTTGCTACGTATTGGGCTTTTTGCAAGTCAATAATGCATTCGTAAATCATATGCATTCTCCCTTGAAGTTCAAAGGTCAACAGATCTGTCAAGGTTTGCAAAATTTTGTTGCAGATAGTGATGGGTCTATGTGATCTTGTACTCCAGAAGACCGATATCTTTGCGTCGTGGAACGCTGTCCTCATCGTCGAGAGATGGGCCCTGTGGCCTACATATACAATCGATCGCATTTGGAAGCCACCGGCGCTTCGAGCCACAGGCCACCGGTCACCGGTCATCGGCCGCCTTAGCGCTCTGCACGTTTATCTCTCCGTCCGATCTCAAGCTATTCCCCGCCGTTCCACATGTGTCTCTCGCTCGTCTCCTGTTGATCCAGACTAGTCCAGAAACCAGCCTGTTCGAGCTGCAAAGCGGGCACCTCTTATGCCGCTTGGTCGTATCGCAGTTGCTGAGGTGGTGGCGAGATTCCGTACCTGCAATGTGGAGGTGGCATGTAGCGCGCTCAAGGTAGCCTCAAGATACGTATGTAGGCGATACTAGCGCCACACGTTGCATGTTGTTGTGCTGCACCAGAGCATTCGATATTCGATGAGAAGCCTGCCTAGGATGACTAATCCAATATGGCCGCCTGCCTCAAGGCGCGAAGAGACGTGGCCAGGCCGGACGCGCAAAGACGCGCACCGCTTCCGCTGGATTTGTTGAATGATTTGCGTCACCAAAGGCCCACAGTTCCTGTCGGCCTTGTTACGCATTTGGCGAGACGGGACTGAAAATCAGCAAAATACAAGGCGCAAGCGATGACCACCGCCAACAGATCGGACTGAAACGACGTGGTTCTCCGTGGCATTCTGCGGTGGCGGAGGGTGGCAGTCGTTATCTGATGAGGCGAAGTGGTTGGCCGGGCCAAGGGGTGGAAGCTTATGTGATGTTTGGCCAAATATGACTTTGCGGGAACGGCAGGGTGGCGTGCTTGTAGTAGTGACCAAAGCAGAACCAACAGAGGACGGCCTCTTCGTCTGCAGCTTGACATCTTCGCCAAAGCGTCCGCCTTGACGCGTCCAATCCTCCCTTTCTCCTGCGCCCCGCTCTTGTCCACGCTTTGGTGCCCTTGGCAACTGCTGGACACGTCTTTCTTTGTGGCCCTCTCTCATAAAAGGTGCCCGTCCCCGCGTATCTCATTCACAGAACTGACCATCCTCGCCACCCATCCAGCGCTACTCTTGTCGCACCCAACTAACCCCTTCACCAGCTCAACCTCCCCTCAAACTATCCCCAATGGAAGTTCCCCTCGCCTTCACGCAGGACGATGCACCCGTAACCTCCCAAGAGCTACAGGAAACGCAGGTAGCAACCCAGCTGGCATCCCAAAGTCCTGACGTGGAAGATGTGAACGCCCACCTTTTCGGCTACTTGAGCCCGTGCAATGCCCTGTCCAACATCCATCGATTCGATTTGCTCGAAAACAAACCCAACAAGGCGTATACGGTCGGTCGTGCTCAAACCAATGATATCATATTGCCAGGGCTGAAGATAAGTGCGTCTTCGATCTCATCCGAATAAATATACAGTACCTTATTCTTCCATTCTCCAGGTGGAACTCATTGCACGATCACTTGGGATGGAACTGCCAGGGCCACCAGTGTTACTATCAGAGATACATCCACGAACGGCACATGGGTAGGCACTTCTTCCTTCTCTGATGCCACGGAGACTAGTAGACTGATTTATTCCAAATCTACATAGGTCAATGGTGACAAAGTTAAAAGAGGGACCTCGCGAATCATTCGCGATGGCAATGAAATCGGGTTTGGTGGGGTCGCTCAAACAAACCCTGCCGACGACTTCCGTAAGTGCATCATGTTTGAAGCCTGCCCAACAATATGTTAATCGGACACCTGTCAAGGCTTTATATATCGCCATCTCGCTTGCCCTCCGATGATCGATGGTATTTACGCCAGATATGATCTCGGCGCCGAGCTAGGCCGGGGTTCATTCGCGACTGTAGTGCAAGGCATTCACCGAGAAACCAGCGAGTGGTATGCCGTCAAAATCATCCATGGCTCCAGATTGCGAGGGAATGCAAGCTTAAACGTGTTTGATCGCGAAATCACGATCCTCGAGTCCCTTGATCACCCGAATATCTGTCACCTGAAGGAAGTTTTTATGGATGAGGAAGAACGTGACAGTGATATATGTGAGTCGATACTGTTTGATGCATGGTTTAAAGCTCACCCATGGTGCTTGTTTCAGTCCTTGTCCTCGAATTGGTTCGAGGAGGCGATCTTCTGGATTATATCGTGCGTAATCAGGGACTATGTACGCTTGCTTGCTCCATCGAAGATTATGTTTGAAACTCACAATGGTAATCAAACAGCGGAACCTATCGCGAAGCATTTAACCCGACAGATGTGCCAAGCTCTTTCCTACATTCACTCCATGGGTATCACCCACCGTGATCTGAAACCAGAGGTGCGTATCATGTTGATCTCTGACACAATTTTCGTTGACACATCTTGTCGCAGAATGTCCTTCTCACACGCGACGATCCTCCAAACGTTAAAATCGCCGATTTTGGGCTAGCAAAAGTGGTAGACAGCCTGACAATGCTCCGCGTTCGTACCTTTTCACCCTTGAATACTCGTTCTAAGGCTGAAAACCATTATGCTGCTAGACCATGTGCGGGACACCCAGCTACCTTGCACCTGAAGTCGTTAACCAGACCAACAACGAAGGATATGACCACCTGGTCGATAGCTGGAGCGCTGGAGTCATTGTGTTCTGCATGTTCGTTCTTCTACCCCCTCAGTCTCCGCCAGCGAAGTAGACAATAAGCAGAATCACTGAATCCATCTCATCACAGGATGACAAATACCAACCCCTTCATAGAGGATGACGAGGCCGATCTTAAGTCCAAGGTTGCCAACCGCACGATTGACTGGTATACACTTTCTAACACAGGTGTGAGTAACGAAGGTATGCGATCATTCTCGCTATCGCTGCTCGACTTCGCTGATCAAGACACAGCTCAGGATTTCGTACGACGCCTTCTAGACTACAATCCTCAAACTCGTATGACCCTGACCGTTGCACTTGAACATCCGTGGCTCTCTGGTGCAGCAGAGCCATCGAATACGCCATCACCGCACAATGACCCGCAAGATGGTGTCCTTGCCGACGTCTCGATGCTTGCCGCGCTCCCGTCCGAGGATCAAATGGATGACGACAAGGTATAGCACAACATTTATTTTCATTCGCATCATGACATATGATTCCAATTACCTGTACCAGATACCACCGCCGGCACGAACACCGCCAAGGGTCAGGTATTTACCTCTGGAGCGCCGGAGTCAAGTGCTTGCGCGCGAGGCTGAAAACGCCGGGACGGAATCGTGGGTCTTGGTCAACAACCAAGATGCGGAGAATAATGCCGCTGGAAAGCAGACAAAGGGTACAGGCGGCGAAAAACGCAAGAACCATCGATTGCCTCTGGGCGCTATCGCTGAGGATGGCGTGCCATCTAATAAGCGTGGCCGTCTCGATGATGATATGGACATCTCACCCGTCAAGCCACGCCCTGGGAAGCAGACAAAGGCCGCTGTCGACGCGCAGCCTCCCCTGCGGCGCTCGCCGCGCAATCCTCCCGTGAAAACTGGTCGCAAGTAAATAAAAAATATCTGCTCAAATCTATGGATGTACAGTATGGATTGTTTTCTGTGTCGTTGCTCCCGTCTCCTGCCCCATACATGTACTGCTTATCTGATCTGCCGTCGCTATTCCCATGCCGCTCTCTGTTTCAACAATGGTGCTCCTGATATCTCTCTATACCACTTCCCTACTTGCGCAGTGCATGCTTTGAGTTCATTAGTTAGCTGTCGTCTACGTGGATCTTATTGGTTGCTGTTTGTGCCACATTATTTTCTTGTTGCGTGGATGATAATTGGTTTCTTTATCCCCTATAAATGATGAACGCGGTCACGTTACCAGATAATCAAGTCATGTGAGGTTCAACAGTGGCCTATATCCGGCTCTTCGCGAGCACGCGGGTACCTTCTCATTCACTGTCACCATGCTCAGCTCGCGCCCTATCTCTATCCACGCTGATGGCCCCGTCCAATATGGTGCCTTTAAGACTCCCGGAAGGACCGCGCACAAGAGCCGAAATGCTCTTCAAGAAAACGCGATTCATCACGGAGCGAGAACCATGCTAAATGTCAAGAGCAATAAGGCACCCTTTCAGACACCTATGAAGGATGACTCTCTTAGTGCGACACCCACTCATAACCTCTGTGATGCCTTACCTCATATTGGTATTTGAAAGAGCCACAGAATATTTTCAAAGATGGTACACAACCCACGAAAGCAACTAACACAACGTCGCGTCCACTTCAGGACAAAACCCCATTCCCAAACCGCCAGCGCAACCTAGCCGATGCGAACACCCCTGCACCTTCCATTGGCAAACTTGTTAAACTCGCTGCGCTGGACGCACATCTCACCATCCCAGACATCACGATCACTCCAGGCGCGCTACTTCGACCGGGTTCCGGCCGAAAGAGCACTCGCCCGCGACGAAGCCCAGCCTTGAATTTCAAGACGCCTATCACAAAGGGGCGTCATTGGGATGTGAGCGACATCGACATCGTAGTGCCTGTAGAAGAAGCAGAGAAAACGGAAGAAGTGCTGGAAGATTACGATGAGCTCGAATATATGCCTCCGACTGCTATCGGTATGTCGCTCCGGATTCGAACTTTATATATTGATGTAGTGATTGCCAGAAGATCCACCTTATGAGCCCGCATTTGATATGCCGGACTATAAGATCGCTGGAGCGAACTTGCGCAAGCAGATGTATAGCTATTACTACGATGACACTGCCGACCTGTACTATGCCGCCGACAGAGAGAATATGGGCAAAGGTGTGCTAGAGGCCAGTGGTTTTACTGCGTCTCCTTCCGGATGGGAGAAGCTAGAACTCCCTGAGTTAGGTCCGTATTCCTATGAGATTGATCTCCATTGCTTCTTATTTTTTCGTCGACGACAGAGGACGATAGTCCCTTCGCATTACCCTCCTCCACAACGTCAAACCCTGCGACGAAAAACTCTTCTGCAGCTTCTCGGGCCGACACTTCGTCAAAACTCCAACCACCAAGTACGAGAAAGCCGTTAAACTGCACGTTACCCACAGCTGCATCACGGCTAGCCTCCCTCCGCGCTGCGTCGAAAGCACCGTCCACACGCTCTACCCCTACAACCAGGCCTCCTGCAGCTCCTGCAGGAAGGTCTCTGTCTCGGATCCCCGCTAGCGCTTCCCGGAATACAATCCCTCCACCGATGCACTCTCGCACAACATCTGTCACGACAACTTCACGTCCTGCAACCTCAGCCGCCACTCGTGCCCCTTCGTCCCGAGCTATTGCGTCCAGCATTGCTCGACCTGCCACGTCTATCGCATCGCGTTCAACGAACAACCGCAGCACGACCGTTCGAACTAGATCAACTGCCACGATCACGGCAAGCTCGACACGTAGCAGTATACACGCTGAATCGTCTGCGGATAAGCTGATCTTTGCTTTTGAGGGCGCACCGCAGGACGAGAATGAGTTCAGATTCGATGTTTAACACTCTTTGCTTTTTGTTTTCTGATTTATCTGGATTACGACTTGGCATACATGATTCGAAACACTTGGGTTCAACGATAGGATAGGACGGTTTGACGCGAACTTTCCACACAGTTGTTATGCGCACTCATTCAATAACCTTGAACAAGTCTGACTGAGCCGATGACACTCCCGATTGGCCGCTATTCTGGGCAGTAAGTCGATGCCCTATATTCTAAGTCTCAAGCGCCTGTATTAGAAGTAAATCAGGAAGAGCAAACTGATAACGATAGGTGAGAAAGGCCATACTGAGGTAGAACTCGTCGATTGAAGGCAGAAGATGGATGAAGCTCTCTGGGTTTGTCGTGCCGAACGTGGCCCTAAGAACACCATTGTTCTTCCAGTCCTTCCAAAAATATTGCGACGTTACTTGTTCGATGAGCTTAATCACTTACTCCATGATCTCAGCGGGGCCCGCCACGCTGGTCCTCAGAAACAATACATAATGTTTGATGAGCTATTGCTGAGAGCGCTGGAATATCATCTCAGTTCGTTGCATACTGGAGAACCTTATATGAGAGGTGCTGCGAACTTGCTGCGAGAGATCAAAATAGCTTAATTTGGAGGGCCAAAAGAGTGCATTAGGCATCAGAATTATTCCTGGTCCGATCCAAATATGAGCAGAAATAGGTCAAGATATCCTATTAGATATCATCCTACTATAAACATAAAGATTAGAACGTGCGAAAGGCCCAATCCAAATTGCGACGGAGAGCTCGCTCAAAGCAATGTCTGACCCCGTTACAGACCACCTGGCGCTTGGCTTGCGATGCCATGCGACCATACTTACCCATCGAATGGCACGCAGCGTCCATAATCTGAGATGTCAGCGGGTGCAACCCCTAGCTACCTCCTGTGGACGTTATGTAGGGAAGGTCCCTGAAGTGGATCCTTCTTGATCTGACAATCGTTTTGAAGTGCAGTGCGTTCACACGCTATGAGTGTTTATGAACAGATAAATCACGTACTGTCGGCGTACATCCAGACCCGATGAGTCGATGACAGCGTCTAGAGTTTAGGGCTCGCTGTCTAGAATATCGCCAAACTTGAGACGCTTAGAGTTCGATACAGGACGATGTCCCAAGCTACCTCGAGGTAACAATATGTTGCGTCAACACGGATAGTGCAATGTGAGACCTCCTGGCAACTCACCGAAATTCTGCATGCATGGGAAAATTCGGCACAAATTTTAACTCCGCGGCTCAAAGCAGACCTCCAAGCTCCACCTTGGAACTTCGCGTCGTGCGCAAACAACACTGCTTCGTCGAGGCTCTAGACTGCTTCTGACATTCTTCTCAATCGCACGATGAAAATTTTGTCATTACAGGAACGCACAGAGCAGGTCACTACCTACTGAGTCATAGATAAGACTCTCACTACAATGTTGACTGGTCTTTCTGCTTCTCAACCATGGCATCCAAAGCTATCTCCCTTGCCATGGGCGTACCTGCCATCCGTGCAGTTTCGTCGCGGAACAAATTCATAGCAATTGGGTGTTTTGTCAGCACTACGCTATTTCTCCTTCTTTATCTCACTACGTGGCCATCTTTCTCGAGGCCCTCTTTTACAGGCGAATCGCAGACTCTCGGGCACGTACCAACGCCCCGCGTGTCCTGCTCTCCAGAGGATTACGCGTCCGGAAGTTGGTCGTATCGCCCCCAGTTTCCTGAAGGCAACGTCTCTATGACTAGGCCAGAGGACGCGTTCCTGTTCAATAGGTTTGAGGGTTGTGCGAGCTCGCGCGAGTTCTGGTGGCACCTTGGGGCGGATAATGCGGTGCAGTGGGACAGGTACCCTAATGTCACGGATTGGAGATGGGTTCCTGGAGAAAAATGCCTTGGTATACGTCAGCTGGATGGCGCAGACCTTGTTCGGGATTTGGTCGAGATGGGCGGCTGGCTTATTCTGGGTGGTATGTGTGCCCTGAATCAGCCTTCCTCTCGTGCTTACAGTCACATTGAGGACGAATGCTGACTTCGATTATGTGTTGATATTCTAGACTCGATGACGGAAAACCACTTTTTCTCCCTCTCGTGCCTTATGTATCCTCACGTTCGCGCGACACCCATCTATGATCAAGACGCAGGGTACGACCGTGCCTGGCCGCAAAACATCTACCTTTCCCCCAACTCTCCCCTCATCCTGACCTTGCGCTTCCCGCCCGGCTTCTCGATCGAACGCACGCCTCTGGTGACCTTCCGTCGAGTCGACCTCTTGCTCTCAGAGCCAGAGCTCATTTCGCTGCACGCATCGCACTACAGTGATCTCTACGATGTGGACCCAGCATTTCGCTTATTCGCTGATGACGTGCCCGTGTGGACGCTCAGCCCATCATACTATATGCCGATCTTCACCAGCCCGCTGCCAGACGCGAACTACGCCGCGATGATCGTGAGCACGGCCGGGCACTGGACGACGATGAAGTTCCTGGGCTACCGGGATGAAAATCGGCCTGGCTCTGGCATTGCCGGCGTGTTGGACTTTTTCGCCGTGTCGATGCAATGGTGGGCTTCGGAGGTGCAGCGAATGCTCGATTTGCATCGCGCAGCTCATCCAAAGACAGAGGATGGTCGACTTGTGGCCGATAAGAAGGTCATTGTCAGAGCATACCAGTCGGGACATACAGACTGCCATAATCATCGGAAGCCCTTGGACAGGTATGTTCCAGCTGAACACAACCAGTGGAATTGGGCGTCCATATGGGAGTTCAACCGTGTTTTCAAGGTGAGTCGTCTACATGTCCAGCACTATCATCTAGGAACGGTTCGTGCCGATGCTATCTATCTCTATATATATTCATATATATATGCGTCTACCCGGGACATGCATCGAGGCCTCTTAAATTGGACGTGGCTCAACGTGATGCGGATACTGATCCCGTATCAATCTGACAGGAAATCACGTCTAAGCCCGCGTACCCCGACATCCATTTTCTGTCCATCGACCGTCCCGGCACCTTGCGCCCTGACGCACATTCGACGAGTGACTGTCTACATGTGATGGCGGGCGCGGGTGTCTCAGAAGGATGGACGCATTATATATGGCATTACCTCACCCGCGAGACATCGCTAGGGCATTGAGACCATTTCGCGCGCTAAACCTTCATCATGGCTCTACGTGGGTGTGTTCTGAATGGGCGAGTCGCGACCTCTTGTCGTGTTCGTTGGGCTTGTTGCCCCTCGTAGTTTTTCGGATTTGCCGGACGCCGCGCGCGGCGGTGTTTGGAGTGGAGGCTCAAGGGTTCCGCTATTCGGACGGTGTTTAATTTTGAGCGCAGTCGCATAGCTTGTGTTCTCTGATCTCTTTGTCTGGGTATTGATCTGATTCTTGATGTAAGTAGGCGTACGTTACCAAAACGAAAGGGAAAATACAATGCTCTGTTCTGTGCTTTGATCTGCTTCAGTACTGCCTCAGTACGTTCGGTATCTATACTTCTTCCCGATTCGCTCACTAGTGCCTGCAAGCGAGATCACCGGTCTCTCCCGCCCTTTTAGAGAGAGATGGATCTTCGGCGTCGAGACGGAGTGGCAGACCCATGCTGTATAGATGGGGAAAACACGGCGACGAAACAGCTGCCGGGGGCCAACGTCCAACCTTCGATGCTCCTCCAGATCTTTTGATGTCCCAGCATCGTACAATGACACTCCATCAATCGAATCAGCGCAGAGACGCTCAGACACGAAGCTCACGGAACCAACGCTAAGCATGATCATCAGTGATCGCTGCCTGCGCGAAAGCAAGTCGCTGTGCGTGCTTCGTAGGCACATAACCCGGTTGGCGATCAACGCCGAGGGCCCTAACGCCGAAGTACCGCATCACGCCCCGGTGCGCTCGCTCGGCCTTGGCTCTCGAGTGCTGTCGTTTCGTGCATCACGCGCGATCACGAGCATCGAAGAGGCGCGAGCGCCGTGCGCCTGATCCTTGTCTTGACCGAGGTGCAGCCGCGTTTAAGGCCTAGCAGGACGCGGCGCCCTTGTACTCGAAAAAGGCAGATTGGCCGTTAATGCGGGCTGGTGGGACGAGCAGAGGCGCGCGCTCTACAGCTGCTTGTCTCGATCGAAGGGAGTTAACTGTACAGCAACAACAGTGATGTTCACTACGGTGCACGCATATGGAGAATTATGCTGTTATGTGGCGAAGATGATGGTGCCGCTTCCGGAGATGGGTGCGAAGCTCTGGACAGCTTGAAAGAGACGCTCCAATCTGCTTCCAAGATATGATGTACTCCAGGATGCCTGATCTCTACTGTCGATGGGAGTCGTGACTGAGTCATGGCTGAGGCAGAGTCAGCCAGGCACCGGCGACGAAATTTGACAAAAACAGTATGAATGTTTTGCGTCTCGATGTAAGCCGCCAGCTGTGCGATGTTATACGTATTCGAGAGGTAGGGCCACTCACTGACCGCTCCTACGCACTTGTGAGCACTTGTACGAAATATTAATATGTAATTGATCAGACATCACGCTTCACAAATGTTTGATTCGATGAATTGTATGGCCATCAATCATCCAGAATGCAGAGACAGGCCGCTAGTACAAAAGGATGGATAGACAGCGTGTCCCCGTGGTAACGGGAATGCACGAGGTGACCTGAGTTGACGTAGGACAAGCAAATCTGCCATCAACGATCTGTGGAAGCATATTCGCACCCGCGCACTCACTTAGGCCTACTTAGGCACGGGATAAGCTTTTCTGTCCTTCGCGCGCATCTTGGAACGTTGGAACGTGCTGGAACGGAGCTAAGCATGCATGCTCGACGCGCTTCCAAACCGCCGAACGATTCGAAGGCAGTCGAGACATTCCTGGACACTCGGACGGCCGCTGAGTACAGTCGCTAGAGCTTGACGCTTCAGAGCCTGGAAGCCCTGTGTCGCGGAGGCGGAAACCCCCGGGAGTGAACGCGTGATGGGGACATGGCGTCTGCACTGCCGCGCACAGGCTCAGGTTATCTGCAAGCACTGCAGGGCTGCACAGCATCGTAGTAGGCTTGTGCGCTCCGTCGGGTCGGTGTAGACCGGTGTGTCATAGCCGTTCGAAGCGTGTGGAGCGTCTGAGGTACTGAATGCAATGTGGGCTTGATCTACGAGCCAGCCCCTGCAGCGGAAACGCAGTCTGAATCCCAGGATGTTCTCAGAGGCTGAGGCAGGACCCTTGGAGACTTCGGCGTGCCCTATTGGGGATGCGAGTCCCCACCAGGAACATAGATCCAAAGATTGTAAAATTTCTGTACGCCGGAGGGCAGAGGCTCTACGGCATTGGGGACAAGGGCCGTGCAACAGGGTTTTACACATGTTCCATCTCCCGCAGTTGTGCTGGTCGAATGCTCTGTATTGGGTTTCAGTTGCTGTAGGCGGACCGGAGACACATACCATACGGGCTACAGCGGTGCTAGTTTGAGACCCATTCGGCGCAAAGAAGCATGCAGAAACGGAAAGGATGCGGTGGGTATCTCACGTACGAAGTATATTTGGTAGTGAGATCATGATGGGCAATCCAAACGGTCTTGGGCGAGATTGTCGGCAAGCGGACGGTTGCGTGTTCTGCGTGATCCTAACAGTTCATGTGGTGGTGCTTGAGCACAGTGCATCCGAGTCATGCAGAAAACCGCAGCGAAGAGAGACACGCAGATATCAGAGAGTGATGGTGAAGACGTGAAGGAGGGGGGGGCAAGTGGATCACGTTCACATCACTGGGAGCAAGGAGACCACGTGGTGATCGCCTGAGGATACAATTTTGCGAGAAAAAGCGCAGGGCCCGTGATGATCTGCGGAGGCGGCCGCGTCGTGGACAGCAAAGGGGGGGGCCGTATCGGGGGGGCGAAGCGGGTGGGACACGTGGAATGAAGGGATGATGAGGAGTTGTGGGAAATGGAGAGTTGGGTGGCTGGCGGTGCAGGCGGGGTCGCTGCGGAGGAGAGGCGGGCGCTGCACTCTGCACGGAATGGAAGAAAAGCGACCGGAACGGGGCCGTGGGAACGCTCGCTGATGCGAGAGAGCGTGGGCCCGACAGCCAGGCGGGGTGTCCTGGCGCAGGCTTGAAATCATCTTGTTTGATCATGCCGCCTTGATCCATCTATCACTCTCCCTCGTCCCTGTCCTCCTCCATCCCTCACGACCGCACAACCCACAATGCCTGGCGTCGTTGACGAGGCCGAGGCCCGCCGCATAAGCAAGGCCATCGACGACAAGCTCAAGGTGCGCTTCCCCGCTTCCCGAGCTTTCAACCGTCCTCACGCCTCTCTCGCCCGTCCAGGAGGAGCGCGAACTCATAAAGAAGAGGCAAGGTGCCCGCAAAGATGTCAAAGGTCTGACGCTTTCTATCTCTCTTTCTCTCTCTCGTCCTGGTATCTCAGGACCGCTTTCTCTGACAACGGTGCGTTTCCAGTCATGTTGCTCGGCCAGGCAGAGTCCGGCAAATCCACACTCCAGAAGCAATTCCAGCTCTACTACGCCTCCCAGACCCTCGACAGAGAACGTCCATCGTGGCGACCGATCGTCTTCTTCAATGTCATCAAGGCAGTGCGCACCATCCTCGAGGAGCTCGACTGGGAGTTCTCCAACCAAGCCGACCAGTCCTTTTCCTCCCTCGTCAACCTCGGCCCCAATTGGCCAGACGAGATCGGGCGGATACGCAACAAGCTTCTTCCGCTCATCACCATAGAGGACAACCTCGCCTCAGAACTCAGCAACGGTGTCACCGTATCCGGTGGTCGCTCAGGTGTGTACGTACGCGCGGGCTGGCAGGCACTAGTCACGCCCACGCGCTCTTGGCCCCTCTCCGATATCCGGAACTCCATGACGTCCGCGAAGACGGGCGTGATGGCTAATATGGCTGCGAGACAGCTCGCTGAGACGCAGGCCGATGTCGAGCGCTTGTGGCAACATCCCGCCGTTAAGGCACTGCTCCGACTACGGAAGCTCCGTCTAGAAGAGTCCGCTGCTTTGTGAGTGATGCTCTTATTTTTTTTTTGTCTCGGTGTGAACCTTGTGTCCTGCCCAAAGCTTCCTTGAAGAAATACATCGACTATCGGAGCCGGATTATCTGCCCTCGACAGGTAGGTGTTTTTAACTCATCTTTGTCCTCAGCGTCGCTCATTCTTGTGTTTGCTAGATGATATCCTTCACGTGCGGTTGCAAACATTAGGAGTCACAGAACACACTTTCGACATCGATTTCGCCGGTGGGAGATATAATTGGCTTCTGTACGATGTCGGCGGTGCAGTATGTGAACGTGTCCTGTTTATTTCTGCCATACTCAATGTTTCATTCATTCCTGGTGGCTTCTAGAGGGGACAGGCAAGTCATTTCCTCCACGCTACGCCACAAATGAAAGCTGACGGCGACCGCGATCCAGCGGCACGCTTGGGTGCCTTATTTCGATGACGGTACTTATCTACCCCCTCTACCAGCGCACTTCCTCGACACCCAATTTAGCTCCCTTTTACCCATGAGCGTACCTCCTTGGAGTGACTACCAATCACGCGCCACCTTCGTTTTCTCCTTCCTTTCCTATTTTGTCTGATTCTCCCTTCCACTTTGCTTCTCGCGTCGCTGATTCCATTTTTACTCGCAGCAACGGCCGTCATATTCCTAGCCCCAATCAGCGCATTTGATCAGGTGGGTCACCGTCATGCATGCAATGGATCATTGTATCTGGAAGCAACTCACACTGTTCCTTACTTTCGACTCGGACGTATTACGACTCGTCTCGTCTCATCGCGGATCTCTTCGCGTTACACGCTGTGACTGATATCTGATCGCGAGTAGTACTTAGAGGAGGATCCTCGGACGAACCGCATCGATGATTCACTGCAACTCTTCACGGCTATCTGCTCAAACAAGCTTTTGAAGAACTCGAGTTTGGTGCTGATGTTGAACAAGGTGGGTCCCGATTACACGCTCATCGGCCCGCCCGCAGGAAGATCGGCAGGGAGACGCTGAGCTGAGCTGAGCACGGTTTTGCGCCCTATCACAGACCGATCTCTTGAAAAAGAAGCTCCAGGCGGGTACCCAGGTCAAGAAATAGTGCGTTGGTATCTATTCGGCTTTTAGAAGGCTGGCTACTCAACGTTTGACGTGCAGCATCACGTCCTATGGCGACAGACCAAATAAATATGATGACGTCGCGGAGTACTTCCGCGCGCATTTCTCACAAGTGCACAAACGCAAGGGACAGTCGCGTCAAAAGTTATTTGTGGTACGTGTTGTCCGCCCTTTAAAACCCAAGAATTTGGCTGATGTCCCAATTCTCTTTTCTAAACAGCACTTCACGTCGATGCTTGTTCGTCCACCCGGTTCGGTATCATGTATTTATACTGACTCAGTTGTGTTTCACCTGCATAGGACGTCAGCGCGACGCAGAAAATCATCGTTGATGGTAAGATCTTCACTGCTCGGCGTTACTCGCATCTAACAACATTCGGCAGTCAACGAGGCGATCATCCGATCTTACCTGGGACAGTCGGGTCTCGCATGAAGCGGTTACCGAAATCCATGAACGACTTCATGCTTGGAGGACACACGGTGTCTATCACGATCTATGCCCATCATATCTACCCCCTCTTCAGATCACCCCTCCGTTTATTATTCCCTCTGCGCCATCTTGCTGCTCGTATCATTACAACTGTTTTTTTATATATCCCGGAGGCATGGGAGATAGCGCGACAATTTGGGTCAGTACTTAGTTATTTATGCGCGACGTGTTTTCCAGTAATAATGGTATATACATCCGGTTCTTACTTCGCTTACTCTCTCGTATACTGTTGCGGACCACGCTGTACATGGCTGGGAACGGACAGCTTTTGTGTGTATTTTTTCATCCTCTAATATGCTTTCCCAACGATAGTCCAGGACTGTGCTTGCCGATCCTGCCGAAGAGAACACGCGAGATGCACGCGGACGTGCAACTGAAGCGGGCGTGGGAATTTCCCCACTTGGACGAAAATTGGTGTTTTCTGCATTGCTCAGTCTGCAGGCCGCTCGAAAACTTCGTGATATACTTCCCCTTGGCCTGAATTTCCCTTCCTACCCTATTTCGAGGCCGACAAAATAATCAACCTTCACGATGTCGACGAGCGGACTCAAGGCCATTGCGCCTGTGCCCACCGCGGCCGATTTCTTGGACATCGTTTTGTCCAAGACTCAGCGGAAGACACCGACTGTATGCGTCCTCTTTTGAAACCCTTGCATCAGGGTAGAGTGGTTGGGACGGGAGGGGCTGATTTTGCGTGTGTCTAGGTCATCCACAAAAACTTCAAGATCAGTCGAATCCGCAATTTCTATATGCGCAAGGTCAAGTTCGCCCAGGATGCGTTCGACGAAAAGCTCGGTTCGATCCTGACTAGTTTCCCCATGCTCGATGTCCGTCCCATCTCTATTTTCCTCTATGCTTATGGAGGGCATCTGAGCTGATCTGGGGTGCTGGGTGGGTGCAGGATCTCCATCCGTTCCTGTCGTCCCTCATGAACGTGCTTTACGACAAAAACCACTACAAGCTTGCCCTCGGCCAGTTGCGCACGGCGCGGCACCTTATTGACCAGGTCGCGAAGGACTACGTCCGCCTTCTTAAGTTTGGTGACAGTTTGTATCGCTGCAAGCAGCTCAAGCGCGCTGCGCTCGGTCGGTGAGTGCTTTTTTGGACGCATACACCCGCTTTGTCGCCCCTTTTCCCTTGATTTCATCAAACATCATGGAATTCTGAACAAAGTCCGTAGTATGGCTACCATCATGCGCCGTCAAAAAGACCCTTTGGCCTACCTCGAGCAGGTCCGGCAACACATATCCCGTCTCCCCGCCATCGACCCCAATACCCGCACCCTCCTCATCTGTGGCTACCCGAACGTCGGCAAGTCGTCCTTCATCAACAAGGTCACCCGCGCGGACGTTGACGTGCAGCCGTACGCGTTCACCACCAAGTCGCTCTTCGTCGGTCATTTGGATTACAAGTACCTGCGCTGGCAGGTGATTGATACCCCCGGTATCCTCGACCATCCCCTCGAGGAGATGAACACCATCGAGATGCAGAGCATCACTGCGCTCGCGCATCTGAAGAGCTGCGTGCTGTACTTCATGGATCTGAGTGAGCAGTGCGGGTACACGGTTGAAGCCCAGGTCAGTCGTGCCTCAACCGGTTTCTCTTTTTGTGGAAGGCGGATGCTAACTGCGAGTAGTGCAAGCTCTTCCACTCAATCAAGCCTCTTTTCGGCGGCAAACCCACTCTGCTTGTCATCAACAAGATCGATGTGACTCGTCTTGAGGACGTTGTCCCGGAAACCCGCGCGCTCGTGCAGGAGATCATCGACCTTGCCGGCGTCCAGTGTGTCCAAGTATCGTGTTACTCCGAGGAAGGTGTTATGGAGGTCAAAAACAAAGCCTGCGACGCTCTTCTCGCGCATCGCGTAGAGAACAAGCTCAAGGGCAACAAGATCAACACCATCATCAATCGCATTCACGTTGCCCAACCCAAGGCCCGAGATGAGGTCGTGCGCGAGCCGTTCATCCCCGAAGTCGTCAAGGAGAGGAAGAAGTTCGACAAGGGTGATCCTGAGCGGAGAAAGCTGGAGAAGGATATCGAGTTGGAGGAGGGTGGTCCCGGCGTGTACAACATCAACATGAAAAGTAAGTGTAGCGCTCTTCGGCGCGATGCTTGCGTGTTCTTACCGTTCGAGCAGAGAACTACCTCCTTGCCAACCCCGAGTGGAATCAGGATATCATCCCCGAGATTATGGACGGCAAGAATGTTGCCGACTTTATCGATCCCGACATCCTCGAGAAGCTCGAGGCTTTGGAGCGGGAAGAGGAGAAGTTGGCGGCAGAGGGCTTCTACGATAGCGAGGAGGAGATGGTGACTTTTTTTCGCGTCGTACTTCTGTTCTTTACAGCTGACTGATATGTCTGACACTCCAGTTCGACTCGGACGACGAGCGCGAAGCTGCTGAGCACAGGAGCGGTCTCCAGCACCTCGTCGAATCGCAGAGCAAGAAGAAGCTGAAGAACAGGTCCCGTCTGCCGCGCACAGCGGGGCTGCGGACGCTCTCCGATCTCACGACGGACCTCACGAAGGCGGGACTCGACCCGAGTCGCGTGCAGGAGCGCGCGATCGCGTTGGCGAAGCTGCGGGGTGCGCAGAAGCGCAAGCGGGACGACGAGGACGAGGCTGGCATGGATGTGGACATGGACGAAGCGGGTGCCGAGAGCGAGTGGATGGATGTCGATGGGGAGGACGGAACGCCCAACAAGCGCGTCAAGTCGAATTCCGGTGCTGTGGTTCCGAAGAACAGGCGGGAGCCTCGAACAAACCGGCAGTTGGCCGGTATGCGGAACGAGGAGGTGCGTGGACGGCGTCATTGTCGTCATCGTGTTTACGTCCCTGTCCCCGTCTCTGCTCTCGCCCTGATCCTCGTTACTTTTCCTCCTCCCCGTATAGCAATCCGCAAAAGCGATCAAACTGCGCAACCTCGGCCAGCGGCCGCGCAACATGCTCGCCAAGGCGGGCGAGGGAGACCGCGTGATCCAAACGAAAATGGTGCGCGCTATCGGTCGCTCAGCCTGTGCCCGCACCGTTTTGCTGACTCGCTCGTTTTCAGCCCAAACATCTCTTCGCGGGCAAGCGGAAGGCGGGCAAGACCAACCGCAGATGATCTGCCCTCGGCCACCACGTGCCTATCCACCCGTCGCTACCATCTTATTCTATCTCTCTTCTTTCTCTTTCACGATACTGTTTGTACTCTGCTGTCTCACTCGCTGCACGTCTCTCTTCACGATTCATGATAGAATTTGTAGAGCACCTGGACCTCGCAAACGCGATAACAACACGATAAGTCTATTTGAGTTCAGAGGTCAACGACGTAAAGACGACGAGAGGGGGGGAATAAAGCTTCCACAGGGCTAGATAAAAACGCGCGTGCGCACAGGGGGTGTACACTGCAGGCCGGCGAAGCTTAGCTTGTAACAGGATAAAAGTCAGCGAAGAAGGAACAATGTGCGGTAGTAAGGGTGGGAGGAAGTCAAAAAAAAACCCCCAAGGTAACAGCGAAGCGTGCCGCGCACGGAAAGCAATAGAAAACATCCTGGAATAGCACGCGCGACGCGCGGAGCACATCCTCCTCCGTATAGAACACACAGCCGGGATCTCTGGGCGCCGACAGGGCGGCACGGGGAGATATAGAGATATAGAGAGGAAAGAGAACGAGGGGGAAAGGCGGGGCTTCCTGAATATACATGTCTTTTCTTCGTTCGTGCGCTCGGCGGTGGTGGGGCGAGCGCGTGTGGGTGTGGGCGCGGGTGCGGGGGTGGGCATGGGCGTGGGCAGTCGCACCGTCCGTCCACGAGCGCTCGGGCCCGTTCGTCTGCGCGAATAAAAGTCGTGAAGTAATAAGTAAGGTATAGCGAGAGGGGCGGTCGTGGGAGCGTTTGGCGTGGCGGCGTGAGGTGTCGGGGCCGTCGTGAGGTATCGCATGCGGGCGTGGAGGGGAGGGGGGGTGTCAGGCAGGGAGGTGGAGAGGTGGAGAGGTGGAGGTGGAGAAGGGATGCGAGGTATGCGAGGTATGTGTGGAGTGGAGTGGATGGGTGGATGGGTGGCCGGACGAGACGAGGCGGGACGGGACGGGGCGAGGCGAGGCGGTCATTCCCAGTCGATGCGGAGGCCGATGGGGCCGATGGGCTGCGGGCCGATGGGGCGCGATACTTCGCGCTGGAGCCACTTGAGCGCGCGCTTGTCGTCGCGGAGGAGCGGCTCGAGCTGGTTGAGGCAATTCTTGTTGTGGTCCTGCGGGGCGGGCGCACGGGGCCGGGTCAGCGCACGGCGCACGGCGTACGGCGCGGAGGGAGGGGAGGGAGGGGAAGAGCGCGCGCGCGAGACGCACCTTGAGCCACGTCTTCTCCTCCTTTGTGAGCATGCCCTCGTCGACCATGCGCGTCGAGATGGGGACGCAGGTGAGGCGCTCGAAGCCGAGCCAGATCGGGCCGTTGAACTCGCGCTTCGTCTGCACGTGCCGGACGACGAGCGCCGACTCGATGCGCACGCCCCACTGGTTCGGGTTGTCTGGGCGTGGGTGGGCGGGCGAGCGAGCGGGAGCAGAAGCGGAGGCAGGGACGGAGCGCGGACGAACGAACGAACGAACGAGCGAGTGAACGAGCAGTCGGTCAGCCAGCGTCGGAGAACGATAAACAGAGGCGCCACGCACAGAAGCCCGGTTCGTTCGTAATAACGTGCCCGGGCACGAGCTCGACGTCGTTCGAGAACGAATGCGGGCCCTCGTGCACGCTGAGGAACGAGCCCACGCCGTGCCCCGTCCCGTGCTGCGAAAGCGCGCCTCCACGTTAGCCTCGACCGCGCGGACGGAGGGCGACGACGACGCACCATGTAGTTCAGGCCGTCCTGCCACAGCGCGCGCCGCGCGAGCACGTCCAGCTGGCGGCCCGTCGTCCCCTGCGGAAATACCGCGCTGTCGATCGCGATCTGCCATCGAAAAAAAAAAAAACACGTCGGGTGAGCGGCGATGCGCGAAGAGCGAGCGAGCGAGCGAGCGGCGGGCAAACGCACGTGTCCCTGCAGCACGCGGGTGTACGCCTCGCACTGCTCCTCCGTCGGCCGCCCAAAGTGCGTCGTCCGCGTCGTGTCGCAGGTGCCATCCCGGTAGTTCCCGCCCGAGTCGCTGCAAACGCGCGCACACCATGGTCAGCGGTCAGCGTCCAGTCGTGATAAGAGGCCCCGCGGGCGCACGCACTTGAGATACGGCGTGTCCTTGTCTATCAGCCGGCAATTCCCCTTCAGCGGCGAATAATGCGGCAGCGCTGCCAAAAACGAGCCATCATCAGCACCCGCCGCCCGCTCCTCCACCCGCGCCATCCATAAACAACGCGCGCGACGACGGCAACTCACATGCATTCGGCCCCGACGCCGATATATTCTCGTACGCGAGCATCATGAAGTTCTTCGCCTTGCGCCTGTACTCCGTGAGCCGATTCGCGGCCTCCCACTCGGACACCGCGTACCCGCCCGCGAGGCGCTCCTCGAGCCACGCGAGCATGCGCACGAAGCACACGCCGTCGCGCAGGTGCGCGCGCTTCAGGCCCTGGATCTCGACCTCCGTCTTGACCGCGCGCAGCGCGTCGACGACGGGCGGGAGCACCGTGAAGCGGAAGTGCGTGAGCATGAGCGAGATCGCGTAAGACGTCTGCGGGGAGATGACGACCTGCGCACGCGCGCGCGGAGAGGTGGGAGTCGCGCGTCAGCGGGGCGGTGAGAGGGAAGGGAGGAATACACGGAGGCGCGGCGCACCTTGCCCTCGCCCCACTCGCGGCGGCGCACGAACGTCCATATATCGTTGTAGTCGCGCGTCTCGACTGCGAGCTTCTGGAGGTACTCGGCGACGGGGCGCTCGATCTTCGCGAGCTCGATGAAGAGCACCGCGCGGGTGGCGGACACGTACAGGTACGCGAAGAAGAGCGGGTTGTATGGGATGTCGTCGCCGCGGAGGTTCAGCGTGTAGGCTGCGCGGCGGGCGGGCGGGTGGGCGGAGGGCAGTGTGTGTTCGGGGCGGGCGGAGGGTGGAAGGCGAGGTAGGATGAGGATGAAGCGACAGGCGACAGGCGATACGAGACAACACGCACCGATCGACTGGAGCGACGTGATGAGCGTCCCCGTCTGGCGCTGCGCGGCCGTCGGCGGCGCCTTGGAGTACGACGGCACGGAGGGCGGCAGCGCCGCGAGCCAGTCGCGTATCTCTGCCAGCTTGCGCGCCGCGTCCTTGCCTGTGTCGCGTGGGCGTGGGCGTGGGCGTGGGAGTCAGCGGGGCTCGCGCACACGAGAGCGAAAGAGAGCGAGGAGGCGAGAGGAAGGAAAGGAAAGGAAAGGAAAGGAAAGGAAAGGAAAGGAAAGAAAGAAAGAAAGGAAGGAGGGAAGGGAAAGAGGGAACAGCGAAAACCCCGCCGCCGACGCACCCGTATACTCGATCGGCTGCACGTACACCGCGCTCCGACTCCGCGCGGGGCGATCCTTCCACAGCAGGTCGACGAGGTTCTGCGGCGGGAACGCGAGGCGCGCGTTCTTCGGCGCGAGGCGCGCCTGCAGCGCCGACGCCCTGTCGTGCGCGATCATGCGCGCGTCGAGGCCGATCTTGGAGTCTTGGGCGCGGTCCTGAGGGCGCGGGCGGCGGGCGGGGCGGAGGGGCGGGGCGGAGAGTGAGCGCAGGAGCGAGAACGCGGGCGAAGGCGCGAAGGCGCGGGCGGTGAGTAAGCGCAGAGAGAGAGTGGAGAGAGCGGAGAGAGTGGAGAGAGAGGAGAGAGTGGAGGAGAGAGGGGGGCGAGGAAGAGGGACGCACCACGAGCCACTCGATCCAGTCTGCGGGGCCATCGGGCGCGCCGGCGGGGATGAGGATCCAGTTTTCGTCGAGCTCGTTGCGGGCCTGCAGCCAGTAGCGCGAGTCCGTGATCAGGTAGGCGTTCGACTTGGACACGATCGCTTGGCCTGCGGAGCCTGTGAACCTGCGGTGGCGGCGGCGGCGGCGTCACGAGGACGAGGCGAGGGGGAGGAAAACAAAGGGGACAAAGGGAGAGAGAGGAGGGAGGGTCAGCGAGGCGGGGACGGGAGGGGAGGCGCGGCGAGGGAGAGCGCACGCACTGGGAGATCCACTCGCGGCGCTTATCGCCCGCCGAGACATACTCAGACTGATGCGCGTCCTCCGACGGGACCACACTGCACCGTATCCCCATCAGCCCGCGGCACCAAGAAAACAACAACGACGAGGAGGAGGAAGAGGAAGAGGAAGAGGAAGAGGAAGAAGAGCGGCACCGCGCGACGCACTAATAATCCAGCCCGTCCTTCGCCATCAGCTTGCGCAGCTCCTCGAGCCGCTCGCGCGTGTCCTCGACCTCGCGGATCGGGTCGACGTAGCCCTCTTTGCGCTCGAGCGCGGAGCCGACGAGCGTGCTCGCGGCGTCGCTGTCCTGGAAGGAGGGCCAGCGCGAGACCTTGCTGGCCTTGCTGGCCTTGGACGCTTTGGAGTCCTTGCTGGCCTTGGAGTCCTTGGAGTCCCTGCTGTCCTTGCTGTCCTTTGAGGCCTGGGAGACCTTGGAGCGCTGCGAGACGTGGCGCGCAGGCGCCTGGGTCGGCGGCGGCGATGCGGTGGGCTGGGGCTCGCGCGGGCGCGGCGAGGGGACGGGGAGCGGCGGGAGGGCGTCGGCGCCATACACGGGGAGGACGGTCTCTGACGACGAGCGCGGGTGGGCCATGACCATCGCGAGCAGCGCCTCCTTCTCCTTCTCCTTCGTGCGGCCGATGCCCCAGCCGTAGCCCCAGTTGCGCCGCGCGAGGAGGCCGGGCGGGGCGGTGGGGCGGCGGGCGAGCTTGGAGTGGGTGCGGTCGAGGGTGGGGAGGGGGGCGGTGACGGCGTAGGATTCTGTGTCGTCGGAGAAGGTGAGCTTGTCGTCCGCGCGGGGGTAGGAGTAGGAATCGGGGGTGCGGGCGAGGGCGAGGCGGGAGGGGGCGGCGTCTGTGACGGTCGCGGTGGGGGAGTAGGAGGCGGATCGGTGGAGGGAGCGGTGGGAGGCCTGCGTCTGCGTCTGGGAGGCGTAGCCCGAGGGGTGGGAGGCTTGGGAGGGCCGCAGGGACGATTTTTCGTCGAGGAAGAGGGCCTGCTGCTTCGCCTTGGACTTGCGCGTGAACGGGAGGCACAGCGGCGGCGGGGGCGGCGGGGGCGGGGGCGGCGACATCGAGGTGGGGAGGCGAGGGTGTGGGTGTGCGGCGAGTGCGAGGGAGTGAGTGTGTATGTAAGAGGACAGGCGTGCAGTCGCGCGATGAGTCAGCACCTCGCCTCGCTGCCAGGCGCTTCCAGTCTAGCCGTTCTCTCTCCATCCCCCTTCCCCACAGCTGCACAGCACAGCGCAGCCGGCTGTAGCTTGTGTATGGCATGAATGCAGCCGCGAGCGGATCGCATCCACGTATGGTCAGTCAGCTGTCGCCACCGCGAGGCGCACGGCCCACCACCAGTGGACGACCCCGGCTTCCATCCGCCGCAGTTAGGCGTCCATGAAATCACGCTTCCGAGACGCGCGCCGCATCCATCGTCTACAGCGTCTATTAAGAGCATCCGATCCAGAGCGCGGTCGAAGGATCGGTGGACCGCGAGTGGTATGGTCGGCGATCCTCTATCGATAAGCAGGCCCCAGGGGCGGACGGCGGCGCGGGACGCCTCGCTGACCGGCGCTGACCGTCGTCCCATGGCCTGATAGAGCCCGATGGTCCCTTCGGGGCCTCCGGATGGCCCGTGCGCGCCTCCAGGTATGCGCGTGCCGCTCAGCGCGCCGTGGCTGCTATCATCTCCCGTCCGCCATTATTGCGTTACCGTGCTACCGTGTGAGCTGTGTTGTTGGCTGGGATTAAGCTGAGGTTAGCTCGTGCCCGTGCCCGCGATCGATCGATCGACGGGTCCGGGCTCCTAGTGGGCTCCTGCGATTCCTCTGGCTTTCCTCTGCGATCGCACCGATATAGACAGGGCTGGTCAGGGCTGCAGCTGCGCGGGAGCTATTCCCGCGTGCGTACGTGCGTCCGTGCGTGGATTTGCGAGAGGCGTGGCGTGGGCGCTGGTCTCGTCTGTGAGAAGAGAAGAAAGAAAGGGAAGAGAAGGAAGGGAAGGGGGAGAACGTTCCGCGTCGAAGAAGGGGGACGTTCGGCGAGGGGTGGCTGGGGCCACGCGGTGGGGTGCGGAGCGAGGCGAGGGGGTGGCCACGGGCGCCGGACGCGCGAGATATGGATTTGCATGGGGTGTGAGAGACCCGCTCGCTCACGGAGGGGTGCAGTGCCGAATGAATGAACGAACGAACGAACGAATGAATGGAGTGCGGGGCACTGCGCTGCGGTCTGCAGGCGAGTGGAGAACTCGAAGGCCGCGATCGGGGGCGCGCACAGGGAGTCCGGCGTCCACGTCCAGGCCGGGCGATGGACGCGAGGCCTAGCGTAGCGCACGTGGGGCGACTGGCCAGCGTCGGTGTCGGGATCGGTGTCGGGCGCTCTGCCACAAGACATGACGTCACGCCCGCTCGTTTATCCCGAAACGGCAATCGACCTGTAGCTGCCTACTTCTAGCCCTTCTGACCCCCTCCGACGCGAGCCCGCTGCACAAAGTTGCGCCATCCAAGCGAGACCGGCGGCGGCGGCGGTGCAGCTCGTTGGCATGCCGGATCAGCACTGCGCCATTCGGATGATAGTAGACGGTGAGTGTCCGTGCAGGTGCGTGCGTGCGTGCGTGCGTGCGTGCGTTCGGCGGGGGAAACGTCGGGCGGAGGCGCGGTTCCATTCATCGACGACGACCGCAGACCCGCGTGAGCAGACCAGGGCCACGGCCTCTGCACTGCACTGCACTCAGCTCGCCGCGCCCGACCCCACGCCTATTGCCTACCTATCGCGTGCGCGCACGTCCTCCCGCGCTCGGCGCCCTGCACACGGCTGTCCGGCGTGGGGAGGGCAGACGGGCAGACGGGCGGGACGCGTAGGTAATGGATTCGAAGCCCGCGCGGCTTCGCGCACTAACGCTAGCCACGCCCGCTAGCCACACCGAGCGGCACATAAGACCCTGCCCGCTCTCTCCTCCCCCTCCCTCCCTCCCTCTCCCCTCTCCCTCCCCCTCTCCCTCGCCCCACCACGCCCCACCTTCCTTCCCACCATACCCCACCCCCCACCCCGCGAGCACCCGCGCCCACAACCCGTCCGACGCGCGACACCCTCCGCAGGCGCAACCCCGGCGAAACCTCGACGCCCAGGTTTCCCCATCCGCGCACACATCGCCCGCACCGCGGCGCCCCCTGCCCCAGTCTGCCCTCGCCCAGACGCCCCCTGCCCACACGCGCGTAGCCCACACGCTCGCAGCCCACACGCTCGTTGCCCCGTCTGCTCTGCGCCCGCGGTCACAAGCGGGCCCCGTCTGTCATCCCTCGTCTGTCCTTCCCGCTTCATCTGTCTGTCCTTCCTTCCTTCCTTCCTTTGCCCTGTTGTGTCCCGATAGCTTCGCCTTCGACGCGCGTTAGACATCGGAGACTGCACGCACGCGCGCGCTCCCCCTGACTGGCTCTCTGGCCGCCTGACCGCGACCAAGAAGCCTTGCCCTGCCCTGCTCGGCCTACTTAACCTCCCAAGTTTCGCCTCCCCGTCCTTCTGCCCTCTGCCCTCTGCCCTCCTTCCCTTCCCTTCTCTCCTCCCCTTCCCTTCCCTTCCCTCTTCCCCTTCGACCTTCCCCTCGACCACTTCAGCCCTTCCCCTTCGACCTTTAACTCTTCCCCTTCCCCACCTCCCGCACCGATCGATCACAGAATGGGTGCCGCCCCCGCCCTCGCCTCCGCCTCCGCCTCCGCGGGCTCGGGCTCGGGCTCGCAGACTTACGCGGGCCTCGTCGATCCGTCCGCCGTGCCATGGTGGAAGAACCGCCGTGCGTGCTCCGCTTCTTTTGGTCTCTCCGTTTTCTCTTTATCTTCTCTGTTTCTCGTTTCTCGTTTCTTGTTTCTTCTTCGCCCTCGTCGCCCGGTTGTGAGTTCGGTGGACTGACACGTCGCGTATACGCAAACGCAATCGCAATCGCAAACGCAAACGCAAACGGAATCGCGAATGGGAATGTAGGGTTGCTAGCGCTGAACGGGTGGATCGCGCTCCTGTCAGTCCTTCCCCCTCTCCCTCTCCCTTCCCCTCCCCCTCCCCCTCCCCCTCTGCATATCTCCCATCCGCCCGCCCACCGAGAACCCCAGCGCTGACTCTCGTGTGCGTATGCACGCACGCACGCACGCACAGGCTGATCACATCGACCACGAACGGATACGACGGTAAGCAGCCCCCGCCGCCGACCCTCTTTCTCTTCGTTTTCGGAGCCGAAACAGCGCCGCTGACCGGCCGTGCGCGCGCCCGTCGCCCGTCGCTCTTCGGGGTGAACAGGGAGCATGATGAGTGCGTACCCTCCCTCCCCCCGCTGCCTATCGCGCTCGCTTGCACGGCTGACTGCTCGTTCGCTCGCTGGCGTCCCTGTTTGTCTGGGTGCGTAGACGGCCTGCAGTCCCTCACGCAGTGGGAAGACGCCTTTAATAACCCCTCCGGCGGAATGGTGCGTTCTCGCGTCTGCGTCTGCCGCAGCCCCCGTCCTCTAAACATGCCCCCGTCCTCCCAGCTCGGCCTCCTCAACGCCATCCAGGTACGCACCCCGTCCGCCCCGTCTTGCGCTAGCTCACCCCGACGCCGCGCGCCGCGCGCGCCAGAACATCGGCTCGCTCTGCGCGTACCCCTTTGCGCCGTACGTGACCGACGGCCTCGGCCGGCGCCCCGCCATCCTCCTCGGCGCGGCCCTCATGCTCGTCGCGACCGCGCTCCAGAGCGCCGCGCACTCCGTACACATGTTCATCGGCGCGCGGTGCGTTCCCTTCCTTTCTCGTTCCGCCGCGCGTGTCCTGCCCTTGTCGTTCCTGTTCCTCGGCCTTCCCTCGGTTTCGTTTCATTGTGGTTCACGTGCTCCCCTCGCGTGCGCGCTCGCGCCATGTGCTTCTGTCCCTTACGCGGCGCACACTCGCCGCGCCCCGGGGGCCCCGCGGCCGCGAGGCTGGGCGCAACGAGACGAGGAGAGGAGAGGCGATGCGGAACCTGTTTCGCGCTTCCGTTGCGATGATTGCCGACCGACACTGACGCTGCCGCTGCCATCCCCCCGCTGCCATTCCCGCTCCCGCGACGCTACCAGGTTCCTGATCGGCTTCGGGCTCACGTTCGCGGCGTCCGCGGCGCCGCTGCTCGTGACGGAGATCGCGCACCCGTCGCAGCGCGGGCAGGCGACGTCGCTGTATAACTCGCTGTGGTCAGTCCTCGCTCCCCGCATGCCTTCCCTCGTTCCTTCCTGCACGGATAGAGCGCGCTGACGGATGGAATGACTGGACGGTGATCGTGCGTGCGTGCGTGCGTGCGTGCGTGCGTGCGTGATAGGTTTTTGGGGAGTATCATGTGCGTCGCTGGTTTTTCGCTCCTGCGCCGTGTCTTCCTGACTGGAATGCTGTTGCGACCGCCGTGCGCACAGAGCGGCGTGGACGGTAAGCACCGTGCCGCCTTTGCGTTTTCGCTTCCGTCGAGCCCCGCCGCTGACACTGCCGACCCTGCCCCTTACGCCGACACTTTCTCGCGCGCGCGCGCGCAGACCTTCGGCACGTTCACGATCCAGAGCAGCTGGGCGTGGCGCATCCCGTCGATCCTGCAGGGCCTGCCGTCGGCGGTGCAGGTCGGCCTCATCTGGTTCTGCCCCGAGTCGCCGCGGTGGCTCGTGAGCAAAGGACGGTGAGCGCCCCCGCGCGGTTTTTGGCGTCTCGCTTTGCGCATGGCTGAGCTGGTTCTGTTCTGCTTCTCGTGGCCGTGCAGGGAGGCGCAGGCGCTCAAGACCCTCGCGTACTACCACGCCAACGGCAACGCGTACGTGCACCCGTCGCTCGTGTATCGTCTTTGATTTAGCGGCGCTCACGCGCGCCTGCGGCGCTGCCGGCGACAGGCAGGACCCGCTTGTGGAGTACGAGTTCGAGGAGATCAAGGCGGCGATCAAGCTCGACCGCGAGGTCGCGGCGGACGTCGGGTGGCTGAGCCTCGTCCGGACGCCGGGGAACAGGAAGCGCATGCGGATCATCGTCGCGATCGCCTTCTTCTCGCAGTGGTCGGGCAACGGACTGGTGTGAGTGCGCGCACGCGCTTCGTTGTGTGTGTTTTTTGGTTTGGGGTGCGTGAGGCTCACGTGTGTGTGCGTGCGTGTGTGTGTGTGTGTTGCAGGTCGTACTGTGCGTTTTTCTGTGCTTGGTGGGTTGGGGAGCGGAGGGCGCTGATGGCGTGTGCTGCTTTGCTAGATCTCAAGCGGGTCTGCGATTCGGTCGGCAGTGCGTTCATCGTCTCCCGTTTTCCCCTCTCACGCGGCTCACCCTCCTCCTCGTGATCCCCAGTCACCGACCCTACAATGCAGCTGCTCATCGTGCGTCCCCATATTCTTCCCCGTGTCGTCCCACCCGTCCTCAGATCGCCCCGCCGTGCCGGGATCACAGAACGGCGTGCTCAACATCTGGAACTTCTTCGTCGCCGTCGCCGCAGGGCTGCTCTGCGACAGGGTCGGCCGCCGGCGGCTGTTCATCACCTCCACCGTCGGTGCGTGCTCCGCCGTGCCCCGTCTTCGCGCGCGCGCTGACTCCGCGCCGTGCCGCGCCGCCCGCAGGGATGCTGGTATTCTGGATCATCCAGACCATCTGCTTCGCGGAGTACTCGAAGCACGGGAACCCGGCGACCGGCCGCACGGTCATCGCGATGATCTGTACGTCCCCCGTCTCGTTCCCGACGCGCCTCTGATCCCGTGCGCGCGCTGACCGGAGCTTTTTTTTGCGGTCCGCGCAGTCGTGTATTACGCCTTCTGTGCGTTCCCGTCTTCTTCTTCTCGCGCGTCCGAGTGAATGGCTGTTGTGCTGACTGGGTGGGACGTCGGACGACCGAGGGACAAAGACGACGTGAGTTTTGTTTTGGGGGACGTCGTGTCGTGTTCGGTCGAGTGATAGCTTGCGTCGTGATAGATTGCGTTCACTCCGCTCATTGTGTCGTGAGTGGCCCGCCCGCCCGTCCGTCCGTCCGTCCGCGCGCGCGCTCATTCTCCGGCCCGCAGGTACTCCGTTGAGATCCTGCCGTTCGCCATCCGCGCGAAGGGCTTCACCGTGTTCAGCTTCGCCGTCTCGCTGTCCCTGATCTTCAACCAGTGCGTCGCCGCGCCGCGCCCTCCCCTCCCGCCTCGTCTTTCCCGCCCCGCGCTGACCGCGTGGCACGCCCGTGCACAGATACGTGAACCCCATCGCGCTGAACGCGTCAGTCGCCCCCGTCCTTCTCGTTTCCCTCGCAGAGCTGATCGCCCGTTCATGGCAGCCTCGGATGGAAATACTACGTGAGTCGTAGAGTGGCCGAGGAAGGCCGAGGCCCCGCACGCTGACCGCAGTCGCAGCTGGTCTACGCCTGCTGGCTCGCCTTCGAGGCTGTATTCGTCTTCGTCTACATCATCGAAACCAAGAACGTGCGTCGTACAGTCCCTCTCCCACCCTCTCCCTCCCGTGACGATCTGTCGCTGACACACGCGCACGCCGCCAGCGCACGCTGGAAGAGACAGCCGCGTACGTCTCCGTCGCTTTTTACCTCGCTGCGGCGCACTGAACTGACGGCCGTGTCTAACAGGCTATTCGACGGCGCGGACACCGTCGCGCAGATCGCGCAGCAAGCCGCCGAACAAGCGGGCACGAGCACGAGCACCGAGCGCGACAGCCAGGATCCGGAGAAGCACGGCGGGAGCGTGGAGAAGGCAGAGGTCGAGACGGAGAGCACGAGCTGAGAGCGCCGGCGGTGGACGGCTTGGGTGTCGTCATGCTTGGGGATATCGGTGTTGGCGCCCCCTCCGATGGGCAACTAATTTTTGGCTTCTGCGTGCATGGTTCTTTCCCTCTCCCGGGCCCGAGCTCAAGTCCCTTCATCATTGTGTATTAAATATTCGACGTGCGATGGTGGTGTACATATATCTGCGGACTCGAGGACTCTGGCTATTGTAGAGATTTTTTTTAGCTGGACCCCGTTTGCAGCTGCTGGTATAAAAAAAAAATCGAAGCCAGTTCCGGGGTGGCAGCCAGCTCCACAACGATGGCGTGGGGAAATTGAAATATATGGCCCTGCTGCTGAGCGCCTCGGAGCTGACTTGGACCTCGAATTCGCCTTGGGCTGGCCTTCCACATACCCAGACGCATCCCAGGACGCACATCCTGGACGCCTCGACGCAGAGCAGAAGCGTATCCGATACCCACACAAAGAGCCGGCAGCGATGGGCGTCCAACCGCGCGGGCTCGTCGTCAAGCTGACAGCCATAGGCGCCCTGCTCTCCTTCATCACCCTCCTTTACTTCTACACCGGGGCGTCCCAGCGCGTCCGGCTGCCCTCTCTAGGATCCCTCTTTCCCTCCGACGGCCGCGCGCGTGCATCCTGCGCCCCCGAGGCGTGGGCCGACGGCCACTGGGCGCGGCGGCGCTCACCGATTGGCAACGAGACGCTGACGGCGCCCCGCGACGTGTTCGCGTACAACGGCTTCGATGGATGCGCGAGCGACCGCGAGTTCTTCTGGCATCTCGGCGCGGACAAGGAGGAGCAGTGGGACCGCTTCCCGGACGTGCTGGACTATGAGTGGGTGCCGGGCGAGCAGTGTGCGGGCGTCCGGCCGCTGACGGGGGCCGCGCTCGTGCGGGATCTCGTCGAGCAGGGCGGGTGGCTCGTCCTTGGAGGTGCGTGCGCTGTGCTCTCGTGCTTGCGCGTGCGCTTGCTCAGCCGTCGCCTGCAGACTCCATCACGGAGAACCACTTTTTCTCGCTCTCCTGCACCCTATTCCCGCACGTCCGCGCGACCCCCAACTACACCGAAAACCCCTACTTCGACCGCGCGTGGCCGCAGAACCTCTACCTCAACCCGAGCTCTCCGCTCCTCTCGTCCCTGCGCCTCCCGCCCGGCTTCTCCATCGAAGAGACGCCGCTCATCACCTTCCGCCGCGTCGACCTGCTTCTCGAGCAGACCGAGATCGAATCCGTGCACCGCACGCTCCATCCAGAGCTGTACGCCGACGGGTCCGACTTTGCGCTCTTCAGCGACGAGAAGTTCTGGTCGCTGAGCCCGTCCGAGTACATGCCGATGTTCACCGCGCCGCTCCCGCGCGCGCACTACGCGACGCTCGTCGTGAGTACCGCCGGGCACTGGACGACGACGCTTTTCGGCGGGCTGCGCGACGCGAGCCGCGAGAACGACGGGTACGGGATCGAGCACGTGCTTGAGCTCTTCGCGGCCGCGATGCGCCGCTGGGCGGAGGACGTGCAGCGCGCGATGGACGAGGACCGCCGCGTGCAGACGCGCAAGGCGCTCGCGGGCCTGGTCGGGGGCGGGGGCGGCGGGAGTGCGGGCGGCGCAGCGGAGGGCGAGCGGCCGGTCGCGCGCCAGGTGGTCGTGCGCGCGTATCTGCCCGGCCACGAAGACTGCCACAGCTTCCGCGCGCCGTGGGCCGAGCGGCAGCCGTTCAAGTGGAACTGGTACAACTGGGCGTGGATCGGCGACATGAACGCGCGGTTCCAGGTGCGCGGCGTCTTCTCCCGTGCTCGTTCTCGTGCTTGACTACGATGAGGTTGCTGACGGCGATTGCTGCGCGGGGGTAGGAGATCCTGGCGTCTGCGGCGTCGTACCCCGATATCCACTTCCTCCCCATCGACCGCCCTGCGCTGCTCCGCCCGGACGCGCACGCGACGGGCGACTGCCTGCACCTGCTCACGGGCGCGGGCGTGCTCGAGGGGTGGACGCATTATATCTGGCACTTTGTTACGCGCGAGCTTCCCGGACGCATCCGGTGATTTCGTCGGACATTGAGGGGCGCGGTGCGCACCCACCGGACAAAAGTGCGTCGGACGGACGGACGGACGAACGGAGATGCCCGCTGGGTGTATTTGATCTTGTTTGCTCGTCGTCATACCATAGAGCTATGCGCGGGCGTCGTTTATCTACTGCTAAATTCATATGTACACTGCAGGCTCCTGTTCGGCGGGTGGGAGAGCGTCTTTCACTCGGGCATAGACGCCGACGATCCGTGGAGGTCGGTGCACTGCGATCTGCACAAGCATCGTCTTGACGAACATCATCATCCCGAACGGCGCCGCCAGCGACTATTCAGCCTAGCCATGACACAACGTAGGCGGCCTGGGAATTCTCTAACATCGTCACCTATGGCAGCGAGTAAGCCTCACGTTCGATCGTATCTGTGACGACGAAGATTCCACCGTCCACTTTTTACCCCCGAAGTAGGTACCACAATGCTTGTTTCGTCCTCGCGGCGATAGGTCGTCCGATGTCAAGACTGTCCACAGCGGAGCTTACACAGATCAACGGCTCACTGCTCGCAGACAGCAGTGCCCAACGAAAAGCAGATGCGATAAAATTACACGTTTGAAACCGATTGCGGACGTGGTAGTACACAGAAGCCATACGACAGTCCTAAGTATGGGAGCGGGAGGAACAATCGCACCGACTCTGGCAGACGGAAGACTTCATAGGAAGGAGCGGATGGACGAGATCAGATGAAAAAAAAAACAATATAGGTTTTTTAATGGCTATTGGAGTCGACGTTTGGGAGGCGAGACGCGAGATGGCGAGACCTGGATGCTGGACGACATCCCTGCTCAACGTGTTCGATCAGTCCAACTGCAGCTGCACCCTGACTCGGTCCTCGCTGTATCTACCACCCTCTAATCCAGTAAGGCACTGTTGCGACGGACAGCGCGGTTGCGGTTGCGGTTGCGGTTGCGGTCAGAGTCGTTACCGTCGCTGTCATGTCCACCTATAGGTGAAAAGAAGCTCGTGAGTGACAGAACAGATACTAGAGTCAGTGGTTACAAACTGTCGTGACCGTGCCTTGGAGCCCTGCGAGCAAGACGGTCCCTGCTCCTGCTCCTGTCATTGCCAGAGTCTATGGAATTTACGATGAACGTCAACCAAATGGTACGATCAATATCTGGAGCTAACCACGAACCGTTGCCGCCGTGCCTCCTGCGAGTAAGACGATCACGGCTCCTGTTCCTCTCGGAGCCAGAGTCTGTTGATTCAATGTTAAGGGCAGCGCACAAATAAATTCAATGCAGTCACAACGAACCGTTGCCTCCATGCCTCCTGCGAGTAAGAACTATCCTCTCATCGCGGTCGCTATCGTGTCCCGAGTCTGATTACCTCGATGAGGGAAACACGCATTGTCAAATGAATATCCACAAACCGTTGCCACCGTGTCTCCTACGCGTCAGGCGGTTCCTGCTCCTGCTCTTTTCGCCTCCAGAATCTGCAAGGCCAGAAGTATAAGATCAGGCGATTCAATCCAAGAAGCGATCGTAACATACCGTTACCGCCATGTCTCCTGCGCGCAAGGCGAGCGACCTCTCTGATCCTGTCATGGTCTGTATCATTACCCGAGTCTGCTCAACTCTGAATCAGCGCCCGTATATATCTCGACAAATGGCCACGACAAACAAACCATTACCGCCATGTCTTCTGGGGGCAAGCACAGCCCTGTCATGGTCCGTGTCATTACCGGAGTCTAATTTCGAGTTGAGCTCGACGTTCAATTATCAAGAAAGTGCTCGTAACGAACCGTTGCCACCGTGTCTCCTGCGAGCAAGGCGGTTTCTGCTCCTACTCCTTTCGCCACCAGAGTCTATAGGATTCAGGTGGGGAGTGGAATAGGCGCAGTTTATTTAGAGCTTACCATTGCCGCCATGTCTCCTACGGCTAAGAACAGCCCTGTCACGGTCGGTGTCATTTCCAGAGTCTAATCACCTCGAGTTGAAGTTTGACATTGAGAAATTGGGAAGCGCTCATAACATACCGTTGCCACCGTGCCTTCTGCGGGCAAGAACAGCCCTGTCGTGGTCCGTGTCATTGCCAGAATCTAACAACCTCAAGATGAGTTCGGCGTTCGGATATCAAGGGGGTTCGTATCAAACCGTTGCCGCCGTGTCTTCTGCGGACAAGAACAGCCCTGTCGTGATCCGTGTCATTACCAGAGTCTGCAGTCCGAAGATTAGAACATAGCTCGACGCGACAGGTTCAATGCGTACCATTGCTGCCGTGTCGCCTTTGAGCAAGAACAGCCCTATCATGGTCCGTGTCGTTACCAGAGTCTACCCAAATCTATTTCAGCGATACTCCTGGTGATTTGATGCTACGGATGCAACGAACCGTTGCCGCCATGGCGTCTGCGAGTGAGAACGGCCCTGTCATGGTCCGTATCGTTACCGGAGTCTGAAGGCAGGGTCAGGAAATAAACAATTATAACGAGGTCAGGGCGTACCATTCCCACCGTGGCGTCTGCGAGTGAGAACGGCCCTGTCATGGTCCGTATCGTTACCGGAGTCTATTTTCTTTGGACTGAGCGCGACATTCGAATATCAGGAATGTCTTAACGAACCGTTGCCTCCGTGTCTCCTGCGTGCCAGACGGTTCCTGCTTCTGCTCCTCTCGTCACCGGAGTCTGCAAGGCTCATATTCAGCAAACGACTAGCTCGTACCACATATCCAACGACATGTCCTTACCGCCATGTCTTCTACGAGCAAGTACAGCCCTATCACGGTCTGTGTCATTGCCGGAGTCTGCAAGGCCACTCATCAGTGAAAGTGCGGAACAAATGACGGGGTTATTCGAGGCATACCATTACCGCCGTGTCTCCTACGAGCCAGGCGATCCCTACTCCCACTCCTGTTACCGTCTATGAACGTTGTTTCAGAAAAGTGCCCCGAATCAAGACATTCACAACTGACCATGGCTACCATGTCTCCTGCGAGCGAGACCAGTATTTATACCATCTCGTCCCCTTAAGTCATCATCGTCTGAATCATTCTCATCTGCATGATCATGCTGAGCAAGATTCTGACAGAAACAAGGGACTCATCACTTGCCTTGATCTCCGAGATTTTCAGCTGCAATCTCGCCTTGGGAGACCTCTGATAGTATTGTCAATTTCGAGAGAACCAGGTGAATGGGCTTAAATGATAAAACCTTTGTCTCCGAGCGCCGTGAGGGGAGCATGTCCGACGTCAACCGTCACGACATCGTTTCCGACAGCGTCAGACAAGGCAAGAGCGCGCTCCGGTGTGGGGCGAGCATTTACATTCAAAAGCCTCAAGGAGACCCAGCAGGCGAGGGCGACGAAACGCGAAAAGCGGGTGAAGAACATTTGAAAAAGCTTGAACTAAGTGTAGCAAGTTGGGTGTCTGCTGGAGATTGAGGATATCGAAATGCACTTTTATATCTTACAGCAATGGCGCGTCTCAAAGTCCGCAACGAAATCGCGAAAGCCTGTGGGATGCGCAGTCGATGGAAAAAAGATCCTGTGGGATGTCCAAGAAATGGGAGATAAAATCAACGCGGCCAAGAGGAAGTCGTGAGATGTCATGGCATAGCTTCGACGATCATGAAAAACAAGACTGCAAGCGGTTGATCTCGGCGTGAAGTTCTTTAGCTGACATTGGACGGTGATTACCGGCCAAGGCTTACATCTAAATCATCTGACATAGAGTAATCGGCGGTGGCTTTCCTCGGCTCGAATAGTGGTAAAGGTTGGAATACAACCCAAAGAGGGCTGTTCATTTCTAACGTCACAATCACGGGAAGTGGGCAATGACGTATATCTCTAGTGGGGTGTGTGTCACGTCTCGGACGGCGATACTAAGAATGCACTGCTCCTGGATGGTTGGAGGGTGGCACTCATACTAGCCGAGAGATTCACAATGTAGAGTGCGTACCTTAGACACGGGAGTGTAGTTCCAACTTGGGACGTTGGACGAGCAGAAAGGTGCAAAGCCCAAGCCGAGGGTATACGATGATCAACGTACTATTCCTCCTGCTCAGTTCTTCCCTAGAGCATGTGTTTAACAGTGGGAACATGAGGTAGATATCAGCGATCAGAGTAATTTTGAGATGCTGCGCACCGAAGAGGAGCCCATATGGAGTAACTATCGTGAACAGAGCCAAAGAATCGTGAGACTATATGAACATGTTCAACCATTCGGAGAAACTTCGACATTCAGCCTCAGGGAAGAAGCTTATTTGCCTCAGGGAAGTCGCGTCAAGTCCAACAAATATGAGTGCTAGCTGCACTCGGTAAGTCCACTGCCCTCGTACGCATGCAATAAACATACACACTGCACAGCCAATCCTTAGATACCATGAGAGCCAGTCCCTCAATTCTCTTCCAACTTGATGCCTCACCGTATCTTCACATATAATCTACCCAAATCTACCCAAATGTGTTATTGACAGATGCAACGGACGAAACGGGTACGACGAACCTGCTAAGGCCCTCATTGCTCACTTGCTGATAACTAACGACAATCAAGGGTCAATTAGGCGGTGCGCAGACAGCTAGACTTCTCTCAGATGATACATGCGTCTTGTCACGCAAATGATCGTTGAACTAGCATGTTCGGGTCGGGGAGGCAAACGTAACTTCCACTCTGCTGGCAAGAAGATTCGGCCAATTGGGGTTTGGGAGGGTTTGGTGAAATGGACGACCATTCATGATTCATATTGTCGTGCAAACGGAGAAGATACTAATCAAGAAACCCCAAGGACAAGGCCACGATGGTATCGAGACGGTGGCAAAGTGAGAGTTCAAGTCTGCTGGCTGCCTCTGTGATTATGTAAGATAGGTACGAGACCTCTCCTCGACGCGTGGTTACAGTATGTCCGACTCGTTCGAGCACAGGACATTTGCAGTGTCCTTTGCGATTGGAGAGGCAATATCAAAGAAGACAAGAAAAATACCCCCAAAAAAAGAAAAACATGAGTCACACGACATGAAGATCAACCTCGCCACGGCTGGAGTCCGAGGGAGGAGTAGGTGTGTTCAACCGAAGCACTCGAACGTGAGGGTCGTCAAAACCGATGTCCTTACTGCTACTTCCCTGCATGATTGAATTGTGAGCCAAAAATATGGAACAAAAGCCAGGATATTGAAATATCATAACGTACAGGTTCCTTATTGTCACTAGAGATCGTTCCAGGGAGCACTGAGTCGGGCCATGGGCTAGCTCCGCTTCCATCGATATCTACCCTCCTCTGAGTATCGCGCGACACCTGAATCTGCATTCTGATTGATGCTGCCTGCTCGGATACAGTGCTTGAAAACTGTGATTTCCGACCATTCAGTGTTGCCATTAAACTGTTGGAGTACCTGTAGGGCAATGTTAGTGATCAAATCTAAGATGAGTTTGAAACAGACACTCACAGTTCTCCCAAGATCGAAGCTCTACGAGAGCGTTAATAAGAGAAATGAGAATTACAACAAGTTAGCGCACACTCACGGCATAAGATGGTAATTTGTTTCTTTCCACTTCATCAAGAAGAGAAGGTCAACACCTGCGCATACCGCAGTGATGCTTCCGGTCTGAATTGTGTGCATGATAAGTCTTGTGATGAGTGTGTCCGAGGTTTTCCAAGGACTCTTGGCTTTGGCACTGTACAGCTGGAAAATACCGATACTGTCAGCCATGTTTAGCGGGGATAGACGGTGTGGTCAGACTTACAACCCAGATCATAGATAGCGATATCAGGATATCAGCAGCGAAGCTACCGGCTAGTCGAAACTATAGGGAGCATTACATGTGTAGCATGAACGGAACGGAAAAGTGTTCAGTCACTTACCGCAAATTCCGGTTGCAACTGAGCTAAGTTCTTCGCATTCGACTCTCCTAACCGTGTCAAGACAATGGATGAACTGACAATCGCCACCAGACATTGCGCCAATGCAATCTAGACGATGACATCATTTGCACCAATATGCCAGATGCAATATCAGAACGCACCCCCACGATGAGAATTGCGAGCGCAAACATGATCTTCGTCCTTGTCAACTTCCATATCCGCCTGAAGTCAAGCGACAGCATGAGCATATATGCAGACCGCAAAGGATTCATAGCAGCAGCCCACCAAGCATAAAATGTTTGCACGATTGCTGCAACTATCGTTGTTCCGTGGTAAGATTCCGCAGGAAATGTAAAGAAGATTCAACCCAACTGAGACTACACACGATTGGAATGGTTGCCGCCGTCCAAGGCACCAACTTGAGGACGTCCGGCCTGCCCCAGTGCTCGATCATGAACCACCAACCCAGATGTGTCCCGAATACGGCCTGCGTTACGTTCAGACACGAGATAACATATACTGCTCACAGAAGTCTGAATATCTCCAAACATCTCGTAAATTCATGATGTGAGACTTACCTAGTAGACGAATTGCGATTCTGTCTTTCGGGAAATTGCATAGATAAAAATCTGCGTTTGATATAATCAGGTCAATGTCATGCGGTGTTCAGAAATACTCACAGACTTGAACTATCAAGATGCCCATGAGCATCCAATCAACGATATTGCCGACAAACTGAGGACCCAAAGCGAAGTTAGCGATAAGACTGTACCGTTATGACAAAGTGAAACAAGACAAACCACGGGCCCAATCCTATACAGAACAGACATTAGTAACACTGCTTTGAAAGTTTTTTATGATGAGGAGACTTTTACACAACATACATCGTGTAAGCATCTTGTGCATCTTCGCTGGAAAGTGTCGAATCGTTACTAATACCAGCCATGGCCGTCGAAGGGGGAAGCGGTAAGCGGTAGAAAGTAGAGGTGGGTGCTGTTGGAAATATAGGGCGCTCCGACCTGCGAGACGTGGATGCCACCGAACTAGGCAATACTGGCACTATGGTGACCCATAATGTTTTCCAGATCCATTCCGGAGGTCGCATTACCGACAGCGAAGGCATGACATTGATAATCATTATAAGATGGAAGCTGAGTCCCTAAAAATTTATCGACGCCTTGATCAGAACGAAGGGTCATAATCAGAGGCACCTCATCATGTCTTTGTGGCCAGAACGGGATGGGTAGGTACCATACTTTGTAGCGCCTTCTTGATCGGGCGTATGGATTCGCAGAGAGGACGGCTACCTTTCATGGAGCTATGGTCATAGAGATCACCGCATGGTGTTTCTGGGTAGAGGTGCCAGAGGGCGTAAAAATCTGCCATCGTTCCAGCCCCGCCTGAGGAAGATGATGAGACAGAAGCTAGATCAGCAGATGGACATACAACCGATTTGTGGTGTGAACCGCATGCTCGTGTCATTCGTGATACCACGTCGATGGCTGAAAGGAGAAGTAGTCATGCTGGTTTTAAGAGAGGTCGTCACGTATGCAACTACAGCTTCAGGATTCGCCCCGGATCATACTCGTCCCTTCCCTCCGCATAAGCTCCCTTGCTGTGGGCCCATGCATCACTCGTCTGAAAGTCGCAAATCCGGTATTTGTGCCCAAAAGTCCATAGACTGATCATCTGTTTATTCACTACGTTTCTCCAGTCAAGTCTGTCGTGAATGCCGAATTGTTTGGCTGGCCACCAAACTCGCGGCCTTTCATCTCGCGGAGGGGCGGAGCATGAAAGGCAGATACAGCCACATGTTGCTGCCCGGTGCTATGCAACGGTAAGAACAGCTGAATTGAGACCTAGTGGAGGGAGGTATACTGCCGGGTTGAAGGGCTTGATACGACGGAAGTCTGCTAACGAGAAGATATCCAGAGTCGCTGGGTTCCAAGTATACTGGATAGTACAGCCGATGTCAGGGAAGTCAGAGACATGGCATGGTGCCTTTTTCGTGATGAGCGCTGAGCGGGCACATCGACATCAGTATCGTTGTTCACCTCGTTCACTTGTGGCTCCCAATTTGATGCAGATTCAGCCAGATTAATTTTACTTCAAGATCGTAAATGATCAGGAAGGACGTGGAGCCTGAGATAAACGAGAGACAGTTGATATGGCTCTTTCTCAAACATACTCGTGACTACTGTGACACCACTGCTGTCTGTCGGGTCTGACTTGCCCGATGCGTACGCCATCCACATCGTACTTCCCGCCCCGGTGGACACGGATGACGAGTGGCTGGAGTTCGGCCTCGCGCAGCCCTCGCCGCAAACGGACAACGGCAGGCCGCCCAGGGTCTGGAAGATGTTCAAGCTTCGAGTTAAGATGAGATTAAAGTATCGTGATGTCCAGAAATAATATGAAAATTTTTGTACAACAGATGCGAATGCCGGAACACTCACATCGCGGGACACTGCCTTGCCCTTTGATCTGAAGGTGAAGATCACTTTAGAAAATATTAGCATCCAGTACATACAGGTTACATCTTAGGTTGCTGAGGGATGTTGAAAGTTGAATGGAAGCCTATGAGGCAGACAGGTCGATTCGCGTCCCTTCGAAAGACTGATCTCAAATGCTGCATCATGGATAAGCAGAGCGGTGCATATCATTCAGACAAGATTCAATATCTGGCTTACTTGGTGTTGAAGGGATCCAAAGGCAGTAAAGGACTGTTGAGCTCTGCGATGGGTCAGAATAGACCAGGCCGGATTGACTGCAGTCGGGTGTCACGGACATCAATGCACCATCACGTCAGCATTTGCCACGCTCGTTCGTCTCTTTATGGAAGGCCAACTGCACTTGATACGGTTACAGGATAATCCAATCGTATCTCGTGGAGGTCATTGACATTCTATTCCCGAGATATTGATCGTCGGATTTCCAGGTATGAAAACCGTCGCCGTATAGGTCCCAAAGATGTGCAAGTTTCCGCGCTTGCGGTGTTTTCCTCTTCGTATACCAGCAAACTGTCGCAATAATGTCCTCTACTGCTGTTCAGAAAGGCGGCGTCTTATGGGAGGCGAAGAACGATACAGCATCCGACTCTCATTATACCTACAAGAATTCTGGCTCCCCCGCGCGCACCTGGGATTGTGCGGTGCTTGCCAAGGTAGATTTGGTGGTCATTCCTATCGTGGGCATGTTCTGTGCGTTTCTGTTGCGAAAGCAGACAACATTGTATCTGGCATTAACCCGTCCTTTCTCTTCATTGGTTGAAGATTTTTTGTCCTTCCTGGTTAGTAATCTGTTTTCCTGCTGTCTCGGTCGCTTCATTGACCCTGGTCGTCCTGTGACAAAGGATAAAGCGTGAGTACCAGTTTTTGGGGTATCATTCAACGTGATTGAAATGTATTGATGGCTCCTTATGAAGAAACATCGGCAATGCTCGTATCGCCGGGCTTCAGAGAGACTTGAAGATGACGAATCATCAATTCTCTACGGCTCTGACTGTTACATAGTATGTTTTTTTTCGTTATTCATCTGGCATGCTCAGAATTTTGCTCCTTTAGCGTTCCATACATACTCATGGAAATTCCAATGAATCTTCTCATGAAACGAATCGGCGCCAACATAACTCTCCCCACCATGGTCATCTTGTGGGGAATCGTCTGCGCATGCCAAGGTTTGGATATGTTCACAGAGCTTCATCGTCTTTTCAAGTGATCGCGTTCTTGTTACTAGGTGCAGTGAAGACATACGGAGGACTTATCGCATGTCGTTTCTTCTTGGGAGCGATGGAAGGTAGCATTCTCCATGTCGGTTCAAATCATGTCATACTTAGCACTCGCTGAACTCGCAGGCGGAATATTTCCAGGGATCGTACTCTATCTCTCGTCTTTCTACAAGCGGCATGTATTGCAAACTCGATTTTCGCTCATGTTCAGTGTAACATCGCTTGCGGGTGCCTTCTCTGGACTCCTTGCCGCCGCTATTCAGAATATGGACGGAATAAAGGGACTCGCGGGTTGGGCATGGATCTTCATTTTGGTACGCCCTTGCCTGCAGTGCGTGAATTGGTGTTGACTTGCTGATTTTGGGATTCCTCAGGAGGGTGCGTGTACGACTGCGTTCGGCCTGATTAGCATGTTCTTCATACCTGCGACTCCGGCTGACATGCCATGGCTCACGAGTGACGAAAAAACAATATATCTACGTGAGTTGGCTGAGGATTGGAGTGGGGACGATGAGACCGACATCTTCAGCTGGAGTGAGGTCTGGAGCGTTTTCGTGGACGGACCGCATATATTGTTGTTGTGCCTTCCCATGTTTCTGAATGGTGTCATGGTGAGCGCTTCGTGCTTCCGCCTTTTGATCACTCGACTGACCTGGATTTTCAGCTCTTTGGTCTTGCCAACTTGTAAGTTCCAATGCTGATAACCGCCATGCTCGAGGTCAGACCTAATACTCGACATCTCGACTGTAGTATTCCAACGATTGTTAATGCCCTCGGCTTCTCTCCGACGCACAGTCAACTTTTGGCAGTGAGGGAATTTGCTTTCTTCAATGACGTGGTCGTCCTGATAGTGGAATATGGATACTAGGCCCCTCCTTACGCGTGCTCTTTCGTACTCAGCGTCATGTGCTCCTATTTCGCTGATAGATACAGGCAACGAGGACCTATGTGTATTTGTGTGAACCTCATCGCGGCTGCAGGTTATGCAATCTTCCTTGGTACGTCTATCTTGCACGAGTTTCGTCTCTCTTCGCTTCCCGTCTGACGTTTACATACATCCAATTCTAGGCACCTCGAACAAGCACGCAAACTATGCGGCTCTGTTCCTCCAGATAGTGGGCGTATATTCGACTGCGCCCTGCATTGGAACATGGAGCTCTAACAACGTCCAACCGCACTACCGTCGTGCGACTGCCATCGGATTGAACTTCATTTGCACGAACATTGGAGGTACACGCTTTCCTCTTTGCGCCATCACCTTCCCACAGCTATCCACTACTGACGTGCAAACCCCTAGGTATAGTCTCTACATGGATCTTCACTCACCCCCCGCGGTTTCACGATGCGTCCGTCATCAGCTTAACCGCCTCGCTCGGCACGGTGTTTTTCTCCGGAATCCTGATGGCCTACCTCAAGTGGCGCAACGGAGTGAAGCTCGAACAGGTAGAGCGGTTGACGAGAGAGAATGGGGAAGGTCTGGAACCTGGAGGATGGAATTCACATAGAGTGAGGATGCGATTGGGCGATAGGCATCCGAGCTTCCGGTTCACGCTGTGAAATGTACGGCGGACCGAGTCGTGTCTGTTATGGTGCTACCTCTGCGTAGACCGGTCCTCAGAATGCTATGACTTGATTTGATCCCTTGTCGATGGAACAGTGGAGGGTATGTCCACACTCAGCTCTCGATCTGATGCTTCCCTCGACAAGATAATTTGCTGGATATTCGAAGGCCAAACGATGCTATCAATTCGGAGTAAAAACAGAGTCAAGGCCAGAAGTTCTCATATTTTCTGGCGAAGTAATACCTATCCGTTGGTGATACACAATTTCACCTTCTATTTTCCCTCAGACATCGTCTGCGCTCAGGATATCATCCTCGAGTACCCTCTTCGCGATCTCAGAACGTGGTCGAATCAAACACTTGTAAAGCATCGGCATCCTAGCATACCACAAGGGATTGGAGAATGTAGATTTGAACGACAGACAATCGACAATACGCACGAAACACCACCCGAAGTCATATCCACCTTCGAGGGAGAACCGCCGTCGATTGTCGAGATCGTGAAAACAGAGAGAACCTGGGCGATGAGGAGGAACATCGCATCTTGCACGAAGTGCCTGCCCACACAGACGCTGTATCATCCGAGAGACACAGAGAACGAGGTCAGTCGCGGTACGCTAGACTGAACAACACGGACGTACTCACCGCCTGCCAAATCCGAAGAGAATCCTCGCAGGATCTTTGTCAACTGGACAATCGAGCTTGCCATTCCGGAGGAAACGTTCTGGTCGAAACTCGGCAGGGCTGTCGTATGTCTTCGGATCCCGCAGCATTCCCCTAAAAGGTCCAACACAAGCTGCTTTATAAAGATCCATGGATTATTGAATGAGTGTTCAGAGCGCGTACCATACATTTGGGACAATCAGAGAACCAGCAGGCAGATGCCATCCTCTGTACTCGTCATCCGTTGTCAGCATATGTGCTATACCTAGAGCAAGTCATCGCGGTTCGAAAATGATTAGAAATGGATGGTAGTGAGGCGCTATGGCGACTTGCCTAGTGGTGTTGCAGCGTGCCATCGCAGAGTCTCTTTCATAACTGCAGTGATGTACGGAAGCTCAGGCTGGTCCCCGTGATCGGGAAGTCGGGACGACCCTATGATGCGGTCGAGCTCATCTTGCGCCATCTTCTGCACCCTGGGATTCTGAAGCATCACCAGGAAGAAAACGGACACCGCGGCAAGAGACTACGTCGATGAGCCTATGTAAATATGGCGTGCAATAATCTGATATTGAACACAGCGTACAGTGTCAGCCCCCGCTGGTGGTGAGAAGTGTGTACAGTTCAGTGTGTGTTTGGCATAAAACAGATAGTGCTTACCTCCGTAAGCGACCGCCGAAGTATCACGAACCACACTCTCCTCATCCGAGCTATCCTGTGGCTTCAAATTCTCAAGAAGCGACGATGCATACGAGGGTCTTGCAGTTCCAGAATCCTAGAACATTATGTAGCGTGATCGAAAAGAGGTTTGTGCATAGTAGACGAACCATAGACGCCTTGACCATATCGAAGGGAATCTCATGAAGCGCTCGAGCATCAGACTGCCACTTCTGTACAAGGTTCGAAAACCGTCCACCGCCTAACCAGTGGGGTAGAACTTGCACTGTATATGTATCAGCCACATATGCACATGTGTACGCATGGTACTCACAAAGATGAGTAAGATTGAACACCGAAAAGACTGGGGACAGTGCGACACTGATGCTGTGCATAACTGCCTCAGCTGTCTTGATCAGTTCGTGGTCTCGAGACGAAATTGGGATCCCATATGTTACATCAATTATGAGCTGACCAGAATAGCTAGTGCGACAGCGAAGATCAGTCGAGGGCTTCGACAAATGAGTAAGGATAATCACATACAGTCGTAAGTGTTCCGTAAAATTATCTGGATTATCCAACAGGTTTTTTAGGAGGATACGAAGAGCTCGATGTTGCGCCGGCCGGTAAGCAGTTATCGCAGTCTTGCTGAACTTGGACATCATGGCCTGCTTTTGCTTCTGCCATGGTTTTCCATAGTTCATGAACCCGAGATTCCAATCTTGTCCGATTCTGTAATGACACGTGTAAGTCAAATCCTCGACAGGACTGACGACTTACAGATCAACGAGCGGGAAACGAGGCCGATCTGAGTATATGGCCGATCGTTTGTCCATGAGATCTACTGCTGGTTCAACGGAGCTGACGACAAGCATAGACGTTCCAAATATCGTGAGATAGACAACATCGCCTGTAAAGTAAGGGTCAGCGAGGGTAGCAGATGAAATAACACAGAACAAAGATCTCACCATAAATTCCCCCCCAGCGAGTGAACGTCTTCCATTCATGCTTGCGCGGTAAATCAAGCAGATTTCCAATAAATGGCAAAGGTCTCGGACCTGGAGGTAGAGACAGACGTAGTCGCCGAAATCGCCAAGTCAAGATGTATACGCAGATGAGACATAGACTAGCAGAAGCCACGTTGGCTACCACGAAAGACATGGTAGAGTAGAAAATGGATATCAATCAATCGCTAGCTCAACTATAGGCCCTGGATACTTCTTGTATGCATTGATTTCTATTCGCGGATTCGAGATCTACGAGGTAAGACTCAACCTTCATCTGGAGACGAGCGAGCAGAACATGGGCACAGTCAAGTGGCCGCGATACTGATCAGAAGCAATGCAGAGGTCAACACGTGGCTAAGCCCTCGCTATTATTGGGGTACCTTGACCCCCCCAATCCAGAAGGAGCGCGCCTGCTTGAGCAAAATGGCACAAACAGGAAAGGCGACAATTGAATTGACGCTAAGTGAGCAATAGGTTCGCAACAGATGCGCCTGGTCACTGTTCTAGATTAGACATTACAAACTTCTCAAAGTAGTCTATTAAAAGCCAACGGAGTTCACAACGAGAGCAGAAAATTCTGAAAGGTTGCGACGTACATTTTGTCTCCCATAAAAACACACTCGAATCATAGAGAGCACAATCTCTCTCGTCCAGCAAGCCATAGCCTTCCATTTTGTGCTTATGTAGCAAGCTTAGCAGGTTCTGGACAATAGGCAGAGGTCGCCAGAAACGGAGGCCATCTTGACAAAGGTCATCGGCGGTGTTAGATGATAATGCAGTCCGACCGGCGACGCTGGATAGAGAGATGAGGAACATAAACGCGATAACCACGTGCCCATTTAGAAGTCTTCTGACTTCTCATTAGATGTTCCGATTGCTTCAGGCTGCAGAAGAGCTACCGAAGCGCGCAGTGGGATTGATCATAAGCAGGTGGATGCTGATCGAGGAACATGTTGGAACCTCAGCTGACGATGGACCGTCTTTGTGGTGAGCTGCGGAGTGAAAATTCCTCTTGAAGGAAGTAGATTTCCGGGGGTGGTAATAGGTGACAGCTGAGAGTGAGTGCAAAATCAGAAACGATGAGAACGTGAGCAAACACATTCAGAGTCAGCGTTCCCACACATGGAAGAGCCGAGATGCCGAAGAACCAGGACGCCGGCTGAAGTGGCGCTGGCACTCAGTTGGGATATGTCCACATCAGAAATGGAAGGTACTGTAATAGTTGAACTATCACAACTGACTCCACATCGAGAGCGTCTGCGTGCTGATAGAGAGGTTTCTGGCATGCTTCTATTCTAAATTCTACGCGCAAACATGTACAGTATCCCTCCTGACCGCTGACCGCCTCCACGACGCCTTGTAATCCGAATCTCGATGACTACCTTGGATGAAGCCCCGTCCGCTGCCTTCGAAGAACAAATAGTCAAGGCCAATGCTGAACCGAACAAAGCCCGCGATGTTGAGAAGACTGGGTGGGAGGAAAGTGCACAGGAAATTGACTCGGCTCAGGTCCCGGTCGACATTCCCGATGGAGGGTGGTGGGCGTGGTCGACCTTGGCTGGAGCGTAAGATGACGTACCGTTCAATATCACTCATATAATTTATTCCTCATCCTTTCTTCTAACAGTGTTCTGATTCAGTTCGCTGGAGGGTGAGCCGTGAGTCCACTGCAACTCTCTTTCTCAAGCCAACCCGATCACCAGATATGTGAACGCATATGGAGTCTACCAAGGTCATTTCGCCGGAATGCTATTTTCTCCACGCTCTGACTATGGTTGCGTTTGTGGCAGACTTCTTCGTTCGAAGTTTTCTCAGTAATTACTCGTCGTCCTCCATCAGGTTTGCAAATTTATGTGCATACAATCGCCGTTCTATATATGATGTTTTTTATGTAGCTGGATTGGCAGTATTGCCACCTTCTTTTTGCTCGCTGGTGGTGCAGTGTCCGGCCGATTATTTGATAGAGGATATTTGTGGGTCTTAGCTCACCATGGAGCGGCATATATGCTAAAAACACTGCCAGCTATTTTCTACTTGTCGGCGGCTCTGTCTTGATCGTCCTATGCTTGTTCATGCTCTCGCTTGCCGAACCGCAGCACTATTATCAGGCAAGCCTCAAACCTCACTTGTTATTCCAGGAATCTGACGTGTCGAAGTTCCTTAGATCTTCCTCACTCTCGGGCTCGGCTTAGGACTTGGCACTGGTGCAACATACGTCCCATCCCTCACTATCATCGCGCACCATTTCTCGCGAAGACGTGCGCTCGCCATGGGAATCGCTGCTTCGGGAGCCTCACTTGGCGCCTTGCTCCATCCGATCATGCTCAATAACCTCTTTCATGGGCCAGTCGGCTTTGCAAACGGCGTGCGCGCGAGCGCGGGATTGATGGCAGGGGCATTGATCCTAGCGGGGCTTCTCATGCGCACGCGGCTGCCTCCACGAAAGGGAGCTCAGATGGGTCTATTTATGTCCGCGCGAACCTTCGTGAAAGACGAGGTGTATACAATCGCTGTTGTGGCGTGAGTACCTATTTTAAAACTTATCTTTCGTCTGGAGCATAAGCCCACGCTTATGTCCGAGGCACGATGGCCCATGGTCGCACATTTCAGAACATTCCTTTTCGTCCAAGGCGTCTTCTTCCCTCTCTTCTACATTCAACTCTACTCCGATGAGCACGGAATCAACTCTGTGTTTGGGTTCTATTCGGTGCGTGCTCGATATCTATAGCTGTTCGATTTCTCGAAAGTGGCAGGGCTGACAGGCTAGGCACCTTGACAGCTCACGATTCTCAACTTCGCGTCGTTCGTGGGACGCATCGTGGGAGGCGCCTTGGTTAACCGCTTAGGAGCCTTCAACGTTATCGTCGCCTGCACGTTTGCGAGCAGTGTGCTTCTGTTCTCCTTGCTTGGAGTGTCCACAATCGCGGGCATCACGGTGTTTTCTTTGTTGTACGGCTTCACCAGCGGCGCATGTGAGGCCTTCCGTTTCCCAGCCTCATTGTGCCTGACGTTTCTGAGCGTTGTTTTGCATCCCACGGTGTTCACAGATATCACACTGGTGGCTCCTATGGTGGCCTCATTGTCTGCAGATGTCTCGGAGATGGGGTAAGCTGTCATCTCCTGTGCATCAGAAGGCTCGAACGTTACTGACCGGAGGAATCCACCTTCTAGTGCACGCATCGGGGTCATGTACTTCTTCACAGGTAAGACAGGTTGCAGTTTTGCTCCGTAGGTTTTCCCTGAATCATATCTTGCATATAGGTCTCGGAAGTCTCATAGGTGAGGCAGGGCTGCCAAACATTCCTACGACGAACCGAGTTTGATCGTCGCTGTCCATTTACAGGCACTCCTATCACCGGCGCGCTACTCACCAGGGATTTTGTCTGGTGGCGGCCGATCGTATATACAGGGGCAAGTGCTGATTGGCGTTCTCGATGGATTGCGTGCTGACTTTGGTGCTTGCTGTAGGTCCTGTCTTTGGTCGCGACATGCCTATTTCTCACGTGCCGCATCATCGTCGGCAGGCGCACGGGGACAATATGGTGTTGAGATCCTTACTTGTCTGATTTCATTCTAGATAACGAGTTACTTCACCGATTTTGTAGACCGAAAGCGTTAATCGCTGTTTTTGCATGATTTCTAGAGTCGATTATGTACCCTCGAATGAAAAATTGCATCTGCCGTTACCTGTACCCAGCGGTGCAGCTTAGGCTCTGCAACGAAATCTCGGTCTTCTGCTCTGCTCGACTATTTGAAATCATACTTAACTACTGTATCGCTCGGTTCTAGGACATACCACATGTAGGTTCGTATCTGAACGAGGGTTCAGGTTTTCAAGCCCTCACAGGAATCTGAGAACGCAATCAACTAGGATTTCAAACAGGGCCTACAAGTGTCAGTGCTTCAGTCCGCTTCAGTCCCTATACGACGCCTGTCTCCGCTCGGTGATATCGAGTCTCACACAAGGATAAAGGTGATGACAAAAAAACACTAGCCTCCTTGCTCACAGTCATGCACACACGGGTGCAAACCTACACATTGGGGTATGTGAGCATGTCCTATAATTTTCCTTCTTATTGTCTGCAGTTCATCAAAATCCTCCGAGGCGTAAGTGCTCCGCACGTACATGTACAATAAACCGCGGTCTCTCATCAGCTGGAAGACACGGACAGCTCGGGGGTTCAATGCTATCATACATCTAGATGCTGAAGTTCAGTGGTTGGCTCTTCTCGATCTAGATGCAGGATGTCCTTGCCTTTTCTCTCAGATCAACCTGAACAAGTACTCGTACAACAATTCCAGGCTTCCCAGCAGGTAACACAGAGGAACAAGACGAAACAAAAAGAATTGTATGCGTGAAACGAACGAGCAAAACCCTTCGGTCGCGCCTTGAAATCATAAGTCGGCACTGATGTTCTCCAGCAACATTCTCGCGCTTTCTGACCTCGGCCTTATGATACAAGGAAACGGGATAGGGTGCCTTTGGGAACGAAAGAAACAGTCTTAGACGGAGAATGCGCGATTAAGGTGAGAGACACGAACGAAATAGCACCGGACGTAAAGTCCAGGTTATGAGCCGCTTTCTCATCAGCCGGAGAAATCGAGTACACGGCCAAGCATTGAGCAACCAAGAGCCAAAGCGATGTTTCAGCAAAGTTCTTCCCTGGACACGACCTGCATGTCCCGGGAGTTATATGAAATCAAGAGATATCAGGGAATGAACCTCTGATCAAGATGTGAGTGGCTCGCACCGCCTGCCGAATCCGAACGCAATTCGTGAAGGATCATTGGTGCTGCAGTCAAGTCGACCAGCGTGAAGGTATCGTTCAGGGTCAAACACGGACGGGTCGGGATACATCCTTGGGTCGTGTAACATCCCCCTGATTTAAGAAGGCAGATGGTCATCTCGGCCGCAAGATGGTCAAGTTGGCGAATACGTACCAGATATTTCCCACGACGATGCTTCCAGCCGGAATCCGGTACCCTATGTACTCGTCGTCCTTCGTAGTCATATGTGGAAGGCCTGGCAGAAAATTGAATATTTCTTGAACCTGGGTGGTCCCATAGCAGACTTGCCTGTAGGAGAAGGCGGATGCCATCGTAGTACTTCTTTTAACACCGCGGTAACATAAGGAAGCTCGCCCTGGTCGGTGTAGTTCGGTAGACGATCTGACCCAACGACGCGATCGATTTCGGCTTGTGCTTTCTTTTGCACGTCCGGATAAAGGGCCATTGTAAGAAAAAATACTACTGCGGCCGCGACAGTCTTAAAAGCTTATGAGGGAAGAAAGCGATGTAGACAAGGTATAAAGCTTACTGTATCGGAAGCAGCTGGTAGGGGCGGTGAGCAAGAAAATGATAGCATCTAATGTTAACTCACCTCCATATGCCACAGCAGCACATTGGCGTATCATATTCTCTTGTTCTGCACTGTCGTCTTCCTGCAACAAGATTGACGTGAAAGATGGCCTGACGTCTCTTGTAACCTGCAATAGGAATCAGCAAAGCTTGAGCGCTTTGAGTTGTATCACAGTAAGTGTGATGCCTTACCAAAGAAGCCTTGACCCTCTCGAACGGTACATCCTGGAGATCGCGTATGTCTTTCTGCCATTGCCGGAGCCGACGAGACAAATTCTCTCCTCCGAGCCATGTTGGAAGAGATTGCACTTTTCTTACGTTTAGCAAATGGCATGCGAATGACCAACGGAATACACTTACATATAGGGATTGGATTGAGAACCCACATGGCAGGACTGATTGCGACCGAGGTAGCGTCCATGACGGCTTCGGCAATTCGGATCAAAGGATCTTCGCGAGAGGTAACCGTCACGCCGTAGGTTACATCAAGGATCACTTGTCCTGCGTGTCTTCGGGGATGCGTGGAGAATTAGCACAAACGGATGAATTCCTGCTCCGGTACAAGCTGCTCACAGTCTCAGGTGATCCGCGAAGCTCTCAGGGTCGCGTAGCAGGTTTCTGAGTAGAGTCGAAACAGAAGCACGAAAGGCGTGCTCGAATGTGTGAACTGTATTCTTATTATACTGGTTGGAAAAGAGACGCCGATTCGTCTTCCATTGCTGTCCAAAAGCCATAAATCCAAAATTGAATTCGTGATCGATCCTGATGAGGGGTCAGGTGAGTGAAAACAAATTTTGGATGATACTGAGCGCGTACAAGTCGATCAGAGGAAAACGTGGACGATCAGAGTACGTAGTAGATCGATCATCAAGGAGTTCTGTGGTAGCTTCAAAAGAGTTCAAGATGATCATAGGCCGGCCCACAAGACTAACGAAGACAATATCCCCTGGTGGAGAATCGAACTATGAGATCAACTTTCAGTCAAAAACCACGACATACCATAGGCTTTGTGCCAGCGAGAGAAAGTCTCCCATTCTCGTTTCCGTGGCATGTCCAAGACATTTCCAAGGAAAGGCAAAGGGCTGGGACCCGGAGGGAGTGGAAGAGGCGAAGCAGGGCCTGGTACTTGACGGCGACGAAAGAAAAGCCAGTAAGACAGAGATACGGCAGCGGAGGTCAGCGCAGCGAGGGTCGTATGATTCATCTGAGCTGATGAAACTCCCAAGTTCCGACCTCAGTACTTATCTGACGGATGTGTCAGAGCAGCCATAAGCACATTCGATGGGAAACGCATCCGATTTGGAAACAAACGCGCTGCGTGGGTTCGGCGGCGAGGAACTGGCGAGCGTTGGTCTGTTGGGGATGTCATGATGACATCTGGCAGGGTTGATTCTCGGCGCTTGCCGGCAGACGCTTTCTGTCATTGGCGCCTGGGAGCGCCTGGGAGCAAACGCTCTCAGAAAACGACTGTCATCAAGTTTCCTGCCTGTTTCTGCAATCCTTGGATCACGGAACGAAGGCAAGAGTCGACCTATCCTTCTGATGGAATACACAGAAGTCGATCAGCTCTGCAGCATTGTACTCGTGGTTGGGCTCGGCCTTTCATCTTGTCTCCGAAGATGTAATGGTCCGATGCAACTAGTGCTCCTGAACGTCTTCATCGCTCATATTGCGAGGAGACAATCCTCTATCGAGGAATCTAGGAAAGATTGTCTCGATAAGGCCTCTTTCTCCTGTTCAGCGCTGTCTATCGCCCTAGCCCGCTCAGCACGGCCGTCCATAATGAGATTCACGTCGAAAGTTATCAGGTTACCGAAAACCTTCTCGCTTTTAATCAATTTACCCTTCTCCCTCTCTCATAAAACAGCCCTGTGGTGATAGGTGAAAGACCGTATCTCACAAGGTTGATCCGAAACCGACGATGCTCTCTCAGCCAACCACTTTCATAGTTGAGGCCTTGTATACGGCCTTTCTCTTCACAAAATCCGATATAAAGACGACAGTCATACCAATAGTACGTATTCTCTTTTCTGAATTATTTGGCGGTTTGTTCGTCCGCTTACGCTCTTGAGTAGACATCCTTCGCGGCTGCAGCTGCACCGCTGTGTGGGTTGGCTCGTCTCCCTCAATCCGTTTTTTGGATCTGGCTGCACCTCCTTCAGTTTGATGTATCGAACCAAACGCTTAGCCCGGAGGAGGACGAGGTCAACAAACAGGATCGCCCTCTACCGTCCAAGCGCATCACGCTTCGAAATGCTATTTTCCTTAGATGGGTCTTGATTCCTGCATGCTGGGCTTTGTCAGCGTTCTACAGCCGCGAGGTTCTTTGGGCGAGCATGTCACTAGTGCTGTTTACAGTCATATACAATGAGTGTTCAGCCCACGCCGGACACTGGCTCGTCCGAAACGTAGTGAATGCCGCTGGGTTTGCTTCGTTTGAGGCGGGAGCCACTCTCATTGCTGGTGAGCTATATTCCTCTTCTTGATCAACGTGGATTGAGCTGATATCTCTCAGGTCCTAATTCTCATACACTCGACACGACTGCTATCATTGCTATCTGTTGTAGTGCGGGTATATTTGCCACAACTATCCATAGCCAAGATTTCAAGGATAGGGACGGCGACAAGGCCATAGGTCGCCATACGATTCCCATTGTCGCCCCAGCCATCGCGCGGTACACAGTCGTTATACCACTTTTATTGTGGTCTGCATTCCTCTCGAATTTGTGGCAACTCGATGTCGTAGCCAGCTGTGGATTCTTGATCGTGGCGTTATTCGTTGGTGTCCGGTTTTTAATATTCACTACCATTGCCGCTGATCAAGTATCATTCTATTGGTACAACGTAAGTTATGAGAGTCGTGTTTTATGATTGGGCTATGCTCACGACAATCTGGTCCAGGTCTGGCTTTCACTTGCGCATGTGCTTCCGGGATACTATAGATTCTACGGAAAGGTTTGATGGATGATATCCGATTTGAAGGCCAGATATCTATAACACGGGATAGGTTTGGGGCAATCTTTACTGGGATGCTAGGATTGAGAAAGTCACAGGATGTACGATTCCGAATAACCGAGTTTACTGTTGAACTAGGCTCATTACCTTTTTGATTGTTTTCTGTCACGTATGCTGAGTAGTCCACAATTTGAAACTTTCTCAAATGGAGACACAATCTCCGAATGGAATGACCAGTCAAGCACCAGTGGTGAACCTGTGAAGGCGAATTGAGCCTTGATGCTCTTAAAGCATATAACGGAATCTAATACTTCTCCTTAAGTCATGTACCCCCATAATAGAAACCCAGTTTGAAAGCAATATTTAGGAGCGAAATAAGCTTTGGCATACTGTTGCAGCGTGGCTCTCCACGCCATGGTTTTTGCCGATAGTCTCATGTCCGCGCAATTGTTATCATAAGCAGATTCACAGCCCTTACGTCTTGCGTTCGAATGGGCATAAAAAATTCATGGAAAGACGAAGTTCGAGTGTACTGCATCCAAAGTTGAGTACTATGTATGCCTCCTCCAGATATGGGAATATGAGTGTTCATAATCCATGATAGTGGCGGAGAATACAGCTAGGACTATTGACACCATGAGTTCAATGAGAGAGAGACTGATGAGAGATGATACAAAGTCTGCAATAGAACCAGATACAGTGGGACGTCAGTATTCGCCATACAGAGCATAGGGAACATACAAGACATGCTCAGAGAGAGCTAATGATATCAAGTCGATCTTCGGTATCCCAAGTCTCGTTACACGCACCAGTAGTAAAGTTTCCCGTACATGGCCGCATCTATCCCATCCTGCGCCTAGACGGACCAAGTGCCCGGGATTAATTTATACTCAGTTTCCAAAGGAAAGTAACCTTCGCGAACGGGACTGAAGGCGTCAAAGCGAAAGAAACGATCAGACTATGACAAGTAAGACAGGCCGCGCTCGAACTACGTGAGGGGGATGAGCTTGAAGACATGCCAGGAGGGACATCGAGAATGGTAGATAAGCTACACCAAATCCATTTGATCAGCATGTGATCACTCTCCATTGGCAGGCTGATAAGTCCGAACGTTTGAGGCTCAGGAAGGACTTCTTATGTAGACCGTGGATAAACACGAGGTCGTTCGGGCAATTGCATAGACAACAGGTCGCCAACAGCAGGCCGATGCACATACGGCCTCCTATCATGTCCTATCAGTTCGCAGAGTGGTCAGTCAACAAAGTTTGATCACAGCGAGAGGCCTTTCGCGTACAGGATCAGATCGCATTGGAGTACTCCATGAAGCGTTCGATCTTCTGTACCACATGTGAGGAGTATTGCACCAGTCTGGGGAAGGCGATTTATAACCTTTCTCATCGGAGTTCGCGACTTTTGCAAGTACATGAGAAGTTGGTGACTCATCTCGGAGCAGAAATTGGAGCTCTCATCAAACCCAAGTTTGTCAAAGAACAGAACTATCGCGTACGCACATGAGGAGCTGTATGGCGGCAATCAAAGCGCTGATTGTACGGCGTGATCTCGAAAGGGTCTGGGATTCTATACGAAGTCAATGGTGTTATAACTTACACTGGTTCGCGAGTAGACACACTGCTGCTTCTGTAGACGGTCCCATCGGCGTTGCATGATTCAGGCCCAACGCCTCGAGCAGATGTAGAGCGAGGAACTAGCTACATACAGTTGCGAATATGTAGAATTCAAAGTGTTTAGCTTGTGTTCTAACTTCTGAGCAACAACTCAGTTGAGATCGCGCACCTTATTTCTGATATGTCCTTGGGTGTAGTGCGAAGAGCCTTCAAGTTCCAAAAGTAGATTAGGGGGTTCCATGAGGAAAGCAGCTCATCCGAGTATCGCAGATACGTAGATCATGTGAATTTCTCAAGTCGTCAGAATCAAGAATTTACGCCTGGAGTGCCAAGCGGCCAGGTTAGTTGTTTATTGACGTTTGCTTACCCCGGAAAATGCCGGAGTAGGCTGGCACGTCAAGTCGGCACATCTCGTTCCCAGAAGGTTGGCGTCTCACTGGCCACCTCCAGTACAGACTTGCCACTATGAAGAGGTGACTGCGCTTTGTACCAACATACTACGATGCCTAGAAAAGCTTCAAATAAAGGTAAGACATCGCTCTCCACCTCTCACAAGAAACAGACGTACGATGAACGGGCTCCGATGCTAGTGACATCTGAGTGCCCTACTCGCCTCCATTCGACAATCGAGTTTCCAATAGGAGCAGACAGATGCTGAACCCATGGCTGAATTTTTTTCTAGACGCTTGGAGTCGCCCCACTCTATGCCGATATGCCGGATACGATGTGCGTGACTGTGATTGTATGCGCCTCTTAAGTCTTCACTCCAGCGTCCACCGGGCCAGGAACCCAACTCAGTCAGGTATTATGTCGTCTGCCAGATTCTACCACACACTTCAAGCCGTCAACTCCGTTTCTTTCCAAATCTCTCGAGATTTCTTAGCATGCCAGACTCCTCTCCCTGTGCTTTGGGACTTCCATTTAGACCATTCACCTGACCATCCATTATTTGTCTTCGAGCGCTCATCTGGCTGTATCGAGAAAATTTCTTGGTCTGCGGGTGTGCAAGCTATGCACCGTGCGTCGTACTCACTCAAAAAGGCGGTACCTGATGCATTCGACCCTGGAAAAAACCACAGGCCCGTCATTGGGATACTTGCCTTCAAAGGTATGCTGCTCGTCATTCTAATTGATTCATCATCTAATGTTTTTCTTATTTCGAAGACATCCCTACCTCTTGGGCATTGATCACTGGTGTCATGCGCCTGGGCGCGACAGCTTTTCTGATATCGCCTCGAAATTCCGCCGTCGCGGTAGCAAATATGTTGAAAGGAGCTAATTGTCACGTATTGATAATGAGCTCCCACACAGGCATCTCTAATCTTGTTCATGACGCCTCTGATCTGCTCGAAAGGGAACATGAGCTTACCCTCATAGAAGCCTCATTGTTTGATGAGCTCTATCTGGCGGACGCCACTTCCTTCGAGCGCCTGCCGCCTTGTCAAGGGATCGAGATGGAAGCGCCGGCACTCATCCTACATTCTTCTGGTATAGATTCCATACAGTTGCGGTAGGTGCTTGCCTGATATATCGAACAGGGTCTACCTCCTTCCCAAGATTGGTCACCTCGTCCCATAGGACTTTAGTCAACTGGAGTCTGATTTCATGTGAGTCATCTGCGATTTTGCACACGGATTATTTGAAGCTACATAGCGTAATCGCTCTCTATTATTGATACAGATTTCGGCGACAAGGATCTATGCGGATATGTCTGTGGCGCCAACTCGCTCCCTGTATACCGTCGGTGCTCTTACAATTTTCTCAAAGACGTCTTCCGATTTTGGTATCGATTTCCCCCCTAGACAGCATGGGATTGACTATGTATCTCATGCTCCCAGTGCGTCCAGGTTATCTGGTTTCAACTCTCACATGTCATCTGAGTTACTTTGTTCATGTCACCAACTTATCAGAGTGCCGCAGGGCAGGTCAGCGTCATTTACAGCCCATATGATACACCGAGCCATCCTACGGCAGATACTGTCCTCTCGACATCACTCGCATGCTCAGCCAACTATATATATACTGTTCCTACCAACATAACAGTATGTGTTTGCTTTGGAACTAGCTAGTCATGGCGCGACTTCTATCATACAGGAATGGGCTCGGGAAAAAGAGAGTGTAGATTTACTACGAACATTCGACCTCATTGTGAGTTTCCTTGCCGAAAACGCCGACGAAAATGACGGCCAGCCACTGATTCCTTGGGATCCTTGCCTAGCTTTTTGCCGGGGGGCCATTGAACACGCATATAGGTGATGGCCTTGCGGCTCGTGGCGTGCGACTGTGCAGCATGTATGGAACGTGAGTGGTAATCAATCACTTCTGTCCCTTGTATGAATGATGAATTTTATTCAGAACGGAGTGTGGAGCTGCGAGTCGGATGATTTTTGGTAGAAGCAATACACTTTTTGATTCTGATTCACGCATATGCTGACTTTTGTCCCTTCTTGTTTTGAGATGGGGATGTAGAAGATTGGGAGTACATACAAGTGAGTAGTTTGCGTTTTCGCATGATCTAACCTCGATGCTGAACAATGCACAGGCTACTCGCCAAACGAGCATTTACTGGAAGCCACAGCCTGGAGACGATCATTTGTACGAGGCAGTCGTTCTGGTACGTCTATGAACTATGTATGTCAGGGGCGAACTAAATTCCATCCAGGAATCGCCTTACAAGCTTCTTGCCGAAACGAACACCATTATTTTTGGCAGACGGGGATTCGCCACTGGAGATTTATTCGAAAAACACCCGAGAAAGGAGGGGCTATGGAGACTATGTGGACGTGCGGATGATCAGATTATGCATTCGACAGGCGAAAAGGCGAGTCTTCTACATATAGCATACATTCGATATTCTCATATTTATTTCTTATATTTTCAGACGAATCCAGGACCAATTGGTATACCTTCTCAGTTGTCAGATCGTCCTCATGCTTGAATACGATATGGTTCCTATTACTTTGCAGAATCGATTTTAACACGGCACCCATCAATCTCACACGCTCTTGTGTTTGGTCGGGGCCAATTTCATGTTGGCGTCCTCATTGAACCTAGTCCATCAGTGATTATGGACATGGCGAATGGTCAAAGTAGCCAGAACTTTATAGAGCTGATCTGGTGAGGTTCACGAGGTTAAGCGTAATATTTATCTGATAGAACGCCATTGTTTGTCTTGGTTGCACAAGGTCGACGATACAGGAGGCCAATGATTTCGCTCCAAAGCATTCTAGAATCTTCAAAGAAGTGATAGCCCACTTTTCATCTGCGTTCACCGCGCTGCAGCTCATTCTCTTCTTTTGAAAAAGATGCTCGTTATTGCAAGTCCTGCGAAACCTTTTACTTTCACGGCTAAGCGAACAATGCGGCGAAACGTGATCCTTGACGACTACGCGGACGAGATTGCGGCGGCGTATCGCTCTATGAAGAACGCTGACAATTCTTCCATTCACGTAAACCCTCCAAGCTCTTGGGATTTCCCTCGGACCCTCCCGTTCATCCGGTCCGTCATAGCCTCAATATTGAATGGAGGGACATCTGTTGGAGACGATGATGACTTATTTCAGCATGGCCTTGATAGGTGAGATGCGCTGTTTTGCCTTATCATTCTATGCCGTCGTGGGTCATTGATCTTGAGGTTATGGCGCTAAAATCTGTTTTTAGTCTCCAGGCAATGGTGATCACCAATGAGATTCTACGAGCGTTCAGAAATACAGCTACCAACACGACGCGCCTTCAAGATAACTTTGTCCATGCGCATCCTACTATATCCGCTCTTGCACGGTTTGTGACGTCCTGCTCTGGGTTAGGACCTGTGGATACTTCTTCCGACCTGATGGAGAAGAAAGCAGAAGAGTTACAGGAGACTGTAGCCAAGCTCACTGCTTCATTCTCGGCACATAGTCCTCGTATTGGAGCACAGAAGCCAACAGGCGAAACGGTCTTGGTGACTGGGACTACAGGTAGCCTTGGCACTCAACTGCTTGCTCAGCTAATCAGGATACCTACTGTTACCCGCGTATATGCGCTCAATCGAGGAGAACCGGAGGAGACGAGGCGTAGACAGGAAAACGCATTTGAGCGACAGGCGATCTCTAGCAGTGTGGCCCGTTCGACCAAGGTCGTTTATCTCCGAGGCGATATAACATCGTCCGCTCTTGGTCTAGGTCTAGAAATGCGAGATGAAGTCCTGGATTCGCTGACAACGATCGTTCATAATGGTGAACCTATATAACCTTGCTCAGTTAGCGAGTGTTGACGCTGATAGTATCTTGATTTACCAGCATGGATGGTCAACTTTAACATGCCATTTGCCGCGTACTTGCCCCTCATAGAGGGTGTGCGCGAGGTGGTTGAGCTCGCATTGGCTTCGCCCTTGGCTGAACCACCACGCATTGTATTCGTTAGCTCTGTGTCCGCTGTTCGAGGTAAGAGTGTTCAATATATATCAGTCGAACATTGAACCTTACAATGTCTCTCGCAAGGTTGGAGTATGTCGTCTCCTATCCCGGAGACGGTTATAGCAGACCCACGCATCGCAGTCGGGAATGGCTACGGAGAGTCAAAGTGGGCCGCGGAGCGTATCATGTCTGACGTGCGGAGGACGACAGTTCTGAAGACGGTGATTGCTCGCGTAGGGCAACTCTGCGGAACAACCACAAATGGATGTTGGAATGCAAACGAGTGGTTTCCTTTGATTGTGCGCTCCGCTGATGCATTGCATAGTCTTCCGGAGAGAGATGAGGTGAGTATTCCAGCCGAAATGAAACCCATTGGACACGTCGTGATCGAGAGTATAGTTAGTCTCGTGGCTTCCAGTGGACACGGCCGCATCTGCTATCCTCGACCTGCGGCATGTACCGGACGACATGGAGTGCGTACATATCATGCACCCTCGTCCGGTCCCATGGTCGTCAATCATAACCCCGCTTGCCAAAGCACTCGATGTGCCCCTTTTGCCATATTCCGAGTGGCTGCAATCGTTGCAGAATACATCTAGCAGCATTTCTGGCAGCATGACAACCCCGGCAGTATTGCTGGCCAATTATTTTGCATCTCTGGAGAAAAAGGATAGAAGAGGACAGACGGAAGGAAGGGCAAGAGAGCATGTTGGGCGGAACATGCATGTGTTCTCAGTGGAACGCGGACAAAAGACGTCGAGAACCTTAGGTGACCCCACGCTCGCACCTTTGGGTACACAAAATGCGGAGAAATGGTTGAAATTTTGGAAGCAGGGCGGATTCTTATGATTGAGGGCAACGGAGGGCTTAGTGGGTATCGTTGACTCGAAGAATAAGGTAAGTGATCATCTGGCACTGATTTCGACATACTTACGTATATTCTCTTACCAACTTTCTGCTACGCTTGCTTTCATCGGATTATCGTCTGGATCGGTGCTCTGTCAATGGCTACGGTAGTTGAACTGTAAGACGGATGCTGCATGCCTCGATTTTGCTCGGTGACAGATCGAATAATATGATGAATTCATGATTAGTCCAGGCCGCCGACTTGAGATCCGCATGGTCTTCTGCTACTTAACCCACATGATCGAGAACGGTGTAGAACAGCAAGTACTGCGCATTATGATACATTTGGGTGCAGCTAGAAAAACTTCCATGCGTAAGTCATAGCATGAAAAGTATTGAGCCACTACTCACCTGCGAAACATCATGATATGCTCGTCGGACCGCCCTCTCGCGTCGCCTCCAGATTATACTGTACATTCTTGCGATATTTGCTCGCCAGATCCGCGGCTGTCTTTACGTAGGCATTCGCTCGGAGCACTTCCTGGAAGGACAGTTCGTGATGGGAGGATGAAGGAAGATGAGCAGCGTCGAACGATGATGCGCGCCGCGTGGGACGGGCAGGCTGACAGACTCACCTCGACGCAGTGATTGAGTTCGAGGATCAGCTCCGTACACTTATCCTGTTCACAGGATCGCGTCAGTCACATCCAAAGTAATGTGAATGCCGATGGAGCGCATCGTATGTGTGGTGCGCGCCTCACCGCGTTCTTTACGATACGCTCAAGCAGGATCGCCTGTCGCTCCGCATGTGGGTTCTCCATTTTGTCGCAATCCCAGTTGCGATCTTCCTTTCTTTGATATTATTCTTGTAGATGTTAGACTTGGACGTGAAGGATGCAGTGGTCGCCGCTGGATGATGGTAGCACAAGCTTCGAGGCCGTTGCAGACCAGGCTCCAGGGCGTCATGACGGAGCCTCACGGCCAATTCCGAGAGGCGGCCTGGCAATTCCTGCTTGTCTCGTTGTGTTCTTTTATGTTTTTTTTTGTTATCTTGCACAGCGTAGAGAAAGGTGAATCGTCATCCCGACCGTCACCTTCTCCTCCCTTTCCTGTCCCTGGTGAGTGGAGGACAACAAAAACACGAGTGCTAGATTAAAGTAAAAAATACACCGCTCTGGCTTGGAGCCAGCTACAGCATTTCAAAGTGCAACCTCTACTGGCTCTGCTTAACTGGATCGTTTCATTCGGAATGCGCCTCACCATTTCCAGTCGAAGACGATCAAGCGTGTCGTGTCTCTTCTCGCTGATATTACTTCAGTCAGTGCGGAAAAGGGAGGCGATGCTATTGCCTTTACCCTCGACAGCGGCGACTCGGAGGACTCGTCTATCTTCATTGCTTGCGATGCTGGCGTGTCTCTACAGCTCAAGCGCTCATGCTCCTCTTACGTCGGTGTTGACTTTGATCTATCAGATGAGCAATAACGTCCCACTGACTAGGGAACCACCTTAGCAGAACAAGAATAAGCTGAATAGCACTTTCGACGACGAGTTAACCATCCAGGTCTTCGTTCAAGTTCCTTGCCCGGTTTCGGAAGCGTGTAGCTGCCCTCGTCTATGGCCTCATGCTTGCTATACAGCAATACTCCGAATCCTGTCTGTCCCTTGTTGCATCTTGCGTTTCAGCCCTTGCTTCGTGTACTGACAATTACTGCACAGACGCGTGTTCCGATCCTGACACCTTCGCTCCTTTCCGTCGCTATCTCAACAAATTCATCTTCCTGGTGCGATCTAAGGAAATCTGTAACTCGTGAGTCAGTCTGGAACTGTCTGGAAGCCTCCAGCCATGCCTTTCGAAACTTCTCAAGCTTGTTTCCATACCACCTTGCGTGGGCGTGTGATATCGTGCCGAATTTTATCCATTCGACCTTTCGTAAGTCTGTGAGCGCCGCATGGCGGTGACGCGGAAACTGGAAGAGGGCGTGCGCCCATAACTATTTTCGACAGGTTCGACGAGCTGCCAGACGATTTTTGTGACATGGCGCTGGATAAGCACTTGCAAGAGAGGACCATTGATCCGTTGTTGGCGACGTTGCAGAAAGAAAAGCATTCTGCTCTTGAGGTCAGTGAATACAGATGATCAGGGCACGCCCACGTCCACTGCGAATGCTTGCTCGTGGCGCACCTTGCGATGAAAAGTGGACCCGCATGTCGTGGTCACTGCCGTCTCCGAGTTTGAGCAGCACTCAGGAATGGACCTTGCCATGCGATATTCCGCCACAAACCTTCCTGAACTAGTGAGTTTGATTATATGCCCGAGTAAGCTATGACATCCAAAACACGGGGGATTTGACATACCGATGCAATCGTAGGGTCGAACAGACACATATTGTGTACCTTGACGATGAACGACTTATATGCGGCGTGGTCATTATATGATAGAGCGGACTCTGAACCAGACTATACACTTTTTCGTTGGGTTTGGGTAAATCCACAGCTTGGCTAGTAAGTAATTCGTCCGTATCTCAAGCGTGACGCATCTGACCGCTTCGTCCGTTCAGGCATTGCAGTATAGATATGACACATTGTATACATCTGCATGTAACCTTCGCCGGCGTTTTCCATCCTTGCCTCCCTACCCGTGTTTCTTGGCCACCCTCTGAATCAGCAAGGGAGAGCAGGGAGTGTCCTAGCCTACTGTTTGACAATCGATTGCTTGCTCTTATTTTACTAGGGGCTGATAGAACCCTACCTCTTTCTCGTCAACTCGTCTTCAAAGGTCAAAGCAAGCCACCAAGTCATGTGGTTGACCACTGCGTATTTCTATGATGCCACCACTGTGAGCGCTCTTTCAAACACACGTCCACCTTCTCTGCCTTTTTTCAGAATCACACATCCTTTCTCATAACAATGTATCTTCCTTTACTTTCCGATCCTTCACGACGCATCACCGAAAAGATCCGAAATCGACTCGTTCAGAGGTCTTCAGCTAAACTGAAAATCGTGGAGGGATCCGAGCCCCATGCCACAACTGTGCCGCTCTTCCAAATTCCTCTGGAGCTCGTTTATAAGGTATGCTTGCGTGTTTATTCAACGAAGGGCTCACCTATCACATCCTTTCGTCACCAGATTCTGTGGTATCTTGGCCCCAATGACCTGTTAAACCTATCGCAGACCAACAAGTCATTTCGTGCCTTCCTTCTGGGCGAATCATGCAACGTGTACTAGACAGCGGCGCTTGCAGTCTATCCTTCCCTTCGCGATCGTCCTCCAGGCATGGCCCTCCTTAGCTACGCCGGCCTTGTGTTTGAGACATATTGTCATGTGTGTAGATATACAGCACATGACTGTACACATGGTCGATCGGTACTGACTCATTTACAGGGCTGCTTGTCAGACAAAGTCTGATCCATCGACTCAAATTGAATTCCCCAACTGAAGGCTCCCTAAAGGTATCAATGAGGCGTCTTTCGAGAAAGGAGGACCTTGCCATCTTGGGGATAAGTATTGGAGGTCTCGCTGGCAAGCATTCTCTCATAGAGAGGCAAGGCTTGCCCTTAGCAAGTGGTCATCGTTGAATCAACACCACCATGTGGAGACGAGTGAAAAAGTGCGTTATTATACAAACCCCTGCTCAAATGTCAATGTAGCACTCCAGATGGTTCAAAGACCATTTTTGGGATACAAAATCTGAGCGCAGCCGTGAGATAGGTACGCTGAAGAAATTAATGAAGGTAGGGCTCCTATCCAAAATTTTGCATTTTCAGCATTGACACTCGTCTGTGCAGAATGGGATGACATCAAGCCAGACAATCAAATTTGTGGAGGACTGCGCAGCGTTTATGGACCGCTTCACGCGACTGGAATCAATCTTGCGTGATATGGACACCGAACTTCCTGGTGTGGCGGACCATAACTACGTCGACATCGCACTTCTTCCTGAAATCAAAAAAGTGCTGAGCATTCGCTATGACCAAGAGATATCTGAAGCCGAGTGGACCAATCTCCGCCAAGTCATCCTGGCCGCCTTCCTTCGATGGCGCAAGGATATGGATCTCAGTCTAGCCGTCTTTGTTCCTGAACTGACCTGCGTGTACAGAAGTCTGGATACACTTGATTATCCTGCAACTCTATTCTGGTGCTGCAAGTGTTCTGACTTGGGGCTAACGCGTGCTGTGACCTATGTTGATATGATCTCTCATCGCTGCTGCAACGAGCCTTTCGATTTCGACAGTACCTCCTGTCGATTCTCATATTCATATTCCGATTATCATCAGGCTGCCGTATTCTACTTTTGGTATAATCCGTGGTCCTACCATTGCCTGAAATTTCACAGCGGATCGTACCTGGTCGTGGATAGTGTGGTCACCCGTGGTGAGCATGGGTGTAGGGCATCGCGGGGTCATATAGATTCCCTACGAACTCAGTTCAAGTGTATAGCTTGCACCAAAAATGCACCATGGCCGACCGCGGATTGGCCGGACGTGGTGAGCGTTCAATTCACAGGAGTTGATGGGAAACTGAGCCTCGTCGCTTTGCGCACAGGTACAACATGTATTGACCCACTCATCCTTGTGACATTCCCTCAGAGCAGTCCGCCCACCTACCGAGATCGAATGAATCCATGCATGCCAACTCAGACTGAAACTCTCCTTCAAGTATGCTTTAGGAGCGGCGTAACTTACGTCTTCGAGGATTCAGCTGGCCTGGAAATAAACCGATGTCTCCTGGGTGAGACCCTCCCACCGTGGTTACATGTAATTAGTTGCTTCAAGGGCTCTCGAATTGTGGATATTGATTTTATATATGGTTCTCAATGTTTGATACCGATAGTGCGTTCTTGGTGACAATCTTGCCAAGTTGCTAAGCCGTTGACAGACTTTGTTGTACGGTGGTAGATCGAATAAGAATATAGTGCATACATCATCAAATCAGAGGTCCGCGTGGTCTTGTTGTGCTGCCTAACACACATCATCGAGAAAGTGATAGGAAGTAGAGCGCATCATGATACGTAGATCATCATTAGATGTGTAGCCAGAAAGACTCCCGATCATGGATCAATAGCACGATGAACAGGATCGAGAGCGCTCGCCTGCGGTGCATCGCGATGCGCTTGTTGAACGGCCCAGCCGGTGCTGCAAGTTCGCGGCCAGGGGGATACAAGCAGGCGCAGATCACACGTGCACGCGAGACTCGAGCAGTGTGCCGTTCGCTACTCATGGGCGGCACGCGGAGGGCGCGCATGTACGGTCAGACGAACGGCAGCATAGCCCACTCCTAGAATCATGGGTGAGCTCTATAACAGCGAACTAAGGTCGCTGTGCGTGCGCGCGGAAAAGAGCCCTGACGGCGACGAGGGGACGCAAACTGCTGCGCGCGGTGTGCATGCGCGGGCGCGCATCAAGCGGCGGTAAGTAAGCAAGTAAGCAAGAAGTCAAGCAAGCAAGTCAGTGATTCAGTGAGTGCATGAGTTAGTCGGTCAATGAGAGCGTAAGAGCGATTGAGGAGAGGACGCTGGAAGGGCGGCGCGACAGCGGCGCTGGAACCGGCTGTGTGCCTCGAAGCGGATTAGGTACGGACTGGTGAATCGTGATTGATGCAGACGAGGGGGCCATCGAGCGATGTCGTCTAATGCGCACTGCGGATCACGGTCCCCCATACTCCCGCGCGCATGCACATGGGGGTAGCGCCCGTCGCCGAAAGGATAATGGATACATCCCGCAGGCATGGAAGCCGTCGACGGTATGCGCGGGCCCCACCATTCGCGTGTGCGGCACAGGTGCCTGCAGATCCCGAGTGGCGTGCCCAGCGCGCGCCGAGTGCGGACTGTGGCGCATCGAGCGTGTTCCGTCAGATTCCGTGCATCGTCTGTGCGTCCTTCATCGTCCATTTGTTCGTTGTGTAGGGTGTGGGCATGCATGTCGGCAGCATGATGGTAGCATGGGCTGTGCAGGATGCACGCATGTCAGTGGATACTTGTAAGCTCCGTGCGTCTGGTGAATGATGATGGATGATGGATGGTAGGCTAGGCGCAATGTCGAGGATCGCGGCGGGCTCTGGCGGGCTGGATGGCAGTAGAGCGCGGGACAGACCCGACTCGGGGAGGGAGGGGGTGGGGTGACGATTAGTCAGCGACTCCGCCGGGCGTGCATTTGGGTGGTGCTGTGTCCGTTTCCCGTGGGGGTATCAGCACCGCCGGCGACGAAAAAGTAGCGGAGTAGGCTAGCGTATGGCATGTGTGCTGTTCCCGCACGCGCCGTGAGGGAGAGGGAGCATAGATAGTACGTGGATACGCATGGACGTCGAGGCGGTGTAGCTGTGACGCGGGGCGGGGCCCCATGCTGACGGGCGGGAACCGATATGGCCGACGGTGGTGGCGGTGAACGAGCGCCGGGTGCGATACGCGGAAGGGAAGTGGAAGGCGCGTCAGGCGTCGACGATTGCAGAGAGAGTGTGGCGGTGTGCAATACTTGCAGCGGGATGCGGCGATGGGGGCGACACAGCGTAAGCACGAGGCTATGTTTTGCTTGCCATGTCTTTGTGTCACCGTCCAATGATAGTACTTACCGCGGCTTGCCTGGCCGTAACGACTTCGACCAAAACAAAGCCGTGGTTATTACAGTACAGCCAGATTCATAACGATAGGCCCTGGCTTCGGAAAAACAGGCTTAGTCAGAATATCAAATTTGAAATCCAGACAGCGTACGACCGAGGAGAGGGGGAGCGGACAACAAGCGGAGATATCGGCGGCTACCGGACACGGCCAAAATATTCCCGCGCCGACCCATTTTGCTAAGCATATTATTTTTTGTCGAGGTCCATCGTTATGAATTTGGCTGTAAGCATCCGACAGCTCGTTCCGCCCAGTAAGAGGCTATCAATTACGCCTCTCGTTTTCGTAAAACCACTATGACATCAACGGCCATCACTCCAGAATCCATCTTGCCCGCTCTTCTTTGCCGTCTGGCCCCTTCTGGCTCTACTACTCGCCTGAGTCACCTCCTTCGGGATGCCCGCAACGATTCTCAAAAAACACCTAAGCGAATCGCCTCCCTCCTTGATGCAATTGCCTCAATCAGCGTGGAAAATCCTAAGGGCGATGTTGTCGCTGTTGCTCTTGACAGCGGTGAGGACTCGTCGATCTTTGTCGCTTCGAACACTGGCGTGTCGACACAGCTTGTTGCCCATCTTACATCCGTGTGGGCCTTGCTCTGCCAGATCAGCAAGGCAGTCCCAGCGGATCAGGGATCGCCTACCCTGGTGAACGAGATTTTTCGCAACGACGACATCAAAGAACTTGAACGGCGACTCACCATCCAGGTCTACCGGTTTTCTTGGCGCAAGTTTTATGCTCGTTTTTCGAAGCGAGTGGACGTGTTCATTCGTAGCCTCACTCTTGTCACGAAGTGGTACTCCGAAAAACCACAGTTGGTGGAGGAACACAAGCGCTTCGAATTTTCCAAAACCTTCGCAAGCGCATCGTTCTTTCTTGCCCAGGCGATGCAGAACTTCTTCGCATCCACGAGTATATTATCACCCTGACAAGGAGCTTGGAACCGCATCTGAGCGCCCCATATTCTTACTTGGACACTATCCAGCGCGGCATTGGTGCGTCTGTATTCTCTGCTTCTGACTTACGCATTCGTTCTTTTTCGTGTACTGATGAATCCTGCACAGACGATCATGTACTCGACGCCTTCATTCCTGTACGACGCTACCTCGAAAAGGTCCTCTCGCTCTCGCGTTCTGCATATGCATTATTTCTGGCGGCTCATTCTCGAAAGCTCAAGCCATTCCTCTCGAAGCCTCTCAAGATCGTTTCTATACCGCCTCGCCTGGACAGGGAGTACCGTGCCGATTTTTACCATTCAGCCTTTCGCAAATTTTGTCAGGACCAGAGCGACGTGACGCAAAAAATCAAAGGAGATCTGCATCAACAGAAGATCCCTACGGAGTTCTCCGAGCTCTCAGACGATCTTCGTGACATGATGCTGGACGAGGAGTGGAAGAATAGGATGGTCACGCCGTTAGGGGCTGCGTTGCAGAAGGAGAAGAACTCTGCTATCAAGCTGGACGAACGTGGATTATCTGGACGCGCATGCGTCCATTGTGAATGCTTGCTCGTCGCGCATTTTGTGAAGAACAAGGCATCTCTTCGACCATACGACTATATCGGATTATCAAAGCTCTTATGTTATGGATGCCACAGCTACTTCCGCGCATACAACATGACCCACCCAGGCAGGAGATTTCACGCCAGGGGCACGCATGGCAAGGTCTATATTCCATGGGTGCCACCCACTCTCGAAGACGGAAGTGAGAACGACGTGCGGGTGCGCATGTGTGAATCCATGCTAGAAGACTTGGATGTGGTGTGGTCAGCATCTCAGCAGAGGATGTCTGACAGCACGGATGCCTCTAGATCGAGTATGATACGAAATCCAGACGGGTGGAATACAGAAGACGAGATGATTGGTGAGCGATTTGTTTGCATCTCACGTATGGCGCATCTGACGACTGAATTGTCCGTTCAGATCAAATGGAATCATCGCTATAGAGAGCCGCTTACATGCCTTTTAGACATGCGCATGCAGTATTCTTCGTCTATGAATGTACATTATCGCCTCTCAAACACAGTGGTCTCTCACATTTCCCCACCCCATCCATCTTGGCCATGCTGTTAGCCGCGCAACCTTTGAATGTAGCAGTCTCTAAATCCAGCCTTGCTCTGCAGGACAATATTTCGATGGACACATATCATTTGATAATCCACCTATGTTGACCCAGGATTTACCATTATTTGCATTCCACATCCATCTATCCATGCATCTGTTCGCAAGCCGCCAGGTGACAGTGTATTTCCATGCCCGCTACGAGTTCTCTTTCACCTTCTCTGCCCTTCAGAATTTACACATCATGCCTCACGACGCGCTTCAGTTGTCGCCCCGCCTTCTCAGGCCACATCCAGATTATGCGGATGCTGCACCTTTTTGCAATTTTTCGCTCACTGGGTTCGCAGCCGTTTTTTTTTCAGGAGCTGCATGCCGCTGCTGGGTTATAGCATGATCGACGGCCCAAGGGCACGTGCGGACCAAGTTTGGACACATTCGTCCAGGCCCAAGGCAGGTGCGAGTGACGCGTACATACGCGAGAGACTCGAGACTGTGCACCGCTCGCGGCTCTCAGGCGGCGCGCGGACGGTACGCGTGTATAGTCAGTCAGACGCACGGCAGCGCTGTCCGCCCCTAAAATGAAGCGCATGAGCCCTATAACCCCGAACCAAGGGAGCTGTGCGTGCGTGTGGAAGAGAGCCCCGACGGCAACAAGAATCGGGATGCAGAGCGCTGCGGGCGCGCGTCGAAGCGGCGGAGGCAAGTGATCGGATAAGCAAGCGAGCGAGATAGCGTGTGAGTGAGTGAGAGTACTCATGAGTGGGTGAGTGTGTTTGATGCCAGAATGTTGAAGGCGCGGCGCGCCTCGGAGCGGATGAGTCAAGGACTGGTGAATGGGGATTCATGCAGACGAGGGGGACATCGAGCGGTGTCGTCTAATCATGGTCCCCCATACTCCCGCGCGCGTGCACACGAGGGTAGCGCCCGTCGCCGGAAGGATAATGGATACATCCCGCAGGCATGGAAGCCATCGACGGTGTGCGCGGGCCCCCACCATCCGCATGTGCGGCACAGATGCCTGCGGATCCCGAGTGGCGTGTCCAGCACGCGCAGAGCGCGCAGTGAGCGGACGGCGTCGCATCGAGCATGTCCCGCCAGATTCCGTCCGTCATCCGCCCGTCGTCCATTTGTTCGTCGCGTAGGGCGTGGGCGTGCGTGTCGGCGGTATGGTGGTGGTGCGGGCTGTGCAGGATGCACGTAAGTCGGTGGATACTAGTATGTTCCGCGTGTCTGGTGAATGATAATGGATGATGGATGATGGACTGTGGGCCAGGCGCACGTCGGGGATCGCGGCGGGCACTGGCGGGCTGGCAGGGAGTAGAGAACGGGATGGACGGGTTGTGGGCGATCAGTTAGCGGCACGGGCGTGATTTGGGTGGTGCTGTGTCCGCTGCCTGTGGGGCATCAGCACCGGCGGCGATGAAAAAGCAGCGGAGTAGACTAGGGTATATATGGCGTGTGTGCTATGCCCGTATGTGCCGTCCGGGCCCCATGCTGACGGGTGGTGACCGAGCACCCAGCGAAGAACGTGTCTGGAAGTGGAAGGCGCGTCGGGCGCCGACGACTGCAGAGAGCGCGATGGTGTGCGAGACTCACAGCAGGATGCAAGCGATGGGAGTTGCCGATCGAGAAACCGCGACGGGAGGTCGGATCGTCGTCCGTGAAGGACACAGCGAAAGCGAACATGTGCCCCTCCCGCGCCGTGCTTTGGAAATGGCGGATTGAGACCATCTGAGACGAACAAGGACAGACACCCCCTTGGGCGTCTCCTGCAGTGGCAAGCAGCCCACGCGACATGGACGTGTCCGACCGGGTTCGGCGATGTGCGGCGGCGCCCTCTCACTTCCTCTCACTAACGAGTGTTGACTGCCAAATCACCACTCGCATTCGATTTCAGGGGCTGCCAACTTATTAGAGTTGCTATCCACAGCCTACAACCCCTTTTAGCATGTAAACATTACACTTAGTTCAGATGGAACATATATTGAATCAACAAGATGTTCTTAGGTCACTCAAAGCACCATTGTGACAAATTAAAACTACCACTTCAAACTGCTACATCAATAGAGTCTATTGGTCCTATTCCAAAGAATTCAATCTTCCAGATTCTGAAGATTTGGGCAGTGGACACCATTTGTAGCACTAATGGACTAGAGATGGATGAGTCTGATAAGAATGTGCAAACTGTTATAAACTGCTTGTTCAATAACCCCAAGAGTAGAGGGTTCTTTCCTAGGTCACATAGAGTGACAGAATGGATATAAAAGCTTGACTATATTAGGGCAATAATATAGGAGCAGATAATGGTCTGTGTTAAGCCTGCTAGGCTTAGTCGCGTGCACGTGATGCACTAAGAGGGGTTCCCTGGGCTAAAGCTGATTGTGACGGCCCAACGAATAAAGACGACGGCTCGTCTTTGGGCTTGTTCCAAGAAAGGCTGATCTGTATTGATCTTTTCCTCGAAGAGTCGAAGGAGATGCTGATTGATCACGTGTCGATGTTCGTCTGGTACGAACAAGTCTTCTCCGATACAACAGATGACTTCGGAGGGATCCCAATGGATGACTCGATAGGCAGCGAGTCCTTGATAGGTTGCAGGCGGTAGAGAATGATAAGAGTGATGAGACGAATCCAGTGCTTCGTCAGACTGTGTATGGTTCTTTAGATCTGACAGAGATCGCGAAGCGTGAGCTGAAGGTAGCCAGACGCCGAGCGCAGTGCTGAGATCAAGATGTATACAAAGTGAACGAGCTGAGGCTTCTAAGAAGCTCAGCTCTCCTATATATAGTACAGGGCTATTTAGGGCGGGACGGACATATGGTCCATGCTTCTAAACGCTAAGTACTATCAACGATCGATGCATGTAAGCCGCAGTCATTGTTCGTACTCCGCGGCTCTTCGATGTAACCATGTATAGTAAGTATATCAAATGTCTGTCCGCATCAATAAGCAATCAGGAACCGATCACAATCGACATCAGTAAGCACAATAGAAAGGAGATCATAATATGTAAGCGTTCATGCGTCAGCATGTAAATGATAAACAGTCCGAGTCCGAGTCATGTGCGTAGCTCATGACCATGTCCTGAGTCACGTGCCTAGACGCGTGTCAAGTCACAGTCCTAGTCGTTAACAGTTCGAGTCCAAGGGAACATCTGACCTTCCCTTCTGTCCACGTGCCAGGCACGTGTTAGGACACGGTCCTAACAGTCTGCTTTAGTAGGGTAACTAGGGCAATTGTTAAGCCACTAGGCTTATTATGTGCAATAAGCACTAAGAGGGGTTCCCTAGGCTATATAGAGTATGAGGGTCCAATGGATAAAGATGATTAATTACCTTTGGGTATAGAAGAGAAATTCTTGATTACTATTAAGCTTGTCTTTGAGTAAATGTCGAAGGTGATCTTTGAGAGTTGGACAATGTTTGTTAGACACATGGCTATCTTTACCTATCTAACAAATAACCCTAGATGGATTCCAAGATAGGACCCTATATGTGGTGAGTCCTTGGTATATTATAGAGAAGGGAGGATAAGAGCTTTGAGACAAATCTAGTGCTCTGTCAGACTAGGTATGATACTTTGGATCTAGTAGAATTTATAATGTATAAGCTAAGAATGTAGCTAGATGCTAGGCATAGTGTAGAGATTGAATTGTATACAAAGTGAACAAGCTAAGCTTTTGAGAAGCTTATCTTGGCTATTTATACATACAAGCTATTTAGGATGGGATTAAGATCTGGTCCATGCTTCTAAATGCTAATCTACTTAACAGGTGCCAGGACTTCTAAAAGATTGAGTTCATGATTATGATTAGCAATTCATAGTCTATAATTATCCATATATAGTAAGTAACTCAAATGTCTATCCACATTGTTATGAATCTAAGAACTAGTTGTGATTGACATGGGTTAGTATATAAGCAGAAATGTATTATTAAGTCATATACTATAAATATTCATGTATCAGCATATTAATGGCAATTAATCTGAAATCATTTTTTATATCTGAGTTATGTGCATATCTTATAACCACTCCCTTGAGTTACATATAGGGCATGTATTGAGTCATAGTCCTAATTGTTAGTGTCTAAGTCTTATGCATATCCTCTGACCATTCTTCTAGATTATGTGTGAAGCATATATTAGAATATAGTCCTAATACCAGCTCTTGCCTACCTACACTTATAAGGGTGTTTTTTGGATGTGTTTTACACTTAGAGGCATTAGTAGCATATTAGTATAGCACAAGGGCATATAGATTCCAAGTGGCATGTCTAGCATATCTAGAGTATGTCTATTGGGAAGTTTGTGGTATATAGAGCATGTTTAATTAGATTCCATATAATGTCTGCATGACTGTTTATAAGTTGTGTAGAAGTTGTGTAAGGCATATGCCATATATATATGTTAGCCACATGATGGTGATGCTGGCTATATAAGGTGCATATTAGTGGATACTAGATTCTGTATGTCTAGTGAGTAATAATAGATAATAAATGATAATAAATAATGGGCCAGGCATAGGTTGGGGATTGTGGCAGGCTCTGGTGGGCTAACAAGGAATGGATAATATAATAGATAGAGCTTGGAAAGGATAGGCCAATGGATATATATTTGGATAGGGCCATGTCTGTTGCCTATAGGGCATTAGTAAGGTAAGATAAAGCACGTTATACCTATATGTATCAAGGAAGAGAGAGTATAAAGATGAAAATAGACATCAAGGTAGTATAGTTATGATATAGTATAAGGCTCTATATGGATAGGTAGAAAATGATATGGCTAATAGTAGTAGTAGTGACTAAGGACTAAGCAGTATACATACTTATACATAGAGTAGATAGATATAAAGTTATCTAGGAAACCACCCTCTTGTATTAGCTCTGGATTATATCTAATAGTATCTAAAGTATCTAGAAGTATCTAATTTCCCAATTGGGAGCAATATATTATGAGCATTGGATTGGATTTCTAAATTAGGAACTATCTTTTTCTATGGTTGAAAAGATAGTTTCTAATTTTATAATATTAGTACCAATTCCATACTAAGATATCTTTGATTAGTAGCAGGAAATGGTAATTACAACCACTCTATTATCAAGAAGGTAAAGATATGGCACATTCTATGCTGTTTTAGCATATTACTGTTCTTTATGTATGCCTGCACTATTATCTTGTAGCTTGTTTACTAACTTTCTAGCTGCCTTTATAGAGGGCATAAAAAGAGAGGGATGTGTATTGATGCCCCCAGCTACCACAAGAGGCGATGAAGGCCTTGGTACCTTAACCTTGTACACAAGATCATTGAAATCATTATTGTCAGCTAATGCCCACTGCTGGTCAATATAGGACACAATATGTGGGTCAGGCATAGGAATATGCTACATATAACCTTGTAGACCTTGCCTATTAGTATAGTGGTTGATATTGTCTTATATGGTGCACAATTATTATTACTATCGGTGTTGCAATCTTTAAAACCATCCACATTGTCTATTATCTCATTATGTAAAGGGTGCTCAAACTTGGTATTTTTCTCTAGCTATTAGGCTGTAGAAAAAACAGCCATATTGGTATATGGTGCTAGAATGATATATTTGCCTACTATGCAGGAAATATGTGCACTAAGCATATTAAGATCATCTTTAACAATCTTGTGTTTATTTATGCTCAGACATGCCATACATATACTTCTGTCCCTATTCTCTACCTTACTAGTGGCTATTTGGAAAACCCCTCTCTCTTACTAGATTCTAATTACTTATAATTATTGATAATGCTAAATTGAGCTAATTATAGCTAATTATCCATATTCATGTTCTTGATCAAACTTGCAAATTAAGATAGAATTTTATATACTAATAGAGTCCCATCAAATATTATACTCAATTATAGTTTTACATATTCTAAATTCGAATTATATAAGTGCCATAATTTGTTTTTATTCTATATAGAGTGTATTATTTATTTTCCATTGGGTTATTATCTTATCAGCTAGTGTTTAAACTAAATTTCAGCAAACATGACTTTTTAGGTATTTATTAACCTATTTATTTATAAGATAGAAGAAAGTTAAATATTGAATAAACTAGAGATATTGAGATTGCCTATAATATGTCTACTTATTTAGACTACCAAGTCAATATATTAGACCTTATGGCTTAGTAGCTTAGAGCATTTGTCTTGGGTGCTTATATATATGAGGTTGCTGGTTCAATTCTGGCAAAAGGCAAGTTAGTTGTAAGGTATATTCTGTATTTAGGTATCCAACCAGTGCTTTAATAAACATAACTCTATAAGAAGGCTATGAGAACTGTGATGCTTGATTCATTATTATTTTTCTGAAATTTCAAGCTATAATCAATCCTAATAATTCCTAATTTAGGAAAATTATGTCTAATTAGAACAGGTTTAGAGGGAGGGTAAGCAAATAATCTCTAATCCTAATTATTCTGAATTATGCATAAATAGAACTAATTAGAGCATAATACAAAAGATTGATTTCCCAGATGTCAAAGGGGGGTGTTAGTGGACAATCATAGAGAATGTGTGATGGTATGTGAGACTGGCAGTGGGGTGTGATCAACGGAGACACTGTGACAGTGTCGGATCATTGTCCGAAGGATGCAATCGAAAGCCAACATGCCCCCATCCATCTTCCCAGACAATCTAGACGCGAGACGGGGTGGGATGTGACAGCTCGACGCTTAGCTCACGCGTCTCGCGGCACGGGGCGGCTCCGCGCCAGGCGGCCGGATGAGCAGGGCGGCGACCAGAATGATGGCCGGGGGTAGAAGATCATAGGCAGGTCACTCGCTCGCTTGCTCTTTGCTCGATCTCCTGGGAACTCCTCCAGCCGTCCTCACTCGGCACATGTCATGTCCGGCTCTCCCTCTCGCCTGCCCTCTCGTACGATCGCGGTGCAAACTGCCAAACATCCCCAGACGCATATCCAGAGCCAGAGCCAGCGTCCTCAGGCCATCGTGCGCATCCCGTTTCCACCTGTCCTCGGCGCGCGCGCTCACCTGGTATCCCTTCGCTCACAGCCGTCCCACACTCCCTCTGCCCCTCCCCTTGTCCCATATACGCACACTCCTAGCTATCCGTGCTCTCTCGCTCTGTGCGATCTGTCCACGACGCGCGCAGCACTTGTCCCCTCCTCTCTGTACGTCCCTCCCGATCACTGGTTATTCCTCCTTTCTTTTTTCCTCTTTGCGGCCCATCGCACGATTCCTCTTCCCGTTCGCGCCATTATCCACGCCCACATGTGTGCCCAATTGCGTTGCGCGTCGTGCGTCTCGGTTTCTATTGTTTACCGCCTCGTCGCGACGAGAGGTGCACTGCAGCTACGCCCCCACCCATAAGGCATCCAGTGCCCCCCTCCCTTCAAAAGACGTCTTCCACCCCCATCCTCATCTGTCCCCATCCGCGTGTCATACCTCCTTTGTCGTGTCTCGCTCTTGTCCGCGCGTCCCGAGTTGGTTCCCTTATCACCCACGCTGTCCACCTATTTTTGGCCTTGCCCCCGTTTCACCCGCCTTGTCAGTAGCAGCGCTAATTAACTCCCGTCTTCCTTCCCACCGCCGGCTGTCGCCCAATTCGCACCCGCACCCGATATCCATACTCCACAGCACCACGCCCGCACGCAGCGTCCCGCGCGTGCGCCTCCTCATCGCGCGCGCGCACCCCGCGCCTGTCAATGTGGACATCGCGCCGGAAGGAGCGCTCGGTGCGTGCCTATGCTCTCACCCCTCACCCCATGTCTCACGCCGACTCTGATCCCTCGCCGCGCCGTCCCTCGCATGCCCTCGTCAGCGTCGGAGCCCCCGCCCGCCGCGCCCCTGGGAGCGCCCCCACCCACAGAGGGATGGACCGCGACGCAGATCCTCGCCCCCATCCTCGTCGGGCTCGGCCTCCTCGTCCTCTTCGCCCTCGCGCTCCTCCTCCACCGCCTCCACCACCGCCACCGCTCCTACGCGCGCGCGCGCCCCACCCCCTTCCCGCACCTCACTGCCGCAGCCGACACGGCCCCCAGCCCGACCTCGTCCGGCTTCAGCGGCGCGCGCGCGCGCATCCCACACGTGCGCCCGCGCCTCCCGCTGCACCTCCCGTACGTCGCCTTTCTGTGCGCGCGGCGCGTGCGCCCGAAGCGCGCGTCCGCGTGGTGGGACATTGACGGGACGGCGTCGGGCCTGGGGATGGCGACGGGCAGCGCGGGCGCGCTGGCGGAGCGAAAGAGCAGGGAGAGCAGGGAGAGCAGGGCGGCGGCGTACAGGAGCGGAGAAGCGGTGGCGGTGGCGGAGGACGTGGAGGTGGGCGAGGCGGCGCCGATGATCCGGATGCACCCGGCGCACGTGCACGCGGCATCGTCTTCCTCGTCATCGTCTGCTTCGTCTTCTTTGACCGCAGCGCCACCGCCCCCTGTGCCAGATCCGGATCCGGAGACGCAGGGAGAGACGTGGCTCGGGCCGTGGGCCGCGCCCGCGTGCCGGGCGTGGGAGGCTGCGCTTGGGCTTGGGCTCGATCTGGGCTCGCGCGTGGGGCTGGGCGCGCGCAGGCGGCGCGCGGTGCCGGTCGTGCCGCGGCGCGCGTCGCGCAGTTTCCGGATCGACGGGGACGAGTCGGAGGGTTCGTCGGACGAGGACGGCGGCGCGGGTGTTGGCACAGGTGCACGTGCAGGCGCGGGTGCAGGCGCGGGTGTTGGCACAGGTGCACGTGCAGGCGCGGGTGCAGGCGCGGGTGCAGGGGAGGCTGACGGGGCGTACGGGCGCGGCACGGCGGGGTCGCGTGCGAGCGGGCGCACGAGGGCGGAGGGGAGCATGCGGACGAGCGAGTATGAGGCGGAGGAGCGGGACGAGGCCATGCCGCTGCCGCTGATGGGGGTCGGGATGGGGATGGGGATGGGGATGGGAATGAGGTTGGGGGTTTCTGGTGGGGACGTTGGCGTCGGCCCACCGCTAACGATCGACGTGACGCAGGGTTATCGGTCTAAGTATGGCAATGGCAATGGGTACAGGTATGAGCCGGTGGCGAATCCCGGGGAGGAAGGAGGCGAGGAAGAGGGCGAGGGCGAGGAGCGCGCGGGTGGGAGAGGTGTGGGCGTGGTCGTGGACGTGGACGCGGGCGGGGTGCTGCTCATCTCGCATGACGGCGAGGACTTTGCGACGCCGACGGACACGGTGCACACCCACACCCACACCGGCGCGGGAGCGAGGACGCCGGGCGGGTCTGGGAGCGGCGGGAGCAGCGTGCGGACGTTCGGAACGGGGGCGGCGACGTTCGGGTCGAAGCGGACGGAGTCGTACGCTGGGACGCCGGTGACGGCGACCGGAAGCGGGTCTGGGGGCAGCGTGACGGGGACAGTGAGCTCGAGGGAGGGCGCGCGGGAATGGCGACGTGGGAGGGCGGGTCGCAGCATCGATGTGGTGCCGCCGACGCCGGTCGGCCGGCGCGATAATGTGAGTGTGCAGGGCCCCCTTGCTTCTTTCCCGCACCTCGGTTTCTGTCGCGTGCTGACCGCCGTGCGTGCGCGTCGCGTTTTGTTTTATGGCAGCCGCTCACGAACGCCGCGCCGCCATCGCCGGACTCCTCGCCGTGGACGCCGCCGATCCCCCCGCTCACGCTTGCGTTCCCGCTCCCACCCGCGCATCCGCACCTCGTGGGTATGCAGCGCCTGCGAGAGCGCACGCTCGCGAACGCCGCGTCGACTTCCGCGCTCGTGGGCACGGCGCGCCCGCCTGCGGAGGGCGTACGGTTCCAGCCGCCCCCTGTGTTCGCGGCGTCTGCGCCGGATCTGAATCTCTCAAAGCAGCAGCTGCAACACGACGGCTGGGGCGCCGCGGCCCTCAACCCGCGAGCAGGGGCGAGCAGGGACGGGAACAGGACCGCGACCGGGACGGAGGCGTACCCCTCGTCGCGTCATACCCCGCGATCGTCGCTCGGGTCGCCACCGGCTGCGCCTCCGTCCAATTCGTACTCCCTCGGGCTCGTGCCTGGGTCGGCGATGGCGCAGCACCCGGCAAGGTCGCGGGGAAAATCCGCGTCCCCCGCGCGCTCGCCGCGTCCCTTGCCCAATGCATCGCTATCGTCGGCGTCGTACCCCCCGCCGAATCCGCCCCTGAACCAGCGCGTGCCCACATCCCCGCGGCACTCGCCCAATGCGTCGTTATCATCGGCGTCGGCACCCCAAGCGCACCACACGCCGACGCCTTCCTCGTCCTCGGCCTTATTCGCGTACCCCCTGCGCCCCACCCTCGCCCGCACGCACGCCCACACCGCCTCTGCCTCCTCCTCCTCCTCCGCATCGTACCACACCACCGCACATCCCGCCGCCCTGCTGTCATCTGCAGACCCCGCGCCCGCGCGCTCGCGCTCCCCGTCCCCACACCGCTCCACAGGCCTGCACTCGCCGCGCCCCTCCCCCTCCGCCTACCCCTCCACGCTCTCGCCCTCCCTCCACCTCCGCACGCTCTCCCCGCCGCCGCTCACCTCCCCGCACGCCTCCCCGCGGCACCTCCCACGCCCCCTCCCCCCCGCGCCCCCGCGCGCGCCGTATGCGCTCGAATCCTACCCCCCGCCGTCGCCGACGTACCTCCCCCCGCCGCACTCCCCGTTCCCCGGCCGCTCGCCCGCGGCCTCGCCCGCCCCCACGCACGCGACGCTCCACCTCCGCCCGTCGGACCCACAGAACCTGATCCCCGCCGCCGTGCGCAGCGCGGGGTACAACCCCTTCGGCGCGGCCATCCGGTGACGCGCGCGTCTGCGCCTGCGTCCGTGCTTGTGTTTGTATCGCCGGCTTTCGTGCTCTGTTCGAGAACGGGCCGACGGACCTGGGATGTCCTGTTTGTGTGTAAAAAATCTGTGGCGCCCGCGCATACGTCCGCCCGCGCCGTTGTGTGTTGTACTCCCGTGCGTGTTGTGCTCTGCTCCATGTTGCACCCTTATCCTCTCATGTTCCCGTTATTGTTGTTGTTGTTGTTGTCGTCGTCGTCTTCTTTGCTCGTGGTGTGCCCCGCTCTATGCCGGCTGCCGCCCGTACCGCCTTCGTTGCTCCCTTATGTGTCTACTTACTCTAGTCGCTGCCGCCGCTCACGATTCGTGCGGCCGTTGTTGTTGTTGTTTTGTTATTCGTCACACTATCGGCACTGCGGGCGCTGGATCTCCTTTCCTCGCGCTCTGTATACTTGCGTTATACTCAGCGGACCGTACGTACGTACGTTCGAACGTTCGACTCTCATGCGTGAATTGAAACTGAGAGCCGTCTGGTGGATTTTCCCGTATCCCCGCGTGCGTTCTATGACAGCCGCTAGTGGCCTTGCGATGCGGGACATCGAAGTTTGTGCAAAGACCGCAAGCTCAAAGACGGCAACGTGCAGACGCACTGATAGATAGGTGCAAATTATAATAAATAACGGGTTCCCCGCATGATGTGTACCTAGCAGCCGATGTACTAACATCTGAGATGTTAGTTAGCGATGCCAAGTCGATGCAACTCCATAGTATCGGAAGGAGGGCCAAAAAATAGAGGTGAGCAGTCACGTAAGAGGAGGGAACGAGAGGCCTCATCAGCCTGGGTAGTTCATCAGACGATATCGACGGACATATTATTTTTGACCATGTTGAGATTCGCGGACGGCTCGCACGCGTGCAGATAAACAGTATTGTGAAGGCGAGGCTGAGCTGGATGATTGTTCAATTGAAAGAGTGCATGGCTCAAGTGGGGTAGCTGGGACGGATGAACAAGGCGAGAGCTAAGGATCACCGTGTTCGGGAGGCTATGATGCAGATTCATGGGCTGGAAAGAGTTCTTGTATGTGTGTTGAATGGACCACTCGGAGATCAGATGTGCAACACTTGGAATGGAAACGAATCGCTTACCAGCCAAGCTGTCTTCTGGTGCGAACTCTCCCTCGTCCATTGGAATGATATCCCCTGATCCAGAGGCATCCGTACTATCAGATGTCCCCCGCCGATATGAAGACCACACTACACCCAAGTCATGTAGCATGATTTCGCACAGGCGCACCCGCACCTCATTCTCACTTTCTCCTTCAAAAGTGGGTGGCACTCATGGAAGGCAGACTTTTCCATGCGTGCCCCGGGCACAGAAACTCCTGCTTGGGTGGTCAAGTCGGACGCACGGAAGTAGCTGTGGCATCCATAACACAAGAGCTTTGATGATCCGATATAGTCGTATGGCTGAAGAGACTCCCTGTTCTTGTCGAAATGTGCGACGAGCAAGTATTAAAGTGGACGCGTGCGCGTCCAGATAATCCGCGTTTGTCCAGCTTGATGGCAGAGTTCTTCTCCTTCTGTAACTCCGTCCCTAACGGCGTGACCACCCTATTCATCTACTCCTCGTCCAGCACCATGTCACGAAGGTTGTCTGAGAGCTCGGAGAACTTCGCAGAAACCGTCTGTTGGCCCAGATCTCTTTCGACCTTTCGCATCACGCCGCTATGGTCCTGACAAAATTTGAGAAAGGCTGAATGGTAAAAATCGGCACGGTACTCCCTGTCCATGCAAGGCGGTATGGAAACGATCTTGAGAGGTTCCGAGAGAAATGGCTTGAGCTTTCGAGACTGGGCCGACAGAAACAATGTATGTTGAGAGCGCGTGAGCGACATTACTTTTTCGAGGTAGCATCATATAGGAAGGAAGGTGCCGGGATCTAAATGAAGGTCTGATTGCAATATTTATCAGCGCACAAAAAAAGGAGCGAGTAAGAAGACACCGATGCACCAATGTACCTGTATGCTATCCAAGTAAGAATCTGGGGCGCTCAGATGAGATTCCAAACTCCTTGCCAAGGCGGTACAAGTCCTGTTAATGTTAAGAAGCGTCGCGTCGGTTGGGCAGGGAAGAATTATGCCGGTGCAAAGGCTTCTGAAGATCACAAAAAGTTTCCTACAGTCCCTGAGCACTTTCACCATATTTGGTTGATTAGAGTACCACTGCGTGGCAAGGGTGAGGCCATGGATGAACGTGTCCGCCCACTTCCAAAAACGAACGTGAAACTTGCGCCAAGAAAGTTCATCCCGGGAAAAACCGTGCGGTGCACGCAGCGATTCATCTTCGCAAAACCACCATGACATCTCAGGCAATCAATCCAGAATCCGTCTTGCCCGCTCTTCTTTGCCGTCTGGCCCCTTCTGGCTCTACTACTCGCCTGAATCACCTCTCTCGAGATGTCCACAACGATTCTCAAAAAACACCTAAGCGAATCGCCTCCCTCCTTGATGCAATTGCCTCAATCAGCGTGGAAAATCCTAAGGGCGATGTTGTCGCTGTTGCTCTTGACAGCGGTGAGGACTCGTCGATCTTTGTCGCTTCGAACACTGGCGTGTCGACACGGCTTGTTGCCCATCTTACATCCGTGTGGGCCTTGCTCTGCCAGATCAGCAAGGCAGTCCCAGCGGATCAGGGATCGCCTACCCTGGTGAACGAGATTTTCCGCAACGACGACATCAAAGAACTTGAACGGCGACTCACCATCCAGGTCTACCGGTTTTCTTGGCGCAAGTTTTATGCTCGTTTTTCGAAGCGAGTGGACGTGTTCATTCGTAGCCTCACTCTTGTCACGAAGTGGTACTCCGAAAAACCACAGTTGGTGGAGGAACACAAGCGCTGCAGCAATCTTCTTCGAATTTTCCAAAACCTTCGCAAGCGCATCGTTCTTTCTTGCCCAGGCGATGCAGAACTTCTTCGCATCCACGAGTATATTATCACCCTGACAAGGAGCTTGGAACCGCATCTGAGCGCCCCATATTCTTACTTGGACACTATCCAGCGCGGCATTGGTGCGTCTCTATTCTCTGCTTCTGACTTACGCATTCGTTCTTTTGTTCATATACTGACGACTCCTGCATAGACATTCATCTGGATCCTGGCACCTTCCTTCCTGTACGACGCTACCTCGAAAAAGTCCTCTCACTCACGCGCTCTGGATATGCATTATTTCTGGCGGCTCATTCTCGAAAACTCAGACCATTCCTCTCGAGGCCTCTTAAGGTCGTTTCCATACCGCCTTGCGTGGACAGAGAGTATCGTGCCGATTTTTACCATCCCACTTTTTGCAAATTTTGTCAGGACCATAGCGACGTGATGCAAAAAATCGAAGAAGAATTGCGCTAGCAGAAGATTCCTACGCAGTTCTCCGAGCTCTCAGACAACCTCCGTGACATGGTGCTGGACGAAGAGTGGAAAAATAGGATGGTCAAGCCGTTAGGGGCAGCATTGCAGAAAGAGAAGAACTCTGCTATCAAGGCGGACAAACGCGGATTATCTGGACACGCACGCGTCCACTATGAATGCTTGCTCGTCGCACACTTTGTGAAGAACGCGGCATCTCTTCGACCATACGACTATATCGGATTATCAAAGCTCTTGTGTTATGGATGCCACAGCTACTTCCGCGCATACAATATCACCCACCCGACCATGAGGTTTTACGCCAGAGGCACGCATAGAAAAGTCTATATTCCATGGGTGCCACCTACTCTCGAAGACGGAAGTTAGAACGGTGTTCAGGTGGATATGTGCGAGTTCATGTTACAAGACTTGGCTGTGGTGTGTTCGTCATCTCAGCAGAGGATGTCTGACAGCATGGATGCCTCTAGATCGAGTATGATACGAAATCCAGACGGGTGGAATACAGAAGACGAGATGATTGGTGAGTGATTTGTTTGCATCTCACGTATGGCGCATCTGACGACTGAATTGTCCGTTCAGATCAAATGGAATCATCGCTATAGAGAGCCGCTTACATGCCTTTTAGACATGCGCATGCAGTATTCTTCGTCTATGAATGTACATTATCGCCTCTCAAACACGGTGGTCTCTCGCATTTCCCCACCCCATACATCTTGGCCATGCTGTTAGCCGCGCAACCTTTGAATGTAGCAGTCTCTAAATCCAGCCTTGCTCTGCAGGACAATATTTCGATGGACACGTATCGTTTGATAAGTCACCTATGTTGACGGGGTCTCTTTGTTTCATACCCTTCTGTTACTCTCAACCGTTGTGTTTTAGACCTTCTCCCACGACACGATCCATGCAAATGCTCAAGGTCTCGACTTTGCATCGCCAAATAGAGATTAAAAAAATTACTACATCGGCAGCCGGCTGCTGGGTACATATTCGAGCCTCGAACGAGATAACACATCAGGGAACCCGGGATTTTCAATGATTTGCCTCCCTATGCGTCCGTTCGCAAGCCACCGAATCACGGCGTATTTCCATGCCCACTATGAGTTTTCTTGCGACACATCACCTTCTTTGCCCCTTTCTGAATTTGCACGTTATGGATCACGATGTGCTTCAGTTGTCGGACCTCCTTCTCGTGTGACATCCAGATTATGCGGATGTTGCACCTTCTCGCAGTGTTTTGCTCACCAGTCCGCGGCTGTGCATCGTTCGCAGCTCGCAGGCGACACGCGGACGGCGCACGTGTACAGTCAGACGCACGGCAGCGCTGTCCGACTCTAGAATGGAGTGCATGAGCCCTATAACCCCGAACCAAGGGAGCTGTGCGTGCGTGTGAAAGAGAGCCCCGACGGCAACAGGACTCGGGATGCAAAGCGCTGCGAGCGCACGTCGAAGCGGCGGCCCACGCACACCGTCGACGGCTTTCATGCCTGCGGGATGTATCCATTATCCTTCTAGCGACGGGCGCTACCCTCATGCACACGCGCGCGGGAGTATGGGGGACCATGACTCATCCGCTCCGAGGCGCGCCGCGCCTTCAACATTCTGGCATCAAACACACTCACCCACTCATGAGTACTCTCACTCACTCACACGCTATCTCGCTCGCTTGCTTATCCGATCACTTGCCTCCGCCGCTTCGACGCGCGCCCGCAGCGCTCTGCATCCCGATTCTCCGATTCTTGTTGCCGTCGAGGCTCTCTTTCACACGCACGCACAACGCCCTTGGTTCAGGGTTATGAGGCTCATGCGCTTCATTCTAGGGGCGGACAGCGCTGCCGTGCATCTGACTGACTATACACGCGAACCGTCCGCGCGCCGCCTGAGAGCCGCGAGCGGTGCACAGTCTCGAGTCTCTCGCGTATGTACGCGTTACTCGCACCTGCCTTGGGCTTGGACGAATGTGTCCAAACTTGGTCCGCCCGTGCCCTCGGGCCGTCAATCGTGCTATAACCTAGCGGCGGCATGCAGCTCCTGAAAAAAAAACGGCTGCGAACCCAGTGAGCGAAAATTTGCAAAAAGGTGCAGCATCCGCATAATCTGGATGTGGCCTGAGAAGGCGGGGCGACAACTGAAGCGCGTCGTGAGGCATGATGTGTAAATTCTGAAGGGCAGAGAAGGTGAAAGAGAACTCATAGCGGGCATGGAAATACACTGTCACTTGGCGGCTTGCGAACAGATGCATGGATAGATGGATGTGGAATGCAAATAATGGTAAATCCTGGGTTTTCTAATACATTATCTCGTTCGAGGACATATACCCAGCAGCCATCTGCCGATGTACCATTTTTCAAATTTTCTATTTGGCGATGCGAAGTCGGTGTTTGAGAGCATCTGCATGGATTGTGCCGTGGAAGGAGGGCTAAAGCACAAAATTTGAGAGTAACAGAAGAATAGGGAACAAAGAGACCCCGTCAACATAGGTGACTTATCAAACGATACGTGTCCATCGAAATATTGTCCTGCAGAGCAAGGCTGGATTTAGAGACTGCTACATTCAAAGGTTGCGCGGCTAACAGCATGGCCAAGATGTATGGGGTGGGGAAATGCGAGAGACCACTGTGTTTGAGAGGCGATAATGTACATTCATAGACGAAGAATACTGCATGCGCATGTCTAAAAGGCATGTAAGCGGCTCTCTATAGCGATGATTCCATTTGATCTGAACGGACAATTCAGTCGTCAGATGCGCCATACGTGAGATGCAAACAAATCGCTCACCAATCATCTCGTCTTCTGTATTCCACCCGTCTGGATTTCGTATCATACTCGATCTAGAGGCATCAGTGCTGTCAGACATCCTCTGTTGAGATGCTGACCACACCACATCCAAGTCTTCTAGCATGGATTCACACATGCGCACCCGCACGTCGTTCTCACTTCCGTCTTCGAGAGTGGGTGGCACCCATGGAATATAGACCTTGCCATGCGTGCCCCTGGCGTGAAATCTCCTGCCTGGGTGGGTCATGTTGTATGCGCGGAAGTAGCTGTGGCATCCATAACACAAGAGCTTTGATAATCCGATATAGTCGTATGGTCGAAGAGATGCCGTGTTCTTCACAAAATGCGCGATGAGCAAGCATTCACAGTGGACGCGCGCGCGTCCAGATAATCCACGTTCGTCCAGCTTGATAGCAGAGTTCTTCTCCTTCTGCAACGCAGCCCCTAACGGCGTGACCATCCTATTCTTCCACTCCTCGTCCAGCATCATGTCACGAAGATTGTCTGAGAGCTTGGAGAACTCCGTAGGGATCTTCTGTTGATGCAGATCTCCTTTGATTTTTTGCATCACGTCGCTCTGGTCCTGACAAAATTTGCGAAAGGCTGAATGGTAAAAATCGGCACGGTACTCCCTGTCCAGGCGAGGCGGTATAGAAACGATCTTGAGAGGCTTCGAGAGGAATGGCTTGAGCTTTCGAGAATGAGCCGCCAGAAATAATGCATATCCAGAACGCGAGAGCGAGAGGACCTTTTCGAGGTAGCGTCGTACAGGAATGAAGGCGTCGAGCTCTCCATGATCGTCTGTTCAGGATTCATCAGTGCACTAAAAAGAATGAATTCCCAAGGTAGGAGCAGGAAACAGAAACGCACCGATGCACCCCTGAATAGTGTCCAAGTCGGAATATCCGGCGCTCAGATGAGGGCCCAAACTCTTTGTCATGGTAATAAATATCTCGTGGATGTGAAGAAGTTCTGCGTTGCCTGGGCAGGAAGGAACGATGCGCTTGCAAAGGTCTTTGAAAATCCGAAGAAGATTGCTGCAGCGCTTGTGTACCTCCACCATCTTTGGTTTATCGGAGTACCACTGCTTGACAAAGGTGAGGCTATCAATGAACATGTCCGCCCGCTTCGAAAAACGAGCATGCAACTTGCGCCAAGAAAATCGGTAGACCTGGATGGTGAGTTGTTTTTCGAGTTCGATGATGTTGTCGTCGTAAAAAATCCTGTCGACCTGGGTAGGCGATTGCTTATCGGCTGGGACTGCCTTGCTGATCTTGCAAAGCAAGGCCCCCACAGCTGTAAGATGGGCAACAAGCCGTGTCGACACGCCAGTGTTCGAAGCGACAAAGATCGACGAGTCCTCACCGCTGTCAAGAGCAACAGCGACAACATCGCCCTTAGGATTTTCCACACTGATTGAGGCAATTGCATCTAGGAGGGAGGCGATTCGCTTAGGTGTTTTTTGAGAATCGTTGTGGACATCTCGAGAGAGGTGATTCAGGCGAGTAGTAGAGCCAGAAGGGGCCAGACGGCAAAGAAGAGCGGGCAAGATGGATTCTGGAGTGATAGCCGTTGATGTCGTGATAGTCGTTAATGTTGTGATAGCCGTTGGTGTCATGGTGGTTTTACGAAAACGAGTGGCGAAATTGATAGCCTCTTACCAGGCGGAACGAGCTGTCGGATGTTTACAGCCAAATTCATAACGATGGACGTCGGCGCGGGAATAACTTGGCCGTGTCCGGTAGCTGCCGATATCTCCGCTTGTTGTCCGCTCCCCCCACTGCGTGCACCACAGGGTTTTTCCCGGGATAAACCGTGGACAAAAACCCTGGATAATAATAAAGTTTTGGTTTTCGTTTGTCCGAGGAAATGACCTAAAAAAACTCAAAATTTCACCAGAGTTTTATCCCAGGATAAAGCTATAACATAACATTGAGTTTAAGCTCAGACATTTTCTTTAAATTTGTCCTACAGTAAACCCTGGGATAAAACTCTGGATAATCTTTAACTCTTATGTCATAGGACTTTTGTCACACACAATAAAATGCAAAAAATGCCACATAAATTCGGTGAGTGCCTTAGTGGTCATTGCAGTTATCAAGACTGTACAAGGGCTGGCTTGAATCAACATTCATGATAATATATTGGAAAAAGTAAACCTTGACGATAAGCCCTTATAATGTATCATAAGGCCTTAATGTTATAGGACTTTATGATGCATTATGAGAAATAAGTTAGGACATTGTGATAGATTATGATGCTATCACAATGGAAATTGCAATTGATTATTATCCTTGGTATTGACTTAGTAATAGCCTCTATGCCGATCTCTACATGGTAAATTGAGTTATTAAAAATATAATGCTAAACTTAATATATTATGATACCAAGACTTGGCATTATAATGCTACAGCATTATAATGCCCAACTATTTTTTTTGGCATAGTGCTTGGGTTTTAAAATAAAAAAGAGTGTAGAGCTAGAGTGCTTGATTTGACAGTCAAGTATGCATGTTTAGCAACCTGTGATACTTATACAATGCTAGACTGTTAGCAATAACTAGCAACAACTAATAATAACTGTCTAACACTGTAATGCCAGACTGTTAGAGCCTGCAATAACTAGCAATAGCTATCTGACACTACGATGCCAGACTGCAATAATCTGTGACAACCAGCAATAACCAGCAACAATTGTCTGATACTATAACACTAGATCATTAGAGGCTACAACAACTAGTAACAATCTATAATAACCAATGATAACTAGTGACTGTTAGGACCGTGTCCTAACACATGCTTGGCATATGGACAGAAGGGAAGGTCAGGTGTCTCACCCTTGGCTAGATATTAACAACTAGGACTGTGACTTGACACGCGTCTAGGCATGTGACTCAGGACATGGTCATGAGCTACGCACATGACTCAGACTCAGACAAATTATTATTTACATGCTAACACATGAACACTTATGTACTATGATCTTTTTCTTATTGTGCTTACCAATGTTGATCGTGATCAAGTTCTGATGGAACATTGCTGCAGACAGACATTTGATATACTTACTATATATGGTTATATCAAAGAGCCGTGGAGTACAAACAATGACTGCAGATTACTTAGCATTTAGAAGCATGGACCATATGTCCGTCCTACCCTATACAGCATATACTATAAATAGGAGAGCTGAGCTTCTTAGAAGATCAGCTTGTTCACTTTGCATACATCTCAATTTCTGCACTGCGCCTGGTGTCTGGCCCCTTCAGCCCACACCCTGTGAACTCTGTCAGATCCAAAGAACCATACTTAGTCTGACAAAGCACTGGACTTGTCTCAAAGCCTCCATTATCCTCTACCATCTGCTACCTATCAAGGACTCACTGCATATCGAGTCATCCGTTGGGATCCCTCTGAAGTCATCTGTTGTATCGGAGAAGACTTGTTCGTACCAGACGAACAACGGCATCTAGTCAACCAACACCTTCTCCACTTGTTCAAGGACAGAACCAATAGTGATCAAGAATTCCTAGATCAAGCCTAAAGACGATCAATTGTCTTTATATGTTGGGCCATCACTATCACATCTAGCCCAGGGAACCCCTTTTAGTGTGACAGACGCACGTGATAAGCCTAGCGGCTTAACAATTTCTCTCTTTCTATGTCCCTTGTAAAAGCAGCTAGAAAGTCAGCAAAAAAGCTACAAGATAATGGTGCAGGCATATTTAAAAGAGAGTAATGTGCTGAAACAGTGTAGAATGTGCCACATCTTTACTTTCTCACTGATAGAGCAGTAGTACTTACTATTTCCTACTGCTAATTAAAAACTTCTTAGTGTAGAATTAATGCTAATATCATGAAATTGGAGACCAATCCAATGCTCACAATGTGTTGCTCCCAATTAGGAAATTAGACACTTTTAGATGCTATTAACACTTGTAGATACTTTTAGATACTATTAGATATAATCCAGAGCTAATACAAGGAGGTGGTTTTCCAGATACAGCTGGATCAAAAATATTTTGATCCATGACTTGGTGAGTTCATATCCTGTTGTGAATGATACTCCTTATGATCATCAACAGATTCGCGCTCTCGAGAATATCAACAAGAAGAGTGTAGATGATCTTGTGGCGATCAGCAAACTTCAGAAATACCTTAAAGGCGATTGGAAGACTCATCGTATGAGGGGAACCCCTCCGAACACAACCACAAGCCAGGGATATTGCCAGGGATTCAACAGTGAGTACCCTTCCTTAGAAACACTGGAAGTCCAATGTGATCAGTCCAAAGCAAGAAAACTGTGCTGCCAGTTCATAGTGTATCATTTTCTGATTATTTTCACCCTCTAGGCTCTTACAAGATTATGCTTCTTCGCTAAGGAACGCACGTAGATCTTAAAAGAATTGAAATTAGCGGTATTGATGTTTACCATGCAGTTTTCCACTTCTTGCGGGAGTTGTGGAGTCCTAAGGTCACCCTTGTTTTGAACACTAATAACTGGCGCGCAGGTGAGCCCTTTGTAGGAACAAGTGTTCATTCCTTCCCGCATGTCTTAGTCAACAATACATGCTTTGGGGCATGTACATCGCAGCAAGGCATGCAAATCTCATATGTGTTCATTGATGGTCGACAAGCTGTGTGCATCTTGTACATTTTCCGTGCATAACACAACCGGCGCGATGCCACTCTTCCCTCGCTATTGGCAACTTTTGTGATTGTCACTTGTTTCAAGAAGGAGGGCCTGCCAGCGATGCCCTGGTCCAATCAGTAAGTGAGCTTCATGTTATGTGTACTGCACTTTATTCATAATCCAATTACACCAGGGACAATGACCTTGGCATTGGCATTTGGAATTTCAACACATTCTCTGAGCCGGAGATCATCGAAGCACAATGCCTCTGTGGGCTGTTTGCCCTTGCAGAGATCTCCTTGCCCGACGATCATAGGGGATGGGTAACCATATCACTAAACCATGTGAGTACCTATCCTAAATGTTCCTCATTACTCACATCTATTCCCCAGTTGACACAAGAACCCGAGGTCAATAACTCGGATGATGAATTATGAAGCACAAAAAAATACACTAGTACACTCCCTCCTCATCGAGGTGGGGATCAATTTGCCATAGGTCCCCTTGCGTATCCCATATCTCACCATTGTCTTCCTCCAGCATCTCCCCAGGCATCTCCCCATACAGGTTATCCTCTTCTTCCTCAGTGAGTGCTTGATTTTGGTCCTTGAAGCCCTCTATGTGCAAGGGGGTATCACTATCCAGATGGCTCACCAACCATTGCAGATTGACCATTGCATGCAGAATTTTGGCCTTTGTGCCCTTCCAATTTGTGGGCAATTCTTTCTCTCTTGGCTCTCCACAGATATGCATGCATGCATTTGTGTAAGCCCTAATAACCATGTCTAATTTGTCAAGTGTCTCATTAACCTGCCAAGACCTCAGTAATCATGTAATGTGTTAGCAACAAGGAACACACACTCCATGTGCCCAGTAAGTTGGTGGATGTGATACATAAGGCTTGTGCAATACAAGCTTGTTGTGACGCTCCTGCTCTGGCTTCTAGGAGCACAAGTTGCGCGAAATTGGGCCTTCGTCATTGGTGTCTGGATCCACAGCAGGATCACCCTTGTCCTCGTTGAGTGATCCCTCCTGTGATTTATTGGTTAACTAATACATTGTCTCTTGCAGAAATGCCCACTCAGGACCTGCAGCCTCAGGAACATCAACGCGGAATTTTGCATGCTAATTGGCTTTCTGGAATTGCCATGTGAGTATCCTGATTACCAGAGAAGCATAATTGTGGACTGACCTGCATCTTTCGTGTGTTTCTCCACTGCTTCTGCCTCATGAGTGTCCAATCAACCATTGGCTTCTTATACTTCTTGTAAGCCTTCACCCAGCTTGAAAAGGTGACATGGATTGAGTCTACTATCGTGCCAATGGTCAAGGCTACTAATTTGTCTTGTTTTGCTTGAGAATTCCAGCGCGCCCCATCTTTTTGGACATTCTCTGCAAGGTTATGGCCCTACCCAGTTTCATTGGTGGTCCACGTGTCAGCCTAATCAGGCCTCAAGACTCTCTTCATGTCTCCTTCCTCTCTGATTATGGTCTAATAGGTCCTCATACCTATCTTGTTGATGGGCAGCAGTTCTGGGAGCACTGCACTATCACAAGGTATGTTCATCCAATTGTACAGCATCACGTGCACCATCCTCTGTCTAGGTATTAATCTCTGTGAGTCTTAGATTATGAATAAAATTTACTGAGAGCATGTTATTCTGCTGACGTGCATTGTTCCCTCCCTCTTCTCTAGTGTCCTTCGATTGTGAATGTATGTCCTCCATCCTGACTTTCATCTCCTCCATTTCCATCCTCAACTCTGCCAAGCTTCCTTCAAGCTCAATATTTTTCGCTACAGCCTTCTGCAACTCCTCGCGCAATACCTTCACATCTCTTGCTGTCGACTCTACAACCATCGTTGGGACCCCCTCCGCCATGACCTTGACTCTGGAGAACTCAAATTTGAGTTTCAAGTTTCTATCTAGTATGTTTTTCATTGCATTACCTTTTTTCTCTTCAAAACTATTAGCTGATGAGCTTGAAAAAGAAAAGAATTTGTACCTGCTGCACTGGACAGCCATGCGCCACTCATCGAGCCAACCAAAGCCTCCTTCACCCCTCTACATGCGCTTGAAGAAAGACCTCCAAGACCGCCCTCTCATTGCTTGTGTCTCAATTAGTAGGTCCTTCAAGAAGTTGAGGTGCATTGCCTCGTTCCATGTTCAGTGCCAGTTTATTCATGTGACTAATCCCTCTTTGAGGTGTTCTTCCTGCCCTCACATGGATACTCCCCCCCCTTGCAGCAGCTCCATGCATAACAACCCCGCTATTCCTGACCATCAGACCCCCAACTGGTACACTCCCCCATATGGGATGAGGCATTCCTCTAGGTGCAACGCTCTGTGGAGGACAGGGAAGACATGCTTCACCCTTCTCAAGCATGTCCAAAGTACTATAGGTGGTTTGCAGAGCTGATGAGACCGAGCTGGTTGTCTCTGTGCACATTAACCTGTTCTTAGAAAGGGCAGCCACGCTGAGAAGGAGTTTAAGACCTGTTTTAGCTGTGGGGGGAGGGGGCAGGGCTGCTGCAGCTGCGTAGGTAGTGGGGGGTGTGCTTATCGGCTGAGCGGGTACTGGGTGTCCATCTGTGACTGCACACACAGATGTGTTCATTGTCTCAGCACATGCGGCAGGCATAGACGATGGGAACTCAGGGCTGGAGAGCTGATGGGCATGCTTGCACCATTCCCTGTTGATAAGTGAGTGATTTGCATCTGTTACCAGCACCAAAGACTGACCTTTCTTCAGGAGAGGGACCTTGAATGGGTCTAGGTTTGCAGTCGTACATGTGGGCATTATGGATGGCTGCAAATGCTGGTCTGCTTCCACTAGACACCTCTTTTGGGCCTTCTTGCATGGTGATCGCAATAGTCCAATGGCATTGGACAAGCTAGAGTTGTCTTGGTCTATGGTGCGTACCTTAGGCTGACTAGTACGGGACATAGTGTTTTTTGCAGGGTTCTCTTGACTGCTGTTGATTCTGTACATTTTTTTACATCTATGCTTGAGTTCGGGGTTGAGGAAGTTATGGGATGTACCACATCTCATATCCATGCACATGCAAGTAATGCCTTCCAACCATGATTTGCACCTCTACCTCCCCTTCACGTATGATCTGCGTCTGCTAGAAATAGTCTAATTACATGTAGCTAGATATTGTTTGAATCACACTGGTCCAGAAAACAGCAGCTCATTAAAAGAATGAGAAATAAACAATCCATGAGTAAATATACTGCTAATATACTAACTATTTATTATGAATATATCCAACTGCCCATGGTGACCCCCTTAATTACCTTCTGGACATATCCTCAACATATCATGGATATAGTGGGTGTATTTCTGCAATATATGCTATATATCTGCAATATACCGAGGAACGATTCGGGTCATTGTCCAGTGCTGTCTTTAAACTAGATGAAACCCTCTGATGAGGTTAAGCCTTGACCTTTTAGAAAATGTGTTGTAAAACCATTGAAAATAAGAGGACAGACATATTGTGAGAAGTGAAATGTGTAACATTTGATAAGTGTAGAGGTGTCTATATGAGAAAGCATTTATGATAGTGGTGGCACTGTATATATGTGTCATGACCAGCCACATGACTTAGCAGTTTGCTATGACTTTTTTAACCGAGCTAAGCTGGCTTGAAGAGGAAGCATTTGGAAAACCACCCCTTTATATTAGCTCCGGGTTATATCTAATAGTGTCTAAAAGTGTCTAAAAGTGTCTAAAAGTGTTAATAGCATCTAAAAGTGTCTAATTTCCTAATTGGGAGCAACATATTATGAGCATTGGATTAGTCTCTAATTTTATAATATAAGCACTAATTCTATACCAAGAAGTCTTTAATTAAGCAGTAGGAAATAGTAAGTACTACTGCTCTATTAGTGAAGAAGCTGTTCATCTCATGAGCTTCTACATCTCGGGCGCATAAAGTAAGCCTTCCTTGGTGCTTCTATCACATACCTGGCCAATAGCTCGGCAGGTTAATGAGGTCCTATGGGGGGTTGATGTGGTTATCAGGAGCAACGCAAGTGTTCACATGTGTGTATAAGGAAGCCCGAGGGAAAAAGAATTACCCACCAGTCAAAAGAGAGTGAGCGCAAAGATCCTGCATGTAAAGATAAACCCAGGATAGCTTGTAAGTCATCCTGACAGCAACACCTCTCTCCATATGGCTGACTTCGAAGTTCAAGATATCCTACAGGCCAAAGGAGAAGATAAGGAAGGTGGCACACACGTAAAGGGAATAGATGATGAGGAGCTCTATGGAGAATACCCTATAGAGAAAGATTGAAGGGAAAAGGGAGCTCTCTGGCAGATAGATTTATACCTTTATGAGGGGGAGATGTAATAACTTATATTGTTTCTTTGTCAAAATCAAAGTCCTCAGGTTCTTGCGTCAACTAGGCAGGATGAAAATTAAGTAATGAGCAAGTAGTCTTAGAAGTGCTCACATGATCTAGCAAGATGATGGCCCACACTTTGTGCTTGCTAGGGAAGGGAATCTCTGTGAGGGCAAAATGCCTACACAGCCGATGTGGTTTGATAATCTCAGGCTTGGAGAATTCATTGAAATTCCAAGTCCTGATCCCTAGGTCTGTTTCCCTGGCACAATCAAGTCATATGCACATAATATGAAAATGATGAAACTCACTTACCAGTCAGACCATGGCATGGCCGGCAGATCATTGCTCTTGAAATGCACAATAATTATGAAGGTTATTGATAGTGGAAGGAGGGTAACATTGTGGTAGTCATGTTGCATGCAGAAAATGCTGCAGATATGCATTGCTTGCCAGCCCTCAATGAAAGCATACAAGGTGCCTTTCCCTTGATAGGAGGTACACATACTGAATTGTGTACCATTGACCGAGAGGTGCAAGAAAGAGGTGATTGTCATACCCACGAAAGGCTCACCAGAACACCAGTCATTTGCATTAGAGACAAGATTCACCTAAGATCTCCAGAGTGTCTGCAAGTACATGAAGACAAGGCAATAGATATTGACGCCATCAATGTCAATTAATTTCAGGTCCACATAGGTTCCTTGCCGAGGAAGCTCAATTATGTAAGAATCTAGAGTTCACAAAATGAATTAGCAATGTTTCATGCAACATGGTGGCTAACCTATTGATCCTGCCAATATCCACAACTTGCAATCATGCTAAGCAGAGATCCTTTTGTACAATGCTTCTTGTGATCCCCTTTGAGGTGATTCTGAAGGTTCTTAATTGCCACCAAGTCCTCTGTGGTCTTGTCATTGAGGTCCTCAAGATAGTGTATCTGCAGATCCTTATGAGCAAACCAACCTAATCCACATACTGAAGGGAATACACTTACCAAATCATAGATCAGGATGTTCTTAATCTAGCTCCACATCATGGTGGATTCAAGCTCTCCCCCAGTATGTCTATTGGTGTTGACTTTGATGAGTCGTCCATTGTTGGCCTCAGGTCCAAACAACTGGAAGCCGTAAACAGGGCCCAGACAATAAATAAACAAATTCCTGTGTGTGAAGAGACAAAAATTAGGGGTTAGATGACAATACATAAGTGACCATGCCCAACAGGTACACACATGAAGTTCTTGAGCCCACCGAGCTTCATCTGGCATAATGGACAATGTTGTCCAGATCTAAATGGTGACACACACATCGAGAACCACCTTGAAGTGCCGTTAATAATTCCAATCCATGGATAAGTCATCCATAGGAAGGCTTTTGAGATCCAGGTCCTCACCGGGCTGCCAGAAAAGGTGAGCATGATACACTCTCTGACATTTTTGCAGGAGTCTCTTTGTCTTGTAGAACACAGCTCTGGTATTCGTCCTCAGGCTTGGTTTAGGAGAATCATGATCAGGAATCTCTCTATTGTGCTCCCACACACAATACAATGTGATGGGCAGTAGGGTTGCCAAGTTGTGCTATTGGTCAGCCTTTAAAAAACCCGAGATCTATACCAAAAATAGGTGAGATTTTCTCTTCACTTGATGAGGGAATTAGAACCTTAGACAGCACTCAACCAATCGTAGATGGCCACTAGATGGAGCCCAGGAAATCCTCTAGCTTCTTCCATGGGTCATTGGTCCAACTCCGATGCTCTAGCATCCCACTAACCACTATTATTTGCTGTATGATATGCTTGACCTCCCCTGGAAGTTCCCTGGCATGTTCAGTAATGATGGACATCAAACAATGGTAGAAAAGAAATCTTACCAAGAAAGACAGCGTGCATGAAATCTACAGGTGAATTGCATGCCGGCATCCATCTAAGGAGTGCAGTGAGATTTGACTAGCTGACCCTGTGCTGCTCCTTGATTCGCTCACGTTCCCGAGGACTGGTGTTTTTCCACTGGTAAGCATACTTGACAAAGCAGTGGTCATCTTGCATAATAAACTCTGCAGTCAACCAAGGAGTGAATAATCATGGAAGAAATAATCCAAGAAACTTACTATCGCAAATGAAACAATCCTCGCTGACCAATGACAAGAATGGCTAGTAGCAAAAGCTGCACATAAAGTCTTTGCACTTGACGATGCAAAGACTAGGCAGCTTGCGGCTGGCCAGTAAGTCCGAGGTGTTTATCATCAACATGCCATGTACAGGAAACTTTTTGGTAGCCAGTTCCTCATAGACATGCATGGCAACATCTGCTAGAAGAAAGGTCAGTCTATTGATGGCTGTTCTCTCCTTCCCACTCATGCAAACCATGCACTTGCCTTTGTACAGCTCCTAAAATTCCTTGGCAAGCAGCCTCGTGATCTCATTTAGTTGCTCCAAGGTTGGTTCATGAGGCCCCGGGATAACACAGTACAGTAGTGTTTCTTGGGCCAAAAAATGCTTGGATCTGGGATTGTTGAGAATGGTAACATAGATGGCACTAGTGGAGTATGCACACAAGTGCTTTGTCAGTGAGAACCTGGAGGAAACTGATTAACAAATAGGATGAAGGGGAACTCGCACAGACATACCAGTTGATGTTGATGGAAAACAGCAAACCACACAGTAAGGATATGAACTGCTGCCATTTCTCCTCTACTAACACGTCTTCAATGCCCCATGTAGACACGGCACTACTGACCTGTAGTTGTTCAAGGCCCCAAGACATAGCCCGCTAGCGCCAGCCATCGCTTATATTACCAAGAACCACATGGGGATTTTCGTATGCATTGAGGGGCTTGGCTGGTTTATCAATGGGCTCAGCCTTGCCGGCGTTGTCTGCTCCTAGTCTCCTCCAATATTGAAATTCTTGGTACTTGCCAGGGCAAAGCAGAAATTATTGGAGCATGGGCTTGATGGGTGTGATTGGAAGGACTTTGTAGGGCATTCTTTTGTAGCTGCCATCAGTGAGTACCTTGACATTATATAGAAGGCCTGAGTACTCATACAAAGTGTTCGGTGTGTGTCATGCCTAGCAAATGTTGCAGAGAAAATAGTATACCATGTATTTGTTGGCATTGATATGCAGCTGTCATTCCACGGTCAAGAGTGTCCATACCATAGTGTTGAGACCAGGCATCTCAAGCCCAGTCCTCCTTCACATAGATAGTAGTGTCTCGTGCTCAGCATCCAAGTAGGCCTTTATGGCTTCTTGCATGGATCTGTGACACGTGGCAAGGAGATATGCCATTATGTAGGCATTGCGAATGGCAGGATCCTCATTGAATGCCAGGGGGTTTGAGTTGTCATCATTAAGATGCTCCAAGCCTGAGTCTAAGAGACACTCAAATAGTTCCCCACTAGTCTGATACTAAGGGTTGTTTTCAAGCTCAGATATTGGCTCCTCATCATCAGAAAGGGATGGAGTGGGCTTTGGAGTGCCAAGAAGCCCACGGGGGTCCAAATCCAAGTCAGATGCTGATGGAGCAAGCAAGCAAGTACCAGAGCAAGAGAAATGACTAGCGTTGTTGTCATCTTAGAGAGATGTATTGTTGTCTAGAGTAGATGCATTGTCATCTAAGGTGGATGCGTCGTTGTCATCAAGCTGCGAGGGTGATGGGAACATGCTAGGCAGTGCATGTGGGTCAGTACCAGTATCTGAGACCTGTGGGAGCACATATATACATGCTCCTTCATCCTCATCATCAAGAAAATCTGTTCAAATATGAGCATTGATGAAAGTGAAGAGATAGAAACATTTGTTAAGGAGGAGAAAACCCACCGAGGGTGGTCCATGTCTCGCCTCCCTCATATGCCCCAAAATCCTCCTGCCTTGCCTCTAAATGAGCGGGGGCCTCTGATTTTTCATGTTCTCACTTCTGAGGGACAATAGATGTGGTGGATGTATACCCTTGGGCATCGCTTTGAAGGATCCTTTGTCATTGGAGGTGTCGGTGGATTGTGCAGTGGAGCTAGTGCATTGGCGGATTGTGTGTGCTGTACTGTTCACAAGGGCAGGGGTCATATCAGGTATCTGCTTCTCTCCAGCCTGTATGCATATGTGAAAAAACAAGGGTTTATTGAGGGATAACGAGGTACAGGCAACGAGGAGATGACTAGTGTAGGACAACTTGGAAGAAATTTTGAGGCATCCAATGACGCGCCCCTGTCACGTGTCTGTAAAAAAAAGATTAATCAGCTGTCACTTTGGTTCGACATCAGGATATTTGGGATATATTCCGTGGATGAGATATTGTGGATATATTTCAGATATATTTGCTATATATCTGTAACATCCCCTGGGGAAAATTCGGGGTGATGTTCGGTGGGTTGATCTAGTTACAATTTGTTCAACAATATGGATTCCTGCACAAAGGTGCCCAGCACCTGTGTGTGATCTAAACTTTTGGATGATTTTGTGTGTCAAGCCTAATTTTGGGATGACAGCCAGTTTGCCTTGGATCAGCGCTGGAAGATGAGGTAGAATCCCCTCAGGGCCCGGTTCCCCAACGAGTCCAGATAGAGTTCAGGTAGCCCAGCAACCTGCCGCCCTGGTCCTGACAGCGACCCATCCAATCTGGAGCTGCTGTTTGTGCAAGAGTAGTTGGATGATTAAGCATTGCAAAAATGTGGTGAAGGTGGTGCGATGCAAAATCAGTCTGCACATAGGCGTTCGCGAGTGCAAGCCATTTTCCCAGACAATGGACGAAGATTATGGTCTATTGAGGAGGTACTAGGAATACTGATGAGCAGGCGGATGCGCAGTCGATTTGACAAGGAGGGCCTCGTTCTTCAAAGTCTCCTGCAAAGGGATCATGTGCGTGACAAGGCGCTCAAGGCAAACGGAGGTGGTTGTGTCAAGTGATATTCTGGCACGTGGATTACAGGCCAGTGTAAATATTTTGGAATCGGCGAGCTATTGTGCACAGGTTGGCCAGTATCATGTGGGTAGGTCATCGGCTCAAAATTGTATCGGAGAGAGTATTAGACAAAAACACCGAAGGTACGCTGATAGATATCGAGCATAATTAGTGCTGCGGGTCCAGATTATGAGGGGAATCTATCGATGCGCAAGTCGTTGTATGCCTCGAGAAAAGAGTGTGATCAAGGGTGAGGTATGAAATCTCGCGAGAACAATCGGTACCTCGGGACAGACAATGTCTTGCTGATACAAGTCAACAGCGGCATCTGGTAAAGCAATGTCATAACAACATCTGTGGCATTTACAAGGTACCGAAGGCAAATTTTTATGGAGAGATAGAGAACACACCGTTGAGATCGAACGAGGCACTAGACCACCAATGTCGTGGCGAGTTCTAGCACGACAGATGGTCAGCATTGTCAATGTCGGCAGGGGAACACCCAACCATAGTTTTTGTGCTGCATATCAAAGGACCAGGCCGATCTTTGAATACGCGATGCCCATTTACAAAGATTGCACCAATGATGATGTCAATGATCAGGAGATCATGACTATAGCAGTTGGTAAGCCCCTCCGTCTTGTGTGTCACAATGGCTCCTGTAGTCAAGGTGGACACAAGGAATGGAATTGAAGAAAAGAATATTGCATCAGCGTCTGATGAGATGAAGGTTGCTGTCCAGCAGGGTGCGAGATGGTCGAGGGCGGGGTTGATATATGATGAGTGACAAATATCCTCATCATGCTAGAGAGGTGCAAGAAAAAAAATCTCGAAAAGGTATTGTCAGGATTGAGGAAGCGAAATAAAGGTAATAATTCGGGAGATGGGGGTGGGAGGGTTACCAACTCCGTCATGTCGCACCAAGGGCTGAAAAGCAAGATTGCTCTGGGTATATCCCATTTGTTGTGCTCGAGGGTGCACCGTATCAAACTCAAAGCAATATGAGTGCTTGCGGATCCGCTGGCGACCACGACTCGTTTGGCAGAGATACCGAGCGTTTTTATGAGGTGATGATAGCCTGCTGTTGCCTAGACAAGTTGCAGTGGAAATGTTGTAGGAGACTGGCTCGACGGGTCTAGTAGGGAATGCTTAATAGCTAAGTACGTCTGATAACTCACCTGCGCGAGTCCGGAAGGGATTCCTTTTACAAATAAAGACAGATCATCAACGGAACTAGACGAATGAACAGCATGTCTGGCGCACGATAAAATTCCACTGCAGTGCCAATACAATAGACCCCTCCGTGTTGGGCGCTTGATGTTAACCGTTTGCAAGTGCTCGCCTGTCACTAATCCACCAGACATCGTCAGCTGGACCGGGCGTGCTAAGAACGGTGTCCGCTGCACAAGTCCTCAGATCCTGGAGTAGCAAATTCTTTGAGATAAAACTGATAGACTCTATTGAATTAGCGGTCCGAGATGGTAGTTTTGAATCGTGGCGATGGTGCCTTGAGTGACCTGGCAATATCTTGTGGATCCAATACATGCTCGAGACTTCGTCTGAAATGAGAGTGATGCATGCATGCCAAAAGGGGTTGTAGACAGCTGGGAATAGCCATTCTGGTCAGCTGGTAAAACCCTGAAGATTGATTGCAATTGGTGATTAATGACTTGGCAGTCGACGCTCGTCAGTGAGAGGAAGTGAAAGGGCGCACCAGTGCCGCACCTCGCCGCACACTGCCGCACGTACAGCGCCGAAACTGGACTGTTTCCTCAATTGACTCACCACTAGCCGGTCTCAACTTACACCTACCATGCGTCTCCGTCTAGCTCATCCTTTCGTCTGAGAGGAGTATAAGTAAAAGGGCGTCGCACGACTTGTAGCGCAACATGGTCCAGTCCGAAAAACGGTTGCTCTGGCACCCGCGCGGGGAGAATAGGTTCATCGTCGGAGGGGCCTCACAGATCACACTGTATGAATGGTCGCCTACTGAATTGACCATTCGACATGTTACTTCACAGCAGGACCTTCAGTCTATGAAGGTGCGCTTGCATATTAAGCTTTGGGACGACAATGTACTCAGCTTGCGCAGTGCTTTGCATGGTCGCCACATCCCTCCTACGACGACTTGCTCGCGATCGGCCTGAATACAGGTCGTGTAGATCTCATGCGGCTCGAATCGATGCGCTATGGAAAGGAACATGTCCTGGGACGCGGGCCATATGTCAGCCTCCCTGCGAAGAGCCAACGCGCCTGTACGTCCCTAGCCTTCTGCCCTGTCGCCCCCAACTATCTCGCCGTTGGAATGGACAAAGCTCGCGGAGAATCAAGCCTTGTCATTTGGGACATCCAATCTACCACCACGACCCTCTCTCTGAACACCCCTCCATCCACCGACCCCCCAACCGTGACCTCATCTCCATCACCTGCTCGCGCTATCACGCCTCAAACCCCGCCCTCTGCTTCCTCGTCAACCCGTGTTTATCCACCTATACCCCGCGTCGACTTTGGGCCCCGCAGTGATCCCCGCATCCTGCAAGCATACGCGGCTGCTGAGTCGGTCCATAGCATCACATGGCTTCCTCAGAGTACCCAGTTGCTCGCTGCTGGCATATCGCACCGCTCCCTGCGACTGTTCGATCTTCGCTCGTCGACTCCTCCTACGACGGCCCCGGTGGTCGGGCGCATACATTCACTCGTCTCCGATCCGCACAATCCACACCGTTTGGCAGCTGCCGGAGACGGCATTGTCACGCTCTGGGACGCGCGCAAGCTCCTGTCCCCACTCCTTAGCTTCTCTGCACATGATGTGCGCTCCGACGGGGCTCGTGATGCGAATGTTGGCGTCACGCAGCTTGAGTTTTCTCACTCGCGGAGTGGGGTGCTGGCGACGCTCGAACGCGACGCTTCCCACATCCGATTTTGGGATATACTGAGATCGGAAGCCGTAGACGCGAGTCCTCCGTCAAGCGCGAGGCTGATATCGAAAGAGCTGCCCTCGCAGGGGTCGGGCTCGGGCGGAAAGTCAGGCAAACTTTCGTGGGCGAACCCAACGAATATGCTCCCGTGGAGCGGATCAACAGGCTCAAGCGCTTCAAATGAGCCCCAGCAATCGATTCCCTACAACCTCGTTCTAGCAGACACGCGCAAATGTCAGCAGTTTATCCTGGTCTATATCCCTCTTTGCTGCGCCACGCACTGATGTCAAACTTTCAGCGAAACGCTTCGGCCACCCGCTCGCGTCCTTCGCGCTCATGCCAAACGAGCGCCCTAACCCGCTCGCATCTTCTATAATGGTCGTCAATAAGGACGGCGACCTCGAAATGTTCTCAGTCCACGACACTCCATCGCACGCGCCTTGGAGCTCGCGCGGCACACTCGCCATCGCAGCTGGGGCGTCTTACCGTGTCTTCGCTGGAATACCTGCCGGTGACCCGCCTCCTGAGCCGTGGACGCTGACCATGGCAAGCGAAGTCCCACCTGACCCGTTGGGCTCTCGCGCGGCCAGCGCGCATCCGACCACAGATGGTACAGAACGCGGGCGTGGCCGGCCTTCGCTCGCGCCGATGTTTGGCCGCGGGGACGAAGACGGATTCCCCGCACTCGAGTCGTCGTCTGGAAGGCCTTCTCCACGTGCCGTGCCTGTGCACCTACACCCAGAGAAGCCGAAGGGGATGCATGCAAAGGGCACACCCTACAGCCCTTCGATCCGCAGTCAGCCGAACTCCCCGCGTATGAAGGCGGGCGCGGCAGTAACGGGGGAATCCCCAAATATATTGCTGACGGATGCATCGAAGAGTAAGAGTGTCTCGAGGGTGAGGAGTAGGGTGCGCCGCAAGGCTGCGGACAGAATCCAGAGCATCGTCGAAGAGGATGTGACGGTTGTCATGCGGCGGCGAGTTGCGCAGGGATATGGGCTCGCCAACGTAAGGTCACCTTTTTCAATCGTGTTGATGCAAATGAACTGATGGATGACACTTTCAGCCTGCGCATAACATGACAATCTTGCGGAATGAACAAGAGGATGGAAAAACACTTGAGGAAGTGTGGTATTGGGTCGAACGCGAGTCTCGTTGTTCAAGATCATAGAGCTCGAGCTGCTAACTCTACTTTTTACAGATGCACGTCGGCTTCTCAGTGGCCCAGCGTCTCGATTCAATGGATATAATTTCTCTACGCAGGGTATACTCGGAATCTGGGAGGGCTTCCCATCATCAAGCGCTAGCGCTCCCGCCACAGTCCACTCCTCACCAGCGCCTCCTACTAAATCGCTCCTCGACCCGGTAGATCCAGAAAAGGTTGCGCATACACGCTCCCGCCGCGGAAGGCAGCGCACGGAGGTGCTCTCTGAGTTTGGAGCTGCTATATTGGTGCTCTGTGCGTATCATGGTCTCGACATCCTCGAACGCGACTCGTGGAAGCCGGCAGCGGCGACGAACAAGCTTGTTCAGCGACGGTTTGCGCTGGAGCTATGTGGTTGGAGTCTGAGAGAGGAAGATATTGCAGTGACAATCGATAACTGGGAGAAGCAAGGGAGGTATTCGCAGGCGGCTTGTTGGCTTGTGTTCATCACTGAGTATAACAAGGCAGTTGACCTTCTCATGCGGAGTAAAGGTACTCACATCGATTGAGGATGTGCATGTATGCAAACTAACACCCTTCTGATTTAGACGAAGCTCATCACATGATGTCCGGTACTCTGGCTGCCCTCGCACCGACGAGCTCGACGAATAGCAAGACGCCCGAGTTTCTCGCACACTGTGAACGCCTCATCGTGCGACTCGAGGACCCTTACTTCCGCGCGATGCTGACCTGCCTCGCTTTGGGAGACTGGTCGGAAGTCCTTGAGGAGGATGCGCTTCCGCTGCGCGAGCGGCTTGCTGTAGCACTACAATTCCTGGACGACAGCGCGCTTTCCGCCTTCTTGCGACGCATCGCCGCACGCACGGCGGCACGGGGCGACCCTGCCGGGCTCGTCGTCACTGGGCTTTCACGTGCAGGGCTCGACGTGCTGCAGGGCTACGTCGACTCTACGGGCGACGTCCAGACCGCGGCGCTGCTGGGCGCTCACGTGCACCCGCACCATGTGCGCGATCCGCGTGTCGAGCGCTGGCTCGCGGCGTACCGCGATCTGCTCGACGGATGGAGGCTGTTCCACTACCGGTGCCAATTCGACGTCGAGCGCGGGCAGATGATGCAAGAGCTCGTGCGAGCGGGCGAGATTGAGCGCGTGGAAGTTGTGCCCCCGCAGATCCTGATTCGGTGTAATTACTGCAGCAAGGTGATTGGCACGCCACAGGAATCTGCAGGCGCAAGCCGAGTGCGTTGGACTGTCCTTTCCTTTGTATTTGTCGCGTTGCTGAATTTGTTCACTTCCGTTGTAGTCAACGGTGTGTCCTTCGTGTAACCGTGCCCTTCCGCGCTGCTCGATCTGCCTCATGCACCTGACTATCGTGCCTGACTCTGTGCGAAATGCCCAACTTTCGCACCACAACGCGCTTTTGCGAGGTGCGTGCACTCTTCCACTGCTCATATTCTGACTGAAAATGTATGCGTATTCCGTGCAGATACGATCGACGACGCGATCTTGTTCTGCCAGACATGTCGGCATGGTGGACACGCTGCGCACATTCTCGAGTGGTTTTACGGCGAGGCTGGGGGGCGATCTCACGGTGTTTGTGCCGTTGCGGACTGCAATTGTCGGTGCGTGGATGAGTTTTGATAATCGAGGCCTGAGGCTAGTTGCGGTACAGAAATCCTTGTTGAACATCCTTTGCGTTCCATTGATGTTGCTTTGCTTTTACATTCGTAGATACATGGAAGATGAGTGATGTGATACAACGCAATGATTTCCTTTTGTAGCAAGGTCGCGTTGAACTTTTTTGCACAGTGCTCAAGGCGCTCTCGATTGGCAGACTGAACCACCCAATGAGTTTGAGTTAACATTCATTCGATTCAAATTGGAATGTCGCACGTATCAATGCCATTTCACCAGACGTCGCAGAACACACACTCTCCGAAACCAGAAAGCTCCAGGCTAATATCATCCTCCTTGAGGATGTGCACACGCAAAGGTGAGCTGGCGCAGCACCGCCTACTCCCGATTGAATCTCCTCACTTGGAGAAATTCATCCATTCGTGTAAACCGCTTGCACGACGGCGACTCTCTTTCGCTGCACAACCCCCAACGGGGGCAGCACTTCCCACTGCTCGACGCAGATCTTCATTTGCGTAAGAGCAAGCGCCGGTACCCGCCCCAGTGCCCCGCTTGCGCTAGCATTGCCCAGTGTCGTGACGATCGTCTTCAAATGACTGTACTTCAACAAGATGCAGCAAAAGGAAACGCTGGCTCAGCTAACCGGCCTTTTTAATTGTGTCATAAATGATGCCCCCCCTCGTCGTCCGTTGACCAGATAGGTCCACCAACAACCACATTTTTACCATGTCCAAACACATAAACAGTTTGGTTGAGCATGGTCAGAACCTCCACCAAGCCACTAGTATGTTTCCGTGGATCAGAGATAATCTCGACCTCGAGCTTTCGGCCGCGAGCAGGGCAAGTCGGAGTAGCTGGAGTGGATCGGTAACGGTATATACCCGCACTGTCGTCCGGGCAGGCAGATTGACCTTGAGTTTGAATCCGAGCGCAGTGGGGGCTCCAGCCATTCATCCCAACCAATGACTGAAATTGAAACAGGATTCAGCGTAAAATATAGAGCAATACAGAATGGGCTTACGACTAAATGCAGCAAATGAAGCAACAGCGGATAGATTCGTGATTTCGATATAGATTCATGGCACTCACAATGCACCGCTGTTTTGCAGAGCGGAAGTACGATATAATTGACTTGGCTGCCATGACCTGAAGTACAGGTCGCTATAAACACAGTCATAAGGAAGGCTTGGGCATACGGCTATTTTGAAAGGGGTCAACACATCGCGTAGTACCGCTCTGCGCAAGGCGGTCGCTTCCGGTGTAATGTTCAGGATAACACTGTCGGAAGCGAGAATCATAGAACATCTGGCATTGGCACTGAAGTGTAGATACGCACACCAAGACCTGTCATGAGTATTCAATATTAGCGTGTTCTCAGATGTACAGATCACTAACCTCTATCGTAGGTCGATGCATATAGGACCTCGTCGCAGTCTGTGCCCTGAGAGCAGTAGTGGTTGGGACCGCAACCAATTGCAGCACGGCGACGAGTGCCGCCCCCGTTCCCAGGTCCGCATTCCAGAATTCGGCATCGGTCAAACCTACAAGATGCAGCATTGTCGGTTGCTTGAATGCCCTGTCCCCGACAGGGTGAGAAATTTGCGGTCAGTTACGGGCGATGAGAGTATTGCACTACGGCAGATGCACGGTGTCTTGGTCCGGCAAGGAGCTAAGGAAAATTCTCGCTGGAGGCCATGGAAGGTCTAAGAGCGGCGGCTCTGGACGAAATTTGCTCATCAGAACGTTTCGAGTTGATGTGCGACTGTACGGAACCCCTGCATGAAGGATCGGAACACGCAGGAGCTTGCTCGTGATCAATCATGCAAGGGAAGAAGCGCGACAGGCTGTATGGATGCTGTCACTCCAAGGGCGGTGAAGTCACGGTTTTGTCGCTTTCAGACGATGAGGGTGACAACGGCTGAGTAACGGCTGCCTGTCGAAACGAAAACTTCTCGTGATTAGCCGTACTTATGAAGAGCACTGTATTTTAAAACCTACCGGACGACAGGATCGTGTTCCCAAAGCAACTTGGAGAGACACGAAAGCTAAAGCCCTGCGGATCGAGGAGTTCGAAAAGCCTTTCTAGCTATAAGGCGAGTAAATCGGTCTCTTGCTGTACAGGTGCACGGCATGACACTACTTGAGCCTTGCGCACGGAGCCCGTTACAGGACAAGTATCACCAATTGGCGACCAGAAAGATGCTCAGCATGACACGTAGTACGACCTGCTACGGTAGCAATCATGTTACCTGCGCACGTCAGGCAACTTTTCGACACAAGTCATCCTGAAATAACCATCCCCGCTTCCAAGGACTGTTCGGCGCTGTTGTGCGCAGCAGCGCACCTGATATATCCTAGGGATCAACAGACGCACCTCGCGTCGTACTTCCCCATCGTTCCCCCGGTGGATCGCATCGCTCTCTGCGTCTCCAGCGCGGACGTGAGCGCTCAGCAGCGTGCGCAGTTGCAACACGCGTTCGAGACAGCACAAGACTTCCCCGAGATTGACCTCAGACCGGGCGGGCGGAAGTCTTGATGGAAGGCAAGAGTATTCATACGTGCGCGGAGACTGGTGCTGGAATCATGGGCGACAATCCGTGACGCGTGATGTCTATTAACGCGTTCCTGCCGCATGCGTACATAGATATCTGCTCGCCCCCTGCCCTACGCCGTTCATTTCACCTCATCCGTACACGGTCCGGTGTGTTCATTGCGATAGATCAGAGCCCCATAACCGTGAGTTGCTACGGACACTCCGACAGCCAACGGATCTATCACGCCCGTTTGGGTGATCTGCATATATGCGCAAGGAGCTGGCAACACAGAAGCATCTGTCAACGCCCAGTCCCTGTCCGCAGTCAAAAACGAGTGACTCACCGATTTCTCTGTGCCGAGCAAGTCGATTTGCACGCCTTCGCCCGTCGTATCGCAGGGGAAGAGGGTCACTGTGAACGGGCGATAGACGGTCCTGTCCCTCGTCGCTGCGAGTTTGAGCACTAGCTGGATGGCGGTCGAGCGTTCCTGCGCGTTTCAGCAGATGGCGAGACAGCGCCGGGGATGTCAACGCCGGTGCCAGAGGGGGCGTCCAGATGACGGGCGGTCGACAGCCGGCTCCACAGGCGTGCGGATCCAGCACAGACGCACGCGTCAGACGAGCCCGCGCACCATTTCCTGCACCTCCGCGTCCACGCCACCCCTCCGCCCCCGGCCCGGCATCATCTGCGAGCCGCTCCCGCTGCCAGACGCCGTGCCCACCAGCGTATCCTCCATCTCGGCCTCTTCCACCGTCCGTGTCGTCCCGAGCCCGACGGATCCCCCCGACCGTGTCCCCCTGTTCCCACTCCCACTCGTGTTCGTGCCCCCGCTGCCGCTGCCACTTGCGCTCTCGTTCCCACTCGACGAGCCGAGCTTCGACGGCGACTCCCCGCTCCCGGCGACCGTCATCTCGTACCACAGCCCCTCGTCCTCTTCCTCCTCCGACAACGTCGGCTTCGCCCAGCTAATCCCGAGGCTCCTCCCCTGCGCGCGACTGTGATACCGCCACACCCCCGCCGCCCTCCCTCCTTCCCTCCCACGCTCGCGCCCGCGTCCAAGCCCGAGCCCGAGCCCGAGCTCGCGCGCATACGAATCATCACCGGACGACAGCCCCGAGACGGACCCGCGCGCAGCGCGGAAGCCCGTCGTGAACTGGATCTCCGTGCTCTGCCTCGTGTCCGCCTCAGACGGCCCGTCGAGCCTCTGCATGTTCAGGATCAGTCGATAGCCCTGTATCGCGTCCACCACGGTGAGAAACAGAATCGAGCGGCGTACGGAGAAAAATACGCGAGGCAAAGGGACGTACGGCGAAGGATTCGATCGAGAGGATCCAGCTATGTTTAGGCCAATCAAGGTTCAGGCGCAGGCCGAGACACGATGGAAGGTCACGTACGTATAAGCCACGGCGCCAATCGAGCTGTTCTTGCCCAGATAGAACCCAGCGTTGATGCACAAGACGGCTGAAGCGCGTGCATTCAACTTTCTTTACCGAGTCCTGTGGCAGATGCGCGACGCACCGAAAATGAGGGCAAAGGCCCATGTGCCGTCGCGAGCGAGCAGCGCCATAACAGGCGTGTGGCCCCAGCCCGTGCGCACCGCCTGAACGAATTTGAACAGCGTGAGCCCGAACAGGAGCGTCTCGAACAGAATGAACGCCAGCCTGCGCGCGCGTGCGTCAGCGCCCCCGTCGGCCTGAGTTGACGGGACACGCACGCGAAAAAAATGAGCGTCGTCGGGGTGTGCGTGACAACGCAGATGTCGTCGAACTGAACGTCGGGAATCACGAGGACGAGCGTGGCGAGCATCGCCACGATCTCGGCGACGAAGAGCACGAGAAGGACGAGCGTGATGGTGCGGTTGCGTTCGTACATCGCGTGCACTGCGGCCAATCAGGGGCGTGGAAGAGGCGCAAGCGCGGGTGGACGTACCTCGAACCATGAGTATGACCTCGACAGATGTGATGAGCAGCTGGGTTGCGACTTCTTGGAAGATGTACCACGCGACGCAGGAGCGCATCGTGTAGGGCAGGGCTGCGGCGATCTCCGTGCCCACAAATAACTCAGCGCTGCACACGCAGCGAAGGCATGGGGATAAGGAGAGACCGAAGACAGTGGGAAGGGAGACGTACATCTGGGTGGCGACAGCGAAATACCTGACGAAAAGAAAGAGCCATTTTGTCCAGTTCGTGTTGCGTTTGCTTTTTGGGGGAGACGAACGTCAAGGGTGATCGCGAAGAAGCAGGAGCGATGAGCGACGCACGGCCATATGGTATCTACCTCGTCGCCGAGGGTGATAATAATGTCCCAAACGAGGAACGCGAGCGAGGCGACTGCGCGTGGTGATGAAATTGGGCGTGAGCGATCAGAATTCCGCACCGGCCCGTCCCAACGATGCGACAGCCACGCACAAAGACACAGACCGCCGACGATTGAGACAGCGCACACAAAGCGAGAAAAACGCACTGGCACTTCGGTCGACCAGCTGAGCGCCGAATGCGTGGGCTTCAGCGGCCTTGTTCATGCGGCCTGAGGAGCGCGTAGGCCACACGACCTTGTGTGCTGCGGCGCCGGAGAGCAAGACAGTGCGCGAAGGATGCAGGGAGCACAGGGGGAGAAGGAGGACATGGCGCGAGAGGAGAGAGAGCGGTTTTATGGGCTAGTCCCAAGCCCTTCTCCGGTGATAACTGCTCGCGAGCCACGTGCGCTAGTTCAGAACGCTAGCGTCTCTCCTCCCGTACCTCTCCACCCTCCCCGACCCCACCTCTGTCTCCGTATCGATGCTCTGTCCTGTGCGCACGATATACGTGCGCGCAAATCGTCTGCTGTCGTCTGTCGGGCGTAGCAAGTGTGCAGCAGTGGTGCAGCCCTCCGCGCAACACCCTTGATCGAGATTCGCAGTCGGTTCTGTTGCAGCTCCGCGAACGTCCATGTGCCGTGCCCACACCTCTTCGTTCTGATTCCTATGCACTTCAAAACCACGTCGCCCCACCCGAAAGCGCGGTGGCGACGTAGCTCCAAGGTGAGATGTCTGCAGATCGGCGAGCAATATCTGCTCTCTGCGTTGATGCCGGCCCAGCCAGTGCCATCAGCGCGCCTTGGAGTTCTGCACATGAACTTGAATTAGTTGCTGACCCGGGTGCATGCTTTGGCTTCGACCATCAACCAGTCATCAACCACACCGATCGCAGGCGAATCCTCGCCGCGTTCCTCAGACTTGCGCGAATTTGCACCGCTTCGCCTTCCCACAGCTTCCCGCCCTCCTCGTACATTCTCGCATCCGTCTCAGATACGGGCCATGATCTCCCCGCTGTCTCAGATAACTTACGTGTGCTCTGTTTTTGTTGAGGGTGCCAGGCTGTCCCAGGATGATGTGATGATGACCGATCCACTGGCGATCACGATCTGATCGCCCTTCTTCCATTATCCTCCATTATCCTCAATTTGGCTATCTCTTCTCACCACGGCCCCAATCTGGACGACGCACTGTGGCGGTGCAGTCACACCGCTTCATCATATTGTATACACGCGTACTAAACTGGCAAGCAGCCTGTTCGTACCTTTCAATTCGTCGTTCTGTATGGCTTGATACGGCCCTCTTCGCCATCCTCAGATCGGCCGCTCATCCTCCGATCCCCCTTTTCGCTCCATCAACCTTTCAAAACTCAACACCGGCCGGGAGCTGCTTGAGCAAGCAAGGAACACATAATTCCTAACAGCACCGGCACTCACAAACCATGGGTCTACGCAGGGGCAAATATCTCTAACATTTAGGAACAAGACTCGCCGATCCCATAAAGGCATCAGCTTGCCCTTCGTGAACGCCCACGCAACGGTGCCAAGAAATCGTTCTCGCTCTGCCGTTCAGTTGGCCGTGTGACGCAACATTCATGGGACGACGCTTATTCGTCACCCTCCTCAGTATGCCCATACTCAGCTAATCTACAAGAAAGCGGTAAGTCAAAGTTGATTTGGTCATGGGCCGCCGTTCATTTGATAGAGGACCGTGTATTGTCTGTCGGTGAAGTGAAGTGGACGCGCATGATGCCAGTTGGGGATCGAGGACTTCAGATGTATAGAGGCACCGAAGGCGTCGTTGTATCTCGCTGAGAGCAAATTCAATACAAAGAGCTGAGCCGAACACAGGTCACCCTGTCTTGAGTGCGATTAAGATAGATAAATTAGATAGCAAATTGAAAGCCTGAAAAAAGAATACGAAGGAATCGTGAACATGATCCTACGCATTGTCGAGCCCTTCCTCCTTCCCGCTGCCGTGCACTCCTGATACACCCTCGAGCCATGCGACGAGACCAATGCGACGTGGAACAGGGAAGACCAAGTGGGGTCGCTTGTCGCCTCGACGCGGTGCGCGACTCAGGTTCGCCATTGTGGGACACCGCAGGATATCCTTTTCCATCCCCTTTTTCATACATCGCCGCTCTTTCTCCGTTTGAGGCGGATCCCCCTGCGTATCAGGCACTTTCGTGATCGTTGCACCCCTTGTCGCCACGCCGCGTATCAATTGGCTCCCAGAATCGATTGAATTCGGTCGAGGAACGCCGCATGGACGACGCAGCCAACAAGAGCCAACTTGGCTCGTCTGGACCAGCGCGGATGCCCGAGCCATCAGCGCGCGTCCGACGTTGCTCGCCGTCGTCGAACAGCCGCCAACCGGCCCTCCAACCCCGCAATCTCCGCCATGAGGGACTCGTATCGTCTTTCCAACGCTCCAAGCCCGTCTCCAACATCTCTGCCCTTCTCCATCGGCCTTGGCCTTGGCTTGCTTATTGCAGGGAGCGCATCTGACACCGCCCGTGCTCGACTCTGGACCTCTGGCTTTGTGGTAGCTTCAGAGAGAATGATGTCCCCTTTCAGGATAGGCTGCGAGTCACCCTGCACCTTGAGCTCTCTTTCCCTAGCATCGTTGATTTCCTCACCAAGTCTGCCATGGTCTGGATCGCTCACTGGATTCGGTGAGCTAGACCGTCTGCGCTTTCCACCGCCCCAATCCACACCGAACGTCCCGGAGCTGGCACTCGGCAAACCAGCGCTCAGCAGCCCCATCCTGCTCAAGCTCCACGAGGCCGTCACCGTCGGCGTCGCGCTCCTCCTCGACGACATCATCGACATCGCAGACCCAGGCCGCGGGCTCGGGCTCGGGCTCGGGGGAGCGTCGCTCTCCTCCTCACTAGTCTCCTCTTCGTTCCACGTCATCCCGCTCCCGCTCGCCCCACTGAGCCTGCTGTTGCCTGTTTCGCTGTTATTACCAGCGTACGCGATCCTCCCCGGCAAGACTCCAAGCTCGGGTGCGATGTCGATCAGCGCAGGCAGGAACCGCAGAGCTTTCGCCTTGCCGGTCCCTGTCGCGGATGTGGGCGTGGGCATGGCGCGTGGCGTCCGTCCAGCCGCCAGCACCTTCTTCCGTGCACTCATTCCTATGCAGTCCACGAGCTGCCGCATCGCCTCTCTGTCTGACACCGTGCGCCGAGGCGCGGTGCGGCGCAGCGTGCTCGCGCGCGGGAGAGTGGACATCCCGTTGTGCGGTGTTTTGAGGGAGGGCTGAAGGGGCGTTGTGAACGGGTAGCGTGCGGGAGTAGAGACCACGCGAAACGGCGTCGACGCGAACAGCACCCGATGGTGAGTTGCATCTTTGTGTGGACGCGGAGTGACATGAGGGTCACTGGCGGGGATTGAGGGCGAGACCGGACGGGAAGGTGCCGGAGGGATGCGAAACGCGTCGACGGTGGGGCCCCAGGAAAACCCGATAAAGTAGGTGGATGCTTGCTCACGTAGAATAGACCTGTTGGGACGAGGTGTCGGGTGGAGGCCAGAAACACCCGCGGAGCTCTGCTCGGAGGGCTGAAAGAAGGCGGAAAAGGCGAATCCTTGCGAGTGCGAGGAGGTCGACATGAAAGTATGCGACTCGTTTGCCATAGGGGCGGCATCTGCAGTTTGAGCATTGGCGTATATAAACTGTGGCAGATGTAAGTCGTCTGGACAATTTTCTGGAAAGTGACGAGCGCGTTGATTGAGATCCTAAGGTCGCTACAAAAAGAAGACGTACGAATATGTAGGTCTTCCCACTCTATTTTATCGAAAAAAGGATGATTCATGATCTCTGCGGCGCCTGTCCGGCCCAACCGTGTTTCATGGTCAGTGAGAAACCTACATCATTTCTTGAATAAAAGGTCAGGAAGCCCGTAACAATACTCACCGACGAATCAAGTCTTGCAGTGTCGACGAGATGGACGGCTCTTTCGGAAACTTCAAGCTCTTCCTATGGTCCATGATCTTGGAATATGTACGCCTTATATCGTCGGCAAAGAATGGCGTGACACCGTACGCCATCTCGTACAGCATGGCACCCATGCTCCACCAATCGGTTTCTACACCGTACCCACCTTCCTCATCCAAAGCACGACTCTTCTGCGAACCATCGTCGTCCTCGGTCATCTCAAATGCGACGAGGGCTTCCTCGTGAGCTTGGAGTATCTCAGGAGATATATAGTCGCATGTGCCGCAAGGTACGAGGCAGTGTCGACGAGGAATGAGATGTGCTCCGTCTGCACGCGGGGGTAAAAGTGGGGCAGCCGAACCGAAGTCAATGAGTTGAACATGATAGCTCTCAGAGAGAACAAAATTGTGCGGTTTCACGTCCCTGAAGATCATAGACATATGTAAGTAAAGAAGAGGAGCTGGGATAGAACAATGCTCATGCCACAGGAACTGCTGATTAATTTGACGGAGATGCTGAGAAGGGGGCTAACCTATGCGCGAATCCTTGCGAATGGCACCAGGTAAGCGCGCTGACGATCTGCGGAAACCACCAGCGCAAATCGGCTTCAAGCACGCGTCCGTCGTGCGGGCTGGACTCTAGCACGTCCCATAGCGTGCCACCCTCGGCGTAGTCCATGACAATGTTAAGATGAGTGGGTGTTTGGAAGGCGCAGAGGAGGTGGGGAACCCAGACAGTCTTGCCGCGGAGAGCGCGCAGCAAGATGTCGCGTTCAACTTGTGGGTTGCATTGCTAGTGGGAGATCAAATGAGAGATCGACTGACACGATTTCTGGAAAACATACGTCGCGCGTTTTGAAGGCGAATCGTTTCTCGATTGATTTGCGGACATACACTTGCCCATCGAGCCTGCATGTCACAACGTCAATCTATATCAGTGGGTAGGGGCGAAATAAGTTCCCTTATGGCAGCATGCATTGCAATGACGCACGACACCGTACTGGCCGTACTCCAATGTTCCGACGAGGGATAGATCTCTGTCGGTGAAGCGTATAGAATCTATCTCAGTGGTCTTGGCTGTCCCGAACGGATGTCAATCGTCAAGCACTGTTAGGCGCGAGACGAACGCACAGGTCTTCCCGATCACAGACTGCCCGTGAAGAATACGATCGAGTGCCAACCCTTCAGCATCCTCATCCTCGTCATTCTGTAAGAGAGTCGAAAGGCGGGCTTTGCGTTTGATCCAGGGCGAAGACATTCATGAGGTTACAGGTATACTTGAAACACCTGGAGGTGGCCTAAGGTATGAGATCGTGGTACAAGAGTTAATGTTGGGCTATAGATAGGATATGCGATACAAATAGTTGCTACAGGCGCACAGCCTGTAGCAAGTTGGAAAAGAAAGATGTCGAGTCCAATTGGAGGCGGGCTCACTGCATCGATAACCGTATTGTAAGCCAGTTCGGGAAAAATAAGTGGACTTGTGATTTGTGGTTTCCCACGTGCGTCTTGTCGCGCTCCAGGCCGCCGATAACTCTTGCAAGTCACCAAAACATGTCGTGGACTCGAGTTGTGGTCAGTCTTGCGGCCCTTCCCCATTTCGCCTATACTCATCATCAAACAAATCTAGCCACGGCGAGCACTCTTTGCTGCAAGCGCAACAGCCGTGGCCCTGCATGACCTTCCGCAAGGCAATAAGGTTAGCAGGTCGATCTTCTCAGTCGTTCCCGACCGTTAACCGTCCTGCCCTCACTTTCCTATAGCTCTCTATCTACCCCGTCCCAGACAAGGACATCATTGTTGTAGATACCCCATCAGAATTAGAGCGTCAAATCGGTGTTGTGCGCCGGGCAGCGACGGGTACAATCCATGACACACATGCACATGTGCAGGGGATTGTTTCCAAATGGATTGGCGTCGAGCATGCCGTTGAGCGTGCGTTCGCTTCTTATGTGTCTCACTCGTGCTCTAAAATGATTTCGTCCCCCACACATAGGACGTGTTAAATCTATCATCGCCCCAGACGAGCCGCTGACTCCGGGACTCCTTTACGTTGGCGTTGCCTCGCTCACCGGATCCATCCTGGCACGAAACCGTCTTCTCCTCTGGCGCGCATTGCTGCCCCCTGCTCTTTTCTTCGCATCCCTTGACTACTTCCTCCCGAAGACATCGAGCAACCTCTCCGGATATTTGGGCGAGCTGGAGGACCGGTACTTCCCTGTCGTCTCCGAGAAGCACGAGATTGCCAAGGCGCACGCCAGCATGACATGGGAGAGGGCCAAAGAAGCGACGCAGGGTGGACGGGAGAAATTCGAGGCGAGCTTGGGGGGCATCGTGGACAAGGTACAGCAGGCTACGGGCTTGAAAATCTCGGAGGCTCTAGGAAGAGGGGAGGCCATTGAAAAGAGGATCACGGGCCAGGTGTTGGAGGTGGCCGTCGACGCGGAAAAGCGCGTCGAACAGGCGACGAAGAGGGAGTAGGGTAGTCAGCCAGACTAGATATGTTGATCAATAGACAGCCACAAGGCCAAAGCTCCGGTGGCGTGCAGAAAACTGGTCATGCCAACAGCCGCTAGAGACAATTTGGAGCAATCATACATTGTTCAAAGGATGGTTCGTGACTATTGCCGATGACGATGAGCTCTCAACGATGCGGGGAGCACGTGCGATGACGTCGTTGTAAGCTCGCCATTCAACCCCTCGCCTTAGCTCTCGCACGCTCTCTTCCTCCATCCCACCACCCTTTACGATCCTCATGGCAGACACACTCCCCACAGGATTGCCGTCCACCATCCACAAGGACGCTCTCACAGTTTCGGGCGCTAGCTCCCATAGCAAGGCACTCGTCGAGCGCTTGCTTGAACAAGATCGCGAGTCTAATCATTGCTTCTACGGCCCCGGCTTTCATAATCACCTCAGTCATCAGTGAGCACTATATGATGCCCATTTCCACCATAGGATACATTCCAGACATATACACTCAATGACAACGATGTCTTGTTCTCTTTATAGCCTCCTTGCTGCGTACGATCTCGGTGCACCTTCCTCACTTATTCAAGCAATCTACGACGAAGAGAAGCACGGTCTAAACTCCGTATTCACCGCCGACCGTCCCAATAAGACTGTCGAGCGCCAAAACCTCCACATTGGCGTGGATACTTGGACTCACTATCTCGGACAAGAGAAGTATGTACGCTAATTCCATGTAAATCGGTGATTGTTAGCTTGTCCCCCATGTTGCCCTCCAGGTATTACGCAAACTATCTGGAGTTCTTCTCCGATGAGGTACGGAGGCTAGGACCTAAGCCCGCTTACCAGCACTATGTCTTCTCAGAGGACGCCAATATTGGAAAGGCCCACATGACGGAACGTTTCGTGGGCGGAGCGTGCGCGTGATCTCTTCATCCTCTTCATATGGTGCTCAAGAGTCATTGGTAGCTTGCACCCACTGATACAAATGGGTGTACGTCTCTAAAACTAACCAACTCCTCTAGGCTCTGAATTGTGAATTCTTGATTATAGTATGCGATCGAGTTTGGCAGCGATGTCATGATCGCCCAAGGTATATCGCGCCCGGCGGTCTAGATCCATACTATTGAGAATGCTAATCCGACTTTCCAGCGCTCGCACAAACGGCTGTGCATGAAGCATTTGAGCCTGGTCTTTTCCCTTGGAGTTCCGAATCCGTCGATGACGGTCCAGCAGTTGACATCTCCGCTAACGGCCAACGCGCTGCCACCTCTAAGGACGAACATACTCTTCTCTCGATCCTACGCGAAACCTACCGATCTGACATTATGACCCCGGTGCTTCCATACGACCCTGACGCGCTGCTCTCCGCGCGGCGCAAAGCCGCCTTTACCCCCGCACGTGTTTCCGAGATCCGCCGCCTTACCATGCTTTGGCATCTTTCCGCCTTCGCTACCCCCGCGCAGCTCGCACAAAAGACTGAGGAGCTCTTTTTTGTCGCTGCGCTCCTGTTTGCGGGTGTCGGCCGGCCGGGTAGGAAGGAGCGCCTCGACTTCTTCTTGATGCATGTGTTGACAAGCACCGTTTTCGTCCCGAACTTGGTCGGCGCACTCGATGGGGCCACTGCGCAGAAGAGGCTGCTCGAGGCTGTCCTGTCCGTCGTGCTAGCATATGTGCTTCTTCGCGGGCGCCCCCGGATCGACTGCGAGCTCATCATGAGCTACACTGCGTCTCCGCGTCCGGACGGCGCGCAATTGATACCCACACCCGGTGCGCTCGGAGAACCCGCGACCAAGCCAGACGAATACATCAACCCGTGGCCGACGCTCCTTGCACATGTCCTGCCGGCGCGCGATGCGCACACGCTCAAGGCTCTTCGTACTCTCTACGTCGGGGCGCAGCGCTACGGCACTATACCTGCGGGCGCCGTGCGCGGGGCGGTCGACAGTAGGGGTGAGGAGACACACGCGGGTGCAAAGAGGCTCGATGGGAGCGTGTTCGTGCGGGCTGCGGGCGCACTGGTGAGAGTAATGGGGTGGGTCGGCCCTGGGGAAGGTGGCGGACAGAAAGAGGGGAGTTGGGATCGGAGCGCGTTGGGATGGGACGAGGCGTGGGACGAGGAGGATTGAGTTGGCATAAAATTCTGAGGTGTACGATGTTTGGTGCGTTTGTATTTGTACAGGCTCTGGGGAGCTGTAAGATGTCAGCAGGATCTACCTTCCATCCTCGATGTAAATCTAACGGAGCAACAATACAGATGTGTATCTGAACCGGAGGATATTGGGGGCAATGTCCTGTGGCAGGAACCCGGCGTCACTACTGCGTCACTGCGCTGGTATTATTCCATGGATCGACAGTCGACAACATGATAAATACGCCGTGTAGTTGCGTCAATGACTTTCGGCTTCCTTGCTAGACAGATACTTCGTCCGACCGACTGGAATATTATTCTCTTACGAAGGTATAATGTCAGAAAAAGTAAGCCTTGATGATAAGCCCTCATAATGTATCATAAGGCCTTAATGTCACGGGACTTTATGACGCATTATGAGAAATGAGTCAGGGCATTGTGATAGATTATGATGCCATCACGTTGAGAATTGCAATTGATAATTATCCCTAGTATTGACTTGGTAATGGCATGGTAAATTGAGTTATCAAAATTATGATGCCGAACTTAATGTATTATGATACCAAGACTCGGCATCATAATGCCCAACCGTTTTTTCCGACAATTATTGACTAGGGAGTTCGATGATTTAACATACGCAGGGACTAAAGAGTGGAAGTTGTTTCCAGCAAGGCCATGGCGTATTCGGCAGGCGTTGGTGTATTGTTTACCATTCCACTAGCGCGTGGCAATCAACATTGAACGCCTTTCCTGTATATTAGAGACCTGTGAATGCTACATCATCCCTTCCCGAGATGCGCGAGCGATCGAGGAGTGATTAAGGTCATTTATGCTTAGTCCTATCCGGAACCTGCGTGGGCATGCTAGCGATGCGGTGGATGTCGGTGAGAAACGATGACGCCCATCCGATGTTGTGTGGGCTGATGCAGATAGGAGATGTACACGGGATGGGGTGGGTTGGCGAGAACGGCGCTGAGTCCAGGTGATCCATACCAGTCCAATTGTTCTCACACTTCTCGCCTTGCGCACCCACCAGCTATGGGTCGACGCCTGTTCGCGCACAACGGTTGATATTATAGGCCTCAGTCAGCAAGATCTGGTGTTTCTAATCATGGTCGCTCCTACTAGGCCCTCTCGCGGACCCTCTTTGTCACCTAAAATGTATATAACTCGCAGCACCGTTCACTCCTGTGACCAGTCGTATCATCTTGAACCAACAGTTCATCTTCATACCCTCTAAACGTTTACCATGCCCTCGCCCGAGGTCCAGAAAGCTCTCTTGTTCGCCGCCAAAGGCAGCCCTTTTGCCGTTGGCACCCGTCCGATTCCAAAACCTGGCCCTGGTCAGGTTCTGGTCAAGATCCATTCCGCCGCACTCAACCCAGTCGACAATTTCATCCAGTCCTTCGGCGTATTCGTCGAAGAGTGGCCTTTCGTCGCTGGGTCCGACGCAGCTGGTGTAGTTGAGGCCATCGGAGAAAACGTCCAAGGCTTGGAGAAGGGAGATCGCGTGCAAGTATCTCATCTATCGCTCGTGTGCGGATTCTTTGGCTAACAGCGTGCTCTTGCATGTCTACTCATTTTATAGATTATATCAATGCCTGTTCACGCCTGACAGGGGCACGTTCCAACAGTATGGAATTGCAGATGGGATTAGGGCTGCAAAGGTGAGTGTCTCTTCTCTCCTCCTCGAAGATGCCACCGCCATAGGTATATTTCCCTTTGGGGATATTTCCTGCGTACTCGACAGTGACAACTCGAGTGACTTTTGACATGTATATCTGAATTAATACATACATTTTCTAGATTCCGCCGAATATTTCCTTCGAAGGAGCCAGCACACTACCTCTTGGCCTCGCGACTGCATCGATCGGTCTGTACGAAAAGAAGAGCTCCCGCGGTGGTGTAGGGCTTTTCCCACCCTGGGAAGAGGGCGGCCGAGGAAAATATCAGGGCCAGCCGATCCTTGTCATTGGTGGCGCCAGCTCCGTAGGCCAATTCGGTGCGTCGCCCCACCTCTCCGACTGGCGATGGCGCATTTGACGTGAGTTCCCAGCTATACAACTGGCAAAGCTCTCCGGCTTTAGCCCTATTATCACGACTTGTTCCTCTCATTCCGCCGCATACTGCGTTGCTGCCGGGGCGACGCACACAATTGACTATCATACTACGCCCTACAGTGACCTTTCCTCCGCAATTCGCGCGATCGTCGGCCCTTCCACTTCCATCTCTGTCATTTACGACGCAATCTCCATCCCGGAATCACAACGCGCATGTTGGGATATCCTTGCTCCAAATGGGAGCATCGTAGTGACGCTAACGCCTGTGGTCGGAAAGGCCGGAGAGGAGGCAGAGGACGGAAAACGCACGGTGTGGGTATATGGAAATGTGAATCAGCCCGACAATCAAGAACTTGGTACGGCACTTTACTCTAAATTGACCGCGCTGTTGGCAGAAGGGGCAATCAAGGTAAGAGCTTCCACCCTATCTCGATGCACGGCTCTGTGATTAATGTTGTGTTGTCTCCGTAGCCCAACAATATCGACGTGTTGCCGGACGGATTGGCCGGGATACCAGACGGCTTGAAGAGATTGGCCAGTGGGGTCAGCGGAGTCAAGCTTGTCGCACATCCTCAGGAGACACCATGAAGTATGCAGTTGCTGGTACAATCCAATCTTGCCTTTCCGTAGTGTGTGTAGATGCAACGAATCGCGTGATACGTATAAATTAGTTAAGATACTGCCTGCCTTGGCACTTGCTTCGTACTTTGATCTATACCTCAGCGCGCTCCTTCAAAATGGCCAACCTCAACTTCCGCAGCGGATATCACTGGCGAGAGATTTCCTCGGTCCAGTTCTCGAGTTGACGTGCTTGGATTGAGTCGGCCTCGCTGACCTGCTCCCAGCTGGAGCCCTCCAGATGCATATCGGGCCCATGTTTAAATGTCGCATGGTCAACCTACATTATGAGTAAAGTGAGGAGGACCATGGCCAACAACCAAAGTGAGATTGTGCGGCATGATTGTAGACAGATCCTCCAAATGAAGCTGGAACTTTGGCTAACGAGTGAGGCGTGTGGCAACAAGGATGTGAGATCAGGTCAGCGTATGCCACACCGCACGACGTTTTCCTGCTCAGAGGATCTTTGCACCCGAACACAGTCGCAGGATGATCAAGGGTCCTGAATTTCTTGAACACAGGGGCCAGTTCAGGAAAAGATTTGGTCAATTAGGAATCGACAGTTCGGCGCCATCGACTGAATGCGGCCGGGATGACTCTGCGGAGCTTTTTCCATTCCGGCTTTGATATCTCGCGTTTGTAGTGAATGTGCAGCACTTTTTTGACTTCAGGAAGGAGGGCAATGTCGATGTAGGTCTCGTGGCATCGCACCACAGGAAACTTTGTCTCCATACTGAGCAAAAGTCCACCGAGGCTGCGAAAACGCTTGTACAAAGCAGTCCTTTGCGCGTAGTCCTCTAGATATTCGATAATAGCTGCCTTGGGGTGAGACCATTCTGAACGGAACCATTGAGCGTCAGTGCTGAAAGAGCAGAATTTGTGACATGGTCTAGTATAGACGAACCAACACGATCCGAGAGAACGAGAGGGTATGTCGACAATGAATCTCGAATCTCGTCGTTAGCGATCAGCTCCTTGTAACCCAATGTCTCCATGTAGGCTACGATCCTACGTTGGAAAAAAGACTTCGAGAAAAAGGAAGCGGGTGAATTAGTTCAGCCCACCTCGAAAAATCACGACGTTGAAGTTCAAGAAACATAGCGAGGCGCTCTCCTCTCCTCTTTAAAAATGTCTTTCGAACCATCTGGTATGCTATGTTCACGTGTGATTAGCGGTTCGCCACGATTATGTAGAATTACACACTTGTTCACTGTACATTCCTGCGAGCCTGTCGACGTAACAGTTTTGATCGGACGGTGAGAGTCCTCGGAGCTCTTTGGCAACGGCGCACATAGCCTTTGAATATGAAAACCTTCTGCTAGACCACGGAAGCGTAGCACTGTGATGGCGCTGTGCTTTCTTCCAGGCGGCCTCATCGATACCATTCGGACAGATTGGGCTCTGGACAAACCTGATGAGGTGGGAAGAAGATCAGTTTGGTAGGCCGGAGGACTCGGGAAATCCGGGTAGCCTATACCATTATACGTACAATTTATTGAAACATTCCTCGCACAAGCGGAGTCGCGCAACCCAGCATACTTGAAAGACCCCCTCTGAACAGCAGTTCTGTACCCGACTCAGTATGTTCGTGCATTCATACGCTCAGGGCCTTCATACCTGACAACGTGTCTCGGAAATGAGGCTGACGTAACGAAGGGGAGCCATACCTAGGGGGCACTCAGGGATGGAAGGACATTTCTTAAGTGAAGCTGTCCAGTACTCTTTGCATTCCTCGTCCAGAAGCAAGACGCGAGATGTCCTGTTGGTTCGTGATAAGTTCAGTAAGTCGTTGGGTTCAGTAAGTCGCTGGGTTCAAGATCCCAGAAGATCTGAGGACGAAACGATGTGAGACCTGGGTCCTCCGTTGAAGGTCTGAGCAATGATACCTCAAAATGAAGTTCCAGAGGAAGTGGGAAGAGGCGCTTTATTGTGACATCGTGCTTGGAGCCCTTCACCGTCTTCAAACCAGCTGAAAACTTCGAATAGCAAAATTGGACCCAGATGTTCACGAGGTTGTGCTGTGGACGTTTAAAAAGCAAGGAAGGCGACATTGATGTGGGAAGGAATGTGTATATCTTGAAAAGCTCAGAGAAGGTGTTCGTACATTGAAGAAAGCATTCATGCCGATGGCACAATATGTATATGGCGTAACCATGCACATAACTCAGTGGCTTGATTTTGCACCTCGCCGGTTGAGCCGAAAACAATAGAGCGTTATCAGGCCGGTAAAGTGAGTATAGGGCATGTACAATGTAATGATAGGTCATTCACTGCCGTCCTTTGTCGGTTAATGATCTAGACATGATTATTCTTGACTTCAACAGGACGCACCTCGATAGAGAGTGGTCTAATCGCTGATCGTCGCGATCCTTGTGGACCAGCGGTAACATAACCTGCGAGGCCATATGATCACAACGCCATATTGATAGAAAAAACCAACCCTGCATCTGTTTTGCGCCTTGCCTACATCTGTGCGAGGGCGAAGATATCTGCTGCAAAGAAATACCCGGTGCTTGTCTAGCATCCGAGAGATTCAAATTTTCTGTTGTTCTCATACCCACTACGAACGTTGGACCTAATTGTTAGGTCTCTATGTTGCTGCAAGCCGTAGATCCACCTTTCCCATTGAGTTGAGTATCGTCTACGTTTGTATGCAAAACGACTGAATCCTAAAGGGCGCTCACTGGACGTCTATGTGGTATACCCTTTCAAAAATCAGAGTCATTGATGCAGAGAATGCTACGCTGCCTTGAGGGGCGTTCAAGCATTGGGTGATTTAGCCCATTATCGACGCGTGTTGCGACTCGCAACTGCTATCGGAACAACCCAACTGTCGTTAGAGCCTTCGACAATGTTCAATGTTAAAACACAAACGACGCATCTCTCGAGAAATCAAGGAAGTATCGCTTACTGATATACAAACTAGGCAACAAAACCGACTTGCACAGCTCAATCCCTGATCTCATTCGCTCTTGTCCGAGCTTTCTCCGTCGCTGTAGATCAGAAATGAGAGTCTATTTGTTGAAACTTGAGATAGCAAAGCAACTACGACGACGTACTCGCACAACGCATCTCTAAGCACCTGCAACATGTCTCTGACGCATCTATACATTCTCGGGGCGTTTGAGGACCCTTGGGCGCAGACGATGCTGTGGATCAGACTATGTAATTCGGCGAAGTCTCTCTCAGAGCCTGAGGACAGTTCACCAGGAGCGCTGGGGTCCGTGAATAAGGTAGACTCGGAGGTAATTGATGAAGAATCGACGACTTCATCTGGTCGCTCGACAGTTCTGAGGTTGGTCAGAGCTTGACTGAGCTCAAGAGATGTGTCGGAGGGCACTGAGTTGCTCTGCGTCAGCGTGTGCGGTTATACGGTCATGCAGGCTGGCGTCGGCCGTACTGTCCAGACCTTTAGTGAGTAGCAAGCAGAAAGTGAAAAGGAAGACGGCGGGGCAAATGCTGGCAAATGATATTTCGCCTTCGGTTTACGTCCTCTGAGTGTCAGATCTTCGTACGATTGCCCCCGTGGACAGCGCTTGCATACCGTCGATGACTTCATGCCGATGCTCCGCTTTATATTTGCTCGCCATTGTGCTCCCTGTCCTTGAAGTGTCCTAGAGTGTCCTGTACCCGTCCTTTGCCTCTTTGCCGTGTTGGAAGAGCGCCCGACAATCCGTGTAAAACCACGTGCATGTGACCAAGGTTTCGGTCAAAGCCTAGACTCGAACATGGGCGACGGGCCCGGGTGCAGAGCATTGAGTCTCGCGTTGAGCGAAAGCTTTCTTTCTACTCGAGACGCAGCTCATATGGCAATTAGCTAGTGGCACTCTGCTCTCACATCAGCCAGGATGAAGCTACACTCACGGGATTACTATCGTCGGTCATATTGAACTCGCCGTCTGAGGAGTCATATGCATCAGGGACGACACACCTGCCGGCATGTGTTCACTGTTCACAGGTGTTCATACAACACCCTCGACTGCGCATCACACTCCTTCGATTGAGCCATGTCTGAAGGTCCCCCAGGAACCTCGCATGCACTTGTTCGCCCCGCAGCTCGCGATGACATCCCAGCTCTCGTCATTCTTGCGCGACGAGCATTCATCAACGACCCGTTCACCAACTACTGCGGTGACCTGAAAGAGGTACTACTCTCTATCTCTCCTTGCTTTCCTGATTCCGCCGTTGAACCGTCTGCCCAGGCTCTTTCAAACGATGTCAGCACCCCCAGGCGACAGCACCTCGAGATCTTCTACCGCATGTTGTTCGGCGCTATCATTCACTCGGGAGGGCGAGTCATGGTAGTCGCGGTCCCCATCCCTCCGAAGAGCGATGACGGTCAAAGTACGGGCGCGGAGCGCAAGCGGAACCGGCGACGAGACAAGATCACAGCAGTCGCCGCTTGGTTGCCGCCCCACGTTCGAATCGGCCTCGACCACCCTTGGGCGCTCTTGCGGTCGGGGCTCGTGGGCGCAGTACGGAGATGGGGCCTGAAGGGAGCTCATGTACGCTCAACTCTCCTCATCAGGCCACGGCAAAATGGTCACATTCGATCAGCGCGCAGGGATCGAGTATGGGAGCAAGGTCGAGAAGGCGTTCGAGGAGATTTACAAGGCGCGCGGCGTAAAGGAGACGGAGCGCGACGCGTGGTATCTCCAGTTGGCAGCGACGGAGCCCGATGAGCAGGGAAAAGGTCCGACAGCCAACCTTCTTTGCTGATGCAAGTTTGCCGTGCTCACTTCCACCTGCGATAGGCTATCTCTCACTTCTCGTCCGTGAAGCATTCGCGCACACGCCAAGCGCGACGTTTGTGCTTGAGGCAACGACGGAGAAATCGCGCGATCACTATGATCACTTTGGATTCCAGGTAGGTGCCGCCATCAAAGGTCACAATGCACATCTCCGCTTTCCTAACCCTCACCTGCGCCGTTGATCTCAGCTCGAGCGCCCGATCGTTTTCGGGAAGGGCCAATTCGACAGCAGTGGGTACAGAGCAAAGGGTGAGAGCGCACAAGGGTTTCAAATCTATGCGATGGTGAAGGTGAGTTACTCTGCCTTACCTTATAGTGGCCGCTTTGACGATCGCGGGGGTGAACAGTGGACAGGATCCTAGTGTCGGCGTCGCTCCATCTCGTGGTCAACGGCCGATGGAGAGGTTTGAGGAAGTCCCATCTGAAAGTGCCCGCAGAATGCTAGTTTTCCTCGAAGCGTGAACCAATGTGACTTGTTACTCGTTTTGCCACGGAAGAATTTATCTATCCTTACACAAGAATTTGACAATCGAACATTCACATGCGCTTGGAGACTTTGAAATGTGAGCAGGCCTGTGGCGGCCCCACTGTCTTGAAATTACCGTCATTTCAACGCTCTTCGGATAGGGGGGCCTGTGAGATCTAATCGACGCGTATTGGTACAATTGAGACTTGTCGATGGACATCGGAGCATTTGTGCAGCCGAACAGGGAGGCATCTATGGCTGCGAGCGCTGTGCTCGACGGGGAGATGCGTTTCTGAGGTATCGAGAGAAAATGATGTTGGACGAGGCACGGAGAGCGGGCAAGGCACGAATTGCAGGCACCTGAGCCTGGGTGCATACAGCCGCATACACTCCGGCTCCCTTCCCTTTATCTTCTTCTTCCCCACCGTCTCCCCCGTCCCTCTCCCCCTCTGCGCCAGCCTCATGCCTGTCCGCCATCCGCGCTACACCTTCCTGCTCGCCGTCCTGGTCCTCCTCGTGCTCTTCCTCCTCCTCCTCGACACATCCTATTCCTACAATTCATTCTACCCCGCTCCTTCTTCGCCAGCGCGCACCGTCACTACGGACCTTGGCCTCCCTGCGCGAGTTGCACGTGCAGAGAGGATATACCAAAAGATGCTTGCAAAGCGGAAGGGCCTGATCAACAAATTCGGCCCCAACGTGAAGGACATCGTTCCGTGAGTCTTCCGTGCTTCCACCTGACTTTGCTGCTCAAGCACCCTCCCTGCCGCCCCCCGTCCTTATCGTCGCAGCTTTCCAGAAGACAGAGAGCCATGGCCAGCCTACACCATCTGTGAGTCCCCTACTCTTCCCGACGACAGTCCTCTCTCCCCACGACCTGCGCGTCTCATCTCCGACACTCACCCGCTCAAAAGGGGACTTCTTCCCCCCCGCCTTCAACTGCCCCCATGAGCTCGAACGCATCGGCGCCCTCGGTGACGGCGGGAAATGGCTCTGCGGCCTCTCCCGGCTCGAGTCCAAGCCCGACTGCGTCGTCTACTCCATCGGTGCCGCCGCCCACGCCTCCTTCGAGGCCGAGCTCCTCGCCCGCACCCGCTTCTGCGAGGTCTGGGGCTTCGACTTCACCGTGCCCGGCTTTGGCCCGGAGATCACCGCGCCGCACAAGTCGGACTCGGACTGGCGTGCGTATTTCGCGGAGCCCGTCGAGCATTTCTACACCGCGGACGGCCAGGAGCGGGAGGAGGGCACAGATGCCGAGGAGGGTGGGCGGAAGGAGTATTGGAGCGACAGGGGAAAGTCGCTCGAGCGCAGGACGCACTTCAAACCTTGGGGCGTCGCGGGCCACGACGCGCCCGCCACGAGCGACAAGCCGCCGATCTACACCATCGAGTCGCTCATGCGCTCGAACGGTATGCCGTCCCTCCTTCTCTCCTCTCTCGCTCCGCTCTCATTCGACGAGAATCGTTCCAGACCACGCACACATCGACGTCCTCAAGATCGATGCCGAGTCCCTTGAATTCGACGTCCTCACGGCGTTCGTCGCCGCCTTCTCGACGCTGCCCATCGGCCAGCTGATCGTCGAGCTGCACGTGTGGAACCGGCCCTTCGACGAGCTCCTCAAATGGTGGGAGGCGCTCGAGCGCGCGGGCCTGCGCGCGTTCATGGCCGAGGTACGTCCGCGCCGTCCCGCTCAGCCACGGCGCTCACACACGCTCCAGCCCAACCTGATCTACCAAAACTACAACCGGCACGCGAGCCCCGAGCTCGCGGAGGTGAGCGCCCCCTCTGACATGAACGTCCGCCGCGCCGCGCCTGACCCGCTCCGCCCTCCCCGCTCCGCCCTCCCCGCAGTTCTCCTTCCTCAACGTCAAAAACACAAACGTCTTCGTCGCCGACGCGTCTGCAGCCCCAGACACCGCGCGAGGCGCGTGAGGCGCGTGAGCCTCGAGGACGCGGGGGCGGGGGCGTCGCGGCGGTCGGCTGGCGCGTGCACATGTGCGTATGTATCGATATGTATTGTTTCTCCGTGTGCGCCGGCGCCTTGCGCGCCCCGCCCCCGCCCAGTCTATATGGGCGCGCCGGCCTACCCGTCTCCGCGCATGTACATTGCTTCCGCGGTGCTCTGCTTGGCCGCGCCTGTCGTTGCTGCTGCTGCTTCTCCTGCTGTTGTTGTTGTTGTCCTTCTTGCATTTGATACCCCCGCCGGTCACGCTAAAAACTCATATACACACATATATATATATATACATGTGTTGCGTGCCTCCTGGGGCCCGTGTCGTACGAAGGTACAGACGTGTGAATGAGCAGATTAGGGAGCCCCCGCATACGACTTGCGGGTGACCTGAGCGCGACAGGCGACGGTTTCTCGTAGTACTAGCGCGGGCGAGGGTTCTCATCAATCGACGGCTTGGACGGACCTGCATCCCCATCTGTTCGTTCGAAATATCTGACTGCGCTGCTCACGCCTTTCCACCACGCATGGGCAGCTGCGTTTCGCATGGGTGCTCGGGAGATCCCCCCTGTGCATATATAGGCGTGACGATGAGATAACACCGACGCGCGCTTGTCCTAGCAGTGCGTCGTTTTCTTTTTCTAGATACTCGAGACTCGGGGGAGATACATGCAGGCCAACGACGGATAGCCAAGCCTTCGCGGGGCCGCCGTCCGACAACCGTTCTTGGCACAGGGGAGCACGGAGGAGTGCGCATCTCCGAGCAAAAGCCAAGCGGCAGAGACCCTAAACCTGCCCGCCAGGCCCGGGATTCGCGACCGCGGCGTTCACGGCCGTCTCGATGGGCTTCATCGCGGGGAAGAGGAGCACCTCCTTGATGTCTGCAATGATCGAGGGCGCATCGGCGTGCGCGGTCAGCGGGGGGCGCTCTTGGTAGAATGGAGGAGAAAGCGGAGCGGGTACGCACTGGTGGAGTTGGTGAGGAACATGACCAGCCGGTCGATGCCGATGCCCCACCCGCCGGTGGGCGGGAGACCGTGCTCGAGGCTATTCAGGGGGTGTTCAGCAACACGCGCGCGTGACAAAGCAGGAAAGAAACACTCACGCGTCGACGAACGTCTCGTCGATGTCCTGAGCCTCGTCGTCGCCCAGGTTCTTCTGCCTCACCTATGGCAAATCAAAGTGAAATGAGATGGAGGAAGCGGGTGCCGAGAGGATGCTACACGAACCTGCTCCTCGAAGCGCGCGCGCTGCTCGAAGGGGTCGTTCAACTCGGTGTAGGCGTTGCAGAACTCCTTGCCGCACATGAAGCCCTCGAAACGCTCGCACAAGCCCGGCCGCGAGCGGTGCCACTTGGCGAGCGGAGACATCACTTGTGGATGGCCGACTGGCGCACCACCGACACATCCGGTAAGAGCGATGATAGAGACGACGAGCAGGGACACGGCGTACCGATGAAGGCGGGGGAAATGCAAAGCGGTTCGATGAACTCGCCGACGAGCTGGACGGCCATGTGAGTTGTGAAACTGTCGTCATGCAGAACGGATACAGACCTTGTCGAGCAGACGAGTGTTCGTTCGGGGCTCGCTGCAGTCAACGTTGTGCTGCGGAAAAAGGTGAGCGTCCCGTCAATACGCGCATACAGCGAGGCGGCACACCTTCTTGCACAGGTCCCGGAGGAAGACGTTAGTCTCGTCGGTGTGCAAGGTGTCGCCCGGGGGGAACTTGACGCCCAATTTCTCCTCCAGGGTCTCGATCATGTCGTACCTCTTCCACGGCCTCCGGAAATCGAGCGTGTATTCCTTCCCGTCCTTGCCTTCCGGCTGGTACTTGAGCGTCGTCTGCCCGGTCAGAGACTTGACCATGCCCTCAATCAGGGCCTCCGTGATGTCCATCACGTCGTACATGTCCGCGTACGCCATGTAGAACTCGCAGATCGTGAACTCGGGGTTGTGCGTGAGGTCGATGCCCTCGTTGCGGAACACGCGTCCGATCTCGTACACGCGGTCGAGCCCGCCGACGACGAGCTGCTTGAGGTAGAGCTCCGGCGCGATGCGGAGGTAGAGGTCGAGGTCGAGGTCGTTGTGGTGCGTGACGAAGGGCTTGGCGGTCGCGCCGCCGGCGATCATGCTCGTCATGGGCGTCTCGACCTCGAGGAACCCGAGCGTGTCCATGAAGCGGCGGATGTAGTTGATGATGCGGCTGCGCGTGACGAAAATGCGCCGGGTCTCGTCGGAGAGAATGAGGTCGAGGTAGCGCTTGCGGTAGCGGGTCTCTTGGTCCTTGAGGCCAAAGTGACCCGAGGGCAGTTGGTGGAGGTTGGGCGCGAGGAGGACCATCTTGAAGGGGGTGATGGAGAGCTCGCCCTTCTTGGTGCGGGAGGGAGTGCCGACGACACCGACGATGTCGCCGCGGTGGAAAATGTCGTGGGTGGTGATGAACGAATCAGGGTCGTCGTCGTCCCTGTATGCGGCGTCATGAACGTGAGTCGGGAGACTGCTGTCGTGAGCAACTCACTGCTGGGTGGCCATGATCTGCACCTTGTGCCCCTCGCCGTGCAGATCGTAGAAGCGCAGCTTCTGACCGGCGGCACGGATGTTGTGGACGCGGCCGGCGACCATCTCGACCTGGCCCTCGAGCTTGCTCCCGGGCTCGATCAAGCCCTCCTTGCCGTATTTTTTGATGTACGAGGCAATGGAGATGGATACGTCGAACTTGTGGGGGTAGGGGTTGGGGTTCTGTGTCTCGCGCAGCTTTTGAATTTGGCGGGAGCGTAGTTCAAAGTATTGCTGGAGGGGGGGAGACGATGAGCAGACGGGTCTCGGATTATTGGAACGCGGCGAGCGATGCGGCGTACGTTTGGGTTCAGGTCCTCGTCCTTGGGAGCCGCGGCCTTGGCAGCTGTAGGCGGTGCATTGGCGGCGGCAGCAGCCTTCTTCGCGTCTTTTTCGCGCTGCTTTTCGCGACGCTTGAGCTCGCTGCACGATCGCACCGAAGATGGGATCGATCGCGTGGGCGGTGAGCATAAAAAAACATATAGATTGAGTGTGTCGGACAGGGACGCACGTCTTGGAGATGAGCTCGCCGGTGAGGGGGTCCTTGTGGAGGTTGACTGGCTCGGAGGCCATGGCTGCGATGCGTCTGCGGGGTGCGCGGTGGGGGCGGTAGAGGAGGTGTGGAGGACGGAGGGAACGAGGCCAGAGTCGAGTCAATCTTAGCATACTGGAGCCTGGACGGATTAGGAAGGCGAGGAAGAGTCCGCGCGGAGTCTGAATGCGGGCGTGTCCACCTCCCCCGGCCGGCGCCGTCGTCGCGCTCCTCTCCTCGTCCATTGACCCCTCGCGTCTCCCTCGCCGCCCTCCTCCTCTCCCCCCCATCTCCACCGCAGCTCCAGCCTCCGCAGACACACAAGCCATGTCCGACTACGAGTTCTCAGACGACGACAACGAATACTACGACGAGGACGAAGAGATGATCGACCCAGAGGATGGTATGTCAGCCACTCTCCGCCTGTTATGTGCCCGGTGGGGACACCAGCCATCGCAGCTTAGGAATACACATACCTTGGCTGCCGCCGTGAGCGCCGCCCCAGCCATCGTTGTCCATCGATCCAGCTCGGATGACGCCCTCCAGAATGCACAACATATAACTGGTGTCCCCACTGCGCACGCATCCCACCCCTGAACCGCGTGCTGATAAGCAACCCCTCCGCCCACAGCGTCTGCATCGTCCGAAGACGACATGGACATGGACAACTTCCAGGACGACATCAAGATCATCGCTAACAAAGGCAAGAAGAAGTCCTACGAGGTCGACTATGACGATCTCACACAGGCCATGGTCGAGGACCTCATCAAGGCTGATGTCGACCACATCAGCTCCATCTTTGGTGTCGACGTACGTGCATCTGCTCCCTGGCGCCCGCACCGAGCTTCACTGCCCACCCCACAGAACGATGCCGCGGCGCTGCTTCTGCGCCACCTCGACTGGAACAAGGACAGGCTGATCGACAAATTTCTAGACAATTCATTGGCCATCTCCGTAGCGGCGGGCATCTCTCCAGCCCCTCCTCCATCTCCGCCGTCGACGCCCGCGCCAGTCTTCACTCGTCCCTTCACGCGCTCGTCCGCAGTGCGCGACCCCACCCCGCCTGTCGACCCGCGAATCTGCACCATCTGCTTCGACGACTCGCAGACCAAGACGCTCGCGCTCGTGTGCGGGCACACGTTCTGCACGGACTGCTGGTCCGCGTACGTCACGAGCAAGATTCGCGAGGAGGGCGAGTACCGCATCGTGTGCATGGCCGAGGACTGCGGGGTCGTCTGCACCGACACCTTCGTGCGCGCCGCGCTCGACGCCGACGTCGACACCATGGCGCGCTTCCACGAGCTCCTGGTGCGCGGCTACGTCGCCAGCAACCCGAACCTCAAGTTCTGTCCGTACCCCTCGTGCTCGCACACCGTGTCCTGCCCCTCTGCGGCCTCGCGCTCCTCGCTCGCCGCGATCGTGCCCACGGTCGTGTGCGGCGCCGACTCGAAGCACCTGTTCTGCTTCGGCTGCGCGGTCGAGGGCGACCACAGGCCGGTCCTGTGCTCGGTAGCCAAGATGTGGCTGCAGAAGTGCCACGACGACAGCGAGACGGCCAACTGGATCAAGAGCAACACGAAGGAGTGCAGCAAATGCCAGAGCACGATCGAGAAGAACGGCGGGTGCAAGTAAGTGGGGGTTTCTCGTGCACGCGCTCGCGAGAGAAAGGCTGATGTCGTCGGATCGCAGTCACATGACGTGCAAGAAGTGCAAGTACGAGTTCTGCTGGGTGTGCATGGGTGAGGCGGACCGCGTCGGCGTCGGCTGCGGGCGATCGGTGCTAACCGTGCTTGCGTTCCAGGTCCGTGGGTCGACCACGGCACGGCGTGGTACTCTTGCAACCGATACGACGAGAAGGCGGGCGTCGAAGCCCGCGACGCGCAATCGCGCAGCCGGGCCTCCCTCGAGCGCTACCTGCACGTGAGTTTTTGTTTTCTTTTTTCGCGCGCGCACGACGGACGCCAGGGGCCTGACGCCGGTTCGTGCAGTACTACAACCGCTGGGCGAACCACGAGCAGTCCGCGAAGCTGTCGGTCGAGCTGTACGTGAAGACGGAGAAGAAGATGGAGGAGATGCAGGTGACGACGGACCTGACGTGGATCGAGGTGCAGTTTATGAAGAAGGCCGTCGACGAGGTGGAAAAGTGCCGCACGACGCTCAAGTGGACGTACGCGATGGCGTACTACCTCGACAAGGGCAACCACAAGGAGCTCTTCGAGGACAACCAGAGGTGAGCTTTCGCTCGACACGTGCGTGCGCGCGGCGGATCGACTGACGAGCGCTGACCGTCGGACAGGGACCTGGAACGGGCGGTGGAGGACCTGTCGGAGCTGCTCGAGTCGCCGATCGAGGCGGAGACGATCCCGACGCTGCGGCAGAAGGTGACGGACAAGACGGTGTACGTGCAGAAGCGGAACGAGATCGTGCTCGAGGACACGGCGGCTGGGTACCAGGAGGGGCGCTGGGCCTGGAACGTCGAAGTAGAGGGCTTCGAGTGAGCGCACGCGCGGGCGGTCATTGCTAGATATCTGCCTCTGCCATCCGAGCCACGAACGCTGCTCTCGCAGGCCACGACACCACGACGCATCCATCTCCTCGCATCCACAGGCGGTCTCACGGGGCGGTCTCGCCTCACTCGATTTGTGCACTAGCTTTTTTACATTTTCTGGTTTTTTCTTTCTCTTTCCCACTACCCGTGTGCTGTCTGCTGCTGTCTCGTCCGTGTAGTCACGAATTGTGCATCGTTGTGTTTATAGTCTGTCCCACCGTACACTGATACAGAATGGAATGTTGGAGCACGTAAGGTGTGGATCACGGGCGAGCACGGTGCCGTAAGTGCACGGCCGGCGTGTGTTGGGAGAGCAGGAGACCGGGCGCAAATATAGCACAGGGACGGATGTGCCGTATGAGGGCTGTTGTGCGGTGCTGCTGTGCCGGATGGGGGACAGGGCGGACGAGCAGGAGGGAGCTGCACGTCGAGGGGTGCTACCTACTGCGCCAGAACAGAAGGATCGGGTGGGTGGAAATAGACTGGAGACAGGGAGGGACGGCTTGGCGGGGGCTTGGCCGCAGGAATGGACAGCGACGGAGATTGAAAGTCCGCCGGGTGGAGCGTCTGTAGTCAGCCCGACCGTCCCCTCAGCCTTCTGCCCGCCGTCGCCCGGTCTCCTTCGCCATCGTCGCACCCCCGCTCTTTATCTTCTCCCTCTCTGCTGCCCGCCCATCACGCGCACACACGCACCCCCAGCGCAGCCGCGGCTCGCCTGAGTCCCCCCGATGTTGTATCTCACAAAAGACCAGTTTCCAATATGTGAGCACGTCCTCCCCGCCCACGCACACGTCCACCGCACTCACCTCCTCGTCCCTGACCAGTCGTCCCTTTTGGCGTCATCGGGTGAGTCTCTGCGATCGCTGCATCGATCACCCCGCCGCCGCCGCCGCCGCCGCCTACCGTCGTCCCTGACGCTTACCCTCGCCTTTCTTCCCCTTCCAGCTTCTACCGCTACCTCTGGTACAGCATACGTATCCTCGCCTCCTTCATCTACAAGCCCGTGCCCCTCCCAGAAAACCCCACCTACATCGCCTCGGACGATGTCACCATCATCGTCCCCACCATCGACGCCGGTGAGGAGTTCAAGGAGGCCGCCCACTCCTGGCTCGTCGGAAAGCCAAAGGAGATCATCATCATCACAGAGGAGAAGATGCGCGGCCCCCTCCAGGACCTCGCAAACGCCGTCGACCCAGAGCGCATCCGCGTCCTCACCGTCCCCTTCGCAAACAAGCGCCTTCAGATGTCCCACGGCATCAAGAACACCACCACCGACATCATCTTCTTCGCGGACGACGACGCAATCTGGCCCCCCACCCTCCTTCCCTCCGTCCTCGCCTGCTTCGAGGACCAGAAGGTCGGCGGCGTCGGCACCTCCCAGCGCGTACAGCCCGTCGGCGCCCGCATGACCGTCTGGGAGGTCCTCGCCGCCTTCCGCCTCACCATCCGCAACATCGAGATCGCCTCCTCCACCCACATCGACGGCGGCCTCCCCTGCCTCTCCGGCCGCACCGCCGCCTACCGCACCGTCATCCTCAAGGACCCCGAGTTTCTCCACGGCTTCACACACGACTACTGGCTCGGCAAGTACCACCTCAACTCGGGCGACGACAAGTTCCTCACCCGCTGGATGGTCACCCACGGCTGGAGCACCTACGTCCAGTGCTGCAAGGAGGCAGAGCTCCTCAGCACCATGAAGCCAAACTGGCGCTTCCTCAAGCAAGTCCTCCGCTGGACACGCAACACGTGGCGCTCCGACCTCCGCTCGCTCTTCATGGAGAGGCAGATCTGGACCTCGCATCCCTACGTCGCGTATACCATGGCACGCGTTTTCTCTCCCCCCCCCCTACCTCTTGCTCGCGTTGGTTTGCTCACCCCACGCGCGTTTCCACAGGTTGACAAGCTCTTCAACCCCTTTACCCTTCTCGCGGGCCCGGGCCTGGTCGCCTACGTCGTCTACAAGAGCACGATACCCACAGACCAAGGCGGCTTCCACCTGCCGTGGTGGTGCGTCTCCGCTCGCGCCCCCTCCGAACGCGCCCCGATCTCACAAAAACATGTATTGTGCTTACCATCGCAGGAACGTCGTCATCTGTTACGTCGTGTGGCTCACCGCAACGCGCACCTTGAAGCTCCTCCCGCACCTGTGGAACCGCCCACAGGACGTGATCTACGTCCCCGCGTTCATCCTGTTCGGGTACTACTTCGCGATCATGAAGATCTACGCCCTGTTCACCCTCCACGAGGTACGGCGCTTCCGTTCTCTCGTCTTTGCGCGCCCGCGCCCTCGCTCGGACTGACTGACTGACCGACGCGTTTGGCGTTGCCGATAGACCGGCTGGGGCACCCGCGCGGGCATCGGCGATCCGTCGACCGCTATGGCTGCGGCGGACGACAAGGACAAGCCGTCCGAGACGATGCACGACCTCAAGGGCCCGTCGTCGTCGCCTCCGCCGCAGCGCTACCACGACATGCCGGCGCCGGCGCCGCAGTACGCGCAGCAGATGGAGATGCAGACCGGGTTCGCGCGGTGAGGCCAGAGGACAGAGCCCGAGAGAGAGAGAGGAAGACACGGCGCGCGAAGGACGATAGGACGATGCCAGCTGGGTTTCGTCCGTTTGTGTTTGTGTTTTTTTTTTCTCGTAGAGTGCCCGAGGAGGGAGGGAGAGATGTTTACGATACGCCACATACCACCATCATTATACCGTACCCCGCCGAGCACGTCCGAGCACTTGTTTGTGATTGCATGGCCGCGCGCCGTCGCCCCTGGGCGGTGCGCCCCCGTCGGGTCCGTGCCTGCCGCCGCATCACGCATTCAGTATATACATACCATCCATCCATCCATCCATCCCTTTTATGCCCATCCATCTCCATCTCCATCTCCATCCTCATCTCCATCTCCATCCTTGCACATCTCCACCGTCGCATCATAAAAGGCCGTGCCGGTACCTCTCTCTACTAGCACGAGCGGGACTTTCGATAGCCACAGATTTAATGCGTGGGCGGCGGGGTTGGGGCGGGGACGGGGGCGGGGTGGGGTGGGGTGGGGCCGTTGGGCTCGAACGCATGCGGGACTTTTTCATGTTCGTTTTGTTTCGGTTTTCCTTTTGTTCTCTCTCTCCTCCGAGTCCTCTGCGTAATTTTTTTTTTCTGTCTTTTGCTTAGTTGCGCGTGAGCTTATTTCGGCTCGGGGGACACAGGGGGACACCTGCGAGACGGGCAGGCGCTCTGGCGCTTCGATGTGCGCGCGTGCGTTGGTTGGTTGTTCTTTTCGATCGATCGATTCGTGCTACTTGCGGACTCACTGAGGACTCTTCGTGTTCCGCGCGACGATGCCTCGAGATACCTACAGTACCTACTATACCTCGCTGCCTTGCCCTATCAATCACCGTGCGAGCTCGATCAATTAGAGGCGCTGGTGCACGCCGTGCTGTCAGGTGTGCGAACGAGAACGTGGACCGGCGACACGCACTGTCATGGAAGCGCTGCGCGCGCCGACAGCGGACGTGCGCCGATAAGTGTCGGCAAAGGGAGACATGTATATGATAGACGTCAGGCAGCGGGTACGTACAACATCGAACGGGAAGAACGGGCGGGCAAGAAGAGGCGCTCTGTATTCTGGTTTGTTTATCTTATCTTTATCATTATCTTATGTGGGGATGCGATGCGCGGAGAGTCCATCTGGCGCGGAGTCGCCAGACGCGGGAATATCAAGCTGGATACAACGAAGAGGGGGGAACGGGGGATGCCGGAGCGGATGCTTGGATGGTGGAGGAAGGGCGCCTTGAGAGCGTGCCGGGTAGCAGCTCACAGGAGCGGAGCGAGAGCGGGCGCGCGCGTGCGGGGGCAATCAGGCGCGGGCGTGCTCTTCCGCGGCGGGGACCTCGGCGGCGGCGGCAAGGGCGACCTTCTCGTCGGTGTACTGGGGAGGGGGCACGATGATCGCCTCGGCGTCCTCGAACATGACCTCGCGGTAGGTGCCCTCGGGGAGCTCGACGGAGCTGGACGAGCTGCCGCGGACGGCGCGGAAGACTACGACGGTGAGGACGTAGAACATGCGCAGGAGGACGCCGATTCCGCAGCCTGCGGTGATCGTCACGAGGAGGGTATTTTTAGACGGCGAGGGGTTCGTGGAGTGACGACGTGTTGTTGAGACGGGAAGGGCGCGAAGAGCGGAAGGGAGGGAATCAGAGAGGGGGGAAAGCGAGAGGCGGGAGACAGGGGCGCACCGAGAACAAAGGCGACGGCGCGGCCTTCCCATGCGCCCAGGGACATGAGCGCGCGGTGGACGCGCTGTAGGAACGAGCCGCTGTGATTGAGCGGGTAGTGCATGACGAACATCGGGCGGTCCGGGAGGCCGCTCTCGGTGAGCATCTGCTCGGCCTTCATCTTCACAACGACGCCACCCCTGTCGTCGTCGACGATCTGCAGGCCGTGCGGCCTGAACACGGGCTCGCCGGGCCGGAGGCCGTAGGGCGCGGGGGGAGGCAGGCGGAGGTTGGGGCGGGTGAGCGCGATGGTGTCGTGGGCGGGGACGGGGGTGACGACTTTGGTCGTGGATCCGAAGCTGAAGACACCGAAGAAGCGGGTGACGCCGTCCTGCATGCCTTTGCAGAGGTGGCGCATGTGTCTGCCAGACGTGGGCTGCGCTGCAGCCGCGTTCATCATCTGGGCGTGGGCGGCACCGGCTGTGAGGTGGCCCAGACGCATCGCAGAGAGGTCTGTGGATGCTATCATCACGCTCAAAGGACTAGCGCTGACTACAGGCGGGTGAGCAGGTGCAAGTTCGACATTGGCCAGGCGATATGAGCGCTCACCGAGGCCAGCGCCCGCAATCAAGAGAGGCAGAACAGACAATCGCATTGGATGATGAGAGATAGAAAGAGCTGTAGGGTGTTGTGGAGGGAGGAGAGAGATGGAGAGAGGAGTGATGTGAATGAAGCGCTGCGGTGCGGGTGTTTTGTACTCCGCCCAGCCACCGGCGCTCCAGAGTCATCTCCACCATTCCCTGGCATTGCAGCGGCGACGGATAGTGAGTCGACGGAGCACAGCCGCTCGGTTGTCCGTCATCATCACCAGGCTCGCCAATTCAAAGATTGTTCTTGCCATCCCTGCTGATCACCCGCATGAAGCGCGTCTGGACCGCGCAGACGATAAATGACTGGGTCGCGCGAAGAGATGCGTACCGCGAGCAGCGCAAAAAGCCGTCCATGGCGGCGCTGCGCGAGTCCGCAGACGTGAAGGACCGGCAAGCTTACGAACGAGAACTCGCCATAGAGAGGAAAGTGCTGAAAGAAAGGCTCGACGAGTTGTCTACGGCGTTCGCATGGGTGGTGCGTCGCCATGGTCGCCCGCCTCGACGCGAGTCCACTGACCCTTCGCTCACAGATTGACAAGCCTCCGCTCGAGCGGTACCCTGCCCCGTTCTCGGGGACTCTTCATTTGCCCACGAATCTCCACCAGAGCACCGGTCACGCCACCAAGCTGAAGTTCAGTCTGGGGGACGACCTCAACATGCTAATTTTTGAGTTTTATGACGCAAAGGTGCCCTCCGACTACAAGGGGACCAATTTCGTCTCGGTAGAAGCGCTGAGCCCTCGCCGGTAAGCTGTCTCTCAACCCCCCCGGCCGCGAGCTACCGCAGACGCATCTTTATTCACCAGCCACGAGTACCTCGGGCCCGCGCCCAAGGTCGTCGGTTTCCAATTCTTCGAAGCCACCGGTGAAGCTCACATAGAATGGTGGGACGCCTATCTGAAGGAGAAGTGGGTGGACGCGGGTTTCTGGAGAAACGAGGTCTATTTCGACGAGGACGTGCACGGCTGGGTCTCGAAGCCGCGCGGAGACTACAGCCGCTATCCTGATCTCGATGAGTATCTCGTCCGCGATTGACATGCTTTCATACTCCCTCTTATTGTACATCAGTGTTATATAGGTCATGAATATATGGACTTGGTTCCGGGTTGACGGGGCGACGGAGTACAACGGCCACTTAGTTTTGTCTAGGTAAGGGTGAGTATTAGACTGGTTGGCTTCATAGGTCCCTGGCATTCTTGGCGAGTCATGATCTCGAGTCGTGAGTATCAGCCTCATGCGGTCGTCAGAATCCTCGGCGTGATCGATGGGCGCCTTTCTGAGGTATTGAATGAAGCCATCGCGTCCAGCTCTTCGTTTTCTGTCTAGATAATCTGAAGAGCGCAATCGTCGAGAAGGTATCAGCAGTAAAGCTCTCTTTAGCTCATCAAGATGGTATGTTTGTTTTCTTGTCCCAAGAGAGCGGTCAATTCCCACAAAAATTCACCTTCTGTCAGATTTGTGTCGGGAGCGGGGACTGCTGTTGGCTGTGTAGAGAGTTTTCGACAAATTGTTCGACTCGAACAAAAATTAGACTTACAGTACAGCCGCCACGCTGTCGTGGACAGTCACACTATTTGGTTCAGCCGCACAGCGCAGAGGCTGCGACCCGCTGCGACTGGCTGCGATCCATGACCGACGACATACTGCATGTATGATTCTCACGAATAAGTACACATTGTTGTATTGTAAACACCGTGCTTTACGAGGATGCACGACTCGGGGCATGCTCGGCATCGTACACGCCGATTCAACATGGTGTCCTCGCAGGAACGCCGTAGAAAGTTGAGGTCAGGAGGAATGATGGAGGGAGAGAAAGAGGTGGAAGGCTCGAGAAGGTGTCCGAAAAAGGAGATGATCGATTCAGCCACAGCAGAAAATATATCTACGCGCCGTCATTTTCGCCATCTCAAGTTCCCCTCATCTCCCCCGCCCTCCAACCCTTCCTTCAATCATGGCCGTCGTCGGAATCGATTTTGGTTCTCTTCACAGCAAGGCAAGTTGTTTCCCCTCGCCGTTAGTGCTTCACTAATCCGACTGTCTTTAGATTGGAGTTGCCAGACATCGTGGTATCGATATTATCACCAACGAGGTCTCGAATCGTGCGACACCGTAAGATATCCTCATCTGAGGCAGTATGTCAGGTCCTGATGTTTTGGGTGCAGATCCCTCGTCGCCTTTGGCCCAAAACAGCGTTCTCTTGGTGAATCGGCCAAGACGCAAGAAATCTCTAATTTCAAGAACACCGTCGGCTCCCTGAAGCGTCTCATTGGGCGGACTCTCCATGATGTCGAGATTCAGGAAGTCGAGAAGAAGTTCACGTATGCTACACTCGTGGATGTAGATGGAACTGTTGGAGCCCAGGTGAGTTTTTCGTCTCGTCTCAGCTGGTGCTGCGCTCACGGGTTTTCCTTGGCAGGTCAACTACATCGGCGAAAAACATACTTTCTCGGCCACACAGTTGGTAGGCATGTACTTGGGCAAGCTTCGCGAAATCGCCGCGAACGAGCTCAAGAACAATGTTTCCGATGTCGTCATCGCTGTTCCTGGATGGTACACTGATATCCAACGAAGGGCTGTCCTTGACGCTGCTACCATTGCCGGTCTCAACCCCCTTCGTCTGATCAACGATACCACTGCCGTCGCCTTTGGCTACGGTATCACCAAGGCTGATCTTCCTGAACCCGAGAATCCTCGCCATGTTGTCTTCGTCGACGTCGGACACTCTAGCTTGTCGGCCTCCGTGGTCGCCTTTTCCAAAGGCCAGCTCACTGTCAAGAGCACCGCGTATGAGCCTAATTTCGGAGGCCGTGATATCGACTACGCACTTGTGCAGCACTTCGCCAAAGAATTTGAGACAAAGTACAAGATCGATGTGCTCTCGAACCCCAAGGCGACGTTCCGCCTTTCTGCCTCGGCTGAGAAGCTCAAAAAGGTCCTGTCCGCCAATGCCGAAGCTCCCCTCTCCGTGGAGTCCATTATGACCGATATCGACGCCGCCTCCAAGCTCTCTCGGGAGGAGTACGAGCAGCTCATCGATAAATCTCTGAACCGCATCCCCGGACCCCTCCAGAGGGCCCTCGAGGATTCTGGCTTGTCGCTCGACCAGATCGACGCGATCGAGCTTGTCGGGGGATCGACTCGTATTCCAGCTGTCCGCGCTCGCATCCAATCCGTCTTCCCTGGAAAGGTTCTCTCCACGACTCTTAATCAGGATGAGGCCTGTGCTCGCGGTGCCACATTTGCGTGCGCTACTCTGTCCCCCGTGTTCCGTGTGCGCGATTTCGCGCTGCACGATATCGCTCCCTACCCCATCAAGATTCGCTGGGAGAAGTCTCCTGAAGATCCCGATGACGATACGGAGCTGACCGTGTTCCCTCGCGGTAACAGCCTTCCCTCGACCAAGGTCCTCACCTTCTACCGCAAGGGTACCTTTGATCTAGAGGCGGTATACGGCGAGCCAGAGAAGCTTCCTGGCTCGATCAACCCATGGCTCGCGAAGCTGACGGCCAAGAACATCCCTTCTCCCTCTTCGGGCGACCTCGCGGTTGTGAAGGTGAAGACGCGCTTGAACCTGCACGGCGTGATCTCGTTTGAGCAGGTCTACACGGAGGAGATTGAGGAGAAGGAAGAACCGATGGCAGTCGATGGGGAGCCGAGCACTGAGCCTCCGAAGAAGAGAAAAGTCAAGAAGGATGTCGCTTTCGTCGCCACATATGGAAAATTGGACTCCTCGGTCGTGGAGAAGTTCAAGGAGCGGGAAGCGCAAATGCAGGTTGCCGACAAGCTCGTGCAAGATACCGAAGTGAGTACATGCTGGTCGAACTTGAGCGTGGACGATCTCAGACTGACCGCCGAATTTAGGACCGCAAAAACGCTCTCGAGGAGTACATCTACGATATGCGTGCCAAGCTCGACGAACGTTACGTCGCTTTCGTCCAGCCTCAGGAGAAGGAGAAGCTCCTTGCCGAACTCCAGAAGGACGAAGACTGGCTTTACACCGAGGAGGGCGAAGAGGCTACCAAATCCGCATACGTTGACCGCATTGCCTCCCTTCACGCCCTCGGCGACCCGATCACCACGCGCTGGAGGGAGGCCGAGGAGAGGCCACGCTCGATGGCTGAGCTCCGGGAAACCATCAACAACTACATGTCGCAGGCGACCTCCGGCGAGGAGCGGTACTCGCACATCGATGAGAAGGACAAACAGTTGATCGTGGAGAAGTGCGCGACGGTGCAGAAGTGGCTCGAGGACCAGAACGTGCGACAGGCGGAGCGGGCGAAGAACACAGACCCCATCTTGACGGTCGCAGAGATCCAGAAGAAACGCGAGGAGGTCATCTTCTTTGCTACCCCCATCCTCACCCGCCCCAAGCCCAGGCCCCCGAAGGTCGAGGGCGTGGAGACGCCCAAGAGCGGCACGGAGACGCCTAATCCGCCTCCGAAGTCAGAGATTCCCCAGCCGGAGCAGGGGCCGAGCGAGATGGATATAGATTAGAGGAGTGATGTGGATTCGAACGTTTTTTGTTGCTTTGTTCCATTAATGCGAGCCATGTAGTGATACAGTTTACAAGCAGTCAATCGTCGTCCAATGTGCTAGAATAGATTCTAGAGCGTTGTTTGGACTCTATGATGCAAAAAAAGCGAACATTGTAGGTTGACGTTGCATGTCGCCGTACGTGTCAGGGACGTGCTCTGTTTTTTCCTTCCTCCATCTCGATTTTCCCAGGCTTGCTGTGGGTCGTGATATCTTTTGTCGGAGACTGTGATTGATCAAAGACAGTGTTGATCCAACTTACCGCTTCACGACGCTGTTACAAATGGCGTTGACGTAGACGCCTATCGCCCGAACATGCTTGATGACGGGCAAACCAAGGAGAACGCTGAATGATCTTAATCCTCATTCATGCTGACTTCACTTCCTGGTACGCAATGGCTAACGCAGACATGGAATAAGGTGAACAGGCTGTTCCCAGCGCCAGCTCGCCAATTCTAACCTCGTAACAGGGTCATTTACTTTCCATCAGGAGACAGACGCCGTCGTCGCCATTAACCTCGCCAATCTCCATCCTGTTCCCCGAACTCCTCCTCTCCATTTTCGAGCTCATTCCTTTCCTTTGGCAACCCGACGAGCCCTCCAGATTCTATGATATCAATTGGATAGCGATCACCCATGTATGCCGCCGCTGGCGGATCATTGCACTCAATGCGCCCTTTCTCTGGAGGGATATAGAGTTTTCTACGCCACGATGGACGCAAGAGATGCTCTTGCGCTCACAATCCATCCCGATCAACATACGTTTCCACCTCGATTTTCTTAAGTACCCCCCTACGATGCAAAAAGTCATTGCGCTTGCAATGGGCAACATCCAGCGCGTGCGAAGTCTGCGCTTGACGGGCCAGGTGGTGGAAACATTGATCCAATGCACGACGCCTGCCCTGCTTTTGGAGGAATTACATCTTGAATACGCCGCCATGCCTCCCCCGGCTAATCTGTTCATTCCTGACTCTCTTTTTGACGGCAGCGCCCACAAACTCCGCTCGCTCTTCCTGAAGGGCCTGAGTATCCACCTCACCTCACCACTCCTGCCTGGGCTATCCTCTCTGACAGTCCAGGGGGACTCGCGCTCCCCACGCCATAGTCTGGCTCGATGGCTCGACGCCCTCACGCGTATGCCTAAGCTGGAGACACTTTGCCTCATTCAAGCTCTGTCTCGGACCTCTCACGCTCAGACTCAAGGGACCGACACTCCTTTACCGCCTACGGTCCTCCTCCCGCATCTCCGTACCCTCGCCTTCACCTCAAACTCACTCACCGACTGTGTCGAGTTTACTCGTCGGCTCGCTATTCCATCCTCTACATCCATCGAACTCCGTACTTATGTCGCTTCCATCGACGAGCTGACGCCGCACGCCATCGTTCCATCTTATGCGCATACGCCGGTTACGGCATTCCGAATAACACACACCGCGATCGGGTTCTCGATCGCTGGGTCGTTGGGCGATCCGGACATCCCTGCCTTCAGTCTTTCCATCGTCATCTACGAAGAGCGGTCCCTCATCGCGCAAGGCATCCTGCACACTCTAGCTCACTTCAACGTCAAATCTGTCCGCAGCCTACTAATCGACTTGGGTGGGATGACCCTCGATTGGGCGCCTGTGCTTTCTTGTTTCCCGTTAGTGAATACCATCCACGTCCGCGGGTCGACTCTACATACCTTCCCCAAGGCACTGGCGCACTCCGATGCTCTGATATGCCCCCATCTAAGGCGCCTCGAGTTTGAGCATCGTACACCTACGTATGGCAAGCGGATCGACGAGACGTTTTTCCGAATTCTGAGAGACGCAGTGGACGCGAGGTGGGCAAACGGGATGAGCCTCGAGGAACTTATAGTTTTTGGAGAGACACTTTCACACTCGGGATCTGTAGACACTGCTGCTATCGGTTCGCGAAAGATCCCAAAGAAATACTTATGAATTGGCACCATACACCAGATCGTGAGACACTAACTAATTTCCCGCTCTCTTGTACCACTCAGCCTAGCGTGTAGCGTGAAGGTGCGATGTATCCCGTATTTTTATGACGTCCACTTACCCTAGCCAATGGACGATGAAACGTTCGATCTTGAGACTCTGTAATTGCGCTTTACTTTGCTTTATACACATGAATTCTATGTGGTACAAACCCAGGAGAATTCTGCATGTCCGAGCCGCACGATAATCGGGCACCGCGTCGGATGGAACGAGGCCAATGATGCTCATCGTCCAGACTGATCACTCTGTGACTCTCAACTGGCGTGAGTATATAGATACAGCTTTGATAGGAATCTCGCGACGATGAATGGAATGTAACTTGTCGGAATTGATAGATCGAGGGATGTGGGCATATCACCCACTTTCCAATGCTCTGTTCACGTATGAACGGATGGTATACGCACGGACGTTTACCGATCTGCCCAAGGCGAGGCCAACTCGTCGGGGGTCGGGTGGGTGTAAACACGCGGACTATCTCCAGACTCCTCCTCTTCTGCCTCGTGCGCCCAAGGCGAATCAGAAAACATATCTGCTGCCGAAGGCGGTGGAGCCTCTGGTGGGTGATTCCGTGATCCGCTCCGTTCCTTCGAGGTCACGACGTCAGTATGAAGCAAGGCTGGCGCAAGCGGCAACTCGAGATCAGACTCGGACAATTCTTTGGAGAAGCGTAAGTGCGATGGGCGATGAGGATGCGGTAGGGGAGTAGGTGAGTTCGCGCGCATTTCTGGAGAATGGGTGATATCGGGTGGGGGTACGTAGAGAGGCTCAGGAGAGCCGGGCATTGAAGATGATGGCACGCCTTCGCCATTAGAGTCATCCAACGCGGGATGACCTCCCATGGCAGACAGCGTATGAGGTGTTATCGGAGACAGTGGATCGCCGTCCGCTGGATAGGACGATGGGGACTTCATCGCGATTTGTGATGATGACCTTGAGTGAGAGAACCGTCCCGAATAATGTTCCATCACCAATGCACTAGGACCGTTCCGCCCATCGTGATCTACGACAGACCCCGCCCGCAAGCGACCGTTTTCGCCCTCAACTATCTTCAGGGCTGAGCGGAGGGCTTCTCGCTCCAAGCGAACTTCCCTGGCTTCCTCTTCAGCTTCCGCCCGTTTGATACGTTCAGAAGCGACCATCTTGTTTGCCTTTTCGTCAAAATCATAGGGGGATATCCCAGATTGACAGGGTTTCATCGCAAGACAGAGTGAGGTATAGCTCGACTGAAGTCGACTCAGGACTCACCTCTTCAAATAATGCCTGGCTCAGGCTCTCTAGCTCGCTTTCGAGATTTTTCTTGTCCGCAGCTATCTTCTCGAACTTGAGCTTCTCGTCCTCTAGCTTAGCCCGAAGCTGTTCGAGTTCCTTTTCGTGCGACTGTGGAGGGAGCAAGGATGGTAGCGAGGCGGATGTCAAGTGTCCCACAAGGGCCGAGTTCGGCGACCGTAAACCATTAGGCAGAGGTTGATTACCTAGATCAGGAGAGTTGGATTGCGTTGGGGTTGTGCGCCCGCTCGTAAAGCGGAACCGAAAAAATCGAGAGTCCTGTGAAGGAGATGTAGTAGGAGGTGTCATAGCGCTCAAAGACGGGCTCTCGAGCTCGGGCGCGTTCGAACCCTTCCTATACTCATGTCCTTCCTCGAGGCTGGCCCTTTGTGATTGAGGATGCACTTCCTGCACTGGTTGGGACGTAGTATCACGGGATGATCTGCGCCACCCTACGTCTTTCGACGAAGAGTTTCTCCTGAGCGCATCCTCAAGCATCTCGTTGTTTGCGAGCGAAAGTTTGAGATTCGATTGGCACAAGGTCAGGCTTGTCTCGACATCGGAAGCCGTCTGATATGATGATTTCAAGAGTGCGCACTAGCAAGCAGACAGTGATTGAGTTATTGTACTCAGAACTGGATCTGTCAGACTATGAGCGGGGAATTGGGGATCCTTACCAACTCCTCGACCCTTGACATCATGCGGCTCAACGCTTCCTTGAGATCCTCCTCTTGTCCATGGGTTTGCACGCGTTTGCAATCGCGTACTTCATCCTCGATGGCAATGAACAGCTGTGGGTTTTTTATGGCTTGTAGACTGTCTGTGCGCTTCGGGAGGGCTCGAGATGAAGCTGCGGGAGGCATGAATGCGTAGCGTAGAGGTCGAGTACAACATGAGGCCAGGATCAGCTTGGACGTGGAGTGTCACGTGAACGGGGTCAGGGAGAATCGCATGAAAGCCTTGGGGTTGCATCAGGGCATGGACGATCCAATATTAAACCATACAGCCGATACAGCATATGTACTTTGTCGCTGGAGCCTTTGAATTAGAAGTACGGCGAACACGCACGGCGGCATGTACACTGAAACGGAAGAAGGTATCATATGTGTGTGATAGAATCCGTTCATCATAGCTAAGCAGGAAGGAGAAAGGTGGTAAGACAAGATGCAAAGAAGAAACAAAGATGTCGAGGAAGAGAAGAAGTGAGAAGGCCAGTCATAATGAAAAGGGTAAATAGACCACCAGTGTGAAGACGCTGAAGTTGGTGGTATGGCCCGTGTCAAGCGGGACCGATTGGACGGGAGAGATGAACGACAGTGCGATGGTGGAGAGCGCAAGGTATGTATGGACACGAACGGTGCACGATGATGACGGCGCGAAAATGTAGATAGTTGCATACATGAAAACCCACTGGATACCCTCGGCTTCAAATCCATCTGCACGAAGCCAGATCTATGCGATATGCCTATCAGACGATAGATCGGACTTGTGTGCGGACTACAGGAGACCACACTCGCGCAAATGGATTTGGAGGAGAATATCTTGGATCGCGCTCAAAACGACTGTGAACAGACAAGGATGGTGCCATGAGTTAGGGAATATGATTACAATGAGGACTTACACTTGATCTGCTGCGTATCCGTCGCACACGTATAGTGCGCATAGATTTGCTTCGTGGCCGCACTTTGATTGAGGCTGACGAACCGATGCAGCAGATAGTCGCAGGCAGCGTCGTAGTTATCTCCGCCAGCATAATCAGGGAAATAGTCTCCCAATGGTGACCGCGGCAGTTTCTCCGCGAAAAGATCAATCTTATTGAGGAACAGGATCTGACAGGAAACCATGTTCAGTACCGAAAGACTTGCGGAGTCGGGAGCACTTACGATGGAGGTCTTGACGAACCACCGCGAGTTGCATATTGAGTCGAAGAGGGTCAAGGCCTCTTGCATTCGATTCTAGACCTGTACTTCAGGGATGTTGCACTTACTTAAAGATAGAGATCGACATACCACACTCTCATCTTCGTACAGCATCTGGTCGTATTCACTAAGACTGACCAAGAACACAAGCGCAGTGACATTCTCGAAGCAGTGAATCCATTTCTTGCGCTCTGACCGCTGACCACCAACATCGAAGAGCTTATAGGTCAGCTCGCCAACTTTGAACGTGGTCTCCGTTATACCGGTCGTCTTGACTCGACTTCTAAGGATATCCTGATCGGTTGGCATGTAACCTGGTCCAGACATACGGTCAATGGAGTTGAAGTAGTATACTGCCGAGTCGTTCAATTGGAATTCGCGAGAGCGGCGGACGGCTTCTTTGACGCCGGCGTCCCGCCAAAGCCCCCGGACAGCGTCTCCAACATCGTTAGGAAGAACATCGCCTTCGATCTGCGCGGGCAATGACAGTATCACGGCACGGCGAGCGTCATTCTGAGGAGAGAGAGAGATGTCAAGCGTGGGCATGGCCTCGAGGATGGCACGCATAGACTGGATGGTGTTCGAGAAAATGATTTCTTTGTAGGAATCCCTCTCCTGCTCGTTGTATCCACCGTGGTGAATGAGCTTCATCTGCTTGAGGACGGTTGACTAGGAGAGAACGATGAGCGACAGGGGCGAGCGAGAGTTAGAGGAGAATACCTTTCCAGATTCACCCGCCCCCAGCAGCAACATCTTGATTTCGTTCTTCGCCATCATGCGGTCCCGCTTCAGCTGGTTTTCGATCTCATCGTTGCCTAGTCGCTGAGGTCAGACACAAGCAGGGAGGTGGTGGTGGTACAAGGGGTGGCTACTTACGAGCCTTTGCCTCATCATCGATACCGGTGGATTGAACGCAACCCATTTTTGAACACTGGCGGGGTCAAGAAGCAGGTATGGTCTTGGTATAATTATAAGTAAAAGAGCGGGAGATTGGGAGGGGAGAAACAGACAGAAGAAGAGGGGTGAACGCGCGGCGTCGGAGAGGGCGGCGACGAGGGAGGATGTAGTCAAGGATCCGGTCCAAACAATTCGTTCGGGCTCAAATCCAAACACCGACAAACACCGCCACTCACTCAGCTGCTTCCACTCAGCCAAATCCGTCCACTTCCTTGCGCCCTCTGCTCCCGCCTCTCTACCTATCTCCCATTTATCCCCCGTACATCTCCATTTTCTCTGCAAATGTCCCACCCGTGGATCTCTGCCCAACCCACACAAACTGCGAGGGATTTTCTCGAAAAATTTCCGCCATGCTCGGTGGCCAGCGTCACTCAGACGGTCACGACGACCCTGTCTGTAGCTACATGTTCCCCAGTCGCCACTGTTGGTACTATGAAACCAATGTCATGACAAATGATGTCGATGAGCGCCAGACACACATGATACGTCTCCAACGTTCAACCTTGTTCCTCCGTCATAGATCAGCAGCAATATGTTCGATGTTCGACGCCAGCATAGGTGAGTCTTCTTCCCAATCGCACTTCGCTTCAGTATTTTGATGCAAAATTTGATGGCAGGGCTGAAGCTGAAGCGCTGATGCATCTTCGCTCTTGACGTATCAGTAAGCAGATGCGTCAACCTCCGAACTCGAGAGGATCGTTACATAAGTTGTAACCCGGCACCCTTGTAGTGCCTTTGTTCAGACTGCTAATATTCCGTCACTCAACGCTGTCCTCGCTCATATGCATCCATCCTGGGATACACTACAAACTGCTGATCCGAGCCGTTTGATGCAACCCTTTACTCTTGGTTTCAGGTGTCGCACATTGTAAGATCACGCTGTGCGATGTCTGTTGACGACCACTCGATACGCTCAGAAGGATGAGGTGAACGGTGTATATTGGATACAGTATCGATGAGCCATTCAACATCCTTGTGGTTCAAGGTTCAACATGCGTTCGAGGGCGAGTCTATCTCCCCATCCATCACACTTGCAGCCAACCTGCTCTTGATCACATCAAAGAATCACAACTGAAAATCATGTAGATGGGTTTAGGATCGCCAGAACAGCCATCATTGTAATGGATGGTGATTAACTTGGGTGGTCCGTCGATTGTAAGAGATGTTTCGAAAATGACGCAGTCAAAGGAGTAGCCGGTTTCAGCGTTTCTTTTGATACAAGAAACCTGCCTGGTAGATCTGAAAAAGGTTCCCCGTGTCAACTGCTAGCTGCAGAGGCACTGATAATGTAATCTCGCCGTTCCTCTCATTAAAGTCATCAATGAATGAAGACGTTGAACGTTGACGATGGACAGCCCGGAGCTGTGCACATCCACCAGCAACCAATGCCTATGCGCTGGACCCTGCAATGCAGGAAATAATTTCAAGATGCCGTTGCTGGCATTCTTATCACTGAAAGTTGGCAACCGATTCATCAGACTCGGGAGTACTCACAGATGAAGAAACCTTACGGAACGTACCACGGTAACTATAGCCTTAAGTGAATGCACACACTCAAGCTGACGAGCTAGTCTTCCGCGCGTAATAAACCCGTCAATTCTATATCTTCTCACTATCTTCTCACTATCGTACACGCAATCCATCCGCAAACTAGCAGCGACATCGAAAAGGCGAAGATAGTAAAAACTATAGATTTGCCACGGCAGCTGGCAGATCTACAACTTTGCCAACAACATTGTAGCGTTTCCTGCGCAACATTCAAAGAGCGAACAATGTCACAGCAAGAGATGACGTACGTGAAGAAGACGTGCCAGTCGTTCAATACCTTCATCTCGTTCTCCGGCAGATCACTATAGTCTGGTACGGCGTCCTCAGGCTTGAGACTTGACTTCCCTAATGCCTTCGATGCATCTTTCCCTGCGAACAGGTTGTACGACTTTCCCGGCCCGTAAGTGTCAGACTTGTGGGAAACATCGAACACAGTCCCTTCACGGCACTGGACGCTGAGTCTACAATCGACATGGAGATAGATAAGCACGCACCTTTGATAGCGACGTAAATGGGTTTCGAGGGATCAGATCCGTCGAATTGTTTCAATTGGTCCAAAGTGAACGGGTCATCTTTGGGAGGAGCCAAGTCTGACCTCTCCGCCTGCATGATGCTCTTTGGTTCTGATTTCTCTTCTTCTGGAGGGGGAGACGGACGGGGCAAAGGAAGCGGCGACGAAAAGGGAGAATCGGGTTGAGTGAAGAAGGAGCCTTGGAGGTAGAAAGCAACTGGCAAGGCGAGCAACAAACTTGCGACGAGCACGTCCGTCACATTCAGATTGAACGCCATCGTACGGCGATCACCGGGCCGACTTCACTTTTTATAACTCTTTTCCTTTCAAATAACGGGATTGGCGAACCGTGACCTATCGCTACGCGACTGTTTCATATATTATCCTCGACACACATAGAGTGTGCACCTCATTTTGGGAATACAGCAGGCAGTCTATTGGCCGTGACCGTCCACCATTGCCCTGACAGCCCTCAACCACTCCGCTCGGTCCTTACCCCAGCCTCCAAGCCTCCGAATCTTACCGCCTGCGTGGATGCCGTCGACGGCGTACCGTTCTGACTCTCGCTTCCTGAGAGACCAATGATGACTGATGCTGTACCAAATGATGCTGTCCTTCGAGAAGAACGCCTCGCTCACGCGTTCGGGACAATTGGGGCTGCAGGGCGGGACCAGGCCAAAAAGTCGCTTCAGCGTGCGTAGGCAGAGGCGAGGGAGATACAACGCGAGGGGCGGATCGAGCCCTAATCACAGGAAGGATTACAGCGAAGGTCGGTTTGATGCGCCAAGGCCGCTCTGCTAAGGAGGTGAGCACAATGGAAGTATCGCTTCTTACGCACAGAGAACGTCAGTTGTGGAATCCGCGATCAGGTCTCCGAGATAGGAGTTGTAGTTTCCATCCACAACCCACCCACCGTGACTGTTCTCGCTGTCTTGGAGCATAGCTGTGACCCTGTCTTTGAACACTGAGCTTGGTGTCTTTTCCCAGTTGGGATTCCAGTACACTGTGTCCAGGGGAATGTGTGGGATGCCGAGGAGCGCGGCGACCTCGGCGGCTAGAGTCGACTATCGTTCGATTGCGATATATATCAAACATGACCTGCTCATTTAACCGGTCTATCATTGATGTCAAAAAACCCTTGCCTTGCCCGACCCTGTACGCGGAAAAGCGTTGACACTAATCAATGTTAGAGGCATGTGTACAATTTAGCGCACCACTGTTTCCGATGACATGGACGCGATAATGCCCTGAGGCGTCCCCTCTGAGGGGAGATACCGTTGAAGTCATGGTGCAAACTTTCTGACAGTGAGCGCGTGCTGCGAGCATGAAAACGAGACTGGATTCTATATATACCGTACCTGTAGTGTGACTCATATTCGAATCGGTCCCGTATAGACGCGCGCTAATTTCATGTTCATGAACAGACAAACCTACACTAGAGCTGCATTCAAAGTGATAGTGACTACATATATGTACAATATAGGGGAGACAGTAACTTATCGTAAACAATTTCAGGTCACAGTGTCAAGAGCAGAGATACGCTGGGGTAAGATGGCCGAGTAATAGTAATGCGTAGAGTAGTGAATAAGCGACGAGGCATAAATACCATCGACTCGTGACTATGGAGGATTGCATATGCAAGGTACAGTCGTGAAGAAGGCGTGCACGGGCGTTACGAACGAGATGAAGATCAAGTAGAATCAAAGGTTATGCTCCGCAATGTGTCTCATGATGAGCAACGAGGTGAGGAGCTCTGGTAGGAGGCCAATCTCAACTCCAGTGCGAGAAGCAGAGAAGCAGTGACGTACCGACTGCGAGATGAGGATATGACTCATCGACCGTAAGCATACAACCGGAAGAGCCAGGATAAGGTGGCTCTCCAGCAAGCTTCAGGTTGTAGTAGGCTACGAGGTATCCACTCGCGTTGAGGCACTAGGTAAAGCGGACACCGGTCAGAACAAGCACATAATAGAAAGATTGCGTCACGCACCATCCACTCGAAATTCTCTCTACCACGCCAGCTCCACCTGTATTCCTGTCCGTCGGAAGCAATGAACTTCCTGTTTTTCGAACTAGAGCAAGGTGAGCACCGTCGTCTCGAGACGCGCTTGGATGGATGCATACCTCCCGAAAGGTGACATTTTCGAAAGGTACTGGCTCATGGGCATACTGCCACGTCCAGAGAATATGACAGTGCCAAGCGCATTGTTCGCGCCATAATCCAGCGTGGCAACGGGGAAAGAGTACGCCCCTTGACTGGGCATGGTGAGGTCGTAAATCATGTATGCGGTGCGGTGTACGTCGCGAAGTGTGCATCGAAAGCCGAGGCGCATCCGGTCGTTGACGTCGACGAATTCCGACCCGAGGAGTGTGCCAGACTTGTCTTCAAGGAAATACGGCATGCCCAACGTCGGCAGCATCGATGCTTTGATGCAGTGCAGAAGACGTAGAGGAGAATCGAGATGGGGCGCGAGTGTCGGGCATGGCAGGCGAGGAAAGCGCAGAATTTGTAGGTCGTCAGAGAGATGGCTATCTGATACCCAAGCAAATTGACAAGAGTGGAGGGTCATCGGTCCCCACTGCACGATGATATTCCGGCATCCGGCGGAAAAAGACTCCCATGGACTCCTACTACGAAACAAATCCACTGTAGTGACGAGAATCTGGCACCCGCCTGTGTGCTCCAGACGGCGTTTGAGGTTCCTATTAGGATAAGCGGATTTTGGCCAAGAAAGAATGATGAACTTTGTGGACAGAAAGCCGTCAGAGGACTGTACCCACCGAGAGGCGTGCAGTGGGCGGCACGATGATTAGCTGGTGACTGGTCCGGCGTGGACCAACATGATCGATAATAGATCAAGATACTGGAAAAGGGAGCTCCGCCCGACTGTGCGCAGCGTCCTTCGCTAAGGGATGTGGTAAGTGATGGAACAAAAAGGATTGATGTGCTCGGAGGGTGGCTCCTGGAGGTTCTGAAGAGACATGGTTTGGAAACAGAATTCAATCAACAACGTTGCCTCAGGATCTCAGCTTCCGACGTCACTGATCCGGTGCCGTGTGACTCTAGCGTGCCGGCAGGTCCCGTCAAGAATCTGTTCTCCACCTCGTCGTGATCGAGGCAATTCAGTACATGTCGGAGGAGCAAACTCTTGTTCGCCTGAAAGAGGTTGGGCTCCTCCATGTATCTACACGAGGCATCGACATTCCTTGTCGAGGTGCGTACCAACGGCCCCAGATAGTTTAGTTTGCCACGAGTGTCTGACTCTCATACTCACTTGTCCGTAAATATGACGCAATAAGGCAGTTGGAGCAAGCCGAGACAGTGCAAACAAGAGACACGGCTGAGCATCATGCGCCACGGCATGGTAGGCTTCGATGCGATCAGGCGCAATGTCCAGTGACACCGAGCGTTCATCATGCATCACACAGCCAGCTTCAAACTTCAAGGAACAGTTCGGCTTATCGCATTCGTCCCGGCGGTTTATTCTTCGAACAGAGAACCAGAGAAGCTCTCCGGCTCTGATGGGGTCTTCGACGAGGGATGCGCAACAGTAGGACTGCATATTCAGCGCGGTGTGTCTTAGAGAGCACGGATGAATCGTTTGACGACAGCGATTGTGACGGTCTAGAGAATATACAACGCGCTAATGCAAGTTTCAAGGTAAGTGGGCAAGAGCAGCGAGTCAGCTTCGGTCGCGACTCCTTCTAGATCATACATGCCTTTCGGGGTCCTATGATTCGCGATTCACGATGGCCATGATAGAATATTTGATGATTCTGTGATGTGAAAAGGTACAAAGGATTCGTGAGAGTTAGCAGGAGTTACTGGTCTGGACGGGTCAAGGGGTGTAGAAGAGTCGGAAATGACAAGCCAGGGCGATGTCAATAAGGTCCAATTTGGGGAGGAGACCTCGGGCTTGCTGTAAGGGGCGGGAGATTGACACGGTCAGGAAGATGTCGTCGGAACAGGGTCCGGTGCTTGTTCTGAAGGAGTCGAAATCCGAAACACGTTCCACAGATTCTGGGAACACACGAGTGATTGGCAAAGGGCCAATATTGACCGGTGTATGGCAAGGATAACAAGAACAGCTCTGGAGTATACGTACTAGAAGGTCATGGCGATGCGAATTAACTAAGAGAAGCATAAATAGAAAATATGCTCACTAGGAAATAGGAGGTGGCATAACCCCAAGTCATCTATTACCCCATCTGCGCTCCCCAGACACCTCCCTCGGATGATCAGCCCGTCGTCTCCGATCGCCATCATCAACTCGTGTTCTTTCCCTATACCCGCCGTTCCTCTCCCTCTCATCTTCTCTCTCGTACCTTCCCCGACTAACAGGCGGCCTCCGCTCATAGTCACGGTATCTCCGCATCTCTTCCCTCTCTTTGTCTCGGCGCGGTGAGCGAGAGCGAGAGCGCGAGCGCGAAGGAGAACGACCACGATGACTTTGGACAACGTTAGCAATCTCTGGATCGCGTCTGCTCTCACCACGGCGCTGTTCCTTCCTAGCACGTTTCTCCTCCTTCCGCTCCACTTTCCGCCGCCGCTTTTCCTCCTTCTCCTTCCTCTGTATGGATTCTGCGCTATCCACCTCGATTTCCTTCTTGACTTCGGTCGCATTTGCGCCCGTCCCGGGACCGGAATCTGACGCACTTTTCTGGCTTGGTCCAAAACCACTGTATCACAGAAATCATGATCGAGGTTAGCATCAGAACGGTCAAGTAAGAGTGAAGGGTCGAGTGACAGACAGTGCAATAGATAAGGCCTCTGCCTCTGCCTCCTTTATCTTCCGTATTTCTTCCAGTCTCTCTGCTTCCGTATCCTTCACGTCACGGTTGTACCAATGCACATCCTTGTTCTTCTGCCACCGTCCAGTGGGGGCATTGATACTATGGCCGAGGTAGTTCTAGCAAGTGGGATCAGGTTAGCCTGTGTCGGAAGGCGGACAGGGCGGACGAACTTGAACTTGTGTTGTATGGGGCCTCACGTACCTCACGGTCCTTGTCCGCAGACACGTCTGACCATTTGAACTGCGCTTGTCCACCACGCGTGCCGCCGCGCACAGGTTCAAACATGTCAGATGATGGGTTGACGAGGGTGACGGGGTTTTGAAGGTTGCGGTGGGTGAGGGCAGCGGCGAGCGAACCTGGGCCTCCGCCACTGACTAAGCCAAGTTTTGTCCCATAGTCTGAGCTATTTCGGTAATTTGTGGGCACAAAGTGACCACGGACTCTGAACGCTCTCTGCTCAATATCCTCATCATGCAAAGCTAGCTACAATTTGAATGGTACGCGTCGAGGGCAAACATGCTTGAAAGCGATTCATGGGTGTATGTATGAACAGCCGTTCGTAGAAAGTGCGTCGAAACACCGCGACCGTATCAGGCCGGACTGACTGCCGAGTCCTGCCGAATTGCAGTAGTGCAGTGCACGTATCGATACAATGCAGCTAACTGCGCGTCGTCAACACCAGGCTCGTCTGCACGAGTATGTGCCGCGTAAAGGGGGAACAGCCGTGCATTGACGCGCGTCTGCAGGCTGGACAGACGAGATGAAATGTTTGTTGATTGGGGTGCACGCCGCACGGGCCCGCGTGGCAAAAGGGGGCGGGCTGTTCTGGCAATTGCCGAGTCCAACTTTGACCAGGACCACTCACTCGCGTCCTCCTTCCACCGCGCCCGTCGTCGACCCGCAGCGAACGCGTCCATTCACCATGAGCAAAAAGGCGAAGACCCCAAAAGAGACAAAATACGACTTCCGCGACGTCGTGCTCGCGAAAGTACGCGGGTATCCGCCGTGGCCGGGCATGGTACGTCTTCGCTGGCCGAGCGCGTTCCACCCTACGATGACCTCGCTTTTGTTCTTGTCGCCTCTCTCCAGGTCGTTGACCCAGAAAATGTTACCTCGGAGGTAGCTAAAGAGCGGCCCGCCAACAAAAAGTCGCATTTCTATTGCGTCCGGTTCTTCCCTAAGGGCGAGCAGTATGTCCCGTCACGCCTGCTTCCTCTCCCCTCATCCACTGAACTTTTCGCTGTCCTTCTCAGCGCCTGGCTAGTCTCCAAAGACATTTCTCGGCTTCAGCAGCATGAAATCGAGGCGTACATCAACGAGCCATATAAGAAATCAGGCGACCTTCTCACTGGCTATCGCATCGCACTCGATCCCACGAAATGGGAAGAGGAGCTGGAGAACAAACGCGTCGAGGCTGCCGAAGCAGAAGAGAATGCTGAAGTAGACCAGCTTGAAGCCGAGTCGTCCGTAGCGGATGCTGATGCTGACGCCGATGAGGACGACAAACCCATCAAGCCCAAGAAACGGAAGCGCGATTCCGAACCGGCGCCTTCCAAAGTCAAGGGCAAGCCGAAGTCGAAGAAAGCTTCCGCGGAGCCAGCTGGGAAGAAAAAGCCTGCAGCGGGAGCAAAGGGCAAGAAGAACGGGGCCAAGTCGAAGGCTATGGTTGAAAGTGAGGATGAGGGTGGCGTGGCGGGCGAAGCGGAAGAAGACGAAGATGCGGGTCCAAGCAAGCAAACCTCGCCACCACCGGCCAAGAAAGCGAAGAAGGATAAGGAAGACGATCGTATGTGACCCTCTTGCTGGCAGCTTTCCTCATATTCAGAATGCGACGCACAGCTCTAGCAGCTGACCCTGAAGCAGTGAAAGTCCGAGAGTGGAGACACCGACTGCAGAAGACTTTCTTGACGGATGGCAAAGATCCAAAACCGGAAGTACGTTGTTGACTATTCCATGATCTGAATGGTTGTATCTGATCTCGATGATTCAGGATATGCCAGCGTGCGACGAGCTATTTACCGCTATCGAACAGTACGAAAAGATGAATATTCACTATCTGTTGGTATGTGCTGCCTCTCTCTTCGTTTGCGATTGCGCCAGGCCGCGATACGCGAAGCGTTTCCATCGATTTGTCTGCCTCGCTTCATATCTGTCCTTTTTTCTGAATATGTTACTCTTCGCTCCATCAGTTCTCGAAGATTGGCAAAGTCATGCGTCACATCTACATGCAGACCCCCGAAAAGATTCCTCGGGATGACGATTTCCACTTCCGCGATCGCGCAAACGTCTTGGTCGAGAAATGGCACGCTTTGATGAACGCGAACAAGGACAGCGTCGAAAACGGCACCGCCAAAGTCAATGGCGCAGTCATCAAGGACGCCCCATCCTCGGAAGAGCCCAAGGCGTCCGAACCCAATGTCACTGCGGAGAGCGAGGTGAAGCGAGAGACTGCGGAGGACGTGCCCATGGAGGACGTCGAGGCAAAGGAGAACACCGATGATGTTGTGCCGAAGACGGAAACTAACGGTGTGGCCGAGTCTGCTGAGACTGCTGACGGAGACCTCTCTGTGTTGGCAGACGTGACGATGTCGGAGGCGTGATCGCGACACGCCGATTCCACAAAGGAGGGCTCTGGTGTGCCGGAGCGGTCGATATGTTCAAGTCGTATGCTGGGCTGTCGGTGATTCTGTGTTGGTGCGAATGGCCTGAACAGCCGTCTCGTTCAGGACATGAATTCGCTTTCTTGCGACTTGTATGTGTTTCTATGTATCTCCAAGATGTTTTTCTCTCCATAGGCAGTATGTAATTGCTCATGTGCTCCATCGCTCTCACTTTCGGGATCTCGCCTGATCCCGACAGGTCGCAGTTGATGGAAGTGATTTTTCTCTTGTTGCGTTACCGTTTTCGTTGTATCTTTTTTTTTCTTTTGAATTTATCTTCCTTTTCTCCCGTCCACGATGTGTTCTCAGAAACTGCGAAGAATTATGGACTGGTCTACGCGCTTCGGTTACGGTTGACGAGGACCTTATCGGTAAGCATGTCTCTTCCGTTGAACCCCATTTCGCCCGCCTCACGGAAAAGCTGAACTGTTTTAGTAGGTAAGAAGATCTGACATGGTTCTATCCTTGACCGATTGATCGCTGTCGAGGCTACGCTTGAGAAACGAGCTTCCGGGAGAATAGACTTCTCGAGCCACGTGCGCCTCGTAAACGCAACCCGATGGCCAGAAACATTAGCAGAACGCAGGCAGGTATTTACAGTGGATCGTTCGCAAGACTAACATGGGAACTCTCTGAGAGCTTCTGCACACGTAGAGTTCTGAGATTCGAAATAGCACGTCTATTTTCGTGCTCTCCCTCTGAACTCAGAAATTCGCGTCTCACGGTACTGTAGGTATCTACCAGCCGGCTCGATAGCTCTACCACCGAGGAACACTACTAACAAACGAGTGCTGCCTGATCGTCACGCACGGGTTCGCAATGATTCTGCTCCTCTGACGACATCTGACCGTGATGGAGAAGCTTGGAGAAGGCGGAGGCGGAGCCAATCGTCGACTGGTCCAAGGTCATGTCGGCCCCGGACGAGAATTGATGCATTCGCGAGGTACGCACACTCCACGCGCAGTCGCTCGCAGGTGCACTGATCCCTTTTGCATGAGATGGCAGGGAGCCTTGCCCCGAGCTATGGCCGGGTTCCTCGCGATGGCCTTGAGCGTGAGCCGTGGGTCCTTGTACTTCCAACTAGGAAAGTGGCGCTCTCTGGACACCTGAGGCTGATACCGACGTCGGGGTACTGCGAGCGCGTGTGGTCGCGGTTCCACCTCGAACGGTTCATTCGCGGATCGCGGTACTCACGCCAGTGTGCCAATTCTACAGAAAGTGGGCAAGGCCATTGTCGATTCGCTCCACGTCGGCGTCGTATTGTGTTCTGGCGGGGCGGGAGGTTTTTTTTAGACTGCTGGTCACGTTTTCTGGATGGGTGCGAAAGAAGAGCAGGTTTTGGGCAGGGATGGCGCTGCGCCGTTCTTAGATGGGCCAGTTCTTGCATGGAATCGTGCGGTTCCATGATGCACCTATCTGCCCGAGCGTCGGTCCCACTCCCATGCTCGCATGCTTGCGGGGAGTGTGAGAGGTGGATGGCGCATTGAAAAACAAGTGTGCACGGTGGGATTCTGCATTCCGGATCGGGAGGGATCGTGGGCTATCGTGGGGCTGCGGGAGCGGGCGGCAGCGTGCGGGCAGCGGCGTTAATTCGGCCACGCCTGGCGACGGCCCGGCCACGGAGCGAGAGCAGACTACGGCGCGTGTCCGCCAACTTGCCAACGCGCTCCTCCTCCTCCTCCTCCTCCTCCCCTCACCACCTCGGTCATCGTCCGGGCGACGTCGCAACCGCCCCGTCGCTCGACACACACGTCCCGCTCGACCCAGACAGCGCTGGGACCATTCTGCTCACCTTCCGCAGCCATCCCCGTCCGCCATCGGATCCTCGGTCGATTGGGACGCTGACGACGAAGCCGTGGGCATGAGACAATCTGCCTTGTTTCCCCGTTCGCGTGGCCTGCTCCATTTTTAACTACGCCATCCCTCTGCTTCGCCTAAATCTCCTCTCCCTCTCGCATCCTCCCAACTCGCTGCTGCCTCACGCCCGACCCTGTCCTCGATTGTCCATGGTTGCCGGCGCCAACGACCAGTTGTACTCTCCGTTCCCGAGAGGTCGCATGGCGGAGGACGGCCCCACCTCGAGCGAGGAGGGCTCCGATCTCCACTCCCCGGTCTATGATCAGCCCTTTCCCCATCTTTTACCTGACGGTACGTTCGCAAACCAGGCCCAAGTGCGCTTATCGATCTGCGCACTAACAACTGCTTCAATTAAGCCCGATACCGCTCAATTGACTCCGTCGCCGTTCCCCATTCTTCTGCGCTTATCGCCTCGCCCTTCGACTCCCCATATGCCCTTCCGCACTCCCAACCAGGCGATCCCCACATCATGCCATCCCTACGCCATCCGAACACCCACCTCTCGCTCAACCGTCCCGACTATCCTGTCCAATCCTTTACTTCATCAGCCTTCTCTCTCGGTACCCTCCCCCCTCGGTTCTCTTCTTTGGCGGATTCCACTTTTGACCCTCAGGTCACCGCCCCTCACAGACACGTTCCACAAATAGCCTCCGCTTCCCATACGACGAGGTCTTCTCCCCCTCACTCAAACCTTGACGGCCAACACCTTCCTTCTTCTGCCTCTGCTTCGACTTCCGCCAGACCGCCTGCCACAGCAAATGTGACCTCCTCCAGGGCAGCACGCGGCGCTCGCAAAGAAATTTCCAACGTCGTTATTGCCTGTCGTCAATGGTGCGTTGCCACTCCGGCATCTTTAAAACGTGACATGCGACATGTGCTGAAATGAGTATCGCGCGTCTCTCCAAAGCCGCGCCCGCAAGATTCGGTGCGACTCCACCAGACCCGAATGCAACAACTGCGTCCGAAGGAACAACGAATGCATCTACGATGCGGCGCCCAAGCGCAGAGGACCAGACAAGCGGCCTGGCACACGCCAACGGTCTTGCAAGAAGCGCCCTACAGATGGATCTGAGCCCCAACCGAAGAAAAAGCGCAAGGCAGACCCCGCGGCTGCTCTCGTCGTGCCGTCCTCGACAGGGTTTAAAACAGACATCCTCGACCCGCCGCCCGTACACCCACCGCTTGTGCTCAAGTCAGAACCCGATCTCACCTCTCTGCACATCCCAAGCACGTCGTCATCGTCGTCGTCCATCCCTGAGCCCGCCCAGTCCTTTCGCCTCGACGGCTACTACGACAGGGTAGGCGTTTCGTTTCCCATGTCCGCGAGCGTGCGGGGGCCGGTATTGACTACGTCTTCTTCGAAGAGACGGCTTTCGCCGACCATTCACCGAAGCACGTCGCTAACCGACATGGTCGACAAGACCGCTATCCATCCCTTTGACCTCGAAATCCACTCCCCAGACTCTTTCAGCGACGAGAGTCGGATTTCTATACCCCCCATTCCATCCACCCAGTTTAGCCGCAAGGTGTGGTGGGATGATCTCCTGACATGGTATTCCCTTACACGTGAACAATCGTGAGTCCGCGTGCCATGCGTTGGATCGGCCTGCTCACCACGATCCTCTCGCAGCTTAAGAGACATCTATACCGATCTGAACCTTCTGTGAGTGTCCGCGGGGCCGGCTGTCCATGTCGCTCACGTTCGCCCGCATGTCTGACCGCGACCCGAACAGTTTCACACAAAGTAGCTACTGGCTGACTTTTATCAACACTCCTTTTTTTCTTCGTAATCTGTATGACCAGGACGAGCGTTCCCGTATACAGCCGTCGTTGGTGCTGGCAGGCCTGGCACTGGCGACTTTAGTTCGTTCCAGCGAGCTGGAGCTCGGTGCCGCTGGCCGCCATCGCGCAATTCGTCTGAGAGATGCTGCGCAGTCTGCTCTGGAAGCATCATCGGCCTCGCAGTGGATTGATTTGGGCCTCGCGGAGGCCGCGATGGTGAGTGTGCGTCGATCGTACACAACAAAGGCTAATCGAGCGATACAAGTTCCTCGCTCTCTTCGAGACATCCGCGCACCCACAATACAGCGCTGCACGCTCGGATTCGGCGCTCATGTTTCTGGACAACATCGTCGCCAGTCTTCGACTCACATATTTGGACGCCAACGACCCTGATCCTATCGACTACTCCGTTGCAGGCGTCCCCGTCGCGCACTCGGGCGACTACGAGGTGCCGAAGAGGTGCGAGTGCATTAACATACCTTTGGGAGTTCCGTACGTTGCGTCGAAGGAGTCTTGGTCATTCGTACCCGCTTGGGATTCGTCCTGGTCCCCGTCGGACATCCGCAAGGAAGAAACCAGGCGTCTGTGCTGGAGCGCCCTCATGCTTGCTGCAAACCACACATCTTCTTGCGCGTCGTCATATCCACAGCGGAAGCCGTTGGATCTCTTCCTCATCAACTCCGCTAACGTAAGGTTCTATTTCCTCCGAGCGTGCTATCTGTCTGACATGATACCGATTTTGGAATAGTTCAAGTTGCTCTTTCCTGGCGAGGCATTGCAACGCACGACTCAGAGCGCCGCGCATTCCGGAAAGGACACCGTGTGGGCCCTGTATTGCCGCAGCATGCTTCTGTGGAACTGCTGCGTCCGCTTCCAGGATGACATGCTGACGGGAGATCAAAAGACGCAAATCGCCATAGCAGTGTTCGTCGAGATCCGCGCCGTAGAGCAAGCGCTAGATGCTCACATATGTAACATCGACACTGCCTTGATGTATATGTGCAGGGAGTTCATATCCAAGTGGGTCTTCAGTATTCCTGCCTCTCAGTCTTTTTTTCTTCGCTTACTCACTGGCATCGTCCATACAATGCAGCACGAGACTGTCTGTGACATATCTGATGAGACGGTGGGCACTCCAATTGCTGTGTAAGTCAGGATCTGACTGTACAGAATTGCAGGCTACTGCTTGACCTGGACGTTACGGCCCGACCGGTGTGGAACCGCAGGCTGGCCGAGGAATGGCGTGCGTCATCTTCATGCGCAATCGCGCCGTTACGTATGTTGACACCTGCTGTCACAGTCTATTACCAGGAACAGGTCGCCAAAAGGGTCAAGTCTTCCATTCATCGACTTTCAGAGCCCAACGGGCATCTTTTCCTCAGGCGACCGTTCCAGATCAGCTGGTTCACGGGTCAGATGGCGATGTGCGTCGCGTCGCGTTTCAGCTCTCATTGCTACTGCCTCCGAGCGTAACTATATCTCACCTGCCATCTCTCACAGATGCCTGGACCTGTGGTTCGGCGACTCGGCGCTCGTTCGCGCGCTAGAACTTGCTAAATCCTTTCTCGTACCGATCGAAGTGCTCAATGCGATGTGGCCGTGTCCGGGTACGCTCCCGATGCGCCGGTCATTCTCCATCCACTGACGCAGTTTTCCTCGCAGCATATCGCAGCCAGTGCGACGACCTCCGGTCGCAGCTGCACAAGGCGTGCGCGATGGCCGGCATCCCCTCCCCTCTCGCCCCAGAGTTTTTGTTACCGCCAGCCCTACTCAGAGTCTAAAATACCCCAATATTTTTCTGTTTTTACGCACCCCGTTTGTCTAATGCCGTCGGACGGCTCGGTGTCAGTTATCGAAGACTAGTCATGCTCTGTTGCGATTTGTTGTAGCCTACGTTACGTCCGATGTATCAGGTATATGTTCTCCCGATGAAGGCATTGTTGATGGGATAATATTGATGCTATATACATACCCAGCTCTTTTTGTGTGCTTCGAGGCATTCAGCTTTGAGTCGACAACAACGTGCTATCACGGTGAGAGTGCTGCAACGTCGACACATACGAGGGTTGACGTATCCAACACGATGCTTCGGTGAAGTTCACCGTGCGGATTACCTTCGAATAGAGCTATGTTCACCTGCAGTATTGTGATGAATGCAACGGTGTGCCGTCAAGATATGGTGATTCTCATCCTTAGAAGTAGTGAAAGCTGCATGGTGACAACAACTGCTTCCATGCGGCTCTTCACCATCAAAATCACCGCACTTTGAAGAGAACTTCACCTCAAGCCGATCTCGTAGTGCGAATTGATCACAGCTCTGAAAGTTTCGAGCTTTAGAGTTTCAAAAAACGAAGGACATGTGATATTTCCGCCGACTGGGGACCGAATAGGTCTGACGAAGTGGCCTGTCTTCAATCCTTTCGCTTTGCGTCGTGACCATCACCAGGCGCGACCTCTTCCTCATCTGCACAACCGCCATCCAGTTCGATCTTCAGGGCCGCCGCCTGCCGCACGTCCTTGGAAGGCCGCTTGACTCGAGCCCAGATGCCAACGTTCGGGTCCCTGATAAAGTTAACGGTGATCATCGGCCACGAGGGATGGCTAGGGAGCACGTCGTAGAATTCGGGCGCGAGGGCACGGAGGGCCGGCAGGCGCGTCCAGGGCACTGAGGGGAAGTCGTGATGCTCGTTGTGGTAGCCCACCTACGAGCCAGCTTGATCAGGCTGTACAGAACGAGAATGTGGAGCGCGCTCACGTTGTACGCAAAGACGTTCAGCCAGCCATAGTAGGAATACGTCTCCTGCTCGAGCCCGTCCCAGACGTAGTGTTCTGCGATGAAGTGACCGGCGAGTGGATGCAGGCTGCCCGCCCAGAAGCTTGACATGATGAAATACACGAGCATGTGCTTGCCGCCCGGAATGAGCATGATGAGGGCACAGTCAAATGCGACCTGGACGAGGATGTTCAAGAAGTGCCAGAGTGTGGGGCGCTGAGAGCGAACGAGGCCCGGACGGAGGGCGTAGAACAGGATTTGGAACGTGCTAGAGACGTTGAGGTGTGAGGTCGTGATGATAGATGGCAGGGCCTACCAGAAAAACACTTTTCCGAGAACGTTGTTCAAACATAAAAGTTCAAAGCGAGTGGGCAAATCGGTATCGACGCCATCTTCGCCGAGGTATTTATGATGCTCTAAATGATATCCCTGCGGAGTGAATTAGTGCGAAAAACTCAGCTCGCAAAGTGGGAACCTCGTCACCTTGAACGTTACGGAGTATGGAATACCAATTGGTAGATTGGCAAAGATGGCGAAAGCTTTGTTCGCCTTTATGCCTTTGAACGCCAAATTATGTGTGATCTCGTGAATGGCAAGAAATAGGTTGTGATTGGCTGTCCCGCCGATGATATATGATGTCAACACGAAGAGGAATGAAAGCGGAGATCTGTGGCGAAGGAAAAAGGCAGTCGTGATTTGAAGCAGAACGACAAACGCTACAACGTATTTTGTCATTGGTTCGTGCCCCATTAATTTTCTGACCTGGAATTAGACGGCAAAGAAGGTTAATTTCCCTGATGAAATAGGATATACGGATGCACTGAGACGATGCTCTCGAATAATGAAAACAAAATCTTCAGCGCAATGCTGAATACTGAAACTTGAACATAAATATGATGGGCGAGTGTAGTTTAGAGCGCTTAGGATGTGTCGTCGCCCACAGCAGCGACAATGGCCCTTCCAACAATTCTCCAAGGAGAAACAGGATGACAATTGAATGCTCACTTCGGGATGCGCTTTCATTATGGCCATTCTCCTTGATCGGTGAGGTTCTTCCGTCATTATCCATAGGAAGTCAGATTGGTCTGACAAGCGAGCGTCGTAGGCATCGGTGGAGGCGCCGCTATCCGGTATGACAGTCCGCCTGGGAAACATACTGAGCGCGCTCCTTCCTTTAGGGAGTGTCTCTGCACCCCCAAAAAGACTAAAATCTATGAACATGTGGATGACGACTCTGATTTACACTAGATGAAAGAGAATTGACGCACCGACTCCCTCGGGTGCATTGTTGGACGACGATGTCATGGTAAAGTTGAAGGAAACCGAGTGTGCCAAGTGGCAGCCGGTGGAACGATTATATGAGGGTACGTCAGGAACAGGACTAGAGCAGGTGCCTCGAAATAGTCTTGCCGCCGGCTTCTACAGCCTAATCAAATACACCCGGATACACCGCAGAAGAGTCGCAGAAGCTGCGCAATAGCACTGCCATAGCCTGCAAGAGCCTGCAGTCAGCTGCGCACCAGCAATAAATGTCAGAAAGCGCCTACAAGGGCATCGTTTAATTCAGACTCTGCTAGAGTTTTACTGCCGCACAATTGGTTTATTCATACAACGCAGGGAGTCGATCCACGTATACACAAGATATATGGTAACTTTGGATACTAAACACTCATCTTCATCGCAATTGTCGGATGAGGATCATATCCGTCTATCACAAAATCGTCGTACACGAAACCTTCGATATCGCTGATCATGCGTTTCCATCGCAGCTTCGGGAACGCCTTGGGCTCTCTCTCCAGTTGCACCTTCAATGCCTCGACATGATCGAGATATACGTGTGCATCGCCGAGCTGGATAGTCAGCTGATATGGTTCCGTGTTTGTGACATGCGCGATCATGCAGGTAAGCAATGCGTAGGATGCGATATTGAATGGAATCCCTAGGCCGAGGTCGGCCGAGCGCTGGTACATCAAACAAGAGAGCCGAGGGCGTGCCGTGGGGTCTGATGAGGATGGAAGATGGACATAGAACTGACACATCATATGGCATGGTGGGAGGGCCATCTGGGGTATGTCTAAGATAACGACCTGAGTGGATGGCGTTAACATTCTAAGCTCAAGTGCTTACCTGAAGGGTTCCAAGCGCTCAAGATGATCCGGCGGTCAGTGGGTTCCTCCTTGATCTTCCGAATGACCTCTCGGAGTTGATCTACGCCCTCTCCGGTATAGTCCTTTTCGCAATCCACATACTTCGCACCGAAATGCCTCCACTGAAACCCGTACACAGGACCCAGATCTCCTTCCCGTCTGTGACCGAGCCCTCGCTTCTCCAAAAATTCCTTTGACCCATTCCCGTCCCAAATTTTCACGGCCTTCTTTGAGAGAATAGTGGAGTCTGTAGAGCCTTTCACAAACCAGAGAAGCTCTTCAATTATTCCACGGAGAAATGTGCGTTTTGTGGTGAGCAGAGGTAGTGTAGAATCTGAGAGAGAGAAACGCAACGGGGGTGGTGCGAAAAGAGAGATGGTGCCCGTGCCAGTTCGATCTGATCGCGTCTCTCCAGTGTCTATAACTGAGCGGATAAGTTCGAGATATTGGACCTCTTCGTGGACCTTGATCATTTTGAGATGGTGGAGGACGCAGCACTGGATAAGGCCTGTTGAGCGACGCGTCTCAGGACGCGAGTCTGACGTAATAGAATGTAAAGCGCTTGTGACGCATGTGACATTTCGCGACAAGACCGCGCAGAGCCAGAGCCGTGTTGCCAGGCATCAGAGGTTTCGTTCTCCTACGAGTCAGTCAATTCGGGCAAAGAATCTGCGTGCCTATGGTTAAGCGACGGATTACTCAACAAACAAGTCAGTTAAGTCAGACTCCCTTTGTATTGTTTCGCATGGAGTAAACGCAGGCTCGGGCTCTGCTTTAGAGACTATATGACCGGCCGAGCTTGGCAAGCAGCAGGCTGCAGAAGTAACTTATATGGGGCATCTCTGACTGGTTTTTTATAGTATGGGATGTGACTCGTCGAGTTCGCAAAAAGTTTCATGAAAGTTTGTAGGAATCGCGCCTGCGGCGCAGCCTTGACCACACTGGTTTCAACGGCTCATGTCTCATACATTGTCTTTCTGTCTAGTATGTCTCGGGAGTATATCAGGATACCCAATGCTTGCCGGTAGCTGTAGTATGTACCGCCTGGTACCGCGAAGTTCGGACCAGGCCGGAAGGATGCTTCGGGTACTTCGCTCCCGAGCCATCTGACATCATTTCCACTCTGCCTCATTCTGAGGTGCGGCGGTCCTTTCCTCTGTGGTGAACGGATAGTCTGAGAAACACGACATGAATATTCTGCTGTATAGTGCAATATAACCAGGCGCCAGAGCTACCACCCGTCTACTAGGGTACCCATCAGTGTATCGGGAAACATGCAGTATACTGTATTCGTGGTGCCGTCTCCGGCCTCGGGAACCTGAATGTCTTCGTCAGTCAACGAGCGAACTCACTGTGCCGAATGCCGCTGACTTTTGTACTCATGTCAACGAATCCCCGCGTTAGGTTCGCCATCGGTGCACCAACATTTCTTACTTCCTTCTCAACCAGATTCGAGCGACCCTCGGCTGTGCTACTGGCGTTTCGTACTTGGGACATCAGGTGAAGGCCTGACGATTATTTTGGCATTCGCGGTGCCGACATCGTAGCGTTGTTGCATCAATTTGGCAGCCCTCCGGGGCCCAGCGCTCTCCAGCGCTCATATTTTCGGTATATTTTCAAAAGAATGACTCGTATGAATCAGTATGTGATGCCTGGAAATTTTTATACCTTTCAGGCGAAGCTGACTTTGCTCGTAGGTTCATGGACCTTCTCGCCACAGTACTCGTCAAGTCACTTTGCATATACTACAAGATTATGCAGCAGTATTCCTAATCTCCCCGTCCCCGCACCTGCCGGTTTGCTGTGCCGCTTAGTCATACACATACTCCTTCACAGCCGGCGTTCACCGCTCGGCTGACGTTCTGCCCGAGAGTGTCAAGAAATTTTGAACTTCAAGGTCTATCTATGTGGCTCCCGAACATGAACGGCGTACGCTGCATCCGAGTGGATCCTGATTTCGTGCTTGTGACTCGTTCCCCCGTCTCGATGCCGCCTTACTCATGATGACCGACTGCACTGCTGCTCCTGCTGTTTCGGATTCCTCTGGAGAGATATATAAAGACCATCTCCAGCGCTGTCATTTCACTCACAACATAGAGATCCTTCATCGCTTTGTCTTATACCACACTTCTATCACAATTTCTAGTTAATCGAACCATTGGCTAATGGAATCGAGTTCTTCTTCTCGCTCGGACACTCGCTCGGACACTCACTCATCCGGATCAGCTGGAACCCTCCAACGCGGAAAGGCATGTCTCAACTGCAGGTGCGCATCCAATAGTGGATAGGGGAACTATTGACTGACTTGAGAATCACAGAAGGCGCAAAATGGTATGTTGTTCCCTTCTTCGGTCGTTGCTTGATCAATAAAACCCCCGACGACCAGAAATGTGACGGAATTCGCCCCATATGCGGCCCATGTGAGCGCTCCAACAGACCTGATGACTGCGAGTACACAGATGGTCAAGGCCGAAGCCGAACACAGATCTTGGAGGAGAATATCTCAATATTGGAAGCGCGAATACAGGAACTAGAGAATCCCGATACCACACCAGCGTCAGTTACCCTGCACGATCCTCATTCAGCCTACTACAGCAGGCATTCCTCTCCTTCTGCTGGAATATCTCTTCATTCGCCTGGTGCCTCACACTCACGCGGACAATCTACGCCCGCGATCGGTATGTGTTAGAGTCATTATAGATGGCAAATCATTGACTGTTGAACTACATAGGGGCACGTACAGCTGATGCCATGGTCCAAGGCACTTGGTCGCCAGCCGATGATCCTCCATTGCACGTTATACAGAACCTGTGAGTAACCAGAGCATGGTTCTATTGGCGCTGAATCTTATGAGTTTATATCCAGATTGGACATATTTCACCAACATGCACCTCAAATAGGGTGGTTCTTAAATGACACCCGCTTCCGCCATGCCGCCTTACTACCATATGGTAATATAAATCGCCCCCTACCTGCCCTTCTGAGTGTCGTCTATCTTTGGGGCACCTTTTTTGCTCGCCTGACTTCGAATAGCGAACTTCCGAATGAGCAATTGCTTCTTTCTCGCGCTAGGACACAGATAGGTCACTCGATGCCTAGCATGCCCTCACATCGAATCCTACAGACGATACAGACGTATACTCTTCTTGCTACCTATCTCTTCGTCACTGGTAATTACCTGGAAGGTCGACAATACTGCAATTTTGCGGCATCTCTTGTTATGTCCTGCGGACTGCAGAAGATCAGGACTGAACAGCTCGATCGAGGTTTTCCAACCTCCATTGACGCGATCGACCTCACACTGCCCGAACCGCACGATCAGATCGAGGAGGGTGAGCGCATCAACGCGTTCTGGACAAGTTTCTCGATGGATCGGTGCTGGGCTATAGCTCTTCAAACCCCTACGATCATTTCAGACAGCGACGTTTACGGCGCGCAAATAGATACGCCCTGGCCTTTGGAGATGGAGACGTATGAAAGGGTATGTCATCCTGCTCTGATCACTGTCTGGATTCCAACGTCTTCACGAATGTCAGGGTCAGATATATCCCAATCTTCGGACAAGTGGCACGCTACGTAACTTCCTAGGTGGAATCAATACTGGTTGGCCGTGGGAAGCCCAGTCATGGCTGGCCCAGACAAGTAAAGCATCGGCGTTGTTCGAACGAGCGACGCGTCTGGCTGCGTGTTGGCGACCGGGTATCCATATCGTTTTCTTGCAAGGTCGTGAGCATGAACCTGACTTCTCATCGTTAGGGATCCCAGATATCAATTCGTTTTACGCGGAGTTCTTGGCCTTAGATCAGCGCATTGATGACTTCAAATCACAGCTCTACCCTTTGGTGGCCCTGGACCAGGTTCCGTCCATCATGACGCGTTGTTCTCACACGGTCCACTGTTTAGCGCATGGAGCGACGATACAGTTACACGCAGCGTTTGCGCTCCAAAACCCAGCTTCCCACAACAAGTGTCTTGCAGCAGGCACGGCGATCATGCAAGCGAACTCAGATGCCAGAGTATACGAATGGCCGTTCATGAATCCTGTCGTCGGGGTGAGTGAGCGACGATTGACCTTCTGCATGGCATGTTGCCAATCAAGCTTTTCAATCGCAGGTCGTTTGGGGTGCGGCGTGTAAGCTCTTCGTGAACGAGATAGTATCGTTGCATTCTTTCCACGTTGATCCCACAACTGTTCCACCTAATCACGAGAGGAGCATCAAGGATTCGCTGGACAGGCTTCAAGCGACCCTTGCTATATTTGCGCCGACGAGCGCACTAATGAGTAGGCATCCCAATCCTGCATCGAAGTTCTTGCAAGGGAGGCCTAATTCCCCTTTGCACTAGATTATCAATTAAACAGGGTACAACAAATCAGCGGATCGCTATAATGATACAATCTTGATCATGACTGAAGTCGGCGGGAGCATCCCACACTTCTGCATAGATCCCCACAGAGTCATATCATGAACGGCGATGTACGCTTCTTTAGTTACAGTATCCAGCTTTAGCATAGTACATGTAGACACTCAGATAGATGAATGATGCAATAATCTCGCTTCTACAATGATGCAGCTGCAATCGACGCATGAAGCGCTCGGAAGCGGACGTCGCAAGGTTCTTTGGACGACTCAGGGACCCACGCACACCGAACCAAACCCGACCAACGTGGAGCGACGCGTCGAGGCGTGGATCACGTGCATGCGACGCGTGCAAACCGAACTCAGCCACTTTGAATTTGAGGCAGTCTCGCTTGAACTCGTTGCGCTCGCTTCTCCCACTCTCTTTTCGCCAGCGGGCATCGTTCTCTCCCTCTTGACGACCTCTCACGCCCGTCTCGCACACTGCTGCAGTACATATTTCTTGGTTGTGCTGTCGATATCCTTCATTACCCAGCGATACCCCTTCTGTTGTCAAGACCATCATGTCCTCATTCTTGGACCTGTACGAACCACTAGACATCATCGGAAACGGGTCCTTTGGGATCATTAGAAAAGTGCGGCGGAAATCAGATGGCGCGGTAAGTCTGGCTTGCCACCGCCTGTGCCGCCTCGGCTAATCACTTGGCGGAAGATCCTTGCGCGCAAGGAACTTAACTTTGAGCGGATGAGTGAGAGGGACCGAAAGCAGATTGTTGCGGAAGTGTGCGTTCAATCCATGCTTTTGCTGTAAGGGTACCTCAATTCTGCCTGTCTGCAGAAACATCCTCAAGGACCTGAACCATGAACATATCGTTCGCTATCACGATCGCCACGTTGACCGCGACGCTGGCATCCTCTACATTCTCATGGAATACTGCGGCGGTGGAGATCTATCTACGCTGATCAAACAGTCGCAGAAGCATGGACGACCAATACCCGAGGATACCATCTGGAACTATTTTATGCAAATTCTACTCGCCCTGCACCACTGTCATCACCCCAACGGACACTCTCGGTCGGGAAGCAGTGGGGAGGAGGGGGAGAATGGGCATCGAAGAGCCCAGATTTTGCATCGAGATTTGAAGCCTGACAATGGTGCGTTCGGCTCCTCGCCTGTTTCTTTACGTCATTCACGCCGTGGTCAGTATTTCTGGATGATGCCAACACGGTGAAACTGGGTGATTTTGGCCTTTCAAAGGCTTTAGCTCAAGCAAGCTTCGCCAATACTTATGTCGGGGTAAGTTCACACGCGTTGCCCTCTTGTGCTGCGCACCTCATTCTCAATCCGCGTGCCCATAGACACCGTATTATATGTCTCCGGAGTTGATGCAGGAAAAGGCTTATGACTCCAAATCAGATATCTGGTCCCTTGGCTGTCTCATCTATGAGCTATGTGCGCTGAAGCCGCCATTCCACGAGGCAAAGACGCACTCTGAATTGAGTGTCTTTATCAGGTGCGTGTGTTCTTATTTTCACTTTCGTCGGGTCAATGAAACTGTGTGGTAGAAATGCGCGCATCCCTCCATTGCCACGAGGCTATAGCCAAGCACTCGCGGGAGTCATTAAAGCTATGCTCAACTTGAATGTAAGAATTCTCAGTGTCTTACGCGTGCACTGCATTAACTCTGCGAAAGCCGGCAATGAGGCCTTCTGCGGCACAGTTACTACAGCACGAACGTCTTGAGCTCTCTTTCAAAGTATTTGAAACTCAAAAAATGTATGTTATATCTCCACAGAGTGATGCACGACTTTCAGCGGCTGAGACGTTACCGTCAGGCTCACCGCCGCGAAATCGCACAAATTGTCCCTCCAAGAGAGGGAGCGCGATATGGCCGCGCGGGAGGCGCGATGTGCGACTATCGAATCGAAACATGCTGCGCTGATAGCACAACGAGATACCGAAATCGCATCGTTACGGGAGCATCTCGCTGAAATGCAGGCGTCGGTGACGGCGCAAATCCATCATGCCATCTCCAAACGTGAAGACGAACTGCGCGCTGCTGTGCTTCGTCGGGAAGAGGAAGTGGCGGAAGCCATGGGGAGACGTGAAGAGGAAATAATGGAGGCAGTGCGGAGACGTGAAGCAGAGGTGGAAGAGGCGTGGCAGCGACGAGAAGTGGAGATTCGGGAGGAGTGCGCGAGGGAGATGGAGGAGCGATGGAATGACGAGTGGGAGAAGCTCGAGAACATGCGGGTGGAGGTCGAGGAACGAATGACGATGGTGGAAGATGTACAAAAGCGAGGCGGTAAGCGCAATCGCAGAATCAACGCTGCTTGCTGTCTGACCTTCTCATCGCTCCTTAGTCGGCAAGAAGGAGAAGTCGCCGCTGGAGGAAGTCAAGAACATCCTTGCACCCCTTGCACAGCTGACGAAAGAATCACAGCCCGTTGAACAAACCCCTGCTCGCGCTGCTTCACGTCGACCGATCTCCGCCTTCGAAACCCCTCTCAATCGCGCCGCCGTTAGATCTAGTTTCCCGCCGCCATCCGCGATGAAAGGCGTGATCCTGACGGAGACAGGTGAGCCCCTTGCGACGCCCACCCCAGCCGAGCTGGCCAAGTGGTTTGTCGAGTCGCCAAAGGGCGGCCTCGGCTTTGCCCAGATCTTTGATTTTGACAAGGATGAGGAGGGGGAAGACGAGGGCGACCGCACACTCAGATCGCCGTCGAAATTTGACAGGGCAAAGTCGCTGCCTGTCGTCGGAATGGGATCAACACTGGCCTCTCAAATGCCGGCTCCTCAGGACGAGAAGAATCAGGCACCCGCCGCGCGCGTTCGGAGAACCTCTATGATACGGGCATCGACATCGCATCCCAAGCTCTCCGAGTCAAGGCAGTCAGCCGCATCGACTTCCTCCTCTTCCTCCTCCGCTTCTTCGTCATCGTCGGTTGCACGCGCACCGACGCCGTCAGTGCCGCTCACGACTGCCACGTTAAGCGCCGGCCGTCCGCAGACGAGTCGATCGGCATCAACGCCCGCTGCGCCTCCCGTGTATGACTTTACGGACGAAGACAACCTGCCGAGTCCGTTCCTCAAGAGGATCGACCGCGAGAGGATGGCGGCGACGGCTGCCGCGAGCATCGCTCCCTCCAACAGGACCAAGAGCGCGCCGGCTGCGCCGGTGCGCGCGAAGCGGCCGAGTGGGGGCAATCTACTTCGGGCCGTCGCTGCAGCGAACAGCATCGCGAGCGCAACGGTCAGTCGAACAGCATCGAGCGGCGGGGCGCTGGGGACGCTCCGAAGCGCATCGGGAGGCTCGACTCTGAGCAGGCCTCCGATCCGGCGAACGGGCGACGACGCACGGAAAATGCTGGCGCGCACATGACTCTCGGTGCACCTTGACCCACGGATTCTTTGTTGCATACTTCGACCTGACTTTTTTTATTATGCATGTGCATTTGTATATTTATTTGCATTGGCTTATATCCACTGGGTCATAATGGGCATCGTTGCATCTAGTACTTCATTATGTAGGGGCTTTGGGTATTCGTTCAAACCGATATTAGGTGCAATGATAATACAGGCTGAGGACGTGGCGACCGTCGCTTCTGACTGGCGCTGTTCGTACTTGTACAAGAATAGCACTGCGGTAACGACACAGGATACAGCCTCTCGAGAAGCGGCACAGGCAGGCCATGACATACGGGGCGGCGAAAATCACGCGCATCCCATCCAGAAGGGTGCCCTATCGAGGAGAACAGGACGGCGGCGAAAACCGCGCATCTCTGAGAGGCAAATCCGATCTGGAGGACCCAGAAGGCGGGGCCCGCACGGCTCAGCGAACGGTGCGCGAACAGGGGCGCTGGCCCCGCTCCGAGCCTTCTCGACGGGGTCAGCCCGGACTGGCTGTGTCGTGCCAGAACTGGCAGCATAAGTACCTCGATGGCGCACCGCCTCCTGAGCCTGATTGGATACACAGCGTGCGTCGCTTCACATGTGCACTCCATGTGACAGCCTGCTCGGTGATCCACTCGCCTTTCGCGCGCACATAGCGGGCACGAGTGCAGCGTCGACGGCGAGAAAGGAGCGCGCAGCGGATCTGGCAGCGCAAGTCCCTCGACCACGCTCCGTCTCCGTCTCCTCTAAGTCCGTATGACCCGGCCGGACATGCGCAGCACGCTTCAACGGTGTGACAGCCCCGTCCGGCGACCTACTCGTATATCGCGCGCATGAGCACGACCGCAGCGTCGACGCCAAAATTGACAGCGGTGGAGCCCGAATCAGCACTGTCGTCCTCATAGATACGACAGCATGAGTTCCTCGATGACGTCCTGCCTCCTAAGTCTGGTCGGGTGCACACTGTCCATCGCTCCACATGTTAGCCGCATGAAGCAGCTCGCTCAGCGACCTCCTCGCATTTCGCACGCATAGACGCGTGCAGGCACGAGCGCAGCGTCGATGGCCAAAACGGAGCTGACACAGCCACGGCGAGTGAGCAGTGTGACTCCGGGACCGGGTCGGGGGTCGGAAGGGAGCGTACGTGCGCGCGCGGGTGCCTTTGGAGGGCTCTTCTCTGCCGACCGGGGCGAGACAGGCCAGCCGCGCGCATGCAGAGGCGGTGGCCTGACGGCCATAGGAGGAGATAGTCAGGGGCTCACGGACGCGTGCGAGCCTGCCCCTAATAGGTGATACCGCGATACCGCGTCCCGAGCTACAGCACGATTGAGAGCACCGCACAGGCTCACGCAAAAATAGGCATTCGCGAGACGATTCGAACGCGCGCCGTACGAAGACCGTCGAGGCGCGAAGAGCCGCGAGTCTGAGACGCACGTGTCTCGACCAGGATCGAGAGCGAGTGATAAGGCCTCCAACCTGGCGGCAAATGGGCGATCTGCTTCTCGACGAATGCACCCATCAGCGCGTATCGCCCGCCTTCGACAGCTCTGTACTTATCGACCAACGGCGCGCGAGCGCGCGGCGGTAGAGCGCAGGACAAAGGACCGATATAAACGCCCCTTCATTCATTCATTCATTCATTCATTCGCGCAGAAGTACAGAAGCGCACGGAAGGGAACAGAAGCGCACAGAAGAGCACAAGAAGGGGCGAAAAGGGCGCATCCGTCCGAAGACTGCTATTCGCGTCCTCTGTGGGATACCGCGCTACTCGCTTCGGCGCGTCGCTGCGCGGGGGAAATGAAAGCGATCGGGGAAGGGGCAGACCAGCCAGTACTGCGTCGCTCCTTGACCACGGTCGGCGGGCGAAGCAGACACTGATAGAGCCTGCCAATAGAGCCTAATCGCGGCGGACGGGATCCCGGGCCCCGCACGCAACGCCGCGTGGCGCGACGTTGACTCTGGAACGTTGGCCGGCCAGCGGGGCGGGCAGGCTGCCTGGTCGTCCCAACGTATTCCTGAGCCCCTATCGGATGCGCACGCGCGGTCTAGGCTGGGGCACAGACGGTGGACGTACAACCCGCGTCACACCAGGCCACAAGACGCATCGGGACTCGGTGCGCGCAGCGTGTGGCGAGCCTGGAAAGTCAACCGCGCGGTTCGATGCGTCGTCATAGCCAAACGGGCGCGTGCGGACGGGACCCGTGACGCGAGCGTGAACAGGGGTGGGTGGGTGGCGTGCGAGTGAACCGAGCATCACGAACGCCAACGCGTTGCTCGATTCGGCCAGGCAGAGACGCTGCTGATGCGCGCGCAAACGACAGCCCCGCCGGAGACTAAGTATATATGGTCAAGCAAGCAAGAGGGCAGGAGATGCGACTTGTGGGCGCTTCTTGCTGCAGGCACGATCACGACGTCAGGAGGGCTACGTCATGCGTATCCGTCTTTACTCAGAGAAGAAGACAACGTCGCGTCCTACGCACATGTCGTGGATCCAACTGGGGAGCAGACTCCTCGATAGAACGCGAGGAGTGACGTTGTGTAGCAGCGTGCCGTTCCGCGAAGCTCGTCTGCCCGCGAGCAGATGACGCCTAACGAGGAGCAACAGCCCGTCGCACCGACGCAAGTGTGAGAATGCGCGGAACGGGGTGACACACACGGCCTGGTCCTATGTACCACCCCTGTCTCCTCTCCGTGCACACATGACCCTCCGATGTGATGATGCACCGCGGCGAGATGACGAAACGGCGCGTCTAGCCTCTAGACACTCGAGAACGCGTATACATGCACTGACGGGACACCAGCGTCGACCGTCTCCCACACGTGAAGCGCCACAAGACCCAGTCGAAGTGCGCGAAGCGTAGAAAGAGGGCTTTGAACGCGTTCTTCGACTCGCAAAGGTTGAATCAACGGTTCGACGTCAGTATCGATGGGAGGCGCGCCGATCGCGCACGCCGCGTCGAGGCCCGGCACGCGCGGGGGACCATGGGGATACACAGACAGTGGGTGACAAAGGGCGCTTTGCACAGGTCAGCGCCGATCGGCCAGCGCGATCGGCAAGGGTGATGCGGATGGTTTCAGCGTGGAGGTCAAGTCACAAAGCAGCCGGCCCTGCACGCATGTCCGGGGTGCAACGGGACGGAGCGCGGCGGGAGGAGATGGAAGGGAGCGGAGGACGACCCGCGAACGCGGGAGAGCTGGGGGTCACCATGTCGCTGGGTCGCGTGGGATCTGGGGTGCGAAGGAAGGCGACTCGCCGCTGCAGAGGGCTGGGCCTGGATTGAGCTGAGCAGACGGACCACGCTCTTCGCAGAGAGCCCTCAAAACGCACGCACGTCTCAGATCTCGCAGCCCGATCGCTGATAGGGATATGCATCGTCCAGACGGACGGACCGCCGATGGATGGATGGACGGAGAGATAGATACAGTAGAGACTGATCACCATCGAGGAGACCAAGGACCCAGAACGAGAAGCGCAGAAGCGCACCGGTGTGGGGCAGCACGAGCAGCCGCTCAAACGCCTTCATGGGCAGAAAACACCAAGGCAACATGAGCGACGCGCGTAGACTCGCAAGCTGCATGTGAGATAAGAAAGCAGGCCGAGTCAAGCAAAACCCCATGAAAGCAGGGTCCGCGCGTCCGCACATATATCCCCTCCTGCCGCCCCGGGTCCGGGTCGAACTTCGGACGGTCTGCAGAAAAGGCGCGCGCCAAGCAGAGGGACCACCGCGCGGCTGCAGGGAACGCGCTCGACGTCATACGGGCAGCATGACGCACACGCCGAGCCACCTCCGTGCCGACGCCTCTGTTCAATCCAAGCGCGGGAGGGGTCCGAGCGGACTGCACGCGCGGGGGAAAAATATCAAAGGAAGGAAGCGCGGACGCCTGACCGGGTCGAGTCGAACGCGACGCGACCGAACGCGCACGTCACCGCGACCGAGAGCGCGCGCCTGCGGACGGTGCGTGGGAGCGACCACGTCAGTGCTGTCCTGTCGGGGGTGTGGATGCAGTTGCGAAGGCGGACGTCCGACCGCGTTGGCCAGCTCGATGTGGCGCGCGCGAGAAACCGAGAGTTTTGACGAGGCTGCACGCGCGCATGGTGAGCTCGTGCGTTGTTTTAGGAATACGGTTTCGGACACAAGAGACTGGGGTTTGCTAGGACACCGTACGGCCGGGGAGTGGATTTGGGTTCGTTGAGACAAAGCTAAGAGCACCGAGTACCAGCACTGTGCAGCGCACAACCGACTTGTACACAAACCTTCGTACGTACAGACAGTAGGGCGGTAGACATCCAGCCGGTTTGTGCGAAACAAGTGTCGGCCACAGCCGAGAGGCTCTGTACACCGACGCATGCACGCGTCGGGTCGGCGTGGGACCCGCACGAGAGCGAGACGGATCATAACCTATATTCCAAGCGGGATGTGAGGCGAAATTAGCTCCGGACGACGGCGAGAGTGTTTCATGTAGCGTCAATTTACTTACTTGTAGCGGCGTGGGTGCTGGTAGAGGGCGCCGGAGGATACGTAACGGACAACGCGCGTGCAGCGAGGACGGGGTGCGGCGTGGCAATGGTGATGGTGGTGGGCCGGGACTGAATTCGGGAGCGGGGACGGGAAGGACGTGGGATGCCTAAACGGACGATCGAGCACGCTGGGCTGTCACGGAAGCGTGGGGTGGTTTGATAGAGTGCGTTGCGGCTAAGCGCGAGAAGTGTGGGGAAGGGACGCGATGGGAAATGGCCCCGCCCCCGTAATTGGACAATGGACAGCTGGCAGCACCCCAGCGGGCGAGCACGTTCGCGGGGTATTAGCAGCTCGGGTGAGCCAGATGGTGCGACGCTTGAGCGAGCTGGGATCTGGGGTGCGAGCTTAGGCCGGTGCTATTGGAATAGTTGTTTGTTATGATCGGTTGGACGAGCGGCCGGAGGGGGAACCTGTCCTGCGTGCAAAAATAGACACGGGTGGAAAGACGCTGCGGCCACCTCGTCATCCCAGACGTCACTTGGGTGGCGACGTCGGCGGAAACAGATGCGGGCCGCGAGGGGCATGCCGTGGACCACGGCCGCGCAGCCACCCAACTGCCACCCAGCACAGGACGTCGCAAAGCAACAGGGAAACAGAGGCATGTCAGTGGCATGCCACTCCAGTCGGGGGGGTCGAGAATCGGAGACCTTGTCCGCATACGGAAGGCGCCGGACACGGGCGCGTGGCAGGGGCGCCGGGATCTGCATCCGGGATCGGTTGTCGCCTCCGGCAACGTGCGAGAGACGGCGGCGGTCCACGGCCCTCGGTGCGGGGGCTCGGGCACTGCGCGTTTACAGAGGTGGGGTGCAAAGGGTGCGAGCGTGCTGGCGAGGAAGCTGCGCGAGATGAAAGGGAGGACAATGGGAAGAAGAGGGCAATAAAGAGAGAGGGCGGGGAAATGGCCGCGGAATGAAATTGAGAGGGACGGTCTAGACGCACGGGGGGCTGTCTCTCGGGATTCTGGGGTCGGTCCTGGATGGGCGGCCGAGCTGTATAAATCCCCGCTGCCTCTGCCCTCCACTCGCCCCCTCTCAGCCCGCTCACGACCCTACCGACAGCGACAAGCAGCGCAGCGCACCGACGCGCCCGCCCACATCGCTGCCGACGATCTCCGTTTCTGCACACCACCTCCTCGGCCGGCCAGCCGGAGAAGCCCACAGGAAGCCCCGCCTCGTGCCCATCACACGAGCCGCACAGCGACTCGCCGCCATGAGAGCCTCCACCGGTTCGCGCTCCAGTTCGCCTCTTGCCCGGACCGATCTTGCGGGATCCAAGCCCCCCCGCGAGATCCCAAAGCCAAAGGCGAGGCACAGCAAGTGCACGGAGCGTCCTGCGCCTGCGCCCGCGCTCGCACCAAAGCCCAGTCCCACTCGCAAGCCTCCCCCGATCGTATCCAGGCCTCCTGCCCCCTCCCACAGCGCCACTCCCTCTCCTCTGCGGCCCTCAACTCCGCTCAACAACGAGGCCACACCCCAGCGTTATATAACCCCCTTCGCTAAATCACACCGTCGCGCTTTCTCCCTCCTCACACCCTCTCCCTCCATCGCATCCCTCGCCTCCGCATCCACCGGCCCTGCCCCCGCCGCCCCTCGCTGTTCCTCAAGAACACCCACCACCCCCCTCAGGTCCACCCACTTCCTCCCCCCCGTCGCCCTCACCCCTCCCCGTCCCACCCCCACACTGGCCATGTCTGTACACGTCCACCCGCCCTTCCTCGACACCCGCCCCCGTGCACGTGCCTCCTCGCCCCCTCCTCGACCCTCGAGTCGTTCAGAACGTCTCCTCCGCGACACCCTTCGTCGCGCAGACGCCCATGCCCACGAACGCGCCTATCCTTCTCCGCACCACTCACACACCGCCGTCCGCCCCTCAGAGTCCTACACGGGCCCGTGCGGTGGTCCCGGCGAGTTCACAGACGGCGAGTGCGAGTTCGACGACGAGTACTGGATGCGCGGCGCCATGCTCTTCAAACCCCCAGTTTCGCAGCACCCCCAGCTCCCGTCACGCCCCACCCACCGCTCGACCCACAGCGTCCCCAACATCCCGCGCCGCGGCAGACAGCCCCGAGACGACGACGCCTCGCTCTCCTCGAGCCCAAGCCCCGCCTCCGGGTCCGGCGCCAGCACCCGCGCGCAGATGCTCGCTCCTCACGGCGCCGCCCTGCGAAGCCAGCTCGAAAACGTCCTCAGGGGCGCACAACTGCGCGACGTCGACGATCGCCGAGGCCTCGGCCACGCCAGGAGACGCTCGCTCGACAGAGAGCGTGAGCGTGAGTGGGCGTGGAGCTCGCCAGAGGTGCGTTCCTCTTCTCCCATCCCCATCCATCCCCTGGCTCCACGCTTCCATTGCGCCCGACCGATCTGGGACTGACGATTCCAAATTTCATCTTTATTTTTGGCCATGTCGCCCTTTGCGCTGCTTTTGCGCGTGCGTGCCTCGGGATATCGCTCGCTCTCCTTTCGCCGCTCCACACACAGCAGTCATCCTCAGACGTCAGCTCCCCTGCATCCTCGTCGAGGACACCAGGTGCCACCCCTTCGCCTTCCTCGCGCCCCTCTCCCACGTCCTCTACCTATGGTGCTCTTCCCGTCATCTCCTCGGGCTCTTCATCGGGCTCGCGATCCATTCCGCTGACCCCTCCGCCGTCACCGCCGTTCAACGTGCAGAGCGCGGCCGCAAAGCTGCGCGCGATGGACGGCTACGTGAGCTTTGCAAACGTGGAGGGGCTGGGGCTGCCACCGGGCATGGATGGAGATGAGGAGGGCGAGGGCGAGGAGGGTGGCTCGAGAAGCGGGATCCGTGGCTGGTGGAAGGCGGCGTTCAGTGCGCGGTCGAGGAGCGGGAGCGCAGGTGCCAGCGCGGGCGCGATGCCGTCCAGACGAGACGCGTAGGTCGCGGCGTCGCCTCGGTTTCTGCCTTTTCCTTCTTCTCCTCATCATGTCTTTCCTTGTTGTTGTCGCACTTGCATCGGATCTTTCACCTCACGCACACTCGCCCGCACTCTCCTTGTTCGATCCTCATTTCTCTCTCTCTCTCTCGGCCGCGCGCGGTCATCATGCTCGCTCTCATCTGGACGGAATCTATTCGCCTATCCATCCCGCATTTCTTTTTTTGGGTTATACTCTCGGCAAACGCGACGCTCGCCCTCTGCGGCTTGAGCGTCTGCGCGTACTCTGCCCCGTCCCGTCCTGCTCCGCGATCTCTCGACGCCGTCTGCCCTATATCGCACACCCTCGACGCCGCGGCGAACGGACGGATCCTATGCTCCCACGCACGCTATTACGCACGCTTTTACGCCGACACACCCCGCACCACGCTCACGACTGTATGACACTGGATGTTGATTTTTTTTTCTGTCTCCCCACCCTTCTATTACGATGCGATGCCATGGGCTGCGGACGCGCGCAGATCGGATGTTGGGCGGCCTTGGGGCGAGCACGACGCGTGCGCAGCGCACCCGTCGTGCCCTCTGGGTCCAGCCCTCCTGGTCTCGCGCTCCTGCACCGCCTGCTTGCTGCTGTTACTCCTACGGCGGCTGGCTGGCTGGCTGGGCGAAAGGCGGACACGCGCGTACGAATACGAACACATATGTTTTTTTTTTACGGTTTACGGTTAACGCGGTATACGATATATACGATAGAGGCCTCGGGCTACGTCGGTCGCGCGTTCATGACGGTGTGTGTGTGTACTGTAGACTGTTTGGTGCGCGTATGCGTGTTGATACATGCGTGTGTGGTGACATTACATGTGTGTGGTGAGATCTGAGATGTCGCTCGCGATGGGGCCGTGGTTATGTGTCGTGAGACCTCTGGGTAGAATCTTGCTGAGAGATCCTCTGCATGCGTGGACGTACAAAGAGCATGGCGGATCTCGCATCACCACGGTTTGAAGTAAACTTCAGTCCATTAATCTCACAATGGATCAGATAACTTGTGTATTACATCGAGCGGCGTTTGGTTGGATACTGCATGTTTACGACGCGGCGGCCGACCGCCGACCTACCTGCGAGCCCCTCATGGCCCCAGGGAAATTAACCTTCGAACTTCGCAGACTTACTCGGAAGAAGAAGAAGAAAGAGGCTGAATACGTGTAATCGTCGATCGATCGACCGAGCGAACGAACGAACGTTGGCGCTCCAAGTCGGCGCGGTGGGACACCAAACTTGGCTGCTCTGCGTTTCCGTCGGGGTGCGGGATATGGGTGCTTGAATGCAGACGTAATCTTGGTCTCGGCGTGGGTCGTGGGCGGCGGGCCCTTGCGTGCGAGGGCTGCTCGCAAGGGCGCACTGTGTACACGGAGGTCTGCAACGCAAGATGCTGGCGAGTGGCGAGCTGGACGGCCAAGCTCGATCGAAGGCGCGCAATAGAGTGGACGTGGTATATGAAGGAGGCGTGGACGGTGGTTGAACTTTGATAACGACCGTCGACGCTCGGGTGCGGTCCGGCTTCGACTCTGGTAGGTCGACACGGTGTACGCTCGCGTGCGCCATGGTCCACACCAGCCAGCACCGTGCGCCCAGCGCGTCCGCCAAGTCCCCCGTCCTCAAACTCGGAAGTGTATCAATCGACGCGTTTTTACCGACCGAGAATGCGGGCTCGGCGCTATTCTTCGCACACAAAAATACCTCTGGTATCGGTGAGGCCTAGCTCGGGAAGCTAGGCCGCCAAGGCGCTGCTCGTTCTGTCGTGGTTCGGGCGCGCTTCCCTGTCCCGGCAGCGCGGTTGGATGCCTCGATGTTCCTCGCCAGCGGCTCGACATCCGACGTTCAGCGTCTGGTCTGCTATCGGTGGAGTTTGGCGATCGGGCTGGAGCCTGCTTGAGATAGATGTGCAAGGACGGATCGGCGCAGAGCTTGTACGGAAGAGCGTAGCCCGTCTTTGCTCCGCACTACTTATTGCTTCCACTGGCTCGCGCCTGCGGCGTATTTATAGCGCGTTGCGCCGCGTTCTTGTGAGCCGCAGGGCACGAGCTGCTGTGGCTGAGCTGGAGTGGGAGAATGGGGCTGGGCCTAGACGTGCATGGGCGCGGGGTGTGTTCATATTACCGGCGTTGCGCCCGCTGGTTGTGTGATCGGACGTTCCGAGGAGGCTGGGACGTCCGAGGGCGGGAGCTTTCGCACGCGTTCTCACGCCCTCTGCGTCCGACGCTCTCCGCTGAGGCACCGACATCATGTTGTGCACTGCCAACTGTCTGTTGAAGGCACATCTGATTCTCGCCGTCGGCGCTCGTCGACGATGATATCGATAGGTTACACTGCACACAATGCGGCAGCGATGTAGGAATCCATCAACCATCGATGCGCGATCGCTAGATGCACGCATACGTCCTCGCGTTGCGAATGATGAAGAGGTCCATCTGATGCGTATCAGTCGTGTACTCTCTAGCGTGATTTCTGCTTTGGCGCCAAATGGCGTCTGATAGCGTCGAATCGATGGCTCTTGACGGTACTGATGGACTTCGCGATGCAGATGCGAGCCTGCGACTGGCCTCGCCTTTGTTCTTCTCATGAGTGCAGAAGTTCTTCTCTGATGTGAGATGTGGGATGGTTCCAGCGCCCAAGCTTCGAGGCGCGTGCAGGAATCTCCAGGGAGTTACGTGAGTTTCTACTTGCTTGTAGGTCCATGTTTTATTGATAATTCGACGCTCTCGTTTTCCAGAGAGCCGGGTGGCTACCATGATAAGACGGGTCATAGAAATGATACATTGCGTGGCAGCGGCGATGAGATGCGAGTTCTCAGAGGTCTTTAGGTCCGTCCACGTTGACCATGCCGCCCATGGACTTAGCCACTCACTACTAACGCCCATGCGTCTACCAAGTCAGTCTCAAATGTATGTACGACTCAGAACCCCACAACGGGCAGCCATCTACATAGCGACCAAACGGCTGCTTCGCAGCGCCGCTGCGCTTCATTTCCGGGCACCAGGCTACCATGAACATCACCCTTAATGCTAGCTAAGCAACCTGTTCTCATGGTGCCGTTCGATGCGACCAAGGTTCGCTGCCTTGCGATGCTAAACGGTCCTTGCGTCGGGCGCTAGGCTCTGGGCAGTGCAGGTCCAGCGGCTCCGGCCCTTGCACCAGTCCGCTGCCAACATCAGCGTTGGTCTCTGAGCCCACAAGAACAGGCGCGTCGACGCCCAAGGTACACCCAGATCGTATCAACGCTGTTTATCTGTTGCCTGGCGTGCGACAATCAACGACATGCCGAAATGATTATCTCCGCCTACAGTGTGCATGCGAATTCTCCATGGTCCGGTCGGGGCCTGCGGTGTCTCTGGACCTGCGTACGACGCGGAGAAATGTCGAAGAAAGTGGCGATGCTCATTTGGCCCGCGGGATGCAACAGGAAATCATCTCGATCATGTACGGCATGGCGGCTTTCCGAACGCCCCCTGGTGCTGACCGACACCCCCGTCTGGTCTTGCGGCGCTGATGAATGAAAGAAGTTCGTGGGCATTGGGAATCCTCGGGTGCATCGGGTCGGGCTGGGTCCAATACTGTACACTTGGATGCGCCTCATGTGTGTATCTTTGTTCGGGGATATTATAGGCACAAGTGTACGTGGCGTCCCCGGTTCACCCGCCGAGGGCGTGCAGAAGGGCCGAGATCGGTGTATAGGCGTATTGTCAGGAAGTCCATTCACCATCAGACCTCACCATCAGACCTGATGCCTCCTCCAACCCCATGGGTAATACGCCACCGCCTGCACGCTTGTAGGCGCATTGTTTCGTGCAATGATGGCCTTGTGGTGGGTGTGATCGCCAAACGCATTTGACTTTGCGTGGGATACGGGTCTCACTCTGTCCTGGCATCATGTATAAGGAACACGGTACGTGCCCTGGTCACGACTCATCGGAACCCGTCCGCCTTGAGCTCACGTGTGAACACGCACGAATAGCGTCGGGCGGATCGCCTGGTCTTCCGGCGCTTCGTGTGGACGAATGAATGCCGCGGACGACAAAATCAGCCGGCCCTTGTTGCTTGTGTTCCTTGCTTTTGAGGGAGGCATGCATCAGCAGACGTAAAGAATTCGAGGGTCAGAATGGCTGGTCAAACCTTAAAGGTTTGAGCGTTCGGATACCTTTGGATCGGATCGCTCGATTCCGCGCTACGTGTCGAGTGCTGGCTGCTTCCCGTATCTAGCGAAGGACACAGCGGTGCCAGCGACGGTTCGTCTACGCCTCATCCGCGCCTCATGCTGATTCTAATTGCTGTACCGACGCATATTATTTGTACGCAGAGTCCGTTGGCTCTGACTACGAAGGACGCTTGACTCATCCACACTTATTTTCCGACGACAAGGCCGCGCCGATGTGGATCATGCTCCATTGTAGGAAGAGGGTCATCTGCGATACTTGGAAGACACGATCTCGCGGCATGTCGTTAGATCATCTCTCTTAGACGGCTTCCTTCCTGCTGCCCGGCCCATCGACCGGGTTTGACTTTAGGTAAACTGCTAGGTCTGCTTCGTGGCTCTATGTTTGTCTCTCGTGCCGAGGGCAATAACACGGATTAGTTCGTGAGAACTTCGGCCAGCTTGCCGTTCATTCGGTGGTTTGCTCACATCTAGGTCGGTTCGATTCGGGCGTTCTTCGAACAGGGATGCACGTCGTCGGCCAATGAGTTATCTTATCGATATCGACGATGTCATGATCTGTCTGCTGCGTGATACCACGCCTACGCCTGCCTGTGGCTGTCTCTCGATGATCCCCTGGCATTTTGGCATCGATATCTCACGATGAAGAAAGAGCAGTGTAGGATGCATGTTGGTCATCGGAGAGTACTGTGTGATTGGTGCATGATCCCAGGCAGAAGCGGCTAGGGACGATGAGTCATTCACTGGACAAAGACCTGAGCTGTGTTCGCGCTAGCATTCCTTGCAAGGCCTGGAAAGCTCAACACACGCCGTGCGGCATCGTTATACATCGTCATGCTGACCTCATTCGCCTTCCCATTCTCGAATGCGAGAGATCGGGGCAGGTGAGCAGACCTACCGGCGGAATCGCAAGTCACTTCGGTGTCTGTGGGACCACCAGATTGATGGTGAACGGGGCTCTTTGGCTGTTATCGTCATCGCATGCAGAGTATCTAAAGAGCGAGAACTCTTCGACTTCCACTCGCAGGAGAACGCACTCGATTGCCGACGCGTTCCTAGATGTTGTAGGTGTTATGCAAACGCATCAAATCGAGGAGCTAATTTCTGCACTGCGAGAGCTCAAAAGACGCAACGAGGGTGATGTCCGCCAGGCTGCCTTTCCTTGCCGTTGCCTCGTGGTCCTATACCTGCGAAGGCGGTGGCGTTCGACACAACTTTTGAAATTGTGAATCATGCCATATATATATATCTTAGCTTGCAAACGCTATCGAACATCGAGGTTCGCTTTGGAGGTGGATTTTCCGTATACTACCAGATGAGAAGGAAATCTGGCCGCATTCAAATTCGAGGTCAAACCAGCGGCTACAAACTACGTCACGTGTCGCGACTGTCACACAGTAACAAAGCGAGGCTATTGCCAGTCTATCGCCACCTGTTCCAAGTTCTCATCGACACCTCGCTCTCTTTCTCTGGCCCTTCGCTCTTGGCAGATGCACTGAGATAGTGTACGTTATTCGGATCCAACAGAAACAAACATAATCTGACATCAGGGTACTGCAGAAACCTGCCGCAAATGTCAAATCGTCAGATCAAGAAGAGAAAGGGCAAAGTTGTCCGCGAGCGCACCGTCACCACGTTGACCGGTGCAGACGAACAAAGCACGCAGTCTTTTCATATACCGTCCTCTGACGATCCGACACCTCCTGGCAACATCATGTCTTCTCCTTTCTCAGTCGCTTCTTCGTCTGGAGCCAACAACAGCAGCTCGATGCCTCCAATGCCCTTCCACATACCGACTACCTTCACCACATTTGGCTACAATTCGTACATGCACCCTATGCCTCCCCACATGCACTCTCCGTCCCAGTTTCGTCCTGATCCTTCGCTTCCGCCCGGCCAGGCAGACTTGGAAGCGCTTGAGCGGTTGAAGGAAGCAATAAAAAATAATGAGCACGAGATATACCGCGCCGTTCCTCAGCCTGCAGTTCTTGCCAGCCTCTATAAAGGTCTCATAGATTCTGTTCAGTCTCATGTACCTCCTCATCCCGAGCAAGTGCCGCCTGGCTATCAGGGTGTTTCCAGCTTGAAGCCGGGCTTCGATGCTGCGCCCCAACAGCTCAGCAAGGGTTCTTCCAACGTCCCCCCTGGATTGACGGCCTCCAACAGCTCTTCTGATGTAAGTCACGCTCGTAATGGCTCGACGTCTTGGGATTTGTCCAGCAGTGATCGGAACGCGAGTGTATCGTCTGCGGCGGTTGGGTCGCAAGCAAACAATGATAATGTGCTGTCATCTGATTAACTAGAAAGGATTGACAACTCATCTTTCCATGTTTTCTGTTGATAGACTCGCCTCTCTGTGACAGTGGCCCGCTACGATGGATCCTCCAACGGACATGCTACTAGTGACTCCAAAGCTTCGGCAACGTTATCTGGTCCAGCCGGCTCTGATGTGTCTCGTCCCAACGGTTTACGCCAGGATCCTGAGCCTAACAAATCCGATCCACAATCTTTGAGTCGACCTGTGGTGGCTGAATCTACGTATCCTCGAGGAAGCTCTATTAGTAATCTGCCTGGCAAATCTCTACCTGATGCTAAAGACGACCTGCGCGTACGGGACGCTGGATGGCCATCAAGAGGTGGTCCTCCTGGCTCGGAAGATCGACAGCGCTCTGATTCCGATCGACCTGTGCCTCGCGATAATCGTGGACCCCCGCCCGATAGAGCCATGCCCCCACGGGATCAACGCATCTATGAGCGTGAGCGAGACATAGACCGTGATCGGGAACGTGACCGGCTTAGGGATCGCGACTGGGATAGGGACAGAGATCGCGACCGTCGTTATGACTGGCGCCGTGATGACCGCCGCCCAGTGGATAGACGACCTCCTCCTGAGGAGCGACACTATGAACCCAGACCCGGTGCTGAGCGTCGCTGGGATCCCCCTGTCGACTCTGGGCGCGATAAGCGTGCGGACAGGCCCGACGAAAGGATCCCTGGAGGTGTTCGCCCTGCTAACTCGGCTGATCGGTTCCCGGCTGATGAGCGGCCTGTGCCTGCACGCACTGGTCCTCCTGTTGACATGCAATCTCAGCGAGCACCCCCTGATCATGAACCACGGACTGGCCCGCCTCCCTCAAGGGACGATCGTTCTGTCAAGCCCCTTGGGGTTCCGTCATTAGGTGAAAACGTCCGTGGTCCTCCTGTCGAAGAGCATCCTCCACCACGGTCCGCTGTCCCTCTTGAGGAGCGTATTAGCCGTCCACCTTCTCTCCAGGATAGAATCAGTGCAGCTCCAGCACCACCGCAACGTGCGGATGAACGCCCTGCACGTCCTGTACCTACTCTTGAAGAACGATTATCCCACACATCTGATGACCGAGCTTCTCTTTCTAATGTTCCTCGTGGTCGCATCGGCGATGATAGGTCTCGTATTGTAGAGCCGACACGCCCGGGACCTCCCGCTGATCGTGACGAGCGACCTCGGATGCCTACCAATGCCCCGGTTGACCGTTTCCCGAAAAATGCTACTGACGATCGTGCAGCTCCCCCGGTCTCATCTCGTGCGGCTACGTATACTCGCGCTCCTTCTGTGACTCGCGAGGAGCCTCGCCCGCCACCACGAGCTGTATCTCCGTTGCATTCGTCTGCTCGTCTGCCTCCACCACAGCCCAAACACGACTATCGTCCACGCGAGCCCTCGCGCGAAAGAGGTTCAGACTTCAGGCCTTATTACCGAACAGAGTTTGACAGACCCTTGGAGGACGATCGCCGTTCCGAAAACATGGACCTTGAACCAGGCCGTTACGGTGACTCACGTGCGCCCTATAGACGGTATGACTGGGCTCCCGCGCTTTCATCTCCTCCTCGTAACGATATATACGGAAGCGAGGCTGAGAGACGACGGACCGATTACAGCCGGGAATGGTATAATGCGCGTCCTCCTGGCTGGGAAGATGCGCGGGCGTACTGGGAGACTAAGACTCACCGACCGAGTGGAAGCGAAGACTGGGAGCGGGAATATAGCTCACGGTATGGAGACCATCGCGGCGAGCCTTGGGATGATCGCGACAGGAGATACGGCGAAACATCCGCAGAGCCCCATGCGCGCGGCGGATTCGAGCCTCGTCCACTGAGCACGCGTTTGGCCGACTCTTATTCCCAAGATGAGCGAGGTAGCTATCCTCCACGTCCACCGTTTGAAGCATCGCGTGTCCGTCCTCGAAGCCCAAGTCCCGTGCGTGACGACAGGGATCGAGACGAACTAAGACCGCCATTGAAGAGGTCAAGGGAGGAGGGGTACGGCGCACCAGCTCTCTACGATGCTCCGCCTGGCCTTGGCTTGAGCCAAGATCGGTCGAGGGGATCACCGCCGCCTGTACCTCCCAGTTTCGGAGAAGTTGGAGGATCGAGATACTATAACAATCACGGGATCGACGGGGAAAGGGGTTATCGGGACGCATACGGAAGTTACGACAGGGGACGAAGATCTCCGCCTTCAGGTTCAAGAGCTGCGTACAATGGTGGAGGTATGGGCGCGAGGTCAGGGAGCAATGAGAGGAGGTATGGTATGCCGCCTGGCGGTAGATCCGTTTGAAGTGCTGAATATCCTTGGTTGAAAGACATCTGATTTATAGTAGTATCTTTTGGTAGGAAAATATCGTACTTGGTTTATATGTTGATTGTTAACAGCCAACAAATACACGAGCATATCTATACAGTACATGTTTCACTCGTATCTTGCTATGCATCTGGTGTTTCGTTGCATTGTTTCTCGGATGGTGCGCGTACGGAAGTCAGTCTAAGCATGAGAACTTCAGTAGCAATTCTGACGGAGATGAGTTCCTTGGCCAAGTGTGACTTTCACCTTCGGGTATGTAAACGAACGTTCTGGCAAGGAAAAACACTGTTCCGATGCCATGGTGTCCTAAGGTGCTTCAGAACGCACAATGGATTGCACCGAAATTCGTCCCCTCGGACAGGCCAAAATCCGATGATCTTGGATCAAACTCATGAACAAGATTCAGGAACATGCAGCCGGCCATTTGGCAACCCTTCGGAGAGCAGCAATGGTACATTGATGTTCTTGCAGCAAATTGAACCTGATTGGGTTCGAGACATCAAAATCACTGCCTCGACGCTGTACCAAAGTGACAGGCTGTTAATTCTAACCTAGTAGTATTACCGACACTTTTGAGTCCACCAATATCCAAAACTACTGTGTTGCCAATTAAATGCAACTATAAATACAAAAAAATCTTTTCTGTAATCTTCATACCCTGCTTCAACTTTGAGGCCCAGAAGCAGTGAGATTAAATCAGGGGCTCAATAGATATGGATTTAAACAGTCTACCCCCTAAAAGCAGACTGTGTGAAGCACAGTCTGGGTTTTGGGAACCAAATCCGAAGTTGCACACAATTCTGTCTGATTCAATAGGCTTAAAATGTATTTGTCATGGTACCCTAATATTTTCATTAGTAGACATGGAGTACTGAAGATGTTACAGGCAAAATACAGAATTGAAAGAAAACCTCAAAAAACCGAGTCTCCAGTCCACAATTGTCTTTGGATTTCCATTGCAAAACTAAGAAAATGCTTCTACATACACTACCTTTCAAATTATACCCTAATTTTATCATTTGGATGAGGGGATCGAGAGATATGTAATTGTTTGTGATGTTGAGGGTATTCTGCAACCCGGAGACACAGTTTAGTCAGCATCGGGAAATGGCGGCACACAGTCGGGAGATTGCGGACCCACAGTCGTCACACTGTTGTCACACTGTTGTCACACTGTGCACAGTCTCTCTGTTGCGCCACACAGTCCGGCCGAGACCGCACACAGTCCGGATTTTGGCGCTAGTTCAGCGCCACACAGTCCGGATTCTCGGTGACAGTCCGAGATTTGGCGGTGAATCTGCGCCACACAGTCCGGCCGTGCCGCACACAGTCTGTTGATTGTCGCGCCACACAGTCCGACTGTGTCGGCACACAGTGCCCTCCAACATCTCATGAGAAGGACGAGCGTCATGAAGGTACGTTGTCGTCTCTCCTTGCGCCAGTCTTCCCCTGCACACCTGTCCCTCCGCTCGACCCACGCATGGTCGTCCTTTCGACTCCATATACGCCTGCCACCCAAGACCCCCACCCTCGACCCCTCGACCCCTTCCACTGTCGACCTTATCGATCCTCCTGTCCTTGCACATTCATTCCTTCCCCTCCTCACATATATTTCACATTTTCAGTCATTCTGCCCGCCCTCTCTCGTTCTGCGTTATTATAGAGACCCCATGCGCACTCGACCTCTCGCCTATTTGCCTGCTCGAAGTGCTCTGATGCTACGCCCTCGTTTTGTCGTCCCCGCCGGCTCCCCTCTTGCTCCCCAGATCAATTCCCACGCTCATGCCAAAGGAATTGCGATATCCGCAGGGAAGCGAGCGCATTCCAGTCCGTGTGCGCCGCGCCGCACTCTGCCTCAAGCGGAAGCTGCAAAGACGCGGTGCGCATCGCGTTCCAGAAGGTATGCGCGCGCACCACCCTCTCCCCCACACCCACCCTGCACTTCTTCGTGCGGTCCTGCAAGCTCAGCTGTACAGCGTCATATAGACTCATCTTCCAGCCCCTCCATCTCTCCCCACGCCTCTACCCCTCCCACTGCCCTTGCCTGTACGCGTCGGTGATGCTTGGCATCAAACAATCCACAGCGGACGAGTTGCGCAAGATACACGGCTCGCGCACGCCTCGATGTTGAGGGTTCCGCAGTGGACAAGTCTAGCAAAGTGCAAAAACGGCCGTGTGTAGTCTGCGGCCAGCCTGGCTCGCCACCAAGCCCAAATTCGCCGAAGGTTAATTTGGGCTTGGTGGCGAGCCAGGCTGCCGCAGACTACACACGGCCGCCGGCTTCGCCGGCAACACACCTGCCCTTAGCACGTTCTGCAACATCACAAATGACTCCGAGCATGCATAGGGAAAACAGAACGCAAGTGAGTGCTGGACATGTTCGAGCGCCACGAGAAGTACATCCCGCACATGCACACAGCACACCTTGTCTATCAGGAACGTCACCGCACTGCGACGCAGCGTCAAGTGGGAGCAGCTAGGCTGGCCTGAGGTAGATTGGTCGCTGAAGAAGTGAGGGATCGTTATTGTTTGCACAGTGAGTCTTCATTATGTTGACATTGAGTCTGAGTATGGGTGGGACATGGCGACACGCTCCAACCGCCTTCTGTAGCACCCTGACACACACGCCATGAGAGGATCTGACATACTCTCCCACTCGTACTATCAGCAACTGATTTCACATGCTTTGTGTGCACATATACGCGCTCCCACTCTTAGCTATTTTTCAAGTACCCCTTCTACCTGTAGTTAGATTTTTTTTCTCTCTCTCTGTATGTATATCACGACCCTGCAAACCATCTCTTCCTCTCCTAAAAAAGAGGCTATGTCTTTACACCATGGCCCCATTCACCCACACGACGTGTGGGCGAAAGTTGTGGAGAGAGTGTCGATCTGCGCTGACCTGCGCTGACCGCCAGCTCTCGACTCGACCAGATCCAGCTTCCAATTGCACGGAGGTTCTCACAGACAACATGTCTCCCCGCTGCCCACGCAACAATGGATTGCGAAACCGGGACAAGCATCAATCTGACTAGTCTTGTGAGTACATTTCTAACCTACTCTTCGATGCCCTCTCTTCCACACACTCAACTTTGCGAACGGGACGATGGGCCTCCGCCGATGCCCTGAGAAAGCAAGCATCGCCGAAGGCGTGTACTGGCGTTTATTTTTATTTTTATTTACTTTTGCTGTCTGCAGATCCGTCCCATCCCTGCCTCGTCCTCTAACCTCGTCCACACCTACGCCCACGCTCGCCACCATCTCTTTTCCCGGTGCCACCCACGATCACCGTCGCTGAGGCGTCCTGCCCCACCGACGCCCACACGCTCACGCTGCCCGATGACGGGCCAAGCATCGCGACCGTCCGAGCGTCAACGACCGCGATGTCGACGACAACAACGACCACAATGAGGAAGGTCGGTGGCGGAAAGACACGCTGGGGGGAGAGAAGGGACGTGCGACGAGGATATTCACGAGGTATACTGCCTCTCTTCGCGCCAGCCTCCCTGCACACGCGTCCCTGCTCCTGCACGTCCCACGCCCCTGCACTCCTGTCCTCGACCGCCGACACCGCGCGCGTGGACCTCTCCTGCGGCCGCGCTTGCGAAAAGTGGCTCGCGTGCGGGAACTACGTCTGTGTGGAGTCGTGCCATCCCGGCGCGTGTCCGAGGCAGTGCAGTGCTAGTGCAGGAAAGTGGAGAAGCAGCTTGCATACAGGGAGGGAGAGAAGAAGGCGTGCGCCGTGGTGCATAGAGACGGCGAGGAGGAGGAGGAGCAGTGGGTCGGGTCGTTTGATTGCGGGAATTCGTGCGATCGGTACGTTCTTCCTCGAATCTTCCTCCATACCCCCAATGAATTCCTCCCGTCTAACCGCCTCAGCCACCGCCTCCAACTGAGCTGCTCACTAGTGAGAACTCGGCGCCAACTCCTGCCATAGTAATCGAGCTGCAGTTTCGACTGCAGGACATTCAAGTCTCTCTTGCCTGCTTCATCGATAAGATTCGCGCCATGGAGGGTATGCTCTCTGAGCACAAAGCCATCAAGCGTGAAGTTAGCACCCTCCGCGAGCTGATAAAGGAAAAATGCGAATTAGACAGCGTACGCGGCAGACAATGCTCAGGGACGCTGCGTGCCAAGGACCACGACGACAGCGAGTACGGCGGCGACGACGATGACGCGCAGAGTATCGCAACCGTCATGCCCCACGAGCTGGAGTGCGTCGAGGAGGAGGACGAGGAGCAGCTGGCGGCGGAGGAAGAAGAAGAGGAGCGGCGGCGGCGGCGGCGGAGAGATGAGCTAGGTCGACCGATAACACCGGAGCCTACAGGGATGGGCATGGACATCCATGGCAGATCCAAAATGCACCTTGACGTGCTCAACATGCACTCACGATCGCCGCCGCCCCCTCTACGAGAGCCTTTTGCTCTTCAGCCTTCGACGTCTTCCGTGTTCGAGGAGCGCATCGATGCCCTCACCTCTCACCTCGAATCTGCGCTCGAGCTCTCACGCTCCAAGCCCAGCAGGCTGCTGCGCAGAGTACCACCTCCATGCTTGAGCCCAAGGTCTCCTTGCTCGAGTCACTCGTCCAGGCGTCGCAGACCGATATACAGTCGCATGTCACTGAGGTGAGTCAAGAGCGCGCCTCGCTCACCTCACTCATCGCTGAGTGGAAGAAGGGTGTCGAGGGCTAGTGGAGCGGCGTCCGTGAGGAATGGGCTGAGGAGCGCATGCGGATCAATCAGGCGCGTGAGGTTTGGGAGGCGCGCGTGCGGGCTGCTGAGGAGGGGTTTGACGGCGCCGTCGCGAAGGTGGATGCCGGGCTCGCGACGCTGCAGCAACACCGACTCAAGGCGAACGTGAACGAGCGCAACGGTGTCAGGCTCGTCACACCCCCCAGTCCACGCAACATCTCGTCTGACTCGGGCAAGCGCCATCGGCGGAAACGATCGACAATCTCCCGAGGCCGATCGCGTTCGCACTCGGCCGAGTCGAACAAGGACGACGGTGGGTACGCGAGCTCATTCGAGGGCGTGACACTGCTCGATGACAAGCGCCAGTCAGCTTCCAAAGCACGCACGCGAGTGCCCTGGGCGCAGGATGATTCGGATTCGGACGTGCGTCATGCAAGCGACGATGCGAGGATCATGTCCTTGAAGCACTATGCCATCACCTCAGAGTCGTCGGTCCAGAAGGCATCGACAGGGTCCACGACGACGATGACGACGGAGGATGACGCTGCACATGCCTCGTCTGCCGCCGCCGCCGATCTGAAGGGCGCACACCTGGCGCCAGTGAGCTTTGTTCTCTGCGTTTTCGTGCATTCGCTCACGGCACTGTGTCGACAGATGGTTCAACATTCAGCACAGATGTCGACGACGGTGGGCGTGCTCATGCTCAGCGTCGCCGCCTTGGCGGTGCTATGGCGTATCAAAGGATAATAGTTGCCGGGCAAATCTCACGGTCCTTTTATGATGGTTCAATCCCTGCGCACGTCTGGCTCAGTGGCGATCCTGTCCCTCCTTTTTCCGCCCTCATGCTCCTCACTGCTGCACCGCCTGTTCTGTTTCTGTGTGCGTCTCATCTGCCTTCTCGCCCATATTTGTTTGTTAGCGAGTAGCTTAGTCTGCACATCATGCAGCCTGCTGCCCTCCTGGCGTCTCTTGCCTCTTCTCGTCGCATGTCGTTTCCTTCGTCGATCCCACGCACGGCCATTGCTACGATCCCATGCAACATAATCACTTCGTCGTGCCCTTGTTCACCCTTCCTCGTCCTGCTGAGACCCCGCCGTCCCTACACAGTCGCCATGTCTCCACGCGCCCCCGCTCCTGCCTCACTTGTGCTCTACGTCTATGTACGAAGCATCGTAAATATCATGCCACACGCACTTCAGTGTATCGACGAGGAAGGTGATTAGGAGCTAGCAGCAAAGAGATGAGCTAGGAAGAGGGAGGCCGAGCATTACCAAGGTCTGTACCTCCCACTCTCAGCCTTCTCACCCGCCCGTTGTTTGTGTCCCCGAGACCCCCTCAATCTCTTCGATGCCAAGCCCGCTCACTCACTCGGCCCCCTCCATAGTCCATATCGCCCTCGTGCTCATGCGTGCACGCGCGATTCCTCAACGCCACGCACCCGTCTTTGCTCGCGACCCATATCCGCGCCCGTGCGTCTCCTCAAGCCCACCACCCACCATCCTAGCATATCCTCCGCCTCCTCCACCTTCGTCAACACCTCTGCCTCCGATGCCTCGTCCACCGTCACCACCATCACCACCCACATCACCACCACCACCACCACCTCCTCCTCCACCTCCTCACGCCGCTCCTCCGAGTCCTTGCGCACCATGCCCAGCGCCAACCGCCGCGACCGCGACCGGACCTCGCAGGACTGCTCCAAGTCGATGTCCGCGGCGAGCACCGCTCACATACGCGCCGCCCTCCTCGACCAGGCCGCCGCTGCCGCATCCGCATCCTCGCGCACTGGCCGGCCTTGCCTTCCCCCGGCATCACGCCCCCCTCCACCCTTGGCTGCTGTATGAGCGGTATAGGACGGGGAGCTTCTCGCACGACGTGCGACGCAGAAGATCGGCAAGGAGGAGACGCGGCGGCTGACGCGCCCCCATCGTCTACCCTGCACTCCTCTCCCGCGTCGCTGAGGCCTTCCGCGTGCGCGTTCTTGAGCGGCGACATGCCTTGCCTTTGCGCGCGCGCTCAACGTCACTCACAGTCTCGCCCAGGCCACCTCGGCTCTCCAACCACGCAACCCAGGTGCACATCTAGCGCGCTCAGAGCCTTCTGCACGCCTCAGTCCCCATGCGCACCGCACCTGAGAGCATACCTGTGCGCACGCCCCCCGTCCGCGACGGGCTCCTCCGCGCACAAAATCGCCGCCCACGCGACCAACGTCGGCGCCAAAATGCGCGCACCCGCATTCTCCGCGCTCGCGACGACCCTGCCGGATCGCAGGGCTCCATCCTTTCCCTCGAAATGATCGGCGGCGGCTTTTACGAAGCGTGCGTCTCCTTTGCCCGTTTTCCCCTTGCCCGTCTTTCTTTCTTTCCATTCCATCTCTCTCTCGTCCCCTCTCGTCGTCCCTTCGCGTACATTTGGTGTAACATCCATCCGTCGCTTGCACGAATGCACGACTCCATGCAACCCCGATCGTGTCCACAACCGGCGAGATTCGCGTCTCTGCGTGCCAGTCCATTCCTCGGGTTTAATCTCGCGTCGCTACCCTCTTCCGTGGATGCGTGCATCCAAATCATTCTGCCTGATTGCCTCGAAGCCTAGTTTGCAATTGAGCTCTCGCCTCCCAGCATCCGTCGCGGCACGCAACGCCCCCCTCATCCTTCATGAGGTCCGCTGGTATGGCTGCTCAATCTCGACGCGCCCGGGCCGTCTTACCTCTTTCAGCGTCGTCTTACCTCTTTCGTCTTCTTTGTTTTTTTATCATCATCACTACGCTCAACGCTATCATATCCGCCACTGACACGTTCTTGAGAAATCCATTGCAAACATCTGTAGAACCAGCATCGCTTACTGGATACCTGAGCGTTAACGAAGGGCGCGAAGAATGTGAGCGAGTCGTTCATAGCCGTTCCACTATTCTCGGCACGAAGCGTCTCGAACCCCATCGACGCGTCTAAACCGCCCACGCCAGTACCCACGTCTGCAGTAACAAAGTCATCTGCATGCATTAAGGTGGAACAGCTGTCAGCGACTGGCTCTGCCTGGCACCAAAACTCAGAGCTAAACACGTACGAAAGGCCACTCGAATCCATTGCGCCGCTGTCTCCCGTCCCAGAAGCTGACTCCCTTCCACGTAGTTCGTGCATGGTGTGATTGCGCGCTTGAAACCACCGTCATTGGCACCGCCTGTGTCGACGAGGAGGTGTTCGAGCTCGTTTGATACTAGGATTGGATTCGGCGCAAAGGCAAAGGAAGAAAATATGAGATTCTGCGGTAAAAGCAACAGAAACAATGGGGAAATGTGGGCGCGCATTCTGGGAGTCAAAGACGGCCGGAGTCGAGGATACTCACAAATCGCAAAACCAATAGTCTCGGTAGCTTAATTAATACGGCGATAGTTGTGTCTCAGTCGGTCCAAGAAGCACGCTGACTTCTAATAATCAGGTGCCAGATAGTTGCTAGATCCATCATCAAGCCGTCGAACGCCGAGGCACGAGGCACCAATGTTCTCTCTTTTATTGACCGAGCCACTTTACGAGCCTACATCTGCCTACATACCAGCGAGCTCTACTGGTTCCCCTGATATTGATTCGCTATGTGCACAACGCGCCGGCTCCAGTGGCAAGTTTGCAAGTGACCAGCAGCGGGATATCTAGGATGTATGAGGACACGCGGTTTCACAATACGTCCCGTGGACAGATAACCTCTACATGCTCGTGAGGCTTCGGGCTTCGATCAGATTGATCAATATACTCAAGCGCCCGACATTGAAAGTGAGCCCAAAATGAGACTCACGGCTCACCGATATCAGAGCCGTCCTCGGAGGAATTGTGGGGGTGAACATATGGATGATAATCGACAGTTGTCACAGGAACATCCAAAACGCACATACCGACATTATAAGGGACGAGTCTCCGCGATTAATAAATGCCAGGTACAAGCTTATATCTGACTTTCCTACTCCAAGCCACCCACTCCGCGCCGAATTTTTCCTTTAACATCTTATCCTCCTGACTCGTCCTCCAAAGCATGACAAGCGTGACGTGGATGTTAGGTTAGGTTAGGTTAGGTTAGGTTAGGTTAGGTTAGGTTAGGTTAGGTTAGGTTAGGTTAGGTTAGGTTAGGTTAGGTTAGGTTAGGTTAGGTTAGGTTAGGTTAGGTTAGG